AGAGTACCAGCTACTCCCGAAGACACACCTAGGCGGCCGAAAGGGTGTCTCAGTAGACCATGCAATCCAGCTCATCCTAGACCGAGTACACCGAGCGTGGGGGGACAGGAGAAAGGTAAGTATGTTACTCCTGGACGTCTCAGGGGCATATGACAATGTCTCCCACCAACGGTTACTACATAATATGAGGAAACTGGGACTAGGGCACTTTGTGCCATGGGTGCAATCCTTTCTCACTGGCCGATCAACGCGGATTAAGCTCCCGGGCTTTATCAGCGAGCTCTTCGCCACCGAGACCGGTATCCCACAGGGGTCCCCTATCTCCCCAATCCTATTTCTGCTATTCAATACCCCGCTAGTCAGAGGATGCTATATCCGCGGGCCTGACGGGGCGGAATGCCATGGATATGGATGGGTGGACGACGTGGCAATGATCGTGGAATCAGCATCATACGCTAGGAACGTGGAAGTGCTACAGATAGCACTGGATAAGGCCGATCTCTGGGCGAAGCGGCATGCAGCTAAATTCGCCCCAGATAAGTTCGAACTAATCCACTTCACCAACCCAAGAGAACCAACAGCAACGCTAAACCCAAGGCCAACTCCCATACCGGAAGAGCACCAGACACCAGATATCTATAACATTACTATTGAAGATCCTGGCCACGACCGCCTACCAGTATACACGGCCGACCGAACGATCCAACCGTCCAACGCAGCCAAATATCTCGGAATATGGCTTGACAAAAGCCTTACTTTCGAACTGCACCGATCAAAGCTAGCCACTAAGGCAAACGGCAGCTTAGAAGCCCTTCGGGGCATGACTGGGTCTACGTGGGGGGCATCTCTGATGGCTATGCGCCTTATCTACCAGGCGGTGGTAATCCCACAAATGCTCTACGGTGTAGCAGCCTGGTTCTGCCCGGCCGCCCGCGCGGTCCCGAAGAAAGAAGAGAACAGAATGATTCATATTTTCATGGCGATCCAACGACGCGCGAGTATCCTGATCGCAGGGGCTTTCAAAAGCATGTCCGCGGCAGCCTTAAATGTGGAGCTCTATCTTTTGCCAATCCGGCTTCAAATGCAACAAATCATTGAGCACACGGCAATCCGAATCCAAACAGGCGCTAAGTGGGCACAGCCGGAGTGCCTAAACCCCCTTTGGGGAAAACGAAAGCCCGTGGAAACCCGACTTGGAGGGTTCTCACCACTCGAGGCCCTCCGCTGGAAGAAGGGTGAAATCCTGTATGGCGATGAAGTGTGGGAAACAAGGAAAGCATTCGTGCTTGCACCCTGGGAACGACGGATCAACTGCATTATTGAAGATAACGCGGATACTGCAAAACTAAGTTGTGCTAAGATCTACGCGACGTCCGCCGCAAGGGAGCTAGATCGACGGATCGAGGATCCTGAAGCCCCCTGTCACCAGCGGATCTTCTTCACAGACGGTAGTGGGTATGAAGGGGCGATTGGGGCATCCGCTGTGGCCCCGCAGGAAACCACTGATCTCCGACGGCATCTCGGAACATCTAACCAGTCCACAGTCTATATCGCGGAGCTCACAGGCATCGAAATGGCCCTTTCAAATTTCAAGATCAAACCAGCGCCCGAACTGGTGATCTTCGCGGATAGCCAAGCTGCGATCCAAGCAGTGCAAAACCCCAAGCGACCATCTGGCCAGTTTGTCCTCTCATCAATCTATGCCCACGTCCGTACCATCACGCCTACCCCACAGTCAATCACGATTCGGTGGGTCCCCGCACATGTAGGTGTTGATGGTAATGAGCTGGCGGACGCCGCAGCAAAGGAGGCGGCGCGCGGGAATGTGGATGTGGAAAGGGACGAGGACGAGGATGCGGGGTCGGAGAATCATTCCTCCGGAGCCGGGATAAGCCCTAACTTCCGGCTCGCAACCACTGCCAAGCAGCGCGTACGGGCGCGGATTCGCGCAGAATGGGCAAGACAATGGGCGAGAGAAAAGACGGGCAAACCAAATCAGAGGCTTGTTGAAACGCCGCATAAGAAGGTTCTGAAATTGTTCGAGGGCTTGTCGAAGCCGTACACTTCGATTCTGGTGCAGATGCGGTCGATGCGAATCGGGCTGCGTCACTTCCTATATAAGATCAACGAGACGGAATCGGACCGGTGCAGCTGTGAGGAGGGCTCCCAGACTCCCAGGCATATCCTCCTACAGTGTCCGTTGTACGTTGATTTAAGAAAGGCATTTATGGAAAAGGTTAAAAGGACAGACCTTCACAGTGGGAAATTGACAGATTACGAGGCAATCATGTCTCACCCGCAGGCGATTCGCTACGTCGCCGAATTCATGCTATCAACTGGTCTTCTAGGGCAGTTCCGTCACTGCGACGTTGAACCAGAGCCGGATGAAGAAACTGAACCAACAAACCACGAATAGCGTGGCACGGACAGGGAGGCGAAGACGCTGTGTATTACCGACCGCCAAACCAGAGCCACCCGAGCGGCCGAGGTGTGGACAACAAGAGCACATACACAACATGACAATCGAGACGGAGTGAGAAAGGATGCTGATGCCGGTGAGCAGTCAGGATACAAGAAGAGGACGCTGCGGGGTGCAGGATCATTCTTTTGGGTTTCTATCGTTATGGCGGGCGTTTACTTGGCTTCATTTTCCTGTTTGAGCGACGCATAGCTTCATTTCCTTTGTATTCCGGGTTTACGGCGTTGGATTATTCTTGCTTTGGTCGGACAGAGCGCCTGCATTACCATTGCGATACTAGCTGGGTAGCATCAGGATAATAGAATATCATCATCATCATCATCATCATCGACCTAGACCCTTCGACCTGCCACCACTGCGAGCGTGGTAAGATGGACACGAAGCACGTGCTGCTGACCTGTCCCCGCTTTGCTACGCTCCGCGCCGAAATCCTCGGTATCAACCGACCACCTGAAAGCACGTGGACGTCCTGGCTTACCAGGCCAGAGCGTGCACCCAAAGCAGCTTCCTTCATGCTGGCCACTCGCCTACTCGGCCAATTCCGCCACCTACCGGAAACGTATCACACCACAGCCGCTGCAGCCGCGTAAGCGACACACACATTCCTTGGAGTGCCCACGGGCCTCCAGAAACCATTGAATCCACCCTTCCAGACGCTTCGGCGTACGGGAGCAACCGCGACATTCGAAGACGGAGGGATAACGCGATCGATCACCATGGGAGATGCTTGCGGGGACGGCTCGGACCTGCGCTGCGGTTAATTCTCTACTCTCTCGCTTCTGCCAGCGTTAGCGGTACGTAAGTAGGGTAAGTTATGAGCGTGGTCAGCGAATTGGGCGCGTTGAAGAGGTGTAAGTGAAGGAGAGAGGTTGAGCGTACGCGGAGAAGGGGCGTGCCGAGGTTTTGGTGTTTGCACTGTTTGGCTGTTTTGGTCTTGGCGGACCTGTTTGTACTATTTGTCTCCCCCTTCTGTCTTCCCCCACTCCCCTATAACCTTGTTTAATCCCCCCCCCTACCCTATCCGCCTACCAAAATAGCCTACTTTGCATGAATAGCGTTATTTCCACCTGTGATATAGTTGATCCGGCTATCTTATAGTGCCCTACTGGCAAATCGGGCCAAAAGCCTGACAGATCCATGAATGAATACAAAAAAAAAAAAAAAAAAAAAAAAACCTATACGAGAGGGGCCAGAGCCCAAGAGTATAGGCAGAGGAGTATACTTCTACATGCGAAGGGCCCTAACGGAGTTGGGCCGGAGAAGGGTTAACCCGGTATGCCGGTGATCCGCTTAGCTAAGCCGCACAACAGAAGCAGCACGGCGGGAGAGCTGCATAACAGCTCTCCAGTGATTATATTACCATCAATCCAGACAGCAGCAGTACAGGGGTACGCCGTGCCGTGTTATCACTCCCATCCATCCAACTCCCTAAGACCCTGGTCTTAACAATGAGAAGTACTATGAAAACAGATAATTTTACTAGTAAACCTACCTCCTCTTCAATCTTAGGTAGGTAGAGCTTAGCTTAATTCCGGAAAGAAGAAGCATACCATTTATACGTAGGCTATTGAAAACCAAAAAGTCAAAAAAATGGCTCATTATCATCGCTTTACGCGTCTGATTACTCGGATTCATCACTGGATTAATAGCGGGTACTTACATGCTGCTTTACACGTGGCATAGTGGTGGTTGGTTGAAAATTCGGTGGGTCCGGGTAAGAAAAGAGGGATCAGATGGTAAGAAGATGGTAAGTTCAATTCGAGGGGAGCGATCGACTATGTAAGGTATGGTCAGACAAAGAAACCGGTAACAAAGAAATATCTGCCTGAGGCCATCAACCCCCCCGCGGAGGACTCAGCCGGACCCCCTTGAGTTGAATCCTCCAGAAGAGCCGACAGATATCAGTTGGAGCCTTACGCTCCAGGCATCCAGGATGCAGTGTTTGCTTGTTTGTTTGTTATTGTCGTCCAAATCGGGACTAGCTTCGTGTAACTACAGCTTCACTCTCATCGTATCTTCTCATCCGCTCCTTTTAATTGAAACATCATCCCTTTCGCTCTACACATCCCCAGGGTCTCTTCTAGGTTCTCCATAGTATGTCCTCAACAAAATCCCTGGTCCCGACTCACCTGACCCACTCTCCGACCCGTGACAAGCAATCTAGTTCCCACAGTGGGAGTCCCACTGTGGGACCAAGTCTAATCTCACATCACGTCTCAACTTTTTGTCTGGTTTCTCCCCCACTCCTTGGCCATAATGTTTGCTGAAATTATCATTGAATTATTTACAGTAATTCCTTTGCGCTCTTTGAGACCCAAATTCCCCGCTCCGCCCAGTCTCAGAAATTACCTTCTTTTTAACAACATTCTTCTTGTCATGATTCTTTCGGATTTTCTGTCTAGGGAATTGACCATACTTTTTCGTGGTATTGAGAATTGTGTATGTCTAGAATTTTATAATTAAGGAATCCTGAATCAACAAGAAAGTGCAAAGTCCATCAATAACCAAACATAAATGGCCATCACAGTGAATGCTCAACTCGGCTACCGCTTGTCTCCGACTCCTCCAAACCCTCCCCAAACGACTCAGGCTTCGTATCGACATACTCACACCTCACGCTCCACTGATCTGTTCTTTGAATTCCCATCGAAGAACCTATTTTCTCTAGGTTCTGTGGTTTACCAGGAGAGGTAACTGCAAAAGCTGCAGCGGACGTTCCGAGACCCTCGACCTCATCGCCCAAGTATCGAGAGCGCGTTCTGGCCTCCTTCGCCCCACGGCTCATACTCCCCAACGCGTATGAGTTGCCATACGAGTCAAGCTGGCTCCCGTCGTTGCGCTTCCGCAGGCCGACGCCGAGCATCCCGCTATCGAAGGCATCGAGGAAGGGTTTCAAACAGGGAATGCATGCCGTAATGAGAGTGACGCATAGGACGCATTGGGTGGTGATCCTAGTTTCGAAGGCAGATTGTGTCATATCCGTGGAGTTAGGGGCATGTCGCATAAAGACAAGGCGCATGATGGTCGCTATAATTACGCTGAGCACTCAATTAGTTGAAAATCCGTGAATTCAGAGACAGGAAGATCTTGCGTACACTAAGCGGTACGCGAATGCGGCCACGACGGTAACTTTCTTTCCAAAGCTAACCTGGACGGGCATGACAATATAGATCGGAAGGAGGCAAATGATTAACTCTGTAAGCATATCGATGGAGGATATGGCTGTCCAAAAGCAGAACTGTGGAAACCAGGTTGTCAGTCAGTGTGAATGGATTACTGTGGTCAAAGGTCAATGCTCACAGTATCAATACATTTGACATTATCCATTTCCCATGGCCTTGGTACTCCGCATTTGAAAGCCAAAGTAAAGAAGACTGGAAATATCCAGATCGTCACGGCGATCGATGACCAAAAGCATACTTTTTTGTGTGATTTATTGACACACAGTTTGTTCAGAAATTCCAAGACGGAGACTTTTGTGAGGCCAATGGCAAGAACGTAAAGGAGATCAGATGCGTATAGGCACTACAAATTAATTTAGCATTAGTAACTATTATCGCATTGGCCCTAGAAGAGCAGTTTACCTTTTCCACATCGATCACTTGCTGCGTACTCAAGGCGGATTGACGCTTTCCCATACCATCTTTTGTCCCTTGAAAGATAACAGCAGATTGCGCGATGCCGAAGACCTATCCTTTGTAAATGTTGTTGGCATTAGCAAATTAACGACATTGACATATTTAAGGGGTGTCGCATAGCACAGGTGGGAATGCATACCAGTGCAAGAGAAATTATGCCATCATCTCGTTGGAATGACCGAAGCATAGAGAATCGAAAGGCAAGACGGATCAGCACAGCCATGATCATCATTACCAACAGATACAAGGCCGCAATGGCGATCTCATCTCCATGATCGGAAGTAGGCGAGTCTGTGCGTCTTTTGATCAGAAAGTAATTTGCGATGTCCATCATGAGAACCGTACAGGCAACAACATCGATGACTCGTGCATTTATTCAAAGAATTTGTGATGCAGGGCTTTTTGTTGAACAACTAGCAATCTTTAGGGCCAGCCTGCATTTGGATTGATAGTAATTTTCTAAATAGATACATCATAGCACGTATAGCATTACGAGCTGTTTTGCTTATTTGGTAAAGTTTCAGCATTGTAATTAATCTCTAATATTTCTCTCGGGGTAATCGGCCTATTGGAATCCGTACTAAGATCTTAGCGAGGATTAAGGGGTAGAATGGACAAGGGTGTATCCCTCGTGGGCGCAGCCGAAGGAATCGCGTCGCTTGGGGCCAGAATCCTTCCCAGTAATTAATCGCCTTTTTAGCCTGCAAGAATTGATTGTCCTATATTGATTACTGCAAAAGTCATACAATATTTACTGCGTGAACTTAATGCTGGCAGTTTAGGGGTATAGTTTTCGAATTTGAGGGATGGAATTGAGTACAAATCATCACTTAAAATAAGCCTCGATGGAAATGTAACGCATTCAAAGCAAGCTCTCTACCACGAGCAGGGGCTTTGTAGGAGTCTTGACTAAGAGAAAATAGTGAAAGAAATTAGTGCGCGTTCGGCTTGCGTGCCGTCCTTTTCGCCGTCGGGATGAGAAAGTTGGTCCGTGCACCCGTGCATTAGATCCATTCATATATCCTCCAATGAGCTGGTCATATTACGGAACTGTAGGCAATGATTGGTATAGTCTGACAATTGACGCGCAATCTTTTGATCAAATACCGTGTCTAGTGAAAAGAAGGACAACCGATCAGAATTTAGTCGTAATATTGATGGGTTGCAAACTTGACTACTTCATAGAGAGAAGAGACTATAGAATTGCCGAGGTTGTTTGGCGGATACTTTCCCGCTCTGCCTTTGAAATTGGAATGTGAAAATATTTCTCAAGAGCAGCCACACGCTCCTCCTCGGAGGCGAAGAATTGTAGGACCTCCGATGTGGCCCCCATGCGGCGCTTCAGTGTATCATCGAATAGCGTTAGATCACCGATGACCTTTTCACCTTCATCGTCCAGAATCATCCTTACACACAGCACGTTGTGAACAAACCAGCTGTCAGGACTGGTGCTCATATAGTAGTTGATGATCGTAAAGTCCTCCGGCAGGAATTCCGTTTCAGTGAAGCAATAGGCAGGAATCCACGCCCCGCCCGCATTGCAGATCTCGTACTGCCAGAGGAACTGGCCATTGCTCGTATGCTGGGTGATCGGACCATAGATCAGCCGTATAGACTGGTCACCCACATTGTGGGTCTCGAACTCGTGGATCAATGGAACGGGCTGATGTGGCCCATTCGAGCCGAACCCCACATCTATCAGGTACTTTTGTTCCCCGATAACAACGATATTGACCAGGTGATTCCTGCGTTTGAATTTTCAGTATTTTCGGATGTATGATTAAAAGAAAATGACCATACCATCCATCGTATTTTGGGCCTTTCCAGCCCTTCGAAGCTGATATAGGCTGGACTGCCTCATTTACCCGACCTCCGACCGAGGTAACATTGTATCCAATTGACCTGAGAACAGTGCCAAAAAGAGTACTATTCTCCATACAGTATCCCCCCCGGTTGGATTTGGAGTTTACTATTTTCTCAAATAGTTTATGGACATCAATGGAAATAGAGCGGTGAATTGCATAATGCAAATTGAGATTTTCAAAAGGCACCGCCGCCACCTGGTATCGTTGCAGAACTTTCAAAAAGGCCAGGGCGGTATCATTGTCGAGACTTGCACAAGACTTGACCACAGGTGACTCTCGATACTTTTGAGGTAGATTGATCCGGTCAAAGTACTGGTTCAATTGCTCTGGCGAGTAGAGTGGACGTAGGGACCAGTCAATGACAGAACCCATTTTGAATAAATAAAAGGATGCAAAAGCGTTGCAGAAGTATATGAATGCTGGAAACAAGGCGTTGGAAAAATAGGTAGATGTCAAGCGGGGAGGATATTATCGGCGGGCCAGGTTACGCATAACCTAGACAAAAGCACGAAAATACATGTACTGTTATGGAAGAAGAAAGAATCAGGGAGAAAGAAGAAAGAAATGGGGATGAGTCGCACTGCCCAGCGCTGAAAGTCCTTCAGAGCACGCACCACGCTCCGATCGATCTATTGTTCACAATTTTCTACACAAGTATTATAAGAGAACATGAACAATACTCATAGGCATGATACCGAGATAACTACCGGATCATTTTACCAATTGCACTCTAGAACGGTTCCACACAGCCCCACAGCGGGATAATGGTCTGTAACTAAGCCATTATGCGTTGAATGAATGAATACAACGGGAGCGACCCTGGACAGCAGAGGCGGGTCGTTAGCTCCAAAAAAACCATGATAAATCCCCGTGGCGTACATAGACGGAGCCGAATTAGTTTATATTGTACACGTGGCCTAGGGGTGTCAACGAATAACTCTGCGAGATTGAAATTAATCGTTGATTCTACATGTTGGCTTTCATCTGAAGCGAACGTTGCTTGCGCCCGATCTGGGAGGGGTCCGAATTCCGGAAATGCCCCCTTATTCACAGACCAAGCTTGATAAATGCGCCGATTGCTAAGCGAAATTTCGAAGTATCTATCTAGATGTCGTACAGCCAGATAGGTGCTAGGCATGGTCGGTTATCTTTCAATGGTTCTCTCTTAATTTCTTCTTCTTCCCCTTCTTTCGTCTCATCATAGGTTTGCCCTTTTTTTTCTGGTCTATTCTCACCGTAATCTGCAACATAACCTCAAAATGCCGTTCAAGAATGGGGAGATGGCGATCCAGGAGTTGGGCTCCGGCAAATACAAGAGTCGCGACGCAGAAGATTTGGCAAAGCAAGGCAAGAAACAGCAGTTTCAGGTATGGCCTCTTTCAAGAAGAGGTTTTGGGGTGGGTTTAGTTAACGCAAGCAGCGAAACTTTGGATTCTTGTCCATGTTGGGCTTCACGACAACTATGATGTGCACTTGGGAGGCAGTACTTTTGTAAGTTTAGATTTTAGCTGTCCTACTCCATATGACTCAGACTGACCATTCCCCCAGTGCTAATTTAACTGCTATGATTGATGGTGGCCCAGTGACCCTCGTCTATGGGTTCCTTTTTTGCTGGTTTGGCGCTTTGGTAACTGCAGCCTCGCTGGCCGAGATGGCCTCAATGTATGAACTCCACCCAAAATATCCAAGACTCAAGACTGAAAAACACCAGGGCTCCTACCTCCTCCGGACAATACCATTGGGTGGCAATTTTAGCTCCGAAGGGTCAGGCAAAATTTTTGAGCTGGGTGACTGGATGGATGGCCATGATTGGATGGTGGGCCAACACCGCAGCTGGTGTATATTTTGCGGCGACAGTCACTCAGGGTCTTGTCGTCTTGAACTACCCGAGTTACACTGCGGAAGGCTGGCAGGGAACGTTGATGATGTTCGCTGCATTGATCATTTGCGTGATCGTTAACTCTATCGGCGCAAAGCTACTCCCCCAGGTTGAGGGTTTGATTCTCATTCTCCATATCGCCGGATTCTTCGCCGTCCTCATTCCTCTCGTTTATCTTGCACCCCACAAAGATGCCTCATACGTTTTTGCCACTTTTGAAAATAGTTCGGGATGGAGCAACGCAGGTCTGACCTGGTTGATTGGTTTGATGGGCACGAACCTCCCATTCATTGGTGCGATACCTATCCTTCCTTCGGATAGTACTTTTTCTAACCAATTTCTTCAGGTTACGATGGTCCCTGCCATATGGGTAAGATTCGAGTTATAAATTGAAAGTATCATAGACTGACAGATTCCCACAGCCGAAGAAGTCATCAATGCCTCTGTTATCGTTCCTTGGTGCATGATCGGCACAATCCTGCTAAATGGCACCCTTGGGTTTGCCATTGTCATCGCTTTCTTATTCTGTATCGGAAATGTCGACGACGCCCTGAGCAGCGCCACCGGCTACGATTTCATTGAAGTCTTCTACGCAGCCACCAAGTCCCACGCGGGAACATCCGTAATGACCGCCATTCCCACAGCGTTGGTTATTTGCGCGTCGTTTGGGTTCCTGGCTTCCGCATCGCGTCTCACCTGGGCCTTCGCCAGAGACAAGGGACTACCGTTCTCGAAATTCTTGGCTCACGTATGAACATCACCTCCTTTCATTCTATAGAGCAGTGATTAACTGTGTTACCCTCCTTTAGGTCAGCTCCGAATCCGCTCTGCCTCTCCGTGCTGTGGGTCTCTGTGCAATCATCACAGGCTGTATCTGCATCATTAATGTTGGATCAACGGCAGCATTCAACGCCATCATCTCGCTGACCACGGCGGGTTTGTTCGGTTCGTATGAAATCGCCATCGTCCTCATGCTCATGAAGAAGATCAGAGGAGATCCGATTTCTTATGGCCCCTGGACACTCGGAAAATTCGGCATTGCTATGAATATTGCCTCAATCTGTTTCTTAACGATTGCCATCTTCTTTTCCTTCTTCCCTTCTGAGATGCCCGTCACTCTGGAGAGCATGAACTGGTCAATTGTGGTTTTTACTGGCGAGTTCCTTATCGGTTTGGTATGGTATATGATCAGCGGGAGGAAAGCTTATAATGGCCCTGTCGTTGAGTCTGGTGTCAACCTTTGATATCGGATTTAGGAGAGTAAATGTTGATAAAAACATTTCCAGGGTGCTTCCCAGGTGGGTACCTGGGTGCACCGCAAATGTATTAATAGGCAGTTGTATAAAGAAGCAAAAAATAATACAACAGATATTGTATGTCCGTGATCACCTAGCGCCCACGGTTCGGGCGTGGGCGGCTCGCCGCTCTATTAAGCCATCTTCAGGGCATTTCGGGCGGACCTTCACCCTCCTGAATATTCTTCACTTAACTATATACACTAAGCAGAAAATGTGCTTTTTGACAATTTTGGCGAAGCCGCCATAGGTAAGATCGCCTACATGGTGTGATATCTCTACTTTTCACACACTCACGATCCAGAGTAGCGAGAAGGCAAAATGCATGTCGGCTCACGTAAACGGACGTATTTTATCGACCAATAGGGTCCGTACTCGATCGTGTAATTGTCTGAATTATTACCCGCCCTCGAACCACGGTTCTTATGTGCGGATCCTGACTAACGTGATCCACGGTCGCCCGAGCGACACGGCCGCGCGAGCGACCCCATCGAAAATCCACTTCAATAATAATACATACTTTTTAACCACAACAAAAATGCCACCCCAACGCTCTGAGAAAAAAACAAAATTGATAGAGCAAGAAGGTCGCCTTTTATTAGCTATAAAAGCTATAAAAGATGGTAAATATCCCTCTGCTGCAGCTGCTGCACGATCTTTTGAGATACCTGTCTCAACTTTGAAGGCCCGGATCAATGGGCGCGAATCTGCTGCTGAAAAGAGGGCATCTGGTCACATATTCACCCAAATTGAGGAGCAATCGATAGAGAATTGGCTACTTGATATGGACTCAAGAGGTGCAGCTCTTACTTTGCCTATGTTGCGAGATATGGCCAATCTTTTACTTAGTGCAAAGAAAAACACACCATCTACCACTGGTATCAATTGGCCTTCTCAATTCATCAAACGACACCCGAATCTCTCTACTCGACTCTCTCGTAAATACGACTATCAGAGAGCACTCTCAGAAGACCCCCGGATCATTAAGCCATGGTTTGATTTAGTTCAAAAGACCATTGAAAAGTGGGGTATTGTTTCAGACGATATCTTCAACTTTGATGAGAGTGGTTTTGCTATGGGTATCGGCGCAACACAAAAGATTATCACTTCTGCAGAATACCACGGGAAAAGAGCTCTTTTGCAGGCTGGAAATCGTGAATGGGTAACCACAATTGAGTGTATTCGAGCTTCTGGAAGTGTTATGCCTCCACTCTTCATTTTCAAGGGAAAAATGTTTCCAGAGCATCTACGCCCCTTTCTCCTTTTGAATCAAAAAGGAGCACGTCTCACTATGAGTGAAAATGGCTGGACTACCAATACAATTGGTTTATGGTGGTTGAAACACCTTTTTATTCCAAATATTGGGACAAGAGTGGGAAAATATTGCCTACTGGTCCTCGATGGCCATGGGAGTCATTTGACCCCCGAATTTGACCAACTTTGCGAAGAAAACCAAATTATCGCAATCTGCATGCCTCCTCATGCCTCTCACCTTTTACAACCTTTGGATGTGGGCTGTTTTTCGGTTTTGAAGAGGCTTTATGGAGGAGCGGTTTCAACCTTGATGCGGAATGGAGTGAACTCTATTGATAAGGAGGATTTCCTTGAAATAATCGCAGATGCGAGAATTGGTGCTTTTAAGACCTCTACTATACAAAATAGCTTTTCAGCTACTGGATTAGCACCATTCGATGCTAATAAAGTCTTGGAAAAGCTAAATGTGCGCCTGGATTCTCTTCCTCCTTTCGAGATCATCTCTCAAAGACCACTCTCTTCCGGTAGTGATAGTGATCCAAATACTCTTTGGACTCTCTCAAAATTCACAAAATCGCAATCTCGGATCAAAAAAGGTCTAGAATCTTCTTCTTCAATCCTTTCTTCACCAACAAAAAGGGAGATTGAGAAGACCTACAACATGACTATCAAAGTGGTCCACCACCATATTTTTCTCCAGAATCGCTGCGCCCAGCTAGAGGCTACCAATAAGAAACAGACCAAAAAAAGAGAGACAATACCAAAATTTACTACCCAGAAAGGCATCTTTGGGGGTCTAGAGGGTGGTGAAGATGATGTGGTCTACAAGGATGAAGATGTAAGTAAAGATATATATTTACCAGAGGTATCTACAAATGCGGTTGTTGAGCCTACCTTACCTTCTATGCCTATAATTCGGCGGCAAATGACATGTTCTGGGTGCGGGATAAAAGGGCATACATATACTTACTGCCCTACTCGCTTTAGATAACAAAATTTATGTCGTTTTTGTGGTTTTAATAGTCATTGAAAATTGGTGATTTTTGAAAAGTTGGTGGGGTCGCTCGCGCGGCCGTGTCGCTCGGGCGACCGTGGATCACGTTAAGGCTAGCATGACAAAGCAGATTACCTAATTTTATGATTCTCCATAGCGACAGGCTAACATATATCTCTTTAATAATTTCCTGGAAATCTCTTATATTGATATCGAGTTTTAGAAGAAATAAGATAAAAATGACTAGTTCTAATCGAAAATATATTAAAAATCACTATTTTAGCTAATTTTAGGGAAAAAAAGTAGAGATTCATAAGGCTAGGAAAATATAAGTAGTCCCTGGGTGTAGATATATATCTTTATGATATCCCTGACTGTAACTAGTAAAACAAATATAAAACAGCCAAAATTACCTTCGTAATTTACATTAATTTATCCATTTCCTCTTTAGGCAATTATGCAGGAAATAAGGGATATGGGATCTAGCTGGGATTCCCATGGGATCCCATGGGAATCCCATAGGAGTCCCATTGCGCTTAGTAAATCCCATGGGATCTTGGCAAATGGGACTTGGACAAGAATATTTTTTTTCCGGTCCCATATTGATAGGTCTAGTAGTCATAATCTGCATTTGATTAGTCAGCGCCGTTTGGAAGAAGTAATAATGGCAATCGTTATCGCATAATACTGTTAGGGTTTATGGATGAGATAGAGGGAGAATAGATGGGTTGTAAAAAAGCAGTAATCAGATTTGTATCAAAACTGATTCTTGAAGGAATCGTAGGTACTAAGAGAGAGATGGGCTTTATACCCCGCACTCTCTCGGTAAGGTCAGCTGAGGTCACATGAGAGAACTTCCAGATACTCCTTGTCAGTTTCGTGACAAATACACACCGATGTCTCGTCAATAGCCATAGGCCGTCCAGTTCCAATACTTGCGTACAAATCCATGCAAAACGCCATCCAAAACACTCTTCGGCGTTCTTCTCTTTCAACCCAATCTTTTGGAGGAGGAATACACATCTTGACACCTTGAGTTGGCCCATCCAATTGATTGAGACCAGTATTCAAGGAGAGACTGGAGGCTTTACCTACACTGACCCATGCTCGTGAGGGGGATACCATTCGCAACTCGTAGATAGATAATAGTATCCACGCTTGGCAGTGCGACAAGTTGACGATCCCCTGCCCAAAGCTTTCAAGTTCAGCATACTTGCGAGCGCGTTGATAATATTCACCGTGGAATGAGTAGTATCGATCAGAGGATAATGATGCATGGCACCAAATCATAAATCGCAAGGAAAGCGATGGGCGTGAAGGAACTGAGAGAATTGAGTTGACAAAAAAGCGGCGCGGGTGAATGATGGGTATAGACGGGTAAACCTTTTCAAAGAATATACTGTCCCTTGAAAATTGTGAGAATTTTGCTTAAGATTTTCTTCCGACAGATTCCCTTACAGGGCACGAATGGTGTCCTGGGAGGGAAGTTGCTCCCCTAAGGCCAGGCCAACAGAGTTCGATTCAGAATTGCTTGTATTGCCAGGAACCACCGTAAAGTGTGTATGGCTGGCCCGACGAGCTTCCTTCCCGTTTGCAAAATGTTGCGTGGGACCAAACAGAGAATTTTCAAGCCGCGGTGAGTGTGATGAAGGGAAGCCGAAGTGTCCAGATAGAGGCATATTACGCTGATTCACAAATAAAGATGACGAAGAGGGCAATTGCACCACATGGTAAGAATCTTTCTCTTTAAGAAGCTCTTCAATTTTGGCTAGTAGAAGAATAATCATTAGCCGTATGATAAACTTCTGGAAGCGGCGAGTTAGCTGCAGTTTTAACATACTCAGGCGTATGTCTAGCTCTTGTAAGAGCTTTCGTTTCGGACCGCTCCTCTTGCGTATTGCGACATAGGTACAGCTTTTTCCTAGACGTGAGCAAAGGCCACAATGAGGTTGATTCCTATCACATTTCAATTTCCTGCGCCGGCACATGGCACATGCGTTGTAATTGAGCTGGAGTCGGTCCCGATCTTCCATGATTCAGTGTCCGAATCACACGTGATCACAGCACTACTCTTTAGGGACTTTCGATCGGTTATTGTTCTCAACAGTGAGACTAAATTTCAATTGCAGTTTGGACCGCTTCTAGCTTTTTCAGTCTGGTCTCACTGGGATGATAGCCGACTTTAGATAATAACCGATTGGATCACATTTCCATGTCGGGAAATGTGAAATCGGGTCAATTGCTGACCCGACCCCGAGAGGTGTCATTAGTCCCCACTTGCACGGAAGTGATAATTCATCATATCTTACCGCGGGGTAATATCAATTGAACGTGAATTTGACTTTCTTGCTTTTGCTATAATGAATCTGACATGGAAATGTGAAATCGGGTCAATTGCTGACCCGACCCCGAGAGGTGTTATCAGTCCCCACTTGCACAGAAGTGATGGTAAATCATATCTTACCGCGGGATACTATCAATTGGCGATCTACACTTTCCTTGGGCCGGAAAACATTGTCCGTCGTAGATCAATGCAAAAGCTGTCATGGGTCACAGCGAAGTCGAGTCATTGACAACTTCATCATACGCTGAGGAGTAATCGAAAAGCAAAGATCACAACCTGTCAGGATGGAATTGATGTAATGGCTAGTACTGAAGATGTCTAATAGGATCAGTTGCTTGATTGATTGAACACTCTTTAGACTAGGTAACATCCAGCTGTGGTTTGTTACGGCACTATACTTCGAGTCTAACCCGAATACCATACGAATAATATGGAAACTGAGTGGACGCTGGATATCCTAGCCCAAAGAGTCTTAGAAATATTTGACTAATCCTGCATTTCGACACAACCTCTCAACTAAAGGTGCTCTTAGGCTGTGCCGTAACCCGCAGAAACTCGCACCCGAACCCGCCCCATCCTCCCTATGGGTCGGGTTTTAAGTCAGTCTATCAAACCCGCATGCGGGTTGCGGGTTCTGATGGGAAACCCGCGCGGGTTTATGGGTTACCCAATAGGTGCGCTCATGACCCAGCTCTCTCTGACGGTGATCTCGGCAGCCGTCCCCTACTGGAATACCTTTTCCTATATAACAAAACACCTCGTCTCTCAATCCCAATTCAACGGTTTATACATTCAATTTTTCTCTAACTGACTGATCATTCATTGAAGATGGGATCAGATATCAAAGACCCACTGGAACTACCATGTGGATTAGTTCTGCCCAATCGTTTAGTGAAAGTAAGGCCAAGTGTAACACCTCTACTTTCGCGACATTAACTGATAACCTTCTTCCCAGGCTGCTATGGCCGAAGGGCTGGCAGAAAGTGGGCGATTACCAGGGACGCGGATTTTTCGTGTTTACGAAAAATGGGCGAAGGGAGGATGGGGGGCTCTTCTCACAGGTAGGAGGATGTTGAATGACTTCGTGAGGCATATTAAAGCAATGGATCTGATTAAGTGAGAAGGAAATGTACAAATTGATGTTCGTCACTTGGGGGGCTTCGGCGATGTGGCTACACGTGAGTATCAAAAAGATGAGCAGGACTCACTGAATGCTTGGAGAACTTACGCGAATACATGCCAACAAAATGGTACTCCTGCAATTGCTCAAATATGTCATCCGGGCCGTCAGTCCCCGAGAGGTGCAGATGACCGTGGAATTTTGGACAAAGCCATTGCACCGAGTGAGATTGCCCTCCATATCGGTAATGGGTTAGTTGCGACTCTTGCACGGAACATCGTTTTCGGGGTACCACAAGCTATGTGTTATTTCGATATCAATCGTGTTATCACTCAGTTTGTCAGTTGTGCCCGAATGATGGCCCAGTCTGGCTTTTCTGGTATCGAGATACATGCAGCACACGGTTATCTTTTATGTGAGTCTCTGTCCTTCACTCAAGCGAAACGCATCAGCTCACGTTACTTATCCAATCTTATGAGATAGCGCAATTTCTCTCTGAGCAAGTGAGCCACGCAATCCTTCCCACAAGATGAAATTGCATGTCTAATAATAGCTCCTAACTTAAAAGTAATACTTGTGAAGATCAATATGGCGGTGACGCTGAACGGCGAGCCCGCATTGTTCTCGAAATTATCCACCAGATTCGAGAGGCCGTGCCTAAGACTTTCTGCATTGGGATCAAATTAAATTCCGCCGACCACAGCAGATCAGCTTTCGAAGACACGATGACTCAAATTGGTCTCTTTTCTGAGGCTGGTATAGATTTTCTTGAAATATCTGGCGGATCTTATGAAGACCCAACGGTATGGTTCCTAAGATTCCTATCATTATACCTTAAGGACCAAGTCCAATGACCCAGTGACCATTCATGTCACTCCTTTACTTATGTACCAATAGAGACTTATGACAATAACTTACATACTTGTGCTGACCATAAAATATCAGATGATGGGCCGTGGGTTGCGAGACGAAACTACCAATTCTAAAAACCCAGAATCTCGAGAAGCCTTCTTTTTGGACTTTGCGACACAAACAAGGAAGCGGTTCCCAAACTTGAGACTTATGGTCACCGGAGGATTTCGAACCCGAAAGGGAATTGAGACTGCATTGAAGGGTGATGTTTGCGATCTTGTCGGTATCGGCCGGCCAGCAGTTCTAAACCCAGATTTCCCACAGCTCATGATGGATTACACATACTCCGATAAACAAGCCCAGGTGGTCTTTTCCAAAGTTCAAATTCCATTATTGGCGAGGCTTCTCAAAATCAGAATGTTGGGGGGAGGCGCAGAAACAGTACGCACCTAGTCTGTGCCATAACCCGCAAATGGGTAGGTAAAGTCAACCCGCAACCCGAACCCGCAAAACCCATGGGTTGGTCAAATCAACCCGCAACCCGCATGGGGCGGGTTGCGGGTTCGGGTGCGGGTTACCCACGCTAGCCCATCTTTGCATAATTTTTTGACACTATACCTAAAAAGGATGGATAAATCCAATTTTTTATGTAATAAACCACTTTTATGTACAGTTTTATACATAAATTTCTATGTTTGTCCTGTTTGACGACCCATTGGGTAACCCATAAACCCGCGCGGGTTTCCCATCAGAACCCGCAACCCGCATGCGGGTTAGACAGACCGACCCAAAACCCGACCCATAGGGAGGATGGGGCGGGTTCGGGTGCGGGTTTCTGCGGGTTACGGCACAGCCTATACGCACCTGTGAACATGTCCCGCACTCCACACGATTCTGACATATCTAGCAATACTTCCGGGCTCAAATCCATCGCATAGCTGCTGGAAATACCCCACAATTGCCATGATATTTGGCCTTGGCCTACAGGTTTATAAATTATGCCAGTCAATGCGAATATCATGGGTTAACCCTATTAGTCCAAAAATTTGTCAGATTGTTCGTGGAGAGATTGAAGTGTTCATTTTACGTCTTGGTTGTCGTGATAGAACAGATAATTGATCTCCTCTTCTGGACAGGAAGGCTTGGGACTATTTGTGTGGATAAATAAGTTGGGTTGATAAGTGTTCTCGCGTGATGTAACTATCACTCACATTCCCTCCTCAGTTAGATATTGTTTCTCTATTTCCTCATCCTTGTTGCCTTGGTCTGAATTTGTTGAAACTATGGGATAGGAACTGGGGGGAGCTATAGCATATGCCAGAAAATGAATTGATATTGAAGATGTCTAACTAAGATAACCCCTGAGTGGAAGCGTGTTTTACACGCTTACCAACTGTCCACTATACCATATAAGGCTGAGTGCGTCTCAGGGAGGATGACAAGATAGCCATCATAGCCCCAACGGTATTGCAGATTGCTGAAGCTCAACAGAATTCACGAAATTTTCAATATTTCCTTCTGCTTCGTAGCACTGGTCTTATAATCGGGATCGCCTTTATATAGGATGAAATATACCTGATAGAGTCGCACTTGTTCTTTGTCCCTATGCTTTCTATATACCGTCCGACATCTTACCATCCAGCATTGATGTCACGAAACTGACAAGGAGTATCTGGAAGTTCTCTCATGTGACCTCAGCTGACCTTACCGAGAGAGTGCGGGGTATAAAGCCCATCTCTCTCTTAGTACCTACGATTCCTTCAAGAATCAGTTTTGATACAAATCTGATTACTGCTTTTTTACAACCCATCTATTCTCCCTCTATCTTATCCATAAACCCTAACAATTGAGGACAACCTTACAATCATTCGAAACATTTCTGTCGCGGGATATATATCCTCCTATCAGAACAAACCAGTGTTACCGCCAGCGACTGATGGATAACATCCCTTGCTTGGCGCACACACTTTTGCGTGCGGCTCAGTGTTGTGACCGCCGAGGGCCGATGTTCGGGATCCAGGGGTGTTTGCCAACTAGACTGAGAACCTACATCTGTCTACATGAATCAATTGACTTTCGCTTTTCGAGCATACATGCTGTCCACTTAATAGTGTAAGCAGTACCTAGCTGGTGATACCAACAATTTCAGAACGACCAAATAAAAAAGCTAAGCACGCCAATCTCCTTACACAGAGTTTCAGGGGTTGTAACTCGTCACACTGCAACAACCTCTCTTGAGATCACCGAATAATGGAAATGAACAAGCGTGTCATGCAGGCCCTGAATAGCAGTCAGAAACACCAAGTGAGTCTGCTTTTCAGTTTCGGTCATCCACGCATGTCGACTTTTTCTATTATTGTTGTCCTCCGTGTCCAATTACATTCAGGACACTTACGAATAACGCATTCAACAGTGCATTTATTAGACCAAAATGCCATCTCAGTCTTCCCGCGTATGAATAGACAAAGTTCATGACTATTCAAGTCGTGCGGCAACATGTCTAAATGTAAGCCTGGGAGTATCAAAAGCTAACCAATTTTCACGGCCTTTGTGTTTTACATGCCGGACAGATCTGTGAAGAATGTTGATATATGGAGCAAAATTGACCGAATATTGTTCTTTAACAGCTTGAGGACTAAGCTGATTGGAAATACGTTCGTTCTTTCATATAAAAAATTTAGGAATGTAAGAGGATGTTGTTGGATGGGAATGTTCTTAATATACCCAAATCTTAACTCGGAGATTACTTGCATACACAAATATATCTTAGTTCGCTTCAACTGCCCTGATACTTCGGAATGGCATCGTCAGGGCGACAATATAAGGCGGCCTACTAGGAATCCAGTGTCGCATTCTTCAAGTTTGGCTATCCCAAGGCAGGGAGAAAGGGTACCAACGTCGATCTAGGCGACACTGCGTACTTTAGATAATATCAAGTTCCATCAGTTCCGGGGTTACTCTCCGAGAGTATGATCATCTCTGCTAGAGTTGATTAGGAAGACTTCTATGGCGATTGGCTATCTGAACCGCGAGAAGGGAAAATCGAGTGCTTGTGATCGAGGCACCTGACCCATTTCTATATCCAAAGTTAGTATAGAGTAGACAAGCCATATCAGTAAAAGAGTCGTGACTTCGTCAGAACCTGTCACCTTTTAGCGCATCTCCTATGGTAAGAAGGTTGTCCCAGCGTCGGTTGCCAACCCAGGTTCTTATTCGAATTACCATGCTGATGCACTTGGAATGTTATCGCCACTGATGAATAAAAAAAATGACGGTGGTAAGAAGACCATCATCGTTTCGATGCCATCGTATTTTAATTCGCGATGATGTCACTCATTTCTTGCCGAACTAGGTATCATAGTGATTTAAAGCTCCCCTAAATATCTTCTCGGTGTGCTTCCACACTGTGTCACCGACACCATTTACAAGATAGTCCTCAAGGAGTCCTTCATTGCCCACCTCAGAGCCGTCCCAGTTCAGCAAATAGGCACCCTTTGAGATTTCTCTGACTGGAGCCTCTGCTTTTGGGGGAAATTTTCTGCTTGTCGCTGCAAAGAGGTGCCTTTCCCCGCTCTCTTTCTCCGGGACCATCCATAGCCGACCGAGACACATTGCTGCCTTGATAATGTGGCTCACAACAGGACCAGCTTCCCGAGCAATTCCCGACTTCACAATCCCGGGATATGTATGAACAAAGGCTATTGAGGGATATCGTGACGCAAACTCTTTCAACATCAATGAGGTCATAGTTGTGGTATGGGTGTCGCAAGTCTGGACACTATAATGTTCCCAGAGGTCGAGATCATCCAGGTGAAGCTTTGTTTCGTGGCCTGCACCTAGGACGGATACAACACGGGCAAGGGTATTGCTGCTATTTCCAATATGACTAGCATTGGCTAATTGAGGAATTAGGTTGTAAATGAAGCGCATACGAGCGTAATAGTGAAGAGTTAGTTTTCTGTCGAGGCCTTCGACAGTTTCTAGATAGTGGTCAGATTCATGGAGTCCGGGGTAGGGCTTCAGACATACCTTCTCTTCGATTTAGAGTGAAGATGCCACAGCTCAGGAACAAGACGTTGACATGTGTGACCTGGTGCTGAATGAAATCACATGCCAAATCAACCTCTCTCAAGAGTGATACATCAGCTTTGATAAAATGGATCTGGGCCTCCTCATTCAGCGACTTCAAATCTTTAATAATTTGGGCCGCACAGGTGTTGTTGCGACCAACAAGGTAAATGATTGGAGAGGTGGTGTGGCGAACGAACTCCTTCGCAGTGTAAAGACCAATTCCACTTGTACCACCGACTTTGAAGTTCAAATTACTTGTTAGTAGATGCTGGGAAGATTGAGAACGTATGTCGGAGGTTGAACAGACCAAATATAGCAACAAGCCTAGCGCCTAGATACTCTAAAGACTTTGTGTGAGTCCGCACAATCTGGAGCGATACCATTTCCTTTTCCAGTGACCAGTATTGACTATATTTCTTCATGTAACTGGTGGTAGTCAATACGGCGCAATTATTGGGTATGTAGTAGTCTTTAATGATGTTGCCAATGGACTGATTGTTAACTTGCAGATCGTCCATCTTATAGAATGTATTGCTGTCAATATTAGCGGAAAACCCGGGCCGACTGTCAGGTGTCCACCACATGCCTGGTTTGATCCACATCTCGGAACAATAGGTGAAGGGGAGGCCTGGCACTGCGCTTGCGGGTGTTAGGTCCACGTAAACCCTATCAAGATAGTCGGGCCAACAATCTCTCCGCTTGCCCAATCAAGATACAGATGTGTATCCAGCTACTCTTGTGCCAGAGCCGAAGGCAGCGTAATTTATCGCATCCATCACTGTTGCGGGTAGCGACTCGCAACGTTGAGGCTCGGTCTAATGAACCAGTCGGCCCTATTTTTTGGTAAGCCATCCGTACACCATCCGATCACGCCACCTTGGCAGTCACATTAAGCATTGGACGGAATCAGAATGGCCGACCGTTCTGCGTTGTCGCGGCTAAGTGCAACGGTGTTGTACTGTGACTTTTCTCCCAATCCAGAGTCGTTAATTTCATGGAAAAGAGGAATATACCTGCGACGTAATATCATTTTGCGATCAAACAGCGCTACGGGGAAATTGATTAGCCAATGTGTTGCGGGTTACGTTAGCCGCTCAACCACGGTTCAATACTCTATAGACAGTGAGCCTGGCAAAGTCACGGACAGTTTGCATTGCCGTCCCGTTCTGTTTTTTGCCTTGTATTAAGAAGTTCGCAAAGTATTCTTGTCATTAATGGTTTTCGCTGCTGAATTTACGATTATCTCATCAGACGACCCTTCGTGCGTTTTCCGATCCACTTTTAGACTGCCTAGGCCCATGCTACTGGAGGCTGAGTGGTTTTACAACCGATGTAACATAAATATTTGAGTGAGCCTATGATAAATCATGACCTGAGAGTCGCATCTATATATTCAGGAGACTCGGCTAAGCGACCATTTGCACTCATTGGCCTTCAAGTGCTAAGTGCAAACATGTCAAACATATCGAACCAGAGCCCACCGTGCCTTCTGCCCGCCCCAACCGCTACCCGGTTTGGAAGCGCTTTGGGTGGGCGGTAGCCACGGATACGAGAAACAAAAGATGGCAAATTCAAATTCTCACAACCAGCAACATTTGATAAGGCAGGCGGTGAATCAGGATACGATACCTTAGGGCTAATTTCGATGGTTGCCTAGACCACTGCCACGGAGCAATAATCAGCCCGGTGCGCAGTTAATCTACATGGTCTTGGGCCAATCAATGTCACTGTAGAACAACCCCGCTTCTTCTCGACAACTGACTAACCTTATTGAATGACGTCATGACTTGCTTGAGCTGGTTATATTACGGCTGTATTCAACCAACTCACATCATCCTTCGAACTATCCTTTGCGACACCGTTCGGAGATACTCATAAATATGCCTTACCTGAAGCTTCGAGATGGAGCCGAGCTTTACTACAAGGACTGGGGCAACCCGGGAGGGGTCATTGTCACATTCTCCCACGGGTGGCCCTTGAGCAGTGACAATTGGGAAAATCAAATGATGTTCCTTGCTGATCACGGATACCGTGTTATTGCGCACGACCGACGTGGTCATGGTCGATCTACTCAGACCTGGGACGGGAACAACATGGATACCTTTGTTGATGACCTCGAGGAGCTTTTTGCCTACCTGAAAGTCAAAGATGCAGTGATGGTTGGCCACTCGCACGGTGGAGGAGAGGTTACCCATTATCTTGGAAAGCATGGCACAGGCCGTTTCAAGAAGGCCGTTCTGGTTGGTGCCGTGCCCCCCCTGATGGTTAAGACCAGTGTCAACACCGAGGGGACTGATAAGTCTGTTTTCGATTCGTTCCGAGAAGCAATGCGCAAAGACCGGGCGCAGTTTTTCTTGGATGTCCCCAGCGGACCGTTCTTTGGATTCAACCGACCTGGTGTACAGAAGAGCGAAGGGCAAATTCGTAGCTGGTGGCAGCAGGGGATGAACACCAGCTTCAAGTCAGCGTACGACTCCATCAAGGATTTTTCAGAAACTGATTTCACGGAAGATCTCAAGAAGATCGATATTCCGGTGCTGGTTCTGCATGGGGATGATGACCAAGTTGTTCCTATCGAGGCATCTGGATTAAAGTCAGCAAAACTGCTGCCACAGGGGACGTTGAAAGTTTACAAAGGAGGTTCTCACGCCATTCACAACATTAATGTTGACGAGGTTAACAAGGATCTTATTGGTTTTATCAGATCCTGAATAGCTTTTCTAGTCTTGACACTGAGGGTAGCTCAAAAATAGACTACCGTGAACTCAAGAGGAATACGGACAATGATTCCCATTGTATCTAATTCGCCAAATATGAAATGCTAAACATGACGTCCAGCAAAAAGATGCCACCGGTTGTAATGATCTGTCGATATTTCTGACGATGCAGTTTCTTTGGGCTTTAATTCGCCATGGATTAAGGTCCAAAATGAATAAAGGTAAGGGTATACTCATGACCTGTTCCCTAGGACTGGATGATGTTTGGCCCTTTGCACCAGTATCTTAGAATTGCGATTGTATTGCCGAATTCAAAACCGACTCATGAGTTGACTCTAGTCACTATCGTCACAACAATAGTTGACCTGATGACTATGCTGCATATCCGATCCAGCCATAAACAATCACCAGGTAACACTTCCGGACATAGGGTGGAAGGGGAATGCTCTCGCTTTGCGGCTAAAGGCATTGACCGAGTGCATCTGCTCCGCACCAAGTATCAAGTGTCAGACCGTCATTTATTGGGTGTGTCTGCTGCAAAAGACCAAATCCATATTTGTTGTTACATAAAGTTCTGAATATCGGAAACATATTGTCACAAATTTCATTGGTGGCGGGTTAATCATCAGTGGAGGGAATAGAATCACTTATCAGAGGGATGCCCACGGAGTTCCAGCATAACGTAACATCAGGCGCACAATCAAACAGTCACAGGGATTTGATGGCAACGAATTCTCTAGATGCGTGCACATGTTCAGGGAGCCTCTCCGAATATGCGCCGTTTTCTTCTTTTCGGCATTGCTAGTTTCAAGCTCATCAATCATGGAATTCAAAGAAGTGTGAGTCATATTCCTATCCTTCTTGGAGAGCACTGTCTGTCACTCATGATTGTGCGAACCCACTCGTCTCTTCCAGGAAGTATCGAAGGTGATATGGTCTTTCTGACTGCATTCGCCGTAATAGGTAGGTAGTCCATTCGCTGGCTTAGCTACTAGGCTTCATCTTCAAATATTCATTTGTCATCATCTGTCGAAGGGTTTTCTCGGTCACTATAGCTTAGGGGCCACCGTGTACCTGGTATATTCTCTAGCCCCGATTCGACGTACGAGGTCAACTGTACCCGATCACGAAGCACTCGCTTTAGGATTTTTCCCGATTAGCTTTGAGGAATCTCCTCAGTGAAAATGATACCACCACGGAGGTGTTTGTATGATACCGTCCGGTCGCTGACATGATTGAGGACCGCTCGCGCCGTAGTTTAATTCTCGGGGTAGCCGGAATTGACTATGACATTGGCTAACGGAACCTCATTTGCAAGTCTGTGGTTCATAATGCCAAGAACAGCCGCGTCTTTTACAGCCTCGTGTCGCAGGATCAGATCCTCGAGCTCGGCTGGTGCTACCTGGTAACCCTTGAACTTGGTCAGATCCTTTGAGCGGTCAGTGATAAACATATTGCCCTTGTCGTCTTCACGTCCAATATCGCCTGTAAAAAACTGTAAGATATAGTGCATAGACAATAGTCGGTACAATGATAGGCCAGAGATAACCTAAGAAAATGAAAAAGGGAGGACCAACCCGTTTTGAAACATCCATCAGGCGTGATACAGGCCGCGGTGAGACCGGGCTCGTCAAGATAACTATTGAAAACTGTTGGGCCACGCGCATATAGCTCACCTTCCTGACCCACTGTCACTCGGCGACCAACAGTATCGACAAACTTGATTGCGACTCCAGGAATGGGAGGTCATACGAGCCTATAGTACCTCTCCACTTATTCCAGTGCTGGAACTGCATTTAGTGAGACTTGCGATCAAATTCACGTATGAGAAATAGATGAGGAAATGCCTGGTTCTGAGATACAGATGTTGTTTCAGATAATCTATACGCCTGGCGGAGAGGGGCTCGCCGACGCTGATATCACTCGGCAACGAGGCTTGCGGCAAGAGATGCGCCACCAGAAGTGATCATGCGGAGCGAACGCAAGTCATAATTGTTCACTAGACTGTTCTTTGCCAGATGAAGCACTATGGTTGGAGCAGCATAAACGTGGGAAATACAATACTCTTAGATCAAGCTACAGAGATTGGAAATCTCGAACTTGTCCATGTACATTGTTGTCGTGCCTATTTAGATAGGGAGATAGACGAGGTAGATGAGACCTATTCCTTCAGCTTACTTCTTCCAGCGAAAGCACGTTAACCATTAAAAAAATTTCGACCCTCTTACCGAAAATGTGATGTATAGGAAGTGCCGCCAAGGCGCGATCCCGATGCCAGTCTACGTGGCCACTATCACCTGCGCTTTGGAGCGCGACAGCGGCTACGACGTTACGATGGGAGATCATCACTGCTTTGGGTCTACCCGTAGTTCCTGATGAGTTTATCAGAAAGGCAGTATCCTTCTCTGTTTCAATCTCCACGCAACTGCTGTTCACGTTTGTGGCCTCGTGGGCTGCATTGATGAAATGTTCAACAGAGGAGAGGCCGCTGTATGCCCGGGTCGGTTTGTCGAACCGTAAGATAAGGAACCGATCAGAGGGTAGATTGGTAAGGCGAGCGGCCTCGACAGCAACGCCCGCGCATTGTGGATGGATCACGAGGGCTCTTGCACGGCTTCATTCTAAATGTTGGAGAAGCTCACGTGCCGACAACGCGGGATTCACTGGGGCCACGATTCCACTGGGAAAATGACATCCCCAGATAACAGATGGGGTATCGATGTCATTGGGGCCATAACCATAAGAACATCACCCCTACGCCAGCCCCACTGGGACTGCAAGGCTCTTCCAAACTGCTCCGCCCGCTGCTGGACTTGTTCATATGTATATTGGGCACCGGTGGCGGCAGAGTGAAAGATAACTGTACACACTAAGCGTAGCGGAGCAAAGATAACACAATGACCGTCGCGAAGTAGGAAGAAATAGAGCAAAATTTGGCTTACCGTGACCTTATAGAAATGGAAGGGAAGGGTGTTCGAAAAGGAACCTCCAGATGCTAGCCAAAGGCACTGCTGCGGTTGCAGGGGTGGATGTCATACTGCTCCAGTTGTTATGTTGCGAGATAGGGCTACCAGCATTGGTTCTAACTTACGCCTCGTGTATATTTGGCGATACTGCTTCTCGCTAAAATTCCGAAGGCTTCAATTGTCCTTGACCCCCGAGGTGAATGCAATGCAGAGCCAATGTATTATGAGCTCAAATTTCAAGCCGTGTCTTCTTGTCTGCCATATCATTAAGGGGACAGTTGTTGCCTTAGGGCGATGGACAGGCGGTAGACTATGTGGGTCTTGCCACGGATCGCGCCTGTGAAAAGACGCGGGTCGCACTAGCGACGCATGACGGAGCAACTAACTGTCCGGCCCGGGCTATCGTTCGGCCCACACCGAACTCAAAATCCTCTGCATACGACATACAATGTAGATCTTGGCTTTCCTTGCGGAGGTTTCCAGTGGCTGATTGCCTCGGTAAGGAAACTCGCCATCATTATCTACTTTTATTCAGCATTTGAATTTAGCTTTACCATCTCCCTTATATCGCAAGTTCATCTACAGAAAGGTCCCAGTAGTTGCCTCTTGCGAGCCCGTGAAGAGGCACAACCACTTTCATCGCTCACTGCACATATCTGATCAGCGATCCAACCCTGGCTTTGCGCGATAATACTGCCAGCATCATGGCTTCTACCGCTCTATCCAATACCTCTGCTTCGTATGTGACAATCGGGTTTACTTTTTACCTAGACATCCCACTGACCCTCTGGATAACCGAGTAGACGCCCTCAGTGCCCGACAGTACAGGTCGAATTTGGAGGCCAGAAGGTCGATGTACCCAAAGGCGGATACTACGATCGTTATCGTATGAACCCGGACCTGGACGAGGTAGCCCGTGATCCGGCAGTTGGAACCGACATTGACTTTTTCCGACAAATCCCGAAGAAGCTGGTCGATTCGAGAGTTGGCCAGGTATACGCACCTAACTTCTACTACCGCACGAAGAGTGTACAGCTTCTCTTTCTCGCACCCCTTGACAACTTGAAGTCGAAGCTCCCAGCACCTTTGGAGCCCATCACTGCATTGCCTGGATATGGATTGGTGGCGTTGACGTTTTACTCGTATCTCGTCTGCGATAACGATCCTTATAACGAGGTCTCTATCGCCGTTATCGTCCGCCAGCCTGGTAAAGGAAGTTACAGTACGACCCAATTGTTCAGCTCTATTTGGAATCGAACCTTCTATGGATACGTTTTGGCTCTACCTGTCGATACCGAAATCGCTCGAGTACGTGGTGTCTACGGATACCAACTACCTAAATGGCTCGCCAATATCAATTTGGAGATGGAGGATAACAATATCAAAGCTGACATCACTGCGACCGATGGAACACTCGATCTGGCACTGGATGTTCCCCTTCCGGCGTTGAAAACAATACCGCCGCAATCTTGGATTATCAATAACAACGCAATCAACAAGATCGACGAAAAATGGTACCAGGTGACAGTTCAGACGAACCCACTCCTTGGGGCACAGCGAGTCTTCCCTCGGAACGTCAACGTCTATCGGGGCAGAGGTCCACTGAGCGAACTTCTTAATGAATTAGGCGCCTGGACCGTCCTGCGGATAGACGTACTGAAGGATGCACAGATGATCTTGAACATGCCAACACTCTTAAAAGCTTTTGATAACATCAAGCTTTGAAGACAATCATTTGATGATTCTTCGAGGGGGTAACAGCGACGCGAATAGTACTGTTTAATTCAGCACGGATGAGGTTATTGACAATGAGTTAAGGCCAGTGCAAATAGCAATCCTCTGCAGGTGCTGTTTTAGATTTTGTACAAGATTGTTCACAAATACATTTTGCGCTTTTTCGGGGTAGAAGGCCTCTGTGCATTGGCTATTCCCCGATGTTCATTAAACATGTAGGTCTTGTATTCATTCCCGTTGTATAGATGCAGAACATAAGAACATATACATAGAAACATAGACAATATCACGTTCCTTCATTCTCCTATTCATTTCCACCCAGTAAGCTCTGCTGAGTGTTCAATGCTGATGATGATGATAATGATATTCTATTAACCTGACGCTGCCTAGCTAAAGTCGCAATGTCAATGCAGGCGAGTGTTCAATGCTATCCTACTGCCAAGATCCTACTGCCAAGACAAGCCCAATGGAATTTCAGAGAGAGGGAATATCCCTATGCGGCAACTGGTGACGTCATCATGACTGGCCGAGGGCGGTGACTACCTTCCTCGCGGTCTCTTTTGCCGACCCAGGGTTCTGTCCAGTCACTAGATTGGCGTCCACCACTGTGTAAGACACAAAAGGCAGCTTGGCTTTTTTATAGCGCGCGCCACGCTTCTTCACCTCTTCTTCGGCGTTGTAGGGCACAAGTTTGTTCACACGAGCAAGCACTTCCTCCTTCCAGGTGAACCCGGTCATATTACGACCGGCGACCAGGTATGACCCATCTGAGAGCCTTGTGTTCAGGAGGCCACAGTAGCCATGGCAAACAGAGGATACGACACCACCCCGTTCGAAAATCTCCCGGGTAATTCGCTGCAGGCCCTCGTTATCGGGGAAGTCGTACATTACGCCATGCCCACCAGTAAAGTAGATAGCGTCAAAATTGGCCGAATTAATTTGGTCAGGTCGGACAGTGTTCTCCAGCAGGGACATTCGAGCTGGACTGGCCCTCCAGGCTTTGGCTGTCTTGTCGTAATTGGGGAATTTCAGCGACCGCGGCTCTAATGGAGACAGACCCCCCGTCGGACTAACGATGGTCTGTTGAAATCCATGCTCCTCGAAGACGTGCCAAGCGTGGGTGAGTTCAGATAGCCATAAGCCGGTAGGGTGGGTCGGGTCGTCATAATGTGCGGCGTTGGTAACAACATGTAGGATGCGCTTAGCCATGCTTGGCATGCCTCGAATCGTAGTGATGTGCGAGTGGAGGAGGGCAGGACGTACGGCGCGATAGTAGTACAGTATCGTCCGCGCAAGTTCGGCGTTTGTCTTAACTTGACGCAGCTGAGGGGAATAAGAGCTTATGAATTAGAATGGAGAAGGAGCATGTCACGAGACTGCTTTCCTCGGATTGACCAGGCCTATCAGAAATCCGCAACTTCAATATATCCTAATTAGATAAACCTAATTAGATAAACCTAAGGAAGCTCTATGACTAAGGAGCGTGAGCGGGAGAACAAACGATCCGACTTGTCCAGATGCGGCCGCCCCTAGTGCGCCACACCCTAATTAGTCTACTTGTCTGCCAGATGTCGGGTATTTGCCTCGGTGGAAGATCACTACTTTCATCGTGTTCCTTTCGGTGCAACAATCAAGCCGAAAGTATACATACTAGCATTTGTCATAAAACTGCCACAAATTTACAAGCACACCACAATCGAGCGTTTCTACGCGGAAACAGCCCCACAACGTAAACGTTCTTACGATGCCACTGACAGCCTAGACTTTGAATGCTAACTTACTTTCATAAGCCAATCTCGACACAATTAAACTTCCTCGGCTCATGGTATTATCTATAAGAAGCCGAGCGATGCAAGCGAATGCGGTGAGGACGCCCTTAGATAGTCCCTAGGAAGACTTTTCTTCACGTTCTTACCAGTGCGTCTCTATCTCCTCTGTTCGTGTTATCTTCTGCCACTGTGATGGACAACCACATTCCAGATCTTAAATTCAGCTCGCTGGAAGCAATTTCCACCTGCATCTCTACCACTCGCAAGTCATTCCTGGAACATAGGACCCGCGATGTCGACTTCCGTCTCGTCCAGCTCCGGAAACTCTACTGGGCGTGCGTGCTATATTCTTTGCAAAATGAGCGAAATACCACTCCATGCAGGAAGGCTAACCGCTGTGCTGTTTTCTGTAGCATTAAAGACCACGAGGAGGATATTGTTCGGGCTTGCGCTCTGGACTTAAAGAAACCGCGTTTTGAGACTGAAGTCGCCGAAAGTGGCTGGCTGCTCAACGACATCATCTTTACTACCCGTAACCTGCATAAGTGGGTGAAAGATGAGAAAGCCCACGATATTGACCTCCCTTTCAAAATCATGGGGCCCAAAATTCGGAAGGATCCCCTAGGCTGCGTATTGGTGATCGGGTATGTCTTGCTTTTCTGTGCCAGGTGAGGCGAGAGAATCTAATTTATTTGGCTATCGTATTTAGCACCTTCAACTTCCCCTTCCAGCTGACCTTGGGCCCTGTTATTGGCGCTATCGCTGCCGGTAATACCGTTGTTGTTAAGCCCTCCGAAAATGCCCCCAACAGCGCCTTTATCATACAAAAGATCTGCGAGGCAGCCCTTGACCCTCTATGTTATTCCGTTGTTCAGGGAGGTGTATCTGAGACGCAGGCTCTCCTGGCTGAGCGCTGGGATAAGATCTTCTTCACAGGCGGTGCTAATGTTGGCCGTATTATTGCTAAGGCGGCAGCCCCTTACTTGACCCCAGTGGTCCTTGAGCTAGGCGGTATCAACCCGGCGATTATCAGTAAGACGGCTGACCCGCGCCTGGTTGCGCGCCGTATGCTCTGGGGCAAGACGGTGAACGCAGGTCAGCTTTGCACTTCACAAAATTACCTGCTCATCGATAAGTGCCTTGTTCCTCAAGTGATTGCAGAATTCAAGAAAGCATACGCGGAGTTCTACCCCCAGGGTGCTAAGAACTCGCCGGACTACTCACGAATTATTAATAAAACCCATTTCCAGCGCCTCACGTCTATGCTTGATAAAAGCAAGGGCAAGATCCTGGTTGGCGGCACTGTTGATGAGGATGATCTCTTTATCGAGCCTACGGTTGTCCAGGTAGACTCTGTCGAGGACTCACTGTGCACACAAGAGAGCTTCGGTCCTTTCATCCCGATTGTACCTGTTGAGGACCTAGACGAGGCCATCAACCTCGCCAATAGTGTACAAAGCACTCCTCTTGGCCTCTACCCCTTCGGCTCGAAGGCCGATGTTGCTAAAAGTACTTTCAATCTTATGTTCCCTGACCTCTCTATATGGCTTTTGTCTAACGAATACCCTCTAGTTATTTCCTCCACTCGCTCTGGCGGTGTCTCTTGTAATGACGCTGCCCTACATATTCCCACATTACCCTTCGGTGGCGTCGGCGAAAGCGGCTACGGTGCGTATCGTGGTCGCTCCAGCTTCGACGTCTTCGTGCACCGCCGGCCTATTACAAGCAGCCCCAGCTGGCTAGAGTCTATCCTTGCTTTCCGCTACCCTCCATACGCAGGTAAGCTGAACAGGTTGAAGACCATCAGCGACTTAGTGCCTGACTTTGATCGGAAGGGTCAAAAGCTGACTTTTGGCTGGCTGCGCTTTATCCTGACGCTGGGGAGCGGAGGCGCGAAAGCCGGCGCTGGGGGTGCCCTTATCATTGCTCGTAAGTAGGCTTCCTTTCTCTTGGGTTCTCGTTCTAGTCAGTCATTTTGCCTCTTCCCTTCACATTTCATACATTCGTGTGCTACTTATGACGCCTCATATCTCCTTGCCACGTTTTCTATCAGACGACAAGTTGAGTATTGCTCCAGCACAGTTAACTGAGGTTTTTCATATCCTCATGCTATACCTTATAAATTGTTGTTTGACTTGCTCTGTCTATTATCTACATATTGGATCGGAGCCCTGACACTTCTTGCCCCTCATACCCTGTCTTTTCTAACTTTTCACTTCATTTTCGTCCCCCCTTTCTCTTGTTTCTAGCCTTTCCTTACTCCTTCTCTCATCCCCCGAAAGGATTCTTCATACCCGTGGGAGGGCTCGGATTCATTTGAAGTACCTGATTCTGATTGAACTTGCCTCTCTTTGTCTGTATCCACGTGCTCGTACTACACCCAACTCTCTCAAGGGTTTGTCTCTAACGTGCTGTATAGTTGCCTACATTGTGCTGCAAGTGGTCGGGAAATGATTATCAAACTTTTAAGCAAGGGGTAGAGGTTAGGCCAATTATAGACTATTTTGCTTATAAGTGAGGTTTAAGCTTCAATGTATAACTCGCTTTGGAATGCAGATAAAAAAGCTAAGGATATACTTCAATGACATCGAAGGAATTATCAAAGTCAACTTCATAGGATCACTGATCTTTATATTTAATATTATGATTAATCGTCATGTATACAGTCCAATATAAACTCTGCGCCTAAAATTGAAGCTAATCAAGTGACTATCAGCTAATTTTAACGCATCTCAGTAGACATGTCCTCTACATCAAACTCCACTGTCCGCATGATGCCATCCACCCCCTTTAGCGCGTCAATTTTCGGAAACAATGTTTGCTCATCGCTATCATTATCGGGTGCGTTTCGCGATGTTGTGAGTGCGGTAGAATAGTGAAGATCGCGGTTCGAGAAGTCGGGTTGCTCGCCTCGGGGGAGGGAGCTCAAGGGATGTGCTTGTTTTCGAGAACCCGACCCATAGTATCCGCCGGCGGAGCATAGACCAAGGAGATAGGGGAAGTATCGTCGGATAAAGGGTCGCATGGCTGTGGCAGAGCCACCGATTCCAAGGTTGAGTTCGATTGTTCACCACATAAACGCCTTGGTAGTCGTCCCTAAACACTAGTATTAGGCTAGGTTTAAATCAGTTATTGATAGGAAGCCTTACAAGTAAGATGAGTACTCGTTAAAGAAAGTAGATAGTAGCAAGGCGGATACTGCTCACAATTCCGACACTATGCCATTATTAGAATTAGCAGATTTCCACTTAGAACAGACCTACAAGCATCCAATTACAAGAATCCCGCAAACAGCCATATTCTGCCGCATAGGCATTTACAAGAGACGAATCCATGGGTTGGAAGACAACCAACACAGCTGCAGACGTTGTACTGTTACAAATTCCCTCTCCTATTACCACCAGGGCTTAGTGAAGTTATCTGATGCAGCGAATTTAAATTTCACTTACAGAAAGACCAGTCACACATCCTAGTCCAGGCTTTCAGGTCATAGACGTAAAGTGTGTTATTGGAAGATTCACCGCAAAGAGTCGCCGAGCAGTTCGTGATATTTGTCTGAGTGGAAATTCCAGCGATCTGATTATTGCAAAGGCACTCAACAATCTGAATTCTTCGTGTTATTCAACTCGATACCATAGTCACCGCACGCAGTGCTGTTGAAGAAAATATCGTAATATGTCTCATCATGACATAGTTGCAAACAGCTTTGAAGATTCTCGATCCAGGCGTCCAAAGAACATGGGTCCCAGTTGTATGCAGCGGTGCGCAGAGCGAAACAAAGCACGGGCAAGTAAGAGACTATCCACGATGGAGACATAATAGCAGACCTCTGAGAAAGGAAGGCAAGGAAAGATGGGGCAAGAGGACGGCGGACGAGAGAAGACGCTAAGAGGTGGGACGTGAAAGGGAATTAGAGGGTAGTCATTTTGATTTCTTTATCTTCTTCTATGGGCATTATCGCTGCTGGCGTTAGACTGGTTTCGACTAGTAAGTATACCGGGAGCAAGCCAAGGACACGGTTAACCCGATTGGCACGAATCTACATTCAGCGCCTCTTAGCAAAGGTATCGATCTAATTTAGTCAATGACTTCGAAATCCAGCCGATAAGCCAAGCCCAAATGTCTCCAAGTAGCTACCGCAATGATGGATCTTGTCACTCTGACTTGTAAGCGAAAAAAGCTTAAGTAAACAAGTGAGAAAGCTTGGTCATGTGAATTTAAATAGATTCAGTTCTGTCAACCTAACTTAATTTAGGAAGCGAGGTGGATCGGGCTTGGCCCCCACAAGTGTCTGCAGTTGACCCTGAGCTGGCTATGGTTGATTATGACGCAAAAGGGTACTAGGGCTCAGGGTTCAGGAGATACAGCCACACCCATCACTACGCCACTGCTCCTTACAGCAGCCAAAGCCACCTTACGTGAGCAAACGATAGAGGCGTGTACACGCGAGTGGACAACCTCTACGCACGGCGAATACGTCCGAGACCTCTTTCCGGGGCCCACAAAAGCAGTATTTCGGCTCCATGAGCCCCTCCGCAGACCCACCAGCGCAGCCCTTATCCAGATGCAAGCCGGTAAGCTGGCCCTGCCAGCATACCTAGCGACCATCGCTACATGGCCTGAGGTAGCCAGGACTTTGCTCTGTTTGCGGGTGCAGAGCTGGACGGCGGCAGCGGCAGCGGCTCAGACCATATCAATAAAATCGGGCGCGCCAAGACTGTAGAAGAGGCCGTCGAGGCCGTCGGAGCCGCGGTGCTGGACGAGCGAGCAAGTTGATTGTCACGCTATCCTGCCCCACCGGACGCTTGACTCGTACGGTGTCGACTCATTGGTGGCGGTCGAACTTCGCAACTGGATCGTGGCAATGCTGGCTGCTGAAATCTCGCTTCTCCTCATTGGCGAGTCCAAGCGGCCACAGGAAACGAACATGTATCTGTCCCCTAAATTGCCTTGGAAGTAATTGCAACTATCGTGCAATACAAGAAAAAAGTACTTATCTATAGTTATGGCGCTCTTCTACCCAGTTTCGATATGGCTTCTTGAAGCTTGACCGAGACCAATCTCGAAGTAATCACGACCAAGTGGGTGAGGTCCCAAATGCTTCTTTCAGCAAATATCGGGCGAACCATACATATGGGAAAAAGTTGTTTTGATATGACGTTCATACACAATGAACTAAGTCCCTTTGCTTTTCTGTATTCATCCTGTTCCTGTGGATCCGCGATCGCGTCAGGTTCTGTCCGGAGTAATAGAAGCTCAGAATGAGATCATTTATTTAGCAGTATATCAACTTGGGATCATGAAACATCCTTTATCACAATAGCATTTCTAAGCATCTTACCTACGCGCACCACTGTTCTTTGCCTGCGCAAAGCTTTGTACAGTACTAAACATACCAGCCTCATAGGGCATAATTGCAAACGCGGATGGGTTTTCTATCCGTCGACGCTATTTACATGCCTTGAACCCTGTCAATACACGGTACATATATTGATGGACCCTGTAATTATGAAGGAAGAGATAGAAAAGGTAACGGGCAAATTTTTGGCAGGGCTGTAAGCCAGTCAAAGTATACTGGTCCACGATACTGAATCTCCAATTCTGTCCGCGACGATTGCATTTTGATCGACCTCCGCATTGTTTACACAAATTGTAATATAGATAACCATAGTATGTACTGTGTCAGATAGCCTAGCAAAAAATACCCTTGTAGATACGCAAGATAGATGTCAACGACGTTGGTCGGACCGGAACAGTGTCATACACGTAGGCAGAATTGTTGAATATATTGAATTGCTTGGACAAGCCGGAGATTCAGCTTTTCGACCACTACAGTACTCAGATAGCCTTGGGTAGACAGACCGACGGTAGACGAATGGTCAGTGAGGATTTCACCATATGTCGTGATTTGCAGAGGGACCAGACAGGACATGACACGGTTATATATATGAACATATTTCTTTTATTCTAGCGTGATGGAAGACATCTGGGCCATCAGATACCCCTCTGACTTTAATCAATCCATGTCCTTGGATAGCTCCTAGCTGTATAGTAGCGTCGGTGCGGAGACGGCCAAGCAATAAGCCTCCACGTGGTATATATGTTTTTCATCTTCATGCAGGCATTTGCAAATTCCTCAATCGCTTAGCATAGTCGCCAGTTAGCTCGTTTCATTAACAAATTCTGATTCAAATACCAGGCACCCACTAGTTGCGGAACTCCCGAAGGTAGCGCGGGCGTGGGCGGCGAGATTCATAGTATGCTTCTGGTCGTTGATGAGTACAAGAGGCCAGCGGTGTTTATTTCGAAAAGGAAGCATTGAACAGCGCTAATAGTAAGTAACCTTGTCATATCTCATCGCAAAGGATGCAAAAACAGAAAAGAATAACGTCTTTAGATGATAGCAAACATGATAAATTCAGTCAAAAGTTTCAAACCTCCCCACCGTGCTCCAGAGATCACTTGGTACCGCAAAAGCCACCACTTAGCTATGTTAGATTATTATGGATATACCAATCGTGCCTTATTCTTCACCCACGGTATAACTCATCCTCTTGACCAGAAAACCCCACATAGACCCAATCCGACAGACCTGAGGTAATACGGCCCTCCTGAAAAAACTCGAAATATTTGTAGAAATTGTCAGAGCAGACACCTGTTGGTATTTCGGCGCGGGACCCAGGAAACTGAATATCGTGACTCTGCTCTGATGACGGCTGGGCCAGCCGAATATGACATATCCTATCTTCGTCCAGAGCGCACCAACGTCGGGCTCTCTTGCTAGCCCTGTGGTAGTCTGATAACACATGAATCACGCATTACCAACTGCAAACAGGTCTTCTCAACAGACAACAACGACACCGCATCCCCTTACAACTCACTCGGTTGCGTATCCGCTGGTTCTGATATTCATGAGGATCCGCCCTGTTTCCGGTGATTGAAAGACATGACAGCCGGGGTTGCGGTAAACATAAAGAGCAGCCATTCAAACGCACCCAAGGCCGTCGCCGCCTTGAGCTCCGCGCACGAGTTTTAATCCGATAAGCAGGCATTGCTCGTCGAAACGTTGACAGCCACGGCAATAAAGCTGGCGAGCCACGAGAGGACAGCCACAGCCTCGGCGATAATATAAATGTAGCCAATCATCGGGCGGCTTGCGAGACTGGGCTTGACGAAGTGGAAGACGACGATCAGGACCGTCCAGACCGCACAGATCATCAGGAAGCCCCATGCCGAAGGGACACTGACGTGAAGGGTAGCTTCGCCACCAAACACGGGTGAGTCAACTTCATAATTGTGGCCATGAAACACGTGAATAGCTAGTCGACGAGATTAGTACTGCCAGGTGGGCTGATGGGAGAGGGCGTATTAGCAGTGCGTACCGTAGCCATCTGTCCCCATGACGATGATGGCGAAGAGCAGCTGGAGCCCTCGCACGAGGGAGGCGCCGGGTTGGTTCTCGGCCATGTCTGAAGTCGTGATGTGTAGAGATCTAGTGATGGTGTTTGGGAGGTGGTGGGCAGACCCACGAAGTGTTGAGCGATTAAAAAGTGGAGAACCCGCAGTGGAGAGTAGGCAACAGTGATATTGGGAGGCAAAAAATGCTAGAGCAAGCTGATAAAGTATGGCGTTGTATGCATGAATGGGGCTGATCTACCAATGGAAACCACTCCCGGAAAGAGAGGACTTGACAAGGGTACAAAATACGAGACAAAGAGAAAGTGAGACGTGTCGGCCGATTACATTATTAATATCCTTTCGTACTATTCTCTAGTTTTAGATTTTTACTCCCATGTTGAGAGGGGACAACGTACAGCACGCATGCAGTCCTTTGTCAAGCTACGGGTATCGTAATGTTAGAAGGCCGCGCCTTTGTCTCTCTTGGAAGAGGCAGGGCGCAGAATACGGGGGCGATTAGATCTCGTAATTTACCCTACTAAGTTAGTATAATGACGATTTTGTTAATTAGACCAGGGCTTATTATCCAGCGCCCCCGGGCTTGGTCCTGCGCACGTGGATTACCATGTAAATAATGATATGCGCTAGACCAGGGATGAACACCCACAGTCCAGTCGTCGATGAACTTCAAAGGCTTCAATGTTGTCAATTTCAATCAATGGCGCCCACTGCGGAAGCTCCTGGGCGTCCTATTAAAATCTCGCGCGTCCTGCAGGTGCGCTTTCTGACCATGTGGTAAATTACGCAGTACCTATCTTGACAACAATTGCCTTAGAGAAGGAAAGCAAGCCCATGCGACTCTATGTAAGCGCCGATATTAGCTACGGTGAAAACCTTCCTGCCCGTATATAGCGATGTCAAGTTTCAGTGACATCTTCCCAGGTTCGAGTGGAGTCTTGCTTCCGGACGTCCGCATCCGACTGAGACGATAATGGCCGTGAAATCGAAACCCTGGAGGAAATGGGCGAGATCGGCATTGCCTCTCCCAGCCTTATGCGGGGGTACGTTGACTCTGCTAGCGATGCCTTTCTCCCGCCTACAGACAAGGCGGACTGTGTGGTGGCCAACAGGCGATCAACAGGCGATATCGGCCTCTTCCGCACCGCCCCTAGTGGCGAGAATCATGTTTTCATTGTGGATCGCATCTGCGACATGATAAAGGTCAAGGTGAGTGGGCATACTAATGCGAGGCGTGAATCCGCGCACCCTGGCCAACCATTAACTTCTGTAGGGTAACCAAGTCGCCCTGGCCAAAAGAGACACCTGATCCAACACGCCGCCGTCGCAGAGACCGCCATAATCGGTATCCCTGACGAAGTAGCTGGTGAGCGAGCTCTGGCCTTCGTGGTCCGGCAGCCGTCGTATGCACCCGATATGAGCGAGGCTGATGTGCGAAAAGTAATCCGGGATTACAACGATCTGTAACTGCCTGAGGTTTGCCGTCTGCAGGACCGAATTGTCATCATTGATCAGTTACCGAAAAGTGCGTGCGGCAAAAGACTTAAGCAAGAATTGAGGAAGCAGGTGCCTTCGGCTGGTTCCCCAGTCCCCTCCCTTCAACTTGACGGATACGTTAGAGCTTCTACGGGGACGTAGACATACGAGTTAGAGTTGTAAAGCCGCAAACAACAGCTGTGCCTCTATAATGACTTCAATCATACGTTAATCTTTGTTCAAGCATCAACCCATAGTACTTTGTATTAAACGTTTCTCGTGCAGTGGTTGGTACCTTCGCCTCCACAGCCATTGCTCACATCATCACCATAATAATTCAGCTCCCGTACATCCCTATTGATAGTCAAAATACGTCGCAGGTTGAACAGCTTGTAACCCATTGTCGCCCAGCAACGGTTAACGGCGAGAACACCTATTTTTATGAATTCTTCACAAGCAGTGATTGTCGCATTTCTTATTAATTGGCTATTAAAATGTTGATATTGTGCAGCTTCTAGAAGTAGCAGCAACTTTATTGAGAACGAGCACGCCTGCTTAGCTAGTGATGCCTCATAGTAATCACTCCCTTTTGGCAGACCGGTATTCGAACTATTTAATGGCAGTGCTGTTAGCGCCAAGGCTCTCAGGCTGAGAGGTAGCATCTTCATACTTTAAGATTTACCGTCTTTGTTGTCGTAAAGGTCGTAGCTACAGTAGTAGGTAGTCATTCAATTTTCTGTAAACGTCAACACAAGGAGAAGTCGAAATGTTTTGCAGTCGTCAGCCGCAGATGCCGGGTAGTTCTACAGCTTGGATAGCTCACCTACAGAGTTTCCAAACGCCCTCACGATTGCTGGAATCTGCCGGCAATGCTAGACAAGTTCGGGATCTTAGATGTCGCCCACTCCCGACTTCCCTACCGAGGCGTCCACGACTGGTTACGTAATTTCACAATATAGTTATTCCCTAGCTCTTTGATGACTGCATACAACCAGTAGCGCAAACGAGAGGCCAGGTCACGTCAAGCTTGAGTCAATCTAGGTCATTTGTGTATATAAAAGCAATTATTATTCATGTCCCAAGACCTATCTGTACTAATGTTTGTATTCTTGCATACTCAACTTCAACGCTTTCTGCAAGTCCTCATCGTCCGCATCGTCCTCATACTCTATTGCTCTTTCACGATTTCTTCCTTCTCTTTGGTGTCGCACTTCTGATAGACTCTGCTTCTTGATGTACCCCATTACAACCTCTTCTTCCGTCTTCTCTTGTGGCGTTATCTCGTCACGCAGACCCCGATCTATCTGGTGAGCATGTTGTTGGGGTTCGAGTCTAGATACGAGTTCCATATGGTGATCATCTGCTGCGTCTCCGCTTGACGTGCTTTCGGCTGCTCCCCAAAACTTTTCGGGCCACGTGTTTGCAGCATGCAGAGGTGACTCTGAACCATCCGTGTCGAGCGTGGTGCTGGTGAAATCTTCGGTCCAAGCACTTGCACTGCTGTCTGAATTCATCCTTTGCTGCCTTTGCGGTACTTCTTGGGGTTCTCGCGTTGTCTCCTGGGGGAACTCCTTTTTCTTCAGATCCTTCTGGATCAGCTTCCACTGATTGATAACGTCTTGCTTCTCTGCTTCAGAGCCCCGCAGCCACTCCTCATACCCTTGAGCTGCCCTAGACGCGATGATATAGCTATGCACGTCACTGCCGAACAACTTCTGTACCTCTTTGTTGACCCCCTGCATCGTATGGCCTAGGATACCAAAAAGAGCTGCGCTCGGCTTGGCGATGAAACCCCCTATGCCTTTGCCAATTCCTTTGGCAAAGCCGCTGGCACCCCCTTTTCGGGCGCCTTTCCAGGGCTGAGTGACCAGGCCTGTGATACCATCGTACCAGCCATAGCCAAACTCTCTTCCTACTGCCCTGACACCTGACTTAAAATCGCTTACCCTTTCCTGAGGGCGTACAGTGTCGTCTCCCCAAAGCCTAGGCATGTTGTGGAAGCCTCTCGCAAAGTTCACTGACATATCCACAGGCCCTTGCACAACCGCCTTGACAAAACGCCCGGCGCCTTTGCTCACATGCACGCCAGTCGGACGGAGCATGTCGGGCTGTTTGCCGGCGTCAGATTCATTCCGACTGCGGAATGAACCTCGGCCAGGATCACCTTGTCTTAGATCCGACTGGCCTTGTGTGTTCATGTTCGAAGTCTGAGTTGACCCAACGGAGAGGTTGGAAGGGTTCCGAGCAAGAGTAGGAGAGACCTCTCCAACGAAGCTTTGCCTACTCCGTCTGGATGAAATTGACGAATTCGATCTTTCCACCACATGCGAGACATCACTCCTGCTTGCGGTCGCCGACTCCGATGCCTGGGACTGCTGTCGGCTCCGCTCAGAGGGTTTCTGGAAAGCTCTATATGTCTCCGAAGGAACATCAGCCAGCCCCATCGTCATACCGCTGAAAGCCCTGACAAATGCTGTAAACCCTCCGGAGATCGGATCCCAGGGACCCTCGTCGGTGTAATGTTCTTGCAGTCTGAAGAGCTTCAAGTCTGTTAAATCCAACAGCCCTGCGTTCATCAAAGTACAGGCAGCAAAAGCACTCAGCCTGACTTTGGTGCGCCTAATGCGCCACGCAGCGGGTCGGGATGGTACGAGAATGCAGCGGAGCCGGTCAGGGTCGAGAAATTGATGGAACGACTGGGCACCTGTGTCACTGCCTCGCTCTGCCGCGACCTTGCTTGCGAGCTCTTTAGCGCGCTCCAGGCATCTGGGGTCCAGACAAAAGTTGATGGCCTCGGCTAGTTTGTCTGCCGTGAGTTGTTTGTAGGGGATCGGATTGGGACCTGTGCCTACTCGCGCGATCATGGCACCCCAGAAAGGCTGGTCTCCAAAGAAAGGAACTACCACAGTCGGCCGGCCTGCGACGATGCCTGCCGCCGTGGTTCCCGCGCCGCCATGGTGTACGACGCACGAGACATGCTTAAAGAGCCAGTCATGCGGCACGTTATCTAGTATAAAGACGTTCTTGGGGATGCGAAGCTCATCTGCACCCATACCTCCCCAGCCTTTTGAAAGGAGCACACGTTGGCCAGTCTTTCTCGCGGCAGCGAAAATGAGTTCTGTTAGCGTGTCGGGGTCGTCCAAAACGATGCTCCCGAATCCTACGTACACGGGGGGTAGACCGGCGTTGAGGAATGTTTGTAAGTCACGGACAGGTGTGTAATCAGAAGCCATATTAAGAAAAAAGAATCCAGAGATGGATATGTGAGAGCCCCAGTCGGTCGGTTTGGGCATCAGGGCCGGAGACCAGCAGTAGGTGTGGGGGATTTTAAGACGCTGAAGCATCCCGGGGGCCCAGATAGTACTTATGGGATCCAAACCGAGACACTTTACTCGAAATCGATTGATAATATCGCCGAGGCCCTGCCATGCAAGTAGTTCGATCAGAGCATAGCTGATGTAATTGGTAACTTGAGGGTCGGTATTCGAAGCTTGAATGTTGGCCAGGGGATGAGGGAAGGCCTGGGTGGGGGAGTATGGCATAGTAAACATGATATGGAGGGGGATACCGAGCTTTTCTGCGCAATGAATGTGGGCAAAACTCGGGGGGTTGGCGATGATACAATCGGCAACAAAGTGTTTTGCTTCAAGCGTAGAGCCAGAATCGCTTTCCGAGGACTCGGAAACTTCATCCTCAGTTCTATCGTCGGCTCTGTAACAAGACCGCCAGCAGCCCTGAACGAATTCGGCAACATGTCTTCTTTGCTGGCCGACATCTCCGCTCATCACGCTACGAAAGCCCGGTCTCAGGCCGGGATTCTTGACCATAAAGGCCATTAATCGGGTAGGATCGCCGCCAATGCTGAAGAATTCCAGTCCGTGCTGCTGAACCAAGTTCTTGAAGGTGGAGTGGGTTGCCAGACGAACACGATGGCCGTAGACGTCTTTCAAGACCTTTCCCAAGGCAACGAAGGGTTGTACATCTCCGCGAGAGCCCACGACCTGGATGACTATGTTCAAGGGCGGGGGTGGACGAACTGATGGGTCCCCTCCCAAGGAGGGGGGAATGTATGGGGGAGGGAGCGGGTGACTGTCTTCGACATCCTGGACATGTTGGTGCAGAGCAGGAACAATAATCTGGGACAATTGGCGATCAAAGTGATTGATGCGGATGGCAACCCGTCCATCGTCGGTGAGCCGGGCACTGGTGTCTATGCCATTCTGTTGGTCGTGAATCTCGCCATATTGATCGCCGTAGGCAGGAGGTGGCACGTAGTTACCGGCCAGCTCTAGATCCTCGAGTCCGAGCTGATCCAGGAGGGTGCTGTGTGTTGAGGGTGTGGATGCTTCCGTCGCGCTTGCTGAAACACGTCGGCCCTTTGAGGCTACCATGATGTGAATGAGACCAGGCTTCCAGGCTGCCAAGAAAAATTCTACTTAGTGAGATGGCACGGCAACTGCATGTCAATGCTAGGTTTGTATGGAATGAACAGTGCGATGGGAAACAAAAGTGGAGCAATATCGCGATGGGAGCGAATAGGGCTGAGATTAACTGAGATTGATATTGGGATTGGAGTATTCTCGTCTATATAGCATTGGTCAAAGCCGAATGGAGCCCTAAGAGGGGAATATTGGAGGTCCAGGCAGCAACAGCTTTGAATGCGGGTGGTAGTGAGGGGTGCGTCATCTTGAAACACTGAACGTTTTCTTTTTCTTTTCTTCCTTTCAGGCATGTGTAAATAACATCCCCCTTTTTTTCTTTTTCTTTGTTTCTTTTTTTTTCTTTGTCTACTGTATACTGAAAATTGAGTTTGTAAAGGGTTATGTGTCCACATTGGCCAGACAGTGTACTAACCCTGAATAGCATGCTCGATGTATTTCCTAATTGCGAAGTACCAAGGGTGTCTAGCGGGCAGAGGACCCGACCTTTGTCATTCCTTCTGAAATCAGGATACATGCGATGGATCACGGTAGATGAATACTGCTGCACGATTGCCAGTGAAGCGGGGGTGCCGGGCAGACAGAGGCAAACCAGCGACCGTAAACCAACACCGTGTCGCTTCGGCTCGCTGCTCCAGCAAGTTGAAATTGGCAACTTAATAGGCCGACTCGACTCTGTTGGAGGATCTGATGGATCTGAGCTAGGAGTTCCAAGGTCAGTGTTTGTCACATCTCAACTAGCCTTTCACATTTGCCTAGTCAGCATTTTCGTTTTCCCCTCCTTGTTTACATTTTCTGGCCACGCCTCCGCCCTTTTTAAATGACACGTCGTCAGCTGCATGCGTAATTGCAGGGTCAACATGCGGCGCTGTCATCCGGTTCTATTGATCCTCCACTATGGTAACATATAAAACAAAACAAAAATCAAAATATATATAATTAACAATATCTATTTAGTGCTGATTGCGGAGCACCTATTTTTGATTATAAAGCATATAGTGCTGAGCCTTATGAGAACCTTGCTGAAGATAGCAAGGAATAGATTGCGGATTGGTCCAAAGGGTAGCGTGACAGCGTTGCATCCATCGGCTCACTCCCCTTTACAAATATAGTCTTTACTAGAAACAAAGAAAAAAGGGGGGAAAAGAAAACAGAAAAAAGAAAAGGGGGAAATTATTTACAATCATATCTGAGAGGAGAAAACCCCCTCCCCACTGCCTCCCGCATTTAAAGCTATCTTTTTGACTGGGGTCCTAGTAGGGTTGGAATGAAAAGAGTGATGACACGAACAATAGGCTAAGCCCATTGGGCAGGCCCATTGGACAGCCCATTGGGCCAGCCCATTGGGCTTCAGTGGGCCGGCCCAAGCCCATTGGGCTTTGGTAAGCCCATTGGGCTTTGGTAAGCCCATTACGGCCCATTAGAGTGGAGATACTATTTTTACATAATTTATGAAAGATATGCTGTATTTTTAGTATTCTAGCTGTAAATACCATAAATAAAATACATACTTTTACTACTAAGAGATAGGGTTTTGTGCACAAAACCCCTTCTACCTGAAATTTCAGGAGTCATTCATTTGCGCTGAAATCAGTAACCCTTATTGATCTGATAAATTTGATTGATAAATAATTACAAATAATGACTAAAAACACCTAATTAATTACATGAAATCCAATTGGCTGATCAGGGCGCTTCCGTACGCGACCAGAGGTGCGAGATGCGGGCAAATTCCCATCATCCGCACTTTCATCCGAACTTTCTTCGGATAAATCCCCTCTTTTTCTCTTCAACCTCACACTCTCTCTCACATATACTCTCATACTCTCTCTCCCACTCTCACTCTCATCCTCACTCTCTTCAATATCACTAATATCACCAATATCACCCTTTTCTACCTGAACTTCATCCTTTTCCCCCTCATCAAAGATATCCAAAGATCGAATGAAAGCAAGCTCTGTCTCTTCCATCTCAAATTGGGTAACACGACTATAGAGCATAAGGTCTTTAATCGTATCCGCCTTGAGACGACCACGTCGATAGTGGCAAATATCACGTGCTGAGTTAAAAAGCCTTTCTACCCCAGCACCTGTCGCTGGGATAGAGAAGATATCACGCGCAATTTGCGCAAGAATTGGGTATTTAGTCTCATTTTCTCTCCAAAATTGTCGAGTATTTAGTAGGGTTTTGCCTAAAGATAGGGTTAGTAAGCTTTATTAGCTAAAAGAGAGTATAAAAGGGTATAAAAAGGTAGTAAAAAGTGCCAAAAAGTGTAAATTACCTGATTGAAGATAGTGAGATAACTCATCTTGGACAAAAGAGCTCTCCACTTCTGGGGTTAGTAAGCTTTCAAGCTCACTCTGCTCACTCTGCTGAAGGGTAATCGAGGGTAGATCTGATAGACCAGTATATTTGCTTTGATATTCTTTTATCCGATCTTTTAAGCTTATCTCATATTGAGTAGCATAATCTTGATCTGACCAATCAGCAGTTTGGAAAAAGCGGAGCTTATGCTGAGGGGCAAGAATTGTCCCATGTGCATACAGATTACCAAGGTTAGGGCTATCAGTTTGAGCATAATACTCAGATAGCTTAACCTTAGCTGCTTCTAGGGCCTGAAGCATATGCTGCTTCCATGGAATCTAAAGAGAAGATATCAGCTTTTTGACAAAAAAAGATCGGGTGAATGGAAAAAAGATCGGATGAATGGAAAAAAGATCGGATGAAACTTACCTTTTTCCGCCGCAGCTTCCGGATTGAAGCTTCCAGATGGACAAATAGCTTATTATAGATCAGGAAGACAGTATGGATAGTAATATCCTTTGTTTTGCACAGAACTGTGGTAAACTGGTAAAAAGGCTCTGTAATATACAGCAGATAGTCGATTTGCTGCCATTCGTCTGCAGAAAGCTTCATTTCTGTAAGCTTAGACATTAAGCAATACTTTGTAAGCTGATCTCGAAGACGCTTAGCCCGCTGTAGCATCAAAAAGGTTGAATTCCACCGAGTCCGGACGTCTTGAAGTGGTAATAAGCGTAATTTCATCTGATCTTGAAGCCCTAAGAAGATATCTCGTCGTTGTGGGCTTGCGTTGATATAGATAGCTAAATTCCGAGCTTTTTGGAGGGTTTTAGCTATACCCTCTATACCCCTTTTGCTGTGGCAGAGATCTTCAGACCAAATAAGGTCAATTGTATCATTCTCAGGGCCTGCTTTCATCTGTCCAAGCAGCTGCTTTAGGCTTAGCTGAATCACGTGGGCCATACAAGGATTTCTGATAAATGAGCATGTAGGGTATGCAGCTTGGAGAGAATCCACCATAGTATGGTTATTTGACGCATTATCAGCTGTAATGGCCATAATTCGGTCTGATAAATCATATGCTTCGATAGTGGTTTGCACTATTTTTGCAAGATTTTCACCAGAATGGGGCCCTGATAGGGGCTCAAACCCTAAGAGCACTTCTCTATACTCCCATGATTCGTTAAGAAAATAGCCTGTTATAGCCATGAATGCTTGCTGAAAAGGGGATGTCCAACAATCGAGGCTAAGCGAGAGCTTAGAAGTAAGGGGTAGGGTATCGAGAATAGCCCTTTGTCGAGTTTTGGTCTCTTTTATCAACCTGCGTTGAATTGTTGAACCACAGGGGAAAGATAGCATAGAAGGTGCTGATTGTGCAAGCTGTAGAAGATTCCGGAAGTGTGGGCTTTCGACTAGGTGAAAAGGGAGCCGTAGACTAGTAATAGTAGTCAAAAGCTGTTTTTCCCATAAATCGTTAGAGAAGGGTAGGGTAGGATTGGTAGGATTGGTAGTTGTGGTCTATTATGAAAGAGCTTATTAGCTTTTATAGCAAAAAAAGATGGGATGAAAAGAGCTATATTACCACTTTCTGCATAAGTTGTTGAATATTAGGGTATTTTACCCTATTCTGACAACTTTGAAGGTGTCGACGGATTGCATTAGTGCCATTTGCTGCTGATTTACCATGCCAATTCGGATGAACAAAGATATTTCTGCAGTATAAGCACCGAACCTGAGGTTTTCCGGTCCGAAGGCTAGCTAATTGCTGTAAACTTTGCCAAATTGGAGAAATATGCTTTCCATCCCATCTCATTTCAGACCTCGATGGGATTAATCCATACTGGGTTTCTGACCACCATTTTTTGAAGTCTTCACTTATAGGTTTAGCCCAAAGTGCATACTCTTCACCATTAACCCTAACTCGCTCAATTGATCCTGGTAGGGTAGGGGATAGGGTAGGTGGTAAAAAGGATGATATAGAATCAGATGGATCAATACTATCAATACTATCACTATAAAGTGATAATTGAGACATATCAATGTAAGGGGTAAGTGAGAGAAGAATCAGAGAAGAGAGAAGAATCAGAGAAGAATCAGAGAAGAAAAAGTGAAGAAAAAGTAAAGATAAAAGGGGTAAATTATAGTAAGTGGGGCTAGTATTTGCTGAGAAAAATTGTCTAAGTCTAATAATTCGAACTAGACTGCGGCATATCCTCTCCGCTGGATATCAGGTTCAATACCATATCCGCAAATTGAGGATAATGGATATTACTTCCATACCATATCCTCAATGAGGATATCCATGGATATCCGCGAGGATATGAGGATATTTTGCGGATATCCGCACTAGCATAACTCTCGCCTGATTATCTACTTAGGGGTAGTCATGTGCCTCTTATCCAGCTGATTAATTTATTTTTCAGAACAAAAGATACACAGGTTTGGTCCTGACCATACTACTAGCCTTATTTATCCTAATTCCTCATGAAATATTAAGAAATATATTTGTATTAAGCAATTTATATTCATTTTATTATTACTTATAGCAGCAATTTGATTTTGAAGTAGATTGGGGGATATACATGATTTTTTGTAATTCCACTTTACTTTACCATGGAAATATATATTTACTCAAGGCAGTAGTGTAGGATCTTTTAGCTAAACGATGTACATATGACTAAACTCACCATTTCTTGGTCAAATTTAACTAGCCTAGCTTTAAATTAGTTTCCTAAGCCTATCTTTTAAGTATATTAAGTTTTTAAATATATCCTTCTAAGAAATACCGGTCGGAAGCTCTAATGTTGTGGACAGCGGACTTAGTGAGTATGATAGTAAGGTCGAGGATATCCAAGGATATCCATGCGGATATCCGCGATATATCCTCAATTATCCTCAATTATCCTCACTGGTGATTAGTAATAGCCAATCATCGTCATTAAAAGTTAGAGATATGTCGAAAACGCACCCCGCAACTTACGAGTTGCAGCTTATTGCCATAACCCTGATATTTTCAGCTCGTCCTATATGTACGTTTCTCCCTTTCTTTCTCTTGTATAGTGATCAAGTACAATATGTCTTACTCACAGGCATCTCAGTCCCAATTTTCCTTCTGCGCCGATTCAGATCTAGGTCTGAATACCGACCTCCTTTATTCAGATGATATCTCTGAGCTCATTGGCAGTCAGGCTTCATTGACATCCACGTCCCGAATTTCATTTCCGATTGCGCCCCTCTCGCTTACGCGTGTTGGCCTCCCTCTTCAACAGTACTGGGTCCTCTATTCCTCCGAGCCTGGTAGCGAGATGGATGGATCTCGTAAGCGCTTTATAACGTGGTGGCTAAATACAGAGTCTGGATCAGCGCCCGAAATACAAGACTCGATCCGTTGGGATGGGAAAAAGACATCAAGTGTCTGGGATAATTTCAATCAGGTTGCACATGAGAAGACTGGCAAGCCAAAGGTTATGTGTACATCATGTCTCTGTACCCTTGTTCATCCAAGCTATCGCCGTGCTGGGTCATCGCCAATGAATGCACATATTAAGGCAGGCACTTGTACTCGGAAGCCAGTTACCCAGAGGATCGATCAGCTACTCAAACATATGGTATATTTTTCTTTCATCAAGACCCCTAATATCTCTCTTGCTAATCTTAATAACTATCCCAAAGCCAACTATCCCTAGACACCAACCCTTCTCCCAGGAGCGTCTGGTGAAAGCGATACTAGACTTCATTTCTACAGCTCACCTACCCTTCCGAATCGTTGAACACACCCAATTCAAAGATCTAGTAGAGATTATTCAACAAGCCCACAGCAAGATCGATATACCATCCGCGCGAAGCATACGACGTTATCTTGATTCTGCAGTCAGAAGTGACCAGAAGGGGGTTCTGAAAAGGCTTCCAGATGGGAGTCGCCTCTCACTAGCGCTTGATTGCTGGACATCGCCATTTCAGCAAGCTTTCATGGCCATCACAGGTTACTTCCTTGATCAGGACTGGAATTACTGTGAAGTTCTTCTTGGGTTTGAGCATCTTCATGGATCTCATACTGGTGAAAATCTGAGCAAGACCGTAATCCAGCTTCTAACTGATCATGGAATCACTGATCGTGTGTTATCTGTGACAACAGATAATGCAACGAATAACAATACCTTGATGATGAACATCCAAGAGACTATCCAGTCGCAAAGCCAATCAGATACCTTGATTTTCCGAGTTCCATGTATTGCGCATGTGATTCAATTAAGCTTGAATGAGCTTCTTGGGAAGCTAAAGGTGACACCACCTAACAAAGAGATTGAACTAGAGTGGTCTGATGAGCGGACCCATTCATTTCAGACCAAAAGATCTAGCTCAACTCGGCAAATTGCAGATACCTCAAAGAAGGCAAGTTCTATCTCCCTAAGGCTTGTAGTTTATTCTGATAAAAGAGTTTTAGATCCGAGGTCTTGCGGTCTTCATCAATGCAAGCCCACAACGCCGGGAGGCATTTATGGCTCTACAAACTAAGGAGCCTCGTTTAGTTCCTGTTCAAGATGTCCAAACCCGATGGAACTCGACCTTTATCATGCTGAATCGGGCCAAAAGGCTACAACCATTCTATGATCAGTATTGTATAGACCATCAGTATCTTCACTTCAAACTTGATCAAGAAGAGTGGCGACAGATTGAATACCTTCTTCTTCTCACAAAGCCTTTCTTCGACTTCACAAATATGTTGTCTAAGACTAAGGATGTTACTACACATAACATCTATAGTATTTACAACAAGCTTTTCTCTCATCTTGATGAAGCTGAGAGTAAGTTGAAGAATAAAGGTGTTGTCTGGAAGAAGCACATGCTCGAAGCTCTTCAGACTGCTAAACGGAAGCTCTCAAAGTACTACACTGCGACCGATTATGAATCATATGGTGATGTCTATGCACTCGCGACAATCCTTTGCCCATCAAAAAAACTTCGATATTTTGCATCATCAGACTGGCAAGGTGAAATTAACTATGTTGATCACTATCATGGAGTTCTTAAGCGAGAGTTTGATCGATATAAAGAGACACTTCACCATGATTCAAACAATACAGTCTTACAAGATACCACTAAAGAGGCCCTGGATGATGATTATGGTGATCTTGATGCTGCTTGTGCTTCTCAGAGCCAGCCACAGCATAGGCTCTTAAAGCCCGAAGATGATGAGATTGCGAGGTATCTTGCCCGCGGGATCGAGGGTCAGAAGCCTAGAGCATTCTGGAAAGACCATGAGCATGAGTTTCCTATTCTTGCGAGGATAGCACGGGATAATCTCTCAATCCCAGCTAGTGGCGCAGGCGTTGAGCGATTATTTAATTGCGCTCGCGATATGTGCCACTATCGTCGCGGGCAATTGAAACCAAGTACCATCCGAGGACTGATGCTTCATCAATTCGCCACTAACTTTGACGTTGAGCAGAAGGAGATAGAGGTTATCAAGGAGTATCTATCCATTGGAGAAGCTGCGTTGTTAGATCAAGCTTGGAAACCAATGCCCCAGCTTGAAACACTTGAGCCAATTAGTGATAACGAAGAGGAGGATCAAGAGCCTAGCATAGAGGATACACAACAGATAGAGAGCTGCGATGATGATTTGGGTAGTGGGAAGAATAATGATCAAAGTAAGCAACTGCAGCGCAAACGATCAAAGAAACGATCATCCGAATGTTTTGATAACGATGACGATGACCTTCCAGAAATGCCAATAGATGAGGGCATGCAGGGACGGTCGGGGCGAATTCGGAAGCAACCTAGGTTACCTGATGGATTTCAGATTGATTTAAGGTAGTTAGTATTAAGTATTGATTAGAAATGACAGAATCATGTTTACCAGATTGAAATCTTTAAAATGATGATTACACGAAGATTACTTTAAAAATACACAAGAAACCGCATAATTTATACACGCTCAAAAAAGTCACGAGGCTAGGCGTGTTTGGCTGGTTTGATATCCATTGGATATCCTCAAATATCCAGAGGATATTAGGTGGTATACCATATCCGCAAAATTGAGGATTGCGGATATTACGTGACATACCATATCCGCAATTTGCGGAGAGGATATGCGGATGTCCGTGGATATTGAGGATGTTGCCGCAGTCTAATTCGAACCTTTCATCCGAACTTTTATACTATTTCTAGCTATTTTTTATCAATTGAATAAAGAATATAGATATTAGAGGGTCTAATTCATTGGATTCTACTTCAAAATAGTTCAAAAACGCACTTTTGGGGTAAATTTAGTACTAAAGATGGTATAACCAGAAACATGGTGAGGGTAATGCATGTACGAAATATATATCTTCATACATTAGTAGGGTTATTAACCACTACTCTATAATATACGCTATACCCTACCCTTATCTATTGAAAATAGCTATTATACTAATAAAGATATATATTATCTATCCATAAACAGGGGTATTTCATAAAAATACAATAGAGAAGATAGATAATAGGGTAGGTGGTATGTGTTTTAACGAAAACAGGGGTAAATAACAGAATTAATTTCAGGTGACTCAGCAGTTTATATCCAAAAATCAGGCAAAATCAGGCAGCAATGGGCCGTGGGCAGGGGGTCTGCCCATTGGGCTGGGCTTGGGCAGGGGTCCGGCCCAATGGGCCGGCCCATGCTAAAGTCTAGATACTATATTCGTATTTCCTAAAAGAATTCAGGCACGATATCCATCTTAGTATTATAGGTATTAGAGGAAAGTTTCATTATTACTTATAGCAGTTAGTGTAACTGCCGCCCGTACCTGGAGAGACAAAATGATCTCTACATTAAAGCGGGTAACCAGACCGAAGTTGGTGCTACTTTTGTTTAGGGCCTAGAATAAGTACGAGTCACTAGTGGTGTTGACCTGGACGAGAGAGCCCCCGGCTAGGATAATTTATAGTTGACGACGGTGGTCCAAGCAAAGCCAACCTGGACACCGTAGGAGTTGAAACTTCTAGCGATGAGCAGACTGGGCAGACTAATAGGGCCAAGATGACCACCTTCATCGGTCAACATATTAATATAAATCTTTCCTCTAATATTGTCATTCTCTTGTTCAAAAGGGCGTGAAGCAAAGAAAGGCTTACCGGTAAGTAGGGCCGACTGACAGAAGCTACTTACCGTGACTCACCTGCAAATCAGTTGAGTTTCATATACCAACTAAAACACCGCCTTCGATGTTTTTAGAGCCCCATAAAGTGCCGAGTTTTTCCCATTCGTACTTTGCTTAGCGCAAAGCTTACCCGATTGCTCATATGGCCGCCACCACTACCAGCAAACTCAGCATAAGCACTAGTAGGTGCCCTCAGACCCTGAGACAGCTCCCGAATGAACAGGAAGAAAACAAATTCCCAGAGCTATGATCTCAGACTTCGACCAGAAGCTCCGGGCCTTATACTTACAAATAGGGTTCTAGCGAAGGAATTCTGCAGAGCCCTATAGCCAGCCGCGATAGCTATTGTGCTTCTAGTCATCTAAGAATCGGCTATGATCGTAGCCGTATACCCGACTAGGGGCAACAGAAAAGATGAAATACCTATGATGTAAATATGGTTGAATATGAGTTAAGGAAAATAGCAGGCACCATAGGGAGGAAATATTAAAGCTGAGATTCGAAGAGTTCTGTTTAAGGTACTCTTGGAGTCGGGCATATGCTACCATAGGTATCCTCGTCTGCCGAAAGTGTTAGCTTAGCGTCTAGGCTGACTTAGTCCAGCGTTTGGAAAAATCAAGCCCCTGGGGCATTATCGTTTTAGCAGGATATAGCGGGGAGTAGATCCGCAGGCAAGTAGACTTCTCCAGGACCCAATTAAGTCTAAAGTCTAGACCCAACACCCAATGATATTGAGTCTAGGATCCAACTTCTTAAATAAAAATACATCAAAATGCTAAGAATTTCCTAGATAGGGCACTTTATAATAAAAATTAAGTCCAGATTGGGTTCTTTGGTCCTTAGCATTACCAAGATTAGGTTTAAAGTTAGGTCCTGATGAAGCCTACAGGCATGCAGAACCTTAACCGGCTATTATATGACTTAACAGGTATTGGAAACGAGAGAGAGATGTATAGTTATATCGCTCGCTTTGGAATGCGGATAAAAAAAGCTAAGATTATACTTCGATTACATCCTGCTATTGCGAGCGCCACCCGCCACCTGCCAATGATCAAGAAATAAAGTCAGGGGCTCTTTTTCACATTCTAATATAAACTATGCGCTTAAAATATAAGCTAATTCAGTGACTGACAGCTTATTTACCGCATCTTAGTAGATGTGTCCTCTATATCGAATTCTACCGTCCGTATAATACTATCTACCCCCTTTAGCGCAGCATTCTTCGGAAATAATATATACTCCTCGCTGTCATTATCAAGTGCGATTCGCGATGCTGTGAGTGCGGTAGAGTAGTGATGATCGCTGTGCCAGAAGTCGATTTGCTCGCCTCGGGGGAGAGAGCTTAAGGGGAGTGATTGTTTTCGAGAATCCGATTTATAGTATCCGCCGGCGGAGGATAAACTAAGGAGATAGGGGAAGTATCTTCGAATAAAGGGTCGCATGGCTATGACAGAGCCACCGAAGATTCCAAGGTTAAGTTCGATTGTGCACCATATAAGCGCCTTAGTAGTCGTCCCTATAGACTATTCTTAGACTCTCTTTAAATCAGTCATTGATAAGAAGCCTCACAAGTAAGATCAGTATTCTTGAAAAGGAAGTAGATAGTAGCAAGGCGGATACTACTCACAATTCCGATACTATACCATTATTAGAACTAGCAGATTTTTCGATTAGATCAGACTCACAAGCATCCAATTATAAGGATTCCGCAAATACCCAAGCCAGCATTGGCAAAGTAAAAGACAGGTCGGTTCATATAGGATCCTGTAGTCATTATAGAGTCCCAGGACTTGGTAATCGGAGCGCAGCTGAAAATATTCGTAAGTACACTGGCGAAGCTATATCCGGCTATAATGAAAACGAGGGACTAGACGGCGGTGTGAAATTTGCGACCTAGGAAGATTTGGAGGTAGAAGATTAGGACGGAACATTTAGTGAACCTAGTGGCTGCATAATAGACAATGGCGGCGATGAGATTCAGCTATTTTTCATTATATATCAATAAGGGTAGCAGCTTCACTAACCTTGTTAAACATTAGTGAGTATTCAAATAAAGGAACATCCTATATGTGCTTTACCAGGCCCTAATTCAGCACTAATAAGGTCAGTTGCGTACTTAGAGCTGCATCAGCTTTACTTACTATCTAAAACCACTCTGGTAAGGACATATGATAATACCTGTTGTTATAGCCTATATCCGTAGAAAACTTTGGGAACTGAAATTAAAAAATCGTCATCAAGCATACAAAAGCCATAACCATTAAAACTAGAAAGAATATTGTTAATTAGGCTCCTTGAGAATCAATATCGACACTCACAATCATTAGCGCGAAAGATTCGTGCGACAAGAATCATGTCCATATTCGCACTGCAAGGGCAATGACAGCCAACGGAAGAAACACGCAATTCACCACCAGGAGCTTGGTACCACTATAATCCAGGTTGATAAAGTTCGACGTTTGACCTGCAGGTGGAGGTCCGGCGGGAGTAATACTATTTGCCATGGCCCTGGCTCAGTCACGATGTTGTCCATCCGGAACTGAGGAGCAAAAAGTTGCTGGTAGAGAGGCCGATGATATGTAGTAGATTAAGGGATATCAGAAAATAATTCTCGGAACCATCCTGTGGAACCCGAAATGTCAAGTCAAGAAAGTTTTGAACTAAGGAATGTGCCGTTTAAGACCATTGAACTTTCCAACGCGCCAGACTCAAATTCTCGATTCAATATAATTGAGTGTCACGGGTGGGGCCTGGTCAATCTCTAAAGCTCCACTGTTAAACCATGATTTCACCATCCAGGAAAGGGTCCGCCCGCATCAATCCTCTGTGGTCAGATTGCCCGGATATTTTTTCCCTACGCCCTAGAGACACTACAGCAATCATGGAATTCAAAAATATGCACATCCAGAGGGCAAGACGGATGAACACCGCCCTTAGAACATTTCTAATGAGAATTCTGTAGAAGAGATGCGAAAGCCCAAAATCATAAGCGACTCTATATATTTCTGAGGGACATGGTCGTTTGATGGGACCGAAAGGCCTGATCTTAGCCCTCAATAAGGAAGGGATTGACGCGCCACGAACTCTGGAGCGATTTGGTTCGACCGATGAGAGTCCGACGTTCTCGGTTAAAGGCTAATCTCCACTACGCTAGGTACTAAGGATACACGTCGAGCCCCTATGCATAAGTAGTGCATATAAGGGTGACAGGAAACACCATGAATACAGGTTCTTCAGCAACAAAGTGACTATGCAGCTGGATACGCTAGTAAGAATAGCCAGTTATTTTCGAGCCAATTAGCAAGCTCTCGGTCCGTCCGCTCGTTTATTGGGTAAAGCTTAAGGTTTCCGCAGTGGGGCTCCAGAGGAAGGGCTTTCGTTTGTCGATGGAGTTTTCGATTTGGAAGTTTCAAGTCCCGAACTTTTCTCGCGTTGCTCATCATACGATTGGCCAATGAGTACATCATTAACAGATCGTCAGTGGCGCTTCTATAACTAGGCCTTTATTCAACGTAGCCACTAGCACGCTTCCAGATCTGCATCCTCTCAGGGGTGTCGGCATCTTCAGTCCGAGCATGCTGTTCGCGCAGTGCGGATGGCAAGTTTACAAACCCCCTTTTGCCATTAAACAGAATTTCCGAAAATTCCGAGTCACGGTCACGTCGCCTCGAGAAAAGCAGAAAATGCATCTAAGCCGTGAAACACCAGGTTGGTTGTCCCTTCCAAACAAGATGGCCACGACATGCCCTTAATGCTCCGAAAAAAGGTTTAACGATGGAAAATAAAACTAGACTTGTTAAGAATGATGAATGGCGTGCCGATGCTATAAGCTAATTACCGAAAGTGCACTGGACTTTTACCGTTAAACCGTATATTCTCAGGCAGTCATGACAGCCGCTGACCGAAAAATAATTGCCAAACTCCGAGATAAGTTTGATATTTCCAAATGGAGAAAATATGTGGAGAAAATATGAAGATGGAATCCTTTTGTTTGAACCTACTTCAAACCCAAGCCTTACTTCTTGTGCTGTATGATGGTACGAAGACCAGGAAAATTGCCTCGAAGCGTCTCGCAGGAGAAGGGATTTTTGCCTTTGGATCCAAGCGTCAAAGCAGCATCCGACGCCCCCGACTCCAGAATCCGATTTCGTTCCGACCCAATCATGTCACCGTGCTGCCATTTTGCGGGGTCACCCTCGAATGAGCATCGACTAGTTAGTCAAATCCGTTTGTGGGTCCCGGAACCAACAAGTCCATGATCCGTGCTGCCGTACATTCCCGCTCCAAGTCGAAGGCAAATTCACCCTCGGACATTGAAACAATAAATACTCAAGCTCCGCGGCAGCGTGTCGCATGACTATTCTCTAGATTAGACCGCTGCGAACTCCAACCAGACCTTCAAAAATTCCAATTTTACTTTGACTTTATCCTTCTCGACACGCCACCAGCTACACCGAACCTTAACAATGGCGACACATCGATTTGACCCCGATTTCACCGACAATGTCATCAACTCTATGGGGTCTAAGACCTCGCCGCGTATGCGCCAGCTCATGACCGGTTTAATCAGACACGTGCACGATTTCGCGCGCGAGAACGAGCTCACCGTCGATGAGTGGATGGCTGGCGTGGAGATGCTCAATTGGGCGGGACAGATGAGCGATGATAAACGCAATGAGGGGCAACTAGTCTGCGACGTGATCGGACTTGAATCGTAAGATACGAAACACGCGCGTAGGCGCGAGGGAAATAAGTCCTTTACTAAATTCATCCCGTCAGGCTCGTTGACGAGATCACTTTTACTTTAGCTGAGGAGGCTAAGGACGCACCTACTGCCACTGCTATTCTTGGACCGTTCTTCCGTGCGGATACCCCGTATCGTTCTAACGGCGATGACATCGTCATCAATAAGCCCAAGGATGGCCAGATGGCGTTTATGCACGGCCAGATTATGGATTTCGCTACCCAGAGGCCGCTCGTTGGTGTCACTGTAGAGGTGTGGGAGGCTTCGACGAATGGGTTGTACGAGCAGCAGGACCCTGATCAGGATGAGTATAACCTGCGCGGCAAGTTCCAGACTGATGCTGATGGGCGGTACTACTTCTACTGCTTGCGGCCGACACCGTACCCTGTTCCAGGTGATGGTTAGTGATGTTTTCCTTCTTCTTGGATTAGGTCAAGCTGATATGTTTTTTTAAGGTCCCGCGGGAAAGCTGCTGGCGCTTATGGATCGCCACCCTTTCCGCCCTGCTCACATTCATATCATGGTATGGTTGATACGCCAGATAACATATATTTGTACTGACCGCTCTGCTAGGCTACTCATAAGGGCTACCGTCCTCTTGTTACCCAGATCTTTGACCGCAAGGGCAAGTACCTGGAGAATGACTCCGTGTTTGCAGTCAAGGATTCACTTGTCGTAGACTTTATTCCGCGCGATGGTGACCCTCACGCTGCGCTTGAGCTTAAGTACGACGTGAAACTTGTGGCAGACACGCAATCCGACAGTGTGTGAGCAAGAGTTCAAATGTGTATATCGTTGCTTCTTAGGGTTATTGGTACATATTTGAAGATAGCGTTCTTATCATACATATTAAGTCGGTTGATTTGCAATATTGAAAATTCGTCAATTCGACTACTATACCACGCTTCAATTTATGTTGACCTTCTCAGCAGATTCCAAGCACAAGGATGGAGATTAGAGTTCATAACATGTCAAGTTTAGTGCTAATTATAAAAGTAAACGACGATACCGTCTGGAAATTGCGCAATAAGCAAGCCAACCTTATCAGGCGCTTCAATGAATCGCCAGTCCCACTCCCTCTAGCACCTCAAGCAATTCTCTGTTGCTCGAGAGATGCTGGAAGATATGCTGGCATCCCTTCGTGTATATCGAATTATCCTCCTCACCAGCCATAAGCAGGAATGGCACTTGCACAGTAGCATAGAGGATATGTTGGCCGGATGGGCATTTTGGGTTTTACACGGCTTGAATCGCGGCCTACGAGTCTGCGAAGATCACCAGTACATGAGGGGGCTGCGGGTGTGACTTACTAAAGTGACAGATGGCCATCTCGATGCCTGTGAGCTCAGCAATATATACTGTCGACTGGCCAGAGCTTCCTAAGTGCTGACGTTCTGCTACCAGCGGCTCCACCTATAGGGCTACCGTGGAGGCCCCAATCATGCCTTCGTATCCGCTCCCGTCTGTAAAGAACACAGTAGGAGGGTTTGGGATGGGGTATAAGCTAGGTTCTGCCTCCGCGATAACAGCGTCAACTTTCGCATAAAGAGCGTTGGCCAGGATCTCGTCGTGTGACTTTATCACTACTTCTGCGTCTTCGATGATTCGTTATACTCTTAGTTCCTATGGTGTAAGGACAAAGGCCGTCCTTGGTTCCTATACAGTCCCCAGTTTGCGTTCAAGGATCTGACCCTTCTTTTACAGGGCTTCCATAGGCGAAAGACCCCCAAGTTTGGCATCTTGAGATCTGCGTGTGAACGTAAAGCATTCAGGTTGAGCCCGTTTGGCCCCTGTTTGAATTCGTATGGCTGTTTCCTCGATGATTTGTTGCATTTGTAGCCGGATTGGTAGTAGGTAGAGCTCCACGTTCAGTGCAGCTGCAGATATGCTTTAAAAAGCGCCGGCGATGAGGATAGCCGCCCTCTGTTGGATGTAGTAAAGATATTGATAGTTCGGTTTTCGTCGGGTTTTACAATCGTCCGTGCAGCTGGAGAATACCACGCCGCCACGCTATAGAGCATCTGCGGTACTACCACCGCTTGGTAGACCATGCGCATAGCTGTGAGCGGGGCACCCCACGTGGAGCCCGTCATACCCCGGAGGGCTTCCAGACTACCATTCGCCTTGGCGAGGAGCTTTGTACGATGTACATTGAATTGTAGGGTCTTGTCGAGCCAGATACCAAGGTATTTCGCGTAATTTGATGGTTGGATTGTTTGGTTGGAGGTCTGGACTGGTATCTGGTCATCGCCGGGGTCTTTCACGATGATATCGTAGATATCGGGTGCGTGCTGTCGGTCTGGTGCTGCTATAGGTATGGTTAGTACGTCTGGTGATTGTTGAGGGTTGGTGAAATGGATAAGGTCCGGTGCGAATTTCGCTGCATGTCGTCATGCCCAGGTGTCCGCTTTAGTAAGGGCTTGTTGAAGAAGCTCCACGTTCCTTGCGTATTCCCAGACTCCACAATCATGGCCACGTCGTCTACCCATCCATATCCACTGTACTCAGCTCCATCCGGCCCTCGCATATAGCATCCTCGGACGAAGGGGGTGTTGAATAGTGAGATCGGGGAACCCTGGGGAATGCCCGTCTCGGTGGCGAAGAGTTCGCTGATGAAGCCCGGAAGCTTGATCCGTGTAGATCTATCCGTGAGAAATGATTCAACCTATAGCACGAAGTGCCCGAGTCCCATCATTCGCATATTATGTAAAAGTCGCTGATGGGAGATGTTATCGTACGCTCCGGAGACGTCCAGTAGTAGCATATTTACTTTATTACCGACACCCTAGGCTCGGTGAACACGTTTAATGATTAACTGGATTGCGTGGTCGACAGAGATACCCTTTCGGCCCCCGAGATATGTATTTGGCAATAGGTGGTACTCTTGGACCGCCCACGAGATTCGGCTAGCTATCACGGCTTCTGGGAGCTTTCCGAGGGTATTTATGAGGGCGATTGGTCGGTAGGATTTCGGCTTACGGAAGTCCTGGGGACCCCCTCTACGTAGGGCTACCGTAATCGATTGCTAGAATTGGCGTGTGTTATAGCCAATGCGTATACAGGCGTTAAAGATTGAAGTGAGAATTCGGGTGAAGTCTGAGGAGGCGAGTGCCAGCTTCTATACTCTGTCTGGGATCTCATCTGGCCCAGGGGCTTTATCAGGTAGCGCTCGACGAATCACGTCGATCACTTCTTTTTCAAATATCGGTGGGAATCGTAACTGTTGCTTCACTTTGGCCCTAGCGATGTCGTTAAGGTTAGCTTGCGGGGGTCGCGTAAAGAAAACCTCTCGCAGCACCTATGCTTTCTCTTCGTTCGATTCTGCTAGCTGGTCATTCATCTTCTTAAGTGCTGGTATGACTCCACCCGAGGCTTCACGGTTCCTGGCCTATTTTGACACTCTCCAAAGACCGCGTGGGCCGTCCTTGATGGTATCTGTGATCTAGATGCGGAATCCTTTCCTGAGCGCTCTGCCGATCACTTTTCCCTTCTTATTACATGCTGTTCTGTATTCCTGGTGATCTTAGTCGTCTTTAGAGTCTCTCCAGCGTCGGAATAACCTTCGAGTGGAGCTGATTGCCTCCGTGCACTCGGGGGTCCAGCCGGGGGATGCCCAGGCTGACGGACGGGCCCAGGGGGTTAAGATCTGCACACCTTGCTGTATGGCGCTGAGTAGGGACTCGGTAGCTTCATCGATTTGTCTTGGTGTCGTGATAACTTCTGGTATCCCCCTCTTGCCCGCTAGATTTGCTGACACAAATTCTAGAAATTTCTCCATGCCCATTGCCTTCCAACAGGACCGGCGAGCTTCCTCCACGCTTTGCGTACCCAGATCAACCAGTGTGGCAATTGGGAGATGGTCTGAGTCCGCATGTATGTCCTCGCACGCTATTAGGCGTTTATGAAGCTTTTGTGACGCTAGTACCAAGTCGATTGTGGTCTGGCTCACAGCGTTCATCCTTATTAAAACCCCTGGTTCCGTCCAAAGATCAAGCTTTGCTATATCCATTAGTTCTAACACCTCTTCCGTCTTAGCGTCCACCGCAGCATCATCCCCTCCCTAAACTGGGTGGTAGAGGTTAGAATCTCCCATAATCAGGTATAAGAAGCCCCCCTACTGCCGCTACCAACGATACTAAGCCATAAGAGGACAGGTGGTGTGCTAGGCCTAGGGCCCCTCGCACCACGTCTGCCCAGCTACTAGTACTTATACGGGTAGGCAGGTGCCTCTCTGCCACGGCCCGTACTGCAGTAAGGTCCTGCCGCATCTCCAGCGTCTCCTAGCGCAGCTGTGAAAACTCTGCACGCCAGTCGGCGCCCTTGGGGTTCTTCAGGAGGTCCCCAGTGAGTTCCTCGAGCAGTTTGAGGTGCTGCAGCACTTAGGTAAGCACACGCTGCCCTGCTTGCTTGTCAATATATGATAACAACTGCTTAGTGTCGTGATTAGCGTTCAGAAGTCGGCAGTGGTGTCAGCAGGTGCCGTGCGGCCCGTCCCTAAAACCAAGGTTGGCCACGCGGACGCCGGCCCTGGCATGCTGACACGCTCGAAAATGGTATCAAAATGCAGCGCCGGAAGTAATTAAAAACTTCCCGTTTACGGTTAATCGCCAACTGGCGTGGTTGTGGAGATATTTTAAGAATTCGATTTGCCAAGAGATATGTGTTCTTCCCCTTACTAGACCTACATAGTTCATATTTGCCAACTTAGCTTATGTGGAAAAACCTTCCCTTAGATTTTAAATAGAGCGACTCAGATAATGGTTTATATCTCCACTTCCCGCTCATAATTGATGAAGGTAGCCAAGACTATGTTCTTTATCTTCACGCTATCAGTGATATCCATGGCGAAGAATACTCTCCCCATAATTGGGTGTTAAGAAAGTGTTATTACGAATACATGTTTGAAATTATAAGGCATACTTATTCCCAGTCACATCAACTGCTAGACTTAATGTAAGGCCTACGGCACGTTCTAACAGATTTCCAAGAATAATATATTCTAAAAGGTTCAAGTCCACATACATTCTTATATACAGGCATTGAAAGTCTTCCTCTTCCCACTCTTATCATGGTCTATAGAGAGACAGGCGCCTCAGAGTCGTGGAACTTGCCAAGCTTGAGCAGCTTCTTAGCATTATCACGACCAATGCGGCGGTAGTTGTCAACACCACCGACAGCCTCAGCAATGGCCTTGGCATCATTGTCCCACCAGCCACAGGCATCCTCGATAGTCTCGTAAGGGTAGTCGACACTGAAGAGGAGACGGTCGGCACCGATCTCACTGACAACGTACTTCAGGGTAGCAGTGGAGAAGTGACCACTAGTGGTGATCCAGATGTTGTTCTTGAAGTAGTCGTAGATGGTCTTCTCGCACATAACACCGTTCTCTTCCTTAGAAATAGGCTTCTTAACATCCTCAAACCAGTGGTTGATACGCCAGAAGTCGTAAGGAATATGTTCACCCTGGTGACCAATAATAACCTTAGCCTTAGGGAAACGGTCGAAGACACCGTTACTGATCAATCCCAGGATGTGAAGGGACACATCGTTGGCGAAGGAGAGAGGGGGTCCAAGAAGGTAAGGACGCTGGGCGTAGAGCTTCTCGTAGATCACACCAGTAGGAGCGGCAGGGTGAATATAGAGAGGGACATCTAACTCGCAAAGGACCTTCCAGAAGGCATCGTACTCAGGCTGATCGTAGAATAGGTAGGTCTCGCCATCTAGGCCAGCGTGCTGGAAGTTGCAGAGAAGGGCGCCGTGGAAGCCGAGCTCCTTAACACAGCGGCGGAGTTCTTGACCGGCCTGAGCGGGGTTATGCATGGAGAGACAGGCGAAGGCACCCATACGGTCACGCTTTTCCTTGATCTGATCGGCAACCCAGTTGTTGGTCTCAGTAGCGATGCGCTCAGCCTCCGCCGGGTCGGCAATGCCCTGGATACCAGGGACGGTCAGAGAGACGACGGTGTAACCGATGCCGTGGGCATTAGAAAGGGTAACACGCTCGCCGTTGATATCACTAATCTGGCGCATGTAGCGCTCACGGTCAGTGGGAGCGATGTAGAGCTTAGCCTCACGGATGGACTTCTCCTCTAAGCCGGTGCGCTCATAGGCCTCCTCAAGTGCGATCTTTCCGAGCATTTTGAATCGAGATGGTATTTGATAGAGGAGAAAAGTTGAAGTCTTGGAAGTCTTCTTGTTTCAAGAAGAGTAGAAGATTGGAGTACTGTGTTGATGGAAAGAAGGCTAATCAATCTGGACGTATATGGCGTCTTAAATAGCTTTTCTTCTTTTCCTAAGGCAATATGACTCGGAAGATACGGCATTTCTAGAATAAGACATCAGGTGGTTTATATTCGCTATCCGCGCCGTGCGGACCGTATGTTCGGGCTAAAGATGCCGATGCACCTAGGAGGATACAGACCTAGAAGGGTGTCAGTGGCCAAATTAGGTAGACGCGGAGGGTTACAGGCGCTAAGGAAGATCTGCCGGGGTGGGGTACTGATAAACCAATCGGACGAGGAGCAACGCGAGGAAAGCATAGGTGAACTTGATCCACTTCGGAAACTCTAATCGGTAATCGGAAAGGCTACCTATGCAGCCCCACTGCGGAGCTGATGATTTGACCAATCAGTAAATGGTCGCACCGGGAGCTTACTGATTGGTTCAGTGAGCCCTGACCATTGAAAGGAGAGTATATAGTCATATACTTAAAACGTAACGCATTGGAGATCGCCGTACCATATTCACCCGCAGGCGATTTGCTATGTCGCTGAACTCATGCTACCCACTGATATTCCCGGGCTGTTTCGCCAATGTGACATTGAACCGGAAGACACTGAGTCAAAAAATCGGGAGGTGACCGAAACGGGTAAAGGGTGAAGACGATGCGTATCCATTAACGAAGTGAGCGACAAGTGAGATGTCGCCCATAACAACAGAGAAGCGTACGGAAGCATAATCGATTGAAGCGGAGTATGCTACTGCCAGCGGGGCAGAAGGGAATTGATAAACGTAGGAGGAGGCCCACAGGAAGGTATCGGGGATATCAAGGCATTTTGAAGGGCGACAGCGACGTTCTGTTTAGCGGGATTTTACTCTGTTTGGCTTTTTCGGCTCTATTTGGGCTCCATTTTTACCTGTTTGGGTGGCGCGATACCTATTTCCTTTGTGCAAAATTGTTTCTTACTGTATGTGGGACTTACCAGCGTTAGGCATATTATTGTTTCGGACGAACGAAGCGCCTGCATTGCTACTGTGACTCTAGCTAGGCAGCATCAGGCTAATAGAATTCATCATCATCATTATCAATTGTCGTCTCTGTCTCTGTATCAATCACTTCGAGAACCACCAAGACCCATGCTGTGAGTACTAAATTGGCTTGTGAAGCATAGACTTGCATATGGCCAAAATTAAAATATAGGGCTTGTGAAAGGTTGCAACAAGTCTTCTTGCGTTATTTTTGAGGCGCTTGAACAAACAACTCTCCGCTCAACCTGGGAACTTGGGTAGTATGTTTATGCTTAGGCAAGTTGGCAACCATATTGAGTGACGTGGCCTATGAATCATCATTAAACAGGAAGTGATGGAGATCCCATTGCCCATCTGTCCGCGGTCCTTTATTTCCCTATCCGAAAACCTCCTCTTGTGGCCATCCTGTTTTAGGTCAAGAATTCTGTGCTTACAATCCGTTATATATCGGACCGCAAGTTGGTATCATATTCAGTATCCATTTTTGATTCTAATTAGCGAATAGATGGCAGCGAAGAAGATAAATTACATTGAAGTAACTTGTAAAGACCTTTGAAGTCTCTAATTTACATACGAGAAGAATTATTTTAACAAGAATGAAGGTAAAGATCTGGAGTTTAGCATCGCTCGCTGCTCTGTTCTCAGTGCTCAATTTGATAACTGACTCAAAATGTACGTACTTGCTGAAGTGAGCAGATCATTTATTGATCGGGTAATACGAATTTAAGGGCCGTCGTAAATATCCGCTATGTACACTGTTATATCTCCCTCTGTTAGTTAATGTTATTGTATCTGTGCTTCTAATTCTGGGCGGTAAGCGTTGATGGCCACGGTACTAGGTAAGGACAATTTTTCGGCGGCCCTCAATTTAGCGCGGCACATTCAATGGAGGAATCAGCGCTGAGGCCTTGTCAGTGGGGCCTGAGAGAAGAATAGCAGTCGTTGGGTAGGAAGCATATGTCGCTAATGACTGTACAAAGAGCGTTTTGCCTACAACCTCACAAACAAAGGACGCCGGTAAAATAAGTTTATAACAAAAATCCCTCATGTACCGTTTTTTATCTGGGGTATTGTTTATTTGGCGTGTAATTAGTTCGACTACGCGGAAGACGCTGATCAGAGGCTGGGTAGCGGTTTACTCATCAGCCAGCGAAGTATTGACAGGACCGGGCGCTGTAAAATCGAGAGAAACAAATGTTTCCGTTGCCAAGTACTATTGGACAGTTGGCGTGATCCTGTGACCAAATACCGTTGTCGCTAGACCTGCCAATATGGGACATGGACCTGTGGGTCCACGTAGGACTCCCACGCTAAGCCATGGGAAATCCCACTTACGTAAGTCCTATGGGATTCTGCTTCTGGGATTTGGACAAGAAGGGTGGTCCCATGGGATCCCATGGGACTCGATCTAGCCAGATTAGGAATAATCACATGACTGCATAACTTTGTTGAAATTTTCCGCTGTATTGACTATGTATAGAGGATTTAAGATACAGAGGAAAATTACTACTAATAACCCTCTCCCTGTGAAGGGCTGAAGCAGAATTTATGTTCAATTGAGCTAGGCCACGAACTGTGTACAAAAAGCTTAAAGAGAGAATTATTAAGTAGGTGTTCTGTGTGTTAGGTTGTTATGGTCACGTGGTGCACGTGACCTTATACCGGGCACTGGCCCGTGACACTCCCCCCTCTTCTACCTTTGAATTGGATTAATTAAGTTGAACCCCTATTTTAGGGGTTTAACCTTTAGTGAAGTTAATCACGTGATAAGTAGGCTAACATATATTTCTTTAATAATTTCCTGGAAATCTCTTATATTGATATCGAGTTTTAGAAGAAATAAGATAAAAATGACTAGTTCTAATCGAAAATATATTAAAAATCACTATTTTAGCTAATTTTAGGGAAAAAAAGTAGAGATTCATAAGGCTAGGAAAATATAAGTAGTCCCTGGGTGTAGATATATATCTTTATGATATCCCTGACTGTAACTAGTAAAACAAATATAAAACAGCCAAAATTACCTTCGTAATTTACATTAATTTATCCATTTCCTCTTTAGGCAATTATGCAGGAAATAAGGGATATGGGATCTAGCTGGGATTCCCATGGGATCCCATGGGAATCCCATAGGAGTCCCATTGCGCTTAGTAAATCCCATGGGATCTTGGCAAATGGGACTTGGACAAGAATTTTTTTTTTCCGGTCCCATATTGGCAGGTCTAGTTGTCGTAGGCTTCGGCAGTGTTAAGACCAGGGTCTTAGGGGGTTGGATGGATGGGAGTGATAACACGGCACAGCGTACTCCTGTACTGCTGCTGTCTGGATTGATGGTAATATAATCACTGGAGAGCTGTTATGCAGCTCTCCCGCCGTGCTACTTCTGTTGTGCGGCTTAGCTAAGCGGATCACCGGCATACCGGGTCAACCTTTCTCCGGCCCAACTCCGTTAGGGCCCTTCGCATGTAGAAGTATACTCCTCTGCCTATACTCTTGGGTTCTGGCCCCTCTCGTATAGGTCTTCCTAGACGTGTCGTAACAGGCAGGACCCAATTTTGGACCCAATCTTGGCAATGCCAAGGACCCAAGGACCCAATTAGGACCCAACTTTTTGCATAAATATGTATAAATCATCCAAAATAGGAAATTCTTGGCGTTTTTATGTATTTTATGTAAAAAGTTGGGTCCTAGATTTAAAATCATTGGGTATTGGGTCCTAACCTTGGACCCAAATTGGGTAATGCCGAAGACTAAGTTGTCGCTATGGAGAATCATAAAATTAGGTAATCTGCTTTGTCATGCTAGTCTTAGTCAGAAAATCCGCACATAAGAACCATGGTTCGAGGGCGGGTAATAATTCAGACAATTACACGATCGAGTACGCACCCCATTGGTCGATAGAATACGTCCGTTTACGTGAGCCGACAACCGTGATACAGCCACTGCGTTGGCCAGTCTGAACGTCAACAATGCCCTCAACCATATAACTACCACGCCTAGACTGCAGCAGGGAAACTTCAAGATTCACCAGTGCCTAGGCCAGCAATCTTAACCCCTGCAGCGAAGCGATGAGCTCCTTTGTTTCAAGTATAATCAGCCTCAAAAACTACCTGCTCAGAGGAAATGCATTCATTGATCGACACCAAATCCGTCCGCCATTATTTCGGATTCCCCCATGCTGCTCATATCCACCAATCCTGGCCGTCTTCGAGGCGCCGATCAGGTGTCTGACAGATTTGGTTGCGCTTTGGTATGTAGCGCCATCGAGAGTGCGCAAAGTCATCATGAAGCAGCATATGAAACTGTCGAAACGAGAAAGTATGCGAGTGAACCGCTCGACTCAAAACGCATAAATCGTGCTACTTGAAATGTTTGAATGATTTATCATGATGAGACAGACTTTATCATTTATCTCGGCGAAGAGCGAACTCAAGAACACTCTAGTCATGTAAAGGGACAACGTGATGTCATTGTGGTTATGGTGGTGGAGATGCTTACCTTCCGCACGGACTTAGATATCGAGGATAATGGTAGTTTTCTCCCGAGTATGCAGTTTGTAAGATTGGCAACATGTGGACCACGATTTGAAAGGAGAAATATAAAGACTATCTCAAGTATCCGGGTGACTAGCAGAACCCACGTTATGGCATTTTAAACTAAATTTAGTTGGGAAAGTGCGAACAAATTGTTCCCCAGTCTTCCCGATCCCGTATTCTTCCCGATTCATGAGGTTCTTCACGAGACTGGTGCCTCCGAATCATGGTACTTGCCCAACTTGAAAAGCTTCTTAGCATTTTCGCGTCCAACTTTTGCATAATTTTCTGTGCCGCCCAAGGCTTTCTTGATGTTTTCAGAATCTTTATCCCACCATCCGCAGCCGTTTTCGATGGTTTCGTAGGGGTAATCCACACTGAAAAGGATCCGGTCTGGTCCTAAGTATTCCGCAACATACTTGAGAGTGGGTGTCGAGAAGTGGCCACTGGTAGTAAGATAGATATTGTTCTTGAAGTAATAATAAATATCCTTCTTACTCATCACATCGCCAGCCTTCTTAGCGAGAGGTCGCTCAACATCCTCTAACCAATGATTGATACGCCAGAAGTCGAATGGAATATGTTCGCCAAGATGGCCAACGATGACGTTCAGATTTGGGAAGCGATCAAAGACACCATTAGTGATCAGGCCCAACAGGTGAAGTGAGACACCATTGGCAAAGCTCAACGGAGGTCCAACGAGGTACTTCCGCTGGGCATATTGCTGCTGGTAGTACTTCCCCATGGGCGCAGCAGGGTGAATGTAGATGGGAACATCCAATTCACAAACCACCTTCCAAAATGCGTCATAAGCCGGTTGATCATAAAAAAGATAGGTTTCACCATCAGGTCCGGCATGCTGGACATCATTGAGCAAGGCTCCGTGAAAACCAAGATCTTTCACGCAGCGCGTAAGCTCCTTGCCTGCCTGAACCGGATCATGCATGGACAAGGCTGCGAAGGCTCCGAGACGGTCGCGGTGATCCTTGGTTTCCTTGTGGATATAATCGTTGACGGCTGTGGCATGTTTTTCGGCAGTCTTTGGGTCTGTAATACCTTGAATACCGGGAACGGTCAAGGAGCAGATTGTGTAGCCGATTCCATGGGCGTCGGAAATCTTCAGACGCTCCCCGGAGATGGACTTGATCTGGCGCATGTACCGTTCGAGATCAGATGGAGCGATGTACAAAGCCGCCTGATCACGACTCTGGTCTGCCAACTCCGGAATCTCATAGGCTTCCTCCAAGGAAATTTTGCCGAACATATTGATTGTATGGACACAAAATGATTTGTAGATAGAATGAAATCGAAAATAATGATTTAAACCACAATGAGAAAGTGGTAGGTTTGAGATTAGGGATCTTTTTATATCTACAAAATAGCCATTTCATGATGTCATTTTCAAAACACAGCTTATGTAGTGATAACGCATAACCTGGCCCAATTTGTGACATAGCGCATGGTGGTTTGAATCTGGTTTTTTCAAGCTCTTCAAAGTTTAATAAGAAAAGCAAAAATAAAAAATGTTAAATCAGAGGATTCGATTGAGTTTGATTGAATTTGGTAGGGATGTAAGCTCTGGATCCGGCCTGATATCTTGGCAATGGCTCTATGATGCGTATACCCTTCCGACATTTCCTTACCTCCCAAACCTGATTGCTTCTAATGCCAGCTGATAAGCTTCCGATCGAGTGAAGTATAGTCCGTCCCTTGGATAATATCAAAATTGGATATGACAGCTTGAGATAGTCGAACACATCATCTTACGGGCAAATGCGTGTCATGCGTTATTTTTTGCCACTACCATAATACTTTTATCATTCCTGGATCAAGTGTTTCATAATACAGTATGCTGATAGTCAGTGATTCCCAATTCAAATTGACGTTTACAAAGACAAGTCGTTTGGGCGCGTGCATCGCGCGCGCCTTTACTCGAAGTACAAATTACTAATACAATTGCCCAGTTGGTAATCATTTTAGTCTGATTCATCAGAAATTCCCTTAACCTAGGTTTTTCACTATGTCTTTTTTTGCTTTCTTACTACCCTTATGCCCATCCCCTGGCCCTTCTCTCTCCTGAACAGCGTGTAGGGGTCGTTTTGTGCCTAAGATCCAAAGGTCAGCTCCATATGAACATAAAAAAGAAGGCCTTATGCCGAAGTCCCCCTAAAATACAAAAATGACCATCAAAAAAAAGGACACCACTATCAAATCTAAGCTAATGCTAGCTCAGTCAAACATAGCTAGTCTAAGCAAATCAATTAAATACATTTAATTACCGCGGGCACGCTTGCTTCCCCTTGGGCTTCGGCAGGACCCAAGTTTACCCGGACGCAACCCAATCCTTGGGGCCCCAATTGGGTCACAAACATAGCAAACATGCCAAGCTCTTTAATACAGCATGTTTGTAGCATGTTTTAGGTAGACTTCGGCATGGGCCGGGAAAAGGCCCATGGGTGCCTGATTATGCCTGATTTTTCGACATAAACTGCTGAGTCACCCGAAATTAATTCTGTTATTTACCCCTGTTCTCGTTAAAACACATACCACTTACCCTATTATCTATCTTCTACATTGTATTTTTATAAAATATTCTTGTATATAGATAGATAACTACTATCTTTATACGTCTAATAGCTCTCTTTAAGGATAAAGGTAGGGTATGGGTTATATCAGAGAATAGTAGTTGGTAACGCTGCTAAAGCATGAAGATATATATTTCATACATGCATACCCTCACCATCTTTCTAGTCATCCTATCTTTAGTACTAAACTTACCCAAAAAGTGCGTTTTTGAACTATTTTACAGTAGAATCTAATAAATTAGACCGTCTATTATCTATATTCTATATTTGATTTATGAAAAGTAGCTATAAATAGTATAAAAGTTCGGATGAAAGGTTAGAAATGTTGGACTTCGGTGGGTTTTTCGGCAGAAAATCCCACAATAATTAGGGTTAGAGATAGGGTTATAAGCCAGTTAAAGGATTATTTTCCTATTATTTTGGCATATTAGTATACTTAGTATATACTATTCTAGTTATGAATAACTAGGGTTCGATTCCAATGCAGACTGGTTTATATTTCTTTAATTTCTGAGTTTTTTAATATATTTATTATGTGTGCGTATTATTTAGCTGTGTTTAACAGCTAGTATACCAAAAATGCTGCACATTTTTCATAAATTATGTAAAAAAGGTGTCTCCACTCTCATGGGCCGTAATGGGCTTTTTATGGGCCCATGGGCTTGGACAGGCCTACCAAAAGCCCATCATGGGCCGGCCCATGGGCTTGCCGCAGTCTAGTTTTAGGGCCCTATAACGTGAAGTCCGGTTGAGCGAGCGACCCCACCCAAAATCCACTTCCATATTAATACATCTTCTTCAACCATAACAATAATGCCGCCTGAGCGCTCCGATAAGAGAAAAAAAAGCTAATAGAGCAGGAGGGTCGTCTTTTATTAGCTATAAAAGCTATAAAAGATGGTAAATATCCCTCTGCTGCGGCTGCTGCATATTCCTTTGATATCCCTGTCTCAACTTTGAAGGCACGGATTAATGCGCGTGAGTCTGCTACTGAAAAGCGACACAATCGCTTTATTTTCACCGAAATTGAGGAATGATCGATTGGGAAATGGCTACTGGATATGGATTCTAGAGGGGCAGCTCTTACTTCGCCTATGTTGCGAGATATGGCTAATCTGCTACTTTATGCCCGAAAACTTACGCCCTCTACTGTAGGTAATCATTGGCCTGCTGAATTTATCAAATGACGCCTAAATCTCTCTACTCGATTCTCTCGCAAATACACCTATCAGAGAGCCCTTTCAGAAGACCCTAGAATCATTAAATCATGGTTTGATTTGGTTCAAAAATTAATTGAAAAGTGGGGTATTATCTCGGACGATATCTTTAACTTTGATGAGAGTGGTTTTACTATAGATATCGGCGCAACACAAAAGATTATCACTTCTGCAGAATACCATGGGAAAAGAGCTCTTTTACAAGCCGGAAATCGCGAGTAGGTAACCACAATTAAGTATATTCGAGCTTCTAGAAGTATTATGCCTCCACTCTTCATTTTCAAGGGGAAAAAGTTTCCAGAGCATCTACGCCCTTATCTTCTTTTAAATCAAAAAGGAGCACGTCTCACTATAAGTGAAAATGGCTGGACTACTAATACAATTAGTTTATGGTGGTTGAAACATCTTTTTATCCTGAATCATGGGCTAAGAGTGGGAAAATATTGCCTACTGGTCCTCGATGGTCATGGGAGTCATTTGGCCCCCGAATTTGTCCAACTTTGAGAAGAAAACCAAATAATCGTAATCTGTATGCCTCCTTATGCTTCCTCTCTTTTACAGTCTTTGGATGTGGGCTGTTTTCGGTTTTGAAGAGGCTTTATGGAGGAGCGGTTTCAACCTTGATGCGGAATGGAGTGAACTCTGTTAATAAGAAATATTTCCTTGAACTTATTGCTGATGCGAGAATTAGTGCTTTTAAGACTTCTACTATGCAAAATAGCTTTTCAGCTACTGGATTAGTACCATTTGATGCTAATAAAGTCTTGGAAAAGCTAAATGTGCGCCTGGATTCCCTTCCTCCTCTCGATATTATCTCACAGCGACTACTCTCTTCAGGCAGTGATAGTGATCCAAATACTCTCTGGACTCTCTCAAAATTCACAAAATCGCAATCTCGGATCAAAAAAGGTCTAGAATCTTCTTCTTCAATCCTCTCTTCACCAACAAAAGAGAGCTTCAGAAGACCTATGATATGACTATCAAAGTGGTCCACCACCATATTTTTCTCCAGAATCGCTGTACCCAATTAGAGGCTACCAATAAGAAACAGATAAAAAATTGAGAGACCATACATGAGTTTACTACCCAGAAAGGTATCTTTGGGGGTGTAGAGAGTGGTAAAGATGATGTGATTTATGAGCATGAAGATAACGGTAAAGATATATATTTGCCAGAGGTATCTACAAGAGCGGTTGTTGAGCCTACTTTACCTTCTATGCCTTCGGTTCGGCGGCATGTGACATGTTCTGGCTGTGGGATAAATGGTCATACATATCCTGGATGCCCTTCACATGTTTAGTAGCGAAATTTTGAGTTATTTGATGGTTTTAGTGATAGTTCAAAATCAATGATTTTTCGAAGTTTGGTGGGGCCGCTCGCTCAACCGGATCGCCCGCGCAACCGGACTTCACGTTATATATATATGAAATTTTATAATTTTACTTATTTTTCTCTTTCGTCTACTATTAAATATATATATTACCTATAAAATATCTGATTATCATTGGTTTTAAAATTTACAAGATATTCTCGAAAAATGGTAGAACTACCGCCCATTTCAAATATATATCGTGAACTTCAAAATTTTTCGAATGCATAGAAATCAACCCTTGAATCATATTTATTCCGAGCCTAGTTAATCTCAATTGCAGATACCAATAAGATGACGCGTCCAAAATTCTTCAGCTCAGCTATCATATCCCGTTTCTTGACATCATCTAAGCTTCAGACTCTGGAGAGAACTTTTCTTAATCATTCCTGAGATACATTAAGTTACTATAACGGTTCTTCTAGCCAGTCGCCCGCGTCGCTACTTCGCTGTCACTAAAGCACGCAAAGCCTCAGTCTAGGGATGACTGGGTGTGTCTACAGAAGTGAATAGTTAAATCACAGCCATCTTTCTAAAACGTAGACCGTAGATGCGGCTACATTCCAAGTCAATGTTGATGAGCGCAGGTCAGCTCACAAACCGACATCTGCCGCAAGGATGATGTCACAACATTTCACTAGACAAGCCATTTAAGAAATTGTGAGAGTTTGCGGTGCCGCTCGTCATGAAGAAGCACCGGTAGCTAGACTGTTAGTACTCAGGCCTTTGTTCTCCAGATCAGGGACGGAGAAGAACACGGTGAGTCATAGAGAAACATTGCCTATGAAAATGAGCCATGACTTCAGCTGCATGACTTGCCTCTAGTTCCAAATACTCGCTGACAGGCGCGAACCGGCCGCTCAAATGACTTAATGAAAACCAAGATTTCCGCACACCATGCTGTCACATTGACGTTGTACTCTCGCTCTTACAAGGTTCAATGAACTTTGCAGAGCCAGGCTGATCTTCTGTAATGCTTTGCTGATCAGAAATTCACTTTTATTTCGGTTTTGATATTCTTGTTGAGATTCAAGTTTTTGTCTGACCATTCACGGTCCAACATTAAGTCAACGACTGCACTTTTAAATCGGGGCACTGTAGCGTAATTATCGATTCAATAGTAGCCAGGCAGATGGTTGGGTGATTGCGATTCAACGTATAGCTAAAATTAGACTGTCCATGTGCGTTTCATTTTTGCATTGAAGTAGCGCTTCATGAAGGTACACGTAGAATCAGTAGACGCGCGCAGAGTATTTATGTACATTGTACATTGTGCCAGTACATGATCTGCTGCACTATATCCCTTTACCCCTTTCTTGTTGTCCCGAACAGTCCAACCTAGCGGATAAAATGGCATGAGTTTATAACACTGGTACCACGCACTTCACAAAGCCATTAAGATTCCTTCAATTTTCTCTAAGCCAATCTTTCCTGCCATTTCACATGCGTCCGCAATCTTCTCTGGCGTACTTAAGAATGGAGAATGCGAGCTGTTGCATCGATATTGGCTGTAATCGCCTAATAGACCCGCCATGGACTCTTGGACGGAAATGGGAATTGCCCGATCCTCCTCGCAAAATATATATATACACGGAAGATTATGCCAAGGCTCATGAGAGACTCGATCTTCGAAAGCGGCACGCGAGGTGTGCACGAGCCTAAGGGTCTAATTTTCCTGGTCTTGTTCGGAAAGGTCGTGATAGCAGATTTCTGATGCTATTGATGCCTTGCAGTAGTTGCCCTAAATACTTTTAATGCTCCAATGAACTTTCATAAAGTAGAAAGAAGAAAACATCACTTACGTCAAGTTACATCCATGGTAACCACTTTTCCCCGAGCATGTCTTGCAGGCTAGTGCCTGATTTGGCAACAAACGCAGCCAGGTATACCAAAATGACTACAGCACCGTTACTGCCGTCCTTCTTCCTTTTTGCGTATTCCATGCCTTTCACGGCACCAGCTCCAACCATTCCACCATAGGAATGGGCAACAACCACAATTTTCTTGCCTTTTGATTTCATGATCCTTTTGATTTCATGATGCACGAAGATGACATCATCCATAAGTCCCTAAGATGGTGGCTGTGCACCAATAGATGGGAGTGCAACAGCCACGCTGGGGAAGCCACGAAGTGCTAGAGAGGCGCGGACATCATAAAAACGTCGGGAAGATGCCAGGCTCCAGGAATAAGGAGGATGGTGGGTTTTTCCAAGGACATTGTATATCGGAGTAGGGTAGTGCTTGATATACTGAAGGAAATGTTTTTGAATGATCTCTTGAGATGCATACGAGTACTTATGGATGCTCTTAGCCGAATCGAAAATCCAGGACCGGACATCGGCTATATCAGGGGGCACGGACCAAGAGCCCAGAGGCAAAGCTTCCGATAGCGAGACCTCCTAATGAAGTCAATCAGCTGTGTTTTCATGCTTTTGGGCTTCATCGTCTCAAATGAGTTAGTTATTCATGCATCTATGACGATCGCATTATTGCTTCGGAAATTGGACGTTCCTTAAGGCCACTCAAATCCCTTTCCGAAGTGGGTAGTTTTCCCCAAGCCCAACGATTAAGGTTTGTCTAACCGATAGCTCATTCGTGAATATGATAATGCGGGGTATCGGGTAATCTAAATGGAGTGTTCGGGCCGGACATTCGAGTAGTTGCCTGCGGGGGAACTAGGACGTTATGCAATGTTGATTCTATAATAAATACGATTTTTTTGCATAGACTTCATACATTTGGCCAGTACAGTAGCAATATTGCTAGGAATTAATTGCGTACTTGAGCAGGTTTCATATACTTATCAATAGGATTCGGACGAGCATAGAGACGATTGAAGGAACCGAGCTCGGGAGTCAGGCGCCAGCCTGCCAAACCCTCTTGGTATATGGCTCGAGACTCAATCCTTGAGTCGCAACACTTAACACTTCTCAAGGCTCGCGTCATCGCATTCGCTTGGTAAGATCTTCCCTCGAGATGGGAAGTTGCTCGCCACATAACGCCTATATGTTCTTAGAGCTACAGTGTCAGCCATGCTCCGCAAGTATTACTCAAATTGATTCAACGCCACGAAGAAATATCAAGACCGGATCACGAAGTATACGTCCAACAGAGAATCTAGTAGACAAACAAAATGATCAGACTTAACGCCTCAGTTAGTCTAGATTTATTTTTCCTAATTGGGGTAGCTGAAAACGCTTCTAGTCGAGTACAATATACTCCACCATCAGATCAAAGGAAATCACGGCCGGCGATAGCATAAATGTCCTACCTAAGATCTGGCTCTGAAGTACGTGAATGGCTTTTCCATCATTGTATATCGTATTGAAATGTCACTAAAAATGCATTTGAACTCTAACAGAGACTGTCACCCCCGCTGTGGGAAAATAGAAATTGCCTCCTTCAGGTCATACATCAGAAATAACTCGGTCGCATTGTTCAGAATGTTTTATTTGTCGAGGAAACGACATTTTTGGTACTCCTCTCGAATCCAGATGCTCTTTATCCGCGCTATCACCCAGCTCCGCATTCGGGGAAGCCAGTCGCGCAAGACGATTTAGTTCAACTTGGAGCCCTGTGTTTTGATGACCGCAAACAGAGGTTTTGAGCGTCATCTGTTTCCATCCCCGTCTAGGTAACACATCTGACCGGCGAGAGGAATATTTTTGCGTGCTGCGGGTCAAAAAGATATGTACAGCTGGGACACAGGAGCAAATGAGCCCAAATCCTATTTCAGCGTTTCTATCAAGTCGAAGTCAACAATTGGAATTATTGATATTTTGTTTTTCTTGAGGCCCACTGACCCAGAAAGTAGAACTCTCATGAAAACTGACGGCGAGGAGATAATTTCCTTCTCATGAATAACCAAGATAAGTCGATAGATACTGAACCCAATTGCGAGACCTCCACAACCCAGCATCAGAGCTGCTTTCAACTTCTTGGGTCTCGGCAGATTCAATGGCATTGTAAGCGCAAGGGGCAGAAGCAGGATCACCATATCACTCGTAACGCTCATAACTGCATCAGCAATGATCACCGCTCCTTTATTCAAGCAATGAATATTGTTGTTGAACTCGGTCCAGAAACACGAAATCGGACTGCAAATAAAGACTTTGATGAAAAATATGATCGTGTAGTAGATGACAAAAATAGCGAATATTGAGTACACACCAACGACTTGCGTCTGATAAAGTGTGAAAATTCTCGCGAGGATCGAAAGTAAGGTTGTCTTGACGCAAAGAACCAGCGGGGGATAAATCACAGTCAAGACGTAATACAGCTGCGTGCATGTTAGTCAGATGCCAGGACCAGATAATTAGATCAGTATTCTACTCGACCTTATATAATCGCGTGTTCTGATTTTCGGTTGGCATTGATGGTAATTGGCTTTCACCATAGGCCCTGTCTGAGGAACACATGAACATCAGTCAGGGTGCTCCTCTGTATGTGAATAATTGAGCAATGGGCCCCACATAAAATTACACACGCGCAATACGCCAATAAAAGAATCTTGAGCCGATGTCAATAAGGGATTCTTAGGAATATTAGACATGTGCATGTACCCAGGATAGAAAGCAGAAATCTGGAGAACTGGTCAGCTTTAAGGTCATAATCTTGGCAAGGAAGCATATATAACCTACAATCTTCAATATCGACGTGTCGCTTCCATTTTACTGCCACGAACAACCGGAGCCCAACAAACAGGGATACGATCGTCATGCACAGGATCTGCGTCACCAGGGTGATTGTTCGAAGATCTTCGTCAAATTCTTGTGGCATGTTAAACAGTCTTATCGATTCAGACCGAGGCTGTGTTGGCTTTGAAGAATAATCAGCATTTTAGTAAGATTGATTAAGCTTCCAAAGGCAATTGCGTGAGATCGAAACCTCGTGGAGGAGAAGGAGGGGAGTATTGGTTGGTAAGCTCGAGTCTGGTTATTGACGTCATCGAGGCCACTTTGGTTTAGGGATTTGGGACCACCAATAATTACGTGGCGTTTCATAACATGAAGGTACTGTATTGCTACACGAACGCGAAGTTAAGATGGCGGAAATTTGAGTAGCCACATGTTCACATTTCGGCTAACAGATGGAGAGAAGACATATGCACAGAAGGCTACCCCAATACTCCAGAGTTAAATGACATGCTAGGCTGAAGGGGCAAAAGTGGCGGCCTTTCATTTCATCCTCTGCGACATTTGTAAGCGCATTTTGATTTTTTAGGGTCACAGGTTCGGTGTTTTTATGCAGGTCTCATCCTGATGCTGTTGTGGTTCAAAAGAATGATGAAAATATATTGTTTCGGAGAGAATACGTGAATCTATTTATACAATGAGAAGATCAAGCTAATTTCCGATCAACGAGAAGGCACTTTAGTGTTTCTCATCAAAGATGGTTTCGCGTTAATGTATTGATATAAGGCTGGTGCAGATCAGGAACCAAACCGCAACATCCGGATCATTTGAAGTTTTTAGATGGTTAATCTTCTTGTTGTATATATAGCCTCACGAATTTCTACTGAAACAAGAATTTCAATATTCCTTTTGAACTACAAGAATATTTCATAAGCCAATGAATACCAAGCCAACCCTTGTGTCGCGAGAACAAGACAACCCTGCAGGGAGTGTTGCAAGAACAAGCTCCCTTTAGAAGCTCCCTTTAGCAATGTACGGGAATCTGTCCCCGATACTAGGGATTAGTATTCGGATTTTCAGAGGCTACTCAAAGAGACCAAATCCTGGAATTTCACTCCTATAAGAAGTTGACAATCGTGCTCATCGGAACATCGATGTGAACTAGTATTCTACCGTGAAGCTCTTTTGGTTGGTATGCCGCGAACTTCCCGTTAAAAGAAGCCCCCAATCTAGTGAGTCACGATCCAACTATAATCCCTGGTACGCTTGCCGAAAGGAGAACAGCAAGGTGATGCAAAAGAAGAATCCTGATGAATGGTAGACTGTCCCGATTACGCTACTCAGTATTAACAACACAGCTTGTTGTGCTTGGAAAAATGGAATGATTGGCTTTCGTGTGATGCGATTGGCGAATTGAGGTCTTCGCGGTGAATGAAGAACACATCGCCTGTGTACTAATTTCCGGGCTTGCATTTAGACTTACCAGTGTCGGTGATACGAATTAGTCTCATATTCAGTTGTGCTGAAGATTCCGTGTTGTCCAGATCTACGGGAGATCCTCATATAGAAAGGGGAATGCCTGACAATTCTGTTACGGACCAGACCTTTCTTAGCCTCTTCGGCCTTTACGCTTTGGTGAAGAAGTTTGAATGCCGAATGCTCTAGGCGAATGAGAAAAACATATGTAAGACCATCGATTATTCTTTAGGTGCGCCACCAAAGCTTCCCAGATATCATGTTGGTGGTTTGACGGAAACAATGACAGGAATATTTCTGACAACAGTCTAAATTAGGTGGTGGAATCATATTCGCGAAATGTTCTATTCACAGCGGGTATTTTCTCACCATTCGGCCCCCCAACATCCACAATACTTTGGTCAAATTGAGCCTTACAATTTATTTTCCGACGATCGGGGGGCGTCGGTATGCGAGTTTAGGCAAATTTGTCCGTCTCGCAAGCTTGATAAGCCATGATATAATCCCATAACAAAGCCATTGCTCGTTATGACGGTATAATGAAGAATTGCGACGTTTTCTGAATTACTCCCGCTTCATGTAATTCAAAATTGATTCAATTCCTGAATGGCTGTTTGCAGGTAAAACAGCCAGCTTACCAGAAACGAGGGAATAATATATGTATTTGGCTCTAGCTCTAGTTGCCAAGCGATATGGAGAGAATGGTGGCGCACAAAAGTACATTAAGCGATGAGCATCGAATTTTCAAGTTGCACTAATGACAATAACATACGACCGCCACAATTATAGGTCGATCGTATGCAAAGGCCTAACACAATCTTGGGGTGAATATGGAGCCACGCAAAACTTCTGAGGCATGGCCACATTTTGTAGAACCAAATTATCTCTGTAGATTCCAAATACTTTTTGCTTTATCGCTTTCCGAGAAGCTAGTAGAGCTTGTATTTGGGATGAGTATATAAGGAAATTGCGAAAGTATCCACATAGGATATTGAAAGAAATTAACCATCATCTGCGAGTGTTCGTTGGCGAAATTCTGTATGTAAGTATCCACAAACTTCATCGCCCAAAGTTGCTCCTTGGAACAAAACATGATGTCTCTTGTCCAAAAATGCACAAACCTCTGTTCATCAATCTCTCTTCTACGTTGTTCAAAATCCTTGAGGTGACCTATTGTCTAATAATAGTCTATTGCAAGGCATCCTCATTGGCATGTGATTCCTCGCGCTTTCCATCATTACTGAAATTAAGGTGGTAGGTTTGACACGCTCCGATATGGTCGACTAGAGCGGTATGGCCCCTTTTTGGCTCTTCATATTGACTTCAATGCACGTGAAAGGTCATTCAAGCGAGAAAGATCACAACCCCACATATGTCTTGGTCACCACATAGTTCAAAAATAACATTTAAGTTACCATTGAGCTATTTTTATTCCTAAGTAGAAAGGCAAGTAGTCAGATGGGTTCGGACGATCAAAACCGAAAAGGGTGCCTCTAAGCCGGTGGTGAGAACGATGTTGAGCACAGTCGGACAGAGGTCGGATTGAAAAAAGCGCCTGAAGTTTGTCGACGAGGGGCCAAAAAGCATCAAGACACTCGATGAGGGGCGATAATCCGTGGAGTTGCGCCTCTGCGTTTGCAACAATCAGATATATATCCACCGATCGATGGTTCTTAAAGGCTCAGAACAGACGAAGTGTCACTTACCCTGTGAGACACTCAATTAGCATTGTTGTTTTCCAATTATTGAGTGACGTCACTGTAGCACCTATACAGCCATGGTCTAATTTTGCTTTCTTTCTCGCTAGCTGCCTAAATGCTGAGACACTAGCTAGTCAGTTTTCTGAGCAATACTCGTAAAAGATTTGAGAAACTAGTATAATAAATAATGCTGCTTATGAAGCGTGCTCATAAAGATGCTATTTTACATCACTAAAGACGCTGGCGTATCTCAAAAATGTCAGATTGTTTCTAGTGTAGCCATTTGCTTCCAATAATACCTTTAAACACCTTAGAAATTTAAAATATAGTCAAAAAATCGAGACATCTGTCGACTGATACTTTGAAAAAAATGCCTCAAACTCCGTGATCAATGAGTCGAAATTCCAGCCCATATCTGTCTGCGTGACATCAAGCAGATTTTCCGCTGAGCCGCCCAACTCGCTAGTGGTCGGCCCTTCCAGATGTGGCGATTTCCATTGTGATCTCGATAGACCCGAGAGTTTCCTGAATTGACTTGGACTTGAAGATAATGGAATGTTACCGCCCATGAGCTGCTGGCTATTAATGGTTGCGGGGGTTTTGGGTACGGTCAATCTGCCTTCTGGGACAACGCTGTACTTGGTGCCTATTTTGGGGCCTGGGGCCCATTCGTATAATGGGTTAATATTTCGTAACACGGCTTGTATGGCGGAGATTGTGCTGTTGATCGGTTCGCCTACTCGCATGCTTGACAAATTTTGTAGGGCTGCGTGGACCCATGGTAGTTGGGAAGGCGCAGAATCGGCATCGTGGAGGAAGTCGTAGATCAATGTGAAGGTGGAACTTCCTAAAATATATCCATAATACCTCGTTTGCTTTGATGGTTAGCAGACTAGCTAGAGGCTGAGTTGATTCCGGGAAGGTAGGATTACTTTGACTAGGTCATTGAAGCGGGATGCATGACATAGATGGTGAATTATCTTTTGGGAAGCATTCAGTGCATAGTCACAAGCTTCGTTGAGCCACGATGGAACTTCCTCCCGGCGGTTAGATTTGCGGCCTACGTGAAGAGACAACTTCATGTCATTTCGCCAAAGATTTCGGATTATGAGAAATGGGCGGAACGTAAGTAGTAGCGTGTCGTAGTATACTGTTATGTCTTAATCAATGCTCGCAAGGGTTCCTTGGGGCCACTCACGTGTGGTAACCATGGTCTGCTGAACTCCTCGAGCTCCACTCAAGATAGCCGAGTCTATCTCAAAACCCATGGTCCTTTTGAGATCAGCCCTATGCCGTCGAAGGTCCTCGAAAATTGAGCAAGCAACTCTCCACATATGAAGAAGCGATGGGTGTCGTTGCCCATATATCTTATTGACTGATCGAGACATTGTTTTGCAGAGCGTTGCCAGAACACAGACTAGTGGGTCTTTTGGATATTCAATGGCAATATACTTCAGGGCTAAGGAGCTTGGTCGACCCTGATGAGAACAGATCCACCTGTAGATCGAAGTCAGCGCCCAGAGATGGATAAAAGTATATGGTAGCCGTACGTTTCGTATAAAAAAAGCGACCAGAATGTGACTCGGCGCTCTTCAATAATCTCCGGGTTTTGTGTGTCATCGTCAGGCAAATCCTTGTGGAGCCCGGCCGCGAGGGCCTTCCGAGCAGCAGACCCAAGATGCAAGAATGTGCTGTTTGGTCGCCCTTGCTCATTTTGAAAGTTGGCGTATTCAAGAGAGCAGTGTCAGCATTTGAAGGGCAGGAGATATTGGTGTGACTTATCATGAGTGTTAATATTTGGATGATCTGGAGATTAAAAGTATCATCGAATGCGATTAGTGAAGTTTTCACACGTTCGAGCAGCACATCGCCCCAGGCAAAGTATTCCGTGCCGAGGGACCCGATCGCTAGAGCAATTAAGAGAATTGATTGATCGAGTAGTTTCGAATGGATTGAAGGAGATGGGCTATAGAGCTGCTTTAAACACTGCTCAAAAAATGCCTTAGGCCTGTGGGGAATGAGGAGACAATAGAGGGTCGACAGAAAGCGCGACAAAAACCTGCCGCCCAGTCAAAAATGGCCCATTAGATTGGAGATTATAATCAGCATACATGTTGGCCAATTCGTATGGCAAGGATATTGACGATAGATCTCCCAAGCCGGATGTCTTGCTAGCCTCATGGGTATCTGGGGTGCCGAAAAGGTTCCGATGAATGCTGATCGAGTCCAGCCTGGCGCTAGGCTCCTGACTTTCATCCGAAAGCCCATGATGGATCGTTGAGTTGGAGACAACATCTCTATAGACAAGTTGCATTAATGCAAAATGAGATGTTGGCCCAAAATAAAGCTGCGTCTGACTCGATGGTGACACCGTGTCGGTCGCCGACATACTGTTGGGGAAATCGGATATGGCAGAAGAAATTCGCTGCACAGAAGCTGGGGCTGGGACAGCAGAGACCTGGCGAAGGGAATGGACTGTGTTCGACGTGTTCGTGGGTTCCGCCACTCCAGGGGTGGGAGGTTGGCGATCTTCCCGGCCAGGTTTTTGATACCCCCTTTTTTTTTTTCACATGGCGAGGCTTATCCCTGTACACACAAAGAGTGTTCCGATGCTGACATGATGGGCAACTGATGAAAAATTAGCATCATTTGATGAATGGTAATGGAAGGATCTCACGGGGCAAGGCCGTTGCATCGAATCTTGCGTTTGCGACACTCTTGACACGCCTTAGGGATTCGCGAGCCGGTGAGGGTTGGTTTGGAGACCTTAGCCATATCTGAGAAATCGCACTAGAGAATCCAGCTAGGGGAGATCTCTTGTTTTCTTCTTTCGTGCACTGCGTCAATCTACAAGAGCCGATATCCGAGGTAACAGGACTCATCATCCAGTCCGCTATAGGAGGCCTTTCCGATTGCCGATTAGAGTTTCCGAAGTGGATCAAGTTCACCTATGCTTTCCTCGCGTTGCTCCTCGTCCGATTGGTTTATCAGTACCCCACCCCGGCAGATCTTCCTTAGCGCCTGTAACCCTCCGCGTCTACCTAATTTGGCCACTGACACCCTTCTAGGTCTGTATCCTCCTAGGTGCATCGGCATCTTTAGCCCGAACATACGGTCCGCACGGCGCGGATAGCGAATATAAACCACCTGATGTCTTATTCTAGAAATGCCGTATCTTCCGAGTCATATTGCCTTAGGAAAAGAAGAAAAGCTATTTAAGACGCCATATACGTCCAGATTGATTAGCCTTCTTTCCATCAACACAGTACTCCAATCTTCTACTCTTCTTGAAACAAGAAGACTTCCAAGACTTCAACTTTTCTCCTCTATCAAATACCATCTCGATTCAAAATGCTCGGAAAGATCGCACTTGAGGAGGCCTATGAGCGCACCGGCTTAGAGGAGAAGTCCATCCGTGAGGCTAAGCTCTACATCGCTCCCACTGACCGTGAGCGCTACATGCGCCAGATTAGTGATATCAACGGCGAGCGTGTTACCCTTTCTAATGCCCACGGCATCGGTTACACCGTCGTCTCTCTGACCGTCCCTGGTATCCAGGGCATTGCCGACCCGGCGGAGGCTGAGCGCATCGCTACTGAGACCAACAACTGGGTTGCCGATCAGATCAAGGAAAAGCGTGACCGTATGGGTGCCTTCGCCTGTCTCTCCATGCATAACCCCGCTCAGGCCGGTCAAGAACTCCGCCGCTGTGTTAAGGAGCTCGGCTTCCACGGCGCCCTTCTCTGCAACTTCCAGCACGCTGGCCTAGATGGCGAGACCTACCTATTCTACGATCAGCCTGAGTACGATGCCTTCTGGAAGGTCCTTTGCGAGTTAGATGTCCCTCTCTATATTCACCCTGCCGCTCCTACTGGTGTGATCTACGAGAAGCTCTACGCCCAGCGTCCTTACCTTCTTGGACCCCCTCTCTCCTTCGCCAACGATGTGTCCCTTCACATCCTGGGATTGATCAGTAACGGTGTCTTCGACCGTTTCCCTAAGGCTAAGGTTATTATTGGTCACCAGGGTGAACATATTCCTTACGACTTCTGGCGTATCAACCACTGGTTTGAGGATGTTAAGAAGCCTATTTCTAAGGAAGAGAACGGTGTTATGTGCGAGAAGACCATCTACGACTACTTCAAGAACAACATCTGGATCACCACTAGTGGTCACTTCTCCACTGCTACCCTGAAGTACGTTGTCAGTGAGATCGGTGCCGACCGTCTCCTCTTCAGTGTCGACTACCCTTACGAGACTATCGAGGATGCCTGTGGCTGGTGGGACAATGATGCCAAGGCCATTGCTGAGGCTGTCGGTGGTGTTGACAACTACCGCCGCATTGGTCGTGATAATGCTAAGAAGCTGCTCAAGCTTGGCAAGTTCCACGACTCTGAGGCGCCTGTCTCTCTATAGACCATGATAAGAGTGGGAAGAGGAAGACTCTCCTGATATCTATATAAGACAATTTATAGACTTTAAGTTCCTGATAATGCATAATTCATTTAGATCTATAGTAATGTCCTGTAAGCCTGACATGTGTCAGGTTAGATTGAGTCCAGTAAACCATCTGATAAAAAATATTGTATGCTATAGTGGTTCCACCTTCTGCTTACTTGATATTCTAGAAAGACGTTATCCTAATATCATACTATATATACGCGATTCTTTACGATGAATAATGCCTGGTTAGGGTAAACAAAGGTTTTAGTCATGTTTATGTAATTAATCCATGAGCCGGACGTGGCTGGATGAAGCAGTATATGACTTACTTTATGAAAGTTGAAGCAAAGGTCTTCCGAAACATAACTTTTTGGCAAAATCGCCATGAATAATTCAGATCTATGAAAGGCATACAGTCTTTGCAAACTATGAAAAAGGTCACGATGAGTTACAATGTCGAGACAGAGTTTTTAAAGATCGGATCTCTTGCACTTTCCGTCACTTTCCTTCACGGTTAGTGGGCTATAATCTCTAAATATAATTCTTAGGTGCTTTTGCTTCGCAGAAAGATTGGCCTTTTCTTGAAGTTACTGTTTATGTGGACAGTTTAGTAATCTTCCTGTTGATCTGCTTTAGGAGAACCCATTTTGTCATGCCACTGTAGGACGTCATCTATAAGCCGTTGAATCCATTCATGGTACCGGGAATCCAGAGAACTGTTCACGGCTTTCCCAATTTTCTTTCCAATTGGCTCATTCCGCCATAATCGCGGTGCATCATGTAGCAAGAGCGCAAAATGGGCGACTATGGCCAAGGAGACAGACAGGTCTTTGCTTTTCCAAGAAGTTGAAAAATCCTTGTCTTAGACCCCAGCCAACAATAAAGTAAGGCCAGACGGTCTTGTTCTTGTGTTGTCAGCCAGCTTGGATTTCCTGACATTCAAGTATTCGCAGGCGATCTCAACATTGTGCAACGCAGTTCTTGCTTTCTTGGAGTTCAGTGCGTGCTGCGTCGTAATTTGTTACTCAGACTCCAAAGCTTCCAAGTACTACTCATATATACGGTGCATTAAAGCAATATCAATGGATTCATAGATAAGCTGCCGCATTTTCTTGGCGTCATGTCACCCGGTAGCAGCGTCTTTTCTTGACAACGACAAACAGTGATTTGCAGATGCGCTATCAACGCTGTGGACACATGTTCGGACTAGAAATATGAACTCCTCCAGACATATGATCATATAGAAGGGTGCTGGCAAATATTGGGTGAAAATTTGAGAAGTTTTGGCGCCACTGACGATCTGCGTAGGGTTACTCTGATTGACCAATCCTAATTGTATGATGAGCAACGTGAGGAATAGATGGAGAAAATACCTAAAATTGGTCTGCTTCGGAAACTCTAATCGGCAATCGGAAAGCCCTCCCTTAGGAGCTCCGCAGAGCGGTAATTTCCTCCAACCAAGAAGTGGACGTGCCAAGAGCTTGATGTATGGCTCGACGAGAACACTTTCTCAAAGCTGCGGTATGGTATCTTGTTGCTGCACAACTTAGTGAATTTATCAGCAATATAGGAAGTGTGTACTATACTACTGCCTATGTCAGTGAAGGACCCTTAGAATTTATTCCCGTGGTGTCTATACGAAGGAACGAGTTGATTGAAAACAAAGTTGATCTTCTCGCTGTCTTTGTTTGATCTCATAATCTCTCTGGAGATAAGAACAATCAATCTTCGCTTGAAGCACAATATTCCCCCCCTCCTCCCCCCTTTCGAAATAAGCTGCGCCAGAAATGCAATCCCTTCAATAGGGAGCGCTAATGGTAACTATCATAAGCTGTGCCCCAAAATGAGAACTCGATTGGAAATACGACGTGTTTAGATCCTATATTCAGGCTTGACCAAGGCTGTGATGATCGAGGCACCCACAGGCATGATTGCTCTCAAGCTCCTTGAGATCTCTCTAATGAGCAACATAGGCAGCACTGGCTGGCATCTCGAGAACATGGAGACACTCAAGGAAGCAAGCAAGGCCCTGAACCACATTCACTCGGTACCTAGGTCTGCTATATTAGCAGATGCTGGATAGCTAGAATCGTGTGAAATATTCAGCCGTTCAATTGTTGGACTAAGTCCTATTTGCATTCACTTCTTCTGCAAAAAAGTCAAGGCCGCAAGTGCATAAGCATCAACACCAGTCTTCAAAGTAGGCTGCAAAACTGGCGCAAAGAAAGGCGAGTGATTACTAGGTAGCGTATCCTGAGTTCCCTTCTCAACAGCCTCATCCCAGGTCTCAGGATCAATGCCACCAAACATCCACATGACATAAGGCGCACCAACAGCAGTAGCGAGCAAAGAAAAGTCCTCACTAGCAGTCGGAAGCTCCATCTCAACCAGATTTTTCTCAAAGTACAGCTGAAAAGTCTCTTTCAGCGCAACGATGGTTTTCCCGTCATTAATCGTCGCCGGTGACGAGAAAGTTAATTTGATTTCAGGCTTCTGCTCCACACCAGCAGCCTGACACTCGGCCTCAATGATGCGATGAATAGCAGCGCGCACACGCTCACGCACAGTAGTATCAAAAGTTCGCACATTCAACTGTAGATCTAAGTGTGACGGGATGATATTGTGCGATTGGCCCGCGTGAACACTACCCACAGTCACGATAGCCAATTTCCCTGGTTCAACCTCACGCGACACGATAGACTGTAGCCTAGTCACGATCGAAGACCCAAGAACAATAGGATCGATTGTCGTCTGAGGCTGTGCACCGTGTCCACCGCGGCCGAAAACCCGCACATCGTACGCATCACTAGCCGTAAGCAGCGGGCCTGCGCGGAGATTGACCGTACCAGCACGCATTCGCATGACGTGCTGCGCAAGGATAAGATCTGGCTTAGGGATCTTATCGTAGAGGCCGTCATTAAGCATAGCTTGTGCGCCGTTGAGATGTTCCTCGGCCGGCTGAAAGATACAGATCAAGGTTCCGCTCCACTTGTCGCGGGCGGCGTGTAGCAGGGTCGATGCAGCCATAAGGGTCGTGACGTGGGTGTCGTGGCCGCAAGCGTGCATCACTGGCTGTGCTTTACCATTGGTGTCTGTAGCGATTACCTTGCTAGCGTACTTTAGGCCGGTTTTCTCTTCAACAGGTAGTGCGTCCATGTCGGCCCGCAGTAGGATTGTTGGGCCGGGGCCGTTACGAAGGACGCCAGCAACGCCGTGGCCGCCGATTTTAGTGTGGACTTCATATCCGAGGGATTTTAGGTGCTCGGATGCTTTTTTAGCTGTTTGTTCTTCTTCGCCTGATAGTTCTGGGTGAGCGTGTATGTGTTGGTAAATGTCTTCGAATGGCTTTAGCTCTGGGCGGTAGCAATTGATGATGTCGCCCAGCGCATTCTTGGTTTCTATTGTGGGGGTTTAGTTGAAAGACACGACCAACAGGAACTTACATACCTCCTGATTGCATTTTGGCGATATGTGAGTGATTACAAAGGGGAAATATAGTTTATATGCGGAATTGGCAAACCCCTTCGAATCGATTTCCGTTTCCCGTTTCCCGTCCGCCACTCCGCGGCCAGCCTGTTCCTTGTCGCGAATCAATTGCCGACGAAGTAATGCAAATGGATCTTCTCACTTGTCCTTCACCAATCGGATCGGAACGCGCTTGTATTCGGCAAGCCTATGGCTTCCGAGCAAAATCGGATGATCTAATTGTATACCCGTACGCGCTAGTTACTTTGGCAGTTGAATTTGTTGGTGACGTAAAGCAAACTCTATGACAGTGAGGGTGACGTTCACCCCCCCCCCCCCCCCAAAAAAAAAGGAAAAAGGGAAAAAAGAGAAAAAAAGCGAAAAATAAAAATTAAAATAGAAAACCAAGGAAAAGAAAAAGGAATAAAAGAAAGAAGTGGAAAAATTCCAAAATGCATGTTTCTCCTGCATATTGTTTGAACTTCGGTTCACCTAAGCGGTAAAATGGCACCAAGCAATCCCCATGAAACACTACCTGCAGCGAGTGGCACCCGCAACACCTGTACAACTGGCACTGCTGCAACATGTCAAGGTCCCCCGGGGATTTTCAACTCCGTCAATCTGAAAAAGAATATGGACGCGGAGACTGGCCTTAACACCACGATTGGGTTGCAAGATAAAGATGCATCCGCAAAAGAACAGGCGACAGTCAGTCCGCAAGATTGTGGTAACTCGCTTTCGGAACGCCAGTGGACAAGAGCACAAGCAATTGAGACATATATTACAAAAGTTTGCCACGCCCTGATGATATACGGTGCCCCAACGCACCGTCTGGAACGGTATGCCCACCACACGGCACAAGCTTTAGGGCTACAGCTGCAATCATTTTATATGCCTGGCTGCATGATGATCTCATTTAGCCACCCAAAGCTCCAGCAGGGAGGGGTTCAGATCATCCGGTGTGTACAGCAGCTGAACTTGTCGAAGCTCTATGATGTGCGCTGCGTCTACAAGAACGTCATTCATGAAAAGACCACTGTTGAAGATGCGTCCATCCTTATCGACGAAATTGCGAACAGGCCAGAACAATTTCCAACTTGGATTCGAGTTTTCTCGTATGGACTTGCATCTGCATTTGTTGGACCTGTTTCATACAATGCTCAACCGATCGACCTGCCAATCATCTTTGTCCTGGGCACCTTGATTGGCTTCTCAGAACTAGTGCTCGTACCCCGTTCTGAACTCTATGGTTATGTGTTTGAAATATTTGCTGCCATATTAGCCTCTTTCCTCGGTCGCGTCTTTGGGTCCCTCCAATGGGGCCAAGGCCAAGGCTTCTGCTTTTCCGCTATTTCTCAAGCATCTATTGTGATGATTCTACCAGGGTTCACCATTACCAGCAGTGCGCTTGAGTTGCAGTCTAGAAACATGGTTTCTGGAGCTGTTCGAATGGTCTATGGAATTGTCTATACCCTGTTTCTTTCTTTGGGCTTCTTGATTGGCATATCTATCTATGGTGCCATCGATGAGACGGCCTCATCAGCCACGACTTGCTCTACGACATACGGGGTATGGTGGCCAATCATATTCGTCATTCCTTTCACATTCTGCTACATCATAGTCCAAAACGGCAAATGGAACACAATGCCGCCAATGTTAGGCTTTTCCTTGGCAGGCTGGGCAGTCAATCATTTCTCTAGTGAAAATTTTGGGGATGCCCAGCCCCTTTCCCAGGCTCTGGGGGCGCTGACAGTTGGTGTTCTAGCTAATTTGTATGCGAGAATAGAGCACGGTCTTGCGGCTACGCTCATGCACCCTGCTATCTATGTTCAAGTTCCTGGAAGCCTGGCTGCCTCGGGCAGCCTCATCAGTGGCCTGGCGATTGCAGACCAGATCACCAGGAATGGAACCAATAAGCTCACTCCTCATGAGGCACTAGTGGCACAGCTTGATGCTGGGTACACAATGGTTTCAATTGGCGTTGCTATAACGGTTGGACTCTCCGTTAGTGTTCTGCTTGTCTACCCACTGCGTCAGAAGGGAAGGAGCGGCATTTTCAGTTATTAATGCTTGAAGTAGAATTTATATTCATAATGTTGCTGGATCTTTGTCCGATGTAGCTCGCTTTTATTATGTGCTGCAATGCAGGAGTGTTGCATGTCGCCTGCACGTTTACATACCGGATTTTTTGCTCAAGCAATCATCCCAGGATCTGCAAACTACCTCGACTGATCTTTTCACGTCACACGGTAGATTGATATCTCTCTCATGTTCACCGGGCCCATTTGAATTTCTTGGATACAGGTGCACTCGAAATCAGTTACAGCGCACTTCGGAAAACGTTGATATTCGCGTCATTTGGGTGTCGTCAGCGGTTCGTACTTCAAAAGCGTCGATGGTATGTCTTTGCGGAACAGCACCGACCACCACGCTAAGAGCACTTATGAGCTGCTATGGCCGGCAGAGGCAGGGACAGGCCATGGGGCCAGGGTGTGGATGTAAATATCGAAGAATTTGGCAGGGTGGACGCACTATGCGCACTCTAGAAATTTGCAGGAAGTGAACATTCGCACCAAAATTAGCGAGGTGCGAGTCTTCAATGTATATAACGACCAGACACATCAGTTGGGAAGGTTTCAACCTCCTCAACTGTCTGGAAAGAGGAGTCTCGTACTTGATTGTGGGGAATTTCAACCTACACCACCCGGTTTATGGAGGCGACGACGCGGTGGAGGATGCTAAGGCGGAGAAAGTGTGAGAGCTGATGAATACGGCAAACATAGAGCTCTGGACAGAGCTTGGAGTGCAGACAAGAATCAACGCAGTGAGTTAGACCGCCATCAACCTGGTCCTGGCGTCATAGAAGCCCCATGAACGTCTGATAGCGTGCGAGGTGAGCGAGGGCACAGCTGCGGGTTTAGACCCTGTCCCAGTTGCCACGGCGGTTGATCTGGAAACGCAAAGTGTGGAGGAAGCTCACCGGCGCTGCTGGAAGGCGATAGACGTGGAGAGATTTCTAAAATTTGTGTCTGCGAGCCTGCTAGGCAAAGGGGGATCCAAAAGGAGATTCCGAATGATGTTGATACGGCTATTTTACAGCTGCTCAGCATCATATTTCAAGAAGGGCAATTCAAGAGTTCAGCTATTTTGAAAAATTAGTTGGTCAACACTGTTGAGCTATGTCGTCTTCGGGCGTGGTAAATTGACGATGCCCTCGAACATACTGATCATTCTCTATGGTTAAATTGGTGGAACTGAGACACTTCAGTCTCATTCATTACCGAGGTCATCATTGGAGGCATTTAATGGTGAATATTGGGCGCGCTGCAGGATGTGTACACACCCTCCCCGAACAAGCCGCCAGAGTTTGACCGGCACTGCAGATTTAGAACAAAGTCAACTGGCTTTGCATCAAGCATTACCTCAATGATGTTCTTCTCCAGGAATACACGCTGGCTTCCAACTGCTAAGCAGAATCTCTTTGCCGATGAATACATTTCCACGGCCGTTCGTATAGCCAGTCGCTTGTTTGCTACTTCTCTATCACCAAAGCGGCTTCGAGCATCTCGGACCAGGGAGGACTGGATGTGTTGTAATGGAAGTGAAGAATTCACAGCCGTACTTCGAAATCCACTGTAGAGGCGGCTACTTTCCATCTTAAATGTAAGCGCAGTAGAACCATGTTCACCACATATGCCACCTGCCATCAAACGATTTATTTCTTGTTCAATATTCGTTCTACATGTATCTCAGATGTCCAAACAGCTCCAACAATTGTTATAATCCGACATTTGAATCTTTCCACATCCATCAAATCAATCAATCACAGCAAAGCAGCAAGTGCAGCAGCGGCAACGACCGGAGCAGCAGTAATCATAGCCCCAGCAGCCCCCACAGCACCACCAGTCTCAGTAGCCGCAGGCATAGTAAGAGAGCTCAGGCCCGCAGTAACAGTCAACTGGTAGTAAGACCCATCAATTGGCGCAGTAGTATAAGTAGCCGCGGAGGAACTCGAAGACGTGTATTTCGCACCATCAGCCGAACCAGTCATCCCCACACTCATAGTGCAGCTGGCAGACTCAGTCGAAGACTTGAGCGAGCACTCATACGACTGTGTAACAGTGATGTCGTAGCTAGTACCGTCGCTTGAGGCGGTGGCGATGTACTCGCCCGAGAAGCTCACCGTCTCGGCACCCTGGATGATAGTCCATGAGGTGGGATAGTCACAGTCTGTCTTGGGGGCATTCTTCTCACAGCCTACGTGGTATGTCGCAGCATTGGCGTTGATGTCGGCCAGGCTGGCGGCGGTGCTGGTCCAGCCGCCGTGTTGGAGGAGGGTCGCGTCCCAGCCTGGGGCAAAGTAGCCAATTATAGTGCTAGACTCGGCGGCATTTATGCCAAGGATTGTGAGGGCGGTAGCAAGAAGGAAGGACGTGTGCATTTTAATGGTATTGTAGATTTTCTAGTAGAAAAAGAGGATTGTAAACAGGTGTTTGGTGAGCAGAAGGGATTTTCTTTAGACGTCCCGAGTACTCCGTAGAATGGAACAGTAGCCAAAGGGACTAAGCCCGACTGGCTTCGTTTAATCGATGCCCGGAGAATAGCCATATTTAGACCCTAGTCGACTCGTCTGGTCACATTGTCCGGAAGACCCTTATTTTCCCAATGTTTTGTCTCTTTTGGAACTTGACTCATTTTGATACGGGCTCTCATTGGATCGTGGAACGCCATAGCTTGAGCGAGGAAATGCTAGCGTTCGGCTAGCGTATGAAAAGGGGTTCATGGGTAGAAATCCAGGCTAAGCTAACCCTTCGTTTGCCCTGGATCGATGCATTTGGCCGGTGGGCGCAAGACCTGTGAATAGAGGCATTTGGATTCGAATTGTTAATGAGATACAACGACGTTTGAGGCATGGGGAATCGCATTTCAAGTTCAAGAAAATCTCATTGTGCGCCGTATCTAGTTAGATTATGCCCGATGGGCCTTAGCGTGGAGCTCGATCCCCACAGCCCGGAAACTGGAGCCTTGGAAAGCCACCGTCGGATCACGAAGATGGGTGTCACTTATTGACCAATAGTGTTCGTTCTCGAATATTCGATGCGGATATCGCTTAAAACCGATGTCTCCGCCGTCCAGCTCGACACACACTGTGCCAAGATAGCTGAATTTGTCCGTCTTGACTTTACTTCAACAAAGGCAATAATATTGTGACTTTCGTCCACAAATTTCAGACATCTGGAAGACAGCCAACGATTTTAGCGTTACCTAAGGCGCTAAGAAAAACGTCGTCTTTCATCAGTTTATTCAGGTGATCAGTATTCATCCTGATACGCCGTTTACCATGAATTGGAAGATCACTTCGATATCTATCTCATAGACTGACATAGAGACCATCTGTCAACAATTCTTAACCCATGATAACACATAGTCGCTCCATAGCCCAGTCCAACACGGCTCGTTCGAACCAGTCCTTCGACACAACAAACAGCAACTCGAAGCCAACAAAGGAAAATCGAAGGAGAAAATAAACCCTCAGGTTCGACTACGTCAGCCGATAGATCAACTCCCCAATCTAGCCAATCGACTGACGCCGATCGGAACATCATCTGGTGTCATTTTCACAGTAAACAAGGCAATCATTATCCATCAAACTGCCCTTTTCCAGAACGTCATCGGAAAAACTTCCCATGCCCGGAAGACGAGAATCCTTCGAGAACAGCAAATAGAACTAGCAAAAAGAGGGATAAGACTCCTTAAACGTCAAACGCCACATCAGAGTACACCAACTATGACGACTACACCATACTTTCTAGTCCCGACGCTCTCGAGGAAGCTACGGGTCTGATTTTTGAAGCACTTGATCAAGCTGGGAATTTATCCTTGGACCTCGCGGATAAAGAGGGCACCTAGATTGGGACCTTTTGTTAAAGGATGTGCTCCGTGCCTTGCTTTCGCGGGTAACCTGACATCCATCTCGGATATGGTGACATTCAACGATGGATGCGGCTACGAGGATGCGAGTCGCGCGGGGGCAGCTGTAGATCTGGAACTAGATGAAGTTAAGATACCCCGGATGGGCACGGAAAATATGGCGACGGTGGACGCAGCGGAGCTAAATGCCATCGAGACGAGGCTGGGCGGCTGAGATGTGATGAAAGGCAAGGAATCCAGGATATCCCGCACCGTTGGCCGAGCCAAGAAACCCTGTACGATCGACGCACAGCGTCCATTTGTTGCAGAGACCACTAACAGCCTTCAGGAATGTATACTGCAATAGAGTCATTCAGCTCATTCGTCGACTCGCCTGCTCATCACGGCACCATGAACCCCGCCGGATTCCCTTTGATCGAGTGCTGGTAGCGAAGTCTCCGATACTCGCGAGAAGAAAAACACTCAACAACCATCTGCAGCAGTCACCTTGACTGCCTTGTCTTTGTAAGAAAGAAGTTTACATATCGCAGAAGCTCACGTGGGGGATAGGCGGGCGATTTTGTGGAATAAACGCCAAAACGTACCAAGTTGAGCAAATCAACGTAGTTTCCCTACATCAAGTCCGTCGAAATGAAAGTGCACGTCCCTGCTCGGCCAATGCCACGGATGGAACCGGGAGCGATGGAATTGGAGCCGAACGAGGAGAAGGAGCGAGGAAAATAACCGAAGAGGAACAGGAGCAGGAGGCGTGATAATATGGGGGAAGTGCTAGCCAAGTCACAAGTGCAGGGGCGGGATCTTGTACTCCGATTGCGCAACTGTGAAGGGAGATGCGATTGCCTTAGCCGATGGTTGAACAAGTTAAATGAGTGGCGGTGAGGTTTTCTTGGTGATGGTGGTCTGGTGAGATATAAGGAACTGAATGTAGTATATAGTTACGGCCCAACCGAGGACCGTGGCGTGACGGATTCAACTCCAGGGCAAGCGTGGGTGCGGGTGTGGAGCCTAGTTTCAGTGAGCTTGCGGATCTAAAGGTTATCTGTCAGACAACGAAGGGAACTACTAAGGACATGCTGGAATGATTTTGGTTAGGTATCATACTACTTTTTCTGGAGGAAGCTGTACGGAGTCTTCGGAAGATGCTCCCCGAAGGCGGTCTGGACTCTGGATGACGTTGACCTCACATAACTATATATCCATATTGCACTTGTGTTCATCTTTACATGAGCTGCAGTTCAAATCCCAGTCTTTTTTTTCTTTCTCCATATGGAAATATTCTCATAGAGGCTGATCTCACGAGAGGAACTTATCGTTGGGCCTTATCGCGGAGCAGATACTCCCCTCCCCTCCCCTACGCACTGATTCCTCTCGTCTCTTCTCATCTCCCTCATTCTGCCGATCTCACTTCATTTATCTTCCAACGTTGTTCGTAATCATCCACTGTGAGAGCAGTTGATAAAAATTCAAACGCCCATCAACATTTCATATTCAGGATGTCCTTACCAATTCAACCATCCCCGACCATCCTCCTCCCAGACCTCCCTCCGAAGACTCTTGTCGGCATCGATCTCATAACCTTTACCTCTACTGCCAATTTCCACGGAATCAGAGACCTTCCCGGTGGATGGCACTTCCTATACACCGGCACAACAGAGAGTCTATCCCTCCGCTCTGGAGCATGGTTCTACATTGGCGACGTCACCGCAGTTGGATACGAAAAAATTGACTCTGCACTCGTACCGCATACGAAAAAATCAACACAGAACAACGGGCCGGAGATCTACATCTGGAAATGGAGTGCTGACACCGAATCCCTCATTTCATTAAAAGGCGACAACGGCACCCATTGTCAAGAAGCCATGCGCCACAAAGCTAATCTAGGCGCGGTATGGCAGAGTGGGGGCCTATTCCGGTACCGAAGTCGCGTGTCCAAGTCCATGGTCACCAACGCCGAAGGAACAAAAGACGGAGAAGCAGCAAAGCTGGAGGATGACGAGGAAAGTGAGGAAAGCGGCCGCAAAGATTGGCGACGTCTTACCGATCGGATCTCTCCGGGTATTCTGACGCGCATGATTGGAAACCCGAATTACGACGTTGATGCGCATCCGCGATGGATGGTCACCTCTGCCAGTACGGCAAACCGCGATGCTGATCACATTCCTGGACTTGAACCGCGGAAGGTGGGAGAGGATGGTGTTCCACAGACCACTGGTGAACAAGAACGGGAGTTTGGGTTTCTTCCCATTGACCTGAAGCATACGTGGCGTGAAGGTGCCATTGGCCGCGAAAGGACCGAGGCGGCTCAGGATCGTTCTTGGGCATTGGGGGATTTGATGGATCGATTCTCCAGCTATAAGAATCCGGCTACCGGTGAAATGGTATTCAATGGGCAGCTGGGAGAGGCGCAAATTCTGGGAGAGTTGCAATTCACTTTCATGATGGTGTTGACCATGATGAACTACTCTTGCCTGCAGCAGTGGAAGCGATTACTCGAGCTTGTCTTGACATCTTTCAGGGCTATTGTAGATCAAGAAGGGTTCATGAGTGAGTTTGTGGCCTTGCTGCTCAGGCAACTGAAACGATGCGACGACGTTGAAGGTGGGTTGTTTGAAATGGATGGAGATGATGGCGGTGCGTTCCTTCGCGATCTGCTGAAGAAATTTCGCCGGTCAGTATATCAAGCTGTCGAAGAAGGCAAGGGATCCTTGGTCAAGAAAGAACTTGCAAGGCTGGAGAATTGGGTGAAGGAGGAGTATGACTGGGAGCTGACACACGAGACTCTTGTCAAGCGTGGCATGATTCAACTGGAAGACGGCGAAGAGGTCGAAATAGACATGGACGACAATGACGAAGATGAGGAGACTGGCGAGTACGCACCCATGATCGTTGATTCGGAGCAAGCTACTCTCTAGGGCCGTTGTCAAGTTTGCCAAAGGTTTCAAGTCGCGACTTTTTCAGGGAGTTGTCCTTGGCATACTTGTAGAAAATATGTCAGTCTTCAAGCAGGGAAGGTCGCTCGCACCTGCAGAGTGTATATGTCGCCTGTCCGCCGGTGACCTCGCTGTATATCTCATACACGTTGCAGGTGCAACTTTCCACTGACATCATGGAGGTTTGGAGAAGTCGCAACGAAGCCCCAGATCTAGCGTCCAATGTGGGTAGTAGTAACCAACAGCGTTCTGGTCAGAGACCTAAACATGAAGCCAGAGATGGCTGACTAGGGCCGCCAACATGCTGGATCGTGAAGGGCAAACGCGAAGATTGTCCACGTTAGCTGGGTTGCCTGTTAGTTGGCAAGATGTTGGACTTCACTAGTCTTCTCAAGCATGAGGATTACTGGAAACAGGAAAAATCATAATATCATAATTCTTCACTCTAGTTTCTCATCTTCTAAATCTCATAAGCTTCTAATAAAGGCGGACAGGTAAATCAAATCATAGTAGTGTATCGCCCAAAGCACTCCGGACCAGCGAGCATCCCGCGCGGATAGTCTCCGCCGCTCCAACTGACTCCAGACTGGGGTTCACCTCGACCAGATCCATGGCTATAAGATTGCCAGTCTCGTGTACAGCTTCGCAAATGAAGTCACCTTCACGCAAAGTTAGACCACCACGAACAGGGGTGCCGGTGCTAGGCGCCCACTGGGGATCCAATGCATCAACGTCAAAGGACAGATGGATGGGGGTATCGTTGCCAATATGAGCCAGTGCCATCTCAACAACCCGGCCAATTCCATGACTACATCGCAAAGGGTAAACGGTTAGCTAAGAGATAAAGCCAGGTGGAAACGACTGTCAGGGAAGAAACTTACCGATCAATATCGTGCATACTGAAAGCCTTGATCCCGTGTTCCCGAAGGAGCTTTTTCTCCCCACGGTCCACATCACGCAAGCCAATATAAACCAACTTGCGGGTGCTCACAATATGCTCATCCTGCAACCAGCCAAAAATGTCGCGTCTGTCCTCCCGAGCCAGTCGGGTCAAGAACGCCATGGGCATGCCGTGAATGTTGCCGCTGGGGCTCATTTCGGGAATGTTGATGTCGGCATGGGCATCGACCCAGATCACGCCAATTTCACGACCCAGTCGCTCCCGAATAGCCTTCGAAGTGCCGGAGATGGTGCCAATCGCAATGGAGTGGTCGCCGCCCAAGGTGAGCACGAACTTGCCATCCTTAGCGTAGTTGTAGACTTGAGTGCTCAGACGCTCAGTGACGGCGCTGACGGCTCGGGGCTTCTTCATGTTCCGGTGATCAGGGTCTTCTGCTGGGATGTCTTTTTCGTAGTAGTGGACGATGTTATCGTGGTGAATGGTATATTCGAGGTCCTCGCGGAGCTGGGTGAGGAGTCCAGCTTCGATCAAGGCCATTGGAGCGGCCTCAACACCCTTTTTCATCTATTGCAAACATGCGGATTAGTATTTGTCTCTGACGCGCTCGCTTTTCTTTCTCATCTTCTGGGCTGGATCTTGCTTACCTGGCCGCCATTGAATCCGACCGCAACCACGCCTAGTTGGTCAGGTTGTGTGAGGAAACGCGAGGTAATAGTAGATGGTTGCGTCATTGTGTGTATGAGATAAAGACTGGAGCTTGAGCTTTGAGAAAAGAAAGCACCAAAAAAAAGGTAGAGATTCCCAAGGGAGAGAGCGATCCGTTGGCTGGATGACGGATGATCTGCGATAAGATGGAGTGGATCGGAGGGGCACAATATGGTGGATAGGGAAAGGGATATTTGATTGAATTGAAGAAATTGATTTCACAAAAGGAAATGAAGACAACTTTATACCTTTTTCTCTTTTTCTCTTGTCAATCTCTTTCTAATATTTTCCCCCTCCTTTTCCCCCCCAATATATGGAGAATTCCACTTTGCCGTGTTCGCATCGGTAAAACCTGCACTTAGGGATCATTTGCACTCCGCCGAGTTCTCCATACTTCCGTTAAGTACAGGTTGAGGAGAGTTGCCCCATTTAAGGTCCCGAAATGTTCCACTACGTTACAATTGGATCTTGGCATTTTTCTCTTTATTTGCCTTTTTCTTTTTCTTTTTAAACAAATACAAGATACTTCCAGAGCACTCAACAGCATCACAACATGATGCAAACAGAACAAACCGCGGTGAAGTATGGCAGAAAATGGACCATCCAGAGACCTTCAGTACACAACCCCACGATCATTGCGCCTGTTGTGTCTCCTTCTGTCTTCTCGCCAAGTCATGAATCTTTAACATCCCGGGTTTGGCTACACATCTGCACCACATTCAGTTCCTTGCTTCACCGAGATTGCTGTACTCCCGGGAGTTTCATTCCGCCATGTCTTCCGCAGTCCGCCTATCTGATCCTCGCTTCGCAAGCAGATACCAGAGCGCTCTGTGATCCCGCCCCCTGCGCTTCTGACGTTGCTCACCTTCCTTTCAGAGTTCTTCCCCATGAATTCACTCCGGATCCATCTCGTCGAATTTGCTCGGCACTTTGCTTCGATGAACTTGCTAATGGTGGGGACTTCTCCGCTCTGGATCAACTTGTCGAAGTGCAGTGGCTGTGCAAGGCCTTTCTCACTTTCGGAAAGGCGCAGCTGACGACCTTCAAAGACGACGGTTGTCCATTCGCCCGGTATATCTAAAACATGGTGCTATTAATTCTTCCTGACGGTAAAATGCTGCGCAGTATTCGGAAGGCATGCAACCAAAGCTGCCGATGTAGGAGTAAATGCAAAGATGACGAGCGATTTAGTTTCAAAGCGGCAGATGTAAGGTAAAATGAAGATTTAAAGAAAGACATATTTCAGGCAGTTTATTTGAGATACCAACATCCTGCCGAATTTCTTCAGCGCATCCAGTAGGCTACTCACATCTTCAACCTCAAAAGTCTGACACATACTGCATGGCTGAATACATGTTGAAACTTTGCAGACGCTCGGGCTTCAATGGAGACCAAGACTCCGATAACAAGGGCAGAGTACAAATAACCACCGGGGTTAAGATAGTAAATCCGTCTTCTCTTTACCCCGTCAAGCCCATCCCGACTGGGATTCGCTTCATAGCATCACCACCCTCTTTTAGAACTCATCCCGCTTTTTTTCCTTCCAATGGAGGGCTTTGATCTGTGTTATCTACCTTCGACATCATCCCCATGGCCAAAATCGTCTTCATTACCAGTGCCAACACGGGCATCGGCTTCGAAATCGTCAAAGCACTAGCTGCCTCTGATCAATCCTACATCATTCTTCTGGGGGCCCGGTCGCTGGATAAGGCGCAAGGTGCTATTGATACCGCTCAGGAGGACTTCCCCGATTCAAATAGCCAGTTCTTTCCCATCCAGGTGGATATTGAGTACGATGATTTAATCAATCGCGCGTTTCTCGAGGTACAATCGAAGTACGGCAGGGTGGATGTCTCATCAACAATGCAGGTGAATAATGCATCTTCTCAATCAAAACTCCAGAAGATTTCTAACGGCGAAAGGGGCCCAATTCGACCAGCAATTCGCATCAGGACAGCTAGGGGCACGTGAGATGTGGAACCATACCTGGAGTGTCAACACCACAGGCACACAGATTCTGACTTACACATATGCTCCTCTATTGCTAGAAAGCGCGGACCCACTTTTGCTCTTCATCACGTCGCGCACTTCGACGTTGGCAGGCACCGAGAACCAGACGCTGCCGGTCAATCGAGTGGCGGCTAAAGGCTGGCATAAGACGTGATTCAGTGTGCCAGCATACAGCAGTGCAGAGACAGGCCTGAACCGGGTCGGGATTTTGGTCCCCGAGTAGTTGATTTCCGGTTCAAATATCCTAATCCAGCCTTCTGACAGGTCCCCACGAATATCGTGAGGGACCCGACATTCACGATCACATACCCCCGTCTACACTAATACACAGGATCTAAGCTTCAAACGTTTTATATCCGGAGGTCCAGTCTCTAGGGACTTCAGAGCGATGCCAAATGCCATCGAGGTTAATGCTAGACTTCCTATAAGGACTCCAGCAGGTCACCACGGGTACTCTGATCTTATCTGAAGAGACTGGTCGGTAGATATCGGCGTATACGTGAAGCCCATCTCGTAAAGGGATTGATGTGTCACGGTCCACAACGGAGTGAATTAACGTTTGCTCCCGTCCCTCCTCTTTAACATGGCCCTTTGGCAGGACGAAGCATTTAGGGTCGGATTGATCATTGAACGGTTTATATTTCGGGTGTGCCCCGACTGGCCAAGGCTTGACAAAATTAAGGTCAGGGGACCGAGACATGATCCTTTAGGTGGTGGTCATTGCGCAGTATGGGCGGACCCTGAGATTTGACCCTTTCGGTAGCTATATCGTTCTCCTCTAGGGTAAGATGCGAGCTAGGGCCATCGAACACAAGATAGCGCTTTTCGTCCTTCTTCGTACAATATATAGTAATTTCGATAAAAGAATCTAGCCACATAAGGGCTAATTCATCGCTGATCCAGCCAGATAGTGAGGTTTCCACTATCGTATTGTGTAGTAAGATCTTACTACCGTGAAACCAGCTCTCTATAAAAAAACCCGCCGCTTTCAAAGAGAAACAGCGCGACCATAGGCTAGCCAACGCCAGTGATACATTCAACAGCAGTAATATTTTTACCTCGCTCTGTCTCAGCAAGCTTAGGGTAATAAATCTGATCTAATCACATTACGTGATTTACCCTCACGAGGGCAAAAACCACGCTCATCAAAGTTGTATACTAGCCGCGCGGGGATACTTCTCAAGAGATTACCTAAGAAGATCATACCAGTGAGCTAGTAGGCCTGTATCTCCTGCTTGGATATGCTTCGATTCCTTCGTTCACTGCTTCACAGGGCCTAGTTTTAGAGCTTTTGGAAGACGTTGCGTAAGTGATTCGCCCACATCCTGCTGACCTTCTGATCAGGCTTACCAGCGCTTGCTAGCGCCCGATTCGCCTAAGCCTCTAGTAGTCCTGAAGGCGCTGACATATTACAATCACGCAGTCGACCTAGCCAGCATATCAGAGCTTCCTACTGGTAGGTTCTAAGTCCTTATTAACCGGCTTCCTAGTAGTACTAGGCTGGTGACGGTTTTGCACTTGATATAGAGGATTTGCCGGAGAACGCGAAATTGACGCGCAAATTTACAGATATTCGGTTTTATTTGCATCGGGGGGCTTCGCAAGCCTCAATCATGCGATCCTCAGCATATTTAGTGGCTTTAGACATGTGAATGGGAGATATCGCTTCAGAAAGAGTAGTAATGGGTGTCTTGAGAAGAATGGCAAACCTTATGTTTTTGGAAAATGCGGTGTGGGTGGGCCAAAAGGCACAGATAAAGACTATGGGCATAGAAAAGACTAGTTCCACAACTCCAATTCTTTCCGGCCTCTGCTATCACGACGTATGGTACATATCACACATTTGTGACGTAAGTAGCATGCTACTCCCCCGGAGGAGCATCAGGATCAGGGTTGTTGAACCAAGAGCGCCAAGTTACACCACTGACGGTACCCTCCTGTCCGGTCGGTTCCAAATTGAGAATCTGAATGACGTTATCTCTCTCTTGCATCCAGACACCTGGCAGATAATAAGATTGCTGTGGCCCAATCGTCCAGTAACGACCCAGATTGTTGCCATTGACCCAGATCACACCCTTGGTCCATCCTGGAAGTTCCAGCCAGGTATCGCTGATGGTGTGGAGGTCAAAAGTTCCAGTGTAGAATATGGGGCTCGATGAGGACGAGATGTTGGTCGGTGTACTAGCGCGAGATGGTTCGGCCATTCCCCTATCCAAGGGAAGCGTGTATACATCCCAGCCAGTCAAGGTATTACCTCCCACAGTCACATCACCGAAGATGCCCTTTGTTTGATATGGAATGTCCGAGCCAAAATTCACACGGCCCATGTTCTCGTTTAGGACATCCAAGACATCGCCAGAATTTAAGGTGACAGATAAATTTTGTTGTGCGTTGTTAGGGTACCGACTGTCAAACACGCCTTGCCGCACACCATTGACGTAGACGATAATTCGGTCCTTAGCCGCGACACCTGGTTGAAGCAATCCACTATAGGACTCGTTTACATTGGTCCGGTACAACGTGAATCCATACCATTGACCAAGTGCCTCCATGTTTGTTGGTGAATTCATATGTTGGGGAGTAGGGAGTCCATCAAATAGGTAGAAAGACGGCTCGACATCAATCTGTGGAATTGAGATCATTGGCTCAATGTGTGGAGCATCAGGCAAATGGCGTGAGAAAGGGCCAAGCGTCTGACGAAGGGCATAGTAGATATCATTGGGTCGGCCTGATTCGTCGAGAGGAGCGCCATAGTCGTAACTGGTAGTAACAGGTTCAGTTCCATTGCCAAAATCCGAGCCACTTTGAAACCCGAAGTTTGTACCCCCATTGAACATATAGATACTAAAAGAATCACCACTAGTCACAGTGCTCTTGAGTATTGATTGGGCATTCTCAATAGCTTGGGTATTGTTGACGTCTGATTCATGCGCTGCGTATGGGTCCCACTTATCAATCCAGGTAATATAGTACTCGCCATCCAAGTTGGGACCCTGGCTGCTGACGTTAAGATAAGAAGATCGGCTTTGGAAACTGGGTAATGGAGTTGTTCCATCGATCTCCGCAAGAACACCAGGGATTGAACCGGCCTGTAAGGAGCTCTGTGAACTTCCGTCATTCGTATAAACGACAACACCACTACCAGCAAAGCTGGCCTTGAACTGTGCTGCAAGAGCATCTGTATATGAGTGATCGTCGCTATAGAATCCGTATTCGTTCTCAATCTGCACCATGATGATGGGGCCGCCATTGCTAATCATCATGGGGCGCAGCCAGTCGGCCAACCAGTTGAGCCAGGACTGGGTCCGATCCAAGAATTGTGGGTTTTTAGAGCGCACCGTCATGTTGTCAATGTTGTTTAGCCAGGCTGGGAAGCCTCCCCACTCGTGCTCGCCGCAAATATAAGGCCCAACACGGAGCACAACCTGCAAGCCGGCTTCATGTGCCTCCTGCGCATAGGCATAGATATCGTTGTTTCCGTTGGTATGGTATACGCCCGGTTGATCCTCGATATTGTTCCAGTAAACGTAGCCAAATATGGTGTTCAGGCCCATTGCACATGCCATTGCAAGACGTTGCTTCCAATATTGCCATGGAACACGCTGGGGATCCATTTGGCCACCGATAATTTGAAAAGGTTCGCCATTGAGGAGGAAACTGGTTGTATTGTACGTGAATGAATGTGCCAGAGCTGAGCTTGCATGGGCGAAAGCCGCCAGACCAAGAGAGAGTGTGGTAAAAACCCGCATCGCTAGTGTATGTTCTAAAGCGAATTGAGAAGAAGCATGTGTCGGTTTTTTCTCACATTGCCTTCAAATGGGGTGGATGACATGCACTTATATTTCCTGTCCTTTTTTGGGTTCATAGCAGGTTTCGATTCTAAACTCCCCGCTTTAATCTGAGAGGCGCCGGAATTAATCTGAGATCGACGCCCCTCAAGAGAATGACACCTCAGATGCGGAGAAATATTGAGAATCCTCCAGACCGAGTTTGAAATGTCCGATGGTAGCTTCTGATGACGTTCACAGCGATGGTGGCAAAGGCCAATGAATCGTCCGACCCAATATAATAAATATGCATTGACTTTGCAATGCTGTTGTCGTGGGGGAAATATGGATAAATATGCCCGGTTTTGATCGAAGAAAATTACATCGATCTCAAGAGATGGGCTTAGTTATGACTCCATATTCATGTCCCTGGTCAGCTTTAGTTTCTGGATAGTCTGATGCCTATCTCGTTGCACGAACCTCCCAGATCAAATTTTCGGGGGGGGGGGGGGGGTGTGGGAGCTTTTGCTCACGAATCGTATGTCTTTCATAGCCCCCGGGCTCATTATAGATAATAAACTTCATTAATAACAATAACAATAACAATAACAATAAAAATCAGAAAAATAATAATAATAATAATAATAATAATAATTCGAATTCAACAACCAGTTCGTATTACGGTTCAGCGATACGGCGGAAGAAACGGGCCCGCCAGGAATGTGGACACGCTTGAGTCCGCATTTCCGATAATTCTCCGCAGATTTAGCAGGTCTCGAGTCACCGGGAAGGTATTTAATGGGAGATGCACGGTATAACAGGGGTATTAAACCCTAATTTACACTAGGGCAATTCAGAGGTTGCAAAGCTCCCGAGTAGTCTTCTTCATTACCCAAGTCTGGATATCCGGACCCAACCCGGCCCAGTACCCAATTGGGTCGGGTATTAGGGCCAAACTTTGGACCCAAATTGAGTCCTGAAGAAGCCTACTCCCGGGCACCTACCCCGATATCGAGTGACTTACGGACAAGCATCGTCGAGCGTTCGGCCCTGGTAATCTCTGATGTAGACGAAACAGGTAGCTGATAATGGGTGTAGACTTTTTCAATTACTAGATCTTCTCCTTCATTCTTACTCTTCTCTATCAGACAAATTATCCAATATAACCCATAGTATGGGCTGATTAACGATCAGACCTTCAAGTGAGGGGGTTATTCCTGCTTTAATACCCGCTTCCGGGGTAGCTAAAAGTATATATATATCCTGCGCCTCTGATATTATTCTGCTTTATTAGCTTCTTCCCATAGATAGTCTATACGTGGGCTTCTAAGATATCGTTCTCTAATTAGGATAGTATGACCATATACGCTCAGATGTCGGATAACCAGCCCGATAATAATGGAGGAAAGGAATCTTCTATAGGAATTGATCATTATTTAGGAACTACAGTAATTCAGACTAGGTTTAATTCTAGATAATGGAACTCGATCAAACAAATAAATATAATATATAATGAGAGATTATGCGAGATATCCTTTATATAGATAACATTCGAATGAACATATCACGCCGAGTTTACTAGGTGTACTGTATTCACCACTATATAGATACCTTAGTGACCGTTGAAAATTAGAAATACGACTTTTTAGAAATTAGCGGGTATAGCCCATCTACCCCCTCTCTCTACAACGTTACATCGAAAGAAGGAGATAGGGCTCACCGGAGATATAAGGCTTGGCGTTCTAGCTGAGATAAGAAGGTTATTAGTTCCAACTTCCGTAATAAATAAAGCATTAAGGCCGTCCAAACGAACCGACTTTAAATCCCCCCAAGATGACGTCCACGTACTCCGCAAATTTTAATTTAAGAATCCTATACAACAAGCTAGAAATCAGACTAATAGTCCTATGGCGTACCCACACCGCTTGGGTATTGCGGTATGGGTACGCTATAGGACTATTAGAGTAAGTTTCAGACACCGTGCGCATAACATGAATCGAGCGGAAGACCACAAAGTATGGAAATGGTCAATAGCTCCAACTTCCATATTGCACCTCGTACCAGTTCCCATCTGTCACCACGGATCCAGGCTCCAAACTTTGGAACCTGACTCGCGCGATTTGGACTAGGTGATGAAGTCTACGCGGTCGTAGATTTTACAATGGACAGGCCTCACTCCGCTGATGCATAAACTTATGTGCCGTGCAAGAACTTGGAGCGGGAGAGGGGCCTTCTTGTCAAGCGCAACGCCGTCTTGCTAAGATGTCGACGTACAGTATTCCAACGCCCTAATGACAGCCAGAGGCCGGCTGCCGGTTCTCGTCTATTAGGCCGATGCTTGGTCCTCCATGGTGGAAAGTTAGTTTTGCTTTAGAGACTTTTGTTAACAAATAAGTGAGGATAGCACCTTGAACAAAATAGGCAGCTGTCCGGAGTAGTGCCGACGCGATGCAACCATGTGGCTTGCAAGGTGAGATGTAAATTGTTTGTAGTCGAGAATCGACAACCCCTTTTCTTTTCTCCTTCTCCCGGCGGCGTATCGACAAGAGCACGGCGCAGCCAACACCAAACACCGAGATGCACGTCTCGATCTGCGTTCCCCGATGCGGCAAGGATGCGCGCGCCAGGAAATGCTCCAGGCGCTGTATCGACCACTTCCGCGTTCTCCGCCAGGCAGTGTTCTGTTCTAGACCGCTCATTTGAAAAGCCCACATTGCCGGGGCCCATGCGTTTAATGCCATCAGGAAAGTCGGCTCTAACGCGGAAGACGGGTCAGATTAGTCAGATAAGCGCCGCGTGTGCTGTGTATACTAGACACAAAGGCGTTATTTAGTCATTCTCACAATCAGTGATGGTCGTCTCTCAAAAATGGATACTGTCGCACGCCTTGACACTGTGGGACTTAGGGTTACTTCGTTGACCCACCATCGGGCCAAGATTGTAGCATCTTGATTGCCTTCTTCCAGGACGAGGTTCTCCGGGGCAAATCTCCGTGGAGGACAGTGATTTGCGGGACACAAACAATGATAGGTTTGCTAGGGGGGCCACTGTGGCTAATTACGGAACATGAATAGGCGAGCCGGTAAGTTTAACGTGGTCGTTTGAGCACTTCAAGGGAATTATAGAGTATTGGTAGCGATTATGTGGGGAAATTATGGCCTGAAATCCGAGTCCGAAAGTTTTGCTCCGACTTTTCCCCACAATGTAGCACCTTCGAAACTCCGCCGTCCAACCATTGGTACACAGCGGCACGGCTCGATTGCATCCATGTTACTAGCTTATGTTTTAATTGCCGTGTCGCATGCTTGGCTCGGCACTACTTTCACAGTTATGTCACCCTGAATTTTGTAGAAAGGGCCCTGGGTACCATTTGGCGCCTTCTGCCGAGCACAGGGGCCCTCGCCAATCTCGGGTCATGGGGTTTTGCATTTACCTAGAAGTCCGAGCGGATACTGGGGCTAATATGAGGGGCCTCGAGACAAAGCAAATTTGTCTCGGTTCCTTCGTGAAAGAGAGACTATAAAAAGGGGACAGGGGTCCCGTATTCGATTCAAGGTCTCGATACATCAGAGCTTCCAGCTCCTTTCCAATGCACCTTTTTTTCTCTGTTTTGGCAACCACCACGGCCGTCCAAGCTTATAGCTTGGGGAGTGCTGGGTGGGATGCAGCTTATTCGAAAGCCCAGAGAGCATTATACAGGCTCAATCAGACTGAAAAGATCGGTATCGTGACTGGTGTGACTTGGGAAGGTGGACCCTGTGTCGGCAACACATACTCTGCCGAGTCAATTGGCTACCCATCCTTGTGTTTGCAGGATTCACCACTTGGTATTCGAGACGTGAGCCCCGTCACGGCTTTCCCAGCTGGTATTAATGCCGGTGCAACATGGGATCGCAGTCTGATGTACGCCCGCGGCGCTGCAATGGGAGCCGAAGCCAAGGGGCTAGGTGTCAATGTACAACTGGGACCAGTGGCAGGACCCCTCGGAAAGAACCCTGATGGAGGCAGAATCTGGGAGGGCTTCTCTGTTGACCCTTATCTGAGTGGTGTTGCGATGGAGGAGACGATTCAAGGCATGCAGACCTCTGGCGTTCAAGCGTGCGCCAAAGTATGTGACACCATCTAGTACGTGTTGAAACTTTCTAATCAGATTAACAGCACTGGCTTGGAAACGAGCAAGAACACAACCGAGATACTATCAGCTCTAACATTGGCGATCGTGCGGCGCATGAGCTGTATGTATGGCCATTCATGAACGCCGTGAAAGCAAATGTCGCTTCTGTCATGTGCTCGTACAATCAAGTCAACGGAACATGGGCCTGCGAGAGTGATGCCATTTTGAACAAGCTTATGAAGGACGAGCTCGGTTTCCGGGGCTATGTCATGAGTGACTGGAACGCACAGCATACTACTGTTAACAGCGCTTTGGCTGGACTTGACATGACCATGCCTGGAAGTGACTTCAATTCCCCACCCGGTAGCATCTTCTGGGGAGCGAATCTGCAGAAAGCTGTTGCCGCTGGCTCGGTGTCTCAGGCGCGTCTGGACAATATGGTCACTCGAATTCTGGCGGCCTGGTATCTCGTTGGTCAAGATGAAGACTACCCTGAGGTAGCCTTCAGCTCTTGGAATGGTGTCAATGCCAGCGTGGATGTGACTGATGACCACGGCTCTGTTGCCCGCGTTGTGGCCCGTGATTCGATAATTCTGTTGAGGAATCATGACAAGGTCTTGCCCATTACCAGACTGAAGAGCCTGGCTATTATTGGCTCGGATGCCATCGTCAATCCAGAGGGACCCAATGCGTGCAGTGACCGCAGTTGCGACAATGGCACGTTGGCCATGGGTTGGGGTAGTGGTACCGCTCAGTTCCCTGTAAATGATGATCGATTTTGCGCGTAAACACCAAAGCTAACTTGCCAAACAGTATCTCGTCGGTCCCCTCGATGCAATTCTGGCACAATCCGAGAAGACCGCCACCAAGGTCATTCAAAGCACCACCGATGACACTACTGCGGCAGCCAAAGCTGCAGCGGCAGCCGAGACCGCAGTGGTTTTCATCAACTCCGACTCTGGCGAAGGGTAAACAAGACCTCTAATATGAACCAGGTGTAGCATGCTAATATTGTGATTTTCCAGATACATCACTGTGGAAGGCAATGCAGGCGACAGAAACAACCTTGACCCCTGGCACAATGGCAACGCACTCGTCGAGGCCGTCGCCGCCGTGAACAAGAATGTTATTGTTGTTGTGCACAGCGTTGGACCCGTGATTCTTGAAACAATTCTCGCCCAGCCGAACGTCAAGGCAATCGTTTGGGCCGGAATTCCTGGTCAGGAAAGTGGAAATGCTTTGGTCGACGTGATGTACGGTTCCGTTTCTCCCAGTGGAAAATTGCCCTACACGATCGCCAAGCAGCGCAGCGACTACGGCACCGGCTGGACAAATGCCGAGGTTGATAATTTCACCGAAGGTCTTTTCATTGACTACCGCCACTTCGACGAGAGCGGTCTCGTCCCTCGCTACGAGTTCGGCTATGGACTTTCGTATACGACCTTCGCTTATAGCGCCATCGGTATCCATGTCTTTGCCACTTCTGGACCATCAAACGGACCCGTCGTTCCAGGTGGTTCGGCTGAGCTTTTTGAACCAGTTGGCACTGTCACGGCACTCATTCGGAACAGTGGTTCAGTCACTGGCTCCGAGGTTGCGCAGCTTTACATTGGTCTTCCGGATTCTGCTCCTTGGACCCCACCGAAGCAGTTGCGCGGGTTCCAGAAGCTGAAGCTCGCAGCTAAGCAATCGACTTTGGCTTCCTTTGAGCTTACCAGACGTGATCTGAGTTACTGGGATGTTGCGACACAGGCATGGCTCGTGCCTAGCGGTACATTCAAGGTGTATGTTGGTAGCTCAAGTCGGGATATTCGCCTGCAGGGTACTTTCACTGTTTAAGGGTGAGCCCGGAGATAACCGGAGCACATATTCTATGATTGATAAATATTAAAACTACAAGTACCTGAAGCAAAATCTACCGGAGATGCTATCTGTATCAAGAAGTGAGTAAATTCGGGGTAGCCAGCCCATCGTCATGGGTCGGGGTAGACCCTTTTTCCAACGCGCTATTTGTGCCTCGTATTAGCGCCCCCCACCTAGCGGTGAGAGTGCGCCTGAGTGGTAGCCTAATCCTAAGCGATAGCCTAAATTTGATACGATGCATATGTTGAAGCGGGGGCGGCTCGGTGGCTGTCTGACTATGCAAACTGGGCGATACCAGCAAGAGAACACCACCACTCCCATGACCACAGCGACGTAGGCCAGAGGGTTGCCATGATAGATGCACCGCGATTGATCCTTAGTGCCTTATCATGAATGAAAGAAAGGGTGGAAACCGGGGTGAAATTGAGTAATTGTCTGATCTATCTCTAATTCCATGATGGGAATACAGGTCACTTTTCCAACTGCTGGATCCAACTCTTCCCGGGAATTATTGCTCAATCAAGATTTATCTGCTTGACCCACACTACCGCATCTGCTCATTCAGAAATGCGCCGCCGCAGTAGCATCACTGGTGGATCAGGAAGCGAGCTAGGTCCTCGCTATAGCGGGGCTGCCTCACTGACTGGTGGATGAGATCTTCCGTGGCACGGATGACTGGCAAATGGAAATGGAGGAGGGTACATAGCATCATCAGAATATCATCAGAGAGCATATCTAGAAAGAGGTTTCTAGGCTGGCGCGTATGTCTGCTCCGGGATTTTCATACCAACCGGCGACATGTTCATGGCGCTAATGTGGAATGAACTTGCACGCTAGAGAATTTTTCACATTCTATACCCCATCCTAGCGATACTTTAACACTATTCCCACAACCGGGCCCCGCGATATTCGCCCTTTGCAATGCACTTGAAAGAAGGGTCGGGGGTTTTACAGATGATTGGTCATCATCTACATAGAAAGCATATCTCCTATATCAGTCGGTTAGCGAGGTATAACCTCGTAAACATTCCCTCCCTTCCCACTCTCCCTGCAAGAGGGTGATAGTTTCCTACATTAATCTCACAGATAATCTTGGTCATATCCTCAAACTTATCATATTCAGCTTTGTTCGGGTCATTCTCTGTGAGCGCGCGACGCGCGGTAGCCGCTTTCGCGAAGTCCTCGTCATCTATCAGTCCACCGCCGGCGACCAAGTCTAAGAGAACCATGGGGGCGGAGAGCTTCTAAAACGTTTTTCGATTCTGCCGCTAATCCCAGATTTTCATAGCTTACCTACGCTGTATCTGCCTTGCTAAGAGCATGTGCAATCGCTCGCGAAACCACATCTCCAAGGGGGTCATTTTCTTATCGCCCAGCTCACCAATGCAGTTACTCAATTGTCTAAAATTGATGCTAAGGGCTGAGAGGGGACAGTCGGTATTGATCAAACATGGATGGTCATACAAAATCAACACCCATTCTCGATGACAACAAGCATGATGGGATTATGTCACGGGCCTGCTCCAAATTCTTCCAGAATGTGCTTAAGCCGTTCATCTTGTTTGTGTTTTCCCAGCATTTCCATCTTCCAAGTTCTCCATTCTGTGTCCTTTTCGACGCCAAATGCAGCTTAGATGCCCCGGACTAGTAGCCGTGTTTCTTCCCAAGGGATATCCACGTCAAAACCAAAGAACAATCTTCATAATCTTTCTTTCGTGATATCATCCATACCAGCTGCCCCCTTAGCTTTCAGGAAACGAGCTGATGTCAGATCATGAACAGTCAAGGACGACATGCCATTATAAATGCTGGCCATTTGTGCTGTCGCCAAAGACGGCCCAAATGCTTCATCAACTGGGACGACTCGAGTCATTTGCCAATCTATGATTCCAGTAATATTCAACTCATCGTCCACCATCAAGTGATCTCCCTTATCGTCCACGTGCTTGAGGTAGAATTGCTCCGTAACTTCCACTGAATTGTGTCCCGGCTTCGCTGCCAGAGTCTGGAGCTGAGAGCAAGTATGCAAATACTAAATTGGCATTTGCAGTAAAAAGTGCGAAAAGCTGGCCGTCGGAAATGAGGGCCATTTTTTGCTCCACGAATGAAGTGTAGTAGTCCATGAATGTGCTAAAAGGCCCCGAAGGACTCAGAGAAAAAAAACTCTCACTAGCAATAGCAGAGACTATTGGCTCGGAAGGCGAAAGGCCCGGGAGGAGAGACCCAGCCTCGGAGAATGGATTACTCGAGCTCAATCAGAATATCTGGGAGCTAACTCCGGACCGATGGCGGATCCACCCGCGGGAGGGCCCGAGCCCCCTCCCACAAACACCCAAGAAACCCAAGCCAGCTTCTCAGTTGAGATTTCCAGCCTCGAGTATCGATCGACGCAGGCCAGATCATAGGGGAAAGATCGAGAAATGGTGAAGCTCATACACCCACCGAGGGCACAGGCTGGATTACCACCAGAGAAGTATTGTCTTCATTCTTTCCCAGCATCAACATTTACAATTTTCACCGAATGCTCGCCTTTTCTTCTGATCTAGTTTACCTTATCATGGTACTTAGCTCAAAGTCTTCTGGGCAATGCGATCCACTCTCTTACCCAGGATCATGAAGGATAGCAAAGACTGCCACCGGGGAATCCAGAGAAACCATGAGGAGCTCCGGAACCAGAGCCGAGAGATTGAGAATTGCGACCAAGTCGAAGATGAGAGGGCTTAAGCTCCACTGCAAGGTTGAAGTTGGCCTGTCACTGACGAAAGAGAACGCGTCTACTTTCGAGAATCCAAGAAGCCAGACCACGACGAAATGCGATGCGAATGCTGACCACTCTACCACGCTTTCGGTTTATGCATACACCTAACTCAGGAGCACAGAGTTTCCCACATGCGTCCCAAGTCCATGATCTCTTGTGGGGACATAGACTGCATGAGCTCAGCACCTCTCTGCTGGTTACAATTCACCTTTTCCCAGATTGCAAGGTGGCCAAGGCAAGTTGAAGTTGATTATAGCACGACCAAGCCTTACATAGCCGATATGTTGTGACACACAGGTATCAAACTTCCTTCAAGTTCTGACCCACCATATACATCATTTCGTTCCCTTGGACTTCCTTGGTTCTTGCTTCGTTTGCCTCCAGCTAGTAGACCCTATAAGCCGATCCATCGCGAGTTCCGTCTTTCACGATCTCGATTATCTCTCTGGCACCGGAGTCGTCTTCAACAAGGAGTCCCATACTTGTTTAGTCGAATAGCAAATGAATCCTATGAAGCTCGCTGCAAATTACGAAACAACAAGGCAGGAAAAAGTTGATAAAATGGTGACATCAACAATCAAATTCCCTCGCCATGATGCCGCCAGTCCTGTGTAATTGCACCCAAATTGTTAGCAAGGGAACGATTTCTCGCGGGCCTCCCTTTGGATGATATCATTTGAACAAAACAACCTAGGCAATGTGAGTGTCTTCTTCTCAATGTTTGTCCAGAGATCTCCTCTCTCCACTATATACCTGACTAGTCCAGTAGGCTGCCGCCATATCCATTCCATGTATCCGATAGCTCTACGGTATGACTATAGGAACTCAGAAACATACTATAGTCAATTCTAAATCGTAGCTTTGAATGATTCAAATGATTTGTGGTCGGATGCGCTTGTAATAGGGTTGAAACCAGACTGATTTCATAAGACTATTCTTGCGAGGTTGGAGTCAAAGCTACTTAAGCAGGACCATATGATATGGATCCAATAGGAAATACTAACTTGCTATTGGAGTATAGATTGCTTTTATGAATCAACCTCTTTGGATATCATTCAAAAACCCGGTTACCCTCTGCACTAAAATGCGCCTTGGTTCTGCTTGGTCCGGGTCACTTAACTGATGGGAGGCATTTGGAATAACCAAACTGCGCGAATCCCAAAACTCCTGGTCACCGGCATTGATAGCTTTCTCCCACCGCTGGAGAAGTGCACCCTTGTTGACCCATGGAGGAACGGACTGGTCTCGGCCCGAATATAATACTAAGAGCTTCTGATTGAGAAGTGCTCTGGCACCAACCATTCCAAAGGTCTCCGCAAGCCGTTCGTCGCTCAGGTCTGAACTGAACAGATCATCTTCATCTGGCTTCTCTGGACTGTCGGGGCTGGTCAAGCTCAAAAATCGGCGGCTGCTCACCGGTGTTGAGTTGCCATATCCAATTCTGCCAGTCACTGACAATGGAACAAGAGTATCCACGGAATCACCGTCCTCGTATGTCTTGTTTCGTGCTTCTTCGACCGCCTTGTTGTAAATCTCACGCATCTCTGCAGGGCTGTTTCGCTCGGTCCCGTCCTCCAAAACCTGAAGAATGCCTTCACGATCGGATACAGGGGATTGCATAATAGCTCCATCGATGGGGCCACGAATGATAGGCTTCCAATCGCGGTCGAGGATGGGATGTGCCGGTCGGGGGTTCGGGCAATTAATGTAGTGCATTACATCTTGGCAGCCCGTGGAAGAACCCATAACAACCACTTTTCCAGTCCCGTAGTGTGGTTCCTTGTATCCCCGAATATATTTCACACATTGCGCAATCTCGTCGATATCTTGGCCTAGTCGGCCCATGCCCCAGCCTCCGTAGGAACAGCTCAGGGCGAGGTTGAAAATTGTCCATTCAGTTCCCTCCAGTGCCGATGCCAGATCAGCAAGATATTCCACGGTGCCAAGGCCATCGCCCAATCCACCGACAAAAACAAGGGTATGTGGTTTGCGGGGGGAACCACGGGTGTGTTCGAAGGCGACAAGACGGGGGGTCTGCACATGGCCAAATATTAGTATGTCAAGTGCATTTTGTAGACAGTGGTGACTCACAATATGGTGCAGAACACCCGGCTGGCCACGGGCCAAGGAGCTAAGAGGCTTGATTTGCATAGTGTGGGCGGTTCCAAGGTTGTAAGGATGAAGCCGCGGAGTAGGATCAGATAAGGCGGTTAATCAGATCAATCACCGATAACCGGACGGGATCGGAGGAAATTCGGGGAAGAACGGGATTATTTCATGCCTTAATTACCAGGTGTCGATGAGTTGATGGTACATGTTAACTCGCTAAAATCGTTCCAACGACCATAGCTAATGACAACATCAATTTATATCCCAAACAATACTACCGGAACTTACTCAATGTTTGAAATAACATGGAAGTGGTTCGATCCCATATCAAAAACAGGTGCCACAGGCAGCACTGTAGCAGTGATTCTTGGAATTGACAACCGGCTGGCTGTATTTTCCTGTCCTCGAATCCCTTGATCATGAGGACGTGGATCCCATTAGGATCAGGCCAACTGTTTGTAGGGGTCGCTAAGGTATCTCCGTGGCATTTCTCATAACAAGGATCCGGGAATCGTGACGAGGGGTACGTGATTCGAAGATATACATGAGGGAGTGAGATCTGACAATACTCGTGCAAAGGATGAAGCATGCACTACTGGAACTGGACACTAACCAACGTGTCATAAGATGATCATTCGTTGATTTAACAACGAGAACTTGCTGAGTACTAAGCACTATTGGTAAATGTGACCGTGTGACTACCTCTACTGACCTGACTCATGTTGGACTGTGCACTCAAAAAATGATGGCAAGTCATCATCTTGATGAATTGATTGGACTGACTCGGAGATTCAACCTCAATATTTACGTGCGCAACAGGTCAGCCTGATAGTTTTGATATTCTGAAACACTGCTTTCCGGGATTTGGTTGCAAAGGAACCTCATCCGCAAGGACAAGAAGAAAGACCTCGAATTCAATCATCTCGAAAGTATCGTTTGCCAAGAATAACTCATCCTCAATGACATCGGAACTACCATTAGCGGGCAAATTGCAGCAACTGATCTTGCTCGGAAATGTGAAGGGTTGGGTGAACATAGAGTGAGAGAAAGATTCCCATCAACATAAATGCTCGTCTTCGTATGATAATTCAAAAAGATTGCTAGTTTGCATATTTTTAGCAAGAAAATTGTATAACCGATTAGCCTTGACAAGATCTGATTCAATGTTGGCCAGGTAGAGAACTGCGAGATAGGGAGAGGAGCATGACTTGCGTCCATTCCATTTGCACTGTTCGGCAATGCGATCTTTCTTTTCGTAAGAAGGAGGGAAACCTTGGGCATTTGCCTGCAAGTGTGATCAGATTAGTAATAAATCAAAAGGAAGAAAGACAGAGAAACAGGTCACGACAGGGGTCCTTACCCCGCTTCCTTCCTAAGAGTGCTCTCAGCCCAATGTTTCTTCTCATCTTCAACCCACCAAGTAGAGGAACATGTCACTGCCACAGCCCCTTCCACGTGTTCCAAGCACGGACGAAATTGTTCCAATCATGCAACGTATAATAGAAAAGCAAAATTCCATCCGGAACCTTATCCTCCAAACTACCACCCCAGATACTGCAACATTCAGCAACGTTATGCTTCCTTTGGCTCAAGTGGAGAATGAAGTTCAAGGCGAGCACGGCATGATTGAAATGCTCCAGTATGGATCTCCATCTCTCACAACTCAAGGCGCATTCGACGAGGCCCGGAAGATGTACCTGGAAGCATCGGGACTGTGGACTGCCGATGTATCTTTCTTTAAACTTCTCCAGGCGGCGAAGGAAGAGCCAGGATTTGATTCATTGGACAAAGAGTCGCAACACTTGCTGGAAAAAGAGCTGTTGTGCTATAAGCATGCTGGACACGGTATCTTGAGTGATACGCAGTTAGAGGGGTACCGAACAGTGAGAGTGGAAATTGAGGGTCTAAAAAGGGCATTTCAGCAAAACCTGGCTCGAGAGGCTGGAGGCGTTAATTTCACCGTCGAGGAGCTAGATGGGGTGCCACGTGAGGAGTTAGCAAAATGGAAAGAGGAGATTCCAGGGGCAGGAGTTTTCTTTATTCCATTTGTCAACGGAGGAACTCGAGCTGTGCTGACATATGCTCGTTGTCCGGAGACTCGAAGGAGAATGTTTCTCGCAAACAATCGGAAGCTGAAGGAGAACCAACCGCTATTTGAAGAAATAATCAAGCTTCGTTCTCAACAAGCGCGATTACTGAACTATTCGACGCATGCGGACTTCAGGATCGAGACACGGATGGCAAAGTCTGTGGAATGGGTGAAGGAATTCCTGAATGACTTACAGATGTCACTTGTTCGTTATGGTCGCGAGGAGATTGCAGTGTTGCAAGATCGACGAATGAAGGATTTGCGAACGAGTGAGCACTATATACACAGACTGGAAAAGGGATTTCCTCCATGGGACGAACAGTACTACAAGCGTCTCGTGCAAGAAGAGTTTGAAGTTGACCAGCACAAGGTCTCCGAGTTTTTTCCCTTGGAGCAAACTGCAATTGGCATGCTGGGGATTTTCACCTCTTTGCTTGGACTTCGATTTGATCCTATCCCGACAGATATCTTGACTGGGGATCTCATCTGGCATGATACCGTGCAAGGCTTCTCTGTGTGGGATATGAGCGATAATGGGTTCATCGGATACCTCTACTTTGACTTGTTGTGGAGGGAGAATAAGTATCGTGGCAATCAATGCGTCAATATCCAATGTGTATTTTTTCCTTCAATCCTTCATCTCCTTCACTTCTAATTAAAGGATACAGGGCTATCAGCGGCCGGATGGAACACGGCAATTCCCGTCGACTATTCTCATGTGCTCATTTCCAACTCAAACCGCGACTAGTTGTGCATTGCTCAAACATCATCAAGTTGTCACTCTTTTTCACGGCAAGTCAATAGTCCGTTCAATCGACTTATTTTCATGCAAAACATCTAACAAGGCATCAACATAGAGTTGGGTCATGGGATCCATGATCTCCTAGCAAGGACCAATTACACACATTTCCATGGATACAGATTACCCCCGGACTTTGGTGAGATGCCAAGCACCCTACTTGAGAATTGGTGTTGGATGGAAGATGTTCTCCACCAACTCAGCTGCCATTACACCACCCTTGATGCAAACTATCTCAAGGGATGGCGAGAGCAACACCCTGGCGAGCCGGACCCACCAAAGAAACCCCCGCATGGCTTGATCGAGAATCTCGTGAAACATCGATATTCTCACAAGGGGCTTTACTATTTACACCAACTGTATGTGCACCTTTATCACCATATCAACCATGCGCTCGAGGACTGATGATGCGGCTTAGGTCAGTTTCGATATTTGATTTACAGATTCACTCTGTAAAGACCGATGAGGATATTGCCAACCTCAATATCCAGACTCTGTGGTATGATCTCCGTGAGGAGATAGAAGGGATGGATTTTTCGGATTGCAGAGATGGGTTTGAGTTTGCGTCATTCAGTCATCTCACAGCTGGTTATGATGTGTGCTACTATGCTTACTCATGGTATGTCAGTCCCCTGATGGCACCAAGCACTACTGACAGAACAAGTTGCAACGCCATGGCCCAGGATGTGTTTCTCTCTAAATTTGCGGATGACCCACATAATAAAGCCAACTGGGAAAAGTATCGACGTGGTATTTTGGAGTATGGTGGAAGCCAGAAGGATCTATTGGGGATGTTAGAGGCTTTCCTCGGGCGTCCGGTAAACATGAATGCGCTTGGCGAAAGGTTATCACGGGCGAAGAATCAGATTTAGAGCAAGCCCCTGACAAACGAAATCCGACTAAAGACAGGAAAAAAGGGAGATTGTGAGGACATCTGTGGTTCCTTAAATTGCAGCCGACTGCCTACCCAATTAGATATTTCCAGTACTGCTACTTGAGATGCCGTAGGTAGACTTTTCTAATCCTCAAGATTATCTTCCGTCGGTATCCTGCAAAGGATCTCCTTGAATGTTCGCATGAGTCATATGAAGTTGTATAGAGGCTCGATGTATGTAATCTTCAAATATGATCCAGCTCAGTCTGTATCTTTTCTGGCTCGCGGTCGCCCAAAGAGAATTATCGAGGATAAACAGCTTTGATACTGCTCAAAAGTTCATCGATTGCTTTCCAGAATGCTGAAAAAATCTCAGAAGAATCAATTGCACGTTTAGGAAGTGATCTCCTAAAGTTTGCACATTTACTAGCGCGAAAAATTCGTTGTCTGTTACAATGTATGACAAATATTGCAATAGAACGAATTATAACAGAGTCCGAGCCATTTTCATAACAGTAAGTTATAGTACCGATACCAGTGTAAGATAAAAAGAGTAAATTCCAAAATCTAGTACTACTATCAGTGTACATTATAAGTCATTAGAGTTATTAGTAATAATTAACAAAAAAATTCAGAGCTCAAATCATACATAAGTGTATTTAAATTCAAAAAGAGGAATTGCAATTTGCAAGTTGAAAGAATTGATTTCACGATGATATATATCATGTTCATCATAGGGATCAAGGTAGAGACGATACGTATTCAAGATCAAGGCTTGGTCATTATGCCACAGAGAATCATGATAGATTGCTGGCGCTTGTGACTTAAAGGCTCGTGGTAGAGATTGAGATTCAAATCTGAGAAGTATTCTCATCATTCAAGATGGATATTGAAAAGGCTTGGATTCTTCTTGAGACCGAGAGTAGAGACCGAGGTTGATGTTCACCGTTGAAAATCAAAATTGCATAATTTTGGATTGAGGACTGAAATTCAGGATCTCGGCATATAATGGCTTTGGTTCTGAGATTTATGATTTTCATTGGAGTTGATACTGATCTGAAGGTTGGTATGTGAGATTGATGATGAATTTGACAGTTCCGATTGAAATTGGGGAGTGCGATTGAGCCTGATGTTTGTGATTTTTCATCTGGGAGTTGGAGATCAATAGAAGCATCGATGAAAGTCAAAAGCCACAGTTGCAATCCTAGTCAAAGCTGGTTGAGGCAATTCTAAGCCTTGTCCTGACCGCATGATCTTCTTCAAAAAAGCGCCATCTGTTCAAAATATGGTGTGGGCTGGAAGTCGGAGCCGGTCATTTTGGCAGCACGAACCCGGATTTTTCCTGACCGAGTACTTGAGCTAAGTGAGGAACTCGCAGACCCGCTCAGTGTATATGTCCAAAAATCAATCAACAACGAGGCCAAAGGTTGGAGAGAGACGCGCAAAGGTTGATTTGAGGGGGATGTCGATTGCAATGACCACGATGAAGGTGTGAGCGATGGTAAGGATTTTAGATTTTAAACTATATTGAATGATCAGTATGAAAGACATCCGGAATAATGATGTACAGTAGAGATTGTTTGTTTTCGAAAGGGAATTGTTGAGAGACCCGAAGTGGATAAAAGATCCATGTAAGAGATGCAAAAGCCGATCCCAATGATGGAAGACGGAATTGAGAATTTATAAAATTGAAAATAGAAGAAACTTGAAACTTGGAGAGATGGAATATAGGATGGAGAGCAAATGTTGTAACCGGGAGAATCCGGGAAACATTAAAGTCAAAGTCAAATTTGATGTTGCTATCCTGACCCCATTCTAACTGAACTTTGTCTTGACCTGCAAATCATTTTCGGCGGCATGATACCTGTTCAGAGAGTTGATTTAAACAAACTTGATTTCAATGATGAGTTTTGTGGCTGTTTTGTCCAATGCAAAGAGAAATGGATTGCACGTGTGAGGAAGATAGAGTGGCTTATCAAGCGACGTGAAGTGAATTGGGCAGATCATCTGACACAATTGGCAAATTCAGGACAGCTATTGAGAGCTCATAAGGGATGGAACTTGTGGAAAAAATATCTTGAAGCTCATCGGACAAAGGTAACAAGGTGGTTGATCAGCGTGATGAGCAATTAATTAGTCAAGGAGGCTAATATTGATGGAATGAGAGAACAAGTGTTTGCATTGATGAAAGTGAAGCTCAAGGTTAGAGCTGATGTTCAATGAGCTAAAGGATGTATCCTGAAGTTGGAACTTGAATGGGTGATGATGAAGGGAAAAGAATGGGAGGAGAATGTTCACCACCTACCACATGAACAACCAATCACGAAGCTCACGAGGTCGCCTTCAAGACCCTTGAATATTTACTGGTGCTTTTTTTTGATCTGCGTGTTTGTGTTTCTTGGAATTACGGTATCATCTCGTCACAGTTGATGTCCGAGAGTAGTCTCGCTCAAGGCCGGGGGTTGTCATCCTCAACTCCGTTCACCCCCAAACTTTCCCCAAATGCATCACTTCTATTCTTGAATCAAATCCTCCTACTACTTGAGAGTTTCTGAGGGAGACAAAGAAAATTGGGATGCTCTGATCTACATATTCAAGTTTCACTGCTCCGTGAGTCATCGTTATGATACCGCCTTGCGTCACAGAATCGACGAATGACTCATTCAGTATACAAATTCAAATCATGTTTTGCTGAACTAGATTTTCATCTTCACGGCACTTACAATCGAAAATGGCACCAGGTCCATCTGTGCCTTTCGAAATAAAGTACGCTGATGCATCTGAAATGAGTGCACTTGTGAATATTCATATTCGCTCTTTTTCCTGTTCTAATTATATGCGCAGCACATATAAGGGATGCGATCCGTTGTCAGTTCACAAATTCAAAACAGTCTCTTCCCTCAAATATTTCGCCAAATCCGAGTGCCATACTCTAGCGGGTATCAACTCTGAAGCCGATGATATCATCGCATATAGCCGCTGGAATATACCAGCTACTTATGGGTTCGACAGAGCTGTGAATACAAGTCTGAGCGACTATGAGCAAGCCCAAATACAGAATATGTGGGCATATGCCCCAAAGTTGAACAAGGGCACCTACACACTTTACGAGGAAACGATAAAGCATTGTAGGAACTTGCATCTTAGGGAAACGGATATTGGTTCGTGAGCCACTTTGACACTCTACTTGGAAAATTCGACGATATTGACTGCTAAAAATACTGCTAGTCCTTGAAATGCTGTGCGTCCTACCAGAGTACCAAGGAACTGGAATAGGAAGTGCATTTCTCAAATGGGGTATTGAGAAAGCAGACGTCAGTAACGCCCGGATATATCTTGAAGCTACGATGGAAGGAGTGCCAGCGTATTTGAAACACGGGTGGGAGATCGTCGAAGAGATTGAGCTGGATTACACGGAACGTGGTGGCGAGGGACGTCAGAAGTTCGCATTGATGATTAGAGAACCCCAGGAAACCGGGTTTTGAAATAAGCCTCCCTTCTCCTTGTGTATGTAACGGTCCAAACAACAAATACATCTCCAAGATTGGCCCCCAGCAGAACAAATTTCGAAACATGCACATGTGGCAATTGAGGATTTCTGCCCACATAGAATGAGGCTTAGCCTCTAAGAGCGCGAGAGACAACGTCGGTCATCATCAGTACCTTCTCCTCTTCGAAACGGCGGCCAATTATCTGGAAGCTCACGGGAGCACCGTGGGCCAGCTCTGGGTTGTCTAGGTTCAAAGGTTAGTCAATCAGCCAATTGTGATGAATGAGCACTCATGTCACGCGATGCACTTACATTGACCCTGCACCATCTTATCATTGGGATCCAGAAGCTCGAAGTCGACATACGGCTTGTCAAAGTTCTTGTCGACATAATAGAATGAAGTGGCAGGATAGTCAAGGACATTGGCGAGTAGAGTGCAGGAGTATTTGATACCACCATACTCAGGAATGCTGTATGGCGTGGTAGGAACTGTTGTGATGAGAATTAGTATTTGTATCCCTGAACGGAGGAGCGACAGAAATCTCACTTAAAATACCATCCTGGCCTTCAATTAAGTTCAACTGCTGGAACCACTTCATTCTCAAGTTATCCCGCAACACATGAAGCTTGTGAAGTTCAAAGATGGTTTTGGAGGTGCCCTCCAGAGGAATGTGAGATCAGGTGGTACAGGCTGTCCGGTATTCCCTAGGGCTGTTTTAACCCAGTTGCCAGCATCTGCAAGAAACAGGCCAAATGAAAAATCGACCGCCTCCTTCATCTCTTCCGTGGTCATTGGAAATTCGACGATGTCATGACCCGCAGCCTTCAGTGTTGCCACTGCCCCCTCCAAAGCCCTTGCACGGGTGGCTGAGGGGTCGCGATCCCATCCTTTGAGATCACCGCCAGTTTGAGACTAGCCTTTGGCTCAATGTGGCGCCACTCGATCGGGACGCAGTCAAGATGATACTTCCATGGAGCCCGGTCGGCAAAAATTTGCTGAACAGGATTACATCCTCTAGCGTCTTCGCCATAGGCCCTGGAACTGCTCTAATACTGTCCTGGCCGGGTGTGACAGTGCTGGTCGCAGAGATGGACCACCGTGTGGTGGATGGACGAAGAGTATAGATACCACCGCATGCAGCAGGAACACGGCAAGGGCCACCTGTAGGACATAGAAGACTGATCAGAGGATTTTTAATTGTTTGGTAAATATAGTTCTAGTGTCTGACGGGAACATACCCATGTCGGTTCCAACTACTAGGCAACTACCACCAAAGGAGATAAGTGCTCCTTCACCACCAGACGAACCACCAGCTGATCAAAGTCGATTCATAGGGTTGAGGGTTTCACCAAACACAGCATTGTATGTCTCTGGTCGTTTCATGCCGGGTGGGACGTTGGTCTTCACATACAAGACTTCTCCAGCGTCAACCAGGAGTTGAATATTCGGGCTGTGAGATTCAGCAGACTGGTTGGCCCGAGAAGTGAAGCCCTGAGTGGAATCCTTTTCTTTGATGTTGAAGTTATCTTTGATGGAAATTGGCAGTCCATGCAGAGGTCCTTTAGGCTTTCCGGTTGCCTTCAAGTGTTCGTCCAAGGCTTTGGCCATTACCAATGCCTCGCCAAACAGCACCTCGGTCAATGGATTGATCTATCGTTTCTATAGTCATTAGTAATGCACATGAAAGGATGCATCTTCTTGGGTGAAATAAGCCTACCAATTGATGAGCTGCAGCTGCGCTTTTGCAAAAGGCTTTAGTAACTCCCTTCGAGGAGAGGGATCCTTGAGCTAAACGGGGGAGAAGTTCAGAGGCCGTAGATTTGAGGATCTCAATTTGCGAATCGGAGAACCATCCTGATTCGGCGATGAAGTTTGACACATCAAGTTGTTCGGCGGAAGGAAGAAGCGTCGGAAGAACCCACTCGGCAGGAATGGCAGCAGTAATGCTGGCTCGCTTGGAAGCAACGATATCTTCCCATGTTGTCGCCATCTTTGCGTTGAGCTCTCGGATCGCACTGCGGGTGTTTGATGAAATGAAAGATTTTTACTGATGTCTGACATATGTCGAAAAAGAGGAGCTTTTATAGAATTATCAAAAAGAGATCCACAGTTCATGAATGGCCGAGAGGGTCTATTGCAAAGCATAATCCGGCATACTAGACTTCCGCTAATCCCGGAGACATTTATGCTATCTATGACCATCCTTATGAATCCCTTGGTGATAAATGGCAAATATTGGTACTATTAGGGGCATAATGCCCAACCATCCAATTACTTCAGAGAGGAGGCCGGTCCCATGAGGTTCAACCCCGCATAACTCCACCTGCATCCCAATTATGCATAGGAAAGCTACAGAGGCAATAAAATTATCCACCTTTACTGAACATTTAGATTCGACAAGTCCCGTGGAGACCTCAGTGAGAAAATCAATAGAGCAATTGGTATGATCCTTTCAAAGAGCACAAGGTACCCTTCCATCTTCCGAGGATAGTGGCGCGGTGAAAATCTTGAATTGATCTATGTGTTATGATATGCAACACAATCAAAGATGATAGATTTCCGCGGAAAGCTCTCCTATCTGGGCCTTTGATGTGATGGTTGGTTCATATACATACAATTGGGTCTCAAAAGCATTACGCTAATGTGCAGATGTGGAGATGAGACGCATATGCCTACTCTAACCTTGTCATTCTTGAATGTAGATGGTACAAGGGATTCACTTCGCTGCAATCTACTCGAATGCAAGGGCAAAACTAGAAATGAAGGCTGAAGTAGTTGTTATTCGTGAGTGTCATCCACGCTACTGGCACTTGGGATGAAAGTACCAATCATCTTCTCGGCGCTATTGTTAAGAAAGACATAAGAAAACCAGCGTTAATTCAGCATCTCACGGCCATTGGTTCAATAACCAATTAGAAGTGGGTAGCAGAAAGTCATTGAACGCGGTGAATCATCAAAATTTCAACCCTGCAAAGTGGCGCCATGATAGAAAGGAATCCGAGTGAGGAGAAAGATTTTGGAAAATAAATTTTCTTCCCCGGTAAAAGATAACGAACAGACTCGAAAGCCCACCTCAATGCCGATGGGTATTTTTGTCCAAGGCGGCTGAAATTTCAACGGATGAGGATTTGGCGGACGGAACTCGTTAGGGGCCAGGTAAATGCATCAAGACTCCACGAGCAGTCTGTCGCCACCCAACCAGAAGTGATCAATGAGGAGTTTTGAAATGCGCTGAATCGTCCAAATAATAATCTCGCAAAAGGTGTACAAAATGGCTCCGGTAAGAAATGCAAATAGACGACAAATGGGAAATGTGGCATCCTTATCTTTTCTTGTGTCATCTTTTTCCCGCAAAGGATAACGAAGTATGGTGATGCACCAATACAAGGACTGCGATTAAGCTTCCAATCCCTGAATTCAAACCACAAGCAAATGGAAGCGAGAGCTCGCCTCAATGCCAATGCACTTTCGAACTTTCAACGGCGAATCTAGAATTTTCCGCGGGAAATAAAAGGTTTAATCGGTAGGGAAATCAAGTTTACAGATGGCTAGAGCCTAGAGGATTTCTTATCAGGTGGTTTATGATACACTCTTTAGACTACCTCGCGTAAATTACCAGGATGTGTGTGTGTGTGTGTGTTGATAGGAACATCCAAACATGTTCGATGACTCGGTGGGATTAAGCTCTGCAATCTGACACGACAGTCTACTCCAGTTGCCAAGACAAGACTGATGGATGCATATGTAGGATGAATAGGGCTGCATGGTATAAATTGTCCCTGTAACCTGTATAACAAGATAATTCAATCTTCAAAAAGGCCATATAATCTTGGTTCCAGAAACTGAGCTTTTACTGGTTCTTTATCACAAGTTGTTCATTCAGTATATTCGTTATGGGGAACACCACACAAGACAAACCTTGTTACGATGAGAAGATACCATATACCACAGATGAGAGATCTCCATCTGCCAGCGATGGAGAGTTCACAGAGTTTCGACCGTCTCCTGAAGCCTAACGCCGACTGTTGAGAAAATATGATCTTTTGTGAGTATAGATTGACTTCATTCTAGGAAAGTCGCCAAAGGAGGAGGACTTGGTCTTTTACGTAGCATGGTTCCAAATATGGGGTCTGTTACATGTTGCAGTATATGGATAAATTGGCGCTCAGCCAAGCCATTTTTTTGAATCTCCGAGCAGATCTTGTCAGTATCTTTCTATGTTCCTGAGACTTTATTTACCTACCCAGCTAGTTCTTCCTAGGGCTTAGTGGGTCAACAATACACTTGGTGTTCTGCGATCTTCTACTTTGGACATCTGGCCTGGAGTTGGCCCTCGTCTTACCTGATCGTACGCCTCCTCCTTGGAAATTATCTTGCTGTATCAGTGTATGTTCCTTGAACCTTGATGATATGTGATCTTCGTTGATCAAACCCATATGAAGATTCTTGTGGGGTGTAATTGTGATGTGCCATGCAGCCTGCCACAACTTTGGAGGACTCATAGCCGTCCGTTTCTTTTTGGGAGTTGGCGAGGCAGCTGTCGCGCCTGGCTTTGGACTCATTGTCGGCATGTTCTATAAGAAAGAGGAGCAACCCTACCGGTCAGTGATGCAAGCAACGGCGGATATTAGTCCCAAAGCCATGGACTAACAATCCTTCCTCTATATAGCCCAAGGCGCATGGTTCATCGGTAATTGTATCGCCAATATGATAGGGGGTCTGGTTGCGTCTGGAATTGGACATTCGTCCTCTTCCCTAGAATCATGGTGTTTACTCTTCCTTGTTTTGGGCGCAGTCACCTCTGGCTATGCTATTTTCCTTTTCTTTTTACTACCTCATTCACCTGCAACAGCCTCTTTCCTCACGCCAGAGGAGCGAATAATCGCCGCCCAACGAATAAACATCCGCAACAATGCCGATACCGAGTCAGCTCAATTCCAATGGAGTCGGATCTGGGATGCAGCAGGAGACTTGCAAGCATGGCTTTTGGCGTTCTATACATTCTATGTGAACCTCTACAATGGTGGCATTAGTAGTGTGAGTGGACAACTGGCTGTTTCAACGTTTGAAAGTTCAGGCTAACAAGGAACAGTTTGGGGCAATCATTATTGCAGGCTTCGGCTACTCGAATCTGAAGTCCCTGCTGATTCAAATGCCAATGGGCGCTGGGTAATTATTCTTCCTAGCAGTTACAGCGACCATCTCAACATACGTCTCATCCGCTTGGATTCCCGCTATGATGCTAAACGTCATCATATCTATCATCAGTACAGTCATGATTTATATACTTCATGACAGCCAAAGAATCGCCAAGATGGTTGGATTGTGCTTTGTCTCAGCCATTTCAGTTAACACTCCCTTGATCTTGGCTGTTGTTAACTCAAATTTTGCTGGTTTCACCAAGATAAGTACCATTTCTGTCGCAGTGTTTGCCGCGTACTGCGTGGGTAATATTGCTGGACCTCAATTCTTTCTGGCATCACAGGAGCCTACTTATGATGTAAGCTTAATTTTGCACATATTGTCCGTCTGTCTACTAAAATCAAATCAGACCAGTATTCGAGCATCATTTTGTGGATTGGCATTAGGCATTCTCTTCCTAGCTTTACTAGCTGCGCATTACATGTGGCAGAACAAACGACGGGACACTGAACAGGGCCAGGCTACCGAGGGTAATTAAGCACAAGATCAGGCGGCGAACTCAGAAGTTCCCCTGACAGATTGACAGATCCCCGGTTTTCGTTACCTCTTGTGAGTTGGTTAACCGGGTTCTTTTTAAGGGCTTTAGGTGACTCTTATCCGGAGACTTCTTGCCTTTCACGTCTAGAGAACCTTAGAACATATCTCTCGATCGCTCTTCCCTGGTCATTTAACAGTTTGATTCATAATATGAAAGAGATGTCTCTCGAAACCCAGCAGCAAGATTATATGTAGTAAATGGAGTTCTCTCACTTTCCTCCATTCAGAGTTCTTGGCTACTTCATCGCTTTTCCGCATATAAATTGGTGAAGATGCTGGGGCTGCACCCAACTTCAAAGGGTATGTCTTTTTAGGAGTAATGGCTGACTTCCAATTTCAGAAGATTAACGTATAAAAGATCCTCGTATACTGCGTAGACAGTGCTTTGTTTCTTTCTACGTCTTTGATTTTTTTATTCGTGTTTTGAAATTACCAAATGAACCTTTGTATCTTGCTTCGAATATTCATTTTATTGAATCAATCGAATAACATTTCGAGTTATTATAAAGAGATTATTCAAGAAATGAATGGGTATATGACAAAGGAAATGGGAACAGATCAGATAGGAAGGACTGGAACAGCCAGAAGGTCAACAAAATAATGTACAATACCCCAGTGAATAGAAAATCAGTGGATAAAAAATGAAAAACAAATCTGAAAGAAGGAATATGGAAAAAGATGAAAATGAAAATGAAAAGGGAAAATGAAGGTTCTTGCACCAGATGGAATGTCAATGAATCCTGCGGGATCACGCAGTGCGAGAACGATAGTTTTTCTTGGGTGTCTCCTTGGGCTTTTTGGTCTTCTCGATATTCTTGCTCTTCTTAGTCGTTTCGGTCTCTTTGGTTTTTTCGGACTTCTCAGCCATCTCGTCCAACCGGGCTGTCAGCATCTCTATCTCGTCTCTTAGCACATCCATCTCGTTCTTTTTCTTTTTGGGAGCGGTGTCCGCCAACTCCGGGTCTACAAGCTCCCTTTGGCGCTTGTTGGTGCTTCTGGAGTGATCGACAGCGGCAGTGGCAGCGGAGTCACCATCAGAATCACTATCATTATCGGAATCAGCATCGCCATCAGAATCCACCTCCTTGTTATCTTTGCTTGCATCGCGCTCTTCCTCGGCGCAGAATTCGTCAGATGAGTCACTCGAGTCGGAGTCGTTCGCGTCTTTCTCTTCAGAAGATTCAATATTGATGATCTCGAACGGTGATGCTGTCCGGGAGCGCCGAAGAGAGATGGGTATTCGAATGGGTGGCGTTGGAGGTGGGGATAAAAAAACTCCTGCCTGGGTCGTTCTTTGATCCGAATCTTCTGCCGTGGAGTCAATGGTCGCCAGCCACTTCTTGACGTGCCCACGATAAAGTTTCTGATTCAACGGAATGAGGCCGAGCTTCTCCCAAGCCTTTTTCTCATCAGAAACATGCTCGCCAGAGCTGGCTTTTTCCGAAATGAACTTCGCATAAGTCGGGTCCTCCAGATGAACAGTCCCATTTGGCCTTCCTCTCAAAGAGTTGTCCACATGTCTGCTATACTCCTGGTCAATGGAGGAAAGAAGTCCATGGCTGAGATCGTTGAATATTCCGCGGCTGCCACGAGGTAGTCCGTAACAGAAGATGTTGGACATCCTGCACATAATGAAGAACTCTGCGTTGACGGGCACCTCATCTGCATCGAAGAGCAGGAGCCTCGGGGGACCCAGCGCCTTCCTGGGTTTTCTGCCTTTCGGGGGCTGGATGTCTACTTCAAAGGCCATTTTGACCCAGTCGAACATGTCGGAATAAGTGATCCATCCATCCTCGTTGGTGGCAAATTTGGATTTCCCCTGATCATGACCGCTCTTCTCCGTGAACGTCAAAAACGGGGCTAAGGGCTTTTCACCATAACGAAAACAATAGAGAGCCGAGGACACCTGTTTGTTGCTGTTCTGCATTTGCTTTTTTGATAAACGGGGCGTGGCCAATGTCTTCGATTGTGCATCGACGATTGTAAAATGACCGTAATTGCGCAAAAGATACACATTCTCTGGCTTGACATTGATTCTCCTCATGAAATTGCGCAGTCTCCACCACCACTTCATGAAATATACCCGTTCATCTTTGATAGCTGTTGGAGCTCGGTTTTTGGCTCTGCGAACCTTGGTTTCCTTTATCGCGGCGTCAAGTTCTTTGAGGAATTTGGGATGTCTTCTCGCCATGCGATCGCCCCACTGGGGATGTAGCGAGATGGGCTTCTTCCCATAAACCCTCGAGTTCACTGCATGCGCAACATCGGTCACGAAGTTCCTGGTCGTGATCGCGACCCCTTGCCTCACGCAAACTGTCGCCCAATTAACTGTCTCTATTTCTTGCACCTCGCCAAGTTTGAGCTTTGATGAATTCCTTGCAGCTTGGGGCATGGTGCTCTTGATTGGCTTTTCCAGACCGTGTGAGGAGTTTGACCAGGCGAAGGTTCAGGCAAGCGTATATCGACGTGGGAACGAATAAGATGCAGACAAGGATCTATCAATAGACAGTTAGCATTGATAAACATTGAGAATCGTGAATAATATCATGCATACCTTCTCTCAATAAGTTCAATTTCACAGAGCAATGTATGAGCGAAAATTATTGGTAATGAACTGGATGAAAATCGTGCATGTAGGATATTTCTAGCAAAAGAACGTCATGGCCGGGGTAACGATGAATCAAAGTGTGAATAAATGAGGTCCAGGGAGGGATGATAACGACAGAGCAAGGAGGAAGCAAAGATGAGATGAATATCCAAGTAGCGGAGGGTGCTTGGGGAAAAAGATAGAAGCAGACTGGGAGAATTGTCGCCCTATTTAATTTCGGGTTTGACCCCTTTTCGCACCCTAGCTCGCGATGGAGCCATTGCATCCATATACGATACCTCTTGGTTCTTTTCGGAGAATACCTTGTGGGGCCGTACATAGAATGTCTTGCAGATACGCGACGCGACGCGACGTGAACTCGTTCGCCACCAGACCCACCATTCTTGCAACACGGCCTCGGAGGTACAGTATGACTTTGGAAGCTACATATGTGTTAGACATTTATGTATATCCGTCGGCTCAGGTCATGGCTGGCAGACCGCGAGTTTAGGTGTTGTCAGATTCTGGACGAGTTGGGGATGCTATAGCTTTTGTGTAACAAGAGGGGGGGAAATTCCATGGTGGGGACTGAAAACACTAGCTCTGCTTCAGTTTTCTTTGCAAATACCCGTCGTTACAACTTCAGGTGTGTAATAGTTCCTGGTATCATTGGATGACTATCTACGTCTTGCAAAACTACATCTCATTGTCTTCTGCCCAGATTCTCATGATTTGGAACCTTGGACTGTCTCATTACTTCAGATATTCTTTCAAGTAAGCGTCGATCACTGAAAGTTTTGGAAAATTGCATGTCTAGGCCCCACTGTAGGTCCGGAGTAGCTTGCAATTTGTGAGACGGCACAGACTCGCACGTTTATTGGTTACAGCTGTGACCTGTCTAGCTCTAGATCGAAAACTACTCAATAGCATATTTTTCATGGATCTGTACTTGGTAGCGCTTCCGGTCTTCCGCAAGTTCACCTTAAGTCTGAAGTATCTTTTCAATCTTGAAGATATAGAAAGCTGTTTCAGTATTTGTAATACCCAAATCTTCAGCTACCTGTACTTTAAAGGCAGAAGTATCTACGAAACAAGTCACTGTCCCATCAGTTGAACATGGAGAATGGAAAAAGGTTAAAAGGTAAAAAGTTCCCCCAAGTAGCCAGATTCTTCCCCACTTTCTCGGTAGGTGCAATATGATTGGCTCATTTGGATGTCAGCGGGATGTTCCGTATGACAACGTGGTTCATCCACACGTGACACACCTCTGCATTGGACATCTTGCAGTAAATCATGGCTCTTTTCACGGCAAAGTCCTTTGAACTTCCAATCAGGAGACTATCTGCAGGTGAAGAAGGAAAATAAAGAGCGCTCAACGCATTTTCCTTTCACTGAAAAATTGGAATTCACGCTTAGGGTTTCATTATCTCCAAGGTTTCGATAATCATTAGAGCGGTAAAGGACGGCAAATTTAGATTCCTCTTCCAGTTCCACTGACTTCCACTAAGGTGTAATAGGTAACTCCAGCTTTCACCACCCACAGCAGTTTCGACCTCAAATTCAGCATACTCAGAAAACGAAATCACGAACTTTTCAGTCTGATAGAGAGGCCCATGCTAACATTTGAACCCAACACTATTACGATTTGTAACCCCCACGCTGCGTCCGCCCCTTCAAACTCCCCGCACTTCCCTCTCGCACTGCTCTTTGAACCCCCAGCGCGTTTCACCGACCCTAAAACAAGCCTGACCTTCGTTCCCTTTTCTTTCCTCCGCCATGCCGGTTTCAATTTCAACATTCAACGGGAGTGTTCTTATGGAGTGAGCAGAATGGGCGCGTCTTGGTATTCCCTGTCGGCCTGATCGATCTCTTCAAGCGCTCAGGCCCCCATACCCCGCCCAGCCCTGATGATCCCACGCAGCAAGGGATGAAAGGGATAAAAAGGGGATTATATAGTAGCAGCAAATTCTTTCCCTCTAGTCTGGACGAATTCTATCCCTATTCTTTTGTGCTCATTCTTCTCTACCTCGCCAACCGCATTGGACGACCATGTATTCTCCCAAAGTCGGCGATCACATCGATAGCCTTGATACGCCTTCAATGGTCGTTGACCTTGATCTCTGTGAGGCTAATATCAAGAAGCTGATGGACAAGCTCCTGCCAACAGGATTGGACATTCGCCCACATCTCAAGACGACAAAAAGCGCCATTCTGGCGAGCAAATTGGCCAAGGCCGGAGCAAAGGGGGGTTGTGTCGCAAAAGTGAGCGAGGCGGAGGTTATAGCGGCGGCTGGATTCGATGACCTCCTCATTACTTGCGAGATCATCGGTCCCGCGAAGGTGAAAAGGCTGGTGGAGCTGTATCGCAAGCACCGGGGTATTCGAATCGTGGTGGATAGTGAAGTTGGCGCAACCGCCATCAATGAGGCTCTTGCAGCCTCGGGCATTGACGACCCAATTACCGTTCTGATTGACCTTGATGTTGGCCTCCATCGCACGGGTGTCAAACCGGGAGATTCAGCCATGGCTCTCGCACAACACATTGCCGGGCTGAAGTACCTGAATTTGATTGGGGTCCAAGGCTACGAGGGACATCTGCAGCATTTGCATGACAGGGAGGACCGCAGGAGTCAGTGTCTACAATCCATGGAAATCCTTACCGGTACGGCGAATTCGTTACGCGAGGCAGGTTTCAATATGATGGTTGTTACCACCGGAGGAACAGGCACGGCAGAATTTTGCGCAACGGTTCCTGGCGTCACAGAGCTTCAGCCTGGATCTTTCATCTTCATGGATACTGATTATCGAAATGCTGTGGGCACATTCTACTCCAACAGCCTCACTCTTTTGTCTACCGTTTTGAGCAAGCAAGGCCCCCAGACTGTCACGATTGACACGGGACTGAAGTCCCTAACGACCGATAGTGGTCTAGCCGAGTGCAAGGACTCAAGATACAAATATGGTGTTCTGGGTGATGAGCATGGTTCACTTAGCTGGGATGATACTGCGCCGGCCCTGGCTGTTGGTGATCGGGTGGAAATGATCCCCAGTCACATTGATCCTACAGTCAACCTGCATGACTTCTATTATGCCCACCGCAGAGGTGTCATTGAGGAAATCTGGCCCGTGGACTCACGAGGAAAGGTTCAATGATGGACAATAGCGCTCACTTTTTTACCTACTTTACTAAAGATGACGCAGCTCCCTCTTCACCAAGCCTTTTCGCGTTGCGCTCTAAACGACTGCTGCCTTTCAGCCTCAATGTACCGATAGTCGATTGTTATCATTATCTTGCTTCTTCATAGAATTGATATAGAAAGTAGATTACATGAATGGAGTAACATCTAAAGTCGTACACCAGAAGATTTGAGTGATAGTAGCGATTGTATCTATTTGCCTCGGTGGGTCAAGCAAGCTTCTGTGGAAGCCTGAGGCCAAGAGGAACTACCAAACAGAGCAAACAAAGCGGTGGGAAGCAGCAAGATAACAGCTTCCAGTCGACCTTTCAACAATTCCAGCTCGCAAACAATTCGAAGAGAGACCAAGTTCGGTGGGCTTAATTGGGAGGCTTTATCACATTTATCCCTCCCAAAGAGACCTCGAGATTCATGCGCGCACTGTACCTGCACCTGTTCCTCCGCGCCTCTGAACTCCGCACAATTCCACACGGTCCCACTTGCTAAGTGGTCTCCCCGCATCCGCCTTGCCAACATTTTTTCTTTAACAACCATGGCGAATCTCGCAGCTTGGGCTCTCCCTCGGCTTAGCCAGCTCCTCCCACTGGATGAGGAGTCTTTAAAACAGATCCTTGACTACTCAGCTGGTCTTCCCAAAGATGCCTGCGCCGATCATCTCAAGAATCTTCTCGGCGATTCCCCCGCAGCTCTAGAATTCATCACCTCATTCAATGCACGCCGCGATACACCAACGGCGACCTCTACCCACGACATGCCGTCCGCAAATAACACTCGTTCCAGGGGAAGAAGCAAGAAGGAAAAGAAGCCGCTGCACAGCGCTGGTCCGCCACGCCGCCCAGACAACTACGGCAATGTGGGAGGAGCCTACATGAAGGCGGAGAAGGTGGAAGACTACATGTCTGCCAGAAAACCCCCCTTGCCGGTATCGACATCTGATTTCTCTGCGTCTGGTCCATCTGCATCATCGCGCAATCAGTCACCGAAGCCTATCTCCTCCAAACCTCCCCCGTCAGCCTCGGGCCCGATGCTGTCAGATATGCTGCCGAACGTGCGCGCAAAAACAAGCAAACCAACACGACAATCTGGCAACATCAGACCTACCAAGGGCGATTCTCTCACAACCAACAATATATCTGATCTGACGGCCGCTATCGCTGCCCTAGAGGTATCAACCAACCCCAATTTGAGCACCGAGAGACGAAAATGTACCTGCTACGCGTCAATCCATCCATTATTTGATCCGGCTCCTAACTGTCTGAATTGTGGCAAAATCATTTGTGCACTGGAGGGTTTACAACCATGCTCCTTTTGCGGCACCCCGCTTCTATCCGCAGAAGAAGTACAAAGCATGATCCGAGAACTTCGGAATGAGCGCGGCCAGGAGAAGATGCGTGCTCACAATGAAGGTGTTCATCACGAAGGGGGGCCACGACCAGTCTCTGGGTCAGGATCGGCATCTCCTAGCAAACTCGACGCTGCCAGGGCACACCGCGACAAGCTGCTGAACTTTCAAGCACAGAATGCCCAGCGGACCAAAGTTGTTGATGAGGCAGCCGACTTTGAAACCCCTAACACCGCTGCGACGTTGTGGATGAGCCCGGCACAGCGAGCTCTCGCGCTGAAAAAGCAGCAGCGCATCCAGCGTGAGCTGGAAGAAAAAGCCAGGCCGGAGTGGGAGAAGAAAAAGACCGTGATGAGCCTTGATATTACGGGCGGAAAGGTTCGACGAGTATATCAATCTGCGGCCGTGGAGTTGACGCCAGAGCCCAATGAGCAGGACATGATAGATCCTGATGCAGAAGAACCATCCGAACCTTCTTCTCGGCATGCATTCAGTAAGAACCCGCTTCTTGCTGCTGGCGGGTTAATGCGGCCTGTTTGGCGCGCTCCGGATGGCAAGCCAACTGAGAAAATGGAAAGAACAGAGCTGAAACAAACATGGCGACGTGTGCAGGATGACAACGATGACAATGAATCATGGATATTGGACGGGGGGCTCCATGGACATGGTACATGATCATATTGGAACAAGACTACGCATATACTCAATCAATAAATTTTATACAATATGTCACCCAGCAACGGATGGGAAGGCTTCTGAATGCAACCATAGTAGAACAAGTAAAGGGATTCCATGTCTTTCGTGCCCGATTATCGAGGCATCAATCTGTTTCCGCCTCACAGATAAGGAAGTTGGTCTAACCTAATTTGGACTAGTGGGATTCATATCGGAAATAATTGTTCACGCCTACAGACCGCCCCGTTGTCTTCGTTTCCTGTTACGACAGGCCAAAAGATTGGCAATAGTCCAGTCAACCCTCAGGGCCTCATCTAATAAGTACCAATTTCACGCTTTCATCCGGCGATGGCGATGACAGGGACGGTGTGGAGCAGAGCTCTGCGCAGCCGACTGCTCCAGCAAAGACTCACGCGCCGCAGTGCTGGCCAACAATTTGAATGGTGGACTGCATCCGGAATCCTGCGATCCTATACGACACAAACCGACCCTCAAAACGAGCCACATGTCAACGCTGACCAGAGTCCTACTCTCGAATCCCTAGCTACGCCGCGATTGCACAATTCCTACGACCGGAACGCACCTCGCCGCAAGGTGCCTTCCTCTAAATTTGGAAGCAGAGAATATGAGGATTTGCTGATGGATATTGCACGACAATCCTCGCCAGGCGTGAAGCGCAAGCATGTTACTATGGAAATGGAGTGGGTGGATGACCCGCTTCTACTGGCACAGCGAGTCTCGTCAGCCCTGAAAGGCAACGACCCTGCCATGGCGGTGGCACTCGCCCGAGAAGCAACAAAGAAGATTCCAGGGACAAAGTTTGTTGTGGCATGGAATCGGATCTTTGCGTATTGTTTTGATAAGGGGCACCCGAAGCCGGCCCTGAAATTTTTCAACGATGTGAGTCTACGTGGTAACCATCTAACAGTTTCATTTGAACCCCACTTTCTGACCTCAGTCTCAATCTGATAGATGAAAAAGCGCGCCGGAAAACCAAACCCCCAAACATTCACAATCTTGCTAATGGGTCTTCGGAAATCCACTGGTGTCCCCGGCTTTGACCCAGTACGGACTGCGGAATCCCTTTATAACTCAATCTCAGCCGAGAACTCCGGTGTTGACCTGGACATAATTCATACCAATGCGATGTTATCTGTTTGTCAGTACCACGGTGATGTGGACTCGCTTTGGCGCATTGCTGGCAGTCTCCCGGAACAGGGACCGGGAGCACCGAACATGACAACGTACACGACCATCCTGGGAACCCTTTTATTTGCCCATCGCAAAAAAATCACGACCATGGATGCCAGTCAAATTGATCGCATCTTTGCTCTCAAGGCTCAACTAATCAACGATGGTAAAAGGATATGGGCCGATATTCTATACCGATGGAAGAATGATGATCTTCCCCCTGACGCCGCTGTCGTGCAGTCCATGGCTTCACTGCTGCTGGATGGCGGCAGTGATCATGATTACTACGATGTCTTCGCTCTCTATCATCAAACCATGGGGATTCCTATTTTGGCAACACAGCCACCAGAAAGCGCAAAAAATACGCCCACCCCGACATGGAAGATGAAACAAACCAGAAACTCCGAGCCTGCTGTGGAAGAGGACGTCCCCTTCGTGGATGAGAACAACCGGACGTTGAAGTTCAACCAGGACGGACAAAAAGAGGAAGAGCCTTCGTTGGAGGAAGAGGAGGAGAACTTTGACACCCTCTTTGATTCTCTTCCTACGGGACCTGTTCCAGAACTCCAACCTGGAAACAAAGACCTTACTCTGATACAGGAGGCGTGCCTCAACATCACCCAGGGGAGTAAATCTGGTTATGAATACTGGAATCATTTGACATTAGGGCCAACATCACGCATTGAGCCTGATGAAATCTCTGCCATGCAGTTTCTGCGCCTCCTCCGCATATCCCGAGCAAGCAAAAAGGCCGTGCAAGTCATCCGGGACCAGGTGGTCCCTTCTGGACACGTAAGTGGAAAGATCTTCCATATTGCTTTATCCGTCTGTCGTCGCGACAAGCACAATCAAATGTGCCTTGTTCATGCCAATGAACTCTTGGATCTGATGGGTGAATCTTTAATTCTCCCTGATCCCCGAGCGCTGCAGGGATATCTTGAATTGGTCCAAGCATTATCACAGAAACCAGATCTCCTAATGTACCTCAAAGGCTTGGAAGTCGAAGAAGGGCGCGAGGCCCGTACCTTGCAGGCCCTAGGAAAGAAGTTGCAAGTGAAGCTCAACCTGTTTGCGCTTGCTACTCTCCGACCTCATTTTGCTCAGCTTCATCAAGCCATGGAGCAAGGACGGAAGCCTACGCTAGGCCGTTGGGCCTCGGTTCGCAATGCGGAGTCTGTCTCGGGGGCTCTGGCTGTTAAGGTCATGGCCCGTATCCGTCTGATGATTGATGAGGTCTTGAAGTCCGAATACTCATCTTTTGTCTCCAAGACCGACCGCAAGGTTCTTCAATCAGAGTCCATCATGCTGAAGGTGTACTCGGACATGGCCATCATTAAGAAGTTTAGCACGGACTCTGTCTTTCCTACGCAAGAACAACGCAGCGCATACCGCGCCAAAAGGTCGAATGCCGAGGCGCTGGGCACATCTGAGATGAATGAACAGAAACCAAAGGAAAATTTGGAATCTTCGTCTCGCCAGACAGAATCCGAGTAATATTTCGGTCTGCCATTGAGTGACTTTGCCACATCGCAAAGTCTACCCCCTGTACAATACCTGTATATCAATACTTTGCTTGCTGGCGTTTTGGTTTGCATCTGTACAGAAGACCCATGGATCATTCTCTGCTTAGCATATATAGAGTATTTGATCAAATACCATTGCATGTTTTTTGACTTTGATTCAAAGTTCCGAGAGCAAATCCGAAGGCTCAAGTGCTTTCAGGAACCGGTTGAAATATACAGCACGTCTTAGCTTCACTTTTTGACATTTATACACTCCAGGGCTCCTGACCACTGAAAATCTATCTGAAAGGTAACATCAATACTCTTATCGCAGAATGCGTGGTGTGGTGTCTCTACATTGGGATGCTTCGGTATTCATCTGATGCCATTGCAGTCACGCCACTGACAACTTGCATATTGCATCGACTTCCTAGCTGGCCAAGCTACTTGAACTCTTCCCTCTCATCTTGATACACAAAACTCTGTTTCAATGGCACTCATCGGCATTTCTCTCCATATGATTTTTGCTTGAAACAGACTACCAGCCATAAGATGGCCATCCCCCAGCAAAGACACGAATGGTGGCACCTACAATTGTCTGCCAACCCCGACACGAATTAAGATAGATGGTTGATTCTCAAGCTGGATTTAATAATTGTTCCCTGTGCCTTTTTCATCTTTTGGACCAAACACTTTGATCAGACCAATCTCAGTGGGCGCGGTTGATACTGACCACAAACCCAGATAGTGCCTATGTTTCCGGTATGAAGGAGGACTTAAATATCGGGGGCAATGATCTGGTTCAGCTACGGAAAATTTACACGTTTAATGCGATGGTAGGCCAGTTGCCATTTATATTTTTGTTTGCCAAGGTATCAATGTACTGGCTCATCCCGAATCCTGGTCATAGATATCGCCTAGGGTGTCTTCACACTACTTAAGTACCGGGTCCATTCATATTCTAAAATGGCGGCGTACCGGCTATTGGCCGGATGGTTTGAGATGAGTGGTCATGTCGTGACTGTTAAGGACGAACCATATACTGACTGGTCATATGCGGCCTACTATCCCGCTGTGCACTAAATGCTCGGTAATACCAGAGCTTTCTTGATCTTGCGGAACCTTTTTGACATAAAGTAGGACCCTGGTATCATGGTGACGACATATAATGTCGAGGTGGCTGTTTCTAGGCTCCATGACTGCAAGTCTCATCCAAGCAGGCGCATCGGCTCGACTTGAAGGATTAAACGGTCTTGCAGGTTAGAAATGGATGTCCATATCTTATTTGCGCCATCATCACAATTCCTATCGCCATCATTGGGTTCTTCGTTCTCCCCTGTAACCAAGACAAGCCCTAAATGCTCATTTTGAAAGGAGAAGATGTCCAGCGAGCCAAGTCACGACTTGAACAGGCCTTGCATGAGATGACAGAAGAGCAATTTAACTGGGCTATGCTCCTCAGTATGAGTCGCAAAAGAAACTTCTGGGCCCTCCTCGGGTTGAAGATACTCTTCTGGAACTCTGGCACGAATACCACCGCCGGTGGCTATCCGTTGTGGCTGAAAGGTCTTTATTGGTACTCGATTAGCAAACCAAATGATCTCGCCACAACTGTGTCAGTTCTTGGAATCTTGGATACACTTTTTATCTGTTTCACGTCTGAGTTGTTCTATGGTCCTGCATGGGCTATATCAGTCCACAACGTTTGAAATGCGATTTATTCTATCATTCTCACAGCTCGTGAATGTCCCGAAGCCTGCTATATGGTTTTCATCCTTCACGGTATATGTCTTGCTTGGGCAGTCCAGTATTTTTATGGCTGGATTAATACTAATCTTCGAACATCGCCTGTCGAACGCGCTACTACTCTAATTATCACGAATATGATTGCTCAGTCGACAAATTTCTGGACTTATGTCTCCTCTTCAAGATGGTTGACAAGCCACGATTTCTCAAAAGCTATTCTGATTTCAACGCTTATGGTAGACTTCTTTATCGGCGGGGACGAGTAAGTCGCATTTCCTACAGATTTTGTTGAATTGAGTCATATGAGTTTACTAATGAGATGAATTTCTAAGGGGAAAAGGAGCAAGGAATGACAGCGTCATCATGTCTATTTGGATTTGACACGGACAATTTCGAAAAATGGAGCCCAAGGAGAAATTGCGCAGGGAAGAAAAGGATGAATTAGAGGCGCCAATGTAGTTTTTACATGCAATGTACTTGTATACATACATGATGCATCTGGGCGTTAGCACCAACATCTGGAGAGTACCTAGGCATGTACAGTATTAATGGGAGCTGGTCATCATGTTTCCTTCAATGCTCAAAAGGGATGACTCTTCCCCATATCTTCTATTTACAACATTTCTAATCAATTTTCGTTCTTCATCATTAGAATTTTGAATATTTAGTACGGTTTAATCATATGGGTGTGATCAAATTGCATTGCGACGGGGGCAAGGTCACGCCATAATATCCTAGATGATGAAATGACACCTGCGGAGGTTAACGAAGCCCCTCTTCTCAAAGGATGGTATCTTGATCTCGGAAGAAAACTACCAATCGGAGTAATATCAAGTATTTCAGGAGTTATATCCCCATTCGTTGGGGTTTTTGTGATGTCCTGTCGGAAATGCACTGCAACTCATTACCTTCAGACCTGTTTAGCCAGTCTTTCGGTAATCCTCCGATTGATTGCGTAAGATGCGTGCATGATAAGCCAATAATGATAAATCTTTCAGTGCGGGGGCTGAGGGGATGTTTTCGGATCGTTGTGGAATACATTATCCCCATCGATCAGTTCACGCATTTGGGCCTTAACACAACCTGAACTAAAGGTGTTCACAGTATACTGATCACGAAATAAGCTTTGAACAGTCATGGGTGATGTCAAAGTATTCAATGGCAAGAAGAAACAAATCTTGTTGAATGCATTCGATATGTCAACAGTAGGACATTTGTCCCCTGGGCAATGGAAGGTGTGTTTGATCTCGAAGCTGGATAAATCTTTCTAATCAGTGTAGAATCCGAAAGACAAATCGGCCACGAAGCGGAATCTCAATTACTGGATCGACTTGGCGAAGTTGCTGGAACGTGGCGGTATCAACGCCTTGTTCCTGGCGGATACTACCGGAGCACACGATACCTACCAGGGCAGTGCAGATGAATGTATTCGGCGTGCTGCTCAATGGCCAATGACAGATCCAACTATTGTGAGCAAGATTAGATTTGGAATCGCAGATACAACGAAGCTGATCATCCTGTAGCCAATCTCTGCCATGGCCGCAGTGACCAAGAACCTTGCCTTTGGTATAACAGCCTCCACGTCATTCGAGCAGCCGTTCTTGCTTGCCAAAAGATTTTCTACCTTGGACCACTTGACCAATGGGAGAATTGGCTGGAACGTTGTCACGTCATATAAGAAAGCCGCTTTCAAAGCCATTGGTCTTGACAGTCCGATCGAACACGAGGAGCGGTATCGCCAAGCTGACGAGTATTTGAGAGTCCTCTATAAGTAAGTGAGATCAGATCAGGTCATAGGAGTTTGAAAACTCAGAAATTGCATACTGACCAGCGCTTTGAATGCCAGGCTCTGGGAAAGCTCATGGGCACCAGATGCACTCTCGCCCAATCCAGAAACCGACTCATACATCGATCCTGAGAAGGTCCGCACAATCAAACACAAGGGAAAGTACTTCTCTTTGAATACCAGACACATTGTCGACCCGTCTCCTCAGCGCACACCGTTTCTCTTCCAAGCAGGCACCTCACCCGCTGGGGCAACCTTTGCCTCAACCCACGCAGAAGCTATATTTGTTTCCTCCCACTCACCCGAGATTCTTCGGCCCAAGATTGAGAAAATACGCAAACAAGCAGCGGAGCTAGGTCGTGACCCCCAATCAATCAAATTCTTTGGCACATTCACACCCATCGTGGGACGAACCGACGAAGAAGCACAGGAGAAATACGAAGAACTCAAGAAATACGCTTCAGTAATCGGTGGACTAGTTCTCTTCAGTGGCTGGACAGGCATCGATATTTCCAAGATTCCCTTGGATCAAGAAATTACGACAGCTGACTCGCTGGAGGCTGGAAGGATAACCAGTCTCCTTGACTCTCTACTCAAGACAAGCCAGGATGTTCCACGTTGGACGCCTCGCATCGTCGCGGAGAAAGCAGCCATTGGTGGCCTTGGACCACTGGCCATTGGGAGCCCGCAAACTGTTGCGGATGAGATGGAACGTTGGGTTCGCGAGGCAGACCTGGATGGTTTCAATATTGGCTATGTGACCACACCGGGTACTTTTGAGGACCTGGTTGATTTGGTTATTCCGGAATTGCGGAAACGTGGTCTCTACCCTGAGGCTCTGGCTGAATCTGACGAGCCTCTAACTGCTCGCGAGAAGATCTATGGTCAGGGCCAGAAGGAGTTGCGTGATGATCACCCGGGGACTCGGTACAAATACGATGTGTACCAGGAAGATCCCCCGTATGTCGAAGAATAGTTGCAAGTTCGATATTTCAATAACAGAAATTAGATCCTATAGAACCACCTTTACCAATTGGCTCGCTCTTGTAAGCATTTTACACAGAGACCATTTTCCTTTCCGAGATTATAATTTTAGGCTCATGAAAGTTACTTGCATCTGGTATTACATTTACAAATGACTAGGAAATCGGCAATCAAGTAGCAGTCTATGGACACCGTCGACTGAAGGCCAGCTACAAGGATCCTGACGTTTATCAGTGTATGTTTGACTATTTACGCTTGCACGGTAACTATCCCAGTGCTCTGGGTCAGGTGGACGTCCTATATCTATCCACACATGAATTTTGTGAAAGCTGCCGGAAGAGAGAACAGATTTGATTGATATTATTTGTAACATTCACGACTATTTTATTCAAATGCTGCCGGGCATCTAGAGGAGCGAATAATATTCCACGCGTTATGTCTCCCCATTCACACGACAGGCGAACTCACATTCGGTACTTTCGTGGCTTTTCAAGCAGAAGTAACATGTTCCGTTGGCCTCTTCCTCCAAGAACTTGATCACGGTTTTTCCAAATTCCAGCTCCAGCACACGAAGGTTCGGGGGCTTCTCAAACAATATTCTTTTCTTGGGGCCGGTGGTTTTACCATACTTCATTTCATCCATAACAAACACCTTGGTTGGAAGGATCCTTGATAACTCCATCACGATCTGTCGGGCGGTGATACCCTCGGTTCTGTTTGTAACAAAACCGATGGCGTTTGAAATGGGAAAGGATGAGAAACTAAAAATGTTTTCGCTCCCATCGGGATTCTTGAAGCAAACTTCTGTTCCAATCAACCGCTGAGCGGCGGTAACGGAGTGGAGGGCAACCATCCAGGACTGCGCACTATTTTCGACATGCCGGGCGCCGTTCATATCGGGAGGTTCCATTTTTTCCAACGCAGCAGAGACAGCCTTCGCGATGAGTTTAAAAGACAAAGAGTCTTCTGATGGGGGAAAAGGGGCTGTAACAACAACCCAGGTACCATCGATATACTGCTCCGGCATATCATCCTGGTTGTACAAGTTCGGCTCCAAAGGTGGCATTCTCATGTTTATAGAAACTATGGGCTCGACTGATCCGATTCGAGACGCAGAGTCTGCAGAATCATGGGCTAGAGACACTTCTGAAGGTACTTCTGAAACGATGGAAAGCTCCCTCTCCACGAATACCGAGGTGGCAGAAGCCCGGGCTCTTTCCGCCGATTCTTCCCGAGCGACGATACGGTACTCCCTCATCACTAAGTCTGTACAGTCAAAGGGTCCAGGCAAGAGTTCAGGCAATTTAAATCCGTGTTCACGCTCTTCTAAGTCACGCTCTATAGAAGAGTCACGGGAAGAGCTTGATCCTGCTGAGTCATCCTCTGAATAAGGGCCACGATAAGCCGAGTCTGACTCTTTTATGTCATCCTCTACCGAGTGTGACTCTTCTTCAGAGGATGAATCAGAAGAGTGATACCCTTCGGGCCATTGCCCCTGAAGTGAAACCTCCTCCATGTGGCTTCTCGTCGGAATCTCAACCTGTGGCGTTTTTTGGGTTGTCGAGCTTACTCGGCCTTTCTTGGATGGAGGTTTGGGAGTCTCGGTCTCTGTCGCAGCATCCAATTGTCTCTTTCCAGAATTAAGAGCGTTGGGACATGGATCAGATAGGGGTGGTTCCCTTGCTCCATTCCTTTGACGGTCCTTTTTATTCCTCCTCCGGGCTGAACGACTGGCCTTATGACGGGCGTCCGCAGATAGGACGCGTTGAGCAGAGTTCCCAGCCGCACGGGGGGCTTGGGGTGCTTGGGAGATTGACATTTCAGTTTTCGCAGCCCGCGGAAAGGTGATATCCGTGTCTTCGGCGTTTCTAAAGTATTTTCAGACTCATTAAGCTGGTTATACCACATGACATAGTCAGGGAGAGGATGCTATGACATACGTAGCAGGAGAGTAACAGAAGGCAAGTCGTGCTCTCAGTGGTGTGGATATATACAAAAGACGAAGAGAAGAAGAGAGAAGTTAATCTCAATCGACGGAGTAAACATGCACTTGACCTATTAGTGACTAGTATGAGAATGGATCTTTGCGTTCGGCAACTGGTCGACTCCACGTGTACTGTACCATACGGACTTTCAACATGATAATGACGGATTCAATTGTAGTTGAAGTATATTATTCTATATAAGTCAAAGATAAGTTGGTAAAGTCGAAAATGTTAAATTCTTCTCAGGGAAGAAGCTGATACATACCAAACATGGGTAAATGCGGAGTATTTGGTAATGTTACCACGTTATGACCAGCACGGGAGTAATGCCACTCTAGCCTTTCCGGGAGAGCTTCCATGCCATCAACAACTTAAGTACTTCCTGCTTGCTACTTCAGCCATTTGGTCTAATCCTCCAGTTCCTCAGATGCTTCAATAGTTTCCCTTTCCCCTTTCCAATCTTCCAATTAACAGTTTGCGCGAATAATCATGGCGAGCATGCACCATGGGCAGTCGCACGACCTGCATGACGACGATTCTCTTCTAGACGACGACCTGATCGAAGCCGATGACGGTGAGCTTCTCCCCATCCTTTAATTCGATTCACTTCAATCACTCTCCTGATATTAATTTTCTGGCCCTTCAGCTATCGAAGCCGATGACCCCCTGCACGAGACCTCCGACACAGCCCCTCTCCGAGGCAACATTGAATCCGACTCCGGTTCGCGAGGTGGTCGATCAGGCTATGGAAACTATCTCACATCCTCAATCCCTGGAGAAGATCGTCGTGCGACCCAAAATACCATCGATGAGACCGTCTGGGCCACTTTGTCGCGCGACCTGGTTGCCGTCGGGGAGAAGATGCGCCAGGTGCTGTGGCCGAAGTACCTCCTGGGAGGCATGATGCAACGCGGTGGCGGTGGTATCGGTGGTGCTGCAGAGAGAGGCGAGGCCTCTGGATTCGGGAATAACCTGCGTGGGCTCGTTGGACGCTGGCCGGATGCCGATGTGGTCTTGCAGGGTGGAATGAGCGATGGGCTGCGCGACTGGGACCTGTGGTATGTTGTTGCGGGTATTCTCTTGGGCGTGGCGATGGACTTGTAGGCTAATCATGTCTTTCTTACAGGGGCCCGCTGGTCTTTTGCTTGGTACTGAGCTTGTTTTTGTCGATCGCCAAGGGCGACCAATCATCACTGGTCTTCTCGGGTGTTTTTTGCATTGTTTGGATTGGAGAGGCAGCCGTGACTCTTCAGATCAAGCTTCTGGGTGGTAAAATGTATGTTATGCCTCCTCTTTCCGTCTTCATGTCGATGCACTATACTAACACTATGACTTGCGTTCCAGCTCTTTCTTCCAGTCGATCTGCATTATCGGTTACACACTCTTTCCACTTGTTATCGCTGCCCTTCTCAGTGCACTTGGTTTACCCACTATCGCCAGAATACCTGTTTATCTCGTTCTCGTGGCCTGGTCGCTAGCGGCAGGAGTGAGTATCTTGGGCGGCTCAGGTGTTGTTCGGAACCGAGTAGGCATTGCCGTATACCCACTCTTTGTGTTCTATATTGCGATTGGATGTCTCTGTTTCATTAGTTAAGGGACAGTTGAAGAGTTCTGACTACGGATAGGCTCGCAGCCAAGTGACACACTGGAGGAAATCCCGAATGAATTTGCAGTGCAAGCGTTTATACATGTCTTATGTTTTAAAGAATTTCCCCTCCTACCATACCAGATTCCCGATATGTATATTTCGATTTATTCGATTTGGTAGCTCAGGGTATCTACAACTTGAATGGAAATTGGACGTATGCTACTCAATGTATATAGACTGTCAAACCATTCAAGTACATTACTGTCAAATGGTGTTAAACGGGAAAGTGAAGCCCAAATTCACTGCGGGGGCCTGAAGCGGTGACCGGAACACAAGTCAACATCTTCGCCGCTTTCTATCTTCTGCTTCTCCAAACCTTTTCCACTTCCATTTTACTCGTCCGAGTCACTATTGATCCTTCATTTTCAACCTACTCTATTCCGATATCCTTGCATCCTAACCTTCAACTGATTAACATCTACAACCCTTGTACCATTCGCCATCTTCGTTACTTGAGAGCCTGCCATTGTTATGGCTCCAGTGACGGAACCGATGCCCACCGTGGGTGAGTACTTTGTCTTCATTGTTTTCTCTTTGCGCATTGTCTCAAGTATACTGCGTTCTTTGGCGTCGTAGAATCTGGTCGGGAAATCGTGACAGCGGTTGAGCAGCCGACAATTGGGTCCTTTAGGGGAGGGACAACTTCCTAAGTCTTCCGCACCGGCTGCGCATTCATCCCATGTCTTCCCGTCGCAGCTGGTCTCTTCGCTGTGCGACTTGAAAAATTTCCTGCTTTGCATTCATGGGACTTGCAGAAGCTGACATTGTTTTTGTTTTGTACCAGTAACCGGCGGAGAATCCCCACCTTCCGACAATGATGGCGACGAGCGCCCTGTTCGCAAGCAACTTAAAGAAACCTCCATCGACTCTACCCACACGACCGTGAACGAGAACTCCAGCAGCCGCAAGCGCTCTTTCGAAGAATCTCGTGACCACCATGATGACCCCTGCGAGAATGGCGAAAGCCGACGAAAGCGATCGCGAGAAGGCACACCGCAGTCTGGAAATGTGAGTACCAACAACATGCAAAACACCCTTTGGGCCTCCCTGGATATCGCCCAAGGCAACCTATCACCCTCGCCCCTACCCTCTACAACCCCCGGAACCCCGTATCATGCGCCTGGGCTCGATGATCTCCTCGATTATGAGGAGTATGAGCAAAACGAGGACGCAATTATGCCTCAAAGACGTGATGAGCCTACGGACTGGTGCCTCCTTCATGATCGTCTCAACGATCTGAATGGCTATCAAGCCTGGCTTTCAAAGCAGCACGAGCTTTATGAGCGACAAGAGGAGCTTTTCGCGAAGGAACGAAAGCGTCTTCAGGACAAGGCGAAATTTGGGGCGGAGCAGCGGAAACGCCTTGAGGAAGAGCAGAAAGATGCCGAGGAGGCACGAAATGAGCTTCATGCGACACAAGACCTCCTTGACGAGTCAAAGAGGCGTCTGGACAAGACGCAGGACCGCCTTCGGCGCAAACAAGACCGCCTCTATGAGGATCATGACCGTCTTGTCCGGATCCAAGCGCATTTCGATGAAGAATACGAGATTTTGCACGAGCTGATCGACGAAATCCAACGGGAACAACCGCGAGTGGAGAGACGGAAATCCAAGGTTCTCTTGGAAAAGTCATTTCTTCAAGAGAAGCCGAAGTTCCTGAAAGAAGATCAAAAGTCGCCCAGCCCATCTCCCGAACCCCCCGGGACTCCTAAGACTCACAAGGCCTGGCCCGAAACTTCGTTCCCAAGGGCCAATCGTTCATCTCGTGACTGTCCAGGAAGCCCCGAGCCCTGGGTAGCATCTCTGCTTCCTCAAAATTCCTACCTCTACGTTCCTTACTCCGTTCCTTACTCCGGAAGCCCCAAATTCCAGCCGACTGTCCAACTTGAACTATCAGCTGAGTCTGTCCTGGAGATCCTTCTCCGGAAATCTCCAGTCGATGGCGATTTGTTGAACGTGAAAGTTGAAGATGATACTTCAACTAGCTCGTATAACTCAACATCTGTGTCCTCTTCTGGAAAGGAATATTCCAGCCCTAATCCCCAAACCCCGCCGGATACACACAAAGAAATTTATGAGACAAGTACCAACCCAATGTTACAGGACCCGATATCATCGACGATCGAACCCACGCCCGGAAACATGGACGACGAATCGGCAAAGTATCCGAAAAAGAAGAGAAGTCACGAACAGCTTGAGGACGCTTCAAAGAAATCGGATACAACGAATGACTTAGCGCCAACCCCTGCTGGTCCTACCGATGCGAATTCCACTATTGATGGAGAGCCCGAGAAGAAGAAACATCGTGATAACTCACAGGAACGGGATATCAAGACTGACCATGTTCGTTCATATTCCTTTTTTAAAAGTCCGTCTACATACTGATGCCCTTTAACTACAGGCATTCGCTTCCAGCGCCTTTGGGAAGGCAGCCGCATCTCCATTCGCTTCGCTAAACAAGATTCAGGATTCAACTAAAGATTCTCAAAAGCCCGCTTCTGCCTCTGCATTCGCCTCGTCGAGTTTGGCCGCATTTGCAGGCTCTGAAAGTTCTCCCTTCGGTGCACTAGGAGGCTCAACTCCCTCCGTCTTCACCCCCGCCTCCGGGACAAGCAGCTTTGCAACTCCCTCACTCTTCAGCTCCGCCGCCTCTGGCACAAACAGCTTTGCAGCCCCCTCTGGGACCTCTGGGTTCGGTGCCCTGGGAAGTGGGTTCACAGGTGTTGGTGGTGGATTCGGTGCTGCTACTAAAGCTGGCGGCCTGACCAGTTTTGCGTCGAGCAATGCTCCAGCCACACTGGGCGAATCCAAGGCCAAGTCCTTTGGTGCTAATGATTCCGATGCCGATGAAAGCGACGCCAATGATGATGAAAACACACACACATTCGAGGCGTCCAAGACTGATGAACGTTTCTACGCTCAGGACAGTAGGTTCCCGCAGGTTCCCTTCTCTTGAATTGTACTCACCGTGCCCACTTAGTTCAAACCGGCGAAGAAGACGAAGAAACCGTTTTCTCCTGCAAGGCAAAGCTGTTCCATTTCTCGAACAAGGAGTGGAAGGAGCGTGGCATCGGCACTTTTAAAGTCAATATCCGCCAGAATGCCGATGGCAAGCCAACAGGCCGTATGATTATGCGTGCTGATGGCGCCATGCGCGTGATGTTGAATAGCCCGATTTTCAAGGGCATGAACTATGGGGATGCGAAGAATGAAGCCCCCATTAATAAGCAAATCCTCCTGGCCAGCCTGGAAGAAGGCCGTACCATTCCTCTGTTGTTGCGTGTAAGGTCACTCTCTCCTCTTTCCAATGAATATACTGACCTGACTCTCCAGACTGGAAACGAGTCATATGCAAGAGAACTTTACGATACCATTGATGATCTACTGAAGGACGCAGATGTATGAAGCCCAAATGTGACAATTGAAGTTTGAGGAACTCGGAGAGAGTACAATCAGGTGGAGAACATGATCATTAGTTTTAGTAGTGAGAGAGTTCACCTCTCTTCTTCTTGACTGAAATGTAGTTAGTTATTCTACACTTCTATAACCGTTCCTGTAACAACAATCACCTACTCAACCTCACTATCGCCACCAACCGATGTATCGAATGTTGGCTTCATCCTTCCGGAACTCTTACAACCATGTTCCAATGCTGCGATGATGCAGTTTGTGTTCCAGCTTGCTTTGTGATAGCATCTCTTTGTTTCACGATGATCTCGCCTTGAGACCACGTTCTCCCAACCATATGTATTTGTAGACAGAAATGAAGTCTCGACGGAGATGAAACAATTTGATTATAATAATCGCTGAATTTCTGAACTGGGCCAAACAAATATTTGAATGAATAGCATCAGCTCTTCACAGCGACCACAAACAGCCGTGGGTACCGGAGCAAGACTCGACCATCAACAGACGAGGGATATGCGTCCTCCAAGCGCCTCAAATACTCTTTCAAGAACGCATCTTTCTCCTCTGGCTGCAAGGGATCCACATAGGGTCTCAGTCCAGTCCCTTTTACCCATTCAATGATAGCTTCATGGTTCTCAAGCGAATGATAATAACTGGTATGGAAAAGGTTAACCTCGGAGCAAAGCGGCTTGAGCTGATCATAAATCTCCTGCGGTGACTGGAACGTATCTCGACCGACAGATTGCAACTTCGCCGCCCAGGGTCCAACTTTGGCAGTCTCCCTCATCAGGACATGAGAGGGTTCGTTGAGGTTGTCAGGAACTTGAAAAGCAAAGACTCCGCCAGGTGGTTGGCTTTCAATTAATCTCTTGATGACCTCAATGCGCTTTTCTCTGCCAATCCATTGGAAGACAGCATTGGAATAGTAGAGATCGACCGGGGTGTCTGGTTTATAGGTGTTCAAATCTGCGATACTAAACTCCAAGTGGGGGAGAGTGTATTTGGCTTGGCGGATCATGTCCGGGGACGAATCCATCCCCACAAGAAGAGCATCGGGGTAGCGGGACTCCAGGACAGCCGTTGAGTTGCCAGGACCACATCCAAGATCGACTACACTCTTCGGGGTCTGTAGAGGAACCCGAGCAAGAAGATCGCGTGCTGGTTGGGTACGTTCATCTTTGAATTTGAGGTACTGCGCCGCGCTCCAATCATGCGCGGGGTTGGCGGTGGACATTGAGAGGCGCAATGTGGGGACGGCTCGGGGAAGAAGCAGTCTTCTTGATGATTGAAGAAGGGACATATCAAGACCAGCTGTAATTTTTGAATGCACTGAGTGGTGAAGATGAGGTTGTCCACATGCAGGCGAAAGATTCAATGTTAAAAGCAAATGCTGGCTTGAAGTGGCTGAAAGGGAAGTCGGAAATGTCGATTACTGTTTCGACTGATGTACACCAACTTACACCCAATGTTTATCAATAGAAAATCTAATCTTCTTCCGATCGGAGTATTTGGAATGTTTTGAAATTGGTTCAAATCCTTCACCGATTACATCATGAGTGCATTGGGAATCATTCGAAACTGCCGATGATCGGGAATAACAGTAACATCGGACATCCATGAACATTAAAGCTCGCTTACTCCGATATGTACACGTTACCTGACATTTCGCATGAGATGGGCCATATCTATTACTACAGTATGTGTAGAACCACAATTCCAGTATATGTCCCTACTCAAGTGCTGTACTGGGGACATCCGATTCGCTTACCAGTAGTAGGATTCGCTCGAGTCTGACTATAATTGGCTTTTCTTTACATCATTTTTATTGATTCAGCCCTCTACGGATTTTGTTCATGCGTGGCGGAGAGAGTCATGTAAAACGTACAACATCATTGATATACCAGGAAAATAGCGCTATAAGGCCTGCTGACGGCGGAATGGTGCACAGCACCAGGCGAGCACGCTTCTGGGACCTTCAGCGGGGTCATTAAAGCGCATCACCAATGAAAATGGTAGCAAATGGGCGTGGAAGTTTGTTACCCCCACAAATCACAGTCAAATGGCACAGAAGCTTGCAAAAATAAAGCAAAGGGAAATGTCAATAAGTATCTCTGGAGTCTTGACTGGATAGCACGAAGCCAGGCGGTGTGAATGCACATTCCCCTTTGGGTTATATTGATACACGTGACATCGCGTTTCGCCTCCAGGGCTTGAACACATTTGAAAGTTCCCATGTTCGACAGTTATCGCGATGAGGCTTCAGAATGCCAGATTCTACACTCTCATCAAACCCTTTGAAACGGAAGCAGGCTCATGACGGCCCCGAGCAGGCCGCTGACCCTCCCTCATCCCTTGACGCGTCTCTACATTCAGCCGAATCCTCAGCTGATTCTCACGCCAATACGCCCGAAACAACGACATTGGAAAGCGGACCATCCAAAAGAAAGAGCAAACCGGGTCCAGGAGAAAAGGCCTCCACGAGTGGAAAACCCAAGGGCCCGAAAAAGAGAACTCCAGCCGCGCCATGGCCAGATGCATTGAAGCGCTTATCTCAGACACAACGTGCCTTGAACTTGGTGTATACATTTTGCTGTACGCGAAAGCACTTTGCGACCACATTTGACAATATCAAAAAAGCAGTGCAGGCACAGCTTGGTCAAGATCGAGAACTTACCGTTGAAGACATTGCGCGAGTAAAGGTGCTGGTCCCAGGCGCTGTGCGCTTCGAGTATGTCGATGAAGCAAAGTTGGAGGTGACAGCTGGAGAGAAAGATGTTACTGACTATGGGTTGAAACGTCAACGTGGTCTTTGGACAGCCGACGATCTGAACAAGGATAATGCAGAGAATGAATCAAGCCAGGGAATTACCAGGAATGTCTTACTTTTCGAGTTCCTGGATGGAGATCTCAAGCGGGAGGTCGTTCATCCGAAAACAGGGGAACCTGCCAAACCTGTGCGTCGAATGAGAGATGAGGATCTAAAAATGCCGGTCTACAGCCAGAAGCAAATGCTGAAGCTGATTGAGAAACGCAACGCTAAATTTTCCGATGCCATTGACGCGTTTCTAGTTCGCTGTGAAGATGAACTTATCGATCCAGAGCTCCTGTTGGAACAGGAGAAGGATCTATACATCCCCACACATCCTAGCAGTGGAGCTGTCACTCCCGCCGCGGCCAAAATTCCCGCCACCATTCCGAAAGAGCGTCTCTCTATCGCAGAGATCATCGCGGAGATCCGAGAGATGGAGTGGTATCATGCTCAGATCGTCCCAGAAGGACATCGGGTATTTGACGCCCAGTCTCCTGTTTACGGTGATTTGAATTTCCGACTTTCCCAGGATCTTGTGAACACCTTGTACAATACAAAGGGCATCACCCAGCTATATTCCCACCAAGCGGAAGCAATTAATCACCTCTATGAAGGCCAAAATGTTATAGTCTCTACCTCGACAAGCTCGGGCAAATCACTCATCTATCAAATCCCCATGCTGCACGAGTTGGAAAAAGACCCCGATAGCAGGGGAATGTATATTTTCCCTACCAAGGCTTTGGCTCAAGACCAACGACGCAGTATGATGGATCTTCTGCAATACATGAATGGACTGCAACATATCATGGTCGAAACTTTTGATGGTGACACGCCAATGGACAGCCGCAATCTTATTCGCGATGAAGCACGAATCATATTTACCAACCCTGATATGCTGCACATCACAATTCTACCGCAGGAAAGCGCCTGGCGCACTTTTCTAAAGAATTTAAAATTCGTGGTCGTCGACGAGCTCCATGTCTACAATGGTCTATTCGGATCTCATGTCGCGTTTATCATGAGGCGACTTCGCAGAATCTGTGCTGCGGTGGGCAATCGGCATGTCAGATTTATATCTTGCTCTGCCACAGTTGCAAATCCGGAGGCGCACATGAAGTCTGTCTTTGGTGTGCAAGATGTGAAGCTGATCGATTTTGACGGGTCTCCCTCGGGTCGGAAAGAGTTTGTCTGCTGGAACACTCCATTCAAAGACCCGACAGATCCAGGCTCAGGACGCGGTGACACTGTTGCTGAGACTGCCCGTTTGTTTTGCCAGCTGGTCTTGAGGGGCGTCAGGGTCATCGCTTTCTGTCGGATCAGAAAGATGTGTGAGATCCTCCTGCAAGCCGTCAGGAATGAGTTTCAAGGTCTCGAACGTCCAGAAGTAGGCAAAATGGTGATGGGGTATCGAGGCGGCTACAGCCCTCAGGATCGACGTCGCATTGAGAAAGAGATGTTTGAAGGAAAGTTGATGGGAATCGTGGCGACAAATGCCCTAGAATTGGGTGTTGACATTGGTTCCCTGGACGCAGTAATCACTCTGGGATTCCCCTACTCGATCTCCAATTTACGTCAACAGAGTGGCCGTGCTGGACGACGTAACAAGGACTCTCTATCGGTGTTGGTTGGGGACAGGTACCCGACGGATCAGCACTACATGCAGAATCCAGAAGAAATTTTCACTCGGCCCAACTGTGAACTCCAGATCGACCTTTCCAATGAGCTCATTTTGGAGGGACATATCCAGTGCGCTGCATTCGAAGCGCCCATCTCCCCAGATCAAGATCACATCTATTTCGGTGAGCAACTCTACACCGTCGTAGCCACGCGCCTCATCAAGGACAGTATGGGCTTCTTTCACTGCCACGAACGCTTTCGACCCCAGCCCTCGAGATGTGTCTCCATACGGGACACGGAAGACCAGCACTTTGCCGTAATTGACACCACAAACAACCGCAATGTTGTCCTCGAAGAAGTAGAAGCCTCCCGCGCCTTCTTCACCATTTACGAGGGCGGTATCTTCCTACACCAAGGCGAAACCTACCTCGTCCAAGAGCTGAACACGGAACGCCATTTAGCTCGTGTAACCCGCGTTCATGTAGACTGGAGCACCATGCAGCGCGACTTCACCGACATCGACCCCATCGAGACAGAAACCATGCGGCCCGTTACTGCAGATCCATCCGGCTGTCGCGCATTCTTCGGAGCCATCCAGATTCACGCCGTTGTTTACGGGTTCTTCAAAATCGACAAGCGCGGCCGAGTGCTAGATGCCGTAGAGGTTGATAACCCGCCCATCGACATCCTGACCAAGGGAATGTGGCTCGATGTTCCATCGCGCGCAATCACGATCCTCGAGTCCCACAGACTAAACATCGCCGCCGCCATCCACGCCGCCGAACACGCGGTCCTCTCTCTGCTCCCTTCCTTTGTCATTTCCTCACCTGGCGACGTCCGTACAGAATGCAAAGTCGCCAAAAAAGAACTCGGTCGTCCCCTCCGTCGCGCAAACGAGACTTCCGTGTCTGATAGAAAAGAGCTTCAGAAACTCCTCCAGCCGCCTTCCCGGCAACGGCCTGCTCGACTCACGTTTTATGATGCGAAGGGTGGGTCGTGTGGCTCGGGTATCGCCAGCAAGGCATTCGAGTTCATCGGATTACTCCTCCGACGTGCAGTTGCACGTATCGAAGCATGCGCCTGTCTGTCGCCACAGGGTTGTGTAGAATGCGTATGTGACGAGCGTTGTAAGGAGATGAACTTAGTCATGAGCAAGGCTGGCGCGGGTGTGATCCTGCGATGCTTGCTTGGTTTGGAGGTGGATGTGGATGCTTTGCCATGGGGTGAAGATGTTGATGGTCATGATTTTGGCGTTGGGGGAGGCGAGTTGGCGGGTGGATACGAGACTGTTGTGAAGGCCAACGAGATTCCATGGAAGGCTGGATGTAGCCCTGGCGAAAGGCAGAGCTGATGTTGTTTGCATGTACAGAGTATGCAGTTTACAAACAGTCCCCACTGGGCAGCCCTGGGGCTTGTACTTGATAAGGTTCCAAGTGGATGGACAAGACAATCTGCAGCTGGTTGATGCTCTCTGAACCTGTACATCCAATCAATTGCATATCTCGAAACTGCTCTCGGGCTTTTTACACAATCCTGAGTTCCAAGGCTTTACTTCAGAAAGAAAATTTAAGAAAATAAGAAAGTGAGCAACAGCACACATGCGGTATAGATCGGCAAATAAGCCCAGGAAAATGCGATTCATATGGTTGTCTTTGATAATGTACTGTCTAGGCAGTCGGGTATATAATAATGTACACATGAAGTCATGCCCGAGGGAATCCCGGGGTATAGAAATGGAAATCGGTGCAATGAGAGGTAGAAGAACAGGTCAGGGAGTGAAAAGACAGGTTGGTATCAAGGATCGGGTATACAAGACAGATGACAGAAGAGGATGTCAAGGAGTGGATATGGTGGAAGTGCATGTTGACTGTCTCAATGCACGGTAAATATTGTGTCTGTCGGATGGGACCTCACGTCCACTGAGACGGTAAAGCCAAGGTAAGCCAAGAAGATTGGCATCATGCGCTTCGGAACGTTTGCTCAAAAGCGTGGCTGATAAATAAGACTTGGCAGCGGCCACAAGGAAGCTTTCTGCAGTTTGCCGAGGACGAAGACGGGATAGGCCATGTCGAGGTTCAGTCCAGGCTAGATCATGCATCATGACGTGGCGGTCTGAGCGGCCAGCAAACGCCACCACAGGGATCAACGGTCGAAAATGAAGATCCCCGTCAGGAGAACCCACCGTGGCTGCTACCGTGGCTGCTCCCGGGGCTCAACTCGTCGCCCTCGTCATTGACATTCAGTTTCCAAAACATGGATTTCATGTCACGAACGTCGGAACGGAAGTCGTCACGGGGCTGCTTGAGTCGATCATCAGTCATGGCACGAACTTCGCGGATCAGATCTGGGTAGCCTTCATTGTTGGGAAGCCACCATTCCATGAGTTCGGGGAGTTGCCAAAGAGCAGCGAGGACTTCACGGAATTTGGGTTGGATGATATATCTGGTTAAAAGATAGGTTAGCTTCTAGATCTATTGCAAGAGAATATGGTGAAAAGTGAACTTACCCGGTTTGTTCCATCCGGGCAATCCTGTGCCGACACCACGTCTGATTCTTGTCGTCTCTGGGAAGAAACATGCTCGTGAGTCCGATACTGTTTTTAAACCCAATGCACGCCCCGTTGCCTTTGTCTGGCCATCGATCGATAGTTTCCATGATCTGGGCCTGTTCCCAGGCCAAGCTTGTCAGTTCCGGCAAAAGAGGTTGTCTCAACGCGAGCATGGTTTGATATTTGTACATCAATTCGGTCGAGAGAAGGTCGATCCAGATATAGTTCGCATCCCACAGAGGACCCTGGTGAATCCGACCTGGAACGTAGGGATCCACGATGTCATCTTCGGTCAAAGGCTGCTTGTTTGGGTACGAGCGAACGCTGTATTCACTGTCGTCGAAAGTTCGCATGATATCCTTGGCCCGTTCAAGCGTTTGCCCAAGTAGCTCGTTCTGCACAGCAAAATCTTCGAATGGAATCATGCCACGAGATAGTTTGGCATACAGGGAAGCCAGATCCAGACCGAACCGGCGGTTAATCGATGCGACCAACGAGAACTGTTTGGATGCATCGTCAGGGTCGAGGGCAGCTTGCTCCGCGTCAAACTGCTCTTTTGCAAGATACCAATCTCGACTGAGGATTGCTTCTGTACCGGCCAAAATTCCTGCCACTACATCGAACCGCGCATACCAGAGGAAGATGTTTTTATGTAATTCGATGAGGTTGGACGAGTCCGGCGTCAGCAATTCCTGCATTAACGCGTGCGCAGCTTGGTGATGATCAATCAGGTTGACCCAATCCCCGGTGTATTCCTGGTGAGAACATCGGCGTCAGCGTGATTCACAAAAACAAAAACGAAAGAGAAAGGGAGGAAGGCAGTCTACCTCAAATGTGGTCAAGACCAGCACTGTACACAAGGTTGCCTCGTTATGTTCCTCGCCAGATTCAAGAGATTTGCGCAGGAGGACCAGGGCTTTATTATAATATTTGAGGAATGTATACATTTTTCCTCCCGGACTTTGCAGGGTGTGATGGTATGCGGCAAAGCCCACCAGAGCATAGAGCAAAGGCTCATATTGCAGAGCAAGCTCAATGAGGCTGTGTTGAACGAAAGCCCGACTCGGCTCTCTTAAAAAGAAATGGCCGGGAGTGATGAATTCCTCATGAAAATTCAGATAAAATCGCAAGCGCTCCGGTAGTCGGGCCGCGTTGAGCATGTCCGTTGTGGACTGTGTGACACTGGCCGACCGCACACTCACGGACTCGAAGCGTGACGAAGACTCCGTAGAGGGTGAGCTGCCTGGTTCCATGACCGACCCAGACTCGGGCACTTGTTTTAAACTCGGTTTCCGCAGGGACTGACCACTCTGCGTCCTGTGTAGATCTGGCCGAGATGTGCTGGTCGTGCTGGAGGGCGATGGGCGAGATGCTGGGGCGGCGCTGTCGGGTTCTTCCTCATCGATGATCGGCTCCAAAGGACTTATCTCATCAAATTCTAGCCGACCCGACGAATCGCTCCCTTGCGAGGGAGGGCGCGCACCCCGCGATTTGACGGACGGGCGGGCGCCTCCCTTAGAAGAGGATGCGGGGGATGGGTAGACACAATCCCGAGTTCCCTTGCGACATCGCTCGCAGACGGGACGACCCTCATCACATTTGATGCGACGAGAGCGGCAGGTGAAGCACCCACTCCGTGTTCGTTTGTGTTTCTTTGAGTCCGGTAGAGGTTGGAGTATGGTCGATTGCTTCGGGTATGACGGCGCAGGTATGGCCGGGGAAGCGGATGGATCGTGCCATAAGGCAAGATTATCGGGATACTGAGCTGCTCCAAACATCGAGTAGGCGGACATACTCGAATCCTGTTGCATTGGATCAAAGAAGCTGGCCATGGCGGCCTGGGACTGGTAATATGATTGCTCCATAGTAATGGAGCGTCCCTGTCGTTGAGCTCCGCAGATCTCCCCCGCAAATTAGTGTGAAGCTCCTGATTACTGCATTATCCAGGGCCAGGGAAGGGGAGATATAGTGGAAGTGGAAGTGAAAGTGAAAGTGGTGGTGGTAGTGACAGTAACAGAATAAAGTATGTACAAAGGTGGATGTGTAGGGGGTGGGGTGAGGTTGACCCAGAGTCCCAGACTATTGGGATCCAAGTTTATGTGCGGAGATGATGAGATTATGGGAAGATGAGATTATGAGATTACAGAGTCGAAATTAATTACTTTCTCATTCGAGAGGATATATCATATTCAGTTCAACGCCGTAAATGTCTTTGAATTCTCGATACTATTTTGGTCCTGGCTTGAATCCCTGATCGTGATCGACAGAGAATAAGATAAAAGCGACAAAAACAGAATTAAATTGAAATAATAATAAAATAAAAGGTAATAAGATAATAAAAAACCGGAAAATCCCCACTCTAATAGATTTAACTTATTCAAACCCTCAATCGGCGGAGTTGGGCGGGAGCCGAGCCACAGAACATTCCAACGGGAAGAATTCCAGTAACAGTAACTGACTTGGACCTTTGAACTTCTCCACAACATCAGCCACTTTGGGCTTATTTTTATCCTTAATTCCTTTTTAAGGGAACCACGACGGAATGACAAATTGATTGAAAAGGGGCTGATCTCTCCAGCCACAGATGAATCATGATGGCTCGAGCCCTTGAACCCTCCATAGTTCGAAAAGGGGATTCTGTGTGATCAAAGCGTCCACTAACTTGAGTACTATAGAACTATACAGAGTACTCCGAATCACGAATAGACTAAGAGCGGTTTAGTTCTTAAATTCTTTTTTTTTTTTTCATCTTTAAATCCCTTCGGACAGGTATGGTTTTTTGATTTTTTTTAATTGTCGGACCGGCCCCCGGCCGAAATCCGACTCGACGGGGGCAGCTAGTTACTCCTCAACCATGATTGTTCAAGTGGAACCAGGACAAATTCATATGGGGCTCTGTGGTTTTGTATCGCAAGTACTGTACTCCGTATACACGTACACCGACAGATCGTCAGTTTGAGTAAAATTATACTCGGCAAATCTGAAACTTTGCCAGTCACATCGCTGTATCGCAACAAAAATGCCGGAAACGTTCTTGTGATGATCAGAGAAAGTGGAGCCTGACTAAGGGACTCACGGATTCCGGTGGAAACTAAGCTTCATTTAGGGAGGTTATGATTCATGATTGGAACATACAACCTGGGGGACCCACGACACAGAACACGGGGAATCCGGCAAAGATCCCAATGGGAGGCTTGGCGGCACCTGGGATATTGCTCGACCAGTTTTATCCCTGCAGTATAATGTTAGGTGGTCTCCTCCCACTGTATGTTTCCTCTCACTGTATGGAGTAGAATCAAATCAATCTCGTACCTGATCGACGATTTGACAAGAGGTGGGCCATGATCGCACAGGGCCAAGAATGGAAAAAAGACTTTGGGTTTGGAGTCTTCGACTCCACAGGGGGAAAATCCATAACAGGCAACCGCAATAATAAAATAAAATTACAGGAACAGCACAGATTAGTAGTAGATCCGGCGGGTGCGGATTGTCCGCCATGTGGGTGGAAAATGAGCCGACTTTTGTAAGGACCATGACATACAGTGGAGTTTTTCTTTCTGTTCCATGTGGCCTGAATTCGAAAAGAACCGGGCGATCCTGCTTTCTGGGCGTTTTGGTCAGGCTAGTCTCTCACACTGGGCCAAGATGGGTAATATCTCCGTTTAGATCTTATTCGCACCCCATGCTGGTCCGGGACTTGGGGAAGGTCTTGGGTCTCCACTTGCAATAAATCCATGCTTCGTAGCCTCATCAGCTCGATCTCGGCCCGGTAAAAAGGAGGTGCGTGGTCCGAAGCTCGTATAGAATCCGTATTGTCCGTTCTCAGCCCTATAATGGAAATGGAATTTTGGAGATGGCAGAGACTTTCAGGTACGGAGTAAATATGCCGATTTGGTATACAAAGCTGGTGTACTTCATTTGAAATTTGAACTGCTCAGGTGTTAAGAGTCTCATGAGCATTCTTCCATATCATCACCCTTTGAGAGCAGCCCTCTCTGGACCCTGGTAGACTTTTTTTTGGCTTCGGATAATATCCATGAAGCCTTAGAGTGCATATTACGGAGACATCCGAGGTCTGACGTACTTTGACATGCTGATCCTGTATTATTTGCGCAATGAGAACCTTGGAAGTAACATCCAATATGTAGGGCCCAAGCGCTGCTTATTATAGTGAAAGCACCCCCTGTACCTTCTCCGAGCTCACTCTACTCTGTATACTCCCTTCACATCCCATTTATTCTGTACTCTGGATAGGTTCGGTTAATCATCGGATCCTGAACAACCTTGGAAAGCTTGATGGCCTAAGTATCCACTGATACATCTGAACAGATTCCGTGTATTGTAGCATATGGATACCCGTATAACCAAAGTTAAAACGCCACGCACCTGGGGCTTCGTCCTCCCAAAGAGGCGTAAAGATCGGCCGATCCCAGACCTGTCGGATACAAATGCCCTCAATTGAGTTGGCGCCGGCCGTTTGAGCTGTGGCCCCCATGTCTAGCGCCATGAAAGATTGGAAACCAATCCTGGGTCAACCCACCCAGGTACATGCCATCCCCACCTGGAATATCCACCACGACCGTGGGCTAGGGACGCACTACTTACTGACCTTTGCCTTTTCTAGGGGACCTAGACACTTGACTAGTCCATCATGACTAGTCTGGGACCAAAGGGGACAAAATGGACAAAAGTACTCCCTAACTCCGTGACCCGTCCTGCCTAGGTTGGTGGAGACAACTACGTAGCCAGCTCTGCACTGCTGTATCCAGAAAGATCATTGATATCATTGATGATCATCAGATCACTTCCATTTAGCGCCGAGAGCCACATCGATCATGATTCACCGTTGGCTGCAGCTCCAGGGGTGTTTGGTTTGTTGATCCTCAAGGTTGCACTGCAGCAACATCCGCTCTAGAAGTGCAACTTGGCCTCGGACTTGGATTCGTGCAGCCATGCAACATGTGACGAACACTTGGCTGGTGAGATGGATGCAATTTTATTATCCCTGCCAGTCATGCAAGCCGCCGTCATTTGACTTTGGGGCGTTGGTGGATATGGTATGTACAAGTTAACTTTCATTTTCTTGTAGTGGAATTGTTCCAATTCCTCTTTCCACGGCAATCTTAGCCGTTTCTCTTTTTTCGCTCCTTTTTCCCCTTTTTTTGCTTGGCTTTTCGGGGTTTCTTTTTCGATCTCGGAGATGTAATATTTGATTGCCGAGGTTTCTGAATACTCAATTTCAACTGGCCCTAGTTCTGGACTCCTTTTGCATTTCCTCGTATCGGGTACGGAGTACACTTGGTCGAATTCGTCCGTATAGGTGGTTTGCAATTGCATCATCTGCAAGGTGTCGCCATTTTTATTGGCTCATTTCCTGTCGGCACTGCACGCCAGCTCTTATCTGGGCGGGGGAGAAGACCAGGTCCGGGACAGGAGGCGAATTTCCACGTTCTAACATTCGTACATGATATTTTTTGGATAGAGTCATAAAATCGTCAACAGCCCAATGATCTACATCGACCAAGGGGGCCTCTAGTGGCAGGCATGTTGCTGAATAGTGCGGGCGGCGCTAGACAGATAAAACATCCTTGGGGAGTATATAATAGCCCGCTTTTAGGCTGATTTGCGGGCCGCCAGCTCCTTCAGCACCATGCCCACTCCCTCAATGACGGTCACCCATTCCGTTTCGTGGACGCGCTTCCCAAATGCCTCCAGGTCCTCATCCTGGCCCTTTCGGAAGGGGATCTCCTGAACTAGAATGGGCTGGCCCATGTCCACCTCGGAAATGACGTCGTGAATCATGACACCTGTCTTGTCGATCTTACCTTCCATCCATGCAGCATGAGCACGTTCAATAGCATTCTACACCATCCCCCAAATCAGTACAAGGATCCGTCGTCTCTTCCACTGCTCCAGTTGAACTTACCACACCATTAAAAGCGCCCGGGAGCGCTGGATGCAAATTGATGATGCGGACATTGGCCACCTCAAGCGGCCTCAAGAACTGCGGCGAAAGAATGTGCATGAACCCAAGACATACAACCAGCTCAGGCTGATCAGCGAGGATCAAACGTGCCAGCTCGGCATCGTACTCCTCGCGAGCGGCCTGGACACCCTCGGGAGTGGCAGCGTGGTGCTTCTTGTACTTGACAAGATTGTGGTACTCAGTAGGAATGCCCGCTTTCCGGGCACGCTCGAGACCGAAGGCATCTTTGCGGTTGGAGAGGACGCGGATGATATTTGCATTAAGTGTACCGGCTGCGACTTGATCGATTACTGCTTGCAGGTTGGAACCATTGCCGGAGATAAGAACTGTAGTGCGAATAGGGGTAGCCATTTCGGTGATATGAAAGGTTCCAATGAGAACCTAGGCTGCTCGTCGACTTTTTTTTTTGCGTGATCGGAGGGGTCGCGGGGTTTGAAGGTTCTCGGGACTGGATCGTTTTCTCGTCAGAAATGTACTGCATCAACCCTAGTGTACCAATTTGAAGCTTTCAAGTGGTTCAATTGAACAAGACAATGTTTTGAATGCAATATTTACATACCTGTGCAATCGAGGTGACAAAACCACATATGATACGAAGCTTCCATGCCGCACTGGGAAGGTTTTACGGCACGTGACACCGCGGGGCTGGTGGGGCATTCACATACAATTACGACGAACTCGACTGATCGGAAAAATTACGTATAGGGAGGATTCAAATTGATAAATTTACTCGTACGCAAATGGAAAAGGACCTTGCCTTGCGTAAAGCTGTACGCTATTATGAACTGCCTCTAAAAAATCAATTCGCTGGCAATTCAACGGGATACAGCATAAAGAACCCTAGAAACAGGAGAGTAAAGCAACCGAGACTAGATGTTTGGCGGTTCGAGAAACTTTACAGCCTTGAGACCTTCACTCGTATAATCACAAATATATAATGAAAGGCGCCACAAATGAGCGCAACGAAGACTGAATGCCGAGGGTATATCAAAAAAAAAGAAAAGTCGTTAAAGCTCTAAGCAGAAACTGTATGCTAATGTTCAATGAGAAGGGGGGGTTAAGGACCAATGGTCAAAGAGGAAGGGTTGGTAATGCAGAGTGCATCAAATGGCTGTACTGTCGGGAAATGAAGCTGGGGCGGCGGCGTCGGCAGGGCCACTCTTGGGTGTTTCATCAACACCCTCGCCTCGACATAGAGGACACGAGTTTCGCCCAGTAGTCAACCACTATGTTAGTCAGTAAAACAGCATGTAAGATACGAGAGAAGATACGGACCTGATCAATACAATCCCGGTGGAAAACATGCTTGCATTTGACAAGCTCCCGGACTTCTTCGGCCACCTCGTAGTCACTCAGGCAGATCAAACACCGCTCTCCATCCTGGATTCGAATGACGCCAGCGCCATCATTATTGATAGACTCTGCGACCAACGAGCCATCGTACTCAACAAGCCGGAATAATCCGCCGGCGGAATTGATGTCGGCTTGGGTGGCAACGGGAGGCTTGGCTGGGCCCAGAAGTGACGAGAGAAGGATCATGTCCTCATATGTGGGGTTCTAGGTTCATGTTAGTACAGTGATAAATCAGTGAACGGATAAGTTTTGAAGAGATCATACATCAGTGAAGAGACTGGGAGTTGTGAGAGCCGGGTGGTTCTCTGATAAATTGGTTCCAACAACGTAGATCAACCAGCTTCGACCTCCGCTTGGGGCAGGCTGGTCGGGTTCAACCACACCGTTGCGACGAACCGACCCGGAGCCAAGAGCACGATTGGGAGCATATTCGGAATCACTCCGGCGACGCTGTCGTGCAGCACTTGGCGCTGGGACTGATTCATCGGTAGGCTCCCCAGTGAGCTGTGTAGGGTGATTCTCGTGCAGCCGAGGCAACATACTTGGTGGCATGGCTGATGCAGATGACGGCCTGCGGCTCGGCGTCGAGCTACTAGACGAGACAGCCGACAAGCCCTGATCAGCGGGAGTCGATGGAGGGGGATGCGGCCCTTGGGGGCTTTCAGACAAGGCAGAGAGCGGGAAAGCTGGCAGACCGGTACGAGGCCCGGCGTCGGATAACCTCCTGGGGGCATTTGCGCCCGAATTTCGTAAGAGCTCGGGTAAGCTGGGAACCTGAAATCCCGAAGAGCCTGTAGGGCGTGGGATATGCAGTCTTGGGCGTCCATCCGCTCGCTGCCCAGGATCACCAGTGCCCTCGTGTGTTCGTGGAATGGGTTGTTGTGGAAGAAAAGGTAGCCCAAGCAGAGCATCCAGCCCCGCACCTCCTGGAACCGGTGGTCCTTGTTCACTTCTGCTCCCAGTGCTAGCTGAAACCGATCTGACACCGACAACCACCAGGGTCACTGTTCGTCCCTCGGTTGTTTCCGGGGGCTCGTCAACAGACATTTCATCTGGCGAGGGCTCGGGGTTCATAGAGCCGCTGGTGCTACGGTCAAGTGGATTGGCATCAGCAGGAGACTCGGCGTTGGCAAATCGGAATACTCGTAGAAAATTGACTGGAGGCGAAGGTCCTTCCGTTTCAGCGTTACTTGGCCCCTCAGCTGGTCCCGATGGCTGAGCCTGAGCAGAAGTAGCGCTCTGTAAGCTCCGAATGAAATTCTCAAGTGACCCATCCAGCCCATCGTTACCTAGTGCTTGAATGTTTGGCAAGGGAGGCCCATTGGCGCCAGACAATTGAGCTGCAATGGCGGCCGCGGCAAGCTGGAGCACCCGAGAAAGAGGTGTTTGGTCTTCTCGTCGCAAGGACCGAGCGGACCGTGCTCTCAGAAGACCAGGCAATCGACGCATCAGTTGGGGATTGTCCGAAGGTGCAGCTCCGTTCGCGTGCACGCTTGGCTCAACCGAATCTAACTCATGCAGAGGCTCACCGAAATCCAAGCGAGTGTCCATGGCGCTAGGTAAACTATCACTCAGAGATCGTCTGTGTGAGAGGCCTGAGTTATCATGCGGTGAGGAAGCCCCAGACGGAGGTTGACCAAACATATGTGATATCGGAGTTGATAAAGAATGACGCACTCGATGTAGGCGAGCGCTCCGACGCCAAGAGCCTCGACTGGGCACAGCTAAAGGATCAGTCTCATTATCGAGAAATGATGTGCCTGTTGCCGTGTCCGCCATGACCGACGATTCTGCACGTGGGGGGATGATGTATGGCCCCCGAGTGGAACGTCGACGATTGATTCCCCGGGACCCAAGCGAACTGAATGGGCTGAAACGGCCGATGCTGTGTGTCGATTCAGACCTTGGCGGGGTCCTCGATACCAATCCATGTCTGTGCGCATGGCCTTCTGCAAGTGTTTCTTCCTGACTGCTGAGAAGACCCCGGATGACCGAATTTGGTAGAATTCTAGAACCCAGCCTTGACATGGCAGATTGCCTTCTCGCCGCCATACGTGTAATAGCCGCGGAGCGATAATCCCTTTCATGTGCCTCCAATTCCGGAACATCTTCCTCTTCGATGCTTCGCATTGGATGCGAAACCCCGCCAGAGTGTCTTGTGGGTTGCTGCCCTGTTTCCAGTGGCTCGTTTGTTTGGGTCGAAAATGAATATCCTTGACTATTCAAGTTCATTTCCGCCGTGGACGAGGTGCCAGCCTCTCCATTTTGCTCGGGTAGTTGTCCGTGGTTCATGTCTTCATCCCGCGTCCCGGGGTGATGCACAATCGAGTCCGGGGTCAGATAATCCGGATAGCCAATATCGGATGAATTTCGAGCCGTAGAAGAAGACTGTCCCATAGTAGCAAATTCCGGGAATGGTGATTGGGTATAGAGGATGTTAGAGTCCTTCCACTGCCATGAGAATCCTCGGAATTGTTCAAAGCGACCGGTAAAGTCCGTTCAACGACAAGGCGCGGTGCTGGACAGAGAACCGAGACGGCGCTTTCAGTGTAAGATTAATTATCCTCAAGGCAATAACATGCAGTGGTTTTCTATTGTTCGACGGATGGAGTGATGCTGTGGAGATGCGTACCCAGCACCAGATGGAGATCGTCTCGGAGTTTCGGGAATGGTGAGGGGAAGAACAAAGGGAACGGCAACCGGTAGTACGCTGGTGGGCGGGAAGTCAATGGAAATCGAATATGAGATGAGATACGTATTGTCTAACGCACGCGAGGCGCAGCAGCGGCAGTCTCGAACAGTCTGACAAGGTTCACGATCAAGGCCACAGATACCCACCGAGCCTTGGGAGAGGATGTACGGGAGTACGGAGTAGCGATCAGGGGATCCGCTGGTGACGACGCCCAGGGGCGGCGGTAGACTGTGGGAAAACGACAGGAAACAGTCGAAATCGAGAAATGAATCAAGGAGAAAAGGGGTAGAGGGGGGGAAATAGAGAAAGAGCGATTGGAGTTGATTGAATGACGATAAAGCTAATGTTTGCTTACTTTGCCTCTACAATTAGTCAACGGGAACCAACGGGAACTTAACTTTACTTTCTTTTCAATTCTTTTTACGCTTTTACTCCACTATTGTTTCTCTACTAATCAGGAATTCGATTTGTATTTCTAATACAGCTCTGAATCACATTTGGGACTTGGGACCGGACATATGGATACCTCGTTAGTTCCATGCTTTGAGTTGCCACTCCCTGCCTGGCTTCAGCAACCAGATACTATTATCGCCCCAGATCGAAAACGCAAGAAGAAAGATGCATTGACCGACACAGAAGGGGAAACCACCGATTCTGCGAGACCACGCTCGACGCATGGCAAAAGATCTCTGACCCTAACACCCAATGAAACCCATCAATATCGAATTGCCGGTCTTCCTCTTGATCAGAAGGTACCAGGTGGTCGTTTTCCCCACGCACCCGAGAAAGTCCCCAAAAAGAGGGCCAGCCCAGCCAATTCTCAAGTTTTGGAATCCTATAGCTTGCGTGTGCAACACATCACAGCGTTGACGACTGTGCTTCATCGATGTCTATACGAAGGTGACTTTCGCCGCGCAGGAAGAGCATTCGGCCTCCTTTTGCGAGAAAACTTCAGAGGGACACCAGTAGATGTACGTCACGGTGATAAATGGAATTTCGGCGCGGATATCTTGTTACGTCGAGGAGCTAAGCGCCACTCCGATACCAATGAGGATGGGGACATTCCTGCGACATTCACCATTAGGGGATTTGCGGAAGCGAAGGCATATTATGAAAAGCTGATCCTCCTTCATCCCTATGCGAGAAACGTCCCGCATGTCACCTCCGCTCTCCAGTTTTATCCTGCCATGTTCGGTCTATGGATCTATGTTACCCAGGAGGAGAGTAGCCTGGAGAGAAAGAAGATAGAACATGGTGATACTTCCAACGACGATATGTCCGACGACGAACTGTTCGACGACGAAGTGTATGACGATGAAGACTTGGACTATACAGGTCGGGCATTATACAAGAATCAAACACGCATTTCAGCTATTCGCTCCCGGGAACTCGAACAGGCTCAACAAATCGCAAGGCGCATTGACACTCTTCTTGGATCTCCACCATATTCAGACTCCGTGGAATTGCTGGAATTGCGAGGCATGGTGTGTCTTTGGATCGGCGATCTGCTCATTTCCTCCCTACCACCCTCAGCTCGGAAAGAAAAGCAGAGCCCCGAGACCATATCCACGGATGGTGGGAATGACCCGTATAAAACACAGCTCGCAGAAAGGTTGGCAATGGACAATAGGTGGCGAGCAGTGGAGCAGAGACGGTTGGAGGTTGATAAGGCACGGGAATTCCTGGAGGAAGCTGAGAAACGGGGAATACGAGTCCTATACGATCTGAAGAATTTGGATGATCTTAGGGGTTCTCCAGGTGTAGACAGTTATAAATGAGGCTCCCAAGATTCCTAGATCATTGATTGTAAATACACATTTACATGAGTATCTGAACAAAACTGCTCCAGACGCCTTGAAGCCCGACCGCGCTCAACGTTCAAATACATGTGTACTTCACACATGTAATAGCCTGTGGGTTCATAAAACACTTTGAAAACATCTGACTGTCAAGCTGCAATTCATTATTTGGTGACCACGTGACCACGCGGTGATCTCGCGTTGAGTCAGGTCGGTCCATTCTTCATCCCCTGGACAACTTTTTTTTCTTACATGCTCTCTCTGCTAGGCTTCAATTTTCACTAAAGTAGAAGTCACCCGTCTACTCCTGTTATTTCATCATGGGAGTGGGCGACTATGTCCACTCCAAGGAAGCTGGGCAGCCCCGTGCATCCGACCTGGGACCGTCGCAACGCCAATTGCGGGCCGCACAAGCCAAAGTCGAGGTACCCATCACGCAGCTGGGGGATTTCAGTGCGCATAGGAGAGCTGCTACACCCCAGTTTCTGGAGACAAGAGCCTTTCCACACCAACCATTCCCTACACATGCCGAAAATGGAGTGCACCGGGATACCTTTGACACCGATGTGGAGGGGGTTGATGATTCCACAATCGCAGGAACTAGTGTTTTAGGATATGACGAAGGTCAATCCCTTGTCCCATCCAATCCAAATGGTCGCTATGGAGATACCTCGCCACGTCTTTCTTACTTGCCCCGTCCTTCTCGGCATTCGCGGGCATCTTGGCTTGACGGCATTGGTGACAAAGCTCTGAAGAAAGCGGGCTTTGACTCTGATGATGCCGATGATACTTCCAGTCAAGTTACTTCGACGGCACCTGCAGATGATGAGAAGAACGAAGGACAACAGCAGGAACAACAGGAGCAGCAACAAGAGCAGCAACAAGAGCAACAGACAAGTAGCTGGTACCTAGCTCACAAGTACCGTTCAACAGAAGAGCCACTAAGCAAGCGCTTGGAGAATTTCTGGTCTGCAAGTAAGAGGGCGCCGAGATCAACAGACCAGCAACATGCGGATACTTGGCAAATGCCTTCCGTGGAGCCTGTCAATGAGCGTAGCCCGCCACGAAAACTCGGGCATATGTTGCCCCCTGCAGCTGCCAGGAAGATAATCCTTCCCCACAGCATGTCAACAACTCCCAGAACACGTTTTAGTCCACCCAAACCTTCCTTACTGGACCAGTTAGACATATCTCCAACTCGCCACGGATCTGAACCTCCACCACAGGCCGGACGAACTCTAGCATTTGAGGATCCCAACCACAGTGAAGATGAGGCTGACATCGATGAAACTATTCGTTTGGGCAGCCGACGGAGTAGCGAGCACTCCTCGAACGTCTTCGGTATCGCGAACATGTCCGACCTGGACCGCGATGGATCGGTGATCGAAGCCGGACAAGACCCATTCTTTGGCCAGTCAACCTCTAAGCGCGGCCGCCGCAACACGGTCATTCGCAGCAACAAGAGGCACCTGGAGTCTGATTATCCACCGCACCAGCTGTACCAAAAATCATTCGCCGAGCTGCAGGCTGAACCTTTCGAAAAAGCGCCAACGCCCACTCCTCCCCCCATCAAGTCACCCTCATTGCCCCCTGATCCTGTCTTCACGCCAAATGGCGGGTCACCAGATGAGGCGGCTTTTCACCTTTTGAACCTCACAGACGAAGATCGCCACATGTACCTGTCTCGCATGACGGTTGATGAGTGGGAAGACTGCGGAGACCAACTTCTCGACCAGTTCAGCCAACTTCTCACGCAAATGAAGAAGTTGCGTCGCGCCCGTCGCCAGACAGCCCAGATCTTCGAAAATGAAATCAAGCGTCGCCATGAACAAGTCGAGGCACAGAACCAAGAACTCTCTGCCAAGCTGGATGAAATGAGAACCGGGGGTGCGGAGGTACTTCGTGGACGGAATCAATGAGTTTATGATTTTACAAAGCCTATTCTGCTTTGCCTGACATATTTATGACAAGCTTGGTATCTTTTGTGTTTTTCTTTTTACATTTTCATTTATGGATCGAGACGACATGTCTGTACATGCCCAATACCCCCTTCTGCACCAATTAACCCCTTTCAAGGTTGACCTGCTTCAATGTTGATTTGAGATGGAGAAATGCCGATTTGTCTTCAACGTTCTTATCAAGATAATCATTTCACACAGAATGTATAATATGGATAGCAACGGCTTGACGTTATCATGAACACTTATGTACTCGCACGTATGAAACTGCTTCGTATTGGTAACATGAATAGAACATTTGAAGCAACACATCGGACTGCATAAGAGAATTGTACCTGGGCTACCAGCAGATATGTAAATTAGATTGAAATTTTAAGGAAATGTATTGGATGAAAGGCTACCTTCGTGGTTACACGAAATACAAAAGAATGCTTGTAACGCCATGACTAGCCCGCAATGCAATAACCGTTTCGGAATATGCGTCCAGCCACCTGGGCAGAGGTATGAAACAGACTTGACAAATAAAATGTAAATGTAGGAAAGGGATGCAAAAGCAGAGTTCTATATATAGCATAAAATTATCGAGATCCTGCTCCGGACTTCTGGATGGCAGCCGCCAATCGCTTGTAATCTTCGAGCAGAGCGGCCACATCTCCAACGCGCAGATCTCGAGCATCTTGCGTGTCTATAAATCTTTGGATGGGAGGGTCGATCTTCAGTGCAGGTCGTGGACTCGCAGTCGCACTCGCAGTCTCTGACGCAGGTGAGATTCTGAGACGATCCATCGCTGCAGGGGATAGTGGTCTTAAATTCGGTGTGTCCAGGCCACGAGCCTCGGGGCCGGGGGCATTGCGACCAAAGTTCTTGATCATGCCTGGAATGTGATTGAGAGGGTTTAGCGAGTTTCCAAAGTTCCGCATTGACTCGAGTGGATTTTGAGTGGTGGCTGAAGATGGACTTGGAGTAGATTCGTCTCGCAAAGATGGGGCGATTGATCTTTTGCTGGCTTGTGTTCTCGCGCTGTCGGTGCTTCGGTCACGGGGTGTGCGACCGCCGCTAGTTAGACCCGTGGCTCTTGAGTTGTGCCCACCATCATCGGACGGCATGGAGTTTATGGACGCAAGATCGTCTTGAAGCACGCTGTGCTTGTTGACTAGAGGTTGGGCAACTAGACGACGAGCTTCGGCCAGCGTCTTTGGCAGTACAGGTTCATTTGAATTGGGTCCTTGAGTCTGTAATTCCTTGAGGCGACCAAAAAGAAAGTTGAACGAATTGTCTAATGTAGCGCCAATGTTCTTGAGACTTTGATCTGCGGTGGTACGCACAGCATCGTTTGCTGCTTCGAGTACCTTGGCAGGCGGTTGGAACAAGTTGCTCAGGCGTCGCTGCTGGGGCGCTGGAGAAAGACGGGGCCGAGGTAATGTGGAAGACGGTTCTTTGGTTTCGGGTTTTGATATCTCGGGCGAAGCAGATACAGCTGTAACCGATGATGTGGTAGTCTCTTTGGTTGGCTTTAAAGGATCGAGTCGCTCCACAGATGGGGTTACTGTTTCGCTTGGAGTCCGGGGAGGTCCCTCTTGTAGTTCATCTGCGCGCAAACTAGATAACTCGACATTCTCTAGAAAGCTTACAGCAGCCTCAAGATTGGTCAAGCAGTATGCGGTCTCACCATCAATCTTATTCGATGATCTGAACCGCTGAATGAAGAGAAGGTTGCTGATAATGTTAATACCATCAGCCGGACAAGTGATGAGTGTGTAGATCAACGTGGGCAGGATCTCATCCGCTGATGACGACGAAGGCAAGAGTTTGGTTAATGCGTCCACGATAGCTTTATGGGCTGCCGCTAATTGTTGAAGCTTGCCCAAGGGGTACTTGTAATCGTTCATTTTTTCCAAGAAGTCTCTGGCCTGAGCCAAATAATCGTTGGCCTCCTGCTGTTTCCGCTCTTCAACCGCTGATAAGTCGATGTCGATACCCAGGTCTTTCAGATTGATGCCCACCAGCAGCAAGGCGGCTGTCTTCGACCGAAGTTTTTCATCCCGCACGTCATCCAGCGTGGTTTTATGTCTCCAGATCTTGTCGTAAACCGTTTCACAGACTCTTCGTTCCGCCGCCTCTTCCATCACAGCACGTTTGTATTCGAGAGCCTTTCGCGCTCTCCGTCTGTCGGCAACTTCAGCCGCCGTCAACATTTGCCGACCAGCAGCACTTTGTCGAACGTCATCCTGGGACTTCTTGCTGCCTAGCTTCGAAAACGCACTTCCACGGGATGTTGACGCCTGCGGAGCTGGATCCCTATTGATACGGGATGCAAGCGCGGATATGTGTGTGGCGATGTGGGATTCGGCGCGATCATAGAAGACCTGGAAGAGGGAGGATATTTTGTCGATCGTAGGGGGAGAGTTGTGTACTTTTGCGCTCAGTGAGTTGATGAACCTGATGACAAGTCTTATCAGTTCTGGTGTACGCTATGATGCTCAATAATCACAACCTACCGATCTGTCAAGCTAATCAGCTCGATAGGGAGCTCTTCCGAGGGGTCTTGCACGCTTCGTGACAGCACAAAGCCCTCGTCAGCCTGGCCATCTGCACCGGAATCGGCGGAGCCTCGTCTTTCAAACACATCGGATACATTTTGCTGCCCCTCAGTATCAACGGATAATGGCAAGGGTCGGGTGGTGTCCTGATCGGCTGCCTCCGTGGTAGAAGGGTGGGCGTCCGAGCTTTCCATTCTGGTGAAAGAGTGAGTGGAATGCAAGAATTGGCCCACGCCATCGTCGGAGGGGCCAGACATGCTCTATTACAAGGGGGGGCGACCTGGCCCTATGGCGCTAAGTCGTAAGTGACTCCGCCAGGCCCAGCTGATAGGCTCATGCGGATTGATGTCCGGTCCGAGCTTTGTGCGGCTAACAGTTCACCTCCGGAACGGCGGACATGCCAGAAGTGCAAGATACGGATCAAACTCACCAGACTGATCATGATTCATGAATTCAAGTTGGCCAGAAACTAAAAAATACCAACCATAAGGGTCACAATTATTTTACAGACGCGCCACAGAGGTGACGTTGGCCTCGGTAGCAGCTTCAATTCGAGCACCAAGATCCTTGTTCACACGACTAAACATCTGGTAAGTCTGCTTACGGACACGCTCATGCGCACCACACAGATGTCCTGAGATGTTCTTGATCAAATTCTCCTGTTGGCCAGACTGGCGGCCAAGGACCTGCCAGAGACCATTCGCCTGAACGTAGTCCTCGTCAGTAATGGGGATCTGCTCAGCCACGACAGCACCAGTCCACTTCTCATGCTCCTGGCTAGCCTTGACAGGCTTGTAGGCCAGTGGGCGGAAAGTGGAGGGATAGCTGGGGTTGGCACCATAGTTGCCGTTGACGTTCATGGGGCCATCACGGTGCCACGGGCTGAAACCGCGGATGGGACAGTTAACGGGAATCTGGTCGTAGTTTCCACCCAGGCGGTGGCGCTGGGTATCTGGGTAGGAGAAAAGACGAGCCTGGAGGACCGGATCGGCGGAGGGCTCAACGCCAGGAATCATGTGTGATGGGGAGAACGCAGCCTGCTCGATCTCGGCGAAGTAGTTCTGTGGGTTCTTGTTGAGGGTGAAGCGGCCGAAACGGCGCAGGGGCACCTCACTTTGCGGCCAAACCTTGGTCAGGTCGAAAACGCTCCAGCGGAACTTCTCAGCCTGCTCGGGGCTGAGGACCTGGACGTAGCAGGTCCACGAGGGGTTCTCGCCACGTTCGATGGCGTTGAACAGATCCTGTGTGTGCCAATCGGGGTTCTCAGCGGACAGCTTAGTGGCTTCTTCGTTGGTGAAGGTCTTGTTGCCCTGGTCGGTCTTGCAGTGGATCTGCACGTAGTTGAAAGTGCCATCCGGTTTGATCCACTTGTAAGTGTGACCTGAGTAGGCGTTCATGTGACGGTATGAGTACGGGGTGCCGCGGTCGCTGAACAGGTGCATCACCTGGTGGACTGCCTCCTGGTGGGTAGAAAGGTAATCCCAGAACATGGTGGCATCCTTGAGGTTGGTTTGTGGGTTGCGCTTCTGGGTGTGGATGAAAACGGGGAACTTGGCAGGGTCACGCAGGAAGAATACGGGGGTGTTGTTGAATACCCAATCCCAGTTACCCTCCTCGGTATAAAACTTGATGGCAAAACCACGCGGGTCACGAGCACTGTCTGCGGAACCCTTTTCACCACCCACGGTGGAGAAGCGAGTGAGCATCTTGGTCTTCTTGCCGACGCCCTTGAGCATGTCGACAATGGTCTGGGGATGGTGTTAGTCGAACAACTCGGCGATGCCCTGCGAATGACAAATACTAACGATATCGCTGATGTCGTCGGTGACTTCGAATTCTCCGAAGGCGCCAGCGCCCTTGGCGTGAACCACACGCTCGGGAATACGTTCACGATCGAAGTGTGCCAGCAGGTCGATCAGGTGGAAGTCTTGCAGCAGCAGTGGGCCGTTAGGGCCTACGCGCTGAGAAGCTTGGGGATTCATGACCTAGAAGACATTCATATTAGACTGAAATTACATAACCAAACCAGAGAGAGCCATAACCTACTGGGCAGCCATTCGAAGCTGTGTAGACTGGGGTCTCATTGTAACGGTAGGTCTCTATAAGACGGTCAACAACATTCAAAGGCCCAAGGTGAATCCTCAAACATACTAGGCTCTTCGTCTTTACCCATGATCGCGAGTAATTTTTCGGGATTGATGATAGTTAGCAACAAGCTGTGGGTGTCATATATAACCCAAACAAAGAGAAAGGCCTAGTGGGGAGCCATGGGAAAAATTACCATGAAGCCCCCACCCGTTGCTCCTGTGATATCGGAATCATCCACAGCTCATTGGCCCACAAATTAACGGCTAGGATGAGGCTGTGGCCCGTTTATCGCATGGCAACTAAAGCCAATCTCCTTATCCGTGTTGCTCGGTCGGTACCTGATTATTTTCGGCAACGGGAAGCCGGTAGCCGGCAGGCCGATCTGAGTTCCATTGCTGTTAGGTCAATAGATAAATAACATTTGTAACCAATTCCCAGTCAAGTTCTTCAATATCACACGAAATCAATTACATATCCTTAAAATCAATTGGTATTTCAAGCTCGAAATCTTGCAATCAATTCACTGGTTCCACGGCAGCCGACGACGATCAGGCGGAGGCCGGAGGTTTCCGCCTCGGCTTGCGGAATCACTGCCGGGACGAGACTCTCTAGTAGTCATGGAGTATGGGAAGAAGACAACTAGAAAGAAAGAAAAAAAATTCCAACACAGAGATTCGAACGGGGAATCTTTGATATAAGCCATTCAATGTTGATCGCGGTATCAATTACTTCTAACATCCTCGAACTGAGCACTTGACGCTCCTTTCACCAGCCCTGAATTTAGTCTGTCGATAACTTTGGAATAATTGATGATTATCTTTAATAGTGTATAATATGGGTTTCTCTTAAGAGTCTGACGTCGTGTTTGTTCCAAATGACAATCAATACTGTACATGTGCATTGTACATGGTCTGGCACACATCCACATGTGCAGATGTCTTTGTCATATATATATTTATATATGTCCACGGGTATTATAGAACCTGATTCACCTTCAAAAGCATATGTTCTCGGAGCTAACAGTTGGAGTAGAAATCAATTTGGCAAATTGATAAACAGAAGCTTCGAATATTTATTAATACTAGTTGAAGCAAAAATGAAAAAGTTTCTTACGCCCTTACCTATGGGTTATGGAATGCCCGTCTAGAATAGTAAGAGGAAAAAACAAAAAAGGATGCATCAGCGGGGAATCGAACCCCGATCTGCCGCTTGGAAGCGGTAAGTATTACAAAACCAAGGCCAAGTCATAGTTAACTATGTTAACTAACGTAAGTTAAATTTTTTAGTCACAGCAGCCCTAACACTACTAGCGCGTTACTTTTCATCTAACACCATTACGAGACTAGGGCTCATCCCTTCGCAAGTAACAAAAGTATTGCCACTGTGCCGACGATACGCTCTTCAAGTTCAAGCCTACGTAGAATTGGAAATGAAGTCTAGATATGATGTGAAGCATTTGGCATATACACCAAAGATTAGCGACACGGTTCCAATGTTCATATCGAACTGCACAAAGGCCACGCGGTTATCTCTAAGGTTCACCATACTGTGACTTCATTCTCGAGCTCCCTGGACTAAGTGATGACACAGACCCTGCATAAGTGACCTTCGAGAAGAACTTTGCTTTCCGAACTTCTGCAAAAGATCAGCGAAAATCACGAGAATTCACACCTCTTGCGACGGCAAGGAATCGGCCTTGCGTGGGACGAGCAGAGAATAGCTAACAGACTAGACCTCATCGGCTATTTCAACGAAGCTAGGCAATAAGGCAACTTTTGTTTTTGCTTTATTCACTTCTAATATTCAATATCACAGGTAGTGGGCTTCTTTTGTAAACGCGTCCTTGATATTGTACCCCACCACTAATTCGTTTCGTCTTCCTCCTTTCTACCGTATTTTAATCCTCAACCTCAGTTCGTTTCTTCTTCTTCCTTTCTTCCACACCTTCCACCCTTATTTGAAACGTCAACCTCAGTTCGCTTGAGCTTCTCTTGTGTCCACAACCCTGCCTTCGCCTGAATTTTGAACTCCAGTTCGGTTCAGCTGCTCTCATCTCTAAAACCCTGCCTTCGCCTGAATTCTGAACTCCAGTTCGTTTTCCAGAACCCAGCTTTCGTGATATCTCTTTTCCAATACAACGTCGCCATGTCATCATCAAAACCACTCAAGTTTCCGTGGAAAGCAAACAAAGAAACGATCATCACCGAGTACAACTCTGCGAACGCAAAATGCAGGAAGCACCGCGAGAAAGCACCTCACCAAAGCATGGTTTTCACAAAAACCACTGCCACTGACTGGAAAACATTCACTGCAATCGTTGACGCCCCTCATGACGACAACGTTACACCAGATGACGCTCAGATTCTGCACCTGAGAATGGTCGTCACCAGCACAGAGCTCCGGAAGAGTAGAAACGCATACGACGCCATGGCAGCGATGAAAATATCGCGCGTCCCACATGGGAAGCCCCCAGTTGCCTATGCCCACGGCGTCTTGTGGCTTTACATGATCGGAAGCTATGTTCTACTTGGAGATGGAATCTCCAAACACGTCCCTTGGATGTTGGGTGATAACCGGGCATCTGATTATAAAGTCATCAAGATTGGGCACGTCACTGTGCCAGCGGGGCTCAAGAGGTCCGATTTTGATATCGTTGAGGATGTGACCCGTCATGACGGGAAAACCGCTGACAAGTGGAAACCAAGTTTTCAAATCACTCATACTCAGATGAATACAAACTGGTCTAGCAAAGTCATCGTGCCCCCCGCTGACGCCACCGGTAACATTATCGTGGTCAACATGGTGGATATCCCGGCTTTTCGCTTGCAATGTTCACCAAATTCCCCTTGCGATAGTGTCGACCGCGGTGATATCGAGGACTCGTTATGCGATGCCCTCGTAGATCTGCCATTTCAGGCCACAAACATGGAGCCTCGCCCGCCAAAGCCACCCCCAGCGTGCCCAAGGGACAGAAATCGACCAAAGACACCATTGCGGTGCCCGGCAGCTCCAAGGCACAGAAGGCAGGGAAATCTTCATCCCGAGACTCCTCTCGCGAGAGGAAGAAGCCCAAAATCCTAACTGACGATGAGATGCTTGATCTCCTGCGGAAGGTCGCCCTTGAAGGCATAAAGTGCAAGATGAACCCACTGTTCAATCTCGACCAAGCGATGGTGAACGAATACCACGCACGGACTGCCACAAAAGAAGACCAACCTATGGTCCGAGCACTGTACAAAGCCTCCGCAGTGCAAGCTATCATTATGGAAAAAGTGAACGATTCTCCTGCAAGGGGCCGCAAATTGATTGCGGAGCTGGAGTCCGGTAGCCTGGCAAAAGAATTCACTCTTTTTGTTGGGCACTCCCGAAATCTGTGGTCAGAAATTCGCAACAGAGCATTTGAAAACCTTCGTGCGGCTGTCATTGCTCATCACCTCCTGGTATCGCTTCAGATACCGAGTCTCCCCGCCATGGAAGTGCTGAAACAGACATGCATCCCCGACATCACACTCTTTGTATGTATTCCCAGGCATACACCATGGATTGACTACGGTGTCTCAACTGAAATGAAGGGATTTGACAGCACGGACCCCGAAACATGACGAAACACTCGAAATGGCCGATCATGATGCGAGTACAGGGGAGCATAATGCCACAGATGATTCTACCGGTCTTTTTGGTTGGCGGTTGGGCGACTCTCATTACCTGCATCTCTCATTATTGTCACAACCGTAGGGTTTCCCGTACTAAGAACCTGGATGGGGTTTGACTAAAGTGTACTCCATGGCGCTAGTCGGTATCAACAATATCCTGCTTACTGTTCTTGGCTTTGTGGTGGGCTTGTCGCTGTCATTCCGCGGTTCAACGGCATACGAAAGGTTGGGGCCCCGCCAGTCTACTCGGTAGCTCAAATTGACATGGGTCAGATGGGCGGATGGGCGGATGGGCGCAAGTATTGGGCCTCGCTGATTCAGACGTCGCGCAACTTGGCTCGGATAATCTGGGTGCATTTCGGTGAGCGAGATGGAGAAGAGGGAAAAGTGGATCTTCTGAGGAAGCGGTATGTTAAGCCTAATTGGAGTATCAATGGATGAATAACTCCGATGTATAGCTCCGCCATGAATCTTATTCTCGCGTTTGCCGTCGCCTTGAAACACAGGCTTCGCTTCGAGCCTGATGTTGCATAAGAAGACTTGGCAGCTCTGATCAGTCATTTGGATACATTTGCCTTCCAAGCCCATGACCGCAATGGCATGCATCTCCCGTCCAAAACACCGTGGAAGTCTGTCGGGGAGTATCTAGGCTTTTCATTTGCCAAGTCCAACCCACGAAAACTGGTCAAGCGATCAAAGAAATCATTAGGACAACTCCCCATTGAGATACTTATCCATCTGTCTGCCTATATCGAATCGTGCGTGAGGAATGGTACGCTCTCTGTGGCACAATACCAGGGCCAAGCAAGTGGGTGCAAGAGATTAAAAGTCTCCAGATAGAGAGTTCCTGACGAGACCGCAGTGACAATGATGTCCACGCTTAATGAAATTCTGACTGGAACAGAGCGTGTGCTAGACACTCCTCTACCCGCCGCGTATAGTATTTCCATCTCCCAGATCTCCTGGATCTATGTTATGCTTCTTCCCTTTCAGCTTTATAAATTCTTGCACTGGACCACCATCCCTGCTTCCATGGGTAAGATCACCGAGCTGTAGTCATAAAGCCGTGTCACTAACTTAATTTTGTAGTCGCAGCATACATAATTATCGGACTACTCACCATCGGCAGCGAGATCGAGAATCCATTTGGAGAGGATGTCAATGACCTCCCACTTACCACATACTGTCGCCAGATTACCAAAGAGCTTGACATGATCACGGCCACGCCTCTTCCAAATGTGGAGGACTTCATGAGCCGTCCTGAAAATCTTGTCTTATTTCCACTGAGCCAAGAGGGATACCCCTCCTGGAAGGTGCTTAGCAAAGCCGACATTCGTACTGCGCTTCAGGCTATGGCTCTTGTGAGTCCTAACCGAGAACCCACCTTGGATGGAACGAGTATCTCATCCAGTCGAAGGGCGACTTATGCCAGGGACACCGTCGAGCCTGTTTGACTTGGAACCCTGTGAGAGAGATATCTCTCCATGACGGAAATTTCACATCCGTCATCAATAATTGATACAATTCCAACACTATCCCACGAGAGATCTGAGGTTTTAAACGGGCTGATTTTCTCTTTTGGCACATCCTACTGGTTTCACTCTGCGCATAGAGATGCTCCTCCGTAGAGAAAAGTTTAAGGTGCTCAGCACACTCCCAGTCTTTCAAAATTTCAAGAAGGCAGGAGAGATGGTAGGAGTCCATCAAAAAATCAATGCACATGTTGTCAAACCACTCCGCCCCGCCAGGACGAGAACAGCAGAGCAATTGAGAGCCTTGGTCTCTTCCACCGTGCTTTTAATTTATCGAGCATGTTGTGTAAAGCTGCCCCACGGCTCGTTTTCACCGTGAACTAATGTGAAGAAGTGGATGATTGGCTTGCTAGTATTGTCGAGATCATCAGCAGTATAAGCTGCACCAAAATCCGAGAAACATCAATGTTGGGATTTGAGAAAATACCGGGAGTTAATAATTTGAAAACACAATTCGACTTTTATAGAAGCGCCGATAGTGTAGGGGTTATCATTGCCGCCTTCCAAGCGGCAGACCGGGGTTCGAGTCCCCGTCGGCGCATTCTTTTTTGATTTCCTTTTGTATTTAATATTTTCCATCACATGGCACTTCTATAAGAATCTCTTCATGAAAAGCGCCGATAGTGTAGGGGTTATCATTGCCGCCTTCCAAGCGGCAGACCGGGGTTCGAGTCCCCGTCGGCGCATTCTTTTTTGATTTCCTTTTGTATTTAATATTTTCCATCACATGGCACTTCTATAAGAATCTCTTCATGAAAAGCGCCGATAGTGTAGGGGTTATCATTGCCGCCTTCCAAGCGGCAGACCGGGGTTCGAGTCCCCGTCGGCGCATTTTTTTGGTCAACTTTTTACCAAGTTCTCATTTTTCCCTCGATAATCGCAAGGGAACGGAGTGTTGACTGAATAACGTATTTCACAAGCGGGTGGGCCACCTCCAGAAAACCATAGTAAATGCGATAAATTATAACTCATTATCTCAACAGGAGTGGTCTGCAGGGGTTTCTCCTTGGAAGTCTAGTTCTTTCTAATTTATATCGGTCTCTTTAGAGAATTTTGAGAATTTTCATGGTTAGATGACTAGAACATATATATATCTTATCGATTTGAAGATGTAGTTTTCGGTACTGTGATGTTACAAACGTTCGATATATTCGAAATTGATATATTCTTCTAAAGATCCTTATCAAAATCTATCGGCATATAATGCAAGACTGTAAGAATGTGATTGCTGGGAGATTAGAGTATTGGATATATTGCATTTACAATGGTGTTTGGAGGTGGCCCACCCGTTTGTGTGGCCCGTCCGCTTGTGAAATACGTTAACTGTTACCCTACGGCCGTGGTTGATATCATAACCGCCTGGTATAGATACTTGTTGCACAGGGTATCTTCGTGTACAGAAAGATGGAGCATGTCATATGCTATAGTCATAAGGAGCGTAAATTCCGCTACAGGACTCTAGCTACATTATGGGGGAAGCCACGCCGCGTGGCTTCCCTTCAGCTAGAGTCCTGCTTCAATGAAGAAGCTGTCTACCACGACTGCAGCAGATCTAAGTCTCGGTCACTGGCCTTATCCAAAAAAAAACCACACCAGTTATATTTAGTGGACTGAGATAGCATGCAATATTAGGATTAATTGATTAAAGGAAATGTTTGAGGTCCAAAGCAATTGACTTTGCTTCCTGGGAATGCTCCACTTAGCACGTGTTCTGCCTGAGACTAAGCCAAAGCCAGGCAGCAGCCCCATTTGTGCCGCACCTATCAGGCCACAATTCAACAGTGTGATCATCAGCTTTGTATAAAAAGATTCTCTCACTTCATGACATCGTTATTGATTAAGCTTCTCTCTTTACTTTCTTCATTCCTCTTTTCCATTCATCGAACTACATCCCTTCATCTCCTGCCGCAACCTGACCCATCCCACTATTGATTGTATTCATATATTTCTTCGAGTGCTGGACTCAACTCACTTCTTTCCTCCATTTATCCTCGTCTTTTAATTTACCTCAATCTCATCAATATGCTGGCACGATCTTCAAATCCCTGTTCATTGCAGTCAGTGGGACCAATCCTGGGCACAAGCATGGTAGGTTCCCTAACCCCCGACTATAGGCCACACACTAACCTGCCGAGTCACAGCCAACATTGAGACAATATTTGAGACGCAAGGCTCTACGTTCATGACTGTATTGGATAAAACATGCACCTTTTTGATCACCACCCAGAAGAAAGTCGAGAAAAAGGGGGTATTTATGGGCAGGATCTGATCTTTCCGATGACGTCAGATTCACAAAGCGTACTCAACTCACTTCTTTCCTCCGTGTCCTCGTCTTTTTTTTTTTTAATTCAATCTCATCAAGATGCCAGCACGAACTTTCAAATTCCTGTTCGTTGCAATCAAAGGAGCCATTCCTGGGCACAAGCAGGTCAGGACCCCTGACCCCAGACAATTAACCCTATACTAACGTGCCAAGTCACAGCCAACATTAAGACGCTAGTCAAGGCGCAAGGATCTACGTTCATGACTGTATTGGATAACACGTGCGCCTATTTGATCACCAACCAGAAGGAAGTCGAGATAAAGGGGGTATTCATGGACAGGATCTGATCTTTCCGACGTATTGATTCACAAAGCGTACTCAACCCACTTCTTTCCTCCGTGTCCTCGTCTTTTTATTTAATTCAGTCTCATCAAGATGCCAGCACGAACTTTCAAATCCCTGTTCGTTGCAGTCAGTGGGACCATTCCTGGGCACAAGCAGGGTAGGACCCCTGACCCCAGACAATTGACCCCATACTGACGTGCCGAGTCACAGCCGACATCAAGACGCTTTTTGTTCTACTCGTGACTTCTAAGCCAGAAATCGCGTGTACGCCGGAGATCCTCGCCGCTTCCATGAATTCAACATTCTTCAAGCGTGCCAACTCTTTCATAGAGAGCTGGATCTGGAGACAGATGAAGATACTCTAGGTTTTCAACTGGCTTGTTCGTCAAGAACTTTATTACTATCGTTGGGGCAAAGTCTGGTATCTATGCAGGAGCTCGTTGCGGTCATCCGCCATGACGGCAAAACAACCGATCAGTGTTCCCCAAGTCGTCAGATTGGTTACACTCAGATGAACACCAAAGGTCCAGCAAATTTATTGTGCCCCCCTGCTAAAGCGACCGGTAACATCTTCGTGCTTGATATGGTCGATATTATAGCCTTTCGCTTGCCCTGTTCTCCTGATTCACCTTGTGATATTGTTGAACGCGGCGACATTGAAGAATTGATCTACGACGCCCTGGTTGATCTCCCGTTCCAGCTTTCGAACAGAGACTCGCCCCACGAAAGCCACCATTCAAGTGCCTAGCGGGTCTAAGGAAAAGAAGTCACGCAAAGATCTATCCTGCGATACTTCGCCTTAGAGGAAAAAAGCGGAGGTCTTAACCGATGATCAGATACCTCCTTACCTTAGGAAGATCGCTCCCGACGGCATCCCGACGGCACGAGGTATAAATAGAACCCGTTATTTAACCTTGAGTAAGCGATTGTAAACGAATATCACGCCCATACTACTAAGTAGACTAACCTATGGTTCGAGCACTTCACAGAGTCTGCGCGATGTAAGCTAGAATCATGGATAAAGTCAATGCTTTCCCTGCGAGAGGCTACAAATTGATTTTAGAACTGGAGTAAATCCTCGAGAATATCGGTTTACTCGCCACACTGTTGATTTTGATGATCTAAGGGTCTGTCTGGTTTGGTTTGTGTGATGAGCGTGCTATTGATATCAATACTTTAAGGGTCTACTCAATACTCTATTTAGTTTGATAAACGTGCTGAGCGTGCTTGAGTATGCTATTTAAACTAAGAGTCTACTTAAGTCTCCGTCAGGTTCACTCCGTATAATGGGGTCAATTTGGTTAAGTCATTTATCTAGTTAGAATTTCGTGAATAGTCCACGACCTGATTACGTAACCCGCGTTTGCCGCAATCTTGTAGACGCGACTCTTGATAGACAACCTTGAATGTTAAATCTTCGGGATATTTATATCCAATACACAACCCCATAACATCAAAAATGACGTCTCTGACTTTCACGCTGGACCCGGATGCAATGGTGCGTATGCACGATGCTTTCGTATGCCTGGCCAAATTCAGCGACACCGTCGCCCTTGAAGCCGAGCAAGGCCTTGTAAGCCCCCACCTCACCTCGGCGTGCTATCGAGAAGATTACGGTTGATTCTGACCTGTCATCAGCTCCGAATGAGTGCCCTTAATTCAACCAAGACGGCATTTGCATCTTTTGTGCTTGACAAAGAGGAATTTTTCCAGGAGTACGATTTCAGCGTCAGCAAAACCAGTGGCTTTTCGTTCCACAGTGAAGACGGTGATCGGTTTTATTGTCAAATAATGATTAAGGTATTCTTGATCTTCGGCATAGCGTGTCTGTTTGCTAACCTTGAAATCCAGGCACTACTTTCCGTTTTTCATGGGAGAGTCGATAAAGGAAAAGAGACAGCGATAGAAGTCTGCTATGCAGAGCTTCATGAGGACCCTGACGAGACAGAATGTCGACTGAACTTTAGGATGATCTGCGACATGGGTGTGATTAAATCATACAGGCTTACCTATGAGCCGGCTTCCATTCAGCATGCCATGTTTGATCACACAAATGCAACGAATACGTGGTCTGCGAGTCCTTTACACCTGAAGCAGATTCTCGAACATTTCACTGCATCTGCGGAACAGCTAGATCTGTGCGGCGATATGGACCAGGCTAACTTTACGAGCATCACGAAGAGAATTACAATCTCAGAGGGAGAAGGTACGCCATATACCAGACTGGTTAGTAACCACCTGTGTTAGAGTTTCTAATATTGTATGCAGAACTTCTCAAAACTCCGGTAAACACAATTGTCGCTGCTACGAAGATAGATTTTGAAGAATGGTCCGTTGAAGACAACATGCATGTGGCCATAAATTTGAAAGACTTCAAAGCACTGGTTGCTCATGCCGAAACGGGAATGGCCACAGTAAAGGCGCAGTATACCAGACCTTGCAAGCCAATGCAGCTGTCGTACGAAATACCCGGCATCAAAGCAAAATTCACCCTTATGACTCGCGGCGAAGCAGACGACGATACGCCAGAATCACAAAAGGCGCCAAGGCCGCACGTCGTCAATCGAGCGCCCCGTGGTCATGTACCTACAAATGCCAGAGATTCAATGGCCCCATTTATTCCGTATCGTCCTTCGGTGCATGACAGGCCGGAGTATATAGCGAAGATGGCGGCATGGAACGCGGCACAGAATGCAACACAGAATACGGCACAGAATGCTGCACAGAATACGACACAGAATACACCGATGCCGCCCCCGTCGGCGCGGAATAGGCCTCTACGTCCGCTTCAAGGGTCCTCGACACAGGATCACCTTTCTCGCAATTCCACCTGGGAAAAACCCTCAGCATCTGCATCAGAACCAGAGTTTGATAGCCTCTTTGTGACACAAGACGATAATCAATGGGATGATATAACTCCCAAGGAAGAGCCGCAAGATATTCTTGGGTGGGATGCAACAGGTCAGGTATGTTGAACGTCTATTTGATTGCAGAACTGTATAGCTGATGCAACTCAGGTACCAATCCAAGGAATCCTCCGTGACGCAGAGCCAGATTTCCCGATGCCCGTACGACGAAAGCGGGCTGCACAGGATGATATGGGGATTCCGCCAACGCAACGCATGTCGCAGGTAAGTCTTCCATTCCGTCTTTCCAGTGGATACTTTCTCTAACAACGCACAGGTTCGCCGCATGGGTCTCTTCGAATAGACGTTTTTCAACGTTGTTCATATCAAGTCCGCCCAAGTGTAAGCTGTGATCAATCCACAATCACCCAACTTGTCGCACATCCAGCCCCAACCCCAACAACTCTCCCAGCAACATGCATAACATCCGGTAGGGAAATTATCTTATACATGCCGGCCACATTGCCGCGGAGATCCGTATCTGGTCCACAATTCCCATGCTCGCCCCACCCAAACGTCGCCACGGACCCATCCTGCAGAAGCGCAACAACATGCTCACTACCAACAGCAAGCTTATCCAAAGCAGGAAGATCAGACGGAGGAAGTTGGCCTCGGTCATTGCGACCCCAAGCGATCAACGGACTCTCCACCGCAACAGGGGAAGACCTATCATCAGGCGCAACATGAGCATAAATGCCATGCCAACTAGCCCCGATATCCTTCAACCTCCACAATTCAGACCCACCCATAGCACTAGCAGAAGCACCGGAAGAATCCACACTAGCTCCCACACCCTTACCTCGTATCCGTACTCGTAAAGCCTCAGAATCATTCACATCCAACACTCCCCACCGATTCCCCTTATCACCAAGAACCACAAACTCCCCTTCCTCCCGCTTCCCAATCAGAACCGTAAACTCGCGCCCACAAACGGCATCCGTCGCTGCAAATGGGGCCTCAATCCTTGTCGGCGACCATACAATCTTCTTGCCCTTCAGTCCCTCACCCAGCTGGCCCTTTCGAGACCCGCCCCATCCGTAAACCTGGCCATTAGAGAGGATAGCAACCGTATGCCCCATCCCGCTTGCCAGCGCCGAGACTGTCGTGCCCCGTGGCGGGAAGTCAGGTATCGATGTACCGGGCGTCACAGCCGCGGCTTTAGTCTTTTCTCCAATACCAAGCTCCCCTTTCACAGCCGAGCCTTGGACAAAGACTTTATTGAATTGACCAGACATATCCGCGACAAGGATAGATGCCTCCCACGTCGCGGAAATAGATTTAAAAGTGTCAACGGTGCCGGTCGAATCTGTGAGGATCACGCGCTGGAATTGTAAAATGTTCTCTTCAGCTTGTTCTGAACTGGCTTTTACTTCGTTTGAGTTGATGTGTGTCGGACCGCAACGTCCATCGGAATTGTACCCGGCCGCATAGACATGGCCTTTTTGCGTTAGCAGCAGCGTATGGTTGCCTCCAGCGACGATCTGAACGATTTTGTCTTTTTGAGCCACTGAATTGTGTTGATTTTCAGTGGATGCAGGTGTGAAGAGGCATTGTGTTGGGGTAGACACGTCTTCTGTGTGACCGATGCCTAGTTGACCGGATCCGTTGGAGCCAAATGCAAAGAGATTCATTTTCACTCTTCCTCTTCTCTATGCAGAATATTGGCGTATAGTTGGGAATCGGACTCTTGCTTGCTCCATACCGGATTTTACGGTTCGATGGCTTTCCCTTTAGGTGCGCATCCTTGCCGCCTTTACTTTACATAATCAACTTGCCAAAGCGGCACCCTAGAACCAAATACTCATCAATTGATGCGTGTCCAATCTACACATCATGGTGATTGACTGTTTTCTCATACTGTGGTTGTGAAAAATGAAAATTCGAGACTAGACTCCAATCAATGGAATCCATGATCATTCAAGCCGAAGCTGGGGTATGTGAAGGTATCAACATCTAAATCTAATTATAAACAGGCGCCAAATCAATGCAATTCATGCAATGTCCAAGCAAGCGGTGATACGCTCGATCCAATATAAACAAAGAACACTTTTCCCAACGTCCAAAAAAAATATAACCCTGTCAAAAATGTATATAATATGTACGGGAAGATCTAGGATCATCCTCTATGAGTGTTTCTCACTTGACGAGAATGTATGTGACTCGCTCGAGAGTGTGCGTTGCCCGCTGGTATATGTATTTTGCGCATCAGCAGCTGGCACATTCGCGGGGTTGTCGTGTCGCTCAGCATTGAAGTAGGAATCTTCGTCCACCTCGGCGGCGGGTGGCAGGGTGAAGTCATCCTTTCTATTTGAGGATCCAGGCTTCTCCATGGGGCTCATACCCTTGAACATAGGACTGGTGCGATGGAAGTAAGTGTGGACGTGGCCCTCAAGCAGCGAGTCATCGGTGTCCTCGACACTATCGTCACCGCTCTCCTTCTCAGCGTACTTCGAGGCCATGGCAGCCTCCCACTCAGCGCGGTACTCCTCAACCTTGTGCTGGTAATCCTGTTCGGCATCGTAGTTGCGGTCGAGGTGCAAGACGAAGCGCTCATACCAAGAAAGGTGCTTGGGGTGGACTGCAGGACCATGGTATTCTTGATCCCGACCTTCACGGATGTACTGCCAGCGACGCTCCTGTTCCTTCAAATCCAGACCAGTGGTATCGGGCAGGAAGGCCAAAGTCAGAACAACACCAGCCAATCCGAACCAGGGAACCACCAGGAATTTTGTTTGGTCATCAATGTAGTTGTACAGAACGGCTGCCAGGAGAGCACCAGATTTACCAGCTGCAGCGGACAGGCCGTGGGCAGTGGCACGGATGGGCGTGGGGTACACCTCAGCGGCCACCAGGAAAGTCACACTGTTCGGACCAAACTGGTTGAAGAAGGAGCTGAGGAAGTACATGGCCTGGAACTCCTTGATGTGTTCGGCCGAGGTATAGTACTCGTAGTGGAAGGCGGGGACCACGAACAAGACGAAGCACATCAAGAAGCCGAGTGTCTGCATCCACTTGCGACCGTAGAGTTTGTTGTCGATAACAAAGGAAGCACAGTAGTAGCCAACCAATGAAACACCCACATTAACCAAGCTCCACAACCAGGTGGGCATGATCGAGTCGGAGGACGGACTGATCACGGAGATGAATTCACTCTGGAACAGCTTGTTGCCGTAGAAGAACACATCGTTGCAGAACCAACCGCCGGCAGTGGCAATCAGACGAGGACCGAAGTACTTGAATGTGAGGCGCAAAGAGTCGAAGTCGTAGCCAGTCACCGAAGACTTCTTCTTTGCTGCAGTCAATTGCTTGCTCGCCGCCTTCATATGATAGGCACGGTAGTAGACCAGCCACAGAGTTCCAGCGGCGGGAATGGCAAAGGAGATACGGTATGTCCATTGGGTGGAAACGGCGGAGTAAGGGTTGTTACCGCTGCCATGGTGGAAAATCAACAGCAGGATAATCAGCAGAGCCTGGTTGAAGAATTGACCCCAACCCTGCATCAGGAAAGCACTGGTAACCTTGCGGCCTCGGTGGAGGCGGTCTTCCTTGGTCGAGATCTTGCCGGAGCCCACTGCGTTCTCCATACCACTGGTCGCAGTCATCGGGTATTCACCACCTATCAATGTGTTAGTGATCATCTTTCAAGGGTCAAATTCTGGGAGCCGACTTACCAACTCCAACACTGTAGAAGAACAGCGACCAGGCGTAGCAAATTACCCAGCCATTCATGGTCAAACCCCACGCGGCCGTGAGCATAATCAAACCGAGAAACATGATCGTAGCATCTTGAATCAAACCCCACCGGCGTCCCAGCCTATATCTCTGTTAGTACTTTCTTTTTTTTCTCGGTCCTCATTTGCCTCCAAACATACCAGTCACCAATAATTCCCACCAGAATCTGACCACAGATGATACCAATGATTTCCAAGTAATCAACCGCGTTGATCCACTGCTGATTGCAAGTAGTGGCGTTGTCCCAACAATCCGGCCATGTCTTTTCAAACAGCGGCTTGATGTTGCCAATGGAGAACAGCACATAACCCTCCAAACCAAGACCCGCACCAGGCAGGACCATATTGCGGAAGTAATATGAAACTGGCGAAAGAGGATCCACCTTGATCATTTCCCAAATGTTTCCAAGTTCGCGTCTGGTCTCCGCGGCGTCGTAGGAGCTGACGAACTTGATCTTCTGCCCGAGCGGCAAATCAGCCCAGTATGTTCCATCCTTTGTGTAGCTGTCATCCGGACGAATCAATTCGTCAAAGGCACCCTTCTCATGTATATCCATGTCCTCTAAAGGGTTGTGAGTGCCGGACATGTCAGGCCCATGAGGGGCCCGCAATCCAAAGTCGGCCATGGCGAATTGTCGAGCTTGATGGGCGCAATCAAGCAAGGATTGGCGGTGGACGGTGAGAGTCCGAAGCCGGGGAGGATGGGAAGGGGAGGAGGAGTAGAGAGGTGAAGAGGATGTGTAAGAGAAAAAGATTCAAAGTGGTGGTTGACCACAAAAAAAATTGAGGTGGACCGAACCCAATCCGGCGTGGACTTTCAAGATCTTATATTTTAGAAAAAAGGAACGGGACTTACGGAAGTAAAGGCGACTGGGCTCGGCCTCCAAAGTGGCAAGCTCCGCAGTTTCCCTCCAATGCCATAGACCGAAAATACCAAGAGAATCCCAAAATCCGCCATCAGAGAATTTCATTAAACTTGTTGGTTCGTGAACGAAAACAGAAGGCACAAAAGTGGAGTTCGGATGGAGAAAATTCGAAGTTTTCTAGCCAATCATCATCGCACGTGGTGGCAAAATTTCCCTGTCTGGTTCCACCGCCTGCTGGGTTAGGAACCGGAGATCTGCGAAGTGGAGAATCGACTCAGACTAGTTACCCTCCGAATGTACCGATAGCATAAGGTCCCCTCCCCCCCCCCCAGACCGACAAAAATGCTCGTGTGAGGGGTTACAAAGATCAATAAATTCAATATAATTCATTTTTGAGAGAAAAAAAAGTATTCATTCGAAAGATCAACAGTCGGGGCATCTGCAGATCCCCATGACGCACCCACCCCCTTTCAACAAGTCCGGGGAACCATCCCACCACTTTATTATAGCTCACTTGCACACACGTGCACACTTTCCTTTCTCTCTCTAGCGGATCACCGAGTTGCATCATTCTGGTAAGCTTGCATATTAGACTGCCTGTGTTGCATGATACCAGGCCTAGTTTGGACCCTCAAAAGATCTAACGTTGCTGATTGGCTTTTTTTTAACTCCACGCTAACATCTGTGGCCAAATGTGCCCCATCGGCCAGTCATATCCCCGGATATGCGCACATGGTACCCTTAGCGCCGGTTGACTTCCTCTGGTTCCTGTCCTTATCTAATGTGCACATAATTCCAAAATTATCCTGGAATCTCGTGCCCTTGGCCCTCTTTTGTGCGTCGCATGGGCCGGCTTAGCTCTTGATGTGGATACACATTCGTCCCGCACGAATTACTGTTACTCTTCTGCCTGTCCTGGCCTCTTCTTCCGGCTCCACCAAACCGTTGGCTTTTCTTGAAGGCTGTAGGACTTGACAGAGAGTCCTCTCTTGACGTTTTCTGTCGCTGCTCCCATTTTCAGGGACAATGAAAACCATTGAGCTGGTTCCCGGAGATTTACAATTAATGTATTTTATTGCTGATGGTCAGTCTCAGCCTGGTAGCTGTGGCTAATAGAGCACTACATAGACAACTAGCTAACCTTGTATTGCGCCCGACAAAGTGCTCAGTATCCACCAAAAGCTGACGCAGGTCTCCTGTATATCAAACCTTGTTTACATGAACGTCAGGGGCTCACACCGGGAGCTAGGCGATCGTTGAACAGCAGCTACAAACAGCCAATGAGGGTAGACAGGAATGACATGTGCCTTCTCAGGGGATACCGATCCAGCCGAGCCTAAGCAACAGCCACCCGCATGCTGGCGTCTGACTGTTCTAGAAGGTTGCCGTGCTAGGAAGCTCGTCTTGCCTTGGATTGAAAGTTACCGAATGAACCCCGAGAGGTCAATCATAGCTGATGGCTTCGGGAAAGCGGCACATTCCCACGTCTCCTTCGTTTTCTCTTTCTTTTTACTCTTGGTTCTGCCATTTATAACCCATTACTTGGGTACACTAGGAAGAGAAATGAAAAAAAATACAATAATATCATAAAAATACAATAATATCCTGGACCATATTGTTTAAGCATACGGAGGCCAAAATAAATAAACATAAATATTATTCTACATACATGCAGAATTCTCCTCCCTATGTCCTACTACTGAAACTACCCGTGGATGCTACCAGGCCAGATCGCCGTTACATTCCAGCTTTCTCCGCCCCCACACCTTATCATCCAACTATATGAGTCCAGCCACATGTTAGGTTTCGTCTATTACATCATGAGTCTTCGATTTACATGACATGCTAAAAACGGCTCAAATGCATAAATATGGCAGGACACTGGACAAAGCACAACCGAATAAACCCAAATTGGTGCCTGAGAAATAAGTCAACTAATCATCACGCCACCATATTCACTCTCCGCCAATATGTGATACATTTCCGAGCTTGATGAATCAAATTAAAAATGAGATGGTACAAATACTAGATTTGAGAATGGTGTAGTATTATCAAAGCTTTATTGAAGGTCAAAGTCGAAAAGTTTCGATGATCTTGAATTAGGATCATATGAAGGATGGAGATTGAGAATCACAATTGCAGATCACGGAAGACTTTGGAGGATTGAGATGATTGAGAATAATAAGTGCCCAGTGTTGATTGAAGTTGAGTTCCGAATTGAAATTTGAAAATCGAACTCATTCTGGACATTGTGAGAAAAGCGCTGCTCGTTCTGAGTCAGGTATTGAATATGAAGGTGACTTCACCCACTACAAATGTCCTTCTCCCACCTTCCTCCTTCATTCTTCACCACAGTTCCATTTTTCTCTAAGTATAATCTTCAAATCAAAACTCCCATCTTCCAAGCCCCTCTCTGTCCACCAGTCCAGCCACTTTTGGCGTCCATCATGTCTGCCTCTCATCTGCTTCATTTGTGCTTATGTTTGTCTATATTGTCTGTCTTCTCTCCGCTGATTATTTTGATAGGTTGTTGAATATCCGTCACATTTCACTACCAGACCACCCTGATCAACATACCTTCCCTACCACCGCACTTCTCCAAATTTTTTCTCACTCACACTCTGATCGAACGCCGCTGATTACTCATGCAGATACACGGTCAGGACGATCTTCATAATGGGTTCGAATTCGACTTTTACTGCGATCTCTACTTTGACTTCACATTTTCATGTCAAACATCAATCTACGCCTCAAGCCTCAATCTTCAAGTCTTGAGCAACATTTCAAACATCAATCTCGAATTCGCACACAATAACTCAACCCAAATCCAATATTCAATCAAACATCTTTTAAATGTCAATCATAATCCGCCATTCATCATGATCCTCAATCATAATTCCCACTTTCGATCATCAGTTCCGATCCTCGGTGGTTTGCAATCAACTGGTTCCTCACTTACAACTTCCTGGCATTAGGTCTTTGTCCTTCCATGCTTTGCTTTAACAAGATATTTCCATTCAAAAGTCTGCTTGTGTTATCGTCTATCAAAATTTTATAGCTTGGTATCATAATCGAATGGTACCGACAAGCCAATCATCCACTTGTTTACCTTTGTCCACGGTGCAAATGAGCTGTGAGGCAACTTTACACAACGCTAACCCGGGTTGCATTCAAACAATCAAATTCTTACCCGGAGTAGTAAAATACCACCAGGATTCAAGATCCGGTATGTGTGCCCACTCTGCGATACCTGGAATGTGTGGCCAACGACGTCATCTTAGTATGGCAAGCTCTCGAAGAGGTATCATGGTAGAGTAGCCACGCAGAGGTCGAATAGATCTGCAATTGGAGAGCTGGACCGACTAGTGACCAATGTTTGCTGTCAGAATTGTGGGCAATTGAGAATCATTGCAACAAAAAAGCGCCAAATTCGATGCTGTAGATATAGCGACCAGCGCGTTGGGCAGTTTGTTATAGTTTTGATGAATGATTCAGTTGATCCGTCAAGATCATTGATATCGAGACAGAAATTTCTGGTTAACACTTCACGAACCTGGTGCAGATTAGCCTCGTAGAATTGAAGAGACTCACCCGCGTATACGCGAACTAGAGGCTTTCCGCCGCGCAAAAAGCGCGGCGCCTACTTGGGTGTTAGACCACACCTCCTACTATATCTCCTACTCAGTCTCCTACTTAGCCTCTTGTTCAGTATTCTACCTTCTTTCGTACCGCATTGATCAAGTGGTCAAATGTCTCTCCAATTCATAAATAGCGGAGTAAAGAAAGAGAGACAGAGAGAAGAGAAGAAAAGTGACGTGGAAGACGAAGGGGGAAAAGGAAAAGTCTGGTAGAGATTTCAAACGCATGTCCAAAAGTCCGCAGTGTACCCAAGTAATAGAGAGGTAGATATGCACTGTAACCTCGGCATGTTTGGGTTGAAAGACGATTCGATCGAGAACCAACGCGCATGTTGTTAATCCACTCCACCCAGCTAGGACGAAAACAACAGAGCAATTGAGAGCCTTAGCCTCTGCCAGCGTGCTTATATTATACTATGCTGATACAAAATCGGTGCGCTTCACAGTAGCTAGCAAGTCGGGCAACCATTGCAGTGCGATGGGCATCTCAATTCGGGCTTGATATACTGAAACTGGTCGTAACACAGATCTTGCCGAGCCCCAGTATAAATGGATGTGCTGGCATAGAGACAGCAATTTGCAGTGAATCCTGGATTAACGATCTCTTCCTGCAAAAGCTCATCAATAATGCCGATTAGTCGCAGTAGTGTCCAAAGCCAAAGCCCTTGGGAAAGCGCTGCAATTTTGTTGAAGGTCATCGAAGATTGAGCTAGAGAGTGAGTAGGAGAGTGAGCTGGGGACGAAGTAAGAGGCCAACAAGGAGACAGAGTTAGGAGAGCGAGTAGAACACCAAGCTAGGGCTGGAGACTGGACTGGAGATTGGGTTTGGGCACGACCCCAGTAACCCTTCAGGAGAGTCCACAATGGGGTATGATCGGATCGTAAGATTGTTCCGCTGAACAGATTTGGGACGACCATTGTATGCAGTGAATACGGACGGAAGAAGTTTCGCGGTAGAATGGTATGTGTCATCAATATCCTAAATTTATCTGATTTTGAATGCCACAGTAAAACAGTGTGTGGAGTCATCCCTGGACCCTGGCACTTGTACAATTGTACTCCGTAAGAAGAAAATGAGAATTTTGAATCTCGGTGACTTGATCTTTTTTGTGGCCTTGGAAAGAGTAGCTCCTGAAGTGCTACTTAACATACCTAAGTTTATACTAAACTACAGGCTGGTAGTGGCAGCGCGGGTTACGGAGAGTCATACCAAATACCGACGAGAGAGCTTGAATCGTGAAGATCACAACTCAAGAACAATTCAAGAATAATTCAAAAATCATGATCGTGACCTCACAATCCATCCCCGAATTGCCGGTCTGCAAGATCCGCAGTGGCTGGCAACATTCCTTGATCAACCCACCCGTTACCCCTTCCAACCCAACCACACACAATTTATCGATTCCCATCATTACTTACGATCATTCTCATCCCCGGTAAATGCTTCGGAGTTTTGATTAATCCTCGTGATGACAGCCACTCGACATGTGAGGTCGCTCCTGGCCTCGCCCTCTCCTGCCTGCTAGCCCACACTGAGAATGATGGCGCGCATTCGTAGGGACGTCTGGGTTGGGATCATGGTGTTATAAAGGGCACGAGGATTGGAGAATCACAGATTCCGTGAAGTGTGAATTAGGTAGGTTTTTAATCATCATCTTGAGGTAGGCAATGCTTGATCAAGGATCATCCGGTTTGCAGCTGCTAATGTACTTCGGTTCATCTGGCAGTTTTCGGGTCTCCGTTCAGGGTCTATCTATCTATTTGCAGTCTGTTGGTAAGTACACATCGAAGCACAGTCTCCAGGAGGCCCTCACTGACAATCCTAGCCTCGCTCAGGAAATGGCTCCGCCTGATTTCAAAGCTCTATTCCCCGCGGGGGCAGCGTTCATCGCATTCATCCTCACTCTCCTCTGCCTGTTCGCGGGAACCCAAAGGAACCTGCTCGACAACGCCGACCTTCTCACCGTATGTCGCAGATGCAGCCCAAGTCAGATCCAAGCTAACCCCCTGCTTCACAGCTCTACACCCCCGAAGGCGGATCCACCAATGTCCTCGAGTTCTATTCCATTCATGTCATGTCATACTGCCAAGGAACATTAGGGACGGTCGAGCCAGGTACACCAGGCAGCGCGCGCAACGTGACGCAGTGTTCGGACCGCCAGATTCTTTTCTCATTTGATCCGACCGACGCCTGGTCGGAAGCCACTACACATGAGTCAACACTAGAATGGCCACGGGTGATCAGCGACGACTTCCACGCCTTTCGACTGACCACTCAGTCGATGACAGTGCTGTACTGTATCGGGGTGAGCGCGATGGGCGCAGCTCTCCTCGTGCGGGTGTCGTCATTCATCGCGAAGAGGGTGCAGCAGGGAGTATTTGAGTTTGGATTTTTAGTGGTAAGTCACAATTCAGCGAATTCTTGGTGCTCGCACCTCTGTGAGACATGTCGGGCTAACATATTTCTGATTGGGGAAATGTCAGCTGGGATGCCTAAGTATAAACATAGCGTCTATTATTGCGACGGTGGTAGCGTTTGAATTTGTGGCTTTGATCAATGCCCACGGGGATGGATCCAACGTGTCGGCTAGCTACGGGTCAAAGTTCCTCGGCATGACTTGGGCGGCTGCTGGGTTATTGTTGGCGGGATGCATCGCCAGTTTCGTTAATGTTTTTGTCCGGGGATCGCACGTGGAGGTAGCTCCGGCCCCGAAAGACGAGGAGGAGGGGTAAACACTTGGAGGGGAACAGTGCGCTCATGCACAAACATCCCAATGGGAATGAGTTGCAGGGTTCGGGGAAACTCGTGCGCTGATTTAAATAGTTTGAATATTGGAATAATTGCAAATGATATGACGATGCTACCTGAATGAAACCAAATCCTCGCTTTCGGCCAATCAAATACGAACCAGCAACTGGGGACGGAAATGAGCCAAGCCTTGGACCTTGTATAGAGAGTCCTGAATGGTAACTCACGATGGAGTCATCCTCGAATTCTACGCTAAGGTAATGGGTGACCAATAGAAGAGACCAAGTTCGGGAACTTTGTCGGCAAATATGGAGTCGAATCAACTAGAACCAACTCGGCCATGCATGTAACCCGCATCAAAGGAATGAGTCTTGACGACAAAGTAGACTCGAATAAACCTTCGACTAAAAGAAAACTGGGGCTACTAGCTAGGCGTTTTCTAGTAAAGAAAGTGGGGAATGGGGAAGATGATCAGGTTCAAATTGTTCAAATTGACTTAGGTTAAGGACGATTTGCATATCAGATTCGAATTGCCACCCAAGCCTGCAAGCCCAGGAACACAGTGCTCCGGAGTGGCTTGCTATAAGCCGGGGTCTTGGGTCACCTAAGCTAAGCCTCCTTCAGCCCGACCGGTGAAAAGGTAAAGTTCACTTTATCGGAAATGCGGAGTTGAGATACGGGATTTCCCGCGATTAAAACGAATAGATGTAATGGGGGTCCGAACAAATCAGAATGGAATGAGAGAGCATGAGGGATAAATGGAAGGAAACCCAAATAGGTAAAGCGTCAGTTTTTAGTGCCCGACGTAATTCTCATTATAGAGTATAGAGGGGAGAAGTTAGATAGTAGAGAGCATAGATGATAGTAGTAGAGACTCTAGAGGGTTGTACATTCTCAAGGGTTACATTACACTATAGGATTGTGATATTGTTTGGATTGTTTTATTGTTCTTGAGAATCAGGATTCAAGTAACCAAAAGAAAGCATAATGATGTTCTCATGGGTGGCGGATGGTTGTTCCGTGCGCCCCCAGTCGATGAAGTCATTCATCGTGAAGTAGGAAACCACAGCCGCGTTTCCTTGGAAAACTCACGAGAATTCCGTTCTTTCTCTTTTAAGTAAAACGACAATCAGAAAAAAACCCCTCATTCTTCCCCCTTACTGTCTTACTTAAATACTTCTTGTTTCCCCTCCCCTTAAGTCTCCAACATTCACACTTCTCAGATCTCCAGATCTCGGTCTATACTACCCACTTGTTGAATACCTTCATCTTCACTGTCCAATCATGGGTAAGAAGGCCATCCATTTCGGCGGCGGCAACATCGGCCGTGGCTTTGTGGCGGAGTTTCTTCACACTGCCGGCTATGAAGTTGTCTTCATCGATGTGATGGACAACATCATCTCAGCCCTACAGTCCACCAAGTCCTACCAAGTTACTGAGGTCAGCGAAGAGGGTGAAACCACCAAGACCATTACCAATTACCGTGCCATCAACTCCAAGACCCACGAACAAGATGTCGTTCAGGAAATCTCCACCGCTGACATTGTCACTTGCGCCGTGGGCCCCAACATCCTCAAGTTCATCGCTCCTGTGATTGCCAAGGGAATTGACATTCGATCCACACCCAAGCCACTGGCTGTTATTGCCTGTGAGAACATGATCGGCGGGACCGACGCCTTGCACGGCTACATCAAGGACAATACTGACCCGGCCCGGATCGACACTCTCGGCGAGCGAGCTCTGTTTGCCAACTCGGCCATTGACCGCATTGTGCCCGCACAACCCGCCGACGCTGGACTTAATGTGCGCATCGAGAAGTTTTACGAATGGGTCGTCGAAAAGACTCCCTTCGCCAAAGTGGGACATCCCGAGATTGACGCCATCCACTGGGTTGACCATCTCGAGCCCTACATTGAACGCAAATTGTTCACCGTCAACACCAGTCATGCGACCGCTGCCTACTACGGGAAATATGCCGGCAAGAAGACCATCGCTGAGGCGATGCGTGATTCGTACATTAAGGGTGTTGTTCGGGATGTCCTGAATGAGACTGCGTCGCTCATCGTTGACAAGCACGAGATCTCCGCCTCGGAACAGCAACGCTACGTGGAAACTATCATCAGCCGCATCTCCAACCCCTACCTGGAAGACAGCGTTGAGCGTGTTGGTCGAGCTCCGATGCGCAAGCTGGGTCGCAAGGAACGATTCATTGGTCCAGCCGCGCAGCTGGCGGACCGCCACGCACGATACGAGGCCTTGTTGGGATCGGTGGAGATGGCACTGCGCTTCCAGAACATCGAAGGCGATGAAGAGAGTGTGGAGCTGGCCAAGATTCTCAAGGAGAACTCCCCCGGTGATGCTGCTGTTCAACTGACGGGCCTGGAGCGGGAGCACCCTCTGTTCCAATCGGTGGTGCAGGTGATCGGCCGGGTGCAGTCTGAGGCAAAGTATGTTTAAACCCATGCCTCCTGCATCTTCGGGCTTGAGACTAACTGTTCTACTCTAGGGCCCCAGGTCAGCCGCGCATCTAAGAGGCTTTCTCTGTGTATTCTTCCTGTCGCATGGAATACGGGCATACCCGGCGTCACGGTGAACTGAATTGCTTTTACTTTATTTTCTGATGACTTTACGATTATGCATCTATGAATTAGCAACCCAATTGATTAAAGAATTGAATCAAAATTTTGAATCAAAAACTATCCCTTATCGTAAAGATGAATTCTGACCTGTAAGCGTTAACCTTGGTTTTGCGCTACCATTGATGCAATACCTACGCAATATTTGAGGTACTAGTCTCCACCCCGCATGATCTATAGAACCGAGTCGAAACCCCGACTTTGCCGGAAGTTTCGAGATCACATATCGAAAATGACGAAATTGAATTTGATTGTGAAAATGACCAGGGATCCGAAGCAGTCGTGCAATTGTGATCCACTTCAAACTGTACTGTACGCGTACTATTCAAACTTTAACTATTCTCTTTCTCTTTCTATTTGACATGATCGCTGCCCAATGGGTAACGGGGTGAAGTTCGGAAAAGTTATTTTCCCACCAAAGATGGTCGAGTCCGTGCACCCGTGCACTCCAGGTCACTTCCAATCGATGACTTGGGCATGAACCAATAATGGCAAATGCAAATTGAGACAATTGAATTATGATGACACCTATACTTACTTGACTTGCCGACAGAACTGATTTGTGAGCATTTTCCTGGGCCAATCAGCGAATTGCGGGGAATCTTGAGAACATGTCGACATTCGGCTTGGTCTGGGCCTGGGCCCTGGATTAGTCAAAAATCAGTATTTCATTTCAATTGTCAAAACCTAACTCGATCTCATCGCTGCATAAAAGGACCAAACTAGTATGAGATTCTCGCGTCCACTGCTGGAGGAACAAACGATATCATGACTATCCAGATAGAGAATGATAAATCCTGCTGATTCATTTCTCAGCAATTCCTGCGAGATGTTGCTGGGCAATAGTTCCCCGACGCAGAAGCTCTTCATAGGCTGTAACGACATTCTGTCAGCAAGAATCAAGTCTGCAAGTCATTTCATACCTTCTTTAGGTGGCGCAGCAACAGGCTCATCCCTCGGCACATCAAGATACTTGATAGCAGTTTCGGGAATCGAGATCCGTGAAACACTTAGCAAAAGTCCTCTGAAAATACCAAGATAATAAGAAAGTTACATACATTATGGGCCTTCAAATCTGCATAAACCAAAGCTGCCGTGCGTTCGATATTCTTCATCAGTGCTTGAAGCTCCACCGTCGGCGCCGAGCTCCAAAATGGTGGAATCCGGTTCTGGTCGAGGATTTGCTTCCAGCTATACCATTTCACAGAAGTGGAATTGATATTGTAGTTCTTTTTATCCAGCCAGGATACCAGCTCCATGTGATTGAATGCAAGGAATAGACCCCGGTTGGCACAGTGAGGTTCTTGTCTGGCGGCGTTCATCAATCGGCCATCTGACTCGGCGCGATTGGAATAGTCGCTGAGTAATTTTTGGAATCCTTTCCTATTGAGTCTGTTGTGAAGGAGATTTGTCCTGATTGTGTCGATTATGCTCGCGGTAGTTGCTAGAAAATCGACTGCTGTGGTTTCGGATATTCCGGATGGTTCGGTCATTGCTTTTTCCTGTCAGTTCAAGTTGGTTTCTGGTGTGTGGAGAAATGAAGGGAATATTGAGTCTAGATGTAGCTCGTCATTGGGGCAGCTGATCAGACACAAATGGGCAAGGAACCGAGGGACGTGATAGCCGAACCAAGGAATCTCCATCGAATGTAAGAACCCTTAAGTGTTAGATGCAATAGGGTAAGCCGTTAGAGTTTCTCATGACATGGTTGACAGGTCTAATTGATTTACAGGCTAGAACAAATGATTAATGAGTTTGTGATTGAACGGCTCAAGCTATAGGCTCAGTAATACATTCAACAGATTTATACATGCAACTTGTTGCATCTCTTCTTTCCTTGTCTTCCACCACTCGCCGCTCTTTTGACAGCAGACAAGATAGGCTTGGGTTCTTGTATAGTCTTTGTGTTTTGTTCCACCATCCCAGATATCCCAATGTACGCCAAAAGTGGCACATCCCCTTGTTTTGGCCGGTGCTTCTTCACCGCATGCCGTTGATGGAACCGTGGCTGAGGCTGTATCCTCCTTGCCACAATAGGTGCTTCTTCACCACAAGCTCACCCAGTGGGTTGTCCCTTCACACCACTTGTTGATATCAATGACGACTTCGAGGCCCACAGTGTTATCCTGACTTAGTCCTCAATGAAACTGTCCTAGTGACGCCTGTTCAGAGAGGAGCATAAGCTAAACATCTTTGTTGCCGGTGACGAGCTCGAAGATTGTGTTCGCAGGTGTAGGATGGAAACTTCAGGTGGGAAGAGTGGAAGCAAGATATTGAAGATCATCTGGAAGGAAGGTTGGCAGCCTAAAAGGTTAGTGGGGAGCCAGAGGAGGTAATTTTTGCAAACAAACCCGAGAGCTCGTCAGAGCAAGCTGGTAGTAGTGCTGTTGATCATAGTGAATGGCCACTGCATCAAGAGGAATTGGCAGAATGGATAGAGGTGAAAAATGGTTGTTTTGATGAAAACATGGTGAAAGGACGTTCCAATGTTCGAACTTGTGTGTTGTTTGAGGTTTGAAGTTGGAAGCTAAATCTTGGAAGAGATGGAAGATGAAGCTTGGAGATGAAAGTTTGACGTTTGTAGTCAAAGGATACCATGAAGGCAGAAGAAAGGATGGAGGTGAGAAGGAGGTATTTATAGTAGCGGGTGGAGTCACTGAAGTGAAGTGAATAAGTCGCAAGATCACCCCCCAGGATCACCACCTCTAGGATCGACCAATCACAACATTTCACAAATCACCCTCCACCAGGATCGACCTATCATGAGGAGGGTCAGTTACCTGATGTTTGCTTGATTTGGTGACTTGTATTGACCATGTCGGATCGTAGATCTCAGACATTCATTTGACTCATATACTATAGGTTCTCCGTGCATCCACTTCTTAATACATCACTCCCAAAGATATTCATCACGCAGGCTATTGAAAAGCCTAGATGCTAAGTCTGTAAAAATACTTGAAGTTGAAGACAGGAAACTCATAAGCTGCTCGATCTCAAGCTCATTGAATATCCTTTCGCATGAAAACGATCTCGATATCCCACCGATCTCCATTCGCATCCCACACGTCATAATAATTGGGTACAATCTTGATCGGCATGTATCCCCGTCGGCTATACCACTCTTGATTCGTGATCTGCAACAATTAGTATTTGTCCGGGTTAGAATGTTTTGATGCTCACCTTGGGAACGGCACCGTAAGTTGACACTGCAAAGTCTTCTCTTCGCTGGTGCTTACTCGTGACTGTATCCAGCATGAGTGTTTGTGCTCGGAGTGGCTCTCGAGTCGCCATGTCCTCGACTGCATCCATAGCTGCACGCCCAATGCCCTGTCCTTGGATGGTCTGCAAGATGAAGAAGCTCTTAATCCAGAAGACTCCCTCCGATGGAATGTCAAGACCAATTCTATCCGCATCTTTATTTTTTGAATCCAAGGAGATGTGGCCAATGGGAACAAAGGCTTTCTGTGATGCTACTCGTGTGCTTCCGTTTACGGAGTCGGCAGTATCATATAGCACTTCACTCTCATTTTGAGGCTTTGTGTCCACATCATCGGACTGACGGACCTATGACATGTTAATCCAATGACAATAACTGGAACAGACAGAACTCACAATCCAGTACATGCATTTTGTTCCCTTAATTTGCTCCTCACGCCATTGTTTCTCTACTTTTTCATGGTCCCAGTTACATTCCACTCGCTGTCTATACAGCCAAGCTCTATGAGTTTCACACTTGGCATCCCAAGGAAATAGTGAGATCTTCGTCATGATGGAACTTGTAGAATTTTTGTAAGGAGAAAAAAGATTGTACAGTACTCGGTATGTTCTATTCAGAATTCTCACTTGTCGGTATCTTCCGCCATCTGATTTCAAACGCCGGTACACTAGTCCAAATTAGGAAAGTGACAAACCCCGGAATGTATACATTGATTCAATTCTTGAGTGATTTTATTCGGGTACAGTATAGCACTTGCATATTTAATCGGCTAGAATAGTGTCAAATCACAGCTTACTATCCTTCCAAACAGGCGCCCTCTTCTCCACGAAGGCCTGCAATCCCTCCTTAATATTCTCTCCCTCATACAGCCTCTGTACCCATGTATCATTCAACATGCTCGTCGCCTCATCTGCCCCAATACCTTCCCAACCAAGCTTAATACCCTCCCGACTAACCAGAACCGCATCAGGACTATTCCCTGTAATAACAGTAGCAACAGCCAGCACCCGCTCCACAAGAATCCGATTCCCTTCTTCCAGCGAAACCTCCTTGCCCCCAACATCCACAACCTCATTCACAAGACCCCATTTCTCCGCCTCATTGGGAAGAACATTCCTTCCCGTAAGCGCCATCTCCATTGCACGCTGCTTCCCGACAGTGCGGACGAGGCGAGGCAACGCGCCCGCAAGAGCGACAACACCCCGCTTAACCTCCGGCAACCCAAAGACACTTCGCGATGAAGCAATGACGAGATCACAGTTGATTATCATCTCCGAGCCGCCACCGAAACAGAGCCCATTGACTGCGGCGATTACGGGCTTTTTGCCTTTCCGGCGTGCTAGACCGCCAAAGCCGCTGGCGGGCATTGGGCTGCGACTATTGGAGCTGGAGCGGTCGTTCCATTCTAGATAGTGTTAGTTGGATTATAGTCGTCTAGAGTGTGACATACCTTTCAAATCGGCCCCTGCACAGAAGGCCCTTCCTGTCCCGGTAATAACACCCACTCTCAAGCTCGGCTCCTCGTCCATCCACTCCCATACTTCGTGGAGATCAGCATGACCTTGAGAATTGAGGCAGTTGAGTGCGCTGGGTCGGTTGAGAGTTACTAGTAGCACATTCGGAGCTGGGAAGGAGAGGAGAGCGTGTTGGGGAGCTGGGGGCTGCTTGATAAAATTGGACATTTTGGTGATTTTTTGCCTCTGAAAATAATTGGAGTTGTAGAAACTAAGATTTGTTTCGAAGACCGAGACAGATGCGTGCTGTTGAATCCAATGCAAGGAATTGCGGGTCTGATTCTTGACAAATGCGGAGAAAAAGACAATAAATGCCGAGGCCCGATGCTCCGCATCAGCGACCCAACTATACTCCGTAATTGCTTTTACGGAGTATGCTTACTATTTACTAAGAGAACATCTACGATATTTACTAGCAAATCATAAAAGATCCAAACTGGGTTCATTACCCGGGTGCCTCGGTAGATCAACACCCCCGTCTTCCGCATTGTACGGAGTAAACGCCAAAATAACAACGCTCCCACAAATATCACAGCTAGATAGCAGACAAAAGCACAGTCTCGGGTAGGGTCAAAAATGAAAATTAGCCCTTGTTGATCCATCCACTGTGCACCATAAAATCGTAAATGCGGCTGGTTTTGGTGCTCTCGATCTGGGGAAATGTTAGCAACACTCAAAATGCTGAACGTAAGTCTACTGACCTTGCAGATCGCGCGTGCATCCTTCCTCTTCAAACTACCACCCTGCTTCATTGCCTCCTTCAGCAGAGTCTCTTTAACAACCAGGTATGGCTTCGGCATCAGGCGTAGCATGTTGCACACTTCGACCTCTTCCTTGGTCAAGAGATGTAAATCGGCTGCTCCCTCGCTGTCTAGCTTCCAAGGTGATACCCCACTCAACGGCTGCACGACATATTTCGTCTTGGCTGGCGGGGGCGGGGCGGCATCACCAAGGAGGAACTGATCAAAGTCATTCGGAGCGACGTCAGCCAGATCAGGCAGCTTGTGGGGGTTTGCTGCGCTTTGTAGCCGGAGAGGAAGTTCTGGGGTAGTGAGCTGAATCGCGGCAGTCGGTGTCTCGGAAATTTGATTTTGTTTGGGACGCGTGGTGGCATAGCGGTCAAAGGAGCCTTGTGGTAGTAGACGCTGCACACGTTGCTGCTTGTCCTGCTCGTACTTCTCGCCCGCTTTCAGATCCCCAATACCCATCTGGCGCCATTCCTGGAGCTGGGCGATGGCCAGGCGTAGATTGTGTTCGTACTCCAGCCCCTTGTTGAGATCGTCAAAGTCCTTCTCGTTCATCATCCGAGCTAGCGGTTTCGCTTTGTTCAGCAGCTCCCGCTCTTCCTTGGATCGTTTTTTCTCCAACGCAGTGTTCTTCCGATACTCGAGGAGATTGTGTTCAAATAGAATCTTCTTGCGCTCAGTACGCGCTGTAAGTCGCGAATTATAAATATCAACAACGGTCATCTTGAGTTCGGTCTCCGCGTCCACCTCGCCGTTAGGGCCGATACCCGCGCCGGGCTCGAACGTCATGTGTTGAACGGCCTCCTCCGCATCGTTAAGGAACTCCGTCTCAAACTCCAATCGACCGGGCATGTAGCCCTGTACCTCGTGACATGCCGGGACACTGGCCGTGGGTTTCTGTTTGGGGGTTGTGGGGGGCGCCGCCTTGGCTGCCTCCTTGCGCTCCTCGATACGTCGTTTCTTGCGCGTTTGGAATTCTTCCTTCGGAATGGCATCCTGGAGGCTGTGGTCATCCGGATCGGCACGTTCAGGAAGAGGGAAATTGGAGCTATTAATATAGGTATCGATGTAATGGTCGCGCACTTCATCCTTGCTGCGGTAGCCCCCGATGTGGTCGGCGATATCGGCCCAGGAGCCGAGTCCATAGATCTCAGCTCCCTCGAGTAGCAAAAGCTCTTCATCGGCGCCCCAGTCTTCTTGGAAGATGGGAACGGAGTTCTGCTCGATGACTTGGAAGGGATGGGAGGATGGATCGTGGTTCTTGGATTTCTCGCCCGCTGCGAAGCAGGGGACGCAGAGATCATATTCATGACAATTGGGATGAGCGCAGGAGATACGGACCTTTGAAATTCCTAGTTAATTTTCAAATCGCAATAATAAAAGCAGGGAAATGGGGCTTACCGTTGATGTCACGTCGGCCGAACAGACATCACAGTGGAACTTAGTACCAGCCTCGGTGCCGCGCGAGGCGGTCTTCTTGCGTATTACACCCATCGATCCTTGGTCCTTGTCATCCTCCAATGAATCCGAAGCCGTTGCGAAATCCCAAATTCGCCCTCCCGAGATATGAGAGGGCAATGAGTGGGAGAGGTAGGGTGAGGTGAGGTGAGAGCTGGGGTAGGATCTCCACGCAGATCGAGACTAGTCCGGAATCAAGGCAACGACACAACGTATAAGAGAAGTCAATAATGGGAGAGATATTGATCTGATCTTTTGTTCAGCCTGTATAGAATTGGTTATTGGATCTCAATTAACTCGTCAACGGCTTAACATTACGGGTTTTCTATGAGTAAAATGGATCCTCTGTGGCTGATCAGTAGCACTGCCTCACTGTGGCTGATTTAATTTACACAGACAATACCATTACAATACTCAATCTTTCCCATTTCCCAATACAATTTATAATTGGGGATGAGTAACCTTGGTAATTAACATACACCACTTTCCCCTCTTTCTGTTAATGGATTTCCTCGATTTCTCCCCTGGAACTTCTTCCCTGATTCTCTCCTTTTATATCTTCCTATTCATTCGTGATTTTCCCTGCAAAAGCGATTAGTGGCTATTTTTCAGCCATATCAAATCAGCGAGAGAAGAGACTGCGAAGGTAGGATCGTCTCTTTTGCGCTGATCCTGTCCCGTTGGTGGGTTTCAAAGGGAACTTTCGATGTTGACTTTGTTTGGTGACGCCAGTCTACACAACCGCGGTCAACTTTGGTCTTCGATCTTGTTGAACAGCCTTCTAGACAAGACTCAAAGAACATAAGTCAACAAAGTCCGCCATCATGTCCTGGAAGCTCACCAAAAGTATGTTCAGTTGGTCTCCCTCCCTTTTCCCACCCCTCAAAATTCATTGACACCCCTCCTTGAACAGTGGAGGCGGTGCATATGCAACACCCTCAGGGGGAAATGAGGCTAACCAACCCACTTTTTAGAACTGAAGGAGACGCACCTAGCACCTTTGACACAGGGCTTTGGTCGGTCGTCGTCTACCTCAACGATCAAGGGCGACTCAAATGGCGGTGGTGATGAGACCCCGGTGGCCACTCAGGCCCCCAGCATCCCCCCGACTCCCTCAACAAATGGCATCGGTAAGGCCGACCCCGGAGTCAAATCAAATGAGATCAATGCTAATTTTTATGGTTCTTGACTTCCAGTGGCCTCAGAGTCTCTCGTGTCCCCCCCTGTGGCTCAAGTGAACCCAGGTATCCTCATTGTCACCCTCCACGAAGGCCAGGGATTGGCCTTATCCCCTCAACTCCAGCAGATTTTTAACTCGCATTTCCAAAACAATTCCTACGCTCCCTCGTCAATGCGTCCTAACACCTCCTCTTCGTCACATTCGTCGCATGGTCAAGCCGGTTCCTACGTGCACAATGCCCGACCGCAGTCCACCAGCGGGGGTATCAATGCCGCACCCACCATCCACGGTCGCTACTCCACCAAATATCTCCCCTACGCCCTGCTTGATTTTGAAAAGAACCAGGTCTTTGTCGATGCCGTCTCGGGTAACCCAGAGGCTCCTCTGTGGGCAGGAGACAGCACCGCCTTCAAGTTCGATGTTTCCCGAAAGACCGAGTTGAACGTGCAGCTGTACCTGCGCAACCCTGCGGCCCGCGCTGGTGTCGGTCGCAGTGAGGACATCTTCTTAGGCGCTGTGAAGGTCCACCCTCGCTTCGAGGAGGCAGGCCAACCCTATGTGGAAGATCCCAAGTTGAGCAAAAAGGACAACCAGAAGGCGGCTGCCGCTCATGCCGAGCAGGAGCGCTCGCGGGGTCAGTGTGGTGCTGAGTGGCTGGACCTTCAGTTTGGAAGCGGCTCCATCAAGATTGGTGTTTCATTTGTCGAGAACCGGCAGCGTAGTTTGAAGATGGAGGACTTCGACTTGTTGAAGGTCGTGGGTAAGGGAAGTTTCGGCAAAGTCATGCAGGTCGTGTAAGATGGCACCCCCTCCCTTTTTCACTGTTCCGCTACTGATCACTTTCCTCTTGGATCAGGAAGAGAGATACCGGCCGAATCTACGCCCTGAAGACAATCCGCAAGGCCCATATCATCTCGAGATCTGAAGTCACTCATACCCTTGCTGAACGCTCAGTGCTTGCGCAGATCAACAATCCTTTCATTGTGCCCTTGAAGTTCTCGTTCCAATCACCGGAAAAACTGTACCTGGTGCTGGCATTTGTGAACGGCGGAGAATTGTTCCATCACCTGCAAAGAGAACAGCGATTTGATATCAACCGTGCCCGTTTTTACACCGCGGAACTGCTTTGTGCTCTTGAGTGTCTCCACGGTTTCAAGGTCATTTACCGTGATCTCAAGCCTGAGAACATTCTGATCGATTATACTGGCCACATTGCTCTTTGCGACTTTGGCCTGTGCAAGTTGGATATGAAGGACGAAGACCGAACAAACAGTGAGTTCTATCGGCATTTTTATTTACAGTGTCAATTGCTAATCTATCTCAGCGTTCTGTGGCACTCCCGAATATCTTGCGCCTGAACTCCTGCTCGGTAACGGCTATACCAAGACTGTGGATTGGTGGACCCTGGGTGTCTTGCTTTATGAGATGTTGACTGGCTTACCACCATTCTACGATGAGAACACCAATGAAATGTACCGTAAGATCTTGCAGGAGCCCTTGACCTTCCCCAGCAACGACATTGTCCCGCCTGCTGCTCGGGATCTTCTCACTCGACTACTGGATCGCGATCCCCAGCGCCGTCTGGGTGCCAATGGTGCAGTAGAGATCAAGTCTCACCACTTCTTTGCCAACATTGATTGGCGCAAGCTGCTCCAGCGCAAATATGAGCCCAGCTTCCGTCCAAACGTGGTATGTATTCTTTCTCCCGGAATCAATTTGTAATTTGTTCTAACCTTTTTGTTCAGTCGGATGCCCGTGATACAGAAAACTTCGACGAGGAATTTACATCGGAGAAGCCGCAAGATTCCTATGTCGATGGACCTGCCCTGTCATCGACCGTGCAGGAGCAGTTCCTTGGATGGTCCTATAACCGTCCCATCGCCGGTCTCGGTGATGGCGGTGGTAGTGTCAAAGACCCGTCGTTTGGCAGCATTCCTGAGTAAATTCATAAAGCATGCTCTTACTACCATTTCGACTAGATCGAGATTGATCAATGTGCAAGAAGCTCATAGACGATTCTCCTTTGTACTCTGTTTTCCTCCCTGGTCCACATATCACCAATCTTGATCATGTTTTTTCTGTCTTGTCTTTTGTTACCTTCCATCCCAAGGAGTCTGTGGCATCCTCGTCTCGGAGTCTCAACATCCAAGACTTTTTTGTTTTTCAATTTGTTCCCTATGTTTCTTTTCCTCATCTCGCCTCCCCCATTGAGCGCTCTTGGTTTTTTCCTGGTGAATCCATCTCAGCGTCATCGAAAACCCCTTAGGCAGGTTCCTTCTCAACCCTTGTTTTTTCGTTCGACATTCTCAAGCGGTCAGTACCTATGTCTTGACTTTCTGTTGGTTTCGGGCGTGAGAGTGCTTTTTCTGTATCCTTGACGGTTTACAATGGACAATGCCAAACATATTTCCTCCGAATGAACATTCCATACGTATCGATGCTGTAAGCCGGACATAATGATATATTAAGACTAGCCAAACTGACGCTTTCATGGCTGTCTTTTCAATCACTTCGAGCTTGAGATCTGTTTTCAGCATTGGAAATAACCCCTAGTTCCAAGGTTGGCTTAGCTAGATCTCAATTTGTATATAATATTCTACTAAAGCAACTACGGTGTGATGACTTTAAGGGATCGTAGATGAGACCATATCATTGTTCTATTCATTCGATCTTGACATCCAACCAAGATCGAGATAGGTCAGGAATTACAACAGTAACGCAAAGGAAATAGTGGGATAAGAGAAAAGAGATAACAGAAAGTCGGACACACGTTAAGACGCCGCTCGCAATTCAGAAGTAACAAACTTCCACAACTGAAAAGAATAAAATGCTCTTCTATCAACGCTTCGCCCGAGCACGTACGAATACAACCTGATCGTTTTACTCCTCAGCCTCGGCCTCCTCTTCAGCCTCTTCGGCTTCTTCGGCTTCTTCGGCCTCTTCGACATCTTCTTCAGCTTCAGGCTCGGCTTCTGCTTCCACCTCGGGACCTCCGTTTGTCGCGCTTGCGGGCTCATCGTCGTAGTTGATATCAATCAGGGACTCGGATGACGGGGGTTCGGGAACGCCTTCCTTCTCGAGACGAATGTATTCGTCCCACTCTGGGAACAGGTCATCGTCTGTCGAAGCAACATCGGGAGCTCCTGGTGGAACTCCGATCAGACGGGCGACCTTCGACTTGCCCGCTGCGTCAAGGGACTCCTTCCACTGGACGACAAGAGCGGGTGCACGGCTGGGCTTGTAGGTCTGGGCAAAGAAGACAGCCTCGGCAATACGGTTGGTTTGGACGAGCAGATCAATACCACCATCGATATCACCAAGAGACCAGAGGGCAGAGAAAGCGACGTTGTGTAGGCCTGACTCGGAGGCTTGGGCAACTAGGGCACGGAGGCCTGCCCGGTTGTTGCTGGCGGTGTGTAGCAGTAGAAGAGAGCCCAGGTCTTTCGAGTTGACAAAGCACTCCTCAGCAAGGGCAAGGTTCCAAGACTCCATGGATTTGTCGCCAAGGAGCTTCCACCGGTGGCTATTCTCGACCTTTGCGTCGCGGGTAATCTGGAGGGCAGTTTCAAGATCGTTGAGTGACAGGGCCAGGTCGAAACGGTGCTCGGGGTCTGTGGCAACTTCAAGAGCCATCTCCTTATACCCTTGGCCCTCGAGGAAGCGGGCAACCTTGTTCATTTGATCTTGGGGCACATCTTCGAGTAGTTCGGCAGCTGTTTCCATATCGCCGCGCAGAACGACGGTCTGGTAGCTAACCATGCTGAGGGAAAGGCCGAATGAAACAACATTAACGTCCTTGTCACACATGTAAATCCGCCCATCACGAGGAAGATATCCTAGGACGTAGGCGGGCTGATCCATGTGGCTGATCGAAATGACTTGATCACCCACAAGGTAGTTCAAGCGGTTTGTAGAGCTAGAGAATATGAGAACGTCTCCTACCCAGCAGGCACTTGTGATCGTTTCGTTAATAGAAGCGACAAGCTCGACGGCCGCCTCAACACCATCTTCATCAGCATCTCCGTTGTTGACACCTTCGATGAAGGCCTCCTTCGAGTATCTCAAGACGTAGAAAGCGTCCTCGCACGCGAGTGTAACAAGTTCGCCGGACTCGGACCAGTAAACCTGTGTGAAAGTGTCAGTTCATCGCATCTTTGAAGATACAATAGATCTTAAGCTCACATTCTTGGGGTCGACTTCAATTCGTCGAACCAAGCTGCCGGACTCCCAGTCAAAAAGACCAATACCACCTTGGCCCTTAACACCCAATAGCACACCACCAGTCAGTCCTTCCGCTTGGAATCCGACATCAAGACCACCGCTTTGCTCCTTGAAGTTCTTGAAAATTTTGACACTTGTTGCGGATTCACGGATGGCGTAATCATTGCTGTTATCCTTGGATCCCCACGCGAAGTCCAGGGCTTGACCGAAGGCTTTGTTGCGCCAAGCTAAGGCTGTGTAAATTATGTATTCGCCATCGCCACATACGGAGACGAAGCGTCCATTTGGAGAATGGGTCAGAGTTTGTGGGTATACCTCGCAGGTGCCCAGATCCTTTGCCGGCAATGAAAGTGGTTCACCGTCCTTCACACTCGCGTCGCTACCCTTGATGACTGACGAGACCACCTCACTGTGTCTGGCCCAGATGAGCTTTCCAGATCCATCCATAGACACTGCAGGCTCCTCGCGACCCATCTTCACAACAACTGCACCATCGTCGAAACCCATTGCGACTCCCTGTCGGCCCCGCTGGTAAGCGACACACCATGCGCGCTCCAGACCATAGCTTAATGACTGCTCAAGGCGGTAGGTGTTTGCATGCCAGATCTTAATTGTACCATCTTCCGAACCCGAGATAATGACGGGCAATTCAGGGTGGTAGCACGCAAAGGAGACATTGCTAGTGTGGCCTTCCAATGTTGCAACCAGCGCTTTGGTAGTGTAATCCCAGACCTTGATTGTCTTATCGTCACTGGTGGTCAAAAGATAGGGTTTGTCGGCTCCAGGATAGTAATCAACGTGGTTGACACCTTTGGTTTCGTGAGCCTCGAGGGTCGAGTTGGCATGGGGCGAGCCAAGGCTCCAAATTTTGACAGTTCGATCCAGACAAGAACTCGCGAAGGTACTGTTTTGCGTCTTAGTAAATGCAAAGCAATGGGTATACTGAACATGTCACTCACTTCGTGTCCTTGGGGTTAATCGCCATTCCCATCACATAATGGCCGTGGCCTTCGAAGACCTGAATACACTTCCAACCCTTCTCCCAATCCCACAACTTAATGGTCATGTCATCACTGGCGGTCAGGATGTAGGGTAAAGTCGGGTGGACAACAATTGAACGAATATAGTCCGGATGCGCTTCGAAAGAGGTGATCTTCTCGGAGGTATTGTAGTTGTAGACACGGAGCTGGAAGTCATCCGAACCGCAAACGATCCAGTTCTTACGCGCAATGAATCGACCAGCACGAACGGGAACATCGGTGAGCTCGAAGGTTTTGATAATAGACTAGGTGAAGAGGGAAAGTTTAGCTTATGCCTGCATACTTGACTGCGTCAGAACATACCTGCGTCTCGTATGACCAAATGTAAACGTGACCTGCCACGGTGAACGGTTAGTTAATGGAAGCACTCGCGGACTGCGTCTTCGTGAACATACCGCTGTACAAGGTGGTCAGGATCTAATCAGATATTAGTATCAACCACTGCTTTCGGGGACGATCAATTAAACTTACCCATGGCTCTGTAGGGTGGAAATCAATACCCTTCACCCGCTCTGAGCGGGCAAAGAGTTGCCTCTGCATTGAAACATTCTGGTCAGCAATCCTGCCAATCCGAATTACCCCGATCCCGGCAATATATCGCTTTGCTACCAAGGGTAGCTATTGCCAAATAGACTCTGCGTACCTTGATATCGAGCCGCATGTTGTGTGGGGGGTGGATGAAGTTGTGTGATGCGACGGTTGGGCGTAAAGACGCGAGAAATCCACGAGCCACTCAGACAGCCCGAGGAGACAAATGAGAAATGAAGCTCAGGGTCAGCAGGATACTTCTTCAAGATAAACACACAGCTTTTCCCAGGCTGGAAGAGAGCTTAGCTGGAGGGGACTCAGGGACAATCAATGTGTCCACAAGGGGATTCCCGCCCTCACCGCTTTCACATCATTTGAGATCTGATGGACCCGCATATAAATAGTGGCACTTCAGCCTGTAGTCAAACTTAGCTACAAGAATAGATAGGAATTAATGAACTCAGGTTTATGAGCGTCTATGACAGAGTCTCTCAAAGTCCCTTGTGAACATTTGCTTCATAACCAATTCAATTGATCCATGGATGGTGTATCCAAAATTCTCCAGGTTATAATATATATGTAAACCACAGATGCATCACCCTGATTGTTGTACATTCTAGGTATGTAACAGCCACATATATGTTCAATTTGCTCAAGTTACTCGAGCCTCTAGGTATGCACTCAACTAAAGGAACGATCCACTTTCCAATAGGTAACTGGCCAGCTAGAGTTAAAAAAGAACATACAGGCTAAGTATCAGAAGTACTAGTATTTGCCCGTGTAGAGTATGAAAAGGGTGGATATGCAGTGCACTTCCAAGGTTATTCCAGTAACAACACCTGGCACTTATAATGAGATCCCTTAATGGAAATCTAAAGCCGCGGATGCATAACCTTGATATTGAATTTCATCCATCGATATCAGACAAAAAAAGATTTTGTGATATTGGTATTGTTGACGTCAAGTGAATTGATCGCAAAAAACGTAAAGAAAATTTATTCGAACATCCCATCCTCTAATAGTTACAGAAACTGGCATCCTAAGCCTTTTTCCGGTATCGTCTTAATTACCGCGCTCAAAGTAGGTCCATTGACCGGGAGCAGGCTTCTCCTCAAGCTCTTCCCAACTGTAGAAACGAGTCAGTAATCCGATCAGATGAAGACGTCATGTATTACTCACACTTTCGCCTTGTGCAGCTCATCCACAAGCTTGGACTCGGCCTCGGCAACCTGAATAATCTCCTCGATTAGGCCTGCACCAATCTTCTGCTCAATTTCGGCAATCCTGTTTGAATCGTCAGCCTCCGGACCAATTGACATAGTAGGTTGGCAATGGAACCACATACTGAGCAGCCTCCAGGGCGGGCTCGCTCTCCCACTTCATGGACACCTCGTGGAAGTCAGTCTCGTTGTTGGCCGACTCGCTACCCTCCTGGATGATCTTAATCCACTCGGCCTCTTCCTCCGGGGTACGGGTAGGACCCTCAGTGGTAGCGGACAGACTCTCGCCATCCCACTCCTTGCCACGGGCTTCATCACTGAAGTCCCGCTCTTGCGAAGCAGCGTAGGCGAATGCGCCGTTCTTAAGCTGGAGCTGAGCGAAACGCTCGGGCTCGGCACCGATAGTCTTCTTCGCGCGCTCCAACCAAGCATCGAAACCGGGGGGCTTCTGTGACTCAACAATCTGGAGACGGTGGCGGGTCAATGCCTCGACAGACTGGCGGTAGGCGGATGTTTCGGGGAAGGACTGCAGCTTCTGAAGGGTGTTGGTGTAAAGGAAGATCAGAGTCGGGCGGGGGCTCGGGTGGGTGAAGAGACCAGTCAATCCGGTCGGAGTAAAAGGCTCCAAGTACCGGGGCTTGACATTGGCCAACAGTCGAAGTGTAGACTTCATTGTGGTGGTGTGAATGATGGTTGCTGATTGCGGAGAGCCCAATTGGTCAGGGAGAGACGGCGGGCAAGTTCGATGGCCGGGACACGGATTAATAGATATTCCGGTACATTGAGGAAGCAGGGGCAACATCGTTTTGTTCAACTGTATTCCTCGCGCCCGCTTCAGGTACTTCGCCGGGTGTTATCTGATTCTGTTATTTCTACGGCTCGGGGCTTGGTCAATCCTCCCTGTTGCTTTCACAGCTTTCTACCCAGGACTGTTACTTGTTAAGTACCTAGGAACTTACTAAGTCGTCCAATGTGCCACCTGTGACTTTCGCAATTTCCACCCTTCGATCTTCGTCCTTCGTTTAAACAGCCTCGAAGGGCTTCTCCCGCAATTTTCTTTCAATTATTTGTTTGTGGTTTAACTCTTCATCACAATCCGCCAGAATGAGAGCCTCCTGGTTGGGGTGGTCCCTCATCTCTCTTTTAGCCGTCCCGACACTGTCCGCACCTTCGGACGTGGAACCGAGCAATGTCAACCGACTGCAAAAGAGATCTAGCAAAGGACTTGATCCCGAGGAGCCGTCTGTATTCAATGGCCTCGATGTTCCCCCGTTGTTCCAGCTGACGGAGGAGAATTTCGCTGAGGCTACCAAAGATGGCATCTGGTCAGTACCCACCATACTGGGGAGAATATGATGATTCTGACTGTCGCAGGATGGTAAAACACTACTCACCAGCCTGTGCCCACTGCCGAAAGGCTGCGCCATACTATCAAACAACCTACGAGTACTATTATGTGCGTGATCTCACCCAGGATCGACACCCCTCCCTCATACTAACAGTCGGGCCTAGACCTCGAACCCCATTACGCCTTCATCTGGAAAGACCCCAGATCCTAAATCCGTCAATTCCTTTACTCAATACTACAACTTCCATTTCGCATCTATGAACTGTCTCGCCAACGGAGACCTGTGCGCGAAACTCGGTATCGAAGCCTACCCGACCTTTGCTTTTTACGAAAATGGTGTGCAGAAGGACACCATCGTCGGCGCGAAGAAAATTGAGGACTTGAGCAAGCTCATTGAGGAGAGGCTCGAGGCGAGCAAGCCTGGCTCTCGCCCTCCACAAGGCATCAAGTTGCCCGAGGTTGGCGCACCTGGCGTGGACTCAACTGCCGAGCCTGATTCGCCGGTTGCCAAGGACAAGGACCCGGAGGCAGGCGTGAAAGCTGGCGAAAAGCAGAATGAGCTGGCTTCAGGGTCATCTGTGAATACCAAGCCAAGCGATACTGCCGTTGTCAAGACCAAGCCGAAGAGCGCACCTCCCAACCCTCAGGGTGTTTCCGTTCCCCTCACCGCTGAAAGCTTCCAAAAACTTGTGACTACTACTCAAGACTCCTGGTTCATCAAATTTTATGCTCCTTGGTGCCACCACTGCCAGGCCATGGCCCCGAACTGGCAGGAGATGGCCAAGGAAATGAAGGATACACTGAATGTGGGTGAAGTGAACTGTGATGTTGAATCCCGCCTCTGCGAGGATGCGCGAGTCAGCGCTTTCCCGACGATTTACTTCTTCCGTGGTGGTCAGCGTGTAGAGTACACTGGTCTTCGTGGTCTGGGCGATTTGCTCTCCTTCACTAGAAAGGCCATTGGCCCTTACTCTGAGATCGAGGACGTGGATGCAGCCACCTTCAAGGAGCTGGAGGAGACCGAGGAGGTCTTGTTCTTGTACTTTTACGACCTCGCCACGACCTCGGAGGACTTCGCGGCTATGGATCGTCTGACTCTCAGTCTTGTGGGTCATGCTCGCATTGTTAAGACTAGCAGCGCTGCTTTGGCCGAACGATTCAAGATCTCGACCTGGCCACGTCTCCTGGTGGTCCGTGATGGTCGCCCCAACTATTACAATGCCCTCGCACCCAAGGATATGAGAGACTTCCGGCAAGTTCTCTCCTGGATGCAGACTGTATGGCTCCCGATTGTCCCGGAACTTACGGCTTCCAATGCCCGAGAAATCATGGACGGTAAATTCGTGGTCCTGGGAATCCTCAGCCGCCGCCGCTCCGACGACTTCAAGCAGTCCAGGCGGGAGTTGAAGGAGGCTGCCTCCGAGTGGATGGATAAGCAGATCCAGTTGTTCCGGCTAGAGCGATCCGAACTTCGTGATGCCAAGCAATTGCGCATCGAGGAGGCGGATGACCGTAATGATCAGCGCGCACTGCGGGCCGCCAAGAATATGCGCATTACCATCCGTGAGGATGACAAGAAGCCGGTCCATTTCGCTTGGATTGATGGTGATTTCTGGGAGCGTTGGCTCCGCACTACCTACGGTATCGATGTGGAGAATGGTGACCGTGTGATCATTAACGATGAAGATGTAAGCTCACATTTTACACCCACTCTACACAAATTGTTACTGACATCTCACAGAACCGTCGTTACTGGGACACTGCCTCCAGTGGAGCACCAATTATGGCCTCGCGTACCTCGATTCTCGAGACTATCCCTCTTGTCATTGCCTCTCCGCCCAAGCTGTCCCCTAAGTCTACTATTGGTACTTTGGAGACTTTCTTCTTCTATACACGATCCTTCCTCAGCAGCCACCCGATTCTCTTCTTTATTCTTTTGGGCTTGACAGTGGCCGTCGCCACAATTTTCGGCCGTGGACGCCTCCTGCGCCGCACTGGCCTTGGCCGTGGCGGCATTCTGGGCAATTCTAATGGCGGCACTGCTGGTGGCTTCTTCCACCTGGATGGGAAGGAGGGATTCCTGAACGGAGGCTCGACCGGAAAGGTTGACTAATGAGAGCATGTACAGTTCAGGTGTTTGGCTGCACGGTTTCTTATAATTTTTGTTCATTTTAGACTGTATCTGATGGTTTCAGGCTGTCTTCCTGCTGCACAGTCTTCTTGGTCTTTGCATGTTCGACCTGGGGTGTTGAAGCACATACTTTTTTTATTAGTTTCATTCTATCGTCATTCTAGCAATTCATAACCTATTTTTTCAATTCCCTCCGATCCTGAATCGTGAACTTGACCTTCCCCGGGTATTTGAATCAATTGTAAAACCTTTGATTGGTGGATGAGATGTTAGTCACGTGCTTTATTCCAGTGTGAACGATGATTGGCTGCGAACTCGGGCGCTCCCGGTTTTCGTCGAACAAGTGCCAGCTCCTATCCCTCCAGCAATTGTCCCACGACCTGCTCTCGCTGACCACAATGGTATGTCCTTGCCTATGCGAGTGATCTTCATCTATTCCCAACCCTGTCACAGGCTCGATTGTATTGAGTCACCGCAACTGAGTTCCGGTTGGACACATCGCGTCACTGATGACCTCCCGGGATAGACCCGGAACATAAGATTTCTCTACTTTGAATTAATCGCTAATATTGTTTTTTTTCCTTCAATTTGCAGGCTTTCGTTCCTACCCTCCGCCGTGCCGCGGCCGCGGCCTCTAGCTCTACCTTCGCGCCCAAGTGAGACACCCCGAACCCAACCCTCTGGCCATGCCGGAACCCCATGAACGATGCACCGGGCCAAATAGTCCCCAGTTTGAATACCGATTGAAATCCTGCAATATTTGAAGGGCAGTCCGCTTTATTGCTCATTGTCAAATGTAGTGCGATATTCTTGGCGGACTGTGCGGCCGGTGCAAAACTCCATTGGGATAACCGTGCTCGCAGCGTTACACGGCTACCCTTTCGGATGACTCGAGCAAGCGGAGCGCTAACATGATGTGTGTAGGATCGACATCACCCGTCGTGTTGCTGGCTTTGACATGGCCAGTGCCATTCGGGCGTAAGTTTATCCAAAGTTCCTTAGGACCGCATTGAACTGTTCTGCTCACACTTATAATAGTGGTACTCTTGCCGCTTCTTTCGGTGTCTTCGCCGGTACCGCCGCTCTCTTCATGTTCGGCGAGGTTCCCCGTGTGCGCCGTGATATCCTCCAGAAGGTTCCCTTCCTGGACACCTACTTTGACCGCACCGTTGCCCCCGAGGACAACGTAAGTTCTTTGTCTCTTGTATCCTGTTCTCAGTCTTGTGTTGTGAGTACTAACGCCTGTGATAGCCCTTCTAAATTATTTCGCTTTGGTGGACGGCATTGCCCCGGTACTGGAGATCAGGGGAAGTTGTGTAGATTGGTGATGAAATTCTATGTTTTAATTAGCACATAGAGACAGCCTTTTAAAACCAAATCCATGGTTTCATCTTTGTGGATGTAGAACTGTTACCGAGGTCAGTACAATGTCTTCTATCTCTGCTCGTATGTACATCTATAGCAGAGGTTATATCAACAAATGGAAGAGGTATGAAAAAGCCACTTCTCCTATCTTGGCAAGTCCACCCAGTATTACCTTGATAAGCATAGATGTATGCGAGTACAGCTTATCTCTGACCCCTGATATCACAAGATAAGGCACTTTCGCCTCCTTCGACGCCTCGAATTGCCCTCCTGGGTTTGGTGGCCGTCTTGCCAAGCTTACTGGGGTAGCACGGATCTCATTCTTCTAATTCTAATGAGCCCTTTGAGTTCCATGTCTACGAATCACAAGCCCCGTGGTGCGGAGAAGTCAATGCGCTGACCGAATTGAAGGATTCCTTGTCCTCCCGAGAAAACCATGTACTCGCTGATTGGTGTATCTTAGAGTTATCCATCTATTACGGCATATATTATGTGGTATCTAGCTGTTATCATTTCGGCAAATACTCAAATGTCCTTCTAGAGGCCTTCCGCACTCCCCGTGGATGTAGTTCCCATTACCCGATTGGTCCAATCGCATTACAACAATCTTAGCGCGGGGATAAGGCAATGTGCCGTCAAAGGTAGATAAGCATGGAGGAATAATGCTCTCCCCAGCTTGAAACCCTGGCCGCGCCAAGGCTCCCCCATGGTCATGTCGGTAGGTCCGATAGCAGACCTATAACTACCTTGTACTGCCTCTCATGGTTCCTTATCAATCTCCATATCCCTGAATGACCGCGATTCTCTAAGATGGAATCCAAGTTATCTGAATCGGGCGCATATAAACGGCCCTCAATATACAGTGATACCCAGCATGCCCCTGTGACATCTATCCTTCCGGATGGCGATGTGCCATATACGGACCATGAAATGGACGCGGATGAGCGGGTGATCATGGCCCTGGGCTATAAGCAGGAGTTCAAGCGAGAGTTCTCCTTGTGGACGACCTTTTGTGTCAGTTTTGCGGTACTCGGACTACTTCCATCATTCGCAAGTACTTTGTATTATGGTTTGTCTTGTGGAATATGTCTATATTTCAAGTCACTAACACCTGAACAGGTATGGGATATGCAGGGACGGCAGGTATGGTCTGGGGTTGGATCATCGCGATGATTTTCATTCAATGTATTGCTATGTCCATGGCGGAGCTATGCTCAGCCATGCCTACAAGGTATGTCATCTTTACTTGCTATCAATCTGGCCGTGGATTGACTTGGAATTCGCTCCAGTGGTGGACTCTATTATGCTGCAGCTGTTCTCGCACCTCCTGGCTGGGGTCCCTTGGCTGCCTGGATCACAGGATGGTCTAACTGGATTGGACAAATTACCGCAGCTCCGTCAGTCAACTATGCGCTGTCCGCAATGATCTTGGCTGCTGCATCGATCACCAACCCAGATTACGTCCCAACAAATTGGCAGATCTATCTTCTGACCGTCCTTATCATGATTATTCACACCGTGATCAGCAGTCTGCCCACAAAACGAGTGGCACAGTTCAACTCCTGGGGCTCGACATTCAACATCCTTGCACTCATCGCCACGCTAATCGTCATTCCCGCAACTACCAAGAACAGCCCAAAATTTACGCCTTCTCACGAAGTCTGGAGCACTATCACAAACCAAACCGATTTCCCTGACGGTATCGCTGTCCTCATGACTTTCGTCGGTGTAATCTGGACCATGTCCGGCTATGACTCGCCCTTCCATCTGAGCGAGGAGTGTTCCAACGCCAATATCGCCTCGCCACGCGCCATCGTCATGACATCTGGTGTCGGTGGTGTGATGGGCTGGTTCCTACAACTAGTGGTTGCATACACTGTGACGGATATTGACGCCGTCATCAGCTCAGATCTGGGCCAGCCGTGGGCTTCATATCTGCTCCAGGTTTTACCCCAACGGGCAGCATTGGGTATTCTCGGTCTGACGATAGTTTGTGGATTTTCTATGGGCCAAGGATGCATGGTCGCCGCTTCGCGGGTGACATATGCCTACGCTCGTGATGATTGTTTCCCGTTGTCGAAGTACTGGAAGATGGTGAACAAAACCACTCAGACTCCAGTCAACGCTGTAGTCCTTAACACGGTGCTGGGGTGTCTAATGTGTCTCTTGGTTCTTGCTGGAACTACCGCTATCGGTGCCCTTTTCTCCATTGGTGCCATCGCCCAATTTGTCGCCTTCATCATTCCTATCTTCATCCGTGTGTTCTTTGTGGGAAACCGCTTTCGCAAGGGACCATGGAACCTCGGCCGCTGGGGGCCTCTGATCGGTGGGATTGGGTGTTCATTTGTTGCTTTGATGGTTCCCATCTTGTGTTTGCCCAGCGTCACAAAAGCAGATCTAACCCCGGATCTCATGAACTGGACCTGTCTTGTCTATGGTGGGCCCATGCTGGCCGTTATGATCTGGTGGTTTGTTGATGCCCACCGCTGGTTCACGGGTCCCAAGGTCAATGTGGAGCATGCTATCCATGATGTACATGGTGAGCCTGAGGTCAGTGAAGGTGTGGAGCCTGAATACGAAGAAACCCAGGCGACGAAGACGACCAAGTCTGATGAAACTTTGCCGAAGTAGAGCTCTGGCTCTTTGAGTTATTTATGTTCATACGGCAACCAGTGCCATAGTTTAATGTCTTCTGTATACGCTAATCATACTTGCCTTCAAATCTTCTCTTGTCTCTTTGCGCTACCTGGACGGGCTAGGATCCTTTCCCAAGAACTCGCCGCCGAAGGATCCCTAGACACTACTGACAATGTACAACCCACAATCTCGGAGCGGAAGGATTCTTCTCGCAAACCGCCACAAACAAAACTCACATTACCTAAATAAGAAGCCACGTCCACCTCGACATCATCCCCTTTGTAGGTATCGACGAAGCCTTCCGCGAATTCAACATCAGCGCCCTCCTCCATGACGAAAATAAGCTCTTCATTGGCCGTTCAACGTTTCCCTCAACACAAGCGACATCACAAATACACTCACCATCCTTATATATCTGTGATCTAGAAACATCGAATTCCGAGACGCAAACGAGTCAAATCCTCGAAGCTGAAGGTACTGGGAATTACATTCGAGTCGAACGTCGTCCAGAAAATCGCTGAGGGACTGGTTGTGGTTGAAAATTTGGGGAAGGCACTGGGGCGCTGCCAATTCATCAGCGTAGAGGGTAGTTTTCCCCAGTGCGCATGTTTCTAGTGCGGGATGGGTTTGGCTAGTGAAGGGGCGACGATGATGGGCAATCTACTGATTAATATTCGGGGTGACACTGCTTAGTATCTTGGTATTTTGCTGAGAGACAGCGTGCTGTGTTTTCTTGACAATTAAAATTCCGAGATTGTGTGTCCCTGATTCAGACCGGCTGGGCATTTTCTCCATATTATATCCACTTTGACAGCTAGATCTGGGACACTCCAGCGCCCCATCAGAGCTCATTTTTGGGTTTTCCGGTGCGATTCCCGTCATGGTGTGGATTGCTCCACCAGCCCCAGATGTTTCTCTAGATGCCAAGCAAAATGAAAGTAGTTACAATCTGGTATTATATTGATCGATGCAATTTTATCATTCGACTAGTATGATTCAATGTTGGAAATGCTTCGACTCGAGTAATAAAATGCGTGCTTAGATATGGGTGACAGTCTTGGAATCACCCATATATTTCATGTGCTACTACATACTTCACCTTATGTAGGTAGTATGTACGCATGATGTCTGCAACGCTCAGATCTCTCAGTAGCGGCATATCAATTCTCCGACTCAGCCAGTGAAATAGACCATAGCTCGAGCCCACTCGATGCAAGTGCTAAAAGCGGGCGATCATTCAGTCTCTTTAGTGTTGAAGTACCAGGTACACAGGGCTTCGCAACGAGGCACATCCTCGAACATTTTTGAAAGCAGCAAGACAGCCAATCAAATGTCCAGACACAGTAAATAGCCATCAGAGATACTGGTATCAAAATACCCCGCTTGTGTTTCATGAAAAGCCAGAAGCACACCAAAGCATTTCTCACCCGCACGTACCGTGTACTCGCGAACGCTGGGATCGGGGAGAATCCTGCGAATAGATCCACAGGTTCCCCCCCCGGCCATTCCCCACGCGGTGGGCACTGAGCATGGATGTAACGGAGAGATAAGTCGAGACACGCAGATATGCTTAATCTGACTCCAAATGAGGGGCCACACCCCCTCTTTCATTTTCATTTGTTTTCCCAGACTCGAGACGAGCTCCACGTGAACTCTAACTCCAATAACGCTTCAATTAACTAAGATCTTATGCATGATTGATTAGATTGGGGTAACTAGACGAAGATGCCACGACTGCTGGGCGCTAAAAAATTCAAATGAAGGAACAATGAAAAATTCAATTTCCGACTCAAAGAACCGGTGAGATAATACTAATCTCGGCACTGTAAGTTTAATCGGAATCAATTTTTTTTTTTCGGCCACATCACCTAATTCAGGCAATGTATTAACTTCCAAGACACGGCTCATAATATTCGGACCCGATCGACACCTGTCAGGGGTGCGACTGGCGTGTGCCGATGTAGGCGGTTCCTGGACCCAACATTCGGATCCTTGTCTGGTGGAGTAGACGACTTTGTTCCTGAGGGAGACCCATTTCCCGAAGGTTTCCAGTGTTTATCGCGGTAAGCGAAGGCGAAGAGTATGAAAAATGGCTGAAGAGTTGGTACGGAGTATTGATCGTGTATTCGACCAACAAACCATTTACCGTTTTCCCCAGTCCGCCACTCAACAAAAAATCGGAAAACAAAAACTGAAATTTGAAAAAGAAAAAGAAAAGAAAAAAAACTCCCCTACAGCCCAATCATGAGACAACATGCATGTACATTTCAGGCAGCCATGGTTATGAGAATTTGGAGAATTTAGAAATTTCACATTCCAGGGCACATACCAGCTGCAAACATATAAAATACACCTCTTCCATGGCTCCAAATATCTCATTTGCCTTCCAAAACCCAGATCCTGGTAACGAGCATAGACTGAAGAAAGATTTATTCTGGTACCATTGAAAGTCTATCCGAAAGGAAATCCCATGACGCGGCCAGGGGAAATACAATATTACGGGAATATTGGATTTTGGATGTTTTTGGAAATTTTCGTTTTACCTTTATGGGAATCCCAAGTCCACGGTACGGAGTACGACGATGAATGAATACTTCCGCGGCGCTCCCTAACCCCCCGATTTAAATGCTTACTGATCCACATTTCACACTTGCTTTGATTAAGGAAGCCAAATGAATGTTATGTAATTACCTACGTTCAATGAAATGAAGATTTATATACAATTCTATACATCCTGTACCATGTGATGTCCCAAATTCGGACTTTTGACTAATGCTATGAGGTGAGTGGCGTCTGCGATCCTCTCATCCGCTCGAGGCGGTGTGGCCATGTGATTGGTTGTCACAAATCCTGAAACTCGACGATCCGAACTTGGCCTTGCACCTTTCCGGCCTCTGCCGGCTCGTCGTACTCTGAGTACTCCGTACCTGAATATCTTGGGAAGAATTTCTTGGTACTCCGTATACCTACTTGATATCCTTCTACCTAGGTAGTTATCCGAGGCCGGCAATGATGCGGGCCGACCGTTCTGTAGCTCGGCCGAGATTGGGGACGGAGAAGACGGGGATCTCTACATGGTCTTAAAATCGCGCTATTGTACAATGATTTGGACTAGATGAAACCCCATAGCCTTATGTACGGGGAGTGATTGCCGCAAGAACCTTTTAACAAAAACGAAAAATACCATGACGATCAAGTGGGTTGGATCCTCTATGAATTCTGCAAGGTAAAATTTGGCTTAGGAAAAGAGAGGAGCCGGAAAACCGCCTCACCGTAGTTTGAGAGGATCAGCCACCTTTCTTCTTTCCGAGTGCCCCCTCCATCTACCTACTTAGTCTGTAGATAGACTGGACCGAACCGTCTCGGGAGCCCCTGGGAGTGGAGCCTCGCCAATTCCCGGTTAAGCTGCCGAGTCTACATTTACAGTTACATGTACGGAGTATTTTATGTATGTTTTACTCATAGTTATGTTTATATTTATATTTCCACTTTAATATGAAGCTCTGCCAGCACTTAAGATTCGACATATCAGTAAAACCAATACAGATTCCCAGAAACCGGAACGGAGCAACATGCCGATGAAACAAGAAGGTTAGGCGAGGGGAAATGTCATTCTGTTTGTCCTGCCTTTTTGGTCACTAGCTTGGTAAATTAGAAGAAATGAAAAATTAAAAAATATAGAAAATAAAAAACAAAATAAGTCAGAATTAGTCCACACAGATCAGGACTGTCTTCGCCAAAGGATCTGATAGTTTCATGGAAGTCACGAGGTAATGTTCAGACCCGATCATTGATTTCTGCAGAACCCTGGTCGAAGCCTTTTTGCAGGTCCACAATCGAAGCGGGAGAAGCTCTTGCGAATTTCTGCTGGTGGAGAACAGAGGGGCCAGGGTCGTACCTGGACGAGTATACGGATTACCTCTGAACATTTAATCTTTATGCTCACTTCTCTAGAATTCTCCTTAGAAAATAAATATCCAAATCAGAATGCCATGGGATGAGGATTCGGCTGAGACATGGTACCATTCCCCCTCCTACCCCCCCTGAAAGGGTGGCATTGCTGGAAATTAGGTAATAAGGGCCAGTCGAGATCGGGCGGAAGTTTGCGAAAGCCGGAGCTTGGACGGATATAGATGATCCAATGGGAACCCCTGGCAGTTCTATAATTACTTAGTTCAAAACGTTGAGCTTGAAAAGATTTAGCCATTAGACTCATGTAGTGCGTACTACCGCGGTCCATGGCTACAAGGAAATAAATAAAAAAAACACCGGAGAAAAAGAACAAAAGTTCACAGTTAGGTAGAGGTACAGTAGTGTCGTTAGCTCGAGGACTCAATAAGGAGAAAGTAGGCGGTTACGGCGCATCCACTAAAGGCAACTGCATGACCGTTACTAGTGACACGTACCATAGATAAAATGGAGTACGTACCAGCATTAGTCAATGAATTACGGAAGCCCAAGTTTCTCAAATGAAGGACAAAAAATTTGTATACACAAGATCAGCATACACAAAATCAGCATACACAAAATCAGCATACACAAAATCAGCATACAGTTGCATGAGGCCATAGTTGGTGCAGAACTGGTATCATGTGTATCTTGCTAGATGACGTGTGGTTTTCCCGTTAGAAGAGATCAGTGCGAGTGATTTCGACCGTTCCCTCACTAGCGCCTGGGTCGTTGGCAAACCCGGTCGTGAGCTCAAACGTAGACTTCTGATTGAATGATCGGGAGGAGAATGTGCAATGACATTGCATCTCCCTGCAGGGAGCTGTGTGATCTGTTAACCTGCGGGGCGTGTCAAGCCACTGCGGAGCCAGGGTCAGGATGTCAGAACCACCACTATAACTCCAAACATAGAATGGAGTTTAATATACGGAGCCGTCTGGGGAGTAGTCTGGGGCGCATGGGGATTACATGGGTAGATATAGTCTTCCAATAGCATTCTCTTTCGATATGATAATATTCCAGGAACGGATGAGCATTAATCTCCAATGCTCAACATGTATGGATTACATCGGACAGCGCCGCGATCGGGTAAACAATGGGAGTCCCGAACGCATGTGGCAGGACTTTGTGTCAGTGCCCAGCAAGACAGTTGAGCAATTCGAAATAATTCAAATTAATTAAAAAACATACCATTCCAAGGTTTTCCTAGACCAGAACTTAAGTTTATAATAACTCCAAGCGCAAGTTTATTCATGTTTATACAGATATATACGGATCTGTACACGTACTCCGCTTGCGAGCAGGTGCGATCGGCCATTCCTCTCCGGGCCGTCTTCGGAAGACGCCCGGCATATCGTCATCGTTCCCTGTTCTGTACCAGAATTCCGCGCCATTCGGATCGTATTGTAATGATATTACAGTTTTCATTTTATTTTATTTTTTACATTCTGATCGTGGTAATTGAGTTCATTGGTTTTATTCCTTAACAGTTCTTTCGCCTCTATCCCAAATTGACTGTTCTAAAGCCATCTTTTGGTTCGGGAATTTTTGGGTTGGGCTACTAACTAGTTCCTAAATAATTTTTTTTTACAATTTTCCATTTTCCATTTTTTCATTTTTTACATTTCCGTCTGAAACTTTCCATGGTATTGTAAATGAAGTAATGGTAATTTTGCTTTGCCCGCCCCCCATTTCTTTCCTTTTCCCTCTTTTTTCCCCCCCAATTCTCCCCCCGTTCACGATCGAGTCTTTTCTTCTGAGAGAAAAATTTTCTTCCTATCTTCCATCCCCCACCCCAAAATCAATTCTTTCAAATTGATTTTATTTTCTCAATTTTGGGTTCGACTTTGGACGTATCCTTTGACGCGAAGCAGATCTGACTAGTTGTTGTCCTGCGAGTTGCAGACCCACTTGTACGCCCGCTTCCTTGGTGGATACAGAACCCATCGACGGTGACAAACGTGCGGATAACACCAAAAAAAGTTCCCACACGACTTTCTTCGGTGGGTGACCGTGGGGAAATCTCCTCAAACCTTCCTTCTTGATCTTTTCTTCATTCCTCTCCTGCTCTTGCAAGTGACTTACCTTCGTGTGGAGTCAGACCCGTCCTCAATTGATCTGCCTCGTGACCTGGCACCTTTCCGCCTCGGGAAAAATTTCTAAAGAAACAAGGAGCAGTCTCTGATTCAACGACACGAAAAAAGAAGTGGGAAAAAATACAATAAGGATCGCTGTTCGATGATTGCTTGGTGATCATTATCCGACTATCCTAAATTCTCTCCCCTTGACGCGCTTCCTCCTTGCCACAAGATGGATCCTCGATCGCACCCTTCGCGGCCTCCGTCCACCCTGTCTCAGGGCTCCGCACCCCTCTCTCAGACCCCCATCTCGAGTATGCCTATGCCGCAATACTCGATGCAGCCGCAGTACCCGGTGTCGCAGCCGCACACTCTGCCGCCGCTCCAGCCTCATCACACTCAGTCTCCTGCGCCGCATCCCTACATGAGCCAGCAATACCGGCCAGAGCTCTCGCGGTTCCCCGCGTCGACTCACGATGTGTACGGGGCGTCAACTGCCCCCATCATGCCCGGCATGCACTCGACCGTCGGTAGCCAACCACCGTCATTTTTGTCGCATCCTAACCACCAGACACAGGCCCACCCCTCTCAGTCGTACCCACCGCCTCCGAGTGTGTTGCCTCCCGCGTCAAGCGCGCAGAGCTACCCGCAGCCCATTGCCCCGGCCCCGCCGCGTGACCGTCGCGACTTCAACGGTATTCCCTCTGGGGCTTTCAGCTACTCCGATGGCAAGGCCTGGGGTATGAGCCCAGATGTCAACGGCGCGAACGGCTCGCCCTACGGGGCCAAGGAACCGCCACGGACGCAGGTCGTGGGCTCTCAGGGCCGCCGTGGTATTCTCCCGAGTGTCCCGGGCCGTGCTACTCCGGTCACCAACGGCATCAACGGTGCCGCGAAGAGCACTACCATTCCGGCCAAGGATGCGGATGGCAAGTTCCCTTGCCCGCACTGTAACAAGACCTACTTGCACGCCAAGCACCTGAAGCGTCATCTGCTGCGACGTGAGTTTTCTCTCTCTCTATTCCGTCTTTCAAATTGCTAATAACGCGTCGTCGCAAACTAGACACCGGAGATCGGCCTTACATGTGTGTCCTCTGCAAGGACACCTTCTCCCGCAGTGATATCTTGAAACGCCACTTCCAGAAGTGTTCAATTCGTCGGGGCAACCCCACGGGTGCTACCCACTTGTCGCACCCTCAGGCCCATCTGAAACGGTCACAGCAGCAGGCGGCCGCAGCGGCAGCGGCGAACCCCGCTAAGCCTTTGGATGAAGTTAGTAATCCCACCCCATCTTCCAATGGTGTTATGGGTGCGCAATTCAGCGACGGGCACGTGAATGGAAATGGAATGTCCGTTGGTCGTCCCACTTTCCATGAGCAGCAGCAGCATCATATGGGGTTCGCTATGTCGCCGGCCAACGGTATGAGCCGTGGCCCGAGTGACAACGCGTATGCCGATCAGGCATCCGCACGAGCTTCCTGGATGGCTGCGCCCAAGCAGAATCCGTACCTCATGCAGTCCGGCACCGATGCCCATGGCCAGCAACTGAGTGTTGATCGTCCTCTTGAACAGGTAAAGCCCCTGGTCGTCCCTGACCCTAAACATCCGGCTATGTCCGGCCCCCATGCGACTCAGCCTGATTGGTCGATGTTCCAGCACGGTCCTTCCGACGGTTACATGAACCCCGTTTTCCCCCACTCCATGGCTGCCGGCCAGGAGTCGATCCACGCCCCCGTCGATGCCGAGCGCAAGTTCTACCCTGCCACGACCGCCGGCGGCCCCGAGAGTGGTATGAACGGATTGTACCTAGCTTCGACTACCTTGAGCGGTGATGGTGAGTAAATTCCTTTTCAAACATGGAACAGAAATGGAATATTAATCAAAGTGTTTACAGGTACCGTTCAGCCTGCACGACAGTAAACAGCCTCGGATCATACGTGCGATGCGACAGTCGCGGGAGAGAAGTTAAAACAAAAAAGTGAAGGCCTATTCTGACCATCGTGAGGAACCCCCACACGCGATGGATGCGATTTTTCTCGTTTGCTGTCTTGATTGATATCTTGTTCGAGGCAGCTCCAGCCATGGCTCTTCTCTTTTCTTCCCCTTCCCCCTCCTCCTTTAGACTTGTTTGTCTTTTGTCTTTCCCTGTCAACCAAAATGATTGTTTTTCTACGGTTTCCCTGCCGCTTCCTCCCATCTGATCCGTTCGACTCCGCTCGCGCAGCGGCATTTATCTGATTCTGGCGTCCTGTCCTGGTTTTCCTGACATTTTGATTGTATTCGTCTTGATGACTTATTTTCCCTTATTTGATTCAGATCCCATCCGGTGTGGGAGCGCATTCTTCCCTCTACGGCGAGTACAACTTTACGGTGGTTGATTGCGAGTCTGGTTGAATTTTTCTGCCCTCTTTGATGAGATGGGTATGGCGGGTGGTTTCGTTCGGCGTCCACAACTATAGACATGGGCATGTGTTTTGCGCGAATGCTTCAGCAGAAAGAGAAAAGCTTTGTGGGAAGGCTCTTGTTGAATTTCTTGCAAGTTTCTTTTTTTCATTTTTCATCTTTCTCTTTTCATTTTTCTTTTATCTTGTCCCCGGTGCATCTGCATAACCTGTAAGTAGATTCGGCATGGCACGAACATACATGCGCGTCGGGTTGGGTGTGATTTAGGGTGTTGTGTTTTCCATCTGTTTCATCATTGTTAGGGAGTTTGTTCTACTCGAAAAGCATCTAGAAATAGAGATGATCGTTTCAAAATTGTCTGAAGTAAATTATTCATACTTTACCTTTGGTCAAATTAAACTGTATTGGAAGTTTTTGATCAGCAAAATATGGTGTAGTACCATATATGCGCGGAGCCGCGAGACCTGAAGATCATGGTCAATATAACTCAGTTATAGGAGAACATATTTCCTAAAATCAAACCAATCAAGACATTCCAATCCTACCCGTCGACTAACCTGTTCCCAGCGCTTCTCTCCGGGATCTTCCTTCGCGACGTCATGCCCATAATCCCCCGCATTTGATTGGAGCGTCACCGCTCGGAACAAGTTGGATTCGGGATCTCTGACTTCCCCCGCCGTTCAGACCCTTCATATACTCCGCTTTCCTTGAATTCTAGCCCGGATCAAAGGACGACGTGGACAAGCCCACATATCTACTGATCCAAATCCCCTTAACATTGCCGATCCGGCACTCACCATACACTTACACCATGTCCACCAACAGACCATTCCTCTCCAACTTCCTGGCTGCGTTCCGCGCCCAGTCCACCTTTAAAGCCTCCCACCAACAAGCAACAGGCACCGCCTCCCTCTCCCCCTCAAATCTCACACAGAGCGCTCGCGCAATAGCCTCCAAAGCAGGCGCCGGCTCGAATCCATCTGGTTCGACCTCTGCGAATCCATCTACTCATCACTCCAGCGGGAACCCCGTCCCACAGGGACCTGCATCTGCATCCACTGCATCTTCATCAGCCACAGTCTCTCAGCCTCAGCCTCAGCACCATTCTCACCACTACCACACCTCTGCCTCCTACTCAGCGGAGACATCCCCACCCCCGACACCATCTTCTGCCACACCGATTCCCATCACTCGTGGAGCGGATCGCCAGCGTCGCGGGAGTGATAGTTCCAGCGGATCAGGTGGGTTCCGTGATGCGTTAGGGCCGGAGAAGTGGTATATCGGGGGGAAGACACCTGCGGGTGAAGAACGGTTTTATCGGCTGGGGATGGTGACGAACGGTGGGGGCCGGCTTGGGGGTGGGGGCAGAGTGGGGAGTATTGATCAGTTGAGTCTGTGATCAACCAAAAAAGTCCTTTATTTATGAAGGGTCAATGTGCAATGATTATGATATTCATGTCTGTCTACTTGGGCGTTTTCATGGCGTTTAATGGGTTTGGAGGCTGGAGGCTTTTCTTGGGTTCATGATACAAGAAAAGGAAAAGATAAACATTATTACAGTTGCCGCTTGTCTTTATACGTTTCGGCATGTCTGGTGAAAAGACTGGTTCGACATGATTGGACTCGTTTACATTGAGCCTTCTATGCTTTCTATTCCAAAGAATACAGTATCTTGCCATACATAGGTCCATATTTCACAGCACCTGCTGTGTTGTACAATGCAACACACCCCCAGTCCTCGGCAACGCATTAACAGCCACTTGCCTCACTTCCCGCTCAGGAACAAGGCTCTGTATGATCTCCAATGCCTTTTGATCCGCCTCGACATCACCAAAAGCAGGCATCACCAAGCCCCCATTCACAAAGTAGAAATTCACATAAGACGCCGCCGGACCATCTTCCTCCCCATCAACATCACCCTTGACAAGCTCCGGATCCGGCTCTTCAATATCATAAACCTTAAGTCTTCGTCCCCGCGCATCAGTAACAGTATCCAGAATCTCTCTCGCCTCGCGATAGATATCCCAATACACAGGCTCACATTTCGCATGGGGCTTACAAACAACCACCACACCAGGCCTGACAAACCGCGCCTCGGCATCAATATGACAATCCGTAATATCCAGCCCCTCCCGTCCAGGGATCCAAATAAACTTCTCAATGCCCAATAATCGAGTTAACTCGGTCTCGACATCTTCTTGCGAGAGACCCTCATTGCGCGACGGAACTAACACACTACTCGCAGCCGCCATGAAAGTCCCCTCACCATCCATCTCAATCCCACCACCTTCCAAGCGAACGGAAGATACAACCCTGGTAACAGGATGACATCCGTGGTTCAGGTTCTGATTTTCAAGTTCCAAAACCCTCCGCGCAAACAACGTATTCTCCTCCCGTCGACTCTCATCCATAATCGGCCATCCCTCTGCAGCTGCATCTTTATCCGCAGAGCCAATGTAAAGTAGTTCCTCGATCTTATTTCCCCATTCGCAGAACTGGAAATCAATTGCGTATCGCCGTTGGGGATCTTCGAGACCGCGCACGTAGACGGGACCTGTATCGCGCACCCAGCAGTGATTTGTCGCGACGGGGATAAGAGTGATATTCTGTTTGTCACTTGTCTCTAGGCGCTTGGAGATGAGGTCCTGGGCCTTTGAAAGGTCCTCTAGGCGTACGTGGAGGCGTACGGGCTCGAAGGCTGCGATTGTGCATGCTAGATCGATGATCTCGGTGCAGGTACTCTTGTAAAGAGCTGGGAAGGTGGAGCAGCGGGAGGGGAAGCCTAGGATTGTTGCGAGGTGTGGGGTTGTTTCCGCGAGGAAGGTGTATTTTTTGGTTTTGTCTGTTTCTGTGTGGAGATTATCTTTGGTGGATGCCATGGTTGAGGATGTGGTGAAGTATCGGCTCAATTGTGAAGAGCGGTTACTTTCATAAGGTTGTATTTGTCTGATTAGACTTGAAGCTTTCAGGTAACTCCGAGTCTATACGAAGTACATGTCAGTGAATGCGGAGCATAGCGTGGGAAGAACGCACATTAATGGTACAAGTAGACGCGTAACGGTTATAAAGACCAAAGCGAGTCAAAAGCTTCGACATTGTGATCACTTAGAGCGACGAACATGGAACTATATATGCGGAGATCGCTAAATAGATTAAAGTTGACGTTGTTAGGATGTTCATTATTACCCGAAAAGGGCAAGATGACGCGACGATCGTTAAACTCAATTTGGTTGCCTATTTCGTACATTCAGCAGAGTACTATCCTCTTAAGTAGGACTTTGATTCTTATTTCCCCATCCTGATCCACTTCCTCAAGTTCAATTTGATATCACTGAGCAAGCCATCCCAAATGACAGTCATTGTACCCCACCCAAATCGATACTCCGCAAATCCACAAAGTCCTTAAATACCCCGTGAATTGCCTCGAATTAAACATTAAACATCCCCACTGCAAATGTCGCTCAGTAAGAGAAGGGCAATCAAGAGAGCGATATATGGTGTTTCATCTTGCTCCACAGACATTAAAGCTCTTTGAGGTGCTCAGGTGAAAGACGATGGACAACAGGCACAGCTGACGAAACGGGAAGATAGCGGTCTTTGATAATACAGTGGACATCAGAGTATTGAGAAAGGCTTCGCAGTTACACTTGTTTGGGAGCATGAAATTGTTACGATAGAAGAAATACGAGCTACGAGATAATGGCTAAGAAAAGCCCGATTATGGTACACATATTTGTAGAATTTCTAGCGAGTGTGCTATGCGGAGAATCAGTTGATCCATTGAAGGTATTTACAGGAGTTTGTTCTTAGGGAAGCTGGGATGACTGTAAAAATCCATTGAAATTAGCTGTAAATCCTGTCTATCGGTGTTATGTATTTTAAACGTGAAATCCAGCCATTGAGGACCAGTTATGATAGCAATAGGTCTCATTTGATATCCTCTTCGAGTTTTCCAATTTTAACTACCGAAGTCAGGTAAGCGTTAGCCTAGGCTAGGAAGTGTGAGGGAAGACAGGTTTCCATGAACCCTGTGTGTAGTAGATCTATGTACACTTGCCTCCCAAACGATCTCCATGAATGTAAAATGGAAGTATATTAGCCACGGGATATAGCCTGAGACCGCAAAAGAAAGCCCTACCTAGACTCCGCTTTTGTTGCTTCTGTCTCCAAGTCTGCAAGGCAGAGGGCAGATGGTCTAATGTCTTGCCATTCATCGAGAATAGTTGAAGTTAAACAACCCGATAATTGGGTGGTTTGCTGTCATGAGTAGGGATTTCAGGGTATTAGAGGCCATTATCTGTTGGCTTGGGATTGGAGTGTACGATGCTGCATGTGAGTAGATGCTGGGACAAGTGATGAATTCGAACATTCGTACTTAGTAGCTCCTGTACTCCGTACCCTCGCATTTCCCCGATGGAGATCGCCGATTGAAGTACGGGGTTTGCTTCGTATAGAAGCAAGGGATCTGAAGAAAGACCATCGGCCGCCGGATTTTCGGGATTCGGGGAGTGGAAGAGACTAATTACGTCAAGCGGATTGTGTAATAAGCTCTAGGCGGCTCGAATCCGAAATCTGGGGAAATCTTGATCGCCAATCAAACATCTCATTTGACGATAATTCACGAATACTGATAATACTGGCTTACTACTGGTGAATTCTGTTTCTACTTGCTGTGACTTGGTCGTCCGAGGAAAATCCCGGTTCAAACGGTTGCGATAAGATCAGAAGTGGGGATCGGCCACTCGCGGGCTTCGGAGGTGCCCGATACTTGTCACGGACGAGCACATCAGCCCATTTTTGATTTTTGTTCAAATAAATAAGAATCTCCTTCCTGGAAATACCTCCTTTCAAGAATCTATCCAAAACTTACTTCATTCCAGACCCATCTCTCGTCTCTCATCTCCAACTCATTTCCGCTTATCCCTTATCTCCAATTCACCATGAGTGCTCTCGCTGCTGCCCGTTACGGAAAGGACAATGTCCGTGTGTTGAAGGTGATGCGCGATGAGAAGGCTGGTACCCAGACCGTCGTGGAGATGACTGTCTGCGTCCTGCTTGAGGGCGACATTGAGACCTCGTGAGTGCACCATACGCCCTTATCAGTGCGCATGAGACTGAAGCTAATACTGCCTTTCCCTCAGCTACACCAAGGCCGATAACAGCGTCATCGTCGCCACCGACTCCATTAAGAACACTATCTATATTACTGCTAAGCAGCAGCCCGTGACTACCCCCGAGGTCTTCGGTTCCATCCTCGGCTCCCACTTCGTCGAGAAGTACAGCCACATCCACGCCGCTCACGTCAACATTGTCACCCACCGCTGGGTGCGCATGAACATCGATGGAAAGCCTCACCCGCACTCGTTCCTCAAGGACAGCCCCGAGACCCGCAATGTCCAGGTTGACGTTATTGAGGGCAAGGGAATCGATATCAACTCCTCCATCAAGGGCCTGACTGTCCTCAAGAGCACCGGCTCGCAATTCTGGGGCTTCCTTCGTGACGAGTTCACCACCCTCAAGGAGACCTGGGACCGCATTCTCAGCACCGATGTTGCGGCCAACTGGCAATGGCGCCGCTTCGGCGGTTTGTCCGAGGTGAAGGCCAATGTTGCTAAGTTCGACGCAACCTGGGAAGCGGCCCGCGCTATCACCCTCAAGACCTTTGCTGAGGACGTCAGCGCCAGTGTCCAGGCGACTATGTACAAGATGGGCGAGCAGATTCTTGCTGTCGCCCCTCTGCTTGACACCGTGGAGTACGAGCTGCCCAACAACCACTTCTTCGAGATTGGTACGTTTCATTCCTGTTCCTTTTGCGTAACCCATTTTCTAATTCCATATAGATCTGAGCTGGCACAAGGGAACCAAGAACACCGGCAAGGACGCCGAGGTGTACGCTCCCCAGTCCAACCCCAATGGTCTCATCAAGTGCACCGTTGGCCGTGCTGCCCCCAAGGCCAAGCTGTAATGGCCTGTAAAATCGAACTCTGGAGTTCGCTGCATGATCTGTTGACTTTGCTTCTCTTGTACATAATGTCTCTATATACCTCTGGGAGTAAATCCCCCAATTTCAGCTTGACAACACGTTTTTATTTTCAAATAATTGGTTATATAAGTACAGATCGGTGTAGAGAATGACCCATAGGTCGTATTTGAAAAAGACTAGTCAACAGAAAGGAGAATCAAAGAAAAATTCCCAAAGATAGACTCCACACCCATGCGCTTGCGGTTTTGGATCATAACGCAGAAATAAATTACATCGCAGTCGAGGTCAAGAATTATAATCGAACATGTTTAGGCGGGAGTCTGAGCCTCCTTGGCCTCCTTGAAAGCTTCTTGGACTTCCCGACTGGCGCCGATAACGGATTGGTTGCCGAACTTGACAATGTTCTGCTTGTAAGGATGGGCAAGACCCTCGAAAGCTGGAAAGTAACGTTAGCTATTTGGAAAAGTAAGGATTCCACCTCAGTCAAACCCACTCTTCAGTCGTGCCAACCGCGGCTCCTGCAGCCGGTTCTTAGGCAACATGCCCTTGACAGCGCGGCGCAGAACCTCACCACCACCCCATTTCTGAAACATCTGATCCATAGTCATGCTCTTCAAGCTACCTGGGCGCGTGTTGTGCGAGTAGTACATCTTCTGGAAACGCTTCTTGCCAGTGGTCCGCAGGTCGTGACAGCCGGCAACGACAACGTAGTCTCCGCAGTCCGTCGAGGGGTCGTAGATCGGCTTGTTCTTTCCCATTAGGACAAGGGCGATGGATGAGGCAAGGCGGCCCAGGGAACGGGGGTCAGAGCCGGCGTCGACATAGTGCCATGCGCGGGAGTATGCAAGACGGGTCTGGAGGGCATCATGTTAGCATCAAGAGGGCTGTATTCTGCAATTGGCCGAGAGATTTCTGTCCATGCAGCTCAATGAGTTCTTATTTACCTTGCCGACTGTTTGCGACATTGTGTCGGATGAGTATGAAAGAGTGAACGGGAAGGGCAGCAACAGCAATCGCAACACAGCAAATCCCCGAAGTTCTGCGCATGCCAAACTCGGACTCCGCCTGGCCCCGACCCACGTGACCGTACATGACTAATCTCATATCATGTGATCAAGCCCTAAGACAGGGAACCCAATTAATCCATTTCGGGACTAGTGCAACCTAAGCGAAACCCGCACTAACAACCAGCAATTCAGGCGAATCACTGCAGTGTGGGAATTCGCGGTCGACTTCTTTTCCATCTCCCTCGACAACACACTCCTCCCCCAACGACAACCACCATGGCTTCCGTCCCGAGTGTGCAATGCTTCGGCAAGAAGAAGACGGGTGAGTCTTGCGATTTCGATATCTCCATCCCTTGTTGAATTATTGCTAATCGAACTTTTTCAATAGCCACCGCTGTCGCCCACTGCAAGGTATGAAGACGATGCCTTCCCCCACCCGTACATCCTATTGCGTCAATCAAATCTCGATGGAACTGCCCTGGCAAGATATTCGACTGGAGAAAAGAGAATAGCTGTGGAAATGGAAATTCGATGTCGGAACGTTTGATCGGGCAACAATGAATCGATGGCGCATGGGATACCACACGATGAGAACAACATACTGAGACTTTTCGATTTACAGCAAGGCAAGGGCCTCATCAAGGTTAACGGCCAGCCCCTCTCCCTGGTCCAGCCCGAGATCCTCCGCTTCAAGGTACGCACTCGAACTTTTCCCGCCAACCCCCAACACCAACAGCCGCTGCAAAGAATGCTTTCTTTCGACCACGCAACCTCTTCCAAGGAACGCCAATTCTAACAACCAAACAGGTCTACGAGCCCCTCCTGATCGTTGGCACTGACAAGTTCGCTGGTGTCGACATCCGCGTTCGCGTCTCCGGTGGTGGTCACACTTCCCAGATCTACGCCATCCGTCAGGCCATCGCCAAGTCCATCGTCGCCTACTACCAGAAGTACGTCGATGAGCACTCCAAGATCCAGCTCAAGCAGGCTTTCGCTCAGTACGACCGCACCCTGCTCGTCGCCGATAACCGCCGTGCGGAGCCCAAGAAGTTCGGTGGTCGCGGTGCCCGCGCGCGTTACCAGAAGTCCTACCGTTAAATTCCCACTTTTGTCTTCTTTGTTTACAAGAAATACTGCGGCGAAGGGAATTTACAAAATCGAAGGAAAAATTATGGGGTTTTATGGAAATTCATGTCTTCATTTCATTATTTCACGACTTGTTTTCCATTGAATCTTGTTGGACTGGGTAACTAGGGAGGATGGTTATGTTGTTGCTGTGAGTGGTTTCGGTTTATCTCTGGAATCACTTGCGGATTGGTGAGAACAGGATCGGTGTCGCGAGGTGTCTGCGGTCTACGGACCCTCGTCCCCGGTGCCGATGCTGGATGTGTGGAGAGAATGGATATTTTTTTCACTGGCGCGGTCATGAACGGCTGGAAAATATACCTAGCATAGGCCAGGAAAAATCTGCTCAAATACACCGGGTTTTCATTGTTCATCTCGCTGTTTAGTCTGGTCGTAGACTATCGTACCTAACATGGTGTTCCCAAGGTCGTGTCAAATCCGCTACGTTCATTGCACTTTACTGATGGGCTGGACCCAAGTTCTGAGAACTCGGTGAGATTTGAAGTCATAGCTGACTATGAAGCAGCACAAAGCTCCTCCCATCGCATCATCCGCATGTCAACTGCTTGCCTGCATCCTTCACTGCAATATCACAGCGTTCATGTTTCGCGCCGAGTGTTCATACTAACTTGCAAGGTGGTATGAGACTCAGTTCTCCACGGACTCTGTTTGTGCCAAAACCTCTCCCTCTTTGTCTGTCAATGGTGAAGGACCAAGGTTCGTCGAGATGGTGTTCTCTTTTTCCTTGATGCAAGCCTGGCAAAGATCTTCGAGGCAAGGCCGTGGAAGTCCCTCTGCCGATTCTGAAAACAGGCTGTGCTTGATCTTCGCATCCATCCATCCACCGGCAGTGAACGCATTGGGGACTGCGGCAAGGTGTGGCCATATATATTTGATCGAGTCATCCATGACAATAGGCCACTGTGACGGTCCTTCGGTTTTCTTCTTGCAAAACTGCATCACGGATTTCTGGAAACCCACCACTTCAAACTTGCCGGGCGAGAACGAAAGTTGGACAAGAAATTTGAATCTCCTTCCCTTCGGCATTTTGAGAGAAGCACTACCACGGTACATCTAAAGGATGACCTGGTCGAAAACTTGACACATTATCTGGCAAACAAATCGCCTCTGACATGGCCTCAGGACGAGTACGAATAGGCTTTCAAAGTAGGGTGAACTGGAACATTAAAGGAAAGAGAATGAAAGGTGATGTCCAGGAGTGTAATAGAAGAAAGGATTGAAGAGGGGGAACTGAGGATAAGCCTTCACTGCTCAGCGCTGGTCTCCGGAGTATGCTACAAAATCTCGATCATTTCGATGAACCACTCCTTGTGTCATGAGCAGAAGAGGATCCAAACAAGTAACCTTATGTCATGAAACTCAAAACAACGTCATTCAGTGATGAGCTAACAATGAGCGTCGAGTCATTACAAGTACTGACAGGTTCTCAATAATGAGCTCCTGAGTTGATTCTTGTCTGGCGACTCCGAAGTACAAAGCAAAAGGGCGGACCAAGTGTCCGTCCTACTCCCAAACAAGTAAGAGTAGACTAATCCCTGCGCTATAAATAACAGTCAAAGTCATTGGCACAAGGTCAACGTCTGGATGTTTGTTCTTTCTGCCGTGTTGCCTTGTTGCCTGACTGCCTGGGAACTTACCACTTTAACGCGTCCACGCGAGACCCACAGCGCGTCGCGCCCTGGATTCAGATCGCGATCCGTCTTTTCTCCTTCCCCGCAACCCATTGTCATTTCTTCCCACTGGTGAATGGACAATTGTCCATAACAATCAAAAATCATGCCTTCTGCTCGTGACAGACTCGCCGAGCTAAGGGCCCTTCGTGCCTCCGGAAAAAAGCGCCTCTCCACATATGAAATTGAGGAACAGGGTGATATTTACGAAGAGGTCGATGATGACGGTTATAAGAAAATCATTCGCGGTCGACTTGACGAGGACGACTTTGTCGTAGACGATAACGGCGCCGGTTATGCAGACGACGGTCGGGAAGTGTGGAACGAACGAGCACCTGAATACGATAGCGACGACAGTGATGAATTACCTGCGCGCGGCAAGGCTGCCAAACGGAAACGTGAGGAAGAGAAACAGCGCCAAGAGAAGATGAACAACGGTATCTCCAAATATTTTAACAGTGGCAATGCCGCGACAGCTACTGCGGCCAAACCGAAGGTGAGTTTCCTCCCAAGTCCCCCTGCAACGGAATGCTGACCTGTCACCTAGCCGGTTGCGACTGCTGAAGACGATGCCTTCATGTCAGACCTTCTCGGAGAAGTGGATACGAATATTGTTTCCAATCATCCACCTACACGAAACATTGTCAAATCAGAGGCCCGACGAAAAGTTCGCGTTCTCTCCCCACCCACGTCTCAGAAGCGGAATCGAGAGAGAATTCAAGCACGAGACGAGAACGATGTTCCAAGCTCCCCACCAAAGAAGCAACAAGCTTTTCAATCCGACGACGATCTCGACGATGGTCCTCTTCCTGCCGTGGAAGACGATGACATTTCAATGGGTGACCCGATGCCCTCCTCTCCCATAACCAAGGCTGTGGAACGCAAGACTGTCATGCCAGTCAAGAAAGAAGAATCGGACGAAGAAGATATCGACATGATGGACATCGCGGAAGCCACAGTATCGGCTAGCATCAAGACCGAAAACGTCAATATAACTGGAAGTCGTCCTCCTCCAAAGATCAAGAAGGAGGAGCCTACAACGCCTGCGGCCTCTTCGCCTACCAAACCCATGCCGGAGCTATTGGATGCCTCCTGGAATGATCTGAGAAACAAACTGAACGTTCTCAGCAGTCCAGCACCGGAGATGCGTTCTTTTGGAAAGCTGCGTGCCCAAGATGTCATCGAAGAGGATGGCAGTCTGCGGTTCTTCTGGTTAGACTACACCGAGGTAAACGGGAGTCTGTGCTTGTTTGGAAAAGTAAAAAACAAGCAGAATGACTCGTACGCCAGTGCCTTTGTCAAAATTGACAACATTCTTCGAAAGCTCTACTTCCTTCCTCGTGAACAACGATTCAAGCAGGGCAGAGAAACAGAGGACGAAGTTGGATTGGAGGAGGTCTACGAAGAAGTGGACCAGATGATGTCTCGCCTGAAAGTTGGCATGCACAAGATGAAACCTTGCACTCGAAAGTACGCATTTGAGATGCGCGGGGTCCCCAAAGAAGCGGACTATTTGAAGCTACTCTACCCGTACGACAAACCAGCGCTCCCTATGGAAGTCAAGGGTGAAACTTTCTCCCATGTGTTCGGCACGAACACCTCTCTTTTTGAGCAGTTCGTCCTGTGGAAGAACATCATGGGCCCTTGCTGGCTCAAGATTGACGACGCCGACTTTTCTGCTGTCAACAACGCATCCTGGTGCAAATTTGAATGCCAATCAGCTAAGCCAGCACTTATCACGCCCGTCTCAGAATCGGAGAACATGGAGACCCCGCCCTTGACTCTTATGTCTCTCGCCTTCCGAACACAACTCAATGTGAAGGAGAACAAGCAGGAGATTCTGGTGGCAAGTGCCCGTGTATACGAGAACGTCTCCCTCTCGGATACCACACCGCCAGAGAAGCTTCCTTGCAAAACATTCACCGTGATGCGCCCCGCTGGTCCATCCTATCCCCTGCACTTTGAGGCCGAATGTCGAAAGCAGCGAGGCACAATCATGCTTGAAAAGAGTGAACAGTTCCTTCTCAGCAAATTTTTGGCCATGTTTGAGAAAATGGATCCGGATGTGATCATGGGCCACCAGTTGCAGGATGTTGACCTAGGCATCCTCCTCAGCCGCCTACGAGAAAAGAAAACCCCTGGGTGGCATAGGGTTGGTCGTCTCAAGCGTGGAGATTGGCCAAAGAACTACAATAAGAATAGTGGTTTCTTTGCTGAGAGGCAGCTAATTGCTGGTCGATTGATGTGCGATCTTGGCAATGATATGGGCAAGGTGAGTTTGCTGATGCTTGATGTCTTTGATACGAAAACTGATTTGGTCTTTAGTCCTTGATGATGAAATGTCAGTCCTGGAGTTTAACAGAAATGTGCCAGCTTTATCTTGGTGAGGGAAATTCTCGGCAAGACTTGGATGTCGAAGAAGCTTTGAAGTCCTGGGCCTCGACCAAGGATGGTTTGATGAATTTTGTGAACCACTGCGATACCGATACCTATTTCATGGCTGCTCTGGTTATGCGCCTGCAGATGCTACCTCTTACCAAGGTTTTGACAAACATTGCCGGTAACTCGTGGGCACGTACCCTCAGTGGTACTCGCGCGGAGCGAAACGAGTACATTCTGCTTCACGAGTTCCACCGCAACAAGTATATTTGCCCAGACAAGTATTCCTCCCGCCTGCAGAAGGCAGAAGAAAAGTTAGGTGATGATGAAGACAATGTGGGTGACAAGAAAAAGAAAGACAAGTACAAGGGTGGTTTAGTTTTCGAGCCTGAGAAAGGTCTCTATGACCGATTCATTCTGGTCATGGATTTCAACAGTCTTTACCCTTCCATCATCCAGGAGTACAATATCTGTTTCACCACGGTTGATCGGACTGCTTCAGTATGTATCCTTGAGCCCGATGCTATGATATACTTTCTAATCTTGTACAGGCGGAAAATGAAAACGAGGAGAATGTCCCTGAGATTCCCTCCTCAGATCAAGAGCAGGGAATTCTGCCAAAGCTCATTTCAACATTGGTCGGTCGTCGACGTGAGGTGAAGAAGTTGATGAAGGACAAGCGTGCCACTCCCGAGCAGCTCGCTCTGTGGGACACAAAACAACTTGCCTTTAAGCTGACTGCCAACTCCATGTACGGCTGTCTGGGATACACACAAAGTCGATTCTATGCTCGTCCCCTTGCAATGCTCACTACCTTCAAGGGTCGTGAAATTCTGCGAAGCACCAAGGAACTGGCCGAAAGCAGCCAGCTCCGTGTCATCTATGGTGATACCGACTCCGTCATGATTAATACCAACATGGACACTATTAGCGAGGCACTCAAGGTAGGCGAGGAGTTCAAGAGAATGGTCAACGAACGATACAAGTTACTAGAGATCGATATTGACAATGTATTCCGCCGACTACTGTTGCATGCGAAGAAGAAGTACGCGGCTGTGAATCTGACGGAAGTGGATGGCAAGTATGTTGAGAAGCTTGAGGTCAAGGGTCTGGACATGAAGAGACGTGAATATTGTGCGCTCTCCAAAGAGGTTTCATCCAAACTTCTGAACGAGATTCTTTCTGGGGAGGACCAGGAAGTGGTTCTCAACAATGTTCACGAATACCTGCGCGAGCTCGCAGAGAAGATGAAGAACTTTGAGATTCCAAACCAGAAATACGTTATCTACACGGTATGTGAAAGTCGTGGTGGCACCTCCAGTCTTGCAGTACTAATCTTCGACATTACAGAAACTTTCCAAGAGGCCCGATGAGTACCCGAACAAGGAGACAATGCCTCCGGCGCAAGTCGCTCTCCGGGAGATTGCACGAGGCAAGACTGTTCGGCCGAATGATGTTATTTCGTACATTGTGACAAGTGGCGATGCGGAGACTTCCTCTCTCGCTCCGGCCAAGCGATCGTACAGCCCTCAGGATGTCTTGAATCCCAAATCAGAACTGAAGCCCGATATTGAGTTTTATATTCTCAAGCAAATATTCCCTCCCATCGAGCGTCTGTGTGCCCCGATCCCGGGTACTGACGCTGTCCGCCTTGCTGAATGTCTGGGACTTGACACCCGCAAGTATCAGATTAACACCTCCAGCTCCAGCAATCAACAGAATGCCGAGATCTTCCCACTGGAGTCGCAGATTCCAGACTCTGTCCGCTTTGCCAATTCCGAGCGGCTGATTTTGACATGCCGATCCTGCAAAGAAAAGTCGGTGTTTGAGGGTCTGGCTGGTTCTCCAGATATGTGCACTGCAGATGGTGTTATTTGCTCCAATCAAGTCTGCCAAAAACCATTTGCGGTCATCACTATCGTCGCACAGATGGAGCACCAGATTCGTGAGCAAATCAATCGATACTACGAGGCTTGGTTGGTCTGCGATGATTCGGCCTGCGGCAACCGAACACGGCAAATCAGTGTGTACGGACATCGCTGCCTGGGCCCAAGGGGCCATGCTGAAGGTTGTTCAGGGCGCATGGCGTACGAGTACACAGAGAAAGACATGTACAACCAGCTGTTGTATTTTGCCGGTCTGTGGGATGTGGACAAGGTCAATAACGCCAATAGCAAGGAGGCTGCTGAAACCAAGGACAGCAAATCTGCTATGGCCGAATTCAACCGAATCCGATTTGAAACTATCGGGGAGGTGGTAGACGGCTACTTGAAGAAGTGTGGTCGGCAATGGGTTGAGATGGATACCCTGTTCCAGTTCATGATGCAATAAATGCCCCGGTGGCGTTGATTTGGGATTTTCGATTTTTGTAAATAGCTACTACTTTCTTTGGGAAGTTCTCTTAACGATGGAATTAAGTTGAAATAATGTTATATTCGATTGATATGAAGCAAGTTTCCAATTAGAGAAAAAACCACTTTCTCTTATCTTATCAATTATCCCACCCATCGGATCGGTGACCCCCGCTCATCAACGGCTTTTCATCGAACCCTGCAATCTCACCCAATTGACTCCTGGAATCATGTCGGTCAAGCGGGTCCTGGTTATCGCAGGATCCGACAGCTCTGGTGGCGCGTAAGTCTCTTGTTCTCTGATACCTTGGGTACCACTAGCTGGAAAAAACATATGAAACATTGCCGGGTCCATTCGGCCGTGTCATCTTATCATTGTCCAATGCAATGGATCTGGCATGTAAAGAAGATACATTTATTAATTCGGTCACAGCGGCATAGAAGCTGATCAAAGAGTACTTGCCGCCCATGGCTGCTATGCCCTCACAGCCACGACGGGATTGACCGCACAAAACACACTCGGTGTCCAGGACATTTTTGTGGTCCCATCGGAATTTGTGAGAAAACAGATCAATGCAGGCCTAGAGGATGTGGGTGCCGACGTAGTGAAACTTGGTGTGTTATCTTGTGAATATTTGCGTCTCGGTCCTCTGCTTACATTCAACAGGCATGCTTTCGTCCGCGGAAACAATCGATGTTATTGCCGAGACACTGCAAGCGCATCGAGTTCCCGCCATAGTCCTCGATCCAGTTATGGTGTCAACTAGTGGAGCGCAGCTTCTTCCGGAGAAGGCTGTAAAAGAGCTTCGAGAAAAGCTGCTCCCGATCACTACCATCCTCACACCCAATATCCCAGAAGCCCAGCTTCTATTGAAGGATGCTGGGCTAGAAGTTCCTGAGCCTGCTGACCTTTCTGAATTGACTGAACTTGCCAAGAAGATCTGCGCCCTGGGTCCAAAGGCTGTTCTGCTGAAGGGAGGGCATCTTCCACTCACTAAGGATCTCAAGACAACTCAGGACCCCAAAGATGCAACCACTGTTATCGATATTCTTTATGATGGCGTAACTGGGGAAACAGCTCTCTTCGATACAGAGTACTTGATAACCAAGAACACCCACGGTACTGGCTGTTCTCTTGCCTCGGCGATCGCCGCCAATCTCGCCATGGGCAAGGATATGTCCCGAGCGGTGCGCAGTGCTGTGCGATTCGTTGAGGCGGGCATCAGAACTAGTGTTGATCTGGGCAAGGGAAGTGGACCAATTAATCACTTCCACTCCATTTATACTATGCCCTTTGCACCGTTAGTGGCTCCTGTCTTTACACTCACGCACAGAATACATCATTAACCCAAATTAGTGGTCGATTCGTTGAATATGTCCTGGATCGCCCGGATGTTCAGCGGGTTTGGAAAAGATTCACTCATCACGAGTTTGTTGAGGGTATGGGCCAGGGCACGCTACCCACGGAGCGATTCAAGGAATACCTCGTGCAAGACTACCTGTATTTGGTAAGTGCTTGACTCAACGTTGTATGTTTGCAACGAGCTAATGAGGCCTTCCTAGGTCCAATTCGCCCGGAGTAACGCACTGGCATCATACAAATCGCAAAGCATGAATTCAATAGCAGCAGTACGTATCTCAATAATATTTCATGTGGTTGTGTCTAGCTAACTCCACTCATCCAGTCTGCCCAAATTGTCCTTCATATTCAGCGGGAAATGGCTCTGCATCTAGACTACTGTGCTTCTTTCGGTCTCTCCAAGGAAGAGATGGAAATCCATCCTGAAACTATCGGTAAGGGGTATCCGTTCAATAGTTATGGCCTTTACAGCGTCTAACGACATCCCAGCTTGCACTGCGTACAGCCGGTATATTCTTGATGTGGGCCAGTCCGAAGACTGGCTTGCACTCCAGATGGCTTTGGCCCCCTGCCTGATAGGATATGGAGCCATTGCTCAGCGACTCCATGCTGACAAAGGGACCCTCCGTGAAGGAAACCTATTCTGGAAATGGATCGAGAACTATGTTGCTGCTGACTACACCGAAGCCGTGCGACTCGGATCAGGTAAGATATATCTGATCATGGACCTCATGTCTTATTAAAGTTGAACTAATTTTTTTTCTTCGGTATTAGCGTTACTGGAGGAGCACATGCATCAGGTATCGCCCAGTCGTGTGGAGGCCTTGATTAAGATCTTTATCCGGGCGACTGAATTGGAGATCAGCTTCTGGGACATGGGATTAAGTGATAAGAAGATGTGATTGAAACAAAAGAAAATATATAGACCAATATCATTCCGTCTGAAAGTTGGAATACAAAGCAACATACAGTACTACTACCATACATCCAATGTTCTACTTATTGTATAAGGCTAAAAAGCCTAAATGTGATTTTCTCTTCCCGAAACATTCTAGACTAATCACGTGTAGACTAGACCCAATTAGGTACATTTTTCACAATTTTTTTTTTACTGTCGCCTCCTTCCGCCTTCCCCTGGCGCAACGACTTTTTTTCTGCTCCTTCTGTTCTCCAGGGCTTTATCTTCACACTTCACAACTTCCCCTTCTCTCCTTTCCTCCATCCCCTCGGTTTCATTGAATTCCTTTCCCCAAGGTCAATCCTAAAAAGTTCTCGAAACCTTCTTCTCATATCCATCATGTCTTACGGCGGTGGTGGTTACTCGCGCGGTGGCGGCGGTGGTGGTGGTGATTCCTACCGGTATGTTTTCTGTCCTCAGAGAAACAAAACTCTCCTTTGTTATTATTCATTTCTGTACTGCATCCAACTTGCAGGGATTGATTCCATCTGTTTTGCGTTGGACGCGTCTTACAATGACTGCCTAGCATCAGGCGCCATTAGGCTGGTTGCTAGGGTGCCTTTGTTATGACAATCCACTTTTTCCAAATTTTCCCATCTTCAACTCCAAAGCAAGAACTTCAGCTGACATGAATTCATTCTAGCTCCCGTGGCGGCGGTGGTGGCGGCTATGACAACGGCTACTCCAACGGAAATGGTTACTCTGGCGGCGGCGGTGGCGGCTACGGCGGTGGTGGCCGTGGTGGTGGTTACGGTGGTGGTGGTGGTGGTTTCGGCGGTCAAGGTGGTGACCGCATGGGTAACCTCGGAGATAACCTCAAGAAGCAGGACTGGGGTAAGTTCCAAGTTTATGTCGCCTACACGGTGATTCCCGACCGCATAAAGCTAACAAACATTGATTAGACATGGACACTCTCCCCAAGTTCGAGAAGTCTTTCTACAAGGAGCACCCCGACGTTACTGCTCGCTCCGATGCTGAGGTTGAAGAGTACCGCAAGAAGCTGGACATGGCTGTTCAGGGCCGCAACGTGCCTCGCCCCGTCGAGACTTTCGACGAGGCCAACTTCCCTGCCTACGTTTTGAGCGAGGTCAAGGCCCAGGGCTTCGAGCGCCCTACTGCTATTCAGTCTCAGGGTTGGCCCATGGCCCTCTCCGGTCGTGATGTCGTCGGTATTGCCGAGACCGGTTCCGGAAAGACCCTGTCCTACTGTCTTCCCGCTATTGTCCACATCAACGCCCAGCCCCTCCTTGCCCCCGGTGATGGTCCCATCGTCCTTGTTCTGGCTCCTACTCGTGAGCTTGCTGTCCAGATTCAGGCTGAGATCACCAAGTTCGGCAAGTCTTCCCGCATTCGCAACACCTGTGTTTACGGTGGTGTCCCCAAGGGTCCCCAAATCCGTGACCTGTCTCGTGGTGTTGAGGTCTGCATTGCCACTCCTGGTCGTCTTATTGACATGCTCGAGGCTGGCCGGACCAACCTCCGCCGTGTCACCTACCTTGTTCTCGACGAGGCTGACCGCATGCTGGACATGGGTTTCGAGCCTCAAATTCGCAAGATCATTGGCCAGATCCGCCCTGACCGTCAGACTTGCATGTGGTCTGCCACCTGGCCCAAGGATGTCCGCCAGCTGGCATCCGACTTCCTGACCGATTACATTCAGGTCAACGTCGGTTCAACCGACCTGTCTGCCAACCACCGTATCAACCAGATTGTTGAGGTGGTTTCCGACTTCGAGAAGCGTGACCGCATGATCAAGCACATGGAGAAGATCATGGAGGACCGCACCAACAAGATTATTATTTTCACTGGCACCAAGCGTGTTGCTGATGAGATTACCCGCTTCCTCCGCCAAGACGGATGGCCCGCACTTTGTATGTCTTCCGAGTTTTTCGAGTCCTTGATAACATGATTCTAACCTTTCTCTAGCCATCCACGGTGACAAGCAGCAGAACGAGCGTGACTGGGTCTTGAACGAGTTCAAGCAGGGCAAGAGCCCCATCATGGTGGCCACTGATGTGGCTTCCCGTGGTATCGGTATGATCAAACTTCAATCCCCCTTCCCCTCCCTTCCCCATCTTATTCCCCCCTGATGGGGCCCTTGAGAAAACTCACCCGTGTTGAATGTTTTATTATACATGTGGCGTGGTGCTCAGCCTCTCTTGAAGCGTGTTGGTGTATAACACGACTTGTCCAGGTGGAACGTCAGGTCATCTCAAATGGTTACCATGCCAGGAGGACCTTGGACTCTCGGTGCAGCGTAACAGAAAAGCAGATCTGACAGGATTTTTCTCCGACTCCTTTGTTGCAGAAACTCGTAAGCGAGTTGGAGTCTTTACATCCCGACGTTGTTCCTGAACTGTTTTTCCAAGGCTGCATTCATCCAAGGTTACTCTAGGACCCGCGGTCTCTACCGCCACTTCCCATGGACTCGCTTCCCCGGGATTCTCTTGAAAGAAATTCCTCTCTGAGAGCAGTGATGCATCCAGTCCTGCACGACTGAGAATAGGGCCCTCTTATGGCTCATGCTATTATTACCCCCAACTAATGATCCGTTCGCTAACGAATATTTTGTAAAAAGATGTCAAGGACATTACTCACGTTCTTAACTACGATTACCCCAACAACTCGGAGGACTACGTCCACCGTATTGGTCGTACCGCTCGTGCCGGTGCCAAGGGTACCGCCATTACCTTCTTCACCACTGACAGTATGTTTTAATGCTCTCACTTGCGCCGTGTTCATTGCTAATACATATTTTCTGCAGACTCTAAGCAGGCTCGTGACTTGGTCACCATTCTCACTGAGGCTAAGCAGCAGATCGATCCCCGTCTCGCCGAGATGGTCCGTTACAGCGGTGGCGGCGGTGGTGGTCGCTGGGGTGGCCGCGGACGTGGCCGTGGTGGCTGGGGCGGCGGTCGCGGTGGCGGCGGCGGCGGCTTCACTCAGGGCAACTCTGCTCCCCTCGGCGGCAACCGTCGCTGGTAAACGTCTTTTTGCGTCTCCCTTCATGAGCTTGTCTTGTTTTGCGTCACCGGTAGACTTCCTTTGTTTTATTTTTTCCCGCGTAATTCGGTACGGACGGCGTTATTTTCGATGTCATAGACAGTCTTGCATGATTTCACCGGTTTATTGAGGATCCATTCCCGATACCTCTTTTACGACAATCCTAGACCTGGGATTCCACGGCCTCATACATGTCGATTCGCAAAAGTTTCTTGTTCCGTCTCGGTGGCTCACTACCTGTTTCTTATCCGGATGGGAGTACAGTTGTATGTCCATAATTCATTTATTTATTCTGTTCCATTCTTGTCAGTAAGCATCTTAACTGCATCTACACTGCGACTCCTTAAGTCTGCAACCACTTCTCCAACTCCGTCGCCAAAAGTCGATGCGTGTGGCTCGTCATATGCCCGGTGTTGTACCAGAAGTACTCATTCAGCGGTGTCGGACACCCATAAGCCTTGTAGTTCCATGCAATATCTGGCTGGTCATAACCAGCACAATAATCTGTCGTGTTCACAATTCCAAACTCCCACGGATGATCCAAAATCCAAGTCAACCTTGAATGCGCATCAAATACCCGAATTTCCACATCCCTCTTCTCACTTCCAAACTTCTCCGCCCTTTCCGTCAGGGCAGCATTATACCACCCTACCTGTGTTGCATTCGGCTTCGGAGAACTGCTTCCCACGTTACTCGGGTCCCGATCCAGGGGCGGGAGATTCATAATGAGATACGATCGATAACCAAGGTCGTATAACGTATCGACAGAGTTGAACAGTGTATTTGTCAGGTTGGCATAGAAAGTAGGGAAATCGACCGCATATTTTGCACTATCACCGACGTCGTTGATGCCGATCCAGACTGCTACTAGGGTTTCACTTGTAGTGAGGAACTTGGAAAGCGTCTGGTGGCCGTATGTTGCGTATTGCTTTATCTGGTCTACAAGAGGAACGGTGAAGTTGTGATGGAGAGGTGTACTTGTATAGTTAGTAAAAGAGAGTCTCATTTACCTAATCACTTACTATTCAGTTGAAATATCCGCACCTGCGAATGCAAAATCCCAAAGCTGTTTCTTGCATGTTCGGGGTGATGTCAGGCCTGGTTTTTCGCCGCATCCCGTGAGATATTCCACCCAGTTCGGACCTCCTTCGGCAGTTCCTGTCTATATGCAGGGATTAATCAGGTGTGATTAGTCCTGTATCTCACTACATACCTGATTTTGGACAATCATGTCTGAAAGAAGTGTTTCTTCATCATATGAGAAGTCAAAGCTGTCGCCTATGAAGCTGTAGTTCTGGTGTCCATGTGTTCCTTGAACGTATGTATACGAATCCCCAAATGCGAGACTTACAAGCACCTAAGTGTGAGTCAAGCTTTCAGATGACAGACTGTATGTCCATGAACTTACAGAGCCTTCTTGGAAGACCAGTTTAACTTCTCCGGTGACCTTGGTACTACAGATGCAGAGATCCATGGCACGAAGGAAATAGCGACTAATATAGACCTGGCCGAGAATGACATTTTTGAGGTAGCCTGGTAGGCAGATTGATCTGGGAATCGTTCGTTGTGTTCAGCTGTTGTCACAATATATAGATCTGACTCTGGCGACCCCGCAATTGACTGTAGATCCGGGGTAATTGTGCGAAATGGACGGAAAATCTATCTCCGTCGGAAGGTTTTATCCCAGCACCGAGATTTGACATTAAATGATCGAGTATTCAAGGCCAGGTCAGTGGGATCTTGTCTGGGTATCAAGGGCATGTTGGTTGAATATCTGAAAATGTGCCAAGAGACGACCGAACGCCCACTACTCTATTCCGTAGGCGTGAAATCACAGTGTGGCTTGAACCCCAGTATAACTGAAAAGCACCGGATCTATGCTACTGAAGGTAATTCTGCATATTCTAAGGTTCCAAGGGTGATGTCAATGAACTACTTTCATTTCTAAATAAATCACGTGATATATTAACATCTCTCTGAAGGTTTGGTGTTGTAACCATATTATGAGAATTGTTTAACCAATTAATGATCTGCGAAACTCAGGCTCATTTGGAAATTGTAAGTCTTCCAATAAATCCATCTTAAATTCCAAGTACAGTACCTTAGTCGGACCATGTACGCAGTACATGTAATGTGATGGTTGTGATGGCTTGCAGTCTATACGGCCCCCAAATATACATACATTTCCGATGTCAGCCCCAAGGATTTAGGCCGAGTCGCTCGAGCGCAGAAATACTGACATGTCACCTGCAGGACATCAATGACTTACTAGTCCAGTCAGAAATCTCCGATGCTAAATAATTAGTTCGTGGCCTAACGCTCAAGATTTATGCTTAAATGGCCCACAATGAGGCCGTGCGATGCTAGTCTCCCTAGTAGGTTCCACAACGTCGACTAGGTTTACATGGAAGAAAGAATAAAGAATACACTAAGCACGGCAGAGTTGGCCTCTAGTCAAGGTTAGATGTAAACGGTAGGAAGATTCGATGATTGAGTTGACTTGGAATGTGGGGTCCACCTGGCACGGATTGCAGGCCTTCAAGGTTTGGTAAGTGGAAATCATGAATCGAGAAAAATTACATCAGTGGAGTGTATACGAAGAGCATAATTATTTCATTCGCATAGATGCTCAAAATTGAGACATTCACAGAAAAGTGTTCATTGCCGACCGGCTGCATGTTTCATGCACGTCTCCTAAAGTTTTCCAGTCTGCATAAAGCCACTGTACTAGAATCCCAAGAGAGCAAGGTGCAATAACCAAAACCCCGTCTATGCGGCCAGTGCATAAGCGCCGTTGATGCATTATGACGGCAAGAGAGACTATGCGGAGTATTCGATCCCATCAATGTACGAATTTCCAAGATTTCAAGGCAAAAACAAGCGACAGAAAAATATAAAAAGTATAACAGAAACATTGGAATTGAAGAAAACATTGAAGGACGAGATGCTTCCCGCGTTTGGCCTGAGCGTTAAGCCGTCATTCCCGGCTAACGGCCCCATGTGTCCCGGACATGTGCGGATTGCATACAAAGCTGGCATAGAATATGCACAGAAAATGTAACGTCGGCTGGTTCCGATATAGAGAACATTTGAAGAGGGTTTTAATTTTATATTTTATTTTATTTTTCTTTCCCTGATTTGCGGAAGCTGGAAATAACCTTGGAAATGAGTCGCGTCCGGGTTGGTTTGCATTTAACTTTGGCATCGATGTGATTCATTATATCCGGGACTAACCCCTTGTCGGGATTCGGATCCTTGTTGCTCTCTAACCGAGGGGGATTATTCGACCAAAATAGTACTTTACTCCGTACACGAAATTATAGGGGTAAAGAGGTCACCCGGACATGAATCATGATTTGATCGGATCACCAGCTAGGATTGTTTTGCCCGGTGATTACGCTTGCTCCGAAGCGGCCTAATTAGATCTACCGAAAGACGGATGAGACTTACCATTTACGGTTAAGTGACCTGACACACGGGCCATGAAGTGGAACCCACAGGGATTTTTCCTAATTCCTAATTCCTGCTAACATGCGCACGGGGCATCAATGGAGACTCGGCAAGGAGGCAAAAAAGCTGAGGTACCCGAGTAGGTCCCCACTGACAGCTGTGCTTCATTTCGTTTCGCTATGATCATAGATGGGGCCTGGGGAACGATAGGATCGTCTCGAGGGCATAGCTTTCTCCGGAGTTGAGCCGTGGCTCGACCAGTCCATGGGAATGAACATGCAATGTCCACCCATACCATATTTATTCCTACCAATTTACTCCGTATACTTGGTACATCATGGTTGGTATAAAGCCACAGCCGCGAAAAGCGCCTCATCGTCAATGTGACGGGGAAACCAAAGGTCAATCCGTATAATCTGGGTATCTCATATTACTCAAGCTCTGGACGAAAGAAAACTGGGGACCACTGGAGTCCACTTTCGGTGGGATCGTCCGAGGTTACAGAGGTCCAGCATGACCTTTCCGTATCCCGCGTACTGGAGCCCTGCGGCTGCGGCGTCCAATGACTGACGCGCCATATGAATTTGATATCGATCATCCCGGTTCAAGTCCGGAAATCCCGTACCTTGGCCAGAGTTGGCCTTTTTTAGTCCTGCGGACCTCTCCGCGGACCCACTGGCGGAGACTGGATTGCCGAGGGCTTGTCTCTTATCGTATGTACTCGCCGAGTAGGGCAGAGGGAAAATAGGACGGAAGATTGGTGTGTGTGCACGATGTACCGACAATGTCTGAGAACTGAACAGATATTGACGTAATCGTATCGGCGCCTACAGAAATTCCCTGACTTTTGACTTTTGACTTTTATCCTCACCGGCAGTGAAACCAACAGGTTTCCACATGAAATCGTGCCCAATGATCGGACGACGAAAGATGAGTTGTCAATTGGCCGTTTTCTCCCTATCTGAATATAATTACAAAAAAGAAAACAAAGGCCCCACTTCCCTCCACCCACGAGGCCTTCCCTGATAGGCCATGAGAAGCTTCAAAGGCGCCCGGAGAGCCGCCGATACTCCGCTCGCACAAAGACGAGCTTGAATAGCAATCTGGAGTAAATAGGACCCGCTTCAGCTGGGTGACCAATTACTGACCAATTGCCCAAATGTGAACAAGATCGAGGGACTTGTACCGTGGTACTAAACCGCCCCCTTTTTACCCTTTGAGGATTTTGGGTTTATCACAGTCCTGGTTATGATTGACCTGATTTGATATCGTATAACCATTCCGGAGAACCATGGTCGCTTGATATCAGATACAGTGGGACCATGCGAGGAAAAGGGGGAATATGGGAATATTTGGAGTCGGGGTTCCCCGTGAGAATTAGTAAAAGCGAGGGAGTAAATGTTTATGAACAATCATTCTTTACGGAGTAGAGAGAAAATAGGCTCCGATCACGGACAGTGGGGATTTGCGGTCTTTTTCAGTTTCATTAGGATCCACCTACGTGGTCCTGATCTGTGATACTACGCGAGAGCCGGAAAAAGCAGCCCCCAATTACCAAGGATTTTATCAAGCAGATTATAAGCGTGATAAATTCTATTTTAATATAGGGAGTACTGAGTGCTACCGAGGTAAATCCAGGAGATTAATTCAAGTCGTATATTCTACCTACCACGGTAATGTGGATAATCCCAACCAAAGGTACCGGCTTCAACCGCTTCGGCTCTCAAACTTGCCAGCAAACTTTAGCCCTAAACCAATTCAGGATTAGTATCCACACTACCATTAGCCCTTGGTCTTCCCGAGTTCCATTTCTGTTTTCCCCGTACGCTAGGGCTAAGTTAGGTTTAGCACACAACAACTAAACTACATTTGGTCTCGTTTCCTTCTTTGCCCCGTTGAGGTTGTGAGGTTTAGAGGTTCACCTCGGGCACGCCATTCCTTAGTCCATGTTTCCCCCCTCTTTTTCTTTTTTTTTTCTTTTTTTTTTTTTTCCTTTTTTTTTCTTGGTACGTACTGTTATTTTGCTTTTCCCCCCTGTTCACCCCTCCGTGACGCGATCTTGGTTGGTACCCACGGGCAGAAGACGCTAGGTTCACCGTCCTAAGACGCACCCGAGTTGCGGGTAGACTAGTCTGATGGGAGGCTAACCTTTATCACCACTTCATATCCTACTGTTAAAATTCTCATGAAGTGAAGGTGCATTTTGTCGATGTTTATTATTTTTGGTTTGAAAAAAAAAGGAGAATAGATCAAATTTCGTCACATTTACGTCTTGGAAAGGATCCGCTTTTTTTCTTTTCAGAAAAAAAAAGCGTAAAGGAAAAGGGAAAAAAAAAGATATAAAAATCCATAATCAGTGGTAATTATCACACGGACGGTAAAATGGAACACTTAGCCGGGGAGGGGAAGGGCCCAGTCCATTGGTATTTTCGCGTATTATGCAGATATCAGGGGGGAAAAACTTGTACGTTGCATTTTAATGTACGGAGGAACTCCATAGAAAGAAGATAAAAAAAAAAGTCAGATATACGTATTGTTTTTATTCCCAAAATTACGGTCCACCTGGATCCACAAACATCTCCCAGAGTCCTTTTAGTTGCTTGTCCCCCTAAACAACTTTTACTTCCTCTCAATCCTTTGTCCGTGTCTATTTTTCCGTCCCGGTGCCTCGTGCTTACCGCCACCCTGCAAGGCATCCTAAAAAGCGAACTAAGATTTAAGCATCAGTCTTGCCAACGCGCTTTGACAAGAACGCGTCGATCGGCCCTTCTTTTTTTTATATTTTCCTTTAATCTCCACTCGATCTGCATTTCTTTCTTACTCCCCCGGAAATCATTCAAGTAAGTCATTTCCTCAGACCCGTGACTCGTCATATTTCTCCCCTTGCGTTGTACCCGAGTACCGATCAAGTCAATTTCCCCGAGATCGTTCCTTTTCCCGTCCAAACCCCTCGCTGACTCGTGGATGAATAGTTGGATCGCGGTTGACAGTTAATTCTACTTCCCAAGTCAATCCCATTCGGCTCACGCCAATCTTTATGGACAATCGGCCTGCCTCCGAGTACGCACAGTCAGGTTCGCACCTTCCAGCACTCCAGCAACCGGCCTAAACCACCGCGCGCAAATCCAAAGAAATACCCATTCTGAAACTTTTCCCACGCGCAGACCAGACTTCTGCTGCTGCCAGTACTCACTACTCCCACAATCACACCCCGCAACCCGAGCCTCGCCCAGCTCAGTACACGCCTCAGCCTGACGTGCGACCCCCAATCTCTTCATCCAACACACCTCAACCTGAATACGGATTGAACCCTCCACCGACCCGCTCGCCCGCCTACCAAGACTATCTGCCTCGCCCTCAGTCATACACCCCGAACTCTCAACCCGCCGGTGTCCCTAGTATGGCCCAAGCCTCAAGTTCGTTCCTACCTCTGCCTACAACGCGCAGCCCGAACCTGAAGTCTGACGCGGCCGTACCTATAGATCCTTCGCTTCCTGCCAATAGCCCCACCTATCCTCCTCCTTACTCTCCTTTCCAGCCCCAGGGACACGATATGCAGTACCAGGGTCACCCACCTCCGCCACACCAGATGTATGCGCGCCCGGAATGGCCGCACGGCTACGGTGGTCACTCACATGGCCTGCCCGGCCCATACGCTTCTCCTGCTACAACGGTTGGTTCCGCCTCCCCTGTCTCTGCGACCGCAAGATCACGTCCTGGCCAGGTATGTTTTTGATGATTCCTGGTCCCGAAAAGGCTTCTTTCACCGTTGTCTTGGACGACTCTGGGCTTTCGGCTTGGTCCTCTGGTCCCAGTCATCCTCCCAGGGATTGTCAAAAACAGCGCCTTCATGTTTATTTGGTCCCATTTGCATGGGCAATTTTTCCCCCCTCGATTGCGTTGGGTTGGCCCTTGATCAAATCGCTAATGTTGATTCTCTCTAGGTCTACTCTTTCGTTCCCATTCCCGGTGCTCAACAGCATAAGCGTCCGCGTCGTCGGTACGAGGAAATCGAGCGCATGTACAAGTGTGGCTACCAGGGTTGTGAAAAAGCATATGGTACTCTGAATCACTTGAACGCACACGTGACGATGCAATCGCACGGCTCAAAGCGTACGCCAGAAGGTGAGTTTCAATTGCTTTTATAAGAGTCCTTGCGCGTGAATATTCTTGAAATCCCCAGTGGTTGTCGCAAATGGCTGGATTGGGTTAGCGCCGGCAGGTCCGCGCTAGTGAGTTACACTAGATCTCGCGGGGCCGCAGTAGCGTGGTCGACGGCGGAGGTTAGCTTGCATCGCTATCCCTTTCCGCCCCGCCAAATTCTTGATACATTACACGGACCATCCCTTCCCTTGCACACTTTTTTTTCTCTTGCTGTTCATTTGACCTATGCTGACTTCATTCCAGAATTCAAGGAAATCCGCAAGGAATGGAAGGCCCGCAAGAAGGAGGAGGATACACAGCGCAAGGCTGCCGAGGAACGTGAGCGTGCTGCTGCCCAGGCCGCGCAGGCCAGCCATGTTGACGCTCCCGGTGGTCCTTCCGACCCCCAGGCTGCACCACCTTCAGCCTACGGTGGCGCCGTTCGTCCTCAGCTGCCTCCTATCGGCTACCAACCCGCAGACAGCCAGGTCCCTGGCCAGTATGGCCCTAGTGGCGGCCTGGTCTACCAGAGCAATGGACAGATGGGCTACCCTCCCAACTACCCACACTCCCCCTACCCCAACGGTCACTACCAGCCACGTGAGTAACAAACAAATATACCAACAACCTGTCGCCATCTTTGCCCGGATCAACCCTACCACTTCGATCTACCTTGGATCTCCAGGATCGGTCGGCTGATGACTTCCCTACGGTTCAGAGACTTCAACGACCAGCTACCCTCAATAATCCTCTAATCGACCACCCAACGTTGTGAAACGGAAACTGCATATGTTGTTTTTTGTTCTTTGTTTTTTTTTTCTGTTCTAATCACGATATCCCATTGCCTGTGATTCATGTCCCGGATTCGGTCCCCTCCTTTCCAAGTCTTTCCTCTCGATGATACCAACCTCTGCGGCCACAATCCACCCGGTCAAAGAGTGGCTTTCCGACTTTGATCTCTTATTGATCTCTCTTCCTGCTATTCTCCTCCTTGTACTAGAGCGCTTTTGGCTCCACAGGAAACATGACTCCACAAGGAAAGCGCTGGAACGCGTTCTCTTCTTGATGTTTCCTTCCGGTTGCTTGACGCCAAGGTTGTGGCCTCAAGGAATGATTGGGTGGCGGACTTTTTGCATCATTTTTACGTTCAATTACGTGTCGGCCGTCTCTTTTTCCCTCTCAAAAATGGATGGTTTCTTTTTGATCTTTGGGTGGTTTTCGTCTTTTACTGTGGCTTGTAACTTGTTGACTACGACCTTGCTCTCTACAAGAGTGCTCCATCTCCTTGCCTCTCCACTTTTAACGTATATTTCTGATCAGGCTTGCCTGGAATGTTACCTTGTGCATTATTCTGATTTGTGATTCTCCTTATTGAGGTGATTCTTCTTGTCCCCCTTGTAAATGTTTTGCTCCATTTCATTCGAGCTTTCGTTTTGTAGATATTGAGTTTTCCTATAAACAAGCGGGAATAGGGCAGCAGTGCAAGATTAAACAAGATCCATTAAATAAAAACCGAGTCCTAATTAAACCATCGGTCAAAATTCTGCCTCACATGAACCAAGAAATCCAAGACAAGCCCTACAGACGTCATTCATGTACTAGTCAGTTTAGTCTCAGCCACGTAGGGATCTGGTATTTTTTAATAAGGTTTTTTTAAAGTTGGCTACTGCTGCCTTGGTTGAGACTTTAATTTGAATTTTAAGTTTCTGATTTTGAATTTTTGAATTTTGAATTTTGAATTTTCGTAAATCACACTAACCGTCCAAGGTTTGGTTTGATTCGATCATGGTTTTGGTTTTGGCTCCTTGGCTTCGTTAGCGTATGTTAGCTGACATGCCAATCACGGGAATGGAACTAGTGCGTTCTCATGACTTCCCTTGGAAGCTTTTTCTGTGGGATTTTAGTACATCTTGACTCGCTACGGGTTTTTGGATTTGTATGCACACGAGGAGCTAGGAAAGAACTAAGAGCTAGATTATCATATCAATTCCATCAAAGGTCTAATATCTATTTTAACGTGGTAATCTGCGCGATCTTTCTATTGTTATCCTGAGACGAAAAACGAAAATTTGACTCGGTATCAATCAAGTGCTGTGACCGCCTGTGACTTATTGAGAGCTGTAGGATTCCGTCTCCACATGTACCTAACTGATGTACTATAAGGTTTAGCGCGAGTCAAATCCGTACATACATACAGAGTACATAGAACCATGCTAAAGTACGCGTGGCTGAATCCCTGCATGTATAGGCCATGTCTCGATTGGGATTAGTGCGCCACGTGGTGCAAACCCTGTCGATCACCAATGAGCCATATCAGATGTTGATTGTGGTCCGCAGGTGGTTGGCACACCTTACTAGATAACGTGCCTGACATCGCCTCTCTTAATCCTGCACTGCTCAGAATTGCCAGGCAAGGTTATTGTAATATACGCTATATTGACCCATACTGATTTCTCAAGTGCAATTCGAATTGCGGTACATGCTACAATCCCGTGGACACTGACACTGACTGCCGTACTGGATCTGTGACTAGTTCTGCCCAGCTGTATACCGCAATATAATTTGCAAGATTGCAGACTGGTACTATGACCGGGTCACCCGCAGCAAAGATTGTGACCAAGATATCCTTCAAAATCCTTTCAGGCTCTGGGTCCACCAAGATCAGACTTGTCACCAAAGAGGATAGTTCTTTTTCGACGCGAGCGATTCCAATTACTAAGATTGTTTGCTATACACCTATCATTACTGGGGATCCGCTTATAGAAACCAAAAAGATCCAGATGCAGGCCCCAAAGGCCACTGTATCCTCCAGATCGTTCTCCAGTGTGGTGTGTCCATTGCTTCAGCCTTGGATGCTTCGACTCCAACATTCGCTTCAACACCAACCAAAGAGACTTGGAATACGAGTAAGTCTGTCATTACACCCACCCTCTACTTCCTCCAGTGCGTCCATCTCTTCACTTTCGCATTCAACTTTGTCAACGACTAGAATAACGACTACCGAAAATGCCATAACCAGCCACTCAGGCTCTACCTTTTCAACTTCAAATACCAGCAAGTCTTCAACCTCTACTAAGTGCTCACCAAGTCATCCTCCACGAAGTCTATCTCTTCAGCCTCAAGTACCTCACTTCCCCGAAGCATCCAATTTCAAACTCTACTTCAACTTCAACCATGAAAACCCAATAAACAGCCAAAACCACAAAACCAGCCCCAGCCACAGGATATTCGAGGTTGAAACTGAATCATATTACTTGACTAGAATCTGAAACTCTATTCCCTAACAGACAAGCTGCTTCTAAGGTTGATTCTAGCTACATAATAAAGACTAAATGAGCCATCAAGGTGGCTTTTCAGGAAACCCGAATGCTGCGAAGCAGTATTATAGATAGCTAGGGCGCTCAAAACTTGCGGAATAAAAGGATATCGAATGAAATAGGTGCAAAAGCCAGCTGAAATGCAAATTACAAAGGGAAGGATGCCAGGGGAGTTGAAAATAAAGTAGTATTGATGCAATTACTAATTACAGGAATGATTTTATCAAGTAGTAAGTGCAGATCATGTACTATCGACCGACTAAATAGATGCGAGAATGCAAGTTCGAGGATTGAAGATCGAAGTTTGACATTGAGCTGAATTTTGAAAATGCTTGTGGAAGTTGAGAGGTTCCAAGTTGGAAGCTTTATGTGGTTATCCTGACCCAGTCTCCTCAATGAAGTTTGACCCCACACCTATTGTTTTTGAAAGTGATGCCCATTTGAGGAGAAATGAAAGTTGAACCACAACCATTAAGTGTGGTTGGAAGGGGGATTATTGAGTCAAAGTTGGAAGTTGGAAGTTCAAAGAAAAAGTATGAGGGTAGTGAAGGGCTTGTTGATTGTGTTCCCAGATGGAAGGAATTGATTGGAAAGGCTTCAGAGGAGTCGATAATTTGGAAATTGCGACTTTGGGAAGTTCGTCAGTTGCACTAAATGATCATTGTAAACATACCTGGAGCTCGTTGATGGAAACTGGGGAAATCAGCTCATCAGAGTGAATAATCATTGTGTCAAGGAGAATGGACATAGTGGGAGGTCAAAAAGGTAGAGATTAATAGATGCATGAATCAATGAATCTTAGAAGAGATGCAGGGTGTAAAGTTTGAAGTATAAACTAAATTGTGGTGACGATCGCCTGCATATTCAGGGACTCAGTCTAACAATGAAAATCGGCCTCGAAATTCCAGTCATAGAAGGCAAACTTCATGGCTCGGTTTCATGTAGGGTTTTTCTCTTATTCTTAGGCCTCTACATTGTTCGATTTGCGTTTCAACCTGAAGGATTACGCTGTATCCAACTGGGCGGAGAACCGAATCTTGTGCATATTGAGCTTAGCATAACTTTCATTTTCAAGTGGCCACTAAAGTACAGAAAAGGCTGGATTAGAAATTAGCAGAGGCTGAAATGACGAAATGACGAAATCATTGGGAAAACAATGAATCCAATGCTTTAATATAGGATACATGACAGGAAGGTCCGAGCGACCGAGCGACCAATAGTGGCGGATTAGTAGTCGCCAATGCCAAAAGTCCATTGCTTACATTCGGACCTCCGTCGGAAGTCACTAGTGTCTTATTCAAGGTCGGCAATTAATCCATCTGCTGATTGGCTCACTATTTTTCCTGCTCATAAATTCCGTTTTTACTGGGTAAGCATCTTCCCCATAATTCAAAGACACGCTCACCAAGTCACACATAATGGCCACAAAAACATTCTCTGTCAATATGCAAGAAAGTCTGTTCCCATCTGAGCGATCTCAACTGGATGAACCGGATGATGAGAACACGTGGTCTCCTATTCAAGCTGCCGCCGCGCAGGGGGACCTGTGCCGGGTAAAGCGGCTCTTGGCTGAACCTTCAGTGGATCCGAACGAACCCGCCAAAGGATACTATGGACAGACAGCTCTTCAGGCCGCTTCTCAAAATGGTCACCTTGCCGTGGTTGAGACACTGTTAGCGGCAGGGGCAGACGTCAACGCCCCCGGAGGAAACAACGGCGGTAGAACAGCAGTAGTCTTGGCCTCTGGAGCAGGCCATCTGGATATTGTCCGCCACCTGGTCTCTGCAGGTGCAGACATCAATACGCCACCCCACAGGTATCACGGCCGAACTACCTTGCAGGCAGCCGCCGAGGGGGGTCACATCCAAACATTTCGATGGCTGCTTGAGCAAGGTGTGGATATCAATGCTCTTCCCTGTAAGACTGGTGGCTGTACCGCACTCCAAGCCGCTGCATCAGAAGGTCACGCCGATATCGTGGAACTCCTCCTCCAACAAAATGCCCACGTAAACACTCCGGGTGCAAGGCATAAAGGCTTCACGGCTCTCCAAGGCGCGGCTTTTGGGGGCCACCATCGGATCCTTCGTCGACTTTTAGAAGCGGGAGCCGATGTGAATGCGCCAGGCTCGTATTATTTGGGGTATACGGCGCTTGCGGCAGCGGCGGAGTGCGGTCACTATGAAATCGTCCGGACGTTGCTTCATGCTGGTGCGGATGTCTCTGTCACATCGGGAAATAAATCATGGACGGCAGCTCAAATTGCCATTTTTCGAGGGCAAATTGAAATCGCACACCTTCTTCAACAGGCTCAGCGGTCGGAACTTGGCATTCCGCAAAGGTTGTGATTTGCTTGAAGAGACGACGAATTTCCACTGCAGAAAGTGGTTAGATAGATCATATAGACTCTCAAATCTACATATGCCCCTCTAGCACGGGCGTATACCTCAATGACCAGATAGATACAATCAACAGTAGCAGGAATCAAATACCCATCCCAAGTGTAAATAGACGATATTATCTCGGTTTTAAGTTTCCCCGGCGCTAGGAACCCTTTTATTTTGGCCTGAATGTTAAGGGTTTGTAGCGGAGGGGGGGGGGGGGGGACTTAACCTCTCTGCAAAGTCAAAATTTTATTCTTGACGGTACAATAAAAAGAAATCTCCAACACCATGGAAAAGTTCGAAAACGCGGCAAATAGGCTAGATTGATCCAATCGCCTGGATTGTATACATGGCCTCGAGATTTAACTCTGACCGAGCATTAGATCAAGAGAAATTATATTCGTAAGCGTTCAGGAAACATTCTCATAAGCTATCTTATTTTACAACTCGGGCTGTGAAAGCACAGCAGTCTCCTTCTTTTTCGATTCAATACCTGACAAGCCGTAGACGGTGATAAAGGCCATTCCCAGGAAAGCAGACACACAGGAGAAGACCATGGCAACGATACCCCTCGCCGTAAAGCCGGCAGGAAGCCACGGAAGCTGTTTGTTTTGACCGGTCAGATCGAGCAGGTCTTCCGTGTTGGCGGCGGCGTTGCCCTCGTAGGAGATATCGGCAGCCTTGCAAACGCTGATCTCGGCATCTGTCAGTGACATTTGCTCTTGAAGTTGCTTCGGGGCTTCGATGAACGACATAGCCAGGCCCTGTTGCAGATGCCAGTCGATGTGGCAGTGGAAGAGCCAGACACCAGGATTATTGGCGACGAAACGCACGACAAAGTTGCCCTGAGGCGGTGCCACGAAAGTGTCACGACGAGCAGGGTAGGCTGGGAAGCTGCTTGATGGGTTCTCGGTCGCGTTATAAGCGACTGGGTCGCCATCGGCAAAGTCGTAGAAACTAGCACCGTACGAGGGAGTGCGGCTCACTACTTGGAAGTTGTGGCCGTGCAAATGGAAGGGATGGGAGCCGGTGTCTTGGTTGTTGAGGATGACCTCGATAACCTGGTTGTGCTCGAGAATGAACGGGTGGGTGTACTCGCCGTAAACCTCCGCATTTGTTGCGTACTCGCCAGATGTGAGAACCGAGTATAAGGTAGGCACTTTGGGTCTGGTATAAGAGATGTTGTTGAAAAAGGCATAGCCCGCACCATTATTCAAATTAGCCATGATCACGTCGACTTCAATTGTCATATCGGGATCTGGGAGGAGTGGCATTCGATCGTGGGGAACGAGCTTGAAGTCATCGTATGGGATGAGATCGGACGCAACATCCACCGTCATCACAGCCTGTGGGTGTGCTGCGCTGCTGTTGTACTCGAGCCAATTGGTCTGGTTGAGCTTAAGGGAAGGCGAAATCGTATCGAGCAAGACCGAATCGGCAACAGTGACGATGGGATAGTTTTTGGCAGTGGAGTTTTTCATCGTGACCAAGATAGAGTAACGCTGGGCAACGGCAATATACAGAGTGTCGGCCTCCTGCTCATCGACGTATACTCCGTCAATTTCCACAATGCGGAAAGTGTGATCTTCAATATAGAAATACTGCGCGACAAAGGCACCGATATTGATCAGATGCATCAAATAGGTCTTTCCAGCTTCGACAGGGATGTTTGTGTTCAAAGTATCATTGAACAAGAAGGAATCCGGGACAGGCTCAGCGCCGGTCGGGTTCTCGACACGGATAAAAGGGATATCCTCGACGAGCTCGTGATACCAATCACTCATGGTCACAGTGATCTCGTCATCGTATAGATCATTAAAATAGGCCTGATCGTCGTGTACGATCAAAGCTTGCCGATAGCCATCTGGGTAGCAAGCATCGGTATGGCAATGGTACCAATAAGTACCATTTTGAGGAATAGTAAAGTTGTAGACCATAGAGGATCCAGGGGGGATAGGACACTGGGTAACCATCGAGGGACCATCCATATTATTGGTTCCATTTTGGAACATGCCATGCCAATGGATCGAAGTGTCCTTGTCTCCTAGGCCGTTGAACATGTTGACAATTAGTCTATCACCTTTGTCCACTTCGATAACAGGCAGGGGCCACTGATTGTTGACACCCACCACCTTGCGCTCATAAAGACCATCAGGGTTCACATTGACCCAGGTGACGTTAAAATCCAGGGTTACGGTCTTCGCCTGGCAGCACTGCACAGATAGCAGCACAGCCGTGAGGCGGAGTAGGCCCTGTAAGATGGCCATGGTTTGGTGTGTCGCCAGGAAGGAAGGGGGAGGCGGTTTCTAGGGATGGACGAAGAGAAGTATGAGCTTGAAAACGGGGCAGTGAAAGTCCTAAATCATAAATTTAAAAAGTTCTCCATTGGCAATCAGTTGCGAGGTGATCATCTGTACCGCCACCGTATGATGGATAAGATTTATCAATCAGTAATATACTAGTACCAAAGAATACGGAATACCGGTGGGGAAGCTACAGTTCCGACTAGGGGTTCAGGCCGGTCCCTGTGGATCTGCGGGATTTTGAACCTATGAGCTTATGCTTTGAACTCTATTAAACCTGGTATTCGAGACAATCTGATCATTCCGCTGTCTGCACAAGGCCGGACAAACGAAGAAGTCTTGGCAACCAAGGCTTAATGAATCCCGTCGGTCTTGGCGAGTGGAGACAATTTCAGTGGAAAATTCAAATTACCAAGATGATTTACCCAAATACATTGCATTAAAATCTCTACCCGTTTATACCCGGTTCTCAAGCCGCTCTGGCCTCCTTCCCCTCCCCAGAGAACAGACCCTTTCCCCAAATTAAATCATATCAGCCCGCTTCTCTGTGTGAATAATTGTTGTCGGTTCAGGTGCCACGGGATCTTCATAAGGTCGACGCAGAATAAAGGCTCTAGCCTTAGCCTTGGTCCTCGCGACGTGATTCATAGCCGGATCAATGACGGGAATAGCTCCACGCTTCTCACGGTAGAACATCAGTCCATAACCAATCATCACACATATCCAGTACAGATTGTATGAGATCACGGACCCGTAGTCAGCAGAGTTAGTCCAACCAAGAAGTGCGTTGAAGATACCCCAACCACCACCACCTCCTAGCTCCGGATTACAACAGTTCACGTGCCAGACACTCTTACGAATATCGTATGATCCAGCACCAGATCCAGTCTCCGAGGCGTCACCTCCGATAATCTTATTCCAGGCGTTGTTCTCGAAGTACCAGACTCCACGTGAAAACAAACCGCCGGCAACGAGATAGAGGAAGCAGGTAGAGATAATCAAGAAGATTTGCATCGAAGTCTCTCGTCCACCGCTATGGGAATGTTAGCACTGCATGATTCTAGAGAAAAAGATTGACTCACCGGTAGATAATATAACCAACAAGGACACCAGCCAAAAGACCACAAACGACGGCCAAGGGGAAGGAAGTCGCAGGAAGTCCCAATCCGACACCACCGACGTACACAACGGCCTCGAGACCCTCACGGAGTACGGTGATGAATGGCAAGATAAACATCACGTATTTTTCCAACCATCTCTTGACGCGACCCTTCTTAGACTCATCGGGGTTGCTCTCGTGCTCCAAAGCCTTGGCTAGCTTAACGCGCCATTTTTCTTGAAGCTTAGACACGCGCAGGAGAGCGGCTCCCATAATGGTGATGATGATCGAGGCGATAATTCCCAATACACCTTCCCAAATATCCTCAGTGCTGGAGAAAGTGTCGGTTCCCAAACCATAGAATGCACCGATCATGCCTCCGCCGACAGCGAGACAAATAAAGAGACCCAAGCCACATCCCCACCAGACCTGTTGACATTAGCCTATGAGTTTGAAAAGAAGAGATAGTCACATACTTGTTTCACCAGCCGTTTATATGTCGGACGATCCTGTTCGTAGAGTGATTGCTTCAAGAAGGCCAGAAGAACTGACACAACCACTGTTGTCTCGAGACATTCTCGAAAACAAATGAAGAATACTGAGTCGAATCGTGTCAGTTAAGGATTCGAGCAACTGGTACATCGTGAGTTCATACCTGTAACAGCGAAGACCTTGTTATTTCCCATGATTGATCGAAGTATGGACTTCAATGTTCCAAGGAGAAAAACCCAGTGACGGATATGCGGCTAACAAAGATGTAAAGAAGAGATTGATTGTCAGGCTATTCAGTCGTTTTGTAGCGAGCTCGTATGCATCTTAGACCGGATTTACCATACAGAACAAGTGCAAGGGTCCGGTATCCGCTCAGCTGCCCAACTTTCGGTAATTTATTATGATTAGCGTAGATCAGCCCATAATCTGATTGATAAGGCCTTGTTTTCCGTGTCTTAGCTCCATTTTGTCCCGTGGATCCATTGCGAAAATTACTAGTTTCCAGCAAGCTTTGACGAACCCACTGGTATTTTAACATTGCATCTTGGCATGCCTTAGCTTTTCTGAACTTACCGCGGTAACCTTCTCCTCGTTGAATCAAGAAAACTCCGAGAAAGAAAATCACCGGTGAAGCCGAACCAATGGAGATTTTCAAATTCCCCACATGTAGACTTTGGCTACTGTTTTTGAAACATGATCGGCGATACTTCGATTTCTGTCAAGATCCTTGGAAGCTCCGAAGTGAAACCGGTGCGGGAGATTTGAATTAAACCTCCGACGGCTCTTTATCTGATTGATTGATTGATTAGATTTGATCTTTGAGTTCTCATACCAAACAGGCGTCATGTCACGCGATCATAGAAATGAACCACTTCCAAGGTTCCTCAAAATACGTAATAGAATTCGCAGCTTTTTGCTATCTTTGCATTTCCAACTCATTGCTACTTACTGGGATCACAATAAGCGGGAGATTTAGGAGATAAGCATTAAGTGCCAAGGGGACTGGATCTCTGCAATGCTTGGCTACTAACCCAGACCCATTCCCATTCCCAATCAGAATGTTTGAAAGTCATAAGATGACTTCATTCCATTTTTTTCGTTTTCCCTCCCTTCTTCAACCCGAGTAAATGGATCCCGTATATTACCACAGGAAAGCTCCCTCCACTGCCAAGCAAACTGTACCGAGTAGTATATGGGTCTCTATACCGGATGCAGTCCGATACAGTGGAGTTGCCCTAGATACAAATTTCAACTCTTGGCGCAGACATTGCTTCGAATGGAGGGCAGAATTAATAATGTCATCTCCCAGTTTGATCATGTCGATCATATAGATTTTCCCTTTCAACTTGGATGTTAAGCCTATATACAACGATGATGGATACCAGCTCACAAGCCTCTGCAAAGACTGCCAAGGCTGCTAAGGCTGCTTCCAAGGCACTGCGTCTGTCCAACAATGTATGGAGCAACAAATATTTTGCCATCGCTATCGGGGCCATCATGTTTTTATTTGCTGTTTACCACTGGGCAAGTGTGATTCATTTCAAATATGGCTCTAGCAAGAGTCATCCTGCATTGACTCGGAAGTATAGGTATGTTTATTCTCATATGGTTCAGAATGATCACTGAGGATCTCAACAAACAGGGAGGCCCGACGGTTTCTGTCAAGTTCCATAATGGGACTGAGGACAGACCGGTCTCTTCTTTACATTGTCTACTGGGCTATCAATTTGATTCTCACATTAACAAATGTTGACCTTACCCAACCCACTTATGTGAGTTTCATGACCTTCAGCCTTGGATCTTCGATTCGTTGACATCTGTACTGACCGACACCTAGGTTGCTAAACGACTCGGCTGGTTCGTGAAATTTTCTGATATTTCATTCTACATGAGATACTAACAAGACTCAAATAGGATTTCCATCGCGAACCTCGTGCTTTTGGTCTTTCTGGCCCTCAAAAACACTCCCTTAGCACCCTTGACGGCCAAGTCCTACGAAAAACTCCGCCCACTCCACAAAGTCGCTGGATACACATGTATCGTCACAAGCTTGTTGCATGCTATTGTTTACCTGGCTGAATGGTCAGTGACGGGCGATCTCGCGAACATGCAAGAGAGAAAGAACTTCAGCGGTGCCATTGCAGGCACAGCCATGGTGATAATCGGGTTTTCCACCTTTACCTACTTCATGCGAGGTTACTATGAGCGTGAGTCACTTGTCAGGCGTTACTGAGTTGATAAATGCTAATGATCCAGTCTTCTACCTGCTACACATCATCATGTTTATCTTGATTATGATTACCGTCGGAATGCACCGTCCCGATTTCTCGTCGAGTACCGTGATTATTGTGATTTTCACTGCCTGCCTCTGGACAATCGATCGTCTGATCCGTGGAGCAAAGATAATTTGGAATTTCTTCGGAAATTCCGCTACCCTCACCGCACTACCCGATAAAGCTCTTCGGGTGAAACTCAGTCGTCGCATGTATTCCACTCCGGGATCTCATGCTTTCTTGTGGGTTCCTGCCATTCGGTGGGTTGAAAGCCATCCATTCACTCTCTTGTCTTCAAGTCCGTCCGAATTCGTGATTCGAGTGTACGATGGTTTCACCAACGATTTGTACAAAGCTGCCCAGGAGGCTCCAGGGAAGTCCTTGCGTTGTTCAGTCGACGGTGCATACGGCCAGGTCCCTAACTTCAAGAGTTTCGACCGTGTTGTGCTTGTTGCTGGTGGAAGTGGTGCGAGTTTTACTTTTGCTATTGCACTGGATCTGATCGAATCATCTATCAAAACAGTCAAGTCCATTGACTTTATTTGGATAGTGAGGGAAAAGGGTAAGCTCAACCTTTACGTGAGGATATCCACAACACCTAACCTTGCCCAATAGAATGCCTTCAATGGTTTGCCCAAGAGCTCAAGCAGCTTGAGAGCAACCCGGATGTTAATATAATACTTCACGTCACCCGCTCCACGGATCTTTCTGGCACTCCATCAACCGCAACTCTACCAGAGAAGGTGTCTGTAGACAACGTCGTCGCGACAGCGCCTTCTTTGAGGCACTCTCAAATCCACGACCCTGAGAAGGGCGCTTTGGAAAAATCCACTGTCCCCAAGTCCTCTGTAAATGAGATCCGACCAGGACGTCCAAATGTCAGCCAACTTCTTGGGGATGTTTTTGCTTTGAGCAACTCAGATGACCGCATCATTATTGGCGCTTGCGGTCCTAGTGATCTTATGGCGACGACGCGGCAGGCCGTTCACAGTGATATCCACAATGATGGACCTTCGCTCACCCTATACACTGAGGTATGATTCTGAGATGACATCTCAAGGACCTTGACTAAACTCCCATATAGGAATTTGAGTGGTGAAGCGTGCTGCATGATATGTTGGACATACTCAACTGGCTCGGAACTCACGCCAATATTTTTTTCATGTAAAGATGATAAACCATCAAGTGAGGATTTGGCGACTATGCCGACCTTGAACGGACGATAAAATCAAATACCCTATTTCCTGGCAATTTGGAAATACAACGTCCTCAAGTGAAAAGTCGGAGAGACCAGACTTCTCCGAAAGTAGCCGGCGGCGCGATGACTAGTTAACCTGATTTCGTGTTCAAACCAGAATACTTGAGCCTGCATGTAGCTAAGCGGTGAATCCGATCCATCATTTATAATATTTCTTTACATTCAAAACTTCGTTTTCGTCCGGAGAAATATCGTGTATGATTCTCAGCTAACGTCGAACGCGGGGATTCGTTTACATTAAATATTCATTTTCGTCCTGAGAAATATCGTGTACGATTCTCAGCTAATCTCGAACGCGGGGAAATATTGCTTCACAACACGATCCAGCTGCTTGATAACAACAGGCTTCACAAGGTACTCATCAGTACCGGCATGTGCCGCAGCCGCCCTATCCGATGGACTGTCCTGGCCAGTCATCATAAATATTGTGCTCTTTGCCCAATGGTTTTTTTGCTCCAAAAGTCGTATTTGCTTGGTTGCTTCGATACCATCACACACCGGCATTTGTAGATCCATGAAAATCAGCTGGATCGCAGTACCCTTGCTAGCAGTCAAGGATGATTGACACCTAGAGAAGATCTCGACAGCTTGTTGACCATCGACTGCTGAATGGTATGGCAATTCTCTTTTTTTCAAATACATTTCTATAATGCGGAGGTTGATGGCATTGTCGTCAACAATCAGAGTTAGGGGCTTAGGAGTGTCCGTGTTAGCAGGGAATATTGTTGTCGCTACTGTCAAGTCTACAGACGTTGCTGTATCTGGGGAAGATGTCGGTGGCACACTGGAATCTGAGTCGAAATCAATTGAATCAGATGTGGATGGATGAGATGAGGGCCCATCTGTATCTGGGTCTTGGCATAGTCCCGAGATTCTGGAGTGAGAGATATTGGGCTGCGAAGGACGCAGCTGGAGGACTTCGGTTCCTACCAGAATATCATGTGCTTTTTCAAGCGCCGAGAACATGTCTGAAGTTGAGAGCGGCGCGTGGACATAAACCACATTATTCGCGCTGCGTTCCAGACAGGGATCTCCTTCTGAATCAGGAACAAGACATATGGCAACTTGTCCCATTGGAATTTGGGCTAGATGCATACGATGCAGTTCTAGATCAGAGACAACATTGAGTATGACAAGGCAGTTTTCAATGCTGTCTGAGGGTTTAAATGCATTTTGAGTAAGGAACTTCGTAAAGTCATCACGCAGTTGTACGCATTCAGAGCCGGTAGTCATGTGGAAGAATCTTGGGGGCAGATTATTGAGGTTTAAAGTCAGTTGTTCCTGTTGGGGTGCGCAAAAAAGCTCAACTTCACGAAATGTAGCTCTGAAATGGGAACCACAGCCAACAACCGATGAAATTAGATTGACGGAGCCGTGGAGGAGTGTTGCAAATTTAGATGCGAGAGTGAGGCCCAGCCCGGCACCCGCAGAGTGCAAATCGACCTTTTCATAGGGTTCAAATATACATTGGTGGTGATCGATGGGAATACCTCGACCGGTGTCTTTGATGTCGAAAACAAGGTCCTTGCAGCCTAAGCGTATTGACACCGTTATCGACACGGTGCCTCCTGCCGTGTTTTGGATCGAGTTGAGAATGAGGGGGATGAGGGTGTCCCGAAGAACGCCGAGATCAGTCCGGAGACCCTCAAACCCTGGCGGTACATCGTGAGTGAAACAAATAGAAGGTCTGCAGCGCGTGTCTTCTGATATTAGCTTGGCTATCTCTTTTTGAATCTCCGACTCGAGCTCATCAACAGTATGTAGGGCATATTGGCGGTCTGCAATGGCGATGTCGGCCCATCTGTTCAAAGTAATCATGTTGTTGACAATGGAACTCAAATCTTGACCCGCCATCTTAATTATGTTTAGGTACGTAGAGGGCTCACGCGAATCCGTCGTCGAAGGTTCTTTTTCCGATACCGACGCCGGGAGGACGGACTCGCTCACACTCCCTGACTGTAGTTCCTCGGCTAGGAGTTCCACAGAACCAAGGATGCCATGGATCGGCGTGCGAAGTTGATGGGAAAATCCCTGCAGGAACCTCTCCTTCGCTTTCATTGCTTCTATAAGAAGACTTTTGCGCCACATCTGGGATAACAAACCCGCGCAAGTTTGAACGAACCATGAATCTATATCGTCAAACACCAGGTGTATGTCTTTTGATGCCACGACAAGCAATGATGACCCCGAAACACTTTCGCATGGTGCGGTAATGATGCGAACTACCCTATTAGACGAGGGAGCGAGATGGTTTGAATGTGCAATGAGCTCGTCAAAGTAGTCGTTGTCTTCCCATATGCCATCTTCTAAGTCATGAATCGGTATCGAACCGTGTCCTTCAATCTCAATATAGGTTGTCTGGGGCGGTTGCAGGCTGATAATTGCATTCTGGTATGTGTTGCGCAATATCTTGAGGATCGGCTCTTCAGAGACTGTATGGTCTGTTTCTTTCTGTGCCCTAGAAAGGAGATCAGACATTTGACGCCGCTCCCGCTGGCGTCTTGCCCTTGTACATTGAACGAGATCGGAAACGACCCAGTCGGCGAGGCGAACCAGTGCCTGCTGCTGAGAGCTAGTCAAAGGATTCTCGCTTGTACTAGAGGCCACACAGAGTGATCCAAGGCCGACACAATGGCCGCTCTCGTCCTGCAAGCGAAGTGGTACGCCAGCGTATGCATAAAGGCCTCCAAGTTCGAGGTATGGTGACTCTTGGAATCTCCAATCCTCCATCAGACTCGGTAAAAGGAAGACGCTCTATACATAAAACTTAGCGCATTGTGAGAGAATGGGCCAGGACCCGCAACATACCCCAGGGGGTTGGGTGACCGTGTGGGCGCAGATAGTCTCCCCACGTGGAAGAATGCCTAGTTCAAGCCCCACTGTGGCCAATCGGATATAGACGTTGACATCCAGAATGCCGATCACAGCAAATTCCCATCCGGTGGATTCCTGAGCAAGACAGGCTTTCTCTTGAAGACCGGAGAGAAACTCATCTTCTTTGGAAATATCACGTGTATAATACCACAGCATGGATAATCGGAGTCTTTCATTCTCGGCAAGGAAGGCCCGCAGGTATCGATCAGTGAACCAAGAAGGTCTTTTGGGGATAGCTGCGGGCGCACAAGGATCTGATTTGGGATAGAAGTTCTTTTCGACGTCTGAAGACCAGGGCTCTATCGGTCGATCGACATTTTCTCGATCGTAGATGGGTCCCACTGTCTGCGGACGAGTCGGCGGGGGCGCATACTTTGACTTCAGAATAGCTGCGTCCGCCTTTGGAAAAAACGGAAGCCGTCGCCCACTATCAGAGACCATATTCGCAGCGCCAGAAACCGTATTCTTATGAAATGAGTGGAGTGTTGCGAAATGGTCGTGGCCCTGACACGTGACCTACGAGCGGAGTAAGCGGCCTGGCGCGTGTCGGCTTCCAATGGACAACCACCATGCACGAGCCTGTTCTAGACACGTCTGAAGACTTCTCTAGCCCCCACCAAGTGCAGTCTAGGCGCACTATGTTGAAGACTGAAAATATTAACATTCACTAATTCCGCTATGGATGCTAAATTGTCTTGAGAAAGATTAAATCTGATTTTGAGTTCGCCTTTAGCGTCTAATGTTTAAAAAACCGCTAGACTATCAGCCAAAGAAGCCGCCCCACCTTCCAAGTCTAATGGGCAGACTGTTAGGAAAAGGTCCAACGCTTGTTCTTCTCTGCGATAACTGACAGCTTCTCTAAATCCAAAAGCTCAACAATAGGCATACCCCATCCTGCTAAGTAGGTCTCATGCAGTGGTAAACTGTGAAACATTATTAGTATATCGGATCGTTCGGTCATCATTATTTGCATACCACGACCATCCGAAGCAGGGATTGATTCTAAGGCGACGGCGTCACCAGCCACGGCGGCAAAGATCTGGTTCCAGATCCATTCGAATAATTCGGGAGTTGGATCCACTCCAATGTAGAATCGTTCGTCTTTATCGAAGTTCCCCTTTGTTGTACGAGTCGATTCCCGGATACACTTACTCAAACCAGAACGAACGAGGAGAATGTCCCGTGGTGAATTTCGAGCTTTTCCTCGATTATCTCTTGTATCTGGGACAGCGATATGGCGTAGTGGGTAAGAGGGTCATAGTATAATCCCCTTTCGCTTGGTAAAGCGCAACGAAATCTAGTCGTATGCCTCGTCCAACAATACCACCTCGTTCGGATATAGCTGGAAGAGTAGAACTTGAGATCAATTACTTCAACGGAATAAGAGAAGAGGAAACAGGGAAAACAGACATTGGATCCCGAGAGTCAAGTCCGATCTTCTTTCCGCGGCATCTGCGTATTTAACACCATTGTAGTACTCTTGTTGGTCCTGGTAGGCGTAATGCACCACTCAATGCATTAGATAATTGGACATCAGATATTTGTTAGATATTCCCACTGAAGCCGTCCCATTGGCTGGAGCTCTGGGTGTTCAATACCAGTTCGTCGTCACAACAATATGTCCCACAAATGCTCCAGAGACGGATTTGTGCTGCATCTGTGTGCACCCGCCACATGGAGTATAAGGTAGGTGGAGGGGAAGGCTACACGCCATATCTTAGTAAGGAAAAATATGGCGATGGCGTTGTAACTGAATACTTGTATATACTTTAGAGTTACAGACTCTCCCGTTTGAATTTCCTCCTTGGCTTTCACTACTGCTTCGCCGGTTATAAATTTCAATGTACCGAGAGCATCCCGTTCGCCATTCATATCAAAGACGCCCCAAGCTGAGTTTGGTGGAGCATCTGGCTTAATTGGAAGATCTCGGATCTTGGGTACGATAAGAGGCATGTTAATGCTGATATTGAATCCTTTCAGCAACAATCTAGAAGGATAAAAATAAGTTTATTCTTAGCTGAGGCAAAATGGGACTAATCCTGAATCCCGGTATTTACGCCTTCCGGTACTATCTGTCACGCAAGCAGACCAAGAATTAATGAATAATTTTCAAATTCTGATTCAAATGATTTCTTCTGGATTCGCTTTCTGAAGAGGTTTATTCAAGGGGTGCTCTTGCAGTTCTATGAAGAATACCGATCCAAATGTTTCCTCTACCCTCTTCGTCCCTTTCTCCCCTTTCGGCAATCTTTCGATTATTCTTTTGGTTTGTTAGTAAGTACATGATAGAAAGACTATTTTAGTTCTGTATGTATCATGTCTTCTGAGATTTATTTTTCCTTTCTTTTATACTTTTCCAATCTGCCCAAACAATTCTAAGTTGTACGTGCTGTCACTTCCGCGTTATTACTGACCCCCTAAACAATCAAGTGGAAGTAGAACAAAACATTGTGATAACTTGTAGGGGCTAATCAGTGGCTACTTTAAGTTCAAATTCAATTTTAAGGACATCATTCTCATTCGACGCTATAATGAATAAATCCTTATACGGAGCTTCTCCGGAAGGGCCCCCTATTTTGCGCTCCGTTCAATTCCCATCCCTTCTCCCCCGTTTCAAGTAAAGGGATGGAATACGCGAGATCCTGTTCTGCTGCTGCTACAGGCGCGCTCGAAATCTTGTTCACTTTTTTAATCTCTTCTCTTCGTTCTGACACTTTGATTCAGAAACGCGCTAGTGGTGGGGCTGTAACTTAAGAAACAAAAATACGATCGTGACTACAGTACGGTTGACTGTTGACCTTGGGGGGTTCATCATTTGGATAGAAACTATTCTTTCTACAGAGCTGACGAGATATAGAATTGAGATACGTTTGCGGATCTACTTTTGGCTAAGCTAAGTGGAAATAACAAATCTCCGGGCGAATGTAGATTAAACAAATAAGTCCTTTGATTGCTGCGACATTTAGATTGATCACCTGATAGCGGGGTACCCTGAAGATCTGATCGTGAACTTATGGTCCTACTCAATCTACAATCCCGCAGTCATGACTACTAGCACTTCTTACGAGGGAGTGAATTCCGGAATTCAAGTCGCACAAAACATTGCTCCGATCAATGCAAACGTTGATGAGTGAGGAAACACAACTTCAACGACATGTGACTAAATAATACACGGCTTTAATACAACCGGAAACGCTGAATCAAGCATGTCTTCGGGATTTGCGTACAACCAACCCACTTGACGATAAAGAATGGATCAAGAATACCAACGGAGGGCTACTCAAGGATTCATATCGCTGGATTCTCGACAACGAAGGATTCAAAAAATGGCAAGGCAGTGGGGGAGATCGTCTCCTCTGGATCAGAGGTGACCCTGGTAAAGGCAAGACGATGCTGTTGTGCGGTATCATCGAAGAGTTGACAAGACTGAATGGGAGCGCTGCGAATCTCTCTTATTTTTTTTGCCAAGCTACCGACATTCGCATCAACAATGCCACAGCCGTCCTCCGTGGTTTGATCTATTTACTTGTCGAGAAGAATCAATGTCTTCTCTCCTATGTGCGGGCTCGATACGACAAAGCAGGCAAGGCCCTATTTGAAGATATCAATGCTTGGAGTGCACTGTCGACTATCTTCACGGATATTCTAAAAGACCCATCTTTGAACTATGCCTATTTTATCGTTGATGCCTTATTGAGTGCACGAATGGTCTTCGTTCCCTGCTGGACTTCATCGTTTAAGATCATCAGCTCACCCACATATTAAGTAGATTGTCTCTAGCCGCAATTGGCCTGAAATTATTGAGCGTCTTGATCTTGCAAACCAGTTGGCTCTAATCTTGCTAGAGCTAAACAACAAATCTGTGTCCGAAGCTGTGAAAAATTTCATCGAGCATAAGGTTAATACTTTAGCCAAGGTTAAGAAGTATAAAGAGGAGGTTCGGAAAACGATCTACCGTTACTTATTGTCAAATTCATGAGGCACTTTTCTTTGGGTAGCCTTAGTCTGTCAAAACCTTGATCGAACACTATCAAGGCATGCTATTAAGAAACTAGAAGCATTCCCTCCTGAGCTAAATCATCTATATGGCCGAATGATTGATCAGGATCGCCAGTCGGAAGACGCCGAATTTTGCAAAGAGATACTGGCTATTATGTTAACAGTCTATCGACCTATCACGCTTAGCGAACTAACTTCACTTATTAAAATGCCAGATAACGACCACGATGACTATGAAGCCCTCTCGGAGGTTATCGCAGTTTGTGGCTTATTCCTCACGATACGAGACTATACTATTATATTCGTCTATTGATCCGTAAAGGATTTTTTACTTCAGGAAGCTCTTAATGAGATACTTCCTAGAGGTATAGGAGCCGGGCACTATATGATTTTCTCATAATCTCTTAACGTGATGTTTAAGATACTTCGACGTGATATCTTTGACATCAAGTTACTAATCTTTATGGAGGATATGAGATAGCCCAGCCTAGATTCACTCGCAGCGGTGGAATACGCGTGTGTCTATTGGGTAGACTACCTGTAAAATAGCGAGCGTACTACATCCTATGATCTTAGCCTTAAAGACAGAGGTCCTATAGATGAATTTCCATAGCAGAAATACCTTTACTGGCTTGAGGCTCTTAGTATATTTGGGGGCGTTTCACATGGCATTTAAGCGATGCAAAAGCTTGAGATATTAATTCAGGTTTGTGGTTATCTATAAATAGAGACGATGCTCTCTTCTGGATTCTAACAAAGAAACCACTCCAATGGGAAAATCCAAACTCAACAGCCATATTTCTTCGGGCTCAAGACGCTTCCAGGTTTATTCGATATTTCAGGACAGCAATCGAAAGCAGTCTTCTACAAGTATATTATTCACCTGCTATTTTCACTCCAAGAAAAAGCCTCACAAGAAGTTGTTTTTATAAGGAGAGACCAGACTGGCTTTTAAATGATCCACTGGTAGAAAAAAGTTGGAGTCTATGTATACACACTCTGGAGGGGCATATTTGTGTGGTCTGTTCAGTTGTCTGGTCACCAAATGGAAGCCGACTCGCATCCGGATCCTCTGATAAAACAGTCAGAATCTGGGATTTGGCTACTGGCCAGACCGTTTTCACTATCGAGGGACATACTGATGACGTTTGCTCGGTTGCCTGGTCGGCAGATGGAAGCCGACTCGCATCAGGTTCCTATGATCACACAGTCAAAATCTGGGATCTATCCACTTACCAAAGTGTGTTAATACTCCAGACCGACCTCGTCAGCTATCTTCAATTCGACAAATTCAATATCAATTGTCTGCACACAAGTCTTGGGTCATTCGACATAGGTTCACTGGGCTCTGTCACATCTAACCCTCATGGCTCGATCTCATCGCCCGAGCAATATGGATACGGCTTGAGTTCTGACTCTTCCTGGATCACTTTTAACGGAGTGAACCTCTTATGGTTGCCTGCTGAGTACAGACCCGGGTATTTCCATAAATTTGCTATATCAGCAACGAATTTGGCGATCGGCTGTTCATCAGGCCACGTCATAATTCTCGCGCTCACAGAAGAAGTCCCATCATTAGCCCTTGATTAGCATTCATATTTTCTCATATTTTTACCATATTTTAAGTCTGATTTAAAATGAACCCACACGTTTCCATGTGCTTCGTAATTCTCAAATTTAGGCGTATGAAATATCCATTGCCGAGGAGATGCAGATAAGCTTTAGATTTTGGGAGCTTATATGAAGATTAGCATATTATTGATACGCGTAGCTTTCAGACGTCACTCAGCTACTAGCCGTCCAGTTCTGTTTAGTAGCATACCTAGTAGATGCGGAACAGCCTATGATCGCAAATTCGCCATATATTGGAGATGACGGGATAGCATATTCTCCACATCTCTTCTAAGGTGAAACTCTAATCCCCAAAAAGTACTTGCGCCGAATATGGAAACTCAGCAACGAGCTGATAACTCTTGTGAAGACAGAGCCTAGCGATATTACCCTCGTGGATAAGTATCAGGTCATGCATGGTCGAGCACCATAGACTACAGGAGGACGCAAATTCTTGTCAGCATGTGGGACACCGACAAGAAGATGAAAGAACTCAAAGATTACTAAGTGATTACTTTCCGTGTGCCTAATTGCACATTTAGATTCCGAGCTTGATGTCATACACGCTCTAGATAGGGTGAACTGCTTTGATGCATATTAATCGAGTCAGATACGCCGTTGCCGTGATGACGTATTGAGATTACATAGTTCAGCTAGGGAGAAGGTGATACTATTCTCTCTGATGAGGTTACTTGTTTTTGTTCTGTTTCCTTTTGGGGGGGGGTTTAGATTCAGAGATTTGATTGTTTTCTATTCTATGTGAACTTTGAAGTGCAACCTAAGTCACTTGAAGCTGACTAAAATGAGTTCCTTGGGATGGTTTTCTTTTAAGCTACGATGGATCGTTGCCGCTGCCGTTCCCGTGGTTCCATTACTGAACCATGTGGGTCCTTGCCGTTGTTGCGGATGACTTTAGTAAGCACCAGGAGGAAACTTTGTGTTCAAATGAGATATTTACCTTATGTACACTTTTCTTACTTCGAACACACACAGGAATGGACTCCAAAGGTGGGCCAGTGGTACTGTCGGTCAAAATGTCCGCCTTTTAGAGTGAATGTACGGATTAAAATGGGTACTACTAAGCCTAAACGGGACAAGAGCGCTGCACAGGGTCACATGCCCTCGGAGCTCACTCCAACGTGGACGTTTGAAAGAAGCGCTAGCTCAATTGGGAATCATAACCGCCAAAACTCGGGTGTCGGCACTGCTGCATAACTTACTATTAACGACCGGACCAGAATAAAATTTTGATGACGGACCAGGACTAGGAAGGTGAGCCGGGTTATCCGAAGCATAACTCGATCTGTTGAAGATCATTGCCAAAGGAAGAGGCGTTCAATGAATAACTCGGTGGAATCCGCTAATAATGCACAACATATACTTTTGTTCATTGTGTAATTGCCGCTTTGAGGAAGCTTAATCTGTTTGGTGACAATCCCAGCGAAGTACAAACAATATTCCCCGCATTTGTAATCCCAATTGTGAAACATGGCACACAATCGATTAATTATAGTGACCTAGGGAGAAATTGATATAAAAGGAACACACTCATGACACAAAGCAAGCCCTTGGTCTACAGCAAATCTGTTTGTCAACCTTACCATGACATCAACTTTGATAACATCAGGACTAGTAGGGACCGTCCTGCAACACCCTTGGAGTTGGTTGATCAGTGCCCTCCTAGGCGGGTTTATCATCTGCATTTTTAAACGCCGATATTTAAGCCCTTTGAGTGGTATTCCTGGTCCTCTCCTGGCCTCGGTATCTCAATTATGGATGGCAAAAGAATCTTACGGGGACTCATTCCACCGCACCAATATTGCACTCCACGAGAAATATGGCAAATTGGTGCGAATTGGACCCAATGAAGTGTAAGAAACCCCTCCGTATGAGCTCTGAATTATCGTGCAGCATAAGAGCGAGGCATTGAAGATTTATCAGGAGCGTTGCCGATCTCGGTCTAGTCAGGAAGATGTTTGGTACGTGCCTCAATGATGGAAACATAAGATATTTGGTCCTTTGTAACAGAATAGAGCTAATATCGTATAGCTGCTGGAAACAAATACGCCAAATCGTCATACTATGACTCGTGGAAAGGAAAACGCAAGTTTGATCTCTTCGGCGAGCGAGATGAAAAGGCACATAGCTCTATGAGACGTCTTGTTAGCCGAGTCTACTCAATGGACTCCATGCGGGACCTCGAGGTCTATGCGGAAAGAACAGTGAACAAGTTCGTGACTCGTCTGGATGAAATGCAAGGCCAAACACTCGATATGAGTGTGTGGTTTCAATTGTTTGCATTCGGTAATCCTTTCGTTTTTCCAAGCCCTCTGTTTACCGGGTTTCTAACATCCAGTGTCTAGATACAATTGGTGAACTCACTTTCTCTCACCCATATGGATTTTTGGATACGGGTAAAGATGATGGCACACTGGCTTCGGTTTGCCAGGCTCTTTGGTCGTTGTCGTGGACATCCTTTGCACAATGGATCATCCCACTAGATGATTTCGTTACGCCCATCTTTGGCCCTCAACTTTCCATGCATATGAGAAATGGAAAATTTGCCCAGTTTGCCATGCGAGAGTTGCGTGAACGTGAGAAGAGACCGGATAACCACAAAGACATGCTGACAAAGCTCTTCGAGGCTCGCAAGGACAAACCAGATCTCAACGATGCAGCTATCCAAGGCATCATGAACTCAAATGTCTTTGCAGGCTCTGATACAACGGCTATTGCGCTCCGTGGAGTGTTCTACAACATTCTCAAACACCCACAGGTTAAAGAGAAATTTTTGAACGAGCTGTGGCAGCGCCGGAGCAGTGGGGAGCTTAGCGAACCCATTAAGTTCCATGAGACTGAAAAATGGCCTTATCTTCAGGCACTTATATATGAGGCCCTTCGTTTGCATCCTGTGACAGGAATGGGGTTTTCACGAATTGTACCACAGCCTGGTGTGGAAGTCGATGGTCATTTCTTGCCAGCAGGGGTGTGTATTTTTTTCCAGGATTGCTCCCGAGTGAGCTTATTTTGGACTAACATGTGAGATCAGACAGCTGTGGCCCCGAATGCTTGGGTGATTCACCGGAATAAAGAAGTTTATGGTGATGACGTTGAGGTGTATCGACCAGAACGCTGGCTTGATGAATCTAAGAAGAGTGACATGCGTATGTTACTTGTCACGAATGTTTGATTGATGTGTACTGACATATCATCTAGAGAGATTCTTCCTGGCCTTTGGTGGAGGCACTCGGACATGCATCGGTAGAAGTAAGTGAGCCTGGTCTTAGCACTTAGTAACTCCATAACTAACTTGTCTACCCAACAAGACATCAGCTGGATGGAAATTTCTAAAGTAAGCAGTTGTTATGCTGGATCCTTGAGAACCGGCGAGTCTAATTATACTAATTGTCTTTTTAGATCATCCCAACCTTGTTCTTGAATTTTGATTTTGCACTTGTGCGTCCTGATCGCCCTTTGAAGGAAGTTTGCGCGTAAGTAGCAAGGACGAGAATTTTGACTGTGATACGGTTCTGACAATATAAACAGTGGTCTTGTTGTACAAGAGGGTCTTTTAGTCACCTATAAGAGACAAACGCGGGCGTTTGAATGAACTATGACCGTTAAGCTCGTCATGCGGTCTTCTCCGAAGTTTTACGTGGTAACTTTCATCGGACAAAAGCAAGAGCTGGGCTCCCTGAAATGAAGAGAAACAAACAAAAGACGACTCGCCACATAAGGCATAGAAGCATTATTTGACTGCAATGATTGTTTTGAGACTGCATTATCGAAGTGCAGTGCTACCTATATGATTCATTCTCGAAGCCGTGATATAAAGTAAGAAAAAAAAATTTAGACAATTACTCGAGTGGGCTTCCAAAACATCTTTGATCATGTCTAGAGGAAAGTGACAAAGATCGAGAAGTTGAGACTGGGATAAACAAGCTGAAATACATAGCTTGGGCTGAACATAAACAAAATGATAATGCCACGTAAACAGATTATGTAGATTGAGTGCTGCAAAATTCTGAGCAACATGACTAGACGTGGGCATGTTCGCCCTCCTCAGGAGAAGGGTTAGTTATGCTCATGGAAGCCGAGGCAGACAAGCCCGCATATAGATGATTTGTTTGCTCCAACCCCTTCCCCACGTTTCAGGAAGCCATTTAATATACCATCCACCGTAGATTGTTTGGTTTGATATATACAATCGAAGATTATTCACCATTTACCCATTTTTCACTTCCCAGTCTCGGTAGCAGTGACCTACCTCTTACTTTAAAAGCTTTATAGCTTCACGGTCACTACCTTAAAAGTCCCTTTAGTATTATGGTACCGAATAACATGGCGCCCGATTTTGGATATAGCTTACGGCTTATACAATCACTAGCAGCATAAGCTCTAACCTCTCTACCAAATCTCGACTCTCTCAGTTCTCCCCTACTTATTAAAGCTTTCTTTAGAGGAGTTCTAGCGCCTCAGAGCTTTCCATTGATCTTATTTCAATAAGATCCTCATAGTCGACTATTCTCAATACAACTTCTCATATCCGACTCGTGATCAAAATAGATCCATTTGGCCTCTTAGAATATACTCGAATAGCGGTTTTATCAGGGCATTTTTTAGGCCGCTCATTAAACCTACTTTTCTTATCACTCACAACGAGCAGAGAAGCTTATCATCGTCGACATTATCAAGGGTATAAACCCATTTTCCTTTTCTCTTATCCCGGAGCCGGTTCTCGACCAGTCGGAATATATTAACTTTAGGATATTGAAAACCGGGGATTTTCATCTGGTCCGCAATGCCCCGGAAACTCTGCTCGAAGCGGGCTTCGTTACTCACTAACGGGATACTGCAATCCAGTACCATCCTCATTTTCAGTCTTGTGATCCCCGAGTGGAAGTTTAGCATCGGTTAATTGCAGTCGGAGCTATTCAGACTTTAGTCCGGAATGCCGTAAGTCCGAATCCCAACCTATTTTCATCGATCAGAAATCTTTAAAAGGGAAATTATTTCTATTCTTCGCATCGGTCAGTCGATCCATTGCTTCACACTCAAAATAAACGATCTTCATACCACCATCTTGCGTCCGTTAATTTCGTATATGTGAGTGGCCTGATGACCAGTATACCACCCTGTGTTTTCACAGACACGAGTCATACCGTCGCAGTACTTCGCGCACTGGAAGATGGCGTGGAATGTATTTTTCCAATGTAAATGAACGATGGATCTCCCTTCACACAATCTGTGTCAGCAGACTTCCCTCCAATGAATCCAGAAGAGAAACCCTTTTTTCCATCGGAAAGTATGAAGCCGAAAAGGCAGAAGTAACGAATAAAAGATAGGCACAAACAGACTCGCGTATGTGTGCCTAAAACTCTCATCGACTTCTGATACCACAATTTAATATGAGTCCTCCCAAAATTGTCAAAAGGCATTTCTACAGCGCAGAGAACAACGCGTAAAGCAAATACAACAGATCATTATTCAACTCGAACAAAATTTGGCGCAGCTTCATGAAGAGAAAGTTGGCCTCGAAGCAGTACTTCAGAATTTAGTAATGGAAAAGGATATTTTGTCTCATCAGCTCTTTGTTATGATATGATGCTGATGCGAATCACAAAGCCGCTCACTAGAAGGAAGTGATACTTGTGCTATCTATATGAAGAATAGAGTTGATATACGCTCAATCTAGGCTTCTCATCGTATACATAACCTCTTGTATCCCGTCATAAAGAACAATCGCCCATGGTTCCTCCGAAATAGAAAACCTTTGAAACGTTCCTATTTAGCGCATGGACAAAATTATTGAGTTTGTGATTCTGTCCACTCACACTGGTTTGGACATAACACAAATAGATTTTTTGGAGTAGCATGGGGCTACTCACTGCAACTTGTGGCATGAATAGCTTCGTTTTCTATACGGTCGAAAATGACAATTCATATTCATCTGCTTCATTCATTCATATAAGCTAACGATATGCAGATGAGGAATCTGTTATCGTCTCACGTGCCCCAAAATACTACCAAAAGGTGTGCAAGATGGCCGGCGATGTTTCTTAGATATTCTTGTTAAGATCAGGAACGAAACCGCAACATCGGATATGATCCTGAAGTATCTATACAAAGGACCGAGTCGATTTCCAATCGACTTGGTCCTCTTGTTGTATATATAGCCTCAATTTTTCCCTCTTGTACAAAGATTGTAAAGTCTTTCTTTTGAATTACAACAGATATAATTGAGAGCGACCCGACCAGACCCTACTTGTTCCGGTGTCTTTCCAAAAGTTGGCTCATGAGCCACCAGAGAGGGGCAACACGAAAAACACTATCTCCCTTCGTTCCTCAAGTTTCGTGCATTATCTCTTACTGTATCATATCATGGATCATCTCGAGCATTGACAGTGGGAGCCTCGGCGCCATTTTGCGAAATGACAACGCAAGGTCCAGGTCGGTGGTGGAAGCCCCTGAGAAAGTACCGGACACCTCGGGAAAGATTACTTCATTCTTACTTCACCTCAGCTCATCCTTCTGCTCAGTGCCCGGACGACATGTATTTCCATAGTACCGCTTCGCACGAATGTTCGAACCGTTCGATGTTCGCGATTTTCGACGAATCGAATCGAATTCGAACCGTTCCTTAGAAATACAATATATACTAGGTATTTGGCTGGCCGCAACAGACTCCTAGGTATTAGAGAATTATTTACGTATAGAAATCAAAAGCCTATTGCTATTACTATACATAATTCCTGAAAATAGCCTCTAACCGCACTATAAGAGCTCGCCTTTTTGACCTGCCGCACAATGACGATTCCCAAAAAAGTGCTGATAGTGACTGCAGATTTTGGTCCAATGATGACTAGAGATCATTGTAGAAAACGGCTAGCATCCTCTCCGTTGCTATTCGACTAGGTTGGTCTTCTACGAGCACTTCGTATCGTGACAAAATATTCAAGTAGCTTCACTGTCTCCTCAGTCTCTTCATTTACGTTATATGTGATGCCGGGTTCATATTGCGATGACAATCGATCGGGATAGTCTTCTGTGAGCACTTCCATCCTAATTGCGACAAGATACTGTTTTCGTTTCTCCTCCTCCTCCTCCTCCTCCTCCTCAGTCTGTCCATTTGCTAGATATGCCAAAATGAGCTGATGCTGCGATGTCAGTCGACCAGGACGGTCTTCCCGGGGCATTTCCGCTTTTATTATGGTGACATACTCGAGAGCTTCCGCAATTCCCATATTCTAGTCATTCGTCGGACTGACGATATACGAAATGAAGTTGATTCAATAATAGCACCTGCCCGAGACGCAGAGCCTGACAATAGTGATAGTGAGTTGGCAGTCTGTATACGTGCTCTTTCATGTTCGAAGTCATGTCATTCACTCTTTTAAATGGTGAAGAAGATAATCCTTATCTTTGGCTTTCACGAGAAACCATGTCCGAGGCTTCGTTCTAAATTTGAGTTTGTGACTGGTACTTAACATAAATAAGATCAATATAGAGCAGTAATGATCCAATCTAATCCCTCACCAAGGCATACACTATCTTGCCCAAATAAAATCCGGAACCAATCATTGTTCTCAGCTGCAAAATCCTTTCCCGAAGCCACAAAGATTCGCCGTTCAAGAAGTCTCTGTTCAACAACGCCCGCAAGATCCGCTGTCTTGGCCAGCAAATGATGACGCCGGTAAAATTGGCCAAGGTTCACCCACACAAAAAATGCTGCATTAATTCCATGTGCGTACTCAATATCATGCCCCCTCGCCCATTCGACCACAATTCTATACATCTTTGACAGCCGCTTCCGGTTGGTCTCGACCCGGGCGCAGTATTGAAGCATGTTGATAGTTAAATGCTCCGAAAGGGAAGACACCTGGCTATACACACCTACAGGAACGAGCGCATCGTGGAGAATTGGGTTTGACTGCGATAGCACAGCTCCAACTCGGATGTCATTGGCGCCAAAATCCTTAGCAATACCCCTCACAACGTGGACACGGGATGGATCGATGAGACCGGCGGTGTCGATAGAGAGAACCGAGTTGAAGGGGGCTGGTGCAGGATGGTCGATTGAGTTCTCTCATACAGATAGGGCGTAGATTTCGTCGCTGATTAAATGTAACTTGTACTTTCCGCATAGTTTCATGAGCCCAACGAGAACTTGGTGAGGGTAGCAGCGTCCTAGAGGGCTGTGAGGGTGGCTAATGATGATCCCCGAGACCTTTTGGCCATTCGCTTGGCTGTCTATAACGTATCTCTCGTAGGCATCTATAGCACCATCAGATAAAGGATCGATATCGTGAAATGAGATGGTGACGATTTTATTGCCAAAGCGAAGCGTGAGATCCGGATAAAGCATCCCATAATAAGGTCGTCGTAGGAAAAAAGCCTCTCCCTCGTTGACCAAGGCCCAGGAAAGATGCTCAATTGCAGAACTGCATTTGTTGGTGACAGAAACATGACGGTGCTCAAGAGGCCGGACGGGCTTGAGGTATCGATTCAAAAAGTCGGAGATAGCCTTCTTGAGCTGCTTAGAACCAGACGGACTGTCGCTATATGCGAATTCCTTGTGGGAGAGATTAATGTTGTCATGGATGTGCTTGGAAAGCTCGTCATGCATGAGCCTGTTTTCAGCGACTCCAAAGCTAATATATCCATCTGGATTGTCCTCTGGGCCCCAGAGATTGGACATAAATCTCCAGATTACTGCATCTTCAGAGGTATTTGCAACTCGCTGAGCACGGATTGAGAGATGCATGGCCAAAGCTTGTAATTGTAGACTATACTTAAATACTGGCTGTTTCACTCCCCTGGTGCTCTTTCATTTATACCTGCCCAGAATTGCCAATGTGGCCTAAAGAAATTATTAGGTACTAGGTTCATAGCGCCTAGTGTGCATCTCTTGAGAGTGGGATGCGATGCTGGCCAACTTGACTAGGGAAGGACAGAGGAATCAAGCAGCTTAGAAATTGCTTGATAAGCAGCCGACCTAGGCTAACGCAAGCTGCTTACGCCAAGCCGGCTGATGGATCCAAAGTCCATTCAAGCGGTTGCCATTTAAGTATGTGGGTCGAATAAGCAATGTGCATGAGCTTCTAGCGAATGACGGCAAGAATCTGGCCGAAGGGCTTCGAAAGCGGTTAGTGCTTATGGCCCTATTTGGTTTAGTGCAGTGCGCGGTTGCGATAAAGTAAATGCCGAACACAGCCAATGACGACAAGTCAAACCTTCCGGCGCCCCTACGAGTCCGATCTTTAAGCCACACGAAATTTAATTTCAGTTGGCAGCTCCGAATATATAACGGCCAGAAGGAAAATACTTTCTCTCATGATATAATGGCTCCTTTACCTCGTATTTCAACTATGGCGTCGTCTATCGCTGGCAAAGTTTTTGTTATTACAGGAAGTGCGTCTGGAATGGGGTTAGCAACAGCAAGAACACTGATAGACCGTGGCGCACTCTTGGGTCTGTGTGATATAAACCAAGATGGTCTGTCGAAGCTTGTCCATGAGCTGGATGAAGAACAAAAGGCCAGATTGATTACGCATGTTGTCGATATCACAAATCGTTCAGCTGTTGCATCATTTCTGCATTTGACGAAAGAGAAATTTGGTAAAATTGATGGGATTGCGAACCTCGCTGGAACTGCGGGTCACAAGCTTGGACATCACGAAATTTGGGAGATTGATGAGGCAGAATACGACTTCATCATGGCCGTCAATGTTAAAGGTGTCTTCAACGTTCTCAGCGAGGCACTCAAGCCAGGATTTCTGCAAGAGCCCGGAAGCATTGTTCATGCAGCGAGCATGTTCGCCGACCGGGGGTTTTCCAAAGGATCGGTATATAGTGCCAGCAAACATGCGGGGGTAGGTATGGTCAAGAGCGCTGCGCTCGAGGCAGCGAAAAGGGGGATCCGAGTCAACGTTGTTATGCCGTAAGTGCAAACTGATTTGAATCTGTGCTTCTGAAACTGATGTATGTATATAGTGGCCCTATCGATACTCCCATGCTTCGTGCAAACGAAGAAAGTGGTGCCGAGGGAACCGCGCCAGTCGTACCGCTGGGGCGACTTGGAGAGGCGTTAGAAGTTGCGAATGTCGTCTCTTTTCTTTTGAGTGACGAGGCTAGTTATGTTACTGGGGTGACCTGGGCTGTTGATGGAGGAGCGAATGCTTGAAAGGCCTTTTTTTTAAAATAAAAAAATTGAGAAGAGGCTAAGTTTTCTGAGCATTTCAACCACATGCAGACCATTGACTCTAGCTTATGAGCACCTCAATCGGAGCAATTTGTCCAAAAAAGGGCCTTTCAAAATGACGACCATTCACGGAGAATCTAATATACCAATGAACTGCATTGTTATTCAGCTTCAAATCAATTATACTAGAGCTCCCTGCTTCTGTGCCCCTTGCATATCTCTATATGCTATTAGTCCGTATACCCTGGGCTAGCTCTGAAAGCGTTGAAATATGACAGCTCGTGTCCCAATACCACCTTCGCTTGTTTTCTTTGGACCAAATTGCAAAGATAATTTCGACTTCGGTGCCATTCATTGAAGTCTCTCGTTAGCGTTCCAGGATGTATCCCCTGCTCGTAATTCTCCTTGACATGAAACAAATCCCCTGTAAGCACCACAGAACCTGTCTTTTCGAAGTCAAGCTCCATCGCAATTGAGCCAGCGGTGTGTCCGGGACAGTGATGCAAAGTAACTCCTTGATAAATCTCGAAGATCTGCCCAGAGAAGGTCTTCCACTTCAAGCGATCAATAACGAGGTAGTCCTTCAGGTAGGTACCCTGCTCCAATCCTGTGGCGCAAGTCCAAAAAGCATTTTTAAGTTCCTCCTCGTGACACCAGATTTCGACCTCTGCATTAAGAACCAAATTTAGTACTACTCCTTTCTTGGCTGAGAAATGAATAATTTAACGAACCTGTACCAAAGAAATGCTCCAAACCTCCAGCGTGATCACAATGTAGATGGCTTAATACGACTGCTTTGATGTCTGTTATCTCCCCAGCGCCAGTGGCTTTGATGGCCTCGGGCAGACCGTGGACTGATTTATCCCAAATTCTCGGGCCACATTCCAGCGTCTTTCCGCCCCAGCTTTTGATTACATCCTCACAGGAGCCCGTGTCGAAGAGAACGAGGCCCACGTCAGGATGGTAGACCAAAGCCGCAATCATGATCAAAACCCGTCGCTCATGCGGCTGCGGAGGAAGACCGACTGGGAATTGGTTCGCACCCGCAAGCACATTTGCCGCATCGACGTCGAGGATTCCTAGATTCAAGAGCTGAGGGAAAAGTTAATCTTTTTTCTTTTATTTTGCTGTCTGCTTCTGTGTCTGGTATGTACCCATAGCTTTGCGCCTCTCGGTAGTGGAGAGTGCCAAGGAGACATTGGAAAATGTAGGAGTACTTCTGAAGGGGCGGTTTTCCGGCTCTATAATCCTCTCCAAAATGATCGAATGTCGAAGCAGTCCTATGTATAAGAGCAGTCGACAGCAAGAATATGCGCCAGTGGTTACCCACTCGTATATCGAAAGTCTAAAACCTTTGCCGCTATTGTCTCTAACTCGGCTCGCTTGCGGTAAGCAACTTGCATAACGCAGTAGCGAGTGGGTCTAGCTCTGAAAACCACCAATGATATCTAGCCTGTCCCGGTGGCGGGATTTGAACTATTGTATCGGCCTCGTTTGTCATCCTGAAATTTGTAAGCAAAAGTTCGGCCCAATCTTCAGTATGTTCGGACAATAGTTGGTTGGCGTAAGCAGCTTGCAGCAGACCCGTGATTGCCCAGCCAATGTCATCAAACAGACACTTGATTCAACTGGCGCAGATGCCACAGCAGGCAGGCGTTTGTGCTCCTGAAGATGACTGGACGGGCGTCACTGATCCGGCGGAACGGAGGAAGTTACAGAACCGCCTAAATCAGCGGACCTATCGTAAGCCAACCCAGAGGGATGTTTGAATAGAAAATATGTGTTATATATCTATCATCTATACTAAATATTCGTCAACAATAGGGCTACGACGACAGCTCGATCGCAATAAAGTTGACCAGTCGCAGGAAGAACGCGGTGGCCCTTCTACGTCTGTCTCATCACATCGAAATATTCGCGCAATCCAAAGTGACAAGTCTGACAATGAGTTCGTGTGCACGCTCGCCCCACCAAACACTGGTTCCTTGATGCGCGATCTGGAGCGCTTGACCCTTGGAAGCTATCTACAAAGCTCCCCCAACATAGATCATCTCCTGGCTCTTTCCAAACTCAACATTCAGCGCGCGATCATCGATAACACACGCCTAATGGGCATGACCATGGACTGGATGAAGGCGGATGATGCTCTCTCCATATTCAACATGCAGATCCCTGGCTTTTCAGAACTCCATATCCCACCTAGTCTGCGCCCGACAGAAGTCCAACGGCGGATACCTCATCATCCATGGCTGGATTTTTTTCCTTTTCCAAACCTGAGGGATAATCTTATCGCTGTTCAAGATGAGATTGACGATGACGAGCTTTGCCATGATCTCATGGCGTTCTGGGATACGCGTAATACAGAGGCGACATTACTCGTATGGGGATTGTCTCATGAGCCGCGGAACTGGGAAGTAACAGAAGCGTTCGCGAGGAAATGGGGCTTTCTCCTCGTGGGCTGCCAGGAGCTGCTAAGAAGCAGTAACTATTGGAGGGTGAAGAGAGGAGAGCGGCCGTTGATTTGGAAGCAATATGTCAGCCACCAAATAAATATTTGAGCCTGTTTCGCGGATTAAGATCTACTGGACAGATATCCAGACTAGGTAGAGAAGGGAGATAGCGAGTAATTTGGTGGATGGACAGCCACAGTAGGTCCGGGTTTATTCGGAGTGAACATTAGAGGGCTTCAGTTCTCTCTCCGTTAGGCTTTAAATTCAGGACTCGACGCCGCTTCTGGCGTATTACCGCTCGCGGGCCATACTCAATTCTTATTGGTACAATTCAAATTACCATAGAATTCTATGCAACTCGAGCCCTGTTTACAATGGCCGAACCGACGAACGCCAACACTTACATGGCGTAATCCGTAAAAGGAGGAACCGGATTTATACTTGGACGAAATGGCAGACTTCTTATATTAATAAATTGAACTGCTTGTATCCACATTCGTGATCAGTCGAGCTCTTCAATCGCAGGGCTGGACCAAAAAGGTGACTCAACGAATTTTACAAGAACAAAATGCTGATTTGAGATATCATTATTTGCATCAGCTATTAGATCTCCGCACTTATCACTTGATTTCCATAGACGAATCAGGCTGTGGTGAACGGGCTGGCGCCAAGTAATATAGAAGATTAGATGGCTAAGATCCATTTACGATACCTTTTGATAGAGGATTTAGAGGACGTTCAAGGCTAACCGAGCTTTAATATTCGAGACCTCTTAAAATACTTAGCAATACTCAGGGCTTATTATATCTGATCAAATCTTTGATAGTATATTAGGAAGTCCCGAATCGACTATATTAAGTATATATTATATACGAAAAACGGGTTTCCCTATAGTTTCCTCTCTTTTAGCAAGTAGTAGTACTATGTATAAATATACTATCAATGCATACGCTCAATCTGGCAGCGTTAAGTGGCCATAAGTGGGAGGTTCAATTCTTACTTACTATCTAGTAACACGATATTATGGCTCGCCTTCTTCAATTCCAAACGTGTAGATCTATCTCCACTTCCTCCTATTGGCACGTCCACGGGTGGCGCCGGGACTCCCCTCTTTCCATAAAGCTTATATTGCCAATCAACCTTTCTTCCAACTCTACTCTAGCAAGTTTATCATATCATCTTTGAGCCCAAACATTAGTCCAATCGAAGAGATCCATGCTCCTCGGCCTTGTCCAATGCATCAGCAATAGGCGATCCGTCTCCCTCGAACAGCATCACGTCGTAAGTTCCCGCGCCTACGATACAGCCGAGAATGGGGGCGAAGAGGGGCACAAGGAAATAGTACCCATCGGCCGTGAACACTTCAGAGCCGTATATAATAGCAGAGAACAATCTGGGACCAAAATCTCTAGCGGGGTTAAGAGCCTAGTATCATTAGTACAGCTTAAGAACGTATAACTGGGCGAACATACATAGCCGGTCTGCCATCCCAAAGCAGCTCCGATCATAAGCAGGAGCAGGAAGAGGGAGAGATGCGGAGCAGTGAAACGCTGGGCATTTCCCGGATCGGAGATGCTCAGACAACCAAACATCAACACAGCTGAGCCCAGGACCTCGGAAAACACCGCCTCCAAGTTCGATACTAAGAAGGAAGAGGGATAGGTCGAGAAGATGCCGGCTGAATGGTGGCCGAGCGGACTCAAGATCGATCCTCCGGGAATGGTATACTCGGGATCCCAAGCCTTGATGGCCGATCGGTAGTTGATGTACACGAGGGCAGCGCCGACGAACCCGCCCAGGAACTGCGCGGCCAGTTTAAGAGGGAGCGTTTTCCACTGGCCGGCAGATGGGCGGACAAGAGCCGTGCAAATAGTTACGGCGGGGTTGATGGTCGGGCTGGGATCGGATAGGAAGCTGGAGAGGCAGACGGCGGAAGCCCACGCAATGTTGATGGACAACCAGGTGCCGTACTGGTAGTCTGACAGCAGACACTGGGCGACAACTCCATCGCCAATGACGATTAGCAGGGCCGTTCCGAGGAACTCAGCCAGGTATGGCTTCAATGCCCGGCGAGACAACATCTATGGCAATGATATTTGATTCTAATGTATTTCGTTCCACAGGAGACAACAGTTACTAAAATATTTTGTTTTGTTTTGCTTCGTATGTGGATCTCTACGTCATCAGTCCTCGGACCTGCCTAATTCGGGTTGCCGATCATCTATAGCCGATCCGTCTGTATGCACGTCGCTTCCTGTGTTGGTTCAACTTGGTTGGTTGCATAGTCTACCAGATCAGCTTCATTAGTTCAAGGATGTCAGAAATCTGGGAATCTAACCCACCTTAATGCATGATGATATCCATTGAGAACCGATATCCTACCCATTATCTATGTCCGTGATCGCCGATTGGAGATAAGCCTGTCACGGTCGCGCGGGGTTTATCTGCTGAGCAGCAGAGCAAGCTGGATCGCCTTGCTGATCTGCTGATCTGTTGATCTATTGCATTAATTGTGGCCAAAATCCCGTCACTACAGGTCTTCCCTAGCCGCCAATCTGTAAACATTCATCGAATCGCGAATCAATACTCCCAAGAAACTCGCTCTTGTGAAATCTTGAACTTATTCAGCAGGCTACGCAGGCCCACTTGTCCGTCATCTCCAGAGATCAGTAAATTCTTTATACCATATATTGAGGGGCTTCATTTAGAGAATAGCATTTTGCAATATACATAAAAGGGCATCACTAGCCATCGGAAATTTGCATAAATGAGTGGCTCTGTGGAGCCTGAGCTATTCTCAAATTCTAAGCCCAACGGCCTCACGAAGACTGCGCTCGAGAAATGCCCTGGTGTTCCTGGCTAGACTCATGTATAGCAAGAGTAAAAGGGACTAATGGCAATTAGCATTCTTTCAATGTTTGCCCGATAAGGAAGATAGGGAAAACTCACTCGGTCTCTCCTCTCCATCCGACACATCTCCAACAATCGAATATATGCGTAGGATCGTAGTGATTCTTCACATCCAAAAGCCTTCCGTAAAAAGAACCAAAATAAGTTTCTTCCCAATCAGGCTCCAAGTAGTGCGCTTCATTCAGATAAGCTCCACCTCCGGGACTCAACTCTTTCAAAGGATCCAACAACTCAAGAAATCCATTAGCGGTGGATTTCAATACATGATCTTCCAGTGGTTCAAGCCACTCGCCAACATGGATAACATGCCATAGAGCGTCCCTCCAAGCTGGGTTAACGGCCGATGATTCATCGGCATTTGAATTGCTAACAGGAGTCTCGGAGACGATCTGTGTCCCGGTGAGATTGAGAAGACTTCGGGATGTTGCAATCCCCTGCAAAACTCCTTCGACTAGCTGATCAATGGCATTGGAATCAGCGAATACCTTGGTAGGTATTAATCGCGATCCTAGAATAGAGAAGATGCCAGATGGCTCTGTGACTTTGGCATCAGCCGACGTCACCGACAGGTAGGCGGCGTAATTGGAGTATGAATTATATCCGTTTTCTGACACCGAAAGATCTGTGCGATTGCTCAGGAACCGCGCAAAGTTCGCGGTGGCGGACTTCAACTTCGATCCATTGTCACCGTAAGGGAGTACCAGGCTAATAGCGAGCTTCTCGGGAAAGTACTCAATTTGGCCGGTGACGAGCTGAGCAGACCATTCTATCTGGCTCTTTGCATGAGCAGTGAGAATCTCACGGAGAGCAACATTCTCCGTGGCATTTGTGTGAGCTCCAGCATTGGTGAAGTTTGCTGTAAAGGTGTATGTGTGGATCGGGAGTGATGGAAAAAGCTGAACGCGATATTTGGTAAGAACAGCGTACGTACCACCTCCACCACCACGCATGGCCCAGAAAAGGTCAGGGTCATTGCACTGGTTTATCACACGTAGCTCCCCGTCAGCAGTCACCACTTCAAACTCAACAGCATTATCAGCCATGAGACCATAAGTCGTGGTGAATGAACCGACACCGCCCCCTTGAGCAAACCCGCCAGCAATACCGACGGACTCCTCATATCCTCCCATTATGTCCATCCCATGGTCATTAAAGAAGCGGTAGGCATCCCCTGCGACAACTCCAGCGCCAAGCTCTCCAACATTCTGGCTGTTAGACGCAGGACAGTCTTGAGCTGTGAAATTGGAGTAGAATGTGAGATTGTCGAGATTCTTTGTCCAAATAGCAAGGGTGTTTGGAACGGAGGACCTTCCGTAGTAGTCATGGCCAGTATTCTTCACGCTGATGCGGATGTTGTGGACTGCTGCAAACTTGATGGCAGCAGAGATGTGCGATGCCTGTCGAACGTCGACGTAGTATGAAGCTAAGCGTCCCAGAGAGCAACTACCATACGTGGTCTGGTTCGTATCTGACTCCAAAAGTGCACATCCAGAGTCATGACAGGTCTCCCAATTTAACCAATAGGTTTGTCCAAAGTGCTCTCCGCGAAGGATACTATCCCCGTAATACTCCTCAACAGACTTGCATTCTTCCAGATTATAGTGCCCGGAGTTTTCGTAGCAGGAAGCGGCGATCGGAATGGTTTCAAATAGTTGGCCATCGACACTGACGTTGAGTTGCTTCCATTCGCTGAGGGATGGCCAGCATTTCTGACCTGGTCGGCAATCGTAACTGGCTGCAGCAGCAGATTCAATCAAGGCAGAAGAGATGAGAGAGCAAAAAAAGACGATTCTAGTCATTTTGAACCAGCCGTTTGGCTCTATTCGGAGGATTGTAGATTCAAGTTGGTGATTGTGATAGAGCACTTTCTCCTGGAAGCCAGGGCCTTATATAGGACTTCTTATTGTCGGTGAGTGCCTTTCAAAATTGATATTCCCAACCATATCCACCTAAACATCATCATCATCATCATCATCATCATCCTGAGAAGATCAGCATTCCACAAAGGGAAACAGATGTATCCGCAAAATCGAAGACGTTGATCCTTCAGCCACACTCTTCAATAATAAAAAACGGACTCATCAGCTGGGTAGCGTTAATTTACCAAAACAGATGTTGGTCATAGAATGACGATGTCGTATATGCTGGGGATCGAAACGACTTCCATTTACAGAAAAGTGGGGCCGTTGCTTATTCTTGTCAGCAGCCTCATAACCCTGTATAGTGGGGTTTTCAATTAGCACAAGCTTTTTATTGGTATTAGCTTGACCCTTATGGTGGAGATCACATCCACAGTAGAATATTTTGTTACCAATGTCTACTTTGGGAATGCTTCGCATCTTGCGCCGTTTCGTGTCCTAGATGAAGGAACTCAGCCTTCTCTTTTTTAGGCTTTTACTGGGCTTAGCTTCAGTCTCCTGCATGAAGAGCTACCTAAATATCGAATATAAATTGTCTTTCTTGCACTACTTTTCCTTTCTACATTTCATTTCATTGCTTACCTAAATCATCCCTTGGGCATCAACAGCGGCAATGGCTATCACGGCTGAGCATATCGCCATTGCAGAACTCGTTATATACATACCCGTCACTCTACTTTCAATATTCGTTGTTTTTCGTCATGGATTCCACAAGCAGCTAGGATGGATTTATCTCTGCATATTTGGTGGAATCCGCATTGCCGGTGCCATCATGGAAATCCTAAGCAACAAACATCCCGATAACGCAAACGACAAAGAATGGGCATTGATTCTACAATCCGTCGGCCTTTCGCCTCTTCTCCTTTCAACATTGGGACTTCTGAAAAGGCTGTGAGTGCGATATTCGATCTTCACGGCTTCAAGTCTGGGTTACTCATCTCTAACCTCCTGGCAGCTTCGACGAGACCACTCTCCATATCCCATCCGATCCCGACTCCAACAAAAACCTCATACTCAAAGGACTGAGTCTCTTTCCGGTAGTCGGTAAACTGTAAGTGCCCACATGCCTTCTTATAACTTCACTCTAATTCCCATCTCAGGGTATCCATATTCTCCAAAAGAGCGACCGCCATCTCCCGCCGCAGCAAAATCGTTCAAATCCTCCACCTTCCCGCATTGATCGCCCTGATCTTGGCAATTAGCGGCGGAACCGACCAGGCCTCATCCAACCCATCCGACCAATCATCAGGGAAGTCTGAATCCCGTGCAGCGATCATCTTATACCTCTTGGTCTACGTCGCAACCTGCATCCTGTGTGTCATCACTGTACGTGATCTGCGGGATATGGTGCCAAGTCAACAACGGATATACATTTGCATCTTCTTTGCCTTGCCATTCATTGCCTGTCGGCTTCTCTACAGCTTGATCAGTAACTTTGGTCATGATCCCAAGTTTTCATTGGTCAATGGAGATCCAAGGGTCCAACTTGGTATGGCGACAATTGAGGAGTTTATTGTTGTTTTGATGTATACCATTCTGGGACTGGTTACTCCCCGGTCATTCATTGATCCTGCTGTCGGTGGTGGTATTGTTCCGCCAGAAATGTTTGACTTGACAGTCACTCCACCTGCCGGTAATGGTTATGATAATGTTCCTTATGCTGAGGCTGGAGCTCAACATGCATATGCACGACGAGATCAGCCCAGATAATAGGTAAAGGGAACATCGGACAGTCTACTTTGGACAAGCTTAAGTGGTTGATTTCGATATGTCTGGGACTGTAACATTCATGGGTACTGGATTCAATCATGTGGAGGCGGCTACCGTTGATTTGTTTTTTTCATTCTTGATTTTCCTTTTCTTTTGTTTGACGCCAACGGAGTTATGGTTGTAAATAGACAAGGCTATCTAGAAATTATATTCAGGTCGAATATTGGCTCTTTGTATCTCATGTACTTATGTGAAGGCCAGGACAGGGAGATGTAAGTGTTCCAATCATCTGGAAAGCCTACGAGTTTCCCTCATAAACCGTAATAGGTGCATGTGGAATACATTTCAAGGTTAAAAATTGGAAGGCTATCTGCCACGTTGTTATCAACGTCTTGATTAACAAGCCTAGCAATGCCTCAAACAATATGTAGAAAAGATAAAACAGTCTTTTTCGAGTCTTGTTCTAATTTCAATCAACTCTAAGTTCCAAAGCATTTCATTCGCATTTCATTCAATCATCTTCTAATAAGTCCAGTCCGTCATAACTCGTAAATCCAATGTAGTGATCACTTTGGTCCGTGTCATCTTCCAGCCATGCCCGGGAAGGCATTCCTCGCCGTAGGAGATGTGCCATTGCCAATGCTTGATTAATACCCATAGAATGACCGATCTTATCCAAGCAGTTGGTAATCCACTGACGAAGCTCCTGAGAAGCAAGTCCACAGTTTCCAGCAATCAGCAGCGGCCACATTAGACTAAATCCTCCTGCCGCTGTGACTTGGAACGGAGCGCAAACTTCAATGTCGTCGTTTTCGTAGGCTTCTGTCCCTATACCAAGATTGAAAGGGACACTGGAGCATATATCCTCCATTAGTTGATGCGCAATAAGCCGGCTCTGACTAGCCAATGCTTCTTGTTGCCGACGATCAGTCTCTTCCAAGGTGGACACATCAAGTGCCTTCACAGTATCAATGATGAGTTCGTGAATGAGAATTCGTGCCGAACGGTAATTGTTCCACATGCTGCTTGCAGCAAGACTTCCATAGACATGATAGGTCTTTCCCCAGACAGCTGAAGTGATGGCTTCCCCATTGAAGAGTGGAACATTGACTATTCTGTAGCCCCATGAGGTGGGAACGCTAATGAACAGCGATGTGAGGTGTGCATCGATAGTCAAGGCAGTACGGATGATCTCTCCGGAATCTGTCATGCTTCCATCCTTCAATGAAGCACAGAAATTACTCAAACGCATCACTGCAACGCCGAGTTTGTCAACGATGTGATCGTTCGAATCTCGGTAAATCATTGCATCCTCTACCAGTTGAATAAGAAGTGGTGAGCTGTATTTTTCCTGGTAGATCTTGGCGATACTCTAAAAAATCTCTTGTTAGGAAAGGCAAACAGAGTTGTCGAGAAATAAGACTCACTATTTGCGCACGCAACTGGGTGAACAAGTCTAGGCCCTCCCGTCGTGTCAATTGATCCGCACCTCGAAACTCTATCAATTGTGTTGCGCCTTCCATATGTTTCATCCAACGATCGATGAAAGAGCCATCAGAACAAGTTAGAACCTGGTTTCAGTCAGATTACTGCTAGTTCCGCCACAAAGTATAACACTCGCCTCGAACATGCCTAGTAGAACAACTGCTGCCAGAGTGTCATCCCTCTTGGACATTTCAACATCAGCCAATGCCTGATTGGTCTCAGAAAGTGCCTTCGTATATTCATGTCTCGCTTTTAGCATCATCCGAGGCGATAGTCGGATATTGGATAAGGCAGCCAGCCCAACAGCATTGAGGGCCGAATTCACCGCCACATTGCAGGGATCGGTTATCAAAGGCAACAAAAACGACATATGCCCCCCTGTGAGACCTCCAGTGATATAGTGAGAATAGAAGAAGCCTTTGGCTAAATCTTGTGCCGGATACTCCAGATTACCACGTGGCGAAATGCTTGGCACAGATGGTTCCGTGCTGGCAGGCGTTATCGCCGCAGGTCCCTTCTTCCGCGCAGAGCGTTGCGCGCGGCTGATAACCTCCTCATTCTGGTCCCGAAAGCCCAGATCCAGGCGATTTCGATATCCAGGACAATCGACTTTTGCTCTGATGCATGCACAACAGGACGGTATGCTTTTATCGCACTAGTGGGCTCGGTCAGTTGCTTGGCTTTCCGGTGTTTTATTTTCGTGGGGGTGGATCCCATCTACCTTCAGTCGTCTCGACCTACAACGCTCGCAAGCAGCACTTGGTTTGCCTCGATACACCATTTAAGCAGATATCAGAACCAGATCTTGAACGCCTTTTCCAGAAAAGGCTACCAGTGAGTCGCACCACAATAGTGGGAGCTTAGCATATGACCAATTAGAACCTTTGGGAGGTTTGAAAGGGCTTAGGAAGGGAGGAAAGAGGATATCGGTTCGGGTAAGTAGTTCGACACATGTGGGGGCCAAACGGTGTGAGACCCTGAGAGCTTCAAGGGCATTTTCCCGATTAGGCAAGTGTTTCGATCTGACTCATCATTCTCCACTGATCTCCCTTCTATCCACCAATCAACTCTCATGTACTTTAAACTAGATTTTGTGCTCATCATACATCTGCAGAACAATCAGACATGCTATCCGAGGGAACCAACCACCTTAAAGGCAGGCTCCTTTCTCATCTCCTGTTATCCAGAATTCAGCAACATTTTCCAGGTTCTTCTCTAGCTCGAAAATCTAGTATGCAACTTGCTACAGCGCTACCAATAATCACCATTATGCCTATTTTCACTAGTATCACAAATATAGTCTCTATCAAATCCTCCCATTCGTCATCCGTTTCATCTTCATTTTGTGTCTCATCCTCTTCCTGGTTATCCTGTCGCATAGAAGCAGCTTCGCATTTGACACACAAAGCGCGAGGCTCGTGGAAGCTGCCCGGGTGGATTGTACATTCGATAGCGTGGCCTTGGTTGATGCATCTATCTGTAATTCGGTGGGTGGGAGGATGGATTGGACAAAACCCCATTTCTTACTTCGAGGGATTGATTGAGAGGTATTTGGATCAACTTAGTTAGTGACGGCAGGTAGTGGTTCTGTCTCTCTTTATAGAGTGCTGAAACTGAGCCTCTTAGACACAATCTGATTCTCTTTGTTAGTGCCGAACTCTCTGTTGCTATGACAAAGTGTCAGCATTTCGATAATTGAATCCAGTATTTATCGGTATGGGTTAGCGCATTGGCCTATTCTTGTATGAGCTGGCAACAATGAAAGTTTCAAACAAAGGTTATGCACATGCGGTAGTCCAGGGGTCTTTCTCACAAACCCAGGATGTAAAGATCATGCGTCGAAGCAGTGACTTTCTCTTACTAGACCTGTTTGGCTTTTAGGCATTCTAAGTCAAGACACCTGATTCTAAGTGAGACTTGAGGTGAGGCGTTCTCAGATGGAGCGGCATAGGTACTAAGCCCGGGATGATGCTGGTAGTCCTTGTACATCAGAAAAATGCACGCGCTTTACTCTGTCGAGCCATGTAGGCATTTGTGGAGTGGAGTTGATTTGTAGACAATCTCAATATATGCGATCTGGTATGTGAAAACTCTTTTGTTCGTAACATTTGAACCCATATTGCCAGCATCGGGGACAAAACAAAGTAATATAAACAAAGACGCTGATGGGGAATAGATTTTTTGCGGGGTCGTGACAAAATTAGAATGAGTGTATCTCTTGAAACGGCAGTGCTAAATGCACTATCCAGCATGATCTACTAGATCTGCCGAAAGTCCCTCTCCAACAATCCTCTCCCGCTCTCGAGTTTGCGGTCGGGTTTGTGGAGGGATAGGTTGTGGGAACTGGAGTTCCATTGCCTGCCTTCTTCGGCGTCTTCCTGTTCGTAGAACCTGTAGAAAATTGACACCCACTTGACCAAGGAATATGGCTAAGAAGGCGCCCACGACGAGTGTTTTGGGTATATACGTCTCGGTTGATTTTTCTCTATTCGTGTTTCGTTGTTCTTCGCGGTCGTGCAGTTGTCGCATTGTGTTTTGGAAAGGCGCTGAGCCGAATGATACTGAGATCGAGAATGTGAAAGGAGTGGATGATGTAAACACATTGGGAGTCAATGAATTCACCAATGTCGAAATTGGATTCAACGCTAGTGGAATGAGGCAAAGAACGAGGAGAGGGACGGCTAGTCATAAGACAGAATTTAGGGACGAGCGAGATGACCTGGAAGGAGGTTAAAAGGAGCACCTGGAACAGCTAACCGATACTTACCAATCACGGGCCTCCAGCTCTCTCGCCCATCGCGCGCAGATTTTCAGTCGCTCTCTTACGCTCACCGCTGACAAGATAGGGTACTTTTCTTCTTCAGCTATGGGTAGAATGCTGGAGAACCACCATGGAAACCGGGCCGCATCCGTGGGTACGGGTCCATAAGCCAACATAACCCGTGGATGAAGCCACGGCGCACCTATTTGGCGCTGTTTGACAATAAACTCCCGTGTCAATAGCATCAGATCTTGGGTTGACATCGAGTCTAATGGAACTTCAACATTGCTTTCCTCTGAAGTTGGATCTGGGATCGCATTGGCTGCAGTTTCCATTGCCTCTATTCTCTCCTCCTCTGCTAAAGAAATATCATCCACACGCTCTGTTCTGGCAACGTGATAGCCATCGAGCATACCCGCCTCGAGTACTTTGAATCGTGATACTCCAGTGGCAATGACAAGACTGCGCCCATCTGGGAGCAGTTCATAGCGTTCGACCATTAACAATGTCCCATATTGCACAAATGGGACACTGCCTATTTCATCTGCCAGTGGCCGGCCCCGACGGTTATACATGACCATGCCAAACTTACCATCGCCACTCTCAACGACTCGCCGAACCATGAGCCGATATCGGGGCTCAAAGATGTGCAAAAATGTAGGCATCGTTGGAAAGGAAAGTGTGCAAACGAATAACGGCAACTTCTTGTCATGATCAACGCCTAGTTCGTCCTGTGCGACTGCCTCTCTTCTAGCTGCGACCTGATCTGGGAATAATTGATCAATAAGTCTTGAGAGTGTCCGGTTCCTAGGCTCAGCCTGCATAGATGCGGGCATTCCGAGTTTGCGGCGACATATCGGACAAAGATCTGAGTGATCCAGCACCCGAGTAATACATGTCCGACAGAAGGTGTGGCCACAAGGCAAGGTCAAAGGCTCCAGTATAAGAGCGTAACAGACCTGACAATCCAGTTCACCCCGAACCCTGTCTCTGAGCTTTTGGAAGCCAATCTGATCTTCTTCTGCAGTCTGCGGGACCGAAACTCCAGCAGCACCGGCTTCTTCATAGATGGCCTCGAGGGCATCACAAGGGAAGTCGCCCTCACAAGCCGCCTGGTATAATCCATGAAGCCACCCACGCTGACCTAACTGAAGGCGCTGTATCTCTGAAACCGAACCTTCACCCTTTGATCCTTTCCTCCAACAGACAACGCGGCCATCCGCATTGCGCGCATTCGCCACCTCGGCATCCTGCATCAATTCCTCTTGAAAAATATCGGCCACGAAGGAAAGAACCACATCAGTTCCGCAATCCCCAACGCAATGTTCACCCACACAATCATCCTGATCCTTCCAGTAGCATGTAAAGCCCTCTTCTCTGCCCTGCGCCACGGGATACGTAATCCCCGTTCGCGGTCGGACGGGCGGTAAACATTCCCGACATACAGTGTTACCACACGGCAAACGGCATGGAGTGTGTAGGGGTTTCGAGCATTTATAGCACAAGATCAGTTGCACAATGATATCAGGCGCGACGTCTTCGGAGGGATCATGTTCTTCGGAGCTGGACACATCCGAGCTCTCCACGGTCGGGAAGGGTTCGGCTTCAGCGGATTGCGGGGTCAGGGAAGGTTCTGCAGCATTCTCCATGGCTTCTTGCCGGTGGGTATGATGACAACTCAGGAGGAATCAGTATTTGTCCGGGATCCTTGAGGTTTGGGAGAGAAATCATGGGAAAGATGGAAGCTCTGGGGTTGATGGTGGAGATATCCAATCAAAGTGGGTCGGTCATCATCTTAGATCAAGCGGCAGATACGATACGGTGAACCTAAATCGCATCAAAGAAAGAATCGATTCACGACGTAAGAGTTGGATGTTTGAATATCCCTATATACTCGGAATAGGATCTTTCGGCTTCAGGCTACAGTTTGTTAGAAATCGTAGAGTTACGCAGATCATGCAATTGATATCAATTCGTGTCTCATTGCCAAAGCCATTCCGCCGCCATATACAAATGCAGAGCAAAACGAAGATATGAAATCAGACCATGATTCAATCCTTTGAGACTGTCGTTTATAGATTGGAAATGTGTATAAATCATTGCAGACGCCACGCCCCTTGTGAGAAAAGTGAAAGCAATGAGTAGGGCCAAACACTGTAAATATGAAAAGCCAGTTTATTATTTGGATATCGTGAACACTATGTGGAAGAGTCCGAATCCGACTCGGAATCTTCTTCGAGGACTATGCGCCTCATGACGCTCTTATCGAAAAGATCGAGGGCAAACCGCCGCGCTGGTAGTCGGAAGTGATGGCTTTCGAGGATGCAGAGTGTTTTTCGGAAAAGGTGGACTTGGTGGAATCTTTCAGGCTGCTTGGATTTCATACTAAATAAACCTTGGTCAGAATGTGCTCTCAGACAAAGAAAAATGATGAATTACCCGTGTAAGTCCGACGCGGATCGTTTGGATAAAACGGTATTTCCCATGTCGACAACGAGCTTCAAGATCTTTTGGTTGGTGGGGTCTGAATCGGTGGTAGCTTCCTTGAGTCTATCTTGCGGAGTACGTTTCGCCTCAGAGTTGTAACCAGGGAAGGAAATCTATGCTTGTCAGCGGTGGAACGTGGTGCGGTTGGAGTGGTAACTTACCAAAAACAGCTTGCGGAAGTCTGTGGGAAGACAAAGACCTAGCGAATCACCTTCTTGGTCAATAGCCGAATCCCATCCCATACCGCGAAGTACCTTGAGCCCATGCCGACTGCGAGATATCAAGCCGAGGACGAAAAAGGCGGTGCCTCGCATGGTCAGAACCCCAGCGCTTTCAGCAATGGCAACAATGCATTGTACGATTTCCTTTTCAAGGAAAGGTGCACCAAGCTCCATTGAACCAACATTGCCTACGGCCCAGAGACATCCCTTCACCTTAAGAAGCGCCTCATGATCTTCCTCGTCCAGGCGGAAATCGCGAATTGTCCACGCAAATTCATTGAAGTGACCAGACTGCTCTAGTAGCCTACAGCCTTCGGCCGTTCGAGCGAGTTCTCGGTAGAAATGAGGCGGGACGACTCCGATATCCTGCATGTCGACCAAATCCTCCGGTACAAAACTATTGCGGCGCGGTTGATCAACATAGGCCCGAGATAAAGCTGCCTCCACAAGGCCAACGTAAGAGTCGTTTCGGCCGAGGAACCAGTCGTCCATCTCCTGTGTGATATAATCTAGGCCATCCAGATAATGGTAGCCAACAGACGTTGACAAAAAGCGCAGAAGGAGCGGTGCGCCAATCTCACCCAGATGGTCAAGAGAGGGTCGACATTTGACCACGAACTCAAGATAGTCTCGTTGGTTGCACGCCTCTTCAAGGATCTTCACGGCTACCTGGCAGACTGTGACATCAGGGTCGTATAATTGAGTCACAAGAAGCTTCACCACCCATTCCGCATTGCCAATAGCCACGTGGGGGGACACTGCAACATCGCCGACCGCATATTTTCGGAGAAGTCTGGTTGCAAATATACGAATCTCCTTTGAACCGATGGTGAGCGCTTTGGAAAGCATAACTCTGAGATGACTCTCTCGACTATAATCCATGTTGCCCAATAGGGTTTGGATCAGGTCATTGCGATCTTGCAATTCGATGATGTGATAGAACATGTTCAACATATGCCACCTTTCCATCATGAGTAGTCCGTTCGCATCAGCGCTCAATGTCCCTAGCATTGCGAAGTATCCTCCACTTAAGGTACTGCCCATTTGCTCTCGTGAGAACAATGGATTGGCAGAGGTCAACCCACTCATGCGATCCAATTGTGCCAGACATTCGGCGACTTGCCGCAGAAACTTGTTCTCGGCGAGGTACTTGGTCCCCTCTGGGGTTTGAACAAGAGTGCGCATCAAGGCACAGCCAGTCCGGACATAGCGCTGGTTTGGCTTGGTGTTCGGGACCATGGAAAAGCGATATTTAAAAGGCCGATAAAACCCAACAAGCCGCTTCATGAACTTGGAACCCTTAATGGCCTCATCCATTCGCTTGGGATTGGTAAGGGGACCCTCCACAAGACGATGGATGAGATCCCATTTCCACTTGATATAATTGACGGTATTTAAGACGTGAGTCTCCAAAATGGCATTACGGAACTGAGTCTCATCCATGGAGTAGGTCAGTTTATCTTTGCCCTGCTCACTCGGTAGTAGAGAAGTCGATATGTCCGTGTCCACATTGTATCGTCCGACTCCATTGGGAACAGCTCCGGAGCGTGCCAATGTTCGGTTGATGCTTTCGATTTGGAAGATTGTTGAAGTCGAAACATCATGGTTCTCGGTCTCAAATTTTATCGCAGCTGGGAGTAGATGTGGAAGAACTTGCAAATTTGCACTGACAGTGGCTGGTAATGAGTGATGTGCCAGCTTAAGAACTTCCGTCAAGAGGAGCGTGGCTTTGCGTCTGAGTGAAGGATCTGTTTCATCCTCAATGAGATCCGAGAGTGCCTATGATGGATTAGCTCCGCGCAAACATTCTAGGCCCCGGGTGGTTTCCTACCTTTGGTAAGCCTGCAGCAACCAAGGCTGCCAGGATAAGGGTGGAGAAGTGTGCCGTCAGGTCAAACTTGTTGGAAGTGCTATCCCCAAAGCTGCGTGGGTGTTTAGAGTCGGTATCGGAGCGTAGGTTCGATACTCGACCATAGGTCGTGAGTCTTCTACCCGCAAGAAAAGAAGATGACCAGGATGGAGGCTTTATTCGTAGAGCATCGAATAGTAACTCCATGATGAGGTCACGAGCTTGGGAGTCGGGATACTGGAGTGACTCAAGGAGAGAACGCAATGGTTTTGCCTGGTGTCTTGCAAGGATCACTAGACCGGGCCAGGTTTTGAGCATCGCGGAGATTGCTCGGGCGGCAGATTTTAGGCGGCCATTGCGCAAAGAATCAGCTAAAGAGTCGGTGAAAGGTGCCAGGACGGCTTCTAGCTCGCAGCCTTGTAAGTACTTTCGGCTGTGTGGAGTATCGAGAACATGCAAAAAACTGGAAATCAAACTCTCCGAGGCACCGAATGTACCTTCGGACAGAGCATCATGCAGAGCTGCGAATCCGCCCGCGGAAGCCACAAGCTCGGGGTCTTTGACCAACATCTCCGCCAAGGTCATGATTGATATGTTCCGTAAGCGGTCATCATGATGCTCTGCAATGGAGACAATTGTTCGCACGATGGCACGAGATATCTCCTTGACTCCGTCTTTCACATCGAGGAAGGCTCTCACGAACTTCAAAGCTTGTTCCCTTTCGATGCTGGCTTTGCTCTCCTTGACGAGTGATAGTATCACAAGTTCATCGGTGTGCAATGCTCGAATAGTCTGGAGTGATTTTCGATCCGCAATGGCGTAACGAGTTAACCGATAGCCAGCAGCCACCACTTCTTTACTGTCGCCAAGAAGCATGACTTGAACCCGTAGTCCAAATACAGACCACGCGAGATCATACTTCAGTGTGGGGTATCGTTTGAACAGCTCAACCAAGCTGTTTGCGCGTTCGACGTAGAAATCAGGCGACATTCCTTCAATTTCAAGGGCCTGGAGGGTTTCTGTAAGGACGAACGTCGGGGACTCTATTTCTCCTTCATCATCCTCATCTCGCTCCTCATCGAAGGGGCCAGCAGTATTGAGGTTGTGATTGCGGGACGGTGAACGCATTGGACTCCCTCTGAAAAGGCTCGAAAGACGGCTGCGTGGGGGAGTGGTTGACGGCGCCTGCGCACGTAACAGCTCTTCTTCCAGTTCGTGTTGTAACTCGGCCAGTTTGCGGTTGGATGAGCTCAATTCCGACTCCACCCGTAGGCGCTGTTCCTTGGTCTGTTTAGGAGGTTTTGCGTATAGCGCCTCCAGCATGTTCTCGGTCCCGGTCTTAATTTTCATTTCCTTCGCGATCTTGTCTCGAATAATAGCCTGTCGCTCCTCGGTTGTGGGTAAATCGTCTTCGCCGATCGATTTGCTCGCTCGTCTCGCATACGTGCCATCGGGGCGGGGGGTCGAGGTGCGGGAATTCATGCTCTTGAGCTCCGCACTGAAACTACCTGGCCCGCCAAAGGAGGGGGCCAGTGACGCTCCACGAGGAGCTGTTGAGATGCTGCCTCCGGACCCTGAACGTCCATTGCGCACTGATCGGGGAGCTCCATCGATATAACTTCCGTCAGCCGAACCGCCGTCGTGGCTGAATGACGAGCGACCATCACCCAGGGCACGGTGCTGGGTGGACGCGGAGAACGCTGAAGTGTGTCCGGAAGCCATAGAGCTCCATCTAGCCACCGAGGCAGTCTATCACCTGTGGCAAATATCCCGTGTGTCGAGGGGCTGCATTGGAGTTCGGTTGGAAGGTAGAGTCGCGGCGCAAGGGTTTGGGGTTATGGGGAAGCGAAATCGTAAGGGAGGGGGAGAGCCTCCACACAATCACGGGTCGTAGTCCTAATGATCACAGAGCACCTGCATCTGCCATAAACACAAAATGTGTAGTGAAAGTAAGAGTTCACGTCTCAAAAGGACGATCACTTCTAGGACTCTTTATTGTCCCACACGGATCGGTTCAACCTGATCCATGAAACATGGATGACTAAGGCTTATCGGCTCTAATCAACCAACGTAGTATTCGAGACACAACAGGAGATGAGTGTTTTAAAAAAAGGTAAAATTAGTTGTTAAATTGAATCATTTTTATTTGTTTTCTCTTGTAATCATTTTTTTCTGTATTTATGAGCATGGGCTCCCAATAGTACGCTTCGAGATCTAGCATGTGTAATTTTGCACATGTGGATGATGTACAACATATCGTAACGAATGAACATCGCGTGACTAGAAAAAGACCTTCTCACCTTGAACTTCCTGTTATTAGTTGACCATTTCATTGATCTATCGAAATGTAGTCAAACGTATCGAGGGGCTCAATGCACATGGCTCTTATGAGATTATATCGCATCTTTTGGTACTGAGCCTCGGTCATATTACATGTGCACACGCATTCCAACTCATTTATGACCCAAAAAATAGTTTGATTACCTACTTATGTAGGCTCCTAAGTAGAGGATTATTGGGCCCCGGAAAATAGGTCACTTTCACCAAGTTTGCACTATCATACACCGACGTCTAGACGTAAATATCTGGCTCAGCTGTTCCTAGTCATAAAGCTCCTAATATCACGTTTCAAGGGTTGTTTGTGGTCTTCTCCAGGATCGTCTTCATCATTTCGTTTCCAAGGGTGGCCGCCTCAGGGAAACGGGGAGCAAAGTAATCGGCGATGCGTTCAAAGCGATCGCGGTAGACCTCGAAGTCTCCGAAGGTGACACAGTCAGACCAAGCCTGGTGAAAATTCAATCCATCAGTACAGTCTCCACATATCTCAAAGATGCTTATGACTTACGCGTGCCGCAAATGTAAACTCCAGGTCATCCGACCGGAAAGTGGTATCATCAATGGCGGTATCCAAAGCTTCCTCGAGAAGTTCGGCGTTGCGGAACAAATATTCAGTCACACCCAACCAGAGACGGAAAAGCTATGACCTCGTTAACACTGACTCAAACCAACCCATGGGCCGTTCGTCACATACCGGGGTGGAGCAGATCATATGATCATAGGGCACGATGCCAAGTTTGGACCAGCAGTCCACAATAGCAAGCAGACTCAGGTGGCTGTTCGGTGGTGACTTCTCCCGGGATCGGTTGGACAGAGAGAATCGATCTAGCACTTCATCCTTCAACAGGAGATCTTGTCCTTCTGTGCCCTCTCGGAACACGTATGCACCCGCAGCCTTGACCCGACGCTTGAGCTCTTCCCGGTGTCCCCCAATCATCAACTTATACAAATCAGTCACCGACTCAGCATACTGTCGAATCTGCTGCTTGGCAGCCGGGTTGAGGATGGCGAGGCCGGCGTAGACATGCCATTTGTTCGAATAGATGCGCAAGGTGATGTTGATCTTGACATTCTCAATACCGCCAACCCACCGTGACATCTCCCAGGGGAACTGTTCGTTGGCCTGCCATGCGGTGCCCATGCTCAGGAAGGCGGCATGCGTAACGGCCTGGGTGTCGGCTGTGATTCGATCATGCATCTCTCCAGTAAGGTGGACATGTTTGGATCCGAAAGAGGAGAGGACTTCTTCAACGAATTGGACGCTTTCATCAGAAGCACGGTGTTGAATGATAACCTAGTTTATGCCCTGTCAGTGTCGGGCTAGTCTGGTTTGCCTGAAGGGCATGAAACCCCTTACCAGAGGCTGTCCTTTCGGATTGACTTTGGGTCCGTGCAGCGAGTGGCAGGATACGATCTCTACATCGGCTGGGAGGTGCTTTTCGAATGCGGCAAGTTCCGGGGCCTTGCACGACGTTTGGCCACCGACGATGGCACCTTGCTTGGTAGCTTTATTATTCCAAGTGTCAGACATATACTGGTCTTGAAGCTTGGGTCAAATGGGTCCGAACATACATGGCCCGTACTGTGCGACAACTCGGTCGATCACACCGGCTTCTACACTGTAAAGAATGAAATCGCTAATTCTGGAAACCAGATGACCATTGGGAAAGATCGTGACCATTTGCTATATACGATGAGTGTCTGGGCGGGATGACCCCAGCGGGAGACGTACTTTAGAGGCAAATTCTTTTTGTAATGATTCATAATTCTCAGTTCTGTCACAAGCGTTTATCCTTATGAAATGAAAGCAAAGATGTTAGTAACTGATAACCTCCAGGGTTGTGGCTGAGTCGTATCAAAACATAAATCATAAGGATCGTATGTCAAGTATGGGGACCTATCAGATTCACTGATTAGCGCATGTTCTCAATAGCAACAGTAGTAACCAATAACAAGGACAATTTCGATAAGTTCAAAGAACTTTCAGACAAGAAAAATTTAAGGTAGCGAGATATTTACATCATCGACAGCCTGGCGTACACCACCGACCAGAATGGCTAGGCAGTAACCACCAGACCATACTCGAGCCAAATGCACTCAAGTCATCATTCGAAAGGGGGAGAGGGAAATTAATAGCAAAGGAGCAAAGCTTACCTGATTGAGATGTGTGTTGTGAGGAACACAAAAACAAGGTGGTATTTACCTCCATCCTGCATCACTCAGGCGTTGGGCATACATCTTGCCCATGTCACCCATTCCGATGATGCCGATTGAGGCATCTTGCTTGGTGCGTCCCATCCTGGTAATGTCTCACGCCAGCAACCTCAACAGGGTGTACTGCGTCTCACTGTCGATCCCGTCGTAATATGTTAGTAAATTGGCTCAATGTATCTTTGCCGTCCAAGATGCCGATGTTCCACGGTATCTCCAGACGTCTGAAGATGATTTGCAATGACAAGAAAGTGTAAGATGAAAACGTCTGGAAGAAAATTTAAATAGATGTGCAGAGCTAAGAACTCACCGCCCTTCGGCCCGACTGCAACCCGTGGAAACATTTACTACCTTATGTCAGCATCTCGCTTGCCCACTACCAGACTAGTAGCCAATCAGCATCCACTTGAAGCCGAGGGCACACATCCACTTTTTTTTCATCCATTTCGATTTCCTTTTCTTCTTCTTTCAGTTCCGTATTCCATCCACGCCAACTCCATCCAACAGTCGCAATGGCCCCCACTAAGAAGGCTCCCGCCGCCGCTAAGGAGAACGTCTCCCTCGGCCCCCTCGCCGGTGATGGTACGTTGAATTCCACGATTTTTTGATTATGAGCATGTTCTGACTAGCGCATACAGGCAAGCTCGTTTTCGGTGTTGCCCGCATCTTCGCCTCCTTCAACGACACCTTCGTTCACGTTACCGATCTTTCGTACGTTTTCCACCTACAAAGTCCAAGAAAGCTCTGCGCCTGATATATTCAAATTGTGGAATGGCGCATGGCGGGGCAATCCGGACTTGAAGATCAATTGGCTAACAAGTTCTCTACAGCGGCCGTGAAACCATCGTCCGTGTTACCGGTGGTATGAAGGTCAAGGCTGACCGTGACGAGTCCTCCCCCTACGCTGCCATGCTGGCTGCTCAGGACGTCGCTGTCCGCTGCAAGGAGCTCGGCATCAACGCCCTCCACATCAAGATCCGTGCCACTGGTGGTAACGGCACCAAGACCCCCGGTCCCGGTGCCCAGTCCGCTCTCCGTGCTCTTGCCCGTGCCGGTATGCGCATTGGTCGCATTGAGGACGTCACCCCCACTCCCTCCGACTCTACTCGTCGCAAGGGTGGTCGCCGTGGTCGTCGTCTGTAGATGTGTGCGGGTACGTCTTATCCTTCCTACTACGTCTATGCGTGGTTGGCTTGGTGGCTACCGGCGGGGTCTACTCGCAACTGTGGATGGAATAAACGGGAAGAACGGCCCTCATTGCCTGGTCTTCAATTTTTTTCATACCCTGAAAAGAAAACTTTGTCCTCAGTTTTAGCTCTTGTGTTGGGGTATCTTTACATCAATTGACTACTTCTGAGTAATCTACCTCTTCATTGTAGCTCTATCGTAACACAATTGGCTTAATCACGGTTATTTGGAAACGGTGGTTGAAACGATGATTGTGCAGTTGAACTGTTGTGCAGTGCATAATCATTCATATTGATGGAAGTACCCAAAGTCTATTTTCATCTATGCTCCAGCCAATGAATCCGATTGAGTCAAAGCTCAAAGCCGAAACAATGCATGCAGGTCTCTACCCTTTACTTTAGAGAGACACCTGCTTTTCCTCGCCCTCTATCACATAAGCCCATTCATGCTCCTCCTTGCCATACATGATAGCCTCCAACCACGACTTAATCTGCGCAGCATAGCCCGCGGACTGACCATCAGGACCCAAGGTGCTGATATCAGTATCGATATTGCGGATCATAGCAACTGGAGTGATAAAATACTATGAATGTCGTCAGCACACAACCCAATCACATCTGACCCAAAGAAAACTCACAGCAGTGCCGGAGACAAACGACTCAACAATTCGACCCTCAGCCGCAGCCTTCTCAATCTCCCCAATAGTCAAAGTCCGCTCCACAACCTGCAGCGGCTCCAGCGAACCAACAGCATTCTTAGAAAGCTTCTCAGAAACCAACTCCAAAACACTGCGGCGGGTGATACCAGGCAAAATCAGCTGGTTCTCCAAAGGAGCGGTTACAAGCTCCAATTTGCCCGTATCGGCATTGTGCATGATAATGAAGAAGTTACTCGCACCCGCCTCAGTCACCTGCCGATCCTCACCGAATAGCCATAGAATCTGGTCAAATCCCAATGCCTGTGCCTGTCCATGCGCTTGCAACGAAGGGCCATAGTTGGCACCGAGCTTAGCATACCCGAAACCGCCAGGCCAGGCGCGGATGGTATCAGGGTTCGAGCCGTACAGTCTCAGACCCTTCGAAGGCTCGGTCTGGCCTTCCTTCTTCATCTTTGTGAAATCGGGCCAGGGGACGGCAATAATGTATAGGAGGGCTTCCTTGGGGACCTGGACGCCGAGGTGGGGACCATTGCCAATCATTGTAGGACGGATATAGAGGAATGAACCGGGGCGTTCCTTCGGTAGCCAGCCTAGATATAGTAGATTAGCATTTGATGTGAGTCAGTATTGATGAGACATACGTGAGCCGTCAATTTGCATCAATTTGGCGATCAGCTTCTTTAGTTCGTCGAACTTGAAGCTGGGGAGAGAAGATCTTTGCGCGCTGCCGCTCAGACGCTGGCCGTTGAGGTCTGGTCGGAAAAGGCGCAGCTTGCCGTCGTAGCCACGGTAAACCTTCAGGCCCTCGAAACACTCGGTGGCGTAGTGAAGGCATGTAGCTGTCGGTGGGATACTCAGGTTCTGGTACGGCTTGACCTCAGGTGTCTCCCAGCCATTGGTGTTAGTCCATCGCACAGTGACCATATGGTCAGTACAGTGCGAGTGGCTTAGTTCCTCAGGAGAACCGGGTAGTGGGACATCGCGCAATTGAGTGGATCGGGTGATGTTGAAGTTGGAGCCGTCAAGCTCGGCCAAGTTTGGAGAGATGGAACCCATGATGAGGAAATGAATGAGACGAGGTATGTAGGGTCAATTGGAATAGAACAGTGTGATTCCTGAGGGAGAGTACAAGTTTGGTTGAGGATGAGTCACTCGTGGTGGATTTGTTTTGGGAACGGATTGAACAAAGTGGGGGGAGGTAATAGTGCAACGACACACAATTGAACAATGACCTTTTATTCAGATGTTTATAGGATTGCAGATAATAGAAAACAGTGGAATTGACAGTGGAAACCACTCTCTTATTATATCTCCGATCTGCGGTTTGCCCCGGACTTTGTCTAATCGGATTGCGGGCCGAAGAAATTTCTTCGCCGAGAATAAAGAAATTTGCCATCGATGACACCAATTCGCCCTCCAACAGAATCCATCTTGAATTATCAAACGTAGCCTCGTGCATGTTACACAAATCACAGAATCCCAAATGTAGAAAATTGATGACAATGTGTGTGCAAGTGGGATGTTACGCCCTGCTAATGACATCGATAGTCCACCCTTATCTATCAAAGGGCCCACTTAGTTGCCATATTACCGATGATAGCCGTGGAGAGAATGATAAAGGGAGATAAATGCCTTGGGAGAGTATGTATACCGTCGGTGAAAGAAGTGGAAAAATGATGCAATTGAAGTTTTATGCAGTCGCTGACTTTTGCATACGTATGCCTGCGTACGTCATGGCTTCCTGGAGAGTCAACTCGAACTCGGATCTGTGAAATATCAACATCTTCATGATTCAACATAGTTATACAGAAAATCTATCGGCGTAGATTACTACTAGATCGGAATTGCGGATCCTCCATAGACTTCCCTCTTTTGGAAAACCAGCATGCATATCACCAAAAAGGGGTAACATGGGGTAGAATTCTTGATCACCAAAACAATCACTTGATAGAAGGATCGAAACTGCATGACATTTGGGGGTTTCAACGATTGATAGAATGAATATTGCTCTGTTGCTAACTCTTCTGGGTGCTTTTCGCAGTACAGACTTAATTTAATGCTCCATTGATCTTCATACATTAAATCACCTTTGCTCACGATGATGAAACATTCCAGTCATTCATTCCTTTCTTGTATCTTTCGAATTTTCACGCTGCCACTCAATGTAGTCCCAGGCAAAGTCTGCCGTAAATCGAGGGACGGCCTCGAGGAACTTGCGGTCTAGCTGGATGAAGACTTTGTGCATAGTTCCCATCTGCATCGTAACAAATTTCATGAGAATAGACCGCAGCTCTCCATAGTCGGCTCGCTGGGACCACAATTCTAGAATGAGAAGTTCCAATCGCCAGGTTGTATCACAGGCATAGAGCGATTTGTTAAATTTGCTCTTTGCGGCTTGTTTTAGTTCCTCGATCATGAAGTAGTCAGCTTCTGCAAAAACTCTGGCATGGAAATAGCTTGCGGGACACTTAGACAAAGGGGGCCAGTTGGTCGACCACGGTTCCGCGTCCAGATTAACGTCCTTGGTCATCTCTGGGGTCTTGTCCTCCTCTGGGACGTAAAAGTTCATGGCTGCCGGCTTCTGACGCTTTGATGGGGACTCCTTTGCATTAAATTTTGGTTTTCTCTTCTTAGTTCCGAATTGGTTTGTAAGTGGAGAATTCTCGTCGGCTGGAGTGCATGTATCCTGGGCCATTCCATCCACAGTGTATTCATTCTTGTAAAGAAATTCCAGCACAACCTCGATTAGGATCGCATCTTTGTCTGGTAGTTTGATCTTTCCAGAAGCTTCCTGATATCAAATCTTGTTAGCGGTGGTCTCCTTCGGTGGTAAGATGTACCTTGAATTCACTGCCGCAGGCCTTCTTGAACCAGTCTGACCGGGAACACACTATGACCCGGTGAGCTTGGAAGGTTCTGCTACCGCAGATAATCTCCATGTCACTGTACTCGGGGTTCAGGAATAGGCTAATTGGGCTTTGTGGTTAGATAGGAACAATCTAGCAGTATCGCATGGATCTTACCTATCAACGAGACGGTCCGCGGCTTTCAGATTGCGTTGAGATGAAGAGCCAGCCGGGTTCGCCTCTCCAGCTGATGGTGTAGATGTGGATGATGCCATCATAGAGGTATTGAGCCAGTCAATGGTTAGATTGGTATCAATGGAAACAAGATGGAGGAACTGTGGGAGACGGTGATGGAAATACCATTACAGATTAGCAGTCTGCTTTGTTAATCAGAAGGAGTTTTTCAAAGGCGGAAATTTGCCATGGAAAGCGAACAGAGAATCAAAGTGAGCCTGAGAAATTCGGCTACCTGTGCGTTCAAATGTTGGAATGGTTTTACCAATTCAGCGTATATGGAGTACAGTGGTGCTCTATTAGTATATGTAGCGTCTACTTCTACATCGCCCACTCATTGCCGCCTTTCATATTTGACTCACCGTCTTAACCTTCTCATTGATTGTGAAATTATTGTTGTTGTTTTAGCGTTCTTTTACCCCGGCCTTACTTGGATAGAATAAATACTGCCATTTGATTGGAAATTATCGGTTTTTATTAGCTATTCAAAATAATTAATATGAATGAAAGTTCTGCTACGTCAGAAAAAGGGTGCAGAAAGCTACTATATAATCCAAGGAGTAAACGCAGACTCATGGGATACCACTGTATGTTCTTCTTTATTTCTCTCCACAAATTCCCATACTTATACTGTATCCTCACAAGATTGTTTGCACATACCCTATTGTATCCATAGTACCATTCATTTTTTTTATCAAAGTTAGCTGCGATTATCTTCAAGTTTCCAATATATGTATTATATATTACACTAGATCGAAACAAGAGCATGGTTTGTAGAGATATCGATCATCAAGGCTCCAATGTTGATACATATGTAGAAATTGATTAAGCATAATCTTATGATTCTCATAAAATGCAGAGGAGAGCAGATATAACATCCGGTATCAAGTATTGATCACTACCGAATCCACAGTACTTCATTCCAGGGTTATTGAACATTTGGACTAGGATAGATAGGATCCCAGTATTTGCGCAATTCCCTTAATCATCTGTGAATGCTGGAGAAGGCTGTTCACAACCTACTATGGCAAATTACAAGCAAACATTGATTTAACAGCTCTTGGAGCAATGGCTGCCACGCGTCAGGAAAACTACGGCTCGGATCGTTATACTCCAGATTACGCCCAGAGCACAGGGGCCCTTGATATGGTAGTCAAACCGGATCTCAAAAATGGTCTATCTAAAAAGTGGAAAGAAAACGTAATCGTAGGTAATGAATCGCGCAAACATAATAGCCCCTCACTTATGACAAAAGTACGACTGGAATCTCAAGAAGAAACCGACGGTGAGAGTGATTAGACAAAAAGCCGAGAAAACCGAGCTGTCAAACAAAAGGGTCATGCATGAATAGCTCAGCCCCCATTTCCATCTCCCTTCACAAAGAATTCCACCCCTATTTCCACCAACCAACGGAAGGGAAACCGCATGACACTAACGGAAAAAGGTTTCATCTTTATTGAACAAGGCTAAGAGAGTACTTCAATGAAGGTTACGATTACAGCGGTTTTACCCAATTAAATGAGTGTGCAGCTTCCTAGGAAACTTGTTCCCGAATCAATGGTCATACCAGTATAAACCCTGCCGACAAGCGGAGATGATACTACAAACGTACGTATTCAATCTAGGGTGATCAATATTTCGAGTGCGTTGGGCAGGAGCTGAGGTTTTTCCAGGCAGGATGGTTCGGAAGGTAATATGTGGTCCGAACCTGACAAGGTGCAGTGTCGATCTTCTGTCGTCGGGATTAAGTATCCTGCTAAGAAAATTCTCCCTTTTTTCATTTTGGCTAGTCAGCGTAATCATGAGATGGAAAGCGAAAGAGAGGGAAGAAAAAGTGCGGGGAAGAGAGACATTCTATGGCCTTAAACCGATAGCCATGTTGATGTCAGTAAGTTCCAACATTTGGAAGAATGACCATTTGCACCAAAGTGGAACTTCGGTGTGATAATCACTCAAGTTTACGCAGGATGGACGGACAGTCCAATTGGGCACTGGAGGAAGCACGGATATAGATCCCGTCAGATGTACAATATTCCCTCTATTCTGGTCGTGATCCCAGTCCACCTTACGGCCGCATGCACATTTGGATCTGCGAGGCGACCTGAAAAAAGGGCTGATTGCAAGGTTTCCATCTTGACCAGCCTCTCAAATTAGAGTTTATGCAGCCATGTATTCATTTGGAACTGATAGCAAACATTTGATGTATTTCCGGTATATTTGCTTGGGGTCTTTCAAAAACGGCAATGATGTGCGATGCACATAACTAGTGGCCCGTGTTGGGTGGAGATTGAGGGGAAATTGTGAGATGTGCGGCTAATCGCATCTATGTATAGACAAAAAAGTACGGAGTACTGTAGAGAGTACAAAGTACATGATGGTTTAAGGTATGTTTAACCGAAAGTCGTGGATGAAGAAAGAATTAGAGTTGAATATAGAAGTAGAAGTTTGCAGAGCTATGACTTCAAAGGGACATGGATTCCTCCGATGTGAACATGATCCTCCCTTGCGTTTCATACTTCAACGTCATAGCCAGTACTTACCCTGCAAGGCTGCAAGGCTGCAACTGCGTGGGCAAAAAAAAGAATTCCAGGGGCACAGGAAACAAGAAACCGGAAAAGAAAAAAGGAAAAGACAAACGAAAAAGAAAAAAAGAAATGGAAACATAAACGAGGCATTCTCTAGCAATTCATTTGCAAAGTATGGTTAGTCAAGGAGGCGGCTACACCTAACCCGATTGGACGGCTATCGCCCGGCCAATCAAGTGCCTCGGAAAAAGGATTGTGATTTGCATCTGGAGGCTGTAACTGGAAAGTATATTATGACTTTTTGAGTCATTCGTCACCGAGATCGTCCCGATCACTTTCAATTATTAATTTATCTCCAGACCAGTCGCTTGATTCCAAGCCATTGGTTGCAGGCAAACATCATAAACAGGGTCATGTTTGCTTCTGATTACAAGGATGTGCGATTCATATGTGGCAGTTCATCGCTAAATTAGTACTCAAGATTTGATCCACCCACCGGCCGAAAGACTTTTGACCTAACAGCTGTGGTGGCAACATCCCCAAGCAGATAAAGATATCAAACTTGTTCCTGCTTGCCACATCATACAAATCCGGGACCAGCCTGAATGACAATCCAGCCCTGAAAGTAAGAGCGCGAAACTTGTTGCGCATGTATCGTCACAGTTCGTAATTTTTCCCGACTCTTGAGCTTCGGTGGGGCCATGTGGAGCAATATCACTCGATACTTTGGATGGTTTTTCCTTGGGTTCAAATCCACGTGGTGCCGGGATAAACGCATTGGGAAATTCTTACAAAAGACAATGGAGGCAAAAAGTTCCGGGGAAATGAACCGATTAAAACTCAAAGAATATGATGAATCTCTCAGGGTGCAGCCATATCTGACCCCAAGTTCATGTCGTAGAGAGTCCAGGATGATTGGATAGGGACTCAAATGATCATCAGTTGGGCTCTGCCGACGTAATTTCCCTTTCGACCTCGTGGTAATCTAATAATGAATGGGTCTTGGTCCCTCGAATCCTTGCGGTTTGGTTGGCTGTTAAGTTTCTTCTGTTTTCTTTGTCACTTTCCAACGGCACGCCCTTGTTTCGACCCGGTATTTTGACTGTTTCCTAGTTGGGCGATGGCGCTCACGATCCCGCATCGGCTCCTTCACAAATCTCCCAGTGAACAAGATTCCGGTCTAGTCTCCTTTTGATTTTAATGGAGACATTGAACCCCCCTTGTCTGGTACGTCAACGCAAATTTGACATGCTAGATGTTCTCTCCAATCACCTGTGTTCAATATTGGGCAACCGAGCCACCATCCGGGCTGTGTGACTGACCCTATGTTTGTACCAGAGATGCCCCTCTGATTTGTGCTTTGTCATCTGCAGGTCGAATCTTTCTTAAAAGCTTTCGTTCTCCCACTTTTTAGTTTTTGAGGCTATAAAGAAGCAAAAAGATCGCGACATCTCAGCAGGCCAGCTTGTACCCCTGAACTCCGGGAGGCATATACATGATTTCATGAATCAGTTGAATCAATTTTGCGCCATATACGAACAAGCTGGTGATATAATGAGTCTATAATGGTCAGTGATACCTCTTTCTTTTGTAAGGTGCGAGGCGAGCGGCTAACCCCTCGTTTGTAGCTTTCATCGTCAAAACAGACTGGTTGGCGGTAGATTTCTAAAAAGCTTGCCAGTACAAGATGATACACAAATACACGCACACCTACACGTTAGAACATATTAGTCGCAAAAAATGAGCTCCCACGACACTTCCAAGCCTTTCGTTCCACTGGCGCCAGGCCCACGACGCATAGTCAAATCACAATCATCGATGGCCGTCGGTAGGCCTAAAAAGAACTCTACCGCATGTTTGACATGTAAAGCAGCGAAAAGGAAGGTAAGTTTTTTTGTTCCCAGGGATCCGAAGATGGATTGCGGATCAAAACTTAAGCTGACAGGTATCACATTTTTAGTGCTCTGGAGAGCCTGGCCCGTGCAAAGCTTGTATCATTGCAGGCGCCGGGGACAAATGTCATTTCGACCGAAGCAAGGATCTGAGGCGCAAAGTCGGCATCAAACGAACAATCGAGGAGTTAATGTATTGGAAAATTTTGCTTGGTTCAGTAATAACGAAAATACGCCTCGCAGATAACAAAGAGTTGAATGAATTGGCGAAGGTGCTGAGGAGGAGTGATGTGCCTATGAGTGAGATCGCCCTTGCATTTGAGTGTCCTGAAATGAAGTCCTCGGATCCAAACGCTTCATTGGCTGCGATTTTGAGTTTGCCATTATCAGAATATATGGATATGGACTTGGATGTCATAGCACAGCCCCAGCCGAGGAGGAATTCCATCGGTCATCCCAAGCAGGATAAGCAGACCTCACCAAAGGCTTCATTTCACCCATATGCACGAGTATCCTTGGAGAGTCTTTGCGATGTGCCCTTCTTGGAAGTCCCAGCCAAACCGTGGACAGTAGTCACTGACGACAATGACCTTGTGTCGCATCTTGTTTCGCTGTACTTCATATGGGATCATCCATGTGTCCAGTTCCTGGATCAAAGCATATTCCTTGAACACATGAGACGCGGGGAGGCTGAGTCGGAGTTTTGTTCTCCAGTGCTGGTCAACAGCCTCTTGGCCATGGCTAGTGTATGAAACATCCCCCCACAATGTTTGCTGTCGCAAACATTATATTCTGTATTTCTGACTCAAATAGATTTATTCGGATCGTCCGAGTGTCTTCTCAGACCCCGACGACAAGTTCTCGCGTGGTCAAAAATTCCTTGAGGAGGCAGAGAGGTTACTGCGGGCCGAAGAAGGAGAACCGCGTTTGTCAAATGTCCAGGCTCTTCTCTTTATGTGTCATGTGTATGTGGTTCTCCAGAGTTTTGCAATTGAATCGGCTTGAAGCAAAGGCTGATAGAGCTCAATAGGTTATCATGCCAGGGAAAGACCAACTTAGCTTGGCAGATGCTAGGACTTGCGATCCAGATGGCACGGGGCTTGGGATTATTTGCGCATCGAAATACCAAGAAGCGTGGAAGTAACTTATCGCCTGAAATGGTGAAAGTCCGCACCATCACAGCATGGAGTATAGCTAGCTTGAATCTGTGAGTAACTTCTGTGACGATTAAAGACGAAATCCCGCTGACCGTTAACTAGACAGATGTCCACGACGCTCCAGAGAGATGGAGATACCACCTCAGTGCGGCCTATATATGAGATCGAAGTTGGTGGGGACCATGATTGTGATTGGACTCCATATCCGCTGTTAAATCAGATCACTTCCTTGACCCAGCCAGCACGTCTCCCTCAAATCCGAATTGGGGTCGCCAGATTAACAGAGAGCCTGGCTCGCATTCATGACCTCTTAAATGAGGAGGACTTTTGTGGAGATTGCCCTAGTCTCTTAAGTAAGGCAAAGGACCGGTATGAAGAATTACAGCACTGGCTGTCAGCATGGCCTGATGCCTTACAAACCGGAAAAGAGCCGATGCCACAGCTTCTCATCCCCCGGTATGTCCCCCAATGCCTCGTGATATCTTTCTTGACCTCTCTGACATTCTCACAGTCTTCAATGCCTCCAAGCGGTTACGAACCTCCTTAAAGTGCTCATTGAACGTGATTCACAAGTATCCAAAGTTCAAGAATTACGGCAGAACTGGCGCGTTCATATGGAGGAAATGAAGCAGTGTCTTCGTCTCTACCGCACTTCATATGGACTCAGGTATATCCCAAGTCAGTTGATTACTATAGTCAAATCAGGCCTTCAAGCTCTTCTTTATCAGATACACGAGGTTGTCGAAGCGAGGGATGTATTTCTCGAGCTCTCTCGCCTTGGATTTGGTCTCAGCCAGAGGTTCAAAACGATTGCAGACTCCATCAACACAATTATTACGTTGTCCCAGCGCGGGACTGCGAACCTTTCTCCTGAGATCATTGCGATTCTAGATGGCTCCGAATCCCAAGGGCAAGAGATGGGAAATCACGGTATGCAAATGACAATATAATATGCCCACGGTGTCATGGGGTCATTGGTATTGACAAAGTCGGCACGTATCCTTGCAATGGATGCAAACTAAAGAGTGAAACGCAAAATTTTTTCCTAAAAAGATCTGGCTGGAGACGAAGAGATCAGTTGAGCTATCAAAGCGGGATTTTGAGCTGGGATTCAAAGGGTCGTTACTCGTCGGGCCTCGCACGTGTGGGTTCTGGTCAGAAGCACCTGAGCGGAATGTGTTCAAATGAATGTTGATGATAACAGAAGGGTGAAATCGATTGATATGGGTTCTTTCAGAGATGGAAGGCATGCCACAAGCTTGTCATCCTCACCTCCACACCGAAAGACTATTCCGGTTCAACAACTATCCCTGGGGACGCGGAAGCCCTTCGGCAACTGGAGACTTACTAGCTCACGGACCAGTATTAATGAATTTTGCCATTTTGGTAATTTTACTGCTTTATGTAACGTGGAATTATTATGTTGATTGATATTCCGTACGATATAATCTGATTTTTTTGACATACTTGGCCATATTGAACTTCTGTATAAGCCCTTCTTTGAGAAGCTTTTCATGAGAGGATTTCCACGTTGGATGGTCACATTTCAAGGGTGCATGAAATATTGAATAAAACTAAAAAAGCCTTCCAATTTATAAAACGAGCTTGATAGATACATTTTGATGTCATCGCTATAACACGTAACCAACTAGGAGCATAACACAAAGCTGAGTCATCCACCATTTTATGCGCAGATAAGATAAGCACAAACACCGAAGCGAAAACCCTCAAAATTCAACTTCTAGCGGTAAATCCCACACGCCGACGACGGACGTGCACCCCCACCACTCAACCCTTCCTTCCGCCCTTTGCCGTCATCTCGGCATCTCGAAACAGAGAAATCCTTCTCTTCTCTCCACTTACCTCCTACACGCAATCCCTTGCCTCCCACTACTCCCACAATGTCGTACGAAGACCGCGCCAATGCGCGCCCCAGCCTGAATGATGAGTCTGATGTCGAGGAGGAGACTATGGCCAACGACTACCGTGAGCAGGTCAACTTTGATGACAGCATGAGCGAGCTGGACCGGACAACTTCCCTTGGTGGTTCACAAACCCAGGACATTCAGGCACAGCTGGCCGCCGCCGCTACCCCGCTGGAATACCAGGCGACTCTGGAGACCAAGTTCGCTAGCTACGATAACTACTGCAGTCTCTTCCACTACATCCTGAACTCGGAAGGTCCCGTGGACCTGGAGGTTCCCTCGGTAGGTGCTTTGGGTGATTCTTCAACCCGGTCTTCAAACAAAGAAAATGAAGCTTGGCAAAGGAGAATTGTGGATACCAGGCTAACCATGTCCCCAATATTATAGTACTACTGGGCCTGGGATGTTATTGACGAGTTCATCTACCAATTCGAATCCTTCTGCCGCTACCGTACCCGGATCGCTCGCACTGGATCCAACGAGGAGGAGGCCCAGGTGCTTCGTGAGAACCCCAACACATGGGGCTGCTACTCCGTTCTTAACGTCCTCTACTCGCTCATCCAGCGCTCTCAGATCAATGAGCAGCTGGCCGCCATCAAGCGGGGCGATGACCCCCTCGCTGTTGCCGGCGAGTACGGATCCCGCCCACTCTACAAGATGCTGGGTTACTTCTCCATTGTCGGTCTGTTGCGCGTGCACTGCCTGCTTGGTGACTTCAGTCTCGCCCTGAAGACTCTCGACGATATCGAGATGAACAAGAAGGCCATGTTTGCCCGCGTGATGGCCGCTCACTTCACCACGTACTACTACGTCGGTTTCTCCTACATGATGATGCGCCGTTACGCCGACGCCATCCGCATGTTCAGCCACATCCTGGTCTACGTCTCCCGGACCAAGAACTTCCAGAAGGGCGGTAACAACTACGACGCCATCGCCAAGAAGAACGACCAGATGCTCGCTCTGATTGCCATCTGCGTGGCTCTGCACCCCACTCGCCTGGATGACACCATCCACACTGCCGTCCGTGAGAAGTACGGTGAGCAGTTCCACCGCATGCAGCGTGGAGGCCCCGAGGCCCTGCCCGTCTTCGAGGAGCTGTTCCGCTCCTCCTGCCCCAAGTTCATCAGCCCCACTCCTCCTGACTTCGAGAACCCTGCCTACAACGTCGACCCCGTCGACCACCACACCGCCATCTTCATGGATGAGGTCAAGAACACCCTGTTCAACCCTACCATCCGCTCATACCTGAAGCTCTACACCACCATGGACCTGAAGAAGTTGGCTGGCTTCCTTGAGGTGCAGCCCGAGCAGCTCCGCTCCTGGTTGCTGGTGAACAAGCAGCGCAGCCGCCAGATCCGCTGGGTCGAGGGCAGCTTGCTTGAGGGTGACTCCACCATCTCTAACGACCTCGACTACGCTCTCGAGGATGACCTGATCCACGTCAGCGAGACCAAGACCGGTCGCCGCCTGGTGGACTGGTACCTGCGCAACCTTGCCCGAGTCTACTAAGCGCCCCGTCCCTAGACAAATCATGTTCCATTCCCGATGTGTCTATCTGACAGGTTGTCAAAAAAAGTGAAGAATGGACTTTTACATGCAAGAAAGAACGGACATGACTCGAGATGATTTTTCTTACATATTATTATCCCGCTCCCCCTTGTTTTCTCCCCATTTCCCATCTTGTCCTCATCGCAATGCTTCTATACTCTTTTTCCATTTTTTTCGTTTTCTATTTTTGTGAATCTTTTTGTGTTTCCCTGGTCCTTTGGTTTCATGGAGTCCCTATGGATTCAAAATCAGGCCAGGCTTCTGCGATGGCTTGGGAGGGCGTACGATTTCTCAGATTTGCCCCGGTCTGTTGTTCTTCTTTTGCCCCGGGCGATTTAATTCCCGAGGCGAGTGTCAGGTGTGAGCTAGAAGAAAAAAAAAGACTTGATGAAATGCATAGATGCAATGATTCTACTTCGTTCTCAACTATGTAGTCGTACGCCCATTTACACTTAGATAATGAAGGTTGATAGTGTTGAGAGAGGGGTATAACATGCAAATTAGTCTATCTAACCGCCCACAAATGCTATATCTGTACACGCAAAAGCGAGAAAGTGAAAATTTAATACAAAGATGGGAATTTTCCAATGCTCATGTCTAATCCATCACATCAAAGCTCGTCCCACAGCCACAGTTACTAGTTGCTCGCGGGTTGTCCACTATCGTGAACTGGCTTCCAATCAACTCAGTCGTGTAGTCGACGGTACTACCAGACAAAAGCTCCAACGATGGCTCGTCCATAACGACCTTAGCTCCTCCGGTAGCCTCTGAAGCTGTCTCGGCCTCTTCACCTTCGAAGATAGTGTCCTCCTCGGGGTCGATTTTGGACGCTGACTCTAGCGACATCATGTACTGGAACCCATGGCACCCACCACTGGTGACGGTGATACGGAGGTGGTGGTAAGGATTCTCTTCTTGTGTTGCAGAGGGAGAGGAGGATGGGTCGGTAATATCGCGAAGACGCTAGTACATAGTCAGTTTATGAAAGGCGAAATAAATCAACACGACGCCAAAAAAAAAAAAAAAAAAAAAAAAGCAAAAACATACAACAGTCAGGATTCGCATGTGGTCACCCACCATACTACTAACTAACCGGCGTGTGGCTTAAGTACGGCTGAGCGGACGGGAAGCCCTGTTCTCCACACCCTATGGTCGTATGTACAAGGATGAGCGTCAAACTGGCTTAAGCCGAGGTTCAACTTTCCTTGTCCTCACAGCCAACAGGAACAAAGCAGCTTCCCATCCTCTCAAACAAGAAGGAAGAACTGGATAACATAATCATCAACTTACCTCCGCAGCACGAGGCGAGATGTTAATCATAAGAGTCTCTCCATCTTCCCCGGATCTCGGGTTTTGAGTGATCTTGGTGGCGGATCGAACGGACGAAGACGAAAAAGAGGCAATGGGTGCATGCAAGCGAGAGCAGGAGATCAATGATCGCGGAACGGAAGGTCTGTATAGCGGCGCAGAGGCGACAAATGTTTTCCGGCGAGGAGTGATTTCGCCGACGGAGAATGCGGAGAGTGTTGCGGGACGAGAGGTTGAAAGGAATCGACGGCACGGTTGCTGGGATAACCGGCGGGCGGTTGTGGATGACCACAGAGATCGGGTCATATTGCAGACGTGTAATATGAGTCGTTCAGGGGTGGAAGGTCAAAAGGTGTAGGTTTAGTTACGATTCAACCGTATCGTTTCATCTAATTATCTCGGGTTTGTCAGATCGGCAGTGGCGCGATTGGTCAGCGTAAGCGGAGAAAGATGGCAGAATCGTTGAGTTGTAAAATGAATCGCGGGGTGCATGCGTTCTTATATTAAGTAGAAAAATGAAATTATCAACATTAACTGTTGAAACTTATAAGTAAACTATCATTGCTTACAAGCTTTAAACGACTTATCCCAACGCTGTACTCCGTAGACCATTCGGATCTTCGACCATGCAGTCACAGACTCGCAGTATACACTGATAGGTAAAACCGATCAATTATACATATCCACGGGTACAATCTCCAATTACAAGAAGAACTTATCACCCAAGAAAACATGATATTGACTATAGATATGTTTGAACTATGGGTGCCCAAATAGGTAAGCCCGAGATTGCCTCACTTCAATATTAACAAATGAAAGGAGCACCCAAATAATACACGTTAATGACAGTATTAGAATCGTGAAGTTTGACGTGAAGAAAAGTCTCCGAAATGAACGGAAGCGTGAAGAAATTGGCAAGTAAATAGAGAGCTTGTCTAATCGAAGTTCTCAGGGCAAGAGAGTGAATTAGCGCTTTTACAACGTTTGTTCAGTATCGGGTAAGCCAGCGAGACTTTTCTGCGAATTTAGCACGAGCCTCCTACCGAGACCTTTATACGGACATTTGAAGTCCTCAAATTCATAAATTCACTCATTGTAACATACTGAGGTAGGTCCATCGGTGCCTTCCTAGGGGTGGCCTTGGAAGCATTCGAAAAATCGACGACATATTCCAACTTCTCTTCCAAATTCGGTGCCCAGTTCGAGGGTTGTTCAAGTAAGATCATGTTGCTCCCATTTCTTGTCCAGTCCTCAAGGCTCATGGATGCAGTTGTGCTGTATGAGTTCCAACATCTGAAGTTTCTAATGTTTAGAAGTTTGGAGGTTGTTATTAGAGAAACATAGACTTGTATCATCTGCGCATAGATTGGTTCAAATATCGAATTACTTACAAGGCTCAAATATTTAAAATGTGTGGATTTTCAAGGTTGTGATGTGGTAGACTGAGCACTAATCTATACTATGCAATTCTATATTTTAGTGTCGAAAGAGGAGAAGTGCTGTGGAAAAAATTTCATCCACCTGGATTGCCTTCTTTTACAACGCATGCAATTGCCCCAATACCGAGGCCTTATTCTGTTCCCAAACCGGGGCTTTTCTATGATAAGCTGTTGGAATTTAGCAAGCCATTGCATTGATATCGTATAGTCTAAATCGGGAAGGTGGTGTAAAGCGGGAGTTGGCGGCAGAATATTGAATCAGCCAAATGAATCGCGGGGTGCTCAAGTGATATCCTTGTTCTTTGATACTTTGTGTTCATTTCATCAGCAAATCGGACTAAAGAAGACTCCCGCTGGGCCACACGACCATCATCACCATGGGCTCGAGACAACATCTTCGTGCGATGACATCGGGTCCTCCACTCCCATATCAAGATGATATCAGAGCCTACAAGAAGGACTATGCCGAGGCGCTCGATGCACAGGATCCTCTTCGTGACTTTCGGAAAGAATTTATCATTCCCTCAAAAAAGGATCTGAAGCGAACAACTCTTGCAGCAGATGGAGGTATGTACCGCGACAAAATCGGCAAACATTTGATGGCAGTTGACCTTTGATAAGATACGGATGAAGCTTTAGACCCGAAATGTATCTATTTCTGTGGAAACTCTCTTGGTGTCCAGCCTCACAACACCCGGAGATACATTGAACGGTATTTGCGCACCTGGGCGACAAAGGGCGTGACGGGGCACTTTGTTCCACACGATGACGAACTACTCCCTCCATTTGTCGATGTCGACACTGCGGCGGCAAAGTTGATGGCCCCGTTGGTAGGAGCTTTGCAGAGTGAGGTGGCAGTCATGGGCACCTTGACTGCCAATCTTCACCTTCTCATGGCCAGCTTCTACCGTCCCACCCAGGAAAAGTATAAAATCATTTTGGAGGGCAAAGCATTTCCCAGTGACCATGTATGTTGCTCAATTTCCACAACGCCTTGTGGTTGTTTAGCTATTAATTCTAACATATACCTCAGTACGCAGTCGAGTCGCAAATCCGGCACCACAATCTCGATCCAAAGGATGCAATGGTCCTGATCGAACCACAGGACCCTGATCACCCAATCTTGACAACAGAGCAGATCCTTCAGGTAATTGATGACAATGCCTCCAGTACGGCACTGGTCATGCTTTCAGCAGTTCAATTCTACACGGGCCAGTACTTTGATATCGAACGTATCACAGCACATGCTCAATCGAAAGGCATTTTGATCGGCTGGGATTGTGCCCATGCTGCTGGAAATGTAGATCTCAAGCTGCATGACTGGAATGTGGATTTTGCAGCCTGGTGTACATACAAGTACATCAACAGTGGACCAGGCGGAATGGCTGGCCTATTTGTTCACGAACGCCACGGCCACGTGGATGAAGAACAGAAAGATGGCCAGGATGCATTTCGCCCCCGCTTCTCAGGTTGGTGGGGCCACGATAGCAAAACCCGCTTCCAAATGGTGAACGGTATGTTCCATTGAAGTATGCGATATGAGCGATCCGGATACTGATCATTCTAGAATTCGTTCCCCAACCCGGTGCTGCCGGCTTTCAACTTTCAAATCCCTCGGTCTTGGATATTAATGCCGTCATTGCATCCCTCGAAATCTTCAACCGGACGACAATGAAGGAGATTCGACAAAAGTCTTTAAATTTGACGGGTTATCTCGAGCATCTGCTACTCAAGTACCCTCTAGATTCCCCACCCGAAGACAAGCCGTTCACGCTCATTACACCGTCCAACCCAGCAGAAAGAGGAGCTCAACTGAGCTTGCGGCTCCAGCCTGGGCTGTTGGACCATGTCCTTCACCACCTGGAAGAGAACGGGGTTGTTGTCGACGAGAGAAAACCCGACGTGGTTCGAGTGGCGCCTGCGCCATTGTATAATACCTATGCAGAAGTGTGGGAGTTTTGCCAAATCTTTTTGCAGGCGTGCCGAGAGGCTGTCAAGGCACGGCAATGACATAGAAATCTATGAGTCTGTATTTGATGAATATTTAGTTGGCGTGAGCATAAACTTGTAGTCTGTAGAATATCTTTTCAAATGTTTATCTCTACGGGACCGGACGTAAGGATCCGGAGCTAAGCCATGATAAGGTCAGATACTTCGGGTAAACGGCAAATTTAAAGCTCCACATTCCAAGGTGGACGAAGTGATTTTTTGAAAGTCAGAATGTACTTCTCCTGCAGGTTAGTCATGGCAGCATAAACAGGGTTTTGCTCGTCGATCTGTTATTTTTCCGGGACATATCATTCCCTCCTAACATCCCACGGACATGGAGAAATCTACTGAGATTGATCCAGAAACACCTCAAGACCATGCAGGAGACAGTAGAGAGGTCGACAATGTCGACTATTCAGTCTTCACACCTCATCAAAAGCAAATTATTGTGTTTATAGCCTCTTGGGCGGGGTTTTTCTCCCCGGTCTCTTCACAGATCTACTTCCCAGCGTTGAACACTCTTGCGGAAGATCTTCATGTGTCTAATTCACTAATTAATCTTACTTTGACAAGTTATATGGTTTGTTCATCTAAAAACTGCAGTACGAAAAACCTGTCTCGGCGATGAAGCTAACACGCCGAGCACAGATTTTCCAAGGCCTATCGCCGATGTTCATCGGAGATTTCGCCGATAAGGCCGGCAGACGACCAGCTTACATGGTATGCTTTACGCTCTACATTGCTGCCAACATTGGATTGGCCTTACAAAATAATTATGCCGCACTGTTCGTCCTTCGGTGTTTACAAAGTGCAGGAAGTAGCACCACCATTGCTTTGTCCTCTGGCGTCGTCTCCGATGTTGCTACTGTCGCCGAGCGAGGCTCATACATGGGCTTCGTCACAGCAGGTTCACTCTTAGGTCCCTCAGTTGGCCCCGTCATTGGAGGTCTATTGGCCCAATATCTCGGATGGAGAGCGATCTTCTGGTTCCTCGCCATTTTTGCGGGTGCTTTCCTTGTCCCATTTCTGATCTTCTTTCCGGAGACTGCTCGTGGTGTTGTAGGCGATGGGTCTTTGCCGCCGCAGAAATGGAATATGTCTCTGATAAGTTACCTCAAGTCCCGCAAAGCCAGGGCAGAAGGAATCGACTCTCCAGTGGCTTCGGAAAAGCAGAAGCTGAGCTTTCCAAATCCTTTTAAGACACTCAGCATCGTGTTCCAGAAAGATACCAGCATCATTCTTTTCTGCAATGCAATTCTATTTGCAGGTTTCTACGATGTCAGTGCCACTATTCCCTCGATCTACAGCGAATTGTACGGGCTGGACGATCTTCAGATTGGCCTGTGCTATATTCCATTTGGTCTTGGCGCTACCATCGCATCTATTCTGAACGGCAAATTTCTGGACTTCAACTATCGCCGACTGGCAAAGCAAATGAACTTCCCACTGGTCAAGAATCGCTTTGTAGACCTGCGACATTTTCCCATCGAAAAAGCTCGTCTTCAAATTGCATTTCCTCTACTGACGATTGGAAGCCTGAGTATTGTGGCCTTTGGATGGTGTTTGAACTACGGTGTCCATCTCGCTGCGCCGACCACCATCCTATTCGTCATGGGACTCTCGCTGACGGGATCTTTCAATACTGTTGGTACACTACTGGTTGATCTATATCCAACTCAAGCTGCTAAGGCGACTGCCGCCAATAACTTTGTCCGGTGTTTGCTTGGAGCTGGTGCCACAGCCGTGGTTGACCTCATGTTGTCATCCATGGGCCGTGGCTGGTGCTTTACATTCGTTGCTCTTGTGATGCTCTGTACGTCGCCATTGCTCCTAGTCGTGATCTTGAAAGGACCGAAATGGCGTGAAGAGCGTCGTCTGAGGGAAGAGTGCAAGCTTGATCCGCCTTGTGAGACGCGGCCAGAGAATGTCAAGACCGGCTGAGCCTTGGGGTCACAAGATTGCATACTATCACACGATTTTCAATGCCGCTACGATCAAATAATTTGCATGAAGTCATATCAATACCCCATTTGCAGTTTCAGTCCATAATGTACACGCTTTTTTGAGGGCCTGAATCATAATGAAATCAAACATCTGATGTCAATTTGCCATATCCTGTAAGCGCTCTATAATGCGAGTATCACCTAAAAGCAAAATAAGCCTGCTCCAAAGGTTGTCTTTCCGATTCCCATGCAAGCCAATCCGATCTTGTTGTTCTAGAGAACTGTCAGTATTAAGCGCCTCAGAGTTTCCTGTAAAAACGTACGGCAAAAGTCCCATCGCATTGACCTTCCAGATTCCCAACGCCAATAGACCCAATTGCACCAGCACATAAACAGCCTTCGCCCCGAGCAGGCGACTCTTAGTTGTTGGGGTCTCAAACTTGGCAAACATGACATTGGTATTGATCAGACCCTGAATAGGACCCTTGAACAGCATGAAAACCATCATAATACTGAAAATCTGAAGGCTGTTGCCGGACATATACATCATGATTGCGTTCATGGGGATCTGCTTGGACGGGGCGATGGCGATCTCCCACGCCTTCTTGATCTTCAGGGCGTCGGTCTCTTCGGGTCTCTTCTCGGAGGGTTGCTTCTGCTGCTGCTTTTGCTGGTAATAATTAGAATCTTGATGTGAGCCCCATAGAGTTCAAAGCTGGGGTTGGGTGGGTTCTTACCTGTTTACCTCCCCGAGTGCTGGAGAAGCCTGGTGGATCCGGGATGGTGCTGGCAGCCTTGGTGGGACGTGGCATAGGGGAGTCCAGCGCGACAACCCATTCCGGCGGGGGTGGGGGGGGAAGAGGAGATGACATTTATGCGATATGAGATGCGATGGGTGTAGCAGATGAAATGTGGTGGAGGTCGAAAAGTGGGAAAGGACGGGGTTGTGAAGGGTTCCCTCCGCAAGCTCCCACTCCACTCCGCCTTGAATTCCAGATTCTCCTTTCTCTCCTGAACTCGTCACCCTCTTACCCTCCAACTTCAATTTTACGATTTGAAGTTTCTGTCTGGATTTTTACGCTTGATAATGTCCAATCGATGATTTCCGCTGTGTCCGAATACCCTGAACCCCTCGTGGCGCAGTAAAAAAGCCGCGCCCTTTTTCTGACGCTTACTTCCTACGACCACGAACTACACCTTCATCTCGATCTACTCCTTCCAGATTTCACCGAAGTCGATTTTCGAGCTGTATTTACCTTCCGAATCTAATATCTCTCACTCGACTATTGTCAACGCAATCGCATGTGATTGACAGGACGGACGCTAGACTAAACCTACAAAGAAGGAACGCCGAATCCCCTGCGATTCGTCCACGCCGCAGCCATGAGTTCTGGGGGAGATGCGAAACTATTTGCTAGGGTACGTACCGTCTCTTACCGTCTGATCCTTTACCCAAAGTCCTAAATGGCTTTCCCCTCTTCCCCGCACATACACCTTGCGCCTTGAACGCGATGACCCTTGCGGTTTAGGCTACTTGGCTGCTGCTATCTGCTTTCCCAAATTGATACTCCATCCCCTTGCGAGCCCAACATGTTTATCGGATTCGCCCCCTATCCTCCAGGATATAGCTCACGCTTTTCGCGCACTCCACAGGGCAAGGTCGCCGAGCTGCGAGCCGAGCTTCAAAGCGGCGGCAAGAAGGACAAGAACTATTCCGCCAAAAAAATCGCCCTCAAGAAGATCGTCGCAAACATGACTATGAGCAATAACGATATGGTTGCACTGTTCCCCGACGTTATTGAGTGCATGAACCTACCGAGTTTGGAGATCAAGAAGATGTATGTTGGAATGGAAATTGGTAGCCATCCTGGAGCTCATGGCTAACCTACTTTCAGGTGCTTTTTGTTCTTGGTCAACTATTCCAGATTGAAACCGGAGGCCGCACTGAAAGCGCTGCCTACATTGGTGGATGTATGTCTACAAATAAAGAAGGAATCTGGAGGGATGGCTGATCGGATCCATAGGACATGGGAGACAACAACCCATTGGTGCGAGCGCTTGCTCTGCGCACTATTTCATATGTTCATGTGCGCGAATTTGTCGAAGCGACCTTCCAACCCCTCAAGCGCCTCATGCAGGATAACGACCCTTATGTTCGCAAGACAGCCGCTTTCTGCGTCGCCAAGCTGTATGAGCATGACAAGAAGATGGTTGAGAACTCTGATTTGATTGATCGCTTGAACCGTATGCTCAAAGACGAGAACCCGACCGTTGTCTCCAGTGTGTTGGCGTCTTTGGTGGATATCTGGGGTCGCAGTGAATCGATCTCTCTCACTATCGACTACACCAGCGCTTCAAAGCTAGTTTCGATTCTAGCGGACTGCTCTGAGTACGGCTTATATCTTACTACCGAATTTCGTGCACACGCTAACAATCTTCTAGATGGGGCCAAACCTATATCCTCGAAGCTTTGATGTCTTATGTGCCCCAGGACACTGCCGAAGCACTACTGTTAGCAGAGCGTATTGCTCCACGACTATCCCACTCAAACTCTGCAGTTGTCCTTACGTCTTGCCGAGTACTTCTTTATCTCATGAACTATATCTCAGACGAAAAGCACATTACCTCATTAAGCAAGAAAATGTCACCGCCACTCGTGACTCTCCTCGCCAAGCCTCCAGAGGTTCAATACTTGGCCCTGCGCAACGCCATTCTGATTCTTCAGAAGAGGCCAGAAGTTCTCCGCAACGACATTCGCGTTTTCTTCTGCAACTATAATGACCCAATCTACGTCAAGGTGACCAAGTTGGAGTTGATGTTCATGTTGACTACGAAAGATAACATTTCTGTGGTTTTGGCAGAGCTTCGGGAGTAAGTCATGCCTTCTCTGGTTTGGCTCTTCCATTTTTGCTAATCGTTGCCCAGGTATGCCACTGAAATCGACGTACATTTCGTGCGCAAGGCAGTTCGCGCCATTGGAAAGCTTGCAATCAAAATTGAGTCAGCCGCACGGCAATGTATTGAGACATTACTGGAGCTGGTTGACGCCAAAATCCCGTACATTGTCCAGGAAGCCACTGTTGTGATTCGCAATATCTTCAGAAAATATCCCAATCAGTACGAAGGCATTATCGGCCACGTGATTAGCAACATCGACGACCTTGACGAGCCCGAGGCAAAAGCAGCCGTTATCTGGATCATCGGTCAGTATGCAGACCGAATTGATAACTCCGATGGCCTTCTCCAGGACTACCTGGCTACCTTCCACGATGAAACGGTCGAAGTGCAGCTGGCTCTGCTCACGGCCACCGTCAAGCTCTTCATCCAACGGCCGACCAAGGGCCAAAAACTCGTTCCCCAAGTACTGAAATGGTGTACTGAAGAGACCGACGACCCAGACCTAAGAGACCGTGGCTATATGTACTGGCGCCTGCTATCCACCGATCCAGCAACCGCCAAGCAAGTAGTCATGGGCCAAAAGCCACCCATCACAGCCGAGAGCGAGAAACTCGATCCGCGCACACTGGAAGAACTTTGTCTGAACGTCGGCACCCTAGCCACCGTCTACCTCAAGCCCATCCACCAGGTCTTCCGCGCCGCGCGGCCCCGCCGCCTGCAACCTAGCCCAGCTCTCCAACGGCCCCGCATTGAAGACGGCACCGCCAACATGCTCGAATACAACCCCCCAACCGCCAACCTCGCCCCCACCACAACTAGCAACAGCGGCCTCGCCACAATTATTACAACGGGTAACCCTATCAGCCCTGTCAATGCTGCTCCTCCTCCCACATTCCCTGTCGGCATGAACCCTCCTGTTGCAGGCGGCCTGAGTCCCAACTCTGCTGCTATCAGCGCTGCAGACTCCTACTTTAACAATATTGGTTCTCAACAGATGGCCTCTATGAATCTAGGTGGTCGTGACAATGGCGATGTGGGCGGTGGCGGTTTCCAGACACAATATGTTGTGACTCAGAACTCGCAGCAGGGCTATCAGCCTCAGTTGGCTGGTGGTGCCGCTACGGGTGAGTTGCTGTTGTTATAGTCTCTCACACTCTGAGTGTGAGTAGGTTGTAATTGTAGATAGAGCCATGGCATGCCCGCCAGGTTGATAAGCATAGGGATTGGATCGTTACTTAATCTTTATTATTCTTGTTTATTGAATTCATTGGCCTTGGGCTCCTTCGGGCGAGACAGTACAATTGTGTGTAGATCTAGATAAGGTTCAATTTGACATTACTGATGTTCAAATTTGGATATCATCGCTAAGATAAAATCGACTAAGTAATACATGAGTAAACCCCATTTCCATATGGAGATGTGCAATGACTCCACGGCATAGAGAAAGGTATAAGAATACGAGCATCTTAATGTTGATTTCCTCACTCATCATCCATCTTCGACAATCCACCACGGCTGCGTCGGATGCGCTCATCAAGACTATCCTCTTGTACACGCTTGTGTACCTGGGACATGAACGCACCCCGGTCTGATCGCTGCCGGTCATCAGCTTCCCTCTGTGTTTCCTCTTTCTTGTCGATCTCGGCAATCCGCTGGTGTCGAATAGTTTCCAGTTCAGTGGCGTTGGACTGCATCTCTGCTAGCTTGCGGGCGCGCTCTTCTTCCAGAGCCTTGGGATCAGGTCTAGGCTGCGCAGGACGAGGCGGCCGGCCGAAGTTCTCGCGTCGGTTGTTGAAGTTGTTGTCGTTGCGTCGGGGGTAGTCACGACGAGTGTCTTGGTCCTGGGCGCGGCCATTGCGGACGTGAGTTGGGCGTGGCGAGGGACTGCGCCGACGGGGAGAAGGACGTCTAGGAGAAGAGCGTCGAGGAGACCGAGCGCGGTCGTTATCGTTGTCAGGCTTAGGATCGCGATCCCGTCGGTCGTCATGGGGGGAGGAACGTCGAGGAGACCGAGTGCGGTCGTTATCGCGATCCCGTCTGTCGTCGCGGTCCGGACGACTGCTGGTGTATGAATCTTTTCTCTCTCGGTAGTCACGGCGCCCTTGATCGCGGTCACGATCATCACGACGAGATCGTCCCTCATCGCTACGGTGGTCCCGATCCTCTCCACGAGTTCGGGCACGATCTCTTCCATCTCTCCGATCCCGACCATCGCGGTCCCTGTCACTGCGATGCCTGCGCGAAGACCTCTCCGCTTCAGTAGGCGATCTGGATCGACGGCGTTGTGACGAACGATGAGAGTGGTGTCTCGATCCATCATCCGCATCATCACTGTACCGTCTGCGCTTCGAATCATGATCCCGATGTCTCCGCTCTCTCTCATGGTCGCGCTTCCGATCCCCACCCCGCCTCTCCTCTCTCTCCTTCCGCTTTATGGTCTCCTTAACCATAGCCTCGTAGGCCGCCTGCTCCCTCTTCCTAACCTCGAAGAGAGGATCCGCCATAACCTTCGCCATGGTATCACGCGCTGAGCCAATAGATGGCCCAGCGGCGGCAGCGGCGGCAGCATTCGCACCAACAAGATCCGCGCCTTTCTCCAGCTTCTGGTTGTCGGTATCCTTTTTCAAAAGAATACCATCGATTCGCCGCTTCCCGAGCAAATATCCCTCCATCTCCTCGGTGTATTGGCCTGTTGCGCTCGAGGGCGCCTGATACATCCAGTCGACGCGGTTATGCGTTTTCTGTTTGCCGGATGCTTCCTGAAGGCGCTGAAGCTCTTGAATCTGTCGCTCTTCCTCGCGCTCTCGGCGAAGTTGTTCGATGCGTTTGCGCTCTTCTAGCGCTTTCTGTTCCTCCGACCATACGCGCTCTTGGTTGCGCAGCAGCGATGGGTGCCATGACCTGGTGTTGTGTTAGTGACTTGTTTTGAATCACTGGAAATAAACTATTTTCATCGGAAAAGAATGCGCAGATCCAAGTAACTTACTTCTTAAGGTTCAGATCACCACCCATATTGGCGATGGTTGGAAAAAGTGTTGGGCAAAGGGAAGGTGGAAGTTGAAAGTCGAGAGATGCTGCCCGATACGGAAGTTGCATTTATCGCCTGAGGCATGATGCATATTACGTAACCGACTGGAGGACCAAGTGAGATGACTAGTTCACTCGACTTTACTTACTATCCCACGACTTCTTAACGCAAACACGTCCCAATAATGTTAGAATTGTAGCAGGAGGACCGTATATTATTCTTCCAGTTTGCCAGACAGTTATTGACAACGAAAACAAGTGTTCTTGCTGATACAGCATGTCGGCTATTTATGCCCCAAGCCACGCCGTCTTACCATAGAGAGCTAAATAGAGAGATCCCTCAAGTAGTGAGTATTGATTATAGGGCTATGTAAATAGTGAAATGCTCAGGAGGGTGCAATCTTGGGAATTGGCAAGTCTGCTATATACTGAACTGTCGAGGCTGCCCATGCCGAAGTCTAGATAGGGTGCAGTCGGTGAAATACGTTCAGCATCATCTTTGCCTTACATTTTACACCTAAAATAGGAATGGATACATTGCAAATAGATACAGTCAAAGGAGAATAAGGGGAAAGGGCATACAGAGCAGAAACAACATTCATCTGCCTGGACGAGAAAAAGAGGGTGCACGCTCGCTCAATTCTCCAAACAAGAAAAAGACAACCATCCCGCCTCTTCCTCATTAACACATAAGCGGGATGGTCGAGAAAAATCAAAGAACAAGATAGAAACCAAGTAAGAAAGGAAGGAAGCGTCAACCTTAACTCATACACGAACCCACCTAATCTAGAAAGAAAAGACACGTTCAATGGGGATGCATGGGACAGTGCGTATTCCTTGCTTATTTGTTGTTCTCCCAGCCGATCCAGCTGCGTGGCATCACTCGCCAGACCTTGCACTCGCCACTACGCATGTCATTGAGCTTGAAGCTCTCCATCTTGACCTTCTTGCTTTCGCGTCCTTGCTCCCAGGCCCGGATCTTCTTCTTAGTACCATCCCAATCCACAACAATACCAACATGGTCAGGCTTGCCCACCTCGGAACTGTACTTCTGGTGCATAGTGCCACGGTGGCCTTGGAAACGAGCATTGCGGAAGCTCACAATATCACCCGCGCGGATCTCATCATTCTGTGTAACAGACGCATTGGCCAAATTTGAGTATACCAAAGCACCGTATGCCCGTGTACCGACGGGAAGCAATGCATCAGCAAGGGGATTCAGGAGATGCTGAACCAGACCAAAGGGAGTACCGTCTCCCACGGTGGTGTTTTGGTACGAGTTAACAGAATCGGATATCCGGGTACCAATTTGGTTGTGTGCCTGTTCCAACTGGTCCTGGCGGGGCTGAAGCGGAGGTGGTTCATGGCGTTGCTCCAGGGCAACATCTGCAGGGTTCCTGGGATCGAACTGAGCTGCTATAACAGTCTGGGAGTAGTCCATGAAAAGGATATAAATATCCTTTGACACCGTTGTCTTGCCCCCGCGCTTCGAGGAGGAGGATTCCTCAACCTCGAAGAGTACATCCTTTCGATTTTGAATAGATGGAGGCGGGGTGTTAGGCTGAGTCCACCAGAGGGTGCTCTCAGCGTAATCTATGTCGGTAGCAATGTAGCCTTGATCAATGGAAGGACGAGAAACGTCCATGGAGCGCCGAATATTGGACGGGCCCCTTGTCATATCAATAGAAGGGCGCGAGCTGCGACCCGCAGAAGGCGAGGGCATAGCTGGGAGGACCTGGCTTGGGTTAGGCAGTGGTGCCAGAGATAGACGTTTCTGAGAAATCGGAATACGCGGCGCCTCGGTCGTTGGACTTTGTACTGGAGATTCGTCATATAACTCATCGAAGCTCTCTCTCACTGGCGGCTGCGGAGGGAGAGGAGGGGGTGCCTCTGGGCGACCACTGGGAGGGGCTGGAGGAGTAGGCAGGCCATGTCTAGGCTCAACATAATTGAAGGGGTCATACTCGTCATCTCCGCCGTACGATGGCTCTCGGCCCGGTGGGGGTGGAGGCGGTCCTCGAGGTGTATCAATAGAAGCTCGAGAACTGCGAGGAGGCTGACTCGGAGGCAGAGGCGGGACTCCTCTTGGCGCAGCAGTCGGAGGAAGAGGTGGAGGAGGACGAGATTCCGGAGGACTGCGAGGGGATTGAAGGGAATAATCATCGGTCATCATGCCCTCATCAAAGCTGGAGTCCCGCTCATGTGCCCTCAGTGCATCCTTGTGCTTAACACCGGACGCGATATCAGTGTCGTAGTCGCCGTCATACTCTGTCACTTCTCCTTCAACTTCGTCTCCAGCCTGACGGGGAGCGGAGATAGCACTACCGCGACTATCCGCGGTGGAGCGCCGGCGTGGCTGATTTGGAGGTGGTGGAGGCGGGGCACGACTCTGCGCCGGTGGCATAGGTGGGTTTGATGGAACTGGAGGAGGTGCGCGACTAGCTCTCTTTTCGGTAGTTGATGTCGGAGGTAAAGGAGGTGGAGTGTCATATGTTGAGGAACGACGAGAGTCAATGGTGTCAGGAATTGCGGGAGCAGACATAGCCGGGGCATTGTCCGTAACAGAATCCAAAGACAGGTTCCCTGCATGCACAGATAACTCATCATCAGATTCATTACCTGGGTCCATGCCAGATGCCCTGGGTGGAGGGGGGACAGGTCGGCCTAAAGGTATTTTATTAAAATTCTGTTTCACGTCAAAAGGGGTGATATTCGCTAGGAACTTACCTCCTGGAACCGGGGGAGGAGAGGCTAGTTGCTCCGTGGGCAGGGCAGGTGGGATAGGTCGAACTTCCAAGGGCGGAGGAGGAGCAGCCCGTTCTAGCAAGGCATTAGACATGTCTTCTTTAGACTATTGAAGAGAGATCACTCACCACGGGTAGGAGGAATAGGAGGACGATCAATAGAGGAACGTGGAGGAGCACCTTCGTGAACAACATCTTCGACATCCGCTACCTCCTGTGGGGCATGTTGTTCAGTGATAGGAGTTGCCAAAGACTCCTCTTCTTCCTTTTCAACTTCGACAGGCTGACCCGGTCTGACACCAATGCTCATCCCAGGAAGGGGAATCATTGGAACTGGAGGAGCATGGCCTGGGGATGTCGGCTCAGGCTCAGCAAGCCTTTTTTCTGACTCGCCAGGAGTCTTAGGCTTGCGAGCGGCAGGGGCGCTGCCACCCATGCCCGGCAAGCCACCTGGGGGACCGAAAAGTCCCATCATACCCATGCCACCACTCATCTTGGCCATTCGATTGCGAAGTTCCATTCTGCGTTTGGTTTCAGGGTCCATTTCTTCCTCTTCCTCCTCCTCCTCTTCTTCGTCGGCATCCTCCGATTCATCCTTCTGTTCAGCGTGAGCCGGCGGGGCTGGAGCCTGACGAGGATGCTCCTCCTCGTCATCTCTGCTGGTGGAAGTCTCCCCGGCATCCTCGGAGTCTGCCGCGGCAGAATAGTCGGCGTCATTCGATTCGCTGGCGATCTCTTCTTGAGGTGAGAACGGAGTGGGCAGAGCGTGGTGAGCTTTAGCTCTCAAAGTATCAACACTGGGGTCTCGAGGAGCTGTCGGAGGCTCAATAGGAGGAGACGCCTGTTCTTCCTCCTCGTCTTCTTCAGCTGCGGCAGTTTCCACAGGCTGCTCAACGGGCTGCTCGACGGTCTTTTTTGGGGGCTTCGGCTTTTCCTTTTTCTGAGCAGCCTCGGCGTGGCGCTGCGCTTGTTCAAGCTGCTGCTTTTGAAGAAGAGCTATCCGATCCTTCAGGCTTGTAGGCTTTGGCTGATCCTCCGCGCCCTCCCCAGACTCCTGTGCTGGCGGGGGCGGGGGTCGGAATTCAGAGATAGGAGCTTCCCGGGCGAGTTGTTCCTTAACCTCTGGATCCTCCTCTCTCTTGTAAACTTTCGCAGCAGGCTCCCGCGGTGGAGCCACGAATGAGTCCTTGCTTGGAGGTGGAGCAACGAACTGCTTCTTAACAAAAGAGGACGGCTGTTGACCACCAGGCTTGATAGGGGCAATTGGCGCGGCAGCAGACCTGTTGAATGCAGCAATGCGGTCTTTAAATGAGTTCCCTGCGGGCTTCTCCGGTGGTGGTGGCTTTGCAGATGCCTTCGCTGGGGGTGAGGTGGGGGCCACAGCAGCAACGGGAGCGGGGGCCGGAGCAGACTGACGGGGAGATGATGGAACCTCCGCAACTGGAGCGGGAGCAGGCGGGTTAGGAGGTAGAACCGGCGACTGGGGAGCAGGGACTTGTTGGGGAGCTGCTTCGGGTTCCTCCTGTTCCTCGGGCTGCGCCGTTACCTCGGGTTCTGGTTGGATTGGGCTCTCGGGAACAGCCACGGGAGATACCACCGGTGCAGGCTCGGCTTCCTTCTTCGGTCTGGTTGGGCGTGCCGGCCGCGGGGGCGCTGGAGGTTCATATCGCTCGACGAAGTTCTTGGGGAAGATACCCTCTTGCTTGACTCCCGAACTGTCTGTGTATTCGCCATTGTACCACTCGGTATCCTCCTCGGAGGTGACGGTTACGATCTGACCGATTGGGAAGCTAAGGTCGTCATCGTGGCCTGAAGCATACTCGAAGATGGCTCGAACCGTGAAAGGCGGGTTGGACATCTGGAAAATCGACCACGTTCACGGGACGGGAGCGGAGGTAAAGAGAACGCTAAACAACGTGTAACGGCAATCCGGCGAGAACTATACAGGGCCGAGCACCAGCTCAAGTACGTGCAGCATGCAGCGTTTGTTTAAGTTCTTGGGGGAGGGGAAACAATTTTTTGGCCTGTAGCCCGAAGAGTCGGTCAGCGTGGAACACAACTGGTGCCTAGTAGTCGGAGATGAGGGGGTTGGAGGAGAGGAGGAGGGGGCCGGTTGGAAAGGGACTCACGCAGGGGAAATACTATCGATCATCCGAAAGTAGTAAGGATTGAGAATCGATGCACAAGGATGATCGGAAGCAAAAAAAAAGACACGAATGGGGGATAGGGAGGGGAAGTGGAAAGAAGGAAGGTAAGGTGGTCGTCACTTGGCGGGATGAGGGAACAGAGGCTCCACTGACGATCGGCGGCTAACAAGCAAGCAACTGAACCAAGGTACACGAATTACGGGAAATATAATTATTTGGCCTATATGAGGGGATTCTGATCTGTCCTTGGGCAACTATCGATATTATTTCATTTGTATAGATGGGGAAATGTACTAGCTCACGTAACTTCTATGTAAAATGTAATCAACTCGCTGAACTTATACAAGTGCATGCGAATTCAAACATCGTAGAACAAATCACTTGATAGGCGAGTCCTTTGTCAAATATCAAATTTAATCTGTACCCAAGCTATACCCCGCTTCAGCCCAATACATTGAGTGAAGTGTCATGGCTCTTATTGGCGAACATGATGTAAACCCCGGGGTTTTATTGCTGGTTCCCGTCATTCCGTTTTTTGGGGGGGTTAAGACCCGCGAACCATAATTTCCTACTTTTCCCTTCCCCCAACTCTCGACAAAACAATATTACTGAACAGTGAATCTACTTTCTCAAACATTATGGCACCCTCACAAGGCCCCTCAAAATCCATACTTAAAACATCCCTGCCCTCTACATTCGCCGCCATCTCCGCCGAACAACTAACGCCACACCGTCCGTCCTTGTCACAGGAAGAGCAAGATAAATACCTCCAGGGCAGACCCGGTGCAAGTTCACGCCATCTGGATATTGCACTGCAGCATGCGCAGCAAATTCAGGCGCAGAAGGATGCCGAGGAAATGATCCTAGATCGCACGATCGAGCTCCTCGCCATCCCCGCCTCATCCAGTGCAGACCCAGCTTTGCCCTCAGCAGACGAGGCACAGGCTTTCAAGTCTGCAGTGGCCTCATTTCGCCCGAGCGATTACGATAATTATATTATGGAGCGGAACTACGAGGATTTTTGTGGCTATGGGCTTTGCCCCCGCAAGAATCGCAAGGAGACAACCAACGCCAAAGGCCAGACATTCCACTTTAAATACGGCGCCAAGGGAAGCGGACCTGGTGGTCGTGGTCGCAGCATGGATATTGTGCCTCGGGAAAAGCTGGAGAAGTGGTGCTCGGACGAGTGTGCCGAGCGAGCGCTCTTCATTCGTGTGCAACTGGCCGAGGAGCCTGTTTGGGAGCGACGTGCCGGTGACATTCAGGGCATGAGAATTCTTTTGTTGGAAGAGGCTCGTGCAAAGCGCCAGAAGCAGCCCAAAGCTGAAAGCTCATCCGCCGCGGAAGTCACTGCTGAAATGGAGAACTTGAAAATCCAAGACCCCGATCGCTCACGCGAGCTCGCTATGGAGCGTGGCGACAAATCCACCTCGGTCTTTCGTGATGGGCGAGTGGATATCCAGATCAAGGAAAAAGAACATGGGTCTGGAACCTCCGCTACCACACCGCAACGACGGCCAGAGGACGCTTCGGGTGGATCCATTGAAGGATATGTTCCCCAAAATGTAGGAAACAAGCGCTCGACACAGGAAGACGAGGGTGATCTGCTTGATCAAATCTAAGATGGTCGAGGCCATGGCATCATACGGCGTTTTCGAGCGGTTTACAGATAATACCCTGGAGGCATATCGAAGCATACGGAAGTCAAAAGTCTACGAAATGACCATAAATTGATCTTGGGCTGCACCATAACCAGCATAGAACCAGTATCTGAGCATACCCTCGACCAATGGTCTGGGTCTTCCGGAACAAAGATCCAGGAACCCCTACGTAGTTATGACCTGGGGACAGATGTCCACATAGGTACAAACACGGGGAAAATTTTGGCAATCAAGCGTCATCCCCAGAGGGGAATCAGCGACACCTTTGTCATAGGGAATCATTTTTTCATTCCTCATCCATAGATAGCCTCCATTATCATGCTAAACCCATGATATCCGGGGAAAAGCCAGCCAGAACAGGTATCGGGAAACGCCGTGGGTGTCGACCGAAGACAAGCACTTTTGGATATTATCGAGGGTGCTGAATTTAGCGGGGACCGAAGCGGCGGGGGCGCTCAGCCTGCTGCTGCTGGGAGACGGTAACGACGTTGACCTTGAGGTTGTCGAACTGTACCAAGTTAGAAGAAATTCTCGGAAATATGAGTAGTCGTCGTCAACTTACGCCGAGGCTCTTGAGCAGGTCCTTGGTCTCAGCATCGACATCAAGCTGGCCAGACTCGGTCTGGGAGACGTCAAGGGCGGAGACCTCAGGGACGTACTGGTCCTTGCGCTCACGCTCCTCCTCCTGAAGCTTGAAGGAGATACCGCGGACGGGGCCACGCTGGATACGCTTCATCAAGTGGGTGGTGTAACCAGCAATCTTGTTGCGGAGACGCTTGGAGGCAATGATGGCTGCGAAGAAATTAGTTTGCTGACCCATGAACATTCGCGAGGAATAACTAACCGATCTCATCGCAAATGCGCTTGTTGGTCTCGAAGTCGAGGGTCAACTTGGGGTAGTAGCGCTCGATGATGACCTTGGCGGACCGCTTAACGGTCTTAGTACGGACGCGACCCATTTTGGCGAATTGTTGGCTGGAAGGATGTTCAGGGAGTAAATTCGAAGTATCACCAGTTTGGATAAGGGTCGGCGGTTGCTCTCGCTTAGTCTTTGTGGATCCCAGCCCTAGCCCAGCCCTAGGTCACGTGCTGGAACACATGTCTATTATGTCATGACTTCTATATCTTGATGCCTCAGGCATCATTACAAACAACATCCATTTATTTAATCATGTTATTTCGGTAACAAGAGAACCGTTAAGTGGCCTAAATCTTGTTTCAATCTCATGTTCCTGCCAACGAGGTCGGAATGCACATCGCCAGGCCTCTACGATGACTGCCTCAGATCACGACAGTGAGGACTTGGAATACACTTTTCCTCAGCTGGAATTTCCACAATCAACCTTGGAAGTACAAGCTCTCGTCACAGGATTAATATTTTTTAGGAGCAGGCTCTAATAACCATACTTTTATTTTTGAATGCATTGGATTCTCCCCGCAAAAACAATTTAGGCAGACGAATACGGTAAGAATCGCCACATATGCGATCAAGCACTTGAAACTGTGGGCCTATGGCATGTGGATCATGCCCACGCTCGAGTGTCGGGATCATTTTGAAGCTTTCGGGCTTTATAATGTACTCTGGTCACGGAAGCCTGGAGAAACATGAAGTTTTAGCTACATTCAAGGAAGCTGATACAACAAATTTATAAAAAGTAACGTCATGTAGAATGAATATGCCATGTAACTTGCAGAGGTCGCTATGACAGAAACTAACGCGACAATATTGCACACTTGCGACGTGTGTGTTTCAACAAAAAAAAGTAAGGACATAGATACTCAGTAATTTCGTGGCAAGCCGTGGCTCCGTGCCTTAATGGCAGCCTTTACTGTCAAAACACGTACCAAGGACTTGGGGCGCCTGAGAGGTGTCCAAGCGACAGAAGCACGATGCCCTAATCGGGACATCCGCTACCGCAAGTGCCAACTTAACCGGCTGTTCGATCACAGCTGCCTCCTCCATCCTTCCCAATCGAGTCAGACACTCATGATATCCCTTCAGTGACCAAACGTTGTTAGGGTGCCGACGCGGTCGAATGATAGAGCTATCCAGACCCAAATCCGCGCGATACGTCTTTGCCGCTTCTTCCAAATGACCCTGCTCCATTAACAAAGCAGCATATGCGTGTCTGACAGGTTGCATCCAAGACCAAGGCTCACTGTAAGGCAATGCGTCTTCGAGATCGATTGCACGGCGCATGGCCGCGAATGCATCGTCATAGCTAGCGCATCGGTATTGGATCTCTCCTTCAAGCATGGCTGCGGCTACCTTGAGTACGTCGACCATTTTGCCATTGTATGCTCTGCGGCTCCTAGGTACTCGAGCCCAGGCTTCATGGAAGAGATCTTGTTCTTGTTGAGCCGAGGCCACTTCTCCCGTGGCGGCGAATGCTACGCCTCGTGCATAGTGGATGACGGCAGTGGTGCTTGCATATAGGACTGGATCTACAGGTAGTTCTTTGTGCTTGAGCTCTTCCCACATGCCGAAGCGTACCATTACATGGATACCAACTGACATAAATTGTTCTAACCAGTCAGCCATTGGCGGAGACTGGATTCGAAGGACTTCCTCGGGTACTGTGGATTCCATGCGAGTGACCGCATCGAGAGCAGTTTTGGATTTGCCGGCAAACATAGCCGCATAGACCAAAGAATGATAGTTGTGCATGCGGTAGAAAGTATAGAAGTTCTTCGCCCCTGCTTTTCGGAAATATTTGTCGTCCACGACGGTTGCTTTGGAGTTTGAAGCAATAGAGCGCCGCCAATCACCGATCAGAATATCCAAGTGCGTAGGCATGTGGTGAATGTGTCCGGCATCGGGGACAAGATCGCGTAGATAGTCGGCAACATTGATGCCTAACTCTGGAGTCGGTGACATTTCAATGAAGTGAATGTACAAATGAAGAAGTCCAGGATTGAAATTCGCACCGTCTTGTTCCTGTGCTAGCGCTCGGTCTAGCACGGCTTTTACTTCTATAGTCGGGGCTATTGGGTTTGGTTTGCCTGTGAAGAGATTCCACAAGGCCCATGGGGCCATATTCATCAATGAATCAGCATATAGCGTAGCAACATTCAGATCATGGCCGAATTCATCGTAGACTGGTTTCATGGCGCTGGCGTATTTCTTATTGACGGCGTGGTAATCTGTGGCAGGTTGATCAGTTGGGAAGCGTGATTGTATAGCCTCGATTACACCCTTCTCGAATGTAGTCACATTCCCCGCTAGTTTTTTTGCAGTTCGAGATGCTTCATAGCCTCGCTTGACAGAGGCATGGAGATCATCGTGGTCGAACTTATTCCACGCTTTGTTATAGTTCGGTCCAACAGCATATGCGATGCCCCAGTACGCCATCGCACAGAGAGGATCATGTGCAGCGGCCTGTTGAAAGCAATAGGCACCTTCTGCATGATTAAAGGAGTATACCCAAATGAGACCTCGATTGAACCAGGTCTGGGCGTCGACACTAGTGGTGGTAATAGCACAGCAAAACGAGCCTACATTATAGTACTCGTCGCTGGCTGAGACAGGTGAGACGGTTTCTCGAGCCATGGTGATGTTCGCTCATAGAGAGAATTAAATAGCACCCAAAATTTGAATGACAATTGAATGCTAGAAAGCGAGAATGAAGGAAATTTTTCAAGGTCAATTTATACTTCAAAGTTCTACGGAGATCACGTCACATAACGATCTAATCCGCCACTTATCGAGTCACTTGATCAAACGCCGTAACATTAACAAATCAAACACCGGTAGAAACAAAAAGTTCGGACTTAAACTTGGATCAGTGCATATAGGTTACTTAGAATTCTGGAACCTTGGTTGTCTACAGGAACACAGTATGTAGGTAGGTACATCCACATTGAGGTGGTTTGGGATGATGTTAAAAAACAAAATTCCATATTTACTATTGAAATAACTCAGGATTGATGCATCGGATTTATATCACAAGTTAAAAAAGGATGAGAGTAGCTTTACACAAGCACCAGGTCTAATCGTACAATTCGCAGCAAATTTCGCTCATCTCCCGCTCTTCCATTCATTGCTTCGAGTTCAAGTTCTGCATGAGACTGCGGGCAACATCCTCAGTGGCTTGCTTCGGCTGCCGTGTTTTATACTCCCGAGAAGGTCTGAAACGCGCCTGGTTGAGATCTCTGTCCAACCGTGGGACAAAGCGAGCATCGCGGCGGGCAGCCGATGTAATGCTGGTGGCGGTCTCCTTCTTGAGGTCTTCCATTCCGTATGGTGCCTTAGCGGTCGTGCTTGCACGGTAGGAAGACAGACCGATGCGACCCTTGGAGTCGACGGAGGCTCGGATCGGAGTGACCCAGTATTTAGCGCCTCCCGGGATTGTTGCGTCGAAGGAAGTCAAACCAGAGGGTGTTCCTTGCTCAACGAAAGTCATAGCGTTCAAGTCCTCCACGGCAATACCACCAACACCAGCGATGGCCTTAGATGTCTGGCCCTTGAATCGGCCCTTGGGACGCAGGATACGGGCCTGGACCGGACGCTGGAAGGCCTGGGGGCCATGTAGCGGATGGTTGTATGTGAAAGCGTGAGATCGGGTGTATGAAAGACCGGCAGAGGGGTGTGTCTGGGGGGGACCGCTCACGGCGTATTCGGCGGCAGACAGCTGGGTTCCGGGGGATTGGTAGTACTTGTCTCCAATTCGGTCGCTGGGCACAGCCGGGGGTGACGGAAGGTCAAGCAATTCAAAGACGGCCGGACCGAGGGCAAACGGATCCTCACGCAGAGACTTGATGTGTGTTTGGAACTCCTCATCGGTGACCTTGACGGGCTCAAGCTCTTCCAAATCCCCTCCGTTGTCCTGTGCTTGTTTCCGAGCCTCCGCAAAGAGCTTGGCCTCCAACCGCTCACGCAATTTCTGCAGCAAGACGGGCTTCTGGGCCCGTACTTCCTTCAGGTAGGCTTGGAACTCAGCCTCTGTCTGTCCAACCAACCAAGGTCCAGCGTGTCTAAATTGTTTGGAACCGGGTACATCGCGCCCCTGGCTAGTCTCTGTGTTGTCGACATGTTTCTCGAACGGACTCTGGTGACGAGGGACAATGCTGGTGGCATAATTGACCTTGGAGGGAAGAGACATTGGCATGTGCAACTCTTGGAACTTCTCCAGGGTCATGGTGTGATCGGCGGCGGATTCGAAATCGGTGACATGTTCGTAGGTATCCAGGGCCTGGATTCTAACAACTGGTCTTTGAGACTTCTCAGAAGTTGCCTTAGCCGGAAGTGGACGTTTCAGGCCCCAATGGCCTCGGGCGAGTGATTTCGGCGGCGTGACAATGGAGGCTCGGATGGGATATGGGAGGGTTGCGGTGTTCGACTCGAAGACAGCCTTCGAAGATGCCGGGTCTTGTGGGGTTTGCAATGCCTGTGGGAGTGCAAACAAACGTGACTTCCGAAGAAGATGCGCCGTTGGCGAAATCCGAGCGGTCGCCATATTTGCTCAATGCCACGATATAATAGAGCTGAACGGAGATCGCGCAAGAAAAGTTGGCCGGCACACGGGCCACGCACGGCTAACCACAGCGACCTGACACGCAATTTTCTACATCTCCACCAACAACTACTCTACATAATCGGATTCCGGTTACAGTTCATGAGTGTTTAAAGTTTGTAACATATTCTTTATTTTGTCAATTTTCTTCAAGAAATGTGAGACATCAGTTCCTGGTTTATATCAAGCACCAACTTCTAGCAGAGAGTCGGCTGTATCCAAGATTGTCTGCTTGAATGACCGATAATTCAATCCCAGCACTTCCCGGGACTTGCTGTTATCGAACTCGTAAATGTTGCTGGGCAAGTCATCCACTGCATCTGCAGAAGGAAGCTTCGACTCTAGCTTGGCGTGTGTCTCACGAAGGGTATCGGCGGCTTGCTTATTAGAAAAATAACCGGCCACGACGAAGAACCTCTGACCACCAGCCTCAGCAACCTCAATGGCCTTGACATGTGCCAATGCAACATCACGGACATCCACCCAGAGGAAGGTTCCTGTCGGGGGGATCTTCTCCTTGAATTTGCCTTGGATCAGATCCCGTACCCGCTGATTAGAAGTGTTGATAGCCTCCAGAGAGTTCAGGTAATGAACGATGGGACCGAAAACCAAGGGTGGGTTGATGGTAGCAAGATCAAAGTTAGGCTTCTCTTTTTCAACAAAGTCCCACGCTGCTTTCTCAGCGAAGGTCTTGAAAAGAGTACATGTTAGCTACGACGTCATCATTTTATGGTACGTTTAAGAATTCCTCACCTTACTAGCCCGATAGACTTGTGAATGATCCAGCGCCTCGTCCCATGTTACAGGGTTCCAGCTCTTTTCACTATAGACCTTTGGGTGTTGCTTGCTGTTGACAATGGCCGCAAAAGATGAAGTGACCACAACCCGCTTTACGGAGGGAGCGTAGGCCTTAATGGCTTTGAGAACACCAGTAGTTCCCTTGATTGCAGGATCTAAGAAATCCTTCACGGGATCACTGACGTTAAAGTGGAATGGCGATGCCGTGTGGAGAACATAATCAAAAGGCGGGTTTGACTTGACAGCCTATATTGAGTGGATTAGCCTTCAAGGTCTTCAAATGAACGTAATCAAAATCAATTACCTCATCAAATGCTCCATCCTGAGCAACATCCTTGACAATGACATAGGAAAGCTTTTCTTTGGGGGTGTCCGGGTGAGCGTCAAGAATGCGCTTACCCTTTTCCTCCGACCGAACGGTCACCACGGTATCATAACTAAGGAGATACAATCAGAAATTGGAAGCTGGAGCTTTTGACATTCATTTCATACCCACGTTGTAAAAGAATATCAACGATATGAGCCGCGATAAAGCCACTACCACCTGTTCGATAAATGATTAGATCCATGTTGGGAAAAGAGAAATGGATTTGAGGATGTCCTACCAGTGAGGAGAACCTTGACCATTGTGTCGATTTGAATAAACGGATTATTGAACTTGTATCGATTGAGGATGAGGAGCTTTGAAGTACCGGGGGAATTGCTCTTGTTTTATGGTTCCCCCATGCCCCTCGATCCCGTCATCGATCCCCACCTATTGGTCCACAGTCCACCTATAGTTAAACATCGAACTCGTCGATTACAAATGAGAATGGCCATAACTTTCAAGTTTACTTTCCAGTCTCTCCACCTCCGAACGGAATTTAAAAAATAAACCCGAGTAACTCCGTTTTCTGCTTAGATATGTCTTTTCTTTGAACAAACCCCGGGGACGATCGGTTACCGCTACATTATACCGTACTGCGGCCAAAGACTGAACGTGCGTCTTATCGGAGAACAGTACACGAAACAGGTTTATATTCCTGCAAGTCTACTAGTATCAGTAGGCTTTCACTCTAACGACAGCTATGTCAGTACCGCACAACCTGTTTGCGGACACGTCAACCCACAAGTGCCGATTGGTCACGTTTCTGGAGATATTCAAGTCTAAAATTTGTTCGGCGCTAATTGTACTGGTAGAAGCAAGTCTGAGAAAATTGAACTCCGTACTCATCAGAAATATCCCCGCATCCTTACCTGTGAAGGTGCTGCGTCTAACCGTTAACATAGTCCCCGCAGTTGGATTGCCTACTATCAATAATAATATGGACCGCATAGCGACCTCGGAAAGGACATAGCAGCCTTGTGTAAGTCAATGCATGAACAGTAATTAGTGACTAGTAACATACTTTGAGAACGTTTTCTCGCAATTTGGTGGGGAATTGAGATAGGTTTACCCCGTATGGTTGTGTACATAATTGTACATCCATGTAAGTAGGTGAGATGCTTCCAATATTTTTTCAATGGCTACCAAATAATTCCTCAAGAATGCCTAGTTATACAATGGTCTAACCAATCCTCAAAATAGATGTTGAACTACCTAACTTCTCTCCTGAGTTGAACGTCAGGTGGTTCACCGAGGTGGTCTGTGCACCCGCGGTCTTCAACCTGGAGCCTCACACATGACCTTCCCTCATCACCTTATGCGTCTTGCGCTTCTGCTTTTCCTAGGTAGGCTTCCAATGTCCACCTTGGGGTGCAGCTTGCAAATATGGCGCAAGCAGGCCCTATCACCGACGTGACCCAGAGGCTATTTGTGGAATTGAAGTCGAAGAACGAGGACACCCGACACCGAGCTGCCTATGAGCTCTATGACAACGTCTTATCAGTCTCACGAGGTACGAGTCTGACTTGTCCTCCGGAAAATCCTCCCTGAGCACAGCTGACCAATTTCCTCTCACAGACTGGCCTTCCGAGAAATTTGTGGAGTTTTACAATGCTGTTAGCCAAAGGATTGCCCAGCTGGTGGTAACGGGTAGCGATGCAAATGAGAGAATCGGCGGACTCCTTGCCCTTGACCGACTCATCGATTTCGACGGTGTAGATGCTGCTCAAAAGACCACCCGTTTTGCCAGTTACCTCCGGAGTGCCCTTCGAAGCAATGATAGTGCGGTGTTGATTTGCGCTGCCCACTCGCTGGGCCGACTGGCGAAGCCGGGCGGGGCACTGACCGCAGAGCTGGTGGAAAGTGAGATTCAGTCCGCGCTGGAATGGCTACAATCAGAACGTCAAGAAAGTCGACGGTTTGCCGCGGTGCTTGTCATTGGGGAGCTGGCAAAGGGCTCCCCCACTCTCCTGTACGGCTTCGTGCCCCAGATCTTCGAACTCATCTGGGTTGCACTGCGCGACCCGAAAGTCCTTATCCGAGAGACTGCAGCTGAGGCCGTAGGCGAGTGTTTTGAAATCATTGTGGCTCGAGATGCACAAGTTCGCCAATCATGGTTCGCTCGAATCTACGAAGAAGCCTTGCTAGGCTTGAAATCTCACAACGTCGACTGGATCCACGGATCTCTTTTGGTCATGAAAGCACTAATTTTGAAAGGCACCATGTTCATGAATGAGCACTACCGAAATGCCTGTGAGATTGTCCTACGCCTCAAAGACCACCGAGACACCAAGATCCGCACCCAAGTCGTTCTTACCATCCCCATCCTCGCAACCTACGCCCCGACCGACTTCATCGAGATTTATTTACACCGCTTCATGATCTACCTCCAAGCACAATTGAAGCGAAAAGAAGAACGTGATTCCGCTTTTATCGCTATCGGAAAGATTGCCAATGCGGTAGGACCGGCCATCGCCCAGTATCTGGACGGGATCATCATCTATATCCGAGAAGGACTCGCAATGAAAGCCCGGAACCGATCTGGTACCAATGAGGCCCCCATGTTTAAGTGTATCAGCATGCTTTCTCTGGCAGTGGGACAGGCCCTCAGCAAGTACATGGAGGCTTTATTGGACCCTATTTTCGCCTGCGGTCTAAGCAAGTCGTTGACCCAAGCTTTGGTTGATATGGCTCACTATATCCCTCCGATTAAACCCACCATCCAAGAGAAATTGCTAGATATGCTTAGCATCATTCTTTGTGGAACACCATTCCGCCCTCTGGGCTGCCCAGAGAACCGCCTTCCCCCCATGCCATCATTTGCAAAGGATTTTGCACCCCAAGACCTGCAGTCTGATGCTGATATTGCATTAGCCCTTCACACCCTCGGCAGCTTCGACTTCTCAGGTCACATCTTGAACGAGTTCGTTCGCGATGTTGCCATCAACTATGTGGAAAATGACAACGCTGAGATCCGAAAGGCCTCAGCCCTCACATGCTGTCAACTGTTTGTTCACGATCCGATTATCAATCAGACTAGTGGCCATTCTATCCAAGTCGTCAGTGAAGTCATCGATAAGCTATTGACTGTTGGTGTTGGTGATTCGGACCCTGAGATTCGACGTACAGTCTTATGGTCACTGGATGCGAAATTTGATCGACATCTGGCACGACCGGAGAACATTCGGTGCCTGTTCCTCGCTGTCAACGATGAAGTATTTGAAGTCAAAGAAGCTGCGATCTGTATTATTGGGCGTCTTTCTAGTGTGAACCCGGCCTATGTCTTCCCGCCGTTGCGAAAGTTGCTGGTCAATCTCCTGACTGGACTGGGTTTTGCAAACACCGCTCGCCAGAAGGAAGAAACCGCCCAACTCATTAGTTTGTTTGTCTCGAACGCGACTAAACTGATTCGATCGTATGTGGATCCAATGGTGACAGCCCTGCTGCCCAAAGCCACAGATGCCAACCCCGGTGTCGCTGCAGTCACATTGAAGGCTGTTGGGGAGCTTGCTAATGTCGGCGGAAGTGAGATGAGACGTTATCTACCTCAGATTATGCCTATCATTCTGGATTCTCTTCAAGATCTCTCCTCACATACCAAGCGTGAAGCTGCGCTGCGGACCCTGGGACAGCTCGCCAGTAACTCCGGTTATGTGATTGAGCCATACATGGAGTACCCACATCTTCTCGATGTGCTGATTAACATCACAAAGACCGAGCAGACCGGGACTCTTAGAAAGGAGACTATCAAGCTCATCGGTGTTCTCGGCGCACTTGACCCCTACAAATACCAACAAATCAGTGATGTTGAGCCCGATGTTCACCATATCAATGAAATCCAGAGTGTCTCGGATGTCGCGTTGATCATGCAGGGCCTCACACCGTCAAATGAGGAGTATTACCCAACTGTGGTCATTCATACCTTACTACAAAATATCCTGCGCGAGAACTCTTTGGTCCAGTATCACTCGGCCGTGATCGACGCCCTTGTCACCATTTTCAAGACACTAGGCTTAAAATGCGTACCGTTCCTCGGACAAATCATCCCCGGCTTCATTGGCGTCATTCGCAGCTCTCCTGCGAGCCGCCTCGAGTCTTATTTCAATCAAATGGCCATTCTGGTCAACATTGTGCGACAGCATATCCGAGCCTTCTTGCCAGAAATTATTGAGGTTATTCGTGATTTCTGGGACTCATCATACCAGGTGCAAGGTACCATTTTGTCTCTAGTCGAGGCTATCGCCAGATCGTTGGAAGGAGAATTCCGAAAGTACCTGGCTGGTCTGGTTCCACCAATGCTGGACACCCTTGAGAAGGACACAACATCCCGTCGTCAGCCATCAGAGAAGATTCTCCATGCTTTCCTGATCTTTGGATCTAGTGGTGAGGAGTACATGCATCTTATAATTCCTGCCATTGTGCGTCTTTTTGATGGAGCCCAGAATCCTCAAAGCATTCGCAAGTCTGCTATCGACAGCCTGACTAAACTGTCGCGACAAGTCAACGTGTCAGATTTTGCATCCCTCATGGTGCATTCTCTGTCCCGTGTTGTGGCTGGCACTGACCGCGTGTTGCGTCAAGCTGCTCTGGATTGTATATGTGCTTTGATATTCCAGCTTGGCCAGGATTTCACACATTACATCCATCTTCTGAACAAGGTCCTCAAGCAGCATCAGATCAGCCATGTCAATTACCAGATTTTGGTCTCAAAGCTCCAGAAAGGAGACCCACTTCCGCAAGATCTCAATCCCGAGGAGAACTATGCGTTCCCGGTTGATGATACCAACTATGCAGAAATCGGGCAAAAGAAGATGGTTGTGAACCAGCAGCATTTGAAGAATGCATGGGATGCCTCGCAGAAGTCTACCCGTGAAGATTGGCAGGAGTGGATCCGCCGGTTCAGTGTAGAGCTCTTGAAGGAGTCACCGTCTCCTGCACTGCGGGCATGTGCCAGCTTAGCTGGAATCTATCAGCCGCTGGCCCGAGATCTGTTCAATGCCGCCTTCGTGTCATGCTGGACTGAATTGTATGACCAATATCAAGAGGAGCTTGTTCGATCGATTGAAAAGGCCCTCACCTCGCCGAATATCTCACCTGAGATTCTGCAGATTCTGCTCAATCTGGCCGAGTTTATGGAACACGATGACAAAGCTCTTCCCATCGACATCCGCACTCTTGGCAAGTATGCGGCCAAGTGCCACGCCTTCGCCAAGGCCCTTCACTACAAGGAACTCGAATTCGAACAGGATCAAAACTCGGGTGCTGTCGAGGCCTTAATCACCATCAACAACCAACTTCAGCAATCTGATGCCGCCATTGGTATCCTCCGCAAGGCCCAAGCGTATCGTGATGTGGAGCTGAAAGAAACATGGTTTGAAAAGCTTCAGCGATGGGATGAGGCGCTCGCGGCCTATAAGAGGCGTGAAAGAACGGATCCGGACTCCTTTGGTATCACCATGGGTAAGATGCGCTGTCTTCATGCTTTGGGCGAGTGGAAAGTTCTCTCGGACCTGGCGCAAGAGAAATGGAACCAAGCATCCCTGGAGCATCGCAGGGCTATTGCTCCGCTTGCTGCGGCTGCCGCATGGGGTCGTCGACAGTGGGAACTGATGGATTCCTACCTTGGTGTTATGAAAGAGCAGTCGCCCGATAGATCTTTCTTTGGTGCTATTCTTGCGATTCATCGCAATCAATTCGAGGAGGCCAACATGTACATCGAGAAGGCACGCAACGGCCTGGACACTGAACTTTCTGCCCTTCTTGGAGAGTCATACAACCGGGCTTACAATGTTGTCGTTCGCGTCCAAATGCTTGCCGAGCTTGAGGAGATAATCACCTACAAGCAGAACGTGGGTGACCCTGAGAAGCAGGAAGCGATGCGTCAGACTTGGAACCAGCGACTGCTTGGCTGTCAGCAGAATGTGGAAGTGTGGCAGCGGATGCTCAAGGTCCGCGCACTTGTGACTGCGCCTCGCGAGAATCTTGAAATGTCCATCAAATTTGCCAACCTTTGTCGAAAGTCTAACCGTATGGGTCTTGCTGAACGGTCGCTCGCTGATCTAGAGACAGTGGTCACTGATGCCACTGGAACTCACACTATTGCTCCTCCCGAGGTCACCTACGCCCGACTGAAGTTTAGCTGGGCAAGCGGCCAGCAACAAGAGTCCCTGGATATGCTAAAGGAATTCACCGCTGGTTTGAGCGATGATCTGTCCAAGTTTAACACGCTCATGGTGTCCCACTCGGAACACCACGCAATCAATGGTGTCAATGGTATCTCAGATCCGAGCCACCCTGATGCCATCAGCCTGCGTGAACGTATTGGAGATGTTGTCAAATTCCGAAAGCTTCTTTCCAAGAGTTACCTTCGACAGGGTGAATGGCAGACTGCTCTTCAAAAGGGTGACTGGAGACCAGAATATATTCGTGAAATCCTCAATGCCTACTCAGCAGCCACACAGTACAATCGTGATTCATACAAGGCTTGGCATTCCTGGGCCCTTGCCAACTTTGAAGTGGTCACAGCGATTGCCAACCAGGCAAGCCGTGATGGCAAGCCCACGCCGGTTCCAGCTCATATTGTCACTGAACATGTTATTCCTGCCCTCCGCGGTTTCTTAAGATCCATCGCCTTGTCCTCAACTTCATCGCTGCAAGACACCCTGAGACTACTCACACTGTGGTTCACCCATGGAGGCGACCATGAAGTCAACACTGTCGTCACAGAAGGGTTCACCACCGTGAACATTGATACCTGGCTCTCTGTGACGCCCCAACTCATTGCACGGATTAACCAACCCAACATTAGAGTTCGCGGCTCCGTTCACCGCTTGCTTGCGGAGGTCGGCAAGACGCACCCACAAGCCCTGGTGTACCCTTTGACGGTGGCCATGAAGTCAAATGTGACTCGCCGCTCACAGTCAGCCAGTAGCATCATGGAAAGCATGCGTCAGCACAGTGCCAAGCTAGTTGAACAGGCAGACCTCGTGAGTCATGAACTGATCAGAGTTGCTGTCCTGTGGCACGAACTCTGGCACGAAGGTCTGGAGGAGGCGTCGCGTCTCTACTTCGGTGATCACAACGTGGAGGGCATGTTCGCAACCCTAGCTCCTCTTCATGATATGCTAGACAAGGGAGCCGAGACACTTCGTGAAGTTTCTTTCGCACAAGCCTTTGGCCGTGATCTCGCAGAAGCCAAACATTACTGTGTTCTCTACCGCCAGACTGACGAGATCGGAGATCTAAACCAAGCCTGGGACCTCTACTACACTGTGTTCCGCAAGATCAGCAGGCAACTCCCACAACTATCTATTCTTGACCTTAAATATGTCTCTCCTCGCCTCAAGGACTGCAATGGTTTGGACTTGGCTGTGCCGGGAACATACCAGAGTGGTCGCCCGATTATTTGCATTGTGAGCTTCGATCCGATTTTGCATGTTCTTCAGACCAAGAAGAGGCCACGACGAATGACACTTAAGGGCAACAACGGCTGCTCTTACATGTACGCACTCAAGGGTCACGAAGATATTCGACAGGATGAGAGAGTTATGCAGCTCTTTGGCCTGGTCAATACTCTTCTTGACAACGATGGCGAGAGTTTCAAGCGTCACCTCTCCGTCCAGCGATTCCCAGCTATTCCCCTATCTCAGAGCTCTGGTCTGCTGGGTTGGGTGTGCAACAGTGACACATTGCACGCTCTCATTAAGGAGTACCGGGAAAGTCGTCGTATTCTTCTCAACATTGAGCACCGAATCATGCTTCAGATGGCTCCCGACTACGACAGCCTTACCCTCATGCAAAAGGTCGAGGTCTTCGGATATGCCATGGACAATACTACTGGTAAGGATCTGTACCGGGTCTTGTGGCTCAAGAGTAAGAGCTCCGAAGCCTGGCTCGAGCGTCGCACGAATTACACCAGATCTCTTGGTGTCATGTCGATGGTTGGTTACATTCTTGGTCTTGGCGACCGACATCCGTCAAACTTGTTGCTTGATCGGGTCACTGGTCGGGTGGTTCACATCGATTTCGGTGACTGCTTTGAGGTCGCCATGCACCGCGAGAAATACCCCGAGCGAGTTCCGTTCCGACTCACTCGCATGTTAACCTTCGCGATGGAGGTCAGCAACATTGAGGGAAGCTACCGTATCACTTGCGAGGCTGTCATGCGTGTTCTCCGTGAGAACAAGGACTCCCTGATGGCGGTTTTGGAAGCTGTAAGTTTCTTTGTCTTCATTGCTAGATTAACCAAAATTCTAACTCATGCTCTAGTTCATTCACGATCCCCTGATCAATTGGCGTCTCGGGGCTCAAGAATCCCCCGACCGCACTTCCCTCACTGCCGAACGTCGACAGTCGATCATCGAAGGTATCAACTTCGCAGATGGTGTGCAGCCAAGCAACTTCTCCCGTCACCGCCGGGCCTCGATCTTGGACGGTGGCATCCTCGACAGCCAAGAAAATGTCCCAGCCGAGGCTCGTGAGGCCCAGAATGCCCGCGCTGTCCAGGTCCTTGCCCGCGTGAAGGAGAAGCTGACTGGTCGTGATTTCAAGCACTATGAGGAGCTCAATATCAGCGATCAAGTCGATAAGCTTCTTGCGCAGGCCACTAATGTGGAGAATATCTGTCAGCACTGGATTGGATGGTGCAGCTTCTGGTGATCGCGGGCTTCTAGCCGGAGTTTGGTGTGTGACGCGATATGATTTATCTTATCTTCTTTGTGCTTTTTCTGCTTGTATCTACAGTGATCGTGCTGTTTTGTTCCCATAACTTTTTCGTTTCCCGCAGGCTGTTCTGTTAAATTTGTTGCGGTTTGAGTCCATAATGTTCTCTGGACTGGTCGCGTCTCTGCTTGTCGTACACAATAAACCGAGATATCCATTGTATTGAGATTAGTTCATTGATTATGGATTGGATCCAGATTTATGTTCATTTGCTATATTTGATTATCAGTTACCAATGACTCAGCGTATCGAGCGTATACTTTTAAACTCTTAGTCTTGCGCCCAGCCGAGGTCGGTCCAAGGTCCACATGGTCCGTGTGTTCGAGCGGAGAACCTCACCCCGGATCTCACTTTCCAACCTTCAGGGACTGACTTGGGTTTGGGCCAAACTTCATCATGCCAGTCCCAGATACCTCCCCAGTGGTACCGTCCAGCCCTGGCGATACGAAAGATGTCAACCCAGCCGTGCGCAACGCCGTCCGCCTCTGTCTCAGCGCGAAAGAGTATCGAGTACTGTATGACATTGCCGTCAAACGCGCCCCAGTTCTGAAGAACAAACTACCTTCGTCTCTACGTGATGACCCGGCTGCATTATCACGGAACCGCCATAGCCTGACGGCTGTCCGCGCATCGCTGCGAGTCCTTGTTGGCTCGAGCGTCGCGTTAAAGCTGGCGGAGATGATCATGAGTCGGATACGAGGTGATGGATCAAAGTATGTTATTACATCGGAGCTTTGAACCGTATGAATCTGACAAAGTCCATTATCTAGGAAGACTCGCACCCCCCTTCTCCGCTCTCCAAACTTCCGCCTCTCCTTCTCTCTATCTCTCTTACTTCTCCTCCACCGTCTTTTATATCGATTTCTCGTGAGACTGCGCGCGAATCTCGGCACCGATGACGCCCATTCATTCCGCGAGCGAAACCCGCGTATCTCGCGTGCTTTGACGTCGCAATATGCCCCCGCCATCGGGGCCAGTCTGGCGGGCTTTGCGCTGGGCATTGCCCCGCAGGATCAGCTCCGACTGACTGCTGCCATTTGGACTTCTACTCGCAGTTTGGAGTATCTCTTTAATGCGATGGATTCGAAGGGGTGGCTTGACGGGCGCCCGTGGTGGTTCGGCAGCTGGCTGCTGATGCCGGTTTCGTGTGCACAGCTCTTCCATGCGTTTGTTTTTGATCGCGAGACGACACCAGGTGTATGTTTACCTGTCTTATTTATGGTAATGATGCTGATATTGTATAGTGGTTTGGGAAGGTGATTCTGAGACTATCTCCGAGTTATATCCCCAGCCGACCGGAGTCGCTCCCCGTCAACATCTCCTGGCCGGAGAAGGAGGAGATTGTGGACTCGCTCGCATCTATTGCGGATCTGCGCTGGCCGTAAGCTCTATTATGCAGCTTGCCATGGTATATACTGACGTGGTTTCTAGGGCATTTGTGTCTCCGATCCTTCACCCGACCGACCCAAACACCTTACCGGCAGTTGTCAAGTCTCTTTCCCCCATTACTGGGCCTGCCCATCCCTTGATCACGAGTCTATCTTGCGCAGTTCTCCACCCGAGTCTGCCCAACTGCAGCACAGCGTTCTTGCATCACATCCTACTCTCGGTGCCTCTGCTCGCCCGGTTCCTCACAACCGTTACGCTGGCACTCAGCATCCCCAAATTCAAGAGCATTCTCGCACAGCCTATTACATCTATCAACACCATCTCTAAGAAGATTATCATGCTGACAGCTGTTCTCTCCGCTGCTATTGGTTCCGCCTGGGGCAGCGTCTGCTTGCTGAACAGCACGCTTCCCCGATCAACGCTCCCCACCAAGCGCTTCTTCCTGAGTGGTGCATTGGGCGGTCTACCATTCTTAGTCCTGGGTAACAGCCGCAGCTTGTTCACGTACTTCTTCCGTGCAGCTCTTGACTCGGCCTGGAAGACAGGAGTCAAGCGCGGAATGTGGAAGGGTGGACGTAGCGGTGAGTTGGCACTCTTTGTCTTATCTTGGGCGCTGATAGGTTCAATCCTGGAAGGAAACCCAGATGCGGTTCAGGGTGGCGGTCTGCGAAAGGGATTGACCTGGCTGCGGGGCGATGGATTCGTCGATCCTGTAGAGGTTGAGAAGCGCAAAGCTCGACGAGCGAAGAAGGTAGATAACTGATCATATGTCAATCGAATTAATTCATGTCTATAGCGGGTTATGATCTCCGACTTTGAGTACTTTGAATTCGAATTCCGGGGTTAAGATCCACTTTCTCCGCTTTTCGGGGTTTGACCTCCGCATTCAGCTTTAAATAGTACATAGCTCTGTACTTGATTTTTTGTACGGAATACATCTATCTCAACGATGAGTCAAAGACTTAAAATTGGTTGTGCCGGTCTCGGTCGCACGGGCAAGCGTGGTGCTCTCAACTTCCTCGAACGAACTCTCGAGCCGAACTAGTCGCCGCCAGTTCCCCCGACCCCGTCGAGCTAGAATGGGGCAAGACACACCTCGAGCCATTCGGTGTCCGTTTATATCAAGACTACGACGAGATGCTCAAGCATGAAGGTCTCCAAGCAGTAGTAGTTGCATCAGCAACAGCCGTCCACGCCGAACAAGCAATCAAAGCCATCAACGCAGAGAAGCACGTTCTCTGCGAGAAACCACTATCAACCATTGAGTGTAGAAGAGGTGAGTACAACCACCCACTCACATCAGATCCAACTAATATATACAGTCTCAGTCTGTCGTCGATGCTGCGTCCAAAAAACCCCATCTGAAAGTTATGTGTGGGTTCTCTCGCCGGTTCGACCTTGCCTACCGAGACGCACACCACAAGATGATAACCGGCCAAATCGGCACCCCCTCTGTCCTACGAAGCCAAACCTGCGACAAGCTCGGTCCTTCCGGCTTCTTCGCATACGCCCAATACAGCAGCGAGATCTTCGTCGACTGCTCCATCCACGACATCGACCTGGCGCTCTGGTTCTTCGGCACAAACAGTAAAGTCAAATCCGCCTCAGCAGTAGGCATCACGGCTGTGGAACCCGATTTCCGAAAACACAACGACCGAGACAACGCAGTGGGACTGGTAGAGTTCTTCGATGGCAAGATTGCTTATTTCTACGCTAGTCGCATGATGGCTGCTGGACAGGAGGATACAACCGAGGTGATCGGGACAAAGGGCAAGGTTGCTGTAAATGCGATTCCGCAGATGAATCTTGTACATCTTTCTGATGAGCATGGAGTGCGGAGGGAGATTCCGCAGACTTATTGGGATCGATTCGAATTTGCTTTTGTGACGGAGGCCAATGAGTTTACTGCTGCTGTTTTGGAGGATAGGAAGTTGCCTTTGGAGTTGGAGGGTGCGGTGCAGGCTCTTAGGATTGGGGCTGCGTTGCAGGAGGCTATGATTTCGGGGAAGAAGATCTTTTTTGATGAGAGTAGGAATCGGGTTGAGAGTGCTCGTCTGTGATTATATGATCACCAAGTTTTGGCGTTTGTATCTTCTATCTAGATATCCAACATGTTATGGGCCTCTTCTTATTCATTCTGTAGAAACCCAATAGCAGCACACCTCTCCCTAAGCAAAAGACGCTTTGAAGGTCATCTAGTTTTTTTAGCCCTAATCTCAAAACCATGGTTTTTATCGTCCCAAACATGACAGCAGGCCGGTACTCGTCTCCCACCATCTACAAGATGTCAGATTCCATTGCCCTCGTGATTAATTTTACGGACGAAGGCGCGTCTTTTAGACATAACCAGGATGATCGTTGAGATTCGGAGAAACCTCTGTTGCTAATGGCTCCCTTTGTATTATCAAGAAGTACATTCATTAGAACCATCATGGCCTCTCCGGGTCTTCGATTCAACCCTCCTACTGTACCTCCTACTGTATCTACTCAGTCTCCTACCCGGTATACTACTCTTTTTTTCCCACCGATTCTGAAAGCCAAGGGCTCTCTAAATTCATATGTAGCGGAATAAAAAGGAAAGAGAAGTGGAAGAATCGGGCCCTTTTCGAGCGCATGTCCAAAAAGCCCGCAGTGTATCCAAGTTATATCCAAGTGATAGAGGGGTATAGAGGGTAGACTTCAACATTATTCCGTCCTTCCAAAGTTGGGAAAGTACGCAGTTGGAAGTCGAGTCATTGCTGGGTCTATGACAGCTACTAGGATTTGTTACTAATTTTGGGAAAGTCATTCCAGTCATATGCTCATTTGCTAGAGCTGATCATTCATATCGCATGTATTTAGATAAACGCTTCAGGACAAGTAAAGAAATGGGAATCTCATATAAGGGGAACGCAATGAGCAGTCTATCCAAGCTGGTTTACCAGCGGACCACCTTGTTGGGGAAGTACTCATCAATGAGCTCCATATAGTAAGGCTTCAACTCCTCCGCACTGGGGATACCGTCACTCTTGCTGTACAGATCGTAGGGGTTGAAGGCCTTGACAGCACGCAGCATCTCCTTGTCATGATCATCCATCAGCTCGTGGTAGGCACCAGCGTTGTGCCAGGGGTAGAAAGAGTGGTAGCGGATCATAGCGAGTGCCTCGTCAGGGAGAGTAGATTGCTCCTTGGCGATGTGATAGAGGTACTCATCGTGACCCCATGAGAGCATAACCTTATCAAGACCACATCCGGGGCTGTAGATGCCGAACTTGGTGTCGTAGATATGGTGTCCGAAGTCCTCGTTATCCTTGAAAGAGTCACGGCCGTAGACGATACGCTCGTCAAAGGCACAGCCGACGGGGAAGGTATCGCCGACCACATCCCACTGGCCCTGTGCGTTGTAGAAGAAGAGAAGTTTGCCGAGATCGTGGATCAAGCCGGTCAGCTGCATCCAACGGGGCTTGCCGTCGCGACGGATGGCCTCAGCGGACTGGAGGAGGTGCTCGATCTGTGACAGGCTGGTGTCTGGGTCGGACTCGTCAATTAGAGTGTTGAGCTTCTCCATCGCCTCCCAGATGGTCATCTCGGCGCGGGTCTGGGTGTGGAACTCGTGGCGGGCCTTCAGATTGTAGGCGATTGTCTGCTTGGTGTGCTGCTCCTTGTAGAAGTTCTTGACGCGGTCGCAGGCGTCCTCGTACTGGCGGAATCCAGTCTTGTCCTTCTCTTTGTCGAATTCAGACTCCTCGTAGAGGCCCTTCTCTTGGGCCTTTTTCATGTTGACCTTGAGAACATTGACCTCATCGATAGCATCCGATATCTCCTCTAGCGCCTGGCCATCCCGCTTAACCACAGGAGGTGGGCTGTTCTCGATTGCGACTGGTGCCATTTTTATAAACAGAAGATGCAAAAGTCTATTGCAAGCGCTCGATACTTTGAAAATAGAAAATGTGAATGAGGAATGCGAGCGTTCTTATTGATGAGCATGAACCTGGGGAATTCAGATCCATATATAGAATCGCCACGGCGACCCAGAAGGTCGCGTCTAGATTACCGAGCCTATCACGGAGAACATTTCTCTTTGAAGAAAAATTTCCCCAGAGATCGTCCATGATTTGCAGACATGGCTTGTGCGGGTAGACCTCGTGGAGCATAGATCACGGATTCCAGAATCCGTGCCGACAAAGCCCTATGTAGGACATGGCAGTCTCCACTGTAGAGTAACGCGAATGCAAATCATGATTGGCCTGAGTCAGAATCGTGGGGAAAATGATGTCAGGCGGACCCAAGCTGAACTTGCCCAGGATTTTGGTTTCCGGGACTTGCTACGTGCGTCGCATTAGGCAGTCAGCGCCGGCTCCTGCCCGAATTATCGACGGTACCTGTAACTTTATAAATGATATTCAGCAGGAAACTTCATAGTTTTGAACTTCAAAACCAGTCGAATCGTGTCGACTTTGATTGATGGGATAACGCGGGGGCGAAGATGGAAGAATAGCGGGGCAAAGTCACGACTCACGACAATTGGGAACCCCGCGTGGGGGTGCAATTCGGCCTATCTTTACCACGAGAGATTTACTTCTTTCCCTTCTTCTTCTCCTTCTTCTCCATTCTTCCTTGTAAAATATCAACAAAATGGCTGCTGCGGACGTTCACTTCAAGCTCAACACCGGCGCTGAGATCCCGGCCCTTGGTTTGGGAACATGGCAATCCGCTCCTGGAGAAGTCGCCCGCGCCGTGAGCCATGCCATCAAAGTGGGATACCGCCACATTGATACCGCTCTATGCTACGGCAACGAGCACGAGGTTGGTCAGGGTATTAAGGAGGCCATTGACGCAGGAATCGTCAAGCGCGAGGATCTGTTCATCACTACCAAGCTTTGGTGCTCCTACCACGCTCGTGTCGAGGAGGGTCTGGAAGAGAGTTTGAAGAACCTGGGTCTGGAATACCTGGACCTGTACCTGATGCACTGGCCGCTGGCAATGAACCCCAAGGGTATGATCAAATAATGTATTCTTGAATAAACCAAGCTAACAAATCAAAGGCAACCACCCCATCTTCCCCAAGCTTGCCGATGGCTCGCGGGACATTGACCACAGTCACTCCCACGTTACCACCTGGAAGAGCATGGAGAAGCTGGTTGGCACCGGCAAGGTTAGAGCCATTGGTGTCTCTAACTACAGCGTCCAGTACCTTGAGGAGCTCCTGCCCCAGGCAACCATCATCCCGGCCGCCAACCAAATCGAAAACCACCCATCTCTGCCCCAGCAGGAGATTGTCGACTTCTGCAACCAGAAGGGTATCCACATCACCGCCTACAGCCCTCTGGGTAGCACTGGTAGCCCACTGTTCACTGCGGCACCGATTGTGGCCGTTGCGGAAAAGCGAGGTGTTACCCCTGCTACTGTTCTTCTGAGCTGGCACAGTGAGATCTCCCTTCTCCCTTCTTCCTGGATTGCATGCTTACAATACTCATTTAGTTGCGCGCGGCTCTTCCGTCCTTGCCAAGTCGGTCACTCCTTCCCGTATCGAGGCCAACCGCACCGACCTGATCAAGTTGGATGCCGAGGATCTCGCCACTATCAAGGAGTACTCCGATTCCCTAGCAGCCAGCAAGTCTTTCCAGCGTTTCGTCTTCCCTCCTTTCGGCAAGGACTTTGGTTTCCCCGATAAGCAGTAAATTATATAGACGAGGAGAAGACTGTACATAGAAATGACTGATGATACCTTGGGCGGCAATGATGTACGTCTATAAATCCGAATATAAATAGCGTCAATGCCATACTTCATTGAATTCTCTTCAGAATCAGATCACATAACCCAAGTCCCAGGGAACATTACATTCTAGACTTGACCCAAGCAAAGCCTGCGCTGCCCGCCGTCACCGCAGCTGCTCCCAACTGTGTAGCTCCGTTGACAACAGCAAGGCCACTCCCACCCGCCCCGGCGCTCTGCGCAATCGCCATGTAACTTCCAGCCGCAATATTCCCAACACTGCTTTGAACGACGGCCGCAGCGGAACCTATATCTTCAGTAAAGGATCATACCCGATTGACATGAATCAACATACCCGCCTGAATACCACCAGGTGTAAATCCCGCAGCCGACAGGACTGGCGCTGTTATGAGGGTGGGGGCCGCGATGACAGTAGCACCGACAACTGCACCGACAACGGCGCCGGCTAGTACTGGGTTTTCAACGGTCCACTGAGCCGCCTGTTTTGTATGAGCGAGGAATCAGAATCGTATGTTGGTAGGTGGAAGTTGGGTACGAACCTGGGCAGTCATGTTTGCGGACTTCTCAATGACCGGAATGCTGTATTTCGCGGCGGCAAATCTGCCATCTTGCAGGATTTTGGTACCGCCAGCGATAACACTACTCGTAGAGAGGTTTTTGAGAGACATGGATGAACTTGGTTGATCAGTGGGCTTGACTGGGTGATGATGTTATGTGTAGGAGGTCATCATAAAGGTGTGATTATGCAAGTACAGTACATCTGGAACTTGGGGTCACCAACTGCTACCACACTCTTTGATTGGTTCCCGAAACCTAACGCCCAAGATGCACAAAATCATCTCTGGCATAATAAAGTGATCCACCGGGATCTTGCTTTGTAACATGGTATATCGGATAATTGTATAAGCTGGGCCTGTGTTTTCTACTTTTTATAGCTGCACAGCTGCTACCTTGGTGCCTCGCGTCCAGTCACCCCAATACCTTTTCGTTTACAACTAAGCACACAGCCGGATACCTAGGTATGTCTAATCACAAACCCAGCTACATTGAAACCGTCCCCGTGGCCCCACGAATGTCTGAAGGAGAGTGTCTATACCACGTCACTAGAAATATGCTTCAAGGTAAGAAATATGACCTGAGAAGTTCCTTTGACCCTGAGTTCTCGACGTCTTATTTCCCAGGCACGAAGAGAAGGATTAGAACCAATGTACGGGCAAATTTTCTAAAATTCGAGACATAGCGCTGCCGAGCAGTTGATGCACCGCGAGCCCAGTTGACGCTCGGCAGCAAATAGTTGTGTTGCGATGCACCACTTTGTCGTTATAGAGATTGGCACCGACACTTGATGAGAGGGCACGTTGGCGGGCATAGTCTTTGAATCGCCGTCGATAAGAAGTCGCTTGTCATTTATTATAATGATATTGAAACGATCCCGCATGAAATCTCATACAAGGCAACTTTGAATTGTATCTTTTGCATCCAGACCAACTGCTTCAGGTACATTATGGCCACGGATCTGCAACGCATCCAAGATTGACAATTCCACTCTGTGAAAGTTGGTCAGCTCAGGTAGATTTCTAGAAATAGGCTGGAACCATACAAAATGGCTTTCCTGGCAGCAGGCAGGTTGCGTTTCACAGCCTGACGCGAAATGAAGATCAAGGATAGGAGTGCCTGTGACAACGAAAGTTGTTATTTTAGCTGCGAAGTGGGGACATAAACATGACAGCCAACCTACATTGTATGCCGGTAAGATGCTTATCAGATGCTTTGAGGCCAAGTGAGTGCAAAAGGTTTGCTACCTCAGGTGACTTGTTGCTTTTTAAAGACTCGCAGCAAAACTGCTGCCCGGCGTCACATTTTGATGGTTTTGGCGTGCCAGCTAAAGGAAAGGGTTGGGTCGACGCAGTAACCGAAGAAGCCGCTATCAGGGTGAAAACAATCAAGACAGAGAACATTTTGGAAAAGTTTGATGTTCTCAGGATCTATGCGCATAGGAAACTTATAGGTCAGTCTTTGTGCTGTTTAAACCTTAGACCGGAATGGATCGACAGGGGACTGAATCTGATGATCTCAATTCGTTAAATGTGAGACCTCACAAGCTTGTACTCGGAATTTGTGATACATTGCTAGATAGCCTCTCAGAAATAGGATTTTCAGCCGTGATGACTCGTCATTTATTATCTGGTGGTATTCAAGATAACCATTTTCTTGCATAATATTTATTGAATATCATTTCTCTGCATAATATTTATAGGAATGGACGTGACACCCAACGACAATGTGTCAGAAGCGACATCTTAACTCAAATCAAATGGAAATAAACTTATCATTATTGTAGAGACCCCAACGTACCTTGCAATATAAAAGGCAGCAGGTACCATTCCGTATTCCCTTATTTCTTGTCACCAGTGAAATCTAATCCATTCGTTTCAACTTTTACACCGTATTCTGCGAAGATGGTTAATTTCCACCTCCTTTTCATCACAACAATGTTTTGTGCCGCCGCGTACTGCTCACCAGCCAGTCCAACTCCTGAGCGAGCGTCCTCTGCCTCGCCAGCGTCAGAGTGCAACGTCGGGAAACAGGTTTGCTGTATCTCGTTGCAAAAATCCAATGCTCCTGGGGTTCCTTCTCTTGTTCAGTCTCTTGGATTGAGCCTTGTCGATAAGGCTATGATCGGGTTTGACTGTACGTTCCCACTTTCTATCCTAACATGACCCGTATGAAGACTCAAACGAGCCAAACATTCTCTAGGTTCTCCTCTCGCGGCTGCCGTTGCTGGAGGGTCAAGCTGTAGCCAGCAACCCGTGTGCTGTGACCACACTCAATTCGTGAGTTCATGAAGTTCGTTCCTTTGGCTTGTCAGCGGAAATGGCTAACCTCGATGGAAATGAAGAACGGGCTTGTGAATGTTGGATGTGTTCCGTTGAATGTAGCCGTATAAAATTGAACCACACGTCTAGCTTTGGGTGTGACAATCGCGTCTTGAAACAAGATTTTCCAAGTAATCAACATTCTCAAAACTGATGACCGCGACTTACTGGTAAAAACAATTGCTTCCATGGCTGATCGAGTAATATTTAACTGGCGTGGCTCGTAAAACACGTATTTCTCAAACACTAAGTCTCAACCTTGGAGCCGGTGGAGTGACGTGAGGGCACGAATAGCTAAATTTAATTTGTACAACACTGTATTGTGGGACTCTCAGGAATATTTATAGTCCAGGTTCTTTCTACATAGAGTCTAGTGGACGTTGGCATTAGGGGTGGAGAAACAATCGAAACAGTGTAGGTAGTGACACCGATTTCCTAAAGTACTGTACTACCCTGGTCGTATCACGGTCAGCGGGACTATAGAAATCCCGGAGTACATCGGCACATCTGCAAACAAATAATTCACTATCAGGTTTGCTTACGACTACCGAGCTGTATCGTTTACTCCACGAAGAACAACTGATTCTAAGGTTCTATTAAGGTTGTCTAGCACCCGCACAGACCCACATACTTCTTCTCCTATGTAGGTCGTCTACGCAGATACAGCCTACAAAAGCTGGAACATGTTAGAGGGAAACAATCTTTCATTCCAGGCACTAGGCCTGTTCGCGCACACGGGGATCAAATCCGTGGCGTCACTCAACTCTGTACATGCTGTCATCCCCTATACATGCATCAAACTCCCTCATCCCTCCTGCCTCCTCGACCACCACCCCAACTCAACATCTCATACATAGGATTTATCGATGTTGAGCTGGGTCAGCGGCCAGGACACACGGCGGATATGGCTCGCAGCCCGTCGGGTTGAAACAAATGGGCAGAGAGAAGGAAGAGGAACGAAGTCGGGTGGCTCGCTGAAGCACCCAGGGGCACCACTTACGGGTCGGCGCGTCTTCTCACACTCGAAAGTGGGCAGCGCCGCCACAGTGGGCATGGGCTCCTCAGATACCGAAGTCTTCATTTTGGAGGAGAGGGGCGTGGTAGGTCTCCGAGGAGTGGGGGGGAGGGGCGTGGTAGGTGAAGACTTCTTGCCCAGCTTCTGCTTGCTCTTTCTCTTCTTCCGCGCGATTTGTACCGACGTTTTCGGCCTCGGGGCGGTTTTCTCCGCTGCCTCGCTCTCGGTTACCGGGCTGGGCTGCTCGTCAGCGCCAGGGGGCTCCGAGACGGGCTCCACCATCACCGTGGCTGGGGCGGTCGGCTCAGCGGCCTTCTTCTCAGGCTCCAGTACCCGTGCCTCAGCCCCAGTGTACTGGTCCTCAATCTGGGCCTGGTGCTCATAGAACCACTGCTCTGCCCACCACGGCTCGTTGGGAAGAACAGGCGCTGGTGGGGAGGTGTAGTTGCAGTACCGGGGGTAATGGAAGCAACAACAGAATCGAAGATTGCCCACGCATTCAGGGCACCAGCACGATTTGTGCTTGTGGTGTTGAGTGCAAGGTGGGTAGAAGAGACAGACTTGGACGGTGTCGTCTCGCTCCAGGGTGGTCACGTCGACAGGCTCCATATGCCCATCCTCATGGCACCACTGGTAGTAGGTACTACCGTGTTGGTGGATGTGCCAGTATGGTGGGTACTCTGGGCACATCGTGAGGTCGAAGTCGGGGTATGTAGCTGCTTCGGTGGACCCTATGGTGAGTGGTGGGATAGAGGGAGATGTCGTAATCTCCATGTTGGCGAGCACATCACCAGTGACCGCGATCTCAGCAGGAGGGTCTGCTGTGATGGTCTGTGAATATTATATTAGCAAATTGGATGAGTGAGGTAGACAAGAGAGTTACAACATACCTCGAAGGTGAGAGGTGTTCTAGCCAAGAGAAGCTGCGATATCTCCGCCACGACTGCCTCACCAGTGACCTCGATCTCGACAGCGTGAGCTGACAAGGTGGTCTATAAGAGTGATTTTAGTTAATTTTTGAATATTGAGAGCAAAGTGAGCAGAGCTTACCTCGAAGGTGAGGGGTCGCGAGGCCGGAAGAGACACCAAGGTCTCTCTTTCGACGTCCACCGCTACCTCACCAGTGACCTCGACCTCAGCAGGAGCTGCTGGGGTGGCCTGTAAGAAGAACAGTTGGTCAAAGGACATGAGAGATGAAACATTATCAAAACATACCTCGAAGGTGGGAGTTGGTGTGCTCCCGGTCAAGAGAGAGTCTGGCATCTCTTCGCTGGTTTGGGTTTCGATCTTTGGCGAAACCTCGGAGGAGGGTGATGATGGCTGATCCGGGCTCTCTTCGGTGGAGGGCGGGACGGGGGCGGTACTGACCTTGCCTTGCTTTCCCTTCCCCTTGTTCTTCTTGCGCTTCTTCCCCTCCTTGCCCTTGAGCTTCGAAAGGAAGGGCGAAGAAGAACGGGGCATGGCAGGAAGAGAGAGAGGCTCGGTGGAAGACCCAGCCACATAGGCAGAGGTTGAGGTGATGCATTGAGGCTTTTGTGGGCAACCCGTCACTTGAAAGGCAAGTTCTTTGCCGGAGGAAGATTGAAAGGCACCCTTCATAATAGGGTTTGGGCGGAAGAGAAGAGCCGAAGTCAAGGGGAGAGGTGTGAGAGACATTTGAAGTGTCGAGGGAGGAAGTTCCAGCATGTATTGTCGCAGGAGAGCGTATAACTGACGGACATTGGCACCTTTCTTTAAAAACTGACGTCCAACAGCCGCAGCGTTGTCCAAATAAGATTGCGCCCTAACGTCTCTCGGCACTAATTTCATGCCCCATTCGTTGCCGTCATGACAGAATATCCAGAGTCTATCCTCATCTTCAGGCTATTAACATTGACTTGCACTTTAGGAATATGCTAGTCTGGTAGGCAACATACCGTATTCAGGTGTTCCATCGGGCATTCGATTCACGCCAGGCTCGGCCACATCGGTAATACCAACAAGACGATGGATAGGTTGAAATCCCCTTTTCTGATGATACTTCCAGCGTGTAACTTGCCTCCCTGTTCCTCTTTCTGCTTTGAGAATGTCGTCCATCAAAAAATTGGATTGACTGGGAACATGTCTGATGGCCCATTCCTGAAGACGGGCTAGTGGCAATCTGTTTATCCAGAAGAACCGGCCGGAGGAGTTGAAAAAGAAGTCATCGCAACTAACAGGCTGAATTATAGAAGGTACGGGAGCCATTATTTGGAATAAAATGAGAAATATGCTTGATGGAGTTGATGATTCGAAGAGGAGGGATTGGATGTTAGTGCGTGTCCATAACAAGGTAAGTTCGTGTGTCTAATTGTCTATTATGTCGATCATCTAATATAGAAGGCGGTCTGGAGGATTGTGCAGGACTTTGAAGTCGAATGTAGAAGGCGGTGCTGAGTATTGTCGGAATTCCAAAAATCCACGGGATTTTCAACGATCGAACACGCACTACAAGGCAATATCAATCTAGAAATAATCGTATCTTATTCATTTCTTGTCTTTGCCAATTTGAAATATTATTGTACTATCAAAATACATGAATTAGCTTTAACCCATTTTTTCTGCTCCAATATATAAGTAGTATCAATTCTTCTTGTAATAATATGGCTATCATCTTTACGACCGTTCAATGCTTAAGGGCAAAAAATTCACGTGATGTTGGCCGCTTTGCTGAAATTTGAACCTTCAATTGAGTCTTCATAGCAATCTGTCTATATCCAGATGAGCGAATTATGGATTTAATATTAAAGCACATACGATGGTTTAGTAAGAACTTGTCCACAAGGAAATAATAATCATTTGCACTGGAATACACCTGGTCACACCTCTGCTCTGGATATAAGAACAAAAAGAAAACAAAAAGAAGGAAGATGGTAGAGGGAAGACGCTCAGAAATGCACCAGGTGGTATATAGGTCGTGAAAATCAAGTCAAAGAAATAGACGAAGGTCTGAGTGTAGGAGGGTGAAGGATAGGATATGTGCTTTGAGCCCAAGACAAAGGTAGGAAGAAAATGAGTACAAAGAATGGCTTCTATGAATTAGAACATACCGCCATCGACAGGGACGGCAGGGGGTGGATAATGTGGAATATCAGGGATAGGGCCTGCGAATGAGTCTTGACGTGCTCGATCACCTCCCTCGATCGACTTCTTGCGAAGGCGACTGCGGGATCGAGGACGCTTCTCGTCATCTGGGAAGACGCTGTGCTCGTCGCTGATGCTAGGGGCAGGAGATGAGACACGTGATTCGGTTTTGAAAGCAGACAGAATGGTTTGTGTGCCACGGCGGCGGCGAGGGTTCATCGGTGGGAGTGGTGGAGTCGCAGTCGGGGCCGAACCTCCTGGGAGACCAACTGTGGGAACGTTGGAGGTGCTTGAAACAAAGGTGGGCTCAGAAATGAGCTTCTTATTTACTGGGCGCTTCTGCAGCATGTTATTACCCAGGCCACGTTGAGGCGGGTTTTGAGAGTTGGCCGCACTGGTTGGGGATTGGTCTGAGGGGACCTCATTCAGCGGAGGAGTTGCGTTGGCTGAGTATGCGGGGGTAGCAGGGCATGCACGCGGTGGAGCACCAATGATTGAAGGAGGGTGGGATGCCTGATTGAACTGGTGTCGCTCGTACTGGAAGCTCGGGGTGCCCGATCGGCTAGCACTGCGATATCTTCCCGACGCGGCAGACGTAGACCGGTCGAAAGGAGCGGGCTCTGGAGCAGACTCCATGGATGGACGGGTTGAGCTCGACACTGAAGCAGGTACTGGCGGCTCAAAACCTTCGGGGACAACAAAGTTCTCATGGGCGATGACAGTGCCTTCGTCCACGGTTTCAAGATCATCCCGCTCACGGTATCTGGTGCGACTCTTGGATCGGCCGGAGGCATCAGAGCTGGAGCGATCCCTCGGGGCCCGGTTACTAGACTGCGGCGACGTGCCACGGCTACGGCTTGACTCGCGAGATGCGCTGCGGCTGAGTGTAGGCATGCGGGATCGGAAGGACCGCTCTGAGACCTGGGGGGCGCTGGCATTGGAGTGACGGCTGAAGAGAGATGGTCGGTCCTCACGGGACGAGTCTTCCGGAACAAGAGAAGGAGTGGAAGAGCTGTATCCATATAGATCGTTCTTTGAGACCATTTGCTTGCTCGACTTGTGCTTCAAAATGGAGAAAGCATTGCCAGCCTTGATCAGAGGATCGGGGGTCTGTCGACCAGAAGTAGGGCTGCTACAGCGGCTTTCACTTTCTGCGACACTTCGGAGCTTCTCTTGGATCTTCCGGCGTCGCTCAGCAATTTCCATGGCGAACTCCTCGCGCTCTCTTTGAGTCTCGGAGCTTCCATCTCGGCGGTGGTGGTATGACAGCTCTTCCTTCCAAGAAGGAATAGCATCGGAGTCTTCGCTGCCACGGCTTGCGACCTCTGCAGACTCCCTGGATGAATCCAGTGTGCTTGAGGTTTCCGCCTCAGTCGACTCGGCAATAGTCTCCACATGGGGTTGATCTTCCATCACAGGACTAGGCTGGACCTCGACAACAGACACTTGGGGCTCGAGCTTCTTGGAATTCGCCTCATCCATTGGCAATATTGGGGAAGCGGGACGGAAGATCAAAGATTTGTCACTCGCACAGCGCAAGTGAGACCTAATACCATCCATGCCGAATCCAGATGGTTGGATTGTTGGGGAGTCTGGGCGTTCAGGAGTCACAGAACCAGCGATGTCGGAAGGCTGGGTTTCCAGGAATTCGTTCTCGTCAATTGGTTTCAGATCACCAAGATCCGAGTACCGCACTTCAGGCAAAGTCTCAAGATGCTCTCCGGAAAGACCGTAATCTGTGGTTACAGATGCCACCGAAGACATTTCGTATGAGCGGCGATCATCGCCTTCATCTCCCGAATCACTCGTGGTCGAAGCGGCATAAAAAGTTCTGCCCCCCGGCATACGGGGAGAGGCTTCTACACTCTCCATGCCATGAGCATCACTGCTGTAGTGTGAAGAGGCGGACTCGGCTCTAGAGCGATAGCTCGACTTGGAAAGCCCACGAAGACGACCTGGCTGGTCGACGCGAGGGGGCGAAGAGGGTCTCCTGGGAGGCGGTGTGTCTCGTCCCTGGTGCAGCTGGAGCTGGCGGCGGACGAACTGCTGTTCATCATAACCAGTAGCCGGTCTGTTGAACAGACCCATCGCTGTTGCTTTTCCGTGATCTTCTGGGTTGAGTGCTGCGGCTAGCAATGACTGACTATCTTCTGTTTCGCTAGAAGGTGGGCTCAATGGCGGTGTGCCGAAAGAGCCTGCTGTGGGCGAAATGCGCTCTCTGGGTTGCATCTCCAGGGAGTGGTTTTGCTTTGGCGAAGTTGCAGACGAGGGAGGGCTAGAGGGTCGAGGACCAGAAGGTTCAGCAATAGCAAGCTTCTGTAGTCGGTCACGAAGGTTTGAGGCACTCTTGGAGTAATTGCGGTTCAAAGGCAGAAGATCCGGGGTACCAGATCGCTGGCGACTGAGGCTTTCCAACCGATGCAGGGTTGAATTTTGCTGGTTTTGCACGTTCTGTGTCAAGCCCTGGCCATATAAACGGCGAGATCGAACCGACCCAGTTTTCGGGTTCGACATGCCGGACTGCGGCCGGCCATCCATTTGGAATTCTGGGACCGGGGCGGTGTGCGATGGACCCTGTGGCTGCAGGTGAGATCCGATGAATTGAGACTCATCGATCGAAGTTGCTGCAGTTGAGCAGCGTGCATTTGCTGTGGGGTCGGATGCCGTTGATGAAAGAGTGGTCCGGTTCGTAGATGAAATAGAAGGCGTATCTTCAGAGTCCGGCGAAGCGATCTCTTGGGCAGCTGCAGCTGCAGCTGCCGCCTCCCTTTCCTGCTTCTCTTGCAGCCTCAGCCGTTGGAAAGCAGACAAATTCAATTCGTGATCTAAGACTGCTTTGCCCATTCCTAGCGGGCTCTCGGTATTGGGGGAAGATCCCCCTGGAGACCGGTTTGGGATGCGGAAAACCTTCTGACGGCCACCAAACAAATTGTTTCCTTCAGCTCGACGGGCTCGGCTCATAATGCTCCCATTGTGTGATCGGTCATCGTCGGTCCCATAGCCCCCATCCCCTCCAGATGCATAAGAGTCGGTGCGCCCCAAGGCGATCGAAGGCCGGCTGCCATCATTCGAGGAAACTTCATCAATATCTGTAAGCATTGCCGGGCTGTGTCCAAAAAGGTTCAATCGAGAAGCTCGCTTGGGAAACAGGACGCTGTCATCACTAGCCTTGCCAATCTTCGAGGTCGGGTCGTCCTGTTCTCTCAACATGCTAAATCGAGCAGAGAGCTTTGGCATAAGCAAACTGGTGCGGAAATCATCTGATGACGGGAGGGCGTCTGCTATGAGGTCAAGGTGTTGTAGTTCCTCTACAGAATCCTTCTTCTTCGACAGCTTCAAGCTGAATGGGGATTGGGAAGATCCATTTTCCAGCTCATCCAAGGTCTCCTTGACCTCCTTGGCCTTCTTATTCTTCCGGAATCGGTTCATCATCGCATCGATTGGTAACGTTTTTATAGGGAAAGGTCGAGTATTGTTCACAGTATTGGTTCAACGACGGGGGGAAACGAGTGACTGGCTAGAACACGGCGCATATTAGTCTCTAGAATCTAAATAGCCTTCTAGAGATACTCACGAGGCAAGGCTTATCCACGGAGTAAAAAGAACGGCATGACCATTAAGCGCCAGGTCAAGATGGTTGGAGTAAAGAGCTGACTCCTGGGGGAAATGCGTTTGTAAAAGAGTAGGCCCCGCGTTTGATTTTATTCGTTCCGTGGATCGATGGTAGCTGGACTAGGGGAAGCACCAATCAAATAGTGGGGAGAAGTGGAAGTTGGTTTGATTGATCACACATGAATGAGCGGAATAGGGAGTCGAATTGCAGGAAATGATCGGAGCCCAGTTGGAAGTGCAATTGTCGGGGATAGATTTAAAGAGTGTGAAAGATGGAATCAAAAGATTAAAGAGATCAAGGAAAATGAAAAGTCAAAATGTGACAGGGACAAACCTCGTCGAGGAATGCGATGATTGGAGGTTGAGAATGGGGGGAAGAGCCCGTACGGTCTGATTACGGAGTATTGTATGACACTAAGAAAATCGTTTTTTTTTTCCAATTCAAAAGTCAAAATTAAACAGGGATCTGGATCCGGATCGTCCCCGGTAGAAAAGTGTCCACATGTTCTACCGATCTATAACAGTTTGTAGTATTGAATTTGTTTATTTATTTATTAGATTTTTTGGTGTTCAGGTAAAAGGGGCTACCCGAAGGTGCATCCATGGATTGCATCATGAGACATGGAGAAAAGGGGAATATGGTAAAGTAACTGGGGGAAACTTCCACTTCAAAATTACATACTCCGTACTCGGCTCTACTTACAAGCCTTATAGCATAGTATAACTTAGCCACTAAGAAAAAGGTCCCTTGCAGGGAATCCAATAATACGGTAAACAACATGTATCCCTCGTGCGGCATGTGGAACCTGGGGCTGAACGCCACAGCATCCCAGTCACGTCCAATAATTACCATGTTTTATCTTCATAATTAAGGATGGAGAGGATATCCATACCGGCGCGGGGCTTGTTTACTCTTCAAAGTTAAATTGGTCTCCAACACTCGTCCCAGATTTTGAACGATTCATTCGGTACGACATGAAAGAGGAAGGTCTACGGAAAACCCACTAGTCATTTCCGAGGATTTGGGACACGGGAAACCTTCAAGTTTCCACTACGAACTGGATTGACCGATCTATACGGAGTAGGATGGAAAACAGATGATCAGAAAAAAAAACTGATAAATACGGTACAATCGGTGGGGACTTCACCTCATACTCTGCCGCGCTATTCATGGAAGCACATGATGCGTGAAGTATATCTCATTCCCTTGCATGGCGGCAAACTTGAACAATGCAATTAATCCTAGCCATTCGTCTGTCAGATGGCTTGCAGGGATCATATTCTCAGCCACATGCAGGCCAGACCATACAGATATTAATAATTAAGACTAGTCACTGTAATCTGCAGGTTATTTCTCCGATGTCTCCTGCGTCGTGCAGCGCGGTTGATTCCGTCGCGCATACGGGGGATTAGACATGATCATGCAGAGATTGTGCCACGCTGGCAGACGCCCACGCCGTGGATCCTATCATTGAGTCGCAGCCTCCAGAAGAAAGTCCTTCGTTAATTGCTTTTGATTTCGACAGACCCATTGTTGCATCATCGACTGATTCCGAGTCCCGAATCCGGATCTCTTCCCAGTGGTGGAACTATGAGATCATGAGCACAGACAAGACTGTAGTGAGTGGATGGTCTCAACAGGGGAAGTCCAAAAGGAGCAAACTTCGTCTAGCGCGTTTCTGGCCTTGCGTTGTTTTGGAGCCAAGATTGACAGCCGTTGATGGGACCCAGCCCGCAAGCTTTGCCTAGCCATTCTGGATCCTACGGAGAACCTTCTCCTCTCGTAATTAGTGGACCGAGTAGAGAGAAAAAGGGCAAAAAAGGGCAAAAAAGGGCAAAAAAGGGCAAAAAAGAGAAAAAAGGGCAATAGTGGAGAAGATGAGCTCGCTTGGGTACTAGTGCGTCGATATTCGATCCACACGGTCAGCTTCACTCTACAATCTCTGTGTTTGGTTAAATCCACGCACTTTGTCCAAATACATGATCATTTTTGGCTAAGAAACTGCCTTTCACTTCCCTGGTGCCGCGGATTGGCTGAACGCCAAGTGGTACCCCTGACTAGTCCCAAGAAGGAATTATTTGGTGAATTTGATTACCTGCACAATGCACGATTCTTAGTCCAGTTGGGTGGAAAATAGATGAAGGCCAGTAAACTTTTCCAATTCATTCAAATATTGCATATGATTCGTAAGGTGAAGCATTTCAGGAATTGAATTTACAAGCTGAAAAGGTACGGAGTAGCGAGTACGAAGTACCTTGTGCCTGGTACATGGTGGAGAATAGCCGGTATTCGACTCCACCGGTGTGTACAAAAGTACCTTTCAATTCCCGGTCGCACTCAATGGCCAAAGTCGAGGCTTTCAATATTATATTAATTTCCGATCTATCACTTCTCGGATTATTGATTAAAAAAATTGATGTAGCTCGATTCCCACATCCCAGCCATCAGCCTTCCACGTCATAATGATTATATGCGAAATGAAATGGAGAAGTAGAGATGCATATTGATCCTCACAATCCGGGTACGAGTCCAGATCCAGCGATTTCTCAAAAGTTTAAGGAGATTTTGAGGGTGAACGTTGGGGCCGGAAGTGTGATCTCACGTTGGTGGGAACCAGACCACCAATCCCAATTTCGGGCTCCGCACTATGCGAAGGTTGTAATAGAAGCCCCGCGCGCCGTTGTTTCATCTGTGCGATCGTTTTTATTCCCCGGCTAATCAATTGTGGGTGGCCTTGTGTTCTAATTGGTTTCTAGACAATCGGATTGAACGGTCACTGTGGATGTCACACAAACAACTGTCAGGGTGTTCTGATAGTTGAGTCTTGTTCCAATTCGGTATCTATTAACGAAACAAGATTTGAACAGTGGAGTTTATGTATGTAATCCAAGGGTGTTCAATTCAAATGCCGCCTAGGATGCTTTAGGACCATACAATTTATTTCAAACCGGGCGCAAACTTTAGCAGATCTAGAACTTTTCACCCATGGTATCACAGAGTAAGATCAAATGGATACTATCTGGACATTCAGATCGAAGGAAAGATTATCCGATATAATTTAGGAACATGGAACTGCATGTGTGCACATGTTTTTCCACAGGCATGGAAGATTGGCCCGATATATATCGAGCTGGTGGAGTACTCAAAGATGTAAATCTTCAACACTTCGAAAACTCCAAGGCTGCAGCACTGACACCTTTTTTAATTATTCCCACTTCAACTGAAAATTGAGAATAACTCCGATTTTGTAGCTAGATTTTGGGCTGAGAGGCCTACGGGCACTCCGTATACCAAATGAATACTTTTTGAAAGCAAGTGCATGCTAAACACGTGACATTGGACGTGACAAAATATACCGCGAAATCATCCCCACAGAGTAAATATCAGTCCTTGATCGTTCTCAGGTTACACCAGTTGACTTTCCCCTATTTCGGCATGGAGGGTACATTCAGGTTCTTAGAGTATTATTTTCTCAATTCAACCACGACATCCGCATAAATGTATTTGTACCTTGGAATCTAATTTTTTCCAAGTAAATTAATCCTCGCTCAGGCTGGCGCTGGTCTATTCAATGAAAACATGCAGCGCCTGCGTTCTATGACCAGGTTCTATCATGCGGCTCCTGCTTACTGGCCTCAGGGCTTCAAAACTCTCCCGTTTGAGAACCCGCATCTCGAGATGCCGGGTTTCAACGTCCCATTGAATCTTTATCCCACGGTCAGTCCTTCCCTTTGGTTGAGAATTCTATAACCTTTACTGATGATCACCAGCGAGATGGGATGAAGGACTGGACACGCGGATTTGCAAATGCCTTAGATCCGAGCCATTGCGATGAGGGCTATATGGAGTAGGTGCTCATGCGATCATGTCAGACTCCGGGACTGACGGGTTGCTTGCAGTCAACTTGTTACCCGCAGAGAAATCCTGATGATGCGAGTGATGAACACTATTACTGATAAACCCTCGTGGGATCGAAAGGTTTGTTCTGCTCGTGTACATTGCTGTCTCTGGTCTGAATCTCTCCAGGTTTTCGACGAGCAGATAACTGCCAAATGGCGTGCAGAGATCTCTCAAAGCGGTCAGGATGTGTCCTCCAAGATGATGGATTGGATTATCAAAGAGCTACAATGGAAAGCAGGAATTTATCAAGAACGAGGAACCATCCAAGTCTTCGATTCCGGCGTGGTCAAGTCTGATGCTGTGATCTCTCAACAAGTCCAACAGTCTTTGAAGGACGCTGTCAGCCCTCTGGAGAACATACCCGAAAAGGATTACCACCCGGGCTCTGATCAGAAAGTCGTTAACCTGGTGCACCCTTCGCTTTTCCCGGTTATTAGCGGTCGAACCCGTGTCTTGCCAGACCGTGTCATTGGCCTGAATGACTGCCTAAACAACATGGGAGAAGGCAGCCTGATACCGACCCCATCAGAGGAGCACTCAAAAATTCCATTCGAGAATAGTGAGGGGGTGGAAGTACTGAGCCGGAAATTCCAATGGCTCCCCTGCGACGTTGAACTCACAAAGAATAACGGTGCTCAAATCCTATCGTACATCAACAACGCTCATCCTATCAAACACCGAGCACTATACGAAGTCATTGAAAAGATTATTGCGCAAACTATCCCCCTGTGGGATATGAGTCTGACAGATAGACACGATCACATACGCGAACAGAGAATCGAGTTCAAGGGGGTGGAGTACGGTGAAGCTCCCGGGCCGTCTCCAAAGGAGCCGATGGGAGACAGCCACGAGGAATGGGATAAACATTTGGAAGACGATTGGGCTTATTTGCGTTCCAGACCAATCAAGCAGCCCGAACCGGGCGAGTTCAATACTCAGTACATACTGAAATATAACGAGAATCCTGTCAACCTGCGAGAGGATTTCAAGAACCAGAGACTTCAGGTGATTGTAAAGCTGGCGAATATCGAGCTCACACCGGAAAAGCCTGACTACGAGGGTGGCACCTGGCATATAGAGGGTCAATTGGTGAGTGCAAATGCACATTTCCACAGCTCCATGCTAAAATTGATCAGAATGAACGAATCTGCGCATCAGCAATATACTACTACGATAGCGCCAACATCACAGAGAGCACATTATCTTTTCGCCACCGAGGCATGGATGATTTCTCTATCAGCTACGACCAAGAACTCCACGAATTCCTGCAAGTCATTTATGGTTTCTTACCCGAAGTCAAGAGTGGATACCCTAGAAGCAACATAACCCAGCTCGATGGAAGCGTGATCTGCAAAGAAGGTCGCTTGATCACGTTTCCAAATACCTTGCAGCACCGCGTCTCTCCGTTTTCACTGGCTGACCGGACTAAACCCGGACATAGGAAGATCCTTGCACTGTTTCTCGTGGATCCCCATCGGCGGATCATCTCGTCAGCGAACGTTCCACCACAAAGAAAAGATTGGAGGGATGATGAAGGCGATTCAGAGACGGATGGGTTGATGTCGATGAATGAGGCGAGGCAATATAGGCTTTCGCTTATGGAAGAGCGAAGTATTCAGAAAGAGAAGGATAACAGTCATTTTGAGGAAGGGGAATTCAACCTTTGTGAACATTAGTGTACAACAGTGATAGTCAGTTAACCAAGCCTACAAAGCTAATAAGTCTCCGACGAGAGACTGTAGTATTTTGGGACATTAAGACCAGTGTGACGTTAGTATCACCGGTGGATCGAGCAGCGAGAATTGCGAGAATGAACCTGCTGGTACATCTTGCTAAATTTCATGGCCTAGCGTAGGGTTTGGTATAGTAGTTGTTGGGTCAGTAGGTTGATCTACGGTCTAGTGGGCCCGGACTCAGACCCAAATTTCCAAGATTTGGACTATCGCGAAAAACTCAACCTTATTAAACAAGGTCATTGATTCCAGGTTAAGTATAAATGAATTCTCATTATCAAAAGGCTTTTGCTTCAACGATGCTCGAAGTCCCCTTGCTCGAGTTTTGATTATAAATCCAATCCAATCAGATCTTTGTGCTCCATAACGTCATAGTGAATACTGTACGAAAGCTCCCCGCAGATGCTCCTGCAACACAAGCCATTGGCCCACCCCTCCCACTTCTTTTCTTTTCTTTTCTTTTCACGAACTTCCAGCTGAAATAATACAATCCCAATACCTTCAAAATGCAAGTCCTTCTTCTCGGTGGCCACGGTAAAGTCGCCCTATACCTTACCCCACTTCTCCTCAACCGCGCGTGGAACGTCACCAGCGTCGTACGCAACCCCGACCACGAGAGCGAGATCCTAGAGCTCGGTAAAGGCCGGAAAGGCAAGCTCAATGTATTGATCTCTAGTCTGGATGACATCAAAAGCGACAATGATGCCCAGAAAATCCTCGAAGCGACCAAACCCGACTACGTAGTCTGGTCAGCCGGTACGTGCCCCTCACCCCACTCCCCTCCCATAACCAGGTTTCAGACAGAACATCAAGATAGTGTATAGAACTCAATTGCTACCAAACACCAGTCCATAAGTATTATGAAACTAATAACCCACAGGAGCCGGCGGTAAAGGCGGTCCAGCGCGCACAATAGCCATCGATCAAGAAGCCGCAAAACACTTCATTGGCGCCGCTTTCGCCTCAACAAGCATCTCCAAATTCCTAATGGTTTCCTGGATAGGTAGTCGTCACAAACAACCAACTTGGATGTCTGACGATGCCTGGGAAAGTATCATGGTCACCAAGACTGAGACGCTACCCACTTACGCAGCTGCCAAGCTTGAAGCCGACGAGTACATGACCGCTCTAGCGGCGAAGCGTAAGAAGGAGTCTCGCCCATTCCAGGCTATTAACCTGCGACCTGGTATGTTGAAGGATGCACCTGCGACGAGGAAGGTCGAGCTGGGTATCACTGGCCAGGCGAGGGGCAGTGTGACGAGGGAGGATGTAGCTATTGTTGCAGATCAGTTGCTTGCGCGGGCTGATGTTGAGGGATGGATTGATCTTGTTAATGGAGATGTGGATGTTGAGGAGGCTGTTGAGAGGGTTGCGAATGAGAAGATTGATGCTGTTCAGGGTGAGGATGTTGATGGAATGGTGAAGAGGTTTTTCCCTTGAAGTTATGATAGGTTGAAGCTTAAGCTCAGGCAGAATGGAATTGAATGGGCTTGTCAAGAAACTGGTATATATCATTTGTCTTCCTGGTTCTATTGTCTTTGTATGTAGTGCAAGATTGAAATTGTTGTCACATGTACGCCACCGAATCCTATAGCTTGGCCTTGGGGCCCTTCAAGTCATCCTTGAATTGCTGCTTCAGTACACGGCGAAGGATCTTCCCACTGGGATTCTTGGGGATCTCATCCACAAACCGCACGCCACCACGCAGACGCTTGTGGTGAGCAACCTTGCTATCCAACCACCGTACAATCTTGGCTGCCTCATCCTTCTCGCTAGAACCTGAGGACTTGCTCTTCGCACTGCGAACCACACAAGCCATGGGCACCTCGGAGCCATGCGCCTCGCTCTCAAGACCAATCACAGCCACATCGTCAATCGCCTCGTTATCCACGAGAAGTCCTTCTAGCTCGGCAGGAGGCACCTGGAAACCCTTATACTTGATAAGCTCCTTAACCCGATCCGTAATGAAGAAGTTGCCCTTAGCGTCCTGGTAGCCAACATCGCCAGTACGGAACCAGCCGTCCACCGACAGACACTCGCGTGTCGCAGCCGGGTTCTGGTGGTAGCCCATGAAGACATTCGGGCCACGCAGATAAAGCTCGCCGACCTTTCCGACCTCGACTTCGGTTGGTTCAGACCCATCCTCGGGCATGGTCATGTACTTCGCTTCCATGCTTGGCATCAAACGGCCAACAGAACCGATGTGTTCACGCCAGTCCTCCCATCGCTGCGTGTGTGTGGTAGGACTAGTCTCACTGAGCCCGTAACCCTGCTTGATGCCAACCTTGATGCGCGAGTATACACTCTCCACCAACTCCTGGGTAAGTGGGGCTGCACCGGAGTTCATCATGCGCAGGCTGGAAAGATCATACTTGTCGACTACCGGGTGCTTGCCCAGCAACAGCACCACAGGGGGCACGACGTAGCTGAATGTAACGCGGTAATTCTGAACATGTGCGCACCATTTCTCAATTTCGAATTTCGCCATGACAATGAGGTGGTAGCCCTTGTACAAAGCCTGGGTAATCAGACAGGTCAATCCTGAACGACAAAATCAGTTAGTCGAAGAATTCCCATCCTAGACAATGCAAACAACCATACCATAGATGTGATAAAATGGCAAAAAGGCCAGAACCCGATCCCCCTTTCCATCTGGTCCACCATTCCAACTCAAATGACCTCCTTCACCCATGACCCCCTGCAAAATATTGGCAACGATATTCCGATGCGACAGCATCACACCTTTAGGCACACCAGTAGTACCAGAAGAGTAAACCAAAAACGCCACATCAGACTCAGGATTAATCTTGTGTCTACGATAGCGAGTTGCGCGAGAGATATTCAGCACAGAAGTAAAATGCTTAAACCGAGCTTCTGGGTCGCGCTGGTCTCCGAGGAGAATGATGTGGTCTTCACGGATACCGACCTTCTTCGCGGCTTCCCTGGCAACCGACAGAACAGAAGACTGAGTTGCAAGGAGTCTTGCGCCAGAGTTCTTCAGTTGGAAGGCTAGTTCATCGGCCGTGTAGGCTGGGTTAGCAGGGGAGACGATTCCGCCAGCCCAGAGGGTTCCCCACATCAACACGGGGGTGTCGATGGTGTTGGGTGTGAAGAGGGCGAGGACATCGCCTTTTTTCCAGTCGTAATTGGCTTTGAGACCCTTGCCGAATTCTAGGGCGGCATCTTTGAGGGTCTTGTAGGTGTAATGACGTTGGGTGTCAGCGTCCTGGTAGAGAACTGGTGGTCACGCAATATGAGTATGGAGACTTCGTATAAAGTACAATGAAAAGAATCTTACTCTTATCATCGGGAAAAGGCCGGTCCTTCCGCTCGAACAGAAAAGACCAAAGGTCGACGTTGGGGATGTCAATCGGAGGATAATTTGACGAAACGGGCATTTTGCGGGGAACTTGGCAGGTATGTAAGGTAGCGCCGATCCGGGGTGAAGGGGTCAGATTATAGAATCGACACAGGTGTATCACGAGAAGTTCAGAAAGTAACGAGCATCTGGGCAGTAGGAAGAAATACAGAGAGTCCTCCAAGGTTACTCCGCATTTCTCGGTTCTTTGGTGAAGGTTTGCCTCGGCCCCGTTGCTGGTTGGGTTCGCCATACCCGAAACGGCTTCATTTGGCATAGCGGGGTCAGTGGGTAAAGTTGATAAGGGCTGGGGCGTGGGGGCGTTGAGACTAATATTAAATAGAGGCCTTAGAATATCTCTCTGGTAGGGCTTATACTTTTGCTTGAATAGTTCTTGCTTTAAATATCCTTTTCTATAATTTGTATGCGTTACTCTCGGATCCAAAAGTGATGGGCCTCGTATTATTTGCATGCATATATATATTTGTGCCGAACGCCGAAACTTTTCGACCGAATGCCGAACAGTCGGATTTTATGGAAATTGCAGGATTGCACTTCTTTTCAATGTTGTTAAGCTAGAGATAATATGGGCAGACCGGACTATCTGCAGTACATAGCCACCCATGTCTTGCTTCATGTATCTAAATGTTCTCTCATTTATGATGAATATACATTCAGATGTTTGAACTATTTTACATGCGTTGTTTCAAACATCTGTTAAGTTTCAAGGGTTGAAACTGGCTCTTGTATGTTAAATGACAGGCCCCCATTATCTAGTTAAAGTATCCTCAAGCTGCTGAAGGTGACGTGATGGGCGCAGTTATTGGAAGCACTAGTGCAGCGTTACAAGCATGTACTACTGTTACAATGCAGAAGTGAAAGTTATCATATCGTGAATTTCGCTCTCCTCAGCAACATGGTAGCCAAGGAGAGCATTGTTTTGCTTCGTCAGACTCGACGGAAGCCGGAAGGAGATAGAACTCCACTTTTTTATGCCGACAAGATCTTAAATTGAGCTGGAAACAGCTGTCCCGCACTGGAAATACAAGCTGAATAAAGCAACCCAGGTCAGGGTGCTGGTTTCCATTTTTGCTATCCAAGCACCATCTCCACCACACGCCACTCCAAGGGGAATCGTTCGAAATCGTTTACTTGAGGGGAATGAAACGGGAAGAGTGGGTGGCACCGATACCGGGACGACCGTGCTTGACGGGCTTGCTAGAGGGTTGTTAGTACTGCACCGATCCAAATACAGAGAAATGTGAAGAGAAACGTACTAAGAGATAGAGAACTCAGCCAGGTAGTGGCCAACCATCTCAGGCTTGATCTCGACCTGGTTGAACTCCTTTCCGGAGTAGATACCGATGACGCTGCCGATCATCTCGGGGACAACGATCATGTCACGGAGGTGGGTCTTGACGAGATCGGGCTTCTCGTTGGGCTTGGCCTCCTGCTTAGCCTTGCGGAGCTTCTTGATCAGGCCCATGGGCTTGCGCTTAAGACCACGGTTGAAACGTCTGCGGGCACGGGCGTGGACAACATCGCGGAGCTGCTCGGACGAGAGGTCGAGGAGCCTAAGAAATTTGATTAGACACTGCCGAACAAAAATTTATCGCCAATTTCCCTTCCCACAGAAAGCACCCGGTGAAAGAGCATTGCAAAGGAGTGGTATCGTTGATGGTATCCTCCTTCGATGACACTGGGTGCATGCTGCGAGTGGGGTGGCGAGTGGATGGAGTTGAAGGCAAACGTACTGGTCGAGGTCAATACCGCGGTAAGAGAACTTGCGGAACTGTCTTCTCTTCTTGATCTCTGTTGGCGAAATTCCTGTCAGCGGTCTGGGTTCTCGATGGTGGTGTGTCGTCCAATCCCTTCGTCCAAGCGATATCGAAAATCCGAGCCCTCGTTTTCATCGTCCATTGTCGTCGTTCCATAACACTCGATCCATTTCCTTCATCGCTTGACACTCTTCGGGGTATGGGTAGGGATAATGTTGATTCAAAACGTACCGGCAGCCTCCTCGGCGTTCTAGAAAGATTTGGTTAGCATTACTGATGAACAAGGCTTGAGACATGAGACTCGACTCACGTATTCGATGTCAGCCATTTTTGCGGTTGTTTCCTGGAGGTCGCTTTCCGAACGGGATCTCGAAAAGCGCAAAGATGGGTTGTCGGGTCGTCGTGTCGCGGGAACGATCTCGCTAGTACACCTGAGACTGGTGAGGTGGGCAGGGGCTCGCCTAAGCGACTGGGTAGGTTAAGCCCTAACCCACTAGACCGCTTTAGGTAATCCGTATTACAATGGTAATTTACGGTTTCTAATCCAATGAAAGATCATGAATTACACCGTTTCTGCCCGAATTCTGCGGGATTGATCTTAAAAATACTGTCTTCTGTATATTGATTACAAAATATCCCCATGGTCATGTACTCTATCTGTATCGACTCTTTGATGTCAGGTCATTGATCATAGCAGAAAGCATTTATAATAATAGATGAGCGATTAGTGATCTCATTAGAGTCAGGGCCCCATGGTAATAGCATATAGTCATCCACAGTCACCAGCACAGGGAAAATCAGTATTGCCTGTATCTGTGCCTGTGATTGCGAATGTCTATGCGCTATTATGTGAGAACACCTAGACGACTTTGACCATATGCTACAATGTACTACGTAGAATGATTGCGGAGGACAGATGATCTGTATTGGCTATGAACTGTTTCCAGCTCATATATGAAAAACTCGTAACTGCGTTAGAACAGCCTGAACCATGCACACTTGAGAAACCAGTTGGTGGAATTCCTTCCCGAACTGACTAGACCACTCAGATATCTGTTCCCCCAAGGAGTTCTTTTTGAGGCCGTGATGAAGGGTGCATTTAGTCGAAGAGACCGAATCCCATGTCATCATCGGACTCCTCCTTCTCCTCCTCCTTGGCGGCAGCGGGGGCGGCCTCAGCGGCGGCACCACCAGCGGCGGGGGCAGCAGCAGCGGCACCGGCACCACCGGAGGGAACGGAAGCGAGCTTGGAGGAACCCTCAGCGATCAACTGCCAATGCATATTAGTAAAGTTTCCGGTGGTTTCCAAGTTTTCGAGTGATAACTAACCTCCTGGAGGTTCTTGCCCTGGAGCTCAGCGAGGAGCTTCTCAACACGCTCGTTGTCAGCGTCAATGCCGACGGAGGAGAGGACCTCCTTGATGTCGGCAGCGGAGGGAGACTCGTTGCCAGCAAGGGCAAGGAGCATGTAAGCAGCGATGTACTTCATTTTGACGGTACTGTTCGCGAATTCGATGTCAGTAAATTTGGTCCACCATGAAGTGAAGCGTGTGCTGTGCGATAGGGGGAAAACTGCTATCGCATAGATCGGATCGAAAGTTTGAAGACACTCACAGTTTCTTAGAACAGGAGAAACAATCGATTTAACCGCAAATTGGGGCGGAGACTGCAACGTCGAGTTCGGGAGGAGTTGGCTGAGGATCAAGATCGAACACTGAAATCGTGGGAAAAAGTGCGTTGCGGCTCCATGTGGCGGTGCTACCGCCCGGCAGAAAAAGACTAAGCGAGTGTGGCGCAAAAATCACGTGGGTATGTCCCTTTCGGGAATTGAAGTGAATCATGGAACCGGCGTGGCCAATCTTCTCCCCGCTATATTCACTGCGATTCCTCGTCCATAGAAGCCCTCGGAATTTCCGCGAGTGGCTCGACTTCTCCCCTCCCTACTGTCCCTTCATTCTCCCTTATTTCCTTCTTTTCATCAAGTTGCGCACTTTCTCGCTTCCTCCGAACGGAGCTCCATTTACATGGTCTCGCGTTCGGAGTCGTGAAGCTTCATACTTCGTCGATCTAAACATACATCAGTCGCAACTTCTTTGCTCCCAACTCTCCACCACAAACCGCTTGTTTCGCTTTCAAACCTGGCAAGATGAGTGTATGTTCATACTTTGCTTGTTCTCTGCTTGTTCTTTGCCTGTTCCTATCTGACATGACATAGTTCCTCGACTCGGTTCTCACATCGCTGCAAACCGGCAAGCCAACTCAGCTCCCGGTATCCCAACCCCCATCTCCTCCCAAAATATCCTCCCCAAAGCGAAATGGGCCCACGCCGGGTTCGGTCCCACACATCTCGACCATGAATGGAGGAACCAAGCGCAAGGCCGAAGACCAACTACCTCGTTCTACCCGTCCCGGCGGCCCGGTTTCTACACGGCCTGCAAACCAGCCTGTAGCTACATCTGGGGTATCCAAGACTGCTCCCAAGCCGACCCCTGCTCCCAATCGCAAAGTAACCGAGGCCAAACCCGTCTCCAAAAACGGCACCGCCGGAGTCAAGAAAGCAGCTCCTGCCAAGTCTGCCTCGACCAAACCTGATTCAGCTGCTCCTCCGTCCAAGGCCCCACCAAAAGGTTCCTATGCCGACCTCATGGCGCAAGCCAAAGCTCGACAGGAACAAGCCCCCACCTTAGTGGGTGTGATCCGAAATCAGGTCGCCCCTCGTGAGAAACAACCCCTCAGACATCGCCTCCAAGAAGCCAAGGCTCGAGCGAAAATGGAGAAAAAGGGAAAGAGATTTGAGCCATCCGGCCCTGAGCGCAAATACGGGCACAAACGATCTCCGGAACACCCCCACAAGCGATCGCCCGAAGTTCCTTCTTACAAAGGTACTGCGAAGCCAACTCAGACCCCCGAGCCACCTGCCTACCGTGGAACTGCAGGCCTCCCCGGAAAGAATGGCTCAAACGACCGTCGCCAGCACGGCAAGCGTCGCATGGATGAGTACTTGGGGACCGACGAAGAAGACGAAGGCCACTACGGTGGCTACGATGATTACTCTGATGCCTCTTCTGACATGGAGGCTGGCTTTGACGATGTTGAGGAGGAGGAAGATACCGCATTGAAGAATGCTCGCAAGGAGGATGAGGAGGAACTGCGCAGGGAGATGGCAGCTAAGAAGGAGAAGATGGAGCGTCAGAAGCGCCTGGCCGCCCTTGCATCTCGTAAGCGCTGAAATGACTACGGGCTTTGAACTCTTGATCACAGATTCGTTCTCTTTGATCAGTTTTTTGCCTTTGATCACAATTGTTTCCATTGATCACACATTTGTTTCCTTTGTCTGGGCGGTTTATTTTTTCGCAGCATTCTGAGCGTTCGAGGTGTTATTAGATGGATATTTCCTAGTCTTCTGAGCACTATCCATAGCGGGCGTACCAGTAATACCACTTTGATTTTATCTTTCGGTTATCATTCCAAGTATTCAAGTTCTTTGAAATGATAACATGTTTCTCGGTTGTACACTCCGCAAGCCCCACTTGGCAGTGACATCACCCGCAAGCTTATCCTTCCGACCACTTTTGTCTCTATACCATATCTTCTTATTCCTAATTCCTCCCAAGGCTGTATCTAACATGGAGCCAGTCCACCATGTCACCACCTCATCGAAGGTCCTCTTCAGCAAGGTCCGCAGGATTGTCCCACCAATGCTGGAGAAATTCCACAAAGGTCTGTACCACCAGGTTCTAGCCGTAATCTTGATCAATCATGCTAATGATCAATTAGGACAACTGGGCCGTGTAGCAGTCATTGGCGGCTGTGCCGAGTAGGTCGTCTGATAGTGCAGATACCTATCTAAGCTAACCCGGGACAGCTACACTGGTGCTCCATATTTCTCGGCCATCGCATCGGCAAAACTAGGTATGTGACCCGGCCTTTTTAAAACATAAAGAACTCAATTAGCTAACTCAGTTCAGGCTGTGACATGGTATGGATGCCCAGTGACGAATGAACCATGACCCGGCTAACAACATCCAGAGCCATGTTCTCTGTGAACGCTCCGCAGCTCCGGTATGACCCTCAGCCAACACAGAAATCCAATTACTGACCCTAATCCAGGTCATCAAGAGCTATTCGCCAAACTTAATGGTACACCCAATACTGCCAAGCACAGAAACAGTCAAAGATCCCAAGTCAATCGACGCACCAACCCTTGCAGGCCCGATTATCAGCATGCTCTCCCGCCTACACGCCCTCGTGATCGGCCCCGGACTCGGTCGCGACGGCGTCACGCTAAAGATAGTCGCCGAGGTAATCAAAGAAGCACGCTCACGATCCATCCCCTTTGTGCTCGACGCAGACGGGCTACTAATTGTAACCGAGGACCCCAGCCTCGTCAAGGGATACAAGGAATGCATCCTGACGCCGAATGTGGTCGAGTTCGGACGCCTTGCAAAAGCACTAGGGATCAAGGTACCCAGCCAGGCTGATATCGCAAATGAAGGAGGCGATAAAACAAGCAAAGAGTCCGATGCTTGCGAGCAGTTATCCAATGCGCTGGGCGGAGTGACGATTCTGCAAAAGGGTCCTCATGATGTGATTTCTAACGGAGTTACCAGTCTCATCAATGATACTAAGGGTGGACTGAAGCGCAGTGGTGGTCAGGGAGATACACTTACTGGATCTTTGGGTACGATGCTTGCCTGGCGGGCGGCGTATCATGACCGGCTGTGGGATTCGGGAGAGAATGAGAATGACAAGGAGGCGCGGAGTAGGGAGGAGGTTCAGGCTGAGTTGGAGTCTGATAGACGGATGTCGCCTGGTACGACTTTGCTTCTGGCTGCGTGGGCTGGGAGCAGTATTACCAGGGAATCATCGAGGCGGGCTTTCGAGGCTAAAGGCCGGAGCATGCAGGCTAGTGATCTTACCGATGAGGTACATGGGAGTTTCTTGCGGTTGATCGGTGAGCCCGAGGATTCTCAGGCTCATCTATAGACATCTATAGACTGTTGTCAGAAGTGACTGGCTAGGGTAGCACTGTCTCGAAATGTTAAATGATTCAAGTTTGAGCTGAACATCCAAAAAGAGGTCCATAAGGCGCACCATTACCGAGAGCCGATCATTTGAAGTAAGCATGACATGTCACGAAAAGTCCACTTGAACCAGAAATCGTATTTACAGTAGGCCCTAGTATTCGACAGCTCATGTGGATTTAGAACAGAACCAACCATGTGGCAAGCTGATTCAGGGGAATCCATGTGAACTTTACACCTCATATACTGTGCATGCGCATCTCATGTACAAGGAACCGTTTATTACAGTAATGTACTGGACTGTTCCTCAGGAATTCTTAGTTGAAGTGCATTGTTCTGTTGTAACTTTAGCAATCCGCCATAATTCACTCTAGTCAAGACTCGGCTCAAAAGACCCCTAAACTCTGAGAATTCCAATTCCAATTATCCCCTATATCCGGTAACAGGTTATCCAAAGCACTCCACTGCTCAATCGAAAAAGCCATCTGAAACATGTCTTGCATAGGCATAACAAGAGAAGGATCAGAGCTAGAAGTCTCAGCCATAAGACTATCCAGCCACTCCGTACTATTAGTCGGCTTGAGAATACCTTGGTCAACACCATTATTCGGCCCTTGCATCTCAGAGTGAGACTGTAATAAAATATTAATCTTGGGGCCAAGATTCCGTAAGATGGTGGCTGCGCTGTTCGCGACAGAAAACAGTTCTCCGAATTTTTCGCAGACTGTAATAGCCAGGTCAACTGCTTTAATGGCTTCGGGTGTTAGGATATTTCGTGGGTGGGCTAAGATGAATCCGACGAGGGTCATTGATGCGTTCCACTGCCATTGAAATGCTTCGTGCCAGCCGGTTAGGATAGTCGTTGAGGATAGTGTTTGGTGTGTGATTTTGGTGATTTCCATCGCATGGAGAGCGCATTTTGTGGCAAACTTCTCCGTTAAACTTGATTGTAGTCCTGGGACGAAGGAGATAAAGGGTCGATGGATGTTGATGCAGAGATTGTGATAGATCAACTCCAGGATTAGACGTTGGCGTTGAAGCCATATCGGTGCAAATGGCTCGATGTCCAGTTTTGTTCCATCTGTGGAAAAGGGGGTACCATTTTCTTGTCGACTAGTCTTGAGCGTATTGGGAAGCTCGACAACCCATTGATCTAGAGGCTTTGCACAAATATGCAAAAACTCGGCATGGGACTCCAATGCCTGGGGATCATCCCAGATGGACTGGCCTTGGAGAAAATTTACATCTCTTGCGTAAAATGACTCATGAATCTCACGTGTGATGATGAAAAGTTTTGAATTTTCGAGATGAAAGCTGAGCCATGTTTTGTTTTCGCCTGGATTGGCCAGGCGAGACCCGGATTGCTTCGCGGTTTCGGGTTGGTCATCTGGTAGGTCGGGCTCGGTAGGAGAGCGATGGAGAAGAAAAGGCCGACCCAGTTTCATGCCAATTTTTGCATCTAGCTCATAGAGACCCCACCACAGACGCTTCCTCAGTTCACGTTCCGGTTCTTCTAGATCGTGCGAAGGGGCTATATGCAGCCCGGCAACATAAGCCGCTGTCGCAGCCATACCCGCCCATGTCGCAGACATGTTTTGGAAAGACCCGTTGCATAGGTATATGGAGCATAGCATTAAAGATTGTACTGTCGATACCGTGGGGCTTTCAAGCTGGTACGTGACTAGCTGCTGACAACGTCGAAAGTACCAGCGGCCGGCGACGCTGGGGTCTCCACCAATGATGGACTTTTGTTGATCGAGGCTTAGATGAGAGACACCATGTTGCATGCACAGAGCAATCACGATGTCCACAAGCGCATCAGGTCTTCTTTTGTCTCCAGACTCCGCCCATAGTGATCGATAGTGGTCCATAAACTCGGCCTCATTGATGATCGGGAAAAGACAAGTGTGGTAAGATTTCCAAAAGAAATCGAGGAAGTATTCTTCTTGAATTGGACTCAAAAACTGTCCTGCTGTAAATAGGTCCTCTGAGGAAAGCGCGTGCTCCTGAGAGTCATCTTCCGGACTGTGCTCGGTTGTACCGTTTAATAGTGTACTTGCGGATCCATGAAGAACCATCTGGTTGCTCGTTTGGGTCTGCTGGAGGATTGCGCCCAAGTAGCTATTCATGCGCCCGATAAAATGAAAGAGTGATGATGAGCCGTACCATGATGAGTTTGGTGAGCGAGCAGTGCCGATCTGGATTCCTTCCCAGGGACTATATCGATCCGACTTCTGCGCTGGCGTTGAAACCGTGGTGCGACTGGACCATTCCAAACCGGGCAAAGAAGTCTGCCCAGGCGAACTGTTCGACTGCAACGGACTTGCTAGGGGGTACTGAGACCTATACCAGAGCAATTCATCTTCGATTTCCTTATGATTCCTAAGCTTGGCTTCTGCTTCCTTGATATTCTTCTTCAGTCTGTCTATCTCTCTAACAGATCGTTAGATAACTACCAACTCTGCTTTATTACTAAGAGCTCTTACCTCATAGCTTGTGGTAAATTCCGAGGCTCATCTGATCCGATCTGCACGCATGGCTCATTTCTTCGTCGACAGGCTCCACATGGGCGTTCATTGTCACATTTGGCCCTTCTTGCGCGACACCCGTCGCAGGCGCGTCCGACTTGCCTTCGCAGAGGTTTGATAGTGCCCTCCATTGCGTCCCTTCTTCGGGCCGAGTCATGCATGGTCAAGACATAAGTTTCACGGTGTATAATTAATAAGTTGAATCATCCGATTCATCCCTAGCGTGGACTCCGTGGAGAGAGGAGGGGAGGGGGAGTTCCGGAGTTGTAAGATTTCGGGCCGACCGCTTACCAACCAATGCCAAGTGGCCCAAGTCATGAAACTGTAAGCCTTTCATCAGAATTTGGCGATTTAGTCACGATGAATTATAGAACTGCGTCGAAAATGCGTGAAGATATGTTGAATAAAGCATTTATTGATGTCGATATATCAGCATGGTATTCAACTGCCCAGGTGGAAGCCCCGCATATATGAAAATGTGTACATCTAGCAATTCTCTCCCATATCTATAAAGTCCTGATTATTCAGTCATTGGATGCACAGCATGAGGGTGTGTCTTTAAAAATTCCGGGCTAAATGGATAGTCATTGTAGCCTTTCCATGCCTTGTTCGTGTAGAAAGTCGGCCTGTTGTACTTGGCCAGGGGAATGCCCTCCTTAACCCGGTAAACCAGGTCAGGGTTGGCGATAAAATGGCGCCCGAAAGCGACCATAACATCCCACTTCTTGTACTTCTCCTCCACTGCCGAGACGGCTGTATCTGGCTCATAGCCACCAGCAACAACGACAGGCGAAAGGTTGTCCCAAGCCTCGAGGATAAAGTCCAATGATTTTTCCTGGTGAATGGCTTTGTCATTCCAAATCAAAGTCCCAGGGTCACCAGTCGCTTCAACAAGAGAGAGGTAGGCAAACTTGACATCCATCTTCTTGAGCTCTGTGATAAGATATGTGTATAGCTCCCGGTAATCGGCCTTCTCGGACCCCTGGAAACCGGCGTAAGGCGAGAACCGAATAGCCACCTTCTCAGCACCGATAGCCTGCACAACGGCACGGACAACCTCAAGTGTAAGCCGAGATCTATTCTCAATAGATCCACCCCACTTATCGGTACGTTGGTTGACACTCGATGTAAGAAACTGATCGAGCAAATAACCATGCGCAGAGTGAATCTCCACACCATCAGCACCAGCCAGCACTGCACGCTTCGCAGTATCAGCAAAGTCTTGAATCGTCTCCAAGATCTCAGCTTCCGTCATGGCACGAGGTACAGTTTCGGAGTTTTTCAAAGGCACAGCACTGCTGGATCTATAAGGAAACCCTCGAGTTGCCAGCACATCGGGATGGGACGCTCTCCCCATAGCCCAGATCTGCTGGAAAAAAACCGACTTGTTGGCGTGGACTGCATCGATGATTTTACGCCATCCCTCGACTTGTTGATCGCTGACCAGGCCGGGGTTATTCCAGTTGCCTTCTTCGCCGTGTGAAATGGCTGTGGCCTCTGCAACGACTAGCGTTCCGGGCGTGGAGCCGCGATCGGCATAGTATTTTTCCATGAGGGGCAAAGGTACATGGTCATCGTCGTTGCGAAGACGGGTCAACGGTGGGAAAACAATGCGATGTTGTAGCAAGGAATTGCCAACTTGTAATGGTTTGAAGAGTTTCGACTCTGAGGGGACATATTGTGCGATTGAACCCATTTTGACTTGGAGATAAGTGTTAAAATAATGTATTGTGGTGCATGAGAGGGAATGGATATTTATAACTGTCAAGTCTCCTATACTCCGTACAATTCTCTTAGTATCGGCAGTCAACGGCGTGATAGGCTACAACTCCGTAACTCCGTAGAAGTGAAATCCACCGGAGATTGCCAAGAAATTGATAACTAATGAAAACATTCGAGTGCTGAACCCTTTCTGCCATTTTGACTACCAGATAATAAGGCGGTCAAAAAGATACGCTGCATCCGGGTGGGTCATCTTCAATCAACACTCCGAAACTCCGAGTTAGAGGAGGATACGAAACAGCCACCGAGACTCCGAGACTCGAGTCCAGGAGTTCCGGTACCTACTCTAGACGCCGTCGACGGCATCATGGCATAGTCCAGGTCTAGACCGGAAAGCACCAGATATAAAACGGTGGTTATCCCTCGGACAAAATGTAGAATATCAGCAAAGCAATATATCAGAACACAAGTTTTCATCACTTTCCATCAGAACCAACAAACAAAACCAACAAAATGCCTGCCCGCAAAGCCCTCATCGCTATAACCTCCGCCAGTGCACGCCTATTCAACGGCAAAGAGACAACAGGCCTCTTCATCAGCGAAGCACTCCACCCTTACAAAGTCCTCACAGCCGCCGGATTCGAAGTTGACCTCTCCTCCGAAACAGGAAGCTACACACCAGACTGGCTCTCTCAACAACCCGACTTCCTCAACGGCGAAGATCTCAAAACCTGGAACGACAAGAATAGCGAATTCCGGAAGAAACTCGACAATATGACCAAAGCCGCTGACCTTGATGGATCGGCCTATGGTCTATTCTTCGCTTCTGCGGGCCATGCCGCGCTGATCGATTACCCCACTGCTAGGGGATTGCAGAAGATCGCTGAAAAAGTGTGGGCCAGTGGAGGCGTTGTGGCGTCTGTGTGCCATGGTCCTGCTATTTTTGCTAATATCACGGATGCGGCCGGGGAACCGATTATTAAGGGGAAACGGATTACTGGGTTTACTACTGAGGCCGAGAATACTATGGGTATCATGCAGGACTTGCGGAGTTGGGGTTCGGAGATGGTGGAAGAGATTTCGGCGCGATTGGGTGCTACTTGTGAGTTACACTTTGCTTGGTGATTTCTTATACTGACTGGGTTAGATGAACGATCTGCTGGTATCTGGGATGACTTTCATATTGTTGATGGTCGCCTGGTCACTGGTCAGAACCCCGGAAGTTCTACTTCCACTGCAAAGGCAGCTGTTGAGGTTTTTGATAAGCTGTAGGAGAGTTGGGAAAGGGGATCTCTTTTGAATATAATGAATAATGTAATTTAGTCATCACTATCTCTAACTCTATAGGTAGTACTTAATCTACTTTATCTACATGTACCAATTTCTACCTCACAACGATTCTACCTCATCAAACTTCAAACAATACTGTCACCAACTTGAATTACAATTCAAAATACAGCTACTCTGTATAAAGCGGTGTAACCATCCCCGCATTCCAGCCTTACCCATGGACCCTGACTATGAACTGAGACATACACCCCGCCTTCACAGTTCGCCACGAATACGATCACGATCCACATTTTAGTCAAAAATTTCTATATTTACAAATGAACAAGCCATTCACCGATCACGGTTGGTGATGTCTCTACCTTGTTCCAGATCTCGTATTCTGCATCCAACCCCGGATTTGGGCTCCCTCTTCCCCACCTATCCGATCACGACTTTGGGATATGATTTCTCGCCTGTATGCAGACAAGGTTCCTGTATTGAGGATGATCGTCTGAATTTCTGACTTTTTCTTCTCTGAATGACGGTGAGATGCTTGGCTGGAGGCCTCGTGATGCTCAATGTACATGTAGAAGCCTGAGATCGATCGTGAACCTAGTGAGATTGCTAGGGAGAAAAGGTATAAAAGATGATCAATTCCCTCAATATCAAGCTCAGTCTATCCCAAGCAGAACAAACAATTTGGAATTCAATCCTCACACTATATTTATTTACAATGCATCTCACTACCATCACAATCCTCCTCACTGCAACAATTGCCCTTGCAAACCCCGCCCCTCCAACATGCGGAACTTGCAACCCTCTCTCCGGCCAGAATAGCTGCGATATCACGACCTCGTGCATCAACACAGGCTCGGCTTTCCACTGTGCCTGTCGCGCGGGTTATAAGGCGTCGGAGCAGAACAACAATATCAAAGATCAATTCAGACTCGACATGCCTAATTATGAGTTCTTGGTCTTCGTGCCGCAGAATACGGTCTGTGATACGCTTTGTGATGATCCCTACGGTGCTCCGTCTACTATTTGTAATGAGGTACCGATTTACAAACAGTGCAAGGTTTAGAGAATTTGGATAAGAAGGGACAAGTTGACTAAAGTTGACGTTTGTGGGAATTGATAGTCTGGATTGATTACCTATTCGGGTATACATGCCATGCCGCTCCTTGAATCATGTTTCTTATATGTCAGTCTGAATCATAGCATTTCAGTCGAATCATAAGTAGATTGGGAATAGGATTTTGATTGCAAATCATAAGAACAGCCTCCGGTCCGTACACCTAAACACCTATCGCCTAAATTTATCGATTTCACAAATGCAACTCGACGCAAATAATTAGAGTAAGATTCGTCAACAAATCAACACGATTAACCCATCATGTCGTCATCCGCGTTGACAAACATCAGGCGCGCGCCGTTGTCGGAAGTTTGCCAGACCTGGTATAGAATTAGTATCAAACACAATGTAGAATACAGGGAAATAACTTACGTTCATCTCTGCGTATTCATGGATGGCAGTGGTAAGCTGGTCATCAGTGAAGCCCTTGGCCAGGACTCGCTCGCGAATACGGCGAATGCTCATGGCGTTCTCATCATCATCTCCCACGAGGGCGGCACCACTCTCCCACAGGTTGCGGATCAGGGTGTAGATCTTACTAGTGGGGGTGTGATCGGCGCCAGCCTCCCGATCGTTGTAGAGAGAAGACTTGCTGACTTCGATGATGCGCAGGGCCTCATCGACATCCTCACGAACAACCTCTTCGCTGAAGCGGAGGCGGGCCAACGCTTGTGAGAGACGGACAATACCGAGCAGAGTACGAGGAGTCACGTGTGAGAATTGCTGTCTCTTGGCCTCGTCCTTCTTCTGTCTCTTACGCATGGCCACGTAGGCGCCGACCATGTAGTCGGAGACGTTGGAGGGAACAATGGGACGGTAGGTGCGAGCCTTGGCAATGTATTGGCGGACCTCGTGGGGGGTGAACATAACACCCGAATCCTCAGTCTCGGGGTGCTTGTTGTGCATGTGGACATAGGTAACGTGGTTGGCAAGTTCCTCGTCAGAGTCCCGAGAGGGCGTATCCAGGAGCAGGAACATGACATCGAAACGGGACAGCAGAGCAGCAGGGAGGTTGATGTTCTCAACGGGAGAGATGCGAGGGTTGTATCGGCCATACAGCGGGTTGGCGGCAGCCAAGATCGAGGTACGGGCATTGAGGGTGGTGTTGATACCAGCCTTGGAAATGGAAATGGTCTGCTGCTCCATCACTTCGTGGATGGCAGTTCGGTCGGAGTCCTCCATCTTGTCAAACTCATCAATACAGCAGATACCGTTATCAGCGAGAACCAGGGCACCTCCCTCCAACATCATCTCATCGGTCACCGGGTCTCTCATGACAGCGGCAGTCAAACCAACACCACTGCTACCACGACCAGTAGTGTACACACCACGCGGAGCAACCTTAGTGATGTAGCGAAGCAATTGCGATTTGGCCACACCGGGGTCACCCATCAAGCAGATGTTGATATCACCACGAATGTGCATGCCGTCACCCATCTCCTTGGTGACACCACCAATCAAAAGCAAGAGCAGTGCCTTCTTCACATCAAGATGGCCGTAAATCTCGGGGGCGATAGAGCGCGAAAGGAACTCGTACATGTTGCCGGAGTTCTGGTGCTGCTCAATCTTGCGCAGAGTGCGTGCATCCATACCCATGTCTTGGTAGGACTGCTTGTGCTGGGTGATGTGTTGAGCCTCAAGGTAGGTGTCGGTCAAGAGACCAGCGCGAATAGCCTTGAAACCGGTGTAGGGTGTGGGCAGGAAAATACCAGCGACATCAATGATATCACCCGGGTTAACGGTGCGGGTGAGAGCTCCATGGCAGTGGATAGTGAGGGTCCGGGGGATGTGACCGACGGGGACTTGGTCTGCCATTTCCTGGATCTTGACCTCCTGGAAAGGAACGAACTTCGAAGCGCGGGTAGAAAGGAACAACTGACCCTTGCTGTTGTTCTTTTTGCAGTCCTCGGACAGACACTCAGTGAGGGGGAGGAACTGCTTAGTGACAATGGGTTGGAAAACCTCGGATCCACATCGGTCGCAAGTGTAGGCATTAATCTGGACAGCCGGCTTCACATCCGAGACTCGAGTTGTAATACCGCGAACAGTGATCAGGCTACCCAGGTGCTCTCCGCGCACATTGCGAACCGCAAGTGCCTTTCCACCGTCACTGCTGGAGCCGGAGGGGGTGAGAGGCTTGAAGTTAAGGGTGTATCGGCGGGTGAGTTCCGGGGGAAAGAGGTCCGCGGCCTCGTTGTCCATGTTAGCCTCAGCGACCATCTCTAACGTTTCGTTGCGCCTGTCACGCTGCGACATGATCACATCCAACACATCGTCCTTGAAACTAGGTGAGATCAGTCAAGAAATCCCTCAATATTGGCAAATTTCCGACATACGTGACATCCTTGGTCTCCTTGGGCATGACCGCATCCACCGCCTGTGAAAAAACATCTATATAGCGCTTGGTGTTCTTTTGAATGGACTCGACCAGCTTCAAGGTTTGCGCCTCTTCGGGGAAAGCTTTTTCGAACTTTAAAAAGGTTAGTTATTATTACAAGGGTCAAAAGTTGCGGTAACGCACAATCTCAACATCATCCAGCTCAATCAGGATATGCGAAGTATCTCGGTTTGCAACGTCCTGAAGAATCTGCATATACTTGAGTTTTGTCTGTCGGCTCTTCCTTGAGCTTCTAGTCTGAGCTCCACCCTCGGCATCATCCATGAAGTCGTACTCATCGCTAGTGCGGTGGCCATCGATGTTCAAATCTTCCAGGGCCTCGGTCGCAGCAGCTTCGGAAGTAGACTGCATAGACTTGAACTGCTTCAAAAAATCCTTGAAAGCGTCCAATTGGGCGGCATAATCAACTGGGGCATGATATTGTTGTAAAGCCATCTTGTGTGGTGGGGGGTTCCGAGGTTGATGGTTGAGAAGGAGCAAAAGTGGTGGGGAGTGTTTTTTGCGGCGAAGCGGATCTCGCAGCTGGCCCCTAGGGAAACGCGAAAACACGAAACACGGAAAACGCGTCGACGCGCCAAGGAATCCAAGATTAATGGATTTGATTGGTCAATCATGGATCCACTAATATTTGAGTTGTTGATCGAGTTATGCGACATTTTACAGTACATGGTCAACCTGATTGTATTGTTTGCTTATATCTCTTATAACAATCATACTAGTATAGGCCGGAGAAAGATGCAGCTTAACGGCTGTCAAGCTTAAATGGTAGAACTAGAAGTAAGGGAGTAGAACATGACCCCTGGACCCTGGTCATTCGCTAAAGCAGGGAATAGTTCAATTTAGTCACTTTGGCCCGATCTCCATGAACTAACCCTGAACACCTGCATATATTTCATCAGATATTGCCACAATGAAGAGCAAGAGAAGCAGACGAAGCACTCGGAGATCACGATCAGGTTGCATCACATGCAAGTAGGTGCCCCCCGCTCCATATAGGTTCACTGCTAAGGAAAGATAGAATTCGACGCATCAAGTGTGGAGAGGAAAAACCATATTGTCAAAAATGTACCTCCACAGGACGCAAATGCGACGGCTACAATGAAAACCAGGAGAATCAACTTGAGCTTTCCCGAGGTCATTCCACACTCAGCGGGGACAACGTCATGATCTTAGCCCCTGGCAACAAAGAGGAGCGTCATTATGTCTATACATTCTTTACGCAAGCGTCAGCATCACTAGCTGGATCCATTCCTTCCGATCTATGGGCTCGTTTAATCCCACAACTCAGTCATCATAAACCCATGGTCCGTCATGCCGTGGCTGCCGTGAGCGCGGCCTACGTGCAACAAACCCAACCATCCGCAATCTCTCGCAATAGCCGATTTATAATCCAGCAGTATAATAAAGCCATTCAAGACTTTATCCACCTTGCATCCAGGCAGGGTGAAGATCTGGAACTGCTCTTGACTACCTGCATTTTATTCATCTGTCTAGAAATGATCAGGGGAAACCAAGGCCAGGCAGTCAGTCATACAGAGAGTGCATTACGGATCTTTAAGAGCTATCTAGAAAGGACAAGTTCCACTTCAGGCTTAGACCGCGAGTTATCTCAATTACTCGTCCGGATGAATATCCAGCTTCCCTACATGGGTCGACCGCTCATACTCCAGGATGAACCCATGAAGCCGGTGTATGACAAAAAGCTCCCATTTGAAAGTTTTCATCAGGCCCGACAGATGATTGCGAAGCTCAATCGAAGGACCTTGAAATTCAACGAGTCGATGCGTCTGGACGAGAATGGTGAACTGATAGATGAGGATCAACGACAGGAATACAAAGCGCTCCTGCAAGAGTCGAAAGACTGGCGTGTGGCTTTCCAGAAAATGATTGCTGATTCAAAGACTCGCATCCCCGACCCTCGCGCGCCTCTCGTCCTTGAAATTGGATGGCATGCTTCTGTGGCTTGGGTGAAATGTTGTACAAGAAAAGAAGAGTGCGCTTATGATGATCTAAACGATCATTGGGAAGGCATGGTGCATTCAGCAGAAGAAATACTACGACTAACAGACTCGGAGCATGACTCGGCTCTCTCGGGGCTATTTTCTATCGATTCGGAGATAGTTCCCATGATGTACTGGACTGCGACCAAGTGCCGTGATCCGTGGATTCGGCGCAGGGCTATATCTGTATTGTCACGACATCCTAGGAGAGAGGGTTTTTATAATGTAAGGATGTATCGTAAAGTCGCGGAAAGGGTTTTGGAACTAGAGGAAGCTCCTCTTGCTTCTCTTTCTATCGGTCAAAGAGTTCCGCTGGAGGAACATCGTTTCAGCTTGGTGCATATATCTCCTACAGATGGTGTGTACAAGAATCCAGTGCCTGTATTCTACATGATGCGCTCACTTGGTCTCGGTCATGCCCCTGTTACTTGGTGGGAAGACGTCGATTGGTAAAGCTGCGCTTTGTATAGCATAGCCCCATATTTACAATTAATACATGATGTATTTCACAAATATAAAGTCCACCTCCCTAAAACTCGAATACTTTAATTCCAAGGGTCCGTATGGATGATTATTCATGATTCAAGGGCCGCAGACGTGGTAGGCTACCTGTTCCCAAAGGTGGCCGAGGAGGAAATGGAGTATATCGAGGCGAGGATGGTTTAGTCGTAGGTAGTTCAATCGGATCCCGATCCGCTCGTAGCTCAACCAATGGTGTGGATGGTATATTTGATGGACCATGCTGCTGCATCTGCCAGTGCCATGTCTCTTCCAGCGATGGCAGCTCGACAGGTACCTGTTCAAGTTGGGCTACGGCTGACTGGCGCCTATCATACCGAATTTGCTCGGGCGAGGGTAACTCTGCCGTGGAATGCTGTAGATCTCTAAACTCGGCCATTGACAGATCGCGGCCCAAGTGTCGTTTGAGCAGTTCGTGCAAAACGAATCGCTCTGCGATATTCCCTTGGGCTTCAACAAATGATACTCGAGGATTTATCTCACTGATCCTTTGTAACTTGTTTGCATGACGGTGGTGATTTAGACTTCCTTCGACGCCAATCAGGAATATGGTAGTATACGCCCAGGAGAGGCCCAAAAGCTCGAGTTCAAATTCATCCATGTCGCTTGCTTCGCCGTCCAGTATCAGAAGGAGTCGCAGGTTGGGTGTTTCTGGACCTGGCTGCCACCCATAGATCGGATGGTAGTTTGCTGTCGCGGAGTGTTTTAGGAAATGTAACTCCTTTGTCTTCTCCCACCCTGTCATAACTCGAGTGCGTCCACCGAATTCGATATTGTCCCACATTTTGTTTATATTCCATCCATTGACAGCTCCCAAGTAGTTTGCTTGACAGGAGAAAGTTATCAATGGGTAGCCCTGCAATCCATGATCATAATTTCCCAAGGCGTCGATAAAGCGATGAATCATCGCTTTTGCGAGATCTGTCACAGCAATGTTAGGTTGATATGCAGAGACAAGATATGCCCATATTTACCTTTGTTCTTTGGTTGACTTGTCTTGACATAACCGGTAATGAGAGACTTGTTGTAGCTCGGGCGCGCCGGGTTGAAATCCATCGACCCCGAAACATCCAATAGAATCATTGTCTCATCAGTGGACGATATCGGGGTACTCCATCTGAAAATGGACTTGACCTGTTTTGAGTAGCCATGAGAGGTATTCTGAACATGACATGTATCATCAGGATCATGATATGCCGGCGGTATCTCCACTGCTGAATCCAATCGTATGCGAGCCATGTCTAGCGCCGAGATGATGTCTGGCTTTATAACAACACTTCCTCCATCTCGATGGCTCAGAGTCCAGTACAGTCGTTCTTCGGCAGTATTGTCGTAGCCCCTCCATGCAGGCGTTATTCCTCTCCACCCCACAGCAGAATTGATAGAGAATTGCAGAGGATTGCAGACCTGTGTGTCTCCGCGCCAGGATATAGGAATGGGCTCGAAATATCCTGCACGTAGAAGGTGAAGATATTGAAGAGGGCGATGTGTTCGAAGCTCTCGGACTTTTGAGCTTATTCCAACAGTTTGCTGGTAGATCGCAACAACATGTCTGTCGTAGTCGTCCTGCCATCGACCATTCTCCTCTGCGAGGATTGCTTCACGGCGCTCAAATCCTCCAGAAAACTTCTTTTTCAGGTTACCCGCGGCTCTTTCGTCAGAAGTCCTAACCGACAGAGCCTTTTTAAACGTTGCACGTTTTGACGGCTTGTCATTTGGGCTGGGGCTATTCGTTAAGGTGCGTGAAATGGCCATATTCGTTACCAAAGACTCTAGTTGTTCAAGATCCCAGATATTAAATGATGGCTCCTGGGCCTGGACAGCGATTTGTGCCTTCGAGTTCAGACTCGAATCTAGTGCTATTGTCTGTTGTAGAAATGTGGAGTGGTTCTGTGGATCGGGCCTGACCTTTCCGGATAAAGTTGCACCTGGAAGACCGTAAGGCGAGATGATCTCGGTCGAATATGGGTTGTTATTGAACAGACGCAGGTGATTGCAGTCGTGATATGGCTTTTCTCCGGGATATAATACGGCTTTTGACCACATTTCCTGAGTTTGAAGGCGATCGATCTTCCGTTTCAAGTATTTGTGGACTGCACAGTCGCAGAGATCATTTGTCTCATGTTCGGGTTCGATCTCGGCATTCCAGATTTGGCAGGATAGTTGAACACTGTGAAGTAAATTTTGCATCTCCTGCTCATCCTGAGCCCTGACCTTTGCAGCTTCAATAATATCATTACTATGAGGCTGACGTGAGTAACTCGCAGCCACTGTCACACCGTGGGACCCTGGGCCTGTATTTGTCGCACCGGTTGATGCGCGCTTGCTCGGTGGGCCAAGTGGACACGGTGGATGTGCTGGAGGAGAAGCGGGTGGCGTGACAGTATTCACAGAATGACTGAGACCAGAGTTGATCGAGCTGCACATAGAGGAAGGTGGTCGATGGTTATTGTATCGGTCCATATTGTCGTCAACTGGAGCTGACCCTCGAGAGATTCCATGTCAAAATGTTGCAGAGAGTCAGCAGGCAGTATTTACACAGAGCACCCCCTCACTGTAGAACACGCCAACAGATACTAAATTTATACGAGCACGTGGTTGAAGTCTCGATGTTGAGTGGGTCGTTAAGGTGGGGATTCAGTTGAGGCTCAGCGGTTTAGACTAATTACATAATCCATATATAGTCAGTAATATCTGCAAGGTGATGTTAGCTAAACTTGCCTATACTACCGGTCTAGATCTGGAGAAGTTCAATATTGAATGCATTGTTTACATCAAGGCTCTTCAGTGGGGCGGGGTGGAGCGTGCACAGATGGGGTAATATAGTAGCCTCATGATGCACACACTACACTTGGAAGAGCTTCAATTACCCCGGAACTACCCTTTTCAATGTTTGATTGGCATGACCTCTCGCTTAACTAGCGTTTTCCTTTGGGTATAAATACGCTTCTGCAGTCCCAGGTTTCCTCTTCGACACATTTCAACTTGTTTGGGTGGCCGTGATTCATGAAAACGGTCCACCACAGATTGGTCCCTGCATTGCACATCGTGGGAGACTGATTTGTTAAAGGCCTTTGGGTCTTTACAGGCATAATTTTTGGCCTTTCCACTTTGTGGATTTCTTTTCATCAATACTTTGGTCAGTGACCGGAGTTTGGAGAAGAAGACGCGCTTGTTTTATCCTTTGGATGTAAATGTGAACGACAAAATTTTTTTCACGTCACACGTGATGGTATGTACGGCTTTCATATCTCCGGATAGAGTGAAAAAACACAAGTATTATAGTACTAGGTCTTTACTAGCTCTCTATCCAACTCATTTTATATGTATGATGTAGGTTTAATCCTCATTTGTATAGCACCCATCTCCAGAGTAAAAGAAAGATCATCCCCATATAGAAGTCCCAAGCCTTACTTTCGAGGTTTCTGAGTAAGACAACGCATTCAAGTCAAATTCAACTTTAAATATATGTATTCGATATCCCGATTCAACTTTCGAGGCAAAAGATGCCGAAGGTGCAGCCGAGGTCCGATTCCTAGGCGGTGAAAACATTGGAATGCCCCGTACCCCAGAATGCCTGTCGGAGTTCCCCACCTCCGTCTTGACTCTTGTGAACAGCTCTGAACATGGCCCCCAAGAAGCCCTCAACGACGGCAGAAGTCGCCCTTATTCCCTTGAAGAACTGCCTCGTCAATCTACCACCATCACTTGTCTCCTTGCTGGTCAATGCAAACACAGTCAGTTCTTGAGACACACCCGCCCGCTTTCCCGGCTAATTCATGTGATTGCAGACTGCCCAGAATGTCATAATTGAATTACAATTCAAGTCCATAACTGGCAATACCAATGCAGTCTCGCCACAGCGATCATGTTTCTTGGGCTGGACGGGCATGCCGAGCAAGCGCAGGCTTGCGCCGGTTGTGAGCCGCGACGGTATCAGCACCGGGTACAACAGAGAGCAGCAGGAGGTATCCACCGTGGAGCTGGACACGACATTCGGGAGACTCCTTGGTCTGGTTGAAGGGCAGAAGGTGGTTCCATCATATCTGAGCTCGTATGCACTGCTAACCCTTGTAGGTCGGGCTACTCGTGCATCTCGATCCGCCTGTCGCGCATACTATCAATATTGAGCCATTGACACCAGAGGACTGGGAAAGTAGGTCTACATGAATCACCAAACATTATACTCTTGTCTGACCTGGTCTATCATAGTCATCGAACTCCATGCTACCTTCCTGGAACTCAATCTGTTGTCACAGATCCGCGCACTCCCAAACCCTTCCTACACTGCGGCGCAGTCGGAGCATATGCATCCACTTGCACTGCATCTTTCACCCACATCCACCGCGAATATCGTTGTAACCTCCCTCGACCCCACACCGTCAGCAACTTCTCCGTTCGCAAAGATTGCGCCCGATGCCGAGGTCATTGTTGCCCCGAAAGTCCGATCCAAGACTGGTAAATCGTCTCGAGGGGACAGTCGAAGCAATGCTGGAAGCAGCAGAAAGAGCACTGGCGGCCGGAGTGCTTCTAGCACAGTCCGCCCGAAGGGCAGTCGGTCTGACCCCAACAGCCGAGGTGCTCTGTACCTCAGAGGCGTGGACCGTCGGGCGGCCGAGGAGCTGTTCGATGCTGAAATGGACGAGGATGAGAATGATGGTCTTCGCGTCTGGGTAGATCCAGATCTGTTGGCATCTCATGAACTCCGAGGCGCAAGCTGGGCGTGTGTCTCGATTGTGCAGCCTGCAGGGCTCAAGCCCCCAGTTGATCCTCAACAACAACTAGCCCAACAGGAACAGAAATCTCAGGAAGCCGGATCACCCACCAATAAGCTGGTAGCAAAGCTTCTTCCTTGGGAAGATGCTCCGGACAATCGGCACGTGGCGATGTCTACGTTACTTTGTACGGCCCTTGGCGCAGAGAACATGGTGGGAGGGATTGTGCGCGTGGAGGCCGCTCCGCCACAACTACATCGCTCAGCAGTCAAAACGCTCAAGGTGTATCCGTTCATGTTTGATGCCTCCAAGAAAAAGGACGGCCTCAAGTTCGGGTCGGACACCGCGGCGTCTCGGGACGCCTTGGCCGAACGTCTGAAGGTGATTTACGGCAGTACTGGGTCCGATGTTGGATTGTTCTCAGGTCCATTAACCGACGGCATGATCTTACCCCAAGTCGAAAACCACCCTGCTGTTTCTTCCTTTGATGGAGCCATCCTGCGATTTGATCCCCCCTTGAAGGGAGGACCGGATGAGACTAAGTCGATGTTTGGGTGGTTCTTAGGCTCTGAAGCTATCCTCAATCTTGAGGTGCAAGCCGAGATACCCAAACCGTCGGACTCGGCCTCATCGGCTCTACCTTCGGATGATCCCATTCCAGATATTGCTCCCCAACTGGTAGGAATCGATTCTATTATCTCCCAGTCTCTGGGTAATCTGACAAAGTCTTCATCTATCCTACTGACTGGTGGGCTTGGGGCTGGAAAGACAGCGCTTGCGCACCTTCTGGCACATCGCTTGCGTAAGGATCACCTCTTCAATGTCAAGTACTTTTCCTGTCGTAAGCTTGTGACCGACGAGACACGCATCTCGAACATCAAAGAGGTCTTGAATCGCCTTTTTATGTCTGCTTCTTGGTGTGCCCGTCTTGGTGGACAATCTGTTGTGATTCTGGATGATCTTGACAAATTGTGTCCTATGGAGACGGAATTGCAGGTCGGTGGAGACAACGGGCGCAGCCGTCAGAACAGCGAGGTCATCTGCTCCATGGTTCGCGAATACTGTTCCATGAACTCCTCTGTTGTCTTGCTAGCTACGGCGCAGGCCAAGGAGTCGTTGAACAATGTGATTATTGGTGGCCATGTCGTTCGGGAGATTATCAACATGAGAGCTCCTGACAAGGACGGCCGTCGGAAGGTGTTGGAGAAACTTACCAGCCAAGATCGAACTACCGAGGCTCTCAATGGTCATGTACGGACGACCAGTACTTCGACGAGTGCTTCAACGCAAGATTCATGGCTCGATCCTTCAAATCCTGGAAGCCGGCCCAGCTCTTCCGGTGGAGATGGCTTTGTTCTCAGTAGGGATGTGGATTTCCTTGAACTTGCTGGAAAGACTGATGGTTATATGCCCGGCGATCTGGTGCTCTTGGTTGCTCGTACTCGTAACGAGGCACTGATTCGCTCCGTTCAGGATTTCTCTTCTGGTTCCAAGATGATCACTCTTGGGCTTGAAGATTTTGAAAGCGCATTGAAGGGGTTTACTCCGGCATCTCTTCGTAATGTCACCCTTACTTCATCTACGACTACCTTCTCGGCGATTGGTGGCTTGTTTGAGACCCGCAAAATGTTATTGGAAACTCTTCAGTATCCTACAAAGTATGCGCCCATTTTTGCGCAATGCCCTTTGCGGCTGCGATCCGGTCTTCTTCTGTACGGATTTCCCGGTTGTGGTAAGACAATGTTGGCCAGTGCTGTGGCAGGTGAATGTGGCCTGAATTTCATCAGTGTCAAGGGTCCTGAGATCTTGAATAAGTACATCGGTGCCAGTGAAAAGAGCGTTCGTGACCTGTTTGAAAGAGCACAGGCTGCACGACCTTGCGTCCTCTTCTTCGATGAATTCGACAGTATTGCTCCCAAGCGTGGCCATGACTCCACTGGTGTCACTGACCGTGTGGTCAACCAGCTTCTTACCCAAATGGACGGAGCGGAGGGTCTCTCTGGCGTGTATGTCCTGGCTGCGACCTCTCGACCAGATCTGATCGATCCGGCTCTTCTTCGCCCCGGTCGTCTGGACAAATCTCTGCTCTGCGATATGCCATCACATGCAGACCGGGTCGACATCATTCAAGCCGTCAGTGAAAAGCTGAAGATGAGTGACGAGGTTGCAGCTCGCTTTGATGAAATCGCGGCCCAGACCGAAGGATTCTCCGGTGCCGATATCCAAGCCGTGGTGTACAATGCGCACCTGGAAGCCGTGCATGACGCACTGGGTGACCGCACCTCTGACCCCAAAGCTAATTCGAAGCCCGTCTCAAAGTCTTCCACCAATACCTCCAGCAGGTCATTCATCCAATTCCTATACTCCCCCTCCGAAGAGGCGTCCGGGAAAGTCTCCATGCCCGCTCCAGCCGTGGTTGCAGCGAAGCTAGATGCAATCAAGAACTCGCGACGCCGTCAGCGCCAGCTCGAGAGTGGCGCTCCTTCCGGACCGGCGACTACAGCTCAGGCTAACGGAGAGTCCGCGGATGAGCTCCGCGACGAAATTATTGTCCAGTGGGAGCATGTTGAGCGTGCTCTCAATACTACCCGTCCCTCGATTAGCTCTACAGAGCGTCGCCGTTTACAGGGTATTTACCGAGAGTTTGTGGTCGGGCGTAACGGCGAGATGCCCAATGGTGAAGCAGGCAATGAGATTGGAGGTCGCACAAGTCTGATGTGATGGTCTCATTTAAATTTCGTGGCTTACCTAGATCATTACCCTGAGGTGTATATTTGAGTTTGTATATATAGCATTTGCATGCTTTGGACTAGTTGACCGTCTTACTTTCTTGTACCTATTGATCCTTGCATGAATATATTACCAAGAGCCTTGCGTTTTCTTTCTGGTGATTAGCCAGACTTGCCTAGGTATCAGTCAAAGATAGTGTCAGAGGCTTTTTAAAGAATTGATCAGGGTGACTGAGCTTCCAATTTACTAATTCACTTAAAGTAGGGTCATACATCATACATTCTAGGCAACGAAGATAAGGGTACGCCACAGTCTCCGCAAGTCCAAGAAAGGCAATGCCTAATAGAATCAGGGTATTATCAGGAGTTCTGTACTATTTTTTGGCAGATGCAGGTACTAGGAAAGTAGAAATTGACGCCACGGACCCTCGCGGGTTCGGACGGACGTCCGCACGGTTGACCCACGCTGTGGAGATGCCAAGGGTACATGCTAACATTCATATTCAGGCTTCGGCTACTTAGCTACATAGATCTTGAGTAAGCCAAGAGAAAACATCATTGGGGATAATAAAAGGTCTTCGAAATGGTGTCGTTATTAAGATTGACGATATCGACATGGTTACTGTAGATGGAGCACATAAACCAGGGATAGTCAGTCCTATAAGTCTAAACCGACCATGCATGCTTCGTAGTTGAAGAGGATATAGTTCGGAGACAATTTAGAAAACATTCTATTTTACCAATTTTACTGCTTTTAAGATCGGTCTTGCTTCCTTGATGAGGATGTGATTTGCCTAAGCTTGTTTCGTAAGCTGCGTGTTAGTCCCTTAGGGAAAGATCGACAAGACTGCGGCCAAAACTCATCTTCTGCAAAGTTCATTGGTTAACTATGTCTTGGCCATTAAGTCCACATCCGACTTATCAAGTAAACTGTGGAGCACAGGCCATGATTTCCGGAAGGTGATGATTACTATACTCCAAATTCCATTGCTCGAAACCATGACCCAATAAAAGATTCCGCGTGCAGAATTGCTGGACAGCCAGCATAGCCGACATCTGGAAGCGCCGTCGCGTGCCAAGTGCAGATCCCAATATACGCCTTCCCAATGCTTCTTGGTTTGCAGAATTGGATAGCCCCTTCTACGGAAAAGCCGAGGAGGATCCCGAGTACCTTAAGTGGCATAGTCCATGCTAACATCTGGACGTTTTTCATACTTATATCTGGGTCAATCCTCTCCATAATTGGGAAGACAACGGCATTGTTTACTTTATTTCCCCCCAACTCGGCAATATGCGATTCTGTGCAGCTATTACAGTTGCAGCCATTGCAGCCGTCTCTAGTGCTGCAAGCTGCCCCTATGCAGAGCGTGCCGCTGCCGCTGCCGCCGCCCCAGGTTGTCCGTATGTAAAGCGTGCTGCTGAAGCTGCTGCGCAAGATGCCCATGGTCTCAAGCTATCCAAGCGCGGAGCGATTAAGGGCAAGAAAGGTATATTTTATAGTAAGTGAATACCTCCGGGTCTAATGGATATCTATACTAATCTTTCAAGTGAACCGTATTGGACCATCGGGATCACAGTTGTGGATTGCAAATGCCGATGGCACCAACAAGACTCAATTGATGGGCAACCAGACCAATGCCTTTGACTACCACCCCTCATGGTCACAAGACGGCGAGTGGATTGTCTTCACGAGCGAGCGTCGTGGAGCTGGTCAGTCCGATTTGTATCGCGTGCGGCCGGATGGAACAGGGCTAGAGATCCTTGCTGATACAAACTCTGTCGAAGACGCTGGTGTCCTGTCGCCAGATGGAAGTCAAGTTGCCTATGTGTCGACACAGGGTAACTATACAACCAATATCTGGGTCAAAGATCTGAAAACTGGTCTGGCGCACAACTTGACTGATACTGCTGCCACCCGTAGCAGCAAGATCTGGCCCTCTGGTCACTTTCGTCCCTCTTGGTCTCCTGACGGAGAATGGATTGCCTTCAGCTCTGACCGTGACACTGACTGGACTGGTCACAGTAACGGTACTGGATGGGAGCACACACAGAACCTGGGTCTGTATGTGGTCAAAAAGGATGGCCGTGGTTTCCGCAAGCTGGCTTTCCAGGACGGTTATGCACTTGGCACTCCACAGTTCTCCGGCGACGGAAAGCGTGTCATCTATAATAACATCACTCGGGAAAACACCTACTATGCTCATGGTGTCTCCGCACAGCAGGAGTTCATTGAATCCCAAATCTACAGTGTCGACTTTGCTACTGGCAAGACCATCGTCGCCCACACTTCCGGCAGCTACCCTAAATTTGGTCAGCACTACATTGGAAACTCTAGCAACATTGGCTACTTCATCAAGGCTGGAAGCTACGAGGGAATCCACTACACAAAGCCCGACTCTACCCACAAAACCTTTAACCTGACCAACCTCCGTGACCCCTGGTGGTCTCCTGACGGATCGAAGGTGGTATACAGTATCCCCAACTGGACCCAACAAGCCGCCGACCTAGAGCTATTCAGCTACGACAACGACTGGGCCTACCGCTACATGGACGTATTTCCCACACACAACACAGTCGTCAACCGCATCGCAAGTACCCAAAAAGTCCTCGGCAGTGCCAACGGCTCCCTAGTCACCTCGGACACGCTCTACAACGACGTAACCACGGCCCTCAACTCCTACTCCATCTACTCCAACAGCAACACCACCGAAGTCGAATACCTCACAGAAGGAGAAGCAGGCGCCTTCCAACCCACCTGGAACCCAGATGGAACCGAGCTTCTGGTCGGTTTCGGCGGCTGGTTCGCTGACCGTACCATTCTTCCCGCCGCTATTATTCACGCTTACGCAAATGGTACCTCCTTCAGTACCCTAACGCACAATACATCCATCAACTCAGGATTCCCCTCCTGGTCCCCTGATGGATCGGCTTACGTATATCGTGAGTGGAACATGGATACAGGCGCTCCGGAGGGTTTGAAAATTCACAATTTCACGACGGGCGAAACTCACAGTCTGACGAAAGGCTGGGATAACACTCCCGGCTGGTCACCTGATGGTGAGAGGATCGTTTTCACCCGTAACAACAACTGGACTATCTCGTATGGATCCCGCTGGTATGAGGATCGTTTCGATATCTACACCATCCGTCCTGATGGGTCGGAGTTGACTCGTGTTACGGATAGTTTGTCCAACGATGCACAGTACGTTTATTCCTTTCCCACGCTAGAATGTATATTGACTTTCCTTAGCGCTGTCTGGTCCCACGATGGTCGTATCATGTGGAGTACGGGTATGTACGGCTTTAAGGATGAAAGCTCCTTGTTCGACAACACTTTCCAGCCTTATGGACAGATTATGGTCATGAATTATGATGGTACGAACAAGACTCTACTTACTGATACTATCTGGGAAGATTCGATGCCGCTTTACATTCCCAATGAGTATCTTGAGTAGGTTCTGAATTTGATTTCAAAGTCTGTATATAATTTCTGATTTCATAAAATTGTGGCCTCGGAATTTAAATGGCATGATCTTCGATGAAAGATTGTGTTTCGAGAGAAAGATGGTGAGAGAGAATTTCTGGTGAGACATGGGATTAGAGTGACGAAGTCATAAGAGCAAGCAACTCCAATGACTTATGAATCAATAAACATTCTAACCCCTACTCCCTTTCCAAAGCAAGCTCCACAACCTTCTCAAGATTCCCCCAAGCACTAGCAAGCAAGCCCTTAGCCTGTGAATTTCTCAAATCTATCCCCTGTGCCATAAACTGCTCATTAACCTGACCAAAATTCGCCGCAACAAGCCTCCTAAACCCAGGAACGGTACAACTCTCCAACTGCCGACTCGCCAAATCCGCAAGAATATACCAAAGCACAAAGTGGAAATTAATCCCAAAGTCCTCCAACCTCACCGGGTCAAGCTCACTAGTCTCAAAGCTCTGCGAGAGATAGATAGCCAATTTCGCCAAGATCCACGCGTGGAGATGTCGAATAGGATGCGCGGGACTGTAGAGCACGGGATCAACGCGTAGATAGCGAATCGCGGCGTGGATGAAAGCTGCGCTATAATTGTTTGTGGCGAGGTACGAGAGGATGAGCTGGTCTCTGAGCTCGGGGTATGGTTGACGGGTTAGGGGCCAATTTGGGTGGTTGGCTAGGAGGCTTAGGGCGGAAGTGAGAGATTTGATTGCTGATTCTGGGGATTCTGTAGAGGCTGCTTGGAGGAGTTGAAGGGCTTCTCGCTCAGCTACGTCGACTAGGGCTGTTGGGTCGTCTTTTTGGGTTGTTGAGAGGGTTTCGGTTTCCGGGGCGTTGGTGCATTTCGTGCACTCGCAGGTGAAGAAGTAGCGTTCTAAGAGCTCGCCGCGTCGGACATGACAGGGGGTCGTGGTGTCGATGTAGGAGATGAAGATTTGATCGCCCTTTTTGATGGGCTTGAGTGCTTTGATGTAGAGTTCTTCACCGTCGAAGCCGACTGTTGCGTTGTAGTCGCAGCTGTGGTTGATTAAAGCTGCATATGGGTGGAAATAGAGACCGATGCGGTCATATAGAGTTGTTGTAAGGTTGAAGGAATTTAAATCCAGCTGTTAGTTGTTAGTAAGTATCGACTGACCGCGAGAGATACATACCCTGGCAGCATAAGCGGATATGGCTTCCTCAGTCATATCGGTTTCCGAATATTTTTTGACAGCTTTAGACGTGAGCATGACACGGTCCATCTGCTGTTGATTCTGCTGAATCTCGGTAATATGTGTTTCCAAATTGGAGAAAACACCCATTTCCTGAGCCGAGCACTTTCCTTTCCCAGTCCGCAAGACCATGCGCAGTAAAGCACGGGCATTATTCGGCAAGATCTGAGGCTGGAGCTTTTGAAAGATTTTACATTCCATAGAATGGGCAAATTTCCAATCTTTTGATTGGCAGGTCTGCGTGAAAAGTCAGCTGTGAACAGACATTTGAAAGATAGAAACGCTTCAGACTTGGAGGATACATCGAATTTGGAAACAACACAGCTGTAGAACTCACCCGATCACAGTACCTAACCACCCGACATCCAGTACAAGCCTTCAAATCCGCGTTACCCTCTTGCATCTGCCGTTTTCCGAAACAGCCGGAACAGGTATCATCCAGACGCGAGGAATCCAAAACTGCGACAAAAGGTGTCTGGGCATGCACGACATCCCCACCGACCTTGATATCCTCGGTCGCGAACAGACCATTTCCCATGCCATTAGGGGCAGGACCTGGCACCGTCTTGGTGGTAACTGACGGAAGAGAATTCGAGGACATTTTGAGGTTGAATTGATAGATTGATAAATTGACTTCTATGCTCGAGGTTGTTGATGGGCTTAGTCATCCTCGCTTGAACAAAAAGTGATGTAGACGTCCTGGACGATCTTAGATTTAAAAATATATTTAATTTAAAGTTGTAAAGTGGAGATTGATGAATACATCCAAACTCAGATATAAAAGATAAAGAAAATTCTTTTGTCGCTGAAACACAATAAACCCAACTACAACGAACAAACCCCAAACCTTGGAACATAAAAATTAACAAGGCCTAATTCCAGGCAAATAGGGAAACCACCAGGGCTGGATCAGCACAGGTTGCTGTCCTAGGATTTGCCAGAGGTAAAGAACCAGAACCAGACCGGAAAATATATCAAAGAAATGCACGCCATCTATCAACAATGCCCTCCCTACTCACTTATACCGTACGGAAACAAGTGTTTCAATCATTGGGGATAGGCGTTCTGGCTTCTGTGCAGGAGGTCATGATTTACAGGAGCTTTCCGCCAACGAAGTTGGACCAGGTGCGGACCTCGGAGGGGATACCCTCAGCACGGGGCATCTTCTCGTTCATGCACTGAGCGAAGAGCTGAGCAGTCTGTAGGAAATAGATTAGCAATGAGAAATATCGTGTTAGGAGCAGATCAATCATACCTTGGGCTCCATGAACAGAGGAACACTGAAGTCGACAGCGTTGCGGCGCATGACGTAGTCCTCATCGAGCTGGGTCTTGCCACGGGTCTTGGCCAGGTTGAAGACACCACGAATGTCGTACTTCTGGAAAACTTCACGGAGAGCACGCTTGTCCTTCTTGGGGAACTCGATCACCTGCACAGAGGCGTTGTCCTTGCAGGTGGCCTCAATGTGGGCCTTGACCTCGGGGTTGGCAGCGTAGAACTTGAAGCCCAGAGGGTTCAGGTAGTCGACGATGGTGGCCAGGTAAGGCTGGGTAACGTCACCACCGAGGAGGATACCCTCGCCGGACTCGGGCATACGGAAGTTCATGGTGGACTGGAGAGAGGTCCAGTAGGCCTCAACAAGATCCTTACCGAAGCAAGCAATCTCACCAGTGGAGGACATCTCAACACCCAGGAAGGGGTCGGCACCAGCCAGACGGGTCCAGGAGAACTGGGGAACCTTGGTGGCGAGGTAATCGCGCTTCTCCTTCATCAGGTCAACGGGCTCAGGGACGTCACGGCCGACAAGGGCCTTAGTGGCAACGTCAATGAAGTTGGTACCCAGGACCTTGCTGACGAAGGGGAACGAACGAGAGGCACGCAGGTTGCACTCAATGACCTTGAGCTGAGACTCACCATCCTGATCAGCCTTGATGATCTGCATGTTGAAGGGACCGGTGATGTTCCAGGCCTTGGCGACCTTCTCAGCGATATCCTTGACACGGCTCATGATGGACTCGTCAAGGTTGACAGGAGGAAGAACCAGAGTGGCGTCACCGGAGTGGACACCGGCGGGCTCAACGTGCTCACTGACGGCGTGGAGCAGGAGCTTACCGTTGGAAGCGACGGCGTCAACATCAATCTCCTCGGCACCCTCGATGAACTTGGTGATAACAACGGGGTGGTCGGGAGAGACGGCACTGGCGTTCAGAAGCTTCTCCTTGAGCTCATCAACACTGTAGATGACGTTCATGGCGGCACCAGACAGAACGTAAGAGGGGCGGACCAGGACGGGGTATCCAACGGACTCGGCGAAGCGCTCAGCCTCGGCGACGGAGGTCAGCTCCTTCCAGGCGGGCTGGTCAACACCAATGCTGTCAAGGATCTGGGAGAACTTGTGACGGTCCTCGGCCTTGTCAATGTCCACGGGGTTAGTTCCGAGAATGTGAGCACCGCCGGTCTCCTGCAGACGCAGTGCAATGTTCTGCGGCAGCTGGCCACCGACAGAGACAACAACACCGCTGGCGGCCTCGAGCTCGTAGATATCCATCACACGCTCGTAGCTCAGCTCCTCGAAGTACAGCTTGTCAGCAGTATCGAAGTCAGTGGAGTAGGTCTCGGGGTTGTAGTTGATCATGACAGTCTTCTTGCCCATGCTGCGCAAGGAGAGAGTGGCGTTGACAGCACACCAATCGAACTCGACGGAGCTACCAATGCGGTAGACACCGCTACCCAGAATGAGAGTACCGTGGTCGTCGAAAGTCACATCGTGCGAGGAAGCGTTGTAGGTGGTGTACAAGTAGTTGGTGTCGGCAGGGAACTCGGCAGCCAGGGTATCAATCTTCTTAACCCAGGGGGTAATGCCGAAGGACTTACGGCGAGCACGGACCTCATCCTCGGTGGAACCGACCAGGAGGGAGATCTGCTTGTCAGAGAAGCCGAGCTTCTTGGCCTTCAACATAATCTCCTGCTTGACGCCGAAAAGGCTGCCAATCGCCTTGAGCTCGTTGTGGCAGTCGACAATGTTCTGGATCTTGTACAAGAACCACTTATCGATCTTGGAGAGCTCGTGGACCTTCTCCACGGAGTAACCCTCGTGGAGCATAGCCTGACCAACAGCCAACCAACGACGGTCGGTAGGGTTGGCGAGAACGTCATCCAGGTTCTCAAACTTGTCACCCTGGAGACCGACGTACCGGGGGTCAACCTGACGGATGGCCTTCTGCAGAGACTCCTCGAAGGTACGACCAATAGCCATAACCTCACCGACAGACTTCATGGCACTGCCAATGTCGCGGTTAACGTGCTGGAACTTGCTCAAGTCCCAACGAGGGATCTTGGTGACAATGTAGTCCAGACTGGGCTCGAAGTTGGCAGTGGTAGTCTTGGTGACAGCGTTGGGGAGCTCGGGCAGGGTGTGTCCGAGACCGATCTTGGCGGCAGTGTAGGCAAGAGGGTAGCCGGTAGCCTTAGAAGCCAGAGCAGAGGAACGCGACAGACGAGCGTTCACCTCAATCACACGGTAGTCAAGACCATCGGGCTGCAGAGCGTACTGGACGTTGCACTCTCCGACGACACCAAGGTGACGAACGATCTTGATGGCAGCAGTACGCAGCATGTGGTACTCCTCGTCGGACAGAGTCTGACTAGGGGCAACAACGATACTGTCACCGGTGTGTACACCGAGAGGATCGAAGTTCTCCATGTTGCAGACGGTGATACAGTTGTTGGAGGCATCACGGACGACCTCGTACTCGACCTCCTTCCAGCCCTTGAGAGACTTCTCAACAAGAATCTGGGGAGAGAGAGACAGAGAGCGAGAGGACAGATCACGCAGCTCATCCTCGTTGGCGGCAAAGCCAGAGCCCAGACCACCAAGAGCGTAGGCGGACCGAACAATGATGGGGTAGCCAACAGTCTTGGCGGCCTCCAGGGCGTCGTCAACAGTGTTGACTGCGATCGACTCGGCAATGGGGATGTTAATCTCCTTCAGAGCCTGGGCGAAGAGATCACGGTCCTCACTGGTCTCCAGGGTCTTGATGCTGGTTCCGAGAACCTTAACACCGTAGCGCTCGAAGATACCCATGCGGTTCATCTGGACACCCAAGTTGAGACCAGTCTGACCACCGAAGGTCAGCATGATACCGTCGGGACGCTCGCGCTCAATGACGTGAGTGACATATTCGGGAGTGACGGGGAGGTAGTAGACCTCATCGGCCAGCTTGTGGTCAGTCTGGATGGTCGCGATGTTGGGGTTGATCAGGACCGACTGGACACCAGCCTCCTTCAGGGCCTTCAAAGCCTGGGAGCCTAATTGACAATCCCATGTCAGTGACCAAACAAGACAACTTCCTGGGGAATTTGGTGGGGACGGGCGAGGCCAATGCCATTCCCCCATGGGGAGACAAAAGGGAAAGCTCTCGTGTGCCAGGGGATTGAATTGAACACAGGGCATTGAGAGATGTAAGCGAGTAACCTATTTCTCCACACGTACCAGAATAATCGAACTCTCCAGCCTGTCCAATGCTCAGACCACCACTACCAATGACCAGCACCTTCTTCACATCGACAAGCTTGCTGGGCTTGATGGCACCGCTGGCCAGGTAAGCGTCGGCGGAGGGACCCTTCTGCTCAGCCAGACGGAGCAGCGAGCTGGAGAAGGAGCGCAGCTGCTGAGAACGAGCCGGGGAGGGGAGCTTCTGCAGGCGCAGAGCAGCGGCCGTAGATCGGACAGATGACTGGGAAGAAAAGGCTCGGAGAGAAAGAGGACGAGACTCAGCGAGACATCGCGATCGCAGCAGGGACGCCGCCTGCCCACAACGAGCTGCAAGAACCATCGCGCCGCAGTTCTAGACGTTATCTAGAGAGGTTCAATGGCCCGAGGATGGGATGATGGGGTGTAGAAGATGAGTCGCCGACGGAAGGTCTTTTTTTCCCCCCACCGGACTCGCTAATTGGTTCGTTCCCTTCACCGTATCGGGTCCACTTTTTTTTTTCTCTAAAAGACTAAAAGAATTGAAGGTAAAAAAGATAATGATATAATTTTTATAGCTCAATTGATTATATTGTATATTTAGAGAATAATTGGGATTCTGATATGATTCCGATGGCGAGATGGGAGGATGGTATACATTGTTTTATCACTATTCAGTTCATTTTTCTCTCCTACTAGTTAGTTACGGAGTAGGTATGACTCAACTCGAGTGGATTTTAGTGGAGAAGGAACATTTCCCGACTCAATCGGTATATAGTTACATAGCTCAATTTCAATTGAGCCATTTGTAAATATGTGAATATGTAAAAGAATAAATCATAAGATAGATAAATACAAATTGAATCCCAGCTCCTTACCTGCACGTGTACGTAGTATACGTACTAGTACAGAGGGAAATTCTAGTCTCGAACGTACTTTGTACTCCGATGCCGGAACGATGCCGGTCGCACAAAACCGCTATCTGGTTCTTATCCGTAGGGATCGACGTTAAAGAGCCTTGGAAATGTGTTCGAGTTACGAGAGATTTTTATACCTTGCCTACTAGTTCTGGTGCTAGCTCAATTGCACCTGATCTGCTGTTTCAGAAAAATGCATCTATTCCTGAGGTCCTAGTTCGCATTTCTACCCTCAAGTGCTGTGTAAGGAGTATAAGTATCTATCAGTAACATGGCCTGAGTCTAATTGAAACCTTGAATGGAAAACAGACTTTTCAAGGCTATTCTAGTCCAACACGCCCGTGCAGTCTCGACCAGGGTCCTTGTGGTCGTTTCTCCCGGGACCCACTGTGGCCGACTCGCGTTTGTTCCGCCCAAATATCTGACGGCTCAGGATCCGCCTGCGTAACACCTGCTTGATTTAAAGCACCGTAAACCTCGTCCAATGTCTGTCGTGCATCCTGGGCAACCTCAGTTCCCAATGCCACTTTTTGTTGTACAAATTCACTTTCGTTCGCGGCGGCTGCCTCAGAGGCAAATGCCCAAGCTTCTGCTAGACTGACCACTTCATCAGACTGTCTTTGAGGGGATTGAGATTGATGTGAATTAAGGGCTGCAACCGCGTGTTTAAAGCGGGGCTGGCGGGCCAGAATAGGGTACTCGGGGAGGAGGTGGCTCTCATCACGTATACGGTGCAGTGCACGTAGAGCGGTGGATTTTTCCTTGGCGAGAAGCCCAGAAAGATAGGACCTTTGCAGGGCTAGTGACTTCTGGGCTTTGGAAAGAGGGACCAGGGTTTCGGTCGCGTAAGAGAGGACATCCAATGAACTCGGAGCGGGGATTTCCTCGAGTATATCGGCTCTGTAGGTGGTCCGGGATGGAGGCTTGGGGGTCACAGTCACAGGTTGGCAGGCCTTGGAAGCGGCATCAAGAAGCTCTCGTCGTGCCTGTAGATAGGCAGCATATTGCTCCTTGATTTGCATTTTATGCTGCTCTAGTAGACGCTGGGCCTCTTCAATGTCTTCCGGCTGAAGATCGACCATACTCTCATCCGGATCTACTTCACTGACCAACCGTTCTTCAACCCATTGGACCAGTTCATCGCGTGTGCGCTGCAATGCCTGGGCCTTGACTGCGGATGGCACAGAGTCTGAAGCTTTTCCTCTGGCGTCATGCTGTGTCTTGATTTTCTCGAACAACCGCTTCTCTCGATCCAACTGTGTTTGGGCACGCACCACTGCCCGTTCTAGTTTGTGTACCAATCCCTCTAGATCTGTATCAGGATCTTTTCGTTCCGGCACGTCTGTTTCCAGCCCTTCGGGCAACGAGACCTGGGCTGAATCTTCACTTGAATCCAGGCCAGTAGGCTCCTTCGCCTTGAAATCCTCTAAGTAATGCTGGAAGACTTGTAGCTTCGCATAACGACGCTGATCCCGCAGAAGTGAAACGTAATCTCGCAGGTCTGCGCCGGGTTCTTGCGGATCGGGATCAATGGGTCGAATGCAAGATGCCCTCTGACGCCTGAGTAAAGCCACTTCCTCCGACACGGCGCGAAGATCTTTCCGGGCAGCTACATTTGCCTGCAGTGCCTTCAGATAATCCTTTCTCAGTCCGGAGAGATCGACAGGGGCGCGCTTCACGTCAACGACGGCATCGGTGGGCGCGCAAAGAGCGAGGTGGGAGGTGTGGGATGTGTCATCTTTGAAGACAATCAGCGAGCGTAGGTACGACGTCAAGGCCTGGCGAATTCGGAGAGCTTCCTGCTGGGTCTTGATGTAAGGAGCGAGCGGTTTCACGAAGGGTGGAATGTGGGTAAGGGGATCGTAGGAATCGTATGGTTGCGCCATGTCATTTGGGAGGGGGTTCGCCACGGGCGTTGGTTCATAGATCAGTGGGGTAAGTTTCATCAAGTCTCATGACTCTTCTTATTCGTAAATACCTAAATCATTTAAGTGATTCAAATGTTTGGTTCCAAATATCAAATGTTTAGGGATTGGCGGAGGCTTATGTAACACGCAGATCAATGAGCTTATTTGGTTTTGTTTACCATAAACATCAACATTGATAGAATTACCATAATATTACCATAAAATTAGATTGTTCAATCTATCGATAATCTGAGTTTGTAAGTTTTTTTTTATTTTCCTGCTGCTAGGAGAACCTTGAAAACTCATATATATTCTACCGATCGTCTTGTCTGCGAACTGAAGTTGAGACATCTCATTGAGGTCCGAGCACAATGTATCTTCTACCTTTGCTCCGTACTGTGTCTCATTGTTGATTCTGCCGATCGGATGATCAGTAGAAAGCTCTCAATTTCCCCTGGTATGCAGAACTAAACTATATCAGATGTGCAAAGTAAAGCTTGTGAGATATATAGATGATAGATTAGGTACTACTTATCAGCAAGTGAGGTAACTAGGCTAAGATGCACGGCCCAATAAAAGCCCGAACAAAGCGGTTACAGATTGTCACTTTCTGTATCTTTCCTGCACCTTCCGGCATCGAATGAGCTCATCTGCATCCATACCTCGCTACCCCGGGAATGTTTCCTGACATTCTGATCAAGGGGTGTTTTGCCTTCCACACATAGCTGCCCGACACTGAAACATCCGCGGACCTTTATAGTTCCCCGCAGAACCCCCAGCCAGGACAGACATGCCTTCTGCTGGCTCAGAGGAGCTTGATACCCGTTTGGACATCCCCGTCGCTATGACCCCCGATCTTACGCTCTCCACTCAACGGCCAAGAGCCGCGACTGCAACGCTCCCAGCCATGCCTCAATCACCCACCCTTCGACAGTCTTTACAAGGTCCTAGTTCTCTGCATGGGGGAAGTCCAACACTGGGGTCCAGTGAGCATGAGATCACCCGATCGGCTCAGGGTAAGACCAGCATTCCAGATATTGGAATATTTCATCTAACCAGGATATACTTGGCAGGTCCACTTCGACACCCAAAGCCTCTGACACCGTCAGATCTCCATCTCGTGCTGGAGAAAGAGCAAGAGGCGATGGTGAGTTTTACCACATTTATCTGTGATCGCCTGCTAACAGATCAGGTAAATCGATTGACGCGCGAACTCTCTTTCCTCCGCCAACAGACTACATCCGTGGCATCCACAGCGTCCTCTACCTCCACCATGAACGAGTCCGCTGATGGTACACACGGCTCCCCGTCTTTAGGCGGCGCCACTCACTCTCATTCATACCGTCGACAGCGCTCCTCATCCAGTCTGGGCTCCCACTCAACCTCGGTTCACGGTAGCCAAGCAAGCGTCACAGGAATTGCCCCTTCTCGAACAGTTGAACATAACCGATCGGCACGAAGCCGTGAACCGTCACTATCTCACCGTCGCCCATCGATCGGATCCCTCAGCTCACACGCTCAGCATCCCCATCCAGAGCACGTCTCCCACTATGGAAGCCCTTCTATCTACCCCCATCGAAGCTCAATCTCCCAGACTCACCTGGGTCTGTCGAGTAGCTCCCTCGCTCGATGCGAGGAAGTTGCACTTCACAGGGCCGAACTAGAAACCGTAAGACGGGAGAATGAGCAGCTGCGACGGCGGGTACGAGAGCTGGAACAAGTTTTAAAGAAGCAGAAAGAGGAGCCTGTCGACTCATGACAGCAACGGCCTTCGGATCATGGTTTTTTTGGTATCTTCTTTTCTTTGTATCTGCCAGGAGCAGTACCTGATTTTGTTCTATCCTTATCTTGGTTTGCAGGCAGACATTCCACTCCAGACCTGAAATTGATATTAGCTCGCTTGGTCTTAAAATTGAAGAGATACCAATAGAACAGTAGACTAGTAAACCAATCTGAGCCCACTTGAGATCGAAATCCTCCCCTCTAAAACTGGGGTACGCTCGGCATCGTGGACTTTTTTTTAAATACGTCACCCCTAGACTCTAGCCTCGCCTTTTTTTATTTTTTATTTTTGTTCTCATTCCAGCTCGCTACTTGTAATTTTTTGGAAAGCCCACTTTACAGAAGCAGGCGGTAGGAAAGAAGATGCTAGAGGGACCGGGCAGGTAATATAGAAACATTCTATAGTAACACGAGGCTGTGCGGCCCCACTCTACGTCACCTGTGGCGCAGCTACTTAAATACTGACCTCATGCTCTTCCCCTTTCCCTGCTTCAAACAATTTCCTCTTTCCTACATATTCCCCTTTACATATCCATAATGTCTGGTACTACTGTTCACGTTTCGGGCATCGCCCCTACCACCACTGAGAAGGACGTTCGTGACTTCTTCAGCTTCTGGTGAGTATACCCCTCCAAAACAAACAAACCGCAATAAGCAACGCCAGTGGACAAGGAATTCAAGCTAATAAATCCATACAGTGGCAAGATCACTTCTCTTTCCATCACCCCCACCAGCTCTGAGGCCGGTTCTTCCCAATCCGCCAGCGTCACCTTCGAGAAGGATGCGTAAGATAGCTACCCCGCACCGCGCGTCAGCGCCAACAACACTCATTCTAACCTAAAACAGCGCCGCGAAGACTGCTCTCCTCCTCGACCAGACCCAATTAGGCTCCTCCTCAGTGCACGTGGAAGCCGCCCAGAACATCGACGACCTCGCTGGCGCCCAATCCACCGCCTCCGCTGAGAAGGCAGATGAGCACGATATCGCTCAGGAAGACAAGCCCCGCTCCCGCATCATCGCCGAGTACCTTGCCCATGGCTACGTGGTCGGTGATGGCGCTATTCAAAAGGCCATCGATCTGGACCAGAAGCACGGATTCTCCGCCAAGTTCACCTCCGCTCTGACCAACTTCGACAAGAAGTTCAATGCCACTGAGCGCGCTAAGGACCTGGATGAGAACTACCAGATCTCCAACAAGGCTGCTAGTGGCTGGTCCTCCCTGAACCACTACTTCGAAAAGGCCCTCGAGCACCCTCACGGTCAGAAGCTGCGTAGTTTCTACATGGAGACCGATAAGCAGGTGCGCGATATCCACAATGAGGCTCGCCGCCTGGCCGATCTGAAGCTGGGTCGCAGCTCTGAGGGCGAGAGTGCTACTACCGCCCCTGCTGATGCGTCCTCCGAGGCTGCTGCGCCCCAGGCTGAGCCTAAGGCGTAAGCTTGTTCTGTCTGAACTAAAGCTTGGGAGGTGGTGAACTGATACTGAGGGCTTGCGCTGGCGTGCTTTTGTGTCTAGTTATTTCTGCTTTCATGTCCCATTCCCCGTGTAGCACGAGCTTATGATTCCTGATGACTCCGACTAAGGCAACTCTCCACTTGATTTCTCATGGTACTTTATTGCAAGCGAATGAACAGAAGGTTACTTTCCCAATATTCCAGTATTTCAGTACATAAAATAGAAGGCAGTGGAAGCGTAAATTGTAGACTGATCGTGATCACTTGAATTTGAACTAGTCTTATTATCCCATTTCCTCAATTATATCCAAATCAATTGATCCTAACACGTAATCCTTCCTGAAAAATCCACCTATGAGAAGTTGCCCGTTCCCTTCCTGTACTTGTCCGCCTCAATTTTCTCCAACGGATGCACAGGGTTACTAGTCAAAACATCACCCTTCGACTGATCAGATTGCTGCTGCGCGAACTCCGGTGCGGGCCGGGAAGATGAATCGCCGATCTTTCCACTGGACGGGGGGTCGCGCTGCTGAGCACCGGATTGGCTTTCCGGTGGGGGAGATTGACGGCCTGCGTTCTTGGAGGACATTTTAATAGATGGATTGTTGGAGTGTAGCTGTAGCTGTGCAATATCGAGTTAGATCGAATCGAGTATTCCAAAAATGAGGTATGGGTATGCACCTTGGAGCTTCTGGATGATGCAGGTATAGTTTTGAGTGAATTCTTGAAGATGAGTGAGTTAGGTAAAGGGAATATTATCTGGGCAGGATACGATTTAAGTAATTGAGTAATTGATGTTTATGGTTAAACCGGTTGGGTGATTCATCATGATGACGTGAATCTACACCGGTGACTGGTCTATCCACTTTGGGCTTTCCATGGGGCAAGTATTCTACACTTCTGGCTTACTCAGGCTTATCTGGAATGGGGCGAATGAGGATCAATTGGTATGTTAGAGGATGATATCATGGACATTGTCACGTGTTCTGTGGGTTCAACAAACTTGCGTGTAGATCAATAAATGTTGCAGTTGAGGGGTATGTTATGTGCCACTGCCGAGGAACATCTTCGCTCAAACTAATTCGATATTACCAGAAACAGAATGCATCCAATATATAATGTGACTGATGTGCTAGCTATACCATACGATAAAAGTATCTTTGGGAGGGGAATCTGTGCAAAGGCGGATTATGAAGGAAATGGGAAGGGTAGGGACTTTTTGTGTAAGCACATCAGCGAGGACATGAACAGTGAAAATGGAAATGGAAAGTAGCCAAAACAGCAGATATAAAAGGGGAACAGGCATGATCTAAACAATGGGAGGAAAGACATGAAAAGGGCATATGTCTCGTGAGCAGGGAAAGACCCGGCATGTTGATCATCCAAATCAATGGATAAGACGGTCTATTGGTTGCCGTTCGCTTGCATGCCTGCAGCGGCGGCGGCGGCAGCTTCCGCATTCTGCTGGGCCAGAAGAGCCTTCTGGTCGGCCTCGTGGAAAACTCCCTGGATGATCTGCTGTTCTTCGGGACCAAGCACCTTGATCAGACTGTCGTAGAGCTGGGGCTGCTCGGACTGGAGGTCTAGAGGGAGAAAAGTAAGCTTGGTTTGAAGTGTGGGTTGTCAGTTGACTTACTCAAGAAGACTTGCTTGAACATGCCGTACGGCTCAACCTTGTCCAGGGGTGTCTCGAGGAGACTCTCCTCATCCATATCCTCATCATCATCATCGCCATAAGAGCCAAACTTCTGGGCTTCCTGGTTGAGGAACTCAAGATAGGCGGCGCTCTCATCGGCAACGTCATCGTCAAGTGCCTCCTCAACCTCCTCCTCATTCCACTCAACTTCCCCATCCCAGTCGTTCTCCTCGTCATCATCATCAAGATCGTCATCAAGGGTGAAGTCAGACTCCTTGGTAGCCTCCTCACGCACTGTCAGAAAGTTAGCAAAACTTCATTTACCCCCAAAATCTAGAATACATACACTTGAGCGCAGCAGGCAGGGTCTGGAAGAGTCTTGTCACACCCTGCAACAATCTCGGCCAGCCCTGCTGGACGCTGACGGGAACATCACCTGCCGGCATGGTGAGCAGGGAGCTGATCGCAGCAATAGACAGCTTCTTGTCGTGGACGCGACGGAAGTTGTCGATATTAGAGAACCAGGTGCTGAAGAACTTGTTGGTCCAGCCCTTGGCCTCAAGAACCTGGAGACTGAGAACAGGGTTGTAGTAGATGGCGTTAATAACCATCTCCATCAAGTGAATGCGGTAGGACTTGGTGCGAGCTTCACCAGCATCAATGACACTCATAGCCAGCTCAATGAAGAGTGGGATGTACTGGTCAATGTGCCCGCGGAGGTTAAGCATAAGGGTCTCGGCAAGCTTGCAGCCGCAGATGCGGTCAACACCACCGACCTTGTCATCGCGGAAGATGTCCTCAACCATACCAACAATAGCACCTAGGTAAGCCGGGTTCTGCACAAGCATGTCAGATCCGTAAGAAACGTAGTTGTCCAGAGCAGGCAGCATGTCCTCCAAGTACAGCTCGGCGCCAGCCTTGAAGGTCTTGTGGATGAGCTCAAAGGCTTGCCACATGGTGCCCGAAATGTTCTTCGAGGCGAAGGTGCAGCTGTCAATGATCTCGAAGATCTCATTGTAAAGATCATACAGCTTGTTCTCCAAAGTGATGCTAATAATAGGCATCAGAATGGTCTCCAGGTGGAGCAGCACATCGGGGGTGCTCTCCAAGGTAAGGATGAGAGTTCCAATGGTCTGCAAAACACCCAGTGCGGTAATGCTCTTGTCGTCCAGGAAGTCGCCGAATCCATCATCATCTCCGCCCTTGGCAGCATTGCGCTCCAAAAGCTCACCGATGATTCGCATGTAGGTATCACGGAGCTGCTCGCTCAGTGCCACAGCGAATGGAGTAAGCTCTGCAGAGAAAACCTCAACGAAATCTTCCATCACGTTCGCCAGGGCATCAACATCGACCTCGTTGGCCAACTTCAGAAGTTGCTGCATAATCTGAGGAATGTTCTGCTGCATAGAAGTGCGAATGATATCGTGACGGATCAAAGGCTGAAGAGCCAGAGCGGCCTCGACACGGACCGGAAGCTCAGAATCGGCCATGGACTCCAAAATGTTGCGGTAAATGACCATCAGGTTGCTCGGGTCCTTGAAATCCAGCTGCTCGAATTTCTCCAGGGTGTCGCAAGCACGGGCACGGAGGAAGCCGTGGGGGCTGCGGAACTCAGGGAAAACATGACGAACGAAGAAGTATTCCACCTGATCAGCAATGGGGCTCTTCTTGCCCAGAATGACGGAGGCAAGCGATCCAATCATGCGGAGTGCACCCTCCTTCTCGCGGGGCAGCTTCTGGTCCTCGGGAGCAGCCTCGTACTTGCTGACAATGCTGTTGACAAAGGTCAAGATTGAGAATGTCTGCTTCTTACGGTTCTTCGTGAGTGAAACCAGGAAGTTTGTGGCGGAAACATCGGGAGCGGAGACTTCCTCGTAGAAGTTCAGCTTGCGGTGCAAGTACTCTGATGGGTCATCCTCGAACAGCTCAATATCCTCATCCGACTGGCACAAGATGGGGAAAACGAAGTGGGCAATCAGATTCTCCATGTGCGGCTTGAGGTGCTCCCACATCGCCTTGGGCTTGACACACTCCTCCATGAAAATCAAGGTGTAAGAGATGGCGGAGTTGCTCATCCATTGGGACTTGGAAACCCACTTCTCAATCTCCTGCAGGTATCCATTGAGGATTGTTGGGGCAAAGGTGCTGATGAAAGTTTTCGCGTACGCGGTGTAGTCGGGAGTAGAAGAAGGCTTCGACATGGTGGTAGGGTTGCCGTAGCTAGAGAGTAATCAATATAACAGCCCTATACTGTAATATGGGGATTGGATATATCATACCGGATGAAAAGACGGTTCAAGTTAGCATATGACCACTTCTTACACTTCCACCAGTGGTTCATCTCCCTGTCTTCCTTTGACTCATTCATGGCGCTAGCCGGGGGTGTCTTGGAAATGATGCGCAGGAACAAAGTGCACCAGTCCACTGTGGCCTGGTGGGTCTGAAGAGAAGGCGAAAGCTCGAACTAAAGCATCGCGGGTCAGTATTTTTCGTCCAAAATCTCAGACTTGGTCCACCCACGTAAATGGCATGCTTGTAGGCCTTCACGACAATCCGAAGCATCTCCGCCGCCTCCAAGCTCTCCTCATCAACCAGCCTTTGTCCAATGCTGAGCAGTTGCGGGAACGAATGTTCCACGATTTTGTCGAACTCCTCCCGCTTCTCTCCGGCCTTGAATCTGTACACACGGCAAATGGCGAGCAGGCACTGGAGACCCGCGTAGACGGTGTTCGCATCGTTGGTAGCAAGTAGCTGAAGGTTGAGATCAATGAATCCTGGCCACTGTTCAGGGAAGTCGTTCTGCAGGATCTTCTGGAGGAGGGGAACGAGTTGGGCGCGGACATTGGGCGGCGTAGAGGCCAAGGCAGGGATAAGTCGCTCTCGGAAAGCAGGCTTCTCGGATTCAGGAATAGGAGTTCTCTGCGGGCTGTCTTCGATAGGGGCCCATCCTCGGCTGATACGGTTCTTCAGGTAGACACCAGCTTAGGGTGGGGTTAGCGACTCTGTGGTCCCATGTAGCTATACCAATAGCCACCAGTTGGAATGGATATGCTCGACATACCAGACAACTGGACAGCGTTGTTCTGCTCCCCCTGGAGGATATCTAGCAGCGCATTGATGAAACCCGGCTGCGTCTCGGCCTGAAAAATAGAGGGGGCAATTAGCCCCCCGCGAGGTCAGTCTCACTCAACCCCACCAACCAGGATGTATAGCATACATATTTAAGATCCAACTCAGCTTGTCGGCGATTGTCCGCATTCGCGTCTAAAGTAGACTGGATGCGGTCTCGAAGGGCCGTGACATCCATATTCGCACCACCCCAGCGCCAGAAAAAAAATCACTAGATAACTCCGCGTAGGAAATCCCGAGGAACCACGCAACAGGGACGTAGGTAAAGATGTTGGGTAGTGTAATAAGATAATAAAAGGGAATGAAGTCCCTAGAACGGATCAAATGAAGGTGATTCAAAGATCAAAAAAAAGTTGTCGAGGGGGGGAGTGGGAAACAGTATCTGGGATTTTCTAGGGCGGTCGCCCCGCAGACTAATCAGCGGCCGCACAACATGGATTTTCTCGACTCCACCCTCCTTTCATAGACAAGGAAGATATATCCGATATGTATAGGATTTATGTTCTGGGGATGTTGAGAATTTTGAGAGCCTTTGTATTTTTTTCAGTTTCATTTTTGTTCTTTGTTTTGTTTGTTGTTTTACTGGACATTTCTAAATACCCCTGAAAAATTAGGCATAAGCAGTAAGAAATACAAATACATGCTCATTTGGTCTCTCTTAGCAATACTTCATGGAATTGGAAGAGATCTTTGAGCGAACAAATCCATGAATGCGATCATAACGTCCTCACATGTACAAGGACGCGGCAAAAATCACATCTCGCTTGATCAGCTCCTGCGCCTGCTGCATCTTGGTGTAAAGGGTTGGGTCACCGACAAGCTTGGCTGCGTTTTTGACCTCTCGACAAGTCTCATCCAGTCGAGTGATGCAGCGGACAATGGTACCTTCCATGACATCGGTGAGGTCGGTGATACGGTTGAAAGACATTCCTTTGGCCCATTCATAAACCACCTCCGCGAGCCCAAATCGGGGCTTACTTTCAAAGTCATTGGAGTCTTCTGTGGATTGGATCACCTGGTGCAAGATCTGGAAGTCGTTCACCTTCTCGGCGATGGCGATGATAGTCTTCTGACCAGCCTGCAGGCGAGGGGTCAGGGTAGGGACAGTCTCGGTCTTCTCCTGGAACACAAAGGCGGAGAGGAGCGCGACAATCTCTTCAGGCTCAAATTCGGCAAGAACGTTCTCCAGAATCAATTCGGTCAAGACCAACTCGTCAGCGGAGTGGATTTCACAGGCCACCTTTCCTTTCAATTGCACTCTGGATTGCTCGTCAACGAATCCGAGCTCTTTGAGAACGTGAATACGCTGCTCGTAGTCGGGAAGCAGTTGAAGATTTTGATCGGACATCAGCTGCTTCAGGTGTGAAATGTTCTCTTTGATTTGCCACTCGTCATGTTGCATTTCAAACTGTGAAAAGGCATAAGCAATTGATCTGGTGATCAGCAAAGGGTAAAATTCACTTACATGTTTCATGAAGTTGGGGCACGAAAGACAGTGGCACGACTGCATGATGTCTACCTGGGCTTGCCGCTGAGCAAGAGTATCACGCACTTGCAACTCCTTGACCCGAGACCAGTCTACCTCATCCCATGCCGTGTTGAGCCACGAGTCAGTGTATCTAGTTAATTCTTTATCCGCGAACTTGTTAGATTCTGGTCGGGGGTTTTTTCTCAGCGCGGTCCTTGTAATTTGGAGGGGGATGCGTGTTAAATACCTTTTTTAATGTTCAAGTACCAGACGGGTCCGCCGACTTTGACCTGTGTGTTTGTAACACATTCGAGGTCTTCCAGGGGGACCCTGATAGTCTTGAGGTGCATCGAAGCAGAATTCGGGGGCAGTGCCTGGAAATATGGCCGGAAGATAGGCAAGAATGGTAGGATGTCGCTGGGATGCCGTTTGCTGCTGATCGTACCGATCTCATAAATCTGTAGATAGGGCACAGGGCCACCGGAGACGCCCTCTTTCATGAGGAGACCAGCAGTTCGTAATCCATCCTAAGATAGGTTAGTGTGCAATTGGATGGAACCTTCTTTGCAACTTACCTTTCTGTACACGACCAGGCTCTTGATGGAGAATAATCGTTTACCGACAGGTGACGCGATCAATCCCATGTGCAGCTCTTTCGTAAGTTTTTCGTATTCCATTGCAGCGGCATGGCACGCTAGAAGGTCCACGTCACAGATTTCACATGGCTCCCGCTTGATTTTGGCCAGACTAGCTTCGGAGAGCTGGACTTGTTTTTCCTGCTCAGGTAGCAGAGCTTGAGTCGCATTTTCACTAAAACTGCGCTTTATCATCTCTTCAATTCTGAGCGCCTCGACGCGAAGGAGATTCAGAATCATGTTGTAAGTAAGTCGGAATTGAGACCTGAGCTTTGTGGGGTCTCCAAGAATCATTGTCTTCAAAGAACCAGCGGGTGGAGCTTCGTCTCTGCCGGTGGAGACAAGGATCACATATCCTACCGTGTCAAGACCACGACGTCCTGCACGTCCCGCCATTTGGGTGTACTCGCCAGGCAGAAGATCTCGGAAAGACTTGCCGTCATGCTTGCGGAATCCAGAGAAAACAACTGTTCTGGTTGGCAGATTCAACCCCATCGCAAAGGTCTCTGTCGCGAAGAGAACCTTAACCAAGCCTCTAGCAAACAGGATCTCGACAACCTCCTTCATGATGGGCAGAAGACCACCATGGTGCACAGCAACGCCTCTGCCCAAAAGCTCTCGAAGGCGAAGGATTTGGGGGAGCGTTCGGTCCTCGGGCTTGAGTCGAGTGAGTGACTTTTCGATCATCATATGGATCTGACTCTTATCGTTGGCGGTGCTAAAGTCTTGGTTGGACAGCGAGTCTGCATTCTCTTCGCACCGTTTCTTCGAGAAGACGAAGATACATGCTGGGAGTAGGTCTTCCCTACGAAGATGCGAGACAAGATTAACCCAGATGGTTTTATCCTGGGCAGCAGACGTGCGGAACCCTCCGCGCCCGGTGCGAGCAATGTTTCCTGTCCCACGGCTGGAGGGCCCTCCTCGACCACCCTGTCCTCGGCCCCTCTGCTGCGGGCCTCCACGCTGCCCGTTACCCCGTGCGCCGCCTCTACCGGCAGGCTGACCACGTCCTCCTCCTCGGCCACCTCCTCGTTGGGCCTGACCTTGTGCCTGAGCCTGGAGCTCTGCCTCCTTTTGGGTCTTTTCTTTGTCCTTGCCAGACAAGGCGTCATTAGCCTTCTTCCAGCCAGCCTCAAGGAACCTCTTGTTGGAATCAACAATCTTGAATTTGTCCTTTCCACCCCACAGATAGTGCTCCAACGGCACAGGTCGCTTGGGGGTTGAAATCACGTAAATGTCCTTTTTCTTGGTACGACCGACCCAGGATGCAAACTCGTGGGTGTTGGGGACGGTAGCGGACAGGAGGATCAGGGTGACATGCTCAGGAAGCATGATGATGACCTCTTCCCACACCACACCTCTCTCAAGATCGTTTACATAATGGACCTCGTCGAAGATAACGAACTCAACGTCGCGGATAAGGTCTGCACCACGGTAAAGCATACTCCGCAGAATCTCCGTCGTCATGATCAGACAGCTAGCTTCGGGATTAATTTGCACATCACCCGTCAAAATACCGACATCATCAAACTCGGTGCGGAAATCTCGGTACTTCTGATTGCTGAGTGCTTTGATGGGTGATGTGTAGATGGCCTTCGTCATGTGCTTCGCAGCCAGTGCGATTCCATACTCAGCGACAACTGTTTTTCCTGCTGATGTGTGTGCTGCAACAAAGACCGAATCACCATTTTCCAGGTGATAGACTGCTTCCTTTTGGAAAACATCCAGCTCGAATGGCCATTCTCTAGCCATATCTGGGACCAAGTCGTGGAAGTTGGGGATTTCCTTGTTAATGTCCACGACGTGTGCCCACTCCCGGCCCTTGTTTTTCTGGAGACCCGCAAGTAGCGGGTTGTGCGGCTCAAGTGCAGGGAACTCGACTGGCAGCAGAGCATCAATATCTTCTTCGTCACTGAGCTCCTCATCTGCAGCGTCGACCTCGACAGCACCATCCTTATCTTGGGCCTCATCGAGGTTGTCAGCCTTGGTATCGCTTTCCTCCTGGTTGAGTGCATGTTCAACCTCCTCTTCTCCCTCTACGACCTCTTTGGACTTTTCTTCTGCGAATCTGAGTCCACGGTCAAACCCAGGAGCTGTTGTCAAGAGTCCGCCCTCTGAACCGAAGTTGATAATGCGGTCCAGACCGCCTGGCTTTCCAGAGCGCGACTGTTCTGTGAACTCGGCATCTGCCTCGATTTCAGCAATTGCCTCAACACCTTCCAAGCCACCTGGCGCAAAGGGGAAGAACCCCGCTGCGCCTCGAACAAATTCTGCACGACCAGCCGGTCGCCGAAGAAATGAGGTTGAGTTCTTTGCGTTGATGCTTGTGGCCGGAACGGTGATCTCCTGATAGCCGGTGACCCGTCCTTCCAGTCCTTCGCGTGTGAATCTCGTGACAGTGCGTGTTTGCGTCGGGGCAATTTCGAAGAGATCGGTCGAGTCCGCCGGGACATCCCATCGCCTTTTGATATCGTTAGCTGTGCTCAATTGACCTGATCTTTGTGCGAGCCGCAAGCATTCACAGGGGTACTTACTTTTGCAGCTGATTCAACCATTTCGAGTTGAATGTAGCGGAGGGCTTCAGAAAATCGTCTTCCAGATCTCGCAAAAGATCCTCCCTACTCTGGCTAATTTGTTTGCGAGGTTGTTGTCTTTCGAATGTACCGGCCTGCTCCTCGGCAAGTCGCGTTTCAAGTGATGCTGAATCCAAATCCTTGCTATTCAGGCTTAGCTGGCCCAAGGCGGATGCTAGTGAATCACTCATTTTCGAGATCGGTTGTGCAATGCGGTTAGGAATGTTTGGCGGAGACCGAAATCCAAGCCGATGCGAGACAGTCAAACGAAATATCGGACACAATCGAGGCTAAAATCGATGCAGGGCGAATCAAGACCTCAGAGGAGTACGGAGGAAAACGAGGCTGAAAGGAATGGAAAGACAAAACAGGTCTCAACTGCATTCACTCAGCTCAGGATAACGATAACCACCCCACCTTTTGGACTGTTGGAGCTTTTGGCGGTGTCGATCGGCAATATACTTCAATATTATTGACGTAAGTTGTGTCGAGACTAAATGTATAGGCGGTATATCCCGGCAATATAATCTCATCTAACACTGAAGGTTTTAATGGAATTCATCCGGTACCAACATTTGAACGTCCAGAAATCGGGCGCTTCCGTCGGTTTGATACACGGGTATATATCAACCTACTGTAGTCTAAGAAAGGAAAATAAGAGCTGCACATGCCCCTACCAAGATTGAATATCCATCGCTTTCTAGGTGTAGATTCCCCTCACACTACCTGCCTAGGTACCTATATATATATACGTGCTTAGGTACCCTACAATCGGATCGAGGACATTAGGTACGTAGACTTCAAGTAAAGCATGTTTGATATACATTTATTCAAACCACATTTCCAAGGCTGACGTGAATGCTATATGCATATGCTTTTCTAATTCGATTGAGAGAAACCTCGAACCTCCGACGCATATGATGTATAATGACTTCGAGTTCAGGATACATGACACCGTTTTTTTCAAAATACTGTATACATACATATGGTAACTATAAAGGGCTATTTGCGTAGAAAGAGACCCGGGAAGATATATATATACACAGTACTAGACAATTATGCTGTACATGTATAATGTGGAGGAAGGAAGTGGCTGTGTGTACATGATTAGAAAGTGGCGTGAGGAGAGAAAGGCTGAAGTCTGTGTGCAACACTGAACTACTATAGTTACTTCATATATATTTCTGCCTAGGGCATATAGCAACTCTCACAATGAGGTCACCATAACCACCTACATGTAGCATTTTTCAAGTTTTATTAGGCTTCTAGGCTATAGAGTTTTATTTTACTATATGGAAACCAAATCAGATAGGTTTATTGACTTCTAGGCAAAAATCTGGTTACATCGATATAAGACTTATTTTAATCTTTTACTATGGTGTTTTCAAGATTACTCAGCGTTTCAAATAGCACTTTTTTGTTTCACGATATAGAATATAGATAAGATGGAATTGTTGGATTCTAGGGACAATTCCGATCATTTCTCTGTACGACACCTATTTGTGAAGGTTAATGCCTCAGGCCACAATTTTTTATCCACACCCCGGAACAGGAGTTATGGGGATAAGCCCGAATGGTGCCTGGCACCTTGGGCTTCCAGCGAACAAACGGGTTCGTAATTTTATGAATTAGAATTTCTGACTAATCCAATCAGCCAAGGAACAACTTAGTTTTAATAACTAGTCAAGTAGAATCTACTATGGCAAAGTGGAATTCAAATGTGTTCCTCAGCAGAATTGCAGGTCCAAACATTGTCCAATGAGAGAAAAGGGATTAGATCATTCTTGGAAAAACCAAAAAAATCCAAAAATTTATTGCAACTTTTGTATCTCCTATTTGATACTGACATTTGACGTAGGGAATTTTGCACAAATCTGAATTAGTCTTCAAACCTCCAGGAATTGAAGTTGAAGTAATGAAATGTAAACAATTTCATGCAAATGTAAAAATATGCTGTGTAGCTAGCTGATCGCGGTACCTGGAAGTTTAATCCAGGGTCTATGGATCGGATCCATTGAATATTCCCACCGATAGTGCCAAATGCGGAGATTGCGTCGGGTTCTACGATCAATACGGAGTAATAAAAGCCTTACCCGCATTGATTGGGGTATTTGAGTATGAAAAGGGGTAGTACAGCCTCGGCTGGGGGAATATAGGACCCCATTGTGAATGGCGCACACTTTGACGGTGAATTGTAACATGGGGATCCTGAGAATTGACCGAGAGATGTTTCTAGACATATTATGAAGAGATGTTGCATCCTACAGTATAAGATTAATCTCAAAGAGAAAGAATTGGGGTGGATCCCCGCAAACAGTTCAGCATGTGACGCTCCCGAATTCATTCACTTCCACAATAACAGATTAATGGATATTGAACAGTGAGTAGTCACATGAAATGAAATTGTTCAAGTCAGAGAGAATAGAGTAAAAAGTCGAATTGAAATGACTTCAGGCAGAGAAATTGACTCGGAACAGTACGGCTGCTGATTTTCCCCCTTTTACGGCGACGCTAGACCGTATTGGGAAGACAACGGACGCGCCGGACGCAAAAAGTAACTTGTTCTCCTGATCGTCTTTTCTTTCTTCAACGTCGGTCCTTTCCTTTCCTTCTTTGGTGATTTGCGAGAAAAGGATCAATTTCCCTTCAATCGGTCTCTTCAATTAATTACTTTTAATTAATTTTTTTTTCCTTTTCTTTTCGGGCTTCTACGTCCATCGGACCCCTCCCCCCTTCACCATGGCGTCGTTCCTCCAGAATGTGCCCCTCCCATCCATTGATCGGCCCTTTGGCGTGCACCTGTGGCCTATCTTCGATAAGGCCTTCGAGCTGGTGAAGGGATACCCTGCCAGCGAGTTCAAGTTCCAGGAGGGTGTGACCGCCATGTCCACCCTGAAGGAGACCGCGGCTCTTATGGTTACCTACTACGTGGTTATCTTCGGTGGCCGTGAGGTTATGAAGAACTTTCCCGCCTTCAAGCTCAACACTCTCTTCATGATCCACAACTTCATCTTGACTGTTATCAGTGGTGTCCTGTTGGTTCTGTTCTTGGAGCAACTGATCCCCACTCTCTGGAACCACGGTGTTTTCTACACTATCTGTGACCACCGCGGTGGATGGACTCAGCCTCTCATTGTTCTTTACTACGTGAGTATTAAATTGCGCCTCAATGTCAACAACATAACTAACCTCGGTTCTTAAACAGCTGAACTACCTTAACAAGTACTGGGAGTTCCTCGACACTGTTTTCCTGGTCCTTAAGAAGAAGCCCTTGACCTTCCTCCACACCTACCACCACGGTGCTACTGCCCTTCTGTGCTACACTCAACTTATCGGTCTGACTGCCGTGCAATGGGTTCCGATCACTATCAACTTGCTGGTTCACGTTGTGATGTACTGGTACTACTTCCAGAGTGCCCGTGGTGTCCGCATCTGGTGGAAGAAGTACATCACCATGCTGCAGATCCTCCAGTTCGTCATTGACGTTGGTAAGTTGACCTGACTCGTCCCTCTATTCCATCCCACTCAGAAACTAATTTTCGCGCAGGCTTCATCTACTTCGCCTCGTACAGCTACTTCTCTTCTGTCTACTTCCCCTGGGCTCCCACCATGGGCAAGTGTGCCGGTGAGGAGTTCGCTGCATTTGCTGGTATTGCCATCATCACCTCTTACCTTTTCCTGTTCATCGGATTCTACATTGCCACCTACAAGAAGGAGGTCAAGGTCGGCCGCCCCCGTAGCAACACCGGCAAAAAGTCCCTGATCGACATGAAGAACTTCGAGATCCCCTCCCCGGCTGCCACCGCTACCGGTCGCTCCAACGGCCCGGTCACTCGCTCCCGCAAGGCGTAAGTGACTTGCGGAAAAAAATCCTACTTATGCGCTTCAGTCGCACGGGGGAAACGAGCAATGTCCCCAGTATTGGGAATGTCGCAAATCATCCTTAAGATAAGGAAGAAACTTACTTGTGTACCTCGAGCATGGATGCAGAAGCTGAATGACGCAGCACCTGCCTCATGATGACTCACTTAACTGTTTTTAATGAACGACCTTCACGATGCCAGGCTTGACAGTCTGGCGGTCTATGTGGCAAGGGCTCTGTGGAGCTCTGGAATGGCATGTCGAAAGGATTGATGGCTGACAGGTAATCAGTCCCTACGACTGCGCATTCTCTTTCTTTGTTTTCCTTTTTTCTTTCATTCGGGCGGACTGTCGGACGGTCTCGACTCGGCTGTATTCTATAATGTCATCTTCTGTTCATGTTTGTCGTTGTTACCCTTAGCCTGCTGGCGGCAGGCCCCTTTGACTGCATCTGTTCACCCTTGTTGTCAGTATTATAGATTATAACCCACATATCATGCTAAATGTAATCATTCATGCGAAATTTGCCTACTAGGTCATTGTTAGTGGAAGTAATTCGGTGGTTGGGGTTTGTAGCCAAAGCAAGGAATACCAGCATGTCATTTGCATGGCTCTAGTCCACATTGCAATGGACTCGTGCAGGCGTGCAGTTGCATATATCTCGCATAAAGATCCGAAGATAGATCCATATGATAGAACAAAGAATGCTCTCAATGTGCTTCAAAGCAAAATCGCATTGCTTCACAAAAGCAAAACAAATACCACGTTGATGGGGAAACCAACATTCGAAGCTCGAAGCTCAATGTGCGGCATCACATTGGCTAGTCCCATAGCCATGCAGGAACTGACCTGGGGTGTAGATCCATGCATAGATAGGAGGCGTGTGCAACGGGGGACAAACAACGCCACGAAGTGACAGATCCAAACCAGCATGGCATAGCATGGCATCCGAAGAAAAAGAGGAAATAAAGATCATCGTTATACCGGAAGTCAATTCTATTCCAAACTAAGCCCTCCTCCAAGGCATAGGAAAGTTTCGGGATCGGAGGCCGATCAGATCTAAGCCTGGCGCACGGCATGATCAATCATTGAGATATTTTCTTGAACCTTCTTCCAGCCATTCGATGTTTATATTGTCGCCAGCCATCAAGTCTGGGAGGCAGGACAGGCTGAACATGTGGAGTGCAGTGCAGTGCAGTGACAGGTCGTTCGACCAGCCATCCACGTACATAGCGTGTTCGGGAGCCCTATTTTCAATAGTCTGTAGATCGAAGGTTAATATCTGAAAGTGATACGTATGCCCAGGTGAAAGATGATCGCCCGTCATTCAAAAGATGCGGACAGACAATTCAATAAAAAAGTGCCTTGCTTGTGTACCCAGTTTCAAGCCAATAATCAAGTTGAAGTGACAAGGTAGGCCTGAGGCCGAATGAATATATGCAGAGCCCAACTGGGCATAGCCATGACATGGAGCACAGACAAAGAAAAAGTAGAATCAGAGTTGCCATGTCGACGGGAGACGGCGAGTCGCCGGAGCCATGGATGATTGTTATCAAGACCAGACGTGATCAAAAGTTTATCAAGGGGGGGTCAATGTCAGTAGATATTAGAGCTTGGACTGCGTTAAGACGAAACAGTGGGCTTGCGGAGGGCGGTTACATTATGTAAAGACTAGGGAATACTCGGTGTACTTTGTAGCGGAGGATCAACACTTCATGTGGGAAGCACGCCGCTGTCAGATTGAAGCTTGGATCATGTTCCTGTAAGTTCATTATTTCCCAGTCATACTGTACTATTAGTCTAGGAGGTCCCTTACAGAATTTCATCCTCCTATTGGTGATGTCAGATGTAGATTGGGGCTATAAATAATCGAAACAATAGCGGAGAATTACTCCACGCAAGGAGCGACTCGCTTCCAGCAAGTCATCCAAGTTTGCTTTTTTGAATTTCGTTGTATTTAATGAATTTAATACTTTATTAATGCACTAGAGGAATACCTGCAGCTTTGCATGGATGTACTCCGTACTATTCCCATTGCTATTCCAATATGGCGTCGACGGTCGGCCCCCTTTTGGCCCTTGGCCCTTGGCCCTTCATAGCTGAAGAATGGAAGGCTCAATCCTTGAGAATTCTCCTGTGCAGAAGATCAAGATCCTTAATGTACAAGGAAATCTGTACTCATTGGCGCATCCAGGCCTTGAGTCCCTTTAACATAGCAAAGCCCTGAGACCCTTTAGGGTTGAAGGGCGGGGCTCCTGTATCTGTACCTGGACTTGGAAAGAAGCGTACGTAGTACCCCCTAGCATGAGTTAAAGAAGAAAAAGTCCTCGGTAGAAAATGACCAAAGTTTGCTAAGGAGTTCGTGCTAGCGTGTTTGAGTTATACATTGACCCACTTAGATAACCTGGTGCGGCGGCTAAACTTGGCAATTGTTTAGATGTTCCATCTTAATCATCTCTCCACCATGGGCGTTTTCTGTTGGAATCTGTTCATCCAGGCCTGATTTGAAGGGTGATCATCACTTGATTTGGATTGTCTACTCTGTTCTATTCTGTTGCGTAAAAATTTTCCGCCGCCATCTTTCTGCTAGTGATGTCGAAAGCCAATGATACCGCATTGTCCTGACTTGCGGCAGCCCCAGCGTTTGGGCGCAGGGACCAACTGACCAACGACCGCTCACGTTGATCTATCAGATTTTTCTCCGGCGTTAGGGCTCCAAAGTCTGGTCCCAGCCTCGCCACGATGCGGATGGTGCGCGTCGAATGGTGAAACGGCCCAATCCTTAGCATCTTTAGGGGTAGCGCCCCCTCTCCCTCCCAGTCTCAGCTGCAAGGGTGATGCGTTTGCCCACCCTGCACCCCCTAATCACCAATCACATCCTGCGTGGCTATTCTCCGCCAATGGGCAGATTCGGGCAGATTCACTAGCTGGGGACATATCTGACCAATCCAGGACCTGTTCTCCTTCGTCCTGCAGGAGATAGTAAAAGCCAAAAAAACAAAAAAAAAGCCACTGTCAGCCAGGGACACCTTTTTGGGTTGCCCAATACAGGATTCTGCCTTCGACTACACGTGGACAGGGATCGAAAATGATTGTCCCCTCTTTCCTGCAGATGGCGCTTCCTGGTCTAAAAAAGCCCATCCACCCCTCCTGTGGATCAATTCTTGACGGGTGGGACTCTTTTCTTCATACTTGAACCTTGGATGGTACTGAGGGCGGCTTAGTCCTGGTTTCGCTGGCTTTAAATATCTTCTTTCCCTTGGCCCCATTCTGCAGGAGCAGATCGCCTTCACAGATCAGTCTGTGCTAGATTCTTAAGCGGGGAAGCTGCCAACATCTCAGGGTTTCTGGTTTACGTTCTTGAGGGAATCTATTCCATCTTATCGTCCCTAACTGATACAACGGGCTGGTCTCTTATCCTATCCTGTCTGGAACAGTTTTCGTTTTGGATGAACCATACGTCCTGGATTACCATTGACTGCGAAGATGTACGAGTCCACCTCGCTGGATCTTCACCGGCTGAGCCGACAACGCCTCCACAAACGATACGAGTCAGACGAGGAAGATGTATCGGAGTCGGATGCCGGTCCGGACTTGGTTCCCTCACTGGTAGGCTCAAACCGAGCTGGAACCATCGATTCAGACCTCAGTGCCGATGAAAACTCGCACACGGATCCAGATTCTGACCGGGAGGAGCACCTACTGGCTCCATTCCCGGTGGCTAAACGGCCCCGACCTGTCTCGATGGATACCGTGAAGCGAAGCAGTGATGCAACCTTTGCGGAGAATACCCGCGTATTTGATCCCGAAGAGCAGATGGTACTTGAGATTCCGCTGCCGGAGAGTCCTCCTGAACTAGATTCGAACCTCTACCTACAGCCAGCTATCTATGTCTCACCAAATACACCACCGACCAACAGAAGGTCTCGCTCTTCGTCACCGTCGTCTATCTTTTCCGTGGAGAATGCCGAGATCCAGGTTGCCAGAAAGATCATTATGATGGAGCCACCGACTCGTCCGACACTGGTCTTCATTAACTCCTTAGGATCACGGTCCAAGGGTTCTCGAGCACGCCCCAGCCATTCTAGAACACGGGGCAACACTCGAAACAGGGAGTCCCGTATTTTCGACGGCAAGCTTGAAGGCAGTCTCCAGGTCCCACGTCTGACAGACGTGAAACCTACGTCATCACCGCGGATTTCTGAACATTCGACAGACCGTGATGGATCCACCCACACAACCCCAGATCTATCAACACTGCATGAGGACACCCTCGCTGTGCTCCAGAGCACAAGTGCCACCATAAGTAGCGTCTCGGACATCCCAGTCCTCCCCTACTTCCCACCATCCCCTCGCCAACAACCACAATCATGTCTCCGCCAGCGACCACGCACATCCGGCTCCGAGAAACCATTCACCACTCTGACCGCACGCTCATCTCGCCGGCCCACAGAATCAGGTCTCCGGCCACCCGCCCTCCGTAGCAACAGCAACTGCAGCACGCCATCACCATCATTCTCGCCACGCCCCACGTCCCCATTCCCAGATGATCAACGATATTTCCCCGACCACAGCGAGCCGCTGTCCAGAGCATGCAGTCCCGCATCAACATGTTCCTTCCCACCCCAACAATACATCCACAATTCCAAGCGTGGACCCATCGCCCCCTTAACACCCAGCAACCAAAACATATTCTCACATCGCTCCCCAATGATGCGCCGCATGACGAGGAAACACTCCGCAGCCTCAAGCATTTCTATCAGTAGCTTACGATCGGATATGGATACGAGCGCCATGTACGCAACAACCAGCCATTCGGCCGTGAATCTGAACACGATTACCTATGATTCTCGTCCCGTGCGGAAATCGAGTCAGAGGCGTCATGCTCGACATGCTAGCTCGGCGACTAGCGGTGGAAGTGGACGTGGGTTTATGGGATTGAAGTTGGGAAAGAGAGCGTTTAATAAAGTTTAATTAATTTAGTAATTCGGTTTGGATTTGCGGAGGGGATTATACAGGCGTTTGACTTCGGTTTTTTCTTTTGGTTTTGTTTGGTTTACTGGATCTTGACTTTTCTTGTTCGGTTCTTTTCGTGGTTTATCAGGTTCTTCTCGACGGCGCAGGCGTTCGGTTTTTATCCCAATTGAAACTGCTGGGATCAATTGGAATTTATGCTGGATTTCTGGTTTGATAATGTCTAACAATTTTGGGACGTTGACCGTCTGGTGGTATTTTTTTTGTTTCTCGTTTTACTTGCGTTGCAAAGCTGATGAGATTGAAATTGACACTGTGTTGGAAGCGGTCGTGATTGAGATTTTGATACGCTAGTTCAATTACTAGGACGCTTTTCGTTGGTCCCTTTTAGAGAATCTAATCGAGAATACATATTGAATGATGTTTGTCTGAGAGTAGTCCTTTTGTGGATCTTAATAACAGATAAGATGACTGAGAGCTACGCAATAGGAATGGTATATTGAAGCGCATCACGAGCAACAACAGGACGAGTAGCTTGGAAAGAAAGGTAAAAGCAGGTAAACCATGTAAATTTCGTTATGAACATGATTGGTAAAGAGAAGATAAGCAATGACGTAGCACGTTGTGTGGTAGATGTCTATTTGCGTGCCTCCAGGGCAGCTTTAATGGCTATAATAAAATTTTAGTACTTCATCTGTGTTAAGAGAGGAAGAACCTACCATCACACGAAGTCTTGGCATCTCCGAAGAGCATTCTCGTTCCGGGCATGAAGAACATTGGGTTCGGCACATCAGCTATGCACCAGTTAGCCGCATACGACAAGAAAAGAGACGCAAAACTCACCATATCCACTCGCCATTCCACGCTTCATCACAATTACTTCCTTACTCTTCCATGCGTGCAGGACTGGCATCCCAGAGATAGCAGAGTCCGGCTCCATAGCAATAGGGTTAACCGTGTCATTGGCACCAATGACGAGAGTAACGTCAGTATCCTTGAAATCTTCATTGATCTCATCCATTTCCAGAACAACTAGAAGGAGTTAGCATCTATCCATTTGAAAGTGGCGGACAACTTACTATCATATGGTACGGACGCTTCAGCAAGAAGCACATTGCACTGGCCCGGCATACGACCCGCAACAGGGTGAATAGCAAAGCGGACAGTAATGCCCCGAGACCGGAGAATACGGACGATTTCAGCCAGGGCGTATTGCGCCTTTGCAACGGCCATACCGTAGCCGACGATGATGATGACGCTCTCAGCACCGGAAAGTGCTTCGACAGTGTCATCGATACTTGTCTGTGTGACTTCGCCCTCGATCTTCTTTTGGCTTTGTACCTGGTTACCAAGACCGCCAAAAAGGACGTTTGTAAGAGATCGGTTCATAGCGACGCACATGATGTACGATAGGATCGAACCGCTGACTCCGATGAGCGAGCCTACGCTTGTGAGAAGGGGGTTGTTGAGCATGAGACCCTCTGCGACGAGTGCGAACCCGGAGTAGGCGTTAAGCACGGTGATAACGACAGGCATATCTGCACCGCCAATGGCTGCTGTTGTGGTATATCCTTTCAGGAAGCTGAGCAAGGTACTCGTGCCTAAGCAAGCCGCTGCGATCCCAGGGTTTGCCGGCGCCATTGTTAAAAATGCTCCCATTGTGGCGATGTTACCGCCAAGGAGTGTAGAGTTGATCACATGCCGACCAGGGAGAATCATTGGTTTAGAAGACATTCTGCCTGCCAGTTTGAGGAAAGCAACGATTGAGCCGGTAAAGGTAACGCCTCCGATGAGCACGCCCATGTAGGCAGTGACCATATGCAGAGTTGTGATCTCGCCAATGTCGACCAGCACGCTACCAATACTGGTTAAGACAGCAGCCAGACCTACAACCGAATGCAGCGCTGCGACCGTCTGAGGAAGTCCGGTCGGAGTGATACGACGGCCAATCAATCCACCGACCAAGGCACCAGTTCCAGCAACAGCGGCGAATTGGGTAAGTGTCTCAGTAGAGAACCCTACTGCAACCAATGAAGCGAGGATACCGGAAACAACACCTAGAATTCCTAAGATATTTCCACGGCGCGCAGTCTGTTGCGAAGCAAGGCTGGAAATAGAGCTCATACAGAGAATCGTACTGACGAGATATCCGGCCTGCACTACACCAGACATGCCAGTACTGGCAGCAGCCACCAGGCCACCGCCAAAGACGACTGCTGGGATGGCATACAGCCACGGGTACTCCGGAGGATCGGTTGGACGTTTGAACATGTCGAGCATGCGTTTCGTCACGACAAAGCCACCAGACACATTCACAAAGGCAAGAAGCACAGATACTGCACCAAGGTATTCGGGAACAGTAGTCGGCACAAAGCCACCGCCCATGACGAACAAGCCACCAATACCAACCATTCCTGAGATCGCATTGGTGACACTCATCAGTGGCGAGTGAAGAGCCGGAGCTACTCCCCACACTGCACGGTAACCGACCAGACCTGCAAGTCCAAAGGTCATCATATTGCCCATGAAAATGGGACCTGTGGCTTTTCCAAGAGCAAGGGTAGCGCCGATTGCCCCAGTAACGGCAGTGACATCTCGAGTGGCAGTTTGCCATGGCGTAAGAGCAAGCGCTGCTTCTTTATTTGTGGCGATAGCTTGGGTATCAGACTTAGGCACGGGGGGAGGAGTAGACGGTGCGGCAGGAGGGATGATTTCGCCGTTAAGAGTGACAATAGACCCACGAACAACCTCATCATTGAAATCAATTCCGAAAGACTTGTCCTTGGGGGTCATGGAGAGCAGATACTTTGTGATGTTGTTGGAATACAGCGTTGAGGATTGGGTTGGTAGGCGAGACGGAAGATCCGTATAGCCAATTATCGTAACACCCTTGTAGCTTGACAGTTCACCAGGAACGGTTGCTTCGCAGTTTCCACCTGCCTCTGATGCGAGATCTACGATGACAGAGCCAGGCTTCATAGCAGCGACCATTTCCTTGGTGATCAGCTTTGGGGCTGGCTTTCCGGGAATCAGAGCAGTTGTGATGATAATATCGACCTCGCGAGCTTGTTCCATAAACAGCTTCATCTCAGCCTCGATGAACTCCTTGGACATCTCTTTCGCGTAACCGCCTTGTCCAGAGCCATCTTCCTGAAAGTCCACTTCGATGAATTCCGCGCCCAACGACTGGACCTGTTCCCTGACCGCAGGGCGGGTATCGAAGCCTCGAACAATAGCACCCATGCGGCGGGCCGAGGCGATTGCACTCAGACCAGCTACACCTGCACCAATCACCAGTACTTTACCGGGGGGAATCTTTCCGGCAGCCGTGACCTGACCAGTCAAGAAGCGGCCGAAGTGATTTGAAGCCTCTAAAACCGCTTTGTATCCTGCAATATTGGCCATGGAGCTGAGGGCATCAAAGGTTTGCGCACGAGAGATACGCGGAATACGGTCCATGGCAAACGCAGTCACGCCGCGGGCAGCCAGCGCATCCACAATGGGCTTGTTTTGAAAGGGATACAGAAAAGAGATAATAGTCGAGCCTTTACGAAGAGCTTGAATCTCATTGAAGGGTCCTTCTGCCTGTGGGTTTCGGACTTTCAGAACAATATCACTCTCCGACCATATAGCATCACGGTCCACCACTGTGGCACCGGCTTTTTGGTAGGCATCATCTAGAAGTTGTGCTTCTGTTCCCGCGCCGCGCTCAACCAGCACGCGCGAGAAGCCTTTCTTGAGAAGTAAGGCCACATTTTGTGGGGTGATCGCTACACGGCGCTCATTTTGGTGTGTTTCGCGGGGAACTCCAACGGTTAACTCGGTGTAAGGGGTGGTGGACACAGGGTCTTCGCTTGGAGTGGTAGTCGCTGCGGTTCGCTTAGATGCGGTAGGCCATTGAGATACTCGCAGAGAGGGTTTCTTCTGCGAAAAGGTGAGAGCAGTGATTTGACGAGCCTGGGATACTGATCGTACATGTTAAAGCATTGTCCTCAATCTATGTGTCATTTGACCAGACCGTGAAGCTTACCAACTTGCGTCACTGACAGCAGCGATTTCCCCGCGCGAGTACTGGGGGCCACGCGACATGGCCTCAGCGCGGACCACAAGGAGAGCGGCGTACTCATTGCTGAAAGCGCAAAAGAACACAGATCATAAACGGCCAAGACACATCCGAGAAAGGGTCCAAGAGAACAAGGGAGTGAAGGAAGAAAGAAGGGAGGACAGGGAAGAAAGGACGGAGAAAGAGGAAACAGGGAAGAAGACCCCCCGACTCCGACCTTGCAATGGAACGGTACGCGCCCTCTTTTGACACGGTTTCCCCGGCTCAATAAGCCACAGCCTTAATTGTATGACTCCCCGCGGGGTTGGTGGAGTCGTGGGGACGGTTCGGGTACTTTTCTCCACACCTTGAAAGCCATGCCAGGACTTGTATTGTATGTGATTTGTGGCATTTTCAGGTCCACTCAAATATTCCAAGGATGATTCGCGCAATGCAACAGTATTTTAGTATCACAGACCTCCCTCCCCGCAAGAACAAAGGATCCAGCGAAGATGCCGATAGCCGGAGCGTGTCATAGGCCATGGTTGTGCGGAGTATATTAGTTCCGGCTTTCGGCACTATTCTCTATCATGTCAGGCTATCCAGATGTCATCTATGTATTTGCATATTTAGACTTACGTGCTGTGACATGGTTTTGCCGGTAAACTCGCTTTGATTGCCTGAAAATGCCACACTATAGGCCATTGAAGAAACCTTGAAACTGAGCCCTACTGCTGTGAAAGCAGCAAGTGCTAATCAAGATTACTACGGAGTACTGGCTCTTGAGTACCTCCAAATAAAGAACTAGAGTAAATCGAGGTGTCATTCTATTGCCCAGATGGAATTCAAATCCAATCGGATTGTCCGAATCCGAAGCAACAGCTAATGACGTAGTCAAGTCTCCACAATGATATGCATGCCACCCACTCACTATACAGAGGATATGAAGACTACTAAGTACATTCTTTGATGCCTGCGTAGTATGTACATAAATTGACAGCAGCACTTCGAATATAAGAAATTTGAAAAACCCGGTTGATTTTCAGCCGCACCATTCTAACTGCCATAAGGCCCAGAAACAGTTTTCCCAGCTTTCTGAGTAATTATCTCCATCTCGCTCGACAAAGAAGAAGAAAGTGCTCCAACATCAGTAACGACATTAACAAAATCATACCCAATATCCACGTAACGCTTCGCCTGGGCACCACTGCTACAGAAAATACCCGCCCTTTTGCCAGCCGCATGAGCAGAATCGAGGATCTTCCGAATAGCCTGTTCAAGTTCCAGTGCAAAAGCCCCTTCCACCGGGTACCCAATATTATTGCCAAGATCAAAAGGACCAACAAACAACAAATCGAGTCCATCAACAGCTGCGATCTCATCAACTGCCTCTAGAGCCTCTCGGGTCTCGATCTGGACAGAAAGAAGAATGTTGTCATTTGCTTCCTTTAGATATTGAGTAGCTGTGACGTTCGTGCCAAAGCGGTCCATTGGAAATGGGGAGCCGAATCCTCGACGTCCTTGCGGTGGGAATCGGGATGCCTCGATGAAGGATTTGACGTCTTCAACTGTTCGCACGAGGGGAGCGAGGACCCCGTGAGCACCGGCATCAAGCGCCCCTGTTTCGTAGTTAGAATGTGCTCAGCATATGGATGGACGGGATAACTACGTTTTATCATCCAGGACTGGAAATCAGGTACCCGAACAATGGGACTAATTCCGTATGACGTTATAGCCGGGATGGCCTCATGCATTGCGGCATCTGGAGATGTCAGTATCTAGTATGGAACGAATTTGTAGCTTCTGACCATCAATATTGCCATGTTCACAATCCACTAACACCCAGTCATATCCAGCTCGAGCCAGAGTGCGAGACAGGTTGCTACCGGGTAACAGCTGCCAGACGCCCAAAGCAGGTCGTTCGCCCTCATTGAGTACTGTTTTGACTCGATTTGTTCCTTGCATGGTGGTTTGGTATAAAAAGGAAAGAGAAGAATGTGTAATTCAGTGAAGAAAGAAAGGACTTGAAGAGTTTGATACAATGTTATTCACAGAAAATGATTGAAGCAGAGCCCCGCTCCTTTTATATTCGGGACTGGTGGGTCTATCCACACCCGAGTTCGGATCGTCATGTTCCGGGCGATGGGCTCTGACGTCTATGTAATATTTGTTCTCGAAATTGGGAGGCATCTGTATCATAGAATCTCATATCTAGATATTGGAAGCTCTCTTCCCTTGGTTCTGTGCTGGACCCTTCAGGCACTGATCGATTTGCTTCGCCATTTGCAAGCATTCCTCATCCCGCATGGTGGTGGTGAAAAGCTGAATGGAACACGGCGCGCCTTTGAGCTGATCAAAGTTATCTATAAATTGACGAATTAAAATGGTTCATTCATCTGGTCTGAGAAAGATGGACTCACATTCAGGCGCCAATTGATCTTCTTTAAGTTCAAAGGTCTTTCCGGCATCCTCGTCGCCCACTTCCCCAAATGGCAGGATACATGATGGATACTAGAATTGTGTTAGTAATATCCCACATCACAGCTAAAAGAAACCTACATCCAAACAGTTCAAGAATGTGGTATAAACAGCAAGCCCAAACATATCATGCGATACTGCAGTGTGTTGGGCCGGAGGTGCAATGCATATGTCAAGATTGTGGTGCACCCACAGCTTCCGGTAAGCCTCTCGCAGCTCTGCCCGTCGTACATTCAAGAGAGCCAACTTCTCCATCCTGTCAAGGGTGCTCATTTCGGGTAGAGAAGGTATGATAATTTGCCCCAGTCTCCCAAATTGCCTCGTAATATGTTCAATAGCCGGGACAACTGGCTCACCCGCTGATTCAATCAGTTTCCTGGAATTCTGGTCCAGATTGAATATGTTCCAGGCTATCTCATTTGCCTCAACAACCCGGCAATCTTTCTCATCTAAGTAAATAAGTCGATGCCCCTCGGCTTCTAACAAGCGAACTGCTTCGGTTAAAACTCTCCGAATAGGTGGGTGGAGAGGAAACATAGAAGATTCCGGAACAATCCCAATCCTGAGAACTGGTTTGATGTCAACTTGTCTCCATGGAACGTCGAGAATGCTGGAATCATAGTTGGCAGGGCGTGCGTTGAAAAGTGCCGTGAAAACAGTCTCGATTCCGTCCAGATCCAGTGAAAGGGGACCAATGCAAGATAGAACAAACTTCATTCCAGGCGTGGTGCAGATGCGCATGCCACCGTTGGGAACTCTTGAAGCGCTTGGTTTGAAACCGTAGGTTCCACAGCAGTGAGCTGGAATACGGACGGACCCTGTGATTGTTACAAAGAAGAAAATTACCAACGTTTGCAGTGATCGACGTACCACCAATATCTGTTCCAAAACCAATAGGTGACCCCCGAAGAGCAATCAGAGCCCCTTCTCCACCACTAGACCCACCGGGTCCAAGGGTGGTATTCCAAGGGTTCAGAGTGCGTCCAAAGACATTATTGTGAGAATCGGCTGTCTGGGGAAGATTTAGTCATTAAATCATACAGAAAAGGATTGGGCAAATACCATCATTGTTTGGGGCACATTTGTCTTCACATAAAGCACAGCGCCGAGCTGTAGAAGAATATTCACAAGAGCCGAGTTCTCGGTCGAGACGTCACCCAGAAAGGATACCATTCCGATAGTTGCTTCTCTACCCTTGAAATGGAAGTTATCCTTGATACTAACAGGAAGACCATGGAGTGGACCCGCTAGTCTTCCCTGAGCTCGTAAATCATCCAGATATTGAGCTCGCTCCTGGGCTTCCGCAAACATAGTTTCGGCGAGACATGCGACCTTTAGGTTGTCAGATACCTAGAACATGAAATAACACATAGCCACATACCAGTTGTTGAGCCACAGCGGCACGTTTGCAATAAGCCAAAGTCACCTCAACAGAGGTGAGGCTACCATTTGCCAACGCAGAGATCAGGTCAGTAACTGAATACTCTTCGGTAATCTTAAGCTCATGATCTGTCAGAATTCCAGATTCACGAACAGCTCCAGCTCGAATGAGGTCGTTTTTATGATCGGACAATGGTGCATCGAATTTGGCCATGAATTGGTCCGATACTCTCCATTCAGACGGTATTCTGTTTGCATTTTCCTCTCGTTTTCTGGCTGCTTTTTCCTGCCAAGAATTTGACTGGTTGATGCTCATTATGACCTGTGGGGTGCCTAATTGAATAATCCTGTTGTTGATTCTTGGTGCTGGGTGGGTGAAATCGGTGCTTGCTGGGGCGACGAGTGCCATATGTAGCGTCGGGTCAGAAATCGATTAGGAAACAGGCGACATATTACCACAGAAAGGCGTGCGGTATCCTCCGAACAATATTACTAAATTGCGAGAAAGGCACGCGAGCCGATAGGATACCTCGGCTGGAAGTGGGGTGGTGATGCGGGGGTCGTCGTATCGAAGAAAAGATTGATATCTGAAGCACTTGAGCACGGACGGCCTAAAGATTATGTATATGTCGTCAGCGCGCTTTTGAATCTCATTAGCTCGCCTAAGTCGGTAATCAAAGTCTCCTCACCATCTCGGCTATACTTAGAAAGTATCCGAAGCTGGGCGTACATAATCAATTGATTCTAAAAGGCGTGTCTCGCCCGATTAATATGCAATTATGACTTTCATTTGGGTATAGTGGATTGATTATATTACTCTAGCGTATCTCAACAGCGTTTTATTCATCAGATCAGGTGCCCTTTGAACTATAGTCTACTCTAAAGTAGCGTTCCAAGTGGATAGAAAAGCACCGACTATTGAAAGCTGGGAAAAAGATGTAAAAAATATATATATATATATTCAACTAGCCAGATATGCAAGGACAACGGAAATTGAGCCTGCAAGAATGGATGTTAGCTAATAAAAGCATGAACAACCACCCGGCCCCAGGTCTAGACGACGGGAAGTCATATGGTAATCACGCCAGTGCTCATAAGTTCCATCAGGAACCAAGCCCAGTCGCTGCAGTCGAAAAATCAGGTATGATGACCAGCACTGACAGCTCTGTGCCGGGACAGCAAGGGCTTCCCGCTGAACAGTAGCAAATTCAGAAGCGGGAATTCGGGCTAGAAAATCCATGGTTTCTATACCCCAGCTGTCAAATCGTTTGTCAGGCTCTTGTAAATAGCGATATCCACCATCTTCAGTGGCAGAGTGAAAATAAGTGCATCGCTCACTGCCGGGGTTGTGCAGTAGGATTATCCAGTGGACGGGCCATTCGGGATAATCTATATCTGGATAGCAGACTGCAAGGTAAACATCATAGTGGGACCGGTCAACGTATGCCATTTTTAGAGAGTAGTGCTGATTGTGATTAGCAGGAATGTAAATGGAATAGTTTGGATAAATGGAATAAATAGACTTAGGTCATATGTTAGTTGATGGTTGTGTGATGATGAGATTGGACTTGAGGAAGGATTTGCGCCTTCTTATAGAAATTCTCGAAGACTCGAAAGAAACTCTCGAAGACTTGAACTTGCAGTCTCTAAGCCTGGTTGAAACATGTCCTTTGTTAGTTGAACAATAGGCCTCAGACGGACCATTGAACTATTGACGGTTTTATCTTTGTCTGTAATCTATGTATATCATAGACAATGCCCGAGGATGTCAAAGTAAAGAGTGAAGCAAAGAACAAAATCCACTGGTATATTGAGAAACAAAGCATTCAATCCATTCCATTGAGCTCTTCGGTACATCATTGGACTCGAATTGTAGGATTTAGCGCTTTATAAAGAAGAAGGCGAAGATGAAATTGCGACACCTGATGAAAGAACCGAAGAAACCCGTTCTCCACATATTTACTAGGGTGTCTATATTATTTTTGTGACATCTGACCTATAGTATGTCTTGAAGTACCTAGGGTGCCTGTTTACTGGAAGCTGCAGTGCTTTATTCATGTACATCAAAAAGCTTATCTTCGTGGAATGAGAGTATTGGTGCGCAAGTACTGGGCTCCTATTGGGCAGCAATCGTCCATATTAGAATATGATATCGCATAGACAGATACGGAGAGATATGCTAAGAGTGAGATTTATATCGTAGAACAACATTTTTTCATTCTCGAGTACGCCTACTTTGCTACTGTATAACTGTTGCATTTGCAATGGAGGTCCGATCATGTAGCGGATTTGGGGTCAAAGTGCGGCGCGAAACACCTGCAAGAGATTTGCCCGATAAACTTGCCAAATCCCAGGAAAATAGATTCATTAGAACTGTGTCAGTTATTTGATTTGATTTGATGGCAGGGCAAAAGGGCACTAAGCTAGCGACGTGTCCAAGTGGGGAATGATCAGCCACTGATCAACTAGAGATGATCGACCCCAACACGGGATCAACTGATTTTCCCCATCTTCCGCCCTTAGCGTTTGGAGTCACAGCCTTGTGTTTTTTTACTGAAATCTTCCAACCATGCCTTGAAGGTTTATGTCTTTACCTCACGCGCGCTCCCGAGTCGTCCCTGATGGAGATTCGCCCCGTGAGCGCGCCGACGTCCGGATCGTCCGAGTCGCCTGAGTCCCACCCCCCACCACCGCCCGCCCCGCCCCGTAAACGAGTACGTCGTTGGCACCATCGAGGGTTCACAGGATGCTCGACCTGTCGCCGTCGTCATGTTCGCTGTGATGAGACCTCCCCATCTTGCAAAAATTGTACGAGGCTGGGACACGAGTGTGATGGGACACAGGGGACAATGACCTTTAAGGTCTATGGCCCCACACATAACCCAGAACAACCGCTATCGAAAACCAAGAAGCGGAAGAAGAGGGACTCAAATGCGGAGTTGATACCGGGAACAGGAACACTTGTTATGAGGAAGAAAGTGGAGGAGCCTTGGGAAGCTGTGGTGGTTTCCCCAACTACTCTACCCCAGCAGCCGATCAAGTTCTGCTTCCACGAACCAAAGCCCACGAATGTGCCTGCTTGTGTACAAACCACCGATGATCGCTATTTTACCCATTTCATCGATCAAGTCTCGACCCTCCTTATTATTTACGATAATTCAATCAATACAAATCCGTATCGCAAGCACTTTCCCGATTTCGCACGCTCGTCCCCTTCCATGGTGGGTGCTATGGAGGCATTGGGCGCGTTGCATTTGGCCAATACCTCTGTTGGGCCACAGCGCATTTCACATTTCCAGCAGGCGATGAGTAAATACGGTGAAGTGGTACAACTGTTTCGAGGGCGATACGCTCGCCCAAGTCAACAATTGGGAATGACCGATTTCGCAACATGTTTACTACTTTGTCTTTTCGAGGTTTGTCGACTACCCAGGAAACTGTAGGCTATTTATTAACAGAGCATAGATGATGGACTCCCAGAATCACAACTGGGCTGTGCATCTTAAGGGTGCCCGTGAGATCTACAACCTTCTTTTCTATCCCCACACTGGCGGTACCTCCACTCGCGAAGTACAGAGAGTCGCCGAGTGCAATCATCCTCTCCGATCATTCCTTGTGTCTTTACTTTCCTACCTAGATGTGGCTGGTGCATGTGCTACCCCCGGTGGCACAGTCGTCGAAGGGAATTATTGGAAGACCCTCGGAGGCGGGTGGGAGTACAACCTAGGGACACCTAGCTTATCTTCACCCGACATGCCCGACAACCCGCGCTTAATCGAATTGCGGAACGCATGGTCAGGAATGATGGAAGTTCAGACAGCGATTAGTACTTTTGCCCGTGATAAATTATGGATGCCCCCGGACCAGCAAGACCTGGTTTACAAAGATATCTTCAACCGCTTGGTGGTATGGCGGGCCAGCACGCCGATCAGCCTCCAGCTCCTAGGCGACATGGGACTTGACGACGAAAGTCTTGACCAGTTTCCTTTCCCTGATATGCTGGAGTACGTCGGATGCGTCGAGGCTTACGAGAAAGCGACCTTTGTGCATCTACATCAGGTTGCCGGTGCGGGCCGAGTGCGCTGGATCACCGACCGAACATACCTGGATATGCTCATCACTCGGATTCTGACCCTGATTCGCAAACTATCTAAGGGTGTCGGCCAATTAGCCGTTCTATGGCCTCTCTTCATCGCTGGACAGGAAACTCGCAATGAATCTGAACAGCAGTACGTTCGCCAGACAATGGAGGAGCTGAAGCGCTTTGGCTTTAAGAATGTCGATAAGGGCCTTGAACTCCTCGAAGGAGTTTGGTTCAAACGACGGACTTTCCCTGACGGCTGGGTTGAGACCTTGGATGAAATCCAGTCGAATATTCTCTTACCTTGACATGAGCTCCTTTCACAGCTCAAACATACACTTTGCATTAACCATAGAACATGGAGAGGAACACATGCATGTTCGGTCATTCCCAACTACGATAGCTTCTGCATATATACCAATTTACGAATGTGATGATTTGATAATTTTTTCCTTCTCTCTTCTCTCTTTTCATCAGTCTATCTCAATCTCATATAATTATTGCACGGTCCCCTCAAAGCTCACGCGGTTCTTCAGTGGGGCCAGTAATAACCGGTTTTTGGTGAGCTTCACATCTGCACGAATCAACGCGTTCTGACTTGCTTTCCCTAAGAAAATATTTTACTTAATCATGGAACCTTTCTCAGGCCAACCAAAAGTTGGCATTTGGATCCTTCGATCTCCTCTTATCCACTTTCGGTTTGCACCAGGCTTAACGCGGTTGGAGCTTTCAAATTTTCAAGAAAAAGCATCGCTTCATCTCAACTTTTGTACGGACTAGAAAGCTCCGGATTGTTAAGAAAATACGAATTTTGTTTTGCTCTCATCTCTTCGTTCGCGACTCTTTTTGTTCCCAACATTGACCATTTTTTAGCTTACGTGAAGTCAATTCTCATTTCAAAATCACCTTTACTTTGATAAACAAGCTCAGACGCAGTAAGAAAGAGCTGCGAGTGATATCTCCTACCTGAGCTTTTCCAAGATAGGCTACTGCAGTGGACTCCCTAATCTTCCCGCGGTGGGGTTGGCGGTTCCTGACCGGGGAAGCGAAACGGAGCTACCATACGGGTATTCGGGGCCGAAGTTCATTGGGGAAAATTTCCTCTTCTACCTTTGTTGATCTGCAACACAGGGATAACCTTGCAACCAGCATTGTCCCGAATTTCAGCCTTGCGAGTTGTTCCTTTCTAAGTTGCGTCATCGGAAAACTCATCAATTGCGGATATGGCGCAAGAGGACCTCCTGGTTGACGGTCGCGAAGACCTGCATGACGGTGGTGAGGTCGATCTGAATCAAAATGGAGCCAAGGATGATGCCGCTTTGCTGGTATGTTACTATTATATATGATTCTGCATTTATCTTATATTGGGGCAGCAAACTAACTCACGTGGCAGCAAACCATGGGATATAAGCCGGTAGGGATCAAGTCTATCTGATATATGGTAGTATGATCGGCAACTAATAAAGCTGTTTCAAATCAGGTGCTTCACCGGACTTACACGCTTTTCGAGAACTTTTCGACCAGCTTCGGTGGGTACTAGGCGGATCTCTAAGCAGAGTTTTACTGATTTTGATAGCTGCGCTTTACTTCGTCGGTGGTGTGCGCGTCACCTATAGTACTGGTATAGCGGCAGGTGGAAACCTAGCCTATTGGACCAGTTACTTGGTCACTATGGTATTCACTTATATCACGGCGGCTGTCATCGCCGAAGTTTGCTCCGCTTCTCCCTCCGCGGGCTCTATCTATCTATGGGCCGCTGAAGCTGGTGGTCCTCGGTATGGTCGTTTCCTGGGATTCATTGTCGCATGGTGGAGTACCACCGCATGGACTACCTTCTGCGCCAGTAATACGCAAGCTGCGGCGAATTATATGCTTTCTGTACGTCCATGCGATGACCATTCAGATGCCGGTATTGACAAGTTTAGGAACTCACCGTGTTTAACGTCGACTTCCCCAAGGATACTGACAGTGTCAAATTCCGCGCCGTTCAGTGGATTTGTACCGAAGTTCTGCTTGCATTGGCTGCCCTCTTGAATTTCTTGCCTCGTAAGCTCGGCTCATTTCGGTATTATCTATATTGTACTGACGCGCATCAGCTCGCTATTTCAAGTATGTGTTTTGGGTGTCCTCTGGGTTTGTGATGCTGGACTTCTTCCTCAATCTCATCTGGTTGCCCATTGGCGCTGCCAACACTTGGGGCTTCCGCTCGACACACGAGGCTTTCATGACAACCTACAACGGAACCGGTGCTCCGGCTGGTTGGAACTGGTGTCTTTCGTACCTGGCTACGGCCGGTATCTTGATTGGCTTCGATGCTTCTGGTCACGTCGCGGAAGAGACAAAGAATGCCTCAGTCACTGCAGCTCGTGGTATCTTCTGGAGCACCGTCGTTAGTGGTATTGGTGGCTTGGCTACCATTATTCTGTTCTTGTTCTGTGCTGTGAGTACTAACGCCGTGTAACATATAACACGAGCTTTGCTAATCCTTCTAGCCTACCGCCGATGTCCTTATGGACTTTGGTTCCCCACAGCCTTTTGTGCCACTGTACGCAGTTGTCTTAGGCCAAGGTGGTCACGTTTTCATGAACGTTGTCTGCATTATTGCGCTTTGGCTGGTAAGATCTCAGAGCCCACGGTTGTCTTTTAACTCTGACAAAATTTCAGAACACCGCTATTGCTATCATTGCCGCCTCTCGCCTCGTCTTCGCCGTTGCCCGCGATGGTGTCCTCCCATTCTCGGGCTGGGTTTCCAAAATCCATGACGGTCAACCGCGTAACGCTGTTATCGTAGTCTGGGGCGTCGGAGCTCTTATCAGCTGCACAATCCTGCCCTCCAACGTGGCTTTCACCTCTCTTGTATCCGCAGCCGGTGTTCCCAGTGCCGCCGCCTACGGTCTCATCTGCCTAGGCCGACTCCTCTGCACCCCTAAGCGCTTCCCCAAGCCGCAGTGGAGTCTCGGTCGCTGGAGCAAGCCCTTCCAGTTTATCGGCGTCTTCTGGAACGGATGGGTTGTGGCTATCTTGTTCTCGCCATATGAGTGGCCCGTCACCGGGGCCACCTTGAACTGTTCGTATCCCCCAAACTCGCGATTACATGTGACTAAATTATTCTCTAGACGCGCCCATAATCATGGCAGCTGTCACCATCTTCGCCTTGATCTGCTACTTCGTCATGCCAGAAAGCGCCTGGCTCCCGAACGAACGGATCACGCACTTCATCGACTCGAAAGGTGCCACCGAAACAGTCGAGGAGGTCAGCTCCTCGACCCAGGATGAAAGAAATACCGACCGGACGTGATAATCAATATCACCCGGTCCACCCTTCGTCTATGCCTTCAAAGCTTTCGGCGCGTGTTTTAGTTTCCTCGCCACGCCGTGACAAATTTCTTGGCTTATCGTCTTAATTGACAACATCGTTGCAGTTTGCCATTTTTTGATCATCGATCATTCTTCAGAGGTGGGGAACCCCATTCTCTGAGGGCATTGCAGCACGATTGACGGGTGTTCGGGGCTTTTTTTGAAGCCTCGTTCTGAGACCTTACCGTTAGAACTTGATCTGGATAATACCAGCGAAAGGACATTATCTTAGCTAGAATCAGACTGTGATCCCTGCTTTTACTAGTTTCTCAATACAAATTGGACTCTTTTGTTGGACTGGTTTTACATTCACATCGTCATTGAAGCGTAATGACTACGGCGTATCATCGTACGACTAGCCAGCCCTCTACTATAAGGGTACTACATTTTGACCGGCTGGCCAATCCTTAGAAAGTCGGAATTTCCCTTTAGTCTAGTGTAGTACCTATCTCAATAGGTAAGAGGCTGGGATTCTTTAACAAATTGCAACCAGGAATGCGGGCAATGCGGGGAAACCACGGAATTGACGCCGACTCTATTGACTTACCGAACCCCCTCACCTTTAAAACCTTTAAAACCACCTCAAACTTCCAAATCATCTACTCATATCAAACAATCATGTCTGCCCAAAGCTCAAGACTCCAAGGGAAAGTCGCCATCGTCACTGGTAAGCAATCTACACCTTTCCCCCTGTTAATCTATAATTAACATGCTAATATCCCATCTACTGTATAGGAGCAGGATCCGGATTCGGTGCCGCAATCGCCCGCCGCTTCGGCGAAGAAGGAGCAAAGGTCATCGTCGCCGATATCAACACAGAAGGAGGCGAGAAAGTCGCCGCGCTGAATCCCTCCGACCTCCTCTTTCAACACGTCGACGTTACACAAGCGGATAGCTGGAAGGCGGTTGTTGAGCTTGCGTTCTCCAAATTCGGACGATTGGATATCCTGGTGAATAACGCGGGGACTACCTACCGGAATAAGGTACGATCGGGATATGTATACTTGGATGCGTAACCGTTCAAGCTAATAACCTTTCGCAGCCCACGACCGAAGTAACCGAAGACGAATGGGAACGTGTTTTCAAGGTTAATGTGAAGAGCATCTACTTGGCTGGAGTGATTGTTCTTCCTCGTTTGATCGAACAGGGACAGGGAGGTTCGATGATTAATATCTCTTCTACGGGGGCGAGTCGTCCGCGGCCTGGGTTGGTTTGGTACAATGCTTCAAAGGGAGCTGTTACAAATGTGAGTTACAGTCAAGCTGACTAGATGTTATCATACGCTGATCTTTAAAGGCTACGAAGGGTCTTGCGGCGGAATATGGTCCGCATAATATCCGGGTGAATAGTGTTGCGCCTTTACTTTCTGGGACTGGACTTTTCTCTATGTTTACTGGTATGGAGGATACTCCTGAGAATAGGGAGAAGTTTATTGGAAATGTACCACTTGGTCGACTTACCGAGGCGGATGATATTGCCAATATGTGTTTGTATTTGGCTAGTGATGAGGGGAGCTTCATCAATGGTACTGAGATGGTTGTTGATGGTGGAAAATGTATTTGAATATTCGAATGCATCTCCTTGCTTTATATCATTCCTGTATACTGGAATGCCGCTGTCACACCTATTTAGGCAGAGTAAGCTAGTTCCGAATCCTGCAATGGTTGAGTGGGGAAATGATGAGCCCCCACTATAAGAGCCCTTGTTTAGCTTCAATGGTCCATTTAACACCTCTGTCATAGAGTCTTTCAAATCGTGATAAGCCACATGACCTTGAGTGCTGTAGCGGCTCGGTCAATGGGGAAACCTCTACTAGTGCGGCAAATGATACACAAGCAGCGTCAATAACGGAGACTCAAGTGCCATAACGATGCCCTGGTCTCATACGAGCCTGATATCGACGAAATCTTGAGCGAAAGCTTCATTTGCCATACTACACGCACCGCACCAAGTGTCATCATCAATGATCCACGATTCTCTTGGTGGTATTCTCAGACAGCGGTGGATAAATGGTTCGTTCGGGATATGGATGGAGTTTGAAAGGGGAAGAACGACTTCTGGAAATCCTAGGAGATCATCCAAAATGGTAGAGTTCCATTAGACCCTTACTTTTTATTATCAAGATTGAGTTCACTTCAAGGGTGTTTTAGAGAAGCCATTAGGATTCTTATTTGTCGAAGTAAGCCATAGAAATCTACAGAAACACATTGATTAGCACCATGCTTCAGCCGTCCTCGAAATCGGCTTGACCAAAGTACACATGATCACTCCTTTTTGGCCCCACTGCGAAGGCCTTAGCGCAAATTAGTCACTGAGCGAGCTGAATTCAGTTGAGGGGCGCTGTAATATGCACGTTGTCTGATACCGTAATTTACTTCGTTGGAAGTTATTATTAGCGAAATAATTCCATAGTATTCCATGGAAACAGTTAGCATGCGGATTTCAGCCCATCGTATTCAACGAAGGATATATTTGACTGCTGCCCAACGATGTCCAGGATATATCCAATACCCGAAGGGGCGTAGTTCATTGTGACTATAGCTCAATGGGACCCCACTTAGCTGAGCTCTGTAGATCAAGTCACCTTCCATTCAATACTCTTCTCACAAGCTAGCTCTGGTGACGCTAGGAGTGGACCGCTCCGGCCTGAGTATTACTCACTTTTACTTGGTTATTACAGCACTTAGAGTGATCACTAATACTTTAGAATTTATTCTGCAACCAAGTCCACTTATTAAGATATTGTCTGATCCCTCCGCTGTACGTTGACAAGGGCGATGAGTGGTAAATCACCCGGGAAGTCTTGGTTTAAACAGGTGAAACGGGCCTTGAAGAAGGATTTGACGAAAGGAAATGAGCCGAACAACAATGTTTCTGTGAACAAATCTGGTATGAGAAAAAAAACACCTAGTCTTGTCACTATTGACGTTTATAGGACATGTCACCCTTCACTCTGACATCGTCTCGGAGTCGATTTCTGCGGCTCCAATCACCAAACAGTCGAATAGTACCACAAAATTCTCGGGAGACAACAATGGGGGGTTTCAGCTGGGGGCCAATAATGGGACGATTAGGGATATCGTCTTCAGCAACAAGGCAGACGACAACTGTTTGAAGGACCTGCGCTTGACTGATCCCCGCGATGACAGAAAACGAATCACGGTCACGAAGGGCGGCCTGCTGGAGGGCTCCTCCAAATGGATCCTCGACCACCCTGACTTCCGACGCTGGCGCGATGACGATCAGAGCCGACTGCTTTGGATAAAGGGTGACCCGGGCAAGGGAAAGACGATGTTGCTGATTGGCATCATCGACGAATTGGAGCGACAGGCCGTCCAACCCAGGCTGGCGGGACAATCGACTTTTCACGCCACTGTCCTCACATACTTCTTCTGTCAGGGCACCGATTCGAACCTTAATAACGCGACCGCAGTGCTGAGAGGTCTGATATTCCTCCTCGCAATCCAACAGCCGTTGCTCGCCTCGCATCTGCGTAAAGAATACGAACACTCTGGCAATAAGCTTTTTGAGGGTGGCAATACGTTCTTCGCCCTGTCAAGGGTCCTTAGTGGAATGCTACAAGACCCTACCCTAGAGAGGACATATATCATTATCGACGCACTCGACGAGTGCGAGACTGGCCTGCAGCAGCTTTTGAACCTTTTTGTCGAAAATACGTCTGCTTCCCGGGTCAAGTGGATTGTCTCTAGCCGCAATAGTCCCGAAGTCGAGCTGGAGCTTCATGACTCGCACATAAAGCTGAGCCTCGAGTTTAAAGCTAACGCAGAGCATGTATCACGTGCTGTTGGCGTTTATATTGACGAAAAGGTGTTACAACTGAAGTCAATACGGGATAACGATGTACGTCAGCAAGTAAAAAACATCCTACGTCAGAAAGCCGGTGGCACATTCCTCTGGGCGGCCCTCGTGATCAAAGAGCTTGAACAAGCTAAGCCTTGGGATGTGCTGCCTGTGCTCGAGGAGGTACCAACGGGATTAGAAGAGCTGTATGCCCGAATGGTGGAGAAGATCCAACAGCTAAAGCGGGATAACCCGGTATACTGTCGACTCATGCTTTCGGCGGCTATACTAGCAAATCGTCCACTCCATTTACTTGAACTGGCTGTCCTATCCAGGCTACCGAAAGACATTTCAAGCAACTCCGAGACTGTTCGAGAATTTTTGATCATGTGCGGCTCATTCCTCATTATACAAGATGACCGAGTCTACATTATTCACCAGTCGGCCAAGAACTACTTGAGCGATAAGGCAACCGCCATAATCTTTCCCTCCGGTCGACCAGAGGCCCACCACAATATGTTTCTCCGCTCAATGCAAGCTATGTCAGTGACACTCAAGCGGGACGTGTACGGCCTGCGCCATCCCGGGTTCTTGATCGACGATCTCAGGATACCCGTTCTAGATCCGTTAGCGTCTATACGGTACTCTTGCATCCACTGGGTTGACCACCTGATTAAGTACTGTCATGGCAACAACGCAATAGAAGAGCTCCAGGAAAGTGGCCTTATCGCCCGTTTTTTCTGTCAGGACTACCTGCATTGGCTCGAGGCTCTGAGTCTGTCAAGGAGCTTATTCGAGGGGATAGCGTCGTTGTTGAAACTGGAAAGCTTTCTGAAGGTATTATTTCATATCCTGAATGACGAAATTATTCTAACAATCTCCTTTAGACAAGAATAGAGAATTCATGTTTAGTTAGTAGAGTCAACGACGCATACCGATTCATTCTTCAATTTAGAACAGGGATTGAGAATTACCCACTTCAATCATATAATTCTGCACTGGTTTTCAGCCCCACCAGTAGCATGATCAGGATTGAATTTGAAAAAGAAATGCCGCTTTGGTTAGCTCGAAAACCAATCATGGAAGAGAATTGGAATGCATGCCTGCAGACCCTCGAGGGTCATACCAGAAATGTCAACTCGGTTCTTTTCTCCCATGATTCTCAGCTTCTTGCCTCAGCTTCAGACGATAAAACCGTCAAGGTATGGGATGCTAGCAGCGGGCAATGCTTACAGACCCTCGAGGGTCATACCAGCAATGTCAACTCGATTACCTTCTCCCATGATTCTCAGCTTCTTGCTTCAGCTTCATACGATAAAACCGTCAAGGTGTGGGATGCTAGCAGCGGGCAATGCTTACAGACCCTCGAGGGTCATACCAGCAGTGTCAACTCGGTTACCTTCTCCCATGACTCTCAGCTTCTTGCTTCAGCTTCATACGATAAAACCGTCAAGGTGTGGGATGCTAGCAGCGGGCAATGCTTACAGACCCTCGAGGGTCATACCAGCAATGTCAACTCGGTTACCTTCTCCCATGACTCTCAGCTTCTTGCCTCAGCTTCAGACGATGAAACCGTCAAGGTATGGGATGCTAGCAGCGGGCAATGCTTACGGACCCTCGAGGGTCATACCGACAATGTCAACTCGGTTACCTTCTCTCATGACTCTCAGCTTCTTGCCTCAGCTTCAGGGGACGAAACCGTCAAGGTGTGGGATGCTAGCAGCGGACAATGCCTACAGACTATTGTTTTTAACCAAGTCGCCACAATAAAATCATTCGATACTCACACTGGATCTATTGAACTTGATATTGGTACCACTCGCCTTTCCTCTGATTCAAATAGCACGCCTACCATCCCCAATCCTCAATACCCGCAATTCCAAGGATTGGGCATCAATTCCGATAGAACCTGGATCACTTGGAACTCGGAAAATCTACTGTGGTTGCCACCCGAATACCGACCAGTGGCTTATACCGTGTCACTTTCAAAAGTGACTTTTGGCTGTAGTTCGGGACGGGTGTTTTTTTTCAACTTCAATGCCAACATTCCATCATATTTCTGTGCCGGGTCTTAACCTTAGATAGATGAATCTCACGCGATATCATGTTTTGCTCTTTGAAGTCTCAGTGTAATTTATACATATTGCAAATAGAGGGCCAGAAGAACCACCAAACAAACACGATAATATCTGGCGGTGCTATCCACATGTTTCCTATTTGAATAGGTTTCCACTATAACAGTCGTGCCACTCCAGGCAGGCACCCTCGTCACAAAAATGGATAAAGCAAAATATGTTGGCAAAATAGAGAACTATTATTTGCGATACGCCGATACACTCTTGATTTACAGAAATTTTTATGGTAGGTAATATTACGCAGCAAGTCACAGTACCATACGGGTTGCATCTTACAGTGTTCTTCAATTAAATGCTGCCACTCAAAGTTTGATCTACGCTAAGACCTTGGCGGTGGGGGCCAGAAGACAGTTCTTAAGTATGTAGTAAGTTTTTGTATAACCCAGCTTTAACTAGAACCTCCGTGTCTCCTCAGCTGGCTGGTTCTCAACTGCCTTCTCAATCTTCTCCAACACCTCCGGAGTCAACTTATCCGCAACCGCCAAAGCACGAATATTATCAAGCACTTGCTCCGGTCGCGAAGCACCAGTAATCATAGAAGAGATATTAGGGTTCTTCAAAATCCACGCCAAAGAAAGCTGAGCAGTTGTAATACCCAACTCCTCGGCGATAGGCTTCAAAGCAGCCGTCTGTTCCAACTGCCTAGTCCACGCATCATTCCCAACAGTCTTGCGCCAACCCTTCACATATCCATCCTCAGACTCCGCCATTCTTGATCCCGCCGGTGGTTCTGCAGCCCCATTGTACTTGCCCGTCAAAACACCACCCTTCAGCGGCGAGAAGATTGTCAGACCGAGTCCATGTGCCTCGTACAACCAGCGGTACTCCTTCTCCACGCGCTCGCGAACAAGCAGGTTATACTGTGGCTGCTCGACGACAGGCCCCACGAGACCCAGTCTATCGGCGATGCGCCAGGCATCCGAGATCTCGCTGGCGGACCACTCCGACGTACCCCAGTAGAAGGCCTTGCCGTTATCAATGAGGTAGTTGAAGCCCCGGACCACTTCTTCCATTGGTGTGTCACGGTCTGGGCGGTGGGCGTAGACAATATCCACATATGGAAGGTCCAGTCGCTTGAGAGACTGGTTCATACCCTCGATAATGTGCTTTCTTGAGAGGCCGTTGTTATTGAGTGGTTTGTCGGGATTGGCGCTATTAGCTTTACCCCAGTAGATCTAATAAGAGTTAGAATCGAGCCGAGTTGAGTCAAGTTAATCTTTATGATACGGACCTTGGTAGAGATCACCAGGTCATTCTGCTTCCATCCAAATTTCTTAATTGCTTCTCCGAGCACAATCTCCGATTGTCCACCTGAGTAGACCTCGGCAGTATCGAAGAAGTTGATGCCGGCATCATATGCAGTCTTCATGCACTCAAACGCGGTTTCTGTTGGCTTAGCAGTGTAAAGATGTAATTGGATAGTATTACTCACCATTTCCAACATGACCACCGTAGGTGAGCCAGCTACCAAGTGAGATGACAGAAACCTTCAGCCCTGTCCGGCCGAGATGACGATACTGCATTTCAGGAAGAGAAGACATTTTGAGCAATGGAGACAAAGACTTAACCTTGCAAGTTGCGGGGTTTCGGTCTCTTAAGTCCATATCCGCACGGACCTCAGCGGTTAATGCCGTTTCCCCCATTGGGACGCCGACGACGACATCGCGATTCTCCACAACGATGAATCAATTTCCGGTATTGATTCAACTGTCGTCATCGTTAGAAATTGAACTTATAGTCATCTGTATTCTAAGATGTAAATCTACGGACTATACAGAAGACGTTAATTGAGGATATGCTTAGCTAGAAACTTCTTGCTTCCTCTGTCATCAATTTGGATTTGTAGTTGGCTTCACCGGTATCCCGTGGGGACCCCGTAGGGTGGGTCAGGGGAGGTATCCACGGTTGCCTCCTCCGGCCAGGACCTTCCTAGACAAATCACCTTTGATCATTTTATTGTCTCTTTCTAAATGTCTACGGTGTGATTACCAATCACGCCACAGCTAATGGAGAGGGAGAGATAAGAAGACAAGCGCTGAAGCAAATGGAAGGGATTACCTGAGCATACCTAAACACTTAGACTACCATGATACGGAAAGGCCAAAACTTGCAACTTAAATCAGCACTGGATTTCATCGAAATAAAAGGAATGAAATTGATGAAGTACACCAACGTAATCCAGCGTGAAATACAATACCAGACTTATTAAACATTATACTCTTCAGAAATCCCATGACACTTCCATAAGCTCCAAAAGCCACCCTGCCCTCTACCTATGCACATCCAATAGCCGTCCCACCAGGCTGCCCCGGATAAACAGGAACCTCAGTCGGATCAGCACAGCGACAGTACGAAGTCTCAGTAGGAACATCACGACAAACATCCGCCGTAGCCGTAGCGCAGTACTCATTAATACTAATAGAAGTAGTCATACCAGGTGGACAAGACTGATAAGGCATACAGAAAGTATCGAGCTCCGAACCCCCATCCAACATGGTCATACTATACCATTGATCAGTTGCGCAGGAACAAGAAACCGCTGTACGGGATCAGTAAACATGACGAAAACCTTAGCCATCCACCCTTGAGAACGATACACTTACCACTAACAACAGTCGACGTCCCAGCAAGCATTCCATCATAAAGCGTCGTTGTCGTGTACGGAATAGCTCCGTTCGAACACTCCGTCGTTATCCAGACAGCGTCAAGCGGGAAACAGGTTGATTGCTCCAAACAGTGATCTGGATGCCAGACGGAAGGGAAATAGCCATCTTCGCACGAGATAGGCGGATCCGGCTTGAAGCAATAGGAAACCGATGTACCCATCGTGCAATCGGTTGTGTGCAGGATTGTCGAGCCATCGGTGCAGTAAAGACGTGGAGCTACGGTTATGGCTGGAGGTGCTGTTACTGCGGGGAGGTGGGGATCTTCATCTTCACAGGGGAGAACGGCCATTATGCCGACGCAGAAGAAGCCGCAAGTGCATGCTGGGGGAATTATGCCTGTGTGGGCTGTAATTGCGGGTGCAGTGGCTGTAGCTGTTGGGCGGGTCATTAGAGCCATTGCAGTTGCGCAGAAGAAGAGAGTGATGAACTTTGAAGTTTGATGAGACATTTTTCGACGTATTGTTCGTTGCACACGGTGAAGATAGAGATTGAGATAAGATTGGAAGGTTGTGGAGAGCTTGAAATCTCGGTTTCTTTCGAGATTATCCTCCTTTTAAATAGCAGCTGGATCAATGATGCAGAGATAGATTGTCCGCTCACACGGATCGCGCATCAATCAGAAACATCGTAGCTGTAGCTCTGCATGACGTGTATCAGAAACTGAAGCTAAACATAGATATCATGTAACCCATCAAGCTGGGGAGAAAAGTTCAAGATGTCTGGATGTGATAGACCATCACCGGAAATAGCAAGGCAATAAAGATAGTATTCACCTCTTTAAGTTGAGCTTCACATAATCAGGACTCGAAGTTCTCACATTATCACTTTCTAACGTTATGATTGATAATAGCCTCAGCTACATAATTGGTGCAAGATAAGTTCATTGTAACCCATGCCATTACATGTACGACCCACTCGCACACTCGGTGCAGATAAAGAAGCACGTTGCGACGTTGAACATTCTAGTTCGTTGATGGATGATATCAGCACATGGTTCGAGCTGATCCAGTTACCCTTCAAATGTTGTACAATGGGTTGTACAAAGAAAAAGATGCAGGCCTGGCTTCATTTATACAGCATCGGCTGAGACACCAACTGGGATGGCCTGTGTTTACCTAAGTAGCATAAAACGTGGTAATACTTATTTACGGTGCTCTGCAATGGATCCTAGACATGTATCAGGTCTATTCAAGATAAATTTGGAATCTGGTGTCGTCCGACATTGCCCTGTGTGCCGGGATGAGATAACTGATGTTTGGAATTAAGGGAGATTACAGAATCAGGAGATCATTGCACAGCACCAGGACATATTGGAATTGTAAATGGCAAGAACTTCAATATATCACCGATAAATATCCGTTTCTTGAATATAATATAGTAGAAGAAAGCATGTACACGAATGAAAGTCCTCACAGTCCAGTAAGCCAGCAAGATCGAGGTGGAGTTTCGTCGGTCAGAAACCCACGCCCAGCGTAGACTCGATTTGCCATGCTAGTAACTGTCTCGTCTGTGCAGGTGACCATGGTGGTGTACATGTCTTCGCGCATGTCCTAGCGTGTAATCACTCCCTGAAAGTACAGGAATATTGTCTCTTTCCACATACGAAACAATAGTAGACGTCTCAGTGGCCTCGGTGAAAGCTGTTGAAACGGTGTGTGCAGTGCCTGTGCTGGTGGAATATGGTAATCCGTTCTCATCCATCATAACAATAACCTCCTTTCGCAAATAGATAATCTCCTCGGTGATAGTATCAGTTTCAATCGAAGTAGTGGGGGTCGGGGTCGGACTCGATGTGAAAGTGGAAGTAGTCGCAGCAACCGTGGCAGTGTTCACGGCGCCAACCTTAACATTAGCCCCGAACGAAATTCCAAGCGGTAAAGACGGGATGACGAGACTCTCAACAATATCGGGCAGCCCTGATGCCGTCTTATGAGCTGCCGTCTTATGAGCTGCAGAACTCGTGGGAGTTGTAGAACTCGTCGTCGCAGAAGGAAAAGCATATGCAGGTCCCCACTGAATAGGAACATCACCAGGCAGTCCGTCAGCATGAAGATGAGTATTTTCATGCTGAAGCTGAGCAGGCTCCTCGAAAAAGCATTGTCGCTGATCATCCTCGCTCTGCAAATCGAAGATTTCACAATCGCTCACATATCCTGTTGCACTTGTGCAAGTGTCAACGGCCTGCTGCAGGACACCATCTTCCCAGCCGTACATGAAATCCCCATGATACCCAAACCCAGTGGGATCCCCGTTCGCCAGCGCAAAATATCCATCCACGCCTTTGAACGCGTACGTGTTCCAGATTGTCTCGTAGAATAGTGAGACTAGTTGCGTCTCGTACCCCTCTGGGCACGTTCCCGTCATCACAAGGTCAGGATACGCAACGTGGGATTTGTGGTCTTCCGAGTCGACATCCTTGCCATTCCAGCACGAAGGGAACATGAGTTCCAAGCGGAGACCGTCGATACAATTCTCATCGAGGAAGGTCTTGTTCGGCATGAAATGGCGCGTAAGGGATCCTTCGGGTGTAGTGTCGTAGTTGAGGCAGTTAAATCCCAGAGCCTTTTGACGAAGTGCCTTTTGAGACACCTGATCACCGGACCATGATGACTTGGGCGGGTCGGGAATTGGCCAGGTGAAGTTTCGCTGGAACGGGTCCCCTGCAAGCATCCGGAAATTATCCGGGAAAGCTGTGATATTCTCCCCATATAGAAGGTAGTAACTGGATAGAACTGTCAGCATGGTACCAATGGCTAGACGCTATAACAGACTCACGCCAGCATGCCTCCAACCTCTGGAACCACTTCGGCAGTACCATTCGTATGCATAAAGTATAGTGCAGGAGTCCAGTATGCCGAGAAATCCTGCAGCACACCACAGGACGTGCAGTTCGACTCTAGCAGAGAGTCCATATCCGAACTCATGCCGAAATCTGAGGTTATCAGCAAGCGTACTCAACATTAGAAAGGTGAACTCACTTCCTCCGCCATGAATAGAATGCACATGAGGCGATATTCTCCCCGGGTCGACAATGGGATCCAGCCGAGACAGACCAGTTCTGCCACGGCAGGGGAGACGCCAGAATGCATTTGCAAAGGCTGGAAAGATAGCAAGACAGGCCACCAAGGCGGCCTTGAACTGAATGTCCTGCATCGCGAAAGTTGAGCCGCGTCAAGCGCTCAATAGTTCAAAGGAGTGACTTCTTCAAAGAAGAGAAAAGTTAATGGCTCGCCAGGAGGGAGCACCGAATCAATCGGTATGAGCTGTGATAGTGGAGTAGGTGTCGAAGGTGCAGCTGTCATTGCATAAGTTAGTATCGAAAAGAAAAAGATTCCCTGGGCCCCACGGGCCATTTTGAAGACGCGATACGCTGGGAGGGGTCCGAAGAATGGTATTCCATCTGTCCAGCAATCAAAGGATTCTATTCGAGATGGGGTATCAAAGTGGAGGCTCCCTTCAGCGGGGTGATCCCTTGCTTCCGGCTGACGCCCTTGCTAAGGGTGGGTATATAGGGATAGAATAGAGTAGTTCCGGGCAAAATCCAGCGGCATGTGGCTTACACTGTTTGTTTAAACGCGTTCTCAATGACGTAGACAAACAACACGGTCTTGATCTACATCTCGTTAGTTATAATGATCATCACAGTCAGTGAAGAACCTACTGAAGTGATATATTCAAAGTATCTCCAACGACTCCTTCCAAGGACGAAAAGGATTGATCAAACGAAGGACAAAAGCCGCAGTGACAAGGAGTGAAAAGATATCCTTCAAGGATATCAAGGGAAACGAAAGGACAGAATAAACGACCTGAAAAAGGGACAAGCCACAGTATAAAGGAAATCAAAGTACAGTCCTAGATAACGGATATTGAATGCCTCCTCAAACCCTTCCACAGGGCTTAAATTAGTGGATTCTTAGGCGATTGGGCTCATGTTCAATTGAAATTAAATTTCACGGGTGCGGATCTCGCGCTATACTGCAAATGACTATCATTAGATTTAGTACTTAGAGGTCTGGGTCCGTTGGCTAATTTGGTCAGAGCGAATGAATGACTTCCATTATAAGTTCTGCATGTTCCTGATATTTACTTTTGTTCCGTCTCGGGTTTGGTTTCCCCACGTTGTGAACTCGGATTGGGTACTCGGGCACATGATGAAACGCCCAGGTTAAGTTGCTGGAGTTCGGTTTTTAATTCTAATGATATTATCCCGTCCTCGCTTGAGGTATTTAGGAAATTAAATTAGGTGGGCATTTCGGTGATTGTAGTCTGTAGCATTTAGAGTATAGCCGCCTTTGCATCGGGACTGGATGCATAGTAAAATCTCCAACTGAAAAATGACACTAAGAATAGCCCGGTGGGTTGGAAGGATCACACAACCATCGTTTGATATTCTCGGGATATCGAACTCAAAAATCTGGGTTTCACTCCGATCTAAGAATTGGACTTCTCCGAGCATGACTGAGACTGAAACAATGGTGGAGCCGTAAAGCTTGTTCCCCATTACTGCGCTCGAAGCTATTCAATTTAGGCGTTCTTCTTAGTAATGTTATTTAAATGTTCATGATGTGTGGCTATATATCCGATGTCAGCAGGTAGATAGTAGATTGTACATTTAGATAATTTCTATTTCAAAGTCATAGTACATGTATAGATTCGAAGCAAGGATCAAGCCTTAATCTCAGCCAGAGCCTTCTTCGCTCGGTCAACAGCCTCCCGTGCTCGGTAATCTGTCAGATCTTCAACATCCTTGCCACCGTTACGGACAATGTTCCGCATGAGATCCTCTGTCTCGCGTAGAGATGCGCGTCCCTCTTCGCGGACTTCATCTTCCCAGAATCCTTGGGCGGCAACCCATTTCTTCTGCTGGCGACGCAGAGAGTAGATAAGACCGACTGCACCAAGGGTACATGATTCGTACACAGAGGCGGATGGAATAGAGAGATAAGTAAGAGCAGAGAGGGCGGAGGTGAGGGTCGTAGTGGAGATGCTAAAGAGCACCAGGCTCTGAGCAAGGGCTTGAAGAGAGGGGACGGTAGTAGTGAGGAGCTTGGTGCGCATATCAGGGATCTGAGTTGGCCATGGTGGGGTAGATTGCGCCGAGTCTGAGGTTGAGTCAGGGGAAGGAGTAGAGGCAGGTTTGGTTTCGTCTAGCAGGCCAGCCTGCTGGTACTGGCCCGACGACCAGACTGCCTCCCGCTCTGCGCGGTGTAGAAAGCGCTTCTCGAGAATCTCGGAGGTAATCATGCTCACGTCGTCGACGCGCCAGAAAAGCTTCCACCATGCCAGACCACGCCATCTGGGGCTAGCGAATCCCGCTTCGAGAGAGCTGCGTAGCTCTGAATGGGCCCGCTCAGCCCAAGTAACGACCCCGCGCTCAAGCTCGAACCGGACATTCGCATCAGGGACTCCGATTGCCTGTCCCTCAAGAGCCTTGGCATCCCGGGCGAGCCCGCCCTCATCCGCAGCATCCAATACAGACTCGATTAGAGGAACCAGGGCAGGATTCAATGTACCCTCCTTGGTGACCTGGGAGGTGGATGCAAGCCAATCAATCACGGGCTGCACACCACTGCCAGTCCACCCACGCTCATACTCGATAGCGTTTTTCACAGACTCCCGAATGCGATCCAGAGCTGCTGAGGCGCGCTCAATATCCACAAATGACAGCCGGCTATCACCGGGCCTCTTATTCTCCACGGAGAGTTCGATGGCACCACGCACAGATTCCACCTCCTTCTTTAGGTCTGACTGACCCATAAGAGAGCTGAATGCTAGCAATCCATCCACGCCACTTCCACACACGATACTTCGGTGTACGGGATATCGCACAACGTCATTCCGACCCGGGTGTGATGTTTCAATAGTAACAGTGGGCACGAGGAAAGTGTCGGCATCGAGGGTCGTCCGAGTAGGATTTGACTCCGAGTCAATGGAACTGACAAGTATTTCTAGGTTGCCCTTCTTCAGGATTGATGATCGGACAGCAATTGTAGGAAACAAGTCATTAGGGAGAGACTCCGAAATCTCGCCATATCTGTTGTCCAGCCCATCAGTATACACTCCTAGATTGGTTGATAGGGTATTCTTACCGAATCAACAGTCCTTGAGAAGGATCAGAGTCGTAGGTCTCTAGGGTATCCTCCCAATCCTCGCGTGGACCCAGAGGATCAGCAAGAAGTAATCGAACGAGTTTCCGAGCAGAATCCGCATTGTCGAGACCAAGGACTAGAGCGTAAGGGATCAGCCATTTCCCTTAGCAAAATAGGTAACAACAACTCAATCAAGATCACTCACCCGCAACTCGAATTAAAGGTGCTTCCGATTCCAATCCCCGCAAGGCAAGCTGTAGCCGACTCAGGCTAACCTGCTCAATGGACGCATCCTTCACTCCACTCAGAGCATCATGTAGCTCCTTGAATTGCGGCGGAATGGTGGATATGGCGGTGGAGGTTGTGATAGAACGAGAAGAGGTGGTAATCGAGAGGCGATCATTTTGGCGCGCGGGCGCAATCTTGACAATGCTGGCACGCGTTGAGAGGGTTCGTCGCCATGTTGAACAGGATTGGCAGTAAAAGACACCGGCGCTGTCCAGGGGGCCCGCAATGCTTCTCTGTAGCGAGCTGCGCAATCTGGCAGGCATTTCGGTGTGTGGACAAGGAATGGTCCTCGGCGTGGATGAACGAAGGACTTGGTTTGGAAGTGAGGGCGGGCAATCGGGCTTGGCAGATCCACAGGCATTCCACGGGTCAAAATCTACTCTACTCAATCTACATTGCGATATATTTCGAATTACATGATGGAAATGAATTGGGATAAAATTAGGCCATCATTGCATGATATTCTTTTTCTCGCCTTGAACCCCCCTATGCAGGCATCTAGTCTGGCTATAGACCATTGAGCATGGTGAACTGGAGCCATCCTGCTGACTTTCATCCTTAGATTCACATGTCAAGTCGAGCAATGGGTAGGATCAAGCAGATAGGTAGGGTATCGTGTCGATCATGTCGTGGCAGAAGGGTGTGTGCGCTGGAGGGCAGGAAGAGGAAATGCATAGATCGTGTCATAATATCAATTCAGCCGAATTCACGGCCGTCCTAGGCCTCCCGAGACTGCGTTTCACGCTGACGTTGACGGTTGCGTCCCGCTCCAGCAGACCTAGAAATATGTTAGTACTATCCACACCATCATGGGTCAAAAAACCACCACGGGTTAACTTACATGCTGATTCGTCGAGCGACAGTCGCCAACCCCGTGTCGTTGGCAGCTTCCTGTTCCGCCCGCTCCATAGCTGCGCGGCGGTTTTCCTCGGTGGTCTTGATGACCTCCTCCTGGCTCGGAGGCAGATGCTCGTTTTGCAGATCGACCTTCCGGGCATCCTCGAAGTTATGAATGGCCTGCTTGATACCCTCCGCACCCAGCATAAGCGTACCGGCCGGAAGACGGCCGCCAGCCGCTGTCTTCAATTCGGAAACACTCTCGGACTGTTCACGAAGCACCTGGAAGACACGAGAGATACGACCAATGGCAAGAATCTTGTTCTTGATGGCTCGTCGCTTGAACTCGGTGGACTCGGTATCGATTGGCATAGGAGGCGAAACGACTCCTTCGGCTTCGGGAATGGTTTCGGAGACAGGAGTTTCCTCTTCCTCCTCCTCCAACTCTTCTTTTGAGCAGGTGTTGAGAATTGCGATCAACATATCGGTAATCTTCTCACCAACGAATGGCAAAGACCAGGTGAAAACATCCATAAAGTTGGGCAACCAGTAAGGGTGAGGGGTGCAATTGAACTGGCGGATGTTCATGACGTTGTTCTCGTACTTGAGGACAGCCGCCTTGTTGTTGTAAACATCGAGGTAGTTGGGAGCGCTGAAAATGGTCATCACACTGGGGAACCCGGTTGTTCGTGTCTTTCTGTACATGCGATATCCGGCGTCCTGAGCCTCGTGAGCTCGAATAATGGAAAGCAGGTTGTTCTTCTCCAAGAAAGCGCACGCGGCGGGGTAGGAGAAGAAATAAGAGCAACCGCGAACGCTGTTGTGTATGAAAAAATCGCCTGTCTTTTCTTGACCGAATTCCTCCAGAGGATCGGCCCAAAGGATATCGCACATCAGACCGTGAGTAGGAGGCTCCCGGAAACGATCAATCTGTTGGAGATTAGTGATCGCGATTCCAAAATATGATTCAAGGGACTTACGGCCTTGATATCCTCAAGAGTGTGCAGCTCCGGGCTGAGACCACCGTGGATACAGAGGAACTGCTTGTTCATAACCGCCGCCAGCGGCAGAGAGCAGAACGACTCGATACATGCCTCGTAGATCCGTTCGCTATACTTGTGTTTGCACTCCAGCTTGAAGGTAAAGTAATCCGTTAGATGGCGACATTCGTGGTTTCCGCGCAACAACCAGAGCGAATCCGGATACCAGATCTTCAACGCCCAGAGATACAGCACACACTGTGAACGTTTAGCGTCGCACAACCAAAACCGCTCGCGCAGAAGAAAAACCCACCTCAATACTGAAGTAACCGCGGTCGACATAGTCACCCAAAAACAAATATCTCGTCTCCGAAGGGTCACCGCCAACCTCAAACAGCTTCATCAAATCGTAGTATTGTCCGTGAACGTCACCGCAGACAGTAATCGGAGCATCCATTTCCAACAGGTTAGGCTCCGCGCGCAGGACCTCTGTACCGGCGTGGATAATCCATAGCGCTTGCTCCTCGGTCAAACGACCTTCGCGATAAAAGTGCTGCTTCAGGTAGGCAAGGTTGGGCTTGGATGGATCCTCGGGAGACCAGAACATATCATCGGGAGGCGTGCTCAGGGCTGGCGCTTGGACCTCTATTTCCCATACCAGAGGTCAGTTATCAGATTGCAGGCAGAAGCGACCGCGAAGGTTTGTCAACATACCCTTGACCACCCGTTCGAATGTGGAGACCTGGGAGCCATCCTCCATCTGGTGCAGAGAGAAGTCGATTTCGGGGACCGGTTGCTTCTCCCTCACGGCACGGGCGATATTCCGATCCATTTTGTCTGATTGGGGGGTTTGTGGGAATTCGAAAGATCAGAGTAAGGGGCGGGAGAGGGGGAGGGGAGAGGACCGCGCGGAGATGGTGGCGGGGTGTAGGATTTCGGCGGTCGGGATGGAAGTCCCACAGAGCGCGAGGGAGGTGAAATAGGAAGAGTCTCCCGTATAAGAGAAGGAATCAATGATTATTTGAACAAAGAATCCAATCTGTGGGAAGAGGAAAGGGTCGCGTGTGGGGAAGAAGTGCAGTTGGGAAAAAGAGAAACAAATTGGATAAGCGGGCTGGGCCTAACTAGTCGTCTACTTCAACCCACCCAATATGTATAAGGAAAATACATCAAAATTTTATAGTATAAGTAAGATATAGCTGGATGAACTTGATAATTTGCTTGTCACACGTTCAAATCACTAGCCATAGCAGTAAAGACATCAGCCTCAACCCATTACATATGTATCAACACCTGAGGCAGCGAACTTACCCTGATTCCCGCTACTTATAACCTTGGAACCGGTATCTGCCCCGGATTTAGCAAATAGCAAAACAGGAATGTTTTACTAAGAATATCTAGGTTTATGTACATCAATATTATCAGTATTTCTGTCCAATGTGCAATGCAATGATCCATTTCGCATGGCGTATGTCTGAAGCTAACCCAATCTAGTGCGGTGGATGATAGGGCGCATGTGGCGAATGCAGGTCAGTTTCAACAATTTATGGTTACCGCCCTTGCTAATTCTGTGTTGTATTGTACTCAGATATCCACAAATACGACCTGTACATACTATTCTAGCTGATAGTCTTCCTAGAATAGGGTTTATCATAAATTTGTAATATACTGTTATCAATATCTTGGTATTTTTGATTTTCTGCCAATTTGTGTACTGTATTTCGACCTGCATTGGCCACACACCCTATCATCCACCGTACCCAATCAGTTTTAGGGGCAAATTCCACGATCTGCAGATCAGAATATAGGGGTAGAATTTCACTAAACTCGGAAATCCCTTATACTCGTGATAGCCAAAAAAAAAAAAAAAAAAAACTGGGGAATTGCCGGTAGATGGTCTGTTCAATGGATGGGACAATACTTCCCCCTGCTTCTTCCAGGGTTCGGAGAGAGATAGCATGGAACCTGGAGAAACAGGAAAATCTCGTTTTATCTAGCTACATCCATGAATATGCAGGTACAAGTATCATACGGGCGTAACCAACCTCGGAATCTACCGATGTCCAGGGTTACAATGGTGCCATCATGGTCGAATCAAGGCTCGGGGGTTGCATCTACCTAAGACACCGAGATCTAGGCAACGTCTTCTATACCAGAAATATATTCTTCCATGTCAAAATAAATCGCCCCGATGGTTGCGATTGACTATATACTGGCCTGATCAAGGTTGTTGCATCAAATACGTCAGCTCAGAGGTTTCTTCAACTCAGGCCTAAAATGGTTCCACCCCATCTATACGCATTCTTCCTATCTATGGTCCTCGGAGCCCATGCATTTCTCAGACCATGCATCTACCAAAGCGACAAATGTGGCATTACCTTGATCTCTACCTACGGTACGAGTAACTCTTAAGCTACAAGTGAAAGACTAATAGCACTCAGGATATACCTTGAGCGAACTTATTCTCGCGGTCAACCAAACGCCTTCCATTCCGCCGCTCACCGCAGACCAAATTGCTGAAGTCCTGTTCCACTGTGATGATATCTATGGAAACACCACTGGCAATTCTTTCTGTGTTAATAATTGCCTGGCTTCTGCAAGCCTGACTCGGGATGATGAGTGCCAACTAGCACCAGGAGAATCATGTCCTCCAGGAAACGGCACTACCACGGTTACTGTCACTGTTCCTTCGGCTCCTACTCCTTCGTGTTTTAAAGAATGCAAGTGTCACACCTGGTGCTTTGGGGACACATTCTCGGGGATGAACACGCTTTTCCACCCTGTTCCTACACCGGCATGGATTTGAAGGAGTTGAAGATTGTGATTGATTGATGCACATTTGGGGTTGTGAAAAAAGTATTACGAACTATGAAAATAATGACTCTGTTGCCACAATGCATTTCAGCGTTGGAGCGTTTTTGACCCGCATTTTAGTGTAAGATGCATCCAAAATTTACATTATACATGGATGATCAAACTTAGTCATATGTTGCTCTTCAGACTTATAAGCATCAGGAACAGGAGTCGTACAATCACTCGTTGACTGGACACGATCATCTTAAACGATGAAATGAACCACACTATCAAAATCAGCGACTGGATAACCTTGGTGTCCTTGCCTACTCCAGATCTGCAAGTATGTCGTAAAACATGACTACTGAAAGCAATGAATGAATTCCTCTTTCCCGCGATAAGATTCACGGCATGTCTGCTAAGCGCTACATAAAGAGGGGGTGCCTACTTGATCCAAAATGAAGAAAACCAAATCCAAGTCTGCTCCTTAAACAATGCCCATGACTTATAGAAAAGCCCCAGGTCCATGTTAAAGGTTCCATGCGAAGACTTGTAGGATCCGATACCCTACATGATACATTGGTCGTTGCGGACAGAGGGCTTGGTATCACAGCCAGCGAAGCAGAAGGCGTTTCCGGTAATTCCACCGAGGATATCTGTGCAGTGGAACAGGGTCTGGGAGAGCTGAGTGACTGAGAGTTGGGGGATGGAGACGGTGTCGTTGACGGCGGCGATGAGCTGGGCCGGGGTGTAGGCTAGTATAGTATTCAAGGTCAAAATGGATTGCTTTAACATGACATCTGAAACGTATGCAGAGGTCTTCTTACTGTAAGGAGCAGCAAGCAGGGCGTAACCGCATTTCAATGACTAGTACAGGCAGTTGCCGGCCTGCTGAGCCTGGACTCCAGCAAGGAGCACACCGACAGAGAGGACTAGTTTGCCGAACATTTTGATGGAGCTGATCTCTGAGATTCTTGATCTGACTTTGGTGAGCTTGATCGAAGGATCGAGTATTCGAAGGGTAGACTCGTATTTATATTGTTGATACTGACTATAACTTACGAAGTTTCTCATGTCTAGAATATGTTATTTGGTTTATGAACATACTATCCGTGCCCCCGTGAGGATCTGGGGGATGCTCAGTAAGTGAAACAGCTGTAAACTATGGTTAGTGGCGGGGATCAGGTTTACACGATGCTACCATTAAGATCTAACAGGACCAGCGTAACCCTCTTAGCTTCAGCCCTTTGAATTGTCGCATCCATGGTACGGGGGCAAACAACTGGGGAAGCTTCTCCATGTTCGTCAGATTTCTGCATTCTAAGCTTCAGCCCCTGAATCTACTAGCTCTAGACCAGTCAAAAGGCGATGGAGGGTTTCACAAAACTCGAAGAGAGCTTTGTTGAAGAGAACGGTACGTGCAACAGAGAAGTCCTACATAGTAATTATCCCCCGATAGATCGTAGGTTGTCAAAGTAGTATTACCTATTCCTAATCCGATCGTAAGTTAAGTGTACAACCTGTCTCAAGGCATATGCTTCGAAGTATTCAATTCGGGGTATGGCTGCAAGCACAGATCATCTCATGACCACTCCCTCCAATTCAAGCAAAATAAACAAAAAACGCTTGCTAAATAAATTTTCACCAAATCTTCACAAAATCAAGTAGAGGGTTCAGGTTTTATGTATCTCTCGGTCGAATGATACGGTTTCCTAGCCCAAATCCTCCTTCTATAAACCTCGTCAGCTCAAACTCAACTATCCATCAGATGCAACTTACGCCCTATGGTAGCAATGATTCCGTGGGTTGATGATTTCTTTCCGGAGTTCGGCCAAATAAACAAGAACCTCTTCCTTCGACCAAGGCTTCGGATGCCCATACCTTGTCAAAAGCCACATGCAATAGCCCTCCATTCCTTCTATCCAGTGGTGGAAATTGACTGACCCAGCTTCCTTGAGCTGTTTGTCTCGTGGCCATGGTCCGATCGGCAATTTGTAATCCTTGACATGGAAATCTGTATACCCAGCCTTCTCCATTGATCCCTGCATCGTGTGCATGATTTCAAATCTTCGGCCTGCTGTCTCAGAAGCCATGGTTTGGTTCGGGCCCCAGCTTCGAAGGATACTATCCTCGGCCATGCTGTTATCGTCGCATTCCACGAAGGCGCTCAGTTCGACTTGCTCGATCCATCCACCCGGCGATGAATGACTTAGAGGATATTAGTGGGGATACTTAGCGAAGTGTTAAGCTTGGTAAACTGACTTATAGCATAATTCATATACACGATCTGTCTCTTCGGAAGTGAATGCACAATCAAGTATTCGGAGGTGAATTAAATCAAAGGGTTCGCGCCAAGTCCAATCCTGAAGAATGTCGTCGACTTCCAGAATGCAGTTGGGTGGTATCCAGGTTTCTGGAGGCGGGAAGAGGTCGACGCCACGGACCGTTGCTAGAAAAATTAGAACCTTGTAGTTCATAACAGCTTAAGTGCATTGGATTCTCACTATCTGGAAACATATCGGCCACATCGCTGATGGGGTTAGACGAGGACATCATGGAATTCTTGGAAGGGGGCGAACATACATGGCCCAATTACCTTTCCCGGTTCCAATATCAAGTATATTCTATTTAGGTCAGAATAATGATCATTTCTGGCCTCAAGGTAGATATGTAGGAAACATACCCTCGGGTTCTGAACTGGTGCCTGGAATAAAGGGTTCTTAAGGTGGGAATCAAGGGTCACGAGTACCAAGTGGCTGATATGCAGAGGTTAGAAAATTCAGTTGATAATATCTCTCAACGAAGACATTACCATATTTCATAAGTCTGAAACATTTTGTCATCGGCAGGAACGCTGAAGGGATCAACATCATCTTCTTCAATATATCAAGGTTGACTGTGACTTACTGAACGCCGCTCTCGCGGAGGGTTTGGTATCTGTTTGATTGGTGAGCATACATTCAAGTGTTCAAGTGGTCGTAGATGAGAGTTACCTTCGGCCATTTTCTATTAATCCCTGATAAAAGTTGGATGCAATAGATGTCGTTTCACTATAGTCAAGAAGTTAGCTTTCAAATGTTCCGTCAAGAAGATTCAAGTCCACATACGAATGCCAATCATCTGGGGCATCTGTGTCTTTAGCCAAATATATATTTTCGTCCTATCAGAATAGAGATTATTACTTCGTTGCGACAAAGCTATAGAAAATCGACAAACCGGCGTAATTGTAACGTCCCTCATGTCTCAATGCCGGTGGATGTCGAATCCTGGAAGATCGACAACAAATCAAATAGACTGTGATTCGAATGAAAACCAGTCTAGCCTGTTGGATCCTGCTGGTAAGACAAAAGAGAAAAAAAATTGCTTCATTTGCAGTGGAGTTGCAGAGTCAAACACATGGTCAAGCGGGGCCATGGATATTCCCCACCTGTTGGCTCTGGACAAATGAGAAATGTCACTTGACGGATTTCAAGGTATTAGGAATTATGGGAATTTCAGCCGGATGTGGATTTGAATATTGGCCGGCGTTAGCGATCGAACCAGACTCAAATGATTATTAAGGTAATTGGTTGGGGAAAGTTCTTTGTTTTAGGGTCATGACATAACCGAGACGGCTGATGTACGCACTAAACATGGTTTTGTTGTTTCAGTGGATATTGTCCTTGGAAACGGGTCCGATACTAGAATGAACTCATCTGCACCTGATCTATTCAGGTAAAACAGATCCACCAGACGAGAGAACTAGACCTGAAAAAGGAAGGTTAGACCGTTGAGATCACTTAAAAGCTTCATTGGCTGCAGCAACATCAGCACGGTTTAATAAGATCCGATTTGTGGATAGACAATTAGCGCTCTCTGAGTTGTACAGTACTGTACTGATCTGACATATCAGATAAGCCGGGGGAATCCTTACGATCATCCGGTGCGGTTGTCACTTCTCCGCACCGCTTTCCCCCCCCCCCCCCACCGCTTCCCCTCAACACCATGTATGACTCCTACCGTAAGTTCTCTCCCCTTGACTCGTTTTTGCGTCTCTAACATTACAGGTCCCCACCTGCTTCTCGCACAGGTGCCCCTCACCGTCTCACCGTTCATCAACCTCCCTACCTCGGTTACACTACCCTACACCTACAAGTCTATCACCTCGACACTCCCCCCATCAGTGACAGTCGATCCAAGTAATCTAGATGCCAAAGCCCGCTACGTCGTCTCCCCTAGTGGTGAACATGCTGCACATCCGGACGAGATCCTCGCCTCATGTCAATCCTTGGGACAACATCTGAAGAAGACACAAAGCGACGCCGAAAGTGTGATCAAAGCATGGGAGGAATCCATTAGAGACCGCGATCTTGCTGAGAAGCGCCGCGTCGCGCCAGGCTGGCTGGACCGTGACGAGAAGTTGTTACAGCCTAGACAGGCGACCGGGTCCGGGTCTGAATCTGACTCCAAAGGAAATCCTGAGAGCTTGCTTGATAGCGCTTCGCCTGATGAGGGGTCTTCAAACATACCTTCGATTGTGCCTCGGGATCAGGGGGAGGAGCTTGATAGGGCATTTGGGGGACTGGGTATGAAATGATCTGCATACTTCAGAATCTCCACCCCCTTGCAGCTTGCAGGGCTTCATTTTAAGTTTGCCCAATTCTTCACTTTGTATGAAGTGATTGCGGCCTTGCCTTCCGCCCGGGTCTGAGGTCATTTTTACTGGTGTCATCCGATTCATGGCTTGCTCGCTGGCTTCAAAGATATGTCCTGGATCACTGGTCAGGCTTGGGCCAACCGCAGAGGGTGCTTCAAGGATACCCTTTCTGGATATCAATTAAAGCTATGGACTGTCCCTTGTATAGACAGTTCCAAGCTCAGTATCCTAGATTGCGACGCTCACAACAGCTCTGTCGCTTATAATATAATGATACAACCACGTCAGGATAACAACTTTAGAAATTTGCGTCAAGGGGCATTACAGGTAGCTGCAGAACAAGCTTGCATAAAGAAATTTCAAGGTTCCAATGGTGTCAGGCATCAGTGATACATATTGATTTAGTCCAATGTTTAGCCACAAAGTTGATTTACGATACCTGCAGTCATACTTATTTAGAATTGATTCTATAGCACTGAGCATTAGTGCTGAGCCTGCACTTGAGTAAAAAGAAGCATTGCTGGATTTGCGTTCTTGGCGCAATTGTAGCAAGGTCGTTTGGGAAGCCCCGATATATATAACGTACGTGCACCGTCGATGTCCTGAGAACAGACTCTAATTATATCGAAGATATTGGAGGACATGGATCATCATATATATAGAGGATTGAGCAAAATAAGATAATATTCAAGTGTTTTGTTCAAATGAGCAACTGAATTTCAATTGTTCCATCAGACCAAAACTTGGAAAATGGTAGCTCCATTGAAGCAGCTGTGAACCGCGGAACAAAGCCCCTCCGCCCCAAGCTTCCGCAACTTTTCTTCACCCTCAAAACCACACGCAGCGTTTCTCTACCTTGACCCCTAAGAAACCCTCAAATCCGAAGGAAAGCACTCCAAAATCTCAAAATGGAGCCCCTTGGCACTGCCCCCCAGGCATCATCTTACGTCCCTATCGCAGAGCACCAGTCGCGCACGCCGAGCTCCTTCCATTCTGGACCACCGGTACTGCACTACCACAGCCAGCGATGCAAAGTCGTGATCCTTGAAAGCGACCTTCTCGCCAACCCCGTTCTGAACGCTCTCCGCGGCGAGGATGCGACAGCGAACGGAGATGCACAAGCCGAAGAAGAAAGCAAAGAGGTTACCATTGAGGCCGTGGACACATGGGTGGGATCTGAGTGAGTCTACACAAAATCTCCCAATCGATTTTCCGTGCCCAGCAGCTAGAGCACCTGCATGCAGAGCAGCGCAACTCTCGAGGCTGTTTACTTGGGCAATCGTTAAAAAAGCCACATTTGAAACTTGAAGCTAACGCAACCCAACTCTAGTAAATTCATCCTCTACTCCCCAAGCGCCTCAGCAGGAGTCTCAATTCCCTACCCATCTATCTCCCTACACGCCATCCAGCGTCTGCGCGTCCCAGGCTCCGACTCCCCCGAAGTCCAAGGACTATACATGCAAATCGCAATCCCCACCGCTCCCTCCCAAGACGATGAAGAACAATGCGTCATTCTAACCGTCGTACCATCCAACGATGAGACGCCAGCCGAACACACAGATACACCGCCAGAACTCGATACCTCTGACGAAACAGAATCGCCCACACAACAGCTCTACGATGCTGTCTCCGCCTGCTCGAACCTTCACCCCGACCCTGTGGAACCGGGTGATGAAGATGAGGAGGATGAGGGGAAGTTCCTTACTGCTGAGGAGCACGGACACGCGCTTTACCAGCTTGGGAGGGATGCGATTGACTCTGGTAATGGGGATCTGCCACCTCCTGTGGCTGGGAGTTCGGGATGGATTACGGCGGAGAATATGAATGAGTTCTTTGATGAAGAGGGCAATTGGATTGCGGAGGGTGAGCCTCCTGCTTTCCCGTTGGGTCCTGGGGCTGGGACTGTTCGGGAGCGGGAGAATGGGGTGGAGAATGAAGAGGACGATGAGACGAAGTGGCGACGGACTGATTGAGTTATTGGTTTAGATTGGTTTAGTATTGTGCATCAAACCAGTTTATGGGATTCAACTTATGAGATATCTGAAGCATGAGTGATAGAGATTTCTTTAATTACGACTACCTAGACCGATGGATATCAAAACACGATGCACTGACACATCAAAAATGAAAAAAAAAACAGAAATGCTCCAGGCGAGAAAAAAGGTATAAGGCTTTTGAGCATAAACAACACCGCCAATGATTCCCTAAGTAGGGAAAAAGACAAGAAAAGAAAAGAAAATAAGAGATATAAGTTAAGTAATTACTCCTTCAGAAATCCATCACCATCATACAAGCTTCCTGGTGTACCAATCCCCAGACCCAGCGCCTTCCTAGTCGGAGTTGTCAACCCACGTCTCGCAGAAGAATGACTGGCCATGCGGATAGGAGAATGTCCACTCTTCGAAAGAGATCTGGGAATACTATTATGCAACCGAGTGGGCGAAGTGCTAGTATCCGAAAACACATAACCCGCCATATGAGCCGCAGTAGGTTTAGGAGGTGAACCACTTCGATTAGCATCTTCCCAAATAGTAACACGGTCCTTAACAGTCCCGCTCCGTGCTCGGGAGGTATTAGGTAGTATTGATGGGCCAATAAGACCCAGTGATTGAGAGCCATTGGAATCGCGATTCCGTCGGGGACTTGAATCGGTGTTCGTTCGATATAATGAGTCGGTGGATTTCCGCCAGTCGCTTCCTTGTGTGCCTGTTATGAGCGGGAGACCGGTTGATGGACCGATTCCCATTAGCGGGAGTGGATCCATTGGTTTGGGGGTTGAATTGCTGCGGGCGTTTCGGCCTGGTTGGCTGCGTGGGCCTTTGAGGGGGGTTCGGCGGGGACTGCCATTAAAGTGGTTCTCGTAGGAGTGAGAGGGGCCTTCTTCGGGGATTGCCCAGAAGTTTAGTTTATGCTCAGGAGAGGGGGTGTGTGTGAGGACACCTTCGTCTTCGTCGGGAGGCAAATAAGTGAAACGTTCATGTAGGTCACGATCTTTGCCGAACAGGTCGTTGGATGGTGTTACATCTTGTTTTTTATTTGGGGTGCTCTTGTTGCTTGATGCTGTAGGCTCTTCTGCCAGGGGTCCCAGTGTGCTATGCGCAGACTTGCTTCGTCGGCTGCTTCGCTTGGAAAGAGGGGATGGGGAGGCCGTGGGAGGAGGCAGAGTAGGTAGTGATTTGAAGTTGCCGTTGATTGCACTTTCACGCAGATCCAGTTCCTCCATTGCGTCAAGATCTTCTGGCTCTTCTTCTACCGTGGGGGAGAATGTAGGGCCACCGAATGTCATGGGCGGGTGAATTGAGATCCTTACGCAATTCTGGCGTCTGTGCCCCTTTCGCTGCGAGTTTGAGCCCTTTAGAGCAGATGGTAAAGGCTGACCTCGGAGGGATAGACTAGATCGTTGCATTGGGCTCGGTGGCATTGAGCCAACAGTCTGTCCTGGTGATCCAATGGAGAACAATGTGCCATTAGATCGAGGTGAGCTTCCGTAGAACGGATCAGCCTCATACTCGCCTCCCCAGTAAGCTGGTTGTTGGAATTGGCCGAGGTACGGAACAAAGGACAAGGAAGAGTTGGAATGTCGCCAGTTGATCGTCGGGCCACCTTGATAACTGTTAATCGAGACAGGCGTCCCACTTCGCAAAGATGCATGTCTTTGCGGTCCATTGGATGCTATCGAATCACGCCGTCGCGGGATTGGCACAAAGCTGAATCGATTTTCACTAGAAGAGCTTGGATTTCGAGAGTTGGTCGTCATACTGCGACGGGGAGAAGCAATGGGATCTATAGATGATCGTCTGCGTCCTTCAACGGTAGAGGAGGAGCGGACGGGGAAGTTATGCAGAGGAGGCATGGATGTATTGGCTGCAATGAAGCTCCTGCGGCCGTTTTTCACACCAACATCGTTTGCACTGAAGGGTACAGATGTACCGCCGGATGGGAAGTTTGGCGAAGTGATGTTTGTATCAAGGGATCCTGGACCCTGTCGGCTATCCTCCAGAATTGAGCTATTTGTGGTGTCGAGACTCATGGAAGACAAACGCATAATTGAGTCGTTCCTCAAGTAGCTGAGCCTATCTAGTGGCATGACAGTTGCTGGCGGCGGCGGGATAGGTTTATCAGGTGCCATTCCTGGTGATTGACTGGCGACGCTCACTCCTCGACCCCGTGGCGGCGATTCTTCAAAGATCCTCGGCGGAGGATCGAACATTTCTTGCGAGTTTCGACTCTCCAAGACTGGAAACTGACTCGATCGGTCCTTCTGAGAGGGCAGTGGCCAGGCTGATGATGGTGATACTGGCCGCATTCCCAAATGAAATCCAGGCTCCTCATGAGTCAAATCTGGGGTTTGCCGAGGCGTATGTTCAGCTGGCAATTCAAGAATCCCTTCAACAGCAGAGAGAGGAATATCCTCTCTAGACTGAGAGGTCCTGGGAGGAGTATGATGGATGACCGTCTCAGCCACGGTAGCCATCGAACTCATGCGGCTATGTCTTTGCGAAGACCTTGATAGTCGTTTTGATCGAGACCGCGAAAGTGAATGGCGAAGTGACCGTGCTTTCTCCATCAGTGGAAATGATGAGTCCGATCCGTTCTTCGGTCGCAAGAGTTGTTCTCGTGAGTTTGCCAGACCCCATTCGTTTGGCTTTCCATAAGGGAGGTTGCCATGGGCTCTGAGAGCAAGGTCTTCTTCCCGGGATAGTTCAGTCAACGTGTCCCGGGTATAGCCTATACTGTGAGTCAATCTTCCATGTCTGAGACTCAGCACCCTCAGTGCAAGTCGCTCCTTGCGGACCCTAACCCAGACGACGATAGCAATAGCAGAGCAGACGACGAAGACGGCCGCGCCCGAGGCGGCGATTGCAACCTCCGTACCCAGGCTCAGCATGGCCGCCTCGCTGGCGTATTACCTGGCGATATGATTGAAGCCAGCGCACAGTTTGCTAGGTTCTCTTGATATCGTTCCGTCGCTCATTCGTCGATTGCTCTTGTCTTGATTCGTCCGATTTTTCGTATTTTGATGTTTGGATAACTTGTCAAATGTGATATGGCCAACAGAGCCGTGCAACAACGCGCCTGAGGAGAAACAAAGGGCAATGCCTGGGAGAAAGCGCCATAACTGACATTCCCGCCGGTGCGGTTTGTTATGGCAGCATTGATCATAGCCCAAGAATGTAACGCATCACCAATGGCACCCATTAGGAATGTTGGCGGCCACACTATCGCACCCCTTTTTGCGGGCAGTTATGATGTCCTTTCGCAAATCATATTGCGCCTATAATTTGTCGGAACGTCTGTGCGGCAGGTTTTGAGCTGATTGGAACGAATCTCATAGTAATATTCTCCATACGTGTTCAAGATCAGCATGATGAGGTACCCGGAATGACCAGTCACTAGGCCAATGTCCACTCTTTAGAACATAGACAGCATCTGATCAACTCCAGTGAAAACGTCTCTGGGATCTCTTCGCTGCCTGCGATTATCTACCTCCGTACTTGTCGGTAGTCGATTCAATAGTCAAGGAAGCCGCAAGCCAAACGGATGTTTGAGATATTTCCATAGCTGGATGGTAAGCTCAAAGTGAATAAAATAGCAATGCTTAGTGAACTGTACCTCACTCTGAAAAATCTATTTACTTGCCCAAACTGGTGCTGAAGATGGGATGCGCTGCTGACATCTGGAGGGTAGGCGGTTCCTTGCTTCCCACAACAGGCCGGTGGGTCCGTGTCCACCTAAAGCAATCGGTATCGACTACACTGTACAGTCAATTTCTCTCTGGAATTTTTCGTGGAGGTTTTTTTAAAGCTTGTTTGAAGCTTCTCTAGGCTTTCTTAACTATGAGCCTCTTTGCCGGCTAGGTGCATGGGGTCCATTTCCCACCACCCATCCACGCATACAACTAACTATAGCGACTCGGCAAAGCAGTATATGCTAGGACATATTTGCACATACGAAATCATTGTAGGTAGCCCATATGATCTTTTTCTCCTATATCGGACAGAGCTTATCGTTTTGGACCCTGACCAAGGGGAACAGTCCTTTCAGTGTGACGGAGAAAGGTACCTGTTGGATGCAGCTGAAGAATCCGGCTTTGACTGGCCCTACTCGGACCGTGCTGGAACATCGAGTACTTCAGCTGCAAGGCTAGTCTCTGACGAAGTTGATCAGTCCGACCAGTCATTTCTAAATGATGATCAGCTGACAGCCGAATTTGTCCAAACCGATACTGCTTATCCGTTGAGCGTTCGCGTTCGCGTTCGCGTTCGCGTTCTTCTCATCCGACAAGAAGCGCTCTATGAAGGGAGTTAGAGTGATTTGGAAAACATATTTAAAAAAAGTAACCGATGAGAAAAGCGATATCAGGCTAAATGGAGAGTTGAAGAGAATCCCGAAGAGATCGAATTTCGACTCGATTCCAGCAGCTAAATTACACCAATATTGTTGTCATATAACGCGCCCTTGGAGTGCACAGGCTTGTCAACTTAATACTCCTGACATCTATCTGCCTTGACGAAGCTAGTGTAATGGATAATGTAGAGCTTTCTTGAAGCGTGACTTGGGTGTCAAAATTAACAAATATGATCTCAGTCCTGTAGATCACTGATGCTGGTTTGTCCTATAAGTATCTTGAGCAGAAAATCACCGAAGGATGTTCACAGCGTATCAGCTATCCAAAGATTTTAACATTATTAAACATCAGACAATTGTTGCGCCATTGAGCTCATGGCTGCGCACGCCCCCCCGTGGCGCATCCGCCCTGCGTCCACATGATACCCCTCCACTGCGGTCAGCACCAGTCTAGAGAGTTCCTCCGACATTGACTTGATGGATAGTAAAGCCAATGCCTCACTCTGCAGGGCTGGAAATAGCGTTCTCATCAAAGAGACCGATGAGATAGTCGGCGGCGATGTCAACACTGTCACCAAGCTGCAACATGACGATGCTCTCATCGGAGGAAGTCACACTTTCCTGAGGATCAGCGGAGAAGAGAACGGGAGAACTCGGAACCAGGGCCTTGGTTTGTGGGAGGTAGTGACCGGAGTAGGAGGCTGAGGCTGAGGTGACGTTCTCGGCCACAGCCTCCCGAGAAACGTGTTCAGTTGGGAGTATACCGATGTCAGTGTTGGCTCTAGTCTGGAACTCGACGATATAGGCGTCCTGGTCGCACATTAACTGGTTTCCGTCACCGTCTTCGGAATTTGGAACGTCTTCAACGGGGAAGATTTCGATGTAGGGAATGGCACATGTTCGTTTATAAATGGCATCGCAGGCGCGACGAGGGTGGCGGGTGTAGCGCGAGCAGCTATTTATGAAACGGGGTAGGCACTCGTGCTCTGGGAGGGAGTTTGAGCAGGGGAACTTCTCCCACAGTCGCCAGTACAGTATTGTGAAGCTGCAGGAAAACAGGATGGCCACAAGGAGAATGAAGTTGACATACTCGGGATCCATGATAAATGGGTTGAGTTCAAGTTGAGACTTGGAATTTCGGTTTCGATTGTTATGGTCTCTCATGATTATTTCCGATGTTTGATTTGGTGTTCCTAGATGAAATGCGCCGACGTTCTGCGTTGGACTGCATGTTTCGTGATTGTGAAATTTCGGTTATAGCCTCCAGGTCGTTGCGCGGATCATGTTCCCGCTCTTCGCCTTGCATTCTCTACAGTACGAGTTTCAATAGATAAACTACTCATTTTATCAAAAGTGAGAAGAAGATTGCCGCTTCTGTAGTCACAAGTCATATACTAATCAGGCACAACGCCAAAACATTTGGAGCCAAAGTGATGTATCAAGTGTATCTATAAATATTTTTAAGCTTCCAGTAAGCCTAATATCTTAGATTGAGTCGTTCCAAGATCACCTAAATTATCTTTCATTAGTTTGATTATGTAGGAGGCTTTCAGCCAAGCGTCAGGCTTTGGCTTAGGAGTAGACCATAGACCTTATTTATAATATATGAGAAGCGCCATAACACACTACGTGGGCAGCCAAGTCAATCAATTGAGCAAGATTATTCCAGATTATTTCGGGCCGAACAGGGAAGCGAATTTGGAGGATTAACGTTTATAACAGAATATGACGTCTAGGTGCAGAAGCCACATCCATGTGGCATAACCCTGAAACTAATAAGATTTACGATCCTACAAGCAAGTAAGTATAGCGGTAAGGTCGAATGGGGTTTGGTACCTAGTGATCGGATCACGGGCCTCGCGACTCCGATGACCGATTCACGCTCGGATCTAACTAATGTCAGTTGATCTAAAAGGCCCGAACAAAGCCCAAAGTTGTTTAAAGAGAAAATACTAAGCCTATCTGATCACTTTAATTTTATGTTTCCCCTTTCCTTCCCTATTTTATTGCAAAGGCCCAAGAGAAGTCGAAGTCGGTCTTTGTTTGGGTACGCCGCCGATATTTTAAGATTTACGTTCAAAGGGTACCACTGGTTAATGTTTGGAACAAACCAACATCTCTTTGACAAGACACAATCAATGGATTCTATTGTTTCCCACACATTACATTCAAGAAGATTCAATACCGATCTTTATTCGACTTCGTGCATTATAAAATACTATTCCGCACGACCTCAACCATTTCGTTATTCATACCATCCACCACCTTAAACACCACGTGAAATACCTGCCAACATGAACTATAAGAAGAGCTCCCTCATTAATCCACAAAACTATCACACTCATGAGAAAGTATGGGAAGAGGAAGAGAAACAAGTGATGGTATGTAGTTACTAGTAATATCATCCAACCAATATACAGCTAACAAACCCAACAGGCTCAAGCCCTAGAAGAAGCACTGAACTGCAAAAAGTGCCCTCTCAATATCACAGAAGCCACAATGAATACAGATATTGAACAAGGGAACTACATCACAGCCAACTATCCCCCATTTTTCCCAAATACAAACACAAGAGATGAAAATATCTCCCCCCTCGACACAACCACTCCAAACAAAAGCCTATCCCACTGGAAAGTCATCTCCGAGCTCCAACGCCAACGCTACTACCATATCGTTGAGCATGGCCTCGACGCTCTCAATAGCGAAACCACAGACCCCAATCTCGCACTCCTCTTCGCCCATTACCAGGTAGACTATCACATCCGCCAACACTACCTCGCCTGCAGAGGTGTCTTAACACTCTGCCGCGATGCAACGGACATGCAGAGTCTCCGAAAGTGGCAATGGCGTATGGACAGGATAGATACTATGCCCGACGAAAACCAAGCCCGACCGAAAGGTCCTCGACCACTTGGTTGGCCGAACGATGAGAATCTAGAAATGGCTCATCAAGTGCAGTTGTGGAAAAAATCATGGAGAGCGAGACAGAAGCATCTTGAAGAAGTTCGGGCGAGGTGGGCGGTTATTATGGAGGAGAGGCGGAGGCAGAGAGAGCTGTTACTTGCGAAGCAGGCTTCGACGTTTATGGTGCGGTTGTATTTCGGTGGGGAGTTGTGTGAGTTGAGGGAGTTGGAGAGGAAGGTTTATCCTGAGACTGTTAGGTTGGGAAGGAGTACGCAGAGTTTGGGATTTTGAGTTTGGTTTGAGCATAGCGTGTTGGATGCTGAGCTGGTCTTGATGCATTCTGAGACTCTTTACATGCAAATTATATGCAAATAATTTCATCAATTTCAAATACGGATTTGAATTCTTCTTCATTTCACAAACTACGTAGAAGGTTAAGGGTTTGAAGTGGGATAGCATTCTGGGTGGCATCTGACATGACTACCCCGTTCTTTGATATTACGCACATGGTCTTTGATTTAGTCCTGTTCTTTGTTTCGTGAGATGCGGGGGAGTTGTACAAGAGGAACTCCGGAAGGTTGGATATCCCTCGGAGTCCTGTAATGTTCTGAGACATTTATTATAGTCTATTTAGTTATGATTCGGGGGATATAAGTACACTGACAGAAACAAAAATACTAAGCTCCAGATTTGCGGAATCGAGTCTCGAGTCTTCTTTGTCGTAATTTGATTCGAGTGTGAGATGGTTGGAAAGTACCAGCAATAACCTTTGTACTGTACCAATCAAACCTTCAGACCTCAACTATTCAATCAAGATTGAAAACACAAAATTCAATATGTTTCGGTTCTTCACCATGCCCAGGATAAGCTGCAAAGTTGGGTTACTGTGGCTTTGCAGGTTAGAAGTCCGAATCTCGTGAAACACCAAAGGTGAGATCTACCAGGCCTCTAGGGATGTCAGCATCGTGAGACAGAACGGCACAGTCTGCTACCACCTCGTAGTCGGAACAAGTGACAAGAACATTTCGAAGCCCATGAGAACGTAGGTATATATAAGATCCACGATGCCTTCAATGTTCAATGTTCATACAGTACAGAAAGCCAACATCTACTCAACCGCCAATACCCATTCGCGATCCTTCAATATGCGTCTCACAGCGATCATCGCCTGCTGCTTCACCACCTTGGCTATTGCTGCTCCGGTCGAGGAAAGTTCCAGTAATAGAGCTTCCACAGACGCAAAGGAAGACATGAGTGGATGCCGGCCACATTTTGATGAATGCATCGAGGTAAGGCCCTTGAAACCTGAGCCCATTCATCACCGGATTAATAATTTCCAATAGAGCTGCCGTCGCCACCAAGAGGGTGAACATTGCAGAAATGTGCGTCTATTAGATCACATCGACTAATTTTTTGCTAATGATGTGATAGCGATGCTACTATTGGTATTGCAGTTGATTGGCCACAAACACCTGCGGGTTTCAACAACCCGTAGACTGATGAAAAGCCTGGCATCCGGGATTTGATGTTAGAGAAACTAGCGAATGAATATGATATCAGGAGCCAAAAAGATTGGCGGAATCAATGGAGAACGGTCATAGCTTAGCAAAGCCAGAAGCCATGACACCGAGCTCCTGGAAAATGCATCCATCGTCCATTCAGAACAGTTCTTTAGCAGTTAAGTCAGTCATGATCAGCAATGGGGTGCTGAACCCCACCAAACCTGATTAACAGCATCGGCTGATATGCGGGGGAGGACCGTACCGAAACAATACTCTAGCATTGATTCAACTGCTGCATTCCCGCGTGATTTCCAAGGTGGAGTCAAGATCATCACGTATGCCTACTGAATTGAGAAGAAATTGTTCGCCAAGAGCATAACCCCACCTGCACACCCCTCAATGCTGCCTCAATGCTGAGGAAATTGAGACCCGAGGAAATGCTGGATGAGAAAAGCAAATGAGAAGCCCAAATGTCTCATTTGCTCCGTATTTTCTCAGTAATGGTTAGGAGGTTCATGCCCAGGCACCGATCTCCCGTGCCCAGGACGGATGTGGCTGGGATCTTTTATGCCTCTGCGGTGATTAATATTTAAATTTCCCCGATTTGCAGCCATCTCTTGGTACCCAAGTTGATGCCAGCCCCAGCCCAAGCCCCAATCCCAGCCCCAACCCCAGCATTAGCCTCCCAAGCCCAAGTCCAAGCCCAAATCTAAGCCTAAGCCTAAGTTCGCATGTCCCATGGTGCAGCCGCATTACCCACATTTTCCTGATTGGGCTTTGAAGTGATCATGGCACGGGATTCATGACTAATCAGAAGTCCGCATTTCGTCACAGCCAATCAGTACCAGGTAACGAAGAACAAGTATCCTAGTACCAAAGCCACGCAGATCTGACGATCTCTGACGTTGGGGTCAAAGAAGGGGAAAAATAATGCAACATCTATTTCCCCGGATGATACAACTAAAACATTTAAGAGGACCGAGGACGAATCTTGTGTGAAATGTTGAAACTAGTCATATGCACCCGTTTTTATACCCTGTAATTTCCTTTCCCCTTGGCTCTCAGACTCTCAGTCGGAGGACTGCGCACCGCAAACATCATAATTATTCAACCGGGAAGCCGTATAGAGGTTATGACGTAAGGGCCAAAACCGATCATATTCCCGAGCCACCGGCCCGTGAGAGGCAAATGATTTTACAAGATTTAAAGGGTTCAATGAAGTACGGAGTGGGAGGGAAAACCCCATTTTATATGTAATGATATGAATAAAACAGAGATTTAAAGAACACAAAACAAGGAAATGACGTCCTGAAATGAAAAAAAACTCGTCCCCCTCAAACGAGGGGAACTAACATCCACAATGACCCACGTCCACTCCGGATAGGAATGAAAGTGGGTTGGTAACTTGGTACACATTGGGTGACTCCCTTTATTAATGGCTCCTAATTCCTTCTTTCTTTCTTTCAATTCTTCCTTTTCATCCCCACCACCCTTTACTTTTATCAATCTTCGCCAAATTATTAATTTTACTCAAAATCCGCCATCATGTCGAAGACCAAGGTTCTTCTGGTCGGAGCTGCGGGCGAGACCGGAGGCTCCATCGCAAATGGCTTGTTGGAGGATGGTTCCTTTGTACGCTTTCATTAACTCCATCTATATGACCAAACTAACCGCCCTTGATTATGTAGGAGGTGATCGCTCTCGTTCGCCCAATCTCAGTTCACAAGCCCGCCATCGTAAGATTGCAGGACCGTGGTATTGCCATCCGGAAATGCGACCTGAAGGCACCCGAGGAGCAACTGGTCGAGGCGCTGGCCGAGATTGATGTCGTCATCAGCTGTGTCGGCCCAGCTGAGCAGCAAGACCAGATCCCTTTGGCCAAGGCCGCAAAGAAAGTCGGCGTCAAGCGATTCATCCCCTGTGGTTTCATCACAGTCGCACCTCCCGGTGGTGTGATGTGGCTGCGTGACGAGGTAAGAAATCGCGCACGTGTGGTCTAGTACCATAAACTGACCATTGATGTTTTCTGCGCCCGCAGAAAGAGATTGTCTACAACCAGATTCGCCAGCTCTGGCTCCCCTACACTCTCGTCGATGTCGGCTGGTGGTACCAGCTGTCCTACCCTCGTCTCCCCTCGGGCCGTGTCGACTATGCTATGACATCAGGCAACGATGAAATTATCGGCGATGGAAATGTCAAGACTGCCCTGACGGACTTGCGGGATATCGGTCGCTACATGGCTCTGATCATCAAGGACCCGCGCACGTTGAACAAGAAGGTCTTGGCCTACAACCTGGTCTCCTCACAGAATGAGATCTACAACCTCATGGAGGAAATCGCTGAAGAAAAGATCGATCGAAACTATGTATGTCTTTTCACTTGGTTTATAACTTGGTAAGATTTTCAGCTAATCATTATTGTTTTCCCGGAACACAGGTCCCCGAAGAAACCATTTGCAGCAGAGTCCTGGCGGCCCGACAAGCCAGTGAAACTTACCCGTTCGATCCCATCAAATTCATCCCCCGTTATCTCGCCGAATACCAATACTCTTGGGGAATTCGGGGAGACAATAACCCCGATTACGCTCGGTACCTGGGTTACCACCTGACTCCCGAGCTCTACCCCGACTTCAAGCCGACCGACTTCCGCGAGTACCTAGAGTCCGTGATCCGCGGCACCGCCAAGGGTGTCTACACCGACCGAGTCATCTCCCGGAAGCACCAGCGCCACTTCCCCCGCACGGAATCTAGTGACTCGTTGTACACCCGTATCTTCCCTCGGACCGAGTCGAGCGACTCCCTCATGTCGAGATGAAATGATCGGACCGATTTTTCACACCGCACTGGGAGCGACCGTGCTCCAGGTTGACGCCGACCGTTCCCACCGCTTGTTCCGAAATTCACAATATCTCCCCTCTGCCCCATAGATTGGGGCCTTGATTTGTTTGGGGCGTCTTGATAACTTTAGGCGTTTTATGATGTTTACGGCTTTGATGGGGAACATAGAGAAGCCCCTTGACTCCATGGTCTTGCCGTGACGATAGAGAGTTGCTGGTAAACGATGTTTTGCTATATTTTCGCCTTTTTTCATACTTTTGAGTTTGACCGTGCTCTACGGAGACGGTTCTCGTTGCATATAGAAATTCATACATCATATCCTGGTGATTCTTGATCGTTCCTTCCTTGCTCCTTCCTGGTGCCACTTCAAATCTCAAACGCAAAACCCGAACCTGTAACCTCCGATCGTTTGCTTTTCCCCAATGCTGGGATGGAGTTGCCCGAACATCCACGCCGGAGATATCGGTCTTCGTACTATGAATTCGCACAGAGTGCATTCCCGCCTTCTAATACATCGGCAACGACTATCCCGGAACATTTCGATGGCTCCATACATGGTCCTCATGCGGACGTTGCGTCGGGGTTTGTCGACATCTACCAGACATTAACACCTCGACAAGTTGGAGTCATTGGTTTGTTGCATCTCCAACTGTGATCCTTGCACTAACCCCTCTACAGCGGTTGGTTCAGCTATCGGCACGGGGTTGATGATTGGGACTGCAAGGGCTCTTACACTGTAAGTGGCCACCCCAAGTTGACTTGATTAACACTGACCGGGCAGCAGGAGCGGCGTGAGTGATCTCCATCATACACATGAACACGAGCTAATATTCCCAGCCGGCCGCCATGATGATATCATATACCTTCGTCGGCTTTTCAGTATACTTGGTCTTGTTGGCTCTGGGGGAAGTCGCTGCTTGGTTACCAAGACCATATACTGTGGCAGACCAGGCTTTGAGATTCGTTGACCCAACACTTGGCTTTAGTTGTGGCTTGGATGTGAGTCTTACACCACCCACCTTTGGCATCATCTCACCGGAAATAGATACTGGCTGAAATATGCCATCGTCACCCCGAATCAATTGACGGCCGCCGCTCTGATCATTTCGTATTGGGTTGACGCAGACTGGATCAACCCTGGGGTGTGGATATCCATCTTGCTCTTTGTGATAGTTCTGGTCAACTTCGTTCACCATGGATTACCCAGTCGAGTGGAGTTTTACGTCTCGTCCTTGAAATTAATCATCATGAGCGCTCTGATAGTCTTGTCGATGGTGATTGCTTTGGGAGGAGGACCAGACCATGATGCTCGAGGCTTTCGATATTGGAATACTTCTGGCGTGTTTGGTATCTTCGGGGCGCGGGTGAATCGTGGGCTACTGGAGAAGTTCTTGGACATCTGCGCGACCATGTCTTCGGCGACATTTGCCTTTATTGGGAGTGAACGGTCAGGCATTATGGTGAGGCAGCCTAATATCCGTAAGGCTATTTCTCGTGCCATCAAGCATACTTTCTACAGAGTATTGGTGTTTCATCTTTTGGGAATCACGCTTTTAGGCATGCTCGTTCCTCGAGATTCGACCAGGCTGTCTTTCGCCCGTGGGTCTGCCAAGGGGGCTGCTGCTTCTCCATTTGTTGCGGCCATTTATCTGTCTGGCATCGCAGTAGTGCCGGACATTTTAAACGGGTGTATTCTATTATTCGTGCTGTCAATCGCCAACTACGATCTTTACCTGACCACCAAGGCGATGTGTGATCTCTCCCTCAAGGGACGGGCGCCTTCTTTTCTTCATCGCACAAACCGTCGAGGAGTTCCAATCTACGCTCTGGGTGTATCTGCATCCGTTGCAACACTAGCTTATGCCAACGTTGCCAGTGACTCCCAGCTCGTATTCGGATATTTTGTGAACACGGTGACCATGCTTGGTCTCCTGGTCTGGATATCGATCCTCATCACTCACATCGCATTCGTGCGGGCGCGCAAAGCTCAGGGTATACCTGATGACGCCCTGACCTTTCGTGCTCGCTTCGGTCTTGTCGGTACCTGGCTAGGCCTAATCCTCTGTCTGTTCATCTCCATGACCATGATCCTTGGCACGTTTACATTTGACAACAACGGCAAGTTGAAGTTCCACTATCAGTCTGCGGCAGCATCGTTCGTGGGTCTACCAATATTTCTTATCCTGATAGTGGGGTACAAAATAGTGGTGCGGAGCAAACGTGTCAATTCCAGGAATGCCGACATGTGGACGGGAAAGCTAGACAGTTGACATGCTTAAATTAGTGTTCATCGATATGACTCGTCGTATACGCGCCCCTCCTGTTTCAACTGTCTTCATACTCCTTATGTTTCTCGTGATAATGCATGAACTTCACATAAGCCATGTTTTCCCATTAGCTGAATGGGGCCAAGTCAACGCCCATCAGCGAAATCAATTTCCCTTCTTTGTCACTCTCCTGCATCCAACCAACAAAGGATATCGAAGTGGAATGGCTTGAATGTTTGCTTTTTCTTCTTTCAAAACGAGTTAGTCCTGTTTTAGCCCGGCTAGGTACAGCGGCTCGAAGGGATACCTACCACTAGACTGCGGCAACATCCTCAATATCCACGGACATCCGCATATCCTCTCCGCAAATTGCGGATATGGTATGTCACGTAATATCCGCAATCCTCAATTTTGCGGATATGGTATACCACCTAATATCCTCTGGATATTTGAGGATATCCAATGGATATCAAACCAGCCAAACACGCCTAGCCTCGTGACTTTTTTGAGCGTGTATAAATTATGCGGTTTCTTGTGTATTTTTGAAGTAATCTTCGTGTAATCATCATTTTAAAGATTTCAATCTGGTAAACATGATTCTGTCATTTCTAATCAATACTTAATACTAACTACCTTAAATCAATCTGAAATCCATCAGGTAACCTAGGTTGCTTCCGAATTCGCCCCGACCGTCCCTGCATGCCCTCATCTATTGGCATTTCTGGAAGGTCATCGTCATCGTCATCAAAACATTCGGATGATCGTTTCTTTGATCGTTTGCGCTGCAGTTGCTTACTTTGATCATTATTCTTCCCACTACCCAAATCATCATCGCAGCTCTCTATCTGTTGTGTATCCTCTATGCTAGGCTCTTGATCCTCCTCTTCGTTATCACTAATTAGCTCAAGTGTTTCAAGCTGGGGCATTGGTTTCCAAGCTTGATCTAACAACGCAGCTTCTCCAATGGATAGATACTCCTTGATAACCTCTATCTCCTTCTGCTCAACGTCAAAGTTAGTGGCGAATTGATGAAGCATCAGTCCTCGGATGGTACTTGGTTTCAATTGCCCGCGACGATAGTGGCACATATCGCGAGCGCAATTAAATAATCGCTCAACGCCTGCGCCACTAGCTGGGATTGAGAGATTATCCCGTGCTATCCTCGCAAGAATAGGAAACTCATGCTCATGGTCTTTCCAGAATGCTCTAGGCTTCTGACCCTCGATCCCGCGGGCAAGATACCTCGCAATCTCATCATCTTCGGGCTTTGAGAGCCTATGCTGTGGCTGGCTCTGAGAAGCACAAGCAGCATCAAGATCACCATAATCATCATCCAGGGCCTCTTTAGTGGTATCTTGTAAGACTGTATTGTTTGAATCATGGTGAAGTGTCTCTTTATATCGATCAAACTCTCGCTTAAGAACTCCATGATAGTGATCAACATAGTTAATTTCACCTTGCCAGTCTGATGATGCAAAATATCGAAGTTTTTTTGATGGGCAAAGGATTGTCGCGAGTGCATAGACATCACCATATGATTCATAATCGGTCGCAGTGTAGTACTTTGAGAGCTTCCGTTTAGCAGTCTGAAGAGCTTCGAGCATGTGCTTCTTCCAGACAACACCTTTATTCTTCAACTTACTCTCAGCTTCATCAAGATGAGAGAAAAGCTTGTTGTAAATACTATAGATGTTATGTGTAGTAACATCCTTAGTCTTAGACAACATATTTGTGAAGTCGAAGAAAGGCTTTGTGAGAAGAAGAAGGTATTCAATCTGTCGCCACTCTTCTTGATCAAGTTTGAAGTGAAGATACTGATGGTCTATACAATACTGATCATAGAATGGTTGTAGCCTTTTGGCCCGATTCAGCATGATAAAGGTCGAGTTCCATCGGGTTTGGACATCTTGAACAGGAACTAAACGAGGCTCCTTAGTTTGTAGAGCCATAAATGCCTCCCGGCGTTGTGGGCTTGCATTGATGAAGACCGCAAGACCTCGGATCTAAAACTCTTTTATCAGAATAAACTACAAGCCTTAGGGAGATAGAACTTGCCTTCTTTAAGGTATCTGCAATTTGCCGAGTTGAGCTAGATCTTTTGGTCTGAAATGAATGGGTCCGCTCATCAGACCACTCTAGTTCAATCTCTTTGTTAGGTGGTGTCACCTTTAGCTTCCCAAGAAGCTCATTCAAGCTTAATTGAATCACATGCGCAATACATGGAACTCGGAAAATCAAGGTATCTGATTGGCTTTGCGACTGGATAGTCTCTTGGATGTTCATCATCAAGGTATTGTTATTCGTTGCATTATCTGTTGTCACAGATAACACACGATCAGTGATTCCATGATCAGTTAGAAGCTGGATTACGGTCTTGCTCAGATTTTCACCAGTATGAGATCCATGAAGATGCTCAAACCCAAGAAGAACTTCACAGTAATTCCAGTCCTGATCAAGGAAGTAACCTGTGATGGCCATGAAAGCTTGCTGAAATGGCGATGTCCAGCAATCAAGCGCTAGTGAGAGGCGACTCCCATCTGGAAGCCTTTTCAGAACCCCCTTCTGGTCACTTCTGACTGCAGAATCAAGATAACGTCGTATGCTTCGCGCGGATGGTATATCGATCTTGCTGTGGGCTTGTTGAATAATCTCTACTAGATCTTTGAATTGGGTGTGTTCAACGATTCGGAAGGGTAGGTGAGCTGTAGAAATGAAGTCTAGTATCGCTTTCACCAGACGCTCCTGGGAGAAGGGTTGGTGTCTAGGGATAGTTGGCTTTGGGATAGTTATTAAGATTAGCAAGAGAGATATTAGGGGTCTTGATGAAAGAGAAATATACCATATGTTTGAGTAGCTGATCGATCCTCTGGGTAACTGGCTTCCGAGTACAAGTGCCTGCCTTAATATGTGCATTCATTGGCGATGACCCAGCACGGCGATAGCTTGGATGAACAAGGGTACAGAGACATGATGTACACATAACCTTTGGCTTGCCAGTCTTCTCATGTGCAACCTGATTGAAATTATCCCAGACACTTGATGTCTTTTTCCCATCCCAACGGATCGAGTCTTGTATTTCGGGCGCTGATCCAGACTCTGTATTTAGCCACCACGTTATAAAGCGCTTACGAGATCCATCCATCTCGCTACCAGGCTCGGAGGAATAGAGGACCCAGTACTGTTGAAGAGGGAGGCCAACACGCGTAAGCGAGAGGGGCGCAATCGGAAATGAAATTCGGGACGTGGATGTCAATGAAGCCTGACTGCCAATGAGCTCAGAGATATCATCTGAATAAAGGAGGTCGGTATTCAGACCTAGATCTGAATCGGCGCAGAAGGAAAATTGGGACTGAGATGCCTGTGAGTAAGACATACTGTACTTGATCACTATACAAGAGAAAGAAAGGGAGAAACGTACATATAGGACGAGCTGAAAATATCAGGGTTATGGCAATAAGCTGCAACTCGTAAGTTGCGGGGTGCGTTTTCGATATATCTCTTACTTTTAATGACGATGATTGGCTATTACTAATCACCAGTGAGGATAATTGAGGATAATTAAGGATATATCGCGGATATCCGCATGGATATCCTTGGATATCCGCATGGATATCCTTGGATATCCTCGACCTTACTATCATACTCACTAAGTCCGCTGTCCACAACATTAGAGCTTCCGACCGGTATTTCTTAGAAGGATATATTTAAAAACTTAATATACTTAAAAGATAGGCTTAGGAAACTAATTTAAAGCTAGGCTAGTTAAATTTGACCAAGAAATGGTGAGTTTAGTCATATGTACATCGTTTAGCTAAAAGATCCTACACTACTGCCTTGAGTAAATATATATTTCCATGGTAAAGTAAAGTGGAATTACAAAAAATCATGTATATCCCCCAATCTACTTCAAAACTCAAATTGCTGCTATAAGTAATAATAAAATGAATATAAATTGCTTAATACAAATATATTTCTTAATATTTCATGAGGAATTAGGATAAATAAGGCTAGTAGTATGGTCAGGACCAAACCTGTGTATCTTTTGTTCTGAAAAATAAATTAATCAGCTGGATAAGAGGCACATGACTACCCCTAAGTAGATAATCAGGCGAGAGTTATGCTAGTGCGGATATCCGCAAAATATCCTCATATCCTCGCGGATATCCATGGATATCCTCATTGAGGATATGGTATGGAAGTAATATCCATTATCCTCAATTTGCGGATATGGTATTGAACCTGATATCCAGCGGAGAGGATATGCCGCAGTCTACCTACCACCCATCCGGTCCTGTTGAGATTTCTGTTTGTGATTTTGAATCCTCCTAGGTTAGATATGTGAACATTCCTTTGTAGGAGTATTGCACAAGACTGTTTGTTTCGACTTAGCATTGGTACAGGCACTTGGGATATTGAACATAGTCTGGTAAGTGTGGATATTACAAACAATTCACCACAAATTTTGACAACAAAAAGCTTGCTCAACAATCGACGCATGAAAGGAAAGGTGGAATTCGAAATGATCAAGTCTACTACTCCACAGAAAGGGAATGACACATTCCGCCTCATCATCCAATACTTAAATTCAAGCTTTGGTGTCGATTTCCCCATACACTACCGGTCGCCTGAGAAGTCGGAAGGGAGAAATCTCCAATTAGAAGGCCTCAAAGTTATTCGCCAACTCTTTTGCCGTGACCAAGACAGACTCAACGGAGTGATAATCGATTTCGAGGAATGGGTTGCTGGACGAACATCACCTATCGCTGTCGCTTTCGCAACCACGGTACGAAGCGGGTCGGCCAGGGGAACTCGGGGTCGGCAGCGGAGCGAAGAGCCCCAATTTTTGAGCGATGACGAGAAAGATGCCCGAATGAGGTACCTCATTGATTTGATCAATGACCAGTTGTACTTCCTCAATGACGGGGTCAAACAGGGACCGCAAGTGGAGGTGGAGGAGAGGGACGTGTCTCCAAAGAGAAGGAGACTGACCGAGGATGAGGAATTTCACACAGCGCCTACTTCACCGACGACATTGAATGATGAGAACGCAATGCCGCTGCCGAAACTTGATCTTGATCGCGTGAACGTGTCGCTTCGGCCGAATGAACAGTCTGACCCTAGCAAAGGGATGAGTTTTCTCGAGAAACTCAAACTCGCACAACAGAATCAGACTCGATCGGTTTATTCTATCCACGATAATGTGGCGACTAGCTTTTCGACTGTTGGGAACTCGGTATTTTCTTCTCATGTTGGGCGGTCTTTCGATACTGAAATCACCGACGTAACGGATACCCAATCAACCTTTGCTGACTCGGTGGTCGAAAGCTTCCTACTGGAAGCGGGGAATTCATGCGTCGATCCAAGTCCAAGTGCCCGAGACATGATCGTTAACATACTGCGACAGCTTGGACCGTTCTCGTGGGAGCAGACATTCCCTGAGACCATTCCCCTGCGATATCGCTATGAACTGGAGCGAGTAGCACGAGCATGGGACGTCCCTTTTGCAAAGATTTTCCCAAGGCATGTGCTTTTCAAATGTCCCGCTGAACTATGGTCATTCTTCGCACAGCACAGCGAGCGACAAGGGAAACCCATGCCTGAAAAAGCATCACCAAGAGCATGGGATGCAGCAATTGGGGACTTTAAAACAGACCGCAATTCAGAAGTGGTGGTCATGACAGGTGAACTGGGCTGGATCCCTTTAAAAGAGGGGATTTTCAAATTAAAACTAAACCCTCTCAAAGTGGACAGAACATGTCGTTTCCATCGCCGGTTTGGTTCAGATCGATTCTTGTCTCTTACTGTTCCTGCCCCGGCTCGTCCTCCGCGTGATATTGGATCACCTTCTCAGCCTAATCTTCTACATGACAGTATGGCCGAGTGGCTTACACGTACGGATCACCAATGTCTAGGACGAACATGGCGGGCATTTTTCGTCGAAGAGATTAAAAGTAAAAGTAAAAAGAAACCCGAGCCGCGTTTGCGCGTGGAATTCTTTGCTGTTGATGGGATCGACTTTCGTTTTGCTTCGTCTATGTCTCTTGCGCCACCTGAAGAATCCAGCGATGCACATACCCCGATGAGTGTACAGGATCTCCTGGAATGGCATATGCCGACCGCTTACAATGGTGACCAAAATAATTGTAAGTTCTTCCAACGCATTTCTCTTGGGCTGTCTAAGACATTTGCTTCGGTGATGTTAAAGCCTACACAAGTTTTACACCTGAGAAATGATCCCAAATGGGAACGTGTGATGAACGATGGTTGCGCGCTTATGTCCCGAGCATTGGCGATCAGAATATGTAAGGTACTGGGTATTGCTGGATATACACCCAGTGCGTTCCAGGGGCGAGTTGCTGGTGCAAAGGGTCTGTGGATGGTGGATCAACCGCAATCGAAACATCAAAGTTTCTCTGAAAACGATGGAGATGATGTTTGGATCGAGATATCAGACTCGCAGTTAAAGATCCGCCCCCATCCCCAACATTGGAGAGAGTACGATGAGGAGAAGTTGACTTTTGAAGTGGTGAATTGGTCCAAGTCTTTACGTCCCGTTGGACTGAATACCCAGATCCTGACTATCCTGGATTACGGCGCGCATGTGAAGGAATACATCGCCGACCTTACGCGGAAGGGCTTCGAAGATCTGGCCAAACGTCTCGAGGAAGTTCTCGACTCCGACAGCCCTGTCCTCTGTCGCGCATTCGTACAGAAGATGAAACCAACAGGCGAGGGGGCGAAAAGCTTCCGACAACCTGATCAGTGGATAGTGGATGATGCTGAGCATATCATCCGTCTTGTAGAAGCAGGCTTTGGCCCTCAAAGCTTCTTTCCGCTTCGAAAGGCCCTGCACAGACTATTCAGGCACACCTTGGAGTCCCAAGTCGAGCGACTTCATATCGAGGTACCGTTATCGACATATGCATACTGCATAGCTGATCCTTTAGGCGTTTTGGAGCCAGGAGAAGTGCATTTTGCTTTTTCGACCAATTGGCGCGATGCGGATGGGAACTTCCAGCGAACGCATCTGATGGATATGGACGTCTTGGTCGGACGTTTACCCGCGCATGTCCCGTCTGATATCCAGCGACGCCGAGCTGTGTATAAGCATGAGCTGGCGCATTTTCAAGATATCATTGTCTTCTCATCGAAAGGGGATGTGCCACTAGCTCACATGCTATCTGGCGGAGATTACGATGGTGATACACCATGGATCTGTTGGGATCCTATGATCGTGGATTCTTTCCAGAACTCCGATATGTCGGATATGGAACTCCCGGCAAAACACTTTGGGCTGACGGAATACAATAAGTCTATGGCTGATATGCATTCCACGGAGGATTTTCTACAAGGCGCGTTCGAGTTCAATCTGCACATATCACTTCTTGGTCGATGTACTATTGAGCATGAGAAAATTGCCTATGATGAGTCGATTGATGGTTCGAAAGCGAAGGAGCTCGCCTGTCTACTGAGTCACCTTGTCGATGGACGCAAAAGCGGCGTGTTGTTATCTGAAGAGGCATGGAAAACCTATCGGAACTCGATCCGCCCCCGGCCGCGCTTATGGCCAGCATACCGAGAAAAGAGTCGAAGGCCAAAGCGAACTAATATTGTGGATTATCTCAAGTTCTTCGTTGCCGAAAACCTGTGTAAAAAGATCCTCACAAACATGGAGGCCAAGTATCCCATGGGACAAGGCTTCGAACACACCGACCAAGATCTCGCCCGCCCATGGCACGAAGCCCAAATCCGCGCGGGAAACGAGCGCAACGGCGATCTGCAACAAGTTCTCAAAGAGATCTCCTCGTCAATCGAAGCAAAAAAAACTGCTTGGCTTGACATGAGGACGGAAAACGACAAATATGCCTTCCGTGCTCAGCAGGCCGTAGACCTCATCAGCACTCTCAAGCCACCACAATCCTCCCACCCGCTCGTCCACACATGGCAAAACAGTCCCCGGGAATGGCGCCGTCTGCTTGCCTCGTGTACTTACGACCGATACCGGGACAAAAATGTCTTCCCCTGGTTTGCGTTCGGGGATACACTTTGCGAGCTCAAAGCTGAGACCTTACCGTCGCGCAGCATGACTACTACCATTTACTCCTGCTATAAGCTGAATCAGAAAATGGTCGCTAGTTTGACGGCCAGCGAACTCGCTGCGAGTACAGTGGAGAGCGGCTTCGGTGGTGATGAGTATGAAGGTGAAGATGCTATCGAGGCACTACTGATGGGCGATGATGTGGGGTACTTTGATGGATTGGAGGATGGATTGTCCATCCAATAGGCTGTACAGATATGATGATTGATGAACGACGTGTATACCCCATTTGAATAACCAGCGTACTTTGCATATGAAGTTCCGAATTTCAAGATCAATCTACGTGTATCTTGATTAGTACTTACTTGGGTAATCATTAGCATCGTTCCCAATTTCAATCCCATCCACAATCCATAATTCAGCTAGCTATTAAACAGACAAAAATACTGTTTATAACCTGACCAGCCCCAAACAATACTACCAGCACTCACCTGGCCTTAGGAAATTAAACAACGAAATCTCAAGAGTTACAAAGTTAGTAACCTTGGACCCCCACTTCAAGTTCGCTAGCGTAAAGGCAACTCCCATTTGAACTGCCGATATCATTTCAACCTTCCTATTTGGGGGGTTTTTTCATTCGTCAACCGGGTCCATGTTGGTTTCTTGGGTGCATGTGATGTGACGGGGTAGAGTTCTCCGGTTGGGATTTTAATGTACTTTCGGCTTAGTACTTGGGGGAAGTTTGACTGTTGTAGGGTATATGGGTTGGGTTACAAGAAATTAAGAATACTATAGAAAGAGACGTGAGAATATATGGAGTTTTGATATATTAATTATATAAATGTAAATGACAAGTACATGCAAATGTAAATGTGGTAAGTACAGTAAAGTGCAATAAGCAAAACTGAAGTAAAACTCGGCACTTCCATTAAGCATGTGAAGGTCACTCAAGTTTCACGTGCACTTCCGCCAGAACGCGAATCTTGCCACTCTCTTATCCACCACTTCTTCAACTCAAGATGGACGACTCTCTTGACGATCGGACTCGTCGAGCCGCCAGTGTATTATCTATGGATGACCTTGAGGCTGCCCAAGCTTTGGAGGGCCTTCGCACCGGTACGATTCCCGACCTACCCTACGCTCCCCACGCAAATAAACGATACTGGCGCTATTCTACCTGGACTGTCGAGTAGGAAGAGAAGAACCTGGCTAATTATTTGCTAGAATACGGACAGTCACCACGGGCATCGAGGCAAACCATCTCGGGGACCTCACCGAATCCTTCACAGGCGGAACCGCTACTCTCGCTTCTCACGTCATCGCACCCGCTCATCTCCTCCGCAATCAACGGCTCTGTATCCGCATATACCACCTCGAAATCGTACTCTGCGCGCTTCAAGTCCGGCGCTGAGTTCATCGAGCGCAATATTGGCTCACCGGTCGCGAATACCGTGGGCTCTGTTGGTCGCAAGACTGGTGTTGAAAGCGGGCTGCGCTGGGCGCTGCAGCGGAGGGATTCTTCGCGGGACTCGAACCATACTAGTAAACGTCGCAAGGTGAACAGCGAAACTCCTATGGATGTGGAGCAGGGACCGGAGCCGATGCTCCAAGGCCAGAGTGAAGGCCAGACCCAGAGCCAACCACGGACGCGCAGTTCTTCGGATCTGTCAATGGCTGAGACTCTTCCACCGTATGATGATACACGGTCGCCTCGGTATGAGGAGAAACCCGGACGACAGACCCCGACGTGGCAGAGCCGACTGGTCATTTCAACCTCCGGGTTAGGTGTTGCTATGAGCGAGGAATCACTGCGTAGCTTGACATACTGTTTAACCTGGTTGCGCTGGGCAAACGGTCGACTCGGACGCGCTATTGTGGCACTTCAGAATGCCTTAACAGAGTGGGACCAAAAGAAGAGCCAGTCCCAACAAAGCGATCTCGAAGGCGGAGAGAGCGCGTCGCTCTTGACACAGCGGATTCAAGCCGTGAAAGCAGATGTCCTTTCAACATTGAAGCAGGTTGTCGACGTTGTCTCGAAGTATGCTGGAGGGGCGTTACCGGAAAACGCCCGTCATCTCGTCCGACGACACCTGACATCTCTGCCTCAGCGATTCCAAATGGCCAGCACATCCCAACCACCACCCGGCTCCGTCGAGGCTTCTTCGGACGCGACGGTTGGTGCGCATCGAATTCTCGTTCTGGCCAACGAAAGCTTGGATATTCTAGGCCAGGTTAGCGGTGTCGTCAACGACACCCTCGTTAGTGCAGAGCACTGGTGCGAACGGCTGGGACGCAAGCGCCCCGATAACAAACCCGCACAGGATGCGGAAAAACAGAATCCATCTGCGACGAATGCTCAATATGGAATGGATATCAAGCAGCCTCTCCCTGAGGCTGCTCGGGATGTGCAGATGTCTGGAATTGAGAAAGTCTGATTGATACCCTGGTCATCTGACCGCCTTTTCTTACTGTTTGCTTTTTGTTTCATTTCTGTCTGGGACGGTTTCTTATGATTGATATCCAATGGTTGTTATTATGCATTCTTTTTTACGTGCAACTGGGATTGCACTCAATTGGATTTAAGGTGGTTTCAAGGTTGGATTTGGGCGGGATCTATCGATTCAAATTTCATGAAAAAACTTTTCTTTCATTTCGGCTTCAACTTGAACCAAAGCAATTTTTAGCTGCATTATTTCGGTTTTGATAAAAGAATTTCTACATGATCTATACATGCTGACATCGACGATGTTACACGGCCATCCTTTGCGGCAATTCACTTCGAATAGATCCTGAATATTCACAAATGATAAACTTGAACAAAAATGGTGGACATTAAATATGGGTAGATTTATTGACTAACATCCCACCTTACTCAACCACCATCCTAGTTCCACACCGAGTTGTCCTTCCTGATCATACATCACCAGGTGGCCAGCTCCATCAATCAACACCACATCGGCATTCAGCTTTTCTCCCAGTCGAAACGCAGTCTCAACCGGAATCCACTGATCCTCTTTCCCCCAGATAATCCGAACAGGCATAGCCTTGCCCACTTCCGAGTACCTACCCTCAACATCTTCAGTGCTACGACTATTAGCCTGCACCATCTGCCTCACGAAACCCCGCCTCCCGGCCTCAGAAAGCCACGGACCCTTCAACATATCCATGATCTCCCTCTTCAGATCAGAATACGCCGCATCGCGAATATAAGATTCAACAACGCCCTCAAAAACAGGCCCCGTCAATGCAAGAAACACCTCCTCATTCTCAGCAACCAACTTGAACAATGGCTGTCCAAACGGTCCTAGTGCAACAACGTTGATCAAGCACAAACTCGCAAACTGACAACCATAAACTATATGCACCCGCAGGCTCATCAGTCCGCCATGGTCATGCGCAATAATATGTGCTTTCCCAGATTCCCAACTCTGTGCCCAGAATCTGTACAGCGCGGCGAACACTTCTGACTGCTCGGAGAGATCGGCATCGAGTGCTTCTTTGGTGCTTTCCTTCCCGGGTAGGGGTTGGCCTAGTGGACTGCAGCCGAAACCGGGGTTGTCGGAGAGGTAGACGTGGAAATACCGGGCGAGTGAATGAGCGTGGATGTGCCAGACTTGTGAGGACCAGGGTGTGCCGTGGATGAATACTAGTGGTGGGGAGGTTTTGTCGCCAAGCGATGTCCAGCAGATTTGGTAATTGTGGGTGGCGCTGGAGTATTCGAAGGTTTGTGTGAGTTTGATTGCTTGGGACGGATTCATGTTGGCTAGAGACTTCAATATTCCAAGGTTGTATTGCTGTTTTATTCATCCCCTGAGGGTTGGATGTTTAAATATCACTCCTTTTGAATTGATGAGTGGCGTTGCTCTATAAGTGACCAATCAGGACCGGTTTTCCCTGTCAACTTTAGTTGATCATGGCTAATTCTTTCCAACCTTTTCTTAACGCAAACATTGAATTTGTGATCTTAAGTAAATGGGACGAATTGATCGTCATGAACTTACAGATCATCAGACCTGCCAAATTATCAGATTGAATATCTCATCCGAAGCATAATATAATCTAGGAATCGCGAATAAAGCCACCATAGTCATAGTAATCGTGAATTCGTAATCAATAAGTCATAAAATCACGAAGAGAAAGAATTATACAGAAAGTAATGGCCGTCTCTCTGCATCTCCATCACTACCCCGTTCCCCACTTAGCCAGAGCATGGACACAGCCGTGAGTAGAGATAATACACCCAAACTGAGAGTCATGACATCGCATCCATAGTAGATTGAAATAAAGCCACCTTGGATGGGCCCAAGCACAAATCCTCCAAACCGAGCCATAATTTGGAGACTAAATGCCTGAGAAACGGCACTGTTATCGCCAAAGACTGACGAATTCTCCGTCTCCATGTCATTAAGGACGCGTTGAATCTCGATGAGTAGAGCTGGCTCGGCGAGATTGATACACAGTCCGATCCCGAGCAGAAACACGCAGAGAATGGAGCTGTCAAATGAGGTGTCTTGCTCGATAAAGCGAAGGCAGATGAGCGTCGGTGATAGGGCAGCGAAAGCAACAAAAGCAATGATTCGACAGCCAAAGCGCTTGGAGATGTACGCTGGAGAGGATTTTTAGTGCTAAACCGGTCACCCCAGTGCTCGTGGACATACCGGCGAAGGGCTGCAGGAGTGCTGCAAATGTTATCGGGATGAATATCAAACCCGCCCCCAGGGCACTCGAATGAAACGTATCTTGGACAAAAACGGCGAGTGTCTAGAAAGTCAGCAGCGCATTCAGAACAAAGTTAACAATATTATGTATGTACTCACTGCATCAAATGCAGAAATTACCAGCGCGCTGACAATCACAGCCCACAGGCTAATAAGAATGCGCGATTGTCGCAAGAGCTTCACTAGATCGAAAGAGCCCCCAGTCCCGGAACTAGAAGAGCTCCGTTGATTGAAAACCGTTTCACAAGAGAAATAGCCCGATATATAAGTATGACCTCTATAAGGACAATACTCAGGCAGGGTAAGCCAACGCAATGCAAATCTCTTCTCAATCATACAAAGTCGCAAAGCCATGTCCAGCGCAAGGATCCCAAACCCCATCGAAAGAATAGAGTAGTACCCTCCAAACTCAAAGACTATACCTCCTATCGGGGATCCAGACATCACGCCCAGAATCATAGCAGTGCTCACATACCCAACCATCTCTCCAACCTGATGCTTGTCCACTGCATCGGTCAAAATTTCGAGGACGGACACGGTCATCATAGCTGTTGAAGCACCCTGCAGCACTTTCGCATACATAAACCCCGTCACTGAGCTCGCGGTTATGAAAAACGCCATTGAGCCGGACAGGATAACGAGGCTGAAGAGGTACATTTCCTGGCGATTGGAGGCGTCCAGAGAGAAGAAAAACATGGGCATGCAGAGAAGAGCCGAAACTGCTTCCGATAATAATAGCGCACTATTCCAGTATTCGCCTGAGCGGTATAAGTAAATCAGACAAGCAAGTTGGTGATTTGTACATACGATCTTCGAACGATACTCCAGCTCGAGAGACGAGCGCCGTAGGTAATATAGGTACCATCTGAACAAAGTAAGATAAAATATTGCGGATTGAATTTGAAGATATACCATACCATCGCATGTAGAAAGACATCCTATTGACTTCACGTTAGCCTCGTAACTCCAAGTGTTTTTCGCAGGCGAACACCCACAGTGAACAGAGACAACGCTACAACCCCCACAATAAACGCCTGCGACGATCGCAGTCGCAACAAAACCGGCCTGTCATCCTCATAGAATAGCGACTCATTCCCAACAACAAACCTCGGATGATACATGATTGGAAATTCCATCGAGGCCGGATGGTCCCATTTTAATACGACTCATGCAGTCGCGGACCATGGTGGAGCTACATGCAGTACTTACCATGCTCTACCGCATGCAAGCAAAAGCTCACATGGCTAGGAACAATCATTCGACCAGTCAACTCGGACATTACTCTTTTAGGTTCTCGCCGTGATTCAGCCCGCATGTCAGGCAAGATCATCGCCTGACCGACACTGGATGGATAATTTCCCTCGACAGATCTTGATCCTCATCTGGCGGTGTAATATGTGGGAAATGTATCTAGCTGCGCCACGACAATCTTGCAGCTTGCATGCATAAGTGCTCAACGTACCGGGACTGATTTTTGATTGGTGGTTGGTTGGTGGATGCTGCATCTTAGCGCCAAGAAACGGTTTCACCACGTTTCACACGTTTCTTCTCGGAAATCTCGATTGCTGATCGAAAAACGGTTGAGCTTGGCGATGGTGAGTTCGGCCCATGCCGGTCTAGTACAGACCCTATTGTTGATAAATTACACCGTTCATATGAGCCGACAGTCTCGGTTTTTCTCTCTATTGCTGCTGTTGCCCCACTTCAGGGTCTCAGGGATAAGCTGCCCCGCTCTAACGCTTATCTCTCTGAATTTCCCAGATCTCCCCACATAACCGCAGGGAACAAGATCACTGCACCAGTATGGCCCTTCCCCCCGAGCTGATTGGCCTTATGGTGTCATATATCACTGCTCCGCCTTTAAGCCCCCACGAACAGCAACATGGTCAATCTCACCTTTCACAATATGCCACGGTGGACCGTGTCTGGCAAGAGATCATTGAGGAGCGTACCTTCTCCACAATTTGCCTTGGTACCGCTAAGCGGCTAGATGAATTCAGGCGATTAAAATTAAACTCGCGGAGGAAGTCTTGTATTCGGAGAATCGATCTAATCGTGGAACTAGAGCCCTATGACGTGGATGCGCGTGCTAGGTTCGAGACGGATGAAGAGCATCAGAGGAATAACAAGCTCTTCACTCAAGCCATCCATTCTTTACTCCAAGTCCTAGCATCATGGCCAAACAACCCCCAGGGTATTGAATTGTCCATCACAGCGCAGTCACCTAGCGATATGAGCGCTATCCCAGATCTTCGCGAACGTCGAAAGCGAAGAAAAGCGGCCCGTTTTGATCGCGTAACGGACCTCCTGCATCGAAGATACGAAAAATCTTATCTCCAGTTGGATAAGATTTTCAAATGTTTCAGCGTCCCTATCATCAGTTCTCTTCATGTCAGGGAATTCATTCTTCACGGCCGTCTTATACAACCGGCCTCGTGTGCTCGTCTTGCATCAAATTTGACTTGTTTGCGATCAGTCACTCTTGATCTGAACGATGAATGCAAACGAGATAAAACTTTACGGAAACGCAACCGTAATGGTATGTCTTATTATCCTCCCCCGGTTCCGTAAATCAAATTTTAATCATGATTAATAGGCTTTGCAGCTCTTTTTCACCTGTGGCCACCCACAGTACAAGAATTCTATTTAAACTTCAACCATTGCCCGCCTCATAACGACAGATTCTCCCCTGAAATTGTTACGGAAAACGACTCGGATCTTCTTTCTTCGCGTATACGCGAATTCTCTCAACAGCTAACGCATATCACTATCCAAGCTGTTATAGGGAGAGAAGTGTTCTGGCCCTTATATCCGGAGGGCAAAGATGTTAAGCTCCCGTTCTGGCCAAATCTAGTCTCCTTTTCTGTGAATTTCGTGCCAATCACACCGTCCGGAGACTGGCTTTTTGAACGGGACCCTAACGAGCTAGATAATAAAATCGATTCGGAAGACTCTGATCCAGAAGGAGAGTACCCGGACTACGTGAGAACAGTCCCCGAGGACCGTTCGGGTGGCTATATACGGTCCAAGATTATACCAGCATTCTTCAACGAACTTTATAGTTCTGCTGGTCAGGCGGCACTAAGAATGCCCCAACTAAAGTACATGAGTCTGGAGATCACCCAGGGTTCTGGAAGGCACTCGTTCCGATATGAAATCAAACATGGGGCCGCGAAGGTTATTTGGGCCGATATGGCGGGGTTCATTGGGGCCGATACGCATTTCTTCCACCCGGAGGATAGTGTCTTGCAAATCTGGAAGGATGTCGCTTCTCAACATACTGGAAGTGGTCTTGAGGTTAAGATCGCAGACGATCGTGATATCTATTTGGTATCTTAGTTTGGTTTATGCTAGATAGCATCTAACAGGCTACGATAGTCAATTGCCACTCACAGCTTCGAAATCATAAGAGCAATCAGAATAATCATTACCGTGTTATTAGCAGTATAATAGTATATGATACATTCTCTCCGCTTACATAGGTGGTCACAAGAATCTCGATCTTATCAAGGTGGCACTGCATATCGCTATAGACATGCGCTAAATGACCATTAGTCGCAGCAAAAGGATTGAGCAATAGAAATGTCAGGCAAGATCATCGCTTAACCAACACTAGATAGATAATTTCCCTCGACAGATCTTGATCCTTATCTGGCGGTGTAATATGCGGGAAATGTATAGTATCCAGCTGCGCCACGACAATCTTGCAGGTTGCATTCTCCACTTATCCGGACTGATTCTTGATTAGTTGGATGGGTTGGTGGATACTGCAACTTTGAAGCGCCCAGAAACCGTTTTACGTTTCACATTTCCCACGTTTCTTCTCGAAAATCTCGATTGCCGATTGAAAAATGGTTGGGCTTGGCGATGGTGGGGGACTTCTGCACCACTTTACTAACCTCTATTTTCTCGCGGACATGGGCTTCGCTTGAGTATATCGACTGTACCTAGTGAGCCCCTGTTTCATATTTCCCATATCTATGGGTTTCACCACGATATTACTCATGTAGAATGACGTACGGTGTAGACGGGACTCAAATTATAATTGTAAACATGAATGAGGAGTCATTTGTCTTCAGAGAGTTCGTGAGCGGGGCTCCTTGGATAAGTATCGACCCTTCTCCTGTCGTTACATGATTCCAATTTCCCCCTTCCCCCTACTACCTAAGAGCCTCTTCCCAACTTCAGTATAATGATCGAGATATCTGCGATAATCAATGGGATTAACATTCTGTCAAGAATGCATCCCTTGGTGTGAAATCGCAGAAGAAAGCATGGGACACGACTCCATACTACGGTGACTTCAAACACAAATCTGAAAGTAACTCCTTTGCGGAGGCGCGATCTTCAGGTCGCCATTGAAGCATTTTGCGAATAAAGCAGAGAAAGAGGTCTTGCTGTGGACCTTGTAGATTATCCTCCAGTTTTCCAAGGATATGGAGGGGATTTCAATGGCACCCCTCTAATTACATATACCTTCATTGTTAGCTGCAATAGCTTCAAATATCCTAAACGAATATATAGGAGACGCACCGTCAATGTCAAAAAAAATCCATCCCCATACTGGCTTTTTTGAAGCACGCCTTTTGGCGGTGGCCCAAGAATTGCAATCATCTCTGCAAGGTGATGGGTGTCAGAGCTTTTCTTTTCAGGATCCCGGGCATAGAAAAGATGCCTCTGCTCGACAAGGTCCCAAGCCTATAGAAGACATCAGTACCAAGAGGTTCAATCCGGGATTTGCGGTCTGCTGACGAGAACTCCGAAATTCCAGATATCAAGCTTATGATTCCATGGTATCCGCAATAAAACTTCCGGGGCTCGATATATCAGTGGTTGTACATCCTCCCACTGAGTACCGGTTCGCGAAGACAATCGTGCTTCCCCAAAATCCGCTAATATGGGACGACCATGTACCTTGGTAATTCCAAGTTTTCGCGAGGAATAGATCATCCGGTTCTCGACTAATTTGTAGGGGCCGGAATTGCGATTCTCGGTCTCCTCGAAATCGAGCAGAATTGACTGGTCTTCTTAACTAAGCATGATGTTTTTTCCCTGTATATCTACCCATAGTCAACATCAGATAGTGTGAGATGAAGGAAACCGAGACTAATTTACCGGTATGAATGATTCCAGCTTCTGTTTAAAGGAAGTCGAGAGCAAGAAGAATATGAATCAAGGTTGGTTTCAGCAAGTCCTCCGGCAGAACTTTCGCTACCGCTCGACTGCGCAGTTCGAATAGACTCATGGCTAAAGGTGCATTCACAAGACACTGATAAGTGCAAGAGTTATCAGCAGATTTGAGTTGAAAGTCATCTAGCGCGTTCCGGACAGGAAATGATCCGTGCGAGTTGAATTAAGCGTTGCAAGATGCTCTGGTAAACTGCCTCACTGTAAATCCCCCCACAGCCATACAGTTGAGTAGCCCCCGGGACCAAACTTTCCAATCACCTGGTATCGTGAATGAAAGACGTCTCCTAATTTCACTGGGTAAAGAGATCTGGCGAAAACCACCACAAGGTTTCCTCTTCTAATTTATCGCCCGAGTCGAGCAGAGGACCCAATGGAGGGGGTGGTCGAGCTGGGAATGGCTGGCGCTGGTAAACATATTGCCTAAACTGACGAACTAAACATATTATTATCTTTGAAAGGCGCAACAAGATTCGCATCAACAAAGGAATGAGGAGGAAGGGGTGAGGTACTGCACGCTGGGGCCCATTATTATGACCATTCAATGTCAGTGGGTCAATTACCAAGTAAATCACCCGGACTATCTACAGGACAGGTACATGCTTACTGGAGAGGGAGCTTGCGCAGCGTTTAATAACCATGCATAAATATTGCATTCAAATTACAAGTCATAAAGCCATTATGAAGAGTAACAAAAGAATTCAGAGATATGCTCGTTCGCAATAGTCATCCACGAAAAATAGATACAGGAGAGGCACAAATTCAAAGGGCTGTGGGATTTGCCTGTGTTTTACTCGTGAAAATGGTTTGAATCACCATGATCGCATGGCGAAAATTCCAGCGCGCCAAGATTCCAATCTATATCGTCGGGGGCTTTATCACCGGCCTTGAAAAGTCCTCGACGGCAGACTGATTCTCAGAATTAACTTTGTCATAGATGTCGAGCAAAAGATCCATAATTACCATCGTCTTTGGTGTTGTCAGAAGCAACTTCGACAGTTGGCTGGAATATGGAAACCGGTTTTTCACACCGATAATAACCTCAATTCGGTGTATGAGGTTCATATTACAGTCTTAATTGGAATGTCCTCATTGCCAGACGAGGTATTCTCAGTCTTCAAGTGTCAATAGCTCTGAAATTTATAATACGTAACATGGACTGTCTCGATTTGCTGGGCTAGCAAAGTATAGTCTTTGACCAAAATACACTGAGAAACTCTTTGCTGGCCCCACCGCCAAGACCTTAGTGCAGCTCATTCCTTGAGCGGGCCACATTTTAAATGAGGGAATCAATAAAATGCGCCATGTACGGAGTATGGTACTATAAATTAACGGTACTTTTGTGTATTAAGGTGGAAGTAAATCTCCAGACCTGTACATATGTAGATTACATATGCCGGATTGACGGATACTGGTATATGCTAGTATTATGATGTTCATTGAAATGCATTGATATATGTTCTTGCTGGATTTTGCTATTGAAGCATTATCGGATTCTTGCATATTATGACGCTAGTACCCCTTTACCATACTGAAACAAAAAGAGAAAGGGGACTAAACATTAACGCTATCTTAAGTGGTAAAATACAATTCCTCATTTCGAAAAATCAGCTTAAATCCCGAAAACGAGAGGCACTCTGAATAAATTCTTGATGAAAAAGTGGCAAAGCATGTTGAATACTGGCAAATCCTTCAGTTGTCACAGTATTACCCGGCTACACGTTTTTGTAAGTAACCGTAAAGTCCCAATAAGAAAGACCATGGTACACAACTTTACTCTGAATGCTCGCCCCAGTTTCCTTATGTTTGAATGTTATCGTGCACGGAACATCAATTGTAGAGCTTTTCATAGTGGCCGTGGCTTTGATAGAGGAATGTGGGGGTGTAGTGACAGGAACAACCTGTCCAACAGTGGTGCTGATCGAGCTTGTTTGGCCCATAGTGAATTCATGTTTGACGGTCATTTCGGTTTTGACTTCTCCCTCTGCTACTAAAGGCACACCGACCTTGAAAGTAGCCCCGACGGTGATTGAAAACCCCGAAGTTTGAGAGAATGACTCAGTTACGGTCACCGATTTAGTCAGATTGACAGAGGGTGACTGAGTGGCTTCGGAATGGTTTGTGACTGTTTGGTCTGCAATATAGCTGGGAACTGTATTGACGATCTTGCCTGAGCTTGAATCGTAGTCGGCAGTGACTTCATATTTCCCGGCCCTCAATTCCAAAATGAAAATCATTCTGTCAAGAGAGTTTTTCATCGCGTCACCAAGATCAAAAGAAGAATACAGGTTAAAAGAGCCACTTGATTTTCCAGTGCCCTCCACTAAGCCGAATACCTGTCCAGAGTGCCCTGATTGGGGTTCGGCAATGCGGAGGCCCTTGGAGCCCTCGTCAAAATGAAGGACATCCCCGGCTCTAGGCTTTTGATGATAAGACTACCAGCCTTTGCGTCATTCGAAGGCTTCTCAAAAATGAAAAGCTGATCATCCGACTCAATAGAGGCGTCCACAAATGTCAAGCCATCTTTCACGGCATAAAATTGGTTTCTTTCGACCGAAAAAATTCGAAAAGGAAAGCCGGGGGGAGGAAGGTATTGGAATGACATCTTTGAGAGATAGCGGAGGAAAATGGTCCGTAAAAAACCAGAGCTCAAAAAAGCTCCAGAGGTGTTGTTATTGTTAGTAGTCTTAGAAGACCTTAAGTTTTTATATATTTATTTCGACTCTCAAGTCCAAACTCACCAAGGCCATGTCCATGGGGCTTTAAATAGCGGTGATTCTCTACGTGCACCACTTGCATAGGTTTTTCTTGTGTAACCCGCATCCTGGCAACTCATCATGAATGCATAATAATGCATACGGTTAATGTTTCTTATAACTTATGACGAGAAATGTTGATGGGAAGTCGATGAAGCCCGTAGTAGATATCAGCCAATCAGATGACGAGCATGGTCCAGGAATGTCGAAGAAACAACAATCAAAGGAAACAAGTGGGGCTTAACAAAAGTGCCACATCAAAGGGCCGAGTTGATGACATATGAGGTGAAACCCATCCTGATGGCCTACAAAAAAAAGGAATGCATTCATGTTGTATGACTCTATTTCAGATCGCAGCGTCTTAGCACTGACCGCATGTGATAGGACTCGCATGGCGTGGAGACCGCTATAGCAGAAGTCCCTTCGACACCCTTCCCCGCTCCCTAATTGGCTTGACGCCCCTGCAGGCATCCAATTCATTAGTTGCAGAGCAGGCGCCCGGGTCGTGGATCTACGAAGCTCGGGCTTCTACCGTTACGTTGTAGCCGCCGATCTAAGCTGGCCCCCTAATCGCTCATTTTGTTCCCACGTCATACGTCAAAATACCATGAAGAACTGGTTCTGCGGGTTGTACAACCGGTACATGCTACTGCATATCAACCTGCTTTTGAAGGTGTGATTCCCCCTAATCGAAAGGAAAATGATGTCAAGATCGCCGATGAGAGAGCCAGAATGAGGAAACCCATCCCTATACCCACTTGCACACCAAGAACAATTGATCGATCGCCTCTCGATATGATTTTTCAGTGATGTGCATACTCCATTCGAAGCATGCCTCATCACTCGTTTGTTCTTCCGCTTACAGTAGGCAAACCAGGAAGCCGATCATACAGTCATTCTCGAAATTGCCTTGACTGGATTATTTGTCGGAACTCAGAAATCACATGATTTTGCCAATTTACCAAAAGGGTGCACACCCTACTTAGTAAGGCATATTTTAGTGTATTTTTCCTATTGACATTATTTAAGACCACGTGATTATTTACACCGAGGACTAAGTAGTAACAAGGCACCCGAGATAACTGTTCCCCACCCTCTTTATTCTTGTTCTTTTGAGTATTTGAGCCATAATCCGTAAGCATTCCAATTGATTACTTCAAGCTCAAGTTGATTCTACTTTGTGACATATTTCCATATTTCCATATATCCGGTGATGAACGACTTGAGGAGAGTTCTTTTTTTCGGGGTGTTTGTTCGTTGTCGTGTCAACACATATGCAGCTCCATCATTTGCTTCATAAAACATTGGAACTATCAATTGATCAATCCCTGTACGTCAATCATGGAAAAGGTGACTGGTATTGTCGGTATTCCGGGTCATGTGATCTAGGCCGCGTTGGCAACCCCTTTTAGGACTAGCTTGGTTTTGGGTTTGGGGGCATAACCTCCAGACCTTCTGCTCTTTTCTCTTTTCTCCTCATCCCCAATATCTCATACTGCTCTGTGTGAAGCTGTTATCTTCATTGCTGTAGGCATCTTCCCCGCTTGGCGGCCCATAGGCGCCAAGAGTTATATATTACGAGCAATCGACCTTTTACTGTGTTTAGACAGAGGTGGGTCTGCCGGCTATTCTAAGGTTTCGGTTGCCGCTCTTACGAGCTCACTTCGTATTAGTAGCTTGCAGTCTGGGCACACACTGAGCCGCTCGGTCTTCTCCACCCGTGGACCTCAAGTTCCCAGGTTTCTGTCTTCAGTATCCCCATCATGACCCCGACAGTTGCAGTAGCCGGTGCTACGGGCTCCGTAGGCAAAACTCTCGTGGAACAGATCCTGAAGGAGGGAAAATTCTCTGTGATTGCTCTTACACGAAGCGTATGCCCACACAATCCCCTCCCCCTCATCCCCCTAGCCCCCTACCAGAGAGCAGACGATTGAGAGCTTTGAAATAGGAAAATTTCGAGTCGCCAATCGGCGACGCCAAGTACGTGCAGGTAGACTATGATGACCAGGAAGCACTTGTACAAACGCTAGAGCGCCATGAAGTACAAACGGTGATCTGTGCCATTGGCATGTTGGCAGACGATTGCTCCGAAGCTCAACTCAATTTGATCAAAGCTGCCGACCTTGCCAGCACAGTAACAAGGTTCATAACAAGCGAATTCGGCTACTTTACAAGTGAAGAGTAGGGCCAACTTTGACTGATTTTTCTTCGACACGCTGCTGACACGCCGGCAGGAGAAAGGAGGTAGATCCAGGCGTCAACTGGTTCCTGGATGCCGCAGACCTCCTCAAGACCACCGGGCTGATTTGGACTCGTCCAATCTGTGGCGCATTCATGGATTTCATAGGACTTCCAATCGCGCGGTCGAACATGCCCCGAATGCAAATCGTCATTGATGTCCTCCATCGAGAAGCCTGTCTTCCGGGAGATGGCAATATCCCCATATCCATGATCTACAGCTTTGATGCAATGACCTTGGTTGCAAAGCTCTTAGAGCTCGAAGAATGGTCGGAGATCACCATTTGCAACGGGGATGATACCACATTGGCGGAGGTCGTGAGGATAGCGGAGGATATCTGCGGTAAATTTCATGTCCTTTTCACACGACTTGCAATTCTTGCCAATAATAATCTTTCGCAGGTCAAAAGTTTGATATCAAGTACTTGAAGGAGGAGGACATTGCCAGTGGCAATATTCCTATACTGAAGTATCCCGAAGAAACCGGTATTCAGCCAGAAGAGCTTCTGCACTACAGTGTTTTCTCATATCAGCTTTACCTCTCAAGAGGATTTGAGATACCAGTCGAGGGGCGAATTGGAGATCGTTTCCCAGGTTTCAAACCCAGGACTGCTCGGCAATTTTTGGAAGAAACTTGGAGACCTTATGTATAGTCTGATGTATACTACTCGAGCCACTGGGTACCTTCCATTCTGTCTTTCTATGGGCCATGTGGGTCATAATACTGTCCTCGCCTTATGTACCTGAGTCAAATACCCAGCGTTGTGAAATTCGTCGGCAATGACATCATGACCTTGGGTGTCGTGTTGGTTTCCGTTTCCGGATTCGTTTCACTGCTCACCTAAGTGCTCACCTCTTTCTTTACTTTTGCTCACTAAGAAACCTCTAAATCAGCCCACCCTAACCACCCTAACCTTCTAGGCTCTATACTTGTGGTCATTCAGTATATTCTTTGCTTGGCTGGTCCCCCCCAACTTTTACGAACTCAAAACATAACATTTGGTGAAATCAATCAGTGTGGCAGGAAAAAGTACTTCAAGTTCCAATACCCAATTGCTCCATAAGTTTTGGTATCTCCCTGGGGCTGTAGTAGAATCAGACCGCTTAGAGCCCTGGAGGTAATGCTCCCTGAGCAGACTAGAGCTTGCCGCTTTATGCTACTAAAAAGCGGCAAGGTCATGAGCACCGATTTGGAAGTACCCAGATGGTCAACCTTCCCAGGCTGGAAGGAGTCCATGAGTGGCAGAGAAAATCCGGTACGGCATGTATATACATATATTAATTTATCAAATGTTAAGGCGGATCTTACAGAATGACGTATAGGGGCGCTAGAATAGAAGAAGCAAAACTAACTGCATACAAATTCACAGGTCCGCCGTTTACATCCTATATCAAAAGTTCCTCAAAATAAATTGAAATTGACATTGAAAATCGTAATGAAAATTTGAATGTTTTTTTTTGCGTTTCGTTTGTTTTATTCGAACTCGATATCTAACTATTCATCTCACATAAAACGCATCAACATTGGAAGTATGGCATACAAACTAAATCTATTTCACTGGCGTCTTCAGTCTCGCACTGGTCCTTCGTTGACTGGAGTTAATCGTCAGGGAGTCCACGCCCGAGATCAAAGGAGTGTCTAACGCTGAGTCCACGCTCTTCTTGACATCGCCTCTTATTTTGCGAGACGAGATAGGGCGCTCATCCAGCGGAGTTGGCGAGGTTGATGGCGAAGGTGACAATGAACGACGATGGTTCTTGGTAGGGTTGGAATCGGGAAGCTTGAGCGAATTCTTGCTAGTCTTCTCAACATCCCCAGTCAATTTGGAAGGAACAGGACTGTCATTCAACGGGGTTGACGAGCGTAATGAGGAGCGACGACTATTCTTGGTAGGGGTGGACTCGGGGATCCCCAGCGAATTGCTGTTGACTTTTTTATGGTTTCGATCTGATCCAAATTCGGAAAACGGATCAGGGCTGTCATTCAACGGAGTCGGCTCGCGTGAGAGGCGGTCATTGCTCTTCGTAGGGGTGGAATCGGGGTTCTCAGGCATTTCCCAACTGGGCTCCTTGTCCCCAACTAATTTGGAAATTGGACTAGGTCTTTCATTCGGCGGAGTTGTTGAGCCCGATAAAAATAGGGCACCCTTTTTGATGGGAGTGATTTTCGTGGGCCCCTCAGGTGAATCCCGAAGAGGACTACACTCCAGTGCCTTAGCATTGAAGCGTCCCTTCTTGTCATACACTGGGAAGACAGGACCCCGAATAAAAAAATCGACCCATTCATCAATCCAGTCAAATAGAGTCTCTTCATCGATATTTAGCCATTCCTCATGTCTTTCACCGCATACCCAGCACTGGTCTTTAAGCTTGAAACGGTTCCCTTGGAACTGGGCCAGAAGAATTTGCTCCACACGATAGGCACGTTTAGGAATTCCGTATTGATTGAGCATTTTGGAGTCGGGATAACACTTTAGGTGCTCTTTGAATCGATCTGTTCTCGGGTGTTCTGCCGAAACCCCGATCTTCAACTTGCCCACTGCCCATGGGGACCGTAAGACATATAGATAATCTTTGTCGATTCCATTGATATCTTTGGCTAGTACTTTATCGACTCTCTTGATTGTGTCGAGAAGGGGGAAGTCAGACTTGAAAGGATTGAATTCAAGTACCCTGACAGGCGGCGGCCATTTCTTATTGGTCTTCAGCAGTGAAATGAACTTCTCTTTCATGACTTCGTTCTTCAAATCTTTCTCCCATTTACTATTGGCGTAGCCGCCAAACCTATGATCACTGCACAAGCAATAATGGCATAGTTGTGACATGTAACCCGGAAGTGGGGAGTGTTGATTGCGAATTGAATACAAAGATTGAGACACAAATGTAACCCAGTACATGGCATCCTCAATCTTCGTAAATTTCGGAGTGTATTGACAGTGACTGCCATTGTCATTGAGGAAAGCACAGCAGATCTTTGGCTCGCTGGCAAATGCTTTTGCTAGCACATCATGAAGGGGCTGAAACTGGGGCTCGGGCACAATTGGGGGGGGCATATTGATGGTCGGTGAAAGGTGCCAGGCAGGAAATCCTGTGAAATGACTTTCCGGGTTCCCTGGGACATTCCTGATATTTAAGCTCATGAGCAGACCGATTCAGCCCTTCTTCCACCGGCAAAGCCCCACTGCAATGAACCAGTTCACTGGATCGGTCTAATTGTGCACGCGAGAGGGCTAAGGCAGCCCCAAGGTCTTATCTGGCATAGTTCACAGTTTCGGGTCATGGGGCTGATCATGCTGCGCCATAGACAAATGTGAGGCCGATGAGCAGGACTGCGTGGTTATGGAGACAATTTCCTGTTGGAAGATCGTGATTGATTGACTGTATGCATTAGTCGGACGCGTTAGCAGGGGTTCGCAGCCGTAGCGACGAAAATAGAATAGTCTCCGGTATCCAAATGATCTAAGCCACGTCGAGCCACAGCAGTCGGAGGAAGTCGTAGACTCATGACAAGGCTTAAGGCAGTCGCCCGGGATGACTGGAGCTCTGCGTAGAAGCCTTGGTATCGAAGAATTAGTGCGAAAAAGACATATTTACGGGGCAGTTATTCCAAAAAGCTTGTTTGATTTACCCGCTGTGCTTCAGACTTTTTTTGCGGACAGAGATTGATTCCTTGGTGAATTGAGAGGGGTTGCTGTGGATCTTGGTTCGGAAATAGCGCCTCTTAGTCGAAAAAGCAATTATGAAGCCCGGGCAAAGATTTATACAGACTTGTAATGCTTGGAAAGGTCAAAGCTGAGTCTGAGTGGGAATCGCGCTAGACGAGGGCAATGCTCCGAGTAGAACGTACATACCAGCCCCCGGCCCCCAACCCCTTTCTGAGGAATAATTTCCTATGGGCATCGGAGATGCCGATTGCGGCGTAGCACTGAATCGGGATCGATAGGTACATGGTTTAATCCCCGCGATGCTATTTTAGTGAGGGCTGAGGGGAGGAAAAGGAAGAGGAAGGGGAAGGGGAGACTGAAGCAAACAACCGGAGCAGAGAAACAAACAATTGCAAACAGCTTTAATGGGGGTTGCCAATCTTCAAGTCTCCCATCTTGATATGTTCACCAGTCTGTATGAAAATCTTCACTCGCCTGAAGCTCGCTTCTTATATCACGCGACGGACTATGGCCGTAGATAGAATTCCGCCATCAAGGTAAACTGCGGATGCGGGGTTTCGATAGAATGCGTCGTTATCTCCCGCGGAGACTGAGTGATAACGATCTCGCTTGGTCCTGATTTCCCTCCAATTTGGATACTGCTCAGATTCATAAAGAATCGGTGGAGATGAGCATTCTCGAATGAAGTTCTGCTCGAGTCAAGCATTTTTATTTAGAGGCTTATTGATCGCCTTATACAAATGCCCGATAATTGGCCCTCTTTCATCTCAATAACTCACTTGCTGCTTCTCTTGAGGTCCTTCCGGTTGAGAATGAGCTCCCGTGAAATACTCGATAGTTCCAACAAATCCAAGATACAACACGCCTCAGCTAATAGTACAGCCCTGAATACCAGGCTCCTACATGTATCAGGTCAAGCCGGTATCGCTAAGTCAGGCCATGTCCCGGCCGACTACGAATCCCAAATTCATCTCGCACTCCTTAATCTCCGCCGCGTGATTATTGCATGTGGAGCTACGTTTAAGGACATCACCAAACTCAACTTATACATCGTGGATTATGACCCCGCGACCCGGAAGCATGCAAGCCCAATTCAGCACTTTTTAGGCTCACACAGACCGAACGTGACCATCGTCCCAGTCCCTCAGCTGGCTGTGCCTACATGGCTCTTCGAAGTCGATGCGTTCATTGCTTGTCCATCCCCGGCACAGTCTATTCCGCGGACATTGGCCGGTGAACCTCGGGCGGATAATTATGATGTTGTGATTATTGGTGCCGGATTGGCCGGATTGACGGCCGCCAGGGAACTTGAGGGAGCAGGTTTGTCCTGCATCGTTCTAGAGGCCCGCGACCGGGTTGGAGGCAAGACTTGGAGTCAACCTATGGCTAGTGGCCGTGGAATTCTCGAGTTCGGTGCGGGTTGGATAAACGACGTGAACCAGACGCGCATGATTGGTCTTGTGAGACAATTTGGTTTGGATGTGATTGAACAGAACACAACTGGAAACTGCGCGCTGCAAGATCTGGATGGTAGTATCTTGGCGTTTGCATATGGCGAAAGTCCCAAGGTTGGTTGAGAATGTGACCGCGGATGGCTTATCATGATCTGCTGGGGAACTCGATGATTTTATACAGAGTTGGCTGACTTGGGACTTTCCTTTGGTTAGTTCGACCTCGCCTCCATCGAGGATGTTATCCGAATTCGTGATATGACCGAGGCAGACTGCCAAGCTGTGGATGTCTTCAGCCCCCACGATACACGGCTCGACAGCATGACATTCGAGGCGTATTTACGCTCCAAAAATGCTTCCGAGAAGGCGATGTTGACCGCGACAGTCTGGACTCGGGCGATGCTCGGTATTGACCCCTGCGATGTCTCGGCCCTTTTCTTCCTCAACTACTGCAAATCCGGTGGTGGCCTGTTGCAGATGCGATCAGACCGCAAAGGAGGAGGTCAGCATTTACGTATCCGCCAGGGAACGCAATCGTTCTCCACGAAGCTGGCTGAGACACTTGCCCGGCACACCGTCCGACTCAATAACGCCGTCAAAACGGTTCGCCAAGAGGGCACTAACATTGTTCAAATTGTCACTGGAAATAATAGTATCTATCGTGCGCGAAAGGTCATCACTACTGTGCCGAGTCCTGTGCTAAAGACAATTTGGTTCGAACCCCCTCTTCATCCGCTCAAGCTCGCATGGTCCGAGTCTTCAAACTATGGTTACTACAGTGAAGCTCTGATGGTATTCAAAACTCCCTTCTGGATACCAAAAGGGTTTTGTGGCCTTGCGCAATCCTTCACTGGCCCCGCGGCTGTTGTCCGCGACTCATGTAGTCCAGCTGATGGTGGATATGCCCTTACATGTTCCATGTGCGGTCCTCCAGCTCAAGAATGGGCTGCTCTCCCTCAGTCAGAACGCCTGGAGAAACTCCTCGCTCAGCTGGGGGCACTGTTCAGAGCCGAGGAGACAGTTAAGCAGGACTTTGTGGAGATGGTCATGTACGAGTGGAGCAAGGATGAGCTGGCTGGTTATGATTGTCCATGTGCCCATTTGACACCCGGTGTTCTGGACTCATTGGGACCTAACGCACTGCGCGAGCCCATGGGAAATTTGCACTTTGCTGGAACAGAGACGGCTGGTGAATGGAAAGGTTATATGGAGGGTGCTGTGCGTAGCGGCGAAAGGGCTGCCCAGGAAATTATCGATAACTTGAATTCGGCGCGACTGTAAACAGATTGATAATAGTCAATGGTGTATTGATTCACCTCTTCACCTGAAAAGCTGATATTTCAAGGTTAGTAACGCCAGCCATGTCTAGCATGTCGGCAATTGCTGGGTTTCATATTGCCGACACGTGATCTTCAGAGCTTGAACCTCATAGGCGGTGATCAAGGCGGTAAGTCAAATCCAAAATACGTGTCGCCAACACTTGCATATCTCCGCGCCTTGGCGTACTTGGCCAACACATTTATGCATACTCCATTACGCAACGGTTTGTCTTATCAGGTTCAAATACAATTTACTATCGCAGTGGGGAGGATAGACTGTCTTCTGGAGTCTTCTGGCGTCGATATTTAGTTGCTCCACACGGACCCCACAGAATGCTTTATAAGGGAAATTCCATTAGAAACAAGCTCTGTGCCTGTGCTTGTGCTTGGGTAGAGTTGCATTGAACCATGTTGCAACTACGTATATCTCGCTTTACCCCAAACCCAATTGGGATCCCGCATGCCCACATCTCCGACACAGGCATCTGCCAACGGAAGTTGCCGCCATGAGAGACCTTCTAGGCACATCCCCACCTCGGTACTTTAGTCCGGGGTTTAACCGGGGTCTCCAATGGACTCCTTTTTCCGGCACTATGAGTCAAAGGTCTGTGGTTAATCCCGCCCTTGACTCATCACCGCTACTTCATGTACACAGTGCTCCATGTACACAGTGCGTTCCTTGTTATCGGAGATCGCTAGGTTAAGGCTTTCGATTTTGGGTCAAGGTGGAGCCGAGTGGACAAACAAGTGGGCTCCCTACCAGTTTTAACGAATTTAGGCGTTACTCGATCTTGGCGATTAATTTAATTTTCGAATTGACTCTTCACTTTTCTCTCAGATTTTCTTTCCTCGCGGATTCTTTTGGTCCACGAGACTCCCCGAGTTTCGCTGTGGGAAACCGAGTACGGAACCGAGTACTCTTGAAAGAAATCCCTGCTTTTCAGGGGCAGTAGCAACGACCTAAGCTTGGCTTTGGTGACAATGCAGGCATCTTCGGAGACCGATACTGCGGACGAGAAGTTCCTCACGCCAGAGGGAAGCAACCATTCCGATGTGGACACTCTGAGCTATGAGCAGCGTCTCGAGGAGATTCGTATCGCTAACCCGCAAGGTGTAACATCGGTACAGGGTGGCGTCGATGTTGAACAGGCCGAGGAGGACTTTTCAGATCTGAATAGACAATTTTCAAGCATTTCGCACCAAGCTCGTCGATTGTCAAGACATGCTTCTCGGGCATCTAAACCGACGGCCACTGTTGATGAAGAAAAGGCGAGAAGCTCGAATGACTCCGAGGAGTGGGATTTAGAGACGGCTCTTAGGGGGAATCGCGCTGCGGAGGATGAAGCTGGGATCAAGGATAAGCGTATCGGTAAGTTTTTTCTCCGAGATGCTGGAATATATCAACGCTAATTGTATTGCAGGCGTGATTTGGGACGATCTCTCAGTGCGTGGAATCGGTGGCGTTAAAACATACATCAAAACGTTTCCCGATGCCATTATTGACTTCTTTAACGTCCCACAAACACTCATGAACATTTTCGGCTTGGGGAAAAGTGGCAAAGAATACAATATACTGGAGGGCTTTCGCGGTTTGACTCGACCGGGGGAAATGGTTTTGGTCTTAGGCCGGCCAGGCTCGGGATGTACAACATTTCTTAAGGTTATTGCCAACCAGCGTGCTGGATACACCGGCGTCGGTGGCGAAGTCTTGTATGGTCCTTTCGAATCAGACACATTTTCCAAAAGATTCCGGGGCGAAGCCGTATACAACCAAGAGGATGATATCCACCACCCGACCCTAACTGTCTCACAGACATTAGGTTTCGCTCTGGACACCAAAACTCCAGGGAAACGTCCATATGGCGTGGGAAAAGCCGAGTTCAAGGAAAAAGTGACCCGAATGCTACTTCGTATGTTCAATATTGAGCACACGGCCAACACCGTGATCGGTAATCAGTTCATTCGTGGCGTGAGTGGTGGTGAGCGCAGGCGGGTGAGTATTGCAGAGATGATGATCACTAGTGCGACTGTGCTGGCCTGGGATAACAGCACACGTGGTCTGGATGCATCTACTGCGTTGGACTTTGCCAAGTCTCTCCGAATCCTGACAAACATTTACAAAACAACCACGTTTGTCTCTCTGTATCAAGCTTCAGAGTCTATTTACAATCAGTTCGACAAGGTTCTAGTCATAGATAGTGGACGATCTGTTTTCTTCGGACCAACCAATGAAGCACGTGCCTACTTCGAGGGCCTTGGTTTCCGCAAGAAGCCCCGACAGACCACACCAGACTACCTCACAGGATGTACCGACCCTTTTGAGAGAGAGTTCCAGGATGGAAGAAGTGCTGCCGACGTTCCATCGACACCTCAGACTCTTGCTGATGCCTTTGAGAAATCAGTTCATAGCAAGCGACTCGATGAAGAGATGCTGGCTTATCGTGCTCAGATCCAACACGACAAGCAAGTCTTTGAGGATTTTGAACTCGCAAACCAACAAGCAAAGCGGAAGTTCACGGCCAAATCATCTGTGTACTCCATCCCTTTCCACCTACAGATTTGGGCCTTGATGCAACGGCAATTCTTGATCAAGTGGCAAGACAAGTTTGGTCTGACAGTCTCATGGGCCACTTCAACTGGCATCGCAATCATCCTTGGTACTGTCTGGCTGAAGCAACCAGAGACCAGTGCTGGTGCATTTACTCGAGGAGGTCTCCTGTTTACCAGTATGCTGTTTAATGGATTTCAGGCTTTTGCAGAACTCGCATCCACGATGATGGGACGTTCTATCGTGAACAAGCATCGCTCATTCACATTTTATCGCCCAAGTGCTCTATTCCTGGCTCAAATCTTTGTGGACACCACATTCGCTACTTTCAGAGTTTTCATCTTCAGCATAATTGTCTATTTCATGTGTGGCCTAGCTCTAGACGCTGGTGCCTTTTTCACCTTTGTCCTGTTCGTGCTAAGTGGATATGTTTGCATGACAGTGTTCTTCCGAACGATTGGGTGTCTGAGTCCTGACTTTGACTATGCGATGAAGTTCGCGGCTGTAATGATCACACTTCTCGTGTTGACTTCGGGTTACATGATCCAATGGTCCAATGGTCAGGTGTGGCTACGATGGATTTATTATATTAATCCGTTTGGCCTTGGATTTTCGTCATTGATGATCAATGAATTCAGTCGCTTAACGATGACATGTGTATCAACATCTTTGGTGCCCCATGGTGCCGGCTATGACGATATTGCCCATCAGGCGTGCACTCTCGCAGGTGGTGATTCGGGCTCCGACATCATTCCCGGATCCAATTACCTTGCAAAAACATTCAGCTATTACAGGTCAGATCTGTGGCGGAACTTTGGCATCATGCTTGGTATGTTAAGCTCACATACCCTTTGATTACTTCTTTCCCAGGTTCTTTGTCTCAACTAATATTAAATTTAGCATTGATTATCGGCTTTCTTGCTAGTAATCTGTACTTCGGAGAGGCCATTCAGTTCGATGCGGGTGGAAAGACAATTACCTTTTATCAAAAGGAGAACAAGGAACGGAAGGAATTGAACGACGCCTTGGCTACGAAGAAAGCCAACCGCCAAACAAAGACCGTGGATGCAGGAGCTAATGTGGAGATCACATCGAAATCAGTGTTTACCTGGGAAGATGTTTGCTATGAAGTGCCTGTGCCATCGGGAACCCGACAACTTCTTAACTCCGTTTACGGATATGTTCAGCCAGGCAAACTGACAGCTCTGATGGGTGCATCAGGTGCAGGCAAGACCACCCTATTGGATGTACTGGCGGCGCGGAAAAATATCGGTGTGGTTACAGGAGATATCCTTGTCGACGGAAAGGCTCCAGGTACCGCGTTCCAGCGAGGCACATCTTACGCTGAACAGGCGGATACGCACGAGGCAATGCAGACCGTGAGAGAGGCTTTGCGCTTCTCTGCCGATCTTCGCCAGCCATTCGAAACCCCACAATCTGAAAAATACGCCTACGTTGAGGAAATTATCGGCTTGCTTGAGCTGGAGAACCTGGCAGATGCAATCATCGGAACTCCGGAAACTGGTCTTTCAGTTGAAGAGAGAAAGAGAGTCACTATCGGTGTCGAACTCGCTGCAAAGCCTGAACTACTCCTCTTCTTAGATGAGCCTACCTCTGGTCTTGACGGCCAATCGGCTTTTAATATCGTTCGCTTCTTGAAGAAACTGGCAACAGCCGGTCAAGCTATTCTCTGCACGATCCATCAGCCTAATTCGGCATTGTTCGAAAATTTCGATCGGCTCTTGCTTCTCCAGCGGGGTGGCCAGTGCGTGTACTTTGGTGAAATTGGCTACGACTCCCAGATCCTGCGGGACTACTTCTCTAAAAATGGTGCCGATTGTCCCGAAGATGCTAACCCTGCTGAATGGATGCTCGATGCCATTGGCGCAGGACAAACTCGCCGGATCGGTGATCGCGATTGGGCTGATATTTGGCGAACTTCCCCTGAATTGGTCCAAGTGAAAAAAGACATCATTCAAATCAAAGCAGAGCGAGCTCAGATGAACCAAGACCACACAGAACAGGCTGGCTCAGTAATCGAAAAAGAGTACGCATCGCCCCTTTGGCATCAGATCAAAGTGGTTGGCCGTCGAACCTTCCTTTCCTTCTGGAGATCCAAGAATTACGGATTCACTCGACTGTTCACCCATGTTGCTCTATCTCTGATCACCGGACTTGGCTACATGAATCTAGATGACTCTCGCTCTTCACTGCAGTATCGTGTCTTTGTCATCTTCAACGTCACTGTGCTCCCAGCAATTATTCTCCAGCAGGTTGAGCCACGTTTCCACATGGCCCAAATGATCTTCTACCGAGAATCTGCGTCCAAAACATATAGTCAATTTGCCTTTGCACTTTCCATGGTCCTCGCCGAAATTCCCTACAGTGTCATCTGTGCTGTGTGTTTCTTTTTGCCACTCTACTACATCCCCGGATTCCAAACCGAATCCAGTCGAGCAGGTTACCAATTCTTCATGGTTCTCATTACTGAGTTCTTCGCCGTGACACTGGGACAAATGATCGCAGCCCTGACACCCAACAGTTTTATCGCCTCACAGCTCAACCCTCCAATCTCTATCATCTTCTCCTTGTTCTGTGGAGTCACAATTCCTCGCCCACAGATGCCCAAATTCTGGCGCGCCTGGCTCTACCAGCTGGATCCTTTTACTCGGCTTATCAGTGGTATGGTCGTGACAGAGCTTCATGGACGCAATGTTGAATGCAAAACATCCGAGTACAACCAGTTCACTGCTCCAGCTAATCAGACCTGTGGTGAATACATGTCCGACTTTTTCGAGCGTGGAGGAGCTGGTTATTTGCTGGATAATGCCACGCAAGTGTGCGAATACTGCGCATATAAAGTTGGAGATCAATTCTACGAAACATATGAGATGAGCTTCACCCACCGATGGCGAGATCTGGGGATCTTCATCGCGTTTGTCTGTTCTAACTTGATCATTTTGTTCCTAGCGGTAAGCTCCTCAAATACTAAACCCGGTATTCTCATTTGCTAACGTTTCATTCACAGTCTCGATTCCTTAATTTTAACCGGAGATAGTCGCATTGCAGGTGTTGGGGTAAATGCGAGCGAAGAACCCTTTCATGAGAATGGCGGGAAATGGAAGAAAAAGTATATTTAAAAGTTAAAATTACTATCAATAAGCCAAGTAAAAATACAATTCAAACCTAGGCAATTCAACGTCTCTTCTTGTATTCCCGAGCCCCTCAGCATGACCACTTCCCCGCATAAACTCCACGGACCCCAGATTCCCCACGCCCCCACGCCGCTTATCCATTCTGGGCATGCTCACGGCTATATGCCTGTTCATCGTCAAGTCATGTATCCCTCTTGTTCAAAGAAAATATCACCAATAACCGGTCTTTCAACACGCCCAGGCCAAGTCTAAATCGTATCATGATTCCGAGAAACTTCCTGAGTTGTCGGACGAAATCCGATTTCACCTCGTGATAAACATGTCATGAGTATGCCTTCTAAGTACTTTGTAGCATGCTAAGAATGATATTCTACGAAGCACATCGCGGACTTGATCCGAAAACTTGACTCGTCGGCCAAGACCTTCCACGTTGACATAGACATCAGGTGGAGACAAGTTCTTCCCCGCTTCTTCAAGCTTTCGATTATGCGGAGAATTACGACATGTTCCAGACTCCGTATGGAGAAAGAAGAGACCGTAACTCTGTCTATCAGCGCAGTTCCAAATCTTCTATTAAATACCCATACCGCCACGGCAATCTACAGGTCACCATATCCATCCCTTACCTCTATCCTCCCTTGAACAGAATCCAACAACAATGGCGGACGACCGCCCCGAAAAGCCAAACCCCGGCTCTGAAGATATTATGGACGAGCACACAATCACACATGCCGAATCCAGCATAAGTCGCACAAAATGGAAATCCGCCAAATCCACGGACGGCGATACAGCCATGGCTCTATTCGACAATCCAGACGAACTGCATGAAGAGATCGACCCAGCTGAAGCCCGGAAAATACTGTGGAAGATTGATTTTATGATCCTGCCCTATCTAGCAGTGTGCTATGCATTCTTTTACATTGACAAAGTGGGTTTGGAATCGTGTTCGCCCGAAGATCTCACTAATTGATTAGACAACCTTGAGTTATGCAGCGATATTCAATATTCGGGAGGACCTCCATCTCCATGGAACGCAGTATAACTGGCTGAGTAGTATATTCTACTTTGGGTTTTTGGTTTGGGCTTTCCCAACCAATTTTCTCCTGCAGAAGCTTCCAATCGGTATCTTCAATCGAAACTTGACTTGGATATTTGTCTGACTGTTTCGCAGGAAAATATCTCGGTGTGAATATTTTCATGTGGTATGTCCAATACTCCAAAGCTGAACAAAGAAACTGAATTCAGTCTAGGGGAGTGTTCCTCATGATCCAAGCAGCATGCAACAGCTTCGAAACTCTCGCCGTACTTCGAGCTCTGGGTGGAGCCGCAGAAGCATGTTCAGATCCAGCCTTCATGCTCATTACGAGCATGTGGTATACACGCCGTGAGCAACCCGTCCGGATCGGATTATGGTATACGGCCAATGGCATCGGTATTGCACTAGGCGGGTTATTGGGTTATGGCATTGGGCATATCCGGGGAGCGTTGCCTTCCTGGAAATATGAGTTTCTGATAATGTATGTCCATTTCTTCCAGCAGGTCATTATATGCTAATTTATTTCTCTTCAGTGGTGCACTGTGTGCTACTTGGGGTATCGTTATGTTTATCTTTCTTCCAGACTCTCCTGTCACAGCTCATGGGCTCACCAAACGGGAACGGAGAATCGCGGTTGAGCGCATCCGAGAGAACCAGACTGGCGTGGAGAATAAGCATCTGAAGCCATATCAGATTCTTGAAGCATTCATGGATTACAAGCTCTATCTGTTCTTCATTCTGGGTGTTGTTTGTATGTCTAGAGAAAATTATTCTTTTGAGCTGGCCATTGACGATTTAAGTAGGCAATATTCCCAACGGCGGAATCTCAAATTTCGGCACAATCATTATCAAAGGCTTTGGTTACTCGACATTGATTACGACCATTCTGCAGGTATTCTTTCTATTACTCTACTAGCCATCTTCATTGCTAACATGCGTGTTCCCAGGTTCCCTACGGAATATTCATCGCCCTTTCCATCTTGACATGTGTCTACCTTAATGACCGTTTCGAAAATCGACGATGCGTTTTCGTTCTGATCTTCTTGATTCCCAATCTGGCCGGCGCGTTTGGCTTACGCTTCGTGCCAACGGACCACCATGTCGGCCGCCTCATTTGTTACTATCTGACTGGGCCTTATAATGCCGCATTCGTACTCGTCCTGAGTATGCAGGTTGCGAACACAGCGGGTATGTTTCTGCCTTCTATTACTGCATGGAAATCTTGTACATAAGCTAACGCATGCTACGATGATTATTAGGCCACACGAAGAAAGTCGTCACCAATGCTGTCCTTTTCCTTGGATACTGCACTGGCAATATTGCAGGTCCTTTCTTCTACAAGACTGATCAATCGTGAGTTCATATGGAAATACATATGTGCGAAGCAAAGCTGACGAAGTCTTAGACCAACATACACACTCGGCATTTGTTCTATGATTGTTTCTCACCTGATTGAGGCTTGCCTTATCACTATCCTTGGTCTTCTTCTTCGGTGGGAAAATAAGAAGCGTGATCGTATCCAGTCCCAGATGGAGGGAGGTCTTGAAGGCAGGGATTTGGACTCTACTGCCTTTTTGGATTTGACGGATCGAGAAAATTTGAAGTGAGTCTTCACCGAATCATTCTTTCTACCTACAGGCAATAGCTGCTAATACTTACTTGCACTTGCACAGTTTCCGGTATATCTACTAACTTGGTTTTCCGTCTCCTTCAATCATCAAATCCCTCTCAACTATACTATTCACCTCAATCTCCTACTTTGTCCCCCTACCTAGTCTTCTATAGTACCTCGAACCATATCTCCTACTTGCCTGTATGGCATATTCACTGTCCTTTTGTATTGGCTGAAAAGCTTAGTATGCGCGCAGTGAATGGAAATATTTATCCTTCAAACTACCATTGCTACCAGGGTGATTTTAATCACGAACTGGACGCCGCGCGTACTTTCGCAGCGTGAAAACCATTGGTCCGTCTTCGAAAGAGGGCATCTTTTGACCGACGTAATATTCTCGTCATTTCCTGGTTTCAGATATATTTGCATATCTTCGCCATTTTTGACCGTTGCGAGCTTGCCATTGTCCACGAGCACATCTTCATATTCGTCGAGGATTTCAAGAATCATCTTGTTGAATGAGGAACACATAGCATCTTCTTCTAGCTTTTGCTTTCATGTTATACCTAGCCTGATTGTTTGCCTGGATCAACAAAAATCCCTGCTACCAGAGCATGCCACGGTGGGGAAGAAACTTCCTTGTGTCAAGCGCATGAGCTTGTTCACGCGGAGGATGGGGATCTTGACCCGTTGCCGAAAATGGGTTAGGTATTACTCTCGTTGATTAGATGTTGGAGGTGGAGGGTGGGTAGGGGTGATGCGACTCTGTTTGGGCAATTTGCATGAATCTGAATAGGTACAGGCGCGCTCGAAATCAACTGAGTTTCACTATTTACACTATTCTCTTGTATTTTGAACTCCAATCTGAAACACGTTAGTCTTTATTTGATTTGAATTATCACGTACGTTATAAATGTTCTGTAAAACAAATTACAATATCGGTGGATCTTGGATATTGAGTAATTCAAACAATGGCAAAACAACTTTGTTTATTGAACTCCCATGAAAACTCGAGAGTGGTGATATGTGCTCCGGTATTCCATGTCTGGTGCAGGATACCTGTCGCCGTGTCCCAGTGTAGCACGCTGTTATTGTGGAAGGCAGATGCCAGCAGCTGGCCATCGGGTGAGAAGGCCGCCGAGTAAATATTGTTTGAATGGCCCTCCAGAGTCTCCAGCTCTGAGTTCCAACTTTCGTTAACTAATGGTGACTAGAGTGGTCTTTACGAATACTCTCTAGATATATTCAAGAATAATTCAATGATCTTATTATGACTATTTGATCATGTTCCAATTCTCCAGAGCAGTCAACCAAGTAACATGCAGTATAAGTTGTGCACCACATTCCTAGGCAAAAGATGGTATTATTGAATCCCAATACAGTGTATAACGGTACTTGTATGAAAGCCTCTTCATCCCATCTGTGTTATGACTGCTTCAATGCGTGAAGAGCTCCGGAAGCGAGTAGACCCGCTCTAGTAGAGCGCAATCCTATAAATCACGATTCGTATCAGCCCATGCACTTCGAAACTCGGCCTTTCGCGCTGAATGATGAACATACATCTTTGTGGTATTAAACAGGACTATTTCCTTTCCCCGGCCTTATACCAATATACCTCTCCAAGCTCATTATATTTCGATACCGGAGGTCTTGCATGTACTGAGCTTGTTCAACAGAAGGCCGAAATTCGTATATTCGATCGCCATTGCTGGCGTAGTGGCCGAAGATAGCCGCAGCCATGGAGACGCTGCCAAGGCATGCAGCGAGGACAATGATAATGATAACAATGTTGGAAACCATTGGGAATGATTGTAGTAGAGAGTTTCACAGGTGAGGTAAGATATCGGTTTTGCGCAATTAGGCTCTGGTGATATCTGCGAGGGCTGCTAAGCAAGGGCAGCGTTGATGATTGGCAAGTATAATCGGAAATTCTGGAAGACTTCAAGGAATGAAACGGACACAAAGAAATTGAAAGTAATGGAAAATCATCCAGGCGTAAAGAAATTGGTGGAGAAGACCATATTTAAAAATAATTGCAGCTTTACGACCCACATTAATTCCCCCGGTTTGCTCGTTCATTGGATTTACAGCTGGGTACACCTTCCAAGAATCGAAAATAGAAGCATAGCCGGTTTGAACTATACGATGCAAATCTTGAAGCTGTTCTGGGAACCATCGGAGCTTCGATACTAGTCCCTAGGCAGCTCCTTTAGTTTTATTGGATGTGTAGCTTAAGTCCGAGCCGACTACGCAATGAAACCCACCACGAATTGAATTGGCCATACTAGCCACGCGGAAGTACCAAGAAGATCCGTAAAAATAGCTGGGAGTGCAATATCTTGCCCCTTCGAAGTCAAGATATGCCCTTCCACAACGTACACCGTCGGGTATATCTGACCAATGAGAATCGTGTACCTGGACAGTCATGCCTATTTGGGGTTAGCGCTAATGACCAATACGCGATAATGCGTATTCTCTTTGCTCTGATTGCCCGTTCCTTTCATCCATTCATCGATCTACAATGCGCTCACGTCAGTCTCATAAAAAATCAAAGAATGGTTGTACTGGTTGCAAACAAAGACATATTAAGGTGAGTGGGACGCACTAGTCGATTTCATTCCTCGCTAATTCGATGTTTCAAAACAGTGTAGCGAAAGCCTACCCAAGTGCCACCGCTGCCAGAATCGTAACCTCGACTGCCGTTATCCTCGGCTCAACCCCGGGAATCTGAAAGCCGAAAGCGATCACAATGAAGCAGAGTCATCCAGTCGAGAAGCAAGCCAATTTTCTCCGAATCCCCGCTATATTGAGGCGAGGCTATTACACCAATACTATACCAGCACATCTCACACCATCTCCAAAACTAGCACCGAGCAACAAAAATGGCAAGTCCACTATCCTGGCATAGCAGTAGCGAATGGATTCGTTCTTGATAGTATGCTCGCATTTTCTGCCCTCCACCTCGCATTCCTGGAAAAAGACCGAAGACAGTCTTGGGCTGAAATCGCCCTACGCTATAGTCACAATGCTTGCTCGGAGTTTTTAAAGGTCGTGGGCAATATCTCACCTACAACGATTGAGCCTGCCTTGACCTGTTCTATTTTCATAGTGCTAGTTACAATCGCCCAGCCTGGCATTTCTGGCCTCCTAAACTCTTCAAGCCATTTGGCCGAGATCTTACGCGTGATGAATCTCCTTAAGGGCTGCAGGCTTCTAATCGACAAAGCAGCAGCTTTCCGTGCGAAGGGTTTCTTGACAAGTGAATCCATTTTCATCGAAGATACATCCCGGGATCTCGTCAGAGACTTCAACAGTGTTCAAAACACAAATGACAATGTAGGTCACATACTGTGTCGACTTGGCTCCATGGTCCTTGCGCAACTGAGCACACAAGCTAGCAGCTCCCCAGACACCAGCTACCAGATTTGTATCCAGGCATGTGCTGATCTGATGGATCGGGCAAACCAGATCAAGGAAAATCATGATGAAGCACAGATATTTCTATGGCCTTTCTCGACCAGAGTAGAATTCATTAGTTTGCTCGAGGCGAAAGATCTTAACGCGCGCTTGGTCTTTCTTCTTTACGCCGTGGGATTGCATCACATGAGGGAATATTGGTTCATCAATGATACTGGTCAGAATCTGGCTCGGGAACTCCTGGAACCATATAATTCTCTCCCACTGTCTTGGACAGAGTTTGTCTCATGCATACGAGCTGAATTTGAATGACACGAAGTAGTATGTGAAATAAAGAGGTCGAGGAATTGTGGATTCGTTCACTCGGAATGAACCCTCTTCGCTTGCCTACTGTATAATGGATTTGGCGAAGATGACCGAAGTGGATGAGGAGTGGCCAGACAATCGGCCAAAGAGTAAAGATTTGAAACTAATTTCGAGAACGTCTGTACATTGATATTTTCTCTATTCCTTTCCCTCTACCCCTCCCGTCCGATTATCTTATATTCTTATCCTTTCACATCTCTCGTTCTGTTTCCACCGCGGAATTCATCTCTGTTTGCATATTGTCTGCGTCTCTATCTCTGTCTACTTGTTATACTACTATCGGATATCTTCGTCTCCACTAGCTTGTGGTACATCACTGTAAAATGGGTATAGGTTGTTGTGCATGCAGTAAGTACAGAATGGGAAGGTACAACCACGTGTATAAATATCGAACTTTATCCCGCTTGGATATTCTGTATGCCCTGGGATCTTTGTGTACTCAATCGTTTTTCATCTTCTGATGCCCATCCCTCGCTGCATGCTGCGTCATAACCAACACCGAGGCGACAGAAGCGATAGAACTAAAAAAGACACCATGGAGCTCCAACCGGTATTAGTAAGGGGGTAGATGACAACTGAGATAATTGCAAAAAGCAACCCCAAGGTGAAAAACATCCACATCGTGCCATAAGCTGGTGAAAAGAAAGACTTCTTCAACAGGGGGATAACCATGACCAGATTGCCGAGCACGGACATGAGACTGCTTTGAACGAGGTACATGAAGTCTGCATCATAGACTGAACCTGGTGCGCTAGATTTCATGGATATTGAGAACGCTTTGTATCCTGGCACGACGACTGCGATCAGGAATATAAGGATCAAGGCTATGAGCCCAACGTTTTCCTAAATCGGTATCATTTAGTCACACTGCTTTTATTATTGAATCTGCATTCATATGCTTACTTTCTCTTTTATCAGTATCACGGAAGTTCCAGCAACCAAAGGCTCTCCAGGGCATGTGGGCGGGGAATCATGCGGCTGGGAGACTGGGAGGTTCACCAGTCTCTGCATTTCTAATAGAGAGTAATCATTCAGATCGCTCACAGAACCCAGGATTTTGATTCTTCTATCGATTCCCTCCAAGGTCGGAGCAAATCTTCAAGTGTATCCTCTGACTGAGCTTCGATGTCGCTAAGAAGCTTAGTTTTACGGATTTTGATTTCTCTTTCCAGGCTTTCTGGCACTTTGAAGACGATTTCCCCGCTAAGAGACTTTGAGCTCGCATGCCCCAAATTCAGGAATATGTCCAGCATAAGCTCCCAGTAATCTGTCTCAAATGCATCTTGTAGGTATTCAATAATTTCCTGATCTCGCCGATGAGTAGAATTGAACACTGGGCGGGGTTCGAACCAATTATGACTGGAATTCCATTTCTTGGACACGGCTTCACAAAATTCGCCCAAATCTCCAAGATAGACTGTTTCCGGGTTCTCCATATTGGCTGGATTAGAATTTTGTATTTTTGTGATGTCTTCTCGAATATCTTTGAGGCGTTGCTGGACATAGCCTTGGTTAAAGGACGGTACGACCGACTGAAAGTATTCCGCAAAGCCGTAATCTAGGAAATTGAAGCGGCCAGCAAGGTATATCAGACGGTTCTTGTTGACTCGGTTTGTGACCTTTGCATACGGCTTATAGTAGCTGCGGTTGTCGCTTGTTTTTTGATGCTAATCATCCGTTAACGATGGTGGGTGAAGGTGCAAGGAGACCTACGCTACTCACTCTTCTACTTGCTTGCAAGCGAGCCTTCTTCGAGAGCGTATCGCACAACGAACTTATTATTTCTTTTTGATTGTCTTTGATCATCAGAGTCTCAAAAATTGTCTGTGAATCAAAATAGACGTTGACAGTGCCACGAACTTCGCCAATATTGAGAAGTTGCGCGTGGTCACTCAGCGAAAATTTGGAGTTCTTGAAGTCTGGCAGCTCTTTGCTGTGTCTTGCATGTGCATTGAACTCTTCATCAGCGATTTCGTCGGTATCCTCCCTGATAGCTCCGCGCCTATGTCTGTTGCCTGCCGTCGAATGTATGTTTGGGTGTAGCTGGATGCGAAAGCTGCGATTTGAAAGTTTCAGAGGACCTGTTTAGACTTGGGCTTGTGGGCTATATTTCAATAGTGCCCGGGACACACTCAAAGGTACCTAGCTAAGATGGCTTGCTGAAGTGGCTGTGTATTTACGAATCTTGAATTGATTGGGCACGAAGCTTCTAGACTACGCGCCCGACGCACGTATGCTGCACTTAGCGATGTAGGAAAATCTGCAAGCACTCAGCCACCTTGACATTGACCAGGCTGGGAAAAAGATGGCGGTGCTTGATTCTGTTCATTGAGTCCCCTCCGTCCGTCCCGGGTCCATCTGCCAAGTCACCTCTAGTCATTCTGTTTCTGCCACTCTTATTGGTTACCTTTGTTTCCCTTGAAATCTACTCGAAACTCACCCATTCGACTCGGTTCCTCACCTCTCATTTCCTTACTCTCCCTTTCATAGTTTCAGGGCCGCAGCGCGACACGCGCGTCTGCCAGTACAATACAACCCGACAAGGACACTAGGAGGTGACTCAAAAGTAGACTAGCGTGTTTCAAGCTAGGGCTCGGGAATGAAAGTCTTAGAGTGTAGAGGTAAATCTATACGGGCTTTTCTTGGTGGGCCTGCACATGAACAAATCACTTTTTGTCCACCTGGACATGTCCGCGGGCCGTCCACACGGACAGGCCCACGGGCCTGCCGAAGTCTACTTAGGATTCTCAAACAGGGGACCTATTCGGACTGGGGAAATGTGTATAATCTATATGGCTTGGCAAGCCAATATTGAGGGGGTGTAATGGATCGAAGGCTTTGATGAAGTACCTTAATAAGTACATCAGTGACAGTGACGGTGATGGTCCACAGGGTGGTGTGGCGCAGCCGAATAGGACTTCCTTTCAAGAGTACGCTGGCCGAGTAAATGATCCCAACTCGTTTAAATTGACTTCCTACGCCATTATGACTTCAGGGGATTAGTATCTCGGCCATGGATTCATATACGTGTACTAAAATACATCAATCCCAGCACAGACATACTGGCGGAAGGCGAAGGCGAGGATGAGGAGGCACAAATTGTCCAGGACAGAGGCTCTGCGCAGAGAATGACGACAGGAGTAGGGAATATCGGTGGTCTGACCAACAAAACTAGATCAGATCTTGCGTACGCTGTCAGCTTGCGTCAAAGAGCAGCTGCACATACCTTTGGGACAGCGTGGAAGACTGCTCTTGGACTTTGGTATACTCGACAACATTTGAATGTCCAAAGTCTCCTCATAGATTGAGTAAGTATTTATACAGTTCCATTAAGTTCTTCATTCGAAATCGATTATACTTCATACACTCATCATCGATTAATGCCTGCAACCTCTAGCTTCGTAAACATAAGCCTAATCTACCTCATGGGGTATATTCCCTTCAACAAGGCTGAATCAACCTGAGCCTGCCTTCCCCGCCCTCATGCCCAATGAGCCAATTCTTAATCTCTCGGCCTTCCACAGTTGCATGATTTCCCGGATCCGGTTCGCTATTATCGCGGTGCTCCTGAGCAGCTTTGACTGCCCATCCAATGACCCCATCAGGCAGGGCTTCCAGCGCCTCCTTTAGTCCGCCACGTGTGAAACGTATTCTCAAAGCATATATGATTGACAACAAAACTAATCCGACGAACAAGCCTCCAACAAGCAACACAAGCGCCTCTATGACAAGGGGTACATCAGTCCCAGCGATAATGCACCCTTGTGTCTGATCTGCATCCGGCGCCGGCACGGAAAGAAGGATGTTATCACCTCCCTGCACCATTGTCATTGTGTTGAGGAGTATCGCTAACTCAGTCGTTGGGTCGGAGATGGATGTCGTGCCGGTGCCGTAGTACATCAAACCTTGGAAGGTAGCTGCCCAGGTTTCAAGGGAAGCTGTAGCATTCATCTCTGCGAGGATTGTCTCTGCAGAAGGAGCATTCATGCTGCAGGACAGGGGGAGCATGGTGACATTGTCATCATATGGGGAGGCGTTGGTCTGTATAGCTGCGCGCACATCCCAGGTATCCGTACTGTCAGTGGCGTCACCAGTAGAACTACTCCAAATCACAAAATGATTGTAGTAGCCGTCCCCGAAGCCAGAGTACTCGCCCGCTCTGTTGGAGTACAGTAATCCCTGCTCGATGAGGTCGTCGGTTACCAATCCCCTGTCGTAAGAGGCACTATATGTGCGAGTGCCTTCAGTGGAGCAGGTCCAGCTCCCAAAAATGTCTTCTGTGTCAGGGCAGAAATCCACGTCCTGGTTGACCTTCGCATATATTCCAATAGAACAGTTGTTATTGACACTGAAGTACTGTGAATTGTGGGCGACGATATACGGCATCCCATTTGACGGGGGTGCGACCGCAAGAAAAGGTCCAGTGGTGTTGAGAACCAATCCCTCCCCAAACAGACACCGAGATCTCACTGGAACTTGGACCACAAAATTCGCAGTCAGAAGATCAGTGATATTTGACAACGCAAACAAGATCACCATCACACTGTATCCCAGTACGCCGCCAGGAAACTGGCGAAGAACCCACACGAATTTCACCAGATCAAAACCCTGCAACCAGCCCATGACCGTATGGGCGCGCACGCTGCCATGTTTAATGATGTTAAGCTTGGCTCTTGACTGCAGAACACCATCCGCTAGCCAGGCAATTAGGCTGACAAATATCAAAAAGTAAATTCTCAAGACTAGGCGCGCGTGCCCGGACGATATATCAGTTAAAATCATTGGTGATAGGGTTTAGAAATGTATAGCAAAGTACAACTCGATCTGACAACATGAAATCAAGACGCTTCCGTGGTCATTTTATATCCGATTCATAGCGGAATCTACAGAGGCTGATGGACAAAGTGTTTTACGAGAAAGAAGCAAGTTCAGCAGTAAAAACAGCCGAGCTCGATATCTCATAATGTGGCGTCGTAGGTGAAAAAGAAAACATGAAGTGGAACGAGGTCATTCACAGCCCAGCAAGCCACTTGCGGGTGATAGCCAAGCATTTGGGTGAACAGGGGCGATAGGTCGGGACTCAGGAACGCCTTGCGTGCAGAATACGAGATTTACTTCCACTACTTTCAGGGTTCTACTAGAGCATATGAGGCGCTTCCGATGAGAATGATAAGCCTTGTCGGATGAATCATCCTCCTAGCAGTAGCAGTATAGACTATAGCCTCAATGAGATGCCGAGAAAATCGACTTTTTTCAAATTTTGAGATTGATGATCAAACTATGAATAAGGTATTGAATTGATTGCAATCTTAGAACAGCTAAAATGCCAAAGACGATCTTGTGCTCGACCTAACCAGAATTCAGTATTGAAGGTCAAACCTCGAATATTTGGAATTCCATCTGAAAAGGCTGATTTCGCTAGACAAAATAACATATCGGCAAATAATACCGGGGGAAACTTTGAGTTCAGCCACAGGGTCTGTGAAGGTCCACGAACCGCCACGCCGTATTAAGCAGTGGAAATCAGTGAAAGCTGCCGAATACGATCGAGGCACAAGCCAATCCCTCAATTTTAGATTTCCGGTCATCAGCCTCACAGGCGAAGCGAAAGTCTTCATTCTGTCTATAAGGTTTGCCACCCAAGTAATTAGGAATTTCCATAGGGTTTTATGTCCCACTAGTCTCACTCCCATAGGACCAAATCTTTGTCTTACAGACAGTTCTGTGGGCAAGGGCTAAGCCTACTCTTCTTCTAAACATAAATAACACTCCTGGCCCGTAATCCTAAATTTACGTCATCCCATGTACAGGAAAGGGGAAGGGAGTGGGCAATGAACCAATCATACTCATCAATCACTCAGTGATCTTTGGATGACTCAATCTTATGTCTATGTAATCAAGTTTACATTCGACTTATCGTCTCTTGGAAAAACATCTTGAATGAAGTTGGAACGGCCAGTGCTACTCATCATGCATAATTGATATGTATTCTTCCAGCATTTTATAACTCAATTCTCCTAGATTGCCGTACATCGACCACTCAGGCACCATTAACACACATACATAAGGGAATATTGCGAAAGAAATGAAGTAATCATCTTACATTGAAAGAAATTGATATCATGGAAAGTTCTATGTACATCATTGATGGCTGCATTTCGCATTGCCTTAGACTTCCCTCACACTCGGGGATTGGCCGCTATTGGGCTCCTGGGATATTGAGTTACGACCGCGCAGACTGAGATTGCCAATTCGCTGGACCAAGTTACTACCAACTGCATCAACGGCACCCTTCGGAGCCAAAAGAGTCGGTCCTTGCGCAGCAGCTTCTTGAACCCTGAATAGCCGGATTCCGGTGCTATTCCAAACACCGACGGTACCCGGGGTAGCACCAGCGGCAGAGCCAACGACCATCTCGCTAGAAAAGATGAAGCCCCAGAGGAGTGACTCGTACCAGCCCATAGAGAGGGCGGACCATTCAAATGACTGGGCACGGACCGGTGTTGGCTCTGAGATGATACTCTTCACCTGCGGCTCCTCAGCAAAGGACGGAAGATTACTGATCAAGGTACGGGCCTCCGGGCTTGAAGTAGTCTGTAGAGCGGCCTCTGGGATATGAGGTGCAATGGCAGAAATGACGGTGAGAATTGTATGCAGTGGCAACTCCGGAAGCCAAGATTCGAGCTGTAGAGAATTAGCAATGCCCGGTAGATGTCACGCAAGTAGATGCTTACCCAGGGAACAGTTGGTGTAAAGCCGGTCAATGAGGCAGTGAAAAGAGCGGACATGCTTGTTTGACTGGTCATGCTGTTCTGGCGAGAGAAAGATGGCCGGCCGGCGGGCATCTTGCCACGTGCCTTTTCGGACATGCCTCGCAACTGTGAGCTATTCTCGTCAGTAATCGAGGCAAAAGAAGGCCTACGAGAGGTTTGAGCGGAAGGCGAGGACTGAGATGGAGTGCTCTCCCCTTCATCGTCCGAATCTTCATCATCATCGCCAATCGCAAATGCGCTGTTCTCTTCAGGAATCCTAGTCAAAGGTGACCGAGCTCCAGAAGGGGTGTGCAGGTCCTCTTCGGACTGAGAAAGCAATGGGCTAGTGATAACATCGGCCGGGGTTTCCCTGGCCTTTCGCTTCTCTCTCTGTCTCTCAATTTCTTGTTGACCGCTTTCCAGCGTGAACGCTCGAATGGCTTCGAATCTTTGCTTGTACTTCAAAATTGCGTAGACGAGATACCGGTTTTCTGCATAACTGTTAGGAAAATCAAACGAGGAATGGACAATGCACGATACCGGTGAAGTTATGCTCGAGGATAGCATTGATGAAATCAAGCATTGATGCAAGAAGAGTGTGATTTGTCTCGTTCGCCAGCAAAAAGCTGGGTGCAGACATGGAAGAAAATAGTTGAATGATTTTGGGACAAGTCACGGCGGAGATCTGCTGGATATAAGGGGCAACGTTATTTAGGATAATCATGAAGGCGGGATAAACAGTGTCAAGGTTTCCTTTGCTGGTCGTCATCAAAGTATGTATCGACTGCGAGAATTAGCAAATGCATATATACTTTTTTAGGGTATAAACAGACCATAATGAGATAATCAGCATAAGAGCCTCGGAATTTCGGTTGTCGAATAGACAGTGGCAGGGTTTCTTGTGCCTCAAAGTGGATATTGAGACTCTTGCCGAAAGTCGGTTCTGCACTCATGGTCTGAAGAATGAAGACGCACATCCGAACGACTCCTTGTTTAGACGCATCCGCTCGGTATTCCATGGCATAGAATATGCAAAGAATTAAGAAATCATGTGACCGATTGGAATCGATGATGAATGACCTGAAACGTTTGTTGCACTGCAAGGTCTCCCAAAACAGAATCAACATTTCTGGTGCCCATTTCACTGATCTTTGGCTTCCCGGGAGATAAGAGTTTGTCGCCTGCATCTATTTTCTGATATTAGCATCGAATACGAGGAACGAGATGGCTTACTCACCGGCTGGTTCAAAATTCTGGTCATACCATCCACGAGGAACTGGAAATCCTGGGGCCTATGCAGCCTGCCAAAATAGTGTCGGTAATAATTCTTTGGAGGGGTCCCACGGCCATCCTCCGGAATAGGATAGAGGAGAAGAACAAGAAGAAGCTGTAAGCAGTAGATGACCAGTATCTGCTTAGGGTCTTTCCAAACAACATGGTCATATGGAACCCTCCATGATGCAGGGTTATATTTCATGGCCTGTCAAAGTTAGTACAACAGTTTTCTCTTGGGGTTTCGTTCAGCTGTACCGTGTTCAAAAGAGAGCAAAGTGTGGTCAAAACGGCCTGCTTGTCCTGGCAAGTCGTGATGTAGGTGATGGCCCTCACACCTTGTACGGGTAGCGTGTCTAGAGAAACACATCAATATGAATATATTATCGGGACCTGTGAGAGAAACTTACTCGCTGGCATATACATTGCCTTTCCGGTCATCGTTAGCAGTAGGCGCAGAATTTCGCATCGATTGCTTTCAAGGGTTTTGTTAGATCCCATAGATGTGTTGCAACCCACACCACTTTGCCATATCGAATACGAAATCTTGCTCTTGGCAGTTGGAAGCAGCGGAATAGTAAATTCGGTAAAGAAGAGCAAGTCCAGTAACGTGTCGATCAACTCTTCTGCAAGAGGCTTCACATCTTCGTATTCTCCTCCGCGGGGCGAGGACGGATCTTGCTGATCCTCCAGCTGCGCATCGTCGAAAAGCACCTCACCTGCAATCTGAGACTGTCTGGTCCTTCTCTTGCGACGCGACCAAAAGAATTTCTCTTCCCAGTCCTCCAGATGTTCCGCTTCGTAGACAAACGGCAGGAGCCGGGTGAGGATCCGAATGCAATTAAGCAGGTCACGATCAGGAGCAAGATCTGGATCGGGGAATGAAGGGTGGTTTTTGAGGACAATAAGCCGCGAAGACACCGAAAGTATTAACGTCTCGAAGTTCGATAAGGCATGGTCGCGCGTTCGTCGAATGTCAGCAGGTGTGAACAAGCTGAAGACGTCTTCTGTAGACTCAGGGAGTTCCCAAAACTAAAGTGGATCGATCAGCATCTCTATTCTCTTAGTTTCCATATCCAGATGGGTCCTCTCTTTGGTAGCATACTCTCGTCCAGTAAGGGTCGTCTGCGGGGATCTCCTTCTCCTCCGAGAGGCGGAAGATGCCCTGCTTGAACACAAGCTTTGACTCCGAGGCCCCCATTGCTGGTAAAAGAAACCAGTCCTTTACAGGAAAAGCTTCATGTATCAGCTAATAAGAGAGTCTCAAAGTAGAGCACGGGTGCTGAAGTCTTGCGCGGACGTAGTTGGTGTTGCGTTCGTTCCTATTGCGGAGTCGGCCGCGTATTGGCTGCCGAGCCCGCCTAAACAGCCTATGACATATGTGCCTCCAACCCATGTACTTCTTATCTCTTTATGACACCAACAAGGTTTAGTTGCTCTTTAATTGCGCTATCGGGAAACGAAGAACTTGAAAATAGGATTCGAAGAATAAGTGATAATATTTATGCATTAAAAAGAGCCCGCTATGAGTACCATGAACTACAAACTCCGATTCCACGCAACCCATGTTAAAACCCTAACCCAAAATAAACATCACATGCTTCCATTGCTCGCAGACAAGCGTCGACTTCTCTCGTAAAGCCACTTATTGCTCACTCCCAAGCTGGTCCGCTTTCCCATTAGAGGAGAAGGTGTGCTAGGACCGAGACTAGAACTGAAGCTAGCCCCGAGGCTGGCTCCAAGACTGGATTCGCCAAACGAGTTGCTACGGCCAAGAGATGAGGATGATCCGAAGCTTGGTCGCCGGCCCGTATCTCTGCCACCGTTGGCAACGGCTTTGTGAAACAATGGGCTGGATGCAGGCGAGAAAGGAGTACCAGAGGAAACGCGTCGCTCTGAAAAGCTGGTCGTAGACAGGGGAGAACCACTCTGGCTTGCAGGACTACCCTTGCGCGAAGTCGACATGCGGTACCTTGGCGGGGTAACATAGGTTGTTCCAGGGGTGAGGGGAGGTGTAGCAGTTGGATCCAGACCCAAAAGGGCTCGTTGTGTAGGAGTCAGGGGAATGTCGGAGAGATCGTCCACCGGTCGGAAGAGAGGGTATAAGGCCATAAGAATGTTGATGACGAAGAAGAGCTGAACGAGCAGCAGGGAAACCTCTGGATAGACGGAGTTGTGACCAAAAATGAAACGTGACCTTGAAAGAATGGGATCAGTACACTGCGCGCAAAGATTTGTCGTTCACGGAACTGACTTGGACTTGAGGCTGTTTCCGAAAACCCAGGTCATAACCATGGCACCCCCATTCCAAATGACCCTTCGCAGGTTCTTGTCACCAAAAGTAGCTGCATTTTGACGACGGACGATCTCATTCAGCTGGGGGTGGCGCCATTTGCCGGGAGTGCCAGACCCCGCGGAGGGGGGAGCTGCCGTCGGCGTGGCCTTGGGAGTCGAAGGGAGAGCAGACATTTGTCGCGGGTCAAATGCAAGGCGATACCGATAACTGAGAGGTGGTATTGATCAAGCTTGCAATAGCTGAAGAGGACAATATGACTGGCTGGAGCTTCAAGGTCAGGGATATAATTATCTGAGCACGGAAGCAGGAGAACTCACATTTGGACGAAAAACCGCGTAAAACTTACCAACTTACCTTGAAAAGCGACGGGAGGGGGTTTAGAAATAAAGAATCAATTCACCATCAGCATTGACATCGCCGAGGCGTTGAAGTTTCCCAGGGTGAAAGGGGGATTGTTTTGGTGTTGCTGGTTCGTGGCTGGGATTTGCAGAGTCGCCGCTAAGCGCGTGATATTATACGCCGGTGGAAGGTTGGCCCGGCCCCGCCTTTCCAATCAATAGATGCTTACTCTTGTTGCTCCCCACGTCATATTGTTCAGGTTCTCCGCACTTGCTCTCGTGTCATCAACTTGCAATGGCTGAACCAATCCTTCAGAGATTGGATACTCTGGTCGCAGATATCCTGGCCGACTGGAATATCTTTACTACCATCGTTGCCGGTATTGTTGCTGCTTTTGCCATCTATTCCGCCGTGTCAGCTAAGGACCCGGATGTCCATCCATTCTTACTTGCTCGTCAATCCACACCTTCACCCATCCGACAATCCGGCGAGTCCGCAACATATCGCAGCTTAGAAACTCCTTATGGCTTTCCTCTACGAGCAGGATTGAATGTCAAAGACCCTGGCGCCCCGAAATGGACCGCTGGTAGAAAGGGTGATTTGCGGGATATCTGGAGGGCTGCAGTGCGGGGAGCTTTGAATGAAGACGGTACTCCATCTAAGACTCAAGGCAAAATCTACACGGTGCTGGGTAAACAGGCCATTGAGCACACGCTGTCTCAGGTGACCCAGGAAATCAACGTGATAGGTCGCCATTTCCAGAAAGCCGAGGTCAAAACCGTTGCTATCTGTCTGACTGACTCGGTTGAACTGTTGGCTGCTCTCTTCGGTATTTACCTCTTTTTTTCAGCGCACTATTTATGTGTACTAATCTATTGGTCTAGCCGGTGCTTTCTATGGATACAAGACCATCCTTATCCCCCACAACCTTCCAGCCGATACTCTGTCAGCACACCTACAGACATCTCAGGTGGATGCCCTGATTGCTGAGGCGGGAGCACTTGATCTGTCCATCGCTGCGCGGGGAAACAAACAGCTGTCACACGTGGTATGGGTTGCTAAGTATGGTAATCGTCACATGGACTGGCATGGAGTTCCCGAGGGCGTGGACAGCTCTCTGAAGGTAGATGTTTGGCATGAGTTAGTGGAACAGCAGAAAGACTTGGCTGGCTTGGACATCCCTGAATACGATCCCAAAGAGCCGGCCCCTGCAGTTAGCACTGTTTGGCCTTCTTCTGCACAATCTGGCAAGTTCATTGATTTCCAATCGGAGGTATGGAATAATGTTTCTTTTAAACTTGCCACTATGATATTGACTACTCTTGCAGAATCTGATTGCTGCGATCGGCGCCTTGGGATCTGCTCTTCCTCGAAACCAGCGTTTCTCTCCTTCGGATCTTGTTCTCTCCATAGACTCCCTCTCGCGTTCCTACCCTCTTTGCCTCATTATGAATGCACTGTTCTCTAACGCCTCTATTGCATTGAACTCGGTTGCAGGAGAGCAAGTTGACTTTGCTTTGGCTACTGTGGGCGTGTCTCCAACCGTTATCATTGCTTCTTCGCAGACAATGTCGGACTACCACGACAGCGTCATGCAACCGCAGGCGGGTTTTGTTTCTTCCATTGGTCGTTGGGTCCAGGCACGCACTTTGGATGCCGGGAACATGCCTTCGAAGAACATCTTCAGTCAGCTGGCTCGGGTTGGACCAACTGCGGAGCTGTCTTTAGACAAGCTGCGCTTGCTTTGTATCTCGCATCGTATTGATGCACCTGCCTCGGCCCGTCTCACATCGGAACAACTGACAGACCTACGGATCTTCACTGATGCTCGTATTGTATACGCTCTGACTGGATCTGGTATTGCGGGTGCTATCTCGCAAACAAATGTCTTTGATTATCGTCGCCACGATGGCCACAGTCACTTTGGCTCTCCTCTCAGCAGCACGGAAATCACACTGACCGGAGTTAATGAAGCTACCGTTACCGACACTCCTGAAGGCCAGGTAAGATAATACCATTTTCTCCAGTCTAGATACTTTCCTAACCTGCGCTTTAGATCAAAGTATCCGGCCCTGCCGTTGTCGGTGAAGAGACAACACTTGCATCGCGAGTCCGTATTAGCAAGGACAACACTGTGGAGCTGTGCTCTTGAATTGGTTCTTTACTAGTGACCTCGACTCAACTATCATGATCCCAAGCGTTTATCACATTTCGGCCTTTTCAATGGTTATCATAAGATTATCTAGCATTTTGAAGTCACCTGCAAATATTTTGATATGTCCCTCAGGGGCAAGAGTTAAGTAATCATGTGATGCAATTATCTGCTCCGTACTATAGAGTCCCTAGCTTTATCGATACAAAGTTGGACCTGCATGGAAATTACCCGAAGGAACTACCAACTTGGTGATAAAGTTGTTGTGGAAAGGCATGGAGTGAAGCACTACAGTAATGTCCGATTGAATACAAAATCAGCTCCAAAGATGCTGGAATAAGAGTAATATACATATGCCGGTATGCTTCTCCAAACAACTGACAGTCAAACACAACGTTGAAACTCCCTTATTTCTGCTTGAGCGCAGCCTTGGCAAACTCAGCACTGAGTACCTTGTGAACAGAACCCTGGGGGATCTGCTTGAGCTGCGCCGTAATCGCATTCTTCACCTCAGAGAGGCGAGATTTAACAGTACTGTGCAAAGCCTTGTCGACAGCAAGGCCGTGAATCGACAAACTGAGCTGTAATCCGGTACAAACTGCAACGGACTCGATAAACCGTTGGTTCACCAGCTCCGCATCGAACTGGGCCATGGGAATAGGCGCGAAGTCACCCAAGTGCCAACAAGCAATAAGCTTCCGTACGTAGTTCAGCACCTCATTGTTCTTGTCCTTGCCACCAGCCTCCTCCAGAGCACGCGCAGCACTAAGCTCCAGCAGCGTTCCAATAACATATGGCTGGTATTTTGGGTTGGTGGCTGGGCTCGGTGCGTACGTGTCCATGATATCCACGGCCTGCTTGGCCATTCTAAGGGCCTTGTTCACCTGCTCTCCCTTGAACCCAGCATCATGGGCCATACGGTGAAATTCGAAGAATAGGCGTTCGGCGATATCGTTGTCTTGTAGCGACAGGCCAGTGTGCTTTTCTTGACGAGCGCATTCGATGATAAGAGAAAGTCTGCCGGCGCTGCCGGTCTTGCGGATAAGGTACTGCCACCGGGCCGGGGAAATGGTCATTTGGGCGTTCCATAGCCCATTCAGGAATGGCACTAGGTTCTTGTAGTCGTTGGCGGCTTCCATTAGGCGGAAGACATTGATAGCCTCCTTGCTCTTAGGCAATTCAGAGAGTTTCAAAGGTCGCAAGGTGTACTCTTCCGTCTCGCTAATCTTCACTGTGATAGGCTCATCTTCCAATCTGCGAGCATGCTTCTCCTTGAACATGCTCATGCGCTGTCGCTTGGGGAGGCCGAATGGGATGAAGAGGTCTTGTCGCCAGTGCTCAAGAGCTTGGTTCAATTCGGTGGAGGCAGTGGGGGAGAATGTAGGAATTGCTATATATCAAATATCATGGGTTAGAAGGCCGATCCACAAGATTTGAAGCCATTGAACCATATCATACCGGATTTCGAGGCAAAGTTGCGAATTTGCGAAAAGGTAACCGACTGGCGCGAGGCACCCTGCTGAAAGAGCCTACCCATAGCAAACTGCGCCATGATGAATTGAGACCGATGTCCGGTCAATATATTCCTTGCAAGAGCTGTATACCGGAGACCCCTGTGTGTTTTATTGCGTAGAACAATTCGAGCTTGGGAAGAAGCGCGAGAAGTGAGTCCGGGCGGCGAAGAGAATATCGAGTCTTGGCAAGAAATTCTGCCGGGCCGACTCAATTCCAAAACTCGATGCCGACTTTCTTTCTTCGATCCTCATCAAACCACCGAAACAATGGCTGCACTACCGACAATGCGGCCGCTGGGCTCTCTGAGGTCCTTGCTCTCAACTCAGAATGTCTTTCAGCCACAGATGACCCAGCGCTTCATCTCAACATCCTACTCCAAGAGACCCGAACGTATCCCTCTTCCTCCGAATCTCCCCAAGCAATTCCTCTCACAAGTACCGCTTCGTATGCAACCGCAAAATGGTATGTGTATTTGGAACCATTCATTCGATTTCTTGCAAATATAGTACTGACTAGACCCGTTCTTTCAGCTTCCAAGCCCGTCAAGGTCTACCCTGCTCCTCCCTCCGCTCGCAAAGCATGCAAAGACCCCATCGCAAAGATCACCGAGACCCAATTGGCTGTCCTTGACCCCAAGGGTGAGCGCAAGGCCCTGTTTGACTACCGCCGGAATACCCGCAGCGTCAAAGTCGGCGATATCGTGCGCGTTACTTTCAAGAACGGCGACCCCTTCAACGGTGTGGTGCTGAGCATCAAGCTCCGCGGCATTGATACTTCTTTCTTGGTGCGCAATGAGCTCACTCGTGTGGGTGTCGAGATGTCGATCAAGGCGTTCAGTCCGAATGTGCAGAGTGTGGAGATTGTCCAGCGCGCCGAGCGCAAGCCCCGCCGCGCGAGACTCTACTACATGCGGTTCGTCCTTTCCATACCACGCATAACAGTCGATCAAAATTTACTGACAATTCTTTTACCAACAGGTCCCGCAAGCACGACCGTCGCAGCGTGGAGAACGTTGTGGCCGCCTACGTTCGCCAGAAGCGGGCTTTCCTGGGCGGAGGCCGCCAGAAGTGATTGCGCAATGGCGCAGTGTAGTTCATTTAGCATATATCAGCATGTATTATTATCTGTCAATAGTGAATGTTTTTCTATTCCAAGGCATGGTTCCTTCAATCGCCCAAACCCAGACCTCCGAATAGTGTATCCGTGGATTCAATGCGTAATAGGGTATGCGAGATGTATAAAAGATTCCATCAATTTGGAAAAATGAAACGAAGGCTAGTTACTTGGCCTCGGGCTGTGATTATCAGATGGAACGAGGTCCGTCCGATAAGTCACTTTCTTCTAAACCATTTACACTGCTCTAAAACCTGAGCGCTTTGAAAAGTCTACAGTATCTGTTATACAATGCTACATGGCTCATGGAAATCATCCCAGGAAATTTCCCCCTGCTCGGCTTCGTCCGTTAAACATTGGCTTGGCAACAGTATCTCAATCGCTGTTCAACGTCGCCGTGGCCAAAGCTACGCCAAGTATGCTTGCAACCCTCGGATGGAAAATTTTTGGTACATTCTTTTTATACGGAAACTTCCGCTTTTTTATAGCCGGCTATGCGTAGGATTTGTTCTGGAAACCAAAGATTGGTCCCTATGCCTCAATCAAACACCGCTGTACCCGCGCTAATCTGATACTATAGGCTAGAACTATGTCTTCAACGCGTCTACTGAGGTGTCCAGGTGCGCTCTTGATTGTGCCTTTCTTAGGTCTTTCAGTTCTTCAATATCTCTTCAATGGCCCCTTTGCTTGCTCTTCTTCCCTCTCACGATGTTTCATTGCAAGATATTTGCGGTTGCGCGATGAAGTAACGGTCCAAATGGTCCATCGCATCATGTGCAGCCCAAACATAAATGTGGCTACCATTGAAAAGTAATCCGTCCAATGAGAAGCAGGGGTTGTAGCACATGGATGAGCGTATGAGTTCAAGACTAAAGTTGCAATATTGGTGAAATTCTTCAGTGATACATACTTCACTCATATCATACTGTATAATTTATAGCATACCTTAGATGAGTGCTTCAGAAAGTCCATCCACGCCAAGTATCTTTGAGCCAAAACTCCCACACAGTGAACTTGTCGATAGAGTAACAACCGGAAGGAAGGGTGACGGTAATGCTAATTACTCCAAGGACAAAACAATCCACCAAAATCCAGTAGGCCATTCGAGGGTAGAGAAAGCCAAACTCATCATGAGAGGGTTTAGAAGAGTGCAGAGGATTTGGAAAAAAATTTCTTGTGTTCGTATGAGGTTGGGATTTCAATCTAAGGAAATCAAGATGGTTGGAGGTCTACGGGGAGATGTACAGTTGAAGAAGTCTTGAGGTGGAATTATGTTTAGTACCCAGGCAAGAGCTTAAAGTTGGCAAGAGCCGATGTACATCCGTGCCAGGCAGCTCGTTCGTTTCAGTACCTCAGGCCTGCCTATTCTCGCATTCTGTCCTCAATGTCAAATAATTCCCGGCACTGACTTACGTGGACTAAAGGTGCTGATCCAAGCTCTTGGGCTACTCTTGATTCATGTTGGCCGTATTGTAATTTGTTTACTAGTGGTTCTTTTGATATATGGTAAAGCCTTTTACCATATTTGGAATTGATATACATGTATTCATATGGATGTCAGTCGCGCAAAATTCTCAATGGGAACCTTTCTGCCTTCTAGACAGATGCCTCTGCGAACAGCAACCACATCCCCGGCTATGAATAGTCTGCTTTTGGAATAACCAGCACAGTTCGATTCAGGAATTGCTATATGTACTCCTGGAACCACTCTTGTACACCCTGGGGCCTGTCTAATCCGATCAGGAACATACCCATGGCTTCGAGTCAACTAAATAAATCATGTTTTCAACAGCCTTTCCAGCCAGCCTTCAGCATATGTATCTACCCTTTTAGCTACGTGGCAATATACAAGTATATCAAACGTACATGTGGATTAAAAGTTACGTAGCGAGCAACGAAAATTTGAAAGATTGATATTGTAGGCAGGTACTGAATTCGTAGCCATGGGTATGTTCCTGCATCTCTCCTAACTTGGGGGAACAAATAGCAACTGCCATCCATTATCATTGCTCTACTTTTGGAATTGGAAACATAACTTATGAGATATTTCATTAGAGCAGAGTCAGATCAATAACAGCTGTAGCATTCAAATGGCAAATAATATAGTCAACTTAGTAGTTCTGGAGGGGCAGCACGACTAGCGTGTTGCGATTTATTGGGGTTATGCCGGATGCAGTTACTATGGAGCCAAAACACGTGGGTCAAGCCCGCCTTCCGCGTCAATTGCCCAAGCAAAACCCCCCTTCCAACTCTCAATTTCTCATCCACTTTTGATTTTTGGCCAAGTATATATTCCCCGGAATCTCTTTGTCATTAACAATGGTCTATTCCTCGGTGTTGGTCACGGCCGCGGCCCTGGCTTTGGCTGCCGGTCCGGATCCGGTTACCGGGACCATTACCTCCAGCCTCCAAAACATATTGGAGAACACCCATGGTGGCAACGAATATCATTATCCAACAGATATTACCCGAGATATTCTACCAGTAAGTTATCTGACATGCCCATTTTCCCCTCACATGTCCTTTGTCTTCCCCTATCGATCACCATCGCAGGATTTGGCTAACGTCATACGTACAGATTCCCGTTCATTCCCACAAGTAGGTTGCGGATTAAAAACAGTCATCAATTGACATCTTTATTTGATTAGTATTCTGATCTCTTGTTGTACAGTGACTATTGGCGCCAAGAGCCATTCTGGACGGGTATGTCGTACTGAGCTCGTTCGCCACATCTTTTTAACCAATTTCTTTTAGGCTTGTCAAAAGGCTGTACTTCAACTGAAGCAGATGTTTGGCTGTACAATGGTACGCTATATGTTCGTATTCCCCTTCACAATGGTCATTGAATGATGCAGCTGACATGCCACAGGTTGGTCATGATCAATCTGCCCTGACAAAGGACCGCACACTTGAAAGCCTCTATATCAATCCAATCCTCGATGTCTTAAATCGCCAAAACCCAGGAAGTCCATTTGTGACTGAACCCACAAAAAAGTCAGTGCCCCTGAGATTCAATGTCGTACTATTGCTGACTGGTTCAAAATAGTGGTGTTTGGGATACCACTCCAGATCAAACACTTTACTTCTTCATTGATGTGAAGACCTCTGGACCTGAGACCTTTAAGGCCGTTATTGAAGCTTTGCAACCGTTCAGAGAAAAAGGCTATCTTTCTAAAGTCGAGGGCAAAAACGTGACTTATGGACCGGTCACCATTATTGGGACTGGTGAAACTCCCCTTGAAATGGTGACTTCTGCATCCGAACGCGACTACTTCTTCGATGCTCCTCTTGCAAATCTCAATGACTCTAAATATGACAGTATTGATGGCACAATTTCACCTATCGCGTCCACGGACTTTGCTGCCGCAGTTGGCAAGCTGACTGCTGATACGGACCCGGTCCTTAATGATACGCAACTCAAGGCTCTTCGAGATCAAATTTCGGAAGCAAAGGAGCGTGGCATTGGGGCAAGATATTGGAACACTCCAGCCTTTCCTATCCGGACGCGAAACTTGGTCTGGAGGACGCTGCTACGTGAGGGAGTCACTCTTCTCAATGCCGATGATCTTGATGCTGTGACCTCTTACTTTTGAGTCATATCAATTAGTGGGAAGAGTCTTTCAAAGATTATCTCGGCATAGTTGTAACTAGCAGCATAGGCAGTAAAACTTGGTCTAAATGATCTCCCAGTATAATAAATGTACACACATGTTTCACGGCTCCTTCCCACCATAACCACGTTTTGCCATAATCGTCATTTTTGCAACAGGAGCCCTCGCCATTTGAATGATGGAGATACTTCCAGACTGTCAGAATGTTGACGAAGCCTGATCATCTTCACGTCATTGGATAATCAAGAGATCTAACCTTATACCAATGCTAAGTCACCGTTGGTTCGAGTCTCTACCGTTAAATTTCCATGACAAACTCCGCGGCTCTGCTACCCCCTACCAAATTTTCTGCTACACACATGACAAACTGTTATGAGGTTTTGAGCCTTGATATAATTTCATACACATGATTTGCCGGAGATCGCTCTTGACCCAATAGCCACATTGACCTAAGAAAGACGGAACAATGCATGTCTCATAAACTGGTGGGCTTTTCGTGAGATATTGTTCCATGCAAACCTACCTCGCGCGACCCAAGCACTTGAGGACCAGGAGTGATCTCCGGCACAAAATGTGCCTCAGGTAGAGGGGGCTCTGGCACGGCCATACTCAAGTGCTGTTTAATAGTATGTAATGAACTATAGATTGTAATGAATTGAATATTATAGTATGGAGGGAAATGAATTTTTATTGAATGTGGGGAATTCCGTGTCTACATCGGTATACATCTCCACTTTTATAGAGACGAAATTTAATAATTCGGGGACCTTGGGCATCCAGCGGTTCGCTTCCATCCAGTATCATGAGATGCTATGTTTTTGTGGTTGCGGGAAGAAATTAATATGTGATCATATCATCGCTCTGTGGTTTGAACTTCCACTCGCAAGAATTCATCGGTATCTGGCACGTGATCAGCGACGACAGGGCAAAATCGTTGCATATTTGAGCTCCACTACTTCTCAGTCCAACCTCGCTCAACGCCCAATCTCATTGGTCCAATCTGAAAAATGGCAGATGGCGATCTGGGAGATCTCTTGGCCAAGGTGCTCCCCACCGGGGCCGAGCTCACTGTCCGCCATATCTCTTCAACACCCGCCCCAAGTGCCGCCCTTTTCGCCGCGGCGCCTGGCCAAGAGCCCGAGTCCACCTTTTGCGAAAATCACTTCCTTTCAGTCTCTATTGACTCACCCAAAGATAATGGCGCCGAGATCATTGTTTTCGGAATGGAGGTATTGGTCTACAATTCTGCCCACCTGACCACTATATTCGTGTCTAAGGCCGATTCTACTGGCTTTCTGCATCTACTTAAATTACCACATAAAGTGTCGGTACTCAGATTAATCAGCCACACGTTTTTGTCTCACCTAGCTCGCACTCATCAGCGGCCGGGGGTGCGTTTGGTCGTTTCTTTGTTCGCCCGTGCTCAGAGTCAATACCTCTTTCCTGGTAGCATTGAGAATCCCGAAAAGCATGTCCTTGATGACCGGGGTCTTATCAAGTGGTGGTGTCGAGCCGTGGACCCGATTCTTAGCGAGCATGAGCCTGAATCTGTCTCACAGGACACCAAGCCCCTCGACCAGACAGTCGAAGCCGCCACGGCTTCCGCAACTGCATACCTCATTGTTCCGGGATGCGATCGTCTGGAAACGCGTAGCTTCTTCCCAGCCACTGCCAAATCCGATGTTCAGGGTCGTCCTCGGTGGCTCGCAAGTTACCCGCTGAAGCAAATCGTTCATGATCCCTCGGCTCCACCGCGATGCTTAATTCCTCGACTTCCAGATGATCCCAAGACACGTTTCTTGATTGATCTGGATGATGAACTTCCAGAGCCTGTCGAGGGTGAAACCCTATCCCCTCGTACTGGTCAATGGCGAAGTGTCAAGTCTGTGGATCAGTTCTGGGAGATGATGTCGTTTCGACAGGAGTGCTCTGCCGGTCGGCTAGTTGGATTTCTCTGGCTTGTCATCAACCCTCCTGGTCTGATGAACTCAACAACAATGGCTAGCCAGACCCGTGGTCCTAATACCCCTGCTAAAACGACGGCAGATTCCGACGTGGCAGGATCATCCAAGCCGACAGGGGATGAGCCACCAGAGAATTCCAGCGTACAGCTTGAACCTTTAGAGGAATCAACCGCACCAGCTACAGTTACACCAAAAGAGTCTCCTAGACTCACAGCAGTCTCTTTTGACCACCCATCCAGAGGCCCTACTGACACAACTCCCACGGACGCAAATCCGTTCTTCTGGCCCGAAGCCGGTCGAGGACACGTGGTCCTCAGCGAATCTGATTATAAGAAGATGATGGACGGGGTCCTGGATCATTTCTACGATGAGAATGAAATCGTCGCCAGCACCAAGACCTATGTTGATCAGGTAGCTTCACTGGCTGACCAACTTACATGGGGTAAACGGGTAATTGGCACCCATGTGCCCGAGGAAACAACAGCTCAAGTTGGAGCTATCAATAATATCCTGGATAACAATTTGGTTCGCAAGAGGAAGAAGCCGGAGGGCAATGGAAACCCTACTAGTGATGCAGATGCAGGCCCAGTACAGAGCGGTTCAGATGCCATACCATCGGCAGAGCAACCAGCAGCTGTTAATGTGCTTAGTGCTGGTCTTTTGCGGAAAAAGAAAAAGACATGATTATTTTGGGTCTCTGCTTGGATCAGGAGTTTTAGGATGGCTTTGATGCTCTGGCTATTGGGTCGAATCTGGGTTTTGGTTGCTGGATGCCATTTGGATATTTATGACCATCGTGCTTCCAACATTTAATTAAATTATTTCAGTTGACGTGGCAATTTTTCATTCAATATTGAACAACATACATGTACCTTCCTTGTAGGTCTGCTAGACTTCTGAGTATTTCCCTCCCATAGAGCGGTGCTATTGAACCATGCCCCCCTCTGCCATAGTTAGAGTGATACTATGGATGATTGCCTAGAAAGGAACCTTGAAAGAAGCCTAGTAGCTGCATTTGTTGGGAGTCTTGGAGATAACAACCATACTAGCCTTAATCGGGGTATGTTTACCTCCGCCGCTCAGTTATACCTAGTTCAGACTTCAGACTTTGAGTACTTGATCACCTCCACCATGCCCACCACTACTCCCTATACCAACTCCCCTTCCTCCACTAGGCTTAGTGCAAACGTTCAGAATATCAATACGCTAGCAGTGCATCAATTCAACTTCACTAGTGGCCGTTCAGTTTAAGTAAAGCTCTCAAGGTAAGCTTTCCCATCCTCATATTGTCCTCTATATCGTTTCCTCCGCCATACCACCACACAACAGTAGTATATATCGAGTTTCTCTCATCTGCTTTTCGAATGACCCTCTACACCAAATACTGGCCCAAACCAAAGACATTGACAACTGGGCGAAGGAATTTTGAGAAGCTAGTTTCGGTGAAGACAGAGACTAGCAAGGACTCCAAGCAGGAAGCGCTGTCACCTACCTTACAGTGATGCACATTGACTACAAGCTATGGCGCTTATTATGTGCTCCAATTTTAAGGTAAGCAATCCCCGTTCCTTGTAGTCGTTTCGAATGGGGATCTGCTCGCCAGCAATGGGGATTTCTTACTTTTGAGTTAGGCCACAAATATCGCCTACCTACTATGCACGGACACTCAATGCCGGTAATTTCTTGCTCTGTCAAGCAATCGCATCAATGCTGGCCTTTAAAACCTCACACCAAAAGACCTTCAAGGAGCGCCTGTGTAAAAGAATAGCGCTGCCAGGCCTACCACCATCAAGATCAAGATGGGTTTATCTGGATGTGCCAAACTTCACATTTAAAGGCAAGGATATCCGTCTTACACATTATGTGATCAACCTGCTATACCAGCTCAATTCATCTTTCGTGAATGGTTTCAAATGTCGGTTTTCTTAATATGGTGCAACATGTGTATACTGTATTAGGGTCGAACCATCTTGTGCATGCATCTGATAATCACAGTCGCAGGCCACGTAATTGAATTTCTTTTATACCATTTTTCCATGTTTCTTTAGTCGGATAGATCCTTTTGTACATCTCGCATAGCCTCTTATGCATTGGATCCACGGATACACCATTCGGAGGCCACGGAATACTCCAGGCACCAACGGAGCCGCAAAACAAGCCATACAAATAAAGACATCACATACACAAATACAGTAATTGAGAGATCTATGCATCTACTTTTCGAGGGCTCTAAGTATATAGGTAGCTGCTCTAAACACCCTCATTTAACCCCAACAACCTTGGAAATGGTACGCGTAACTTGAAAGGCGGTGCGACAGGCAAAATGCCGCAGTATCCGATCCGCGATGCACTCAGCTCCACACCGGCCCGACTAACGCACATTTACCCATTTACCCTTCACCTTTCATCCTCCTGCACTCGGAGCTGGATCTTTCTGTCCTAGAATGTCCTCCCCGTCACCCTTCCTTCAGGTCCCATGCTAGAGCCGCCCTCGCATTCCCTCCGGCTACCCATCGGTGATGGCGATATGCCCGTGTCCGTTGCGGCGGGCTGGATCGCACTGATCTGGTATATCGTCGTGGTTTCTGTGTGTACGTTAGGGTATTTCCAAATGTAAGTTCCCTGCACATAAGAAGCTTCGTGTTTTTTTGTTTCCCCGGACGCGCGGGGGAAGTAAACTAGCGCTGCCCGATTACGACTGTGGCTAATCACAAAGTCAATTCAGTTGGAGACACTTTCTACAACAACCACGCCGGTCTCGCCTTGCTACGGCCTCCGACGCGCCTCATGTCACTGCCATTCGCCCCGTTAAGGGTCTGGAACCTCATCTTTACGATTGCCTGGCCGCCACCTTTCGACAAGATTACCCGCGTGACAAGCTGACCATCTGTCTATGCGTCTCGACCCGCGATGACCCTGCCTACCCGGTTCTCTGCAAATTGGTCGAAGACTTCCCCGACGCCGATGCACGTGTCTTTGTCGAGGAGGAGGATCCTTTACTGCGTCGCGACGGATCAAATGTCTATACGCTTGGGCCGAATCCAAAGATCCGAAACATGAGCCGTGCCTACCGTGAGGCCAAGGGTGATATCATCTGGATTATCGATTGCAATGTGTGGGTTGGAAAAGGTGTATGCGGTCGCATGGTGGATAAGCTTTGTGGAACAGGAGCGAAGCCAGGCAAGAAGTATAAATTTGTTCACCACTTGCCTCTGGCTGTGGATGTTACGGGGGTAAACAACCTCAACGAAGAACGACAGGCTCTGTTGGATGCTTCTCGCGACCCCACGGCCGCAACCGATGCGATGTCATCTGAACGTCCGGAAGACGGGTTCGGCAGTATGATTGCTACCGGAGGTGGCCGTCTAGAAGAGTTGTTCCTTTCCTCGGCGCATGCGAAGATGTACACAGCTATCAACACGGTGCTCGTCGCACCATGCATTGTGGGCAAATCTAACATGTTCCGCCGCTCGCATCTAGACTACCTCACAGATCCATCGTCAACAGGTTCCAATCTCCGTCACCCCGGTATTGACTTCTTTTCGGACAATATTTGCGAGGACCACCTGATCGGTGACTTACTCTGGCGAAAGAAGGTGCGAGAGGAGAAGGAAACTCGAGAGAAGTGGGGAAAACACGCCATGGTTTTTGGAGACCTGGCCTTCCAGCCCGTGGCAAACATGCAAGTTCGGGGCTATATTGCCCGACGAGTGCGATGGCTGCGGGTTCGGAAATTCACTGTCCTCCTCGCAACCCTTGTAGAGCCCGGTACTGAGTCATTCGTATGCTCACTTTATGGCGCTTGGGGCATAACAACGGCATTGGCACCGTACCTCGAACGGAAGGGTCTCGAATTTGCATCTATTCTTGGAACATGGGCGTCTTTTTATGCCATCTTTGCCCTCAGTATCGCGTCTTGGATATTAGTGGATTGGAGCCTCTATATCAAGCTTTTTTCTGCAAAGACCGTCGAATTGGACGAGGATACTCCGTCTTTTGCGCGACCTCTGCACCGTAATTCCTCTCAAGCAACCCACCGTCCATTTTCACAGTGGTTCGCTGCGTGGCTCGGCCGCGAACTTCTCGCTCTACCTATCTGGCTCTCGGCTGTCTACGGTGGTGTGACTGTTGTCTGGCGGGACCGACGCTTCAAGGTCGGATTCGATGCCAAAGTCCGCGAAATAGACGCCGACTTGACAAGGCCATCGGAGGGCTCTTATTCCACTGGTTCTGTGGTTGATTGGTTTCCAGTCTCACCACAGAGCAATCGTGAGAGGGACGGCAAAATCCGCCGTGATTGATGACCACATCATGTACACTATACAAAAACTTCATAGATACCCCGGTTTGACATGGAATCTCGGGTCAACTTCGAGATATTCTCCATGTTCGCCATCAAAATGATCCCTTCTACATAGTTTTACATATCAAAAAGAAGCAAATGGCTTTTGTCTATATCCTTATCTTTTATTCATGGATCCATAACCACATCAGTTACTCCCACATCTCACTCACGCCGAGCTTTGTCCCTCATTAGCACCACTCTCCAACGCAGCCGCTTTCTCCGAGCTAAGCAGCCACTCAACAACCTGTCTGCCCGCAGACATCTCTCCATTGGACTGGCCCTCACCACCCTCAGCCTCCTCACTCTCACCAATAGTCATCTCAATCTCCTGGTTCCCATCCTCATCCTCCTTGACCTCCTCAGCAGAAGCAGACCACGCAGCCCGCTCGGCAAGGAAAACAGCATCGTGACCCGCATCATTCTTAATAGCAAGATCCGAGCCAGCCTCAACAAGAGCCTTAACACACTCCAGATGCGTGTTCAGAGCAGCCCAGTGCAGCGGCGTGTTACCATTGTGGTTACGGTGATTCACGAAAGCTGCAATCTGCGCCGCATCCGCACCAACAAGTTTTTGAAGAAGAGCATTGAGGATTTCTAGAAGAATCAGTAAACGAAGAATCAAATCAAAGATAATGTTTTGCCTTACCGGAGTTTCCATTTGCGGCAGGGAAATGCAACACGCAAGAGCCGGTGCCGCCTTCGCTTTCTTCTTCCATGTCGATGGCAGATGCTACGATTTGCCACTCTGGGCAGCTGTGCTGCGAGGCCAGGGCGGCGATGTCGGCGTTCAAGGCCTCGAGATCACCAGCTCGGGCATCATAGATGAGGTCGTCAATTGCCTCGGCGGAGAGTGCGATAGGCACAGTGGGCTTTGTGGAAGACATGATGTGGATGTCTAGATAATAGTTTGAAAACCTAAGTACAGAACGCTGCTTTGAAGTTGGGCCGCAAACTTTCCAGTAGAATAGCGGGTCACTTTTTTTTTCTGCGGAGAATTTGATATGTTCTGTGGTGGGGTGTTAGCATTGATCTGGAGATATTTGTATTCGTGCCGAGTCGAATGTGAAAGAGAATTAATTTAAAGGATCAAGATCAAAATGAGCAGATTAGTCTTTTGTTCTGCATATTAATTGGATCTTAGCATCAAGATTTGCGGCGTTGATAAGCGCATTGATCAGCGATGCAATTCGATCCACCAGAACATGGGGTAGGTCTTGGAATTTGGTGCGGGCAACCAGATAAACTCATGGGCTAGATTAAAAGGGATTGATATGTCTTACCTCTGCGTTTGTTTCCTTTGAGTAGATCTTGCTGAACCGATGTTCGCCACGATCGAAGAAACTTTGATATGTCAGTCACATGACCCCGCGGTGGGGTCAACCATGTCTATACATACGAACAGGAATAAGATGAGGAATAGAAGGAAGAAAACAATCTTGCATGTTGATTGATTGGAAGTTGATGATGATACATATGCTGTTTGGGTAGAAATTACGAGTCGGTCAGAAAAAACAACTGCCTCTATACACAAGTCCCCAGGCAGAAAAAAAAAGGTGGAAAAAACAACCACAAACGCCCCAAATCCATCACCCAGTTTGGGCGGGTATATCACACAAGCCTGGTGATGATGCGAATGAAAGAGTCCCAAAGTAGCACTCCTTAGTCCCGTAACCATGCCCTCCGCTTCTCTTCTTTCTTCTCCCTTCGCTTTTCCTTGAACTCCTTCAGCTCCTTCTTGCTCAGCTTCTTAGCGCTCCGCTCAGCACGCAGACTCCGACCATCGTGAGAATTAGCCGCAGCATCAACATCAAAGTACGCATTCATCTGACGATGAGACTTGTTCTCATCATTGTGATTCTCCGGGTTGATAGATGATGCCTGCCATCGACCTGTAAACCGATTGAAGGCTCCAGCAGCAGCATAAGCCGCAGCCTGATCGACAACCGCTACTTCCGGCTCTTGTATTTTTTTTTCATAATGCTGCGCATATGAGGCTGTCGGGTCATAATCTCCGTGGATAGCGGGGTTATAACCACCTAGCACGGGCGATTTTGGTCTCGGTTCTTCTGTCTTTGCGCTGGGTTCTGTGCCAGGAGCTGGTGGTTGGTCGGGTACGCGAGGGTTCTCCCATTGTGAGAGGCCTGTGATTCGGTTGTAGAAATAGTATGCTTGGGAGGTCGCATCCCATACGGGCTCCCATCCGTCGTCACTGGGCTGGCCAGGTGGTGCTTCGGAGGGGAGTGGCGGCGGGATCTCATCGGGTAATGGGGGGGCAGCAGCTGTGTCTTCGGGCTCGGTTTGATGTTGTGATTCTTCCTCCTTTTTCTGATCTGCCGTGTCCTCTGGCTCGTGTTGTTCCTTTTCTGTCGCGGTGTCGACTTTCTCTTGCGAGCCGGTCGGACTGCCCGCGCGTTCCTCTTGGGGATTCGCAGAAACACGCGACTGGTCAGACATCCTGGCGGTTAGCACTGCTTTCCTGTTCTAGGAAGGAGTAAACGCAGAGAAGTAACGCGCTGGAACATTGGCGTTTCGGGGTTGGGGCGCAAGAGTCGCAGATTGGACTCACCGCCTAGCTTAAAACGGAAGAAGTATAAGAGCTAAGCTACGTACAGAATCTACAGATGATATAATTTGTGAATCTTCAATTTTTAAAGTTGTTTCCTGCTTTTTTTTTGGTATATCCTCAGATATAGTCTGAATTCGATATTTCATTTCTTCCATATGAGTTATAACAGTGACATCTTATAGTAAGAGCCTGGCCTCGGAGGAACGAATAGAGGCTTTTGCTGCACTAAACTGAGAGCAGTGTGCCATAATTTAAATAGAAAATCAATGAATTAATGGATTCTCATAGACTACTAGCAACTTCGTCTTGATTCTCCACCTCCCCGAGAAGTTCCAAGTACATCCCTAAAAACCACCGTCCTGCCATAAAAGCTATGGCGATGATAATGCTGATTCACCTGATCCCAAAAGATACCTACTGCAGCATGATTCCACTTCCCAGGAGCTTTCAACAGTTCCCGACGATCAAATGGAAGTCCAAGGCCCCTTTCTAGATCCAAAGTCCACATATTCAACATCTCATTGCAAATGAGAAGCCGATCGACAAAACTACTGTGAGGGAAGGGGCCAGGCACTTCTATAGATAGAATGGGGTCACTAATAATTTTAAGCATGCATTCCATTTCAACTTCATGAGTCGAGGATTCCCAAGCTGTTCCATGGAGGACTTCGTCGCGGGCGTGGTCTAGAAGCTCTCTGTCCGTTTTGTCTTTATTGTGAGAATAGTTGAATCGCATATGAACCCACATGTGGGGAGCCCCCGGGTCTTCTTGGGTGGCCATTATAGGGACTCGTCACGAGGCTAGGATATACTGTGTCTTGGGTGAGTGGGTTTATTTCAAAAATGTGGATTATATCTGTGTTCTGCGTGGGATTTGTTGATCTTTTATAGATATCTCTTGGCTCAATTGAGGGACTGTAACTTGTTAGTATTCTGACAAAGACTCGGACTTTATACAGTTTCAAAGTTCTGATGTCATTGATATAAGATCCTTACATAATGCCTGAATAGTTTCAAAGAGACTGTATCCTTGCACATGTGGCGTTTTGAAGGCTTTCTTTTATCAATTTGCTTTGTTTGCATTTTTCTTATTGTTCTAGATGTCCTGTCACAAACACATTTTCCGATTTACTACAGCTGATGACAAATTCACTTTTTGCAGGCCAATTATACTTTGTCGTGCGTTAGTCTAGTGAGCCTCGGTCGTTCTCCTCAAGTTGGTAACTTACCCCCTTGTATTTGTATACATTAAATACCGTATAGGTATGTTTTGTCCATGTTGAAGTTCGAGAAGCTTCTCTGCAACCCAGTTCAGAGATATGTGGTCTTTCCCTTGCAGAAAAAGATAACTGATAGATAGGAGCGCTGTTTATAAACCATATGGATCCAGAGTGTCGTGTATTCGAAGCGGGTCAGAATCCCAATTAGTCTGTATGCACCGTTACCCGTTACTAGTTCATAAGCCACGTGTACTCCGTAATACTCTGTTATTAACAGGACGTTGTTATTGGCTCTTGGCGCAAAAGTACCGTGCGTGAAGAAGCGCTATAATACCCATGGCCCACATCCTTGTAACGGCGATTTCTTTTAAATCCATCACAACCCTGACGATCCGCAATCCGTCACACTTGCCATCTGGCTCCACCCCAACGGTCGTCACAATCACCGGTCTACCACGGTTCAGTCTCATCATGGAGAAAAAGATTACTGTCGATGTGGATCCGGATTTGCATTTAATGACAGATGAATACAATGCTGATGATTGGACTTCCGAGACCACTTCTATTGGCTCCTCTCTATATAGAGGCCTGATGTCGAATGGCCGCAGATACCAGTCCCTGAAGTCTGACGAATATTGCTTCCCTGCCGATGAAAAGCAATTTGAAACCTACGATGCTGCGCATCTCGCAGCTCTACTCGTGGATTCCGAAGAGGACAATCTCCTATTTCAGTCCCCGATAATCCCTAGAAACGTCCTTGATATCGGAACTGGAAAGGGTTCCTGGGCAATTGACGTTGCCGACATGTTTCCCAATGCACAGGTCCGTGGTGTGGACCTTTTTCCACCGCCAGTTAGCTGGGTGCCCCCTAACTGTGTTCTCGAGGTGGACGACGTTTTACAAGAGTGGACCTGGCGTGATAAATTTGATTTAATTCATCTCCGCATTATGGCCAGTGCTTTTACTCCTGAAGAGATGGAGAAGTTGATGGCGCAAATCTACGACCACCTAGAGCCCGGTGGATGGATTGAGCAGATGGAAATCCATCCAACAATCTATTGTGATGATAATAGCGTTGCGCCTGATAATGTCTTGTTTGATATTGGTCCGAGGTGCGACAAAGCCACTTTTAAGGGATTAACAGGATATCGCTGACAGTATTTGATTCGTTTTCTAGGTGCGACGCTGCCGCTAATAACTCCGGGAAGCCTATGGACCTTATCAGAACAATGCGATCCACGATTGAGAAGGCCGGCTTTGTCGACATTCACGACAAACAAGTCAAGTGGCCTATTGGGCCATGGCCTAAGGACAAAACAATGAAAGAGCTTGGATCAGTCAACCTCCACCACTGGCTGACTGGTATGGAGGGATATACGATGTATCTAATGACTAAGTTTGGGAGCCCGACCCCGTGGCGTCCAGAGGAGGTGCAAGTCTACAACGCAAGGATAAGAAAGGAATTGCTGAATCCTCGTCACCACACCTATCAGCGTGCGAGAAGAGTCTGGGCTAGAAAACCATTGGTGGAACCGAAGATTGAGCAGCATGACTAGTGACCAGGGCAGTCGCCGATGCTCAGTGGCAGGTTTGAAGTCTCGCCGTGGCTGTTCCTCTCCTGGGCTGCAAGGACTCGAGGTTCGCCAGAAATAATAAGGATAGTGAGGCGCCTTTGATCAAGCAATGTCTTTATTCATCTTGTTATTCATTTTATATATTTTACATGCCTCCTGACCCAAAAGACGGTCGCCCATGTGCTGGGCTTAACTTGAGGACCTCCTTGCATGATGGAGTTAAAGCAGCACTGGTTTTCGTTCCCTGTCGTAAATCATAAAAATGGGCATGCACGAGTGTTTTTGGCAAAAGCTAGAACGGATAGCTGAACTTCATCATCATTGGACGAGAATTCCGAGCTGAGGTCTGCCCAGCTGTAGGTCGCAGTTGGTCGGCCAAGCTGAAAGATCAATATCAGAGAGAGGGGAACAGACAATGATTCAGACCCATCTCCCCTTTCTCATCAATTTCAATAATAAATTATATCTCTCCATCTTCTGGCGTACAGAACAAATCTTCTCCACATTAGATTACTTCCTATATTCCACCCATCCACGATGACGGACACCCCCCTTTGACACCTTCAAATTATATACCAAACGAACACCCATGGACTCGAATTTATAAACAAACAATCCGCTGCTGCACTCAAGAGCAACCCAACTCCCGCAAAAATCTTGATTCGGAGGACGGAAAGTCTCGAAAAAGCTAAAATCTAGAAAGGAAGTCAAAGTGAAACATCCGGTCTTTTGACACCTGGACCCCGCATTTGAACTTGTCCGACCGCTAAGTAATACCAGAAAGGTCTAGCTATGTATGGCTGCACTGCTAGATTGCAATATAGGAAGTGATGATTCCATCATCCAGGATTCAGCATTGTCTGCGTTGCCACATAGTCTGGATTTTTGTTAACTCATATAACTAGGTCAATTAGCATTGACTCTCTTCATCATTTGTGGAAGTAAACAAGTATCGTAGGTATTCAATGAGTATTTGCTTTCGGTGGCGATGTGCATGACATATATAAAATGACGTCTGGACTGACATGTCATATACATGGCTGGAGATGCAGGATAAGCCTCCTTAGGCACACAGACGAGCCTCAGGCTTTTTCTAACCCACATTTGAAGTTTGACATCCAGGTTCATATTTTGTTGGAACTGTGTAGTTAAAACGTTTTCGAATCCGTCATAACCTTCAAAATCGATTTTTGGGTGGTGGTCTGGTGCAACCTACAACGATGAGGAGCAGAGCGGGTGTATACATGTATCACCACAATATATATCATTCTTACCCTACCAGCATCTTGAACATTACAGTACACACTTCCAGAGTCAAGCACCTCAATCTTAAAAACAATCAATATAAATGCTTTCGCGCAACGTTGGCGCAATTCAAGCTCTAGCACTTGAGTAAGTAGCTGCTCAACACCAGTGCTGTTCTATGTGGTAAATTCTGGTAAAATCTACAAAGACCTGCAGTTCGCAGATGGATCCAAGATGTCAACTATTTGACATCGGTAACAGGGAAGAGAAACGAAGACTGGAATTATACTACGATGAAGTCACAACAAAACTACATCAAAAGGCAGTAAATGATAAGTAACTTGAAGTGCTCAATTTAGTATGGTATATGTCCCAGTTGACAGCGAAAGTGCCCAACAACATCTACAAAGACTTTATGAACCCAGAAATGAACCAAGTCTTAATCTTAATCTCACTACTACAGTTGATTCAACTTCCTCAATCTGAAGGAACCAAAGAGGTCTGGTCACATAACTCCAATAACTCACGCAACTTAGCTAAATTACGATAGACATTGAAAGAATTGCATCTGATATTGATCATTCCAAGACGAGTTGGCTCACTATGTTTATCTTGATTTGATGTTAGCATCTCGTAAATTGACCAGGGAACCGTTAGTCAAACGCAAAGTAGGGGTAGCCAGGATTTGAAACAAGGGACCTAAGAACACTTTCGCTGGCATAGTAATCACTGACTCAAACATCAAAACACTGCAACAGTCTAGCTAGAGTGTGTATGTCCAAACCAGTCTAACTGCATCCCACCTACGCCATTGTTTTCTGAATCGACCTCACATGTTTCGATCGGAGAGTTCTCGAGAATTACAGAGTTGTTATTTGCAATTCTTGCTCGTAGCTCAAGGGCGTGAAACAATGCAGGGAGAGTTGGGGTGAGCCCTGTGATTCGCCAAGCTAAGAGGCCGGTATCCCTTGCAGGATGATTTACCGTGCGTCGAGCACTCCACAAACCCAGAGTTTGGCCCGAGCCCAATCTAAGCCTATTGCTTACCGACTATCCCTATAATATCTACTAGATTTGGTAGGGCCGTATGCATACCTTGTCGGAAGTGCTGCAGGGACAAGAGGCTTGAAGCTTTGTTTTGCCCCCCTATAAAATTGGTGGCTGGGATGGGATAATATATCCGAAAACCCACTTCGGAGTAGATACATTGTTGGGATTTCCGGTGCTCAAGGGTATTGAGAGATATTACAATGCACCTCATAGCGAGAATAAACTACGTCACAATAAATGTGACCGATGCCCAGGTTGAAGTGTTGGTAATTTTTATAGTATGTGTAGTAATTGTCATAGCATGTGCCTAAATCAGCAGATGCATAATGGGAAACCTGTGGATCCCAGGAACAGGGCGAGAAGATCGGTCAAGAATGCGAGGACTCGGTCTCGCGTGAAGGCCATACCCTAGACCAGTAGATCCATACCAGGAGACAGAGAAGCTTGGCAAGTGGAGTCATCTACCCTCACAGGGTGCATTCCGGGGGGAGGGAGGGGAGATCTTAATAGTAAGAAACAAGAATGGAAGGGGCTCACAGACCTCCACTGAATTGTATAAAGGATGCCCATTCATCGCCGCAATCTACTCTTTTCCATCAAGCATCACACTCTTTAGTCTTCTTTTCTTTCGAGTTCCAGTCTTTTCAATCTTTCTCTCCGAGACCTTCGTTCAATCCCGAACCCACAGACACAATGCAGTTCACTATCTCTACCGTTCTCGCCCTCGCTGGCCTCGTTGCCGCTCTTCCCCCTGCTGCTCCTCCCATGGCTGGTGGCATCGGCAACGCCAACGGCGTCGGCAACAAGGGCAACACCCAAGTCCGCTTCCCTGTCCCCGACAACATGACTGTCAAGCAGGCCCAGGCCAAGTGTGGTGACCAGGCTCAGCTCTCTTGCTGCAACAAGGCCGTCTACGCCGGTGACACCACTGATGTCAACTCCGGCATGCTCGGTGGCGCCCTCGGCAACCTGGTCGGTGGTGGCTCCGCCTCCGAGGGTCTTGGTCTCTTCAACCAGTGCTCCAAGCTGGATCTCCAGATCCCCCTCATTATTGCCATCCCCGTCCAGGACTTGGTCAACCAGAAGTGCAAGCAGAACATTGCCTGCTGCCAGAACTCCCCCTCCAGCGCCGTAAGTCCATCCGAACTCTTCGATTTGACTTTATCTAACATGTGCATAGAACTCCGACCTCATTGGTCTCGGCCTGCCCTGCATTGCCCTTGGCTCCATCCTGTAAGCGCCTCTCGCTTTCTGGCACTTTGCGAGCAGCATTTGAAGCCATGGCGGGGCTTTGGGCCTTTGGCTCAGTTGGCTTCAACATGAAGTTGGACGGTTATCGATCACCAGGGATGGAATGTGGTTCGCTTAGTACTTGATTTGGATATTCGGGCTACCTGTTGCCTTTGCAGACTGTGTATCATTAACTGTGTCATGTGGCACCTCCTCGGAGAAAGAAGACTGTTTTGTTTACCTTGTTTCTCATGGTGCTTTTGCTTCTTGTCTTGTGCATTGGATCCGTTCTTAGCTGCAGTCTAGCTCGGTTTTCTTCGCATATATAGATTAATAATTAGAATTGTGCTTTCCTCAGCCTTCTGTAGACATTGGCCAGTTATCATACGTTCATGTAAACGAAACCCTTATGGTTCTTTTTTCGTACACATGATATACAGTAGACATCAACGGTCCTAGCAATATCATGTCAATTCCCCTCAAACCATCCACCTATTTTTAATCAGTTTGTAACTCTCTCAGTCAACGTTAACCCATCATCAATCAGCTATATAAGTCCATCCATGTACCTATTCCCATACTGTGAAGCTCTCTGCGTTACCAATTAGATGATCCATAAACCCGTTCTATTGATTTGTAAAACAACTTTCCATTCACGCTGCTATTTTTGTCGATGGTCATTCATAAAATCACCAAGGTCTCCCATATCCATTCCTATTCCACATCCCAAACTCCGTATCCCGACTACTCAACCCATTAAGTTCAAGCCACTTTAACTCCGCCTTCTCATCAATCAAAAAATCGTCTCTAAAACTCGAAGAACCCAACCACTTCGAATTAGCCGAGACTCGCCCCCTCGACGAAGGCCTAATCTTCAACGAAGTACTCTTTAACAAACCCGTCACCGACCTTTTGATTTTCGAGCCTGAGTTTCTGTTCCCATTCCCATCCTGGACAGTCCCAATCCGCACACTCCGAGTTCGACGAATATTCTTCCTACTCCACTTCTCATCTGTATCGATGGGATCCTGTAACTTCTTCACCGGTGCATCAAATGGTGATTGTACCGTATCCATTTTCAAAACTGGATACTCGGGCATAGACAATGCTCTCACGGTACGTCTGGTCGCTGGATCCAAAGCCTCGGCGTTGTCCAATAAACTTTGCAGATTCAGATCTGCAGGTGTGAGGCGTTTTCGGTGTGTTGGGGACTCGGTTGGTATGATAGGTTCTTGGTTTGAATGACGGATTGTCGAGGCGATGCTATCTACCCTTGTGAGGGAGGCTGCATTGGATGGGATCTTGATTAAGTTTGAGTCTTCGTAGTGGGGTCTGCTTGGTTTGCAGGTGGATAGTTTGCGGGAGAGTTTATTGTTGCGTATTGAGTGGGTTATTGTGGAGATGAAGCCCATGGTGGATGTCTTTGTCTGTTATAGAATGAATGGTATAGGGGGAATATCGTAGATGGTGGCTTGTAGATTGCGGGGAGCGCAGATGATAAAGCAAATGAATCTATGGGGCAAGGGGGATTTGAAAAATACTGCTGTATCTTCACTTGAGGTGTACGAATTATACCTGTTATCCTGTAGAGTCTCGATCTACCGAGCTACTTAATCCTGTGAAACCGCCGATCGCTTCAGGTAGCTGATATCGTTTATCGTCTCTACAAATCCTCGGAGTCGATCCTCAAGACTCAAAATTATCGAAAATAACGATGCTACGAGAAAACTAATGGGACTTATTTTGGCAATTGCATGCAGTCCTGAAGGTAAAGGATCGTACACAGCGGTGACAAGACCGATAAGACGAGTCCCGCACAGCAACCAATGCGCCAAGCAATGATCAGAGCTTGCAGAGCGCCTCTGCAAGTCTGCACGGCTAGCCAGAACAGATCCAATCGCAGGTGCTGCAGCTTGCATTCCCCAGGTGATGCCCAAGGGCGCAACGCAAGGTTGCCCCCACAACCCCTTACCAACACGAGCTTTAGGTTTACGTCATTGAGTGATTTAATATCGCAAGTATGTATGGACTTTTGTTCTTCCAAATGTTCTTGCACGGCTGGAGATGAGTAGAATGTGGGATCTACAACATCGATCTCGACGGAATTTGGGAATATGCAGTATGCCGCATTGACCTCTTCCCGCCAAGTGCTTTGGCTTTGAGACAACGGTGGATGGTTCGAGATTCTCCGTACATGGCCAATGGTTCAAGAAGTGAATGATGTTCAAACGTGCACTAGTATCACATAGAAGACCTGAGCGCGACTCTCAAAAATCAAGCTGAGTATGCGGGAGGAGGTGCAGAAACAAGTCCACTTCGCATGGCCGCCTTCCACGGCATACTCAATCGGCGTATATTGTCACACATTCTTCATATGAGTCTCAGGCGTAATGCCGAGCATACGCTCAATCATACTGTGCTTTATTCCTCGATCATGTTCTATAAGAAGCTCACAGATCTCATGGTGACCTTTCTTCGCTGCCTCTTGAAGCGCAGTATCATTCAGGCGGTCAGCAGTGGAAGTGAGTACCCCTCTCCCATTTAGAATGAATGAGCCATGGCTTTGTCCCCGCGGATTGCTGCAAGTTGTAGCGGTGCATGTCCGCTTTGGTTGCTGCAGTTCCTTGTCTTTAGATCACTTTCGATCAGTAATCGGGCAAACTCTAGGTGTCCGTTGTCTGCAGCTAGATGTAGCGGAATGGACTTGGTTTCGTTTGATCTCAATGGCGAAGCGATTCGTTCCAAGAGGAGCCTGGCGATATCCCAGTTTCCTTGTTCTGCTGCTATATGGAGTAGTGTCTTGTCGAATTCATCTATTAGGTCTGCATCTTCTCCAGTATCCAGGAGGGCTTTAACAGCATCAATATGTCAATTACTGGTTGCAGTGAGGAGGGCCGTGAGAAATCTTCGATTTTTTTCTTATCGGACATGTTGAGGTTGGGGGAACTGTAGTAGGATCGTAATATGGTAATTCCATGCTTAGTTAGTACTTGTTTCTTGGTAGCTGTCAGTCAAGGTGCCTTTGTGCCGTGCCAAGCCCACTAGGCTCTTATGTACAGGTCTAAGCCCGCCAGAGTAAACCTTAGCCAGGATATTCTGGCTTCGTCTTACTGAATGGGATCCATGAAGTTCGTTTAGTACGTCTTCGTTGAGCCAATAATTGTCAATCTGTCAATATCATGAGGCATTCCTCAATGAAGAGAACCCGTACTACTATGTAGAGTAAATAGTTCACACCTAGTGAGGTTGTACTTGGGGTCTAGAACATTTATCAGATCAGAAAACCTATGAGACACGAATCTTCATTGAATACAAGCTAGCCCCGACTCGAAATGATATTTAAATAATCGTTCTATTACGTCTTCGAACGAAATCACGCTAAAAGGCTCACAGTTTACTAGCAGGAGCATCGTTAAACAAAGATCGAGTTCGGTTCATAGCCTCCAGGGCCTCCTTCTCAATCCGCTCGAGCAGAACCTTGCAAGTTGGGATATCGTGAATCAATCCAATAACCTGACCAGCAGTCCACACCTAGGCCACACGTTAGCATAAACCTGGGAAGCGTAGGTAAATCACAACTTACTCCATAGTCCTTGTCACCGTTGATGAAGACCTCGCGGCCACGCTTGCCACTTACATACGGCGCGATCTCACTGAACTCGCCAGTAGTGCTCTCCTTCTCAACCTTCAACGCATCCTTAGTTACCTGGTTGGCAAACAGACGCGAAGTGTTCTTCCAGCGACGCAGCACAAGAGCAGTATCCGTCTCGTCGGCATTAACGATCGCCTCCTTAATCTTCTGATGAATAGGAGCTTCAACGGTACTCATAAACCGAGTACCCATGTTGATACCCTCGGCACCAAGAGCAAGAGCAGCAGCCAGACCCTGTCCATCGGCGAAACCACCCGAAGCGATGAATGGCACGCCTAACTCCTGGCGCGCACGGCTAAGAAGAATAAAGTTCGTAATATCGTGTTCGCCAACATGGCCAGCACACTCGAAACCATCGATAGACAGAAAGTCCACGCCCAGCTTGACGGCGGACTTGGCATGTCGGATGGTGGTGCACTTGTGCAGAACGATGATGCCGGCCTTCTTGAGCTGCTTGATCACTGGGCCGGGGTTGTTACCCGCGGTTTCGACAATCTTGATTCCCTCATCGATGATCACCTGGGCATATGCGGCGTAGTCTGGGGGGATCATGGCGGGGAGGAGAGTCAAGTTGACACCGAAGGGGTACTTGGTCATGGTGCGGCATCGTCGGATTTCTTTGCGCAGGTCTTCGGGGGTGGGTTGGGTGAGGGCAGTGAGCTGGTCGAAGAGTTCAAAGTCAGTATTGGACAAGACAAGAATGAGGTATCACTACACTGAAGGAGACCTACAATACCCAATCCACCTGCGTTGCTGACAGCTGAGGCCAGCTCGGCATATCCCACCCACTGCATGCCACCCTGCACAACGGGCACTGTGGACGGTCAGTATATTGTATAAAAGAGGTGTGACCGCTTCATGCATACCGCGGATGCCCAGCTTGCGCGTCAGGGCGGTATTGAAAGGCATGTTGGAGAGCGAGTCGCTGAGTATCTAATCAGATGAGCGCTGATGCGAGATTTATGGCTTTGAAGCAAGTGAGTCTAATGTATGATGAACAGAGTAAAGACAAATGGAGAAGATGTAAAACCCAGAGATGTAGAATAAAAAGAACCCCAGGATAAGGGCTACCCGCGGACCTATGCTGTGGGGGAGGCGCAAGTTGCCGAGGTTCGCGGCCCCATATATGGATTAGTCGTCTTACCCCGAGTGAGGAGAACAATACGGAGTACATTTGGCAGGAATTTAGTTTAGTACACCAGTGGGGATTGATGAAAATCTTGGAAGGTCAACTCATAGATATTTATTTTTCAATGCATGTGAGCAAGCAAAGCATAGGAGACTATTTCATCAATCCAGTATACTTACAATGTTGAGGTGGAAGTAGCATGTGATAAAGCCTTAATGCTGGAAACTCATTCGAAAGAGTATGAACCCCGATATATATTTGGTCTGACCTACATCTGGTCTGACTCAGATCATAAAGATCCCGGGGCTATGCATAGATGTGAACAAGACAACCGTCGGGATGGCGCCAATGGATGCCGAGATTGACATAAAATCAACCCCCCTAGATTTACGTGCAAACAAGCCATGTCAACATAAGTGACAATAAAGCGCTTTTCCTGATTCAAGCCATGAATTACGATAATTTAGATGTAACCCTGAATATGAAACCCCTCGGACTCATGGAAAGAGCCAAATGGGCGATTAACGACGGGAGATATCCTTCTACGAATCTCAATAATCCCTCAAGGTCGCGACAGAATGTCGAAACCAGAGGGTGCTGACATCAACTTCATCCCAAGAAGTGGTACATCAATGTGAGCGGAGACTCGTGAGGAAGGAAAAGACCAAGGGGAAAAAGTTGAGAACAAAAGTGGGCGACAAGCGAGATATATCACGTGATCTGGATGTCCCCGGGAAGAAGGATCTTCCGGATGTAATTGCCTGCATTTCCATTGGTTCCCGGTTCGCAATCCCGTGACGGGCCAAACCCGAGGTTACCGTTCCGATCATTCGCGATAGTCGTTCTTCTCTTCACAAAGTGAAGGAACATCGCCAACAGACAGCATCATGTTCTCTCAGAAAGTTGCTCAGCAGTCTCTGCGACGGCGTATGTCCTACCCGCGTCTACAGAATCCCAGAAATGACCCCATTTGACTGACAATTTCCCCCCGGAATCGCAGTTGCCGTCCAGCAGCCGAACCTCATGCAGTCAATGGTGATGCGCGCTTCGCCCGCTTCCATTGCGCTCGGCAACGTCCAGAAGAGGTCAGTTCTCTCGCATCTAGACAGCCTACTACATTTCTCCAGACGAATCTCGACATTCTCGAATTGACATCCCCTCGAGATCCATACGTCATTCGCAAGCCCGATCATTAAAACTAACCCGACCATCCTAACTAGATCCGTCTCTTCCAACAACGAGGAAGCTACTCAGATCCTGATCAAGCAGCGCCTTAACCGCCCTGTCGCCCCTCACCTGTCTATCTACAAGCCCCAGATCGGCTGGATCGGTTCCTCCCTCCACCGTATCTCTGGTGTCGCCCTCTCCGGCACTCTCTACCTGTGGGCCGCCGCCTACCTCGCCTCCCCCACCTTCGGCTGGCACCTGGAGTCTGCCTCCATGGTTGCTGCTATGGGCGCTCTTCCCGTCGCCGCCAAGGTCCTGCTCAAGACCACCTTGGCCCTCCCCTTCACCTACCACGCCATGAACGGTATCCGTCACTTGACCTGGGATCTGGGCCGTGCCCTGACCAACCCTGCCATCATTCGCTCTGGCTGGGCCGTCATGGGCCTGAGCGTTACCAGTGCGGTTGCTCTTGCTTTGCTGTGATTCATCTCTCATACCTCTGAGTTTCCTTGTGTTATTAAAATGATTTTGTCGAATTATTATACATGAAATCTGGTCCAGTGGCGCGGCTTTCAGAAGGCGCTATTTCTTTTATTCAACTATGTGATTTCTTTGATTTAATCCTGCTCAAGTCTCGGATCTATTTGTAGTTCGAGTGCTTTGGCACCAATTTATGCATTACTTATCTATCCGTATTCCGCTTCTACTAAACTTTTGGAAGGCGATTGATTAAACTCCAGCTGGTAATTTAGACACTCATTCAAGGTCCAGTTCACATTCAGTCTTCAATATTTCGACAAGGATAACACTAGACGACAATCCCATATGGTAGCCCATTCCATCATTCATATAAAACCAAAAATTGCAAAAGACGATCAAAATGCTTTGAAAAATGGTCTAACTTGGAATTAGGTCCGCTTTATAGTTTCCCCAATCAGTCAAGAGCAACTTACCTATTGGTCTGCTTTTCATCAACGCCAAAAAAGGAAATCCAATGGTAGTCATTCAAGCCGGACTTGGAGGAGGGTTAGGAGGGAAGGGCCGCGGTGAAGGCGGATCTTGTACGGAATGATCGCAACATAACATTCCTTCTTTAGAAATATAGAAGCCTGGAACTGAGACGAATAGGGTGTTGCAAGGCATTGTGATTTATATGTTTCGAGAGGATAGTAATGCAGAAACAGCGGATATCTGGAGGTCGAACAAGCTTGACAGGTACCAGAAATATAGAAGAATTGATGAATAACAAAAAACAAATCCATTCGGCTGATCCCCTCATTTAATAGTCCACAGACCCCTACAATCTTGGAACAATCGGGGCCTTCTAGACTCCAAACCTCGTCGTACACCGCCATCCGAACCCAATCCATCCAGGAAGCCCGTTTGAAATGAATAATTCATCTTAAGTCGAGATCGGGAATCTCTCGGTAACCACTGCAAGGTCCCGACGAAAGGGATTTGATGTATAAACCGTAAACCGTTGGACGGAGCTGTCACACCCGTCTCGATCGTTTTTGCCTAGGTGTGATCCATGAATACTATATCTCCGATCCGTCAAAGCTACCAAGGTACTATTTTACGTTGTCACAAGTTCTACTGTTTGAATCATTCATGTGGGAGATTTTAGTCTGAGGCAACTAGAGTACTCCGTATTCCGCAGGGAAGAGATGGAACAAATCATTGGATTCCATCCGTCCAGACTTTGCTTTACCTGTGATGATCATTTTCTTGAGCTTCCCGGTGCTGCAGGTTTCTGTGGAGTGACACCAGCGGTCTGAGCCAATCCTCGGCTTCTTGCAGGGATAATCTGCTTTCTGGAAGATTGTTTTTGTTTGGGCTTTGTTTGTGGTAGATGATTCCACGCTGTTACTGACCAGTATTTAGTGGGGAAATGGGTACATCTACTGGTATCGATGTGCTGTTTTATCAGATATGGAAGGCGAATTGCGAGGGTGGATTAGTGATCTTTTAATTAATTTCGATTTGGGCGTGGCAATCAACCTCTGAAGAAGAGGCTGATCGAGGAACTATCTTTGTGTTGTAACTTGGTACATCGCCACTGATACATGTCTGTGCCTATACAATAAGATTGTACATGTACACATACCTTGAGAATTGCAAAATAACTGTAACCTATAAGTATCCAGCAAAGCCAAACATTAGGAAACACTGCATAGACACGTGGATCAAGCGGTGTGTTCCGCAGGACAAAACGTCTGCCTTAGTCATGGATTACAGCTTGACCTGATAACACAACAGATCATTTCTGAGGATCATCCAGTACGGGAAAAAAGTGATTATTCGAACCAACCACAGTGTCTCGGCCGGCTCCACGGCTGCTGAAACCCGCTAGCGACATCAAGTAGTCTCAAAATCGGTCGTGCTTCGATCTTGTTCAACCCTACCTTTTGTTCGGCCGGGGGAGCTGCTTACATGGAAGCCCACCGAATATTCTCCGTGAACTTGTGCCGTCTGTGTGATCTAGAACCCTACTTCTTCGAGATCGGTGCTACCGTAGGCGGCTGCCGGCTGCCAGCTATGGGCCTGTGGTGGTTAGGTCGCGCTTAGATTCTTGCGATACGTGCTTGTATCGCCTGGCGTCCAATCGTAGAGCTAGATGGGGTTACCTAGCAGTTTTTCCGGAGGTGATGGGATTTGTGGGCTCATACTAAGCTCTGTTATCCAGAGAAGGTTGTTGCTGGGTAGAGCTTATTACCGGTAGCTAACCATCTGTTGGAGTTTGTTTCAACGGGAATATGCAGCGGGAATTTGATGTGGTATGGAGACTTTTCAGGTAAATCACACAGGACCACTGCATTAGGGAATATTGAATCTTCCAGGTCCATTAATTCAGAAACAGTTGACCGCTAGAACCGATTCTGCGAACTGTGCCAGATAAGGTAAGTCATGACGGGATTAGACGATCATTGAAGCATGGCGGCAGCGGGTGTTTAGCAGCTGAATTCCGTGGCCAATGGGAATCGGAAGATTCTCATCACAATCTGATGTATCATCCGCTGTTCCAGGTCTAATGAAAATCCAATCATACTGAGGGAAATGGGAAGCAATAATCAATCCACTTGCCAGCGGTGAAGAAGAAAATCCCGGTCCTTCTCCACGTTCATTTTGACATGCAAACTGAGCAATCACATCTGCATGGGATTTTGGTCCTTGTAACATATGCATGCTCATCTTAATAGCTTTCACTAAAGGGCGAGCCCCTGTATATGCAATGCAACTATGTGTTTTTACCCCATATGATTTCTAGGCTTCTGTTTCTTTGAGGGCAATGACACTATATCGAAAACATAAGGACGCACTAGGAAGAGAGTCTCAATGGTGACCTTAGCTGGTAGATTAGTTTCAATTTTTGCCTTGCCATTTCAAATAGGCAGAGGGCATTGAAGTCGATCCACAGATATTCACATAGAGCTAATCTTGTCTCTGGTGTCTAGATGCTTCTAGTCCTGGCGAGACGCAGATTCACTTGATAGATAGCTCTGTAAATTACGATGGTAATAGTCTTGAAATCCCTGGAAGGGAAGTGCAGTAAGTGTCTTTGTTAACCCTACATTTAGTCCGTGTGGCCTCAACAACGAGGCATTTCGTTAGCAGTCTGAAATCCCAAAACTAAACAGATCTTCCAAGGTTACTATGTTTCCCATGGATATTTCATCTTATTCTTCCAACGCAATCTTTCTCCCAGGAATCGTGGGTTTCTTCGCCATTTTGATTTCAATCCAATCATTACGGTACCAATTGAGTCCAACCACAACAGACATTTATTTCTTCATTTCCCCTATCTTGGTAGACGGCTTTTACCATCTTGGTTGAAATAACAGTTTCCAGCTTGCATTGCCTCTGTCCTTGATTACTGTGGCAAGTACTGTTTTATTTGGGTTTGGTTGTAGCGTATGTCCAGCGAAAAATGATTCTATGGTTTGAAGAAGATCCAAGAGAGAAACTCCTGCTAGGAAGGCCTCTGCTCTTTCCATATCGGACTACACACGCGAGGATGTTCCAGGAGAAGTATCATTACTGGATCAATTATTTTCTCGTTGGAATTCCGGTTGGTCTTTGTGGTCGTGTTGGAGCATTGATGTCCATTGATAGTGATGGATCAAATCCACCTTCAGGCTCGAAATATTGCCACTCTGTCAAAAGGTTTTTACGGACTTTGATCTGATTCAAGCTTGATCCGAGCATATATCTTCATCGTGGAGATGGTCATCTGAGTTTGACTGTTAAATTAGAGCGTGTTCTAAATATTCAGGTATGTACCTCTGATCATAGAGCCTTGTCATCTCACGCTGATGTTTGCAGGGCGAGACTCCAAGTCAATATCCATACGTATATCATCACGTGAGCACACTCTTTCTGAGTCTTATAGACGCATATGATAATTTCTTTGTGGTTGGCTATTGGCTAGTCTCCCTGGCCCTGTGCCCTTCATGACATTGATGAATCAAATAGTTGTAGGCTTTAATCCCCACCATATCCAACCCAGATGCATACTGTGTAATGGATTACGTTACATGCTCGAAAAGAGTTCTACAGGTGATTCAAGAGCCGCCTAATCAAAGGGTACTATGGCCTTGATCACCGCGATGTTTCTGCTCCGTGCGACTGCATAAGGTGAGCTGGCTGCTGGTAGACAACATTGACCAGAAATGACTAGTACCAATCCTGAGGGGTTGGGTAGAAATTGAGAGGATTTAGGAGAGATTAAAGAAACAAAAGGTTCATATCGAAGCAACAGAAGAGTTAGCAGAACTAAGTATGGGTCGCTAGACTAACCTGATGCAGTAATTCACAGGTCCATTGACTATCAACATAGGGAGCGGCAGTATCCACACCGCCAAGGCCGAATTCTTTCCATCTTCACGGCCAAATCCAACTTCCGCAGTCCAACCGCCCCCATGGCTTCGAATCTTTCTACACGAGCGGTCAGGTCCGCCTGCATCGCGTCTAAGGCTGCTCCCCGCCCCCTGACCACACTTATTCCCCGTCGCTCCCTCAACACCACCCCCGAGGCCACCCCGGAGTCAACCAACCTAGCCGACCAACCCCGATGGTCGTACACTCCTCCGAAGGCGAAAGCGCCATTCAGCATGCGCATGCACTCAAAGCGCCCTGCCTTCCACAACAACTCCGACCCTGAAATCCTCGACCAGTTTTACATTCGCATGCTGGGCAATGGCGGCGAGAAGCTTCTCTCCGACGAAGTCAAGTGGTTGGCCGTGACACACAAGAGTTTCGATCAAGGACGCCGTGGATTCAACGATCGATTGGCTTTCCTAGGTATGCAATTGGAGATGAACAGGATAAGCGGGCTTTTGGGAATAGTCACTTACGCGCTTTTTGCTTAGGAAAACGCATCGTGCAATTGCAGACTTCGCTCGCGCTCGCGCAGGGTGCTAACACCGGCAACGCACCTGCGGCAGACCAGTTCGGCCGTGTGCCATTTACTCACCCTGCCCTGGAAGGCCTGAGCAGTCTCTCCCCTAGCACCAAGAGCTTCCTGACCGACCGGACGAAGATGGCCGAGCTGGCTCGCAAGTACGCCATGCAGAAAGTGATTCGATGGGAACCCCGCAAGGTAAGCGGAATGGTCTTTAGTATTTTTTTTGGCTACTGTTACTAACTTTGCGATAGCCCGAAAACCTCGTGGCATCTGGAATTGACCTGGTTCTGGCGCACAGCATGTACGCGGTTATTGGAGCGGTCTCTTTGGAGAAGGGAGGACAGGTTGCCAACAAGCTGGCGCAGGAGCGGATACTCGAGCCTTTGGGTATCAAGTCGGTCTCATGAGATGTGACCGCAGCATAGTCCCGGCGTTTTGATTTGTGTAGTGATATTGGAGGCAGGAGGGCCCACCCTGCAAATTGTAAATGTACTTTTATTTCCTATTACTTTGGCCATATTGCAAATACCATTGATCTGATTAAAAATGAAAATAATGAAAATGAAAATAAAAATGTCATATTTTCCTATATCTTCCTAGCAATATCAAAGTACTTGGTATGGTATGTCCGGCTCCTCTGACACCGCCCGCGCAACAGTGAACAATGCACGGCCAGCTCTTATGGATCCCTCGTTACACGATAGTTAGTCTTCGCTCCGCTGCATCGCAAGTGTAGTAATTAAGCATGAAGGTATCGAACAGAATGTCCAATTCCTCTTTGTACTGCCTTGAACTGTCTAATGGGAGCGTTGAGAAAGGAAAGAAAATTGAATCGCGGAAAGAGATTTTATAGTGCCTGTACTAACCGCTTTAGGGGGCGATCCACTCTGGCGGGCATCTGGCTCGACTTGTTTCCACTTTCCCTCCAGCTCCTATCCAGTTGTTGAGTTATCAATACACTTGACAAGGAATACAATGCAGTAGAGTGCAGCATGCAGTTTGGTCTTTCTCTTTCATATTAACTCACCTATTCTCGCCAATTCCACCGAATTGCTATCCACTAAAATCACCGACCACCGACCATCTGACACGTCATGGCGTCGGCACTCTTCTTCCTCGACTTGAAGGGCAAGGTGGGTAACTGAACTTCTGAATATCCTAGCAAAGATGCCATATTGCGCAAATACCGGCCAATTCGCGATGTGTATGCTAACATGGAATTTCACCAAATTAGACCCTTCTGGCCCGCAACTACCGCGGGGACATCCCCATGTCCGCGGTCGAGAAATTCCCCATCCTCCTCAGTGAAGCCGAAGAAGAAAGCTCTGCAGTACCTCCCTGTTTCTCACACGAGGGCATCAACGTACGTTTATCGGTTTTGTCACTACCCACACACGCCACTCGGACCCTCCCTACTCCTTTTGTGTGCGCACCACCGCAATATTCTGACGCGGGTTGGGATCTTATAGTACCTTTATATTCGCCACAGCAACCTTTACATCCTCGCATTGACTAAGAGAAACACAAATGCCACCGAGATCCTCCTCTTCCTCCACAAGCTTGTAGAGGTTTTCACCGAATACTTCAAAGTGCTGGAGGAGGAGAGTATCCGCGACAACTTCGTGGTCATCTATGAATTGCTGGACGAGATGATGGACTTTGGATACCCTCAGACAACAGAGACCAAGATTTTGCAAGAGTAAGAAATGCCCGAGATGGTCAATCGGAATGCGGGACTGACGCGATATCACAACAGATATATCACCCAAGAATCACACAAGCTCGAAGTTCAAGCACGGCCACCCATTGCCGTCACGAATGCCGTCTCCTGGCGTAGCGAAGGTATCCGCTACCGCAAGAATGAAGTCTTCCTAGATGTGGTGGAGTCTCTGAACCTGCTCGTGTCGGCGAACGGCAACGTCCTGCGGTCCGAGATTTTGGGCGCCGTTAAGATGAAGTGTTACCTGAGTGGAATGCCCGAGCTTCGACTAGGACTGAACGATAAGGCGATGTTCGAGACGACGGGACGTGCTACTCGAGGCAAATCTGTCGAAATGGAGGATGTCAAATTCCACCAGTGTGTGCGGCTGTCACGATTTGAAAACGACCGGACAATCAGTTTCATTCCTCCAGATGGCGAGTTCGAATTGATGAGCTACCGGCTGAACACGCAAGTCAAGCCTTTGATCTGGGTGGAATGTTTGGTTGAATCGCACTCGGGATCACGGATTGAGTACATGCTCAAGGTAGGATTGACCCCACCGGCGTTAATGTCATAAAAGCTAATGCACCGCACAGGCCAAAGCACAGTTCAAGCGCCGAAGCACAGCTAATAACGTCGAGATTCTCGTCCCCGTTCCCGAAGACGCAGACTCTCCCCGATTCCGCACCAACATCGGCACCGTGCACTATGCGCCCGAGAAATCAGCGATTATCTGGAAAATCAAGCAATTCGGCGGTGGCAAGGAGTTCCTCATGCGGGCGGAGCTGGGTCTACCATCCGTAAAGGGAGACGACGAGCACGGCGGTGGCATGACAGGTGGATTTGGAGGTAGCATGGGCGGTGCCGGCGCCATGGGCAAGGCAAAGCGACCTATCAACGTCAAGTTTGAAATCCCCTACTTCACTACGAGTGGTATCCAAGTGCGGTACTTGAAGATCACCGAGCCCAAGTTGCAATATCCCTCCCTTCCCTGGGTGCGCTACATCACACAATCAGGCGATATCGCTGTCCGCATGCCAGATGTGCAATAGAGATATTTCTTTGATTCGCTGTCCTGGTTCCTTGCATGAGTGATTTGTACAGCCTTGATTCTTGTTCCTTGTCTTCATTCTCATGTCCTTCGTCTACCTACCTTATCCTATATTCCATCTACGCTCGTGTTGAGACCGGCCGGTCCGATAGATAATTCAATCCCGATGTGTTCTCATCTCCATGGTTTTTGTAAAGTTTCAGGTCAAATGTATATACAAATGTTGATGCCCGTTTCTCGCAGTCTACCGGTCGGAAAATATGCGATTCAAACGTGGATATAGATAGCTCAATCTTGCACATGTGCAAATAAACCCCATCACTACATATGTAAGGGGGAAAATCAATATTCAGTAGATGCTAATCCCTCATCAATTTCCTGGGAATGAAAGATTAGGCTGTTGAAGTCAGGTTTTTGCAGGTCTTTCGTTTTTCGATTTTGAATTTTGTTTATAGTTGATATACAGCGGTGAATATGTGTCGATATATGTGATTGGTACTGCATTCATATGTAGATACCAGATATGAAATCCGTAAGGAACACTACCAGAAAACTTATGAAATTACAAAACGCCCATGAATACGTACTCAAAAGTCATTTTACATGGATGATTAGGATAAGATCTCAAGCTAGAAGCTGGTTTTAGTAGATAGTGTAAGCTTAGATCAGAGACAGCACGCAAGTCACACAAAGGCTCTGAGAACAACAGAACGAGAGCCAAAAGGGTATCTCGATTCAAAACCACCTGGGCAGCAGATCAGACACATAATCAAAGACCAAACCAAAGACAAAAAAGGGATGAAATGCATTATTCTTCATACCGCAACGCCGTATCAGCGCCCGTAAAAACTGAACTGAACTGCAACTGACTGAAATTAAAGTGAAACTTTTAAGCCAATATAAACCCCCCAAATGCCAGCTGTACATGATACCACGCTAGGAACGAAGAACTGCAAGGATAAACAAGGGAGACAGATCACATATCCGGGCCGAAAACAAAATCGAAAAGTCACGTAGCGTGACCATTCGCTCCATCCTCGGTTTCTGGTGGAGGAAGCGGGAAGCCATCTGTTCGACCTGCAGCGGCGGATTTGGAGAATCCCTCTCGGGCGAGCATGGTGTTCAATACTGCACAGTTGTATGCTGCCTCGCCAGGCGGAACAACAAGGAAGATATAAGTATTATCCGTGAAGCGGCCGAGGAAAGTATTGAATTGTGGGGTTTTGGTATGCATGACGACGAAGCCTGCAGAAGCAGGCGTTGTAAGTGTATTTCGAGCCGCGCAGTGCTTGAACGCTTTCATGATGTTGGAGAGACGTTCATGGCGATCGTAGATTGGGTTCAGTTCGCCTACTTCCGATGTCACGGAAGTAACGGTAAGGAAGGTGGAGCGCTCGAAGAGGATTACTTCTTCAGCGTCGATTTTCTTCGCAAATGCTGAGAGGAATCGTTCGATGACTGAGAGGTTTGGGATGAGTTTGTGGACAATCCCGGCCCAGGCTTTGTAAAGCGATTGATCCCAGATACTGCTGCCGAATGTGTCGATGCGGAAATGCTCTGAGCGGCTGCGGATTAGGGCGGAGCGCTCTTCGTAGATACGCTGGCGGTGCTCGGCTTGGATGAGGTCCATTTTGTGGACGAGGCAGAAGACGTAGGCATTGGGGCTGTATTCGCGGAGGGCTTGGATGATTGCATTATATGTGTCTAGGTCGCGGTCGACTTCACGGGATTCAATATCGAAGACGTAGATTAGTACCGCGACGTCGGAGAAGATGTTCTCGCGTTGAGAGGCGAGGTATGTTTCCATAAATGCGTCTTGTCTAAGAGCTATTGATCAGCTTGATAGCGTTGAATAAGCAGAAAATTGGCTGAATGACTCACCCTCCACAATCCCAGAGGTTCAATGTGAGGTTGCCCATGAACTTGACATGACTATGCTCCACATCAATGGTAGCGCCTAGGCGGCGCACATCTTTGGCAACGTAATTACTGAAAATAATTGAGCGCATGGATGATTTGCCTGAGCCACTTTTGCCCATGAGAAGGACCTTTCTCTTCTTCTTGCGGGCGTCCATGTTGGCGACTTGCTACTAAGCTTGCCCCGCAAGAGCGGGGACGTCTCGAATGGTTCTGGGGGTGACTATGTCAATTGACGGGCCACAGGGTGACGTAGAGTGTTATTCTTGACGATGAAAAGGGAGAAAGGCTTATCGGGACAAGTGAAGAGGAATTGGGAAGGTCGAGATAAGGCGAAGAGAGGAACAGCTCCAGATGATGGATGCGGAGAGACGGATCAACCTTACCCGGTGGATGGTCACGTGATGGTACAGCTTAGCTGTAGTCTATAGGGTTAGATGTTAGATGTTAGATGTTAGAGTCATACCTATGTACCTAGGTAATTAGTACATATTTATTATCATTAATCCAAGATACTTTTCTACATGCCTTCGAGACCGAAATATGCCTATCATTGTAGGCGGATAGCCGAGGTCGCGGGATGACGACATTGTTTAGGAATGGCGTAACTGGAACCAGTCACTCTTTGTATACAAAGCCACAATCACGGCACTGCACTTGACTACATTAGCTAGGCAGGTGGCGATGCTTATATGAACATGCTTATATGAACATGAATCAATAAACCACTCTCAGATGTCATTAAATTTTTCACGTTCTGGAACGCTGGATGCTATAAAGTAGCTATAAATCAGTGACCTAGATAAAACAGGAATCAAGCTCAAAATGTAAAGTGGTATCCGAAAAAGAAACGCAGACAGGCCAGTACGACACAAAGCAAAAGGCCTCAGTCGGAGAAAAGTCGAAACCGAAGAGAAATTAGGAGCACCAAGAAATCACACGCAACGAAGAGGCCAGTTAGAAGTGAATCAATAAAGGTCGTCATCAATAGTTCATAAATCCCAGCACCCAAGCCAACAGTAATAGAATAGTAGTAATAAAAATAGTGGCATCCCGTTCATCCATTAAACTCGCGTATAGGGCATTAGAAGACCGTGCCATCGGAACGGATCATAATCGGAGGTTCCTTGGTGTTTGGTCTGGAGACTTCGGCGATTTCACGACCACCCTGGGAGAGTTAGTGAGGAAACAGAAGTAAGCAAGGGGACAACAAACCTTCCAAGAACCAGCCTCTAGCATCTGGGCTAGCGATAATTGGTCTTCCGAACCAGCTAATCCCAGTTGTATATTCACCTCATCGAGCAGCTCATCCAAAAAGCCAACTGTCACTGCCCGCCACTCCACGATCACATCGTCGTCTGTAGAGAAGAGTGGCACCACCTCCATATTAGGTTGTCCCTTGATTTGGGCATTCTCTTTGAAAGCCTGGACTCCACGCTCCATGTCATCGGCCTTGAGGCTCAAAAGTCCCATGTCGATCAACAGACCACCATTTCGGTACTCCGGTAGGCCTGTCAATAGATCACTACCGGCGAAGTGAATATGCATCAACTTCGACATGGGGACCATGATGGAGTAGCAGAGCCACTGGGTCAGCTTGTGGAAGGGAATAATGCGTTCCCACGGCTGTGCGGGCGGAGAATCGGGGAGATCCGAACAATCCCATGCATCTCCAATGGAGACACCGTCGATCTGAGTTCGAGAAGGGGGCCAGATGGAAGAGAAGCCATCCATGAGAACGGTCCACAAGGTGGTGATAGGGACTATGGGTACGGAAGAAGCGAGAGTAGAAGGATGTCCCAGAAGGAAGTCTGCACCGAAATCGTCAGCGTTTCAATCCAAAAGCGTACCAATTTCAATAATCGGTGCTTCAACGTGTTGTGCAGTTCCGAATCCTCACCTAACATATTGCCCGGACGGGCATCTACACCAAAGAAATCCTGATTATTCAAAGCTTCAGAAAGTCGCACCAACAAGCCCGCGCGACCTTCAATACCGGCGAGCGAGTTCTGATCCGTGTGCTGCATCCCCTTGGCCAACTTGTCGACTGTGATATTCTTCAACGCGGCTCCATCCACCTGGCACGGTTCTGTCGGGTCGCTGCTGAATAACCCGGACTTGAACATCTCCAGACTTGCAACGGCGAGACCCTCGCTGCGCGAGTAAACCTTTCCAGACTCCTTAGAGCGATAGGACCATTTAGTACCGGCGCCAGCGTCAAGCAGAACCGAAACGACGAATAAATCGATCAAGCGACGGGTCCGTTCTTGGGCATCAATGCTGCTAGGCCATGACTGCAGAAGCTGATTGATTCGGGGACGGCCGCCCACATCAAAATGTTGCCAGCGTCCATGTGGCGGGATATTCTCATAGTTTCGCTCATAATCTCTCTTGTATGTATTAGTCTTCATCAGTTCGGATTTATGTTTCTGAAATTTGAATACCTTTATTATGGATACGACATAGGAAGCGGTGGCCTTGAGTTTGGACAAATCGACATCGAAATGGTTGAGTTGGTTGCGCTTGGCTCGGGCGAGGACGATGTTGGCGCGTTCGCGAACCGCGTGGATGCTTCGGAGATAGGCGGCGGGGTCCAATGCCGGGTCTGGCGGGCTCGCGATGGGCATCTCGGGGATGGAGGCCGGAAGGCCACTGCCTTTGTAGCCGGGGGATTTGAGCGATACATTGGAAGTGCGAGCACTGTTAACGGACACGAAGGATTCCTGTTCATCTCGCTCACTCTGGACCGAATTCCTCGAGTCCTTGCGTTTGAAGAGACCCATTGTTGTTAGGGGGTTTGTTTTTTTTTTTAATTCTCCTTTTGATTCCCCCGGGCGGAAATTCCAAGTGGAGAAAGCAAGTGAGGAGGGAGGAATGAGTTGGATCGACTCCCACTTCAAAAATCAATTTGGCTTTGTAAGGATCCTCAAGAATTGGAAATAATTGATTTTTTTTTTCTCCTTAAAGCTTTCGTAATAATTGAGGCGGGGCGGTCGGTGGCCGGACTCTTTTCAATCTCCACGGTTTAGGGGAGAATCTAGGTCGTTAGTCTATTAAAGTGGGGGGGGGGGGGGAGGAGGAATGGATTTTGAATGACGTTCTAAGGTTCAAAGACTGTTTAGAAGGTTAATAAGTCTCCAAGTTTTCCTACTTAAAACTACATTAATTACTTCCCGAATGTGCTCCGCACTACGACGGAATTCCGGAGCAGATTAAGTAGGGGGAAGTAACTAATCCAGGCCGACACAGGCTACGGTTTCTAAATCATAGGAAAAAAGAACATTATCAGTATAGATCTGGACCAAATCAAGAAGCACGGGCTTGCCCTGTGCGGAGAAGTCCCTGCCAAGTACCCAGTAAATGGGATTGTTCAAATGTTGGTACCTTCCAATTTAGTTTTGTTCGGTACCTAATGGGTTTTAGGGAGATCTAGCGTCCCTTGAACCAAGGTACAATCTTCAATAGCTTTATTTTATATCTTTTTGTTTTGTTTTTGTTTTTGTTTTTTTCACCGTGGTAATGGGAATCAGGGATAGTCACAGTATAATATTGATATGAAAATAGGATCCTAATTAATTCTTAAGGACTGGTCAATGGTCCGTTCATGCATTAAAAGGTGTCACGGCGGAATAGCCCAAGTCAGCACTAGTAACGGAATTCTACAAAAGTACCATAGTTCCTGAGTTCTGAAATCGAAAATAAATCGAGATATCTATATCCACATGTCAGTCGACGGGGGCGTTCGTACGGAATTCCGATCTGGCCTGATTCTAAGAACCTGTTTGTCTCTACCTATTACTAGTAGTCAATGGTATGGATTCGGATTCTCCGATATTCTTAAGCGTGGAACTGCTCGGTACTTCATTTAACTCCGGATATTCGGAAGGATCAAAATTATAATTACAATTAACCTAGGTCTTAATCTCCGTTCCCATATGGAAAGATCCTAATGCGGGAAGCACGGACCCAAAGCCACAGTGCTGGGAGTTTCACTTAAAGCCCCACGTCTACCAACTTGGGGAGTAATTAACCTGTTGACAACGTTCGTGCATTAGAACGCCTTGGCCCACCACATACTTAACTAGCATTATTTACCGCGCGGCTCCTCTATCCGATAACTCCGTTCAGCCAAAGCGGAGACTTGAGTTTTGCCTTTCCTGTCTGGGTTTTATTCGGTTTTTTGTTTATTTTTGTTTTGAATTTTGAATTTTGAATTTTCGCTTGTTTTGTTTTGTTTTGTTATGTTTTCCCGCTTTACCAGAGATTGACTAGTTCTTTTGCAGATCAGGTACTCAGAACCTATTTAATCTAACTTCATTTCCGTGCCGGTTCTTCTTCGGGACAATTCCCTAAATCCGGAAATCTAGAACACCCTTTACCTTCTTAGGTAGTTGGCAGCGACGTTCTTCATAGTATGATAACGGGATTTATTTTTATGCAAAGCGATAGGAACTACGGAGTACAGAGTACATCTTTCTCCCGATAAGCGATAATCCCGTTCCAGTAACGTGGACCTGGATCGATTCCGAATGTGCTAAGGCCCCTAACTCTATTGCCGGCCGCGTCACGGAACCTGTGCGAGACATCACCCGAAAAGGCGCTTCTCCGTTGAATGTCGCTTATCGTCCCAATGTCCCAATCAAGTCAATGGACTGGACCGGCCAGTACCGTGTTTTAAGCTTCGGTTGTTGTGGCTTTTTTTTCTCCCGAAACACCCGCGGGGTACATGCTAGCCGTGTTCATACATCCGATTGGCACCATGGACTTCTACCTTTTATTCACCGAAGTTACTTTCGTATTCGTTCGAACAAGGTTGGTCTAGTCCACATCCCGAGATCAGTTAAACTCTGGTGATAAATCGTACTAGCTTGCAGAGCTCCTCGATCCACCCGATGTATTTCCGTCAAGAGTTTTGATCTCGGGTTAACGCGCAGTATATCCTCCATCCACAAGCCAAGATACCCCAGTCACCCAGCTGGCATCATCACTCGCTAAGACAACCGCAATCTTAGCGATATCACTTGGTTTACCTGGCCCATTGAAAGGATGCTTTCGCTGCAGATCTTCCAAGTTGGCACCTGCTGCTGCCGTGTCCGAGTAAATGGCCGTCTGGGTATCTATTAAAAAAAGTTAATCGATTCAATGTTTACTCAACCAAGATAGATCGATCAACTCACATCCCGGACAAATAGCATTCACATGGATTTTATCCGCAGCATAGTCGAGGGCAATTTGACGAGTCAAGCTACTGACCGCTCCCTTCGAAGCACAGTATGATGCTTGAAACCACAGTTAGTATACAGTAGTACTTGAAGTATACCAGGGAGTAAACTTACGAATTCTCACCGAGGTACAGGTTTATTAGGGTCTAGCTGAATCAATGATGGTCGAGAAAAGAATAGGATATAAGCTAAAAATGGAAAAAAATGTTCTCTAGATACACCGAGGGTTTGAACTTCTATAGCCAACTTGAACAGATAGAAGCTTCAAAGTCAGACGTAGTAGACACTAATAAAACAATCTCTCATTCAGTATCAACATGACTAATGAATCCAAAGACCCCTACATCATTCCCCCTCACCTTGAACCCCAATAAAAATCCAATAATATCATCTATTTAGTGGTCCTGTAAATCCATGCATCACATCCGGATAACGCGATCACATGACTTGACCACCACGCGAATCGCGTCAAACTGAACCGACCTCCGACCCCCTATCAAAATAGACCCAATCCAACCCACACCGCACCAACTCCACATTCCTTCAAATCAACAGACCCAAAATGTCCGCCTTCACCTCCCTCCGCCCAACCCTCCGCCTGGCAAACACAGCCCGCACCTTCAGCTCCTCAGCCGTGCGCCCTGTCGCCCGCATGACCATTACCGGCCGCTTAGCCGCCGACCCCGAGCTCCAAGCTACCTCTAGCGGACAGGATATTATCAAGTACGCCGTTGGTACTTCGTACGGACCCAGCGACAACAGACAGACGAGCTGGTTCAAGATTGCTAGCTTTGCGGAGGGTTCACAGCGGGATTATTTGATGGGATTGCAGAAGGGGTGAGTTATTGGACAATCATTGAGCTTGCTTGGCTTCTTCTGCTGGTATTGGTGCTAATACATTGATAGTACCCTTGTCTATGTGGAGGGTGATGCTAGAATGAAGACCTACGAGGATGCTGAGGGTCGGAAACAGTCTAGCTTGAGCATTGTGCAGCGTATGTTTGATCTGTTTTGATTCCTTTGCGTTGTCTTGATGGTGGTTGGATGTTGGATCGCAACTAACTTGGTTTTATGTAGGCTCTATTGAGGTCCTTAGCCGTCCCCACAACGCTTCGCAGTAAGCAATATATCAGGATTGATTAAGTTGAATGTGCATCGACATCGACGCTTGTTTTCGGTATTGGCGTTCTATTGGGGTCGACAGGTTTAGATGGCTGGATGGTTTGTGAGAGGAGTGGTTGATATTTGTGCTTTTACCGTGGTTCGTTTCGATGCTAGGTGATTCTTGCCGATCTCCTGTGATTATTGTATTGTACTAGTATACCCTGAATACACTCCGTTCTGTTATGGTGTACGTTGAAATTGCTGCTAGTAATGAGGATGAAGCTTGGAAGAAACGGTGAAATGGAATGCATTTGATAACTTGCAAGACTGGAAAGAGATGCAATGGTAGCCAGCTAAGATGCATACAGCCGGTAACTGGCTGCAATGCAGTGAGAAGGAAGAAAGATATGGGAGGACATGTTTAGACGGAATTGAAATGGATCTCACTGCTCTGGGAAATGACATGCTTGATATGAATGGAATCCGCCGGCACCGGGGTAGACGGAACACGGTCTGACATTTCGCTGCTAGGACGACTCTCACTGACAGCCGCCCAGGCAGTCGTACACATAGTCTGTCCGGGCACAGTTATATCATTCAACAGAACGACCTGGTCACGACTGCGGGCAAAACGGCGATTGAAGAATGACAACGGATTCCGGTACCACGGCACGACCTTGTCTCGACTGACACGTGAAGATAGCCGAAGACCCTTCTCAATATCATTGTATGTGTTCTTGCGCCAGTTGAAAAGAGATTTCTTGTGACGAGGTGTTTCAACCAGAGTAGTCGAGTTGGAGACGTGGGCAGGACGGATGGAAGCCTGTGAGTTCGTCGGACGAGACACGCTGGGGAAGCAGTGTCCGAAACCGAGTCGCCAGAGGATTGTACGATAGACGCGGATGGCGTCACGACCGAAACCGCAGAAGATAAAGATGAGAACGCCTATTGCGACGGGGGTCCAGCGATCGAAGAAGACTCTGCCTTGTGTGGGGACCTTAATGATTTTGTCCCATCCGTCATGGTGGACTTGGGAGAAGGAGTAGCTGTGCCAGGGAAGGGAGGATTTGAGGTCGCGGTAGACAACGTAGCCTTGAAGGGGGAGGATAGCTATGAGCATGGTGAAAGCGACGAGAAAGAGGCGGAGGAAACGGGATTTGCTCATATTGCTATTAGATGAGCGGATGACAACTTCAAAGTCACTCCGGTACCTGTGCAGGCGGATAAGGACAAGGCCTGTATGGTCAGTATCAGGATCTCATAGAGGAGTATCAGATGACTTACAACAATAGTAAGCGGAAATCAAGCAAAGAATGGGTGGCCACATCCATGCCAGCACGAAACTTGGCCAGCTTTCGTCGTAATTGTTGACGCAACCTGAGATGGCATAGAGAAGATAGCGGTCTTTTTGATAGACAAAGTGGGTGACCATAGCCATAATTGGAACAAACACACAGAGCAGAAGTTCGACCATCCGATTGCGCCAGCGCTGAGACTTGCTCGGGACTAGGACTGCTCGGCTAGTGTCCAGCACTCTTGACAGTCCGCGGAAGATACATGTTAGAGCAGCTGGTACAGCGACGTAGCTTGCAACCATAAACTTGACTTCGATATCACAAAGACCGGTACCGTTCCACCACACGGAAGTGTCATCTGTAGGCCAGAGAAGGGCATTGATGATATTGAACACGCTCAGCAGAATTGCCCAGCAAATCAGAGCTGTAGCTGGGTAATTGCGATTTTTTGCATGAAGTAACAGTGGTGAAAGAGACAACAGAATAGAAATGAAAGAAAAGATCGGAATGAGAATGGCCAGCGGGTATGGCTTCATGGATGACATTTTAGTAGTCATAAGCTTGACTATTGAGATTAAAGACCTTAAAGATCATCAAGGATTCGAAAGTAGAAGGTAGAAGACTGAAGATTGGAAGAAAAGAAAAGCAGAAAGAGCTGCATCCTTCTATAGCTGATATCCAGGGCAAGTGAATAAGGGATCTCGAACCAGATTGATTCAGAATAGATTCACTATGAGATAAGCAGGTTCGAATGAGCCATCTTGTCAGGAGGTCTGGATCTTATTCTGACCTGGATTCGACGGAAAGGTGGACCAAAATAGATCTGTATAGACTCATCGACCATGGAAAACGTAAAAGGTATCACTGAAGAAGGAACCTGCCCATTCATGATGTATAGAACAGGCGGCATGAAAGACTTGAATGAAAGATGAAAGAAAGAAAGTTTAAGAAGTTGAGAAGTTACCGAATTTGGGTTTCTATAGAAGTTGAATGACTTGACTTCTATAGGGTTCCAAATCTGGTTAGACTGAACCCTAGTGTAAGGCAACTAAGGCATCAACTTTGAACCAGGGATCATGTAAGGCATCAGTAGTCATCTACTCATTCACTGAGTAGACAGGATGATCAAAGGGACAAAGTAGGTAGAATTTGGATGAATCAGATCTACATAAAAACCATTTTTATTCCTATATAATTCTAGTATCCAAATCTTGGAAGCTACTACGGAATACGGAGTATCCCTAGTTGAGATGGATGATGACGAAATACCCTTGCATCATACTACATCAATCAAAACCTCGGCTTACGCCACGAACTCCTCCACCCATCGGGTGAACCCTTTAGCTTCTCGGCTTTGCATACTTTCCAGGTGCATTGTCTTTGCTTTTAATAGGGTATGGCTGACCCCCCTTCACCCTCGGGGATCTCACCCCGCAATACATCCATCCGTCGCCGTCTCCCCGCGCGTACCCCATTAGAGACCATCCCTGACTGGCCACAACGCCGCAACTCAACGCTATCAGATACTATCTCAGAGGCTCGCAACTCTATCCGATCCTCCACAGATGAAATATTCCTGCCACGGGTTGCCAGACACAATGGAGACCCGATCGCATTGGAAGAGTCTCATTGGCACTCCGCACCACTGGCCTTGGCACTGCTGCCGGCTATCGCGGGGGTCATGTTCAAAGAGGGAAGTTCGTTTGTCACTGATGTGACATTGTTGGTACTGGCGGCTGTCTTCCTCAATTGGTCTGTTCGATTACCATGGTATGTCATAAGGTCATATACATCTGGGGTATAAGCTTACATGACTAAAGGGACTGGTATCGTTCAGCTCAGGCAGTCCAGCGTGACGGATCCAGATATTCCCCCGTTGCCGAAGACATCGTGGAAGGCGACGACGCCGTGGAGTCGGGCGAAGAAGCCCAGTCCCGTCCCCAGCCCCAGCCCCAGCCCCCACGGGTATCAAACGAAGCGGCCATCAAAGAGCTCCAGTTCCATGAGCTCGTCGCATTAGCTTCATGTTTTATCTTCCCTCTAATCGGCGCCTGGCTCCTCCACGGAATAAGGAACAGTCTCTCAAGACCATCAGAAGGTCTCGTGTCAAACTACAACCTAACAATCTTCCTCCTCGCATCAGAAATCCGTCCATTCGCACATCTCCTCAAACTATTCCAAGCAAGAACCCTCCACCTACAACGTATCATTGCAAAGGAAGACCGAATCGATCCACCCAACCTCCAAGACCTCACAAAACGTCTCGAGGAACTAGAAGCTTACGTCGCAGAAGCTGCAACCCTATCCCCCAAAGACTCCAAAGACACAAACCCACAACAAGACAAACTCATCACCCAAGCCGTAGCCGAATCCCGTCTCGCATTGCAGCCCGACATTGAGGCTCTCAATCGCGCAGTCCGTCGCTACGAGAAACGCACCGCTTTGATATCCCTCCAATCAGATACACGCTTCCAACTCCTCGAAGCCCAAACTCGTGACGCATTAGCATTGGCAGCGGCGGCCCAACGATCAAATCTATCCCGTCGCTCGAGCTATGCGTTTATATTACTTGACTGGGCCTGCGCGTGTATTGTTGTTCCCGCTCAACTCGCAGTATCTATTCTCAATTTACCCGGTCGTGCGGTGAATTGTTGTTTGAAGACTGCGAAGAGTATGCTAGCTTCGAAGTCGCAGTCGCAGTCGCAGGCACTGTCACGTTCGAAGTCGAGTAAAGGGAAATCTGCTCAGGGTCATAAAGGTCAATCACGAGCGCCTGCGAAAGGACCGGCTTCTGTTTCGCTTGCGTCGCAGTCTTTGAAGTTAAATTCGAAGAATTCTTCTCGCTAGGCTGGTCCCGCTTGAAGATTATTAGGATGGGTTTCTTTTGACTTCAATTTCTTTTGTACGAGTACTTTCGGGGTTTTATATACATGAAATACACGACATCTTATTTTACTCCAACTCCAACCACTTAAATTGAAGGATTGAAGCTAGTGTCTAGTGTCTCAACAAGGATTCAAGTACATACTGAGCTTACCGGATCTAAATCACCATTGCCGTAACACAGCAAAACAATAAGAAGCCTTCAACTGAACATCATAAGAAACTCATTTATTCAAATGTTCGCACCAAATCAGTAAATACTATATACATTAAGACCGCCCCCCTGATGGCCCCTTCTCATCAACTCCAATCATCTTCAAGAAAGGCTCAATAATCCCCTTCTTCCGCTCATCTGAAGCACGGCGCTCTTTATCCTTGGAAGGTACAGGAACAGCCTGCGAAATGAGTACACGGGCAAATATCAACGTAAGTGCAGTCTCTACAGCCTGACGACGCGCTACAGCCTTCTCACGAGAATTCTTCGCCGCGGGCTCAGAGATACTCGGCTCACGTTTGCGACGGAAGCTACCTGCTGAGATGAATGCTGCTGCAGAAGCAGGAGTAGGTGGGTTCGGAAGGCTGGATGTGACATTTGCCTGCTCTTGGCTTTCTTCTTGCTCTTGCTCTTGCTCTTTGTACTTCTTGCTGTCATTCGATTTGGCGAGATCCGTCAGATTGGATAGTCGTTTTTTGGTCTTGGATAGTGCGGGTTTGTTGGGCTGAGGTGCGGTGGATGGGACGGGGGCTACTTCGTTGGCGATGCGGGCTAACATGAAAGTGACGAATGTGAAAGAGACGCTGTGGGCGGGTGAATAAGCGAGACTTTCTAGAACCCATGCTTGGGTCTCTTCCCAGGATCGAGGGGGGGATTTGGATTTTTCTCGTGAAATAAGTTGCTGTTCCATTTCTTGCCAGACGGATGCGGTGACGATGCCATCGCTTAAGGAATTGAGAAATGTGAGGAGGGTTTCGGAGAGAACTTCTAGTCGTTGAATGGATGGGATTTCTGGCGCAAAGATTGACGTCAAGGATTGATTCGTGTCGAGAGATTCACGAACAGACGCGGAAAGAACCGAACGCTGGTATGGATCCTGGAGTGTCCATGTCTCGGGTTGGAAAGGCCATCCGGTCCCTGATGGATCTGAAGTCCAAGGTGCTTCTTCCCCGGATTCGCCGTTTGTCATGCTCCATTCTGCTACAGCCCGCTCGGTCAAGTCGGAGATCGCCTCGGTCAAGCGAAAGAGTTCACGAGGAGCAGATAGCCGAACTTCGCTGTCTGTTTGAGACAATTGTGATGCTTCATCCTTATCAAGGCTACGGGCACCTTCCTCGGGCATACGGGTTAATTCATCCACACTACAGCCAAAGCATGTTGGCAGCCAGTGCCCCGTAACTGAGATGAAGTGATCACGGCCACTGTCCACATGGAGTACTAGGATCTCCTCCAGTTTGACCTTCTTCAGATTGAGGAGACGGACGTGTTCGATAATTCGAACGTGGGCAGTGATATCAATATTGGCCACTTCGCCTGGTAGTAGAGTGTAGGGCTTCTCAGAGGTCGTAATAGCCGGCTGTTTGGTATGGTCTTCTGGGCGCTCAATTTGAATATTGATCCAAGAGGGGTCTTCTAAGTTGTGCTTCTTCCCAGAACTAGGCCGTTCCCCAAAATGAAAGGTAGCTGATACACTACTTGTATTGGCAATGGTGATGGACCGACGAACTGGCACGTCAAAGGTGACATCGCCAAATTCGACTGCGTTCGGATCTCGATCTTTTCCTTGCTCGCCGTGAGGAACGTCAACCACGACTGTAAGGCCAGGGCGAGCTTCATTCTCAGCCTTGTCGAGCTCACGGACTACCTCTTGGTGGACCTTGGCCTTGAGGCTGGGATTGACCGCATCAAACGACAATGTGAACATTGCATCCAAGGGCTTATGGTCTGAAGTTAGAATTCCCTGATGTGACACATAATGATCCAGACGAACGGGCTCATCTAAAGACAAGTCTTCGGATGCAACAGAGGAGACATTTGCTCGGTCATCATCTGAACTATACTCCTCCACGCTGCCTTCCCCATCCGCACCGTCGACCTCAGGGTCGTAGTCAAATAGAACATTGTCGTCGGCAACGGCCTGGTCCAGACCCTGATCCTGCATTTCTTTATCTCGCTGTCGGGCCTCCTCGGCTTCTCGGTCAAGTTGCTCATGCTTGAGTTTATCTCGCCGAGTGCGGTAGAGGATTCGATCACACCAGCTGGGCCCACGATGTTTCTCGCTGGAGTCAAACATAGCCACACTACCAATGTCGTATTTGTACGTAGGCAGAAAAGTTATTTGACCCTCGCGCCATCCATTATGAAATGCAGTACCTAATTTCTGCTGAATGTGCAACTGGTCATGCTTAAATAGGGACGAAATGGTCGTCTGTAAAGATGCAGGGTCGTTATGGGGATCAATCTCATCGTCAGTCACTGGCTCGGGTGGCGCATCGTCGTCTGACAGGGACAATGGCGGCTGGTTTTCACTATCGGTGGTAGAATCTCGACGACTACCCGATTCCTTCTTTTTCAGGAGTTCAGTGTCATACGCATTAAGTGTGTGGCGTGCTAGCACCTGTCGCACGTCATTTCCAGGAATATCATCCAGCCGATAGTTGAGATCGCCAAACCAGAATGTAAAATCCTCGTCACCGATACTGTCAAAGGCATCATCCTCTCTCCCCTTCTCTCCATCAACTGGATCGAACTTTGCCCGCGACGCAATTTGAGCAGCGTCCCAATTGCGCCTTTCAAGGCTGCTTTTGTCGGATCCTGCAGCAAGGTGACTGTTCACAAAAACCAGACGAGTAGTTTCACCCAGGACCAAACGAGTCGCCACGGCACCCTTGTTCCCCATGTATCCCATGAGTCCTGTTCCGACGTAGGTACTGCTGACCGAAGAGACGCTCTCGCAAACCGAAGGAGAGGCGTAGATTAAAAGCAAAAGTCCAATCAACTGGACCTCGGAAACGAGCTGATATCCAGCAGGGAGCGATTTCTGAACCGACTCCTTCCATCGATTTGATGGGCCCGAATCGGTATATGGACGTAGAGCTTCAGCCGGAGACGAAACATCGACCACCTCCTGTAGACCCAGAACATAAAGATCAATCTCCTCCGGGCTCGTTTGGAATGGTTTCTTCTTCTCATCTTCGTTTTCGGCTTGGGAACTTCCACCCTTTACTCCAGCATGCTCAAGGTGCTCACCCTTGGCACCGGAAAACCTCTCGCACACTCCTTGACCCTGCACAAACCATTTTCCGACATCTTTTTCTGTGCCGGAGATGGCGGCGACATTCCACGTTCCAATCTTAACGCGGACGGTTCGTCGGCGAGTATACTCTGCTTTTCTTGCCTTCACAGCTCGCGAAAGAGACAGCAAATCCAGCGCAGGGTGCTCAGTGTCCTCGGCTTCTTCAGATTGGCCCTTCGGGTCTGATGCGGGTGACTCCGCGCTCTGGTCTTTGGCGTTCATATTTGATCAAACTGCGTCAGGTTTTCAAGGTCGACGATGATCAAGCTTTTCAAGCGGTTCTTGATTGTATGCGACTATCAGTGGGCGGTATATAGATCTTGCGCTTATCCGAGCGGCTTCTAACTCCGGCGGGGAACCAGATGCTATTTCAGTGGTTATTGAAGCACCACAATGTAAGGGCAATGATAGATATTGGTCTAGTTAACCAATTCCGGGATGCGATCCACAAAATGAATTGTAGAGTCTAGCACAAGCAGGTTCGTAGAAGCACATGCATGATGCGGTATGCTGAAGAGTCGATCTAGGGCAGTAGCAGAGCGCAAATTATCGCACTAAATGAGCAAAGTGTACAGGAAGAAAGAACGAATGGACTGAAAGCCTGACTGAGAAAGATAATTGAAGGTAGAAGGAAGGTAAGAAGGCGTGGATGGAGGCGGAAGGCTAACCGATGACGATGTCTTATCGTCTTATCGGTAACGCAATTCAGCTCTCACAGCTTTTCCCCTACGACCCAACGTTTACGTGACTTAGTGAACGACTAAGCGATCTCCATCCCATTTCAATTCCCATTGTTTTACGCAATAATGGTTCCAACTTTACATGCTCGTCGTCGCCGTCCTGGTCAGCAATACGAACACTTTCAGAATCAACAAATCAACACCTCCACCGACTACGAATCTGACACCGCATACAATTCCGACATGGCGCGTGCCCCTCTTCCTCAGCGCTCAAACGAGGAGGTGAACCTCAAAGTCCTCAAGCGATACAACCCCGATCTCGTTGATATCATCTCCCTTGCCAATTATGCTGTCATCTACACGTTCAACCCCACTACTGCTGGCTGGGAGAAGATCAACATCGAAGGGGCTACGTTCGTCTGCTCGATGACACCAGGTCCACTCGGCGAAGAACGCTACGAGGTCTTCACCATGAATCGCCGCTGCTTGGATAACTTCCACATTCGTCTGACTGCCGCCGAGAACGTCGAAGTAACGGATGAATTCATCATTCTGAAGGAAGACCAGGACAACGCCGATGGCAACTCCAGTGCCGACAAGTACCGCGTCTATGGTATCTGGATCTATTCCGAGGATCAAACCTCAACCGCCGCAATGCGCGCTGTGAACGCCAAGGTAATCATGGAGTGTTCTTCTCGTGCAGGCCAGTCCTTAAAGAATGCCAAGGAACGCATCCAAGCTATGCGCCAGAATGAGCTCCACGTTGCCGCCGCCATGGCTGGGACTCAGTCTGGACCTACCGAGGAAGCCGGCGGTGCTGTTCCGATGGGACGTGCAATGTCGCTGAGGGAGATCTTTGGGCAGCAACGCGCCCAGGATGACGAGTGGAGTGTTCGCGCACACCACGAACAGCCTCAATACAATGTTCCCCCTCAGGCTGATCCTTACGCCCAGCTCCGTCCTGGCATTTCCTTTCAAGCTCAAGCTCCCATGGCCCAGCCTCCTGCCCGCGCGCCTCGTCCCCCGGCCCCGGGCCAGCCCGACATCCTGGGTGATCTCTTCCGTCGCGCCGGACTTCACCCAGAGTAGTGGCACACCATGTTCTCTTCAGCGTTTCATGTCTTTTTTCTTTTGTCTGGCCTCAATCTAAGGCCATTTCATGGCGCATGATTTGTTTTGAATGATATGTTTTGATCGTTCTACGGCATGGTGGCGTCGCGTCGCTTGAGATACCCGTTGCAAGTATGCATTGCTTAATGACGAGTTTGATTTGTATTAATAGACTCAATCAAACCCATTCAAAATATCGCCTCGCAATAATGTAAACATCCCTTGCCTCTATCATAATTCTGCCGCCGCGGGGAAAAGATGGAGGGGGCGGTGAAGGTGGGATAATATGTTTTGCCTGATAAATGAGGACACAAAACAGGCTAAAGTGATTGCGAGAGTGATTTCCTCTCATCCATAACATACTAAGATAACGTTACTTGTAACTTCAGATCTTTAAACATCTAATCCCTTTCAGCCCTATGTCTGATTATATACTTGCTTAAACCTGCACAATCTCCTGTATCATACTCGCAACCTTTTGAGCCATAATATCACTATGCTCTGAAGAGACTAGTAAGCACAATCCGACTACAATAATAGGCAAGAGCAAAACTTACTCAAACAGAATGCGTGTGGCAGACCCTCCTCACAAACAAACATCTTTGGTCCCAATCCCTTCTCCTGTCCCCTCAACGCAATAACTTCATCACGGGTCTTCTCCGCAACCCAATGATCATTCCTTCCAAAGTAGAAGAATAACCGCGAGATAGGCTCGGATGCACATCCAACACCCCAAACATCATCTGTCCATTTATCAGATGTGATAGTGCGCATTTCGTCCGCTGCCATATGTCTGTTGAACCATTAGTACAACTAAATCATTTGAGAATGCAATCAATAGGATACACATACAACGCCTGCCGCACACCCCCAGCACTCCTCAAAAATTCAACCGTCGTCTCAAGACCATGAACTGGTGGATCATTCATCACAGACCTCACAACAGATTTCAAAGTCGAGACTGGAAGAACCGAGGTAAGTAGACGGGCGAAGAAGGCCACAAGAACAGCAAGCTGCGGAATAAAAGATAGCAGAGTCTAAAGGTACACTAAATCAGTAAAGAAGAACTGCAACTCAAAACTGAAGGTCCAACTTACCGTCAATTTCTGACCGGAGGGCGAGTGCGCAATATCTTTTACTGTTGGGAAAAGCATCACGCCACCGATTATATCGAAGGAATTTCCACTCGAACTCGACGAAGAAAAAGCTTCAGGAATAGAGCTTTCTATATCTGGTATACCTTCCCTATGTCTTCTTAAGACTTCCATGGCGATATATGCACCGACGGAGTGTCCAATGAGAATGACTTTTTGTTTCGGTTTAGAGATCGAAGAGTGATATGGAGATGCAGAATCAAATCCCTCACCCGCAGGATCATTCGTTGAAAGGATTGTATTTCCGTGGATCAAATCCAGAAGTTTCCGGTGCACAAACCGAATCTGGTCTTCGAGACTGTATACATGGTTTTTGAAATGTGCTCTGTCTTTAGGATTGCTCCCACTTTCATCCTTGGTTGGAGGTGGAATTTCGAAGCCACCGAGACTGCATCCGTATATCTGAAAGGAGGTCTGCTTTGGTGGTGTTTCATCTGTGGATTCAACTTGGGATCCGTTGACCAGGTTCTGCGCTAGCAGGGATAGGAAGGGGTGATAGTACCCGATTAATCCTGGATTTCCGGATATGAAGAAGATGGTTGTGTCGGACTTGGTCTTTGTGTCTGTGTAGGTGCAGAAGGTGTTCTGTGTGACTTGGGGTTCCATTTTGACAAGGACTGGATAAGTCAGTTATTTAACAGATGACTACCTTGTAAGGTCTCAGCGACCTTTGTAGAGTTAAAGACTATGTTTAGAATGTGGGAATTTCAAGGTTGTGGTGCGTAGGCTCAAATGCTTGATATGTCATGGAGAATTGTCGTTGATACCTGAGGCTGCTTCAAGCTGCGGAGAGTGGGTCCCATGTGACGATGAGCAAGTTCCGCTCAAACTACGATTAAATAGCAAAGCAAAATGACCATGGAATGCAAATTTATTGCAAAAGAGCCTGACTCCGAACCATAGCTCCCCCCTTAAGCTGCCCCTGGTTTCTGAACCCCGATTACCAAGAAAGTGGTTAAAAAGAACAATAGGGTCCGAGGCTGGATCAAATGCATTATTGCGATTGCCCAAACGCCGGAGCGCAATGTACAGCATTTCATTCCATGCCCCGCCACTAAAGAAAACAACTGCAGGTGTGAGACCGCAAGGTTCATTGGAAGGGCAAAGGAAGAAACGAAAGCGCAGATAGAATATAAAACGAAGATCGCCAAATAGCAGCATGTAAATGATAACAGAGTAGAAGGCTCAAGAAACGCGGGCATCGAAGCTGCGCTGAATGGTATCTAACTCATCGAAATGAGTAAATGAGGTGGCGGGCATTATCGCTGCTGAAATGGGTGAATCGGTTTTGTTGCCTGACTGCACAGGTGGGGCGAGGAGTTATCATCCATCTCCCTCACCTTGTCTGTCGTCTCGGTTCTCCTTTTCGTTGGTTTTAGCGGAAATATCTGGTGGGCATGATGGGTCGGCATCCAATGTGGCGGGCTTGCTGGGCCCTAGATTGATGGCAATTCTCTTGGGTGCTGCACTTCCCAAAACGCCTGATCCGGTTTTTTCTGCTGCTCCAATTGGCGCAATCGACAAACTCTTCTTCCGACTGAGGATCCCGGCGCTCGAATTGCTACTTGTAGAGCTTCTACGCTTAGGTCCTGCGGAGAGCTTCATCAGCTCATCGTCATCTTCCTCTTCACGGCGACGCTTCTCGGATAGTCGTTCTGGGGGTGTCTGAGCAGGCGAGGAAGGTGTGGAGACGGCAGCATCGGGACTAGTTTCGCTAGCCTCCGTCGCACTTGGTACTTCGGCCCGTTGTGTTTGCTCCGCGAGAGCTTCGGGTTTGGTGTCCATCGCATCCTCGTCGTCATCATCAGGGTAGTCAACCAGCGGTTTGACCATCATAGTAACAGAGCCATTTGATGTACCAGCAGCAACGGCTCCACGGTTATCCTGTGGCCACTGTGACCCAATTAGTACAATAATACAAAAATAATACAGCAAGGGGTCTTACATCATCCTCATCATCGGATGTGCCAAAGTAGTCCTCTTCGGCAGCATCCATTTCCTTCACGCCCTGCCAACGCTGGCCATTCAGCGGCATCCTCCGTGGTGTACTATCGTCCTCGTGGCCAAACAACGGATCCGCTTCGGCACCATATCCTTGCATCTGATCATATCGAAGGATCAAGTTCAGGAATGTATCGACGTATGTGATACTCGCGAGCTTCTCCCGGTACTTCTCTACCACGTGGATGATGAACGGCTTGATGTTTTCCCGTTTGATAAATTCGAAGAGCTCAAGGCAGGCGGAGTTGAGGAGGTTGTCGCGAGGCATTGTTTCGTAAACAATATCGAGGATTAAACCGAAGGTATTGTTGTGCGTCATTAGAGCTTGGTAAAAGGTATCTTGGAGGCTGATCAAGGTGCGGAAGAATTTGAGGGCCACTATAGAACACCAATATTAGCCTCACCATGGATAAAGAGTATTTTCAAGGGGATTGAGCTCTTACCCAGCTTCAAGTGTTTTTGAGGAGCCGTCAAAAGCTGGGCGACTCGAGGCGCAAGAGATTCACTGTGGATCGCATTGCGTGTGCGGAAGAGATGTTGACGGACGAAAAATGTAAGTATATCAGCAAGATGCGAATAGAGTGTGACTTCTTGGAACGTCAAATCATTAACTGAATCATATTAGTGCACAATTCAAGATAGAAATGGATAGGGGACTCACGCGTGGCGCGGTTGGCAAGTTGTTTAAGCGGTTGAAATAGCCGCTTGGAAGAATCATCGAAATGCTGTTGAACAAATGCATCGTTGAGCATGTTGGAAGGTCGGACTTTGAAATAATCGGGACCAGCCCGGGCGAGCGGGTCCTGCAGGGGTATCTGGGGGTCAAGCAGGATCTTAATGGCATCGGCTAGTTGAGTTTTAACTCCAAGGTCCGTCTCGGCATGGAGCAAGTCAATCAGGGTATCTGTGAGGGGTGTCTTCTTCTCGTTGACAGCCTTGAGCATGTATCCTCGCATCATCACCGGGTCGTGGTCCAGCAATGCAACCAGAATGTCGATCCCTGTTGTGCGCATAGCTGGGTTCGGATGTTTAACTGCGAAGGCAATCACTGCGAACAAACCGTGGCTAATGAAATTGGCAAATAGCTGGGCTCGTGATGGGCCCTGGAGGTTCTTCGCAATTCCCGCGCACTGGTGCAAGAACTGCACAGCATCGTCCTTGCGCTTGTTGTTGGTGTTTCTCGGGTCGAAGACGGAAAAGAGCTCTCGGAGGAAAGGTGCGTTGGTTTGGATGTGGTTTACAATTTCCATCTGGTTGAAGAAGATCAGGGAGTTGAGTACGGAGAATGTCGGGTCGTCCAGAATCCGGGCCAGAACCACGTCCTTCAGGTATTGCAGGCGCCAAGTGCTCCGAATCTTTCTGCGGATGATCGGGTCATTGATGGGGACAACTTCTTTGTAGCGGGACTGGTCTGCGAGGTATTGCCGGTGGTTGGCCTTGTGGGTTGGAAATTCGGGATCATATTCCAGAGCCCCTACCACTCCCAGGATAATCTGATCGGCAACGACAGTTTCGATGATGGTGTTATCATTCAATAGGATAAGAGATTTCATGATGTTGCAGAGATGGTGCAGATCACTCAAACTCTCCAAGTCCTCCGCAGTTTCCACTAAAGGAACCAGCTTGGCGATATACTCATCGCGAATGATGAATTTAGACAGCGCATCGCGACCTGCTTGTGTCATACTCGCCGCTCGAACAATCTGCTCCATTTCGCCCAAGTTTCGAAGTTCGGGCGCCGGTAGTGCGATGGTCTGGTAGTTATCGAGGTCGTCGGAAAGAGCGTCATCTGCCAAAACCAAGTTAGACGTAGCAGGAATAATAAGTGCTAGGAAGTCAACTTACCAGCCGCAGTCAAACTAAGATGTTGTTGAACGGCATTCACAAAATCCCTTGGATGGTCAGTTTTCGAGCACGCGCACACGACACCTGGCTTCCTCACCAAATCACCGCGCATCCTTCTGCCTCTTGAAAACTAAGCGCCATATCCGTCCCACTGGTTTCCGTCCAGACGATCAACGTCTCTGATTGCGCGAGTCAGTAAAGCAGATCTTTCGGTGATACAGACGCGATGGTGGGACAGAACCTTGCTGTTTTTGATAGCCATCGTCCTTGGAGATCCGTGTTTCCAGTAGAACGCGATTAGGCTCGTCTTCAGATTCGACAAATATTCGGGGCTCCTCCTACAGACAAGAAAACGAAAACACGAGTTAGCCACGCGGTTCAAGCTGTGCCGAAATGATGCGGTGCGGATGCAGGATTGTCGTAATGCGCGGGTGGAGGAACATCCAGATCAACCAGACGCGCGCGATTGAAGCGCACTCTTTGCCAGCGCGCTCTAGTTGACTGGAGCTGCCACGTAAGAGGAAAAGCTTACCTCAAGTATCTGACCGGTGCAGAAGCCGGTACCGCGATCAAACCAGTCATTATCCCTCAGTTCGTAGACCTTGACCCGTTTGCGACCGTCGGGCGGCTGTAGGTCCAGCGCCATGATCTGGCGAGAAAAGGGTGGACACTTCACTCCGGGGCCTCCAGTATGAGCACGCGCCAGTTGCGAGGCCCTAGGAGATACCGAAGATGAGAATCGTTGGGTAGGGGTCGGGGTGGAGATGATGAAAGAGTCTGCGGAGGGGATGACGATCGAAGGGAAAGGTTGGGTTTGGTGAAGGGGGAGAAGGGATCCACCTGACGGGAAGGGCCTCGGCCAGTTTCTTTCTTTTGTTATTTACTTCACTTTCACTTCTATATAGACTTGCTATTTTGATTACTGAGAAGATCATTCAAATTATCCGAATATTTGAGAACTTAAAAAAAGGTACCTGACCCACGATGGGAAGAAAAGAGGGGGAAAGCCGCAATTCACACGCGACCGGAAGAAGTGGACACTTTCCGGATCTTCCAGAATCCTAGAATCTTCCTTGATATGAACAAGGGAGTGGAATGTTATACATAGAAAATTTATCTAATGAAGGAGTAATAAGGACCCTCATGGATAAAGACATGAATAAGGTAGATCTCCCTGCAGTTTACGGGGAACGGGAACCAGCAAAGAGATTAACCTCCGGCATAGAAGCTTCGACCCATATTCTGCATTTGTCCAACTGGCAGAACCAAAATAGCATCACGTAAGGGATTCCAAATTACACAGATTACATATATTACTGTAATATATGTATTATACGTAATATGGAATATGAGTCCAGATCGGACTGTGCCGCCCAAATGCACGGACCTTAACACCGCCCCCCACTCCGCCTTATCTGATTGGCTATTTACTCCACGGCAGATTCTTATCGATGCCTTCCCAATGAGGAAAGGTTCAAGCTGGCGTCTTGGTAGTTTTTTTTTTCTAGCTGGCGCGGCCTTGTTTTTTTCTTTTTCTCCTCATCACATCTTGTGAGAGATATCGACGAGCGACTTTTGGGAGTTTTGCGCTCGTACCAATTATACAAAGCTCCTCATCTGTCCCTAGATCTATAACCGCAAGCGGCTTGATCAGTGCGTGGTGCATTTATTTTCCGCAAACCCCGCTTTTCTGATCAACGCCTTGAACCTTCAACCTTGGAATCATGTCAAGCTCCAAGGATGAAGTTGCCGTCCAGGCGACGGCTACTAGCATTTCTACCTCGTCGCTTCCCAAGGATACGGCTGTAGTGGTGCAGGACTCAGTGGGCGATGAAGAGGCGCAGGCGCCGGCGGATCTAGTTGATACCCGGAAGAAGGGCTTTTTCGCCTACTTCAAGACTAAGGAGTTTTACATTGTGTTGCTTCTAGGGTGAGTACTGGCCTTCCTTATACATTTCTAGATACTCGCTTGAAGTCTCCGAGTACTCGGTTGAGGATAACATACTAATTGGATCCCAGACAAGCTCTCGCTATTATGAACACTGCGACGAGTACCTTTACAACCCTTCTTACCGATCAGAACTGGTCTATTCCTACTTTCCAGACTATCCTCAACTACATCGTTCTTACCTGCATTTTTACTCCTTATACCATCTACCGTTACGGATTCAAGGGCTGGCTCCGCCTAATCTGGCGTGACGGATGGAAGTGTACGTCTACCTCATCATTTTCACTCGCGCCTTCCTAATCATTACATACAGATATCATCCTCGCTTTCTGCGATGTAGAAGGAAACTACTTTATTGTGCTCGCATACGATTACACAACCATGCTGAGCGCCCAACTAATCAACTTCTGGGCCATCGTCGTGGTAGTTATCATCTCCTTCCTCTTCCTCAAAGTCCGATACCACATCACCCAGATCGCCGGTATTATTGTTTGTATCGGCGGCATGGGCGTTCTCATTGCATCGGACCATATCACCGGTACCAACGGCGGCGATGTGACTTCCGGCAACCAACTCAAAGGCGATCTCTTCGCGCTTCTCGGCGCCTCGTTCTACGGTCTCACTAATACTGCTGAGGAGTACTTTGTCAGCACGAGACCCGTTTACGAGGTTCTGGGCCAGCTCTCGCTCTACGGTATTATCATTGACGGTGTGCAATCTGCCATCTTTGAGCGCGACAAGTACAACACCAGCCACTGGGATGGAAAGGTCGCGGGCTACCTGATTGGATTTACGATCTGTCTGAGCATGTTCTACTGCCTTGCCCCAACGATGTTCCGGCTGTCATCGGCAGCATTCTTTAACATCTCGATGCTGACTATGAATTTCTGGGGCGTATGTATTGGTATCAAGGTCTTCCATTACCATATTCACTGGATGTACCCCATTGCCTTTGTGCTCATCATTGTTGGCCAGTTGATTTATTATCTGGGACGCAGGGCATTGGCCGAGGCGAGAAAGCCTTGGCTGGGAGAGAACCAGGAGCGGGGCATTAAGGGCTGGTTCACTGCGAAGAAGCGCATTGAAGAGGAAGTTCCTGGTGCTGTGCTTCAGACGGAGCGGGATCAGGATCATGTCTCTGGTCACAGCACTGCGCATGCAGTCGAGACTCATATCAGTGCTTAGGGTCTTACCTAGGCGACCTGCTGAGGTGGGTATGACCTATTTGATTCTAGATTCTCATCTCGCGTGTCTACGGCGATTGTGGAACCTTGGAAGTATATATCAGCATCTAAAGCCTGATCACTGGATCTATTCGGATTTCTGAATGGGATGGAATTTGGAGGCTACTTTGCTATGGCATAATGTCTTAATTGCTTAATTAGATCACGACTATACTTATATACGACCTCTATTACGAGAATGAACTTCTGTCAAGTCTACGATTCCCGAGTAATTTCAAGTTACAAGATATTTGTACATAGTACAAGCAGTACACGTTCAAGTCATCCTGAGGTTCACAGCTACACATCTGAGCAAGATCACACCGTAGGGCCATCTATAGAAATGACGTAACAGATCCCTGTGTCTAATTATCACTACATGCATAACCCCTCCATTAATTGGGTACATCGCAGACTTTTGGACACTGTTCGTCCCCCCGAGATGGTCGTCCCATTGGCTCCTTCTGCTCAGATGAAACAGCCACTAGTTGAGAGAACGCGGTATCCATTGTAGCTCCCTCACCCTGCTCATCACTCTAGTTGGCTCTGAAATAAAAGGGAATTGTGATTCAATTAAATACAAAAATGGCATGGTAAACTTAGACGGCCACGGAGCTAGGCTAATACAATTAACACGGGCAGTTGAAGATAATGCTTTGCCAAGGTTCTCCTAAATTGGCGATTGTTGACGCCAAGCGGCAAGCGGTCATTATATCCGACTCGAATAGAAATCACTGGCCACGACACTTGGGCCACTAGCGTTCATCTCAAAGTCCGGATCAAAGATTCCGGCTCATGGTGATTGACTGATTCATCTTTCTCCATATTACGATCGCCCTTAACCTCCACGAATGAAAGGGTGTCGTCGTGATCACAGACAATTACTTTAATCTTCTTGGCTTCCGACTGTAGCTCGTCTAGACGGCGTAGCTGTGTGATATGGTTGCTTTCCACTTCCAATCGGCCAAGCAAAAGTGGAAAGATGGATGACTTCCATAGCACGCGTTGATCACGATTAAGCAGCGCCGCGATTATCAGCAGCATGATTGAGAGAAGTACAAGGATGATAGGGAAACTTATCCATAGCCAGCGAACATGGATATAAGTTTCAATGTGATAGGCCGCTCCTTGGAGATTGCTGGCTTGGCCGCTTGTTCGAATACTGTCAGTCATACTTGTGGCCATGGAGTCGAAAACTTTGGGCACATTTGTATGACTAGTGTTGGATAAGATCAACACCGCAGTTGACACAATCCTGATACGTTGTCGCACTTTCGGGAAAGAAATCGGTTGCGTTGAAGACACCTTGGAGGTACTCAACTATCAGATTCCGTGTATTGGCATCCATAGAGTAGTTCGACCCCGAAAACGTTCGAGCACCATCCAATGGTAGTAACAGTAATGGTTGGTCCAAGATCTCCCAAGCGTGATATCCAGCTGCGGGAATAAGAGGCTGACTTCTTGAGGGGCTGGGCGCCTGAGCGCTGGATGGAAGATAGACAACATTGGTGAACTGCTTCTCACAAAAATGTATAGAGCATTCAAACAAGACAGGCTTTGTCTCGGTGAAGTTTACACTTGTAGTAGCGTACTTTATCTTACCGGAATACTGCGCTGACAAGATCGTCACAAGCTCTCGAGGTATAGCGGAACTTTCTCTGAAGTCCCATACGCTGGTAACCGAGTTCCAGGGGTAACGCGTAGCGTAAGTCCAATTGCCTACAATTGACGCGTCAAGAATCCCTGGGGAGACCTGCAGCCCACTAGGGCTAGTATATGAGCAACCTATTTTACCCTTTTTCGATATACAGCTTTGAGTTGATGAATTGGTGACATCCACACACTTTGAGCAAAATCCCAGTGTCGTAAAATCAGGGAATGTGCAGTTGGATGTAGAACATGTAGGTAGCAGGGGGTTGTTAATTTGTGCTAGCCCCTGAGCAAGCGCAATTTGGAGCATAGGGTCAGGTTGATTCAGCCTAAAGTCGGAGTTGAGGTCGCTTGTCGAATTGACCCACCAAGGCACATATTCTTGGGCCCTTTGAATGAACGCAGTTTCATTCGGGGCGATCACTTGACGTGAAGGAAAGGCAAGGATTTGCTGGGAGAACGGATCAAGCGCTAGCGATAGAATCGTCAATAACGCTCCTGCCATCGGTAAAGACCACGGCATGCGCCAAAGTACCTCCAAAGACCCCCAGGGACCTCGACTGGCGTTGTCAAGCATCTGGAAGCTGTAAAGCCGAGTAGGTGTCTGATATGGGACCTTCGTCCAATTCCGCTTCCACTTGAATTGACCGAGACATGTGGATATTGGTACGAGGGTTGCAGTCTTCGCGAATCCCGCTAGGATGGAGATCACGGTATTTGGTGAAATCGAATATTGCCAGCGGGCATAAGTCATCTCGTTTACGTAGACGAGGAAGCCTATCAGTAAGCTGATACAGACTACACTGAAGAAGGCGCAGGCAAACTCCCAGGTCCAGGAACCTCCAGCGTCTTGGTGTTGAAATGACGATGTCTCTTTGGTCTTGGGGGTCGAATCTTGCTCATTGTGTGAGTTTGGAATATCGACGAGCTCGATCGGAGTTCCTGGTGTACTATTGTCTGCATTGAAATGGGCCATCACACAGTTTTTTTGGTGTCAGTGACGGTCAACTTTTAGGTGTGGAACTTGAACAGTTCGAACAATTCTATGGTCTTGAATGCTGCGCAGAGGAGAGCCGGGGGGTGAAAGCTTAAGAGACCCTGAATCCGTCAGCCGCTAGCTTTAAATGCTGGATGGGTGACATCTGGACAATAACGCTATGCAATATTAGGCAAGAGACTATGCACTGGTTGATGATCTGTGCGAGGGCGATACGAGTCACCTTTCTAGCGCTTCGGACTTATGGCCTCTTAAAGATTGCGAGTGGGAGGTTCATGAAGTCTATAGTCGATTAGGAAATGATAGTGATACCCTTACTATAAGTAAATTCTATGAAGCGTATAGGTAGGTAAAGCCTCACCATTAGAGTTAAGCTACTAAGCCTGCCTTATTTCCTTGTTACCAGATGAGAAAGAAGTGGGTCAGGGCGTTCGGACCCACCACTTTTGGACACAAGGAAGCCAACCAGTTCCTAGAAGCGGAGTGCGTAGGGACGGACACTCACCACTCGCGCCATTTATGGCCCCCGACTTGCCGTCATAACCTATACTTGAATCAAGTAGAAATGAAAAGAAGTGACAATCCAATTCCAATGTGCAACCTGAGCCCCCTACCAGAAAATACAATAAATAATAGACATAGACATCCATAAAGACGTTCGCAGTAGAAGAAGAAAAAGATCAAGAACACCGAGAAATGAAAAAAAGTCCATGAGACACTTTCACCGAAGAATAAGCGCCAATTCCGACCAGTTAACGGGCACCAGAATGAATAGACAAAAGAACCCCCCTCTGACGACCCCAAAGACCTAGACCAAGAAAAAGGGAAAGACAAAAAAACCAGGACACCGAAAACAAGCTTCAAAAGGATATAAGCTCAGAGAAGATTTTTGTTATGATCCACCGGTCCGTGGACACCAATGTTGACTCCAGGAATCCAGTATGGTATAGTCCCGCCCAAGCCAACGGTGACACCGAAACGAAAAGAAACGAAAGACATCAGATATAAGACCAAAACGAAAACATGGGTCAACAAATGCAGAGAAAGAGGAAGAAATGATAATGATCCTACTCCAACCCCGCTGTCATGTGTATACCGTTGTGTTCAGAACCCGTCACCCACGCAATAGAAGCAGAAGCCATTTTGCTCACACAACGCCGCAGGAAAGAAAATTATCAAGAATGAGGCCGAAAGGCCGTAAAAACGAAAAGCCCCACGTCGAATGCATACCACATATAAAGCGCCGGAAAATCCCTCAATGCGGAATCAATTAGAGTCATGGGTATGAATGATTATTTTCTCGTTGATCTTTCATCCCCACACGGAGGCCTGGACGCCGAGCCCGCTCTTCGAGCCCCAGACGCCGCTGCCGTTGGACCAGCCGAGGCCCACTCCTCCGGCGGAGTCCTTGGGACTGGTGGTAGCGGTTACGGAAGGGTTGGGAGCTGCGGAGGTGGTACGCTCGTTTAAGTTGGCCTCGCCGGGGGTGTAGCCGTAGCCCAAAGACGAGGACATGGGGGTTGACGCACGCTTGTTTGGGTTGGCGGGAGCGGAGGTCTGTGGTCCTACTGGTCGAGATCCGATGGGGCCGGCGTTCAGTTTAGTCGGGGCTTGGCTGGTACTGCCGGGCGAGGAGGTCGGCACGGGCTGCTCGGGGAAGCCGGCGTTGATAGCGGAGCTAGGCGACGAGGTGCTGTTGGCTCGGGACGTGGACTGCAAGCCTGGTGCGCCATCGGCAGCAGCAAGGACCTGGTTAATACCGAATGGGTCCACTCCGCGTGGAGACGCTCCACGGGCGGCCGACGAGGGAGTGCCAGCGGCTTGGCTTTCCGGACGGGAGTTGTCGTCTGGCAGGGGGCCTGGAGGGAAGAAGGCCGGGCTCTCGTTGCCGTACAGGGCCCGGTGCTGGCGCGCCAGGAGGTCTCGGCGACTGTCTTCGCTCACGGCAGCCGGGCTGAGGGATCGATCGGATTTGTTTGCAGACATCTCGGCGAGGAGGCCTTTGGAGAAAGAAGATCACGTATTAAAAACCGCGCATTCAAAAAGAACATGCCAAACCAATATATTATACAAGCCGACGGATACATATGCAGAGATGAAGGAAGAAAAAATGACGGGGGAATATAAACGTCAAGGAGAGAGAGAGAAAAAAAAAAAAGCAAACACGCTACCACGTACTTCGGTTGTACTGCTGCTCCTGGTGATAGTTGCGGAGTTCCCGTTCACGCTGAGCTGCCATCCGACGCTTCGCCTGCATCATCTGTTCTACTTCATTCGGGCGTCCCTGGTACCGCTGCGAGGCATAGAAGCCCTGTGCATTGCCGGAGGGGGGCATTCGGGAGCCTTCAAATTCGCTCACCGAGTGGTGTCGCTGGGGGCCGCCGTTGCCACCCATGCGAGGATCTGCCAGGAATTTCAAGTCAGATCAACGCCGCATCGACCGAGGGTACGTCCACATACCGTAGTCGGGATAGGGACGACCCATCATCATGGGCATCGAGTCCCGGCGAGGAGCATTCCACAACTTCCCGCTCTTGACGAGATTGTCGATCGCACGATCAACCTCTTCACCAAATATCAGGGTCAGCACTGTTTATTCCAATCATGAGACCAACCCCCGCAATTCCTCGGTTTTCGCTTGCCGGCATTATCGAAAGACGGGAGTCTTCAGTCCTCAATGGTGACCATTCAGGAATATGTTCTTTTCTCTCTCGAGGCGAAGCGAAACGAAACGGAACGGAATTGTGGGTTCGACCATCTAAAAAAGCGAGGATTTGAGCATACCGTCAAACTGGGAAGAAAAGGCCGGGCTATCCTCGCGCTGGGAGACCGAGCTCGAGCCTATAGACCAAAAAGCATGAGTTTGTGTGTTCCGGAGAATTTTGCAGGATCCAGTGCATTGTGCATACCTGATCGAGACGGCGGCACGGGCTGCTCCCAAGAGACCTGGCGCGCGGCAGGAGCCTGCCAGCCCTGCGGTTCGTAGTACGAAGACATGATCGTTTGAAAGGGAATCTTCGTTGGCCGAACAAGCGGTTCAGGGGGGTGGAAGCGGCGAAGCAGATGATCCGTCCGGTAAGGCGATCTGTTTGATCCCAAAAAAGTAAGTATAAATTTTCAAGGTCACAATCCAAATATGATAGATCTTCAATTATAGAAATGAGTCCTTAACGGTTCTCCCTAAATTGCCAGTTCTTAATTTTGGGAGAAAAGAAAAAAAAAAAGGCCGTGGGTCCGGTGTCGGTGGACTCGGGGCCGGGATATTTTTTTTTTCTTAATTGGCACAAATAAGGAAAGCATCCAAGAGATCACAACTTACAGGAAAACAAGCCTCGTGGGGGAGGAAAAGAAAAAGGATTAAGGATAGGGAGAGAAAGAGGGGAAAGAAACGAAGAAAATCGGGAAAAGGAGATGAGGGTCCAGCTTATTTTGGGGGCACAAGTGGATTAACCGGAGTTTGATGGGATTTTTAATTGAGAAAAAGAGGGGGGGAGAAGCAAAATGTTGTACAATTCTATTTCGCTTCTAATTATCTTTTTTACTTTTTTCTAGCCCAATAATTAGTTCAAATCCCTCGTGCATTCAGTACTTGATCGTGACAAGCGCGGCAATTCCCGGCAACAGTCTCATTCGTGATGGAGGACTGGGTACACACTGGGTCACCGGAGATTGGACCGCACGGGGCGTGTGTACGTACTTGTTTATGGAAATAAGATAACTTGTAGGCTTTTCCCCGCGTATACAATTGCCTTGTCCCCACCACATTCAAAAGTTCTTATGATTTCAATTGTTTTTTTCTATATATCTTTTATAGATCCCGCTTACTGAAATTTGGCTGACAAACCCAACCGAATACATACAATACAGGTATGTACAACTTACCTCAAGTGCTGCAGCCAAGTACTAGTATCCCTGTGAATGCGAGAGAACACGAGACTTCTCCCACTGTAGCCTTCAAATGGCATACTCAAAACAGTATAGACCAGCACCTCCCATGCGTCATAATCTGGGATCCCCCATGCACATGTGCAATCAAGTATGAAAACTCCCTACTCGCAGAGCCCCTCATTTCAAGGGAGGGGTTAATGCCTGCATGTACATTTGAAGTACTCCATCCACTACATCATCTCAGTAAGCAAAAAGAAACGGCACGGTTGGAACTTCATGGCCCGTGCCAATCTCGGTCAATTCAGGAGAGACTAAGTGGGGCCTGGAGACCAGCATTTCATATTCTTCCGCGAGATTCGTTCGGATTGGACTATTTCTGTTACCGGGTTGGACGGGCCGGGTTGATTCTGCATATCCAGACATCTCTATAGTGGGGCAGTCCTAGACTCGGAGTGAATCAGCACTGAGTATACTCAAGTGCTAGGATTATATTCTAAGCCTTGATCAAACTGACCAGATTTGATGGATCTAATACTCAATTGATTCAATGTTCAATACGGTCTAGATTTCCCCAGAAACTTTAAAACTCGGTATGAACTGTAGGAATTGGAACTACCTTCAAACCCTCCGTGTATCACCCAAATGGTCATTCCTGCACTGTCATGCTCGCGTCACCCTGGAGGCCTCGATCCTGATCAGGTCCGTTTGTACTACCTACATGTGTAGAGTGAATCAAGTTGAAGCTCATCTGGCACTGGGCGGGACACCTACTCATAGGATAGGATACTTTTTTTTCCCCCTCGCTTTGCACTCTACATTGAATCACGAGCTCAACTATGAAGGTATATCTCCGTCATCCATGGATTAGACAAAGAGTGCCAGATGATAAGGATAGGCTAAAGGGCTGGCTGAAGCCTCAAGGTACGAACAGTCCACAAGGTTCTTTCATCTAGGTCCGAGGGTCCAATAGTAGCTTGATCCATGCAAACAAGACAAAGAGTGGTCAGCACGGGGGGACAAGCGACAGCTAAATATAATTACGAAGGGAAGGTGGAAATCAAAGCCGAATTAGTACTTGATGGAATAAGATATTTCCTGGATTAGGTTATAGTGTTTTCCCGCACGTGTTGGGACGCGCAGAATCGCGGGGAGTGCAGAATGACGATCAATAAGGGGAGAGCAAGTTGATATCGATATCGACATCTCCGTTACCGTACCTGCATGTCAGAGCTCACACTGCGCCAAACCTATCTAAAAGGGGGAAGGAAACTTGCCTAGGGAAATGATACTAACCAATGATCCAATAGGGGGGAAAAGAATGACCTTTAGGAAACAAAGGAGTTAAGTGGCTTTCATAGTCATTAAATATAAGATCTCATATATAGTACTCATGAAATAGGATAGGGGTGGCAATGAAAGGAAGGGTTCTAGCTCAGGAGTGAACAAGACTGAAACGTAAGATGATATTGAACAAAACTGAAACAATCTGATTCTCTGTGGAGTCAAAAGTTGAAGTGAAAGTTGAAAGTGGAAGTGCGGTCGGCACGTCTTTACCGCCGACAGGGGCTGATCTTCGATTCATCTTCATCTCTCGGACCTCGACTTTCGCGTCTTAAATCTCTCCCTTTTTATTATACCAATCGGGGCCCAGGTCGGTTCCTACCTTTTCCCTCAGTAAGTCTCCTCCTTTACCATCCCAACGTTCTCTCCCCTAATCTCGCCTGTAGAGTCGTTTCGCCGCACCCGAGGACCACTTCGAACAGTGATCTCCCCTGTATTATTTTGTTACTTTTTTGTTATTAAAAAACCACTTGCTGCTGGTTGAAGCAATTTTCTTCTGTTTACTTGTCTTTTTATTCTCTGGCCTTTCTGACTACGGACCAAGACGCGGTGCTCGCCAATCCACAATTCCGTGAACCGTTGTTTGACGAAACATCGAATCCTCTCCCGCACCTCCCAAAGCCAAAACCAACTGTCACCCCCAAATTCTTCCCGAAACCAAGAAAGCGAAGTGATTTGATCGCCCTCGCCCGCACCAGCGAAACCTCATTTGAGAAGAATTGTGGACCGTTTTCATTGGGGAGACTTCATTGAGTGGAACCCGGAGGGGCTGTCCTAAGTGTGGTGGGTGTGGAAATCTAAATCTCAGCCGAGTCACTCGCCGATTCAGACCAAAAAAAACCCTCTCTCCCCAAATACCCCCCCAAACCCGGTGTTGAAAATTGCTTTATGGTCTCAAATATCGATGGGAATACCAAGTGTTCCCACCAGTCTGGTGACCTCCCACCGATAGCGCCGGATCAGCCTTCCACCATGGCATGGGTGCCGCAGAGCGACGCGCCTGACGTTCCAGAACGGCCACCATTGAATTCTCAGCAATCGAATTCCCTCCCCTCAACTCCTTATCAACATGCGCGCACTCTCTCCTTCCACTCCCGGTCACCGTCCCCCGTCCGCGGAAGCACCTCGCCTCGATCGACCCACTCCGAATCGACCCATCTGCCTCGAAAACCCCTCGGGGCCTGTAAATATGAAACCGCAATGTCCTTTTTCCGCAGACGAATACCCTATAATCTGGGTGCCGATTTATTGCCGGAGGAAAAGGAAGGGTTGAAGGAGAAGTTGGAGCCGGAGGAGGAGCAGAAATTGACAGCTGACATCATGGACCTATATGATCGATTATTACCGTCGGCTGAAAGTGATGATCGCCGAAGGCAGCTGGTACAGAAACTGGAGAAGCTTTTCAATGACCAGTGGCCCGGCCATGAGATCAAGGCCAATGTGTTCGGTTCGTCGGGGAATAAATTATGTTCAAGTGACTCGGATGGTATGTTGGTGATTAAGAAGGTTGGAAAGGGAGAATTGGACAGCCAGACTGACTTGCAACAGTGGATATCTGTATCACAACCGATTTTAAGGACCTGGAACATGTGTGTCTATTAGCGGAGGTTTTGGCAAAGCGTAAGATTTCCCTTCGGGGTTGTTTCTTGGGCTGGACTGACTGGATTGAACAGATGGGATGCAGCGAGTTGTCTGCGTTTCGCATGCGAAAGTGCCGATTGTGAAAATCTGGGATCCCGAGTTAAAATTGGCGTGCGACATGAACGTCAATAACACCCTCGCTTTGGAAAATACTCGCATGATTCGGACTTATGTTGACGTCGATGAGCGGGTACGGCCATTGGCCATGGGCGTCAAGCATTGGACAAAACGTCGGACTCTCAATGATGCTGCCTTAGGAGGCACATTAAGCTCCTATACCTGGATCTGCCTAATTATCAACTTTTTGCAGACCAGAGACCCTCCCATTCTACCTAGTCTTCAAGCGCGCCCTCACAAGAAGAGAGTGACACCTGATGGTTTGGTCTGTTCTTTTGATGATGATATGAAAGCATTGAGTGGCTTTGGACGGAACAATAAGCAATCAGTGGGAGAGTTGTTTTTCGAATTCTTTCGTTACTATGGGCATATGATCAATTATGAGGAGAACGTCATTTCCGTGCGTGAAGGTACCTTGATTTCAAAAGATGGCAAGGGTTGGCACCTACTCATGAACAATCGCCTTTGTGTGGAAGAACCGTTCAGTACCACCAGGAACCTGGGAAACACGGCTGACGATACATCGTTCCGCGGTCTGCATTTGGAACTAAGACGGGCGTTCAAGTACATTTCAAAGGGCGATTTGGAAGGATGCTGCGAGCAGTTTGAGTTTCCCAAAGAAGAAGAGCGGACTTGGGAGCGACCCCCGCCTCAACCACGACCGATCATCACTGCTGCAATGCCCTCCCGTGGGGGCCGAGGTGGTCGAGGCGGCCGGTACGCCAATCAGACCTACCGCGGAGGGTTTTCTGGTGTTCGTCGGACATCCAACACAGGGAACAAGGGCAACACCTTCAGCAGGCAGCCGAGCGCAACGAACGCAAATGACTTGTCTTTGCAAGCCCAGCAGCAGGCCCAGTACCTATTGCATGACCAACTGTATCAGCAGATCCAGCTTCTGCAGGCACAAGAGCAAGAACTGAGGATGCAGCTGCACAACCAGGCACTGATCACTGGGCGCCCTCCGCCCGTGTTCCTGCGACAGCCATTTATCCAATTCCCGGTACCTCAGCAACAGGAATACTCCGGGGAGGAGGACTCCCGGTCTAGATCTGGAACGGTCAATCATCCGCCGCTTACTCCCTCACACCGGCCACAGCAACCCTTCTTTGCCCCAACCTACGCCTCCGTCAGTGCCTCTGGCACCCAGGGAAGTTCTACGAACCCTTCGTCACCTTCTGCTTCTACCGTTCTTCCTGATATTCGCCGAAGCGATCGAAGGTCATCTGCTACAAGCACATCACCCAAGGGATCGGGGTCGCTTCGAACGCAATCGCAGCCGGCCCGGCCTCAAGAATCTCCCTCTCAGACTTTCCCGCCTCTTTATGTAATTCCACAGCTCTTGGACACTTCCCTGGGCTCCAAGCAATGCCCCGCTCCCGAGTCAGAAGGAGGAGAAGGTAGTGGTGATGAGAATACGATGCCCCCGAATAGCCTCCCCAGCAACGGGTCTCGCTCAGGGTCAGTGGATGAAAATCGGCCGCAAGATCTTATGGGGTATCTTGTCTCTCCCCAACAAATGCAGCTGTATCAGCAGAACTCGATGTTACCGCCTTTGACCACTTCCATGGGCTTACCGCTGCCAAATGGCTACACGTCTTTCCTGCCCGTCCAAGACTATAAGTCCGGAGTATTCTCATCTGATGGATCGGTTCGGTCGGACCAAACCCCTGCGGCAACATCCAGGTCTTCAGTTTCTCAGCCACCGCCAAGATCGACTTCGCGTCCCACGGCACCGGCCGACCGGGGTCCTCTGATTGTTGATGGCTCGGTACCTCCCAGTGAACCTCGTACGTCGCCATATACGAATGACATGATAGACCCGTATAGTGCGGTGACTCACTATACCTCAACATCGGATGATCATAACATGAACACACCCGCCAGCTTTTCGGATTCCTTATCGCAGGATTTTCAAGATCCAGGTCCCTTCGAGTTAGATCAGTCATCCAACTTCAATCGCCCGTCACAGTGGGATACCCCAAAGATAGTCAACGGAAATGGTGATTCACAATCAGACAAAATGAACAATCAGCCGGAGCTTCTTGCTAGTCGACTGCAAAGCTACCATCTGTCAAACGCAGAAAAGCTTTCTCAGTCACATGCCTCCAACAAGACGACAGCCAGCAAATCCAGTCCGGTGCACCAGGCAGCCAAGGAATCGTCTCAGACCAAGAACGCAGGATCATTGAGTGAAAAAGCCCCAAATGGATCACATGGAAACGAGCCACGGCAGCAGACATCGAATTTGAAGCGGCGACCGAACGGGGAGACTTCGGAAAAGACTAATGGTGTGAACCACAATCACCATCATACTCATAAGCCTAAGTCTAAAGGGCGACACGACACATCCCACAACCACTCGTCTAATTCCCAACCCGAGGGTAAAGACCGGCATTCCGACCACCCTCCGAAGAAATCAGGCGGAGGCAGCACAAATGGTACAGCCGAGAACAACCACGGCGGATGGCAGATGACCAAGAAGAAGCACCGCAGGCCCCAAAAATCGACCACTGAAACTCGAAACGGTGCCCACAATGCTTCGGAGGGTCTTCCTGAAGAGTCTATGCGAAAAGGTGGATGAGTGATCAAGCTCTGCGCTTGAACACGCTCACAGGCCTCTGTGAGTGTTTCTCGTTGAGGCGACATTGGATATTGAATCATATCTTTTGCCAAAATCGAATCAAAACCGGGATCTGAACGAATCTCAATTAGCAAGAGACGCCGCAGGCATCTGGCTTATATTTTCCACCGGAGCATATCAACCGTCTCTTCCCATGTTATTATTAAACGCCAACATTACGCCAAATAAATAAAAAAACCAGAAACCGAAACCGAAACCCAAATCCATCCTCCGAAGCAGTCGATCGTCAATTACTCTGAACGACGTCCAAGTCCTGACCGAAGCCATGTTTCATGCTCCATTCTATGTTCCTTTTTTTCTCCCAATTTTCATTCCATCCATTTTCCGGTGTCAAGGCGGGCCAGGGCTTGGGGAGGCATATGCGAATTGCATCATATCATTATCATTCATGCCATGTCATTACCTATCATTGCCATTGCCATTGCTATTGGAAACCATTGGCTTCTTTTGTTTTCTCCGGTGCTTTGCTCATTTCCATCTCATTCTAGCAAAACCCATGCACTGCACGAAATTTGTTTTTTTCCCGAAGTTGGAGTTTGTTAATGGCTAGACCCGGTTCTTTCATGCTGTCTTGTCTCTGACTGTGACTGTGTCAGATTTTTATGGTGCCATCCTTTCGGCTTTGTATAAAAGAGAATAACGTCAATGAATAAATACAAAAACATTCGAAAAGGGATTATTTTCGTACCTAGCTTTTTTCTGGACTTGACATGTTACCTAGGTAAAGTATGTATCATCTTCAAAGCGTAGTAGCGAAGGTAACTTTTCATGTGAAAAGGTTTGTTAGATGTATCTCAAGTTCTCGAAGTTAGGCGTGCAAAGAATGGCAAAGCAACCTTGGATGTCTTTAATAGTGGATAAATCACCTATTATGTACCTCGTTTCCTTATATTGCGCCATGCATATCACGGTTGTCGTCATGTTTCTGGGGTTGTACATGCCATGCCGCCTTAAAGAATGTAAATGATCAAGTTCTAGGGTACCTTACGATTAGGAATTGTGAAACAAAAATCTAAGACAGTTTATTTTTCTTTCAAGTCCGAGAAAGGAGGAAAGATGTATTAGTAAATCACATAAAAGTTGCTGTATCTAATAAGCAAGACTGATAGTAAGACAATATAGCCCGAGCAATCTGTTGAAAGGGCAATAGAAGGTAATATGTTCATGAGGGTATGATATAGGCTGAGGCATCTTTTCACGTTTAGGCAAGGTCAAGAACAGAGCTCGGCGAGAATATATGGGACAATCACGACACAAGCTGTCCAGAAGACCATGATGGATTTGAAGGGGAACAGGATGAGTTGGGTCACTGGTGTTTCCCGGAATAGGACCCAGATGGAGAGAAATGCGACGGTGAAGAAATGGGTGACGAGGACAATGGGTTGTTTAAGTAAACCGGCGAGCATCAATACGGGCTGATCCACGTTGGCGATCTGGAAATAACGGAAACAGCCACGTTGGAGGGCTCGCAGGTTCTCATCATCGGCGGCGAATAACATGTAGAGAGCTTGCGCGAGAATATTAATAACGGTTGAGGACTTCTTCCGCAACCAGTGGAAACGGGAGAGCTGTTTCAGAACAAGGTCTGTATCTTCGAAACTTGGCACGTTTTCCGGGCTGAGCAGGTCACGGACAAAGCATACGTCGTTCAATGCCACAGTCATTCCACCACCTGTGAGAGGGTGTCGCATGTTTAGCGCATCGCCTAGAATGATCAACCCGGGGGTCTTATTCGTGGACGCTGGCAGGAACGAGTTCGGCATGGACCGTAGCTGGCCCTTCTCCAATGCAGCCAAAAACGAGGGCTGCACATCCTTCGGAAGAGATGGTAAGATTGTATTACGCATATAGCCTTTCACACCACCATTCTTTAATGACGCTCCGGGGAAGTTATCCGGGATGTCGATCAAAATCCGGGTCTCGTGTGTGCCGATCTGGTACATGAGGACCGGAGGGTTTTCGCTAAGGAGGACATGGCCATAGCAGGGAGCAGGGAGGGGAGCATCAATCATTTCCAGACCCCAGAACTTCGAGCGGCGCTTTGGGGTGTGTTGGTGGTGACCCTTGCGGAATTTCGAGTCGTACCCGTCAGCTATCACGGTTTGCTGAGCAAAGTAGCAATCCTTCAAATCCTTAGTCACACATTCGACACCAAGGACCTGTGCCGATTCCGTCGAAGTCACCAGTCCTGTTGCCTTTGTTTCGATCACCGTTACGTTTGGGCACGCCAGCGCAGCCTGGCGCAATTTCATCACGAAGCGGCCATGGTGGAAGGCCCGACCCCGGGGTTCGGGCTCGGAGGGGCTCTCCCTAGGGTAATTGAGGTGAACAGGCTCTCCATAATATGAGACATAGTATCCCTTCACCTGGATCGCATCAATATCGTCAAGACATTCCAGCAGGCCCAATTTTTCAAGTGCCTGCACGCCACCGGGTTGGAGTAGTTCACCGACGATGCGATCGGGTTCTTTCATAGACGCCTCCAGTAGGATCACACTTCGCCCTTGTCTTCCCAGTGCGACTGCGAGGGCACAGCCCAGAATTCCGGCTCCGATGATCACGACGTCAGCCTCGTGGTGTTCGATGCGGCGGCGGGCAGCCTGGGATTGTACGGCATGGCCGTTGACTTTGGACATAGTGATAGGAAAGAAAAAGAAGAAAAAAATTAGAAAGGCGGCCGTGACCGTAAGGGCATAATTGAATTAACAACTCAAGTAGAGAAGAAGACAAGGGTAGAAAGTAGAGAGTAAAGAGTAGAGAGTAGAAGAGTAGAGAGTATGGGCTGATTTTCATTGAAAAGATGGGAAAGGGGTGGCATGACATGTGAATGGCCCAAGCTTCTCCGCCTTGAAGTACAACGTACATTTGAGTCCAGGGATTTACGAGATTCACGGGTTCATACTCGCTTGATAAACTACTTGATTTGACATTATTTCTATGCTATGTATGCATATGTCAATACTTATTGTCTATCGATAGGCAAATCATAATATCAACCCGGCCCTTCGAAACATCTCAAAACTTTCCAGCCAGCCCTGAACAGGATCTTTATCCCCTTCGAATCCAGTTCTCCTCAGCTTCTTTAAATTGAGTTGCCGGTCAAAAGTCAACCAGTAGCCTACACTATCAAGCTGCCGCCTACCAGCACCAACACCTCCACTGATAGCATTCGCACGCCCAAGCTCAACAAACTTGCCCATATGCTCAGCAAAATACTCCCCAGGCGTCAAGATCGGGGTGGTCTGTGGAAGCTCGCCTGCCTTTAAATTATCATTCGAAGAGTCCTCAATAGGCCCCACACCCACCAGACCAAACCAACTTGCTAGTCGGGGCCAGATATCACCGTACTTGCATGGCGTCTCATTATCCGCAACATTGAACAACTGACCTCCGCCGCAGATCTCAGGACGTAACGAGGCATATATCATGAAGCGTGCAAGCGTGCCGCTGGATACTGGAGAGAAAAGCGAGTTGGCACCAGCCACATTGCCAGGGAAGGGTATCTGCACTGTAGTGCTGATTCCTGACGTTTCCGGTCCGATGCCATGATTATAGGCCCACAGAGATAGGTACTGGGCCCAATGCAGGGCCAGACTGAACTGGGACCCGTTGGGAGTAAATCCAATCTTGATGATATCAGTTCTAGCTTATGCCCGAATTGATGGATCTTGACTCACAATTGCGTCTGGGCAGACTTCACACCATGTCCAGTTCTTCCCTTTGCTCGCTGCATCAAGCAGTTTGCGATATGCTGGGTATACGACTGTATTTGCGCTTTTAACTGGGAGCTCGTTCACCATGTCCTCGGTCAAGGGAGGGGTGAATACACCCCCGGGAGTGTATATGCCATACCCCTGATATAATTAGTATTTCAAAGTGCCACGCTCGCTTGAATTAAGTTTCACTCACCCTTGTCCCACCGGCAAAAGCCACGAAGCTCAAATTGGGACTGATCAAGCCATGAGCCTGGATGACGTTCTTGAACATTCGCAGATTAGTAGAAACTTCCTCGATATCGTCCTCAACTGCGGTGAACACTGTTCATGATAAGCTTCAAATTCCTGCATTATATACTGCATGCGACATACCCAGGTAAAAGATATGGGTGACTTTTTCAACGTCTTTCACGCGTTTCAGTGCCTCTGCCAACGCAGATCCATCACCACGACGAAGATCGATGCCTGAGACAAGCTGTAGGTCTGGTCGGTGTGAGGCAGATTCAGGCCATTGCGACTCAGATAGATTTATCGGGCGATTTGTAATGGCGGTGACTTTGGAGAAAAGGCCGATACTTGGGTATGGACTTAGGAGTTCGTTGACCACAGCCCAGCCAATTATACCGGATGCCCCGAAGACAATAGCGTGATTTGATTCCCCCATTTTCAATAACTTTCAATATCTACTCCTAACTGCGAATAATTTGATTTCAAATGTTGTATTAAAGAGAAAGTATTTATAGTCGAATGGTCTACGTGATAGTTCATATCCGTAAGGCTGGGTCTGTAGATCACCATGAGTCATCTCGAGTCATTCCACGTGCACATGGCTATCCAATTAAGTACGGCAGTATTGATCTCCATACTTACTGTATAATCTATCCTTCCAGACCGGATAATACATGCCAAGAAGGACGTTGTGATGTAGGTACTGGTCTTGACTATAGATACATGGATAGAGGATCAATCACGCGCTGAACAAGATCTATAGATACCTGGTGGAGTACAAGAGGCATGGCAATGCGAGGATTTAAATCATCTTAGATTGAATGTACAGTGGGTGTGATATTATAATACAAAAAAATATTTACAGCGACACGGCCACCGGCTTCGCTTTGACATCCGGTTTGCCATGGGGGTTGAGGTGAGGCTGTACAGGGTATTGTGGATGCTCCGGTTGCCTGCGATTGGATTGTACCACCAATCCCTCACTCCACCAATAGTCCAACTCCCTATTGGTGAACTGCTTTCGGTCAATGACATATTCAAACTCCATCTCTTCATCGAACTCGACAATTGCTTCTTCGATCGTCGTAGATATGGGCAGCTCCAGGGCTTTGCCCGGCGGCTTGTAAAGCTGAGCTCGCGCTTGCTTCTTCCGCTCGGGATCGGCATTGATTTCCATCCAGTATTGGCTTCCGTCGTGTTTCTGTTTCAGAACGGAAATAAGCCCTCGCAGTGTCTCCATGGTAGTCGGGGAAAATCTCGATTCCCATACAGAGGTTAGGCGTTCAACTTCGACGAGAAAGTCGCGGTGAATTGGTTCTGCACGAGCGAGATGGGTCATCATGCACCACCATACGCCACGAGGGTTGTTGACATATGTGAAGGCACGAATAAACATCTTGAGCTGGACGTGGTCGAAGCCGTAATTCTTACGCCATTTAGACATGTAGACAGCTGTGAGGAGGTTCACGGCGACGAGGGGACGATGAAGCGCGATCATTCGGCGAGCAACAGCGGCTGAGCAATGATGTTTTACAGTGAATCTTTCGGTTCGAGCGCATACTTCATAGAATTCGAAGAGGGCCAATTTGATCAAGGTGCTTTCGCTCACGAGACGGCGGTCAAGCTGCATAACCTGCTGGAAGAAAATTGGGACGAAACGGGGGGTGCGCTCGGTGTATCGGTACGATGGGCGTTTGGTGAATTCTGTCCAATGCTTCTTGATTATGTGCTTGGCATCCGAAAGACCGCCCATGCCTTTGTGAAGGAGGGTTGCAATGATGACAAGCTGGATGTGAAGCGGCTTGGGGCTGAAACCTCTGTCGAGACCTTGTTGGAAGAGGTCTTGTACCTCGGTGAATTTGCCAACATGGATATAATGCTCCATTCGCTTGGTGATTGGAACATATAAGTTGACAGAACTCTTGGAAAGAGTCTTGACAATTTGACCCTCTGTTCGCTTGGCTTGATCACCAATCGGGGTCAATTTATCTTTTTCGATGTTATAGTATTCTGCCCCAACGCCCATGATTCGCCGGGACATAGAGACCATTCCATATTGCTTCTTGGCTGACTGGAGCATTTTCCAAAATCCCACTGGGCTTTTTTGCATGGCCAGACGACGTGCTTCGAGGATTCTCATGGTTGCATCGTGGTCAATTCCAGTATTCCATTTGTGCTTTTCCGCCATTCTACTAAACTCTGCCAAGGTCTCGGGGTCGCATCGTTCGACCAGTCCTTCGATGCAGTGACGATGGAGAACTTTATCAGGTTTGATGTTGAACTCGGTGATGCAGGTCTCGAGGAAACTCCAAATCTCAGAGCCAGAGTGAGAAGGCCAAAATTCCAGCCAGAGTCGATCGAAGACCTGGCAGAAGTTCTGCTTCTGGTTTGTGAATCCAAGCTCATGCATTTCACGCATTCCGCTGAGAACACCAATCCAATCGCACTGTAAGGCTTTGCCATACAATAACAGACCAAGAGTACGGCAGCCGGGTTTGGCACCGTATTTCGTTTCCATGTCATGAATAATGGCCTCCGCATCCTCGTATTGTCCCGCATCCACATATGCTTTGACCAATGCGTTAAACACCTTTTCAGTAGGATTTCTCTCGAGTTCACTAAGACTGGCCACAATCTTTCGGAATTCCTTGCTGACCAATTCAACACTGTGGGTCTTTCTCCAGAGGCCATCAAGATATGCTCCGCATAGACCGCCGTTTTCATCATGTTTGATATTGGAGTAGAAGAGCCACTTGGCAGCACTCAACCGGTTCGATTCAATAAGACATCGGAGAGTCACTTCCAGCAAATAGACCGGAATAGTGTACTTAAAGCGATACTTTTCATATATCACGGCCGCAGATTCGACGTGTCCTGCCTTCGCAAGCATATGTATCATGGTGGCCCACAAGTTTGTGTCAATTATCGACACCTTCTCAAGACGATGGAACATAGAACGAGCAATAAAAACATTGCCTTGCAAGCAGTTTGCCGAGTAGATCTCATAGCCAAGAGCTCGTCTGCTCCAGGAGATCGCTTCATCTCCATTTGAAGGAACCACCTTAAGAAACAGATTGGCAGCATCTACCGCCCGTCGTTCCACCAACATATTTTGTATTGATTCGTCCAATGTAGGCTTACCCTCTGCGCGTCGGGTCTCGTCCTCTTCACGCTCTCTAGCCAATGCAATTTGATTTTGGTGATCGTTCGCTGGGTCTTGGTATTCTCTTGCGAGGTTCTTCAGCGAAGTGGGGCGGATTGCCAGCGTGGGTCGAAGATTTCGGGAGGGGAGGGTCGTAGGGAGAGGGTCGTCAATATTTTGTTCAAGGGCACCGTGATCCACGTCAAGCGCAGACCTCTTCTGGTTTCGTGACGACTTGTGCTTCAGAGAATCCAAGCCCAGAAACTCACCAGCTTCTGCCGCCTCCATCATGAGCGCAAGACGATTGGCAGAAGCTGTGGCATCGTAGTTCGGTGCGGAGGTCCGGATCGTACGTTTATTCTCAATGATCTGCTCAGCCACGCGAATCCGTCGGTGGACATCGTAGCTGATGGCACCAACGGTGCAGAAGGTTCCCACGGACCCAGCGAAGGCCAATTGGCGGAGAACACGGAGGGCATTGCGAGAAGGGACGGCCGGCGTCGAATTGGCGGCTTTGGAGAACATGGTGTGCGCTGGCCAGTGCGCGCTGGATTTACCAGCGTTGCATCAGTGACTCCAGCGGTAGAGGATGAACAGGAGGAATCTGTTCACGTAATCCTCTATGTAGATTACCGTAGTCAACGTGAAGCCTGAATGGTGCAAGGCAATTGTTGGGGAAGGTTAAAGGGTAAACCCGGGCGACTTTTTTCGGAACTCGAAAAAGCTGCGCGATTGGGCCGTATCGCCCACCGGACTTTACTGATCGGCTCGATGCTGTTTAATCATACGATTAAGACCAATTAGACTAAGATTGAATGAATACTAAAAACAACTATGTACAGCTGAGCCATAATCATGTCTATTGGCTGTAAAAAGCATAAAAGGGCACCCGAGATGCAAATAACTCATCTAAGCAACCGATCGTCTTCGTCCTCGCCATCTTCATTCGCCTCAACCGCTATGTCAAGCGCAGGCTCATCATCAATGGTAACTGTAGATAGGTTAGCATAAATCCTGTAAGCAGAAACTGAAACATACCGTTCGGTCGAACAAAGACGCTCATTATAGCTGCTGCTCCAAAGACAGATGTAAGAACAACAAAAATGGCCTGAGGATATGACCCCACTGTCAAAGTATAGATCAAATTGAAAACTGTAGGTGCAACCACCCGAGCAAGTGCATGCAAAAGACCTGCTGCCCCAAGCAGCTGTCCAACTCGGTCATTCGGAACATGCTTGGTGAGGGCAGATTGCATTGTTGGAGACCCCATTCCACCAAGACAAGAAATGATACCCGAAGTAAGCCAAGCAGTGCCTGTCTTCGACACAGTATAACCAATGCAACCGGCAACATCGAAGAGAACAGATACCCGGATTATCCAGACATCGAGGGTATCGCACCCGCGAATTGTGCCATCGTTCTTGGTCGGCGTGCGGAAAAACCAGGAGATGAGGGGCAAAAGCAGGAATAGGTTAGCAGTACGCACGCCATTGACTATGGCAACGAATAGACTCATCTCCACATTTCCCCAGTTGAACATGTACTCAGCGTAAATAACGATGACCTGCACCGTACCCATGGCGACACCGAATAAAGCCGTGTCCATCATGGCCAGCATGACGATATTGCGGCGCAGAGCTGGGCTGGCACCCTTCCGATTAGGGAATAGAACACTCGGCTTTCCAACAGGGGGCCAAAGAATCTTCAGAGGAGCGACAAGGTTCATCGGGTTGAGAGCTTTCCACGAATACCACTTTGGTTCATCATCCATGGGCTTCGCGCGGTGCTTAGCACGAGCCACAAGCTGGAGATCCTTGGATAAGGACTCGGGAACAATAAAGAATAAAGCAAAGACAAAGAACACATGGAACAAAAAGCCCGTGTAAAACACGATCAACTCGTTCCCGGTCTTTTGAATGATATACGCTGCACCGCTCGGGCCAGCTGCCACACCCAAGAACAGTGCACCGTGGAATAAGCCAAATGCCACACTTCGTCTATCGGGAGGTGTACAATCAGTTGCGTACGAGTGAAGCAATACCTGGGCACCGGTGATCGAGCCGCCCAGCCCGTCCACCAGAGCTCCAAGCAGGAACATGTTGGTGGAAAGAGCATCGGGCCAGGTTCCCAGGAAGCAAGTAATCAGTTCATTGCAGGCAGCACATAATCCTAACAGAGCCATCATTTTGGTTCTGCCATAGGCATCCGATAAACGGCCTAGTCGGGGACTAACCAGGGCTGCGACGAGGCCAGTAATCAAGTTGATGTATAACTGGAGCTGTGCAACTTTGGACTGTACTTCAGGGATGCGGCATTGAGGATTGTCCTCGGATAGAACTACCGGAAGGTATGTGAAACTAGGGTCTTTCAGACTCCTTTCGTAGAGATAATCGCGGCATACTAGATCCCTCATGAGAGTAATCTTAGGCACGACCATGCCGCCAAAGCCCATAGTGAAGACCAGTGCAAATGGAAGTAACCAATAAATCTGCAAGACGAAGATTAAACTTAAAACGTCAAAGAGGATCTAGTCCATGATCGCTGTCGATGGCAAATCAGTCACTCACACTTGGTCTTCTCCATCGCGGTCGGGTATCTGTGTCGCGAAGTTGCTGTACATCCTCTGGCCACTCATCATCATCGTCAATGTTGGCCAGCAGGGGCTCATGGTGCACGCGCAAGATTGTACCATCTGCAGTGCGACGTGTCTGAATGAAATCCTCGGCGGTTTGTTGTACATCCAGGGCCGATTCACCCACGAATAGTTCCTCGTTCTCCATTATCGCGGTAGATCCTCAGGATACAAGAATTTCTAACGGTACATGCTAATGAAAGGGAGAATTGAGATGATGAACAATAATGGCATAAGTCGGTATAACGATGAACCGGGAATGAGGGGATAAGTTAGGCGTTTCTTGCGTCAGCGGTTTTTGGCTTTTGGTCTTATCAAGCTTGGAAATCAAGTTCATTTCGACCATCGGACTCCGATAGGAGATTAGATCCACATCCGAGGCATAGATAAAGCTGCATAAACAACCCGAAAGCTTGGGTTTTCTAGAATTTCAACATCTGCAAATATTAATAATGATGAACAGGTTTCAAATTCCAAATTCCACAATTTTAGTTTATACATAGACATATAACGTGGTCAAATGAACTCCTAAACACCCTGCCCAATACTATGTTTACATGCATAAATCCGCGTGCATAAATAAGACACAACAGAAAGAGAAGATAAGAAACAGAAAGTGAGGTAAGATGATCTCACATCACAAGAGAGGAGAGCTCCTTGCCGGCAAAGAATTTCTTCTGCTCCAGGCATCGGTCACTCCGACAGCCCTGGCAACGGAGGGTCATCTGGGGAGAACAGGGCTCGTTCTTCTGCAGGTGCGCATGCGCAATATCTGCCAGGCCTTGGATGAAGGTCGGGTTGCCATTCAGGCTCTCTGCACGCTTAACGCCAGGGCTGTTGGCTTCCTCCATAACCTCCAGATCCAACTCGTATAGGGTCTCAATGTGGTCGCTAGTGAAAGCGATGGGCACCAGAATCAAGTCGGACTGCCCACGCTTAACATAGTTCATCACAGTGTCTGCGGTCTGCGCGCCAAGCCAGGCAGAGGGGCCCACTTGGGACTGCCAGCACAGACGGTAGGGGTTGCTGAACTTGAGTCGCTGCATCACAGCATGAACTGTCGCGGCAACTTCGGCGGGGTAAGGATCACCTAAAGAGAAAGAAAGGTACGGTTAGAAACGGTTGCTTGTTCGCAGAAGAGCAGGTTTTACCTCGGTTGACCACGCTCATGGGCAAACTGTGCGCAGAGAACAACAGCACCACCTTATCCCGCTTATCTTCCGAGTAGGTCGCCAGCTGAGTTTCGATGTTCTGTGCAAACGCCTCAACGAGACCAGGGTGAGTGGGCCATCGGTCGATGACACTCCAATTGATCGCACCGGTGGCGTCCACATCTCCATTGGCACGCTTCCCTTCCAGGCGATTCTGCCACTTCCACAACTCGTTTAGGGAGCTACCAGTAGTAGAGCAAGAATATTGCGGGTATTGCGTGAAAGCGACCGCACGGCCCCCCTTGCCATTACCGAATCCATCCTCGAACAATTGGTTATACATCTCCTCTGTCAGGGGAGCAGCGTAGCGAAAGGCGACGTAGGGCTTATGAGGCGCGGTCTCTGGCGAAATCTTATCCAATATCTTGCACATCTCCGCACACTGATATTCCGACCATTTGCGAATCGGCGAGCCGCCGCCAATATCCGCGTATTGTTTCTGGATCTTGGGGGTTCGACGACGGGCGAGAAGAGGTCCGATATATGATTGCAGGCGTCCCAGGGGAATCAAATCGCCATCAGACTGTAGCGAGAAGAAGGAACGGGGTCAGAACAGTTGCAATGCTAGAAGCAAGGGAACATACGAATAGCCTGCTCAAAAAGTCCTCCACCTGGTCGGTTGTTGACGGTCCACCCATGTTCATGAACACCATCGCAGTAGGTCCCTTGGCACCAGTAGAATCCTGGGTGACTGGTGGCACCGCTGTTGCAAGGCCGCATCGCTGGTCTCTGCTATATCCCACGAAGCTGCGGGTGGCTGAGCGGAAGGCCGGGGTAGCAGCATTGCTCCATAACCGACATGGGGCGATGCTTCGGAAAGCCATGGTAAGAATCTCGAATTGTAAATGAAACTTTAAGGAATATGAAAGAAAAGGCCAAACCACAATGCAAAGGAGTGAGCAAGGAAAAGATCGATCACAAATCACAGGATTCCAGATCGGAAAGCTTGCGATCCGCGATCGATTAGTTAGCAAATGGGCTGGACCTGGAAGTGACCAATCAAGGTCCCCTGGGAGTCAGCAGCAATAGTCACATGATCTTCGCGTCTCCCCGCGTCAAACAAGTCAAACATATCGGCGCGTCTCAAGGCAACAATGACGCCACTGCCTGGAGCTGGCTGTTCTATTAAGTTCTGATATTTTTTATCTGCTTCTCATACCCATTTTACCTAGAAATTGATCGCTAGAAATGGCGGAAGATAGTCACGCTCGTGAGGAAGAACCTCTTGAGGAGGAAGAGGTCGATGAGACTGTAAGTAGCAATGACAAGTATATTCCAATGGATCCAGATCTAATCAGTCACTTAGAGCTTTCGAGCAGTCAAAGATGCGGTCCTCTTTGCCATCAATATCAGCAGCTCAATGCTAACCCCTCGTGCCTCATCTAACCCAAAGAAATCTGGCGATGAATCCCCGGCATCTGCGGCCCTCAAGTGTGCATACCATCTGATGCAGCAGCGCATCATATCGGACCCTGGCGACATGATTGGTATTCTTTTCTATGGAACACAGTCATCTAAATTTTATGATGAAGATGGAGATGGGACTGGCGACCTCTCATACCCTCACTGCTATCTCTTTACCGATCTCGACGTTCCTTCCGCCCAGGAAGTAAAGGAGCTTCGATCTCTTGCAGAGGACGAGGAGGAGGCCAAGGAAATACTAAAACCCTCGAATGAACCAGTTTCCATGGCCAATGTGTTATTCTGTGCCAATCAGATTTTCACCTCCAAAGCTCCAAACTTCCTTTCCCGGCGACTGTTCATTGTTACCGACGATGATAACCCTCATGCAGAGAACAAAGCGCTTCGATCGGCATCGACAGTTCGTGCAAGGGATCTGTATGACCTGGGTGTCACAATTGAACTTTTTCCCATTTCCCGAGTTGATCATCAATTCGATACCTCGAAATTCTATGATGTGGGTTTCGTCTGGCATCCAGTGAATCCTGCGAGACTGACAAGCACAGGATATCATTTACAAAGCATCTCCCAGTGATGGCGAGGCCCCGGCCTATCTTAAGCCAGATACAAGCTTATCGACCGTGCAAGGAGACGGAATCACATTGCTCAACTCTCTCCTTTCAAGTATCAACTCTCGATCCGTGCCCAAGCGGTCGATTTTCTCTAATATCCCTTTGGAGATTGGACCTAATCTCAAGATTTCCGTCAATGGGTATCTATTGCTGAGAAAGCAGCAGCCGGCACGGAGCTGCTATGTCTGGTTGGGTGGAGAGAAACCCCAGATTGCCAAGGGTGTTACTACACTCCTAGCAGATGATACAGCGCACACAGTTGAGAAGTCGGAAATCCGGAAAGCATACAAATTTGGTGGTGAACAAGTTTCCTTCTCATCCGAGGAACAGTTAGCATTGAGGGACTTTGGGGAGCCGGTGATTCGAATAATTGGCTTCAAGCCACTGGACACCCTGCCAATCTGGGCCAATACTAAGCATCCTACATTCATCTACCCTTCAGAAGAAGATTACATTGGATCAACGCGCGTTTTCTCTGCCCTGCAGCAGAAACTTCTCAAGGACCGCAAACTTGCATTGGTCTGGTTCATTCCCCGGAAGAAAGCCTCGCCAGTGCTGGGTGCCATGATCGCTGGTGCTGAGAAGATCGATGAGAATGGCGTACAGAAAATACCACCAGGGATGTGGATCATTCCACTACCCTTCGCTGATGATGTGCGAAAAAATCCGGAGTGCGGCTTTATGCCGGCCCCAGAACCCCTAATTGATGCAATGAAGCAGGTGGTGGGACAACTGCAGCTTCCGAAGGGTGTATATGACCCTCAAAAATACCCTAATCCTTGTAAGCTTCTGTTTTGCAGTGCGAAACGCCCAAAAATACTGACAATATGGCAGCACTTCAATGGCATTATCGTATCCTGCAAGCCCTCGCTCTTGACGAGGATCATCCGGGAACTCCTGAGGATAAATCCCTCCCCAAGTACCGACAAATCGACAAGGTAAACATGATCAACTCTCCGCAGATGAATAACGCTGATTGAATTATAGCGTGCCGGTGAATACGTTTTACAATGGGCCGAGGAGCTCGATGCTCAAAACGAGAAGATTTTTGGTGGGACTGCTGCCACAAAGACCCTAGTCAAGAGAGGCCCGAAACACGAGGGCGAATATCCAGGTGGCCCACCCCCGAAAAAGACGAAGGTTGAGGTCGGGGCTTCTGATGCCGATGCTGCGATCAAGATGAACATGGAGAAGGGAACCTTGTCCAAGGTAAGTCGCATGAACTATTGATCTATCTTCAATGGCTAATTAAAGCAATTTTATAGCTCACGGTGGCCACCTTGAAAGAATTTCTTAATGCTCATGGTCGTTCCGCGGCTGGAAAAAAGGCCGACCTTGTGGAACGGGTAGAGCAGTATTTTGAGGAAAAATTTTGATTTGCTTTAGGATTACCCATGTAACGAGTGATGACTACATACCCAAATCCCTAGTTAGTTATTTGTACGGGTTCAGTCAGGGCTGACCAATTTACCGAGTGGCAATTATGTGGGGTGTGGGGGATGCCCAACTTGCTTTTCCTCTCAGTTTAAATTCAAAATAAGAACAGTTTAAACCGATGAGCATTTTAAAATTATATCAAGGCTTATCTGCATAAAATTTCCGACTCTTATTTATACCACCAGGTCAAGATTACCAGGTCAAGATTACCAGGTCTCCGCGTTCCTAGTGCAAAGTGACAATTCACCCCGCCGCTTCCCCGCCAGTTCCCAACAAATGGAAGCAAGATGAATGGTGTACGCTCGCGCAATGACCGGAAATGTCATTCTTGTAATAAGACATTTTCCAAGAAAGAGCACCTTACAAGGCACATCCGGGGTCACACAAAAGAAAAGCCCTTCGCATGTTCAATCTGTGGGAAGTTATACTCTCGAAGGTACAAGTAGATGTTGCTCTAACGGAAATCCGCACTAACTTAGCATAGTGATGTTGTTCGTCGTCATGAAAAAAGCCACCATGAACAGGCCGAGAAACAGGCCGAGCAGGAGGTCGAGCAGTATCTTGAGGGATCCTCAACCAATCTCATAGATGGCTCAGCCCTGCTTACGCCAGCCTCGGCGGCTGAATCGCTGAGACGGTCTTCAGGGATTACTATGCCAGAAAGCCTGTCTCCGCAATATGCCAGCACAAACATTGCGAGTTTTGTGTCACCAAACACAAGCTACCCATCTGGGATGGATTCATCTACGCATAATGATGCAACGCTTGGAACAAGCTCCAACTCGGGGTCTGGAGCATGGTTTCTAGAGGACGATTTCGATGTCAGCGCTCTAGATTTTTCACTCACCTCCACCATATCCGAATGGGCACAGTTCCCAAATGTCTTTTCGGTTCCTCTCCTGCCGGCCGAGCCACAGGAAATGCTCACGCCAATACAAAGTTCCGTGACTGACTTCGAGTCAGCGAATCCAGCAGATACTGTGAAACGTGAATGGTTCTCCCATATGGAGCACCGGCCAAGTCGAGGATTCGAAATGACGGACTTGAGCTATCCGGAACATACCAAGGCGAACGAGTCGTACCGAGTCGGTCTATCTCAGAAGCTTCAGCCACGCATGAAGGATGAAGCACTTCCAAGTTCGGAGCAGCTCAATCTTTTTGCAAAGCTCTACTTCCACCGATTTCATCCGCTGCTTCCTGTTATTCATACCCCTTCCTTCCGACCAACTGCAGAGAATTCCCTCTTATTCTTGTCGCTATGTTCCATTGGCAGCCTCTTTGTGGGATCATCGCGTGCCGTCATGCAGGGATCAAGAATATTTGAACGACTGAACAAGGCAATCCTGGCATCGTGGGAATCCTTCCTATCGCAGAGCCGACCAGATGCATTGTCTATGGTTCAAGCTGCTATTCTTGGTCAAACTTACGCTCTTCTGGCCGGTGAGCCAAAGTGCCTTGTTCTAGCAGATGTTCTCCACGGCACAGTCGCAGCCTGGGCGCGTGAAGCAAACAGACTTGGATCAATTTGTACCCGAGCCCCCGATTTATCTGATGACAGTAATCTAAAGACGAGCTGGCATCGGTGGATCGATCAGGAGCAACGGGCCCGAGTCCAAGTAGCGCTCCATATCCACGACGCTGAACTTGCAACTCTACTACACCACCAACCAATCCGCAGTCATCGATTCCGCCAATTCCCCAAACTCGCATCTGACGCCTTATTCTCAGCCTCCACAGCTCCAAAATGGGCTACATTATACCGCCAATCCTTTGAATCTCAAGATACCGCAATACACACTCAACTCCCTCGCTCCATGGATCTACTCCCAATCACCGGCGTCCCATCCCGTTTCGCAGCATACGGTCTCCTGGAGAGTATAAACGCCCGCCTAATCGACTCCAAACAATCTGATAGCTTCGATCACCACATCTGCGCGGAGATATCAAGCCTCTTAATCGCTTGGTGGAAAGCTTACTACTACACACCACCTCAGACCCACGAAGGAGATCCATTCTGTCTCCCCGTCCTCTGGCACTCGATCTACATATCCCTATACGCAGACCTTGATCTCCTCGAACAATCAATAGGTCGAGATGGCCACCACGCTACCGTTCGAGCTACAGCTCCCGTCCAAGAATGGTCTACATCCCTAAACGCCAGTCGCTGTCTCATTCATGCGTCATTAATCGCGCAGTATATAGAAAAAATGAGTATGTCCTCTGAGCCGGCGATTCATGTCCCGCGTGCGCTTTTTTCTGCCGCGCTCACGTATCTTGTTGTTGCGCAATCTGCGCCGAAACATGTTATTCGTGCTGAGGCGTTTTCGTCACCGGAGTTCAAGATTTCGAGCGATGATGGTACGTCTATGGAGGCTTGTTTTCCAGATCACATGAGGAGTGGGTCTGTGGTTGCGGATATGGATCATTTGTATCGATTGGTGGATTTGTTGCGGCGTGGTGGACGTTGGGGAATTTCGCAGGCTTTTGCAGGGGTCATTTCTGCGGCTTTGGAGAGCATTGGATCTTAAATGATCTAAATTGATTGTGTGTTTCTAACTTCTTATCTATTGATATCACACTGCACTTTCATATCCTTATTATTTGGCTATACTGCTTTGGATTCTCCTAAATGTTCTTGTAACTCCTGTCTAGCCTGATCAGGAATACTCATGGATTCGAGTCGGTACCCAACCTAATCTTGTTGCTTATCGCCTGTCCAGATAACATATAGTATTTGCATCATACATACCTGTTCAAGCTGCCATGTAGCGTCTAGTCTACCCAGTACCTACTGAGGTACCTACCTTTTTAGCCGAGGTATATTATAATACTAAGGTGTATACCAAAAGTACAAATGCAAGCGAAAAACGATTAATCTATCGGAATGGATCTGTTTTGCGCTACATTTATATGAGATATTTCAAAGTTATTCTTAATGAGGTCTAATGGATACACGTGAATGATTCTCAATCAATAGTAAGTGTAATTGATCCTTATTTAGCTGAGTCTTCTATCCGGAACCTTGAAATTGAGTCACCCCGCAACCTTGGGAATATCATGGCGAGGCCTGCGGGGTGGTGATCCACCTTTGCGGGGTGCCCGTCGCTCCCGCCAATATGAGGACTAGGTTACAGTTCAAAGATTTGCTCCGCTGTTTTCTTGGGTCAGAATATCCTTTTGATGATGACTCTGGGGTTGAGAAAGGATTGGGCTTGTTTTGTTATAGAATGCTACTCCAGCCTATAGTTACTTGTTTTCGGCTGAAATGATAAATGACTTCATAATATACCTGAAAATAATAGCTCATGTGTACCTTGTATAGCATCATGACCTCGGGAACTTATGATTAAATACAAGTATCATACTCCTCTGCAAATTCCGGGGATCAACAGCTTCCCCACAGAACACACTTGTGGGGTATATGACCTTACCCCATAAACCAAGTATAAGTATCAGGCATCATCAACAATCTTCATTTCTTGTTAATATCACCATATCAATTCTCTCTCTGGATACTATATCTCATTCTAAGATGCCCGTCTTCACCCAACACGCATCTTCCTCACGAGACCTCCGAGTCTTACCATCTTTTGCACCTCCATTACCCCGTCTCCTCCCACCATTCGAACCAGGAACAGAAGAAAAATATGAAGTCCTCGTCGTCGGCGTATGTTCAACCTAATCCAATCCACCCAAACTAACCTCTAACATCTATTGAAAAAATTCAGGCAGGCCCATCTGGCCTGATGCTGACCCTCCTCCTATCCCGCTACGGTCTAACCGATACCTCCCTCCTATGCATCGACTCCAAACCAAGCACGCTTAAATCCGGCCAAGCAGACGGCATCCAGCCCCGCACTCTAGAAGTTTTCAAAACCCTCGGTATATCAGACGAGATCGAAAACGAAGCATGTCAGATGTGGCAATTCGCGTTCTGGAATCCATCCAAAGAGAAAGGGAAGATAATTGAGCGCACGGCTGTTGTTCCCGATATTATTCCCGCTGCGAGATTTAAGTATGAAGCTACAATTCACCAGGGAAGAGTTGAGCGTATCATGGAGACGGATCTCTTGCGCTATTCTGATCGAGGTGTGCTAAGGAGTGCAAGCTTGATTGATGTTTCTATCGATGATGATGTGGAGTTTCCTGTTCTTGCGCGGATCGAGGTGGATGGTGTTGAGAGGAGTGTTCGGACGAAGTATCTTGTTGGTGCTGATGGGGCGCATTCTATTGTCAGGAGGTGTATGGGGTTGAGGTTGGAAGGGGAGTCGTTGGATCATATCTGGGGTGTGGTTGATTTGGTTGCTGAGACTGATTTTCCTGATATTCGACGCAGGTGTGCGATTCATTCGCCTGCTGGGTCTGTTATGGTTATTCCGCGAGAGAGGATTGCGACTGGGGAGTATCTCACGAGGCTTTACGTGCATGTTCCCGAGACTGTGAATCATGTGGATGGCGATGAGAGTGGTGAAGGTGAGGATGCGAGATCGCGGAGAAGCAAGATTACTTTGGAAGGGATTCTGAAGCAGGCTTCGGATGCTATGAAGCCGTACTATATCCGGCCCAAGGGTGTTGTGGATTGGTGGGCGGCTTATCAGATTGGGCAGCGGGTTGCGCCTGAGTTTATTGTGAAGGATCAGAAGGGCGTTGCAAGAGTGTTTATTACTGGTGATGGTATGTGATTCCCCTGAACCATCAAGTAAGATGCTAACATTTCTTGGATAAAAGCTTGTCACACACACAGCCCTAAGGTATATTACATTCACCAAGCCCAACAATATGATTACAGCTGACCATTTAAAGGCCGGACAAGGCATGAACGTCTCAATGATGGACTCGTACAATCTAGCCTGGAAATTGATTTATCACATCAACGGACTCACTCCATCGTCCATCGACTCCCCAACCCCAATCCTGGATACATACCAAACAGAACGCCACGAAATCGCACAGCAACTCATCGATTTCGATCGCAAGTTCTCGACCATGTTCTCGGGCCAAATGGGCGCAGCAGAGGGCCTCACTGAAGAAGAATTCCAGCAAGCTTTCAAGCTGGGAAATGGTTTTACCACTGGCTGTGGTGTGGAGTATCCCGAGGACCAGAACCCGCTCGTTATCCGTGATGACCCAGACAGCAACCCCATCCAAGGAACGGATTATCTATCTGGAATACTTCGGGCAGGCCGCCGTTTGCTGAATGTGAAGTTGCTGAGACATGCGGACGGGTGGCAGCGGGATATTCATGATGGTGAGATATCCCAACTCTAGCTTCAAGCAAAGCGAGAGAATTTGGAAAGTATATGTTGCTAATACTACGCAGACATTCCATCCACGGCGCGGTTCCGCATTCTTGTTCTTGCATCGACGGACCTTCTAGATCGGAACAGTGGTTCTGCACGCGCACTGACCAGAGTCAGTGAGTTTGTGACCCGATTTCCGGCCTCTGTTATTGAGCAGATTGTGCTTCACCCTGCACTTCATCGCGCGTTTGAGTGGGATGATCTTCCCGTGTGTGTGAAGCGGGATGCGGAGATGCGTTTCTATGATGGATCTGTGTTGGAGGATGCGTATAGTATCTATGGTGTTGATCCTGCCAGAGGTGCAGTGGCTGTTATCAGGCCGGATGGGTATGTGGGGATGGTGGTGAGGCTTGATGAGGTAGGTAGAGTGGAGGAGTATTTGAAAAGGTGTATTCGAACTTTGTAAGCGCTGTTTTGGTACTACTTTCTACTCGGATTCGGAAGTATAGCAAATTGTATAGATGAATGTACTCTAAATCTATTCAATAATAGAAAATGTGTTTTTGGAAAGAAACTGGTCTTATCTAGACTGTATCAGTGGCAAAGCACTCTTCCTCACGCCGGAGGTAATAAGTCCCAATAAACTCCAAACGCTCTGCTTGAACAATGCAGGCAATGCTGGGCAAAAGAGGGCAAGAAAATGGGTATCGAAAAAGTCGACAGGTATGTGCAGGACACGAATGTAAGATATGAAAGCGAGGTAAGCTAGACAGCTTATTGTTGAAAAGCAGGCTGCAAAAGGATAGATCGGACTTGATCAGCACTGTCCATAAACCTGGCAGTAACAAAGCTCCTCATCGGGACAGTAGACCGAGTCCATGCCAAAGATGAAATGCCAGAGAAATTCCATCACACGGCCCGATTTCGCATCAGTCAGATCCGTGCCGACGAGCCACTGCCGCATCCTCACGTAGTCCTCGCGCGGGCGCCGGCGCACCTGGTCCTTGGAGACGGCAAACTGCGCACAACAAGCCGCTGCAATCTGCTCAGGCTTGCGAATATATTTCTGACCGACTTGCTCAACCTCGTACGGCGAGGACATGTTGAGCGGCGGGGTGCTGGTGCCCTGGAAAATATCCCACCAGATCTCGTCGGTGACATGGGTGTTGAAGCGGTGACTGGCCTTGCAGCCAGGGTTCCAATTGCAGCGGAGATTGGCGTAGCCGTTGTGTTCAATGAAAGAGGTTTGGAGGTTGCGCATAGCGATGACGTTATCGTGGAGGGGGGCGTCAACGTGCCAGGCCATGAAGAAACCGGAGCGATGGGCGTGGAGGAAGGCAATTGTGGAGGGAAGCACGTAGTAGTGATCGATCACGTAGGTGAGGTAGGCCATGGCCTCGTGGCCTTTGTTGTAAGGAGTTGTGAGGATGTTTTCGTTCATTCGAGTTTCCTCGGATGGGTTGACGATGTAAATGGCGCGTTGCCAGCTAGGACTGCCATTAGTATTTCCAGGTGAAAGCGCAACCTCTCATCGCGCGAATTGGCGGGGTACGTACTCGGGAAGCTCCTCCTGTACCCAATCGGCATCCTCCTCTTCAAGCTTCGCCATAACAATGACTTTGTCGCCTGGAGTGCTATTGTGTACCGGTACATTGGAACCGGATTTGTGATACCACCATTCTGTCAAGTATGCGCCAGCGCGGTATTGGTTACAGATGTCCTGGATATGAGCCTCCAGTAGGTATAGGGAAAAGAAGACAAGCGAGACAACGCATAATGCGATGCGATATCCACTTTTCATGGTGAATTCGAGATCAGAGATGTTCAAGGGAAACCCTTGAGCGGAGCTCTGTATGTAACCAAGTTCAGCCGAAGGGCCAGTGAGCCATTGATAAGGAGTCTCAAGGGGTTTTGAAAGGAGCAAAGATAAAAATAAAGAGTTTGGGGCCGAGGAATAAATCGAATTCGACCCAATGATCGGGGGGCGGCTTGACTTTAAAAAGGGGAGCAGATAATTAGCGCGCCTTTAGCGTTGTAGTGGGGGGAAGGAAGGTTTTAATAGAAGTGGGAAAGGAATGGAAAAGGGGCCCATAAAAAAAGAACCATGAAATCGAGAGAACGGCAACGTGGGATGACAGGAATGTTATTCTGTTCTCACGTCATTGGCCACTTTCACTGGAGTAAGTGGTTCAGGTTCAGGTTCAGATTCCAGGAAGGGGAACAGGGGGACAAAAGCTTGGCCCGTAAAAGAAAGGTTAATATGTAAGACTAAGACTGAGACATTGAACTTTGGGCAATTTAACCTTCTGTTGCACTGAACACAGAAAAAAGACTGCTCTACCATGGATCACACGTGGCGGTTGAAAGTCTATTGAACTTGACTCTCCAGTACTCCGCAGAAGTTGCAATACACCGTCGGCCATATTTAGGAGTACTCCGCAGAATGGTTGATGGGCAAAGAAATGATGCAACAACCTTGGGACTCCAGGCGTACGTACGTTAACTTTCATTGGTCAGTTACTTCGTATCTATGTGGGTCCAAATTAAACGTCCTATATATCTGCCTATTTAATGTATGTGCTCCGTACTCTATACCCCATATGTGCGGAGCAGGGTATTCCATACTTCAAAAGCACTGCCCTGTGATGGAGGGTGGTCGGCCCTCCCCAACCTGGGAGAAAGCCTACTAGATTTGAGTGTCGACTTGAAGAGATGTGGCAATGACAGAATTTGACCCACTTCGGATCCGATCGCAATAAATACGGTACTCAGTACACCGCGGCTCTTTTCCGTTGAGATTGCCAAGCCTCTAAGACCTTCCTTGTTCGAGAAGGAGTTCGGTGGTTCGTTCGACGGGGCCCCGTTTCCATTTTCTGGGGATAGTTTTGCGCCCATGGCGTTGCAGATCCTCACTCCTTATATGTCGCGGATGTGCAATGTCATTTGTCATATTTTGATATATATACCTACAGGTACAGATGGGTACCTCGCATATGTTCCGTTCTCGCCAGCAACATGCACTAGATAATTTCTGCAGTTGGTGGTGGGCTTTCATCTGCAGGGGTAGATTTCTGATTGGTCAGAGACAGACTCGCCGCGTGGCCACCACTTCAAGATCAGATTACACCGGAGCTTTGCCGTGAACCAGGGATTTTCTTCGATAAGGCACTAGATGAGCGGGGGCTCGGTTGGCAGCGTCGGACTGCCGAACTCGCGTCATTTTCCACATACAGATATTTACCCTTTGGCCCGGTACTCCACATGTGTTTTCCAGGACGAGTCAGTAGGTATGCAAGGGTGACTTTCGTATATACTCAAATCCCAACATTTGAAACATTTGGCATTATCACACATGCAGATCTACCGCTTTCGCCGAGTCAGATTTCGTGGCAGAAAATGGAGGTGCATAGATATATATTTACCAGAAGTGTATTATGCATGATGAGATGCGTTCAAAGTGATACATAAAGTACACACCCTTGGAAGGTTCTAAGGTTGTTGCACGTCAATATTATTTACATTTTCGGAGGTGATCCAAGCCCTGGAGGATAGATACGTAGTCATTATGCAGGCCTGCTGCTAGTTCGTAACGACTCAGCTTTTGTTTTTGTCTTCTTCATCAACCTCTTCCCCATCTTCAATCGCCTTCTCCCGTAACTTCCGCGCCCGCTCTCGCTTTTTCTCAAGCAACGCATTGAGCTTCTTGGCAACGTTGAACACACCACCAGTACCTGCCCCACATGCTGCACAGGATGGGTTCTTTCGGTATCGTTGCAGCGCACAGGACTCGCAGAAATAATGCCCACATTTTGTAACGATGGGGTGCTGGTAGGGCTTTTCACAGATGATGCAGGCGAATGGGATTTTCTCCAGCATCTCATCTTCATCCTCATCGTCTTCCTTCTCTCCCTCTCCCCGCTGCGACACAACCTTGCCCTTCAGAGTTTTGCCTTTCGTCCCAATTTCCCAATCCCGGTCCAACTCCCATCCTTGCGCATATACTTCGCGCGAATGTAAGAACTTGCAGGAGTCTCCGAAACCACAGTATCCGGTTTGCTTCCAGTCCTTGCAGACATCTGGGGCGTAATCCATAACGGTCACAGTTCGGACATTTGAAGGAGGGGCCTTGATGGGGCCGAACTTTTTGGATGGCCCATCGGGATTCTTTTGGATGAATGAGGTGTAGTTGGCGGTTCCCTTGTATGTTCCATCAGGTGCCGAGTCGGTAGAAGGTTGCGGGCGTAATCTAGTTGACCCTAGAAGGTTACTTGCGCTGAGATCCTCATCGTACCAGTCTGAAGATTTTGTTGCGTCATTGCTGGATGTTATGGGAGCTGGGCCCACGCTGGAAGGCTGTTCGGCCACATTCCGCTTGGTGGTATTGGAGGAGGCGGTTACTGCAACATTCTTGCGTCGTCTCTTGATGCGCTGCCCTTCTTCATCGTCGGAGGAAGTAAAGCCAGAGTCAGAATCGGAGGCCGGTGGGGGTGTTGCGGGCTTCTTGCGGAAATTCGCCTTTCCCTTGGAACGCTTCTTGAAGCCAAATTGGGGGACAGGTTCGGCTGCCTCGTCCGCCATCGTAGGATATCACAGATGTGGATGGGATGGCCAGATATTTCAGGTTCCCGCGATCAAGAATCCAGAAAGAAGACCAAGCGTGAGTGTTTGAAAAAGATGGAATTGTGGCGATGATCAAGATGATCAATCAACAAGTCGAAGAGTCTCGAATCCGTAAAGATCCCTGACTAAGCTCGATATGCAAACATTTGCAAACAGGTGCAAACAGAGCTACATTGGGAAACCGACAACAACAAAAAAAATAGGTTTTGCTTACCTGTACTCCGTACCTACGTACAGTACACTTGAGTCCTGCATAAAGGCGATCAATTTAAGTTTTACCGCAGATTATCTGTATAATAATATAACGATAACGGCTATCATTGTTGAGAGATCAGATCTGTAGAACATGACAGATAATCACCTTACATAAGGCCACAATAGCTAACTAAAAGGTCAGTAGTTAGATGTCAGTGTGAGGATCAATTCATCTCAAACACCGGTGCCAATTGGCAATAATAGTCACCTTGCGGCCTTATTCCTCCTTCTCCCTCTCCCCACCAACTTCACCCTCGTTTCTCCTTCATCCCACACGTTCCCTATTCAGTCTTTCCTTGTTTAATTTTTGTCGACTTTCTCCTTTATTAATTGTTCTTTTTTTTGCTCTCTTTTTTTCTTTTCTTGACTTGCTAAAATTGTACTAAAGAGCCGCGTGTTAATAACTGCAGATCGTGTTGTGGTTGGTTGCATCACCCACGCGCGCCGACTCATCTCGCCCAACCAGACTTCGCACTGATCCCGCTCCGGTGTTTGTTGTCTCTCGCTACCCCCTCTCCCTTTCCTACCTTCGCTTGTCGCGACGGTATCTACCGTGAACCTCTCTCTTTTTTTTTCTTATATTTCTAACCCGTCGCATCTCGTTTTTGCTTGTGCGAGAGTGACGATTCGTGGTCGCTGGCCGGCTCGTCGTTGAATCAGCACTCCGGGGACGCCCCTCCAACTTCTAGACGCGCACGATTCCCAAAAGGATGCACGCGAACCTCAATATCTATTCTATTTGAAGAACGCGCGATTCCCGAAAATCTCTCGACGGCCGCTGTATCCTCTAACTATAAGGGGATTCAGAAGTCGTGGAGACTGACACAACCTTGGGCGAATGACCACACCCGACGCGGGGGCTAACAGCTCCTTCACCTCAATGATGGAGGACCCATTCGTTTCGAATAACACAAGCGAGTTCATTTCTACAAGCGAATCCCAACAATTTTCGTCATTCGATTCCCAATTATTCAATATCAATGCCTCTTCACCAGCCCAGGCCAAACGGGCCCTTGCCGCTCGGCTGGCAGAGACTGAACGCCAGCTTGAGGAGACATCCAAGGTGGGAACGGCGCTCATCGAGCAACAGCGACAACTAGAGGACTACCTCAAAACTCTAGAGCAGCAGAAGGATGAAAGTGAGATGTCCCCAGAATTGTGCCAAAAGCTTGCCGACTTGGAGCGAGATTATGCGGAGATTGAGCGCGATACGACGCGCGCAATTCTGGCCCCAAAGAGACTGGCAGGAGGTTCGGAGGAGAGTCACCTGGGCACCCCAGGGTTTGAAGTAAAGGTAGCATTATCGCGTCTCCGTCCTTGATCTGCCTCATTTAACTTCTCAATCAGTCTCCCATCAGTCCCGCCCTATTCGCCGGCCAGGCGACCAACTCGCCCAGCAAAGTCGGTGTTCCGTCCCGCAAGCAACGAAATCAGCCATCCGGTCGTGTCCACGATATCGAATTTGCGACAGAAATCTCCACTTCCTTGTTAGGGCAAGTGCGCCAGTTGCAGGGGCTTCTTGCCGAGCGAGATGAATCAATCAAGACGATCAACTTGGAGAAATCGCGTTTAGAACTTGAAGCAGAAGGATACTCGCAGCGCATCCGAGCCTTGGATGACAGCGAACAGCGTTACAAGGATGAGAACTGGGCCCTGGAGACGCAGACGCATGAACTTATGACATCTGTGAAAGAATCGGCGGAACGTGAAAAGAGACTCATCAGCAGCCTGAGCGCTTCAAATGCGGAGAAGACTGCAGTCGAGCGAGAATTGGAGGAGTTGCGACAGACGAATTCAAAGCTTTTAGAGGAACAAGACATTATGCAAAAAGCAAATGACTCGGAAATCCACCTATTGCGACGCAACCTGAATGCAGGCGATTTGGAGAAATCTGCTCTCCAGAAGAAGTTGGAGGAGTTGAACTCGCAAAATCAAGAGTTGGCGAAAATTGTCGCTATGCGAATTCGACAGCATGAGGCCCAAGGTAGCCGAGATCTTCATGATGACAACGAAGGTGATGAGCCTGAACAAAACACCCCGGAGAATTCTCCACCTCCATCTCCCAACAAATTCACTCCCCGGCATGGGCATCTCGAGTCTGAAACCCTGAAGAGTTCGTTGGGCCATGCCCACCGTATGATTCAGAATCTCAAGAGCACAATCCATCGAGAGAAGACAGAGAAAATCGAGCTCAAACGTATGTTGCAAGAGGCCCGAGATGAGGTTGAGCAGCGTCGTCGCGAGACTGTAGCCCCCAATGGAGGACCTAGCAAACGTTTGAAGAAGAAGGAAGACTCCTTCCGCAAGCCAGCTCGTCCAGATCTTTTGGGTGCTGGCCGCAAGGAGAAGTCACACGTTGAGGTCCACGAGCTCCACGATACTGACTGGGAAGACAATGCTAGTCAAGTCAGCCCAACTCGCTCCGCAATGGGCGCACCGGTTAGCGGCCGCCTTGGCCGTGAATCTCCCGATGGACCCAGCGATGTGTATCAGACTGCCACAGAAGCCGAGGATGGCTTCGAAACGGCTAATGAGCGAGCAACTGCAACGGAAAGCGAAGCATTCCAGACGGGCTTGGAGAGCATGGCGGATGATAGCAGCGATTCGGCAGACCTTACCGAGACTGAAAACAATGTTCAGACTACTCCACGCCAGCGTGGTTCTTCATCTTTGGTGATGACCAAGTCTCGTGACCGCAATTCCTACCACAGCTCGGCTTCCACATCGGATGATGATGACGAGCAAGACGGAGGATACCCTTCTCCCAGCCAGATCCATATTTCGCGTCCCCGAGTGAAGTCGAAGCGGAGTGTTGTTAGACGGATTCGCCCCTCTGGAGAGGCACCCATGGCGTCTAACAGTCGTCCATCCACTGCACGCAACTCTGCTGCAACAAGCTTTGAGCAGGAGCCTGTTCCTCAAGGAGGCCAGAGTCTTTTCGCCGAGCTTGCTGAACTTGAAGGTGATGAAGAAGATGAAGATGAGGAGACCGCAACTTCCCCGGCCTCAACGCCGCGTATGATGCCTACATCAGACTCTCGCCGTCCTTCCGATGCGATGCTCGAGTCGACTCCTAGACCTGCCATGGTTGATTCGGGAGTGATGACCGATCCTTGGGAGCCTACAGCTCCAGTCGGCGTGGCGGCTATTGGCGGGGCTGTGGTTGGAGCTACTGTTGGAGCTGCCATTTCTGACGTTCCAACCACTCCAAAGAGAAATGCTATTGGAGACCGGGAGCTTACTACTGAGCAACCGGAAACCCCCAAACTGGCTAGCTCAGGAACACAATGGACGCCCGTCAAACCAGTGGTGGATGGCGACCACTTGTCGAGTGTTCCAACACCACCAAGGACGGTTTGGGATGAACGCTCTGCTGGAACTCAGCAAGTTGAGGCAGGTACCCAAGCCGAGCCTGAACTACTGGAGTTGAGTATGGCAACGATTTCATCCCAAGAGACTGTTCCCTCGTTGCCCAAGTGGCCAGAACTGGGTGTTGCATACTTCGCTGCAGGTGCTACTGAGCCCGTGAAGCACACCCTTCCTGTGCCAGACCTTCCAGAGTTGAATATCTCTTCCATTTCTTCTCAATTCACCCAGCCCTTGGCGCACACTCCCCCTGTGCCAGAGCTGCCAAATTTCAACATCTCTTCCATCTCTTCTCAATTCACCGAGCCATTGGTGCATACCCCTCCTGTGCCAGAACTTCCCGAGTTGAATGTCTCTTCCATCTCTTCACAGTCTACTGAGCCTGTACTGGCAACGGTTCCTGAACCCGAGCCTATCCCAGTTGAGCCTGTGCGAGAACTGCCCAAATTCTCCTTATCTTCTCTCTTCACCTACTCCACCGAGCCTATCCAGGCACAACTTCCGGCGCCCGAACCCGTACCTGAGCCTATGCCTGTACCTATTGTCGAGAAAGTACCTATTCCTGAAGTTGGAATATCCTCAATCTCTTCGCAGCACACTGAGCCTATCTTGCCGCAACTCCCAGAGCCTGAGCCAGTTGTTATCCCAGAGCCGGAGCCGGTTGTCAAGGAAATGTCCTTCCCCGAGCTGGGAATGTCATTGATCACTTCCCTGCACACTGAGCCCGTCGTGCCGCAGCTTCCGGAACCTGTTCCAGAACCCGAGCCTTTGCAACTGGGAATTTCCTGGCTGGATCCCTCATTCACAGAACCAGTTACACCTAAGCCGGTTGAAGTACCCCCTCACCCACTTCCCTCTTTTGCTACCCTTCGCTCTGTGGAAACAGAGCCTGTCAAATTCGTGCCATTTGAAGCTCCCCCTCCACCACTTTCCTCTTTTGCCTCCCTGCTTTCTGTTCAAACAGAACCAGCCAAATCACTCCCACGTGTGATTCCTTCGATGGTCGAATTTGGTATTCAGACTGAGCCGACAGAAGAGCCCCTGGCTGCTGGTGCCGCTGTCGCTGTGTATGAAGATGAACCTCGTGAGGTAGCTCTTAGCCGTGCCAGTACCAGCACTACCGACCGACGCGCCAGTGTTGGTTTGGCTCTTAACGATATCACTGGCAACTCTTTGCAGAGACAGCCAACCGGCTCGGTCAACACGGATCAAGGATCGCAAACTATCCTCTCCTCGAAACAGATTGACCAGATTCTTATGGATCGTGAATCTGTCCGTCCGGTCTCTTCTCCTGATAGCATGGCAGCACTTGCCGTCACGGGTGCGTCACTATTCGCTACCCCCAAACTTCGACCCCGTCCTCAGCAGCAGTCATCAGCCAAATCATCCGCGTCCATCCGGCGACCGGACACTGCCACTAGCCAGATGTCTTCTTCCAGCTCTTACCCCCCATTGCCTTCGGATCACCGCGAGGCAATTCTGGCTGCTGAAAAGAAATCAATTGACATACCACCGGCATCACCCGGCGTTATGGGACCTCCCCTTGCGCCTGCCTCTGCCTATCGCATGAATGCGCAGTCGGCCCCGCGAACACCTAATGAGCAAGGCACGCGCGCTGGATCATCGCGAACTGTCTCTACTCAGCCACGCATGCGGAGAGAAAGCCAGAGCCAGATGTCAAGGCGATCATCCGTATCATCATTTGCATCGGAGCTGGAGGAGCGGTTCAACATGAACCCTCATGCTGGCCCTATGCCCAATGGGTATGGTCCCAACACTGATCCTCGCATGATTCAGGCAATCACTCAAACCATGATTGGTGAGTTCCTCTGGAAATACACGCGAAAGACTGGATCATCCGATATGTCAAACACTCGGCACCGTCGGTACTTTTGGGTTCACCCGTATACGCGCACCCTATACTGGAGTGAAAAAGACCCCCAAACCGCTGGAAAGAGTGAGCTTCGAACCAAGAGTATTCCTATCGAGGCTGTCCGAGTGGTTGCAGATGACAACCCGTATCCTCCGGGTCTTCATTGTAGGAGCTTGGAGGTTGTTAGCCCTGGTCGTCGACTTCGTTTCACTGCTAGCACAAGCCAAAGACATGAGACCTGGTACAATGCTTTGACCTATCTCTTAACGAGGGAGGAAAATAGCCATTGTGCAGATCACGATAGCGTGGCTCTGGATGACATTGACGAGTTTAACCCGGGTTTCCGATCTGGGTCTCGTCAGACAGCCCGGATGTCTCTGTCATCATACAACAGCCGTACACTCCGTCCGCCTCCCAAGCGAGCAACTTCAGCCATGTCCATGCGATCCACTGGAACTCCGGGGCGTGCCTCACCTGCTCTCAGCTCCCCGGTCCCCAACTCGTCCTTGCAGGTCCCCGAGGAGCGTCAGCGCTCATCATCTCGACTCAGCACCATCCTCACTAGCTCAATCCGTGGATCTATTGCTAGCATGAAGGGACGCAATGGCCAGGCTTCGAGTGCGCATGATGGAAGTGTCCATGCCCAAGACAGCATTGAAGACTTGGCACGTGCAGCGGAAGAAGAAGACCGACTTGAAAACGTCCGTGCCTGCTGTGATGGCAAACACGACGTCGGCTCGCTCTCTCGCACCAGTCGGTACAGCCCTCGGGTTGATCGCAGTCACTCTCACCACCATTGAAATTCCGTTGGTAATGGTTTGATCGAGTTTGTGGGCAGGTCCTCAAACAAAGCACGACCTGCGGCATTCATATAATGGCCACGAGTCTCTTATATTTCTCTTGTCCCTGCATTTGTTTGTATTCGTTCCGACTCCGTCAAACTTGTGTGGATCATCATGTCAAACCTTAGACAGCAAACCTTGAGACTTCTCGCCCTTGGGGGATTCGAGATCCGGATCCCACCAAACTCACTGATACACACTCTCTCCTCACATTGGTGTTATTTCCTTTTTGTTCAACCTGGTCTACAGACCCTATCACCATCTCTTGTCCTTTCTTTCCATTTTCTCGGTGCTGCATTACAGCTACGTTCATGTCTGATCAGACTACATTGCATACCTTTCCTTTCCCTCTGTTGATAATTACAGTGACCATCTATCGTGATTCACGCTTACTCTCTTTGTGATATCGTTTCCATTGTGCGCTATGCACCAGTCATACTAAAATTTAGTCCACTTTTACCTTGATGGCTTTCTCAAGAAAACAGATCCTTCTCGTAGTATCGAAATTTATAGATGTTGAGCTGGCTTCCCACCTATGCTTATGATAACCTTTGTCCCAACTCAGAGCCAATTATAATTTGCAGGCGTTAGGATGATCCCCATTCGTGCCCAGTTACTAGATAGGGAAATAAGCAACTCGGTAGTCGATATCTCACAATCCTCTATCTATACAATGTTCCAAGTAGTTAATCTGTCGTGTCGGTTCATTCACCGAGTCAGGTGACCAGACCCACCTTGGCTCCGTAATCGCGCGCCCTAAGTCGGCTACTTGGTATGAGTCTTTTCCTTTACTTTTTTCTACACCAATTTCAATCAACCCATTAAAATGTCTAATCAAGCTCCTCCTCCACTGAAAGATCAGGTTGCGGGCCTGTTTGAGCCTGCCATGCTTATGGCTTGGGCAATGTCTCGTAAGTAAAGCGAAGTTCTCGGCGTTTGAACTAGATGATCTCATTCTCTCCCTACTACACGGTTCCCTTACAAATTGCTTCTTTTTTTCTTTTATTTTTTTTTGGCCGGTGTACATGGGACTGGATCATCCCTTGTCACTTTTTTATTTTCTTATTATATCCTGTTCCCCGATATGAAAAGGCACTGATTCAGTTCCCCATCCTCGGCGTTTGATCTATACCCACGAATATCACCAACAACAAAAGATCACCAAGACCAAATTAAACTAACAATTCCACTCAGATTATCTCCGCGTCTGCAAAGAAGCAGTCTTCACCAAAGGACAGGTCTTCGCGCCCATCTTCCAATCCACCAAACTCAGAGATGAGGCATTTGGGAAGTTCTGGGTCGAGTTTACCAGTGAGTCATATCCATACATATATTACGATAACAAGATAAATGCTAAAGCTGTTCAAACATGAAGAACCCCGTGATGACCCAAACGCCGAACCAGTCGGCAGCTCAGCTCTAATCCCACCAATTCTCAAAACAGCCCAAGGCATCGTCCTTGACATCGGTCCAGGCACGGGAACACAGATGCCCCTCCTGCGCTCAAAGAGCATAACAGCTCTTTATGGTGCAGAGCCTTGTATCGGTCTTCATGGTGAGCTGCGCGCGAAAGCGGTCGCGGAGGGTGTATCTGAGCGATACCATATTTTGCACTGCGGTGTTTCTGAAAAGGAACTTCTTCCTGCTCTTAGGGCTGCGGGGACTGGTGTGACGGACGGGTATGATTCGGATGCTGCGAATGGGATCTTTGACACTATTCTCTGTGTGAGGGTTTTGTGTTCGGTTCCGGAGATGGAGAGGACGACTAGGGAATTGTTCGGATTGTTGAAACCTGGGGGAAGGTTGTTGGTTACGGAGCATGTTGTTAATAAGTGGGGATCTGCGAAGGGGTCTGTGCTTGGGAGGTTGGCGCAGGCGGTTTACATGTTTCTGGGTTGGAGGTTTTATGTTGGGGATTGTTGTTTGGATAGGGATATCGAGGGAGCGTTGAGGAAGGCAGCGGGTGTGGATGGTTGGGAGTCTGTTGAGTTGGAGAGGTCGTTTGAGTGGTCTGCTATGCCCTATCTTTCGGGGATTTTAACTAAGAAGAGTACCTAGGTGTTTAGGAGGGATTTAGTTTGGGAGTTCGTGTGGTAAAAATCAGGTATCATGAACGACTTTATATTCTTTTCATTGTCATGGGGACTGGGGGTATCATGGTAGACATAAAATCAAACCTGAGAATGTACAGGGATGGGTATAACGATAAAAAATACAAAAATAATCAGACTGGCTTCGGTCGCCCAGGAGGCCAGTAGTCAAATAGATCCATTGCCTCCGCAGTCCAGGGACCTTCTTCGCGGACTTCAGGCTCCTCCGGAGCCACACTCATGGCATTCCGCATAGAAGTTGGTCTTGTCTGAAGACTAGGCTTGTTAGTCAAAGCGCTTGGGTCAGAAAGCGACTTTCGAAGAGGTGCATCGAAAGACCGTTTCGCTGGTAAATTTCGCGGTTCCTTGGTCGGCCTTTGATTTCGGCTCGGTCCGTTTTCAAATCCTGGGGCAGAAATATCTTCGAGGGCAAATTGGGTGGCATCCGAAGGCAGGAACTCTGTGTTGATTGACTCTACTTTGCTTGTTTGGGGTTGGGTTGGTTGTTTACTGGATACTATCAGCAAGATGATCTTTTGCTGTCGCTGGGGACGTACTAACTGGGACGCGGAGTTTGAAATTGGTTGGCGTCTTAGGTTCTCTGCGGATGTTGATGGCACTGAAGACGATTGTTGAATGGCGCTGTACATGAACTTATTTCGGGGTTTCTGCATCGATATGCGGTGAACAGCGGGTTTCTCGTGATGGATATCTTCTGGGACAGCTGGTGTTGTGTCTTTATGTTGGTTTCGCGCTGCAGGCCGCTCGGTATGTTTATCCTCAGCACGACCTGTAATAGGAGTATGATGCGCCGGCCTTGCGGGAGCTGATTGAATGGGGATTGGTGCTGGAGGATCAGGTCTTGGCTTTGCTGCAGCTGCAGGTTTTGTTATCCCCGGTGGTGGCATCGGCATGGCATCCTTTAAGGGTGGCGTGTCCCGGACAGGCGTACATTGAAGCAGTCCATTTTCAGGCTCTGTCAAATCCACCACGTCAGGTTCAACACCAGTTGTAGTCCCCGTTGATGTCCTTGCCCGCTTAGTTGGCCGTTCCCGTTCTGGCGTCGGCGCCGTCGCCGGAAGCCCGTGCCGTTCCTCATATGGCGACGCGCGATATCCAATGGGTGTTTTCCTGATCCCAAGCAAGTCGTTCAAGGAGCGAAACGGATTCAACGAGGACCGAACGGACGTGGGTGTGTGCGATGTGTGTGTAGGCGTATGCTTGGAAATGGAGGTGGAGGTGGAGGAACGCGGCGGTCGAGAGTCTAAGCCGCGGTGATTATCTCTGGATTTGGGTGATGTCTGGCTAGATCTCCTCTTTTCATAAAGATTGGACAGATCTGTCTGTTTGGTGCTCATGCGCTCGCCCACCTCAACCAGCACGCCTTTATCAAGCTCAAACTCATCGCCTTCCTGCACCTCCTCGGCTGAGCGCCAGTGGTAATCGCCGATGTAGTTTCCCTGTTCATCGTACACCATGCCTCGCTTATTGAACATGTGATATTGGAGGAATCCATCTTGCCATCGTTTTGATTTGCGGCGTAGGTCATGGGTGAACATGCACCGAAACTTGACCACTGTCGCGGTGATCTGGGAGCCCAGGTCTGGACCCGGGCCGCGGGAGGATGACGGGGTGGACATGAAGCGTCATGTATGGTTTGAGGGAAGGTCACACATCCCGTGTATTTGCAGGAAATTGATGGTGTCAGTGCAGTGGATAAGAGCTCTGGAAGTGGAACATGATTTACTCCATTTCAGCGGGGACTGTTGCCTGTTCCGTAAGGCAGGACTACATCGATTTAACTTACGTAAGCCCGTATAAAGCTTAAACCCAAGCCTACGTTGATATCTACCTAGTTACCTACTACACAGCATACACCCTTTCACATTATAACGTCTCGCATGCTGTGAGGTGCCTCTTCAGTCAGTAGTCAGTCTTGCAGGCATGTCCTCTTCGCCCATGTTATTCAGGCAGTGACCCCCCACTTTTCAGAATAGAGAGATGAATCTGGGTTGACATCAGCCATATCATCAAGGGACTGTCTATCGTAAGCGATCGTGGCATAACCTGGGGCGTGCTGCGATATCGGGTAAGGCCTTCAATCAAGGCCAAGAAGCACAGAAATTATAGAAGGGACTTGAAGATAGATTGCATCGTTATCAAATCAAATAGCTCTTTAGCTATCCTTGGTACACTAAAGGCTGTTCCCGTCTGTATCTAAAGTGTGAAACCTGCCACGCGACTCCTACCGAGAGTTAATTGATCCTCAATCTCCTCATGACGTTGGTCACATTGATAATAACATACGATTTTATCTATGATAGGGAATAACTAAGTATGTTAGTCAAGTTACTCAGCCTCGAACATTACGTAAGTCAGAAGCAAACAAAATCGTAATCAAGAACAGAAATTTGTGTTTTTTTTCTCTCATTATTAACCTGGTTATGCTGATTCTATGAGTCAATCGGTTATCGAGTTCTCCGTAGGATTCATTTCATTTCAACTTCCACGTCTGTCAGACTTCATCCTCATTCGCTAGGATAAAACCCTTTCCCCACACGGGAATGGATCTGATTTGTCTAATTCTTCCAATTGGACCGCTTGGGGCAGGCACGGATCATTCCAACAAAAATAGATGCTAGACTGGATGGAGCGAGGGGCCTGGAGCCGCAGCTAGGCTGAGACACTGAGGGGAAAGAGAATCTTTTCCCCTTTTAACCTGATTTCAAGCCGGTTCCTTTACTTTCCTCTACTGTGCTGATTTTATTACTGTCACTTCTGACTTCTTCTTCACTTGATTTTTATTCTGACTTTTACGTTTACTTTTACTTTACATTCAATTTGCAAGGTCTATCAAGCTCTGGTCAAACCATCATGTTGACCATGCAAAGGAAATTCGGTCGAATGACCACCAAGCGCACGGCCGATGATAGTCAGGTCGCCGTGCTCTTGAAGGATTTTGAAGATGCCGATACTCTCTTGTCCAAGGTAGGCAGCCACTTTGATTTTAACTTGCTGATGTGGCGCACGTGGCTGACTTTTGGAACAGATCATTGACTCCACCAACGCCTGGCGAGATGCTTGGGTTTCCATTGCGACCTTTCAGAGTCGCATGGTCGATGAATTTGATGGTCTCTATGCGCCTATCGCGAACTCCTCGGAGACCCCGACCCAGAGACAAGCGTTCAACACACCTCCCGCCATCCTGGCCCGCACCAATAGATTGCGCCGCGAATATGACGAGCTGCGCACCGACATGATGCAGGAGCTTACTGAAGTCGACTCGCGGATGATACGTCCCGCTGCATCGGCGAAGGACTTTTTGGCCCCAGTGAAGAAGACTATCAAAAAGCGGAATGATAAAAAGGTTTGTCAGCGAAGCGTGTTACTGAGCTTCATATGACTAACATCAATGCTCAAATAGACCGACTTTGAACGGTATTCGAGCAAGGTTGATGGACTCATCCATAAAACGAAGCGCTCCGAACGCGATAATGCCGCCCTCGCCAAGGCAGAGGCCGATCTTGTTACAGCTAAAGAGGTGAGCCAAACATTATGAACATACCAGACATTGACTGATCATTTCTAGATCTATCGCGCCGCAGATGAAGATCTGTGCCAGCGTCTCCCCACGCTCGTCTCCCTCCTCTTCTCTTTAGTCCCATTCATCCTGGACGCCCAGATCCAGATCCAACACCGCATGCTAGCACTCTACTACACCGTGCTAAATGCCTACTGCGAAGAGGAAGGCTTCCCCTCCCCACCCCCACCCATGGACCACGTAATCCAAGACTGGGAACTCGCCCAAAAGCCCTCCCAAAGCGACGTCGAAACCCTCGGCATCCTCGCACATGCCAAATCCATCCGCCAATCCAACGAAGCCCAAGAAGGCCAGGGTCAATCCAAACGCCCCTCCCTGGGCGGGCGCAGTATCACAAACCTCTCCATAACCTCAAGAGGCAGCAATATCCGCAGCCGCAGCAAATCACCCGCTCCACCTACGCTAAGACCAAAACCAAGCTTCACCCGCCCCGTCTCCCGCTCTTCATCAATAAACACTTTCACCCCCAGTATCTCCGCTGCAAGTTCCTCCGGGACAGCACTCACTTCAAGAAGCGACTACTTCACTGCCCCCGTCCCCGAAGAACCAATCCCAACCAACTACTACAAACGCTCCCCCAGCCCTCCCATGCCCGTGCTTAAAACCAAACCATCAATCCAATTCTCTCCCGCGGGTCCGAAAATCGATCATCATCAGACATTCATCTCGCCTGGAACGACAGATCCCCTGGCCAGTTTGGCAGGAAAGAAGAAGCGTCCCCCGCCTCCTCCACCTGCTAAGCCTGCGAAACCGCCCCGTCCCACTACGACATTCATGACAGCCATGTATGATTTTGGTGGACAGGGGCCTGATGACTTGGCTTTCCGTGAAGGAGATCGCATTAAGCTTGTAAGGAGGACGGATAGTACGGATGATTGGTGGGAGGGGGATTTGAATGGTGTTCAGGGATTCTTCCCGGCGAATTATGTGAAGTGAGCTGGACCGGACCGGACTGGAATGGACTGGACTGGACTGGATATATGTAGATGTCGGCGGTGGTGCATTTTTCTGCTCTATGCAGATGATACATTCACCACTCCGTAGAGTGGTGGGATTTTGGTGGATTACATATTTGGAGATATTTCTCTCTTTACTTGATTTCTTTTGTTTCGAGGCTTGTTATGCCTTATTTATATTCCCCTTACGTTCATTCAGTTTCAAATCAAGATATTTCTTTTCATTCCTTGCATTTCAAGATGGGATTGTAAAGATTTGGGGGTTGGTTGGTTGTTGTGTACGGTGTTAGTAGTCTAGAATAGGAATATATAGCCATAGTTGGTGTCCCAGTCATCAACCAGTACCAAGTGGTCGAGTGGCAACTCGACTAACACATCTTCCTTGGTCTAGGGGTCATGATTTCCGCTTGTCACTAACACTGATACGCGCGGGAGACCGGGGTTCGATTCCCCGAGGGAGAGTTTCTTTTTGGTATTTTTGCTTTTTCCCACCAACATAGACTTTTTGCTCATTTTCTGTGTTTCCCTTACAGTGAAGCGTTAATAAACAGTCGCATATGGCATTTGATTGATACTAATTAAGAATGCTTGCTTCGTGATTCATCGCCTCTCAACTTGCAACTGGAGCATGAAATGATACATTGACAAATCTCATTCAGTCAATGGGGAAGAATATATACTCTATGCGGGACGACTCCACCAGTAACCCATGTCAGATAAATGCTTCCTCAGTCGCAGTGTTCTCATTGACTGGCAGCTCCATTCCCATCTGGAGACGACGACTATCCAAGAACATATCTACCATGCGCTTGCTGGACATGGTGGAATGAATGTCTTGAAGCTTGTGATACTCGTCCATCATATCGTCATGCTCCTCTCCCTGTCGGGTATTCTCGTCGTTCAACCCTTGGACATCTCTCTGTGATCGCATGGAGCGGAATGAATTTGGCTTCACATTCACCATTGGCCGCCGAGCAGAGTATCGTCGGTACTGGTCTTGAGTCCTTGCTCGTTTCATCACCCCAGCGCCGTTTCTCTGAGGCGGGGTGGGTGACTCGGGAATCTTTATCATGTTGCTAGTTCGGATCCGCATCGGAGACACGGGTGAATCGGCACCTTGAGACCAGGATGGCGCAGTTTGAGCCTGATATGTTGTCAGATCAACCTCGGGATTGTTGGTGGACATCGTAAATGGCTGGTCGGGCTCAATCTTTTGAGCAGAGATAATAGTTCGCACACTAGAAGAGCGACTGAATGGACGTGAGTAATTGCTCTGAGGCAAAATGGGACCATCAGCGGGTTGTGACTTGTTGTTCTGTCTACCCATAATAGATGAGGGACTGGTTAACACGTGGCCCGGGAGAGTTGTTAGTAGAAGCATTTCAGTGAAGATCCCGTCTTCATCCTGGAATTGGGCATTTTCCCGGATATGTTCTCTTATGGGACTCGTATTTTCAATTCTTTCAATCTGTGAGCTCATCCACTGCAGCCAATCTGCGCTTGGCTGCACCGTAGGCACTGAGGCCCGAGTTCGACTGGCATGACTTGGTGAGCTCCAGGCCGTCCGCTCAGAAGTGAAGATTGTCGCTGTTCCAGGCTCCAGCGGGGCCAACATGTCGGCGTTCTTTGTCGGTGTATTACCACCTGTCGTTCGCGAATAGACGCTTGTCGGAGACACTCGTTCCAGTCGTGACTCAGAGCAGGCGATTTCCACACTGCCTGTCTCACCGTCCGAGTCCAAACCCATAATATGTGCAGCGTGTGGCGATTTGTCTTTTAAATACGAACTTCGAGTGTTTTTTTGTTCAGGGACAGCTCGGGAGCTCACCCGGAGTGGTCGAATATAACCCGCTGATCGTTGATATTTCTGTGGCGACATTGAGCTCCCTTGTGCGGTCGCAAAAGATTCAGGGGAAGTTGATGATTCTTCACTGGAAACACGGCGAACCGTACGCTGGCTGTGTCGAGAGTAAGTGGAGGACACACGTTCTGGAATCACCCGATGTTCTGGTACAATACCCAACACAATCTCCTCTTGGTCTTGAGCAGCATTCCGTCCAATTTGCTGCATCAAGGCTGTGTACAAGTCTTGAGTGTTGAACCATCCGTTCATGTTACGAGTGCTCGATCTCTTACGCGATGGAGACTGGTTGTTTTCAGTGTCATAAGGCGCCTCCGAGAGTTGCTCGTTCAGGTCGCCATGCTCCTCGATCAAAGACAGCGATTGTCGATGGCCTGTTCTTCGTGCTTTCACTGCATTCCCCACAGTAGAGGTGGTCCGACTGGTACTGCGTGAACCCGTGGTGCAAATGCTAGCGCGACTCGGAGAGATCTGTTTGACTCGCAATGGGCTTGATACCACTTCATCATGAACTTCTTCAGTTTCAGTATAACTGACCAAGCTGACATTGTCGTCATTGGCCACATTGGCCACATTTGCCGCCAAATTCTGGGGTCGGAGTTCGTCTAGAGGCTCAGTGGGCTGCTCAGTAGGCTGCTCAGTAGATCGCTCAACTTGTTTTGACAAGCCAAAGACACGCTTTAGGCCATGCTTGATGGACGCAGAAAAGGTGCGAGACCTGGCATGAGAGAACTTTGAGCTGAAGCTGCCAGGGGACGGATTTGGGCCACTACCCTCACTCGTAGCTCGGAAAGACTTTCGGAATGGCTTCACTTCTCCCTTGCGACGGGACAACAAAAATGACGAGCGCCGGGTCTGCACTTCTAGACTTTCATTCTCCTTCAGATATTGACTGGGAGTAAGTTGAACGGCCACATTCTGGCTTTTTGCACGTCGAATAGCATGTGGTTGTTGACGATTGCGAATGAAAGATCTCGAATTCCTCAAGGTTCGAGGCATTGCAAAATCCGGACTGAAGTCAGGACCGGGAGAGCTGCCATGGGGAATGGGCGGTGTTCCATGTGCCAATTGCGACAACCTTTGTCTGGTAGAGAACATGGACTTGGCTCTTCGTAGACGGCGATATGATGATGGGACTGAGCTGTCACGACCATCCAACCCTTTGAACTCCGTGATGGGTGGCAGCGCAGCCGAGTTTTCGTAAGAAGGCTGAGCTATATAGTCCCGGTCCGTCCGCTGGGGAGTCAGTGGAGGGGGTATCGATGGGATAGCGGGGTGACTGTCATCTGTGGACTGCAAGCTGGTATTTTGACGTCTTCTTGGAATGGCCACATTGCCAGGCCCACCTAGCTTATCATAGGAGCTTTTGGTCTCGAGGGATGATCTTTCATTCAAGCGCATTGCCCGTGTAGCAGCCGTAGCGGCATGTGATTTGGCAACATCTACATCAACGGATTCCGATTCTGTCTGTGGACGGGCTCGGCGCATCGATCGAGTGGACATGGACCGTCGGAGCCGGTCTCGGGTAGTGAATGAGGAAAACATACTAAGAAAGTCTGCACAATATTCGGTATGGAACGGAAGAAAATGCTTGAAGAAGAAGAAGAAGCCCACATTGCGAACATGTTTACATTTTCCTTCCCTGGCGAGGAAAGAGTGTGTTTATCCATGGTAGGCGCGATGTTGTTGACCTGAAAATAGAAAGAGACAAAACTCAGAGAGAGAAATTAGTAGGTGAGTCACCGCCAAGGCACAATTCATAGACTCAAACGATGACTCTTCATCGAATCTCTCATCTTCATATTGACTGACATGCCAAAACGAAAAATTGTAAGCTATACAAACCTCCATCAAATTTTCCATACAAATGGCAAACTTTCAGAGCCCAGTCCCCAGTGGAGACTCCCAGCCCCCACCAGGATTCCCCCGCCACATAGAGCTCGACGGGCGAACCCTTGAGGGCGGTGGACAGCTGGTCCGTAATGCACTGGCGCTGTCAGCCCTTACAAGCCGAACGGTGACGATCAATCACGTTCGCGGGAACAGAGGAAAGCCGGGACTAAAGGCTTCACATGCAGCGGCGGTCAAATTGCTGGCTGAGATCAGTCGCAGCAAAGTCAACGGTGGAGAAGTAGGATCACAATGCGTGACCTTTGAACCCAAAGCACCAGCGAGCGATGAGTCTACCTCATCAAACTTCCACAAATCACCTTTAGTTTCTTTATTGGAGTTGTCTGTGCAGCCTGAATATACCATCCAGCTACCGACACCAGGCTCAGTTTTCTTGATTTTCCAGGCCTTATATCCCTACCTTCTTCATGTTGGATCTCGAGCAGAAACAGATTGCGTGAAAGTGACCATCACAGGTGGGACGAATGGGAGCAGCTCGCCATCTTACGACTATGCTTCGCAAGTCATGGCGCCCAACTTTGCTCAACTTGGTCTCCCTCCTCTTTCGATTGATCTCCATAAACGCGGTTGGACTATAGGTCCGATCGAGATGGGGACCGTCACTTTTCATGTTCATCCCCTGGGCTCAATCGTGAATGATGAGGGTGCCCCCGACACTCGTTTTCCACAGATCAACATCATGGACTATGAGCACGGGAAGATTACGCAGATTGATATCACTGTTCTTGCGCCAGACAGCAAGCTATCAGGCGAATCCAAAACTGTTCGCAAGTACATTGAGAAGCAGACCCGTCGACGTCTACGTCAGGTCGTGCAGATTATGGATTCATCGAATTTTGATATTCCAACGGATCCAGATTCCGATCGTGCGGATATTGTGCCCATCACGATCCACACGTCAGAACCCACAACGCACAGGAGTCGAGTGTATCTTCTTCTCGTGGCTCATACATCAACCGGTTTTAGGATCGGAGTTGACGGTTTCATGGGTAATGAAAAGGCCTCAGGGCCTCCAAACAAGAAACACAAGAACGGCAAGAAAGCGAAGCATCATGAGACACGTGATCATCAGATTCAAGCCCATGAAAGTGTTACGAGCTGCATTGATGCCTTAATTGAAGTCTTTGTTGAAGAGATTTCCAAACAGGGCCGCGATCCAGCCAAAGATGCAAAGCGATCAGTCTTGGATTTGCACATGAGAGATCAGATTGTTGTGTTTGAGGCTCTGGGCGAAGCCCACGGAGGAACTGACAAAACCAAGTCTCGACAACAGGAGGGCGAGCAATATTGGTCATTGCATACTCAGACTTCAAAATGGGTGTGTCAGAAGATGTTAGAGACGGAGTAGAGCTAGAATTGGAATGCTTCGGATAGAAATCAACCACCATATCTCTTGGTAGTTCCTCGGGTATAGTTCCAGGTTATTTCCAAGGATGTTTCAGACTTCGGCTTTCACCCCGAGAACTGACCTCCGCTCTACAGTCTGATTAAAGGGCTGCAAACCAGGGACCGCAAACCACATGCATAGAACTAGCATCACCGGGTCCATGGCTATGGCGAACCAGTTAGGGAGCGGACAAGCGATCTTCCCAGTGACAGGCCATCTGTCTGACACGCTCCACCGGCATCCACTCCAATAATCCGACTAAAAACCCGAATGATTTCCCGTCTCAATCTTAGCCAAGAAAGATCAAACCGGGTCACAGGTTAAGTACATCATATTCTGAAACGTGTTCAGAGTATAGAAATGTAACCTAGCTAACTCAGACAGGAAACAGTCTCGAAAATTCCTCCCCACTAACACTAAAGTAAAAAAAGCCCGCTAAAGGCTTGGAAACCAATAAATTCAATACCCGCAAATTTCAACCGAGCCGTTTCGTAAATACGAAAACAAAAACCAAAAAAGTTCCACTCAAAGAAACGAACTAGTTATACGGAGTACGAGCGTACAAGCCCTACAAGCCACACCGACAAGACCACAGTCCAATGATCATCCCCCCTATACCGGACACGGTCCCCTGAAGAAGTGGGGATGCAACCCCCACAGTCCACTCTGAAACAGCGAACTGATCTGACTGTGGCTGAGCCGAGGACTGAAAAGGGGTAACTCATGGAAGCGTAGAAGCCTGATGGAAAAATACAAAAACGCCTTCCAGGGCGGGGATCCACTGTTCTGAGTTGAGGTCTGAGGTGAGGTCTAAGACATATGTTTTACGAAGAACCTTGAAAAGTTCAGATGAAACAATTCCAAAGCGTAATCGAGTTCAACTTAAACTGTCTAACAATTCGTCTGGAGTGGAATTTCTAAGTTTAATTCAATTGAAACGAACCTTGCCGAGTATGCGCTCAGTCCAGACTTTTGAACCTACTAGTATCTGTGATTGAAATTACGATTTACCACACATACGTAACTCCCTACTAGTTATCTGGACGCAAGGAGATTCCCATTCCAGTCGAATTTGAATTTGGATTTCGATCAAATTTAAATCAAATTTCCCGAGGTAATCCACCCCTATATCCGCGGAGATGAATTCTCATGATCACGATCAATAATGCCTGTGCCCGTGTGGTGCTGCAAGTGGGGACCCTCCTCGGGTTTCGTTTGGCGACGGGATTTTCCCCGGGAAGGATTCCGGCTCACTGAATCCCCATAACTATGGATTCAAATATATGAGTATTTGGTACTTTGGTGGTTTCAAGGAACTTCAATTATGGGTCAGAGTACATTAATGTTGTGGAAAGATCTGGGGAATTTGAGTTTGGGGCAGTGACTATTAGACGCGTTTGGTTTGGGCTTCAAGGTGGACACCCAATTGGGCTGGTTTGGGCTCACTGTTCAACTTTGTTTGTCGATTTAAATTACTGTAGTCGGGAAAATCGATTTCTCCAGTTGTCTGGATTTGTCTTTGATCGCTTCGGAGGGTTTTCTGACTGAATTCGGAGCTACGGCGGATTATTTTTCCGCTTGTAGATTTTAACGAATCTTGTGAGTAGAAAAGGTTATTTTTACTTGTTATTGAGACTATGTTTACTATGACCCTGTTTGGTTGGAATATTCATGCAAAGAGAATCACTCGAACGTGATGCACGTGTATGTTTATATGCATGTCGATCAAAAGGGAAAGAGAGTTCATCGGGCACAGCTTATGAGGGCCTTAGGTCAGATGCATGTGAGATCTACTGCGTCTCACCATATCCTTGCGGCTGAGAATATAGTTTCGATCAATGGGGCTAGGCGGACGGCTCCATTGATAGATAGACAGGTCTAGGCACGGGTTGTGCCACGCTACGGACAATCAATCTGAGGCCTAGAATCTGGCCAGGTTTTCAAGTCTCCGGGTTATAGGTTACAGTTTACAGGTTACAGATTATACTTTACAGAGATTCTGTAGCACTCGAGAGCAAGTTACATGCAATTGGAAATGAAACATGGTCACCAGATCATAGTGGGAGCATTAAATGCGATGGTATCTAACAAAACAGGAATATCCTTGAAGGACATGGGAATAAAACCATGAAACATTAAAAACAAAGATGGGGGTATGGCATCATGTCACGAAGGACCTAAAAGCAGAAAAATGGAAAAAGAAGGAAAAACATCAAGGAAACAGATATGCGAAAGGAAAACAAAGAAACGAAGGTTTGATCGCCGATCGACAGATCAAAGAATCCATGCGCCACTGCCTAGTGGCAGATCCTATATGCCCGTAATCCATGCAAGGTGTTCTATCCGCCACGCTTGCGCCAGCGAAAGTATCCGGGCAAGTAACACAAAGAACGAGAGAGATGGCAGCCATCGTGAGAAGAGAAAAACGCCTGGCGATGCAGAGAAAACGAGATCAAAAAAAAGCATTCAGGAAATGGCCTCAACATCCTAGGAAATCAGTCCCAGCCTGTAACCTCGAGGATGTATCCCCATCCCAGTATCATGTCATGGCCTCTTGGCTTTGATTTTGTGGTGGTGATGGGTAGTTTTTTTTTTCGCTTTTCAGGTTGGTATTGTGTCGGGTTTTGGCGGAGGTTTGGATTGGGATTTGCATGAGGTTGCATTAGATGTTCAGCTCGGACATTGAAATGTTGATCGCAAAATCAGCGCGCAGCTCTGAGGGAAGTTGGCGCTTGAAATTGCGTGGTTGCGCAAATGGAGAAGCGGATCCGGGGCGTCGCAGGTTCAGTTGCTATCCGTGATATTAGCTTTGTTTCTTTCCTTTGCTCAAAAGAATTCGCCGCAAGCTTCACTTTGCAAAGATAAAAATAGAGGCAAACATACTCTGCAGTCGGAACACTTAGTGCCTTCCTTGTTGACGCGCCCTCGGCATCCGCGAGGGTAGTTGGCGCAAGAGAACATTTGGATGATTTCGCGGGGATCGCGGGGGTAGGTTTGAGTTGACGGATAGAACCAGATCGCGAGGCGAGTGGTTAAGGTGGTAGTTGGGATTGGAGTTGAAGCTGAAGCTGGAGCTGGAGCAGTATGGTTGTGGTTCACGGCGTTTTCCCGGAAGTGAAGGAGGAAAAGGTTGGAAGTCGTGATCTCCTTTAAGAAACCAAAAGGGGAGGGAAAGTCGAGCTAGGCACTTTTGAACTTTAAAGGATCCAGAGATCAAACTAGTTAAAGAGAAAAAAAATGAAACCCAAATGTGATGACGTCGGAGGTTCAAAGTTAAGTATTCAGGCAAATTAACGTAATATTTTTTCGCTCTTTAGATACGGGGGAAAGGGCTTTATAGGAATAATTGTTGAAACACAAAATAAAAAAGGAAATTAGAAAAAATCCAAAAATCTATTCGATACGGGTAGAAGGTGGATTTGATGCTGGGGAACTTTATGGTTAGACTTAGTTGAAGTTCCCCATTTATTTGGTCATTTCGGTCATTTTGGTCATTTTGGTTTGGTAATTTTACAACAATTCATGTAATTTACACAATTACCAATACTAAGCCATCACCAGGTCGGGAATCGTCGCTTCGTTTGACTATCTCCTTGGCATTTTAATATTTTTTCTCTCCTTTAGTGGATTAGAATGGACCCATTGTTCCTGTCAGGAGACATAAGAAGAAAAAAAGCTCCGTCCAGGGCAGATCGGGCGATCCCAGCCATGCGGGTGTCTGATCGGCTTAGATGCTGGCCATCGATGCATGATGGCCCTTCGAGGGGCCAATGACAATAGCAGCTAGGGAGAAAAAGAATGCACAGTCTGCGGTACAGTGCATGATCCCGCTATGTAGAATATGACTCGCAGTCTCAACCTTGGATTACAGGGCTCCCTGGTGGAGCTGTCAACGGTAGAAGCTGTGTACAGTAATTTTTTTTACTCAAACCTCAAGCTAATAGGATAACATGATGCGTCAGATTGAGTGTTCGGATCTCTTGAAATGAAAAAAAAAACATTGTTAAAATACCATGAAATGCCGACATGTCCGATCCCGGTGGAAAGGGACGGACCTCTCTCGTTTTCTCCCTTCTAACCCCTTTTTTGGGCCCTATCATGTCACCTTCATCTTCATCTTCCCCCTTGGTCATTCTTTTGTTTCGTATTGATGCCCAAGAAGTTAAAGGGCATTCTAAGATTTTTTGTTTTTTATTTTTATTTTTATTTTTTTGTTCAAAATTCAAAAGATCCGAGATGTTCCAGACTCCGATCCAATAATGCTCCTATGCGGTAGTGTTCTGGAATTCTGGAAATTCCCCACCGATCAATGATTTACTGGATTAACCCGTTCGGGCCTGTAAGTTTGGAGCTGATCTGGGGGTCTTTATTGCTTGGTTCTTACTAGTTAATCTCCTTAAACCAATAATGTCCTTTCTGCAAATTGCACCATTTTAAGTGGGTATATAACTTGGGAGAATAAAACATATTCCATACCTCTTATACCTCTCTATCCTATATGATCTTAGTCCGGCACGACCGTTTCTGCCTAAAACCTCTGGGTCAGCGGCAACTTGCTCAGTGCCCAGGTGGAGCCTAATTTATATCCGTGGTTCCGCTTAGAAAGAAACAAATGGGATGAATAATGAATAATGGATAATCGGCGTTGACCGAGACGTCAGATCTAGATGTTTTCCCTTACTTTCGGGGCTTGAAAGATTTATGAGCCCCCAAAGCTTATTCTAGATATTAGTCTCATGATTCAAGGGATTTTTCGTCTATCAACTTTATGTGCGTTTGATTTGCTACTTTCCCAGTTATCATTTTTCATTTTCAGTTTTCCGTTAAACCCTGAAGCCAAGCTTTAAGCAAATTACGCTTTCGTCATCTCCGCGTGTCGCACGGTTCTCTAAACCGTCCAAGATCTAGGAGGTGAGGCAATCAAGTCCAGAATCCAGAGTCCAGACTGATCATTTGACTGGCTTTTGTTATCGGATTTTCGGATCGGATGTTACGGCACACTAAGCAAATTCCCAGTTGTACTCCACCAACATGCAAAAACAGTGAAGAAAAGTACCGTAGATCTTAGCTTCCCAAAGTATGGATTTGTCAGGTCAGGTTCATCGGCTCTCAAGGACAACCACAGCAAGAGGGACTGGCCCGCAAAGAACATGTGGACCATGGGCTGGGTGGTGGGGTATTGATTGGTTCAGGTACCAAACCCGGGATGTTTCATTTTTACCCGTTAATTATTTTCCACAGCGGGAACCCGTGCGAAAGGTCTAGATGATCACTTAAAGCTGTACATGCTGGGCCGTGGAACATGCTGGGCCGTGGAACACGAGGCTTGGGATTCTGCCCACAGCATCCAGAACCACGGTCAAAAATTAGGACCAGGACAGCTGGTTACTGTGTTACCGTGTGGACATAGCAGTCAGCAATCTGCACAGCTTACCGCTAGAAAAGAGTGAGTAGACCGCTCTGATGTAAGTCAATGACCTAGATTCGGAGGTGAGCTTTCTACTTGGCCTGAATGTGGAAAACGCCAGTGACCTCATCGGCTGAGTGGTGCTTTACTCTCCATTAGGTCCAGCCACAAAAGTTTATGGTGGGGACTTGCTGCATCCAGACCGTTTTGGAGCGCCGTAGGTCAAGTGATCAACGGCAATTTTAATGCTCAGACCAGGATCTTGGAAATAAACTCGGATAAGGAGGAAAAGCTATTTTGAATCTCGTAAACCCTGTTTTTTCCCTTTCTTTTCTCTTTTGCTTTGTACCGCGGCAACCCGATGATGTTATCTGATTGACATTAGGAAATTAAATTGTGGCGGTGGCTGATTAGCGCCATTTTATCATGCCAAAAGTACCAATTATTGAAGTGCCAAGGTGAGACATTCAAACATCATTCGTAATATCATAGGGTATAACCCTGATTGGAAGATACTAGCCCGAAAATGATGCCCATACAAACACGTATACTTCGTACCGACCAAGGTAAGATGGCAAACACTAGAGAGACCGAAGAAGAACCCATGCACCGATTAACCCAAGTGTCGATGCAAGTAGCATCCCATTTCCTTCCCAGGTCAAACCCAGATATGCGAGAAATCCGACCACTATCTCCTTCTGTCGAGCAGCATCTCTCCGAGACCGCCAGCTGGGGTCAATTGTAAATGGAGCTACTGAGTGGGCTCCAGACCCCTCGTGATCTGTCTCCGATAGATCTGAAGCCTTCAGAGGGACGGTCACCGCCAATGCAACAGGCCGGTGGTCTGAGTGAGGGAAGAGAGGAAGTGCATTGTATGCATGCGGTTTGACTTGTCCTCCTTCTCTGGCCCAGGAAGGACTATCCAGGTAGAGGATCCGGTCACACCAGCTCGGCCAGCGGTGGGTTGACCATTTCCACTCTGTCTCTGACTCTCCGTTGATTAGACTGAGACGCGCAGCCTGCTGCGCCGCGCCAGAGTATTTGTAAGTCGGGGGGAAGTCAATGGGTGCTTCGGACAACCCGTGAAAGCAGCGCCCTTCACGCATCTCCCGTATCAGCTGATCCTCCTTAAGGAGATGCGAGTAATGCGCAGGATCCTCACGAGGGACACCTTGTCGAGGAAAGTGGACAATGTCTGCTTTTGACGGGCTAACATCTGACGTTCGGTAATTTAGATCCCCCGCCAGGAAGACGTAGGAGTTGGGCGCAAAGAGATCCCGACGACTGGTCTCCGCTTCATGCGATGACTCGTGATCAGCCAGAAGAGCAGTGTTCTCATCGGAACTTTCTTGCCCCACGGCCATCGGTGAAGTGTTTTGGTGAGAGAACACCAGCCGTTCGACAATACTTTGCCAGTCCGTATTTCTCTGCTTCAAGGCATTCTCCATAGGTGCCAGGTGGGCCGCGACAAAAGTCAATTCCACAGTCTTAGATGGATTACTTCCCGCCACATACCCCAGACGTGCCCCGACAGCACCCTTATTCCCCATTTCCTGAATTCCAAATCCAACATGCGCAGTATCGACCCAAGGAATTTTGTCAATGATGTCTGCCCGCGCAAAGACCATCAATCCGGTCATGCCCGTATGGTCCTTGACCAGATTCACATAGGCCTCATTCCATGATTTGGCAGTTGCCTTCTTGACTGTTCGCACAAAAGCATCAAAGTATGGTGTTAGATATGCCCCACCCAAGAATGAATATGCGATTGGAGCGATCTCCTGGAGCGAGAGCACGATCAGCTCGGGGGCTCCTAAGCCCCGTGCATCTGCAGATAGCGCATCGAAGAAATGGTCGGCAAATAAGTCAACATCAATAAGAGTCCGTGCACAGTTTGATGTGAGGATGTAGATGTTAAGATCCTCCATGTTGATGTGTGTGAGGAGGTTGAGGAATGAAATAGCGGTGACGTCGTTAACCATTCAACCACGTGAACGCGTATCAGTGGAGTCGAACTTTGTTAATTTCCGATAAGTGATAAGAAACCCACATCAACCATCAAAGCAAAAAGATGGAAAAATAAAAAAAGATAACTGCATCATCCGTGAATCGAACACGGGCCTCGTCGATGGCAACGACGAATTCTACCACTAGACCAATGATGCTAGTTCATGTAGGTGTGAAGAATAATGTGCAATATCAACCACTGATGAGTATCCTACCAACAGCACGGCGTCTAGTCTACGTGTAATAAGACAGAAATGATCCTAATGGCATGAAATATCAATGAAAACCCAATAAAATCAGATGATAGGCAATTCTTCAAAACTCCTTATCCTACTCACGTAAAGTGGTGAATACTTTATAGCTTCCCTCGGAGCTGCTCCTGTGATTCTGTCAATTCCACCAATAACATCCCCTCCGCGACATCTTCTTCATCTTCTTCCATTTCATACACCCATTGTACTCTTCCAGCTCGAGGGCTGCGTACTTCCAGTTCCATCTTCATTTGCTTGACAAAGGCTAGCACTTGATTCTCAGCAACATCTTCCCCTTCCGTAACCAACATCTCGACCAGTTTTCCAGAAAGGGGTAGAATGATATGACGCGGGTTACTTGGATCCCCACGGCGATGAGAGGAAACAAGTGCTGATGCAGCGGTGGTCGTGGTATCAAGCTGCATTCTGTAGGGAATCGCGGTCTGTGAGTTTGGTGTCGTGTATTCAATCTCGGCTGCAAGTGACGTGGGAAACTCGTTGCGGAGTACCCGGGATAGTTTCATATGATGCGCAACGCTGGGCCCCTGTGTGATGCTCTTGTGAAGCGGCTCCAATCGGATAGACCATGCGTCTCCCTTGCGGAATAGGAGATTTGAAGTTGGTAGTCCACCTTGTGTAAGCGACTGAGAGGAGCTAGAAGGTCCTTTTGTATGACGGTGTGATTTTGAAATATCTTCGCCCAGCTGGTATGCTTCTTCAAGTTTGGCGCTTAGCCACTGGGTATCGATGTTGCCGGACAGGAAATCAGCGTGCGCCACAATCCCGCGGAGAAGGTTGATGTTTGTTTTGACACCCGCTATTCTGGTATCACTTAGTACCCTTTGGGCCTTTCTGACAGTTGCCTCCCAGCTCGATCCTGTGATGATGATCTTGGCTAGTAAATTATCAAAATTTGACCCAATGACCAATGGAGACATCCTAGAGACATGGGTGTCGACTCGAATACCGTGCCCACTGGGGACATTGAACTCGGTAAGCTTGCCAATACTGAGCGAAAAACCATTGCCTGGGTCTTCAGAACACAGTCGAAGCTGTATGGAGTTTGTTGGTGGCAGGGCCCTCAGATCAACATTAGATCCGAGACCAAGGTCATTGAATGTTCGTCCCTGGGCCAGCAGGAGCTGGGTCTGTACCAGATCTACACCACTGATAGACTCTGTAATTGTGTGCTCAACTTGAAGTCGGGGATTGACTTCCAGAAAATAGAATTCTCCCTTTTGCTCACTAACCAGGAACTCAAATGTTCCCAGAGAAAGATAGCGAATATGACTCGCCATCTTCAAGGCACAGTCAATCACCTGAGAAATCAAGCTTCGATCACACATCAACGCAGGAGCAAACTCCACAACTTTCTGAAACCGCCTCTGTACACTGCAGTCTCTCTCCCATAAATGTCGCACTTGACCCGTTCCATCACCAATAACCTGAATCTCAACATGATGGAACCCATCCACAGCAGCCTTTTCGACAAACACCGTATGAGAAGGTGACTCGCTGATGGCCCGCTGAATACTATTTTCAAGTTCGTGTTCCTCGCGTACAAGACGAATCCCACGACCACCTCCTCCATCCACAGCTTTAATCATCACGGGAAAGCCAACTTGCCTAGCAAAGGCCCGAGCTTCAACGACGTCAGCAGTCGGTTGATTCATAGCTTCCAATACCGGAACTGCACATTCGCGCGCTAGTTGCTTGGCTTGAAGCTTGTCACCTGTGCGTTCAAGGTTCTCTGGGCCTGGTCCTATGACGATGGCACCTGTTTCGTCGAATACGCGCTGCGCGAACTCCGCGCTTTCGCTAAGGAACCCATATCCCGGGTGCACTGAATCGATGGAGTGCTTTCGGATAATATCAATAAGACATGATACGTCTAGATATGAAGCAGGTGAGGGAATTTCAATTGCTTGATCTGGGTAGCTTAGATCACAGTGTGAACGGTCATCTGACGTGTAGAGAGCAATGGTCTCTACAGTATCAGGAAGTTCCCGTGCAGCATTGAGAATACGAACGGCAATCTCACCCCTGAAGCTTGGTTAATTTTGTCATTTTGGGTTGTGTGGAGGCATACCTGTTCGCAACCAGCAGTCGTTTGATGGGTGAGTGCGGGGATGACATCGGGGCAAAGTCCGAGGTCCACGAACGATAGGATTGACGTGGTCTTCAGATGAATATCTAGATATATTCAAGATATTTATTTATGCAAGTTTCTTGATAAATGTCTTAAGCGATTCACTTTTTCATTGAATTACGAACTTCCTCGGTCCTCGGTGTTTTGATCATCACCCCTCATCTGGATCAGCCGCAAAACAAAACCAGTTATTATCCCTTGAACAAGATATTCGAACAACACCAGCATAATTACCATGACGAAAAACAGTCATGATCAGTCCGAAGGCCAAAGTCAAGCTACAAAACGACTGAATCAAGTTTCCTCACACATCTCCCCAGATAAAAGCAAATCAAAGTCCACAGAATCCCGTCTGCCAGCAGACCACTCCGATGTTCTCAATCAAATATCCACACTACGCAAGATAGCCGCTACACCAGACCCCAATTCCCGCGGCTATATTCGACAAAAACAAGCCGGCAAGCTTTGGGTCCGCGAGCGCATCGACCAACTCCTTGATCCAGGTTCATTCCAGGAAATTGGCTCTGTATCCGGTACCGTGACATGGAAGAAAATCGCTCCAATGCGGGAAACTCCCGTCGCGTTCATTCCTAGCAATAATGTTCAAGGCGCAGGGACGCTCCGGGGTAGAAAGATCCTGCTTACAGCGGACGACTTTAGCATTCGATCCGGCCATGCGGATGGATCGAGCTCCGAGAAGACGGTTTACGTGGAGAAATTGGCTCTAGCTTTGAGGGTGCCTGTTGTGAAATTGGTAGATGGGAGTTCTGGAGGTGGAAGTGTGACGACCATTAAGAAGGAGGGGTGGAGTTATCTTCCTTATGTGAGGCCTTTCAGGCCTGCGATTCAGCAGCTGAATATGGGGATTCCGAATTTAGGTGCCGTTGTCGGTCCTGCGGTATGTCTTGCTCTGAAAATCTTGATATGCGTGCTTACATTATGCTAGATTGGCCTCGGTGCAGCAAGAGTAGTTTCTTGCCATTTCTCGGTTATGGCGGCAGATATTGGAGCGCTATTTAATGCTGGTCCTAAGGTTGTGGAAGGTGCGACTTTTGAGGAGGATCTTGGATTCCAGGATCTCGGTGGTCCACTTGTTCATTGTACGAATGGAACAATTGATAATCTGGCTGCAAATGAAGCCGAATGCTTCGAACAGCTTCGTACGGTCTTGGGTTATCTACCTAACTCGGGAGCTGAAGCCCCGCCAGTTATTTCGTGCGATGATCCTGAAGATCGAGAAGATTTGGCGCTCCGCAGCATCATCCCCCGTCGCCAGGCACGCATGTATAATCCGAGAGTGATCATTACTTCCGTTGTTGATCGGGATTCATGGTTCGAGATTGGAGCTCTCTGGGGCCGAACAGCCATTGGTGGATTGGCACGCTTATCTGGCCATCCTATTGGAATCATTTCATTAAACTGTGAGGTGAATGGCGGCGCACTCGATGCAGCTGGTAGCCAGAAACTCACGCGACTACTGAAGATGTGTGATGTGATGAATATCCCTATTGTGCAATTTATTGACGTCCGTGAGTTTGAAACAGACCCTGATGAACGAATGATTGTTAACATATTCAAGCTGGTTATGCAATCGGCACCGTCGCCGAACGCAACGCCACCATGCGCTGGGGCGTCGAGCTGGCAAAAACGTATTTCACCACCACAACTCCGATCTTCAACGTGGTTACCCGACGCGCCTTTGGGGTGGCAGGAGGTGTTATGCTCGGCTCCAGGGATCCAGTCATGCAAGTGGCATGGCCGTCTGGACAGTGGGGCTCGTTGCCTCTGGATGGAGGGATCGAGGTGGGCCACCGGCATGAATTGCGAGAAGCGGAGAAGGATGGTAAGAAAGAGGAGCGATACAAAGAATTGGAAGAGGAGTACCAGCGGTTGATGAATCCTGTTCGAACAGCAAATGCCTTTGGCGTTGAAGAGATCATTGATCCTAAGGACACAAGGCAGATTTGTTGCTCCTGGGTGACACATGTTTATGATGTGCTTATGAAGGAAAGATTGACAGATCGTGCCTGCGGGAAAATTCATGCTTCATTTGCTTGATTGATCTGCAGTAGATCTAGTTGGATATTTAATCACGATCTGTGGTTTGATAGATCTACATATTTCGCTATGCTTTTGACCATCATACACATGACCCATCACTTATGCTTGAACCATCGAATTAACCTTGAACAAAACTCAATTGAACTAAAATACAATCTATACTAATCTACCGACATTTTACCGAAGAGCCTTGGTTGATACGCGGATTATGTAAACGCCAATAAACCCGCAAGCTAACTTATCACCCCACCATCGCATCGCAAAGCTCAACCCAACAACCCTTACAATGGCAATTGTCAAAATTCTAGACGGAGGCCTCGGTACCTCCCTCCAAGACCAGTATAGTGTGCAGTTCGATAGCACAAGCACACCCCTCTGGTCCTCACACCTCTTAGTCTCAGACCCAACCACCCTGGAAGCGTGCCAAAAGGACTTCTGCGACGCAGGCGCCGACGTCCTCCTCACAGCAACATACCAAGTCTCACCCGAAGGCTTCCTCCGCACAAAGACCACCGAATATCCCAACGGCATCCCCAGCACAGCGATAGGTCGGTACCTCCAAACGGCCGTGGATGTCGCCGAGCGCGCAAATGTCCGCCAAGGCGCTCAAGTTGCGCTTAGTCTGGGTCCGTATGGGGCGTGTATGATTCCCGGACAGGAGTACAGTGGAGCGTATGATGTGGAACATGATGGGGAAGAGGAACTTTACCAGTGGCATCTGGAGCGGTTGAGGCTTGTTTTGGGTGCGGATGGGAATTTGATTTCGCGGTTGCAGTTTGTGGCTTTTGAGACGTTGCCGAGGCTTGATGAGGTGAGAGCTGTTAGGAGGGCGATTCGGGATGCGGGAATTACGGTGCCTTATTGGATTGCATGTGTTTTCCCGGGGGATGAGGGGTTGTTGCCGGATGGGAGCTCAATTAAGCAGGTTGTTGATGCTGCCGTTGGGCCTTTGGAGGGTGGTGCTTCGCCGTGGGGTATTGGGATTAATTGTACGAAGATTCACAAGCTGCCTGGTCTGGTTAACCAATTTGGAGCTTGTATTGCTGGGGCAATTTCTGCTGGACAGATCTCAACTGCTCCTAGTTTTGTGTTGTATCCTGATGGTACCAATGGAGAGGTCTACAATACGACGACACAGACCTGGGAGAAGCCGGATGATCTCAGTGATGGTCAGAGAGATACTGTGAGTGAAACAAACCCCGGTCTCAGTCTAAGTGTTTGTGCTAACTAAATAAAGCGCCCTTGGGAAACCCAAATCGCGCAGGTTGTCAATGATGCCTATGAAAATGGCCCTTTCAGATCATTCCTTGTTGGTGGTTGTTGCAAAGCGTCACATCATGATATCAAAAAGCTTCGAGACCAATTCTGAACATTAATTAATCAGACCAAAATCGGCTACAGATATCGTTGGAGATGACTCTCTATGAATTAAATGATATTCTAACATGGTATCACGCTATATACATATGTACAAACAAATATAAATTTACACAAGCCAGTCAATGAAACGCCCCCACCAAGTGTTTCGGGGGTTCTTTTGTGGCAGAATTTCTCCATCTTGGAGACGCCCTGACCAGAGGTCGATTTCATGGGCGCGTTGAAATTTGGTGCGGTGCCACAACTTCCAGATGATAATCGGCACAATAAAAATAGGGATGCCGATGTATGAGGCCACGAAACTGGAGGTGTTCCAGTGACCCTTTAGGAAGACCTCAAATCCACATACCAAAGTGATAATGGTGGAGCCAGCAAATCCGAACCAAGCAGCATATGGCTGCAATGGTGCTTTCCACGGCAAAGAGTCACGGGAGACACCTTGCTTCTTCATGGCAGCGTAGAATCGGACATAGCAGAAGCACAGAGTGGCCCATGCAATCAGGCCAGCGACTGTGCTCAAGTTAAGGAGCCACGTGAAGGCTTGCGATGCGCCGCCAGTTCCAAGACCTATTGCTGATTAGTACCTTGGTATACCGAACACGAAGAGAAGAAGACTTACTCAGATAAGCTAATGGGCCAAATAACCAGGCGGTGATGACAGCAACGTACGGCACACCAGACTTGTTCACACGGCCAAAGATCTGAGGCAGCTGGTGGTCTGTGGTCATAGCGACGATCATACGCGATCCGACCCAGCAGTATGAATTTCCGGCAGACCACGCAGCAACAAGGATACAGGCATTGACAATAGATGGCAGAGCAGTGATACCCGCTTCCTTGATCGCAATGACGAATGGCGAGCTCTGTGCGTTGTCATTACCCTCTGTCAGGGCGCTGTTCAAAGGGCTCACGATAAGGCCAATCAGGAACGCGCCGAGGATATAGAAAAAGGCGATACGGTAGGTGACACGGCGGGCAGCCTTGGGAATAGCACGATGCGGATCGACCGACTCGGCAGCGGTGATGACCACACATTCGACACCAATGAAACTGAACGAGGCATTGACAAACGAGGACACAAATCCAAGGAAATGTCCAGTAGGCCCAGTGATGCCGTCGTAGTCAACCCAAGGACCAGGATTGTGCCAGAAGCGGAATCCAATGGCCTCATGATTCGGACCACCTCCAGCTGTGATGACGATGGAAACAATCACCAGACCCAAGAAGCAGAGCACCTTGACTGCACCGCCAATGACCTCTGTTTCACCATAGAACCGTACACTCATCAAATTGATTGCCAGTATAAGAACCAAGCTGACCGTGATTACCACGGCTGGCGTGATATCCGACCAATATGAAACGATAACGGCGGCAGCGGAGGTTTCGGAGGCGATCGCGATCGTATAACAGTATCCGTATGAAATGGCGAGCGAGAATCCGACAGCGGGGTCAATAAAGCGAGTAGCCCAATGAGGGAACGAGCCAGCGGTAGGAAAGACAGTTGCCAGCTCAGCAATACTTTGCATCACACACCACAACACAGCTCCGACAAGAATATATGCGAGCAGCAAACCAGCAGGACCAGCCTTAGCGTATGCTGATCCTGTTCCAACGAACAGACCAGTTCCGATACCACTGCAGAAACCGATCATAGAGACCTGGTAATTGCGCAGCCGGCGCTGAGTCGCACCCCGCCCACCAACATTGAGCTCAAGCTCACCCTTCCCATGAGATTCATATTGATCAAGTGGTGCAGAATCCTGGATAGCGTCCGTGGTGTATGTGGACTTCTCCATCTTGCCCTGATAACAATGAAGATCAAATGCCAAATTGGCAAACCCCCGTATATATATTGCCTTTAGTACCTTGGAATTAAGGAAAGTTTTACATGTGCGGGATCTATGATTTTTTTCTCCGAACCTTCCATCCCGATCATTAAGCGCGTCAATCACGACATCGGGGTTTCCGTCGTACCACGGAAAACAAACCCCACTATCGCCGGATTCATTGGATAAACGCTTTCGGAACTCCACTTCTCTCAGGTGGCGACTTGTCAGGTTTTTTTCCTTCCAGCGTATCCTGGGGGCGAATTAGTCCATATTCGCCCACATTTTGTCATATCGCGTTATTTGGGGTAGGTAGTACCCGGCTTGTCACGGATATTTCTAGTAAATGTGATTGTCTGCGGGCTAGTCTTGCAACTATTGACTTCGGCAGGGATCCGATCTTTAGACTTAATTTGAGATTCTAGCTTAGGCGGGCTTAGGCCCAGCCTTAAGCCCTGGCCCTTAAGCTTTGTTTGAACGGAGTTCGAAGTTATTGCGACATTTTAACTTCCTTACGAACTTCTGTATCCTGTGGCTTAATTACTCAACCTTATCATTTGCCCGAAGTCCCTCAATTTGCCTCCCAATCCCTGCATCGGACCTTTCTAGATAACTGATCTCTCCGGTCCCGGAGACGATTTAATAAGTCTATGTATGTCACGTGATAAATGCTGCTTTGTAGATCTGCCCATGAATTTGGAACCCGGAAGACTATCTCTCGGTATGAACCTACTCTGCTGGAGATAAGAACCGATAAGCATCACTATTCCTCTTATCTTGACCAATAAAGTTGGAGCATATCTCAAAATCATTCATACCTACTAGCCCTCGCGGGCACCATTTTGGTCCCAAAATGACGGATCTAATAGTCCGAGGAGCGTATCTCTTTCTCTTGGTTAAACATTATGCCAGCACTTTTTAGTGCCCGCACGATTCTAATAGAATATTAGGAGCGATGGCAAGAAGACTCGTCCCTATCTACAGAGGCCTCACGTGAATAACTTTTCTCTGAATATATCAACCTCAAGAGTTCGTGGCCGTGAGGTATATCATTTAGGTCCCCCCAATTCTATAGTAAAGCGCTTGTATTTGATAATATTCTTATACTAACCAAAAGAGAGAACATCGGAACCTCTTTACCTCCTAATAAGAGATTTGGGATCGTATACATCCACCAAGTATTGAACGTGAAGAGGGTGGCGAGCCTCCTCTTTAGCTCCGGACCTACTATAAGCCATTATCCAAGGATACTTGGTCAACTATTAAGATCCAATCACAACAACAGTATACCTTGATGGAGGTGAATTAGGAATATCCTTTATCATTCAGTGATTCGACGTTATATAACTTTGGTAGGTGATATATATCGTGGGGCGGAAGTGATACCTCGAGATGGAGAAGCATATACATATCTGCACATGTGAGCAGATGTGAGTAAATAATAAATTTTTTTTTTTTCGCATGCAACAACTACTAGAAGAATCCGCAAAGAGTATGACCGAGTAAAAAGAAGAGACAGGCCAATCGTATCAATAGGCCAGTCGTTCGGCCCACCTTATGGCGAGAATCGGTGAGCTTCTACCCACTAGGTGGAGTGGAATTCAGAGTGGAATTCAGATAGCGGTCTATGAGATATACAATATAACTATTGATCCTACTTACACCTTGAACAGAGCATCAACCAGCACCAAGTGGTCGAGTGGTAACTCGACTAACATCTTCCTTGGTCTAGGGGTCATGATTTCCGCTTGTCATTAACACTGATACGCGCGGGAGACCGGGGTTCGATTCCCCGAGGGAGAGATATATTTTTGCTGATGACATAATGCAGATCCTAGTTGGACGAGATAGTCATGTGAGGCACATGCCCTCAGGAGTAGCCCTGTGCCGCCATCTCCAATTTTTTCAATATATAGCAAGCACTGACCTTGAATCAACGGGCAGTGCTTTCGAAGTTTCATTGATCATATGACCCTTGAAGCCTCCCCTGTTGTGACGACCTTAAAACAAGAAGATTCATCATTTTGGCGTTGTTCAAGTTATGAGTTCAATTTCAACTCTCCTGCAAATGTTCTTGAATTCTAAATGTTCAATACTTTGTAGTCTAATCCTTTAAAGTCTCTTAAATACATTATGATTCAACGTTTGAAGTTTTTGAAAATTCATAAGATGTAAACGGTTTCCACGGTTGATTTTTCTGTTTAAAGTTATAAATCTGATTTGACCCAAGCTTCAGGGAATCAGGGGGCTATCTAACTTTACTGGCCTCGCACCGCCAATTGCAATTTTATTCTTATTAATATCATAATATTGACCCACTCAGTGCTAGACCAATACTGTTTAAAAATTCAATGTTTATAAAAAGTACATGCATGGAGTAAGTGATCAGTACCTTAATTGTGTTCATAATATAGTTAGTTAACGGGGTTGGCATAATTAGGTAAAAGTCTCGCCGAGACCGGGACCGATGAACTCTCGTTTCCACTGTTTACTCTATACGGAGTACGAATTGCCCGAGAGGCGATGGTTCAGCGCTCCACTCTAGGATTTATACAATTATCTCCATATTTAGCGACGCTTCATTTCAAAATACTTTCTCTTAACATCGCAGACATTTGAAGAGCTGAGAAAAGGAAAAGTAAGTGGAAGGTTAACCTTTGCATAGTAGTTATGCACGATCCTTTATACAGGCTTCCTCAAAATAAAATGTGAAAAAGTGGAGAAACCCCCTTTTATGTATTAGATCATTCCGCATATTTAGTTTGTGGGCCTTTACTTTCCGAGCGATCGATAATCACCAACATGGCCCGCCAAGTGTTGATCCTATATACTCTGGGTTGTGAGTGGTGGTACGGTCCCTGTCAGAGCCAAGGTTACGTACCTGTAGAGCCATATAGCTCGTTCGATAGCGCCGATCCGAGTCAATCAGGAAAAAACCCAAATATTACCTCAGCGAACGTTTTTGTTTCACCCCCTCACTCCAGCATTCTTTTCCATTAAAGAATGCTACAACCCCTTTTTGGTTTTTGCATCAAGCCACTGGCTGTAAATTACCATCGCACCTTGGGCCTCGATCCTGAGGAGTAACGATGTCCACTCCCCAACATGATGTCCCCGCCTCTTCGCCAGAAAGTAGTGCGGAGATCACATCACCTAAGGCATCACCAACTACTAAAACGGGTCGCAAACTACCCGCCTGGTTGGATCATTTCAATGCGCGCGACTTGAAAGTTTTGTTTCGCTGCAGTGTGGCAGCATGGATCGCGTCGCTGTTAATAGTCATCAGCCCGTCTTTGGAGACGATTGGGACCGCAACTTTCTTCGCAACGTAAGAAAGCTCCACCGATTCTAGTTGAGCCAAACTGATCATTTTAGACTGGTGCTTTTCATGGTACCTCCAGCCGGCATTGTCTTCATCTTCATCCTGGGAGCGCTGACCCTCATAGTCGGTATGGCTATCGGATGGGCATGGGGCGTTATCGCCATGAAGGCTGCCCTGGCAGCGCGACCTGCAGCTGAGACGCAAGCTAAACTACAAGCACTGGGGAAACTGGCGTATAGTGAAGCCAACTCAACTGGCCAGAGCGTTGCAGTTGTCGAAGAGCTACTCATTTTCAATGGCTTTATGTTAGATGCGCGCGTCAGTGCAGTCTACATTTGTCTTATCTGCGTCATGGTCTACTTCCTGGTAAGTTTGAGCCATTGGAATGGGAGAAAGATAACGGAAATGCTAAAGGATAATGTAGGCCCGTCTGCGTGCGAAGAATCCCAAGTTCACCTTGACCGCGATCTTTGGTATGATTATTATGGACATTCCCTTAACGATCGGTCCTCTACTTTCTTCTTTTGATGGAACCCTTGCAAAGACATTAGTTGAGCCTGCTGCTATTGGCATTGGTATCGGACTGGCTTGTCAAGTGCTCTTATTCCCCAAATCCACTTCCTCCACCGTTCTTGACGGCTTCGAGGGACTTACTCGACTGCTGAAAGGCCCATTGAATGTGGCAGTGGCCGGTTTGATCGAGAAAGAACCACTTGCATTGGCGGATTTGCTAAGCCTTAAAATGAAGGCCATCGATACGTACAAGAAAATCATGCCTGCGCTTGGGTTCCTCCCGTTGGACTTTTCCGTCGGTCGGTGGGGCGCTGATGATATCAAGAGTTTGAAGGATCCCCTCCGACAAGCCTCACTTACTTCCTTGTCACTACTGGAGTTCTTCATTGCACGTATAGGAGGTGAGGAGAAAGTTGAGAAGCTCCGCTCAATCTCGACAGACAAGGATGATTTCTCAAACGATGCAATTGATGAAAAACGGCCGCGCTCAGCTGGCATGCGGCAGCTGATGGAAAGCGTTCGTCTTGTGCGGGCATTTCAAAGCCCCGAACACGAATCTCTTCGATTGGAAATGATCGAGGCCATGCGAATCACCAGCGAGAAGATTCTACCGGCATGCCAAGAGGCAGTTAGTGTGGTTGCTGACGCTCTGCACGCGGTCAATTCTGGCCGCTGGTTTGGACGAGCGACAAAACAAAGCATGGACGAGCTCACTGAACGCGTCAGATCAGCTCTAGAGATACTCAAGGCTGAGCGTCTTGCATTTGCGTCCGAATTCACCGAAAAACTCATACAGACCAATGCGGATATATTTGATCAAAGTGGTAAACTGAAGGATCTGGAAGATTCATCCATCAGTCGAGTGCGAGCACTCACAGTTGCCATGGTCTTCCAAGAACATCTTCTTGGTGTTGCTGGAGCCTGGGAACAGGTACTGGACCAACTAGTACCTCTCATGACAGAACGACAGAAGACCAGGCTATGGCTTCCAAATGGACTGCGATATGCCGTGGATTGGGTTCTCCGACAAAATAGCGTTGCACCTGTCAATGTTGCACAGTCATCCGATGCTGATCCCGAAGCCGTTGAAGCACACTCTAAAGCAGCCCACCAGAGTCTCCGCATGAGTCGAGGATACCGAGTCAAACAACGCAGCGGTCTTGGACGCGCGATAATTGGCACCCACCACTGGCTCGGCAATGCAGAGGGTATGTTCGCTCTGCGCATGGTAGTTGTGACAGTTGCCCTCACTATCCCAGCGGTCATTCCATCCTCTGCAGGCTTTTATTACCGTGAAAAGGGCCTTTGGGCACTGATCATGGCACAAACCTCGCTTGTCGTGTATATGCCCGATTTCATACTCGCACTCGTCTCTCGTACCATTGGGACTGTCCTGGGCGGCGTGGCCGGGTTGGTGGCTTGGTATATCGGCTCCGGCAATGGCAATGGCAACCCGTACGGCCTCGCAGCAGTTTTGGCAGTTACCCTCCCAATGTTTATGTGGGGACGCATCTTTTTCCCTCCAATCCTTCTGCAAGCTGCGATAATGGGCTGTGCAACCTTTATCCTGGTTGTTGGATATAGCTACGACGATACGTAAGATCACCTACCCTTGACGGATTGAAACTAGCTGACTGACAATACACAATCTAGGCACATTGCGGCATATGGCAACCCTGGCCATGGATATACTGTTTTCTGGCGACGACTTGTTCTTGTTCTTATCGGGTCCGCTGCCGCGCTGATCGTCCAGATCCTCCCTAGTCCACCATCCGCGTCACGACACATCTGCAAATCGCTCTCCAACACCATACGATCCCTATCCGACCACTACGCCTTACTACTCTCATGCTGGGGCCAGCCCGACCGCGAAGAAGGTCTAGTTGCTCAAGAACTCGCATTCAATGTGGCCGGTACTCTTAGCACCCTCGACGGACCAATCGCACTTCTACGACTCGAATTTTCTGGCTCTCCGTTCGACAGTGAGCGCCTTGCCCAAGTCAAAAACCTCTGCCAAGATCTGAATCAGAACCTCGCCCGTCTGCTGTTCCTATCCGCCTCCTTACCCGAGCATTTCCAAAACCGCCTGGCCACCCATTCAGGCCTCCTTGATCATCGTAACATAGGTGAAATCATGGCGGTTCTGGGAGTGGTGGAACAAGCTCTCAAGACCGGTGACGCTCTACCCGAAGTGCTTCCTACGCCTTTACTTAAGCGCAGCTTTGAGTTTTGGCAGAAACACCAGGGGGAGCTTACTTTGACTACGGATCTCATTCGTGACGATGATTACCGCAAGTTCTGTGTGGCCATTAGCTCTTACCTCAAATTTTTGGCTGCGGTGGATGATCTTGTGCTTGTGATGAAGGGCACGCTCGGTGAATCTCACATTGTGAGTCGAGAATTGATGCACGATTTGGCCGAGCATGTATAGTATTATTTCCTATCTTCTATCTTCTCTTCAGTATATACCTTTTTAATTGCAGGAGACAATAGGGGGAAATGATGGATTTCCATTACAAATCGCCCCACACAGTCTCCGCACGCCTTTCCCCTCACAACCTTGGAAAGTTGGAGGTTTTTCTCCTCATCCTAAAAGGCTTTAGCGCAAGTCTTCTAATGATTCATTTTCTCCATTTCTATTTGTGTTTTTAATTTCCATTTATGTTCACCAATTTATCCTAGAATTGGTGGCCGCCCAATGCCCTCTCGCCTTTCTCGCCTCCCGCGGTGGCTTAGCCACTGGCTAGGCTACCGGCCCGAAACTCCGAAGCCATTACCAACATACCAAATAGCAGCATGGTCTTTTATCACAGCTTTCTGCGGCCTCTCGGTAATTCAAGCAATCTTTAATTACTCAGATTACTTCACCTCCCGCAATGTCCCAGGAATCATCGCTTCCTATGTAAGAAAACCCAAACATTACCCCAACCAACGTAGTACTAACCTAGAGCAGGGAGCATCAGCAGTCCTCGTCTTCGGCGCCATGGAAAGTCCCCTAGCCCAACCAAGAGCCTTGATATTCGGCCACTTCTTCAGCGCTCTGATTGGTATCTGCGTTACCAAGCTTTTCAGCCTCATGCCAGACCAAGCCCGATTCGAATCACTACGATGGCTCGCCGCTTCCTTGTCTACTTCCATCGCTATTGTCGTTATGCAACTTACTGGAACGACTCATCCACCTGCTGGTGCAACTGCGCTGCTTCCGGCTACTGATGATGCGGTTTGGGACCTCTCTTGGTATTTCTTGCCTGTTGTTCTGCTGTCGTCTACTATGCTCATGTGTTGTGCATTGCTGTTGAATAACCTGCAACGCCGATATCCTGTGTTTTGGATTGCGCCATCTCCGCCACCTAAGCCTACGGAGCCGAAGTCTGCTCCGAGGCCGTCGGATGCTTCGTCACTGCAGGGTGATGTGCCTAAAAACTCTGTTTGAGCTTGCTTGAGAATACGTTTGCTGTTTATGTAAATAACTCTACTGTACATAGCTTCTGCTATCAATAATTGTAAATAAGGAGGGGGTTGCACACCATGAATATATATATGTGGGTGATCTTGAAAATAATGGACCAGGGAAGGCATAAAGAATAAAAATGCTATGCGATGTCATTGACTCATAGAAACCCGACTGAAATAAAGAATCTCGCTCATAAGTGAACATTTGAACCTTGGACTAAACCTCCTTAGAAACCACATCCATCGAACTCCCATATTCATGCATACTATGCTGCGAGTTGCAAGAAACATCCTTCTCCGACTTCCCTGGCCGACAACACAATTTAACCCAACAAAGCGGCAAATGCTTCTTCTTAGCAATAGCCATTCCCATCTCCCGAATTCGATGCCGTCGGATCTTAAAATCATAAGGCCGATTTTCATCCAGCTCATCCGCAAACAATTTCAAATGAAGTTTCTCATGCGGATTAAGCTTACCAAGAAGCTTCGTCGCCTGATTATCTTCAAACTCAAAAGAAGTCCCAAGCGTAACATGCAATCTAGCGATTGGATGTAATTTCGGAGAATGCCAATCCAAAGATGTCCATTCTGGCTTTACAAGCCAGAGACGACGCTCTTTCATAACTGCCACCCACCAATCCGCAAATGATAACCGTGCCCTCTTACCCGCAACAGCATGTACACATCCATACGTGCCCTTGGCAGCATGTGCGAGAAGTCGATCGACAACAACATCAACAGGTATTTCGTCCATTGTTACTTCGTTTTCAGGGTCCGCGCTTCGAGTAGGAATTTTTATGTGTTTCCCCGCGTATAACAAAATAGCAGCCGCCAATTCCGTTGATGTAGTAGATGTCGAACTCGAGTACCCTGGATAAGGTTGACTGATCGCCGGCCCGAGTAACGAGGGACGTACGATAAGAAGCTTCTCGCTAGTTTCATTCTGCATGAAAGCATTTATGAGAAGGCGTTCAGTAAGATGTTTGGCGTAAGCGTATGGCCATGGAAAATCGTTGTAGTCGAATTCGATACTGGTGCCTGTTTCTAGGACGCTGCGCCATTCGTTCTCAGTTTGGGGTCCAAATCCGGCCCACGAGGATAGGCTCTGGGAATCGTAGACTGAGCCGTGTGGGCCTAGGGAGTAGATGCTTTCTTTGACGGGGACGTTGGATAGGTTGCTTGTTTTCCATAGGTGGGCGTTTGCGTAGGCGCTGGATATGTAGATGAAGTTTTGTAGGTCTTCAAATTCCATGGCCGTTTCTGCTAGTGATATGCTTGGGGCGATGATTGATGTTGCCAGGTTTTGGAGTGAGCTTGTGAGGCTAATTGGTGATGCAGCGTGGATGATGACCTGAACGGATTTCTTGAGTTGGCGCCAGTCTGTCTCGTGTAGACCCATTTTTTTAAGCGTGATGTCGCCGCTTAGAAAGGTGATGCAGGAACTTTGGAAGAGGGCTGCAGCCATGGATTCTGGGAGAAGTTTTTGCCATTTTGCATATGCGGTTCTGAGGACAGTCAGAACTGTACTTGCATATTTCAATCCCAGTTAAACTCACTCTGGACCTCCGCGACACAGTACATAGACTCGTTTGGGAGCAGCTTGGCTGAGTAGTCTGCAGAGAATTGCAGTCCCCAAGGCGCCTGTACCCCCAGTCAGAAAGATTGATTTACCACGATAATATCCCCACATGGTTGAATTTTTGTAGACGATCTGCAAACCCAATTCGAGATTGCGTCGAGGATTCTCGGGGCATCTATCATATATAAATTGATATCTGCAAGGGGTAAACGTCAAGTATGTTCATAGGCCCTAGGCTGATCATTCCTCAATTCCTTGAAGGCCCACATTGTTTCTATGGAACCTTAGGACTGTGTGGACAGGTTTGTTTTTATTTCGTGATGGCAAATTGAAGCGACGCAATCTTGGATGTTTCAAATGGTACACGATAAGCGAGAGGATGTGCCCAGCTCTGGAGGTGGTCGGCCCTGGACCTGTACAGAAGAGAACTATAGACCAGGGCGATTTCGACGAGGAATGTTCTTGAGGTCAACACATCCTGCGTATCCCACGAGGGAGAACTTAATGATCGACGTGTAAAGTAAATATAGTACCCACAGTTAGATCCATGTAGCTGTTCATGCCTGCAGTCGCGATGAAGCGTATCTTGGAATGATAAAGCAGAAACATATCATATTTCACAAGTGACCCCATCCCTGAGGATGCAAAACCTGCATTTCATTTATGATACAAAATTCCCCTGGCTCCCGGTTCTCGTGACCCAAAGACGCCCAGCGATCGATACGATGTCGCACCACCTTATCTTTCAACCAAGTAGTTGTAGTCCACCTGCGCAGCCTATTTACCCAAAGTCCCTGGAAAATCCTCCATGTCGAGAGCCATTCCCCAATGGGGTTCACAGCTACATAAGCTGGTCCACTGTATCCAACCCTGACGAGGGGGTTCATAAAAACACCATCTGGTATAGATAGCGGGTTATCGGCGTGAATAAGGCAGCATTCGGAGCCTTCTAGATGTGAGGAAGCGAGAGAGTCTGGGATTCCGCGGAAGCGTAGAGGAGGGTTGGCAGTGAAGGGAGCGGCGGGCATTGCGACTGTTAGGTGTTAGTTTATGAAGTATAGGGAGCACTTGAGACACTGACCCATGCCATTCCAGCAGCTTTGAACAGGAACTGGAGATAGGTTTTTCATGGCATTTCGAGATGCAGCATTGCGGAAGAATGGCCATGTCGTCATCATGGCTTCGTGACCGCTGGCGTCGCGGAGCGCAAATGTATCGTAATAGTTGGGAGGTTTGGCAAAGTCCATTGAGCAAGCTGCGGCGTAGCTGCCATCGTTGGTATCTAGTAATTCGAACACATCGTTTGGCTGTCATGAGTTAATAAACGTTGAAGTGATTACGGAGTGAAATGATCTCACAGTAAACACCACATCATTGAGAAACAAGATTTTATCAAATGTGATACCTTGTTTTGCCAACTCTTCCAATGGTTGAAGACTCATGTTCCTCGTGCGCGACAAATAAGGAATGCGCCGCAATTCCATCTCCCCTCGTGGTGACCGAATCCAACCCTCCCCCGGCGTCCCGGCCATCTCATCCTCATGGGTAATATGCGATAAAGTGATTGAGCGCGGTACACCGAGGCGTTCCAATTCGAGATCCAGCTCCATCAACGCTCCCTTGGTATTGTCATAGCTGCCACTCTCATAGATGCTAATAAATATATTTTCCGGACCAAGTTTCAAGGCGAGCTCCAGTAGAGCCTGGCTCCAATGATTGCGCAAAATGATTTCATTGTTCCAATTGACGCTGGCAATGTAGATCCGTTCTCTCCTGCGCGGCTGGTCGCGATGGACATCGACTTCGGATACGCGTCGGAGGATTAGGTGGAGTTCGATGATATTCCAGACGAAGAATATGAGTAGGAATAGGCGGAGAATTCGACTCCGGACTATTTTTCGACGGATGGGACGATAGTAGGAATAAAAGAAGGACATAAGGAGTGTGAGTTGCGAAGATCGAGGTAATTAGGGAGACATTATGTGGTATGACGTGTCTATCCGAGTCCAAGTGCCTGAAGAAAAAAATTATATTAATATGGGTATTGGCCACGAATCAAGGGGTCAAGAGGCCCTTCATACTTTCAAAAAGATGCGCGGCGATCAATTGTCAAATCTGACTAACGCCTGAGTCCTAGCACCTAAAACCTGCTAGTCTATACTGAACTTCAAGATATTTGGCAGTAAATCCGTTCCAAAGAAAGCCGAAAGAAGTGAAATAGGAGTTCCAGTGAAAGTGGACCATACCCACTAAGCGTTATCGTTTACCCGATTAACCAAAACAAAGCCAAAACCGATCCGACAATTGCCAATTTTCCTCTCTTAACACTCGCCATGCTTTGAACAGATACAGTCGAGCCTGATGAGTTTGACGAGTTCGTACTCCCAGTCAGCCATGGCTGACCTGAAAGTGAATCAGAACTTTCTCCTTCCTTCACCAAGTTCTCCAACAATCCACAACCCACTCTATCAGAGCTCTCCGGGATACTGTTGGTAAGGGAAATAGGCCAATTAAACACAGTATAGTAGTCGGTACCATTCCACCGAAAAGACTGATGCATCGAAATGTTGTATATCCCGTCATTCGTGCCCACCAAACATTCAGGCCAAATCCAGTTCACATGTTTGACAGTCGATGATGGTTCCAGATCTAAGACTGGACCAACAAAGCCTGTTGTGTTGGTAGCTGGGACGGTACCATTTGAGATGGTGAAATTTTGAGATTTCGACTCGGATGTTAGGAATAGTGTGATGTTATGGAAGAGTGTGGGTGAGTTTGCAGATTGAGTGGAGGGTGGCCAAGGAAGAGCACCATTTCCAGACACGTCGATCGCGACTTGAAGGTTGGCTGGTTCTGTCAGTGGAAGTTTTGGAAGGTTGAAGGTTGACTTGCCTCCTCCTAGGGGGGTGGATGGTTGTGGTGCATCCACAATGGCCAGACCTGGTGTATACAGTTGCCCGTTGACAATGGTGAAGTTTCCCATGATGTAGACTCTGATTCAATTGATGTAAACCAGAGGAGCTATCTGTTCAGTATTTGAACCCTTCCTCTTGCCAAGGGTCTCATCTCCGGTGCCTCCGTGTACCTCCTTAGCGCTTCTGGGTTAATTTACTTAATATTAATTTCGTTCCACTAGCGCAGGGTCTTTGTGGGACTTAATCTATTTTCAAGCCACACAAAGCCACATGGATTTAACGGCACGAAAACATGATACCGTAAGGAATCAGGATCAAAATCAGAAGCCCGTCCGCATGGAAGATCAACTGGCGAACCGAAGAACCGAATCATTCTTTCCCCGCATCCCCGCATCCCCGCATGGCAATAACCGATATTATATCGTCTGCAACCATTTGATGGAATCAAGTAAAGATGGCTTCCAAATGGTATTGTCAAATATGTCTTTCAGAGTTCAGTCGTCCTGAGCATCTGAAGCGACATGCTGCCGCATCCCGTATGTTTGCGCTCGGCCCGATATCCACATGTATGGTTCCTAAGTTTCAACAGATACCAATCGTCGATCCCATGAGTGCCCATGCTGTGGGGCTGGTTTTAATAGAAAGTATTGATTTCTGCAAGCCTTGCCACCAGCTCCAGTTCTAACCTCTATAGAGATGTTCTTCGGCGACATGAACGTACTTGCAAATCACGAGGCCTGGGCGACACGACTCGAGTAGAGCCAGATTGGAATTTATCAGCCAAACATTCTTCTTCGAGCTCAAATGAGATCGAGAGTCTTGCATCTCTGCTACAGAGAACCGATAACTCAGATCTTGAGACATTTGGCGAGTCATCTAGCAAGAGGCTTTGCAAAGAAAATGATGCCCCGCGTCAAGCTGGAGACATGGGTTCCTTTTTCGATCCAAGTGTACCAATGTGCGACATGTTAAACGAAAGTCTGGGCATGACCTACCAGCTGGAATTCTCTGAGCTGGACTCTCTTCTATTTCCCAGCGTTACTGCCGACATATTGATTGCAGAAAGGCTGGAGCATATGGTCTTTTTCACTAGCTCACGAGGGATGGCCAGCTTCACAGACCGTGATACTTTTCAGTGGAAGCAAAAATTAACCTGCGAAGCTTACGATCAAAAGACAAAAAGAATCGGGCTGGATATTCCCGCTCAGACGTTCGATTCACTGTCATCAAAGTCCCAGGAAGTCATTGACAGTTTAAAGGCAGTCATCTGCAAGAAGAGAAATGATGACATTATCAAATTGGACTGGACTCATGCGACACTCGAGATTTGTCTTCACTTATTTTCTCCACCCAATATTCATCGCTTCTTGGAGTACTTTTGGTCTCTGTGGTATCCACATTGTCCTATTGTACACAGACCACTCTTTGATGCAACGTCGGCATTATCGCCGTTGTTATGCGTGATGGTGATCATCGGGGCATGCTTGTCTCCTGACACTCATGACGGGCAAGCTGCCAAAAAATGCCTTGATAGTGTCGAAGAGCTTATCTTTGGTCATGAGATATTCCGGTGCGATGCTGAGCCCCCTAACAATAGGGAGCATTCAAAGAAAGAAAAGACGCAATACATCCAAGCCGCGTATCTTGTAAGCACTTTGCAAAAACGAGAAGGATCTGTCGAGGCGCAAGCAAGGATCCGGCGCTATAGACATGCCTCAATGGTGGCGGTATGCTGCAAGGACTCTTTAATGTTTCTCGAGCTAACTTTCGAAGCTTGCAAGACATATCGGACCAAGTGAAGCGTCACATCGAAATCTCCATCTTGAAGAAGCAACTCAATCTTGGTGGCAGACATTCGCTGAAGAGGAAGAGTTAATCCGGTAGGTTTATCAATACACCAGGACTCCCAGGGCAAGACTGATCTACTGATCTACATCAGAACTTTAATCTTCGTCTTCCTGATCGATGTAGCGCTTATAGTTCTTCACAACTCACCCCCAAGAATGCTTATTTCCGAATTACGAATGGACGTCGCCTGCCCCGAAGCATGCTTCCAAGCCGAATCAGCCGCCGAATGTCTTGGATCTCTTCGCGTATGGGCAGGAACCCGCTTCTGGAAGAAAAAATTATCAATCGTCTCTGTCGTCCGACGAATATGCCAGAGCCCAATAAAAGACGGACTAGTTCAAGAGTTTTCCCAACTGGGTACACTCAATTTGTTTACTGTCGTGCAAGGTTAGTCATCCAACCCAAGTTATTGCCTATATTAAAATTTCATATAGCCATCCACTCGCTCATGTTCCACTTACACAACTCTCTGGTCTTTGAATCTACTCTGACCCCGGTCCAAATTGGCCTAGAGAACTGGAGACAAGTTTGGATTGAAAGGGTACCCGAGGACGAAGGAATGCCAGGCACCGCTCAAAATCTATGGAAGCAAGTAGGATTCCTTCGGCGCGCATCTGAATTCTGGCACTTAGCTCGTATCATGGCAGACAAGATTATGTCTACCAGCCAGGATGATGATTTCGAGGTCAATACTAAGCTTTCAAAATATGATCAGACTGATATGGGCGATGTGAATGGGATGATCAAGGAGTATCGGATGTTGAATTTGGGAGTGCAATAATAATATTATTTATTGTGACCATTGAACCTCATTCTGTTGTTCTGGTTGAAACATCGCGACTAAAGCCGCAGCGACCGGGCTCTATCGGGGTCGGCCGTTCGCCAACAGCCGGACATTTTCACTACTTACTATGCATCGAATAAACCAATGGAATGCCAAGAAATCCTCGTATTTGCCTTAAAACTTATCTGACCACTTGAAGCAGATTTCGCTTTTTGCGAAAATAGCAAGGTTTGCTCTGTCAGCTCAAGCTACGAAAGTACATTTATAAGGCTGGAGCCTTCCAACTTCCAAGGTTTATCATCCCAGGTGTCAGCAGCTTCAACCAATCTACCGTATTTCATAACAAATCTCAACATTGAACATTGGACCACTTGAACACCAAAATAAACCATGGATTTACCCAGGACTAACAATCTCACACTCTACCGAGGCCAACCAGACATCGGATGCTACGTTTGGTCTCCCTTCGTCACGAAACTCGAAGCTCGTCTCCGATTCGGAAAGATCCCCTACCGAACTGAAGCAGGCTCTGTAACCAAAGCCCCAAAGGGCAAGGTACCATACATTTCAATCGATGATGAAAAAAAAACACTACTTTCCGACTCAACCCTCATAATCAAGTCGTTCATCGAGTCCGGCAAACTAGAGGATCTCAATCGCGATCTTTCCGGCCCCCAAAAACTTCAAGATATTGCTCTTCAGGCTTTACTTGAGGATAAATTATATTTTTACGGCGTAAGTCGGGATCAAGTTTCATATGCTACTCATCGGTTCGGGGCTCACTAATTTGCTCAATTTAGATACACGAGAAATGGATCCAGAACTACTACGCTATGCGTGACAATATCCTCGCCCCACTCCCTTGGCTTGTAAGGGTAGTCGTGGGTTACATGATTTACAACAAGAATGTCCGTAATATGATGGGCCAGGGTACGGGGAAGTTCAGTGATGAGGAAATCGCCGCATTCCGGGTGGAAGTGTGGGATGCGCTGGATGCTGCTATTGGGAAGTCATGTGCGCAGCATCTTGGAGAGGGGCCGTTTTGGGTGTGGGGTGGTGATTCGCCGACTGAGGTTGATGCGGTGGTTTATGGGTTCATTGTATCGGGGTTGATGTGTGGACCGTAGGTTTTGTGTTCTGAGCTCCTGTTTGCCGTTTACTAACTTGGTTTTAGGGCTGCTCCTATAACGAAAGGGATTATTCAGGGTCGTTCTGCTTTGGTGGAATATGTGCGGCGGATTCATGAGGTTTATTTTCCAGACTATGATTTGGAGTAGGATGTGGTACATGGGCTCTGGTGCTATGATTTGATTTGATATATATCTAGGTGGTTGGATTCGATCTGTTCAAGGTGCAGCGGGCTGTTTTTTGGAAATTGCTCCACATACCTTTACAGCCCGATCAGAAACATACTAATTGCTTTAAGTCAAGTACTCGACTAAGTCGTGTTTCCTATACCTACCTAAGTATCTACTTTTCGAAATCACTTCATACTATAAACATTTATTGAGCGTGTCTATAGAGACAGGAATACGTAGTGGAAAATGAAAGTTTTTATTGTAGGGAGGCACTTACTTCGGAGCTATAGGTATGTCTTTCCGTATAAGTTAGTGTGTGAAAGAGTAATTGCCCGTTTTTGGGATTGTAATATCGCAGGCTCTGTATACTAGTATTGATCTAAATATCCAGGAATTCCTTACATGTTCGTTGCGGTCTTGATGAAGATATGATGTGTTAAACACATGTGAAAGACTAATGATGCGTATTAGGGTAAGTTCATCTTCACTTCTTATGTCATTACCATATTAGATATCAAAGGCTTTATTAAAAAAGATTAGAATTGCGTTGTCAATGCTTGAATAGAGATAAAGGTCAAAGAAAGACATTCATAAAATGATTTGTGAGCAAAGGGCTAACTGAATGAGAATATCACTGTCTAGCCTATCCAATAGTACTCAAAGAATTCTTTCATCTCTTTCATCTAGACAAGCATTGTCTGTGAAAGTGACTCTGATCGAAGGTCAACTATAAGAAGACTCATATTCTTTTGAGCAGTCTAGCTTTGGATAATCCTATAAAAGCTTAGGATGATGCGAACAGAACATGACTTGAAGCGCAAGACACCAAACTATTTACAAAAACTAGAGCTCGAGCTCGAGCTTCAGAATGAGAGAGCGCGTCGCCAGCAAGCGGAACAAGAAGCTAGAGAGCATGCCCGTGATTACGACGAGATCTACAAACTTACCGCCGAGTATGAGACGAAGATCGAAGAGGCAGAGGTCCAGGCCAGGACGCTAGTGACCGAAGCTGGACGCTTGCGACGAATGCTGAATACAGAAACCAAAAGGGCAAACTTGAACGACTGGCATATCCAACAGGCCGAGGAGAAAATCTCAAATCTCGAATTGACTGCTTTTGCGCAACGACAAAGGGCTGCTGAGCTTGTGAAACAATTTAAACTCAGAATTCACCATGGAGAGGCTAAGACCAAACGTCTGGGCGACCTCGTCGATAAGATCTCGGCAGATTTGAGCCGATACAAGGAACAAGCTGCCGAAAGCAACAAAGAATGGAGTACTCTCTACGAAAGGTTGCAGGTCTACGCGGGGTTATTTGTGCAAGGGAGAGAAGAAATTATCCAGAGAACTCAGAGACTGCAAGGTATTATAGAACTTTCCGAGGAAGCAATGCAAAACCGGGCTCGCTTATTGCAAATGCATGAAAGGGAACTGGATTCTCGACGGGTAGCAGTGAATGCGCAGCTCATGAAGACGAATACAATGAATGATATAAGGTTAGTGGTAGACCGGGTGACCAAGAACCGGACGAGCAAGCCGTTAGCAGTGAAGGAGAGAGAAAAGCGATTGAATATGGAAAGGGCCAAAGTGAATCTTTGGCAAGAGACAAGAAATACCCGCACCTTTTGGACTGACTATGACAGTTCCGCTTCAGAATCCACCACAGTCGAATCCGTCTACGATTTCCAATTCCCACACCCAGCCAAGCAAATGCCGGACAGAATGACTCACCCTTTCGATGTCCCATGGGCGTCACATCGCATAGATGGTGTTTTCGATCCTCCGTGGCCGCAATTCTCCCCACCCGTCACTAGAATGGCGTCCCTCAACCTGTCCGACAGCGACATGGAAATGCTGAGCCCCCTTGCCAGCGATACGGACATGTTGAGTGTGTCCGAAGCGGTCCAATTCCCGCGCTTCATCATCCACTCCCCAGCACAGTCGATTCAACGGAAGCGCGTGCGGTTCACGGTTCCGGAAATGACTGGCCTTGGTGGTAGGAATGAGGTTGAACGGCCTTCGCTGCCCAAGCGAAGAAGATCCGACACCGACATCCACCCTCTTTCGAATCCGCCAAGACGCATTTTCAGACATCCGCCACTCAATCGAGTCCCGGGGAAGACGGCGATCCGTAAATTTCCTTCTCGCGCGGCAATTAGGGTCGAGTTCCAGTACCACTCCTCGATCCAGAGTGGAGGGACACGACAGGTGCCACTCTCGCCAGCGTCCGCGGCAATCGAGCCCTCCGAGCCTCCCCCGTCACAGGAGGCCACACTACCGATGCCCACCCGGAAAGGATCACCATCGCCGCCGCAACAGTTGATCGGTCATCAGTATTTTGAAGATCCTTCCCAACCAGTCAGGTCACAGACTGAGCGGGTTACGACTACCTCTCCTCGTAGTACCAGTCCTGTCTTACAGCCTCGAGGGGTGCGGAAGGTGAAGAAAAAGCATAGGAGGAAGGATTCTTCATCCTTGCGCCGAGAGCGCAAGACCAAAGTGAGGAAGAAGATGGCCCCGCCAACCTTGCCAATGCCGATGCCCGGGATGTGGCCCGAAAGTCCGTTCGACGAATACGATGCAACTAAGCTTCGTCCGCTTGGGCACGTGTCTGAATCGCTCGGGGGAAGACTTAGCCGTTTCATCCAGAGACGGGGGTATCAATTGGTTGGCGGACTGGTTATCTTTGGCACGTTGCTTTATGCATGTGTCGGCCACCAGTCGCATCACAAGTGGATGGTGTACAATGACGTTCCCTCTGTTGTCCTCAGCAAGCTGCGCAATTCACCAACGTCAGTTATCGGTGGATCAACAGCTCTTGACTTTAACATCATGAGTATGTTCAGTCAAGACCGAGCAAAGCTCGGCTGAGTGCCTCGGGGAAGATCTCTATTTGCGGGTTAGGGGCATGGCTATGGCGGTATGGGAAGAAATTGGTTACGAAGATACGAAAAATACTGATAAGGCAGACACTTCTGCTGGCGGGATGACTGTTATTGTATTGTAAATATGTTTTCATTTTGTTACGATTAAGCCTGATTGAAAACGAACAAATTCAACCAATCATTGATTGTGCCACGCATCAAGCTGGCGTCACCTACTCCACTTAGTCGCCCCAGGCGGACTAAGACGGATCAGCTCCACTCCCTTTCCTTTCCCCTCCTGTAAAGATATCTTCTCTTTCAATCCCATAACAACCATCAAATCTGTCTTCGACGTCCGCTCTTTTTAATCATGTTTGTTCGTTCCATCCTGCTGGGTGGCGCGGCTGCTCTAGGCGCCAGCGCGATGCTGGTCGTCCCTGAGATGGAAGCCCAGATGGATAACAAGCAAGTGGAGAGTATCGAAGATGACTTTGTGGACATCATGCAACCCGTTTACGAAGGTGTTACTTTTGCTGTTATGCTCAAGTGCGATGACTGCCCCTTCCGTGAAGTCAACGAAGAGGGCGTCGTCAGCTGGACTGATGACAAGCCAAATTCTCTGGTATGTCCTCATAGTTCCATACCAAAAGTTCGGCGCTAACGAAAACGCAGTTTGTCGAATTTCACGTCGAAGACAACCGCTTGCTGGCCAACGACCACCAGATCTTCCCTCCCGTCCCTCCTAGCCCCATCACCGTTACCCAGCTTGTCCGTGATAGCCATGAAGAGTCTAGCTCCATGCCCGTTGGCTACGCGCTCGAGGTCATGACACGCCCCCGGCCCGCCGATGCGCAGGAAGCTGATATGCTCGATGTGCGCTTCACTATCCTCGACCTCGAGACACGCCCCGTTCCCGTTGACACCGTTGCCCTCACTCTGATCCTCACCCCGACTGGCGACCTGTTCCTTGCCGATGGTGACATCGAGAAGACCACCCCTCACCACGAGAAGCTTTCCTGGAAGAAATGCCACGGAAAGCCCAAGTGCCTACAGGAACTCCTGTTCTCCCGCATTGGTGGTCTTCTTTCGGCTGCCAAGGACCGTGTCATGGGCATGGGCAAACATGGCTGCAAGGGTATGAAGGGCATGGGTGGCCACCACAAGCACCACGACGAGTTCCGCCCTGAGGGAATGCCCCCATTCCCTCCCCCTCCATTTGAAGACTTCGAGGAATTTGACTTTGAAGGCAAGGGCCCCCACCACGGTCACCATGAGGACTTCGACTTCGAGGGTGAGAAGGGCCCCCACCACGGCCACCCTGAGGACTTCGGTCTTGAGGGCGGCAAGGATGGCCACCACAAGCATCACGAGGAGTTCCGTCCCGAGGGAATGCCTCCATTCCCTCCCCCGCCTTTCGAGGACTTTGAGGAGGACTCTGACTCCAAGGTTCACCACCCTTGGGGCAAGCACCATGGCTTCAAGTCCGAAGAAGTTGAGGGTCGTCCTCCTCACCCTCACCACATGCACGGCCCTCCCCACGGCCCATTTGCTCACACTTTCTCCCGCGTTGTACGTTTCATTGTCATCCCTGCTATCTTGGGCGTTCTGGCCGGTCTTACCGCCAGCGCTGTTGGTATGCTCGTGGGCCAGGCTGTGATCTTCCTCTGGCAGCGCTACCGCGGCACTAAGAAGCAGGAGCACAAGGCCGCTTGGGAAGAGGGTAACGTCTGTGAGAAACAGGGCCTAATGACTGAGTCATCCGAGGAGTACCTCCCTGAGTATATCGAGGAGTCTTCCCAGACCCGTGGATCCATGGACAAGAACTAAGGTTTAAGTTAAACCTGCCATATTCATGATGAATGTGTCAAATATTTCCTTGGGAAAATCAGACTGTTAGCTCTTGAAGACTTTGTTTCATCTATGGCCTCATGTCGATTGCTTCTCCTTTTATTATTATATTTTTTACATATCGTTTTAAACGTTCAGCTTGTACAGCAAGATTTCCTACAATACAATTATACAGTTATTCCTGATATATTAGTTGCTAGCTTCAACGTGCCACTTTCAATTCAATACTACCCACCTTAGCTCCTGAGATATTGATCCAAAATAACCATCTAATATATATGCATCATATGCATGACATCTTTCATTTTATGCATTATTTATCCAGTTCAAGTTCGTTGCGGCTGTAAGGCTGATTCTCACGTGACAGGTACTCCTCAACCCGTGCGGCCCCCCTCTTACATGTGTCTGTATCAAGCCGGCAACAACAGCGTTGTTTCTATGTCTCTCAAGTTGTAGATCCAGTGTTTGACCAAAGAATGATCGAGGCTGTACAATGACCTTGAAGCTCTCACCTGAACCTCACACGGGCTACTCTGCAAACACCTAGCCCGGATCACCTTTCCCAGGTCGCAGCTATAGCTCCGCCCCCGACATCATCGGCATTTCGTACCCTCCAGACAGCTGGTCTAATCGACCCACCAGCTGCCCAAAATGATGCAATGGTCGTCATTTATGCAAAAGGCTCAGTCACTGATTGATCCTGCCAACTTCAACATCCCATCCCTCTCCTCATCCGACGACAATCCCTCAAAAGCCTCTCTTTTCCGCCAACAGTTCCGCCTCCCCGACTCCCAAAATCCCCTGCAAGAGATCACTGCCGAACTCATCCTTCCGCTCCCAAGTTCATCGTCCGGATCTGGAGAAACCTCCCGTCGGGCTGAGAAGGCGGGTAACCGATACACAGGCCGTCTACATCTGAGTGAGCGGTTCATCTGCTTCTCCACACAACCGACGAGTTTCTTGCCTTCGTCCACATTGAGTGCTTCCACTAGCTGGACTGGTCAGACGCACGGAACAGGCCCTTCTGGAAATGGCTTCACTATACCCCTTTCATGCATTCGTAGGGTGGAACGACTGCACAGCGAGACGAACATCTTCACCCTGGCTTTGACAACATGGAACGGTCTATTGAATAGGAAAAAGGACGAGAATCCTTCGCACCAGCGCCTCATTCTGCAGCTTGTCGGCAGCAGGCAGGCCAGCGAACGGTTTTGCGATTGTTTGAAGAAGGGTTTACGGGAGGGCATGAAGGAGGTTGACGGTCTCCGGGCAGTTGTGACAGATTGCTACTCAGAATACTTACTATCAGGGGCAAAGGAAGCTGCGAAAGAGGGTAACCCCGATGCACGTCAACCTCCAGATGCCGGATTGGGTATGCTCTTCCGGTATCCTGGTGATGCACGCAAGCTTCGAGACCGTAGTAAGATGAGACTTTGGGCCGAATATTTCCGAGGTAGGTTACAATTTACCCACTCGCATAAGAAAGTATTGACAGTGATTAGAAAATGGGCGCAATGTGACTCTTGTTCGTCAACCGACATTCCACAAACTGATCCGCGTCGGTTTGCCTAATCGTTTACGTGGAGAAGTTTGGGAACTTTCGTCTGGTTCTCTCTTTCTGCGGGTTCGCTCGCCCAAACTCTATCAAGAGACATTGGACAAGTTCGAAGGCCAAGATTCCCTCGCAATTGATGAAATCGAGAAGGACTTGAATCGAAGTTTACCGGAGTATCCTGCATATCAGAGTGAAGAGGGTATCGGTCGCCTAAGACGAGTCCTCACGGCATATAGTTGGACCAACGCAGAGATTGGCTACTGTCAAGCCATGAATATCGTTGTTGCCGCATTGTTAATGTTTGTCTCCAAATCCTCATATTTGTTATCGTTACTAACATGGATCAGATATATGTCTGAGCAGCAGGCCTTTTTCCTTCTTTCCGTGCTTTGCGATCGCCTTCTGCCTGGATATTACTCCACCACCATGTACGGCACACTCCTCGACCAAAAGGTGTTCGAGTCTTTGGTAGAGAAGACGATGCCTGTCCTCTGGGAACATCTGGCCAAGTTCGATGTACAACTCTCCGTTGTATCTCTGCCGTGGTTCCTTTCTCTTTACATCAATTCTATGCCCCTCGTCTTCGCCTTCCGGGTATTGGACGTCTTCTTCCTTGAGGGACCCAAAGTTCTTTTCCAAGTGGGTCTCGCTATCCTGCGAATCAATGGTGAGGAACTCCTCGAAGTTCAGGATGATGGGGCATTCATCTCCGTGCTCAAGTCATATTTCTCGCGTTTGGACGAATCTGCGCACCCAAAGTCGGAGAACCCCAAGCTTCGAGCCATCACCAGATTCCAGGAATTGATGGTTGTCGCTTTCAAGGAGTTTTCTGGTATTACACACAGCACGATCATAGAGCAGCGCGATAAGCACAAAGATGCCGTGTTGGAGAATATCGAAAATTTTGCCAAACGCACTTCGATTCGCAACCTGGGACCTGAGAGTAAGCGCCTCAGTGTGGATGATCTTGGTACCATCTATGACCGGTTCTACGAGACCTTGTATCACTGGCAACAACACCAAAAAGCGTTGGAAGAGGAGCGCAAACGACAAGAAAAGAAGAAATCGGAACGCTTCTCCATTCTTGGTCCTCCCGTGGATAGGGAGGTGGGTCGTGTTGGTCTCGGACCCAGCCCTACTCATATGGACTATGATGCATTCCGCGAGTTTTTGGCAGCGACTTCAAAATGGGCTGTTTCTGACACACCGGTATCGGCAAAAAAGGATTTTGCCAATGGCTACAACAGTTTCAAGGGCAACAAGTCGTTATTATGGGCGAATCGACGCCAGCCAGCCGATCATGAATTCATGCAACGTCTTTACCGAAAATGGTCTACCGACCCGGAAGAAGGACTTAGTCTTCAGGACGCTGTGACCGGTCTGGCACGCCTCAAGGGATCGCCCGACATTATGAACAATATTAACTACTTTTTCAATCTTTATGATGATAGCGGCAACGGTCAAGTCGATCGCGAAGGGATTCTTAAAATCTCTGAAGCTTTACTGTTTTTGTCGCGCCGTGGTTTCGAGGGTACAATCACTGCTACAGAATCTCAAGAAGATCTGAGTCACCGTGACCATGCCGAAAGGAACAGCCTCACCACAGATGAGAAATTCCTCGGAAGTGTGAGCGCATTTATCCGTCGCTGCTTTGAATACGCCGACCCTAGTCACCCTGAGAATCAGAAGGCTGCCCAAGACGATGCTACGGAAGTCATAGAGGGGCTGGATTCCTTTAGCATCGGCGACGACGAGGAAGAGGATTTGATCGACATAGATGGAGACTCCAACACCAAAAAGACCACAAAGACTCAGACAAAAAGCAGTGAACAGAGTCGGCCGCGATCTGAATCTGCAAATCCCGCTTTGGACCCAAACAACCCTCTTCACATCACCCTCCCAACCTTCCGCATGGTCATTCTCGCCGATGAACTTCTCGAACAATTCTTTGAATCCTACTTCCCCCAGTCCTTCCACCTTTCCGACCACCCTCACCCTGCTGCTCTTGCCGCATCATCATCCCTTTCGTCTAACCTAACAACATTCTCCAACATCGGCAGTACCCGTCCCTCTCAGCTCACTGCCACCTCAGGTGCTTCCGTGGCCGGGGCATCGGGAGGAATCGTACCCCCAGGCAAAGGTCTTCGTGGTGTCCTCGACAACATTGTCACAGACGGCATTCGTATGGCGGCCGAAGTCAAGAAGAGAATGGACGATGCACAGCGTGATCTCGAGCGCAGTGCTCTCGGCCGTGACGAGGAAGATGACGACGACGATGATGACGACTACACACACCGTGGAGGTCCGTCCGCTGCCGTTATGGCTGGTGGTATCTCCAGCTGGGGTGCCGGTGCATACGGCGCTGATCCGGAGCGTCGTGGCGTCCGCGACGCAGATCGTGATCTCCTGGAAGGAGCGGAGGTTGAAGCATCCTCCCTTCTTGATGGGAAAGTGGATATCGAAGCGGGAAGCAAGACTAGCCATACTGGTGCGCCCACAGCGACCCTGGACCATGATCCTGAGGTCGTTAGCAAGATTGTTGAGTTTGAATCATGATGATATCCCGTCTGTTCTCCCTTTTTGTATTGCCGACGAGGTCTTGTCTTGTTACATGCCCTTCGCCTTTATTTGGTTCTTCAGCTATCCCATGTGCAATTATACACCCTGTCAGATGTATTATCTTGCTGATACGTGTAGATAGTCATCTAATTTATTTGATCTTTACATCTATCACATTCATTTCTGAGCAAAATTTCTGAGCAAAATTTCTGAGCAGACGTAGTTAATGTACACTAGTTTTGGATGTACATGTATGAGGGAAAATTTCCTGAAAGTTTCAAGTATGTCCTGTCCGTAAATAGGTTCAATTTAAATATCCATGGATCAAGTTGAAAAGTGAAACTGTCCAAGCTGAATTAAGTCGTTAATAGTCGTGAGATGCAACACGAACATTTCTATGTACAACATGTCATCAAAATAGCGCTTGGCAGACCAATCATCAGAAATAGAGATGATGAATTCAACAAAAATGGCTCCTTAATGCCGACCCAATCTGGGGAGACAGTATATGGAGAACGAATAAAAATGGTGATAAAAAAGGGTATAAATTAACGAAGAATCGAACAAAAAATGGGGTTTCATAAAAGACAAGAGGAGAAGAGGGAAGGAAAAAAAAAGAAAAGCCAATATGCCAGGATTAAGCTGGAAGAAATTCCGAACAGGAACCAATGAATGCAATTAATCCTTTTGTCCTTCATTTTCAACCAGCTCCAGAACAATCTGGCTGCGTTCATATTCAGGATGTTGCATGCAGATCTTGACAGTATGCTGATTTGTCGAGATTCCATTCGCACCATTGAATGTATTCTGAGCACTGATACCACTTGCATTGGCTTGACCAAATGAACCAGGCAACTTGCTACCATCATCAAGACAGACAACATTGTGACCGGGAATGACCTGCCTCAGTCGACCATTCATTGCATTGCGGACCTCGACAAAGTCGTCGTTGAAAAGAATGAGGAATTTTCCGTGGAGACAGGCTGTGTGTGCACTGCCCACAAATTCCATTACCACGCTGCGGGAAACGTCGCCGTGCTTGTTGACGTATACGGCGCATTCCTGGTACGCAACCAGGAACTCGCTTTCACTGAGTCGGTACATGCCGAGGGGCCGGAGGTCTTTGATGCGATGGGCGATGCCGTGTAGGGTATCGATGGCGTCGGGTGTGGTTTCGGCGCGGAAATCGGGGACGGACCAGGATTGCTTCTTATCCAGGGTAAGGACTTCAATGCCACGCTGGGTCGAGATGGCGAGGGAGGAGTGGAACATGTTGATGCCGTAGCTTTCGGCGGGGATGTAGAATTCATCATATTCACGGAAGAACTCGGTTTGGGAGCGTCGGGATTGGAATAGTCGACTCTTGCTAGATGATGACTTCTGGATGACGGGCTCGAGAACCTTGAAGGTGGATGACAGTCCGTCGCGCTTCTTATAGAGAACCAAGTATCGATCCTTCATGCGCCCTGCCACGAAGAATCCTACTTCACGATTACCAGATAGTTTCTGAGGAGCCCGCCGGGCGGAATCTTGCGACTGGCTGGCATTTCCATTTGCAGGACAAACCACGTCAAGATGATAGGCGATAAGAGAGCGATCCGCAATAAGCAGAAACAAGTTGAACTCTTCAAAGACAGCGATTTGAGTAACACGCAGAATTGGAATTGCCTGTCTTTGGTTAATATTGAAATGGTTGACAAATGTCAAAGTCTGTACTTACCCGGTACCAGCCACGAGGATCATTGACATCAGACATGTAAACTCCATAGTCAGTTCCAATTGCACACATCATCCGGCCGGGAGGTTGTTGAAAGACCGTAGAGCAATGGACCGCAGTTCTGCAGATTGGAGGAGGCCGAGGTCCAGAATCCTTATATTGCTTCTCAACTCCCCTGATTGCACGATGGAGAGGAGTGCCCTTGATGGTGACACTCCTCGATCCAACGCTCTGATCGCTATAAGCGAACGCAGTGTCTGCGAGAACCCTGAGTCGGAATGGCTCGGCATTTTGGGAGAACAAAGCCGCGGCATGTTTGGTTTTCGCCTCGATGATTTTCTCGCACCAGTCCGCACGGTTTTGGGAAGAGAAAGCATACAGAGTATAGGTGCCAGCCTTTCCAAGATGCTTGATCCTGAATGGGTAAAGAATCTTGTCATCCTTCAAATCAAGACTTGCGGTGGGTCCATTCATAGCAGGTCCAGGTCCTCCATGGTTGAAGCCCACAGCAGCCTGGGCAGGGGCAACATTTGCAACTCCACGCATGGATGATTTGACCACTGGGTCATCGTTGGTACTCTCCAGCACCAACAAATCCATCGGAATGGGAAGTTTCGACACATCGTAACGCTCGTACTTTATTGTTCGAGATGGGTCTCGTGTAGTGAATGACTTAGCAAGAACAAGATAGTGATCGAAGAGAATGGCATGGGTATCAACAAGGAACCGGGTCCGAGTTCCAGGGCGTTGAAGATCACCGCGGAAAACAATCTCGCGACCCAGGTGTTCGAGGTTGAGTTCGACCTCCTTCTTCATTTCCGGCCTCAATTGCAGCTTGGCCGAGAGTTCAATGAGGTCGGCCTTCTTGTTCATCTCACCAACCTTATTGTCACACTCCAACGCCACAATCTTGATTTCCTCGATAGCCTGTGCAACATTGGACTTTTCCTCGGAATCCTTAACCATATTTTTGTGCACGGTAGCAAGCAAAAGGGTATATCGCTGGATTCGCGTAATCGGGGCCTTGAGGAAAGTGTCCCAGCTCAATCGGTTGGACTGCTTCTGATCCCGAACCTGGTTGAGGAACTGTTTGAAGTGAATGTTCCGCTCAGCTTCCTTGCGCACATAGTAATTTGCCGTCGGGAATGTAGCAGCGTAGTCGATGTAGACGTGCTTGGCTTTGCGGATCCATTCACGGAAGATGTCGCTGAATCCTGCAATAAAAGGACCCTGCTCCTTTTGTCGATACTTCAACTGCGCTAGCAAAAAGTCTTCGTTGACCTTTTTGACTGCGTCAACCTTGCCAAACACATCAGACAAGAACTTAGCGAGGCGTTTGGGGGCGATTATAGGAGGATTCATGTTGGCTAATTGGTCACGATAGAGCTCCCGTAGAACGTCCAGCTGACCAATGTAGGCATCCTCTGTCGTGACAATCTCGTGCAGGTTGTTTTGGCGATCGATCTCCTTTCTCGGGTATGACTCCCAGGTTTCCTTGGGAACCTTATAGAAAGTCACCCAATCCTCAATCTTCTTTTGAGGTGCCATCATCTGTGCTTTCAAATTGACCTTCTTTAAAGTCCTCATGCAGTGGTGAGAATAGCACCTCCCAAAGGAATCGGTATCCTGTATATGCAAGTCCTGCTCATGAAGCTTGGGCGAGTAGCAGCCAGTGCCGGTAATTTGGAACAGCACGCCAGAAAGTGATCCCCTGCTGAACTTGACCCATTCCTCCTCTTTCACCAGGGCTCCCTCCCCAAGCATGCTATTGACTACACGAGCAGCGAGTGTCTCTGCATCTGCGATATTCATGGTGGGGACCTTGTGAGTAAACAAGGCCACAATAGCATCAACAATAGCCTGCTCTCGAAGATCGGTTTCGTCCTCGCTCAGGTCGCGAATCCAAGAAAGGATGGAACTAAGAGCCCATGGCTCGGTGCATTTCTTGAACTGTTCAGATGACAATTTCGCAGGACTGAACTTCTTGCGACGGCCAGCGGGGATATTTGGCAGATCAAGCGCCATAGAAGCAGCTGCCGCCGCCGGATCAACATCAGGGAGATCTTTATTGTGAAGCTGCCAAAGAAAGTCTTGCTGCTGCTTGTACTTTTCTCGGTCAGCGTCGGTCTTTGACCTCATAGGAGCATCAGTACGAGGTCCAATCGGGTGGGACAAGGATGAGGACCGCGGGACTTGAGATGGACTGAGCAAAGTCTCTCCATATGAGTCCGCAGACGCCGGCATGGGGGGATTTCTATACAGTGAGTGAGCCTCATCCTGCTCCGATGGCAGGTACGTGCCAGCAGGCATCAGATGCGAATGAAGTGCAGAGTTCTCAGCTGGCTCGACAGGAGCCGGGGGCAGTGGACGCATGCCTGGGTGAAAGAAAAGATCTTCGTTCAATGGCCGATGAGGACTATCTTCACCAGATTGACCGTCTTCTTGCTCATACCCATCTCCTTCCTCGCCATAATCCCAACTCATTCGACGACCATATTCTCCCGGGGTGGCCAGTCCACCTGTGCCTCCAGCATCGACACGAGCATCAGGGGAAAGATGGTGCATCCGAGCGGCATATTGATAAGCAATCTGTGGATGGTCATACTCGTCGTAATCGCCTCGTTCGTCTGTAGACATGTTGGAGCTCCGGAAAGAGCTTGAACGACCTGTATAACCGCCACCACCACTAAGCGGATCCAGGTATTCTTCGGAACCGTATATGGGTTCTTCGCCGTAATGTATATTACCTTGATACCCGCCCTCATAAGCTGCTAAATCCTGGCCCATGAATTCGTTCTCTTGCATCTCTGTATGGGGAGAAGGGCCGCTAGTGGATGCATAAGACCCGTGCGAGCGAGAGCTCAGAATAGATGCATTTGTCTCGCGCCGAGTTCGTCCCTCCAGACGTACTCGCTGGTGCTCTTCCCGTGCCCTCTCTTGCTCCTCCGCCTCCTGCATCATAGCAAGACCAGCCTCGGCTTCTGCATCGCTATCGTGGCCAAATGTTTCCTCATAGCCATTGGTGTGAGTGTGGGTGTGCTGCTCATCTGGTGATAAGCGTAGGTGGGAGGAAGAGGTGCTATGACGTGATGCTTGCGAGCTGTGACGGGCGAAGCTGTTCTGTGTACTCATCACCGCAGTTTCAAGTTCCTTTAACATGTCGGCACTGCTGCGAGTGTCTGGTTCACATTCAACCGGTGGTCCTGGAAGTGGCCTGGCCTGCGGGTGCCTTGTCAAAGTATCCGTTCGCCTTGGAGGTAGAATGGGCAAGACTTGCTGAATAGGAGGGAAAGGGAGAGAGCGCCCGGTATGGGATGCACTGGGTCGCCTGTTATAAATTCCATTGGCTTGTGTCTGATGCACCGGAGGTGTAGGAGGGTGGTCATCAGAGTGGCTGCTGATGGGCGGTATGGTGTGGGATGGGTATGGAGAGTCGGTTCCGAAGCCATGGGATGCGGGGAAGTAGGTAGAAGCAGATTGGGGTAGATAAGCACCCGCGGGAGAGTTCGGGGTTGCGTATGATGTTGGTATTGGCGATGCAACTGTCTGGTAGGCGGGTGAGGTGGCCGCTGTGGACTGGCTTGACGGTCCAGGTGATGACGCATATGGAGAGCGACCACCATAGGGATGATCAGGCGCGCGAGGTGGAGGCATTGGCGGGGGCTGGGAGGGAAATCCATATGATTGCGGGGTCGGAGGTGCTTGTCCATACGGTGAAGCCTCACTCGGCCGGCGTGTGATCGTGGGAGAGGACAGACTTGCAACTGCGGCTGGTTGATAGGCTGCTGGATTGTATGGTTGATGACCGGGGACAGAATTGGCGTAGGATGCATTGTTGGAAGCAGTGTAGGACAGGGGTTGATAACTCAGGTTCGGTTGTGTTTGAGATTGCGGAAGAGCATATTGTTGGGGATTATAGGCAGGCTGATTTACGGATTGGTATTGGTACTGATAGCTCGACATGGCGGCGGACTGCGATGCTGCGCGGTTCGGCGACATACGCGACATGTCGGGCGATGGTTGCGAATATCCAGTATACGCAGTGTTCACGTCATCCTCATATCCCCCATAAGCTGGGTTGTAGCTTCCTTGTCCACTACCACCTCCTTGTCCACTACCCACGGAGTATTGGGCGTTGGCATCGGTCGCTCTCGTATTGTGGGTCCGGGCGGCATTGAAGAGGTGGGAATCGTCGCCGCTGTTGAAGCTGGGCATTCGTCTGGGCTCTTGCTGGCTCTGCGTAGGAAAGGGCTGAGGTGCGTAGTTGTCATAGCGACCTGACGATGGTCGAGAGACTGGGGGATTGCCAGGTTGGCCGTAATAGGCCTGTTGTCCATTGGGATGCGCCATCGTTCCAGCAGCGTGAAAGTCGGCAAATACGAGACAAGCAATCAGTCGCGATTGTTCAGCCTATATTCTTCCACTCTCCCCGGACAAGCGAATGAATAGGAAGGCCCCACGTTAGGACTCTAATGGAGAGACACAGCTGAAGCGAAGGAGCTGCCGAGACGTCTCTCGTCCAAATGAGGGGAGGGGCCGATGAAAGTCTGCCAAACAGCTGACCCTAGGCATTCCCCGGAGATTAAGTTGAGTGGAGAAAGGGGAGGGGAACAACAGAAGGGGGGTTTAAAAAGAATAAAGGTAAAAAAGGTGTAAAGGAAATAAGGTCATCTAGGATTGTATCGCGTGGTCGAGCCCAAGCGGAGCGAGACCGGGGATTTGGGTCATGAACTGGTCCCTCCCCCCACCGCCCCTGTTGACTACATCGAGTCTCCTATAAGGCTGAATATTTCACATTTTACGTTTCACATTTCCCATTTCTCACATAAGAGGAATGTTCCTTTCATAATAAAACATGAATAAATGAGAATTATTCAGGCTTTATATCTAGCTGTAATACTGATCTGTGGGGATTATGTTTCATATTTTGAGCCTCAAAATCCCAGCCGCACTACTCCGTACCAAGAACCTTTAAATATCAACAGTCACAGTTTGACTGAGACCATTTTATTTTTGGGGTGATTGGTGTGGCAGTAAACTTGCTTGATAATGACTGTGGGGGCCGATGAACACGTTGTCTCTCGAGATTTGCCATCTTAATTTAATCCGTAAGTTACATAGATTAAGTCTGGGCTTCCACTATTCCTAGTCGGGATTAGCGCTATAATATGAGCTATGAGCGTATCATACTTCCTTGGATCTCAGTGTTCACTGATTAGGAAACTATCATTTGTAGTCCATATTGAGCGGAGATTTAGATTACCCAGACCTCTCGGTCAAGTTGATGTACTCGCTGGCCTTGTCAGCGTAACCTCAGCTAGCTAAATTCCACATTTATGGACCACGCTGTCCTGAACAATTTTGTATTGTATTGTACTCCAAATTCACTAATCTACTAACCACTTGGGTACTTCTGCTGTTGTTGCGCCCATGGACTGGCCAGTTCTTGGAAATTGTACGTGCTGAAGTGGATAGTTTTTTCGTTCTACGACGTTATTTTTACGGTAGAAGGGCTTCGTTTCGTATTTAACTAAAACCCCTTACCCCTATATTATCGCGTTTGTCAGCTTTTTCTTACTAATTTATTTACAATTACAGCGTCTTAACTAGATTCTGGTCCTAGCTAAGCCGTTCAAAGAGGAGAGGAAGTATCTTTCTAAGCTCTTAATTATTTCAACAATCCGTCCCATATTAGTGTATCTTAATTTATTCCAAATTATGGAGGACTTTAAAACGCTTCACCGCCACAATCCTATCAAATAACATAGGTACAGTCTCTAAACACATGACCAAGGTCGAAATCACATTCTAATGGTATTGGTCACATATATATACCCATCTGGTTTTCTCTAGTGTTCCCTATCGGTGCTAGGGTTTCGAGGTATTTCCCGGCTCAAGGAAAGCAAGATTACTCCCTCTCCTTCAAATTTGTTCGACTGAATTATATCACTGAACTTCACATCAATAATACGCTGGGGTCTCCGTATGGCTTTGCTTAACGATTATCCTCTACAGAGACCGGACTCTTCTCGGCTGATAATGTTGAATCCCGGTGGTAGGGATGCAAAAATTGAATTGAGCATGACCACAGCGGCTCTGTCAGCTAAACCAGAATATGTTGCTCTTTCTGATACTTGGGGTAACCCAGTGGAGGAAAGATACCCTTCATTTCAAGAGCATGAAATTACCACACGTTATATTCAATGCTCCGTAAAAAACCTTCAGATTTACCGAAATCTCTATTACGCGTTATGGCAGCTACGAGAGAAGCAGAAATACACACCGCTGCGTATAGATGTTGTTTGCATGCATTAAGAGAACAATGAAAAAGGAATATCCAGCTTTCACCAATGCTATCCATTCACTGTGAACTTTATCGGTTACTATTTGGCTTGGCGAGGACGATGATACCACTGAGATATCCGCTTATACACTTGGTGGATTAAGACATAACGAGCTCTTTAAAGTTCAGTCTATGCGATTTTCCAATCATATTGCGGGCCTTTGTATCTCCTTTAGTTGCCCAAAAAGACAGGCACTCGGGAGTCCATTGCGATGAAGGCGGTTCAATCGGGTTTGGACTCTACAAGAAGTTAAATTGGTAAGTGATATGCTATATCTTTGTGGATCCTATGAGCTAGATATCCAAGCCGTCGGTATGCTCGCAGCTGACTTGCTCAATTAAGTCTTTAATTATCTTGGCACAAAGGTTTCCATAGATCACAGTGGTCTTTCATATGGTCAAATGGGGACTTGGTAGGTCTGAATTGGCCAGCATCAGGCTTTGGGTCGAGGGTAATTTTGAAATACCCGAAGATCGATTATAGAAAAGAGATATCACTAAACTTTGAGTAGTTGGTCTCGTTATCTTTTGGTCCATGAAGCTCGTCACAGGAATCGTGGCAACCCGGAGCACAAAAGTACTTGCCCTCCTAGCCTACTTTTTACATGGAGAATTTACGCCCCAGGACCCGAAACTTTCTCACTTAGAAACAGAAGCCTGTGACTTACCTCATCATGGAGTTCTCGTAGCAAAATAATATCCCAAATTTACGGTGTTCACGATTGAGTCTATGGAGAGCCTTGATATTCTCTCACATTTACAAAGTGATAATGGTTATATTGGATCGGAGGAGGAGCCCAAATTGCCCTCTTGAATGCCGCCATTTCAATAGGCAGGAGCTCCCTCACTCATCGATGATCTGCTTTTGGCTCAGTATGATGCTGCAAGATATTTAGATCCATATAAGAGATTTGAATGTAAGGTACTCTGCGCCTAGTCACCACCATCTATTGACCAACAATCTTACAGATGGTTCGACCAGATTTTCGGAGCCACCGGTGCGAGCAATTTTTCTTGGAAGAACTCTTGGATTGTCCAGCCACGTTGCGCCACTCGGTACTTTAGGTTAGGTCCACCCTAGAGAAGTTCAACCAGACCTAGGCTATGAGAGCTTCAGGCCAAGAATTTCGACCATAGTCGGACTTTGCGGAGTTTTAATCTGACGTCAGCTTAGGTCACGTTTGTCACTTTAGTCTATAAATCAACGAGGGGCTAGGGTTTAAATATCAATTTTCACCTATCATCCCTGTTGCAATAAGAATTCGATTATCCTTAGGTTGTATCAAATTCAAAAATATCATTTCATGATGTCCGAAGTCCCTGAGAGCCAGCCCGTGAAATTCACCATCACTCACTATCGCCAACAACAACACACGCACGAGGCATTTATCAACTGGATCGTCCAAGAGCACCTACCTCTCGCTCTACCTGTCTTTAAAAAACATGGGATCATAGAATACAGCCTAGTGAGTACTTATCGCTTTTGCCTTCGCCTGTCCACACGACTGCTTCTAACAGGTGATCTAGTTCGTTACGCCGCCTTCTCTCAACAATGCACTCAAGCAAGATATTGAAGGGTTCCGGCCCACCTGGGACTTTGCTCAGTTCGACTGCTTTATCGAATACACGCTTCCGAATGTGGAGACCATCATGAAGGTTATGACAGATCCGGATTGGCAGGTAGCAGTGCAGGACCAGGATAAGTGGGTAGATATTCCCAAGGCGCTGGTTTCGGTAGGTTACAGCACTGGGAATCTACTGAATAAGAATCGTGAGATTTCATTATCCGATTACATGAAAAGGCGAGAGTGAAGCGCAGAATCATATTTTGGTTTGCAGCAAAGGACACGGCGTGTCCGGTTGCCCCGCACCACAGACCTGTTGATGATGATTAGGCGGCCAACATACCGTTTCCCCATCAAACACCATGTATCTCCCAGTATGAAGACCAGTGTATAAGTTTGGCTGCATTCCTTTTCTAAATTGATCAAGCACTTAATTTAATTTGCATGGCGGAGGCTGCATTATAAAAGGCAATTAGTCAGTCAGCAAGTTGATTAAAGTATGTCACAAGCGAGCGGGACACCCAAAAGTACATAGTAAAGGCGATTCTATATTTCAGCAGCCACGGTTAGAAACTGTATCAATTTTTGATACTATTTCTTTGGAATAGCTACATTCTAATTTGAGATCCACAATCGATGTTAAAATACCAATAATTTTCAAATACAATAGAGAAAGATCAAATGAGGAAAGATGACATGAAACGGCAATATTAAATACTCTACAATGACAGGAATGAGGTTATTTTCCTAGTATTTTGTATGTTCTCACTATCCCTGAGCGCAGGCACAGGACTATGTGAGAAACCTAGTGTCCCAAGGATCTTGATGTCACGGCCGAATAAGACGCTAGCGCAGGCGGCGAAGTAGCTGGAGGACTTAGAGAGAGGTTTACGCTTGTGGTAGTCAAAGGCTCAGGCTTAGACCCATCTACTAGAAATATGTCGGTCATGCATATGGGTAAGACGGAGGATTTTTGCTTGGTTTTGGACCCTTGTATCAGGACGAAAATATGGCGGATGTGGTTATATTTGGATCAGTAATGATGCAGTGCATTACACTACTCACAATTTTGGATATTTACAACTCATGGTGGATTATAACTTATAGTATGGACTGATCTTATCAGGCTCTTTCACTACAGAGAAGTGTAAAACTGGGCAATCCACTTAATGAGCCCCTGCCTAGCTAGGCGTTAGTTAGCTCTTTATATAAGTACCCTAGTTCAAGGGCGAGCGATAGATCAGATAGTAATATATTTGAGAACGTACCCTATCGGATGATAAATTATACATAGTATTATATAAGCCGATAGTTATAAGCCCAGAATCCGTATAGATACTAATTTAAAGCTATGTTTAAGCGAACTAAGATATGATTAACCTCATTTAATTAGATCCCTATTAAAATACTAGGGTGACCCCACCCCATTGTGATCTTGGCAAATCCACATGTGAACATGATTTGTCCCTTGCTTACCCATCAACCTCTCACAACTTCCTCAGGCGCACTCAAGGCTGTCTCGCTAACTCCAGAATGGGAACATATCTTTCCCAGGGAATATTGCATTTGATCGCGATCAATCTGCAGAACTCAGAAGCCTCTTTCGTCCCTTGCACTTGAGTATGCCGTGAATGGCAGGTCGCTTTTGAGCCGTTCATTTACTCCCAAACAATCCACGTGATATGTGCCGATAATGTCAGCAAAGATGACTGTGAGAGGTCAATGTCGTTAAGTCACTTTCAGAATGTGACCCCTGGGACAGGGCTGGCCCGGCGAGCACTGATCCGACATTTGAGCTACCACATTGTGGTTCATCTTGACCTCCCGGATTGGCAAACTCGTAAGGAGAAAGAATACGACCTCAAGAACGATATTCGTCATGATAATGACCTTGCATTTCAGTCCGGTATATTGGATCTCTTCAATACTTTCAAACATTGGGATTCCAATTTGCGCCTCTCGGTTGAGTTAGCGCTGCTGGGTCGCGAAGCCGGAAAGGAGCCTCTCACATGATTAAGAATCGCAGGCGAATACCGCTATGATTATAAGAAGGGAAAAACGAATTCAGTTCCAGTATATCGTGCATAATTCCTAGACAATGGGGCTTCCCTTCTCCCGGATGTCGCGTGCATCGGCCGTCTCTACTTTGATAATGATCCCCTTTTTCATTGAATTTGGGCCGGATCGGCCATGGAAAATTCCCCAGCGCTGTATTGTTATTACTATGATGATACTAGATCTTGATGAGTATATCCGCCCAGATCACATTGAATACATTCGAGCAAGGTGTCAAGGTAAGAGGATACCTTCATGATATAGGACAGTAATACATTTGAGATCCGAAAAGCTGATATTCCGATAGCTGTGAACGACGGACTTTTGATGATGCCACGTAGCATAAGGGCATTCAATCTCTCAATCAGAGGGAGCGCCCTTAGAAAGGAATGATGACCGGGTTGAATGTTCTGCTTTAGGATACCGATTTTCTTTCGCAGAACATTCTGAATCTGAGTCTATCACTCAGACAATTAAAAATTGACCATTTATCGCTCACGCCAGATTTCTTGTTTCCTCTAGATACGGAAAGCCATCCCTTGCGGACTTCTCGATCTCTATACTGGCCTTCATTGGAAGTGGTGGAGCTGACTGGGGTATCTCCAACACTTCCCTCAGGTGCGTTCAATCATTCCACAGTATAATGTTCAGTCATGCCCCTTTGTTTGCAATTCAATTAGCATTCAAGCAAGAGACATAATCTGATCTATCTTACTGATAATTCCATTATATAGGTCAGTTGATTGTACATCCAACACCCGAGGACCAAAGCGAAATCGACGAAATCGAAGACTGGGAGAGGAACATCTGTGACTATGAAGAAGGCACTTTTTCCCGGCCGATTTTTGATCACGAGCATTCTCACCCGAACCCTTATATGATGCTTCAGGGAGATTCCATATCATCAATCCTAAATCTGAATGGATCAGGTTGTGTCTGTGATTTGTATTAAGAAAGCTATCAACCGAGCCTCTTCGAAGATTGTGAATCACTCAGGCTAATATACCTCTACCTATTTGATAAGAATATTAGGCTTATAAACTCCTACTCCAATACAGACTCAAGGGTCACATGGCTGGAAAGATTCTCTTTTGAAGAATGACTGCGCTATTATAGTATACGCGTCTTAATGAAGGATCCCTGAAGGCAATAGTGGAGCGTTGGTGCACAGATAGAATACACAATTTTAAGATCGTAATTCTTGACAAGACTACGATAACGAGGCAGGATTGAGCTATATATGATCTAAGAGACATTATACTACTCAACTATAATTGACCTTTAAAAACAGCAAAAAAGAGGTAGAGCCGGAGTGTGTTCAAACAGAAGTTTGGAATTTGACTTTCGGATAAACCGAGATTTGTAAAATCTAGAGTAAATAAGCGAGAAACTCGAGGCCAAGAGCCAAGAAGAATAGTACGAAAGAAACCCGGGGAGAAAATATTAAGGGAAAATGGAATCGGAAACGTCGTTGAGAGCTTTTAGCGGGGATTGCGCCATACCTGCCGTTTGTGGTGACAGAATATTGCATATTGGCTTTAGCCTGAGATAGCCTCAGTAGTACGCAAGCTATGGTAGCCGAGATATTCTTTGGTATTTTTTCCCTTCTTCCTATAAGAATGTCCCATCCGCAAAGATTCTATAGAGTAGGCATTAATTTATATCATCCTTGAATCTCCGATTCTTACTCATGACCCATCTCGATCACAATATGTCCAAAAAGGATATCACAGATGAAAAGAACATAACGACTCTCGAGGTATCTGGCTCACCAACCAGCGATACTGATCATGGTATTATCAAAGATTGGGATGAAGAGGAAGTCTCTGTCCGCCGCAAGTAGGTGGTTTGCCCCCAATTTATATCATGTCGTTACTAAACTTCGCTTTACAATAGAATCGACTTTACCCTCATCCCTATCATCGCTCTTGCATTCTTCGCTCTCCAAATGGACCGCGGCAACATTAGCGCTGTTCTGACATCTTCTATCACCACGGACCTCAAGATCACAACAAACCAAATTAATATTGGCACCCAGCTGCTGTCCGCTGGTATAGTAGTCTCGGAGATCCCATCGAATATTATTATGCAGCGCATTGGGCCACGCGTTTGGTTGAGCGGTCAATTGTTTGCCTGGGGACTCATCGCGACCTTCCAGGCATTTGTCCAGTCATATCCCGCGTACTTGGTCACTCGGTTCTTGCTGGGACTCTGTGAAGGTGGCTTTATCCCTGGTGCGCTGTACTACTTGTCTACTTGGTATAAGAGGGATGAGAGTAGTATGCGGATTAGTTTGATATTCTACGGGCAGATGTTCGCATCCGCGACCTCTAGTTTGATCTCAGCGGGTCTGCTCAAGCTAGATGGTGTCCATGGAATGGAGGGATGGAGATGGATTTTTCTTGTAGAGGGTCTGATCACACTTTTCATTGGAATTGTTTTCACGCTCCTCGTTTCCCCCTCGGCCGGTGATGGTCGCCCCCTAATTGCCATGGGACGGTGGAGCTACTTCACCGAGCGCGAGTCGCACATTATCCGCAACCGTGTTCTTCTTGATGATCCACGCAAGGCAAAGGGCCATATCCAGATTACCAAGTCGGATATTTTGAAGACCATAAAGCAACCGAGAATTCTCCAGCATGCGCTTCTAACTCTGGTGGCCATGTCTGGCGTTCAAGGCTTGGGTCAGTATACGCCCAGCCTGATCAAGTCTCTCGGATTTGATGCTATAAAGGCCAATGCCTTGACGTCAGTTCCAGTGTACTGTGGTATCGTCTGGTTGACAATATTGTCGTTCGCAGCGTATGTGCCTCTCCTTGAACAAATTTCGCATAATACTGATACTATATAGAGACAAGACCAGCCACCGCGGGCCCTCTGTGCTCTTGTCTGTAACCTGGAACGTTATCTCTTACGTCTGTCTACGCACCCGCAATGCCCATGCGTCAAAATGGCACCGGTACGGAGTCATTGCCGTAGCCAACGTATCAGCTGCTAGCGTTCACATCCTCAACATCGGCTGGCTCTCAGTCTACTGCCGCACGCCCCAAGAGCGTAGTGTTGCCATGGCTTTGATTGTGATGGCCGCTAACTGCGCTGGTATCTCCGGTTCGCAGATCTTCCGCACATCCGATGCGCCCAAGTACCTGCACGGCCTGACTGCGATCTGTTCTTTGGCTGGTGCTTCATGGGTTCTGGCACTGGTCCTCTGTGCTCAGTACTACATTCACCGACAAAGGGCGGTGGCTTCAGATGCAGATCTGGAAAGAAAGGTCCCTACTTGAGCTCTATGCTGTTATTGCATATATATACTATTCATAAGGCATGAGCGACATTAGCGGTATTGAAACTCCGCGGTCTCGGAGAAAAGTTTTGTAGATAGATCACGGATCACCTGAATATTATTCACCTAAAAGTTCAACCCGTGCATGATAAGGCGCCTCTGCAAATTTTAGGGAGAACAGACTTTAAGCACTTGAGGGGTATCCCTATAGAAATTCTTTTTTTTTTCTCTCTTTCACCAACGCTTAGTCTTTACTATAAATGCAAAATGCGTACATAGCATAATTCCACCGGACGCATCCATCGAATATGGCCTCACCTACTCGGTAGTGAGTACATGCTTTGCTAACCTCGGGAAGAACGCCGGTTGACTGTGCCAAAAAAAAGCCTCGCCATTTGCCTTTCGAGATCCGATAAAGAGATGGAATTTCGGACCTGTCCACGACCATTTGGCCTTGCCTCAGCTGACCGGGTATTTCACCATCGGGTCACGTAGTAGCGGCAATTATTTCAAGGAGTTAAGTGCTGTCCTCATCTTTTCGCTTTGGTGCCTGCAGCGATCCCATGGGCAGTCCTTGGCTTGGTTTGCCCAAACGCCGGGCGGTACACCGGTTCATTTAATTACGGGGTCAGGATGTTGAGGCTACTCATCACTGAATATGTATTAGCATCATCAAAAAGCTTTCCTTCTCATAAGCATGCATGACTTACTTTCTGGGGTTCTTTGCGGTCTGTGGCTTATGCTTGTGAAAGGTAGGAGAGGGGAGGGGGGAATGGCGTGAGGGGTGCGAGGTTTCAAATAGGGATTGAGACCCTGAGAATCTTAGCAAGAAAAGCAACGTCCATATTTTAAACACTGGGGATAACACCTACTCCCGCTGGTGGTAGTAATGAGAAAAGGTAATCAAAGTCAAACCGACAGCTCAATCATAACCTCTCCTCCGAGTTTTAGACGCATTGACTCGCGCATATCTGCCTTGCTTGTAACTACTCCTGCTAAATAATAGTAAGCTAGGTACCCTGGCTTTCTAGCAGTAATAGTCTGAGCCTATGCGGTGGCGGGGTAGTCGTGGACGAGGACGGGTTTGTTATGTGTTTGGCGCAGAATATGATTAATATTAGTTGAGCGCTAGGAATGCTAGTTTGGATGGCTGACGGTAAGCGGATCTATAGCTAAAGGATAGTCGTACGGTGAGTAGGATGCTAAGTAGAGATGGCTGGCGAGATTAGCGGTAGCGGATATAATGGCATAGGAGATAGACAGAATATAGTAGTAGAAGCGAAACTATAGAAGGAGCTTTAGTAGAATGGGCCAGTAAAGGTCTTGAATCAGAAAATTTTGCTACACTATTAAGCATTAGAAAGCTTCCCGGCATCCACCTCTCGATCCTGCTGGTCCATCTCATACCAGTCATCGCCATTGGGCTTCAGACTAACTGTATAATTCCCAATTTTTATCTCCTCCTCCGCGTCAGAAGGCACGCTGCCGAGTACTAGAGCTGTATTGTCTTCTTATTCCAAGTCTTCTATGCTTATGTTAGCCTATTGTCAATCAGGATGTAGCTATCAGTGGAATACTCACCGCAGCAGCAATTTTTGCTTCTCCGTAGCCATCGTGAGACAGGAAAGGTTGATTATGGCAAAGAGAGAGGGGAAAGAACCAGAAGGGAAATTCCGGTGAAGGTGGTGGTTGCGTGAGAAGGAAAGTAAGTGTCCAGAAGGGAGAATAATTTCAAAATTATACCGAACCCCCTACTCAGTCTCCTACTGGTCTTCTACTCAGTCTCCTACTCAATCTCCTGCCCAGTCTCCTACTTAATCTCCTACTTAGTCCCCTACTCGGTATCCTATCCAGTATTTTACCTTCTTTCGTACCGGATAAGTCAAATAGTCAAAGGGCTCTCAAAATCCATACATAGCGGAATAGAAAAGAAAGAGAGCAAGAGTGAAGTATAAGAAGGTGAAAAAAGGAAAATCTGGTGGGGTTTCGGACGTACGTCCAAAAAATACGGTTGGTTCACGATTATAGTCTATCAGTGGAAGGGGCTAGGCAGGAAAAAAGTTCACCAAGCTAAAAAATAAGAACAATGAAGAATTAACATAACGTTGTCCTCGCCATTGTGCCTGGAACATCCGGGAAGTGACCTGTCATGGTTGTGTCAGCCCCGAGGCTGCATATTGAAATCCTTCCATACCCTCAGGAGACTTCAACAGCTTATCCTTGCCAATGGTTGAAATTCCTTAGTTATTGACTCTGCTTCTGGGGCAGTACTCCAATCACTTATCAGATCGAATTAATATTCTTCTGGATCAACCATTATACCAGGGGCTCGATCTGAGAACTTTCATTTCTTGTCATGATTGCCATATCTTATCGCTAGCGAAGGAGAATGAGGAGACGAAGCAAAATAGGAATATACTCAGCGCGTGTGGCGGAAGTCATAATGTCCCAGAGGCAATATCATAGACCTGGTCATGGAGGATTACGGGCATAAAAGTAGGTGGGGTTAGTAGTGACAGCAACAGCAGCAACAACATAACTACAAGGGAAAGGTCAACACAGGAGGGGAAGGCCAAGTCCACGCTATGGCACGTTTAGGATATGCAGGTGCAAAATAGTAAATTAGTTTGGGGCATTTAGGTGAGTAGGCTGAACTAGCGGACGGGCAGGGCGGCAATGGCAATTTCCCGAACAAATCAAGATAAAGAACAAAAAAGACGATATTAATTTTTAAAAGAACAAAAACATACAACAGTCAGGATTCGCATGTGGTCACCCACCATACTACTAACTAACCGGCGTGTGGCTCAAGTACGGCTGAGCGGACGGGAAGCCCTGTTCTCCACACCCTATGGTCGTATGTAACAGGTGAACAAGAAAGACAAATTATAGAAAGCAGAAAGTAGGGGAGAGAAGGTTATAAATAGGGGGAGAAGCTGGGTGACCATCGCTTGCCCTGACTTACTGTCTCCTGCGCCCAGATATAGCGTATTGGCTCACATCAATCTGGCTGAAACTGTGGTCCTTTGGCACTTTCATTTACCATCGAATTTCACCCCAGGATTGACCAAGTCAACGATGGGGTTAATCTCAATGTCGTTTTGATTAAGACATTGCTGACCTTTCAAGATCAAGTGGCTCTTCACCACCTGGAATAAACAAATACGCCTTACACCTATCTGGATCTCTTACGCCTCCCATGGCAGAACGTAACTTGCAAAACAGAGTTCTTCATTTCTGCCTTGATAAACTCGGAATATACTGCAGGCAAAACGAAAGGATAATATGACATTAGTTGTTACCAGATTGAGAAAGTGCCAATCGTTACAATCTCGACCATAACAACAATTCAGCCTTTTAAAATGAAGTGACTAATCGTGAAAAGCTTCTCCATGCTGCATTTTCCAATAGTCTTTAAGTAAAGAAGGGAACAATACAAAAAGAAGAAATAGAAGAAGAAAAGGAAAAGGATTAAAAAAAAAACGCATTTACAATAAAGTAAACTCGGTAGGAGTAATATTTGACTCTCTCGCTATCTTGACCAGCTTCCCAAACATAGCATGTGGCACAATACATGGTCCAACAATAGATGCGCGGAGTGAGGCGTTAGATGCCTCACTGTCCAGAGTCTCTGATTCAATCGGACGAATAACAAAGGGATGTTTGGCGCCCAGAAATACAGCAATATAGTCCCTTGGTCTAGCATTTATAGATGCAAGGCATACTTCTCCTTTCGCAGTTCTACCGCATTTTGCCTTATGCTTCTGCGGATCGAAAGGTTCAGAGAACATTGCAAACTCACCTCTTTGCCTGGCCTGATTTATGGGGCCGTCTTCATCGTCATCAAACTCGGCCAGTGTGCATAAAACATTGTGTACTGTGGCCGAGAAGTCGTCCAGCTGTTGGATGGCATCGAAGACGTAGCCCTGCACGCGCAGAATCCCTTTCTCGTCAAATGACTGTGGTTGTGTCTCGGTTCTAAAGCCGCCTGCTGCAACTTTCATCGAGATGAAATCCCAGTGCGCCGTGAATCGAATCTCTGAGATTGATACGCGCCAGTCTGGGACCCAGGATGGAAGATCTCGATTTGAGGCGGAGTTGCGGTGAGTTAGGAGGATGGATAGGATATCCAAATTTCGATCACGGTTGATGAAAAACTTGACGACGTCTTGATAGACCTCGGAGACCGACTTGTGGTAGTCTACTGGGAATGCAGGCGCTCGCGTGTCCGGTGCGGGTATCGCATTGCCTGCAGTCATCGGGACCCGAGCAAGGCCAAGCACAGAGTATACTTTGTCTTTCGCGTCACTTGCTTCATATTCTCTGCCTGTCATCAACAGATCAAGCAGTCCACCGGTATGGTTGTACCAGACACTTCGGATGCAGCCAATAAATTTGGCGACCGGCTGACCGTATATCCAATCTCTGCTCAGGCAGGCAATTGCTTCGCTTTGATCATTGTGGAATTCAGTTAGATCGCTGACGTCCTCTTCTATCATCTTGCTGTAGATACGCCGGACTCGTGCTGCTGAGCGTTTCATGCAGTACCAGGGCACTGTATCCCTTCCACAAACTACAACAATCTCCTTTGCAGCCATAACCTCCTGTCGAATCCAGCTTCTGCGGAACCAAGGGCTCTCGAATATTCTGCATTGTGCTTTGTAGATACGCTTCAATTGTTTGTAACAGATGTCATCATGACTGCGCAAGGTGATCTCTTCTCGTTGCCCCTTTTCGTCGAGATATTTCATGCTCGTGATCGCTAGGCGCGAATCTTCAAACTCTTCGCCCAACCACACGATCACTCTGGAAGCCTGGTTGTAAATATGATTCATCAGAATCACCTGCTCGCTGCGTTCAGCCCTGTCATACTGGTTGATACATATGGTATCGATCCACAAGGTACGACTGTCTGTCTCGTGCCGAAGGTGCTGCAAAGCGGTAAAAGCACTTTTGGAAACCAGCAGCACCTTTCCATCGAGCTCAATAGGGTAGGTTGGAGTTGGATCGCCCCAGGTGTATGATAGTGCCTCATATTCCAGCTGTGTATCCCCACATATGGACTGTGGGCTGCAAACAGTCAAGACAGTCACCTTGCAGATTATAGGATCTCCATAATGGCCTGGAAGAAGGTATACAAGTCGCTTTTGGTTATTTTCGAGCTTTTTGTAGGGAGTGGGCTGAGAGCCATTGAATGGCTCTTTTGGATGGCGCACGCAGGATGTGCTAAGCGCAGGCACTGGAGAGTGGTCTGCATTTTGCAAAGTCTTAAGCCAGCAGTCGATGGAACAATGTTTGTATCTTGCAGGGTCTAGGTCATGCAAAGCTGAGATCACCGAGACCGAATGTACATCATTGTCTGCTTCAAGAGCATTGATCTCTTCCATCAACCCATCTCCAAAACTTTCACGGGGCAAAAGTGAGAGCGTCCTGTACCGCTCCTGCTTTCCAGTCTTACTAATTTCCTCAGAATTGACTGCTGCTAATACTCCAGTACTAGTCATCTGCTGTAACATGTTGATTTCAGGTCCTCGGTTCCCGTAGTCAACGTCGAGCCGGCCTGTTGCGTCTACAGGGACGATCTCGGAACTGAAGTACCCGTGTCGCAAGGATGCCATCAGATATTGCCTGCGAATGTCATTTTCTCTTTCCGAATGGTTAAGATTTGCATCTCGACCGTGGAAAGACCCTACCGACCCCGGCATATTCTGCATCAAATCGTCTACCAGCCTATTAAGAGTCGCATCATCCATCTCAGTGGTGGACTGGCCGGGGGAAAAGCTGATTTAAAATTGTCAACACTCAAGTCCGATTATCAGTTTCATACAGATAATGACCCACACAAGCGGGTTCGGTCCATCCATTGGGTCGCTGGGACGCTTGGACTGAATGCAGCCCTTGGTGAAAAACTGGCAAAGCAAGGCTATTTAGTACCCAATTCTTTGCTATATCCCCATTAATTTCCAGTTGTTCGAGGCATATAGAGTTCTTTTCTTGTTCTCGCTCATCCTGATATTCAAGGATGACGCCACGTGACGCAGCACGTGCAATCTGTTCAATTTTTCTCTAGGCGCATTGGCCTCTAATGGACTTGGCATGATTGCTTTTTGCCGGTTTACAATTCTTCTCGGATTTGCCCCGCCCGGTGGACCCCGTTTCATGTAATCTCCCACTGTAAATATGAGGTTCTTTTCATAACAGGAGCCAGAGTTTCAAAACTATGGCCAATGGGCCATGTCAGGGGCTCGGCAAGGATGCCGTCACCGTGGGATGGATCTGTGCTCTTCCAATCGAGCTGACCACGTCCGAGGGGATGCTTGATGATGTTTACCCGGCGCTTGAACAGGTGCAAGGTGATGAGAATATCTATACACTAGGTCGTATTGGGCAACACAACATCGTCATCGCTTGGCTCTCCGCTGGCAGTACAGGAATTGCGCCTGCTGCGAAAGTCGCAAAAGACATGCTTCGTAGCTTTCCTCAAATCCGATTCAGGCTGATGGTCGGTATCGGAGGTGGGGCTCCCAGCGTGAACCCAGACATTAGACTTGGCGATATTGTTGATGGTGTCCCAGATAGAGAACTTGGCGAGGAGTCACGAACATTTGCTGCGAGACAAGCTACTCACACGACGCGCAGGTGGCGTGGTGAAATTCGATCGCGGAAAGACCGTGCATAGTGGGAATATTGAACATACAGGGGTGCTCAATATGCCCCCTGCTCAGGTCAGGAACGGTGTGAACAAATTGCGTGCAAAACATGAAGCGCAAAAAAGTCTGGTTGCCCGATATGGATCGGAGATGATTCAAAAGAGTTTGCAGTCGGACGAAGGAAACCCGCAGTTCGAAGATCTGTATTGCTACCAAGGAGCGCAGTATGATCAGCTCTACGACGCATCCTATGAGCACGAAGAATCTAGAAAACAGTTTACCCATTTAATGAACGACTTGGTCAGTATCTCCATGGCCATCTGTGTCACCGTCGTTGAAAGCATCGTGATCACCTGGTGTGGCTCCCTTGCGTTATCCGTGGTCATTTTTGTTGCAATTTCCCTGTCTGTCCTCAAGATCTATGCAAAAAGACAACAGGGGGTCCGGAGCATTGAGTTTCAGGATGCAAAGCAGCCTTGTCGAGGTTGCCATCAGTCGCGTTTGATTCCAAGACAGCCCCGAGCGACGACAGATCCAGTCATCCATTACGGAACCATCGGCTCTGCAGATCAGGTTATGAGGCACGGCATCACGCGTGATGCCATGAGGGAAAAATAACAAATTCTATGCTTTGAGATGGAAGCAGCAGGTCTCATGAACGACTTTCCTTGCCTGGTCATTCGAGGCATCTGCGATTATTCTGATACCCATAAACACAAACTTTGGCAGCGCTATGCGGCAGCAAAGGCTGCTGCATATGCCGAGGAGCTTCTTGGGGTCATTCCTCCAGCCGAGGTTACGAAAATGAAGGCTGCGGTCGAGATTTTCGACACATGTAAGTCCATGTTTCCGCTTTCGAATGTTAGAATAATCTTACAATAATTGCAAAGTACGAAATGAGATCGCTGGAATGAATGCCAAGCTTAGCTCTTTGCTATTTGGTAAGATTTATGACACCTGCTATTCGATAATCAATATAAATCAAGTGCTTATCTAAGACTGTGACAGGACACGAGCTAAAGAGGCGCCGTGATATTTTTCATGGCTTTCTTCCTCTACACATGAGGCCGAACAAGCGGGCGTGCTCAACAAACACCAATCCGGCACTTACCAAGGTTTTTTGGCTTCAAGACGTTCCTGGGCTGGATCAATGAAGAAAGTCCAACCCTGTTTTGCCCCGGGATTCCAGGTGCCGGGAAGACTGTTCTATCCTCCGTAGTAATCGATTATCTACAGCGTGAGCAAGGTGAAGGATCACATATCGCCTATCTCTACTGCACGTATGGGAAGCGAAAAGAACAAACAGCTTACAATCTTCTGAGAATTCTATTGAGGCAGTTTTCGGAGCAATCGACTCCAATCCCTAAATCTGTCGATATTCTATATGCGTTTCACACTAGCAGACAATCCACGCCTACTTATGACGAGATATCTGCCACACTGCTAACGGTTTGCCGCGGGCTGAACAAGTCCTTTCTTGTGGTCGATGCGCTGGATCAATGCTCCGACGAGACCTCGCAGGACTTGCTCAAAGAAGTTCAAATCTTACAAGTGCGGACCAAACTGAGCTTTTCGAGTTCTGAAGTGTGCATAGGTTTCTCCTCGCGACTCTCCATTTAGATTCACTGAATGACAAGAAACCAAAGAATGAGTTTCGAGATGCCTTGAAGAATCTTCCGAGGGGATCACATGCCCTACACATGGCATATGATAGTGCCATGGAGAGAATAAATCAACAAAGAAACAATGATCGCCGCTGGGCTCACCGCGTTCTCTCGTGGGTTGTACAAGCAGTGCGACCTTTGCGGCCAGAGAAGCTCCTACACGCCCTCGCCGTTATAGAGGGCAACAACCAACTCGAGAGCGACAATATCCCGGTTTTAGGCGAGGTCATTTCTCTATGTGCGGGTCTTGTTTTGGTATACCAAGACAGCAATACCATCCAGCTGGTCCATTTCACAACTTACGAATACTTCAGTGGCTATGACATCAACTGGAGACAGGCGGCGCGAGATCTTGTAGCTACCGTGATCCAGTAGAAACTTTGTGGAGATCTGGGATACTGGGCCATGACGTGCAAGGCTGTGTTCCCCGTAGTAGCATTCTACCTGGCCGAGATTCCTGGAAGTTTCTTGGAAATGAGTTCTCAATTGGAGATGAACAAAAACAAATCAAAACAAAAACATACAACAGTTAGGATTCGCATGTGGTCACCCACCATACTACTAACTAACCGGCGTGTGGCTTAAGTACGGCTGAGCGGACGGGAAGCCCTGTTCTCCACACCCTATGGTCGTATGTGGATGAAATTGCCTTGATATGGATTATACATTGCAATTACATAGAATTACGAGAGTGAGAAGGGCGAAGAGCAAAGGCCTATACGGGGATGACCGTCAAAGAAGACAGAAGAATGGTGAAGGAAAGAGATAAAGGAGCTACTGGGAAACCTTAGGGCTGCGGATGAACAACGGTGAGTCATCACAGGTCAAATCAGCGGTGCACAATATGTAGGTGAGTTTGAATAGGACAAGCCACATTATTTTGTCCAATCACGACTTGCCCGCAGGAGAATGAGATTGAGAGCGGGGGTCAAGGTTTTGTACAATATCGCGAAGAGCATCGCCTGGAGTCACTTCAATTTTAAGTTTGGCTGACTGTTCTCAGGGCTCATATTCTACTCCCTCAGGTGTTGATCTTGCACAGGCGGTTAAGAATGTCAACAGTGCGATGCTGGAAGTGATCAAGTCCGACAGATTTCTTCGGGATTTCCAGAACGGTTGGAAGGGACCGCGGCCAATTTATCAAGGCACCTACAAGGAAGCGTATCTTGTACAGGCCTGGTCCACTGGCGCGAACTATTCGACATTGGATGTAAACCAGGCTCTATACCTTCCAGTGGAGTTGTGGTTTCGTTCGCTCGTGAGTGAACCATTTCCTACTTTATACGTTGCAAGCCTGATACTGATCATTCTAGTTGGATTTTATGGACCTGGAGATAGACTGGAAGATGAATCGTGGTCATACCCTATAGTCTAAAAGGTTGGTGCTACCACTGGATGAGTACTGACTCTCTGAGCAAGCCGATATGATGACTAATGTGTGTTGATACTGACTCTTTCCAGATCGTCTCTGTCGTCTCCCATCGCTAGCGGTCAGCAGGTCTGGATCACTCTCGTGTATTGGAGCTCTAGGTAAGGTAAGTATCAAGCCCGATCTTATATACTAGGGAGGACCTCGGTCATGATTGGCATTCAATGAATGGATTCTGGACCAACATTTTATGTATTATAATCATCCAGGGATTGGCAGGTGGTATTGAGCAGACTTGCACATTCAAACATCTCGATTCACTTATATTCGCGAAGTACGAATATTCAAATGACCTGTATTCACATTCCATTATATCTTTCGAAGCTTTATTGCTAATATCTTTCCTTTTTCGGCAACTCAGTCTGGGCCTCAACTACCTCTTGCCCGATAATGACTTCACCGGCGTTTTTCTCAAGAGTGGCCAAGTCATTATGCTTGGTAGGATCAAACAGACTATCAATCTCTTCAAGCGTTTTGCCCTTAGTTTCTACCCAGAAGAAAATTACAAAGAGTAGCTCCAATACATCCCAAACACCATTAATCATATAAATCTTCCATCCGATCCTTTCGAGCCCGATGGGAAAAGCAAATGTGGCTAACAGCCTAATTATAGAGTTAGAAAATCTTAAGTCAAGCGAGAGAGGATTGCTAACTCACCCAAATGCAGAAGACAAAGTTGTATACAAACCCATGCCATTAGCCCGGATTGAAAAATGCAGCACCTCAGGAGGGTACATGACTGACAATGGAGTCCAACCAAAACTGTAACTTCCCTGGAAAAGGAAGATAGATGCTACGGTTGCGTAAATACCGGGCATATTAGTAGAAGTGCCATATAGCTTCGTCAATGCACCAAGGATAAAAATGAAAATGGTAAGAAGCGCAGTGCTGCTTATTGCCAGGAATCGTCGACCCAGACGGTCAGCGAAGGTTGATCCAACGAGGCTGACAACTAGACAAAAGCAATTCAGGATGATGTTGATCTCCAATTGAGTCGTAGTGTCGGTTACTCCAGCGTTGTCTAGCATGTCACCGAGATAGTATGAAATAATGTTGTTCCCTAATTTTGTCAGCAATGCCGATCTGAAAGTGTCAAGTCTGAGCTGAGGACTATTTACCGGATATCATTGAAAAGACAGCAACCGACATAGCAAGCATCATTCGCTTTCGATTCGAAGGTGTTCTCATGGTATCCAACAAAGTCAACTTTTCACCTTGGTTCTGCTCGAATTGTATCGTCGCTTTAATTTCATCAAACTGCTCTAAAACCATGGGATCGTTGATATCTCCATTGGAATGTGTCGCCGCCAATGCCTTGATACTTTCCTCGTTGCGACCTTTGAAAACAAGCCATCGTGGGGACTCTGGGACAAATGGTAAAATGACGATACAAATGATAGTGAATAGGCCTTGCAGAATGGATGGTATCCTCCAAGCCCAGGTTGAATCTATCGTAGCAGTCCCGTAGGTTACCCCAGCAGCAATCAGGGCCCCTAGAGATATTAGAGTTAGGCGACGAAGAGACTGGGGCTGGAGGATGGTTCATTTACTACTCACCAACATACCAGATATCATAGAAAAGCCCAAGGGTAAATGCGCGCCACTTAGCAGGCACTGTCTCAGATAGATAGGTTGGAGAGGCCGTGGAGGAAATTCCAACGCCAAACCCAATGATAAAACGTCCAGCGAGAAACATTCCAATATTCTGTGCAGCAGACTGGATGGCAATGCCTACCAGAGTGATGCAAGACGCGTAGAATAGGGTCAAACGTCGACCAAAACAATCACACATAAGGCCATTGAAGAAACCGGCCACAGCCCCGCCAATACCAACAGCTGACGTATTCAATGCTGTGGTCACCGAGTTCAGGCTAAAATATTCTGTGTAGGAGGGTAATATATTGAGTCCATTCCTGAGAGTCATTATTATCAATGTTCCGGAAAAACAGGATGAATACCTAACGGCCTACATCATGGAGCCATCATAGCCATATGTCTTTCGGTTGATTAGCCCTTGGACCGGCCCTTTGAAGTACGAGAACTAAACATGGAATTTGAAAACATACTGCTGATTGAACCATGCATACCAGTATAAGCAGCAGGGTTATAAATTCAGACGATCGAAATATGCCTGGCATTTGAGAATTTGAAGAACAAGATCGACACATCAGTGCTCGGTTGAATTTGGGGTTTAAATGGTTCTTAATCTGACATATACTTCGCCCCAACTCAAGCTCTCAGATGATAAGATTGCTTTTCAGAAAAACCATATCTCGAGGGAGATACCCACCCCAACTATGGATGATATGGGGTATAGACTATTGACGATGCGGAGTCGGCATGGCCGACTAAAAACGTTATCTTGACAATCAACAAGATAAGACAACTTTACTACCAATGGGATTGTGAAGCACGAAAGATAAGTCTACGTTTTATCCGCGTACTTCGGATGAACCGACGTTCTTTGTCCTTTTGTCTTATCGTGCTTGCGATGCGGCCGACTTTGAACTTGGCAAAGTTGCTAGCAGGTACTATTTAAGCTCTTGTACGAGAGCAACCATAATGATGCCCTCTTATAGTTCACGCGTTAAGCATTTGACAAATTTCTTCAATTTCAACCAATACCGGCCAAACGTATTAGGAAACTTATACTGAAACTTTCCCCCCTCTCAAGTCAAGGAAAGACATGCCTTTTCTGGATAAATGGCCCCAATGGCCTGATTTCGTGGAGTCTGATGTGCCAGCCGAGGCAGAGGAACGAATTCGAGGGTATAAAAAACAGATTCTCGCTGAGTATGGCGAGAAAAACCTCCGAAAGGCGTGGGTAAAAACCTGTGAACGACTCGAGGAAGTAACAAGAGAGATTCTTGCCCAAGGATCGTCCATTATTCCAGTCCTTGATTTTGAAGAATTAAAATCCCTTGGGGAACAGAAAAAGCAACGGATGAAAGAGTTGGGATGTTTCGTGATCAGAGAAGTGATTCCCAAAGACGAAATCACCTCTCTTTTCAAAGATCTGAAGGATTATATTGCTGTAAACAAAGAATCCATATCCGGTATATTTGAAATTTCTCATCTTATTGTGAATGTGGTTTTTCTGACCGATTCAAAGCGTGGCCTGAAGCAAACCCAGCCGTTTATCGGCTCTCTTGGACACCAACACAGCAGGCTATTCGTGGCCATCCGCGTCATCTTCAAGTCCAGAAATATTTGAACGGATGCTGGCATGATGAGATGCATGCGACCTCACCAGAGCCTCTGACATATGCAGACTCACTCAGGATTCGGCCACCAGGGCAAGAATTCTATGGTCTCGGTCCTCATATTGATGCTGGTAGCCTCTGTCGGTGGGCTGACCCATCCTACCGCAAAGTCTACCAGAAGATATTCTCTGGCTATCCCGAGGACCATGACTGTTATGACCTTGGCATCAGAAAAGACGCCAACCAAGCTGCCTTCAAAGGCAGCGCGCATTCGACCGTCTTCCGTGCATTCCAGGGTTGGACAGCTATGACAGGCGCAAAACCACGCGAGGGAAGTCTACTGTTGTACCCGTATGTTGGTGTAGCCATGTCTTATCTACTACTCCGGCCTTTCTTCACTCCTCCGACTGAAGGGGACATTATGGATGCCTCCAGATGGACTTTCAGTGCGGATAATGGGTGGTTCCCCGGTACCGACCAGAAGACCAGCCAATATCTTGGCCGAGAGTCACACCCTCATCTGCGACTAGAGGAATGCCTTGTTTACATTCCAGATATGGAGCCTGGTGATACAATTTGGTGGCATTGTGATGTAAGCAATTGAACCTTTTTATATTGCTGGTATTGGACTAACATATCATCTAATTGAAGATGATCCACGCTGTTGAAATTGAACATTCCGGATTGCATGACGCCAGTGTTGTCTACATTGCGGCTACACCAACCACGGAAACGAATATCCAATACATCAAGTCACAGCTGGAAGACTTTTTGAAGGGAAACCCCCCTGAAGATTTTCCCGACGGAACGGATGAATCAAAACTTGTAGGATACCTCGGAGAAAAAGGCCTTTTAAGCGACGAGGCACGCAAAGCAATGGGTTATGGGCTATGAACCCCCCCGTTGATCCTCGGTCTGCACGTATATACTTCTCGTTTCTGAAGGAACATAGAACTTTGAATTCGCCGCTATATGTCATCTTACAGTAAGATTTGAAACTTTTTTTTCATGTTTAACACAGAGAAACTCTCCCAGACCCTAAAATCAAGGCAATGTTAGAACTTCATTGGCCCAATTTAGCCAGATTGTGGATTTGCCCACTCCTCAGAACGTAAATATAGGATATATAACAAATAAAAGGGGCTCTTAAATTTCGCCTCTCGCTGATATATGCTTTACTCTCATACCGTTTTTCTCATCCGCATGCTTGCAGTTTAAGAATTGATACTCGTCCGAATGAATCAGTATTAGTGACTAGCATCTCATCTTCTTATCAACCGCAGATGAGGGCGGGGTTTCTTCACGTCTTTGTTGACGCGTCCCGTAGCTAGCAGTTGCTCAATCACCGCTTTATGCTCATATTCTGTCGCCCACGACAGCGGCGTTATTACCTCTAGGTCCTTAGAGTCAGGGTCACCCCTTTCACCGCGAGTAGCAACTTGGTAACTATTTCAAACCCATTCCCTGCCGCTAAAGACAAGGGCGTTCGTCCGTCGTAATCCTTAGATTCTGGGTCCACCCCAGTCATAAGTAATAGCTTGGCCACCGCCTCGTGTCCATTGCCTGCCACCCAGCATAGTGGAGCCTCCCCCCGAAAGTTCTTAACATCTGGATCAATGCCTTCGACTCCGAGCAATAGCCTGACCACATTCTTCTGGCCATTCCCTGCCGCAAGTGATAGTGGTGTCTCTCCCTTGAAATTCTAAGCGCATGGGTCGACGCCGCCAGTCGCAAGTAGCATCTTGACTACCTCTTTATGTCCTCTGTATGCCGCTAAAGATAGCGGGGTCTCTTCCGTTGAGATTTTGGAGTCTAATTGAACGCTCTGTGTTGCAAGAAGTAGCTTTACTACCTCCCCATGACTGTTCCACGCCGCCATCGATAGCGGAGTCTGTTTTTTGAAAATTCTAGAATCTGGATCGACGCTATCCGTTACGAGAAGTAACTTAACGACCGTCTCGTTCCCATAAAAGGCCGCCCATGAAAGCGGCGTCCAATCGGCTTCAGAAACAAGTCGAATATTGGCTCCTTCTGCTATGGATGTCTTGGCTGTGTCCTCCTGTCCGTTCTTTGCAGCCCACAGAAGAGCGGAGCTTTGATTTTGCTCCACATTGTATCCATAGAGATATGCGTTGAGAAGATTGTAGAGACGGACATTAGCTCGAGCGAAAGAATTCGTGTCCTTCTGCAGTGTTAAGTATTTCATGACAGATAGGAGCAACTCATTTGGCAAACGATGAAAGGTCATATTGGAATTTTATATTGCTTAGAAGGTAGCCTAGATAGACAATGCTAAGCCGATAACAACTAGCCGTGATGACGATGATGACTTGAGAATGAATGATGGAAGGAGTAGCTCAACGCCTATTTGCGGAGACTTTGTTCTAGACCCATTACCATGTAACCCATACAAATCATAAAGTCTCGATATAAGAGCTACATGTTTGTTACTCCCCAGTCCTGTTTAAGCAGTGACTGTGTGTAACAATATTAACTTTACAAGCCTATATAGTACGGTTGAGGTAGACCACGTATTTAAAGTACTAATTATCAATAATTATTCACATTCTGCTAATTAGAAGTTTGAAGTCAATTTACCTGTTGTAGCATCCGAGTCAAATCTAAGGGCAAAGTAAACTCGAATTAGAACTGTGGATAAAAAATGAAGAAGGCAGCAATCGAGAGACACAGAAACGCAGGGTCAGATGATTGAGAGTAGCCAGCTTTAGAAATGACAGTAGCTCAATAGTTCTGCGCTCCCAAACGGAAATTTACGGTGACTCAAGCTCGCTTGAAATCACCATTCAACTCGTTGTCCATCTTGTTCACCCATTCTTTTGCTCTTTCGCTAACAATGGCTTTTCGCTCATAGCAGCCCGGTCCACCAATGGGCCACTCTTTTAAGGTGACAACCTTTTTGTCCAAAGGATATTCCAGCTTCCAAACATAGTGAGCCTTAATATCTCCATTCTGAGGCACAAATTGGCGGTCAAACTTGGGTCCGCCTTTTGACCATTGGTATTTTTGCCTCTCCTCCTCTTTCTTATCATCCACTGGGTGTTCAAATCTGTATTTGACGACCGGGTGGATAAATTCGCAGGTTTCAAGAAGCTGACCCTTTTCCGACACGTCGTATCGACCTGGAGTGCGATGATGCTCTCCATTTGCATAGTACATTTTGGTAAAGCTGTCCTTCATTTCACCAGTGCCCCAGTCATAGGAACGTTTTTCTTTGAAGCCAGGCTCTGGGCCAGCAGTGAGAGGATGTACAATAGTCGAGGCGGCCTTTGATGAATAGCGCCAGGCCGTTGCTCCCCATGATTCTTTGCTGATCTTGTCATTCCAATCCTCGCACTTTTTGTTCTCGATTTTAAAATTCCTCTTGCGGTCAACATACTCATCTTCAATGTGCTGCTCGTTCAAAGACAAGTGTTTTTTCACTTGATCTAACATCCAGGCATAAGCGATATTGGACATCTCCTCCATGTTGTCCTTCGCCTCCAAAGTTTCAGATGAGCCTCCTCCAATATGGATGTGGTAGCCTGGAAACCAAACCTGTGCCAACTTAGTCGGATCTTTCAAACTGTCTTCGTAGTTGACAAGATTTCGGAGAGCATTGTTCCAAGCAAGGGCGGCTTTATTGAAACTTTCAGCGATTTTAATTTTGTCGGCATCAGTTGAGTTTTTCTGTGCTTTCAGCTTCTCGGCGCTTTGGCGTTCGGTCTCAAAAATTTTTTTGGTGTCACGGACCAGCCGTTCCAACTCGTCCTTTTCTTCTTCATCATTCGGCTTGGAGGGTATATAAAACAGAGTGGGCTCAAATGCCTTGCGCCTTTCGTCTAGAGCCAGGGCTTGAAAGGCATGCTTCACATCTAAGAAAGTAAGATTTTTTTAGTAATGAAATCCGCATGAGATAAAATGAAAATTCGAAGACTTTGACTTACGCGTTGAGAGTCCCACATTATGCCACTCGGCGCTATCCTTCCAGAAAAGCATCCATTGAGGAATTTTGAGCCCACCCACCTCTGGCATTCCAATGGCACCAACGGTGTCATAAACACCAACCACGTCCACTGTCCTCGAACCTTCTTGGGCCCAGTCATCATCCTGTGTGGCCCAGGTCTTACCATTGCCCGGCGCTCCACGACTGCTCTCTTCGATGAAGAAGTGTCCGTCTTTGACTTTCGCCTCTCCCCACAACCATTTGCACCAAGTCTCGCTGCGGAAAAACCGTTTCCCTGCGTTTTTCTTGTCGTTTTTGAAGGCCTTGTAGTGCGTCCAAAGCTCGGGGAAATTGTTGAGGTCTTCCTGGTGGCAGAGTCCAATGTCGGTGATAACACCAGCAATCGTGCGAGCAGTAAATGCGCCACGTGAGAAACCAAAAACCATGATTTGATCACCGGGATTATAGTTGAGAACGCAGAAGTTGTATGCCTCGACGACATTGCCTTCCAAGCCTTGGCCCGTGGCACCCTCGATAGCGGTTCCCATTGTTAAGGAAGTCGTGCCAACTCCAGAATCGTACCAGACAATCTGCGGCCATTGATTTCCGTGGGCATCGCTTCCGAAAGGGTTGATGGCGCGACAAAGGCGGGTGACATTGGAGGGAACGTTTTTCTCTCCCGAGACCGCCGACTGCCAGGTACCATCACAGCAGATGATGATGCGCTTCGGCTGACGAGGGAGTTTCCTGTCTGATTTATGTCGCGCCTGGATATCAGAGTCGCTTTCTGTGCTGGGAGGCATTGCGGAAGCCTGAAGAAGATGAAGATTCTGTACCAATGAACCTGATAAAGAGAAACGAGACTGAATGTAAGAAAGACTTATAATAATTCAACGTCAAGATTGAGTCTATTTATGTATTGTGAACTAGAAACACATTGACCACCCCTTCCACGCTCTCAAAAACACAATCTCGCTTTGAATCCCCAATTCTATTGACATCGGACGCTAAACCACATTGACCACCCCTTTTTACGATCTTCAAGTACGAACTCTCGCTTTGAATCCCCATTTTTGTATATAACACTCAATACACTTCAAGCTGTCCAGGCCTGGACTTTTCTTTGGGTCGGTAAAGCGGCAGGCCCGTAGGCAATATCCGGTGCTAAGCCTTTTTGGACTTAACGCGGTCCTGTTCAGCTCCCCACAGAGCCTTGTTCAAGCCTATAGAAGCACGTACTTCGTCGGCACAAAAAAATAGTTTCTTCAAGCGGATGTTTCCCACGTGCATGTTCGGGTTCCCCGCTCTGCTGAACTAATTAACGAGGATGCTGCTGGCAGAATCCCGACAAAATAAGCGACTAGGAAAGCGTAACGAGCTAGATGTAAGATTTGCCCAACCGCTTGATTAGGCAATTTCCTATGAATCTGAAAAAATAACCAAAAACATACAACAGCATGTTCCACGTGATGGTCACCTAGCGCCTTCGGTTTGGGCGTGGGCTCGCCGCTTTAATCAGCTCTCTTCAGGAATAATCTGGGACCTCTTAACGTTGTTGCCGCCCCGTATTTCTTTCTTGGAAGCCATGGGGATTGGAGAACGAGATTAAGGGTAGGTTCACATGAAACCCCTTTACTTGGTGCCAGGGTGCCTTGTTTCACGAAACTTAGTTATCTGAACAAACAAGACCAATGTTGAAAATTTTCGTTACTGCCATACAAACATTTATTCAACTGCATATGTTCGGCGATTATGTTTATTAATAATTTGGCTATTTAGTGACACTGCTATGCTATCATCCAGATTTTACCTAAACATACCCAGTTTGTTTATTTTGAGCGGGTAGTGGTAATCATCGGCCATATGATCGTCCATGTCTGCATGAAACTCTGGAAAATTATCAGTATAGATCTACCCGTGGAAGTCACGGTAGGTGATTACAACAGTGTCCACGTTTGCATCGTCATAGTTTGTTCTATTTGATCCATCACATTTGAATAACTCCCCTCTGCTTGGATCATATTACATTGTTGGCTTGAAGTGAATGATTTTGCAAATGGAGTTCGCATACAACCACAAAATGGAATGGAAGGATATTGCGGTTATTCAGCTCTCGGCGAAATCGCCAGGGCCTGCTCCCTTGTCCAAGTCTCCTGTCGTAAGATCCTCCAAATATCAATTTGAAGTACCTGAAACAAGTAACTAGCTAAAGTGCTTACTAGCCTACGCGATTCAAGGGCAAAAATCGGCTACTTTTCACACTCCCAACCGCTTTGACGATCCGAGCTCGAAATTGGATAGCCTGTACTTCTCTTCATCGCTATCCTCACAGAGCTCTCTTAAAAGATTTACATGAGCCCATACTAAAGAGTTGTCGTTGCAACAATGCGCGGCCTGGCGTGTATTCGGTAAAATTGACTGTGTCTCTGGCAAATACAAGAGTACCAACAAAAAAGACCTCTAACCAAGAAAAAAAAAAAGAACAGCTTTTGTATGACCGTGATCACCTAGCGCCCACTCGCCGCTGCATTTGGCCTACTTCGGAGCATTCCGGGTACATGTTCACTCGCCTGAATATTCAGCCCCTGAAGACAAAAGTTCCTCCTCGTATTTAGAGCAAGAACCACTACATGTAACTTTATCCATCTTCTCTAACCTACCCCTACCCTCAAAATCTAGTACAGGGAGAGTGAATGCGATCCCAGTCAGATCCAACGTCGGACTATACCAGAAACGTTGTGGACTTCTCGGCGAGTCAACATACCCTGCTTTCAAATATAAGGAGAATTGCAATGACTTCAATAGTAATTGCGATAAGAAGTGCATAGATACAAAGCACCTGAAATTTCCATCTAGCACAACGACAATGCTATTTGTTGTTGCCTTCGCTAGGTTTGCACGGGTTTAATCGTTATAGCCATCGGGTCCCAGGTGAGCGCACATCCAGGTGTGAGGTCCTCTTAGCCCAGTGCCGGGGAAGCCTCTGTTGAATGTTCCTCCTGGTGAATCTCTTGCTGGATTCTTCTGTCAATCTCTTCCTGTGCCAATCTCTTGGAATGATAATGCATTTCACCAACCAACAGTACAAACTGATAATCAGCCACTGAGATTCCTATCTCCTGCAATAATGTCTCGATATTTTCACCATTTCCTTGACTCTTTTCTTTGATAATCTCAAATAGTCGCAGCGCTTCTTCCTCCGAACTGACCCCCGAGAAGGTGTTCATATATTGGGTATTTCCTTCCTCAGTCTGGGGACACTCAGCTTGCAGATGACTTGGAGTAATAACTGATTCAGAGCATGTAGTTGGAGTCTGGTGCTTGGAAGTAGTCATCTTTTCTGCGGATCCGGAGTGAAAGGAGTCCTGAGGAGGGGGACTCGCGTGCCTCACAGGAAAAGCTCGTACAGGAAATATGATTTGACAAGCGAAAGAGTCAGGGTATGTCATCCGCTGAAGGTTGGACACGGCGTTGGGCATCTGGTCAGGCTGGCTAAACTTCGGACGAGACAAGTATTTTGTAGAGGCCAGCTGAAAATCGTTGATATAACGTGAATGAAGCTCTTGTCCCTCATCACTGAGCTCATTCATATTTCCTTGCTCTACGGTAGGATATGGCATGTTTTTTGACGCCTGTAAGGATTTAATCAAGCGTTAGAACTAAAGACAGTATGTTCATGACAAGTCTTCTCCTGCGTGACTTTAAACCCCGCTCGCCAAGCAGCTGACGACGGGGTTCCCCCCCAAAATCGACGCATTAGAAGCACAGCCCCATCGACCGAGGTCCAGATATAAATTCACGCGTTCTCGTGATCACGAACCTCTGTTTCCAAGGACCTTAAGATGGATCCGTTGTCTCTGACTGCCAACATTGCGGCTGTGATTGGCCTATTAGATGGACTATTTCGTCTCGGGAAACATACACATCAATTGATTTTGACAGTCAAAAAAACATCACACGATATTGAAAAGTTGAGATCAGAGCTGGAGGAAGTTGAATTTCTGCTTCTTAGCATTCAAGGTTACTGCGAGAGATATAGAAAGCAACACCCGTTGACGATTGCTCCTGCAAGTGCTACGTTCAGCCATATCCGCTTGACGCTTCAGAAATTAAAGCTGGAATATGAGTCTATTGAAGAGATTGTTGCTTCCAACTTTATGGGACCTGATATCAGCAAAAGGCAGCGAATTCGATTGTTCTACGATAGGGTACAACTGGCTTTTGGTGGGCAGCTGGCAGCCTCCTTTAAATCACTGGAAAACTACAAGTCGCAGCTGAGCATCAATCTCCAGGTTCTCACAGGGTTGGCAGCCATTTAGAAAACATGTTCTCTACTTTTATAGCTAACAAACATTGAAGGTTCAATGATCTTGCTGTGCATGACACGATGGACCACGTGAGCCGAGCTCTGTCATCCATCTACAGTGTTCAAGATACTCCAAGCGAAATTACCCGGAAAACGGAGAGCTCCTTCAGACCAGTTAAGAGACTGTCAAATCACATCAACAAGCTGTACGTCAGGAAATCAATTAAATCCACCATTTTCGCTGATGCAGGAGGAAGCTCTGTGTCCAACTGGATCGAATTTAACCTTGAGAGTGCGACCTTGCCTTTGATGCTTCTGAGACCAAATATTAACGAAGCACTGAGACTCTTGACGATAAAACAGATAATCCAAGCGAGTCTCCCTGTCAAGGACGTCATTTGGATTCGAGACGAGCTGGACGACTTACTTGCAGCTTGCCACACAACGGCTGCCGCTACACTGAAGAAGCCAACGGATTCTATCAATTGTAAATTCCCATATATGAAGCGGTCCGGTGACAAAATGACGCGCTTGCCTTCCCAAAACACCAGCCACCTTTCTAATCCATCAAGAATGAGGGAATCTATTGAAAATAGGTTTCTATCTCAGGAATCAGTCGCTGGTAATGTTTCAGTTCGAATAACGCTTCTCCGCAGCCTGAATAACAAGTACACTAAAATATCTGACGTCCTTTTCCTTATTACTCCTGAGAGGAAGGTTCATACAGATGGCCTTCTAATCTCACTGTCTCGCCTCGACGCGTTGCATACACCTAATATTCACCGCTCCATCTCTACATATCCAGTGGTAGACATCAAATCACCAGTCTTCGAGTGTGTCAGGTCCAATAATATTCAACATTTGCGGGAGCTCCTTGGGAATGAACAAGCATCCCCAAATGCTCGAAATCTCAAAAACGAGAGTCTGTTGTCGGTTAGTTCATATACTGAAAGCATTCAAGTCATTTTCAAACCGCTGAAAAACTACAGGTCGCAGCTAGGCAATTAAACTTTGATATATGCGAGCTTTTGATCAACGAAGGAGCGGATCCCAACAATTGTCGCTTGTAAATTGACGATATATTCTCTTTGAATTTGGTTTCAAGTCTGACTGACACTGCTATTTAGTGATGGCGCAACTGCAATTTATGACGTGCGAAATGCCTTTTGGTACCGACGAACCGATTACGATGTCCCGAGGTCTACGCTGAATAAAATCCTGCGTCTATTCATTAGATCGGGCTGCGATATAAATTCGGCTGCACTTGGTGGAAATCCCCTTCACTTCACCATTAGCCAGGCCTTGCCTGGATCGAAAGTTATACCCGCTACTGAGGTGTCCTTTTTACTCAACATGTTTATTTGTTTAGGTTGCGACACTGAACATCGCAACGGTGATGGTTTCACTCCACTGCTTTTCAACGTCTGCAATCCTGGACAGCAAAGTCTTGTGATAGTAAAAGAACTTCTAGATTTAGGAGCAGACTTCAGAGCAAAGACAAACTTTGGTGAGAACGCTTTGCACCTCGCCATCGCATATTCTATCCCAGGCTCGGTTCATGGCGAAAGGGGGTTTCACACATTGAAAGAACGTCTCCTGCTTTTGCTTAATGCTGGATGCGATCCATACGACAAAGATCAACATGGCTGGAGTGTTTCCGATTTTGCAATGAGCAGTCCAATTACTTGGTTTCAATGGTGCCTGGCCATCCAAAAAGTTCAGGGTTTGGGTATCGAGCGTCTCATCTACGATGAAATAAGCATTGATAAGTTTGATACCGTCATCAAAGAGTCAGAAGAACAGAAAAATCAAAGATTGGATGTTGAAGGCACTGGATCTGAATGGGAATCGTGTGGTGACAACAAAGAAGACAAAGTTTTGTCTTTCAGTCACTCATCGAATTATTGCTTGGCTTCAAATCACACCTTCCTCTCCTGGGGAGGGGCTTTCCCCTGGAGTATTCCTCCAATTTGCTATGAGTGTGGCCTGCTATTCGACTTGAATGACCTCAACCGAAGAAAGCAACAAGCGTTGCGTGTTTTTCAAAGTCTCGAAGCCCATGTATTAGTTCCTTAATAGCATCGAAATCATATCAACCAATCTTGCTTTCACTTAGCTTTTTGCTCTGTCTACTTCACACCTTCCCAATTACCCTAGTCAAGAGCTAAAGCGCACTTTACCACCTCCTATATATTGATACGACTTGATAAGTAGCAAGGATAATGTCAATCCATACATAGACATAGTACATACGATCATATGATGTGAGAAAAAAGGGCTTTCCATCTGCTCAGCGGTACGTATAATGTTTCTCAAATTTTATTCGGAAGTAGTCCGAACCTGGATTCATAATAATCGGAGAACATTATGCAGTCGACAGATAAAGCTGGGTTCTGATTTGAATAATGACAAACCCCTGGAATCAATTGATTGGTAATTCTTGCTGCGAACTTGCTTGTGGTCACAGGCCGGAAATCATTAAGTTGTTTGAATCTGTCTATGGGTAGAGCATACTCGGCTTTATGGCTTAGATGCATAATATGAGACCTATTGACATCATATCCTATCAATATACTACATGGACAGCGATCTAAGGATGTAATTCTTGACCATCGGGCTGACAATACGTGCAATAATGAACATTATTCCGTACATCCATAGATGACATGATTCACCACTTTTACTAATCAAGTACCTCTTCTTCTCTCCGGTCATTCAGGGCATAGATTGGTCTAATTGATAGTGGGGCTCTTAGTAATCCTTATGGGTCTAGTTACATAATCATCGTAAACCCACCGCAGGGTTTGCACTGTCTGTCGTTCCTTCAAACCACGCAAACACCTTTATCGTCAGTTTATCAGGTCAAGCTTCAGAACTCCGAATTGAATTATTGCAGGCAACATTGCCTCGAGCAATCTACCCACTTATTCTTCACCCTTGTCTGGGTGCAGCGCTTGTCAGGAATACCCCTGACTCCAAGTTGCTGGACCCACGAACTCGTGAACTCGCGACCGAGCTTTTGTCCGATAGAGCTCTTGTTGACGGCTTCACTTTATTGAACTTGCTCTGGCGATTGAGCGCACTGAGCAGAAAACAACCATTCCAGCTGGACCCTAATCAGAAAATACAAAGGCACACTTGTTCTCGAGCTCAACACAGCATTTACGCTTCACCTATCACGTTTGCGACAGTCGACCATGGCCTCAAACTCGACCCAACATCCTCCTCCTTCGCTCGGTGACCACAACTCTCAATCAACCTCGAATGTCCAGCTTGACCCGAACAACACTTATTCGGCAAGCGATAATCAGCTTGCAGGCTTGGTGGAAGCTGCGACCGCCGCGGCAGACCAAGATCAGGACCTATCGCATTGGGCTGCCGCTGCTGCCACCGCAGTTAGCCATCAACAATTAGACGGATATGGCGGAGACATTCATCTTGGTGAGGATGGGTTTGGCGACGCGAATTTTGGTGCGGGTATGGGAAGCGGGAGACATCTGAGGGTCCCAAACGAGCATTCCCAGAGCCCGGGGCTTTCTCGCACCGTGTCAAAAAAACGAAAGCGAAATGATGACAACCTCGACCCTGCTTTGACAGGAACAGACATCTCTGGGTCTCAGCAAAATGCGCAAGCATCACTGCCACCTTCACATGGGTACTCCGGCGATGGTATGGATATCCGTTCTGTGCCGCAGAGCTCTATGAATGAAGCTCGTATGGCTGGCGTACACTCTGCCGCTGCGCTTTTCCGTCAACCTTCCAGCAATAAGAAGTATACTCGTCCTCCAATGTCGAAGCTTTTCGCGTCCCTTGAATTATCGCCGGAAAACTTCCTTCATCTTCAAGCTGCAGCGAAGGCATATATGCTTAATGATGAGCATCCAGACCGACGAGATTGTGTTGGGCAGCGAGGCAAAGGAGATACAGAAATGGTCAAGCTGCGTTTGTGGAACTGTGTTCGACACTTTCTCGAGGCTGAGGGTAATGGTGCTCGGTTCTTTGGAGAGAATGTAGTCAACGAGGGCATGGGTCCAAGAACTCACACATGGCCTCGTGATCAGCAGAGAATCATTTCGCTTGTGATCCCCTTGTTGCGAAGAATGGTGACAAACGAGAGACAGAGACAATATGCTATTGAAAGCCGTAAAGGTGGTGGTACAGATGATCGTCGGCGACGTCAAACCAATGACGGTTTCGAGCGTATGACTGATCGTATGAATGGTCCCGTTGTGCCCCTTTCGCCGGACAACGTAATTCGATATCACAATCAGGATCATCGACCCGGCGATATGGAACAAACAATGCCACCTGCCCCGTCGGTTCAGACCCACCCCCATCAAGGCCCCGTTGACTCTACTCATGTTGTGGATCTTGGTCTCACTGACCTTTTCTTGGACGGATACACTCTTAACTACGACATTGCCAAGTCCTACGAATTATACAACCAAAACTTTGAGTTGGATAGCTTGTGGTCCTTGTCCGGTCTTCAGCAACCAGACTGGCGTGGCCTTGTGGCAGCTGTTGATAGTCACTACCGGATTATTCACGACGGTGAAGCATCATGCCCGAGTCCTTGCGAGGATGCGAACATCAATCGCATAATTCATGCAGACTCCACAGCAGGTCTTCACTGGCGCATTGGAGGAGAAGGACACTCCCCGGCACGTGATGAATTGTACGTTTACACTCTGCACACAAGCAAAGAAAGTCACTAACCCTCTCAACAGTGCTAGCAGCATCACCCGTGACGTGTCGAGAATTATCCGTGAGAACATCGTTCGACGAAGCCATGAAACCGGTCACGACGGTGGCCCGATTTCGAACCACCAATTTCACCAGCAGCCATTTGCTCCGCTCCCATCAACCCATGTGCACCCACCTACGTCTACAGACCAGATCTACATGCGTATCAACGTGATCCAGGATGGCAAACGAATCCTCCCCCAATTCGATCTACCAGCTGACCAGGTGCCCGGCCCCGAGGCAGCCAAGCAGGCTATCCTGCGCCGCTACTCTGGGCAAATCCCCAGTCTGCCCTTCCTGCAAGGCTCGGACAGTGATGATTCTGTTGCTCAGCAGGCACGAGAGGCCGCAATGGCAACCTGGAAGGTCAAGGTCTGGCTTCCAGATGGTCTCGAAGTATTCTCGAGCGATAATGACTGGAACTTTGCCCTCCTTACTGCGAACACTGTGGACTGGATGGATCGAAACTTGAAGGTTCTAGTGGAAATTGATGGGACCAATGCCCACTAAGTGACTGCGTCTATTCAAGCACAGTCTTGCCTTTGTTGAGGTAATTATCCATGTCCTCCATTCATGGTCATTGTTGTCTCTCCGGTTGACTGGTGGCTTAGAGCTATGTTATGACTTTATTTGAGCGAGTTTCTGTCACGTTTGCTTTCTCATACCCTTTTACGTTACGATATTATTACTTCTTTCTTGTGTTATTACTTTATCTTTCGTGCCGAATGTCGGCCAAATGAAACCGATTCTTTACTACGGAATGACCTTGAAAAACTTACACAAAGTGTGAACATTCCTGATGTCTTAAATGTCTGCTTGTTCATTATTCAAAGAATACCCATTCTACTGCTTGCCCTCGGTCAGATATTGAGTCTTCATAATATGTACTTCAAATCTCATTGCTAGCCTATTCAATTCGAGATTCTCACAAAAACGTATTTCGTCTTGTATTCAAAATTAAACAAAACTCCATTCTATGCGCCGTTCTATATCCAAAACCAGTTGGATAAGAATGAAAATAATGATGTTCAGAAAGAAAGGCAGGGTTTTGAATCAGCCCCGCTGTCATTCAGTGGCCAATCACCCTGCCATCACCAAGGGTTTATTTGTTGTGGATGAACAACGTTCGCAATGAATCCCAATGATCTGAGTCCGAGTAGCTGTATCATACATATTAGCACCATATACAAATGAGATTGGCGTAGAGGGAATAGGCGGAGGGCGACATACATATAAACCATGCTACTCCGCAAGCTGGACGCCAGGGTTTCAGGATACCATCGGAAAATATACATGACAAATGCCCAGGTAAAACTGGCGAAAGCGGGCCAGGCATGATCGTAGATCTTGGTGCGGGATTCTGGAGTGAGAAGGGGGGAGAGAGGGTGCATGTTGGGTTCGACGGCGAGTTTGGCGAGGGACAGCATCACGCGAGCGAAGACGTAAATGACAATCTTGAATGGTGTTAGCTTCCGACAGCTTATATTTTGAACTAGATAGATGTCATGTCATACCTGTTGGCTGATACTTCCTCGCTGTCGTCCGAAGACAGCATATCCTCCCAACAAGCCCGAAAAGAAGCTATCGTATCGGCCTTCCTTTGCTAGGCCCGAAGTGTTGATGTTCCGGAGGACAATCATCGACAGTTTATATATGATCGCAAAGGTGGCAAGGTTTCGCGCATGTAGGCGTGTTGCGCTGAGGACAAGCTTGACTTTTTCCCGGAATCTATAGGTTTATCCATTAGCCGACGGAAAACTTGACTTGCCTGAAAGAGCGAAGAAGTAGCACTCACGATCCTGATCGGAACAGAAAAATCATTCTAAGTGGAGATTTAAGGTCAGTTTGGCTTGTTCTTCCATACTATATCTCGGTCTGAGAGCTCCGGGGCACATACACCAGCGCATGCGGAAACCGCACTTTCGATCCATAGACGATACCATTGCGGGCACCTTTGACTAGAGATAATAACGGTTGAAGTTCGGGCTTGAGAATGAGGGCGTCCAGTTGAGTCTTGCATCATTATCCGTTAGTATTGTAGATCTGCATGTGCTTCCGGGACCGGTACTCACTAAGAGCGTATCCATGGCGTCGCAGGACCTCAGGAGGTCAAACAGAGACGAAGGAGACTACTCGGTGATTTCACCACGGCGACAAGTCTGAAGGTTGTTGAAGGTCATTAGGGGAAGAATAAAAGAGAATATGGAGGGGAAGAGGAGTACGGCACTTGAGTCGGACCAGCGCGAGGGAAAACGCCTCGGCATGTGAGATGATGCCGAGAGGGCCGACGTCATGGTCACGTGGATATGTCGAATTCATTGAAGATGAACATTTGAGATAGATTTTATAGAATCGAATTCTAGGAACATACATGAACAAAATGGATGGCTGTATTTTTTTGGTCACAGTCAAATATAGATACTTTTCCATGCCGGTACATGATATTCTGCAGTTTTGCAGTCGAAAAAGCACAAACCCTAAACCGGCCCAAAGAGAACGCCTTGACAAGAAGTTACAACATGCAAGTAGATCAGGTCTAGTCTGTACGAGCCCGCTTGTGGCCTTCCTCTTCCAAAATCTCATCCACATCCATCATCTCCATCTCCTCGTCATCGTCCGACTCGACCTCGGCTCGGCGCTTCAGACCCTTCATCTTGCGAGTCTGGAGACCGCCCAGATCTTGCTTAGCCAAGTGAACACGACCCATCTTGTCACCAACAGCGTCTGTGGTGATGTTCTTCTTGGTTCTGGCCTCCTCGTTCGGTCGCTTGCCTTGCTTCATGGCCTCCTTCATGGCATCCGGTGCCGCAGGACGGAAACGTCCAATCTTGAAATCGAACTTGGGACCAATCTCCTCTAGTTCCACACGGGGAAGCTTGTGACCACTCCGCTTGGTAAGGACCTTATACCATCGCAGGTGCACAACGGGGGACAGATCCTCGCGCGGCTCCTCGGCGGCAACCATCAGCACGTACTGCAGACCCTCAACGTCGATACGGTCGGTCTCCTCGCCCTTGAACATATCCAGGAAGAAGCTCTTGAGCATGACATGCGATTGGGAGGTCGGGTCGTCCCAGGGGCTTCCTGCGAACAGCATCATTGGGCGCAGTCCTTGGCCGACGTGCATGACCAGCTCATTGATCGGAGGAATATCACCTGCCTCGGCGGCAGGCAGAAGGATCAGCTCACACAGATCCAATAGTTGTGAGCTGAAAATTCGGGCAAGTGTGAGACAGTTGGGTCGCTTCTTGTTGCTGCTTCCGTAGACTACCAGGCCGCACTCGTTCTTGTTGGCCATGAACTCCAGGCTCTCGGTGTTCTCAAAGGGGTGAACATTGGCATTCTTCTTGTGGAAAAGCACGGAATTGGGCTTAGTCAGGGAGTTAAATGTCTTGAGGACGGTGTCAAGTGCCTGAGGACATTTTGTGCCGTGCAGCAGTAGTGTCTTTTTCGGGTTCTCGATGAGTTGAGGCTCGCGCGCCTTCAGGATACGCGCAGTGCGCGGGTTCTTAGCTTTACTATAAGAGATGAGTTAGCGGTGGAATGCTTATTTGAATGACTTGCGCAAACGTACACTTCACGCAACATGATGGGTGGGCTGTGGTTTTCTTGAAGACTCGGCGTAAAAAACGCAACAGAAAAGTTTTGGGGGAAAGGCTTGGCATCCTTATCGATAAGGATCCACCTTGGACTTCAATACTAAATGAAACAACTAGAACTAGAACATACAGCTAGTATATGTACGAATGAATAGCTGACTAACCCCTGATGCTAAGCTGAGCAACCTTGATAACTTATGTATCTCTAATGCTCTGGTGCATATTGTTTGAATATAATATAATATATGCATAACCAGCTCTAGTCCTGATTAGGATTTGCTGTCGAAGTTGTGGCCTAAGGCAGAAACATCTGTAATAAGCGTTGTGCACAGAAATGATAGGAATTCTCCCTAAAATTCAATAGTTTTATCGACTCTTATTTCTATATAGTGAAATAAAACAGATGTATATGGCTTTCATGTTGGCGATCTCACAGTTCCTGTGAGGTTTGTAGCCCATCTCAAAGCAATTAGGAAGCTGCAAGTAAGGACACACTCTGGAGTCAGGACCCTCACTGTAAGCCAGTGATCGTCCAGTCGTGCTTCTATCTATGGTCGCCCTCATGTTGTGGGTTTGCAACTCGATGACTTATGCAAAAGATTTATCAGAGCAAAGTGAGACTCGAAAAAGAAATCGGTAATGATTCATTCCTGGGTAATACTTTTCATCTATAGACCAAGTACGTGGCTTACTCCAGACGAAGCTTCTCAAACTCCTTGATTTGCTCCTCCAAGTGAGCAGCCTCGCTCTCCGCATCACGGAGGCGCTTCTCTTCAGCCTCGCGGACCTCAAGCTTGACCTTGTCCTTCCAAGTAGGGGCGCTCATGATGGTCTGGGATCGGCGCACGGTCTCACGGGCCCTCTCAAGGGCAGCCTTGGCCTTCTCCTCCTGCTCCAGAGCAACCTCCTTGGACACACGCAAGTAGACAGCAGCCTCAGCGCCAACAGCAGCCACGACACACCCAGCCGGTGGGGTCTTGTTCTCGGGGCCTAGGTGGGACAGCTCACCAAGGGTCTTGCCACCCAGTGACTTGATGGTGGTGATCTGCTCAGAGACGGTCTGCTGGCTGGTGGCGTCGTAGGTCTGGATGATGATATCTCCCTTGGTCTTGACATCATACTGGGCCAGAATGGAGCGGATGGCCTTTGAGCTGTTCAAGATGAGCTCGTAGGCAGCCTCGGCAGCCGGGTCTTCAAACTCGGCCTGGTACTCGGGGTACTTGGCCCGCATGATGGAGATGGTCTTGTCTTCGGGGCGGCGGGGCAGACGCTGCCACAAGTGCTCAGTCACGAAGGGCATGATCGGGTGGATCAAAGTCAGGGCTCCCTCCAGTGCGGTGTAAAGGGTCTGCTTAGCGGACTCCTGAGTCTCGGGGGAAGCATCGTCGGCCAACAGGTACTTGGAGTTCTCAATGAACACATCGCAGAGCTGGCTGTACCAGTACTGGTAGATGATGTTGGCAGCGCTGGAGAACTCACGGTTCTCCAAGACCTCGTTCACCTCCTTGGCGGCCAAGTTGAACTTGTGCAGAATCCAGCGCTCGGACAAAGACTCGTGGCCAGTCTTGGTGACCTTGGCCTGAGGCTTGAAGTCGTCTCCTAGCTTACCGAGGACGAACTTAGTAGCCTGGTAAATCTTGTTACAGAAGCGACGGTATCCGTGAATGACCTGAACATCGAAAGCAATGTCACCACCTGGAGAAAAGTTAGTAAAGAAACATTGGAGTAACGAGGAAAGTATTACATACCACCGGTAGTGTAAGAAACAAGGGCAAAGCGCAGAGCGTCAGCACCGCACTCAGGGATACCCTTGGGGAAAGCCTTCTTCTGATACTTGGTAGCAGTGGCAATCTCCTTTTCGGGCATGTTACCAAGCAACAGCTTATCGTGGAGAGTCTGCAACTGAATACCCTCCATAACGTCCAGAGGATCGATGACGTTACCCAGAGACTTGGACATCTTGCGGCCCTCAGAGTCACGGATCAAAGAGTGGCAGTATACCTCCCTGAAGGGAATCTGGCCAGTCATCTTGATACCAAGCATGATCATACGTGCAACCCAGAAGAACAGAATATCCCAGCCGGTTTCCAGAACCGAGGTGGGGTACAAGTTCTCAAAGTCATGGGTCTTGCGAGGCCATCCCAAAGTCGAGAAGGGCCACAGACCAGAGGAGAACCAGGTGTCCAGGACATCCGGATCACGAACCAGTTCGAACTTCTTGTCAGGGAACTTGGCCTCAGCCTTCTTGCGAGCATCCTCCTCGGTACGTCCAGTCACCCAGAGGTTGCCATCACTGTCATCACCCTGCTCGCCCTCAATCTTGACGAAGTAGGCAGGGGCCTGGTGACCCCACCAAAGCTGACGGGACAGACACCAGTCGTTCAGGTTACGCATCCAGCGGAAGTAGCTCTTCTCTGCACTCTCGGGTCGAATGATAATGTCACCCTTCTCCACGGCCTCAATAGCAGGCCCGACAAGGCTGTCCATCTTCATCCACCATTGCGGCTTAAGGATAGGCTCGATCACATCGTTCGACTTGGCGCAACGAGGCACCTTCATGGGGTTGTGCTCCCACTTCACATACAGGCCCTTCTCCTTCAGCGCGTTGATCACAGCGTAACGAGCATCGAAGCGCTTCATACCAGCGAAAGGTCCACCGTTCTGGTTGAAGGTACCGTCATCATTCATAACAGAGATGAATTCAAGGTTGTGCTGCTTACCACGGGTGAAATCGTTGAAGTCGTGAGCAGGAGTGATCTTCACGGCACCAGTACCGAATTCGGGGTCGACGCCTTCATCGGCGACGATAGGCATCAAGCGGTCAATGAAAGGGTGACGGGCATTCTTGCCAATCAAGTGTCCGTAACGCTTGTCAGTAGGGTGGACGGCGATACCGGTATCACCGACCATGGTCTCTGGACGAGTAGTAGCAATCTCGATACGCTCTGTGCTGCCATCAATCTCATAGCAGAAGTGGGTCAGGACACCAAACTCGACCTTCTTATCATAACCAGGCACATCCAGGAGAGTTCGGCCCTCAAGATCCTTGTTCTCCACCTCAAGGTTAGAAAGCGAGGTGTTCAAGGCCACACACCAGTTGACCAGGCGATTGGCTCGGTAAATAATACCCTCTTCGTGGAGACGAACGAAGGTCTCGGTCACAGCGGCGGACAGGTTTTCATCCATGGTGAAGGCCTCACGAGACCAATCAAATGAACCACCAACTCTTCGCAACGCGTTTTTAATGTTGGCGTGGTATACATCCTTCCAGTCCCAAATCTTGTTGACCATAGCCTCACGTCCCAAGTCATGACGAGTCTTCTTCTCGTTCTTCCAGAGCATCTTCTCGACAACGCTCTGAGTCGAAATACCGGCGTGGTCCATTCCAGGAAGCCAGAGGGTAGTCTTACCCTTCATACGCTGCCAGCGAATCATGGTATCTTGCAGGGCGTTGGTCAAAGCGTGACCCATGTGCAGAGAGCCGGTAACGTTGGGAGGAGGAATGGGAATGACGAAGGAGCCCTCGGGCTTGACCTTGCCATCGGGACCCCATTCGGGCTTGAAGAGATCTCGCTCTTCCCACCACTCGAGGCGGCCGGCCTCGATGACTTTGGGATCGTAGGCGTCTGTAGTCTTCTCCTTCTCAACCTTGGCGGCCTTCTTGTCAGCCTTGGGAGCGGCGGCAGGTTTGCTCGCAGCCTTGGCCTGCTTCTCTGCAAACTTCTTCGCCTTCTCAGCCTTCTTGCGCTCGCGCTCGACTAAAGAACAATCACAATGTCAGCCGCTCGTCCTGTATCGTCATAGTATGCAGGAGTATCGGAGGGCAGTGGAAATCGATCGGGTCCGTGGGGTTGACATACGCTCCTTCTCTGTCTTCACCTTAGGAGCAGCTGAGGCATCCTGTGCGCCCTCAGCCTGAGGTTGCTGAGCGGCGGGGGCATTGGACTCCCCAGCTATCGAGTGTTAGTGATGCAACTGGGATGAGTCACGTCTTTTGAGTGCAGGACGTACTGGGGATTTGGGCAGAGTTCTGAGCCATCCTAGAAAATGATCGATATTGCGGAGGGAATCTCCAAGGCGCCGATCGCGCCACGAATCGCCGGATAAGTATCTTGAGGGAGTTGACAAGGAGGAGGGGTGGTTGTGCGAAATGCGGGCAAATTAAATTTCCCACGCAGAGGCAACGAATGAGAAGGCGGGGCTGAACTGAGGATCGGTGGAGACCCCGATGCAGGACTATGACTCAATGCGTATGAAGAAACAACAGGAATCCAACATTGAATCAATTAGTTGATGGATATTTCTCTTGTTGCGACCCTTTTACTGCGCGTTCTTGTCTTCTAATTTGAAATTAGGAGCGCGTTCTCACGTGATGGCGCTGGTGCCAACGGGCGATCTGATCTATATCAACTAGAAGGTCATTTCCAGTACATTAGTAGATATAGACATTCCGTTGTATTACTTCTTACGAAACTCAATGTTCCAAGGTTTGCTGGATATTAGCAAAACACTTCAAAATACTTCATTTCCCTTGAACAAGGTCTTCATCGCTCTAGAAATTGTGCATGAAGACAAATCAATTGCAAGAAATCAAAGGAGAAGTACGATATATAGATCAATAAAGGCAAGACCATAACACCGGACCAACGGCGAGGGAAAGAAGAGAAATGGTGACAAGGAAAGGCAGCGCTATACAATTAGACAGTATGGAAGAAAAGCCATTCCCGCTCTAAGACGTCAACTGATTTATTGCGCTCACTAATACGTCTGTAGAACCGAGGCTATGTAGGCTTGATGGGCCCAAGAAGATTAGGTCATGTCTTGTCATCAATGTCGTCTCCAGTCGGGAGTCAGATCACCCATTGCAACCACTCTTCACTTGGGAGGGGGAGGAAGGCCTAGTGAAGATATAGCCAGGTGACTGCGTCGAATCTTTCTCCTTCCGTTTTCTCGATCGTGCACCGACATAGCGGTATGGTTAAAACTCAGATAAAAGGAGAGGGTCCATAAGGTCAGGGTGCTTATTCTGATGGCGTAAGGGCGACATGGAGGAAAATAGGAAAACAGGAGGAAGTGCAGAGAGGAGACAGGTAAGCCATCATCATCGCACCAAAGAAGTTCAGGATTGGGTTGCGTTGTTGCGGGCAGCAGCGCGGACGGGCTCGAAGTACGGGTGTGCCATAGCCTCTTGGGCAGTCAGGCGTTCCTGGTATCGAGGGTCAGCTGATGGAATTCAGATTGAGATATAGTATAACTTACGTTGTGATCATAACGCAGGAGTTTATCGAGGAAGTCGATTGCCTCATCACTGACAAAGCGCTGGTTTTCAGCAGTGACAAACGAATGCCAGGGCTTCCGGGGGAAACGCGAGAGGATCTCGTCGTACTGCGGGTCAAGCTCGATATCGTACTTGTCCAGGTACTCAAAGAGTTCCTCGGTTCCGAGGACCTTGGCGATCTTCACCAATTGATCCGAATTGCTGTTGCCGTGGAAGAAAGGCTCCTTGCGGAAGATCATTGACGCGAACATGGCACCGAGTGACCACATGTCCAGAGAGTAGTCATACTCTTGGAAGTCGACCAGCAGCTCAGGACCCTTGAAATAGCGTGAGGCAACACGGACATTGTATTCAGTACCCTTGTGGTAGAACTCCGCCAGACCCCAGTCAATCAAACGCAGCTGAAAAAGAGTTAGAATGTAGAGTCATTACCCAATATCATATCAAATAACGAACCTTGCGCTTCTCGTGATCAATCATGACGTTGTGGGGCTTCACATCTCGGTGCATGATACCCTTGCTGTGGCAGAAATCAAGGGCCTTCAGCAGCTCATTAACGTAGAAGCGCACATCATAATCCGTAAAGCGGGGGTAAAGTGTCCGGAAATCGGTATTGTTGACAGCTTCAAACACAAGGCTAGGAGTCTTGCTCTGGTTGTCGCGCACTACATCCAGCAACGCGACAACGTTGGGTCCTCCAGCGAGATTCTGAAGAATCTTGATCTCTCGCTTAATCTTCTTCTTCTTGACGGGCTTAAGAACCTTGATGACACATTTCTGATAGTTGACGACATTGATGCCCTCGAATACCTCGGAGTACTTTCCTCGGCCTAAAATAGATGGGTCAGCAGGAGGTCGATCAGAGGGACCCCACACTCCCGGCTTGGGCGCAGGTGATGCCGCCATTCTCCGGGGTTGGGATGGCTCCAATCAGATTCACCGTACCTATCTTGCGAACAATCTCGTAATTTTCCAACACACCCCAGGAAATGTTGACACTGTCGTAGTCCCAGTAGGACCGAGGCATATGCTCGTTGACATCGGCGTAAACACGCGCCATGATAATCGCAGATGGCTTCCGAATCCGCCCACAATCGAAATCAGATACGGCGGGGCTTTTAAGCGGGGGTCGCGACCGGGCGACGAGGAAAAAAGGTCGAAATCTGAGGAAGTCGAAGGGTATACAGAAATAGAAGGCCCAGCAACTGACCAGCCCGAACGTAGCCGTTCGATCGATCGGTCCTGAAAGCAATGGAAAATGGAGGGGGAGATATTAATATGAGAGCGAGATCTCCTGTTCCGCCTTGTCACGGGATTGCTGTGTGGAGAGCAGTCCGAAAACAGTTAGACTGTGTGTCTCGGGCTAAGGTTCCTCCGGAGTGATTTTCAAGTTGCCTGTTTCGGACTATTTCGTGACCTGAGATTCTTTGCTAAAGATCTCCGGAGCTTTGAACTTGGCTATCGCTGCCATTTTATTGCTCAAAGGCCACCGACATCATGTTCTATGATCTCAATGTCCCATATAGCCCGGATGACCCTGAGGTGCCCCACACTCTGAATTTCCTGGCTGAACGTAAGTCATTTTGCCAGCCCTAATTACCCACCTGGATACTCCTAGGCCACATGAGGTACTGACCTGACTCTCAAGTTGGTTACACTACCATCGCTCTGTCTCAAACAATCACTGGGAAGCTTCCTGCGAGCCTCACACCGCCACCTCTTCCCCCCAACCCACCAAAAACCCTCCATTTATTAACCCGCCTGAATTTGACCCTCTCCGACCCCGCCCAGAATCAGCGGCTGAACAATTTGACTCAGGCATACGACCTGGTCGCACTTCGCCCTACAAACGAAAAAGCTCTTCTTAATGCCTGCACCAACCTGGAATGCGATGTGATCTCACTTGATCTTTCGGTGCGCCTACCATACCACTTCAAATTCAAAATGCTGTCCGCTGCAGTATCACGTGGTGTTCGTCTGGAGATCTGCTATGGTCCAGGAGTCACGGGCAGCGGTGTGGATGCTCGCCGAAATCTTATTGGGAATGCTATGGCCTTGGTTCGGGCGACACGCGGCCGCGGTATTATCGTGTCAAGTGAGGCTATGAGAGCTTTGAATTTGCGAGCTCCGTGGGATGTGATCAATTTAACATGTGTATGGGGTCTGTCACAAGAGCGCGGCAAGGAGGCGATCTGCGAAGAGGCGCGGAAGGTCATTGCGCTTGCCAGGCTGAAGCGAAACAGCTGGCGCGGTATTGTTGACATTGTTCACGGTGGGGAGAAAGCCAATCCAGAAGACAACGCATACAAACAAAAAGGCGCAGAGAAGTCGGATAAAGGTGCTGATAACTTGAAGAGGAAAGCTTCTATCGGCTCCGAGGCTGTTGCCGAAGAAGCTGAAAAGCAGCTGTCGAAACGAGAAATGAAACGACGAGCGAAGAAAGTTCGCCTGGAATCGCGAGGAGCCGATGCAAGCTGATTGGTTTGAGTCGTTTGTTTCCTATCCACACAGATCATAATGGCAGATGGCATGCAGATTGGCGTCTTCCCAAGCATCGACAGGCATTACTCTCCTTGCGACGAGCCTAGCACTACCAGCACCACGAAAATATGCTGGTTGACTCGTCACGAGTTTACTCATACATCATCCTTGACCGATGTCAGATATCGAGGCTAGATGGCCGTCGGCTACATTCACGAGGCTCTATGCCCTTCCAAAGTGATTATACTTTGCCACTCGCCCGCTAGCCTTGGATGGGGCCGATGGATTAGAGTGTTCTCCTGATCTGGCCATTTGTGGCAGCAACCTCACAAACCTTCTGGGCAAAATCTTAGCCAGTATTCCTGGGTAAATTCCATCAACAGCAATGCCGTTGTACATTATCTATTTGCTTTATATCCATGTGTCTTGAGCGAATTACATACCCTTTATTTCACTTTCTAGTCTCTCTTGAGAACTGTAAGTCATCTTCCCATATTGTAATGTGCGGTCCGGTGAAGTTTAAACAGCCTTCCTGCTTAGCCAGTATATAGTCATTTGTTACTATTTTCGACTCTATATGGTTTTCTCCATTCGCCTGGCCTAAAAGAAATTGTACATACTGTACATATAACTCCTGGCATTGAAGACCAACCCTCGGCCTACACATACTATATCATCTACCCCTATACTATATGCTTAGGTAGGATATTGAGTGGGATACTGTGCAGGAGACTAGGTAGCAGATGCTTGGAAGATGGAAGGACACTATTCTCCACAGAAAAATCCATAGATTGACCAACGGCCAAAGTGTAGTTGAGCCATATCTAGGCTCACGAATTTACGAGTCGTTCGTAGCTTTAAGCCATTGCATTGAAGAAAGATATTCAGATCGATCTCGTCATTCTCAGGATTGATTTGGAAGTCGATTCTGACTCGTCTATTACAAGCCCCCAGCAAGCTTACAAGGGAATATGATGGGACCTCGGAAGTAGGAGAGATAGGAGATGCAACGGACCGGGAACTTTCTAGGTATGGTTGTCTGAATGGCCCGGGGGCTAGCGTACTTTACATATGTATGTGAAAAGTCGAAAGACCTTAGATTCCCATGTTTTGAACTTAGGATCAGCACTTGCTCTTGATCAAGATGCCTGAAAACATTCTTTATCTTCAATTTTACTTCTTAATCTTCCTTCGGGACCGCTACCAAAGTAGATTGATAGTAAAGGGGGTGAACAATTAATTTACATATTTGCATGAAGCCCTCCCTGCCACTTCAGTATGTAGTACTACTTACATATCCAAGATAGATAAAGCAGCACATCCTGGGGGAAGGAAGTGCGCTATCAAGGTACACTGGAATTTGTTTGAACTCCATCTCCATTCATGAGATTGGTCTCAAACAGACCGCGATGGAAGAGCCCCGTTCCTCAGTTCCTCTCGCACACTTGTCGCCAACTCAATCGTCTCACGAGGGAGACCGGCCAATTGAGCAACTTTCAATGCGTGCGACTCTCGGTTTACACCTTTTCGAAGACGGTGGACAAAGGAGAAGGAGCCAGACTTTGTCTCTTTGACATCTGTGCAGTATCTCTCCAGGTGTTCAAACTTTTTTGTCATATCCGCTAAGCTGTGGAAATGTGTAGCAAAGAGCGTACGAGACTGATTGTGATAGTGTAAGTGGTGAAGACAAGCAAAGCTCACAGCTGTCCCGTCTTCAGGAGTTGTGCCTCGACCCACTTCATCCATAATCACAAAAGATCGGGGGGTAGCCTGTTTCAATATGGAAGCAGCCTCGAGCATTTCCACCATGAATGTCGACTGATCGCGGAAGAGATCGTCCGCTGCCCCAATGCGACTGAAAATCTGGTCCACAATTCCTATCTCGGCGTATGCTGCAGGAACGTATGAGCCCACCTGCGCGAGTATTGTGATCAAAGCATTCTGGCGCAGGAAGGTACTTTTACCTGCCATGTTTGGGCCAGTGATAAGCCAGACCCTTTCCTCTTCGCCAAGGAAGCAGTCGTTGCTCACAAAGGATCTTCCCTTCTCCTCGAGGCCGAGTTTGACTGTTGGATGTCTTCCTCCAACGATCTTGTGGGTGGTTCCTTCATTGAGAATGGGTCGAACCATCTGCTGTTCTTGAGCAAGAATGGCAAAAGAACAGGCAACATCCAACTCATCCATGACAGCTGCATTGCGGCGAATTTTGACAAGATTCAGAATCACTTCACGGCGTAGGCGCTCAAAGATTGCCTGCTCTTCTTGGCGAATCCGTACCGTCACGCGGTCCATTTTATTTCCTAGTTCCGTCCATGCAGGGAGATAAAACGAGCGGGTGGATTTGGTGGATGACACAGTTCGAGTGACTCCTAACTCTTCAAGAGATGCTTGTGAGATTTTGGCTCCTTTAACGTGGCAGATATGGCCCAGACCAGGAGTCCACTTCAAATTCAGGGCTGAAGACCCAACATAGTCGCGGAGTCGCTTAATTAATGCGACTTTAGCATCTTGCAAACCCTCTAACTCCGTATGCAGGGCATTTAAGACCTTACTCGCATCGCGCCTCATTATCCATGTCTCGATCGACCCGGCTTCAGGCTCAGCTGTTGTCTTGTCGCTTTTTCTGGCTCTAACTTTCTTGGGCAATGACTCAAGATCACTTGGAGTACCTTCATTTATGGTAACTTCTTGTGCCAAACTGGCTGCTTCAGCTGCAGTGCTATCCTCGATACGCTGCTTTTGAAGAAGGCCCTCTTCGTCAATGGCGGCGAGAATTTTATCTGCGAGTGCAGTAGGCCCCTCAAGATAAAGGCGTGAAATCATCGATGTTAGACTGTTTTTAGCATCCGAGGCACTTTCGGGAGCCAACCGTTCATAGTCGGAAAGAACCTGTTTTACACCTTTGGATGCTTCAACGGCCCGTGAAAGGCAGATCAAATCATCTGGGTCTCCTTTGCCCATGGCAAATTTCTGGACTAACCGCTGGGAGTCGTAGCTGCGCTTCAGCAGTTGAATTACGCTGTCACGAAGATCTTCGCTTTCGATAAAAACCGAAACAAGATCGAGTCGCTCGTTGATGACCGGAAGTGACGTAGACGGAGAAGCTTCGAAGGATGATTAGCAATACAAATGATAAGTGAATATTCAACAACCTACTGAGTCGATCACGTAAAAGACGGGCACCACTCTTGGTAGAAGTCCTGCGCACTGCGTGAAGCAAACTGCCCTTCCCGAAACCGTCCCGTGCGGTTTCGAGCATTTCAAGCCCTCTCAGGCTATTGCGATCAATGCTCATTGACTCATCCAGATGTCTCCGACGTGGAGGTTGGAGTTTGAGATTCGATCCCTGCAGCTGCACTCGAATATATTCGAGTAGGCTGTACCCTGCGGCTACTTCTTCAGGGGAAAAAGCTGCATGCATATCCTCCGGGACTGGAGACTCTAGCATATGGCCCCATTCTGACATTGGCGCAAATGTTTCCGGAAATTGAAAGAACGTCACAAGTCGATGCTCATGTCCAACAAGCTGCTGCAACTCTTGCCCGATAAGATCTTGAACATTCTGATCAACGAGTATTTCACGAGCTCCGATTCTGGCAATGGCAGATGGAAGCGTTTGAGTCGTTGTCAGCTGAGTGAAGAAGTCTCCCGTTGAAAGGTCCAACCACGATAACCCTACACGTTGAGGGACGGAGGACAATACATGTTGTGAGGAGTCAGGGTCAACGTGTTGGTTTGATTGGGCTTCCAAAGCAGAATTATCTAGATATATGGCCAACAGGAAATTGTTTTCGGAAGGATCGATGAACTTTTCATCAATCAAGGTGCCTGGGGTAACGATCCTGGCCACTTTCCGATCAAACAACAAGCCTCCAGACCGAGCTTTGTCTTCCATCTCGTGGGCAAATTCTTCACTGATAGCGACATATTTGTTAAGGTCCTGGACGAGAATTTTGAGAAATCGGTCTAATTGGAAAAAGGGGAAACCAGCCATGGGAACTGGCCCGGCGCTGGTTTTCTTGGATGCTAGCTTCAAACTAAGCAATGGCGCAAATTCTTCGGCTTGCTCAAAGTAAAGCTATCCAACGTTGTTAGCACTTTTGAGTTTCTGTATTTCGAGTGATACATACCTCATAGAAGCCCCCTACTCTGGTCAGGATCACACAGTTTTTGAATTGCTGCATATTGTTGCGGTGTCCTTGAACCACAGTAGGGTACCGGGGAGCATCATCAACTCCATCATCATATGTGTCCAATTTGATAACGCCCTGTGGAAGATCTTGCAATTTGACTGTGGCCTGGGTTTTGGCGCCTCTTCGGATATCAGCTGTCGCGCTGATAGAGACGCGTGGATGTACTATAGTGCGACGCGCATGGTGGCATATGGTCCGATGAGTATGACATTTGTAAATTGGTGTAAGACGAATATGTACAGCTGGGCGCGAGGAAGACAACAATCGACTCAACCGTAAGATTGAAGGCCCATTTATGCGCATTGTTACGGCGCATGCAGAGAGTTGACCGTCTGGTGAGCGGCAGAACCAGGAGCTCCCCTCTCTTCCGCCTTCGCCACCGAAATCTTCCCGAGCTTCTTCTCCTTTGCTGTGAACCTAACACTAAAACCCTGGCCTCCATTTCTCCCACCTAATCAAGTCTTATTACTTGCGGCCGGAGGATGAGCCAGGTCTGTGAGACCGTTTGAATTCACTGAATCCCTCAATTTTGACGTGCGGCGTGGACGCCTTTTAGATCGGCGCAATCGAGCCGACTCAAGTCGCGCGACTTACCTACCCATTTCTCTTTTCTTCTCTAATCCGCTACACGACACACTTCCACCATCACAAAAATGGCGGACCAAAATATCTCTCAGTATAAGTACTCGGCGATGTCCAACCTGGTTCTCCAGGCGGACCGTCGTTTCATCAGCAAGACCAACGATGAGGCTAGCGGAGACCCCGAGTCTCTTGCAGGCCGTATCGGGATCCGAGAGATGGGCTCACGAGTAGCACGCGATGATGCGCCCAAGTCGAAAAAGAAGGCCGGTCCGACCGAAATCGAACGGGGTGCGATTCACGAAGGCGAAGACGTGTTATCCCGGGAGCAGAAAAAACGCGGACGTGGCCAGCCAGCACAATTACGAGGCCAAGGCATCCTCTCTGCCGCCGATGCCCTCATCGAAGGCTTGAAATATCGCCCTCGAACACCTGCGACTCGAGCAACCTACGATCTTATTCTCACAATTACCGGAAGCCACCTTGGCGACGTTCCCCACGAAGTCGTTCGAAGTGCCGCCGACGCCGTTTTGGAATACCTCAAGGATGAAGATCTCAAGGATTTCGACAAGAAGAAGGAAATTGACGATCTTATGGGCACTTCCATGAACCCGAAAGAGTTCAACGAACTTGTTAACCTCGGCAAGAAAATTACGGATTATGAGGCACAAGATGAGGACGAGGATATGGATGGCGGCTTCGATGATGCGGACGCAGAGCTCGATGAACGCCAAGGTGTTGCAGTTGTCTTCGACGAAGAAGACGAAGACGATGAACGCACAGGCACCGTTAACGAAATCCGAGACGAAGATAGCGACGAGGACGAAGACGAAGACGACCAAGAACAACCCGATATCGATCAATTAGCTACCCAAGAGGCCGGCGATGACGACGAAATGGTCATTGATGGTGGTCTCGACCGTGATGATAAGGCTGGAGATAAAACTGGGCTGAATGTTTCTGCTCGCGAGATCGACGCCTACTGGCTGCAACGCCAAATCGGAGCGGTATATTCAGATGCACACATTCAACAAGAAAAGACTCAGCAAGCGTTGGAAATTCTTGGCGACAAAGCGGAAGATGGATCCGAAAGACCCCTTCGCGATGTTGAAAATGACTTGATGGAGCTTTTCGATTACGAGCATGCCGAAGTTGTCGCAAGGTTGGTGACAAATCGTGACAAAGTCGTCTGGGCTACTCGCTGGAGACAGGTTGCCGAAGATGCCGATGCACGCAATCTTGTTGAAAGTCAAATGGTCGAGGCTGGGCACCGATCTATTTTGGATGAAATCCGCGGAAAGGCTACTCGTGATGATCTCGCTGATCGTCCGGAGAAAAAGATAAAGCTGGATCTGATGGACGTTGATATTCCCTCAGCACCAACACAAGAGGAGAAGCCAGCTACTGAAGGTGGTTTAGTTGGTGGTCTACAGCCCAAGAAGCTTATCAACCTTGAGAACTTGGTTTTCCACCAGGGCAACCACCTTATGACTAACCCTAATGTTAAGCTTCCTCAGGGCTCCACAAAGCGCACTTTCAAAGGCTACGAGGAGATCCATGTCCCACCGCCTAAAGCTAAGCGGGACCCCGGGGAGAAGAATATCCCAACCACTGAGCTGCCCGACTGGGCTCGCGTTGGATTCGGAAGTTCCAAGGAACTTAACCGGATCCAAACCAAGTGTTACCCTTCGGCCTTCCACGACGACGGCAATCTTCTCATCTGTGCCCCAACGGGTTCTGGAAAGACCAACGTTGCTATGCTGGCTATCCTGCGGGAAATTGGCAAGCATCGCAACCCCGAAACTGGGGAGATTATGCTGGACGACTTCAAGATCGTGTTTATCTCCCCCCTCAAAGCTTTGGTTCAGGAGCAAGTTGGAAACCTGGGCAAGCGTCTTGAGCCATATGGCATTCGAGTATCCGAGCTCACTGGTGATCGTCAGCTCACCAAACAGCAAATTGCCGACACTCAAATTATTGTCACCACTCCCGAAAAGTACGACGTTATTACCAGAAAGGCCTCCGAAACCAGCTACACTAACCTGGTCCGTCTTATCTGCATTGACGAAATTCACCTTCTCCATGATGACCGTGGCCCTGTTCTTGAAAGCATCGTCAGTCGCACGATTCGACGTGTTGAGCAGACTGGTGACCCTGTGCGAATTGTTGGTCTCAGTGCCACCCTCCCTAACTACCGTGACGTTGGAAACTTCCTGCGCGCCGATCCTGAAAAGGGAGTGTTTCATTTCGATGGCTCATACCGTCCTTGCCCTCTGAAGCAGGAATTCATCGGTGTCACCGAAAAGAAAGCCATCAAGCAGCTCAAGACGATGAATGACATCTGCTACAACAAGGTTCTAGAGCAGGTTGGTCAACGCCGAAACCAGATGCTCATCTTCGTCCATTCCAGAAAGGAAACCGCCAAGACAGCCAAGTATATCAGGGATAAGGCCATTGAGATGGAAACAATTGGACAAATCCTTCGCAGTGATGCCGCTAGTCGTGCCATCCTGTCCGAGGAGGCTGAGTCTGTTGATGATGCTTCTCTCAAAGATCTTCTGCCTTACGGTTTGGGTATTCACCACGCTGGTCTGAGTCTTGCGGACCGTGACTCTGTCCAGGCACTTTTCGCCGATGGTAGCATTCAGGTTCTTGTGTGTACTGCCACCCTGGCTTGGGGTGTCAATCTCCCTGCGCACACTGTCATCATCAAGGGAACCCAGGTCTACTCCCCCGAGAAGGGTAGCTGGGTTGAGCTGAGCCCCCAGGATGTTCTACAGATGCTCGGACGGGCTGGTCGACCTCAATATGACACGTTTGGAGAGGGTATCATCATCACTTCGCAGGCTGAGATGCAATACTACCTTTCCCTTTTGAATATGCAATTGCCAATTGAATCTCAACTTGTGAGCAAGCTTGCCGACAATTTGAACGCTGAGATTGTTCTAGGCAATGTTCGCACTCGCGATGAAGGTGTGGAATGGTTAGGCTACACCTATCTTTACGTTCGGATGCTTCGTTCGCCGGGTTTGTACAGTGTCGGTGCTGATTACGAGAACGATGATGCTTTAGAACAGAAGCGGGTTGATCTTATTCATTCTGCTGCTGCCATTCTCGAGAAAGCTGGACTAGTCAAGTATGAGAAGAAGACCGGAAAACTCCAGGCAACTGAGCTTGGTCGGATCTCTTCACACTACTACATTGGTCACAACTCCATGCTCACCTACGCTCAGCATCTTCAGCCGTCTATCACTACTATTGAGTTGTTCCGCATCTTTGCTCTGAGTGACGAGTTCAAGTACATCCCTGTTCGTCAAGATGAGAAATTGGAGTTGGGCAAGCTTCTGGGTCGAGTCCCGATTCCTGTTAAAGAGACAATTGATGAGCCCCATGCCAAGATCAACGTCCTTTTACAAGCTTATATCTCTCGCCTGAAGCTGGACGGGTTGGCCCTGATGGCCGACATGGTTTACGTGACACAGTCGGCTGGTCGTATTATTCGGGCCATTTTCGAAATTTGCTTGAAGAAGGGATGGACATCTGTGGCGAAGACTGCGCTTGACCTCTGTAAAATGGCGGAGAAGCGCATGTGGCCCACAATGTCCCCTCTGCGTCAATTCCCTACCTGCCCTAGGGATATCCTGCAGAAGGCTGAGCGAATCGACGTGCCATGGTCTAGTTACTTTGACTTGGATCCGCCACGCATGGGTGAGCTCCTTGGCATGCCCAAGGCCGGACGTATTGTTTGTGATCTAGTCTCCAAGTTCCCCCGACTTGAAGTTCAGGCTCAGGTTCAGCCAATTACTCGTTCGTTGCTTCGTGTTGAGTTGACCCTCACCCCCAATTTTGTTTGGGATGATGCCATCCATGGCAATGCTCAAGATTTCTGGATCTTGGTGGAAGATTGCGATGGTGAAGAGATCTTGTTCCACGATCGCTTTCTGCTGCGTCGTGAGTTCGCTCAATCTGAGATGAACGAGCACCTGGTTGAATTCACCGTTCCTATCACGGAGCCGATGCCCCCCAACTACTTCATCTCGTTGATCTCGGATCGCTGGATGCACTCTGAGACGAAGATCGCCGTATCTTTCCAAAAGTTGGTTCTGCCCGAGCGCTTCCCTCCTCACACCCCCTTGCTGGACATGCAGCGTGCACCTGTCAAGGCTTTGAAGCGAGAGGAGTACCAGAAGCTCTATCCCGACTGGGAACATTTCAATAAGATTCAAACCCAGGTCTTCAAATCTGTTTTTGATTCGGATGACAACGTCTTTATTGGTGCACCGACAGGCAGTGGTAAGACAGTCTGTGCCGAACTGTCACTACTTCGCCACTGGTCAACTGAAAAGACCGGCCGCGCAGTCTACATTGCTCCTTTCCAAGAGCTTGTCGATCTCCGTCTCGCTGACTGGCAGAAGCGACTGGGTGGCATTGGCGGCGGTAAGACCATTGTTAAGCTGACTGGGGAGACCACCGCCGACCTGAAGCTTCTTGAGAAGGCTGATCTTGTTCTTGCCACCCCCGTTCAATGGGATGTGCTTTCCCGCCAATGGCAGAGACGCAAGAATGTCCAAACTGTACAGTTGTTCATTGCTGATGAGCTGCACATGCTTGGTGGATATGGTGGCTACGTCTACGAAGTTGTTGTTTCCCGTATGCACTATGTCGCTCTCCAGACAGAGAACGCTATGCGCATTGTGGGATTGAGTGTGCCGCTTGCCAATGCTAGGGACATTGGAGAGTGGATTGGCGCCAACAAGCACACCATCTACAACTTCAGTCCGAATGCTCGGCCAATTCCCCTAGAACTTCACATCCAATCATTTACCATTCCTCATTTCCCCTCCCTGATGCTGGCGATGTCCCGGCCAGCTTATCAATCTATTCTGCAGCTGTCGCCTGACAAGCCCGCTTTGATTTTCGTGCCCAGTCGAAAGCAGACCCGCTCTACGGCCGTGGATCTTTTGGCGGCATGCGGCATGGATGAAAATGAAGACCGATTCCTGAACGCGGATGTTGAGGAGCTAGCACCCCTTCTCAGCCGTGTTCAAGAGCAGACACTTGCTACCTCATTGTCTCACGGAATTGGATATTACCACGAGGCACTGAGCCCCACTGATAAGCGTATTGTCATCCACCTTTTCAGCATCGGTGCCATTCAGGTCCTTCTGGCCTCGCGCGATTGTTGTTGGGAGCTGGACGTCACTGCTCATCTAGTGATCGTCATGAACACTCAGTTCTTCGATGGCCGCGAACATCGTTACATTGATTACCCCATCAGTGAGATCCTTCAGATGTTTGGCAAGGCTTCCCGGCCGGGTCAAGACAAGATCGGTCGCGGTGTTTTGATGGTGCCTGCTGTTAAGCGTGAGTACTACAAGAAGTTCCTTAGTGAGGCCCTGCCGGTGGAAAGCCATCTGCAAGTTTATTTGCACGATGCCTTTGTCACCGAGGCCAGCACCAAGACCATCGCTTCCACTCAAGATGCAGTGGATTGGATGACTTACACGTACTTCTATCGTCGTCTGCTGGCCAATCCCAGTTTCTACGGTCTCGCTGATGTGAGTCACGAGGGGCTCAGCACGTTCCTGTCTGAGCTTGTGGAGAACACCTTGAAGGAATTGTCTGAGGCCAAGATCATTGACCTGGACGAGGACGATGACAGCGTCTCTCCTCTCAACGCCGCCATGATCAGCGCGTACTACAACATCTCCTTCATTACCATGCAAACCTTCTTGTTGTCCCTTTCGGCTCGCACCAAGTTGAAGGGTATTCTGGAGATTGTTACTTCGGCCACCGAATTCGAGTCCATTCAAATGCGTCGTCATGAGGAGCATATTCTCCGCCGAGTCTATGACCGTTGTCCAGTTAAGATGTCGGAGACTGCATTTGACTCGCCTCACTTCAAGGCGTTTGTCCTTCTCCAGGCTCACTTCTCTCGTATGCAACTGCCAATTGATCTCGCCAAGGACCAGGAGGATATCATTCGCAAGGTTCTAAACTTGCTCAGTGCCTGTGTGGACGTGCTTTCTTCTGAGGGCCATCTCAACGCCATGAACGCTATGGAGTTATCCCAGATGCTAGTCCAAGCCATGTGGGACCGCGATAGCCCCCTTAAGCAGATTCCCCACTTCTCGCCCGAAGTTATTGAGGCTGCCAAGGAATTCAAGTATGTCCATCTTTCCCCAATATCTGAATCACGAACAGCTACTAATTTCGATTTTTCTCACAGCATCAATGATATCTTTGAGTTTATGGATGCCATGGACCCCTCAGAGAACAAAGACTACGGAGCTCTGGTCAAGCGTTTGGGCTTGAACAATAAGCAACTGGCGCAAGCGGCAGCTTTCACTAACGAGAAGTACCCCAACATCGAACTGGACTTTGAGGTTGAAGATCCCGAGAACATCACATCGGGTGACCCTGCCTACCTCAAGGTCAAGATTGAACGGGAGGTGGAAGACGATGAGGAGCCCGATACCGTCGTCCACGCCCCATTCTACCCCAACCAGAAGATGGAGAACTGGTGGCTTGTGGTCGGTGATGAGAAGACCAAGAACTTGCTGGCAATCAAGCGTGTCACTATTGGTCGCAAGCTAGAGCTGCGTCTAGAATATGTTGTACCTACACCTGGTGAGCATGAGCTCACTCTCTACCTCATGAGCGACAGCTACGTCGGTGTGGATCAGGCCCCCACATTCACTGTCACCGCTGCTGAAGGAATGGATGAGGATGAGGATGAGGATGAGAGTGAAGAGGAAGAGTAAACGATCTATGTTGTTTTGGGATGATTTTGTAATAATAGTTTTTCTACACTATTTGTTGGGAGCTTATACAGGATGAAAAAAGGCGTATGTTTATTTCCATTATATTCCATCTTATCCACAAGTGTGACCAAGTAAATAGATCAATCAATCAATGATCAACGATGTGGAATCCGCCAATCCCGTAGATCAGTGGCGTGTGACCCCGCAAATAGTCACGTTGCAATTGCCCCCTTCACTCACCTTTCCCTTTTATCTCACCGTAAACCCCAAATCTCCCCCTTACACATTTCCTCTGTATCAGTTAGACTCTTTTCATAATTGATTTGATCCTTTGTTTCTAATCAATCCGATCTACCTTTGAAAAGCTTCCTTGAAATCAAGTTTGAAAGCTTCTGAAAGCTCCACTTCATTGGAAGCTAGCCTACTATCCACCTATCTTATCACATCTCGTCATATCTCGTCATACCGGAAATGGCTATCCGCTCAATGAAGTTCACACCTGAGTGAGTTGTTCTTTGTAAAGCAATCGCTTTCAAGCGTTTTTAATATCTGGAGTTTTAATTGACATCCTCAGGGTCCTTCTCGGCGCCCCTAGGCGTTCCTCGGCTGTTCCCAATGCGGCAGGCACCCTTGCAGTCTATACCCAGACATCTTATTCCTTCGAGTCACATTCCAAGACCAATGAGATCCGAATCATCGAGATTCAAAGTGGTCGATCTGCCTTGATTACAAATGACCCCGGTGCAAGTAATCCCCAGTGGCTTGGAGCTGATGATCAGCTGGTTTGGCTGAAGACTAAGACCAATGGCAACACCAGCTTTATCGTTGGCGATGCGCGCGAAGCTGATAAGACATACACTGCGGGAACTGTACCGGGTCCAGTCTCGGACTTGAAAGTCACTCTCATTGAACCGGGCAAGATTGGTTTTGCTGTCACCGGAAAGGCCAATCTCGATGGTTCCCTCTATAATCCCCAAGATGCGAAGAAACCCCACACAACTGGTCGCTTGTATACTTCGCTTTTCGTCCGACATTGGGATGCCTATGTCGATCCTCAGAAAAACTCGATTTTTTATGGACTTCTTGAGCAAGCCCCCTTATCACCTGCCCGCAGGCAGGCTGGGAAATACTCGGTTTCCGGCCTTACGAACCTGATCTCGGTGTCGGGCCTGACGGGTGTCGAGTCTCCGATCCCACCGTTTGGTGGCACAAGTGACTTTGACATTAGTCCCACGGCTATCGCATTCGTTGCCAAGGACCCTGGCTTGAACCCTGCGACACACACTGCCTGTTCCTGCTACTATACGCCCATGTTTTCTTGGACCAGCATGAGTACTTCTGAGATCAAGACTTGCAAAGTAGCTGGTCTACAGGGAGCTATGTCGTCACCTGTTCTGTCTTCGGACGGCAGTTCCATTGCTTTACTGGCCATGAAGGAAGATGGATACGAGTCTGATAAGAATCGGATTTTGTACGTTCCGAACCCATGGAACGGAGAAATGATTGAAGTGTTCGGGTCTTCTGATGGCAAGGGACTCTGGGACCTGAGTCCCTCTGCCCTCTCGTTTGCGCATGATGACAAGTCGCTCCTCATTCAGACCGAGGAAAGGGGACGCGGTGTCGTCTACCAGCTTCCTTTAGAAAACATTCGGAAGGCCACAACTGGTTCATTGAAGAGACTCACCCGGTCGGGATACGTAAATGACGTGGTCTCCGCGGCTGCGGGCTCCTCCAAATTATTCATCTCCAGCAGCAGTTTAGTGGACAACAGTGTATGGTCAATCATCGACCCGTCAAGCCCTGATCAAGTCCAGATTGTTTCGTCGAGTGCTCGTGGAGGGTCAGCATTTGGCCTTTCAGCAGCCCAGGTAGATGAGATCTGGTTCCAAGGAGCTGGAAATTACCAAGTCCATGCTTGGGTCGTGAAGCCTTCCGATTTCAAGCCGGGTCAGAAGTACCCTCTGGCCTATCTGATCCACGGTGGCCCCCAGGGAGCATGGAACGATCAATGGAGTACCCGCTGGAATCCTGCCGTCTTCGCGGAGCAAGGTTATGTTGTCATTACACCCAATCCAACCGGTAGCACTGGGTACGGACAGACTTTTACGGATGGAATTAAGGGCCAATGGGGAGGCCGACCTTATGAGGACTTGGTCAAGGGCTTTGAGTATATTCAACAGAATCTCGCATACGTTGACACCACGCGAGCTGTCGCCCTGGGTGCCTCATACGGTGGATATATGATGAACTGGATCCAAGGACACCCTCTTGGCCGCAAGTTCAAGGCACTGGTCACTCATGATGGCGTTTTCAGCATGACGGGACAATTGGCTAGCGAAGAGCAATATTTCCCCCTCCATGACCTTGAAGCGCCGATCTGGAAAAAGCCTGAGAACTGGGCTAAATGGGACCCATCGCGCTTTACGGCAAACTGGCAAACACCTCACCTCATTATCCACAATGAACTCGATTATCGGTTGACAATCGCCGAGGGCCTGGCAGCTTTCAACGTGTTGCAGATGCGCGGCATTGACAGCGCCTTCTTGACGTTCCCTGATGAGAACCACTGGGTCCTGAATCCTGAGAATTCTCTTATGTGGCATAAGACTGTGTTCAACTTTATCAACAAGTACACCGGTCTGCCTCAGGTCTCTGATGAACCTGATTTGTCAGACATTGGGGCCTTGGTCCTCTAATATGTGACTGCACACATGTATGACATAGTGTCGTGGCTCCTGTTCTATGACTGATTTTTCCTGATTTAACAAAGGATGGGAAAATTGTTTTGGAGGCAATTCACCTTAAAGAGCCACCCACAAAGAGCGCGTCTCGTTTTGTGATGGTTTAAGACTAAAGCGCTATTCCGGGGTGTTTCATCTCATTATCTATATCATTGCCATTATCAAGAAGCTCGAAGTCGCAAACTATAAGAGCGCTTCGTTGACTTGATTGTTCGGGTTTCCCTTTTTATTAGCCTTGCTTCTGTTTATCTAGCGGATACTCTATACTCTACTCCAATTCTATCAACAAACTTACGTTTACTTCCCTTCAACTCTTCAACTCTACCATGCCTGCAACTCCAATTTCTCCATCTCGCCCAAACAGCTGGTCTGTTCCTGACCCCAAGCTTACCGAACAGACGCAGACTTTCATTCCTCTACCTATCGCTCATCCTGACTTCGCTCCTGTTCTCGGGTATCTCAGGCAAAGATTACATCCTCTTGTCAGCTGCACCACAGGGCAAATTCCTCCAGATTTCCCGGAGACTATGCTCTCATACCACCTACTCACCAACAGCCAATTGGATAAACTTGCGCAATTCTTCCATCAAACCTCCCAGACCAGACCAGAAACCTGGATGTATCCAACCAAAATTCAAAAGCCATGGGTTGGCACCAATGCTGAGGTGGATGTCAATCTTGAAACCAAGCGTCGTCGCTTTGGACGCTTTATCGGGCTGAGAGGATGTGATTCGCCCGTGGAGGACCGCTCATTTTTCCACCAGGGAACTGCTGATGTGTCTAACATTACTACGCCGGATATGGAGGATGCGGCTTTATGGGAGATGGTGTTGTGTGTGGAAAAGGAGTGGCAAGCGGCTCTGGCAAAAGCGCAGGACCATTTTGGGTGGAAATGAGTATTTACTTTGATCAAATTTGGGTCTTTGTTTAGACGTGTTTTTTATAGAATTGGATTGTTTTCTATTTTTGTGACAATGATGAAACATTATCGGCGGTTCTAATTTTGGTGTAGGCCATAGAACATTAATAAGTCAATGAGAGAGTCAATATTATACTTTATCTCACAGCCAAGTCAAGAAAGCTCTAGCAAATCTCTCGTCAATTCAGGCTTAACTCGTATAAAATGACTTTCCCCGCGAATGTGGTTTAGCCGCGACGGCTAAAGAGACTTGGATAGAATCACCTTAAATAGTCTAACTTCCTGAACCCTGAACTTCTCAGTTACTTCCTCATTTGTACTTATCGTCAAAATGTCCCCCAAACCCCTCATTACACATCTCTACACCGCAGACCCATCCGCTCACGTCTTCAACAACAAACTCTACATCTATCCCTCCCACGACCGGGAAACAGATATCCAATTCAACGACAATGGCGACCAATATGACATGCAAGACTACCACGTCTTCTCCATGGACTCCCCAACCAGCCCAGTAACAGACCACGGGATCGTCCTCTCAGCAACCGATGTCCCATGGGTATCGAAACAGATGTGGGCGCCAGACGCAGCAACCAAGAACGGGAAATATTACTTGTATTTCCCTGCTCGCGATAAGGAAGGCATTTTTCGCATTGGTGTTGCTGTTTCCTCTACGCCAGAGGGCCCTTTCTTACCGCAGAATGAATATATCCGCGGTAGTTACAGTATTGATCCCGCTTCTTTTGTTGATGAAGATGGGAAGGCTTATTTGTATTTTGGTGGATTGTGGGGTGGACAATTGCAATGTTGGAAGAGTGAAGATGGTGAGATGGTTTTTGATGCTTCGAAGTCTGGACCTCAGGAACCGACTGGTGTTGGTGTTAAGGCGCTTTGTCCGCGTGTTGCTCAGTTGTCGGATGATATGCTTTCGTTTGTGGAACCGGCGAGGGAGGTGCAGATCTTGTTGGATGGGAAGTTGATTGAAGCGGATGATCATGAGAGACGATTCTTTGAGGCGGCGTGGATTCATCGGTATAATGGGACTTATTATTTTTCCTATTCGACTGGAGATTCGCATTATTTGGTTTATGCGACGGGGACTTCACCTTTTGGACCATTTACCTATCAGGGACGGATTTTGGAACCGGTGCTTGGCTGGACGACGCATCATTCTATTGTTGAGTTTCAGGGGAAGTGGTATTTGTTTTATCATGATTGTGAATTATCTGGTGGTGTTGATCATTTAAGATCTGTTAAGATGCGAGAGATTGTTTATGATGATGACGGAAAGATTCATCTGGCTTAACATCCTATAGGTCATTATTCTATACCTATTTAGTGTCCCATTCCTTTCTCCCAGTTCTCTTGTACAATCTTCCAGTATCTCTCTCGACTGCGGATACGGCAAGCCTTTCCATACTTGATCATCACTAAGAAGACAGCTGAGCAGGCCATACCAACAAAGGCAACGGATATAAAGCAGTTCTGGTACCCGAGGTTGTCAACCCAGGGTGTGATACTATGATATGTTAGCTATTTGTCTTTGCTAGAATACCGGATTTTACTTACCCATAACTAATAGCAAAGGACATAGTGTTTCGCACCAAGATACAGGTAGCCATCGCCACCCCGCTCAGTTCTCGGTAACTGTCAACCAAGTAATTGACACTGAGAGTGATACCACAGGTGTTGGTGAATGCAAGGATGCACATGGCCACAATCAGGCCAAACCAGTGTACTTCATGCGCGGCACCGACACCCCAGAGCAGAAGAGATCCCGGAACGAGGAACAGACACGCGATGAAAGGCCACAGACGATGTTCTGCCTCCATGACTCCATTGTTGCGACGGGCAAGTTTGATTGTCAGCCAGTCGCTGAATCGTCCAGTAAAAATTGATCTAGGTGGGTTAGTAATCTAGCATGAAGACTGTTCCGCATGGAACTCACCCAATTGCAACACCAAGACAGCATGCCAAGTAGCTAAGACCGACCATGGAGGACCTATTTCTTGTGAGCTAACCATTTTCTTTAATTTTGTTAATCACAGGACGTACCCAAAGCCATAGGGAGCGCCACCCAAGATAATTGATGCAGTTCCATTAAGAATATTGAACAGTACCAGATAGGATCCATAGGAGAATCTAGTCAAAAATTAGCATCCTATCCATTCAGAATTCACGGATATGGGTATAATACATACCCAGCATAGAAAATGACCGGCCATGATAGGAAGTACAAACTTTGCCAGAGTCGCCGAAACATGGTATTCTGCTTCTGTTTAGGGCCCAGGAGTGATAATGTCTGCCAATATGTTTTCTTGGTGTAGATCTCACCAGGCTCTGTTTCTGTAGGTACAGGCTCAGAGACTGGAGACTTTTCAGGGTCCGAGCTGTGCGAACTATGGGAGGAGCTCAGCCGCACATTGGCGATGGTGGCAGCTTGTACGTCATCTTCGCGGACATAGTTTGTTTCCTCCATGAAGAAAAATAGGAAGATCATGGCGCATCCACAGAAGATACTAGGCCAGTAAAATACCCATCGCCAGCCCTGATACTGTGCAATGAAACCGCAGATCACGGGGGCAAAGTAGTTACTACCAGCCAGGAAGAAGGCATATAATCCCATGTAGGTTCCACGCTCGTGGGTAAAGTACTAAAACATCATCAGTTGCAGTTTACTTGACACAGTCGTAGGTAACTTACCACATCGGTGACTGTAATTTCTGGAAGTGCCTCAATGGGGGCAGTGAAAAAACCCTGAAGCACACATCGAGCAATCCACTGACCGTATGTTGTGGCGTAAGGTCTAGATCATAAAATTAGTGTCAGACATAGATAGTAGGTGGAGATATCCTAACCCCCACATGGTTGTACCCTGGAGCTTATCAGTACATCATCTTTGGTATCCACCGGATGGGACTTACCAGGATTCCCGCCAATGACAGAATATATGTCAATCGCTTTCCGTATTGCATTGCGAAAGGCTGCCAGAAGAGCAACCCCCATCCCGCCAATAGGAACATGTACCCAGTTCCTTCATTGAGTGTACTAACTGATAGACCCGTCTCTTCAGACAGCTGCGTGAGAACCGAGTAAACTACCGAGCAAGCGATACCGGAGAATAATGTGTAGCTGCGTGAAAATCGATCAGCGATGCGCTAGGTCCGTGATTCGTCCTTCTACTCACACGCTAACGGAGACTGTCGACATCAGCTTCCTCCGAGGGCTCCAGTTCAGTGGATCATCTGGATGACCAGAGGGAGTGGGGATCAGAACAATGTCCCGATCTCCGCTTTCTAAATGTTGGGTATGTAAAACATGCTGCAAGTCAACTAGGGTGACAGTGCCTGGGATGGCGGAGCTGTCAATGACCGGTGCCATTGTTTATATTTGAGCAAGGGGTACAGTTGGGGAAGAGGAGATCGAAGCTCTATTTGAATGAGCTTCACAGCGTTGATAAGCGGCACCTTAGGTCGCCGATTTTGCCGATAGCGAGGGGAATCGGCAAAGCAGATAGAAGAAAGTTCGAAGTAAACATTAAAGATGTAACAGATGTAGACCGGAAGGGTTCCGCTGAGATAGGACTTTTGTGGCGTTGAATTGGCGATAAGCCGTTACATCGGAATCGGAGGCCAATTGAACTCTTTCCCCGCACTTTTGTACACCTAAGTAGCGAATCTTTGCCGTTTTGGCTAAGATAACCTTGTCAGCATTAGGTTACCTTCTGTAAAAGGAAACTTGACTGGTTCATCCCATGTAGTTGACGGAGTAGAGTCCGCTGCCTTTATCTCAGATAAGGTGGATAGTAAATCAAAGTGGGCAATCAAGGAATGAACTATCTATTGATAGTTGATCATATTAAAACTGCGAATATGCGTAAACAATCAACTATATGTTAGATTCAACCAACCTTCCTACTATACAAATCGCCAAAACAAAACAAAATACAGATGCACAGGATGTCCAGCGGTGCCTGCCGAGTACCCAGAGAAGGGGGAATGGAATGGAATGAACAGTGAAAAACCCAAGTATCATCTAATGGGATGCACCAGCTGCATCATCATCCGGCAATTCATTGATGACATCCTTGATGAGATCAATCAATTCGTCAATGTCAGGACGCTCGGAGGGTTCCACTTCAAGACATTTGCGAACAATGTCCTTGACTGGGGCGCTGATCGTGCTACTTCCGCTGCTCTTGGATACATCATCACTGTCACCAGCCTTTCCCTTGCCCTTGGTGGCATTGGACTTTTCGTCGGGGAATCGCCAGTCACCACCGAGCACACACATACTCAGACTACCACCGGTTTCCTCACTACGAGCCTCGAAGGGACTCTTTCCGACCAAGCATGCATACAAAGTGCAGCCTAGGGACCAGATGTCGACCTTTGTGTCAATGATCGACCCTGTTTTGACGTCAAACAGCTCAGGGGCACGATATGGCATAGTGCTATGCTCCGCGGCTGTATCTTGCACCGCCAAGGCCAGGGATCGGGATGTAATAGCGATCGGGCTGGGTGCCAAAGAACCGAGATCCATGAGGATAGGTGACTGACCATCATCGTCGATCATAATGTTACCTAAAGAAGAATTAGCAGAGATATTACGAATGCTGAATTAAGAGACTCACCGGGCTTAATATCGCGATGCGCATATGGACGCAAGTCGCCATCCTGGACGCCTTCCTGACTGCGCGTCACCTCGTCCTCCATCAATGGCTCATTCTCGTCATCGTCCTGCTCTTGTTGCACACGTTGGCTCGCTCGTCGCTGTGGCTTCATTTTCATTGTCCGTTCCGCATCCGCCTCCTCGCCTTCTCGCCGAACACCCTTTGCTTTGCGCGTAGATTTCGCGCCACTCTGGACACGATACTGGTGCATGGATCGCAAAGCATTGGCGACTCCAAGCATCAGCACCATCAGCCGCTTCTCTGGGAAGCGAGTGTGGTTGACCAGGTTGGCGTTGATGGCATCCTGGAGGTTGCCACGTTGGTAGTATGGTAGTAGGATGTAGACGGTTTTGGAGCCCGCATCACCACCATCCGATCTGAATTTGGAACCGGATTCTGTTGAGACGGAGTGATCGATGGAGTGGATGATGTTGTTGTCCGAGGTGAAGAGGTTGTAGGCTTCGACTTCTTTCAGAGCTTGTGACACGGATTCTTGACCAAAGGGACAGCGGATTTTTTTGAGAGCGAATAATTCGGAGGTAGCTTTATCTTGGACAAGATACACATAGGAGAAACCGCCCTATTCAAGTTTGGTGAATCGGTTAGCTTTCAGGCCTTGTCTTCTTCGCGTCGCCAAGCTTATATCATACCTCGCCTAGGAGTCGTAAGAGCTTGAAATTGCGATTATTTATCTTCAGTTGCGGTGAGCTGGGGAAACAGCACATGCAATCTGTGAAGGTGTAGAGGAGGTCGAAGAAGTACTGCGCCATGATGCTACCTCCGCAATGATCGGGACGGACTGGGGATGATGGGGATTTAACGCTGGAGAATAGATGATCACGAGTATTTTCTGGAATCTACCGAGATGAAAAATACTAATCAAATGAGAGACGCAGCTGTGGAGGTGGGGGGCTGAATGTAAGGGGAAAGTTGAAGGTAAGAGGTTGAGGTTGGAGATTCGGGGAAATGGATTGGATCGAGTGGAGCCAATGCGATCCATGGGTTTTATTTGTTGTCACTTTCTTTCCCCCCTTTATTATCATATGTATATGAAATCTTTCTGTACATAAGACGAAGCTTTTTCTTGTTTCTTTTTGTTCTAATTACAGAACTTCATCTGGTTGACGTCTCAACTATGATCCAGATTGGGCTTTAAAGCTTTACTTTCTCCTGACAAAAACAACTTCTTTTGCCTAACTCAACAACTTTCGACATACCCCCCTCCTTGACATAACGACCACCATGGCGATCCATGACGATGTACAGATCGGTGACATCGTCAATGTGCCCGGTGGCATGTTTGGTACGGTAAAATATTTGGGGTCAGTGGCGGGCAAACCGGGTCGATTTGCGGGCATCGAGTTGAGCAATGAACATGCGCCTCGGGGGAAGAACAGTGGAGATGTGGAAGGACGGAAATACTTTGCAACTTCCGTTCCTGGCTCGGGGATTTTTGTGCCGATGAATAACAGCAAGTACGTCACTCGAAGGATCACGTCAAACAACTTCGCCGTGCCTACAACTCCTGCTCGTGCCCCGCCGGTCAACTTCAGCAAGTCAGTCGGTCCGAGTCTTTCTACGCCTCGTCCTCGGATCCGTCGGCCCTCCCTCCCTCGACCTGAATCTCCACGTGTTCCCCCTCCAAAGCTAAGCTTGAGTGGCTTACGAACCCCCTCCGCCGCTTCGAGAACATCGGCCTCTAATGGATATCAACGAAGCCCTACCAAGGCCCCGTCACGACTGTCGGATCGACCACCATCACGTCTCAGCGTTGATGATGACGCTTCATCGTATGGAAGACCATCCGACTATACGCGTCCCTCTTCGATAGAGAACCAGGAATTGAAAAGCCAGGTTCAATATCTAGAAAAACAACTACATGATCGGGACAAGCAACTGGATGAGCAAGCGAAGACCCTCGGCGATTTCCAACGAACTATAGAGGAACTGGAGGGATCGGATGCTCTTTCGGTTCGTGCTCAGCTTCGGGAGAGGAACGAGCGAATCAACCAGCTGACCGCGGAATTCGATGGCCACCGAGCTGACTTCCGCAGCACGCTCGATACATTGGAGATTGCCGCATCTGAGACTGAGCGTGTCTACGAGCAGCGTCTGGATGAACTCCTGCAACAGAACAAGGAGCTCCAGGATCGTGGGGAAGATGTGGAGATCGTCGCTCAGCAACTAAAGCAGTTGGAAGAGCTAGTATCCGAGCTGGAAGAGGGTCTGGAAGACGCAAGGCGGGGTGAAGCGGAAGCAAGAGCCGAGGTCGAGTTCCTCCGTGGTGAGGTTGAGAGGACCAAGTTGGAATTAAAGAAAGAGCGTGATCACTCAGCCGCCGCGCTAAAGGACGCCCATACTGCGTCCGACGGACCCCGTCACTCTAGTGAAATCGAGCAGAAAGACGACGAAATCCGAGGTCTCAAGGCTATTATCCACTCTCTGAGCCGTGGAAACCCCAACGCCAATCACAATGAAAATGGCGTGGATGACCAAAACGAGCAGAATGAGCGTATTGCCCAGCTGGAGCAACGGCTTCACGAAACAGAGGGCAACTTTGAACGCAAAGACACCCGCATCGAAGAGCTAGAGCGGGAACTGCAGGAGCTCCGGTTGAGTTCCAACGAAGGAGGTCGCAATCGCAGTTCCACCGTGACCCTCTCTCCACCCAAACAGCACAAACCATCTGGTTCCCAGAGCAATATTGCCGTGAACATAAACCACGATCACCGTCTTTCTGATCGTACGGTGGTCCCGACCGACTGGCATGATGCCCCATTGGAGCCTCGCCAGCACAACCGCGGCATTTCCAGTTCTTCACAACAACGCCTCGAGCCCATGCCCGAGTCAGAACGCTCTTCTGATGATGATACTCAGTGGTGCGAGATTTGTGAGACAGGTGGCCATGATATCCTGAACTGCACTAGCATGTTTGGGCCCGGCAACGACAAGGCTCAGGCCCGGGAGGTGTCAAACAATCACTCAGGAAAGCCTGCTGACCACACTGATTCGCACGAAATCGATGACGATATTCACGAACATACTCCCTCTCCCAAGACTGGTCGGGACGTTGTCCTTGAGGGATTGAAGGGCATTGGTGGTATGGGTAGTTCCATGGCCCCCATTGCTGGCAAGTCCTCCGGCGTCATTGATGAGTCCAAGTGGTGTGCTCTCTGTGAGCGCGATGGCCATGAGAGCATCGACTGTCCTTTTGATGAATAATGTTCCATGGTGATACAAAAGTATGAGTTGTTGTGTTGGAGGGTCTTTGGTACGCCGATACTCGGTTGCCTCTTCTTCTCGTACATGTTTCTCTTCTATAACTGCCCCCCTTTACATGTTCTTTCTGTTTTGCATCATAAGATCTGATCGGCTTTTTTTATGGCTGTGATGCTCTTTCTTTCATTTCGGGCTATGTATTATTCCCCTTTGATACTTGACCACCTTTTCTGTGGTACCTGTTGATATACCTTTGTCTGATCTCTTGTCAGTCTTTCCTTGTCAACTCACTCATTCTTTTCACATGGCTATTCACCTGTCCGCAGCTATCAATTGGTGATGTACGAGGACCAGAGTTTGGGTCTTTTCTCGTACCATTCTCGCTCTTTCCAGACTCAAGCTGGAAGCTAATACAAAATCTAATACAGCATACAAACACTTTCTCTTGCAATTGTAGTCTGGTCCGTGGTTAATCTAAGCAAGGATGTATCTTGCATATGCACCTATTAGAAAACATCATTTTAACAAAATCATGGTCATAAAAAATGTTGTATTCGTCACTCATAATACAGTTTTATCTCGACTTCTATATTGAGTCTCCTTGCTCCATAGGAATTCTCCCCTTATTCAGGGTTCGTCGGGGGTTGCACTACCTCTCCTTCCTGATATCTCACCGCCGCAATCTCACCACAGCCCTTGCACCGTCTCTTCTCTTCATCTGCCCCAAATTCCTCCACCACAGCCTTGACCTGCGTCCCTAGATCCGTGCACACAAACTTTTTTTCCCATACCACCCCACTGCATCCCCGACAATACCACCGCATAATATCCTCAGCCCCATCTGGTCGTGGTTGCTCCATCACTACACCGACCGAGTCCTTGAAGCGGACCGGACTGTGCGGCGTATTAGCCGGTAACAGGAAGATTGATCCCTCGTGAATCGGGATATCCTGAAACGTGGGCGGATTGGTTGACGGATCGACTACCTTTAAGAGCATTGAACCTCGGTATTGATAGAAGAATTCGGGGGTTGTGTTGATGTGGTAGTCTGTTCGAGCGTTGGGTCCGCCGACAATCATCACGGTATAGCCGGCCGTTGCCGGGGATGAGGGGTGGTAGACACAGTAATTATTGACTGGTGGTTGTAGGAGATGAGAATTGGCTTCGAGCCTGGTTTGAAATTGTTAGTTCTTCAGTAGACTTGTTGGTTGAAGCTGAGGTGCAGCTTGTGGATATTCATCACCCCGCTATGATTCATTGGGATTGAGGAGGGGGAAAGAAGGGGTTGATCTCCTACCATTTGGGGATGTTTAGAGCTGGAGGTAACATTATGAGATTATTTCTGATGTGAACAAAGCGATGATGATGAAAGCTGTGCGAAATCAATGATCAAATCTAGGAAAGGGGAGTCGCGTGTTCAGTGTCTCGAATCTTGATAGATTCATTATCTGATCCGGTGATAACAGCTCGGACATAAGCCGATGCGCCGGACCCGGACTAACCTTAGCTCCGCTCAATTTTTCTTTTTTCCGTTTGAAGCTTCAATGGTCTCGACGCTTAATCAGGTTAAGACAGCACATCATGGCGACCCAACAACCTCCTTTGAAGTTTACTTCACACCATAACCTCATCTATCGCCTGGTTCTCTCCACCCTCACCGGCCGCACAGTGCACATCTCGCAAATTCGTTCCAAGTCGCCGACCAACCCCGGTCTCGCTCCTCATGAGATTTCTTTCCTGCGCCTCTTGGAGGCCGTTACCAATGGCTCCCAAATGGAAATCTCCTACACGGGTACAATTGTTGTGTACAAGCCCGGTCTGATTACCGGTAGCGCGTCTGGCAGCGGTGCCAGTGGAGGCATGATCAAGCATGAGTTGCCTTCAAACTGCAACCGCGGTCTCAGCTACTACCTGATCCCTCTCTGCCTTTTGGCTCCCTTCTCCAAAGCGCCCATGAAGATCCTTTTCAGCGGTCCGGGTGTCATTACTTCCTCCACTCCCACAGGTGACATGTCTGTCGACAGTGTCCGCACAGCCATCCTTCCGCTTTACAACCAGTTCGGCATGTTCAACAACGTGGAACTCCGCATCCTAAAACGCTCGAACCCAGGTCCTAATGGTCGCGGTGGTGGTGGTGAAGTGCAGTTTGTGTTCGGTCATCAGATTCGTCTCCCGAAGACACTACACCTAATGAACCCGGGTCGCATTAAGCGCATCCGTGGTGTGGTATACTCAGTTGGCGTGTCGGGTTCCAACAACGCTCGTATGATCGAAACTGCCCGTGGAATTCTCAACCCTCTCAGCCCCGATACCTACATCTTCTCCGACGTCTCGTCTGCGCCTCTCATCCCCGCTCCGGACAGGAACAACCCAAACGCAAAGAAGAAGATTGGTCTTGGATTCGGTTTGTCGCTGGTAGCAGAGTCTTCCACTGGCTGTCTCTACTCGGCTGATGTAGCTTCTCCACCTTCCGGTGGTCAGCCTCCAGAGGATATCGGTAAGCAGTGCGCATACCAGCTGCTGGAGACCATCTCCAAGGGCGGTTGCGTTGCCCCGGCTGCGGCGCCGACCATGTTGACTCTGATGACCATGGGTTCCGAGGATGTGGGCCGGTTGCAGGTGGGTCGAGAGGTCATCGCCGACCCTAACATAATCCAGCTCGCACGGGATATGACCAAGTTCGGTGCGCCAGGCTGGGGTATCCGTGATGCTTCGGATGAGAATAGCACAGATGTGATTGTCAGTGTGGTCGGTCGCGGTATCGGCAATGTCGGCAGAAAGGTTGCTTAGACGATAGGCAATTTTTCCTGATCCCCGTTTGTCCTGGCTGCACTCGCACCAAAGACTTTCTCGCCAGTCCCTGCCGGAAGGACACATCTGCAGATGACTGCTCACTCCGAATGATCTTGGGGTCATCCATGTCATGGCCCCGACATGGACTAAGAACGCGCCGTTTGGTGCTCGCACGGATCTGATGATTCAGTGAACAGGCCCCAGAAAGGGTACAATCTGCCACCGTCATGTCCAAAGCCACCCCACTGTCCACCATTCTTTTGAACCGGAATATCATGATACCCGATGTCTGTTATAGTCACCAAAAGTCAACGTTCCTATTTTGTTTTGCATCGCATATTGGCGCTCCCTGTTGGATTGGAGTTTGTGTATATACTGTACTAAAAAAAAGAAGATACCTATCAATATCCTCCGGCGCTTTGCCATGTATGAATTCAAGTTGAAAATACATAACTGTAGATATCTATAAATAACACCTATAATAGGAATCTACTATATTCATGATTTCTAAATATATACACAACCAAGACGCCACCATGACTACTGCTGTCGCTTAGCCGCCTTTGCCTCCAGGATTGTAAAGGCCTCGTCTTTACCAATGTGCCTCAAATAGCCATCGACATGTGTGGTCATATCGACTTTACCGAATGACACAGTAAGGAATGGGTTTCGGTGAGCAGCCCATTCACAGTAAATATCAGGATTGAAACTCCGCGTAAAAGCATTCAAGAGGTTAAGCAGAAAGTAGTTCACCCCCTCTTCTGCCTCGGTTCTGGGGAAGCTCTTTCTTGTGCTGGCGTAATTCTCGTAATCGCACTTGCCGGAGTATTTGGCGCACGCTGGACGTGCTCAGAGCTACCTTCTCCCTGAATAGCTTCTGAATGAGGGCGCAGCCGAGCCGATTGAAAAGGCGGCTCGGCCGACTCGCGCTCCGTCACTATTAGCTGAGCAAGTTTCACCAATGCAAACATTCCCAGTAAGTTCTTGTCGGGGCGAGTCTCGTTCTCAACTTGAGGAAACAATTCCTCGAAGGTAATGTCAGCCTGGATGCCTTTTGTCCCTTTGCGAGTTCAGCGCCGCGCTTCCCCTTGATCATTAGCTGCTGTGCTTTCACCTACAGCTCCTTTTTATCGACGATTCTGATTAGCTCAGAGATACGGTAAACACGACCGCGTTTTTTTTTTACCGATGCCCGAACGGTCGCAGAGGAAATAAAACGCGTTGCGAGGTCGGCTGAGCGCCATATTCCATCTGTTCAGAACGGACATGAATCCGAGCTTATCTGTGAACTGATGATTACATTGAGGATCACGACTGAACTTTCCTGACCCTGGAAAGAACCGACTTTGCGCACATCGACTTTATTGAATCCAAGCTGTGTGAGCCTGGACCAGCACCCGCTGATAAAGGCGGTATTGGGCTTCATATGGCGTCAGGATCACAATGTCTTTCGGATTGAGGATTCTTCTGCGAAGCAATGCTCGACAGAGTGCGATACCCTGTTCCACGAACGTGCTATTGAAGATAGAAAACCCCGTGTCATTGACAAATTTCCTTTGGGATTCTGAAACAACTTCAAGGTCCTTCGACGCGCAATGGTGTTGAATAAGGAGAGAGGGGGGATGTGGAAAGTAAAGGTAGGAGGGAAGTTGAGAAATGGTAAAAGTGAATAAAAGTGCCAATTGAAATACTGTATAATGTTTCAACATCTGAATGATACTCTGATTTGGTGCACAATGGTAGAGATATAATAATAATGTTCAATGTTGATTCTATCAAGTAATTTAGTATGCGCTTTCCCCATAAATGCACCCAACGCCAAAATGCAGCAAAAGCCAGTCAATAGATATCTATTCCGAAACATCTTCATCCTTCCCAGGATACATAATATCCTGTCGAATCACCGCTAGAACATGGTTGACAAGAACAAATAACCACATGCAAATAACACAAATAGACAATGCAGACCCAAAGCCCTTAATACCAGCACTCTCGAACGAGTTTCCTAGGGTGATAGTAGCGATGGTAAATCCAGTATTAGGAAAGACCATAGCCCACCAACTAAGATGGAATGCAGTGGGTGGGGACCGAATCACTGCAATCAACGCAATGCAGAAGAACCAGAGACTGAGAGCCCACAAGAAAGCACCAGCTGCAAGAGCGAGGATCTCAATCATCCGTCCATCTGCCGCGGTATCTTCGCTGCCCATGACACTAAACGTCTCCGGAAGGCCGCGGGCCATGCCGATGAGCGCCAGCGCTGTGAAGGATGGTGGACCGACACAGATAAACATACCCGGTCTGTGCTCGCGATTCGGGAGACCGGACTCCATCAGCCGGCCAATGTAGTGCGAGTACATCATGAAGCTGATGCAGAATCCGAGACCTTGAAAGGTCATTCCTGCTGTGACCACTGGGATGGCGGAGCGGTCGGGCTGTCTCTCTGCAATCACGGAGGCAATGGTGCCGCTAAGCATGATGGGGAAGGCTGGCAGGATCCACGACGGCATCATGGTTTGCAGACGATATGTGACGGAGGTGAAGAGGTAGGAGTATTGAAAGATCGCCACGGCAAAGGTGCAAACACAGTACACCCAGAACAGAACCTCGAGGGTGGTGGAGAAGGCTTGTTCGGGATCATCTCCAAAGTATCGCTCCAGGCCAGTGATTATTGTTGCAACGGAGAGCCAGAATGTGGGGAAAAAGAGTCCCTCTCTGTCGTGGGTGAGGGATTGGACTAGTCCGCCGTGGATAATAAATCGTGCTGCCATTAATGAGCAGACAAAGGCGAACATGATCAGGTTGATTATATAGACTGCTAGGCCGATCTCATCAAGACCTTTGAACCGGTTGGGTTGGCTAGCTAGCAGAAGTGCTAAGCCACCGGTGCTCATGGTTAATGTGTACCATGCCCATGTGAAATGACGGAGTCGTTGGCGAAAGGTCAATTGAATTGGTTTGTTGGACTTTTCTTCCTCGAGGATGGGTTTGTCGGAGTGGGAGGAATGCGGAGGGAGTTCGTGGCACTCGGCCCCTAAGAGCCCAGGGTGGGACATGTTGGAGACAGCTAGTCTAAGATATAAAGAATAAAGAACAAATAGAATGTCTGAAGAAAGATCAAATGATATAATAATCAATGCTCGCTGTGTGATTGAGATTTCATAAATGCATAGAAAGAGCGAGGAAGTCGGTGGATTTAAAGCTCTGAAGTCTGGGGGCAAAGCCCATGGGGAAGAAGTATCAATTCAATTCATGCCCAAAGCTTGTAACGATATTCGCAAGCCAAGAAAACACCAAGAATCTTGCACAGCCCAAGGTGTATAGAGCAGGGGTTCCATCACGAAGGTTGACCTACCAGCATCAACATAGTTATCAAGGCCCATCAAGGCCGTGAGAGATCCAGTCCAGAATAGATCAAACCAGTCCATTTGGTCTTGGCATCACGGGCAGGTGTATAGCGGAAAAGGGGGATGAACTATCCACCGGGCTAGTGCATAAAGAAATTGCGATGCCTATGGAAAAGTGTTCTCCAGCGGCAGCCAAGACTTCCCTTGATGATCTCAAAGTTTGTTCCCCTGAGTGCGCCACGTCCTGACGCAAATGCAAACTTACACCGATGACGTGAACTCAGTTCTCAGGCCGGTACAAGAGAATTCTCTGCCCGAGATCAAAATGCACCACATGTAGGCCATACGCCGTGCAGTGGTCTTCTCCGAAACTTTCAACTTTCAAGGTGTGTGTAACCCAGGCCAAGAGCCAAGGGCCAAGACAACCATGATCGACGGTGCATCATTAGACGGTCCGCTGCCAAGCTTTACTGTGGCAGTGAAGATTCACTCCGTACTCTGTACTCTGTGCGAATACCAAAATCGAAGGTGAAGGGGCTCGAGCGGAGAGATTTTATACAACTAATCATGTCACAAGGTTTCCCCCTGAACATCCTTATCTTCGCCAAGCTCCAACATTGAAGCATTGAACAATTGCACTATTGAAATACTGAACTATTGATTCCCATGCTTTTGCCAAGACTTCTATTTACGTGGCGACAATGATATCTTTCATGCCTGCTTTTGGGCGCTTAAGACTACATCATTTTGCCAAGAATGCCTAGAGTCGCATATGTCCCCGTACATGTTACGGAGATTTGACCAGCCACCATGACATCTTTACCACATTGCTTTATGAAACAGAATCCGATTTTCAACGAGTACAAGTCTACTGCTCATCTGTATTTATACATTCTTATAATTCATTTGTGCAATTCTCAGGCTTACAAATTTCAAAGATTGAAACAAACTCTAAACAGCCAAGATAACTCCCAAACGGATGCGCGTAACTGACAATTAACAATCATGGATCAAAACATGCAGATCTGACAAAGGGAACAGTACCAATGCAGAAAATCAAAAACAAAACCAAAAAAAGAGGAAGCCAAGGCCCAAGACTTCGTGATCGGCATCGACAGCCACAGTCTAGAAGAATCTCATCTCCAATCACATCATCCGGAAGACCACATCAGAGGCCAGCTCCGGCGTCTTATCCAACAACACCCGAAGATTTCTCGGCGGTCCATTATCGGCCCGCTCCACCTTAGCATCCATCGGACGCACAGCCGGTGTACCGGCCTCACTATCTCCAGGCGAATGATACCTCGCCAACGCCTTCAACCTGCAGGACGCATAATGAACCACCAATCGTCGAAGCTCATTCTCTCGAATCTGCGTCGCAACAGTCTCGGAGATCGGTTCCAGCCGCTCTGTGTGCGTATATGCGTACCGCAGCAGATCGAGGACCATGGGGGCTTGCAGCTCGGCCAAGTCGCCAAGAGGTTGTGAATCAGGGATGGGGGTTGCATCTGTGTCTTCGAGGGCTAGACTGAGGAGATCTCGGTGGAGTTTTCGGAGACAGAGTTGGGCGAGAGAGGGGATGAGGAAGCGGGTGGCGAAGACGTATACCTTGGCATGGAAGGTGAGGTATGGGACTTTGTGGGTGGTTTCGCTGGGGGTTGAGGTTGGAGTATGCTCGTCGTTGTACTGGAGGGCGGCGAACTCGTCCCACAGACTTAGGCCTGGTGTGCGGGGTGAGGAGTCGGCTTGGGATTGTTTGGCAAAGGACATGTCGATTGATGGCTTAGATGGGACTTGGGCTTCTTCTTCGACCTCTTCTTCCCATTGTTCTTGTGGAGTACCCTGAGCATACTCTTCTTGCTCCCACTCTGTTGGCTGCTCTGTCTCTGCCACTTGTTCGGGCTCCGGTGCGGGCTCAGCTGGAGCAGGGATGTCATATGTTGGCTCCGATTCAGGGGCTGTGGACTCGTTCCAGTCTGGGTTGGCGAAGGACTGCTCAGGCACATCCAGCGTTGCATCTGCATCTGCCTGGGTTTCAGGAGGTGGCGTTGATGGCGGCGTAAAGTTGACAGGTGCCTCCTCGGTAAACTCAGACGCTTGGTTCTTACCCTTCTTCTTTTTACCCTTCTTGGCTTTTTTATTCGTCTCAGCCTTTGGCGAATCCCAAGCGTCGTTATCCATCACCGGTGTCGGGTCCATCTCAACCTCAGCCTCGGGTTCAAGCTGAGCTTCAGCTTCCACCGGTACGACATTCTCATTGTATGAGCCATTATCTTCCGGTGTCGCAGGTGTATTCTCCGCTGATCTTTCGTCTGCTGCAGCCTCCGTCAATGTCTCTTGCTCGGCCGGCTGTTGTTCGGGCTGGGGTTCAGGCTCGGGTTGGAACTGAATCTGAGGCTGAGGCTCAACCTGACGTCTTACAGATCGGCTGACTGACGCGACGGATTCCGGAGGTGGTGATGGAGCAGGTGGTGGCACTCCCGAGGACATAGATTCCGAGCGATAAAACCCTCGCCATGTCCTTGTAGGACTGAGAGTATCCATAGTGCCTCTTCTTGTCTTTTTCTCCCCGAGGGACTGGTGGTTTGGGGACCTTGTAGTCCCCTCGGTACGTATACGCCCAGAATGCAGCGAAGGTTTCCGCATCGAATTCCTCCAATGTCACGACGGAGCCTGAGCCGACCTTAGAATCCTTCACAACGGACTTTTCCTTGACGAACTTAGCCAACTCCGGGGAGACATGTCGGGCTAGCTCCGAATGAATGGTCTGCTTGTTGCGCTCTGGACCAAGGAAAAAGGTCCAGACGGAAGACTCGCTGGTACTATATCATTACTCGTGTCAGTAAGGATTCATCTTTTTGTTTGGATGTTTCTGTGACTCACATTTGGTCATCCGGGGAGTCCATTATGAAGTTAATTAAAGAAAAGTATCCCTGGTGAAGGGTCTTCTAGCTTGGGGATGAAATCCTTAAATATCCATTCTGAGCTTTGGGCCAAACCACCGGGCAGCTCACGCGCCCCAGCCGACCCAGATAGCTCCCTTAGTCTGCTACGTGTACGACCCTGATGGGTGTGGAGAGGACGCCAGCATGCCAGCAGACCGACTTTGATCCCAAACTATGAAGCTAATGGAGCTAAGAGTGGATTAGTTGTGACCTCGTGGAGGTCGCAATACTACTGAACTTGGCATAGTATTTTCCCAATTCATGCAGGAAACTACATATAGCTTTTTTTTATGCATGATGCAGCCAGCTTGCATTTCCTTTTACTATCTCGACGAAAATTCCCGTGAATTGGAAAGATTTGATTTGTTGCTGGGAATGGGCGACGTTGGATGTTAGTGCCCAATCCCAGCCTTCAGAGAAACCCAACTGTGGGCCTGTCATGTTGATTTGTTCACCGTTCACAGCTTCACTTTTATTATCATTCTCTTTGCTGATTTGTCCAATTTTGTGGCGGTCTGACTCGATAGCTAGACAATGCCTTGATATGGGTTGTGAGTCCGACTCGGTCAAATGGCTCGAATTCCGTACTTTTGTCAATTTTCATCTGAGATGAGAAATTCAATTTTCCATTCACTTGTCTGGAATTCTTGCATATGAATTCTAACTCAGGATTGGTAGAGCTGTCATAAGTTGATTAGCTAAGATGCCTGCATTTGCGATCGACTTCTACTAAGCTTAACCTTTGATATATGTATCCACTTCTAGTGACTCTGTAACACGATGCCAAATGCCGACCTTCATCCACCAAATTTCATCCTGGGAGTTGCTCAAGTACCTAAGTCAATCTCATGCACTCTGATATACCCCGGGGCCAATGGCTTCGAGCCAGGTACCTGAGATCACCCTTGGATGTTTCCTATAGCCTATCCAGATAGCCTTCAGCACCTCCACTTTTGAATATGTATACTATATATCCATAGATTGAAAAATGAAAGTTCTGTGTCGTATTCGAAAGGCACTTGGTTTTATTCCTTTAGATCAGCTTTACTCGAAACAGCATCCCCTGATAAATTTAACTGGCTCTATTTGACTTTACGTGTCTAATCCGACTTCACATGCATCTGGGACTCTCTGAACTTTGTAACACGTTCGGCATAGACTGGATTGACCTCCATCATAGCTTATCAATTGTCTCAGAAAGATACGAGACTCCTTTAGCGTTTAGTTTCGTATTGTCCCGAGTTCAAATCCATTTCAGGGAAATGCCTCTGCGGCTGATTCGGACCCCAACGTCCGTGCGGTATACCAACAATGTATAAATACGCCTGAACACGCACCTTATACTTACCTCCGATTCATTTCAAATGCGAATCACGATGTCTCGCGAAATCGATCAATTAACGGTGCCTGCGGAGAAGCGAAAAGTCAAAGTCATAGTTGCTAGTCCAAGTCGGTAAGAGGGAAATACTGTTCTATCCCGTCCCTGATTCATCACTTAATTGGTTTCACAGATCAGGTACACTGGGTCTTTATCGGGCAATGCAGATTCTGGGCTTTAATACTTACCACATATATGAATGTGTGGTCGCCAATGAACTGTCTCATCTCAAGATCTTCATCGAAGCCATCACCGCTCATTATAATCAGCTCTCCGGAATCAAACGATATGACCTAGCCGACTGTGAGAAGTGGCTGGCAAACTATGATGTATGTTCGCTTCAGTTTTCATTTGCGTTCTAGCTGACAGTCCCAGTGTCTCATTGAGATCCCGAGTTATGTTGGGATGGATGTCATTGAGGCATATGCAGACGATCCCGATGTGAAATTTATTCTTACGGAGAGAAATCCAGAGAAATGGGCTAGATCGGTCAATAGCTCTACAGGGCAAGTGGCTGCTATGGCACACACTTTTCCATTCAATATCCTCAAGTACTTCCACTCGACGTTATACCATTTTCTCAAGATGAATGCCATCGTTTATCAGGCACTTGCTGCTGGTACGAAGATTGGAGATGTGGAGAATGAAAAGATGCTATGCAGATACTATCAGGATTAGTAAGTCCAGCTGATGAAGATGTGTCTGTCATACTAATTCGTGTACAGTATCAAAAGGGCAAAGGCGACGATTCCAGCTGATCGGTTGTGTCTGATTAACATCGACAAGCACAATCTGGACTGGGATGCGATTTGTCCTTTTCTTGGATTGCCGGTTCCCAAGGAGGAATATCCTGATCGTAATGAGCCGGAGAAGTTTCAAGCTATGGTCAAGGGGTTTTTGGAACCTATTGTGAAAACAGCTGCAATCAGATTCGGGGTGACGGCCTTGACGACGTTGGGTGTTCTAGGCTGGGCATCCATGAAGTATGGACCATCTATCCTGGTAGCCTTGACCGTTAGGTGAACTTTCAATTGATGCTGAACCAAAGATCATTCGGAAGTTGGTTTATCCCAGTTGAATCTGCCAATGTAACATTTGAATGCGATGTCATGAATGGGGAGTTGGTATCTCATCTATAAATATATATCCTCTATAAGACATCTCTCATCAGCTGCTGTGCACCAGTCTAATCTCCGTGCTACCTGGCTCCCACTCCCGCAGCCCCTCGCCCACACTGTACCAGAAACGCAACCGAACGCATTCTTTTCGCGCGGTCTCAATATCGCCCTGATCGACTGCATCACCCAGAGACTTGACACAAGCCTCAATACGCTGGTCATTTTCTTTCTTTAACGCGTTGATCTCGGCCTCGGCCTCTGGTGACGCGCCGACTTCCTCAATCGTCTCTTGTACCTCCATAACCTCCATCAAGGTCTGCGGGTCAAGCGCGTGTTTCGAAGCCCCATCTTCGGCAGTGACATCGATTCCGTGCCACTCGCGAAGAAGATATTGTGCCCGCTGGAGTGGGTCCAGAAGAGTGCGATAGGCCTCGTTGATGCGGGCCGATATTGCCTCGGCGTGTTGTTTCGCATCGCCAGAGGGGTATTTGTCGGGATGGACTAGATTTTGTAGTTGCAGGAACTCGCGACGAAGATCGCCAATTGAAATATCGAAGGATGAGGCTGGCGGTGGGCCGGCGGGAATTGTGCGAGGGAAGATGGTGTAGTAATCGGTGATATCGGGTGCGCCCGTGATACCTGTGTCGCCAGTACCAAAGGATTGTGTGGAAGACTTGGTAGTGGCATATCGACGGTTTAGTACAGGTAATCCGGTCACCGAACGTGTTGGAGCGAAAGCCGGAGCTTGAGCGGGCTGGATGTGGCCTGTACACGCATCGCGTAGGTTCCTACTTTTCAGCCCGGTATGTGTTGAGGCTGTGAGAGACCAGACCGTTGGGCGGCATATTTGCCTAGTCAGACTGGTCGATCGCATCGCCATTTTGGAGTTTGTATTGTAGAAAAGATGATCTGGAGTCAAAAGTTCGGAGATCAGAAAACTTCTTACGTCATCTCCGAATTCCACGTGATATTATACATTGGATTTAAACATTGTGATAGCTTGAAATTATGAGAGAAATAGATATCACATGATTAAGTCAAGTTATTCGATACCCCAGAGCTTCACTGTCCGGTCATGACCACAGCTAGCAATCCATTTAGCATCGTCGCTGATATCTGTGCTGAGGACGTTGCCTGCATGTCCACTCAATGTCTTGACAAGTGACCAGTCATCGGCGCTGAAGACATTCACGTTCTTATCGAATCCGCTGGACACGAAGAATGTGCCGGATTTCTTAGGTTCGATCGAATTGGTCTCATTCGGTTTTGGTGAAGCTCCGTCGACATCCATTTGGCCATTTGAATTGTCCGTGGACGGCAGATAGGATGCCGATTCGGACCCCTTATACCATCGGAGATCCGATACAACATTCTTGTGTGCACCAATCCCGCCCGTACTGCGCACTTGCCGCAGGTCCCAGCATTTGACCCATCCATCTGCTGATCCGGAGAGCACCCGGTAACCATCCACACCCCAATCCAACCCGTAGATCTCGCGGATATGACCTTCAAGAATCATGACCGTCTGTCCTACCCGGATGTCCCAAATCCGGCCAATGCTGTCCAATCCACCGCTAGCCAGCAAAGAACCATCGTTGTTAAAAGATACAGCATAGACTTCCCGCGAATGGCCCTCTTGCAACAGAAGTTCTGTTGTTGTCTCCACGTCCCAGAGGCGCCAGGTGGTATCAAAGGATGCTGATGCTGCATATCGCCCTGACGGGTGGAATTCTGTTCGGCAAACACGGCCAGAGTGACCAGACAGTGTTGCCAGGGGCTTTTCCTGGTCGAGTGCCCACAGGTTAATGTCTCCCTCACCTCCTCCAGAGATCAGATTTACTGAAGAGGGTGAGACGTTGGATTGGGGCAGGGTAGCACCCGGGAACCATGCCAATCCACCAATTCTGTCTGTATGTCCCTTGAAGCTTGCCTTCTCCTCCAGGTTGGGGACTGTGAGCAGCTTGATACCTCCGCTCCAGTTTCCAGCCGCAATAGTCTGACCATCTGGCGCAAAGCGACAAATACTGATCGGCCGATCACCCGCGATTTGAGATCCGTATAGGTCAAATCCTTGCAGCTTTTCTTTGATCGCTTTGCGGTGCTTCACGTGGGTTCGAAGAGGGATTGTTGATTCCTCCTTCAGTCGTGCTATGCGAGCCTTTGCTCTCGGTAAAGAAAAGCGTGCGATATCCTTGCGGGCTTCCTTTAGTTCGTTTGAGCCTTCTGTATAAAACTCTTCTAATTGTTCGGCTTCCTGCTCGGGTTCCTCCATATCAATATCACCCTCCCCGCCCTGTTGTTCCGACAAGTCGGTTAACAATTCGCGTAGTCGGTCTCTCCGGTCCGCGGGTCCTTCGCCGAACAGTGTAATAGGTTCACGGAGCTCTCGTAACCGTGCGCGCACCCGGGTGTCGTCCGTCGGTACAGTCATCGCGGCTGCTCTTCGTTTGCGCTCGAATTGGGAGTATATGGCGGACGCCCGTTCGGCGGGAATGCCCGCTCCAGTAGCAGGGATCTCATAATCTTGATCGGTAGCTGTTTGCGCGATTAGCAGAGGCCGAGAAGCAATTTGTTGATCATCACGTACGGATGTTCGCAAGGTCGATTCCCATATCCGTGTCCTAAAGGTTTTCATCACGGGTCAGCCTTATTTCCAATGCAGGTACGAGGGATGCGCCGTAGGAAGTTCTTCAGTGTTTGGAAGACTGGATGGCCCAGGAGCTTGAACAGTAGGAATACCCATGCGGGAAGCTTGCTTACCTCTGCCTCCTCAACATATGCTTGCCGAGATGGGTGTATCATCTTAGCGATACAGAAGCCTATGCTTCTGAGAAAGAGTACAGAAAGAGACGCGCTGGGGGGTAAAGGGCTGGAGAGTGGAAGTTGCGGGTGGCAGAACTGATAAGCCGCGATAGAGATTTATTCGTGTTTCGTCTCCACATAACTACAACTACAGCATTTGATAGAATTCTCTTGGCCTCATGTATTGTTTAAGGACGTTGGATTTTAGAGCCATCTCTCGGATACTGTATATTTCCTTTCTAATAGTTCCAGTAAGGTACAGTACATCTATTATAGTTCTTTTCATACACATGACTTCGCAGTACATACTACCAATTGGAATACATGTATAGCACAATTAACAAGAAAATATTAACATGTCATTAAGCAATATACAAAGATTGATCAAAACTGCAGCTAACGCTTTGAATAGACAGAATCAATTGAATGTATGGCGTTCTCAGGTGCTGCACCGATGCATAGATCTGATCTCTAGGCGGTCACGATAAGATCAAAGCGGGTTCGGTCCAGGCTTATCCATGATTTTTAACCTCCTTTACACCTTCGCTCCTGTCAAGTTTATTCAATGTCCCTGTGACTGATTCTGTGGGAGTGTCGAGATCTTCCTGATGGTCTTGCCAAGTCTTTCATGTCGAGTCTGCAGTTCCACCTGCAGCCTCCAAACCCTTAGCTCCATTTCCGCTCCCCAGTCCGCCTTTTCCTTTTTACGAAGACCTATATGGTCCTTCGCCTCTCAAAATGCCTTAAATCGAGAATTCCGAAAATCCTATCATTCGTCTCCGAACCGCCGTTCCGATCCTCCGCCCCGTATATCCTATCGGGTTGCCGTATCTTCGTCCGGGAAAGGACGCCGTTTCCACCCCCTCAAAAATGCATATAATTTCGACCCCAGTGTGTCAGATGCGATAGGAGTGTCTATAGACAAGAACCCGGAGATCCGGCGACGAAGCCGTCCGGACAGTGGTGAGGATGCTTTCTTTGTGAGCCGCATCGGCACTCTCACTCACCGACAAGGCCAAAATGCGGATGTGCCGGAGGCTGTAGCTTTTGCAGTCGCAGATGGTGTCGGTGGCTGGACCGAATCTCGAGTTGACCCGGCGGATTTCTCGCACGGGATATGTGGTTACATGGCCGATACAGCCCTGGCTTGGGACCAAACAGCGGATAAACTACGACCAAAGCAGCTTCTGCAGTCGGGATATGACCAAGTCGTCGCTGACCCAATGATTAAAGCCGGAGGTAGTACCGCCTCCGTAGGTGTTGCGCTACCCGATGGCCGTGTCGAGCTGGCAAATTTGGGTGATTCGGGCTCGGTTTTGCTTCGCCTCGCTGCCGTGCACCACTATACCACGCCTCAGACGCATGGCTTCAATACCCCCTACCAACTCAGCCTCATTCCACCAAGAATGCGTGCACAGGCAGAGGTATTTGGCGGAGCTTACCTTGAAGATTTCCCTCGCGATGCGTCTGTCACCAATGTCCAAGTACAGCATGGTGATGTGCTGATTCTCGCTACCGATGGTGTCTTCGACAATCTCAACAATCAGGATATTCTCAAGATTGTATCGAGCCGCATGATCTTGACGGGGGCTTGGATGACGACCGAAGATTATGGGATTAGTGTCTCGGATAATCTTCGTGAGCTCACAGTACCAGGTGGCCTGGCCTCCGCATTCCCTCCATCAGAGCCGTCGAAGCCTCACCACGGCTCGAAGGAAATAGAGAAGGAAGCATCACACCCTGAATCCACCCTTACACTCCAATCACTCCTGGCAGCTTCCATCGCCGGTGAAGCCAAGATTGCCAGTGTTGATTTCCGCCGTGATGGTCCTTTCGCCAAAGAGGCCCAACGCTATTATCCTGGTGACTATTACCGTGGCGGTAAAGTTGATGATATCTGCGCCCTTGTTCTTCTGGCCATTGACGAGAGCATCGGCAATGGCTCTTAATAAGATCCACTGTTGGCTGTCTCTAGAGGCTTGAACAATGGATCAAATTCCGGAGTGAAGTTCATGTACATACTTCATCTCTGCATTCGGGGCGCCTTGGGGTTATTTTTATTAGGGGGCTATGATACACACCAATTCATCTGGTTGGCTCCATTATCTGTTAATTATTAGACTTGGTCGCAGCAAATGCATTTCAGATATGGAAACGGCAATTATATTTCGAGAATTGCTCATATACTACATCTGTATACCGTAGCTAAAAGAATATATACATAGAGCAACTATAAGTAGTTCCACTTCCCCTTACCCGCGGACCGCATCTGCTTCCCTTAAAACCCTCTTCATCTCCTCACTCCCCTCAACAGCACTGCCAAATGCCCCCTTAAGTCTCACATCTGCCTCATTTTTCAAGAGCCGTTTAATCCGTTCCACAGCTCCTGCCATAATCGCATAAACAAGAGGATAGCCCGGATTCATACGACGGGACTCAAGTTTTTGATTTACATCTGCACATACTTCACCAGTAACTCCATCCCCAGGACCCTGCTTTCATCGAATACAGTACTGGGATTCACAGTCCCCATGTGCGGATTTGCTCCTGGTGAACACGCCCAGCCGAGATCACTTGGCTCTACAATAGGAAGGAAATCATAGGATGTGGCCATTGCTTGACCCATTAATTTGGGTTGAGGCTGCTGCTGTCGCCTAGTCGCCATTATCTGCATTTGTTGCTGGCGTGCTTTTAGCACGATCTACTTTCTCTCCTCTAGAGAAGTCATGGCTCCGGCTCATGAAAATGTAACGTTCATATGCTGCATGTGTCAAGAGGATTGTCTTATCTTTAGAATGGGCCAATATGCTAGTGCTTATGTCACTATTCAACGAGAAAGCAAACTCCTTTCATTCCGCACTAAAGAACATCGTCAGGTTGAAACCTTGACACAAATCACAAAACAAGGATCCTCATGTCTCAAGCATGAGTTGCAACTCCGTGACTGAATCTGCATGTACAGAAGGTAGAATGAAAAGAAAACTCAAAAACCACATTTTTGGTTGCTTGAATTGAGGCAAAAAGCAAAATGAAGAAACACGTTCTTAGACCAGCCACCCCCAGATTCTGAATGCTACATGGCGAACACAGGGTTATCAAGAACACAGAACAGACCGTTAGAAAAACAGAGAACCCAAACCTGTTCATGGAGAAATGACAAAACAAAGAAATCAAAAGACATGGTCGCCTGGAGCACGTTTATTCGGCCTTCTCCTCGGACTTCTCCGATTCCTCCTTGGAGGCTTCCGGCTTGTCGGACTCTGCATCAGGCATTGGGGTATCATCGGCCTTGCTCTCCTCTTTCTCCTCCTCGGCGGGGGTCTCGAGAGCCTCGTCGTCCTTGGCACCGTTCGAAGCGGGCTTGTCCTCCTTGTCGGTCGAGGCAGGGATATCGCCATCCAACACGGTCTTCCATTGGGACAGAAGGCTCATGGCACGCGAGCGGAAGTTGAACTCCTCATCGCGGGGAATGGTGTTGAGCTTGACAATCATCTTAAGGACCTTGTTGATTTTAGTCGAGCGGATAATTGCAACCTCCAGATCGGCGTGCTTTTCCAGCTTATCATAGTAAGTGGCCAGGGCATCCATCTCATTCTCCTGAGGGGGGTTTTCACGCGAGATGAAGCCCTTCTGAAGCTTGTGGCGCAAAAACAGGACTAGAGTGATAGACAAATCAGCATCAGATCTTGAAATTAGTGTTAGGAATGGGGACAAAGCACACCCTCCTTCTCCTTCTTCCGCTGAAGCTCCTCGGGGTCAATCTGCTTCTCTGGCTCCTTTGCCTCGACGGGCACCTCGTCGCTAGCAGCCTTGCCCTTCTTAGGGGCAGCCTTCTTAGTCTTAGGGGCGGGAGTCTTCTTCTTCTCCTCAGCGGGAGCTTTGGGAGTGCTGAGCTTGAGCTTGGTCGAGGTCTTCGGGGTCTTGGCCGGCTGTAGATATTAGGCATTAGCGAACAGCGGATAAAAGTGCGTCGTGAAGAAATTCACCTTATCCTCCTCGACGTCAGTCTCATCCTTCTTGCGCTTCTTGGTGGACTTGGAAGGCTTGGCTTCGTCCGCATCTTCCATCTCGACATCAGTCTCGGTGCCCTTACTCTTACGACGGTTTTTTTTGTCGGCCTTAGCCTTGGCCTTTTCTGCCTCCTCGCGCTCTTCCTCTTCGATTTCCTGCTGGATGGCAGCCTGGTGATCCGCAAGGAGAGTCTTGAAGTACTTCAGATCGTGGCCTTCTGCGGCAACCTTGTAGGCGGCAATCAGGCCCTTGGCCTTGTTCTTCTCAGAAATTTCCTTGCATTCGGCTGGGTCAAGCGGAGTCATTCTGTTGTTAGGCATCCAAGCACTATCAAACAATAGTCAGTATTCATTCTCGGCGCAGAAAGGGGAGCCTGGTAAACCAGGCCCCCGATGCGAGAGCCTACAATTCATTGGAACCGAAGAACATGATGGGGTAGGTGCGCTCATGGGCGCGTCGACCATCGTCGGCATAATCGGCGCGGAACTTTCCATCGGGCTGCATGGCAGTAACGGGGCGGCTGTCCAGGAGGGTCTGGGGGATCATCTCCTCGTCACAGACGATGGAGGGCCACGGCGCGAAGCTGCGGAGGGTCGAGAGGTAGTACTGGCCAGGCTTCACATCCTTGTTGAAGATGCGGTTCATGGACTTCTTGCGGTTCAGCTTCTTTTCGCCGGCACCGCTAGAGCGACGCCGGTCCTTGGACTTCTTCGATGCAGGCGTTCCGTTAGTCTTGGGGGCCGCAGGCTCCTCGTCTTCCGAGGCTGGCTTGACCTCTTCCTGGGGCTTGGTCGCATCGTCAGAGGCATCGACCTTGTCGGTTTGGACTTCAGGTTCCTTCTGGTCGGCGTTCGCATTCTCTGGGAGTAAAACGGATCAGCGGGCCTTGGTCGCACAAGCATCAAACACAACAAATCAAACCGATCGTCACCAGCTTCTGGAAGGAGCTCTGTAGGTAATTGGGAAAGGAGAAACGCGATTCAGACTTACCGGTAGGCTTGGCATTCAAGGTAGTATTGTCCGACTCCTTGTCGGCGGACTTGTCGGTGGGAGAGAGCTTGGGCTGCTCAGCAACCTCGGAAGGATTCTCGTCGGCCATGATTGCGAGAGGCAAGTGGCTCAAGTATCCAAGAATTAGGAAAAGATGGGGGAAGGAGGGGGAGGGGGAATTGCTCGAAGAGTAGGAGATGTGGAGAAGGAAATCGCGCAGCGCAGGCGCGGGAAGGACGCGTTGGGGTCGAACGGGAGACAAGCACCAATGACGCCACAACTCCCAATTTCAGCCAACACACACCACCTGGGCACCTGAGGATGGATTCAGGTCTGTGAGATGACCAGGGGGGTTTTGGTTCTTGATGGAAGCACCTATAATGGATTTTAGAAAAATCCAGTCGATTTTGATATGGTGCAGGCCATTCACGTCGATATCTGTGTGACGAAGACTTATTGCACTGAAGATGGAGGAAATGATTCAAATTTCATTGACTCATCATCTTAAGCCTCATGTTCACAATAAGGCTATAGAGTATGCTGGCAAAGCCAGTCTTTCACTTATGCCAGTATCACGCTTTGTTGTCATTGTTGTTTCCAAGTATAGTATGCTTGTAATTCATCCTGCAATATAAGCTATAAGATAAAATGAACATGCGTAAGGTTAGTCACTTACTGTCGAACGTGTCGAGATACCTAGGTAAGCTTGGAAGGTATTATATCGAGTTCAATGGATCAGAATCAAGGCACTTGCACCGTCTCGGTCAATGAAGAGTAGGCGTTCAACTACAAAATATTATGAACGTCAAGCTTTGAACAGGATAGCGCAAAGAATAGACATCTCTATGAAGTTGAGGGAATTGTTCTATATACCCCCAAATTACTCTTATACTGTCTAACCCAATCGGAAACACACCCATGGCTTCGGGGCAACTAAATCATATTTCCCCACAGCCTACCAAGGTAGCTTCCAGTATACCTAGGTACCCTTTGAAAGTACTTTATAGCGTCAAGTCTATCTACTCCAGTACCTTCTTCAGTACTTACCCTTACTTTTTCAAGTACGGGGTACTATACGAGTATTTCGAACGTATAGGTAGATGTAAAAATGCGTAGCGAAAAATGAACATTTGAAAGGTTGATATTGTGAGGCACTGAATTCGGAGCCATGGGTATGCTCCTGCATATGGGTTAGGGTATACAAGTGTAGTTTGGGGATGGGGGGAGGGGGGAGGGGTGGGAGAATTCGCCAAGATTGGTAGAAGTATGACAGTCCTATACATGCATGTCATTAGCTAGATGTAACTAGAGAATGATATCTTTTGACAATTTGACCAAAGAAAACCCAGACTTTGCAATCATGTTTACTGCTACTATAAAATTTTTTACAGTGGATAACCTAGGTAAATATTGGGTTGAGAAATTAATCACCTTGGTCAGAACTAGGAATATGATAACAATAGCGTCCATGTCATATACACATCAAATCCATAATCACAAACCCTGAGATCCTGTAGCTTCAGGGGTATTAGGGGAAAGGGGGTGTCATATCCAATCTAAAGGGTATAATTACGCCGGATACCGTCCCGTCACGCAGACACTGCATGTCTTGATTCAATCTCACTTGACGAATCACTCGAATAATCAACCATAGTTGACTCTGAAGGCTCGGGCTTATGGATGCGTACAAGCCAGAGGAAATAGTCCTCCATAGGCAGTAGGTTCAACAACCCTCCGTTGAATCGCCATCCTAGAGTGCAGACCAGAGCACCTGCCACAGCATCCAGAATGAAATGATTGGCAGTGGCTACGATGGCCACTAGAATGATGAATGGATATAGGAAGCCAAGTACAAGGCAGACCAGACGGCGCCAGGAGGGAAACTGGAGCCCAGTGCCGCGGGAGAAACGAAGGGGAAGGGTTCGTTGATGATGCGAGGGAAGAGGAATGGTCATAATAGTAAGTCCAATCATTAGGGAATATCCAAAGTGCAAGGATGGCATGGCCGCTGAAGTTTTAAGTCAGATTGAACTCATCCAGGGATTCAGCTCGACTCACCATATTGGTTGCAAAAGCGGTTCTCGGTCCATACACTTCCCGCTCCATTAACACCATGAACGGTATCGATGAAGCCCAAGCTGCGACCCATATCTGCGTCGCTGCCTTCCGCAGCCGGGTCACTGAGCAAACGCGGTGGCATACATGGCCATAGGGTAAAGATTACAAACGCCAACAAGTTACACACCGCTAGTGTTCGTCGTCGGGCTTGGTAGAGAAGTGGACCAGCGGGTGATCCACTGACTGTACCTCGAGGCTTGCCGGACTGGGGCTCATGGACGCGGTTCCGAGTGATGGTGTAGTAATAGAGCCAAACCAGGAAGGCAATGGTGCCGGGAATGTGAATGAATGAGTATATCCAATTGATCCAGGTCATGGCCATGGGATGACGAAGGAAATATTGCTGGATTTCGAGTTCCCAGAATATCCCTAGCTTCTTCTCCAATCGAACCAGCTGCAATGCGTGATGGCGGGCAACATCGACGGTGCCTTCTTGGAGAGTAACGGCGGTGAATGCTCGACCGAGTTGGTATGTCTACTGGTGTCAGTGTACGAGAAGCTGAAGCAGAGCAGGTCCACTTACCCAATATACCAATGCCCAGTACCAGCACTCTGCCAGAAAGGGTAGCTTCTGAAGTAGTCGACTCAGCAGTCGATCAAGGAAGACTGCAGTATTGGGCGATGTCACACGACAGGATAGACGGAATATGCCGATCTGTCGTGTCCGCCATCGCTCGTCGGGAAGTTGTAGGGACGGGGAATCGAAACGCGGGCTCAAGAGCCCATCTTTGGGTGTTGGGCTGCGATAACCAGACTCGAGGGGATCGGGAGAGTCAGATCGTACATAATCGAATGACTTGCGTCGGGTATGACTTGAGACGGAAAGATGTGTGCGTCTATTGATCCAGGTGCCTCCAAAGAGTAGGACGATGACTACCAGGGGCTCTAAGACCGCGCCGGCACCCATGATGTGTTTCTGTTGGGTAGCGACTCCGCGGGAATGGGGTTCTCAGGGCATAAAATACTATAGAATAGGGTCTGGGAAGGAGGAATATACAATAGGATTCAGAGAGAGAAAAGATACAAGATACAGGAAAATCCCAAGAATGAGTGTGGAGAGGGACTGTTCCCAGATTTTTTAGACTACAATGTTGATACAAACCTGTCGCATAATAAAAATTGTATAAAAAGCAAGAACGGGTACTCGGAGGAAGCGGGGGCCGAGACAAACCGAAATTCCGCTGCGCATAATGAAGTCAACTTGTTTTGAACTAATTAGTCTGTTTCCAAGGTTTTGATTCGAGAAGTTGGTCGCGTGCTACTCAAGCTTGCATACAATAGCCCATCGTGATATAGAGGTGTGCGAAAGTACCAAGTTTGTATCTTTCCATACTTACGCCTGTGAGAATTCTTATTGTCAGTGTTTTTTCTCTCTTAAATAATCTCCTGTAGGCCACGCCATCATTGAGGAGAAGGAACCCAACGATTCAGCCCTGTCCCAAGACCCGCCGATCTAGCCCTTAGTGGGATTTAGCGGGAAAGCTAGTGGCGCCTTACGCCAAGCTTGCCCAGTTTCCAAGCTCATCCGACGCATCCGAATCCCGCTCGTTTATTTTACTGATCTCGGATACCTGATCCCCGATCATACAATGTTTGTTTAAAGCGGGGCCATCCCTAGACCAGGGCGAAATTGCGGATGCCGACGTTATAAGACAACTAAGACCTGAAGAGCATACTGTAGATTTGTATAACCAAAAATGGTAATTCGTTCTTGGCTAAGTGGAGCTACCAAATCCTTGGCATTTCACGGTTGCGAGCCTGAACTGCTAAAAATCGGAGATAAAAAAGAATTCAATTTTAAGCCTACTGTACATGGTTGAACCAAGGACATGGATTGGTATGTTGGTGAATTGATGCATACTTTACCAATCACCAAAAATATAGAGCATAGCAGCAACTATGTACTCAGCATATATCGACAAGACCTAAGTTACTATAACTGAGACTCGCAATTCAAGAAAAATAGTACTCTACTGTACTCTGGCTGATATGAACCACTATAATTTTGAGTAATTATAAGATTGACTAAATCTCTCCAATAATACTCGATGCATCGACGTTGACTGATATCTGTTTGCTTAGGTAAGGGCAGAGATCGTCAGTGGACATACTGCCCATATTCACCGCTGGGACATACTTCCAATGACGGGGCTTAGTCATATCAAGAGTCCGGGGAAAGCGAATCAAACCCGCAACTTTGAACGAGTTGCGATAGATCATCCACTATGCCGTGAAAATATTATCTTCTTATCTCAATCATTACATCTTCACCTCGAACGTATTCCCACGCTTCGATGACCCCGAACAATCTTTACCGTCGAACCACCCACTAGCCGGAAAAGCCGCGAAGGCGTGAGTTGTGGCAGAAATGCCTCGCGCGAGCACAATACCAGGGGCCCGGCTACGGTGTCGCCGGGCATGCGACAGCTGTAAACGACGAAAGCAGAAATGTAATGGCGAGCAACCCTGCACAATCTGTGTGCAACGACAGAAACAGTCGGAATGCCACTTTTCAGATCGCCCCGCACGTCTCCTCAAGCCTGACCCCAAAGATTCGACTATGTTACTCAGTGAACGCATAATCCCCTCCCCGCAGCGGGATACGGCGATGGATCGCCTGTTGAATTCCTTGGAGGATAGGGACATGAGTTTAGAACAACAGACCCGAGATGAAAAAGAGGGGACCGCTCCCGTTCCCAAGGTGGCGCGTCTTCTCCGCGACGGGCAGGGCAAGTTCATGTACATTGGAGACTCGGCGAGTCTGTCATTTTTGCAAAGTGTTCGACGTGTGGTATCCTCATCTATTGGCCGGTGTGAATTCACCGAAGATAATTCACGACACTCTATGCTGGAAGCTTTTCAGAATAACCCAAGTACCCAACAGGGTCCTCTCATTCCTCCACCAAGCAATGAGGAGGCGCACAGACTTACCCGACAGTACGTTCTTGCGACAAGTCCGTTGCTCGATTTGGTTGATCTCGAGGAGTTTCACCCCCGGCTGGCTAGCTGGGTAGACAATCCTTCGGGCGATGAAGACACTGTCAGCTCCATCTTCTACCTTATCCTTGCCATTGGGGCCCAGGTCTCCGATAGCAACCAGACCTTAGCAGAGCAATATTTTAGCAGTGGTCGCCAATTAGCTTTTTCAGCTTTCCAGGAGACGCCTAGTATTCATACCATCCAGTCCTACATTCTAGTGTCGATGTACATGCTGGGTGCGTGTCGGCGCAATGGAGCATTCATGAACCTGGGGATCGCTTTACGAGCCGCCTATGCGGTTGGTATTCACCGCAAGGATGCAAATGCGCTCTTTTGTGGACGCGAGCGAAGGGCCAGAGAGCGCGTGTGGAAGAGTCTCCGCATGATGGATTTGTTCCTCAGTGCCTCGTTAGGGCGCCCTCCTGCAACATCAGATTACGATTTCGATATCCGTGAAGATTTCCTTGCATCTGGAGAGCCACAAGGCAATCTGACCCAGGATAAGCAGCTTTCACTTGCAGTGACCTCGCTATGTCGAATTTTTGAACGAATCCTCACCGACGTTTATATGAAACAAGTCATCTCGATCAATGTTGCGGAATCCATCTCGAACCAGCACCGTGCTTGGGTCCGAACGCTACCAAAATTTCTAAAGGATCAAACAGAACGACTCGACAATAAAACCATGCAGGACAGTCTTGCGGCGGCTCATGTTTTTGGGTCATATTATTGGTCGATCATCCTCCTCACACGACCATTTCTCGTCTATCGCGTGGCTCAGTATGTGAAGAAAAAAGCTGATCCGTCTGCATCAGATGGTCCAAACGGTAGCTCTCGTATTGCTCTGTTTGCGGATGCATGTGTTTACTCCGCGCTTCGAGGCTTGGATGTGGTGGATGATTTGGGCCGGTTCGCATCACTGCCCCGCCGTCTCCCATTTTTAATCAATTCTGTTTTCAACTCTGCCGTTGTTCTCGGGGCTGCATTCTTTGCCGACTACGATAATCTGCTGCCTCTCGAAGAGGGAATGATCAAAGCAGAACGTTTCCTTGAATTATTTGTTCCGCACGACCCCCATGCGTGCCGCTTCAGCCACATTATCAAGTATCTCCGCGCTGCTGTGAGTGAGTACATCCAGCGACGCAACCGTCAATGGATGGATCACCGAAGCAGGCAAGTTGATCAACTTTTCGGCCAGGTCGGCGGTGCCAATAACTCCCCCCTCACAACGGGGTCTGCTCATGATGTTCCGCTGAACCACCTTGAGAGTCAGCCGTCTCCAGCTGTGCCTTCTCCAATTTCACCCAGCAAACTGGATGGTAGGACGCCATCCTCCTTTCTACCATCAGGGCCTAATCCCCAGCAGCTCAGTGGGGACGTTTGGGATTCACTTTACAATGCACCAGATGGGGCTGCTGCACTTTCTTATGATGCTGCTATATCTGCTCTGACCACCTCGGGCATCCCTGTCGGTTGCTCTCCGGGTGGTACTATTCCAACCGAACAGCCCCCGGTCTCCGGTGGCCCATCTCCGTTATCCGATGTGATATTCCCTGAGAACGGTCTGTTGTATATGGCTGAAGATCTCCCAGTTTTTGGTCTGTGGGGAGAGTCTTGATTACTTTGGATTTTTTATAACTTTCGTCTGTCAACCCTATTGGCAGCAGATTGTTTTTCTTGAGCGATGACATATGATCCCATGACTTTCTTTTTATTGTCTTTCTGGACATCTCTGGACGAACATCGATCAATCTATCAGACCGGTTGATTTTCTATTATTATACCCAAACTCGATTATATCTGAAGGCGTCTTGCCCATACAATATCTTTATACTTGATACCATTGAATCGTAATGGTTCTCTACGCTTCAATTTGAAGATTTAAATGGACTCACTTCTATATGACAACTATTCGACATAAGATCTACATGGCCGTACATCGTGCAGTGGCAATTGAAGTTACGAGAAAAGGAACATGAGAGCAAACACATTTATTCTTGCACGAAACGCAAGTCATAGAGAAGAAAAGAAAACCGCAAAGGCCGTTCGAGCAACACAGGAAAAGGGAATGAGGGCGTTCAAAACAATAAGCATTACCATCAATCGGCGAATTATATGACGAGGGGAAGGAGGGAAGTGTGAGATATGACAATGCAGGTGCTTGAGTAAGGGGAACAATCAACAGTGGCTCGCTAAGTGGGTAATTTTGCAATGCAACCATGCTTCATAGCATTTCGATAAGCGCTGCAGTACTGGACCGAATTGGCGGAAAGCCATGATATGTACGCTATGTCACTGTCAAAAATACGGTTTCGAAACCGACATGCTGAGGTATGTAAAGCTCCGGGTCCAGCAGTTCCAGCAGATATGAATATTCCTGCAGGAGAAGAAAAAGAAGAAGAAGAAGAAGAAGCGCCGATTGCCATAAAAGACGGGTGTTATATATGCCAGCCAAAGTGCTCAGATACGAGGACAATATTAGAAACCAAAAGGGTTGTGGGGAGCTGGTTGGTTATGTAAGTTAGTTATTCGCTTCTTGTGACCCAAAATAAGATGCAGAGCACTTACTAGCTTGAGATAGATTCGCCCTGAGTCCCGTTGGCTGCGGCGCAAGTTTCTTAGCGGCATCCGGTTTCACGCCAAACCTGACAGGAGGCGCGGGGCCAGTCTTTTGAGGTGACAATGGGGTGGCTGTTGGTTGCTGAGGAATTGGCGGCACTGGAGGAAGGGGCTGGATGTAAGATGTGTTGCCGTAGCCGTTCATACCAGTTTGCTGGGGCTGCAATGCTGGGGGAAGCATAGAGTTGATGCCAGTCTGCATTGGCTGCTGGGGCTGCGCATATCCAAAACCCGTCTGCTGGGGGACCATTCCCTGAAATCCTGGTTGGATTGGTACTGACTGGCCGTTAATCTGTTGCTGTTGCTGGATACCAAATTGCGACTGTGGAGTGAAGCCGGTTGGTTGGGGCATCATGACGCCATTCTGGTACTGGTTCTCACCCATGAATCCGGTCGCTTGCGGCAGCATCTGGGGATGGAAGCGCTGCTGGTTCAACTCTGCCAGGCTCTGTCCAGGAGGTGCGACTGGAGGGCCTGCTAGGGGAATCCCAGTCAATTGGGGCTGCAATGGGGGAGGCCCAAACGAGCCTTGCTGCTGCGAGAAGTTCTGTGGCGCAGAGAGTGGGCGTTGCGGAGGAGGTGGAAGAAGTGAGCTTTGGTTCAAGTTCTGTGGAGGCTGGGGGCGCTGCTGCCTGGCTTGCTGTCCCATCTGCGCTATTTGGTTAAAAAACCCAGGCGTGGCGCCTGTATTCTGAGGTTGCTGCACAGGGGTTGACTGCACAGCAGTTTGCTGCGGTTGTAAAGCAGGAATACTTGATATTGGCGCAGGGGCAGGCTGTGCTGGAGTAGGCTGTAGAGGAGTCTGGAGCAAGGTCAAGTCGGCCATAGCTCCTGTGACCTGCTTCTGAACAGGAGGCTGAGCTACAGGCGACGTGCTAGGGGGTGGGCTTGAAGTAGCAGCGGAGCCAGTACGCTTCGGCTGCTTGACCTCCCAAGCATCATCATCGAATCCACGCGCAGCAGGCTTATCTTCCGCGGGCGCCGGAGGAGTCGCAGCTCGCTCTTCCTTGGGCTTTGAACCATCCGATTGCTCGAATGCTTTGGGATCCACCACGTCACCAGCCTGAACAGCTGGCGCAGGTCTTCCCTTGCGGGTGTTGTTACGCAACGTGCCACCGGGCCCAGCAAAAAGTCCACCCTGGCCATCTTCGCCGTTGCCAATCACTTCCTCGCCACCAAAACTGACATTTCGGGACTTGGATATGCTACCGGTACGACCGAGTGTGGTGTCCAGATGACGCATGACTCGTAGGATATCACCTTCTTTAAGCCCTAGAGAGCGAAGAGTCTCAGGTGTAATGTCGGGGAGGATAGACTCGTCCATCGAGTCCTTGAGGAAATTCTGCGCATATCGTTCACATTGGTGATGCCCAACGCCAGACTTTAAGAAAAAGTCGAACCAATCGTACTCAGGGCGTTGCACAGACGCACCCGCCTTACCGGTTTTCTGGGCGTCGGAAGAAGCACGATTTCGAATACTTGAAAGTGGCTTGTCTTCATCCAGAGAGACATTGGCTGCCGCTTCCACGTACTCTAAATCCTCAACGGACATTTTAGCAACGGGCACAGCAATCTTGATACCGTTGACCTTGTGAAGATGAATCTTGCCATCTTGTAGTCCGATAAACTGCGCATCGACTGTGAAGGCCTTTGTGCGATCCGTCCACCTCCTCACCTTGCTGGGATCAGGCTTGGACTTGACTTTGCTGTCCCGCTTGGAGGAATCCATCGAATCTTTCCTAGACTTTCCGACTGAGGCTTTGGCCAACCTAGCTTCCTCCCTTCGATTCTTTTCCACGGTTGTCAGGCCCGGCTCGTCTCCTCCGTGTGTAATGGCAGGCACAAAGCCGGTGATTTCAACATAGCTGCTAGGAACCACTCCCTCCTTGCCATTTTTGATCCGCCTCACCACCCACCACTCCTCAGATTTGGTGTCATCGACGACGATAACTTCATCGTCCACTTCTACCGTCACTTCGTCGGTGCCTTGAGCCTTGAAATCATACAAGATCAGTCCGGTCTTCTGACCACCACCGCCCTTTCCAGCAGCGATCACCTCTCGCAAGCCTTCAGCACGATACGCCCCGGCGATCTCACCAAGTGCTGCAACAATCTCCTGAGCTGTATCTTTGGCCCCGGCGTGGAAATCGACGCTCTTGCTAGGCCGGACAAGGTCGACAAATACATGCTTGCCTTCGATCGAATAGTGCGTGAGCTTTTCAGCCGTCCACTCCTGCTGCCGGTCATCCCCCTCGGGAGAGATAAAGATGATTCCCGTGACCATGTTGATACCTAACGTCGTTGGCATCTTCTTCCGCTTTCCCATAACCTCCACCATCTCGTTGATATTGTAGATGTGGTAGCCAGAAGGTGATCTCGGCGTCAGCTCACCAGCCCGGTTATAGGGAGGTGATTCTCTAACATGGCTTTTCTCACGACCCATTGAGGGAATTGCGGCCTTGGGGCGCGGGGGGGCTGGAGACGGTTCAGGTGAATATGACTTCAGTGGAGGAGTGATCTGTTCGGATGGAGGTCGCCGGGGCAAAATAGGTGGAGGTGGCTCATCTTCGCGCACATCCAGGTCGTGCGAAGGCCGAGTTGGGAGTTGAGGGGGCGGGGGTGAGGGCTCTCGCGAAGGCTCGGGTTGTGCGCTGACAGGGGCATGCTGTTTATGTATAATGTCTGCAATTGCTGCGGCAGCCGGGTTCTGTACTGTGTCAATCGGGGAAGGAGAAGGCGACGCTTCTTCATATTCTTCTGGCGCAGGCTGAGTCGGCCGTCGAGGCAGGGATGGCGCCTCGGGCTCGGCTTGAGGCGGAGAGGGAGGGGCGACAGCAGCAGTGGTGGGAGCGATATCTTCGATGATCTGAATGTAGTTTGCCGGCGCAAATCCAAAATCTCCGTTGACTCCGACCAAAGTCCAATCGGGATCCGAAATGTCATACACCATTAGTTCTGCATCTTCCGAGAAAGAGACCTCTTCGTCTGTTTGCCGGGTGTAGTCAAAGAGACCCTTGGCATAGTGTACCGGTTGCGCCTATTCATTGCATCAATGTAAGCATTACCGATCAATTGCTTTCCTCTCCAAAACGGGAGCGCGTCCAACGGCACTGGCCCCTTCATGAGGTTCGCTGCCACTTGCGATTGACCCGGGTGCTTACCTCTTCTACATAATTGTTTGGGACTAGACCCTCTGGCTCCTCCTCGTCTTCTTGCTCGGCCTTCTTCTTTGCCCTCCACCAATCATCAGCTGCATTCTTTTCCAGAATGTAGAGCAGGTCGCCCTCTTGAATCTGGAGTTCACCCTCTCCCTGAGGGTGGTAATCATACACAGCCGAGTAGACGCCGAGGAAACCCATGCTGGTGAGAGGTTTGCAACTCGGCCAGACAAGAACTTAGCAGCGACGAAACGTCCAGGTGCCACGAGCGGCAGTATGTAAGGAGTGATGCCGGCTCGGATTGTGGCTTCGGGGGTGGTGTCGGGGGGTTCGGGGAGGTCGGGGGCGATGACGCTGGCCGTTTCTATGTCAGCCTTGGCAATAGACCTGCGCACGGACAAGGAAGTCAATTCGACTTCGACCAGGAACAGATATCAGACCCTGGTAAAATAATGGACCGAACCCGAGGGAAGTGTGGAAGTGAGAGATTAGACCAGGGAGGGAGGGAAAGGTGGGCCTAGACGGATCGCTAGGAGATTCAGTCACGTTCCTTACGTAGGTTTTAACGTTCCTTCAACCTAGAATCATTGCCCCTCTCTATGCCCTAAGTCCATATATATATATTTCAATGTTTTAATATTACTTATATCTATTTTTTATTCTAATCTTATAGTCATCATATCTTGTCCCTTACCTTGGTTAGCCAAACTCCTTAATGTTGAACCCCCCACTCGGGACCCGGCATATGGGGCATTCTGACGTCTTTGGGCATGAAACTAACCCGGTTGTTCCTGACTTCAATGTTTTTGATCTTTAATAATGATGAAATTTGTATGAACTGGATATTGACCTGATATTCTTGCATATGTTTGAAAAAACCCCCCAATTCAGAACACTATACATTAAACTCCTTCATAGCTCATCCTTGAAAGTCTCCTCGCTTCCTTTTGAATTATCGGACTCCGAGTCAGAGTTGAGTGGATTTTCCTGGTCGGTTTGATCTCCAGATGCCGACTCTTGTTCTTGCATTGTAGGCTCCTTAGTTTCGGAATCTTTACCCAGAGGCTTTTGGTCTTTCTCTTTCCTCTGTTGTTCAGCGGAGCCTGAGTCGACTTCTTCATCTTTCCCTTCCAGTCGACCCGTGAAATGGATAGCGCCGTTGACATCCACAGCCTCGAGGATCCAGTCTTTACCTTCGGAGAGTTCCTCAAGTTGTTGTTTTATCTCTTCGAGTTTTTCTAGGTCCAGGTCGTATTTTTTCAATGCTTGTTTGGACATTTGTTTCACCTCGCCATTCTCTCGCTTCGCCAATACCTCAATGTGTTCCTCGCCAGCTGACGCCACGCGGCCTTTTTCAATCCGCTTGCCATCCATCCCAACAAGTTGACGACCGCCAACTATAATTCCACCCACGATCTGAATGTCTGACTGGGTTGTGGCTTCTTCTACCAATCGCTGAGCCAAATACCATTCTTTCGCATCCTCCCATTCAGGGACATCCTCAGGCATAAGGATCTCACGGCATTCAATATTGTGGACTTCGTCCTGTTGAGGAGACATAAAGGCAACATCATCGCACAGGCGGGGAGTGTAGATAACCATCAGGTAGGAACAAGTAGTGAGTTCCTTAATCCAGCCAATTTGATCCGTTGACTGCGGGTGACAGTGAAATTGCACCTCCACCTGGCGCTCACGGCCCGTAAGATCGCACTTAGTGCCACCTTGTAGATGTTGTACGAGGTACCGTGAGCCACCTTTGGTGTGTAGCTCTGCAATATCAGTTCTGAGCGCCGGCTCATGGTTCGACTTTTGCTGTTTCTTATCACCATTGTCGGAGGGGAATCGCCCCAGAATAAAGGAAGTTGAGTGAGGATCCTCCGCAGGTGGGTAAGAGGGACTCCCACGACCGGCAGGCAGTGCATGGAACTGTTTAATCTGCTGTTTGTAACAAAAAGAGTATGACCACCAGCCTGAGAAATAGTACATGCATTTGCCTTCCATCTCCCGTAGAAGTTCAAGGCCCCGGTCTGTTGCGCGTGCCAGTTCCTTTTGCTCGTCTGCTTCGCTTGGCTTGTGGCCGGCCGTTGAGTTAACTTGATCTTTTTCCACTTGTGGTATTTGGCAGAGGAGCCTTCGGTCATCCAAAATCATTTCTTCATAGGTAAAGGTTGGTGCTTTCGGCTTTTCGTCGTCCCGCACAGCTTCATCAGCATGATCCTTGCCTGTGTAGATCTGAGTATCTTTTTGGACATGCTCCGATCTACCGTTCTCTGATTCGAGTTGTATCCGAAGTAGCTCTTCAGCTTGGGCATGGAGAATGTACTCCTCTGGGTATTGCACTTGGAACTATAGAGAAGCATCGGATTAGCTTTGAACAGAATGGATGGCGAGATTTGGCCTCTTACCTGTGGATAGGCCAATATATCATCGTATATGTTGAATGATTGCTTGCGCGCCCATGCTCCGGATGCAGCACATGCTAGCACAAGGCACGGGGCCAGGCTCAATCTTGAATGTCGCATGTTCTTCTGAATCTGGGGCGTTGCGGGAAAGAACAAGTTGGCTCTGTCACCCCAGCCAGGATAAATTAGGCGTTTCGGTTAATGAAGGTGATGACCAATGGCCATGAGAGATTGAGAAAGTATGGGTTTTTTTCAAGATCACTGGCATTAAATGTGGGATAGGCGCCCATGCAGTTGGCGTTCCAGCGCGTTGAGTGAGTATGAGCGGAGAGCGGGAGATGCTCCGTGGCCTTATCTGATAGCGATGGTCCGTTCCACCAAATCAATGTCAACCTTGAAGCTTCCAATAGTACAAGTTTACAAATGATATATACCAAGCACAAATATCAACTGCGTACTGCGAAACTTTCTTAATGATGCTAATGTACTATCTCTACACGAAAATACTTCATCCTTGAAATACGTCACCAATACACACACTGGTATTTTGGATGTTTGAACTTGGATTTACTAACTTGACATTCCTAACTTTGGATTAGATGAACTCTCAAATTTGAATTGTGAAATATCCTAGAGTTTCATCATCGGAATTGCATATAAAAATACTCATTCATGTACATTTCCACATTAATAAGTATGTACGGAGTACTTATGACTTGAAATCCATGACTGGACCAAATATCCACGTGCTTGCTGATGTAATTCTTGATAATATTTGATGCCTTAAATCTCTGGATCTAAGGCTAATCCCAATCAGGTTTAGCTTATGCTGACAGGTGTCTTGGTAATGCGTATGGGCGGGACAGGATTCGTTCACGTCAAATCGCTGACTGATGTCTTGCAAAGCATCCGTTAAGCCGCATTTAAGATCCATTGACTAACGCTGACTTTAGCATTTATAGTTCCAACCTGCGCTCTGCTCGAAACTTCGATCTCTACAACACAAATTACATATAAAAGGTCTCATACTCATGAGGTTCATTCTTTCTCTTCTAATTTGCATCACAGCAGCCTTCTTTGCATATCGTCCAATTCAAGACTCAGTTACTGTATACCTCAAGCACAAGACACCAGCAAGCCTCTCGCACTTCTTCGCAAAGACCAGCAGCAATATAGTTGCTCCTGCAACTTCTCCTTTCGATCTAGAATCCCCTCCTATCGTCGCACCCATCAGCAAGATGTCTGCCCCTCGTGCAATCCGTCAAGTTTTCCTGGCCATTGAGCAATCAGAGGGCGCAGGTGCCCGCGTTCGCCGCTCCATCGGCACCCCTAAGCTGCGAAACTTTAGCCCCTTCCTCATGCTTGATCATTTCACCATCGGCAAGGGCGCCGGTTTCCCGGACCACCCCCACCGCGGCCAAGAAACCATCACCTACCTACTCTCCGGTGGGGTCGACCATGAGGACTTCGCTGGAAACAAGGGCACCATTGGACCCGGAGATCTACAGTTCATGACCGCCGGCCGCGGCATTATGCACGCTGAAATGCCCCACGAGAATCCCGACGGAAGTCCCAACGTCGGCATGCAGCTGTGGGTTGACTTGCCACAGAAGCTTAAAATGTGCGAGCCTCGCTACCGTGACCTACGCTCCACTGAGATTCCAATCGCGAAAGCCGATGACGGCCGGGTCACGATCAAGGTCATCTCGGGCCAGTCTCATGGTGTTGACTCTGTCCGTGATCTGGCCTATACCCCGGTCTGGATCTTGGATGTTACTATCCGCCCCGGTGGCCGTCTCTCTCAGACTCTGCCCCAAGGGTGGAATACCTTTGTCTACACTTTGTCTGGTAGCACCGTCTTTGGCTCTAATGATTCCACGAAGGCTGTGAAGGAGTTCCACAATGTGGTATTTGAGCAAGCCGGTGACTTCATTGAGGCCTCTGTCCCTGATAATGCTGACGATGAATCCCGCTTCCTGATTGTTTCTGGTCAGCCACTGGATCAGAAGGTGGTTCAGTATGGTCCGTTCGTTCTCAACAGCCAAGAAGAGGTTCGCCAGGCTATGATTGATTATCAAACTGCGTCAAACGGATTTGAAAAGTCGCGTGGCTGGGAAAGTGAGATTGGCAAGCGCATGGGGGCTTATTAGAGTTATGGCAATGCCTTTGATGGTTTTATAATGCATTATGAATGAGATCTGGCGTTTTATGTAGGACGTGTTTAGGTATATGTTTCAATGAATACTGTTTCAATTAAGTTCATACCACTGTAAACAATGTAAGGGAATATGATATCTCGGTCTGTTGTTAATCCCGCGTATGTACACGCAGTCCACCTCGAGTTAATCTGCCACCGACCTAGAACTGGCTATTTGGATGGTGGAAATTTCATCTAAAATGCTGGGATGAATCGACCATTCGGACCATTAGATAATCTCTTTCTGAGCAATCCCCTCCACAGTCAGCTTTGCACCTAACGTGCCGATAACTGCAACGCCCCTAGGTATCCGTATATCACGGATTTTAAGACAGCCGAAGACGACTATTTTCGTAAGAGCCGGGCAGCATCGAAAAATGGACTGCATGATATAGTCATCCACAGGCGCATTAAAAGCTATGTCAAGGGACTTGAGCGCGGGGTATCGCTTGTTTTCGGCGAAAACCTCCTCGTATGCGGCGTGGGATATATGACGACACGAGGTGACTTTCAATCGTTCAAGCTTTGGACCTGAATGCTCCATCAAAGCGATGAAGCCATCGGATGCAAGACCTACGGCCTCGGGAGGGCCAGCAGGGTTGGACATATCCACGTCTCGGAGACCGCTGAAGTCAGCAAACCTTAAGGCTGGATTGGACCAGCCACGGAAAAGGTCAGCTATAGCCTTATCGGTGATTGACGCATTGTCGGTGATTCGGAGCTTGAAGAGGTCTCGGCAGGTCTCACGAATATGTTGGACCAGCCTGTCATCTGCAAAATGAAAGCTTTCCAGGGACAGAGAGCGCAAATTGGGCCCTATTTGGGCGATCACCTGAAGTAGAGGTTCGGGGTTTATTTCCTTTGTAAGGTGTAGTGACAGGTGCTGCAATGTCTTCATGGTCGAAATGGCGTTTAACGCCTGGTCACCGATATTATCGAGATACTTCAATTTCAAACGTCGAAGAAGGGCACAGTTCTTGCTCATAACTTCAGCTGTTTCATCATCAAAAGCAGAATCGAGGTTCCACAGCTTGAGACTTTGCAGCTGGGGGCCCAGTTTAGTGAATAATTGCCGCCAGCAATTGTCGGTTACGAGATTGGGCGAGTTCAAATGCAGATCTTGAATCTGCATGTCGCGGGCTATCATGTATTCAAAAACTGGATCTTTCATGGCGGTAACAAATCGAAGATTCAGTCGGGTTAACGCTGGCATTGTGGCTAGAATCTTATGGAAGTCATCGGTTTGTAACTCTGTTCCACGTTAGATCATCATCCAGGAGATGAAAACAGATATTCCGCAAAATTATTCAAATGGGAAAAACTTACTAGCGCAGTCATAGATATTCAGTTCTTTATGCTCAGGCCGCAAGAAAAGATCCAATGTCTTTCGCGTCACGGCACGATTCCGGGATAAAATCTGGCTAAGTCGATGCTGAACCACTGGAGGGAGATCTCCAAATTCTTCCACGTCATCAATATTATCAGCAACTTTCTGAAGAACTGTGTCAGCAATCTGAAGCCCTATTATCAAAACTGCTGCTCGGAACCCACTTTGATACACGTCTCCAGCAAGCTTGGAGCACCAGGCAGAGCAATTCCATCCAAAATCTTGCTTTGATTCTGACGGCGGGCCGGTCCTGAGCTCCGCTTCTTGGCTGGACCTTTCTTATCCCCGTCGGTGTGCTTTTTAGAGCAATCGGCGCATAAAAGGCCACCATCGAAGCCTGTTTTGCTATAAGGCGTGACCGTGAAACGCTTCCCACAGACCTCACAATTCGCCAGCTGTCCTGGTTTTGGTCGTTCCTTCTCATCCATCATCTCCCCTGCCAAAATGTCATCGTCGTCGAGGTCTCCTGTTCGTCGAGCTTTGCGACGGGCGAATTCCTTGCTTCTTTTGATCTTTTCGATGGCTTGCAGCCGCTTGCGCTTTCGGGATTTCTCTTCGGGGGAGTCTGGCTGTGGTTCTGGAGAGACTTCATCCTGGAAATCTGCGTCTACGGCTTGTTCTTCTTCTGTGGCAGCCTGACGCGCAGCCTCTGCAGCCCTGCGGTCATAATCATCCCGGATCTGCGCAGCGGAAATGTTGTTTGACTATAATGAATTCGTTCGTTAGTGGACATTCTGAATAAGAAAAGGAACAACGGAACACATACGGCAAGGAAGTCCGTAAGAGCGGATTGTCTATAGAAGTGTCAGCGATACAACACGCCAGATTTGAAGAATGAGGTCATACGGGCCCCGGATACTAGCATTGCCCCTTGGTCGTCTACCGGTCCTGCTCTAATGTCAGCAATACAGAATGTTTGGAATTCCAACTCATGAACGTACATTTTGAGGATGAGTGAATCCAAACAACGAGGTGGCAAAAAGGAGAGGATCGTATATGCAAGTCACAAGGGTTCGCGGAACTTTCGCGTCGCACTTAACGCGCTCTTATCGAGATACGATAAGTATAATCGATCTCGATCACGATGACGGCAGAATCAGAGAACAAGTTGATGAATTCAAGAATGAAATGTAATTCACTTTCAAATCCAGTGGGGGGTCAGAAGTTTGGAAATGGCAAAAAAAGTTCAAATGACCGAATGAAAAGTTTTCCTGGTTCAGGCACGATCGATCAACTCCGATCTCTCCCTCTCTCTTCCTCTTCCTCTTCCTCTTCCTCTTCCTTAATCTTCCCCCCTTTTATCCAAGTCTTCCGTTTCCCTTCCATTTTGTTAGAATAAGTGATTTCTTTGATTTCTTCTCTTACTCGGAGTTCTCTTAGCCGTCTTCATTCGGTGCTTAGTTAACACCTATCACTCGCGGCACCCGCGAAGGCTGATTTGGTGATACGATCTAGGCCCCTAACTTCATGTCAGTTCAAAATTCTCCTTGCTATATTTCAACCCGTCCACCCAGTTATGCCTTTACTAATGGTTCGCTTTTCAGTTGACATAGATCAATCAAGAAACCTCCCGATATCGTTGATTCCCCGCAAACTTCACGATCAACTCTACGTTCGCCAGTACGTTCGCCAGCGACATGAGAACCCGGAGAAGCATCGTCCCGGACTCTGAGGATGGATTCCTCAGTGCTACGTCATTGAAGAATTCCTCGCCGGTTCGCCAAGTGCCAGTGACCGGATCCTCTCATTCCACATCACTGATCACTCGCGTCATCAAGGATTCCGAAGATGAAGGCTCCGATACCCTTGATCTACCCAATCCAGCGGCAAATAATCAGGTCACAGGAATCGTAAAAGTGGTGGTTCCTGCTAAGAAATATGAATCCCCAACTGATTCCTCCCGGAGCTCTCTGGGGGTCACATCGGCCGACAGTGTGACCGGCTATAATACTCCCGCCACCAGTGTGGGCACTGTCACAGAATCAGAGTCCAGAAAGCCTCGGGCCCGTGTCAACGCATCAGCTCGCGCACAGCAACTGCGCGAGAGTAAAGTGTCCCGAGCAACACAGAGAGGAACCAAAAGATCGGCCGAGGAGATAACACCCGAGGCCATGGACCGCTCAAAGCTGGACGCAGCTCTGGCTCTTGCCCTTCAAATGGGGGAGTATGATAAACCGCAGCCAAAAAGACAAAAGACCGCCACAAGAACTACACGTGCAAATAGGCAAATCAACAACAAGGCCACACCCCTGTTTGAGATTTCAGATTCGGAAGATCTGTCAGATCTGACCGAATCTCCTCTGCTTGATGGCTTAAGCTCGGACCCGGAGGATTCCGACAATTGGAGTGGTCATTCAGAAGCGATTGAAAGTGATGTGGACGAAGACTTTGATAGTTCCATGCCAAGACGCCCTCCAAACATTAACCCACCCGCTCGTCTTTCCTACTCAGATGACGACCAGGAAGATGAGGAGCTCCCACCGTCTTGGGAGGAGGCACGGAAAGACCGTCGCGTAAGTAACAACATTCATGCTCTATTAGAATCTACTTTGATTGACTTTCATTTAGAAACAAGCAGATCGGAAGAAGTTGGAAAAGCAGCATCCCGCGATCAGTACTATGTGGGATGACCTGAAGGCCCAATCCACGATTGCCCCGAAACAAGCAAAGCAGCCAGAGTCTATCAATCGCAAATTGAAACCGTTTCAGCTTGAAGGTTTGAACTGGATGATGGAACAGGAAAAGTCTTCGTATCGAGGAGGCCTCTTGGGTGATGAGATGGGAATGGGGAAAACAATCCAGGCAGTTTCTCTGATCATGTCGGATTTCCCTCAGCCCAACCCAACCCTCGTCCTAGTGCCCCCAGTCGCTTTGATGCAGTGGGTATCTGAAATCAAGGTTTGAATGGATGTTCATAATTTTTCCTGTTTCTTCAGCTCACCACGTTTGCTAGGACTACACCGACGGCAAATTGAAAGTCCTTGTTCACCATGGCTCAGACTCCAAGGTCAAGAAGCTCACTCCAACGGATCTTCAAAAATACGACGTGATCATGATATCTTGTATGTTCATATATTTTTCTCTGGCGCTGGTGCTTTGGCTAATAAACTCTGTAGACTCCAGTCTGGAATCCATGTATCGAAAACAAGAGAAGGGTTGGGCACGTGCCGGTGGATTTGTGAAAGAAGACAGTGAGTTTTTTTTTTTTTTTTTTTTTTTTTTTTTGGCATCAAAGTCCCGAGTGCGCACCTGCTCACAGTACCAGGCGTCATCCACTCTATACATTACCATCGGCTTGTTCTTGATGAAGCGCATAGCATCAAGGTAAGGTTTCCTTCTCAATCTTCCTTGCATTTCATGTTCATCCTAACACTGGCGTGTAGCAACGAACGACTGGAGTTGCCAAGGCCTGTTTTGCTCTGCAAGCCACCTACAAATGGTGTCTGTCTGGTACGCCGGTGCAGAATCGGATCGGCGAGTTTTTCTCCCTGCTTCGCTTCCTGCAAGTTCGCCCGTTTGCCTGCTATTTCTGTAAGCAATGTAATTGCGAACAACTTCAGTGGACTGCGAACAAGCAAGGTCGTTGTACGGAATGCAACCACACGTATGTACTTGAGCGAGCCAACTATTTACCGCGTCTAACGACTTTTAGGGGATTCAATCACATCTCGATTTTCAACAAGGAGATCCTCAATCCAAGTAAGTTCCCATCGCCCTCTCGCCCAACCTCTACCGTCAAAGTCTAATATAGATTCCAGTCACGGAGGGAAGGACACAGGAAGAGCGAAAGGAGGGGTTGAAAAAGCTTCGTCTCATCACGGACCACATTATGCTCCGTCGGATGAAACAAGAGCACACATCGTCGATGGAGCTGCCGCCGAAGCGGTAAGTCGTAATTTGCCCTCAGGTCTCTGGTTCAAAAAAATTAAACAAAGTCCATATAGCATCATCATCCGCAATGAATTCTTTGGCGAGGTCGAGCATGATTTCTCACGCAGCATTATGAGCAACTCAACTCGCAAGTTCGATACTTACGTCAGTCAAGGTGTCATGTTGAACAATTATGCCAATATCTTTGGTTTGATTATGCAGATGCGCCAGGTGGCAAACCACCCAGATCTCATTCTCAAGAAGCATGTCCAGCCTGGTTTCAACATCCTTGTGTGCCGAGTGTGTGATGAGCCCGCCGAAGATGCTATTCGATCTCGCTGTCGACATGAGTTCTGTCGTAAGTGCGTCAAGGATTACATTCACTCCTTTGACGAGGAATCGACGGTGGATTGTCCGCAATGTCATATTCCGCTTGCAATCGATCTTGAGCAACCGACGATCGAGCAGGCTGAAGAGTCTGTGAAAAAAAATTCGATTATCAATCGTATCCTCATGGACAACTGGACCTCCTCAACCAAGATTGAAACTCTTGTATATGAACTTTATCAACAGCGGAACAAGAGTCATACCCCCAAGTCGATCATCTTTTCGCAGTTTACTTCAATGCTGCAGCTTGTGGAGTGGCGTCTACGTCATGCAGGATTCAACACGGTCATGTTGGATGGCACGATGACACCTGCGCAGAGACAGAAGTCTATCGAGCACTTCATGAACAAACCTGACGTGGAAGTGTTTCTGGTTTCGCTGAAAGCCGGCGGTGTGGCTCTTAATCTGACTGAAGCCTCCCGAGTATTCATTGTTGATCCGTAAGTTTGCCTGGTTCACGTCCTTTTTAGTGGGGAGTCTTATGTAGATCTATCGCTAACATTGTCCACAGATGGTGGAACCCTGCAGCAGAATGGCAAAGCGCCGATCGTAGCCATCGCATTGGTCAGCAGCGGCCCTGTGTGATCACTAGGCTCTGCATCGAGGACTCAGTCGAATCACGAATTGTTCAGTTGCAAGAGAAAAAGGCCAACCTGATCAGAGGCACTATTAACAAAGATCAAGATCAAGCCCTTGAGAAACTTACGCCTGAAGATATGCAGTTCCTCTTTAGGGGCTCGTAGGTGGCTCTGACGCCACTTTCCCGGAGATTGGACCGACGTCACCAAAGGGAGTAGTCGCATGGTTACCCCCACCTTTCAACAATATGACCTCACGAGAACCTTCAATTGCTTCTTTTTTTTTTTTTTCGAAATTCCCCGTTTGCACAGTTCTACATGTACTACTATCTTTTTTTTTGTATCGCTTTTTTAGCCTTGATGTTTTTATCTTCTAGCACATTGTACTAAACAGAATATGAATACAAAAAGACTAGACCATAACCTTCAAATGTTGGAAACCCCTCAATCAAATTAGGATCCCGATCTTAAAAAATGAATAGATATTTACTCCAACTATGAGATCATCCACACATGTGGATCTATATATCTTGGCTGTTGCCTGGTAAGGCTGAATCTTGGCTCTTGGCTTTTGGCTCTCGGCTTTTAGTACTTGACTGTTTTCTCCACCGAACTTCCTTGGAAATCCCCCACTTCCCCCCGTTTCTATTCTTATTCTTTTATCATTATAATCGGATGATGACCTTCCCTCAGCGCTTCACTCTGACTAAAAAATAATTTTACCTTTCCTGCCCCGCAGCCATGGCCTCACATCCGGTCGACAAACTCGCACCCAGGTTGGTCGAAAAAACCGATAAACTACAGTCTCGGCTTACTACGAACGATTCTCACTCCAAGCCTGCTGGAGGATTCGATGCGACCCCAATCCCTCATGCGCCCCCGGGATATACCGTCAGGTTTATCTTCCACCGTGGTGATGACCTCCCCGTCGCGGATTTTGGCAGCTTCTCCTCCGACCCGTACGTTTATGCGCAACTGAACGTGGATTTACCGCGACGTCATAAGCAGGACTCGATAATGAGCTTCCGGACTCCGACTGTGCGCAAGAATACGAATCCCGTATGGAATAGTGAATGGGTCGTCGCAAATGTGCCTGCATCGGGCTTTTCGCTCAAGGCCTACCTGATGGACGAGGATCCGGCGGACCATGATGATAAACTGGGAATCGCATTTATTGAGGTGCCTGCGCTGGAAGGCTGGAAAGGCTTCAAGGAACAGTCATTCAAGGTCAAAAAGCGCTTCGGCAGCAAGCGCGTCTATGTCTTTACCAATGTCTCAGCGTTTGCAACTGGTCAACACAAGGAGTCTTTCTTGATCCTGAGCATTGAGTGTCTGGGCCGAACACCGGGGACCGATGGTGGCCAAATGTATACCCTCGGCCCGAATTACTGGTTCAAGCACTTCTCCCCACTCATTGGAAGACTGACGGGAACGAAGGATCAAGACAAAGCTCTTGATGGGAACGGGAAGCCCATCAATCGATACAAGTATGTCGCTTGCCATTGAAGCTTTAAAAATTTCAGCCCTTACTGATCATTTCTCAACAGCTTCCAAGCCATTCAAATGCAACTTCGTGGTCCTGTCCCCGCTGAATTGTATCATCGTTATGTTGAATTCCGGCCATTTGTAGCAGGCATGTTCCAAGCGCAAAGTTTACGGGGCCGGATCCTGCATAAGGCTCTTCACCATCAGCATCAGCGCATCTATAATTTCGACCGCAGCACTCTGAACGGAACGTTTGCCGAACCGTGTCGCGAGTTTGCGCAGAAGTTCTTGGAATTCACCAGCTGGGGTCAGAGCGGGCGGATCTTCACCTACGTGATTACCCTGGATGGCAAATTCCGATTCACGGAGACGGGCAAAGAATTTGGAATCGATCTACTAAGCAAGCATACGATGCATAGTGATGTATCGATATACATTGCTTACTCGGGGGAATTCTTTGTGCGCCGGATCGTTCGTCGTCATCGACGCCAAGGCTCATCGTCTCGCACAGAGGTTCCCGGCGATGACTTTCCAGTGGAAGAAGATGAGATGCCGCAGGAGTTACGGCAGAGTTCAACAGACCCATCGGACTATGAACTCTTCATTGATAATGACAGTGGAACCTATCGCCCTAATTCCGAGAAGTTGCCCCTTCTGAAGGAGTTCATCGCGTCCAACTTTCCGGGTCTGAATGTTAGCACTCTTGACTGCCAGGCGGACGCTGAGCGGATGGGTCAGATGAAGAACGAGCAACGTGAAGTCAAAAAATCTCAGGGTCAACTTGTCACATATCTCCAGCAGAGCAGTGCCTCGGACCTTTCCATCTCTAGCTCAGATGAGGATGAGCTGAATGAACGCAGCGGCGCTTCTCGACGAGGGGGCATGTCTCGAAAGGTGCATGAGATGCGTGATGTAAAAGGTCAAATGATGAAGTGGGTTGAAGCGGATGGACACGCTGATCCTCCCAAGCATCGTTCCTCCAACCGTGAGCGGGCTGCCTCGGCTGGTGAGATGCGCTCCACCATCAACCCATCCAGCACCAATGCGGTTGCCTAAGATGGGTTTACATGTCCAACCTTGCTATTCTATCTTCAGGTTGGCTATTGATCGCCCTTGATTCTATTATTCTTTCTTCTTTCATCTTTTGCTCCATTTTTACTTGCCTCGGGCTGGAACCGAGCATAATGATTTTTATGATTGGAAGAACGTACTCGGCTTGTACATTAATTCGCGATTATTTCATGCTCGCAGTTCAGTCTTCAATTTCAAGTTGATTTCTAATGATCAATGATGAATATGTTTTACGTTTATTTTGTAAAATGTGGAGATAGTCAGGTGCTCAGGGTTTACGGGTTTTACCTAAATACAATCCCATGATCTACAGTGGCATTGGTCATTCGAACATAATAGAATGATAATTACATATATTTACGATGTATATATCTGGATACTATGCATATAACATCCATGGGTTTACCCCGTTTAAGTCAATTAATGCTTTAAATAGCTTTTTTTTCCTTTATGTTTTCTGCCTCCGGAGTACATTGGGGCTGAAACCCAGTTGTGGCCCCTTGTTCATTCTCTAACATGTCAGGGGCGAAGAATCTCCAGATGAAAGAGGCCCAAAAAAAACCAACTGATCATTAGAGTTACATATAGTCATATCTGAATTTTAATTCATATTACATAGAAATAGGCCAAAGAGGGGGGGGGGGACATGTGGAAGAGAAAGTGACCAAATAATTCCGAGATGTTTCATTTGGTTGTTTGGTTCGATCTCAAAGAGTACAATATCCACTACACCCCCTCCATCGCGATCAACCCCCCGATCAAACTTTCGGACTCCACCAGTCCCCTCTTCTTTCTCAAAACCACAACTGAATGACGGATCTCTCGCTTCACCTGCTTCCTTTCTTCTACGGGCCATCTGACTACGCACATCGATGGCCGATTGGCTTGGTGCTTGCCCAGATCCCTTCTCGTGCTGTGACTTGATTTCTGTGCCTGCGCCATCATGGGCAATGTCGCCAGCCGTCTCGACGAGGCGGGGAATTTGTTCTTCAAGGATCAGAATCGATGTACATGAAGTCCTTCCCCGAGTCGCGAAACGTCTTTTGGGATCGTCGTGCTAATGAAACCCGTATTCTAGTCTCGATCGCTTCCATCACCATAAGCAACTCCAGTCGCCGCTTGCTGACCCTGTCCCCCAACGCATTCCCGGCAGTGAGATATGTAGCCAAGCGGGATACAGGCGACGATACTCCGATCGAATATATTCAGGTATCATTACATGAATTCCGGCTAGATATGCGCTGCACAAGTAAACTGACGTTTGCCAAAATACAGGATCCCGACGTTCCCTCAACTGCCACCACTCCGATTTTCTTGTTGCGCCTGACAAACGACGATGAGCTCATCTTCAATTTTACCTTTATCCTCCGTCAAACACAAACTGGCAACGCCACGGGATCCACCGTCAATGGTGTCTCGACCTCGCTCCCCGAGGTGAGCGACACTGTCCTCAACGGGCTTACTTTTGCACATGCGTCAAACTCCAAGGAGCTGGACAACCTGATCACACGAGAGTTTCACGCGAATCCAAACCTACAAAACAACTCCAACGTGCAGCTCATCGGCGACTTTTCGACGGAAGGCACCCCATCGGTGTCATTTGAGTGGTCGTGGAAATGGAAGCCTCCCAAGGGAACAGAAGACAAAGGCGGCGGCTGGCGAAACAGCTGCAGCCTGCTGGATTACGATCAGAGGACTAACCGCTTGAATACCCTTGCTCACTTTTCCTTCTGGGTGCACAACTCGGTACGACTGCTCCCGAGCCCTCGGATATCGTCACCCAACCTTGAGCTACCGGTTCCTCCTCGCAGCCGCATCCCCTCCATTCAGTCCGCAGTGTCCCATTTCAGTGATTCAGATACCTTTCATCAAAATCCTCCATCATCGATCACTCCACCCGAAACTGCAGATGGGCCACCCCCTGCTCCCACACAGCCCCCACCACCGCCTCCTGTGAAGGTCGATCTGCCACATTCCCGACCCGCAGATGATATGAGTGTAGTGGAAGATGGACCACTGTTCCGAGCCACTATGAAAGCGCTGGAGCAGAAAACGGGGAACATGCGTATAAAAACAAAGAAGGTGCTCAAAAAAGCCGAGGCTGCTCAGCAGGCCCAGCAATTATGCAATGATGCCATGGAGGCTTTCTTGGGCTCATTGGGCGACGCATCAACTTCAAACGGCAATGCTATTCAGCCTGCGCTAGATCACTACTTCGAGAGGATTGCCCGCCAGATTCTGACCTACGAACAGCTGAATACACTTCAGCTACAGAAACTTGTCATTGAACCACTTATAAAGGTCTATCATAACGATATCAAACAAGCTGAGGCGAAGAAAAAGGACTTTGATGAGGAGAGTCGTGACTATTACGCCTATGTCAGCCGATATCTTGGCCAGCGGCAGGACTCACTCAAGGAGAAGAAGCGTGCCGAGAGTGACTCGAAGTACCAGGCCAAGCGGCGAAACTTCGAATTGAAACGCTTTGATTATTCTTCTTTTATGCAAGATCTTCATGGGGGTCGCAAAGATCAGGAAGTTCTTTCGCACCTTACCAAATACGCGGACTTCCAAGCCAAGAATTTCTTGGCAGCGGCCAAGAGGATCGAAGAAATGGTTCCTCAGCTGGACGCGCTTATCTACGAAGTGAATCAGGCCGATAAGGAGTTCCAGTTCAAACGAACCGAGCGTGAGGAGAAGCGCAGAGCCCTGGAAAAGAATAGTAACCCGTATCTTGAACCTGATATCGTGGCCGGTGGCACCAGTGTTTCAAATCTATCCTCTGGGACTGCCAACGGGACTGGTTCTGTGGAAATCGAACTGGGTCGAGCCGATAGCACGAGCTCCCAGCTCCGTGGTGTCATCAGCAACAGCTCGTCGGTCTCATCCCAAGCTAATCCAGGGTCAGTCGTCTCAAACGCTGGTGGTGGTGCTGCTGCTGGTGGCTCTGCACCTACAACTAGCGCTGGTCCCAGCGGCACGCCGGGGCAGAATCGGTTTAAAGGCATTCGGGACCTTGAAGAGCGGGATTCCCTCGGATCTGATCGTGCTGCTGGTCAGCAACGGAAAGAAGGATTGTTATGGGCTCTTTCCCGTCCTGGGTCACATATTGACCCAAAGGGCATCAACAAGCAGGCTTGGCATAAGTAAGCGACACTCCCCCTTGAACGTATAAATGTCCGCCTCGTGCTAAAAATTCACTCAACCTAGATTCTGGATCGTGCTAGACCAGGGGAAACTTTCAGAGTATAGCAATTGGAAGCAAAAGTTGGACCTCCACATGGAGCCCATTGATCTTCGAATGGCATCGGTTCGCGAAGCTCGAAATGCTGAGCGAAGATTCTGCTTTGAGGTCATAACACCACAATTCAAGCGAGTCTATCAAGCTACTTCAGAAGATGACATGGCGAATTGGATTCGCTCTATCAATAATGCGCTGCAGAGTGCAGTAGAGGGTGGAGGAATGCCGTCGGCACCTCCTGTCTCGTCTAAGAACGAGTCAAGTGGTCGTGATATCGGATCCGTGTTAACGGGTAAAAGCTCGTCTGTATCTGGCCATCACTCCTATTCGAGCAGCTCGGCTGGCGCTGGTGTGACGCGTCGTACAACCGTCGGAGCACGACCCAGCTACGTTCGCAATGACAGCAACAACTACGAGGAGAATCCATCACGACTACTCCAAGCTGTGCGCGACGCAGACGAGGGTAACAATTGGTGCGCCGATTGTGGATCTTCCGCCAAAGTTGAATGGGTGTCAATCAACCTCGGAATTGTGCTGTGCATTGAGTGTAGCGGCATTCACCGGTCTCTAGGGACCCACATTTCCAAGATCCGATCATTGACTCTTGATGTGCATTCATTCTCAAACGATATTGTGGAGATTCTCCTGCAAGTCGGCAACCGTGTTAGCAACATGATCTGGGAGGCGATGCTGGACCAGTCGCTCAAGCCAACCGCGGGCTCCACACGGGAGCAGCGTCTCAAGTTCATCACCGCTAAATATGTTGATCGAGCCTATATTGAGCAACTGCCATCAACGCGATCCCGATTTGCAACCCCCAACGAAACCCTTCTTGCCTCCATTAAGAAGAATGACATTCAAGGTGTACTGTATGGGTTGGCACTGCGTGCCAATGTGAATGTCCCAGATCGCTCTCGCAACACCCACGCTGTCTTCTTAGCCCTTGCTGCTGCTGACCCTGCTTCGCCTGGGTCCACACCCACCAGCCTCTCCGCTCGGTCCAACGCCAAGGCGATCCCATTCCCCGTTGCCGAACTGCTGGTCCAGAACGGCGCGGAGATTCCTCCACAACCCCCCTCCATCCCCCTTTCTCCCGCTGCCCAGCTATATCTCAGTCAGCGGACTGCACGGAACTCTGCATTCAGCACCCCCAGTCCTGCCGCAAGGGCAGCCGCTAGTGACACGCTCGGGTCTCTGCCCACGATCCGTGGCTCAAGCAGGGACAGCTCTGCTTCTTCCGGGTCCCAAGTGCCTAACTCCGTCGACCCGAAGGAGAAAGACAAACTGTCCAAGCGAGGAAGCGCCGGCGCTCGATTCGCAGGGAAGGTGGCATCTCTTGGAATTGACCGATAATGTCCTCGGCATCCCGGGGTGTCGCTTCCAATAATTCCTAATTATATCCATCGTAATGAGACTCACATGAACATTTCCCCTCTGATGACTTTTTGTGTATGACTTGGGTATTTTTCTTTTGTCTCTTTTCAAATGTCCGGCGACCACCTTACTATTCTTTTCTGCTCTGGGCAGGCCAGGTGGTTTCTCTTATTCTTTTTTGACTCGGTTGCTGTCAGTCTTCACTATCACTGGTTTGAGCTTTTTGGCACTCCTCCCTCTTGAAAGGGCTTTGGTCTCTTGCATGGATGCGTGCTTTGTGGCACTATCCTCTTCCTCTACTTCTTTGACGCAAGGACTCAATCATGAGGAGGCTCTTCGTTTTATACCAATACCCCGGCGATGTCTTTCCTCCTCACCCTCAATTTTACAGTCGTCTTGGTGCCAAATATAGTGTAAACTGAAGACCGACTTGGTGGCTTCGTTCCACTTTGCTTTGTTTTCCGATTGTACATACATGACACATTGCGAGCATCCCCCATTCACTGAGAAAAAATGATAATCCTTGGCTCCTCCATCATATACAATGGTTGAGATAGTATGAGATAGTATTTAAAGTATAGCTGGGGCCTACACTCTACTTTCATAAACTTGTGTATGTTGTTTCCTTCCGAGGTTCTTTTAGACGTGGATTTCGATCTAGAATTCCTGGTCTGGATGTGTCATGTAACATTTTGAAGCTTAATTTGGCATTGGCGTTGTGTAAACTGCATGCTGTTCACATCCGTTTGGTTCAACAAAAGTACTGTAAGAATCATACCATTCAGGTCTCATAAAGGCCCAATTAATTACATATCGCCCCATCGTGGTTACTACACCATACGAGATCAATCAGCCTGAAGGCCAATGACTCTTTGCCCATGTTAGGAACAACATAGCCCAGTCGGTCTCATTGCGTCCACAGCTACAGTATGGCTAATATTTGGTTGCCTGGAAGTGGCGATTAATCTGCTCTTGACTCATTTCATCGCCACTATCAGCCGACAATTAGCCTTCCTCATTGAGTATCGCCATGGGTCTGTGGCGATTTGAAGACGACCAAGGGCATGTATCGAGGTGTAAATCAACAGTCCCAAAACAGGATTCCAAGGAATTTATGGGCCAGGTGAAATTAAGTCGGAGTGCCTTCTCGCTAGTAAGCCGGCTATATCTTGATAGCCCTTGCAGATCTCACCAAGCAAGCAGTTCATTCCTTCTTTGGGAAAGAAGCTAGCCCACCTGGCGTTCACTGCCACAATGCCACGGCGCTACAGTACAGATGAGTTGTGACAGATCAGCAGATCAGCCGTAGAGTCCGTGCCAGAAACCGGGACCAAGTGGAGAGTCATATGTGCTGCTGTGGAAAGGACATGCCTGTGATGAGGCGTCGGATGCAAACTTAAACCTTCCGATTGTCGATGTAGCTTTTTGATCCACCGCCTCCGAGGAGCCTCTGGTACGATGGTACGATTTGCGCTCTGATGGGATGTCACCGATCCTGGATATTTGAATACATCAGCGGCGCTCAATGAGTCAGTACTGTAGGCGACCGACCCACTGGGGAATCCTCATTTGAAGATCATATTCAAGTGTAATTGCAATTTTTGACCAGTCAGGAATCAGAGAACGATGATTGGATGATTAACTTAGGAACGTGGAGAAAATGGAAAAAATAGAGAAAATAGAGAAAATAGAGAAATCAGAATCGATGCACATAAACCTGTGACGTCATAGACTACCCCATGAGGCGCTTGAGGTGCGTACAGGAACGATGATCGCAGTTGCTTCCAAGGTTGAAGCACTGTGGTGGTTCTTGAAAGAACAGGGCAACCACTCACATAGTTCCCCTATTATCCACGATTCACTCTGGAGAGGGACCACTTCTCCAAAGATATCCACTGTTACTACTTATATGTAGGTGGAGGTTTCAATGAGGGTCCCCCTTTCTTCTTTTCAGAGCGTGGCATTCGTGCGATATATTTAACTGGAAGACCGGAAGGAACCTCTTGTCATTGACAGTGGCGAGTGCAAGAATTGATCACTAGTACGCTTCAGACATGGTTCGGTGTGGATTGTTGTCGTGTCGTTTAGCGCAAATTCCAGGTCACCTGATTGCCGGAAAAGGATTCCGGGGTTGTACCTGTTGGTAGTGAATTGTAGCCATCAATTAATGAATATTGTTAATGGTGCTATTTAATATGCTTAGATGTGAGATCGATCTCTGGTATAAGCAAAGGACAATAAATATCAAAATGCTTTTTGCTCGTACAGTACTAGATATTTATGGGGGTATTTTATACTATAAATACAGTACACACGGACTCTAAATGTCGAGAAGAAAGTAGCAAAAAAGGGCTGTATATGTAATATTCCAGATACTTATGATTACCATACTGAGAGTAATAAAAGTAGAGTCCTTGATACTCGAGTTATGAGTAATGTAAGTGATTAACAGTACGCACGAACCTTGGATGTGGTGCGGTCAGTAATAATTGATTGTGATTGGCTGGCATCTCATGCCGATCGATGTCGAATAAGTGGGGCCTTCAGCAACTCCCAACTTCCTCACTCTCAGACTCAACCATTGGCACTGGCCATGGATTTTTCAAAGCGAATTAATCTCAATCTATGAGGATGTCATCCACTTCTACCAGTCCCTTGGTACACTTCTTTCCCCAAAAGGATATGGGGGAATGTTTGATTGTTTGACCCACTCTGACCCTCTCACAGTGCCATCGAATTTCCAGAAGTCAAGATACAGTCCGTTGCAGCGGATTTCCCGTTACCGACAGTGTGGTCTGATCGACCTGGTGCCCTGGGTCACCTCCGGGAACCCGAAAACGTTTTCACTAATGCATGGGCATAAAAAGTCTTGCAAAACTCATGCACAGAAGACATCCGTCACAAAACCTAGTGTGTCTCGCCTAGGCCTATTGCATGGAGTATTGCACGCGTCTTCTGCTACCCAAACCGGTATTGTCCGTTCCAGCGCCACATTTCCAGACCTTTCCCGGGCTGTGAATGGATCCATTCCTTGACCATCATTGGTGGGATGATGATCGGGCCTAGTGGGAGTGTTACTGTACTTGCCCAGTTCACTTCCATCCCACGCTTTCTCCTTACGGTTTCGGCGCCGCCCGTCGGGATGCACAGTGCGTTAGTGCATGATACACTGCGTACTCGGTCCAGTGTAATATTTCCAAGAGGCTGGAATTGCTGATCTTTTGCCGAACTCGCGATTCTTTCCAGGTAATTCTTATGTATTTGTCCTTTTTCTTGATTTTCTTCCTTTCCTTTCGCTCTCGCTTTTCTTTACTTCTCCCCACCATTTGTTCTTCCCCCCTCTAACCCACATGAACCCACACCCCTGACAGTGTAGTGGCAAATCAAGCCTGAGTCATTTGTAGTGCATACAGTACTTCGTAACTTATGCGGCCAACTCTTGTAGACCCGTTGATGACATGCATCCAAATTAGGCTCAGCACAATATCCAATAATATGCAGTTCCGAAAATCTGGCCCTAATGGTGTCGTAAAATACTTCCGTCTCGTCCGGTTCACGGTCTGTTCTGGAAAGCCACTAACAAATTCTTGTGCGCCATGTGGGCATGATTAGCCGGTGACATTACTAGTGTCTCGAACTGATCCATCCCACCATTTAGCCTTGAGGGTTTGAGACCTACCCTTTTCTGGGTCTGGGTCTGGCTCCACGGGATGACAAGCATTTGTCACTGCAGGGGCATTTAAGACGCAAAAGATCGTCGTCTGAGCGTATGCCCCATCCTGGAAATTATCCCAGCCCAATCCAAAGATCCGACTTGGTATGCTTAACGGGGGCACGCCACAAAAACCATCAAGGACCCACCGGGCCAGGTATACCCCTCGACCCGCTTCGTCCCTGCTCCGATCATTCCCAATCGGTCGAATCCTGGGTTGAAGAAATACCTTGTACTGTAAGTTGGGCAAATGTCCTGATCTCTCATCAGCCACAGCCAAGTGTGTTTGGGTGTCCAAGCCTCTTTCACTCCATCCGCCACTGTTTTGATTCCAGAGCCACTGCGAATTCGTCAGCAAGACTTTATTTCTTTTCTTTTTATCTTTTTTATTTGAAAAAAAAGAAAAGAAAAAGAGGAGAAAAACGTCTCTGCCTTTTTGCCGTTGTACCCACAAGATATCTGGGTATATCCGAGTTTGCCCCCGTGCGCGTCTTCTGTCAGTGTGCGAGTCTACATCTATTAAGCCACACTTCACCCCTCCCCTCGTCTCGGCTTTCCTGCATTGGGCATCCTAATTCGCTTCGCGGATCATCGGTGAAAACTCCTGCTCCCATGGTCTTTGGGTTCAGAGTTTGAGTAAGTCCTTTCCTGTTGAAATCGAAACCTTCTGTGGGTTTGGATATATTTTTTTCCTGGGGAAAAACAATCTTCAGATTAAATTCAAGGTAAGTTCTTTCATGTTAAGCCCCTAAGCCTCAATTCTGTTGGAATGTTTCCCTATTTCCCCAGCCCTACAAGTACGGAAACCATTCCATTGGCGGATCTAGTTCCCAAAGTCTTTGATTGTCCATGTTGGTCTAGCCCTATGTGATCCCCTTTAACACCTCTTTCTTCTCTACCATTGGTATAAGCGCTTGTCTGCCTTAAAACTTGAGAACAGAGAAGGGGTATGGACTATCATTGGAACTTGTCCCCACTCCAGTCATTCTCTTCGGCCCCCTTTGCCCCCAATCTGAGTTCATATGTTGTTTTTTACTTCATATCCTTCTTCCCAACCGTTTCTCCCCAGTTGATGCCCTATGAGCCAAAACATGGCTTTCCTCGGAAGTCGGTATTGTCTAGCCCTGCCTAAGCGCGTGCAATGCACTTAACCTGCACTATGTCTCCCCCCCCCCCCCCCCCTCCCCTCTTCACCCTAATCCATCATACCCAAATATTCATTTTTCTTGCTTTCTGACCCTGAGGTCTTTTCCCTTCTCTTCTCTTCTCTTTTCTTTTCTCGTCTCTTTTGATGTTTCCGTTTCTGCCTTGAGAGTTGTCTTCGCATCATTGCTGGCTTTTCTCATAACTCCCCCTTTTGTCATAGTGGTTGTTAATGTTGACACACATTGAGCAGAAATATCTACGGCTACTTGGATTCCTGTTCGGTGCCGGATACTTCACATATTATAATATTATACCCGGTCTCTGTGTGGGGGACTTAGATCCAAGCGGTCTCGCATTCTAGGGAATTCTGAGCATCTGACAGGTGAGCTGGATACAATATTGGTCATGTATACCAAGCTGAATGTAATCTTTTTCTAGGGAGTATTCCGTTTTTTCCTTTCCGTTCGACCTAGTCTACCACCGGGCCCCATGGGCGATGCTCCTTCAGACAAGGTCAACGCATCCGGGGGGACAGAAGGGACCACCTTGGCACCAGAGTCGAATGCCTCGAAGGCAATCTCAGTAACTGGTAAATTCGCCCTCAATCAGCCCTTTGGAGATTTATGTGGGATAGGCTGGCTGACCTTTTGCGACTCTATAGGTACCGATAATGACGGTCAATCCAGACCGGCACAGGGCACAGGTTATATAAGACATGGGCGATATGAGCCCCCATCGCCCTTGATCATGAACCATATGGCCTATTCACTGCCAAATCCTCAGTCACAACCGTCGCCGTTTGAACCGCATCTTGCAAACCAATACCCGCCCGCTGCCACCCAAGGCATGATCTATTCAATGCCATCAATGGGTCCTTATCATGGACAGAATGCAGGACTACCGTATGGCGTTCCCTTTAATCAGGCGTACCCGCCATATGGCCTACCGCAACATCCAGGGACAGCACCACATGGCGGGGGCCACTACCCATCATATGTCGGAACCCCACCTCTACAGGCCATGGGCGCCGGACAGGCCCCAATGTATGGGGGTGGTTATTATGCTCACCCTTACGCAGCGCCATATGCACATGGAACGCCTCTTTTGACCGACCCAATACAGCCACGTCCAGCTCGCCAGGATTTTCGAGGACCTTCCGCCAACGCCCCGAAGGAAGACCGACGGCCCTCTGGATTGAATTATGATGTTTCAAAGACTATTGTGGATGGCTCGAATTCTCGGAGAGCACAGGCTCCCTTAGTCGCCGGTATGTTCACCCGTTGAACTTTGGCAAGGCAATGGACCTTCGATCGCTGATGCGTTATGTGGCTCACAGACCCGAGTTTCCTTGCCCGTCCCATGTCAACTTCCAATACCCCACGAGGACCGCCACGCAAGCCCAAACAGTCTGGCAACGCCCTTTGGGTGGGTAATCTCCCGCCGGGGGCCAATGTAATTGATCTTAAGGACCACTTCTCGCAAGATGCGACCATCGACATCGAGAGTGTGTTCCTTATTTCCAAGAGCAACTGCGCATTCGTGAACTACAAGTCAGCCTTAGCCTGTGCTGCCGCACTGGAGAGATTCCATGACTCCCGGTTTCAAGGGATTCGTCTTGTCTGTCGACTTCGTAAAGGTTTTACGGTTCCCGGATCGGGTTCTACGGGTCAGGCTTCTCGGCGTTCTGAGAATAACGAGCCAGATGAGGAGCCTTTTGTGCCCACTGCGTTTCGAGCTATCCCACCTCTAGATGATGGGACCCGTTCCTCGGATCGGTATTTTATTGTGAAGAGTTTAACCGTGGAAGATCTTGAATTGAGCAAACAGAGTGGCATCTGGGCCACCCAGAGTCACAATGAAACCACTCTGAATCAGGCTTTCAAGGTGAGTTCCGTCTGTTCCAGCAACCTACTGGCCTATATCTGATCCCGGGTTCATGATTTATCCAGACCACTGAGCATGTATATCTAATTTTCTCGGCCAACAAATCTGGTGAGTACTTTGGATATGCTCGCATGCTCTCCACGATCGACGACGATGATGAGCTGTCATTGGAGATGCCCGCCCGCCCGGAGCCTCTCCCGGGAAATATGGAGGATTTGGAGGTGACCCCGACCTCGGCCACTTCGACGGCACCGAAGGGTCGGATCATTGATGACTCGGCCCGGGGGACGATTTTCTGGGAGGTCGAATCATCTGAGGGAGAACATGATGATGATGCACGCAGCGAGAAGAGCGAGGCCCCAATGGAGGAGCCTGAGCCAGATGGACAAACATTTGGCAAGCCCTTTCGCATCCAATGGCTCTCTACCGGTCGAGTCCCATTTCATCGCACTCGTGGATTGCGTAATCCGTGGAATGCCAACCGCGAGGTGAAGATTGCACGGGATGGGACCGAAATCGAGCCGACGGTCGGCCGAAAACTGCTTCAACTGTTCCACCAAAGCTGAGAACCACCATGTATCGCCGCTTATGGAATTGCATGATTGCGTGATCTATTTGGCCACCTGAGTGGGGAGAAGGGCCAAAAAGGGGGGGGGGGATGAGAGGGCTTAGGAGAGGCTTAGGCTGCTTTCACTCTGTACCCTGTACTGGGAATGCTGATGCTTGCCTTATGTCCTCTCATCCTCCTCCCCTTAGCATACATCTCCTCATCAATCTCTATGATATATGTGAAAATGAGGGATTATGTACTTAAAAATCTATGGGAAACGAGTAATACATAATGTACTTTTTTTTTTATCTTTTTGTCTTCATTAATCTTTTCTCTTTTACTTCTCTTGCCGTCTTCATTATCCTTTTCTCTTTCACTTCTCTTATCGGGTTGAAACATTCCCTAAGTGCAAGTCCATTCTTTGAAAAGCCTGAGATAAAGCAATTATTTTCCCTGAATTATTTTTCTTCTTTTTCTTCTTCTTCCTTATTCCTATTCTTGTTCTTGTTCTTGTTTCTATTCTTATTCTTTCTTCTCTTCTTTTATTAGTTGATTTCTATTTCATTGCATGACTAAGTTGAAGCTGAAGATGTATGATGATGTAATCAAGGAGGGTACATAAAGACCAAAAGTGGAGAATGTATGATTCTCAACCAATTAGAATCTGGTGCTTGGACTAAGCTTAACCTAAAGCGGCTCACGGTCAAATGGCTGACCAATCACAGACTCAATAACGAAATGTTCGACATCATCGAATTTCTTACTCCACTCGGAGTGCGACCATAGGTGGCGCTACCCCAGATATTACAGTGTGATGAGTCTAAGCTTAGCTTGATTAGCTGATTATCTTTCCCCCCCTCTTTGTGTTCTTGAATTATCGTCGTGCCACACACACACAAACATACACATATCCCCTCTTTTTTGTAATCCTCATCTTTTCCACATTCTCTCATCTATCTCTCCTATCATCCCATTATTCCTAACACTGATATCCCCCCTCCCCCACCCAATCTTTCTTTCACAACTCTTTCTCTTCAACGCTGCTTGGGTATAATTTCCCTTCTAGCAGTTTCAACTTTCTTCATCCAGCACACTTTAATGAGAAGGGCGGCCAGTCCGTCCAGTTTTCTACCTTTCTCATTCCTGAACGCTTTTTGATTTCGTCATGTCCAACGACCGTTCCACCTCTCCCATTAACGTCCCCGAGTCTCACTCTCGCCCCAGGCGAGGGTCCGTCGCATCCGGCCTTCCCTTCACCGATCTCTTCTCGAGGCAGAATAACCAACCTACCAAGGAAGCTGTCAACCCCCAGGCAAACCGGCGACGGTTGTCAATCACCACGCTAGGACTGTCTGGCTCGCCAACCCAAACGTCCGCTTTCGGGTCCTTTCGTCGGGGCAGCCTGTCCAGCTCATGGGGCTCCAGTGCCCCTAATGAGGATGCCGTCGCTGAGGATGCAGAGGGAGGCTCTCCCAACTCCCCGTTCGCACGGCGGGTTTCCTTTGGAGCTCAGGCTCTAAGGGATGCCCGGTCCGGCAGTATAAGCAATGGTAGAATACCCCCTGGTTCATTACCGGCTGCGCGGCCCAGTGCCCGCTCTCCTGCAAGTACCGTCACTTCTCCCCAGGATGAGAGATCTAACCCATCTCGACGATTAGGCGAAGGCTTTAACTGGTCCGAGGCCCTCCGCTCCCGTGCCGAGCGTGCCCCTTCCCTCGGTGGCGTCTCCCCCAGTCGGCCCGTCAGTCGAATCACCAACGTGCCGCCTCAATTGCATCCATGGAGCAGCCCATTCGGGAAATCCCCAAGCAGGCTAAGCAAAAGAAACCCGATTTCTTCCAGGAGAAGATCCTACGTGGTGACTTTATGGACTAGGCTGCTTTCCGTTTACACGATGCTCTTTTGTTCTTTCGCATTTTCTTTTGGTCAATCCTCTTGGCTCTACCTTCACAATTGTCCTTTTTAGTGTTGTTGCATGGAGTTGAGATCAAAACTCGGCATGTTTCTCTTGGGCCACTGGTTAGCGGAAAGGCAAAGAATGTGATTTTTTTTCGTTGGCCACTTCAATCCGAACTTTTTCTTTCTTCATTTCATATGTTTGGGGCGTGAGGGTGCGTGCTTTTCTTAATTTTTTTTTTTTTTTTTTTTGCTTTTATTGTCATGACCTCAAGCCGGTACTGAGGATGCAGATATGTTAGGCCCAAATTGATATGATACGAGGATCGAATGCAGATTTAAGTCTCAATCTACATAAATTTACCATTCTTTCTTAAATCTGAATGTACTTGATCGCTATATATACAAATTGGTACGTATGTACATATATACCCTTGCCCTTGGAAGCTATCAATCATTTCCCATCTCTCCGTCCCAGAGCTTTGCAACTCAACGTCATTCACAAATCTATTCAAGCCGCGGAGGGGCCTGTTCCCACGGCATCCTCTGCATGCATATGGCCTGGGGTTTCAGCTTGCTTTTTGTTGGCCTCCTCGTCTTCCTCCTCATCATACTTCTCAGCCACTCGTCGATCCATGAGCTGGCTCGTTGTGACTTGATTCTCTGGCGCCGGTGGGGTCCACTTGCTGCTCTTCCATGGCGGCACTCGCATCACATACATCATGTCCATCTCCTCCAGCGTCTTATCTTTGCCCTCGATGACAAAAAAGTACACAACTAACACCGCAACAAGGAGACATCCAGCAAACACATATCCATAGGCAAAGTCAATATCTCCAGTGATAAATGGGGTGAAGAACCCAATTAAGAAATTCCACATCCAGTTCGACGCTGTGGCCAATGCCATCGCCTTGGCTCGATACCGCGATGGGTACAGCTCCGCCACAATGGCCCACACCATCGGACCCCAGGTCATGGCAAACCCGGTGATGAACAGACACGCAAACACCACCATTGCCTTACCAGCGCCTGGAGTGTTGGCTGGGTTCTTGACATCAAGAGAGAAATGTCCCACAGAGGCAAATACCATGAAACAGACGAACATCCAGATACCACCAGTGATCAACGACTTGCGACGACCAAAGTGCTCGATGATATATAAACCTCCAATGGTTGTACCGAAATTGACACCCCCGAGGATCATTTGGGTGACATAGGTGTTGCTAATCCCAGCTCCATTGAAGATGGTGGTTCCCTAGGCTCAAATGGTAAGTCTCAGGACTTGATCTTGGCAAAGGACTCACTCACATAGTAGAAGAAGTAGTTGGCACCGGTCAGTTGCTGCAAGGCTTGAAGTACCATACCGAGAACAATGCGATATGGCATCCGGGGTGCCTGCACCATCTCAACCCAAGTATACAATCCGCCTCTGGTCCCCTTTTCGGCCTCGAGCTGACCCTGAATCTCCAGCATTTCGTGGACAATGACACGGTGGTTCTCAGGAACGCCGTAAAGCTTGGACATGGTGGTCTTCGCAACGGCCACACGCCCGTGCCGATAATCATATCTCGGGCTCTCGGGGAACAAGAGGATTCCAAGTCCTAAAATGAGACCCCAGAGGAAGGTAATACCCAAGGGAATCCGCCAAGAGGCCGTGCTGTCTATGGTCTCTGTTCCATAATTGATGCAGTATGCAACGAAAATACCTAATGTGACGAACAATTGGTACGAGCTAGAAGGCTGTTGGTTTGCAATGACCACAGAATCCGGATAGAGGATTTGTACTTACCAGACCATAGCACCTCGAATATGTCTCGGTGCAATCTCACCTTGATACATGGGGACTAACAACGATAAGGACCCTACACCGAAGCCAGTGACGAAGCGTCCCATCATCATCTGATACCATTTCCCATAAGGCGAGGATATCTGGATGATAAGACCGACATGCAAGATGATGCACCATGAAAAGATCGACCATTTCCGACCAATCCGATCAGCCAGAGGACCGGCCAAGAGAGCTCCGATGAGAGTTCCAATTGACAGCTATTCAATTGCGGTTAGATGTATGGCCGACTTAACAAGAACACTCTTCACTTGCCAGAGACACAATCAATCCAGACCGAACGTTACTGAAATAAAAGTTCCCGTCACTTTTTTGCTGACCATAGCGATGTTTATAGTTCTTCATCTCCAAAAACCCCGAGATCTGACCGGTGTCATATCCAAAAATGATACCACCAATGGAGACGAATGCTCCCAAAACCAAGGATCTCCATGTCACCCATGGAACCTTGGACTCACTGAACGAACTACTTCGTCGTTTCTCAGGGTCAGAATCCCCAGATATCTCCGTCGAGGGCGGAGAATCGCTCCCCTGTTGATTGAAGAAAGGAAGCCTCATTCGGAAGGGCGGTCTTGTTAAAATTGAATTGTAGGTAGGTTAATGTCAAGCCGCAGTAATAGTATTCAAGGTTCGTGGATGCACGACGTAGATCCAGATGTATTCGTGCAAGGTGGCATTGATGGACTATTTAAAGCACACTATTTACTGGGCGAGTGGCTCTGGTGTATGACTCCAAGTTGCCACGTCCGATCCAAGCGAAGAACCGAAGAACCCGTCATCGACAGTTCCTACAATGAATTGATACTGCCCAGTGAGGTTCAATATTGTCATGTATACCTCGAGAAACTGATCCTGATACTACTTCCTAAATAAACATAAGCTATATACAACTATAACCTTTCGAGATCTTACATTCCCACCAGTAGTTTGCGAATCCCCATATTAGCTCGTGTGCCACCCGAAGCCCATTTCGTCATATGGAATCCCTCAAACGCGGTTAGGGGAAGATGGTGGCGGGCACGAAGTCGTGACGTCAATCCATTGATCAAAACTGTGAATATCAGTCGTGTTTCCATGAGCACATAAATTCTGGATGTGGCGTAGGATTTTCGTTTAGGAACCATAAGTCAAATGAAAAGAAGAGAAAAGAATAAAAGATTTATTAGTTGGATTATGTGATCAGAAAGAAATGTTGAATAGCTTCAGTTATAGAAGGGGAAAACTCAATGTCATCAGTAGGGAATACCATTGGTCATCAGTTGGAATTGATCATAACCCTTGGTAGACCGACTCATGTATGACTTCCGCACCAAGTCGCGCATGTATTCAGCTGCGTCCCTCTCGCTCTTGTCCAACACAAATCGATCGCGGAAGTTCTTGAGGGTCTCGGGCTTGAAGCACGGTAGGCCGCTATCCAACATCAAGGACACAATATGCGAAAGCTTGGTACAATATGGGCGCGAGGCTAGGAAGGCCTTGACAACCATCGACTCAAACCAGCGGTAAGGCTGAGTGGCCGTCGGATTGAACGAATGGGTTCCGGGCAGACCAAGACCGGGAGTGCCGCTGGGGTGATGAGCTGGGTCGTGTGTCCCACTCATCACAGCTACCATTTCAGAGGTCAACTTGAATGGTGCTCGCTCGAAACGCACACCACCGGGGGCAATATCAAAGCAGAAACCAAAGTCGATGTGGATGATATGTCCAGCGTCATCGATCATGATGTTGCCGTTGTGTCGGTCCTTGAACTGGAGCAAGTAAGAGATGACGGAATAAGCAGCCATACTCTTGACAAAGTTGGTGCGCGCCTCCTGGAATCGGATGGAGTCTTCGCCTCCATATTTGGAAACAAAGTAGTCATACAATCCATTCACAGCCTCACGTCCAAGCATATCTCGGGAAATCGAATTGGGTAACACATCAATGACACCACAGCCAGGAGCTGTGGAGGTGACCCGATATGGGAAGACCCAGACATCGAGTCCGACACTGGAAAAGATGCTCCGGAAGGCCGCAATCATCTGCAAAGCGAGCATGTCTTGACGACAGTCATCGCCAACTTTGAAAATCGCCGACTGCCAAACCTCATAAGTCTCCTGTTCGACGTAGGAGGCCCGTTTGGCCACTTGACGGAACTCGGTGCCATGGGCACGAGCTCCCTTATTAGCTTCTAGCCGCGGCCGGGTCTTTTGAATCCGGAAGGTTGCCATATAGGGCGCCTTGGCGTGACTCTGCAAGGGCTTGCCAGATTTCCGATCAATGCCCACCACCACACCATCAGGATTACTTGGGAGATACACTCCGACTTCCACCTTGATCTTACGGAGTTCCTCCTCGATCTTCTCTTTCTTCTCGGGTTTGCTCTTCTTGATATAAGGTCGAAGTTTACCAGAAATACCGGTGATCTCGTTGAAGAAGGAGAACTCTCGTTCATAGAAGATGCGCTCTTCCTCGGAGAAGCTTGAGATCAAAGACTCAATGAACCTATCCAGTGTTGGCTTCAAAGGATCCGGCTGTGGAATCACAGAGTCAGTGAACAAGGATCAAAAAATGGTTTGCAATGGGGTTTGCACTTACTATCTGGGAGTCCTCATCCTTGTATGAGTTGGCTTTCATGTTCCAAATAACCTGATGAGCAAAAAGCTGCGACAATTTGGCTGTCTCGAGGATATAACGCTCGACATAGCCCAGGGCGTCGTATCGTAGAGCCTGGATTAGCTGCGGCACAAAGTAAAAGCGAACATCCATCGAATGACTTTCCAGGGCACGCATTGCGTACTGCAGGATGAAGGGATGGTTGCCGTAAGCGGGCAAGAAGTATGTCAATGCCTCTGTGGGATTGACTGGCGCCCAGAATAGTAGGTACTGTATTGCGATTAGCCTTGTCCATGGACAGCGTGATTAGAAACACTTACCTTCAGCTGAAAACTGACATCGGATGGCAGAGAAGACTCAAACATGATCTCTAAAGCACTTGCCTCCGGGATGGCTTTCTCGGGGAAGTTTAAGATCAACCACCGGACGTCGCTTTGCATTTTCGGCGATGGGAACCGGGTAGCAAGCTGAATGGCCAGGCCTGGACTCTCTGTCCAGGCAAGTCGAAGGAAAGAGGTGATAGCCTATGATACAGGAGTTAGCTTCGGGTCAGAGCGATATGCTGCACAACTTACATCCGTGGTGTGCTTGCCTCCAAGCGATGGCATGTGGTGTTTCCGCTCGGGCTCCAAGGGGAACAGCCAAACCCGAAGACGCGATCTTTCATTCTCGATGAGAATTTGAGTCAATTCTTGCTTAGCCTGAAGAGACTTGTATACACCGTGGGACAGATCAGCTATATCTGCAACGCTCCGGAGAGCAGAGAGAACATCGCCAAGAATTTTATCTTCGGCTTTGATCTGTAGTCGATTACCGCCAAAGGACCATCTGGGTGGGTATCTGAACCAGCTCAGCGCAGCGGACAGAATCTGATCTTTAAGCTTCCACGATGCAGCTGGGTTCCGCGGGCTGAAGTGTTTCAGAACGCTCAGGCCAAACAGAACAATACGGAAATGAATCTCTCGAGCCAAAGGATGGCATTTGGTCTTCGAGAGACCAACAACAGTACTGCTGATCAAGCGGCCAAACAACTGCTGGTCCTGCAAATTCCCGAGGCGAATAGCACTGAAATGGCTTTCAAAGAACTGTAGAACACGCAAATGGGGCGAAAGTGTGTTTTGCGCGGCTTCTTGTTTTTGAAGCATCAAGGCTTTGTCTGTTGGCAGCAATTCGATCTGGGTGTGTAGCGGATCGGAGTAGTCAAAAGATGGATCAAACAATCCTTTTCGGCGATGAATACTTCTTTCCCAGGCTTCCACCACCTCGGCTAGGATACGTGGTTCAATATGAGGATTTTCGTGGATGACCCCAAGCCACAGAGAAACACCAAGTTTGATCGTTTCCTTGGTGAAGATTTGGAAAGGCAAGGCGACCAGGTAGTGGACAACTGATAGGTGAGGCTTGCTGCTGCTGCAAATGAGGCCCGCTGCTTGCCGCAGAACATCTCGAACCTCAATCAATGGAATGTCCTCTCCATCCATGCTGCGTTCATAGAGGGCAGATAGGGAGTCGTCGATATCACTGGAAGACTCAGATTCAGTTGCGGCTTCAACCTTCGGGCTATCACCAAGATGGAATCCATTGTCTGGAAAAATCGACGAAGATACCTCAGGGCGACGGTACTTCTGACGAGTCGTGTAAAGAGCCATGAAGTCTGAAGCGATGTTGACTTCACCTCCACTGTAGCCCTCGATGGATCCAAGTCGCGGGTCACTCTGTGGGATCAAGGATCCCATCTCGAGGGCAAAGGAACGACCTAGTGCAATGTGTCCATAGCCGCCATCATCATCGTACTCCGAAAGGTAAGTCTGAAGTAGACCCTTAATATCCAGCGGCGCAATATTCAAGACCGTAGTCACCCATGTTCGCGCTCGGACGAGGAATCGATCCAATGTCGCCTTTCTAAGCGCATAGTTATCCGGCAGATCAACTTTGACGATCCCCATAGGTGAGACCAGGGCTGGCTTCCACTCGAACTCATCTAGTTCTCCTTGCAGACAAGATGTCCACATCACAGTCAGAATCTCAAGCAATGCGAAAAGAGAATGCTTCTCGCAGAGCGCAGAAGGACACTGGCTGATGATTTTATCAGTGCATATCGTAGCAATGCTTTGGACGCGTTCTATGCGATGACAGCAGGCTACCAGGTAGGCGGCTAACTGCTTTGATAGGTATGGCGCGGAAAAGTCGTCATATTTTTCGGACAAAGTACGCGAAAGATAACAGGTCACGGTTTTCTCAGCGACAGCATTCATACAGACAACCATCTCGGGTGTGTCTAAAGAAGGATCACGGAAGTATTGTAGGATCTTGGTGCAGTCTCCCGCCGATGCACGCAGACTTTCAACCAATAAGACCGCATTGAGGAACACGGCTCGTGGATAATCCAGCCGTTTGACGTCGGCCTCGCGACCAGCCAACTCCGAAATCAGAGTTCGTTTTTGCTCCAAGACTCGCTGAGGTCCTGTGCCTCTCCTGAGCACGGTATTGAGCTCGACGTCACTCTCAAGTAACTCCATACGATCTTCCGCCACAAGAGGTGGAGAGTGACTGGCCAGTAAACGAAGCTCCCTGGAATATTCTTGGAAGACACTTGAGTTGAGCGTAATACCGTGAATGGCAATGTTGAACCAGGCATCACGGAACAAAGACAAGGTGGCATCATCATACTCTAACACAGCATCAGGAGTTTCTGGTGAGCGCTTTACAGACGAAACCAGAAGAGCCAGAGGTTTCAGTAGAGGTGTGATATCACTGGAAGCGAAAACAACCTCCGCGTGACGTTCCGCGTCGAGATCGGGAACGTCTCCTTTGTTAACAATACTCTCCAATAAATGAGTCAGATAAATTGCATGAAGTGCAGAGTGCTGGTCCAAAGACACAGAGAGGTATGCCATCGCGCACTGAACCGCATCGCAGATCATTGATAACCCTTTATGGGCCCCATCAAGGTAGATACGGGAGTAGAATTTCAGCAAGAGCTGGAACTCAGCCTTGCCACTACTCAAAGCGAGAACGGCGGTCTCTTGAATGATATATGCGTCTACTGCAACATTTATTTTGCCAACTTTCTGTAGAAGCATCGATTGCGCCAGAGCACTGATTTTGTCATCATCGCAACTGGTGGCAATGATCACAATGGCATGAACAACATTTCGGTACACCAAGGCTTCATCCTCGCCAACAGTTGGTATCGATGCTTGACTCCCGTTGCTTGGCTGGGCATATGATGCCAGGTTGGTTGCAGTACCTGTGGCATCTCCTGTGAATTGCTCCTGTGCCGACTGGTCGGCGTTAGAGCTTGGGCTTAGGGCATTTCCTAATGAATAGAGGGTAGTGATGACAGCATCTTCAGAGAGAATGCTGAGAACTTGAGCGAGGCAACGAGCAGCAACGGCGACCACGGAGCCAATGGAAGCCCCTCCCTGGGTTAAAAACCTCAACAAACACCGTCTTGCAATTGAGGCGCCATTCGGTGACATTCTAGCTAGAATCGCCATGCATTTCAAGGCTGTCATGGCCAGCTCCACGCATGCCATTTGCTGGGCGTCGACCAGGGTTTGCTCAAGCCAGGATAACAGGACGTCATTATTGGCAGCGTCCTCACCAAGCACAACACAGTTTAAAAAGCCAACCAGGGCATCCCCTTTGACAGAAAAGGCTAGCTTCTGCTGAGAAGGTGAGCCGACTTGAAGGTAATCTGAGCCATCCTCCAGAAGGTGGATTTCTTCACTGATGAGGTCCGTAATGCGCTCAATCAACGCAATATCAGACTCATCATAGCTTTTGGCAATCCCAACTCCAGCCATATAGTCATCCAAGAGTTGGTTATCAGACAAATTTTGCGATCCGATCAGGGACGCCGCACAGGATTTCACAAAGCACATGAAACCCTCCTGAAGTAACATTGCGCCCATAGGCCGCCCGTGTGCTGCATATCGTCTGGTATATTTTCTCCAATCCTTGTAGACGCCATCAGTGCCTGTGGCATTGCGAATAGTGGAAGAGGCCGTCTCGACTGCAATATAAAACGGCTCAGAGAGCATAGCTCGCAGATGATCGATGATCTGTAGCTTCTCCCTCGCTGTCCAAAATACGGTGTGTTTTGCCGAGGCTTCCAGGAATCCTACTAGCGACACCGCGATAGACAAAATCGTGATCGATTCATGCACAACACCTCGTCCTCCGGCTTCGGATGTAGAGTAATGAAACGGCGTCACCGAACTGATGGCTTCCGCACAATTGTTCAAATACCCTGTCAGACCAGCCACTGCTTCCTTCCGCAAAGTCGGAAACTTCAACCCCAGGGACAATAGCGCCGACGCCAGGCTGTGCGAGAGAGTCTCCCATGGTGACGGTTTGATGCTCTGGAGAAATGGCGATGGACGAAATAGCTGGCTAGGGGACTCAGGCAGGTATTGAGATAGTTGGGTGACCAAGCGCTGCGCGTGGTCGAGCTCATTGACGGATAAGGCAGCTTTGCATAAAGCTAGCAGAACATCGAGTTCACGGATCCCCTACCGAGGTCAGTTTACGTCACCAATGAGGGTTTCGAGAGTCAAGCCTATTACCATCGGGACTCGAGACGTGGGAGCCTGGTTCTTAAGTATTCCATTACTGGTTCCATCAATCGGACGAGCCGATCGTGACTGCTGGGCGAGACGATCAAGGCCCGATCCATCCTGAGCTGGCGACTTCACAGCCAAAGCCGCAAGCTTCTCGAACGCCGAGCGTCTGACGCCGACCGAGAGGCTAAGGGTAGGTTAGCAGTGGGTCACTGAAAGAAATTCGGACCTAGCTTACCCATCCATATTTGGGTTGGGTTGGTTATGGAAACCCTGTTTAAAATCTGTGGGGTAAAACAGGTGTTAAGTAGGTTGTTGATTTGGGGAATTGATGGGGAGACAAGATGGGGGCACGTGTTGGAACGCGAACCTAGGTTGGACATGAACTTGACATTCTTCATAGATTTTACAACCAAAACAAAATAGAACTTAACAAATACTTATATAATCCGTACATTAATGACTTTCTCAACATAATTGTTTATTTTGATTTCTCAAGTCTTTACATTTTTCCAATCATTATGATATTTAACTAAGTTGTATTTTTGATGAGGGCGGAGAGTGGAGAGGCTCTTTGAGCCTCGAAACTCCCCCGACTTAAAAGCTAATTTGGGACCAAAAAGCTCTCCTTTCTCAACCGCCCTACAAGCTTCAATCTTCCTCCCATTAAGTTGTATCGTCATTTGGTTCTGTGAACAGCGATAGTGGAGAAGAGGACAGTCAAGGAAAAAAAGAAGTGGAAAAAAAAACCGGAGGCTTGGCGACGGTCTTCCTTTCATGTCGCAGTAAGCCTGTCCAACAACAACGTATCATTGGTCTGTGGATAGAGCGTGGGAATTGTGTGGCATCATACCTAGAACTATGCCACCTCAAGAGAAAAGCGCTCACAAGCGGGGCAGGGTGAGTGGTGGTCTTACCTATTCGGGGTATGTTGACTCGCTGACGGTACTGGGGGCATTGCTAGCTTAGTGTGGATGCCGATTCACAAGACCTGAAAAAACCGCGTCGGTCTCAACGACTCTCAAGCCAGCATCAATCACAGGAGACACCGGTAGACCATGATTATCTACCAACTCCGTTGACTCATGGCTATTCGACCGCTACAGACATCCGCAACGAAGTGACCGCAACTCCACCGGAAAGCCCAAGTCGAACCCGACCACCATCGTCGCCCGATCAAGACTTCTCTCAGGCGGTCTCATCGCCACCGGGGGATACACAGGCCCTGTCGCAGTTTGTTTATCCCCCAAGAGCATATGCCGATGAAGTGGAGGATGAAGATGCCGAGGGAGTCTGGGGGTACTTGATCCCATTGGATGACAAAGTGAGCCATTCCTTTGTCTTGAAGAAGCGGGATAGTTGCGAAAATCAAGATGAGGCGGCCAAGGACAAGTCAGGGAAGAAACCCCAGGCCTGTAAGCGAGGCAATGGTCAGGCACCTGGTGGCTACCTAATTGGCCGTCATCCTGAGTGTGGTTGGTTAATCCTGGTTCCATGAGGTATCATGTCATCAGCTAACTCCGTTCACAGACCTGATGATTGATAGCCCTACGATATCAAATCGACATTTCCTCCTCTTTGAGGAGAAGAGAAAAGGCGATGTAGTCGCGGTTTTAGAGGATCTTTCTAGTAATGGAACATTTGTCAATGATGCCATAGTCGGACGAAACAAGCATCGCGAGCTTGAGGATGGGGATGAGATTTCCATTTTGAACGAGGCCCGGTTTTCCTTCCGCTACCCGCGCACCAGAGACGCCAATCGCTTCCGTCAACAGTACCAGATTCACCGACAGCTTGGTAAAGGTCACTTTGCGACTGTCTATTTGTGTGTGGAAGGCTCCACAGGAAAACAGTTTGCCGCCAAAGTCTTCGAAAAGCGTCTGGGTGATTCACAGAAATCACAGGCAGATACCCTGCAGCAGGAGATCGCGCTCCTGAAGAGCGTCAACCATCCCAATCTCCTCTGCCTGAAGGACACCTTTGATGAGAGTGACGCAGCTTATCTAGTTATGGAGTTGGCCCCAGAGGGTGAACTGTTTAACCTGATCGTGAGCAAGCAGAAGCTCAGCGAGTCAGAAACCCGCCATCTCTTTCGTCAGCTGTTTGAGGGACTCAAGTACCTGGTAATCCAACCCCACTATGGACGGTAGACCTAGAAATAGCTAACTCTGTGGTCTCTTGTTCAGCACGAACGAGGAATTGTACATCGAGATATCAAGCCAGAGAATATTCTGTTGGCCGATAAGAAGATGACAGTGAAACTGGGTGATTTTGGGCTTGCAAAGATTATCGGAGAAGACTCATTTACCACGACTTTGTAAGTACTGGACTAGCACTAACCTTGTCTTACGTGCATCTGCTAACCCTCTGTTTCCAACAGGTGTGGTACCCCCAGTTGTAAGTCAAATCCAATCCTAGCATGGACTAGAAGAGCATGGCACTGATGTTTTCTTTCTCTTTGTTTTTTTTTTTGCAGATGTTGCGCCGGAGATTTTGCAGGATACTCGCCGACGACGGTATACGAAAGCCGTGGACGTCTGGTCCCTGGGAGTGGTTCTTTACATTTGCCTTTGCGGGTTTCCCCCCTTCTCCGATGAATTGTACACCCGGGACAATCCCCTTACGCTGGCCCAGCAGATTAAATTGGGCAAGTTTGACTACCCTTCGCCTTACTGGGACTCCGTGGGCGATCCTGCCTTGGATCTGATTGACCGGATGCTTACCGTAGACGTGGAGAAACGGATTACGGTGGACGAGTGTCTGGAGCACCCCTGGATGACTGAAAAATATCCTAGCGTCACTGACAGCACTGATGGACTGACTGGTGCCTTGGGCAACTTGGATTTCTCCAAGCGCAAGATCGAGCGAGAGCGAACTCTGCTAAGCAGTATCAACGACGTCCATTTCAGCGAGCATGTGAAAGGCAGTGAAGCACCAATTAAAGTCTTTCACAAGAACAATGTTGGTCAACGTGTTCACAATCGACCGGCCAAGGTCAATCCCCGTGAGCCATCTCCAAGCAACCAAGGTAACCCCAAGGGGTTTGTGAATCACGGCGATCGTGGTGATCCCACATTATACGACGAACCAAGATCGACATGAGTGAAACTGGTTCATGACTTTAATTTTTAAAATGGGATTACTGGATGTCTGTGGTTATATGGTGTGGTACCTTCCAAATGTTTTTATTCAACGGAAAATCCAAGAGCGGTTCTTAGGTTGAGAGAAACACAAATTGGATGTATATTTCATACAGTAAAATCCAACCTGATGTTCACACTACCACGGCTAGATGTAAGGCTATCAAATAGGGACATATATCATCCAATCATCAGGAAATGTTTACTTCCGGGGTTACGGATGCCGCCTATCGTGTGTGGCGTGATGAAAACTGTCGCGTTAGAGATTCAAGAGTCCCTCCATTATAGGAGTTTATACTTCTCCCTTCACTATTAATATATATACATTTAAATATATACATATATATAACTTCCAAAAATACATTGTCATTTTCACAAACCAAAGAGAAAAAGATTGGATAATTAAACATAAAACCTTGGAAATAGTGTAAAAACAGGGGCAAAGCGGGTCCAGGCGTGGCCTCATCAAATGATAGCGGAGATTATTATTTTCACACCCTTTCCCCTTCTCATCCCAAACCCTCCCACTTTCTCCTTGATTTGGAAGGGTGCAACTTTGGTCACCTTCCTCTGTCATCATGGGTATCTTCTCTACTTTCCTTGATACGTTCTGCGAGCATTGCTCCAGCCAGTCCATCTACACCTTGGCTGCAGTCGGTAGTCTGTCCTTTATCGCGCTGTCCGTCGTTGTCAATGTCTTGCGCCAGTTGCTCTTCAAGAACCCCCATGAACCCCCCGTTGTTTTCCACTGGTTTCCTTTCATCGGAAGCACCGTCACTTATGGAATTGAGCCCTACAAGTTCTTCGATACTTGCCGCGCAAAGGTGCGTTCTTTACCCTTTGATTGAGACTCGGAGTTGTTTCTAACAAAGAGCCATTGGGCCTGCGTCATAACAGTATGGTGACATTTTCACCTTTGTACTCCTCGGCAAGAAGACCACTGTTTACTTAGGCACCAAGGGAAATGAATTCATTATGAATGGCAAGCTCCGCGATGTTTGCGCCGAAGAGGTTTATTCGCCACTGACGACTCCTGTCTTTGGCCGCAATGTGGTCTATGACTGCCCTAACTCCAAACTCATGGAGCAGAAGAAGGTGAGAAACAATCATAGTCTGATCACGCCAATTGTCAGATATTATGGAAACTGACCATGTCCATAAAAAAGTTTGTGAAGTTCGGCTTAACCTCCGAAGCTCTTCGATCCTACGTTCACCTGATCACCGAAGAAGTCGATGCTTTCGTCAAGAAATCACCGGCATTCCAGGATTCTAAGGGCAGCTTTGACGTTTCCAAGATCATCTCCGAAATCACCATCTACACCGCTTCGCGGTCTCTCCAGGGCAAGGAAGTGCGTGACCGCTTTGACTCTACCTTTGCCGACATGTATCACGATCTCGACATGGGTTTCGCTCCGATCAACTTTATGCTGCCTTGGGCCCCGCTTCCCCATAACCGCAAACGTGATGCTGCACAGAAGAAGATGACCGAGACATACATGCAAATCATCCGTGAGCGCCGTGAGGCTGGTGGTAAGAAGACCGAGGAGGACATGGTCTGGAACCTCATGTCTTGTGTTTACAAGAACGGTACCCCGGTTCCCGACGAGGAAGTGGCACACATGATGATCGCACTGCTAATGGCTGGACAACACTCCTCATCTTCTACCGCCGCCTGGATTGTTCTGCGTCTGGCAACTTGCCCTGAACTCATGGATGAGCTTTACCAAGAACAGATTCGAGTCCTTGGCGAGGATATGCCTGCTATCACCTACGAGACTCTCCAGAAGTTGGACCTTCACTCCAAGGTTATCAAGGAAACCCTGCGCATTCATGCCCCTATTCACTCTATCATTCGTGCTGTCAAGAATCCCATGCCTGTGGAAGGAACACCCTATGTGATTCCCACTACCCACAACGTTCTCTCTTCTCCTGGTGTCACCGCGAGATCGGAAGAGTTCTTCCCCGAGCCTTTGAAATGGAACCCCCACCGCTGGGATGAGGACACCACGCCTAAAGACGACGATGAGGAGCAGATCGACTACGGGTACGGTATGGTCAGTAAGGGTACTAACAGCCCCTACCTTCCATTCGGCGCCGGTCGTCACCGTTGCATCGGTGAACAGTTTGCCTACGTGCAATTGGGTGCCATTCTGGCAGCCCTGGTGCGTCATTTCAAGTTCTCCAATCCTGCCGATCGTGTCGGCATCCCGGGTACTGATTACTCGGTAAGTAACTTTGTCATATTCTTATTCATCTACATCTGCGCTAACTCGGTCCCTAGTCCCTGTTCTCGAAACCCTTGGGCAAGTCATATGTGCAATATGAGAAGCGTGGAACCAAAGAATAGATGGGAGCTGTGGGCCAGCAACTCCTTCTCAAATTAGAAAGAGCAAACAACAAGCCCAAGCAAAACATGGAGCCTGATTACATTCTTACATCTAATGACCTATCTTGATATCGCAGAGGTCTGGACAAGCAGAAAGTCGACATATTACAAGTGCACGGCTTTTCCGCTTTTCTTGACGCCTTTCAATGACTCATGGCATTGTACATTATTCCTTTTCTTACCCATTTTCTTGCTGGTGCTTGAGTTACCCCCGCTTTTTTGTGTTTATACTGTTACTATATCTATTTAATCAAACATAAATTCAAGAAGAATTCCGCTCGCAGTGTTCACGTTTGATATAATTTGTGGGGTATAAAAATACTCCTTGCTCGGCCAAGGTCAAGCATAGCATGAGGCAAATGGTGGAATCAAGGACCCTTCGGGGGATGGAACATGATATAGAACTATAGTACAGTACGGATAGAAACACTAGAAGAACAGGACCGTCAGGGCTCAAGAGAAATGCAAGGAACGCCATTCTACCACCAATTTACGCTTTCCGCCTTTCCTCGAGTCGCCTCTTTGCCCGAACCTCAACGCGGCGTCGCTCACCACCATCCACCTTCTGTCCTCGCTTGTCTTCCCACATACCCTCCTGCACTGTGATCGTTGCGGCGCTTCCGTGACTCCCCTTGACCGGCTGAAGGAAAGGCCCCATGATCTTAGAGCCTCTGTGGATTTTCATGTGGGCGAATTTTTTGAGTTGGGCGGCGGGGCTGTGCTTGTATTCGGTGACACCGGGGAGCATGTTCACAATAGTCTTTTTCATGCCAGGTGTCAGAGTAGCAGAGGACGAAACCTGCTGGGCATCGTTTGTGTTTGCTGAGGGCTGCTTGGTCTCATCCGGGATTTCCACTACTCGCAACTGGGCGACGCCATCCACAACTTGTTCCAGGTCGCCTCCTGGTCCATACACCCCATTGCGGAACTTTTCGCGCTTCCGGATCAAGTACCGTCGCTGGCGGGCAGGCTCAATGCCAAGTTCTCGGAGTTGGTTGGAGTTGAAGGTGAAAAGTTGGTCCCAGGAGGGAATCTTGCTCGAATGCTTCGACATTTCCCGGCCGATCAACGTGAGGAAAGTCTGGACATCAGGGACAAAGGGGGTCGGTGAAGGCACTGAACGTGCGGTCTTTCCGTGGAATGGTCGAAAAGATTGCTTTGAGAGGCTAACTGTTTGGAATAGCCCCGAGGGAAAATTGCGGAGTTGCTGCGTGCGCATTGCCATGGTCCTCGAAGGGCCAGATCTTGTGGCCACGACGCTGAGTATTAGGTCTTTTCTAAGGTCAAGAGAAAAAGGCCAGGCCCGAGGGTTGCAATGGCAGAGAAGAGGACCGAGTGCACCAATTGTATTGCGGATGCCAGAGGTAACCAAACGGTTTGTTCCTGGAAAGCTGGGAAATTTCGGGCGGTCACGGGATCAATAATACTCCGGGCATGCGCATCCTTTACCTGACAAACAAGCTTCTCACCCTTATAACTCCCGCTTTGTCTTGGATAGAACTGGAATATCCACTGCTAAAAATGAGTGTCTAGCTTCTGTTTGATACAGCTTAATCGCTGTCAAAGCCTGCTCTAGTTTTGCTCATATCTACCCCTCTTTTACCGCTTTCCCTTCATCTCAATCATGGAGGCCTCACCATTCGCCTCTCGATCTCCCTCTGTGGCTGTCGCATCTCCCAATACTCTCAGATTGAGAGCAGCTGCAGCCAAAAGCTCATCAGGGGGAGTCATTGCCTCCAGAGCTTTGTCCAATACAGATCAAGAACTCACCGAACAGCTCAATGACGATGTCCGACAGAAATACATCAAAGGTAGATTGAGCAATTGTGTCATGCCTGAAGGCTCTTGGGGCCAGTTGATACTAACAAACAAAAAACAACATAGACAAGAAGCTTGGAGAAGGCACATACGCTGTGGTATACCTGGGGCACCTTCGGGACGACCCATCATCTCTTGTGGCTATCAAAAAGATCAAGGTCAATGCCGAATATAAAGATGGGTTGACCATGGATGCGATTCGAGAGGTCAAATACCTGCAGGAGCTATCGCACCCTAATATCATCGCCCTCCATGATGTGTTCTCTTCCAAAGACCAAAACCTGAGCCTGGTATTGGAGTTCCTTCCCCGGGGAGACTTGGAGATGCTTATCAAGGATGGAGACATCCACTACGGAGCGGCCGACGTCAAGGCTTGGATGGGCATGTTGGCTCGGGGTGTGTGGTTCTGCCATGAAAACTTCGTGCTCCATCGAGACATCAAGCCTAATAACCTGTTGATCGCCTCGGACGGTGAGGTCAAGCTGGCCGATTTTGGTCTGGCCCGATCTTTCGCCGATCCTTATCTCAACATGACTCACCAAGTTATCACTCGCTGGTATCGGCCACCGGAATTGCTCTATGGAGCCCGACAGTACTCGGGTGCGGTGGATGTGTGGTCCATGGGCATGGTGTTTGCGGAATTATTGCTGCGGGTTCCTTTCGTGGCCGGTAATACCGACTTAGACCAGATCTCCAAGATCTGTGACGCGTTTGGAACCCCCAGCGAAGAGAATTGGCCCGGGGTCACACAATTGCCTAATTATATCCCGACGGAACAGCAGGTACCTGTGCAGGGGCGGGAATTCTTCCTTCGACAGTTCCCTACGGCTGGACCAATGGGGGCCGATCTGTTGATGTCGATGTGTGCTCTGGATCCTCGCAAACGCCATACAGCCCTTCAGGTGCTACGCCACAACTGGTGGTTTATTGATCCTCAACCAACGCGGAATGAAGATCTCCCACGAAAATCCGGGGCGAAGAAGATGGGGGAAGATTTAGGACGGCGCGGCGGTGAGGTTGATGATGGACCCTTTAAGAATGCTGCACGGCAATTAGATTTTGGGGCGATGAAATGATGCATGACAAACGTCCTACAATGATCTCCGTATACTGTGTACTAGTATTTGTGTATTTGTAAAAAACTAAAATGTAGGGGGAAGCATCGTGCATGAAGCTAATCTGTACTAAGTATCATAAAGCCCAACCTCCTATATCCCATACATATATATGTATCCCTTATTCTCTACCTAGAAAAGGCAAGTGGGTCCTTGATGAACAAGGGTTCATGAAGTAATAACATATGTACGGAGTAACAATCCGAGCTTTCAGCTGATTTGCCCCCCCTTTTTCCCTTATAAACAGTCCGTAATCTCTTTTTTCTATTGGGTTTGTTTTACCTCTCCACTATCTGATCCATCATTGGTCTAAGCTTCCACAAGTGCCCGCCTTTTCGACTCCTTAATGTGATTCTCGCCCCCTTTTTTTTCTCTCTCCCTAATCCTTCCACATTGACTGGATGGGGATAGAAGGGAAGTTACGGGGTACTCCGTACAGAGTACTTGTAAAAAGTATATATTGTGTATCCATACCTCCTTCTAGGGTGAAAATCATATAGAAAGGAGACCTTAAAACTAAGTCAATTGATCCATAGAAAGGGTTAAGCATAAATTGTTCGATTCATAGAAAAAACAATGCCCTTTTTGTATTTCTGCGGGGGATGAATATTACCATGCTAAAACCCGCGTCGTTTCTCTAATCTTCCAGCCTTCTTTCCCTTTCCCTCTCCACTTCCTTTCCATCTTCTCATACACCTTAAACCGCGGTAGTGGCGCTGGGCTTCATGCGTCCGTCGCGATCGCAACCCATGGTTGTTTGAATCTGTAAGTATCCGAGACTCAAGCCCACTCCCCCTCACCCCATCTCTCTATCTGTCTCTCTCTCCTTGGTATGCACATCACTGGGGCTTTCACCTTGTTTAATCCTATTCACCTTCATCATGGCATGTTACTTGAATACTGATTGAATCGTCAGACGCGACAGTCAATCCCCCCACCCAGTGGATTTCAATATTTACGTCGACAGAGCAATCCTTCACTCCGCATGGCCGTAAAATCCTCGTTGACCCCCGCACGAAATTGATTATAAAGGGAAGAGAAAGATGGCTTCAACATCAACTTTACCCCAACCGTCACGGCCAGCAGCCAACCCCCCGACCGTGGCATTACCCCCTCTTCCTAATCATAAACCAAGAATAAGCATGCCAGCTGGGGATACACCACGATCGGCCTCACCATATCAACAGCTCTCCAAATTGCGCACTCCGTCGAGCCCCAACCCATCTGCAGCGCGGTCCCCGCTATCCAGTTCAAATTCCACATCGAATCTCAGCGCTATTCGATCAGCATCCAACGGGCGCGCTCCAGGTAGCCCGGAAAAAACCTTGCGCCGGACAATCAGCATCGCGTCGTTTCCACAACCACCCAAGGCGGGAGGGAGTCGCCCCTCAACAGCCTCATCCGTGTCGGGAATTCCCGCAAACCCGGCGAGCGTCAAGCCCAAACGAAGCTCGCGACTCAGCACAGGAACCACTAGCAGCTATCGGAGCTCCAAAACCCCGTCACTTTTGAATGGAAGCGGAGATGGAAAATCCATCCTGGCAGACCCAGACGGGTCCCCGGGCCATAGCAGAAGCTCATCCGCGCAAGGTTCATCCTGTTCAACAAGCGCAACGACATTTGAAGATGGGGATGATGCTACTGGTAGCAAGTTGTCTAAATCCAAGGAGATCAAGGGAAACGTCATTGTCAGCGTGCGTGTTCGGCCGGATATCAATCAGGGGGGCGAAACCCCAAGAAACCATGGCGAGTGGGTGGTGGATGGACGATCAAGTTTAATCTCCCACCGAGGGAAAGACGGAGGGGATTATTACTTTGGTGAGTACTACGAAGTTTCTCTATATGTTCATTTCGCACATGGCTGACAAGGCAGATAATGTTTTTTCGGCGCATGAAAACAATGCCAAAGTGTACGACTCAGGGGCAAAACGCCTCGTCCGACGGGTCATGGAAGGGTACCATGGAACTGTCTTTGCCTATGGTATGACTGGAACGGGTAAAACCTTCTCAATGCAAGGCACTGCCACATCTCCCGGTGTGATTCCCCTCGCAATCACAGATATATTCTCTTTCATTCGAGAAACCCCCCATAGAGAATTTCTCCTTCGAGTTAGCTATCTAGAGATCTACAATGAGAAGATCCACGATCTTCTCTCCGCTTCGACTACCAATGGTCCGGCCACGCAACAGGAAGAAATCAAACTCCGCGAGGACAGCAAACGCGGAGTCTATGCGACTCCACTAAAAGAAGAGATCGTACAGAGTCCGACCCAGCTTCTTCGGGTAATTGCAAGGGGAGATCATGCCAGAAGAACAAGCAGTACCCAATTCAACGCCCGGAGCTCTCGAAGTCATGCAGTCGTACAGATCGTGGTCGAAAGTCGCGAGCGAGTGCCAACAGGTAATTCACAGGACAAACGCTCTGGAATTGCTCCTGGTGGTGTCCGGGTGTCGACCCTGAGCTTGATTGATCTTGCTGGCTCTGAGCGCGCCGCCGATGACAAGGAACGCCGAACTGAGGGTGCGCATATCAACAAAAGCTTGCTCACGCTCGGTAATATCATCTCCAAGCTCTCCGACGCCAAGGACAAGCAAGGAAATCCAATGGACAAGGAAGGTCGGCATCTGCCCTACCGGGACAGCAAGTTAACACGGCTGCTTCAACCCGCTTTATCCGGCAATTCCCTGGTGAGTATTCTATGTACAATTCAACTGGTCTCCGGCGTGAATGCGCATTCTGGCGAAACTCTCAACACCTTGAAATTTGCCGCACGAGCGAAGAATAACATCGTGAGTCACGCACAAAAGGCGGAGGAGGCTTATGGTACCGGTGGGGCCGACTCTGGCAGTCGGGTCCTACTAGAGCGGTATCGTGTGGAAATCCAAGCTCTCCGTGGCCAGCTCGATAGCCAGGCCAAAGCCCAAGCGGAGAAAGAGATGAAGTGGGATGAACAGCAGTTTGAAAAGGAGGCCCAGGCTCGCCACGAGGAGCAGGTCTTGGAGATGCAGTTGGCCCGAACAGCTCTGAAGGAGCGGATTGAACATCTTAACCGGTTGATCCTCAGTTCCAAGTCCACTGGAGTCAACAACCACAGCAGCCTATCTTCTGCGTTTGGCCGTCTATCACGTATGTCCGCTACGGACTGTGGAACCCGTTCACTGCGGTCGTCAGCCAGTCAATCTACCCTGGGGGCCGGTTACTCATCCATCAGACCGATGTCTTTCATGTCAGTCAACAGCAGCGACCCTTCAGGGGCCATGCCATTTCCAGGTGCTTCATTTGGACACGAAGACGAAGATGACATGGGCGAATTTGGTGACGGGAAAGCTAGTATGCAACGGCAAATCACTGCCTTGCAGGCTGACCTAGGTGATAAGAATCGATATATCTCCACGCTAGAGCGCCGGCTGCTGCAAGCACGACGCTCTAGTCATTCGAGGATGTCAGTTGGAGTAAAATCCACTAACTCGACTATTGCGGAGCATCCAGACCTGATGGCCTTGCTTCGCGAGAGGGATATGGAGATCAATGAGCTGCGCATTCAGCTTGACGATAAGGATCGAATGCTGGCAGCCCTTCGCTCTGCCGCAAGACACCGGGACCTGGCTGCTGTGACGAACGACGCACAGTCGCCGGATCTCAAAGGCAAAGAAGAGTTCAGCTCGGGTGGCGACAGCACATCGGTTAACAACAGCACGATTGATAAGCTTGCCAGTCCACCAGGTCCCGTTCTTCCTAATAGGAATGAAAAGAATGATGACCGGAGAAAAAATATGGATGAAGTATCCCGAATGCTGGACGAGATGATCCAGGGCCGAGTTGAAAGTGGCCATTATGAGAAAGGTCCCTTGGGACACGTCAAAAGAACTTCTAACGATAGTCGCCGAGTATCGATGTCGGCTGAAGTGCCAGGCTTGAACCCTAGTGGTCCTCCTCCCACAGATGCAATCCCCGGTTTCTCCCCAAGTTAAAAATCACCAAGCGATGATATGCCTTATTCTTGTACTTTTTTATCGATGTTTGTTGATCTGATACCCCCTTCATCTGTACATTTTATTATGTTCTTTTAATGTGATTTTGTTTTACTTTGTGTTCTAGATTTGGAAAAGGGCGTCTCTTGTATGTAGCGCCACAACATTTATACATATTGGACCCCCTTCCTCTTGTCTTCTTCTTGTATTCTGTTTGCGTATGTTCGAGGTGATCAATATAATACATTGTCATCTGCCGATACCGCTAAGTGAGTTTTGAATGCGACACTAGTAGAATAAGATAGAATGACGGGGATCATGATTGAAGCACACAAAAAAGGCGTCATATGGACATACTTCTCCCACCCCCCCCGTCCAGAGTCACATCTACTTCCAGCCGCAATCACGCAGTGACTTCAAGTTCTCCGGTTCTGTCTTTAGCATAGACATCTTTCCACTCGTCCCAAAGTCGCTGCAGCTCTTGCACATATTTGGCATGAAGTTCATCAATATATGTGTCGTCAATCTTATCCCGATTTTGCTGCTGCATCACCGGGATCGGCCGTCCCACTACAATGTTTAGCGGACGGCGGTAGGGCATCAAGCCAACGTCGTAATTGAACACTCCACGCGCATGGAAAAGGGGAATTGTGAACCCCATGGTACGCTTGACAAGCATTTGAAGTTTGTGAATGAGTGGATGATGATCTGAGTGCACTTGTTCATACAGATCGTTTTCCCCGAATGCTAAAACAGGGACCAGATCGGCCCCAGTGCGGATGGCGAGCTTGACAAACCCTTTGCGACGTTTCAAGACCAGGCGTAGACTATGAGGCTGCGCATTGAGAGATTCCCGAGCCCCACCGATGACAATGGTGATCGCCCGGCCCATTCCCTCATTATTCGCACCGCCTTTGGTCAGCAGATTCTCACAGGATTCGCGAGACACGCTAGCCAGTCCCATTGCGAGTGCATATTCTCGATAGAAAGGAATCCGGAAATTCGAGTCCAAAGTCAATAAGGTGTTGGTAATACCGGGGAAAAGTTTGGAGAACCCTAAGGCCTCGGTCCCGAATGCGGCGAAGGCACCATGCGAAATGATCCCGTGGGGATGATAGCCAAAGATATACTTCTTGTGCGGGGGCAGAGGTTCCTCACGGTGAAGACGGGCAGGGAAATAAGACGCATAAATTGACCAGATGGGAAGTGACCGTAAGAACGAACTTCGACCTTTCAGTTCCCCGGACGTGGGTGCGGTAGAGAACAAAGAGATGTAAACCAGATAGGGTAGGAGAAGGGGCCAGAATAGCGGAATTGCACAGGTAAAGAAGAAGCTTGTCACAAAGATGGCAATTGTGAGAGTATGGCATAAGACGACAAAGGTCTGTAAGCGTCGTTCGAGGCCGATATTCAATGGTGCCCAATGGATTTTACTGGGTCGTCAGTGGAGTTCATTGGGAAGATTGAGTCAAGGCATACCGTTTTCTCTCCCGATTCGCAGTTCGCCCGGGAGGATGCGATCTGCGACCAGATTGAGCGTCCCCATCCATTTTGGAAACTGATGTTGTAGGAGGAACAAAAAGCTCCCCGCGTTTGGACTGGAATCAGGACCAGGATCAGATGACGTTGATGTCTTGATTAGGTAATCCATGTTGATCGGGTGGATCGAGTCATTCCATGGGCTCAACAGAAGTATAAGTATTTATAGCTAAAAGAGTACACATATATATATATGTGTGTGTGTGTGTGTGTGTGTGTGTGGGTGTGGGTGCGTAGATATTGGAAAGTGAGAGTAAATTGAATATTAATTCCCAAGTGTGTTCTTCTTTCTCACTCCTGAAACGCCAGTCCCTATGTGTCTCTATAAATTATGCAGATCGCTCTCTCGCTTCAAAAAGGCTTTATGCTTTCGCCTTCACCATGAAAATCTAATTTGAATGAGCACGAGAACGATTGGTTCATAATCTGGGTAAACTTACCTCGTTGAGGGATTTATCGTCCATAAGCGCTCTTTTCTTCTGTGCAATATGTCGGCTTCGGAATGCCTGTCGAGCCATTGGCCGCCGCTCTCGTATAACTGTGGTCTTTTCCAAGCTGAATATAGCAGCTTGAGACTCCTGTTGAGGTGCATCCGTCTCTTTGGTTGAGGTGATTTCATCCGCATCTGCCTTTCTCTTCTTGGACTTCTTCTTCTTCTTCTTCGAATCGGGGATCGAGGAAGAGTCCTCATCGTCATCGGTACTTGAGCGAGACTTCTTCGAAGATTTCGATTTAGACTTGGACTTGGACTTGGACTTGGATTTCGACTTTCGGACTTCGGTTGACGAGTCGCTGGACGAAGTGTCCTCTTCACGATCGCTTCTGTTCGATTCGGAATTCTTCTGACTCTCCTGAGGCTTCGGGGTAGGCAGGGATTCAACTTTCTCCTGAGCCAAAAGTCCACCACGAACAAAGCGAACCTCGGGGAATTTCAGGGCGACATATCGGGCCAATTTCACATCGTCTCTCTTGCGCTGTTCCTGCTTCAACTCTCCATCGGACTTGCCGTTCAATCGACCAAGTAGTCCTTTGAAAGCGTCTAAGCCGGTCGGCTCGGACTCACGCCCGACACGCGCGCCCAATCCCAGTGTATCATCCTTAATCGTCACTTTGATATGGGAGTGGCTAGCGGCGGTCAACAGATCAGCATGCGCAGCATCCCGAGCCCCTAAGCGACCACCTGGGGTCCAGCCCTGAGAGCTCATAATTCGATGGCCGAAGCCCGTCGTAGATCGGGACCATTGCGTATTATTGGGATCATGAGAGATCTTGGTTTTCCTGCAAATGAGTTAGACTGGCTGCGCAGACAGTGAATAAAGATGACACGCATACTTTCGGGGAGCAGCTAAACCCATGGTGGCCAATGGGAGTCAGAGACAATATTTTAAATGGATTTTTTTGAACGTAGCTACGAAAAAGCAGAAAGTCCGTAAGAGAAGAAAAAGACCGAAGAAAAAGTTTTGAATTTCAAAAGATAACGCTGAGTCAGCACCGATAAGATCCCCCGCGAACATCTTTCAGTTCCGCAACAATAAATACTTCCTCATTCCCAGTTTGTCATTTTCCTTTGCTTTCTTCTCTATCACATCTACGAAATATAGAGAAAGGGAGTAAGTATCAATCATTAGGTTTTGTTGCCAACTTCCACCAAAGCCCCAAACCATCCAAACAAGAGGAAGGTTGAGAATTATCCCCCCCCATCGATTTGGGTACCCACCCACACCCGCTTTGAGGTAATTCCTCTTCTCCACGCATGGAAAATTCCCAGGAAATGCAACAATTTCCTTACTTGGAATAAAAAACCTGGGGCTTGATCTTCTTTAAAGAAGTAGTGTGGATTTGATTCTCATTCATCTTCCGGACTATGTTCAATCTCCGAGTTCTCTGCCGAGATCAGCCTCAACGAACGATCGCACTGGTGACGTCGGATCATGTCTTGATATTTCACTATAGTGCGATTGATGCCGGATCTGCGTCCACACCGCGTTGCCAGGTGGAATTTTTGGATGTTACATCCGCCGATCTTGGGGCCTATCGGTCTTTGGGTGCTGGCCATGGCACTCTGGGGTTGGTTACGCTAAATGAAGACCTGTTTGTCTGCGTGGTCACCACATCATCCCAAGCTGCTACTGTAAGACCTGGGGAATCTGTGTCGAGGATCGATTCTGTAGATTTCTGTGTGTATTATCAAAGTCTTGATCTTATCTTCCCCACATCTGACACTCACAGACTGCCTCAACCGTTCGGAATATGAATACGGTCTCGATTATGACTCCGGGGCTCAGTTTGCTGCTGAGGAACGGACCGGCCAAGACAGCCGGGACGTGGTGACTGAACACCCTTTCTTGGCCCTGAAGAAGCTTCTTGGGGATGGAAGCTTTTACTACAGTCTCGACTTCAACCTCACGGATCGTTTACAAAATCGGTAATTTTATTCTCAAATTGAAAAGATGATTATTATTCTAAATCAATAATCAGGTCAGATAAGTCGGCAGCATTTGACATCGATTCCCTGGATGAGGATATGCTTTGGAATTCCTATATGATCAATCCGCTTCTCCTCTTTCGGAGCCACTTGCCACCCGCAGATAAAGCCAAGTTGGATGCTTCTCAGCTGCTAACCTGTGTCATTCGTGGATACGCCAGCACTTTGAAAATCCCTGCCACGGTTTCGATTCTTCCCCAGGTCCGGACGAATTTTCCATCCCTCCTGACCATTGTTTCGCGACAGTCCTCTCGGCGTGCGGGCACAAGATTCAACTCGCGAGGAATAGATGATGATGGAAATGTGGCCAATTTTGTTGAGACAGAGTTGATTCTCTGGGTATCACCGGGCATCACCTTCTCGTACGTCCAAGTTCGAGGCTCGGTCCCGATCTTCTGGGAGCAAACACCGGGTTTGATTCCGGGACAGCAAAAAATCGAGATAACACGATCAAGTGAGGCAACGCAACATGCATTTAATCGACATTTTGAAAGTCTCGAGCTGGAGTATGGAGCCACTCATGTGGTTAATCTCCTAAGCGAGCTCAGATCTGGAGAAGCAGAGCTGTCCGCCAAGTATCGACAACACATTGACCGTAGTTCCTTAAGAATGAAGGAAGATCCTGGACACCATAGCCTCCTACGACTGACAGAGTACGACTTTCTTGCCGAGACTCGTGGTCCAGCTGGGTATGAGGCGAGTAACCAAATCAAGTATGAGTTGGCCGAGTCCCTGGACGGGTTTGCCTATTTTTTGTCCGAGGATTCTACACCCCCTGCTACGACTCTTTCCGAAAGAGATGATGTTTCCAGTGCCTCCTCGGTTATCTTACAACAGGAAGGTGTTTTCCGGACCAACTGCCTGGACTGCCTAGATCGCACAAATCTTGTCCAGACAATCATCAGTTCGATGGCGCTGGAGTCATTCCTCGCGCATCAGGGTGGGAGATTCGGCTCGGATATGTCAATGCGTCATTCAACACTCTGGGCTGACAATGGTGATGCACTCTCCAAGATTTATGCCGGCACTGGGGCGCTAAAGTCGTCTTTCACCCGACATGGCAAAATGTCTCTTGCCGGAGCCCTGGCTGATGCCCGAAAAAGTGCCACCCGGCTTTATGTCAACAACTTTACTGACAAGGCCCGACAGAGGACTATTGACCTTTTGTTGGGGCGATTGGCCAATCAAATGCCCGTTCATCTTTACGATCCGATGAATGATTTGGTTACTGAAGAACTCAATCGTCGTGCTTCTGAATATTCTTCCACCAGACACATCCGCCTTTGGGTGGGTACATTCAACGTGAATGGTCGTGATGAGGGGCCAGGAACAGATCTCACCCCTTGGCTTTTTCCCGAAGTAGACCAATCAAATGAGGATCCGGTTATCTTTGCCGTGGCGTTCCAAGAAATCGTTTCCTTGAGCCCCCAGCAAATCATGTCAACTGATCCGAGTACCCGCAAGGTTTGGCAGAGAGCCGTGCAGGATTGCTTAAACAGCCACACAAAAGCAAATGGTACGGGCAAATATGTGCTGCTAAGGACCGGGCAGCTCGTGGGTGCCGCGTTGATGATCTTCGTCAAATCGGACGCGCTAAAAGAGATCAAGAATGTTGAAGGTGCCGTTAAAAAGGCGAGTGATGGTTTTCCTAGTTACTGATCTTGCCATCATCAATTGCAGGATTGAACTAACAATGAAGCAGACGGGACTTTCTGGGATTGCCGGCAATAAAGGTGGTTGTGCGATTCGGTTCGAATTCGCCAATACCAGTATATGTTTGGTAACCGCACATTTGGCGGCCGGGTTTGCAAACTACGACGAGCGAAACCGAGATTATGAAACAATTGATAGAGGCTTACGGTTCCAGAAGAACCGTACGATCGCAGATCATGATGCGGTGATTTGGCTGGGAGATTTCAACTACCGTATTGGGTTAGGGAATCAGATCGTGAGGGATCTTCTGTCTAAGCGTGATTACCAGAAACTTTATGAAAATGATCAGGTGCCGTTCATGTCCCTTTGGAAAGGCTTCGTGGGCTCCGTCCGCTGACAGAAACAATAGTTAAATCTACAAATGACCGCCGGAAGAGCTTTCCAATTCTATTCCGAAGGCCCCATTAGGTTTGCCCCGACATACAAATATGATATCGGGACCGAGAACTATGACACCTCGTAAGGACTCGTCAAGCTCATCTCTGAATGGCCTCACTAACCCCCTCCTACAGTGACAAGGCCCGTATTCCTGCCTGGTGTGACCGAGTGTTATGGAGAGGATCCAACCTGCGTCAAACTCAGTATCAAGTGGCCAATCTACTCGTGTCGGATCATCGCCCTGTATGGGCCACCTTCGATGGCATAATTGATGTTGTCGATCATGGACTCAAGGATAATTTACGGCGTACGCTCTACAAAGAAAAGCAGCACGATGCTCTCTCGGATTCCATTCAACTCCTGGATCTGGACGATGATGATGATGGTCTAACACAGGGATCCATCGCACCTGGTTTACCGCCTGCCAGCTCTGATCGAAGCAGGTGGTGGTTAGATAACGGTAACGTGGCCCCGTGATGTTCCAGCCATGCACAGACCACAGATCAACTAATGCGGAGAAACAGGTGCACCGGGCAAGGCAATAATCCAACCACCTAGGGAAGGACTTGTTCCAAACATCCAGCGCAAATCCAATCCTTTCTCCTTAGACTCCGAACCTGACTGGGTGCCAACTTCAGAGCTTACGAGAAAGAGCACCGCTGACCGGAAGCCTATACCACCTCCACGACGTGGAAGAACCTTGAACGGGCAGGACTTCACAACGCCCATAGATGCAACACCACCGCTTAAGGACAAAGCGCCTCCAGTGGTTCCTCGGAAGCCCGTATCACTAAGCTCACAATCATCTCCACACACGCCAAATTCTGAAGATCAACCCCAACCCAACTTGCGCCCATCTCAGGGTACTAGTACCCATGATCTCCTTGGCGATCCTATGGATCAACAAATCGCGTGGAAACCCCTTCTTCCTCAATGATTTATGTGTATAACTTAGCCAGCTAGATCTACCCTTGTGTTTTCTTCTAGTCCCCCTACTGTGCATCCTGGGGAATCAAGATGGTCATTGAAAAATATCTATCTCGATGGAAAGTTCAAAGTTCAAGATAAGGGAGCTTCAGCCTATTTGGCAGGGTAGAATCTAGGGGTTTCTAGAAGAGGTCAAATGACGAGAAAATGAGGCTCTACCAAGTGCGGGAGGCTCTTTTTAAAATCTGTTGCCTAGATTTCCGTTATTCTTACTGCATATGGTCCAATCAAATTGGGTTAAACAATCCACTTGACTTTGATCTTGGGCCGCGTGAACATGGTCTAGGCTTGACGATCCCTTTGATTGATTGGGATCCTCTTGGTGGAATACGATTTCGTGTTGCCACGACAGTTTCCAGTATATATATAGACCCAGTAATAATTGAATGCCGTATGAGTCGACTTAATATGTGACCAACTTGTGCGCCCGATATCTAGGCTACATCAGAGACGGATCGATATATGTATCGACCTATCTATTTGTCAAATTACAATACACTGAAAATCTTCAAGTCCTTTGTTTTGTTTTATTTAAATCTCCATGTAAATGACAACTATATGAAACACCAATTGGAGGAGAAATTGAAATTCCTTATGAAGACCAGTTAATTTCTAATGTGTTCCGTCGGAATCTCCAACAACAATCAGACTAACAAAGCGCACTAAGCTGAAATATATGACTTAACACATCACGCTAGGCGATTGCCCCAAGTAGCTTCAGGATATGTTTTGCTTGCCAAGACAAAACATATTCATAGATGTGTTATTAAATCTTAATAACTTGTCTTGGGACTACTCAACAAGAGATCCTGCCTTAAGGGCCAAGAAGGGAGAATTGGCTGCGTGATTGGGACTGAAGACGCTGCGCTAGCCAAAGACGGAAAATGCCCTGTGGCCCCCTGAAGGCTCGTAGCAGGCATACCCTTGTATGATGTGGGAAACGGAGGGTAAAGATGCCGGGTTACCAGAGTGTGTTTAGACCATGGCATTGTGCTTAACCTCAACAATCCTCTGCTTTCGATCTATGCGTTGAAGGATCTCCGGGGAGCGCTAGAAGCAGGGGAGGGGGTTCAAACCCCCTCACGGTGAATAGGTTTGTAGGGTATCAGAGGGGGGAGAGGAGGGGGTTGGCGATGATTCGAGACCGTTCCTCATCCTTTGTCGACTTTTTTCTGATCACTGGGGCGCCAGCTCTTCCTTCTTTTCTACCTTGGGGCCCTTCTTGACCCGGGGAGGAGGACGCCGGCCTATCATCCATGTCGCAAAGGCAGGGGGGTCACCGGGCTTACGTGGGGCCTTCTTGGTTCCTACAAATCGGGTCAATACGATTCCATGGCGCAAATGAATGTAAGTGGGGAGAAGAGGAAGCTTGAAGGAGGATTTTCAATACCATACCTTCTTTCTTTTTCGGCTCCGCAGGCTTAGGAGCTTCAGCCGGCGGTGCATCGGCGGCTGGGGGATCAGGCTCCTTGGGCTTTTCAGGAATTGGCCACATATGCATCGTAATTGTCCAATCTGGCTCAACAACTGTTTCCCAAACTTGCGGAAGAATAATGTCGCCATTAGGTCCCACTAGATCGTAATGTCCCTCGGCCACATGAGGCCCAATGACTTCGATATGGAGAAATGCCTGCTTGATCAGGTCCTCCATTCCCTGTAAAGATAGATGAATGTCAAGGTTAGAGATGCTGATACGGCAAAGCAATGAGTCCACGAAAGATTTATCTTACCCGCCAGGTGCTGCATAGCTCAAAGGGGAAGCTGAATTTTCTCCCAACGGCATCCTTAAATTTAATGGGTTTTTTCTTCTCTGGTGGGGGAACTTTGTTCTTGTTTTCCTCTTCCTCTTTGGCTTTGGCAGCTGCCGCGGCGGCAGCTGCTTTCGCTGCTTCCACTGCTTCCAATGCTTTGGTAGCTGCATCTTGCGCTGCTTGTGCCGAGTCCTCCTTGGCTTGAGCAGCGGCTTCAGCAAATCTTTTCTCTGCCTCCTCCTTCGCCTTGGCCGCATCAGTCGCTGCTCGTGCCTCAGCGTCCGCGCGTGCCAGCGTCGCCGCTTCTAACGCCGCCTCTGCTGCAATGGCGCGATCATGAGCGGCCTGTTTCTCTCGTGCGGCCTTCTCCGCCTCCTCGGCCGCAATAGCTGCTTTGCGGGCCGCTTCCCTGTTTTCACGCTCCGTGCGATCTTCCATAATCAACTTCTCTAGTCGCGCGATTGCCTCATCCTTTGCTGCTGCTTCCTTGGCTGCTTCCTGGGCCGCTTCTTTGGCTGCATCATCCGCGGGAGGAGCAGGAGGAGGCGATTTGGACTCCGGCGGGATTGGGGATGGCACTTGTGGGTAGTTGAAATAAGACGGGGGCATCATCCCTTGGAACATGGCCGCATATGGATCCCGGAAATTGTTGAAGTAGCCATTAGAGGCGTACGGCATAATCTCGTGATGGAATGGAGGCCCCGCAGCAAAAGGTGCCGGTATACCATGGGGACCCATGTGAGGGGGCAATGGTTGGTGGGTGTGAGGATCAATGCGGGACTGGTGGGGTTGTTGAGGATGTCTCGCAGGTCCTTGCTCCTGAAAGTAGGGGTGCATGGGATGAGCCCCATGGGGTGGACCGTATGGATAGGCTGCCGGGTTGTAGGGCTGGCCATTCGGGTTACCGTGGCCGAGTCGGATGAGCTGGTCAGACAACGGCGGAGGATTCTGGTGGGGGAATGGCGCATGGCCTTGGCCCTGGGGAAATTGATGATTATAGGTGGGACCTGAGGAAACACTCTGTGTATAGCCTGGGCCCGGTGGGCCGGCCCATCGCCGTTCATGAGTATTGCGAGAAGAGTAGTGGGCGAATTCCTCAGAATCAGCGCTATCCGGCGACTCTGGGGAGGGCTGGCGACGGGACCGTGGGGCATAATCGTGGTCGCGATCGGGGATCATTTGGCGGCGCGGTGGTTGGCGACGGGCCGAAGCCGAGCGCGAACCGTGGAGCGAGCGGTTGCGATTCGAAGTCCTTGGTCGAGAGGCTGAATCAGACGGTTTCAACAATTCATCCGGATATGACAGGTGCGCCCACTCATCATCATAATCTGCATATTCATGACTCCCGTCGGAGGGGATGGAGACTTGCACACCCGAGGAGTCCTCGTCCTCCGACAGAGAATCCAAGTCGTGCGGATCAGCGGGGTCAATCGAGATGCTGACCCTGGATTGAGTTTTATGGTCAGTTTCGGGAAGTAATTTAAATATTAAATGTAATAGAAATTGAGGGAAAGGGAAGATCTCTACTATTCTTTTACAAGAAAAGAAAGGATTAGAGAATAAAGGTGGGATGAGAAGGGGTGGGGGAAGAAGGGAGAGATTGGGGGGGGGGGGAAGAAGGTTAAAGCAATAAAGGGGGAAGGGAAAACAAAACATACGTCATAGAGTGAGCCTCTGAAATGGGAGAAACAGTATTTATATAAGAAAAAGGTTCTAAAAAGGGGGAAAGGGATTTTGCAGTTTCCGAGTGTTTTGAGGTTTGAGGAGGTGAGAAAGGGAAGAAATGAAGAAGAAGTTGTTATAATTGTGGGAAGAAAAAGGTGAAGTTTAAAAAACCAAAACAAGAAAAGCAAAAACAACCAAAAAAACATGCTAGAAATCGAAAAAAGACAACAAATAAAAACATGGAAAAATATAAGAAAATATGGAAAACATTCAAGTATCAAGATTCCACGTATTTTTGGGTTTTGTTTTCGGTTTTCGAAGGTTTTGGGCCTAAAAACTGAACAAAATCCCTTGCGCCAGACAGAGCAATCAAAAAGTCTATATAATCTAAACAACAACCCTAGAAATATTCCCTCCCCCCCCCCCGGTATAAATCATGATTGGGGGATTTGAAGATTTGAAGGCCTAAGGACATCTTATTGGGCTGGCAATGGTTGGGCATGTCTCAGTAACTTATTTTCATTAAAAAGAGTATAATTTGACTCAATGTCATGCAAAGCGCTGCCCGAAAATGCCCAATCATGACCCACAAGGGAAAATTTCGTGTATCGAACGCTCCAGAAATGCATGGGGAGACGAGTCATACCTAAAGCTGCAGATGTGGATCAAGATCAGCAGGGGGATGAGAGAGGTGATGATGATGAATGTAGAAAGTCTAGGAGAAATTAGGATCATTTCATCTAAGTGAATTACTGACAATTATCATTCAATACACGTATGGAGAGAACCTTCCCGTGACCATCACAATCACAATCACAATCATAATCACAACAATGGAAAATAAAATAAACCAAGAAGACAAGCAGGGGTATATCCAAATCAGGCGCTCCGGGAGAGCATTGTACCCAAGGGAGAATTATTGAGCTGACTGAAAGCGATTCAATAAGGCCTTGGCGGCAATCAGTTCACTGCGACTAGATGCCCAATGTTGATCATCTACCGACCGGGACTGGACAAGTTCCCGGAGTCGTTGAAATGCAAACCGTTGTAGTCGCTCAACGGTCTTCTTCGGAACCACTGAATTCTCAAAGTTGGTTCCCAGCATACGAGAGGAGGCCTGGGCGGAACTCGGTCAGATGGGGAGGTTATCAACTAATAACACGGGAATGAATTTACCAAAGCCAATCCGTAAAACCCGCGCAGGTAATCATCACAGAGCTCAATGCTTCGGCAGAAATGTTGGATCGACTTGCTCGCAAGCTGCCCATCGGAGGGCGTATTGACATAGAGAACCTCGCCGAGTCGGGCGTGGATCTACATGAGAGAGTTAGTCACGTATATTGGATAAAGAACTGATGAGGACTATGGCCATACATTCCAGGCGTTGGGAGCGATGAGAAGAGCCTCCTCGAGGCTGAAGATGGCTTGTGCGCCGAGACCCTGGGATTGGTACAGGTCGGCGAGTTCACACCAAGCTTCCGCGTCGGTTGGAATTGCATCGAGAAGCTGGATGAGAGCGGTGATCGCATCAGCAGGTCGGTGAAGCGAACGTAGCAAAGCTACCCGACGCTTCAGTATGGGCTGGAACAATTAATACAAATATTGATCTTTAGCAACCGAGGGGTAGCAGAACAAACCATATTGACTGGGTTCTCCCCCAGAATGTTTTCATATTCCTGCAGGCATTTCTCCATGTCTGAGTTGTCTTTAGCAGTCGCCTCCTGGTAGAGGCCACGGAGCCCCATTACCCTCTCATTGGAGGCACCAAACCGGCGGCTTAATCGATCGAGACAGGCCTTGGCAGACAGGTCATCACCCGTGCGCAGACATGCAAGGAATAGCTTTTCAATCTGCCCATATTCCTCTGCAGTATCCGAGGAGGAAGAATCAGTGATGGATTTGGATGAATCATGGCCGAGTATCGCAGGCGCTTGCTGAGAGAGGTGGAGAGCAGAGATCAGATCGGATCCATTGATCTGTCGGGAATCAACAAGAGCCCCCATGTTGTTTCAATTCTGAGATAGACCGCTTTGACAGAAAAGATTGAATGGTTTCTGGTTCCTGGAGTGAAACAGGTAGAGGGTAGTCGTCTGGAGAAGTGTGGGGACCTGGCGGCGCGTGGAGTCTGGAACATGGTCCCGTGATGCTTATCCCCCCACGTCAATTCATCAGCTAACGATAGCTTCTTTACCCAAGCTTAAACCTTCGTCCATAGCTCCCAGGGGCCTATACAAAGGCCATGCTACAGGAGAAGAGAGGATTGTACCTTTTCATCTCTTCCATATCTTGATTTATCTCCCTCTCCCTCTGTGAGAGCGAGAGGGTCAACGCGATGTCTGTGTTGCCCATGACGAAACCGGCCAGACGGCGGAACTGACCCGCGCATGCTAGGTTTGAAAAATCGCTCTATGACCTGATCAAGGGTCTTCGGAACCATAAAGGAGGGGAGGATGAGTACGTTCAAGCCTGTCTGCGCGAATGCAAGGCGGAGATCAAGTTGCAGGACATAGGTAGGTGTCATCATCGACATTGCATCTTCGCTTACAAGAAACAAGATGCTAAAATCATGCAGACAAAAAGGCAACGGCACTCCTGAAGCTTATCTATCTAGAGATGTTTGGATATGATATGTCATGGGCATCGTTTCATGTCCTCGAAGTCATGTCATCCGCGAAGTACCTACAGAAACGAGTAGGATATCTTGGAGCCGTTCAAAGTTTCCGACCCGATACTGAAGTCCTGATGCTTGCAACGAACATGCTGAAAAAGGTTTGTTACTTAGCTAAGACAGCTCACATCATTCTCCTCACTCTGTCTGTGGTCCTCAGCATTCTAACCTCCTGGTACTAGGACATCGTGTCTCCTAATATCCTCACTCTATCACTCCCATTGGCCACTCTGCCGCACATCATTACACCCTCGCTTGCCATTTCCTTGCTTCCTGATATTATGTCTCGTCTCTCTCATTCAAGCGCGGTTGTCCGGAAGAAGTCTGTTGTGTGTCTCTACCGGCTCGCCCTGGTTTACCCGGATGCGCTGAAGCTAGCGTGGCCGAAGATCAAGGATCATCTCATGGATGAACAGGAAGATAGTAGCGTGACCACTGCGGCTATCAATGTCGTATGCGAGCTTGGCTGGAGGCGGCCTCACGACTTTCTTCCTTTGGCTCCCAGATTCTTTGAACTCCTCGTGGACAGTGGCAATAATTGGATGGCCATCAAGATTATCAAGTTGGTTCGTGAAATTAATCTGGCCCAGAACTTTCCCCTACTAATAAGGACAGTTTGCTACCCTAACTCCGCTGGAGCCACGACTAACACGGAAGCTTCTTCGGCCGTTGACAAATATAATTCAAACTACGACGGCAATGTCCTTGCTTTACGAGTGCATCAATGGTATTATTCAAGGAGGCATTCTAGATGGCGAGGAAAATGTCCAAGAGCGAGATGAAGTTGCCGCTCTCTGTATCGGGAAGCTGCGAGGAATGATTGTCATGGACTCGGATCCTAATCGTGCGTGGGTCCCCAGTCTTCCCTTGAGGATTTAGTGAGTCTTCTAATTGCTTGAATATAGTGAAATATGTGGCACTCCTGGCGTTGAATCGCATCGTGACAACCCATTCCATGTTGGTGTCGATGCAACAAGATGTTATTATGGACTGTCTGGACGATCTAGATGTTTCTATCCGGCTTCAGGCCCTAGAACTTGCCGCTGGGATGATTACCAGTGATACTCTTCAGGCAGTTGTTAACCGTCTTGTTGGTCAGCTTCAACTGACCTCTTCACAAGACGGAATGGATCCCACGGCAGAGTCTGATCCCCACGAAGAGGGCTCTGACGGTTGGAAAGGCCCAAATAGAGTCACGGATGCACTCAACATGCCCAACGACTATCGATCAGAGATTGTTCACCGCATTTTGGATATGTGCTCCCAGAACAATTATTCAGACATCGTGGATTTCGAGTGGTATGTCGGCATTCTGGTTCAGCTGGTTAGACTTCTCCCTCCATCGGACGTGCACGACAACTGGCCTGATCCCATGACAGGAGGTCAGGGGGGCTCAATTGGTTGGAGAGCGACTGTTGCTTCTCGAATTGGATCTGAAATACGCAATATTGCAGTTCGTGTGAAGGGGGTGCGTCCGGAGGCTACCCGGGCGGCAGAATCTCTGCTGCTTATTGATAATAGATCGTTACTATTTCCCGCCTCGTCAAATGTCGGGGATGATGTCTTGGGTCCCATTGCATGGGTCGCTGGGGAATATGCGGATCATCTTCAGTCACCGAGCCGAACTCTTCAGTCTTTGATTGACCCTTCCACCCTCCCTTTGCCCCCAAATACAGTTCAGCTGTTTTTACAGGCCATTCCCAAAGTTTTGATTCAAGTGAATCAGTCCTACGAGTCAAAAGATACGTGGAGGAGTGAAATCTCCCTTCTCCTAGCGCGGGTTGTTGATTTTCTCGAAACATTAGCCGCCCATCCGGACTTGGACGTCCAAGAGCGAGCGATTGAGTTTCTGGAAGTTCTTCGTTTAGGGGCCGAGTCACTGCACTCTGAAACCGAGGGTATTCCATTTCTTCTAGCTTCTGTCATCCCAAACCTATTCACAGGATTGGAACTCAACCCAGTCGCAGCTAGCGCTCAAAAAAGGGTGGTGTTACCCCCTAATCTTCATCTGGATGAAGCATTTAACGATGATCTACCAGGTCTCTTCCAGAGATCTGGGGGCTCTCTTGTTGAAACCACCCAGCAACGTGTTTCCCAGCAATTTTACTATATCGCTGATATCAGCCCGCCTTTCCACAAGCAGCCTCACGGGCAGCTAGGAGCCGCTGAAATCCAACTTGACAATTCCTATCAGAATCTCACCGGGTTGGCAGATCAGCCAGTTACAACAGATAAGAGAAAGGTCTACCGCCGGGAGCGGTATCGGGATGATCCCTTCTACATTGCCCCGTTGGATCCATCATCCGGCACACCCACCCCGCACCACGATGTTCCTTATGCTTCCAAAAGTGATGCATTAGACATCGATTCAATCCCCATCGTTGATTTGAAATTAGATGATGAACCGTTGAGGCGAGGGTACCGCGATCCCTTAGGGAACCGGCGGGTACCTTCTACCATAAAAATGGAAGTTGCTGCAGACGAAACATTTGGGCCCGAAAGCCCAGCGCCTCTTGATCACTCCTCGAGAGCGGTAGGAGGGGTAAGTCTGAAACGTTCAGTACTACAAGTCGACTCCAGCGGGCTCGGACATCTTGCATCTGAAACAAATGGTGGTCAAAGCCCCATCCTCGCCCCAGGTGATGAGGATATCGAGATGAAGAGAGCAATGCAGGATGTGGAGCAGGTGCGCCTGCGTATGCAACGGGCATCAGAGCGAATCGAGTTAGAGGGAACACCTGCGGAAGGTACCCTTGTGAAGAGGAAGAAGAAGAAGAAGGAAAAGACGGGCCAGGCTGCTGATCAGTCTGGGGAAACAAGGAAGAAGAAGAAGAAGAAGAAGGAGGAGGAGGAAGCGCATGAATGAAGAACATCTCATTCACATTCGCATGATTACTTTTGATAGAAATGCGAGATGATTCAGATAATTGTGATATAATACAGGAACCTAACATTCCGGGGTGGGGTAATGGCATCCATCTATCTGGTGCGTAGCCTAGTAGATGATGACGGGTATCATTGTGCACTTGGCCTTCTTCTGCGGGAAGAGCATTGGCATCAGAGCTACGAGACAATGTAGACTCGATGCCGTTCTCAACTCTCGGGGTATTTAATGCGTCGGAGCTAAAGCGGCTTAACCGGTGACACGGGAGATGGTTGAGGCCACAGTCGACCAGAGCTCGGGCACAACCTTGAGAAGCTCTAGGATGAGTCCACCGCAGACAACAAAGGCCAGAATGACTAAGCTTCTTAGCTTTGAAAGACCAAGGGAAGAAAGTAGGGAAAGGTCACATACTGAGCCAACTAGACGAAATTGGGGTCTTCGTAATTTGTTTGGGTTTGTTGATGACAGGCCCTTTCCCTCGCTTGGCGGCCTCGTGCTTTGCGAACCGCTCATTCGCACGTCGTTGTTGGGGTGTCTGTGCCTATTAGTGATGATGTGGATTAGTATATACTCTTTAGTGAGGACAAATTTGAAAATATCGCCACTAACCATGGTTTCCAATAGGGTGAATTTTCGAGAGATGATGTGAAGGAGTTAAGGGGAAGTTCAAGGTTATCGCCGCCCCGGCCAAACAAACTTCCCCGGATTTAAAAAGGCCACGTTGTATTTGGCAGTGTGGCACAATGTTTTAGGGAATAAAATACGACCCTAAATTATCTATCCGCTCCCTACTAACCTAATTAGTAAAATAAGAAATGAATAAACAGATATCTACTTCAGTCTACCGATACTTATACTCCTAAATCTGTCTATAGTTTTGATGTTGAACTATAAAGCTTCTCTAATAGAGTAAGCTAGATGAGTTCTCTCTTTTATAGTATACTAAGTGATTGAGGATCTATCTTTATATTTCTGTAGGTTCTATTAGTAAATATTCAAAGATCTATTATTTCTTTATATGTAAGGCAATCGGATTTATACCTATACTTATGATCTTTTAACAGAACGAAAAGGTCTTCGAAGTATCATGCGTTACTGTATATTCCACTTATATAACGGATTATTTAGAACGCTAGATAGCGTAGTGATATTATATATGGTAAGAAAATACTATATTATACTATCATTATCTCTAGTATACTTATTAGGTTATAAGCTATCTTAGCCTATCTAAAGCTTATAGGGATATAGATAGAGTTAGGGATTTTTATTATAGAATAAATTTTAGGGTATTTTTAGAAGTGCTTCAGGAGTCAATTAATTATTTTATATAGTAAGTAATTATCTTATTATCTGATTATTATTTTTTTGTATCTTCTATAGTTTAATATAATATATTAGTACTTCTTCTTATTACTATCCAATAATATAGTTAATAATACTTATCTAGATATAAGCTAATAAGCTAGCCCTACTAGTATATCTAGTGACTATTATTAGGCTTTAGTAAGCCTATTAAAGCCTATTAGTGTACAGATACTATTTTGATATAATTTATAAATGATATACTATATTTTTAGTATTCTAGCTATTAAATACTATAAATAAAATATATACTTTTACTACTAAGAGATAGGGTTTTATATATAAAATCCCTATTACCTAAAACTTTAGGAGTTATCTATTTATACTAAAATTAGTAACCCTTATTTATCTAATAAAATTCAATTAATGAATAATAATAAATAATAACTAAAAATACCTAATTAATTATATAAAGTCAAATTAGCTAATTAGAGCGCTTCTATATGTAACTAGAGATATAAAATATAGATAAATTCCTATTATCTATACTTTTATCTAAACTTTCTTTAGATAAATTTTCTTATTTTCTCTTTAATCTTATACTCTCTTTCATATATTCTCTTATACTCTCTCTTATATTCTTACTCTTATTTTTACTCTTTTGAATATTACTAATTTTACTAATATTATCTTTTTTTCTATCTAAATTTTAATTTTTTCTCTTTTATTAAAGATATCTAAAGATTAGATAAAAGTAAACTCTATCTCTTCTATTTTAAATTAGATAATATAATTATAGAGTATAAGATCTTTAATTTTATCTATCTTAAGATAACTATAATAATAGTAATAAATATTATACACTAAATTAAAAAGCCTTTCTACTTTAGTATCTATAGCTAGAATAAAAAATATATTATATATAATTTATACAAGAATTAGATATTTAGTCTTATTTTCTCTCTAAAATTATTAAGTATTTAGTAGAGTTTTATCTAAAGATAGAGTTTATAAGCTTTATTAGCCAAAAGAGAGTATAAAAGGTTATAAAAAGATAATTAAAGTACTAAAAAGTACTGTAATATAAATTATCTTATTAAAGAAAATAAGATAACTTATCTTAGATAAAAGAGCCCTCTCTCTATTTCTAGGGTTAATAATCTTTTAAGCTTATCTTATATTCAATAGTATAATCTTAATCTAACTAATTAGTAGTTTAGAAAAAATAGAGCTTATACTAAAGAGTAAGAATTATCCTATATATACATACAGATTACTAAGATTAGGGCTATTAGTTTAAGTATAATATTTAGATAGCTTAATATTAGCTACTTCTAAGGCCTAAAGTATATAGTATTTCTATAGAACCTAAAGAGAAGATATTAGCTTAATCATAAAAAAAGATTAGATAAAATTTATCTTTTTCTACTGTAGTTTCTAGATTAAAACCTTTAGATAGATAAATAGCTTATTATAGATTAGAAAGATAGTATAGATAGTTATATCTTCTATTTTATATAGAATTATAGTAGATTAGTAAAAAGACTTTATAATATATAGTAGATAGTTAAAATGTTACTATTTAAAAGCTTTATTTCTATAAGCTTAGATATTAAGTAATACTTTATAAGCTAATCTTAAAGAAATTTAATATATTATAGTATTAAAAAGATTAACTTCTATTGAGTCTAGATATCTTAAAGAAGTAATAAATATATTTTTATCTAATCTTAAAGCCCTAAAAAGATGTCTTATTGTTATTATATTATATTAATATAAATAGCTAAACTTTAAGCCTTTTAAAGAGTTTTAGCTATACTCTCTATATCTCTTTTATTATGAAAGAGATCTTTAGACTAAATAAGATTAATTATATTATCCTTAAGATCTACTTTTATCTATCTAAGTAGCTATTTTAGGCTTAGCTAAATTATATAGACTATTTAGTGATTTCTAAAAAATCTTATAAAAATAGTATAAACTATTATTAAAATATAGTTATTTAATATATTATTAGCTATAATAGCTATAATTTAGTCTAAAAAAGAATATATTTTAATAATAGTTTATACTATTTTTATAAGATTTTTATTAAAATAGGGCCTTAATAAAGACTTAAATCTTAAAACATTTCTCTATACTCCTATAATTTATTGAGAAAATAGCCCATTATAGCTATATATATTTACTAAAAAAAGATATCTAATGATTAAGACTGAATAAAAAGTAAGAAAGAAGAGATAAGATATTAAGAATAGTCTTTTATTAAGTTTTAGTCTTTGTTATTAATCTATATTAAATTGTTAAACTATAGAGAAAAGATAGGATAGAAGATACTAATTAGATAAACTATAGAAGATTATAGAAATATAGGCTTTTAATTAGATAAAAAAAGAAACTATATACTAATAATATTAGTTAAAAGCTATTTTTCCTATAAATTATTGAAGAAGAGTAGAGTAAAATTAGTAAGATTAGTAGTTATAGTCCATTATAAAAGAGCTTATTAGCTTTTTTAGTAAAAAGAATAGGATAGAAAGTAAAGAAATAGAATAAAAAAAACTAAATTACTATTTTCTATATAAATTATCAAATATTAGAGTATTTTATACTGTTCTAACAATTTTAGAGATATTAATAGATTATATTGATATTATTTATCACTAATTTATTATACTAATCTAGTTAAATAAATGTATTTCTATAATATAAATATTAAATTTAAGGTTTTCTAGTGTAAAGTCTAGCTAATTACTATAAACTTTATTAAATAAAGAGATATACTTTCGATCTTATTTTATTTTAGACTTTAATCGGATTAATCTTTATGATATTTCTTATTACTATTTTTTGAAATCTATACTAATAGATTTAGCCTAAAATATATACTCTTTACTATTAACCCTAACTTATTTAAGTAATTCTGAGATAAAGAATAAAATAGGGAGTAAGAATAATATAGAATTAGATAGATTAATACTATTCATACTATTACTATAAAATAATAATTAAGATATATTAATATAAAGAATAAACAAAAGAAGAATTAGAGAAAGTTTAAAGAAGAAATAGTAAAGAAAAAATAAAGATAAAAAGATAAATTATACTAAGGCTAGTGTTTACTAAGAAAAATTATCCTAGTCGAATAATTTAAATCTTTGATCTAAACTTTTATACTATTTCTAGCTATTTTCTACTAATTAAATAAAGAATATAGTTAATAGAGGGTCTAATTTATTCGATTTTACTTTATAATAGTTTGAAAATATGCTTTTAGGATAAATTTAGTACTAGAGATAGTATAACTAGAAATATAGTAAGAGTATATATATATAAAATATATATCTTTATATCTTGGTAGGGTTATTAATTACTACTCTATAATATACTCTATACCCTACTTTTATCTATTAAAAATAGCTATTATACTAATGAAGAAATATATTATCTATTATAAATAGGGATATTTTATAAAAATATAATAGAGATAATAGATAATAGTATAGGTAATAAATATTTAAATAAAAATAGGGGTAAATAATAAAATTAATTTTAGATAACTAAGTAGTTTATATTGAAAAATAAGATAGAATCAGATAATAATAGGCTGAAAAAGCCTATTAGGCTAGCCTATAATAGGCTATAGATAGGAGGTCCGCCTATTAGGCTAGGCTTAGATAGGGCCCCTACTTAATAGACCGGCCTATACTAAAGTCTAATTACTACTATATAGTTTAAGGATAGGGTAGATTAGGTACTTGAGGATCCATGGAGTACTAGACCTAGACTCTTCTATATACTACTACTATAAATATAGCAAGATAGATATAAAGTGTATATTACTAACCTACTCCTACTTTACTATACTCTACGCCGAAATCCTTAGTATTAATTATCTACTAGATATATGGATATCCTAGCTTACTAGGCCGGAATATATACTAAAAGTAGCTATCTTTATACTAGCTACTCGCCTACTTAGCTAGTTCTATTATCTACTAGATATAAATTATACTATTGTCGCTATAGCCGCGTAAGCGATATATAGATTCCTTGCAGTACCTATAGGCCTCTAGAAACTACTAATCTACTAACCGCCTAGGCGTCCTTAGACGCTGAAGAGTATATATATTATTCGATGACGGAGGGATAACGCGATCGATCACTATAGGAGATACTTATAGAGATAGCTCGGACCTACGTATAGTTAGATGCTTACTTTCCTTCTACTAGCGTTAGTAATATATAATTAGGGTAAGTAATAAACGCGGAAGAGTATAAAGGATACGTAAAAGGGGTATAAATAA